AAATATTATTTACCAATTGTTAGGTATCCACATGTCGATATGGTCCAAGTTTGTCGAAGCCGCTTCTCGAACAAGATTACGGTACCTTACCTCGTTATTTCACGAACCAACCTCATCAACATATAGTGCTGTGACGTAAGGTTACCCTAGCTTCCATGCCCAACGACGAAAGACGATAAGACTCTGCGCCGCTCCCGTTCGTTTACAAGGGAACCCGCATGGTGAGCTGTGTTTTTCGGCTCCGTATGCATCATGTCCCCATCCCTCCCTTTAAACGATTGCGCAACATGCAGTCATGTCGTACAAGAAAAGGTCTACCGGTACCCTACAAAAGTAGCTTCCAGGCTTCCAGGAGCTCCGGCCCCCCTTGTAATCTTCGCATTCTACAAAAGTTCCCTGCTTTTGCCAGAACTCTGCGCTTTTCGGCCCCACCATTGCGCTCGGTTGGCGGTTGTGCCCCTGGTGTGTGCTGGTTCAACTTAGCGGCTTAACTTATGCCGCGCCTTTGCACGACAGCGGCCCGGCCGAATGCCGCTTCGCTGCGATGTTAAATAACACATAAATTACACATGGTAACAGCGCAAGGCGCATGGTACCTTCTCTTCTATCATCCACGCTACCTTCTCTTCTCTCAGCCACGCTCGGTGTGCAGCTGCAAGCCTACCTGTTGTACGGCAACTGCTCCTCTCTGTGCAGGCTTCGAGATGAGGAAGCCTCACAACATCACAATGGCCTGCCAATGCCTACACGCCATCGCACGTCATGTCCGCGTGATGGCCAATGCCTTGTCCACACCTGACATCTGGCACACCGCACACGGCGCCTGCGACAACCGCATGCAGAGAAAAGATGCAAATGAATGCAGCATTCCAGATACATGCGCAGCATAAATCCTGCCTGAACTAGAACTGCCCTGTACTGCATGACGAGGACGGAAGACTGCCCTCTAGCGCATTGCTCGCAGGAAATTGTTAGTACTGGGCAATATGCTATTGTTCCCCACGTGGTTGTGGAGTCTTGCTACTGAGACCTATGCCTGGCTTGCTTTGATAACTGGCACACACGGCCTGCTGCTTGCTGCAACGTGTGCTAGCGGGGCCGCCAAGGTGCGTGATGGCCCTGTGGGGCAACTGACACAAGCCCCATTACTGTCCCCCATGTCTGGTACGGACGCATCATACCGTGTTCCCCTTTAGGGAACCATTGTAACGGTCATTCATACATGCATAAGACTGTGATTGCACCGCTGAGGCTGTGCGGCTCTATGCGCACTTATAGTTGCCTGGGTGCGTTCAATGGATGTTTGCCAACAGACTACCCTGCTTTCGGCATGTTATCGTGGCATGTGTTGGGCAGCCCTACGGGCAACCCCTACACACATGCTAGGACTGAGTGTTGCGTGCACCAAGTATTTGTTTCCTGGACCAGCTAACAGACGCATCTCTAAGCGACCTCTGGCTGGAAGCCAGAGGCAGCGGCAGCAGCAGGGAGGGGGTTATCACCACAGTAGTAAGCATCCCTGCAGCAGTATACCGTAGCCTACCTTATTTGAAGGAGAGTAGCACAGGATAGACTGCCAACATCACTGCAGGAAGCTACATGCCAACCCATGTTTGCATGCGCCCATGGACCTGTGTCCTCCATCCTTCCCCAGCCCAGCCGTTACCAGAGCCCAACACACGATCAGCCATGTGTCGTTTTGTGTAATGTCGCTGTCGATGGTCTAGTAAGGAACACGTCTGACTCGCAAGCGGCGCATGGTCCTGCTGCGCATGGACCTGTAAAGCCGCCGCGTTTCAGTTGCCAAGTAGCTTTGCCAAGCAGGGAGACGATGATGGAAGTGGTGGTAGTGGTAATCCTGGTAAATCACAGGGGTCGAGGGCGGTGAGTGTGTTACCGCGTGCACCGATACCGCCGGTCTGTCCCTCCCTTTCCCCGACACAGAAAGGCCCACTGCGTGTGCCCACCGCAACCACCCCAGGTCCTTGCGACCCCCAAATCCCCACCCTTCCAAACACCACCGCGGGCCAGCCATCCCGCGGCACAGCATACCGGTACAACATACACTGGCCAGTCAGTTTACCAACTCGCCCTATAGTCCTGGCTGGCGTTAGTGGTTTCCAACTCGATGGTTGGTGGTTTCCAACCTAATGCCCGTGCTTACGCGGGCAACATCGCCTACCGCTGACCTGCAGCAACCCAAGCCCCCCCGCCCACACACACAAACCACACACCGCCTTCACTCCACCAGCTGTACCCTCGGAGCTCCTGGCGCTCTGGGCGGCTTCCTCTTCACAGCGGCAACTGCAGTTATCCGACCGCACGGCCCTCTCCCTGTGGCTTCTGGGTTCTACGCGCCAGCGCTGGGCTGCTCGGTGGCGCTTCCGTGGCGTCGCGTCACTTCACTGGGTTCTTAGCGGTTACATAGCGTCTGTGCCTGTCATTTGCATACTGCCTACTCATTACCTTGTGCCCATGGGTTTTGCACACGTCCCCTGGTGCCCGGATGCATGGTGGCACTCGGGGCTTGGTGCGGCGGGGAGCTCACGGGGAGCCCGCCCACCAGTCCTCCTTCCCCTGGCATGCGCACCTGTGCATTGTAGTACGGCATCCCTTGCGCACTTTTTGCCATCTCTGCCTGTTTCCTCGTTCGCCTTGCATTTTAGTTAGGTTCGGCATCGTTAGGTTGCGGCGCTCACGTGTGTTCCTGCTTTTTCTCCCGCCCTCGCATGTTCCTCTTCTTGCCGTCGGTTATTGACACTGGTTGCTGGCTGCCGGATGCTTTCGTTCCTGCCTGCAGGTCAGTCTACGGTAACCTCCGCACATAGTGGTCTTGCACTTGCTTTGCCTGTCTTGTTTTGCTCGCGCATGCACTGCGACGTCTCGGCATGCTCCCCTGTTTTGCAACCTGTTCAGCGGTAGTTCCAGCCTATCTACCTACCTACTCTCCTCGATACTGTCAGTTACTACATACATATCAACGTACTACTACGGGCCTTAGGTCAGTTACTGGACTTCTATATCTGCATACGCTACAATGTTCCTCGGCTCCTGCGGCGGTGGGGACATCATCTTCCGACAATCACAGTATGTTCCTACTCGCGGCCAGTTTTCTTAACACACAAACCAAACAACATGCGAACCTATCCCAACTGCTTGCTCTTGTTTCCGCTCAACTACACACACCAAACAACTGAACCACAGGCACTCACAAGTAAGAACTTCAGTAGGAGAAACTGACCAAGGAAACGGCTTCCCTGGCTCTTCTTTATTCCATAACACGCTAGCCCTTTTCCTAACTTCCTACAGTCCCCCCTGGCAACCGAACACCTTTCCAGTCTTCACGCCATACTCCTGAAACCTTCACGCCAACACCCCTGAAACTGAACCGGGTGTACAAGGCCGCACACGCATGTGCCAATATGAGCTCGCACCCGTGTCGAGTCAGCTGATGAACTCCCCACATGTGGCTACGTAGGTGTACCGGTAGCCAAAGAATACCCCCCACACACCACCATCACCACCATCTCCAGCACCACCACCACCACCACCACATCTCCATCACCACCACCACCACCACCACTACCATCACCACCACCACCACCACCACCACCACCATCTCCAGCACCACCACTACCATCACCACCACCACCACCACCACCACCACCACCATCTCCAGCACCACCACCACCATCACCACCACCACCACCACCACCACCACCACCCCCATCACCACCCCCATCAGCTTGCGGCTCAATTCCAATGCCCACAACATACACACCCACACGCATGCACACATACATAAGGTATTATAGATGGTCTTCTCTACCCTCCTCGAGTACAACTGGCATCCAAGTACAGCTAGATGTCATCACAGTACGACAACCGAACCCGCAGCAGCAGCAGCAGCCGGTGGGCAGCACCAATGCGGTGTCCACACTACCCGGCTAGACACGTGGCATCCGCGTTCCCGTTACCTCCAAGATTGCTGATAACACTGCTGGATCCGTGGATTGAAGTCCAAACCGTGTCATGTCCTACCAGGTATGCACTTCCTTCCGTACGGCATGAGAGGGGCACAGCAAGGACGGTATGGGATGCGCAGTCATGCACCCATACACACGAACAACGGTTTTTACTCGCGGCCAGTTTCCTTAACACACGAACAACAAGGACCGCAACCAAAAGCTCACAGTGTCCACCCAACATACCGTGATAAACAACGCAAAGGGCACTTCAAAAGCCGCATCGAGAGCCTTTGGCCAATACACATTGGTAGATGCCTGGGAGAAGACGCAGCAAACTTCCCCTTCCCTCCCGGTGAATGGTAACCGGTATACAATACTTGATTGAATGCGCGAAAAAAGCTCCAGGGATCGTGCTCGAGCACCGCCAGTCGCCGTATTGCAAAAATATGCCGGAACCACCATTAACACAAACAAAGACACAGGCGCAACAAGGACAATACCGCCGCATTAAAACGTCTTTTGAAGTATTAGCAGTAACCAGCAGTAATTGTCATACGACAGTCGTTAGAAAGCTGGACTTAGTAAGCAAAGCAAACAACCAACAGAACGAACGTCTGTACCTTCGCAAGGCTCAAAGCCGACCACCTCCTGTTCGTACAACTCGCACGGCGTATATCATTACAACACGGACCACCTCCTTCTCCGCCACCGCCGCCGCCTGGCACGCGCCCCCTACCGTCATTCACAGCTACTTCTCACTCCTGCTCCCTCTCCCGCTCCGCAGAGGACTGCCACACCTTACCTCTCCCTTCCCCCATTCTCTCCCTCTCCCTCTCCACCTCCCTCTGCTGCGGCTGTCCCAGCACCTCCTAGCCAGGCGGACGCCCAGCTGCGGATCCCACGCAACCCTGCGGCGAGGGCCCCACACCCGCACCCGCCACCGCACGCAGCAACCAGGCCTGCTGCTGCCCCTGCTGTTCGGCCCCAGGCTGCACCGGCCCCCAGCCACCACTGCCGCTGCTGCCCCCGGCCGCCACCCCCCCAACACCATGCAGAGCTACCCCACCAGCGCCAAAAGCGGCAGCAGCAGCAGCAGCGGGGTCAGTCAGCCGCGTCCAGAGCGCCTCGGGGAATCCCTGTGGACCGAAGCACCCCACCATGCACGGCTGCTGCGGTGGCGTCAGCTGCTGCGGCTGCTGTTGCTGCGGCCGGATGGGGTTTCCGTGCTGCTGTGGCTGCTGCTGCCCCACCTGCTGTGGGCCCCCCGCCTGCTGCGCCTGCATGGCTGCCTCCGGGCCCCCTCCTGCCTCATCCGCCGGAGCGCCCGTGTACTGCACCTGGGGCTGCCTTGCACCAGCAACACCAGCACCGGCAGCACCAGCAGAAGCATGGGCTGCGGACGCCTGCTGCTGTTGTTGTTGCTGTGGTAGGTGGGTGGGCTGCACGCTGGCGGCCGCCGCAGCTGCCGCCGCCATCTGCTCGTCCAACTGCCGTACGTAGCTCAGAATGGTGATGGCGGCGGCAGCGGCTCCCTCGCCGGCAGTCTGGATGTGCGCCAGCCATGCCTCTAGCACACCGTTTTGGTCCTGGGGGTGTGCAGTGCAGCGGGGTTCAGATGGGCGCGTACACAGGATGACTTCACCTTCCGGCAATCATAGTACGCTCCGCCTCGCGGCCAGTTCTCTTAACACACGAGGAGGCATGGGAGCCGTGGGAGCGACGGGGAGGTTGCAAAGGACGAGGGAGGTAGCTTGCGGCAGTAGGAGAGCAGGCGGGCTGCATGTGGGAAAGTAGGCGGGGAGCAGAGCACCTAGGAGCCGGCCAAGTCCAAGAGCCGCATCCGCATGCGGACCCGAACCCGCACAACGAACGCAGCACCCATCCCTGCCGTACTTCCTACCGGCATGCGATCTACGACGTACAAACCCGCCCCAGCGGTATCCAACCCACCTGCCACCCCACCCCTCCACACATGCTCCCCACCTCCCCAATTCCCACCCACCCACCCCCACCCCGCCTCACCACCAGCATCCGTGTCGCCTGCTCCAGTCTCGCCACCTGCGCCGCCACCGCTGCGTTCTGCCCCTCCTGCACCTCCGCCCGGCGCCCCAGCTCGCATGCGTCCGTCTCGCGCCGCAGCCTGCACCGCCGTGCACTCGCGCGGTTGCTCTCCTTGCGCCGCTCCCGCCGCTCCACCAGCGAGCGCCGCCGCTGCAGCTGCGACAGAGAGCAGGCGGAGGGACCCAGAGAGGCATCCGTGCCGCCACCGCCGCCACCGCCGTAACCCGGTAGGCCAAGCGAGGGAAGCGAGGCGGTGGAAGTGCAGGTGCTGGCGGCGGCGACGGCAGCGGCCGCGGCGGCGGCTGCCGCCGCCGCCATGCTGTTTGCGCCTCCCGCGCCGGACGTGTGGTGGTGGTCGCTTGCTAGCGGCAAGCCGATGGGAGGGTGACAGGCTGCGGCTGGGCCGAGGATGGCGTGGGGCGGGAGCTGCAGTGGCAGTGGCAGCTGTAGCGGTGGAAGCAGAGTGGGGAGGTGTGCTGCATGTGGTGGTGGTGGTGGTGGCAGTGCCATTGACGCCGGGTGGTGGGGAAGGAGGCGTGTGAGAAGAGGGTTGGCGGCTGGCGGCGGGGGCAGCGTGGAGGCCATGGGGATGAGCCGCTGCTGCTGCTGCGGGTGCTGCATGCCTAGGAAGAGGAGGGCGGCTGCAGGTGGCAGGCCAGCTGCTGATGCTGCGGCCATGGAGGCGGCTCCAGGGGCGGGGGCAAAGGGAGCGATGCCGGAGGGTACAGGGCTGGTGTCCTCAACCTCCCCCAGGGTGGGGGAAGGTGAATGGCAGCCCGAGTCGGTTTCAGACTCAGAACCCGTCAACATGCCTCCTCCACCTCCTCCCGCTCCGCCACCGCCGCTGCCGCGGGTAAACGATTGTGGCGACTGCGGCGCCGTCGCGTCAGCAACCGTGATGCCGTACAAGTCATCATCGTCAGCGACAACAACGCCTGTATCTTGCCCGGGGGGACTGCCGTACAAACTGCGGGAGGCGTCAGCAGCAGCCACCGCAGCTGAGGTGGGCAGCGGATCAGCTACCGGCCTGGAGGCAGAGCTGGGTCCGCCCATGCCGTTCTCGCCGTTACCGTTGTTGCCGTTGGGGTCAGGCCTCCGTTGCGGCGGAGGCGGCGGTTGGGTGGGTGTATCGCAGCAGAAAAGGGAGCTCGCATGCTTGGGAGGCTGCGTAGCGGCGCCGCCGCCGCCAGCACCGGCAGGCAGCCCAGAGCAGCCAGATGCAGGAGGCGGCGGTGGCGGCGGTGGTGGTGGTGGGGGGGGCGAGGAGGGTGAGGAGGCAAGCTGTGAGGTGAGGGAAGGAGCTCGGCCCAGGGATTGCCAGCGTTCTAGCGGCGTCAGCGCGCCTGGGGAGTCGGCAGGGCCGGGGCCGTCAGAGCCTGGGGGGCCAGCCTCACCGCCAGCTGAAGCAGCAGCGGAGAGGCTCGGCTGCGGTTGGGGTGGCTGCAGCAGCTGCAGCTGCTGTTGCTGTTCCCGCAAGCAGTGCAGCGGCACGGGAGAAGGCTGCTGCTGGTCTGCAGCAACAACATTCTTCATGCCGTCGCCACCATAGTTGTTGGTATCCTCCTGGTTAGCCGTTCGGAGGCTCCCATCATTCCTCAGGCCCCCTTCTTGTGCTTGGAGTTGCTGTTGTTGTTGTCGCTGCTGCTGTTGGCCTTGTAACTGCTGCTGCTGCTGCTGCCCCGGTGGCTGCTGTGACCGGTTTGGCTGCTGCTGCTGTCCGTGCTGCTGCACCCCTTGTTGCTGCTGCTGTGAGAGCGCCTGGAGCAGTGGGGTCGTGTTGGTGTAATCTTGCTGATACCGCTGCAGCGAGTAGGCGAGGTGAGGAGCAGCAGCAGCAGTAGCAGCAGCGCCGTTATACCCAGCAGCAGCAGCAGCTAACAGCTGTTGTGGCAACTGCTGCTGCTGCTGCTGGGAAGGTAGGGCTGCTGGCTGGTATGAAGCAGGCTGGCTCATCGCCGCAGCGGCGACAGCAGCCGCCGTGAGAGCCGCGGCCGTTGCTGCAGACTCCGGCGCCGCTGCGTAGGGCCCTCCAGCGCCCGCCATGACCTGCGGCAACATGGCAGCCAGCAGCCTAGAACCTCCGTAGTTCTGGGCCAACATGTTGGGTGGTGGTGGGTATGCTCCTCCTCCTCCTCCTCCTCCTCCTAGGTGTAGCGCATGCTGCAGCAGCAGCTGCTGGTGCTGTTGTTGCGGCGGGGGGTGCAGCAGGCTGGGCATGATGCCCGCTGCTGCCAGGGCCCGGAGGCTGGCAGGCAGCTGCAGCAGCTGCAACGCCGTGGCTGCGGCTGCAGCTAGCGCCGGGTCACTCAGCGCTGCGGGGGTCATAGCCGCCTGCTGCTGTTGTTGCTGTTGTTGCTGCTGCTGCTGTTGCTGCTGCTGTTGCTGCAAGAGTTGGAGCAGCTGAGCTGTGTTAAACGCTGCACCGTTGAGCGTCAGCCCTTGGGGAGGAGCTGAAGCGGCTGCAGAGGAGGATGTGGCAGCCGTGGTGGCAGCCAGAGCGTTTGCGGTCATGGAGTGGCCCGAGCTGGCTGCGAAGGGCAATTGAAGCTGCTGTGTCTGGTATTGCTGTTGTTGCTGCTGCTGCTGTTGTTGTTGTTGTTGCTGCTGCTGCAAGTAAGCAGCTTGGAGCTGTAACGCTGCAGTCGCGGCGGCTTGTTGTTGCTGCTGTTGTTGTTGCTGCTGCTGTTGTTGCTGCTGGAGTTGCAGGTAGGAGGAGTAAGGGTACTCCGCAACGCAGGGCGGTAGCACCTGCAGCCGACGGGAAACGCGCGGGAAGCTCCAACCTCAGCTCTTCTTCCATCCATGCGAGCATAGCTCCCCATCCCGTCCCCCTTCCCACCTCCCCTGTATGTGCAACCACCTGCACCCCACCTGCACGCCCTGCAGTCCGCCGCTGCAGCTGCCGCCGGCTGCCGCCACCGCCGCCACGTGTCGCCAGTACTCGGCAGGAGCAGCCGCAGGGGGGACCGGGGCGGCGCTGCCGTACTGGGTCGGACCCAGCACTGATGACGACGCAATGCCTGGTGAGAGGAGCGAGGACGGGGAGTTGAGGGAGAGGGGCATGCAATCACTCTGGTGACAGCTAATGATGTCGGTCTCTTTGTCAATCAAGCACGTGTAAAGGGCTGTTTGGTCCTTAGCAGCTGCCTACCGATGTAAAGAGCTGAGCGGAACTGAGTGAGCCGGGAAGCAAGACGACTGGACCTTACATGAGGAGAGCAAACACATCAGCGCTGAACGAGGTGGTAGGGTTCTATTCTCTCTTCGGTCTGCTGTGTTTGCTCTCCTCATGTAAGGTCCAGTCGTCTTGCTTCCCGGCTCACTCAGTTCCGCTCAGCTCTTTACATCGGTAGGCAGCTGCTAAGGACCAAACAGCCCTTTACACGTGCTCGATTGACAAAGAGACCGACATCATCTAATGTTACATGCGCCGCTGCCACTTCCACACATGCTAGCCTGACTGCTGCCGCAGAAGGACTGGCCGTGCCGCTGCCACTCCCGCAGCCTCTCCGCCCCGGCAGTGGCCACGGGGAACTCAAGAGAGGACGGCGACAGCGTGTCGTTATGAGCAGGAGCTACATGCCTGTGAGATGCGCCGCACCAGCATACCGCACATCCTCCCCTCACACGCACCTTGCGCGGCCAGCGCGGTGGTCGCCGCGTCCTGCTGCGGCAGCTGCAGCGGCAGGGCGAGCCCCGGGTAGGCAGCGGGGGGGTGCTGCAGGCGGGGCTGCAGGGCGGAGGCGCCCAGGAAGCCTGGATGGCGGGCGGGCGGGTGGATAGGCAGGGGTTAGAGAGGCAGACGGCAATGAATACAGGTAACACAAGTGTTGTGGTGGCAAGGGGACGGTATTAGGAATCGAAACCACAGGAACACGTAGTGCGATACGGGAACTGAGGGTAGGTGATCCCTGGGCCGCGAAATCCATGTGTATTGTGTAGCCGGTTGTGTCCGCCCCAGGGGGGACGGAAATCACCCCCCGGTCCTGTGCAGTGTTGTTGTGCCCCTCCGCTCCGGCACGCCTCTCAACACCTTACCGTTGTCGCAGTTGCTTGATGCGTTGTCTTGCGGCCACAACCCAGATGGCTGCCCCGAAGAGGAGGGCGGCTGCTGGCCCTCCGTGGCTGCCGTACTAGATGCGCTAACAAGCGAGGACTGGACGGCATTTAGGAGGGGCGCTGTCAAGGCCGCTGTAAATGGAGATGCGTAGTTGTAAGGCAATGGCAATGCGTATGCTTGTTGCTGCGCAGCATCTGCTGCCGCGGCAGCAGCATCTGCTCCCACGTAGGCGCCCGCAGCAACGCCGCTGTAGCCGGCTGGTGCGAAGGGAGCCAGCTGCACACTCGAGAAGAGGATGTTGTTAGGCAGGACGAGGGCGCGCTTTCACTGCAACCAATTCTGCGATAATTGCAACTCACCGTTCCTGACGCTTCCCCAAAGCCTGCACCGTGGTACCCATAGGGGTAGGGTGAGCCCTGCGCGCACAGTGCACGGAATGGTCACATGGAATTTGAGCTAGCGTTCACTCCCGCAGCTTCGTGCTCCGTACCTGCCCCGACGGTGTTAGGAGGTGATTGTGATTTAGATACGACCCCTCAACCGGGTATGAGGTCTGCATGGCCGGACGGAAAAGGACGGGACAACCTTGTCGAAAGCTGACGGCAAGCAATCCAATTGGAGAAAAAACTCAAATACTATAAAGATAGGTATGTTGAATAGAAAGCGGCATACCTGCATTGTGTCGGGAGCATTATCTGCTCTTACGGCCGCAACGAGGCCTGACGGATCATGGTAAATGGTAATGAATGTAAGGCTCCAACCCTTCAGCAAATATTCCTAGAGCTTGGGTTTCCCGCTTGCGCTTGCAGGCAAATTTCCACAAGATTCACTTGTACGACACAGCCTGCCTAGCCTGCACTTCGTCGTTACCTTTCAATTACCCAGCAACCCTAGTTATACTCTGTTTTGCGTTTCCAAGCACTGATGAAATGCAGCGGCAATTTTCAGACCATAGAATAAGTGCTGGCCTAAGTGAGCCCAAGCGTTACCGAGCAAATGTTCCAGCCCCATGTTTCCTACAACATCATCTGTTGCGTCCACGCATAAGGTTGCGCGTGCACGCAACAGCTGCTGGGGTCGCTGTCCAACCAGCAGCCAGGCAAAATGGAGCGGCTTCGGCGACGGATTTCCTCAGGGAGCTTCCAAAAGCATTTGTGGATTGGTGGACAGTAGACATACCTGGAAAAGCAAAGCAATTGGAAACGACGGTCAAGTTGAAACCGGTGTTGGCAAAGCTGTGGAGCCTATGCGTCCCGGATATTCCCCTGCTTGTGGTTGCGTCGGTGTTCATGGTAAGTGATCAAGTCAAACCTTTCCCTGGGAGCGGCAATCAGGGCTGATTGTATCTATACTACGTGTGGTGGTACCAGGCCAAACGCGGAAAAGCTGACGTTATTGCTGTTGCAACGTTGTGCTCGTTGCAGGTTATTGCGTCCCTGTGCGAGCTAGCCATCCCGCACTACGCGACGAAGTCTATTTTCGCGGCGTCGGAGGGCTCGACGGCATTTAAGGGCTTCCTTTCCATCCTAACGGTGAGCACCCTTGGCCTTGCCCGGCGCGAAGTTGGGCGACAGCACAATTCACCGTTCGGCGCATATCTTGTTGGTCAGCGCTGGGATTGGGTCCTGGGTGTTATCCCTTCTGCTCCCTTTACGGCTTCTGCTCTCTGCTCCCGCATACACGCGCTGCGTACGCTGCCCCCCCCCCTTCCTCGCACGCGTATTCTGGTTGTGCTGTGTCATCCGCTTCCCTTGACCCCTTCCGCCGCTGGCCCCTTCTGCCGCCGTGCAGTGTGCGGTGTCCGCGTACGGCACAGCTGCTGCGCTGCGCGGCTTTTGCTTTTCCATCCTCAACAACCGCATGACGCGCCGGCTCAGGTACGGCTGTGGGGCATAGCTCACGGCACAGTAGCGTTGGGGTGGCAATGAGGGGTAGGAACTCCTCCTGCAAGTCCCGCACAGCACAGCAGGAGAAGGGCAGCTGAGCTGAAAGCACTTGCCGGGCATTTGGGAAGCGGCGGCAGGGGCGGGCGGGGTTGCTTATGCGTCGGGACTCCTGAGGGGGCCCAAATGCGGCAAAGAGCCGGTGCTGATTTGGGTTGGGTTCTTCGCGCACGCATACAAAGCATGTGTGCATCTACTGCGGCGCATAGTCGTACATCCACATGTACGTCCATTTTTTTTTAACATGCGGCTGCTGGGTGCTGCTTCTGGCACCTGGGTCATGGTCGGTCTGGAGGGCAGCAGGGGCGCCTAGCAAAGGGCATCAGGGGCCTTGGAGTGGGCTATCCCACCCCACCTCCACTACCCTGCCGTGTTCACGCCCCTTCCTGTGACGCCCGTGCCGTACAACTGCCGTACGCATCCTTTCCTGCCGTACAGGGCTGAGCTCTTTTCCAGCCTGGCCCGGCGCGAGACCGCCTTCTTCGACGGCGAGGACGTGGGCGGCCTGACGTCGCGGCTGCAGGCGGACTGCGCGGCCATGACCAAGGTGATCGCCACCAACGCCAACATCGCCATCCGCAACCTGCTGCAGGCGCTGGGTGAGGCGGGCGGGCGGGAGAGGAGAGGAAGAGGGGAGGGAAGAAGAGCCATGTGTTGTTGAATGGTAATAGAGGAGGGAGGTGACGCGTGGCGGGTGAGGTCACTGCTGGACGGGCCCACGGGAGGGCTCAGTTGGATAGGGCTCAGCTGGATCTAGCCCCGCCGTTCCCCACCTACCCTACCCCCCATCAACCACATTTTTCCCTTCTTCCACCCCACTCCTATACCCCACGTGCAGGCGGGGTGGCCTACCTGTACACCCTGTCGCCCCCCCTGTGCGGCATCACGGTGGCGATCAGTGCCGTACTGTGGGCGGTAACCCTGGTGTACGGCAGGTTCGCCAGGCGCATGCAGAAGGTAGGGGCGGGTGGAGGGGGAGGTGGGGAAGGAGGGGTGCGATGGCGGGGTGGGACTGTGGATAAGCCTGAGGCTGGGTGGGGTGGGGAAAAACCCTTGGAAGACGTCCCTTTGGCACTCGATGGTCTCCTATTCCTTCCGTAGCCTCGTAGTGTGCCAGCATCATGGCCCTCTCCCCCGCTTCCTTCCCGTTCCCTCCTTGCTCTTCTCGCAGGTGTTCCAGGACGTGTTGGCTGAGAGCAACACGGTGGCTGAGGAGGCGCTGACGCTGTCCCGCACCGTGCGCACGTTCGGGACGGAGGGGTCGGAGACGCGGAGGTACACCACCTGGCTAGAGTGAGTGCAGGGAGGGAGGAGGAAAGGGTGGATGGTGAGGAGGGGAGGGGGGCCTCCGTCGATTCGTCAGTTGCTCACGGGTCGCCAAGGGCCTTCACGCATGTCGCGACATCAAACCAACCCGCCACCGCCCCTCCCTCCCTCGCTTCTCCCCCACCCACCCTCTCCCCCCCTCCCTCTCCCCCTCCTCCCCCCAGCCGGCTGTACCAGGTGGGCAAGCGGCAGGCGGCGGGCTACGCGCTGTTCGTGGCATCGGGGCACATCGCCTGCTACGCATCCAAGGTGAGGGGAGGGATGGGGGAGGGGAGAGGAAAGGGACGGTGAGGTTCGAGGGAGGCCAGGGTCATGACTCGTGAGTGGTGGGTGCATGCCGGTATGCAGCGCCAGCGTTTCCCGCTTCAGCCCACTGCCTCCCCCCCCCCCTCACATTACATCACATCTTCAGCATCCCTCGCCCCTGTGTTCGATGCCCCCCTCCCTCCTCCTCCTCCTCCTCCCCACCACCACCATTTCGGCTCGACTCACGGTTGTTTCCACCAGGGCTTGTCAGCAATTTGTACCACTATCACACCACACATTGGAATGTCTTCCTCCTCCCCCCACCCAGGTTGCCGCGCTGGCAGTGGGGTGCGCCATGGTGCTGTCGGGGCGCCTCACGGCCGAGCAGCTCACCAACTTCATCATGTGCGTGAGGGGGAAGGGGAGGGAGGAAACTGACGGGGTGGGAGGGAGGAAAGGGGTAAAGAGGAAAGCAGGGACCATGTGACCTGTACCCCCCACTAGCCTCCGCACTCGCAGCCTGGCTCCGCCTGACACTGACGTGCCTCCTGCGCTGCTCTCTCCTCCGCCCCGCCTCGCTGGCCCCGCATGTCACCCCACCTGACCCGCCCCTCCCCCTTCTCTCACCCCTCCCCCCCCAGGTATGTTGAGTTTGTGACGTACGCCTCCCTCAACGTGTGCGATGAGTTCACCGAGATATGCGAGGTGCGGGAGGGCAGGGAGGGAGGGGGGCGGGCGGGGTACAGCAGCCGGGTTATTTGTTTCGTTGTGTTGCCGTTTGTGTCTCTCCCACCCTCTTTCCCCCGTCCCCTACATCCTTCAGTCCTCCCCTTCTTCACGCACCCGCCCGGCCCCCCTCCCCCCTCCCCAGGCGGTGGGTGCCAGCGAGCGGGTGGTGACCATGCTGGGCGCCCCGCCCGCCCCGCAGACCGCCCCCGGGGCCACCCTGCCGGCCTTCAGCGGCAGGGTCAGCCTGCGGGACGTGAGGTTCAGGTGGGGAAGAGGGGATTGAGGGGATTGACGTGAGGTCCAGGAGGGGTTGAGGGGGAGGAAGAGGAAAGGGTGGGTAAGACAGGACAGGACAGGTGTGGAGGGCAGCAGCTGGTTACATGGATGTGTGCAGGAGGGCTACTTTGCAAAGGGGTCAGGCTAAGGTGTGTCTGCTGCAGTGGTGTGTCTGAACCAGTTGGAGCTGGGCTGAGCAGAGCTCCATCCGCCTTTCTTCACCTCTTAACCACCTTCCCACCTTCCCTCTACTCCTCTTTCCCTTCCCCGCCGCTCACAGCTACCCCAGCCGGCCCCACACCCTAGCTCTGGACGGAGTGAACCTCACCTTCCAGCCCGGCCAGCTCACAGCACTGGTGGGGTGGGGTGGGGTGGGGGTTTGGAGGAAGGAGGAACAGGAATACCGTGCCAGGAATGAATCTGTGACAACCCTGGGTTGGGGGGGAGGAGTTAAGTGTAGGCCAGCATCACGCTTAAGTTTGGACTGGGACGGTATTGGGGTAAGGAGTGGGGTGGACAGAATCCGGCTCCTGAGAATCCTGACCCGACCCCCCATGCATGCACCCATGCACGCAGGTCGGCCTCAGCGGCAGCGGCAAGACCACGGTGTGCGCGCTGCTGCAGCGGCTGTACGACCCGGCCAGCGGGCAGCTGCTGCTGGACGAGCAACTGGATGTACGACAAGCGGATGCGGCCTGGTACCGGCAACAGATTGGGGTGGTGCCGCAGGTGTGGGGGCGGGGAGGGTGTGGGGGCATGGGGTGTTGGCATGAACGGGAGGGGGGAGATGTGGTTAGGGTGGTGTGGGCGGGACCTTGCGAACGGTGAGTTGGAAACACGGGTGCAAACATGAGCCTTACGTGCATACATGAGCCGCACACCGGATACTCCAACACTGCCCTAGGTTTGGAAGAGTGGAGCTCGACGATAGACGCCCGCCTAAAAAGACGCCCCTGACACCTCCCCCTCCTCCTCCCCCCCCTGCAGGAGCCCCGGCTGTTCTCCCGCTCCATCGCGGCCAACATCGCGTACGGCATGGAACACGACCCGCCACACCAGGTGGGGGGAAAGGAAGGAAGAAACTAAGCATCCGGATGATAAGGCCTCATCGTGGGCTGCAGGGCATTCCCCCCGGCGTCGTCCACCTGCCGTACGGCATCACGGTTACCTTCCCGTCCTGCCAGTCCTCCTAACCGCCTGAATGCTATGTTCTCCCTGTCCTCCCTGCTGCTCCCTCCATCCTGCTCCCCCATAAACGCTACCCCCTTCCCCCTGCTCCTCCCTCCCCCCCAGTCTGCTATCGAGGAGGCGGCGCGGGCTGCCAACGCGCACGACTTCATCATGGGGCTGCCCGAGGGGTACGACACGCTGGTGACGGACAAGCTGCTGTCGGGCGGGCAGAAGCAGCGGCTGGCGCTGGCACGGGCGCTCATCCGCAAGTGGGTGGCAGTGCGTGTGTGTTTAGAAAACTGGCCGCGAGGCGGAACGTAGCGGGTAGCGGGGGGGGGGGCAGCGGGTGGTGGTGGTGGAGAGACGGAAAACCACGCGTTCTTCCGGCGAGACGGGGTGGGGTGGGGTGCGGGGGAGTTGCGGATGTTTCCGTGTCGAACCAGCGCATCGCAACCCTCAATCCGGCTAGTTCGCTTCTTCCTCCTTAACCTCCCCACCCCACCTCGCTACATGCAATATTCGATGCCAGCTTGTGCGGAATACCCACCGCCTATAATGTGTATTTACCCCCCCCCGCCCATTAAGTGTATTTACCCCCCCCCCCCGCGCCTATTATGTGTGTTTAACCCCCGCCCCGCCCAGGCCCAAGCTGCTGGTGCTCGATGAGTTCAGCAGCGCCCTAGACGCGGAGAGCGAGGCGCAGGTGCATGCAGCGCTGGACCGAGCCATGAGCAGCCGCGAGCGCACGGTGGTAGTGATCGCTCACCGGCTGTCCACGGTACGGCACGCGGACTGCATTGTGGTGATGGACAAGGGCAAAGTGTACGAGCAGGGAGATCACCATGAGCTGCTGGCGCGGCGGGGGATCTACTGGCAGCTGGTGTGCAGGCAGCAGTACGGCATTGATCCGCACGGCGGCAATGGAGGTGGGGGTGGCAGGGGCGGTGGTAGCATTGCCGGATTGGCTGCTACTGACGTGGATGAGGAGGGGAGGGAGGGGGTTTCGGAGCCTCGGGAGGCGACGGCAGCAGCGGCCATGTTTGGTGGGGGAGGAGAGTACGATGGTCGGATGGACGGCGGCGACGGCGGTGGCGAGCAGGGTGGTGGCGGCTTCCTGGGTGGTGATGAGTCCGGCAGCTTGATGATGACGGTTGACGAGGAGGCGGGAGGCGGCATGTCGTACAGCGCTTCCAGCGGCAGCTCAGTACTGACCCATGGGTCAGCATCATGCTCGCCGTCACCCTCCTCCTCCTCCTCGTCATCATTCTCCTCCCGGCTGGCGCGCGGTTCCAAGGCCCCCATGGCCGACGATGAGGACAATGATGCGATGCTGGCTTCCGTGCTGGGTTCGGCCACCGATGCAGACATCGCCAGAGCCCTTCCCGAGCAGCAGCAGCAGCAACGGCGCAGTCCCACCTCCCGACAGCGCAGCGAGGTGTTGAGAGGTGCACATGGAGACGGAGACGGCAGTAGCTGCGGTCATGTTCACCACGACGACGGAGAAGTCAACGGTAGCGGTGACGGGGGCAAGGAGGAAGATGCTGATGCTGATGGTGGTGATGGGGGCGGGTTGCTGAGTGTGGTTGGTGTTGGCAGCTCCAGCAGTGTTGCGGGCAGCATGGGCACGATGGATGAGGAGAACGATGAGGCGGGCAGGCCGGCGGGGGCGGGGGCGGGCGGGCGAATGTCGGCGGTGCTAGCGGGGGTGGTGGTGGCGGCGGGGTCGCAGCAGCTGCCGTACTCACCACAGCTGCCGTACAGTCACGAGGAGGGGGTGAATGAGTGGGTGATGGGGGTGCATGAGGAATTGCCGCATGAGGATTTCTAGGCAGGGATGTGGTGGCGAGAGGGTGGGGGGAGTGTGCAAGAGATAAGATGATGGGTGTCCCACCCGAGCCGAAGCCTGAAAGAACTTGTGGCTTGGGGTGCAAAAGGTTTCCGGGTGCAGGCAAGGTAGCACGTTAGGTGCCAGGGCGGGTGCCGGTAGCTGGATGGCAGGAGGGATGCAGAGGAATGCCGGTGCATGGAGAGGGGTGCATGTGCAGCGGGCGGAGGGCGGAAGACTGTGTTGAGGAGGACACGCTGGAGGTGGGCAGCATGCGGAGCGCAGGAGGAAGGGGTTGGAGGGGGAAGGAAATAAGGCCTCCTGAAGAATGGAGGTTCATGTGTGTGGAAGTGGTATGCCGAGGTGTTTGTGGCGTTGACCTTGCCATGCTCCCAAGAAACCAATTGAACTGTCGTGTTGGCTGGATTGTGCTACGAAAACTGGCCGAGAGTCGGAACGTTGCGGTGTGTGCGTGAGTGTGGCGTTTGTCGTGCGTCATACGGAGAAAGGAATGAGGTTCTTTGACCGGGCGTCCTAAGCCGGGATATAGCCTACCTAGCCGCCTATTCGGACCTCGATGGTTAGAGAGTTGCCGTGGTATGCCGTATCGGTTGTGCAGCATGCCGCATGCAAGATGTCTGCTTTTAGGCGCACTGTCCAGACGTGAAGGTGGAGAGGGCTGGGGGGTGTCATGTCCGCCAGGCAGCTGCGAACCACGAGGAGGGTAATGGTGGTAGTAGTAGAGAAGGGCTAGGTAGGCATCTGTGTTGAGGCCATGTTTAGCGGCCACTCGGGACGCTGGATGGCATGCCGGCGCGCGCTTTTGGCTGTGTCGAGAAATCTGGCCGAGAGTAGGAACGTACTGGATTGTCGGAAGTTGATGTCGCCACTAAAACACCAGGGGAGACTGCATGAGGGCTGGGCCACGGAGGCTTTCGATGAATGATGAAGTGGATTTGTACAGCAGCTCATCTGACTACCTTGCAGGCGTTCGGTTTGTTTCCTCTCCCACTGCTGTCTTCGCTGCTGCTCCTCCTTCCGCCTGCTTGACTGAACTGGACAACTAACATGGCATGGCATGGAAAACGGACGAGGGAGGGTGTGCCCTGTCCAAAGAGCCGGCTTCGCAGGGCATGACCCACGGGTCGGTTGGGCACAACGCTCGTGCGACTGGCTCTACGTGTGCTATGTAGCTTTATTCCATAGGATAGGCAGGGCCCTGTAAACGTCATATCCTTTCTACTTAGAAGAAGGTACGACCGGACGTGTCGGAGCCTGGCCGTACCTCCACAAGGTCTAAAACGCAGATCAAGCACATGTTTATTCGGCACAGCAGCCCTGCAGGACTCAATTTGGCCCCATCATAACCCTCATCACCATTGTTAGGTGTACAACCGTCTACATCGAAACGTCCGCGGCTTGACGCAACAGCTCCAACGCGCCCCACAGCACCCCAACTAATAAGCGATAAAGCCGTCGGGTTGCGCCCATTACTTTCACCAAAGACAGCTACCCACAGCTTCCCCACATCCCTCTTACCCTCTCGCCCGGGTCCGACCCCTCCCGCTCCCCTTCCCCACCTGCCCTTCTGAAGCCCTATCCTACACTTACTCCGTGTCTCCCCCCTCCCCCACCGCCTGCCCCGGCACCGCCCCCAGCGCCCGCAGCAAGCGCATGCAGCCCGCCTGCCCCGCCTGCTCCGCAGCCCGGTACGCCGCCGCGCAGCCGCTCTCCCCCACCACACCGCAGCTCGCCAGCTCCATCACCGCCTCTTCGTCACCCGCACGACAGGCCTCCAGCAGCGCCCGCTCCAGCGCCCGGGAGGAGGGGGAGGAGTTACGGTCCGCCGCGCCGGGGCGGCCAGCGCTGCCCCTGCCGCCGCCAGCCTGGCTCCTGCAGCTACCGCCGCCACCTCTGCCGCCGCTGCCTGTGTTGCCGCCAGAGCAGTTCCCGTTCCCGTTAGCGCCGCCTGCCTGTCTCTGCATGCCGCCATCGCTGCTGCCACCGTCCGCTTTGCAGCCGCCGCCGCCACCACCACCAGCAGCCCGCTTACCGCGGCTGGGTAGCCGCTGGTCCTGCTCGCGACCGCGCTTGACTCCACCGCCCTTGCTGCCAGCGGCCGCAGTAGCAGCAGCCGCAGCACCACCACCGCCATGACCTCCGCGGGGGCATGAGGCCTGCAGCTGGAGCTCGCAGGGGTTGGGTGCAATCGGCAGCGCCCCCGCCCTCGCCGCCTCCCACAACCAGTCCCAGCGCCGAACCCTCTGAGCGGCACCGGCCCCTTGCTGCTGCTGCTGCTGATTCCCTTGCTGCTGCTGCTGCTGCTGCACCGGACCACTGCAAGCCGCTTGCCCCTCTGCAGGCCTCCTCCTTACCTCCGGCAGCAGCGCCAGGCAGTCCTCCGCCGCCACCGCCCCCTCCTGCAGCAGCACCCGGACCACCGCCGTGCCCTCCCGCCGCCGCTGCTGCAACGCCGCCATCAGCGCCCGCGCCGCCCCCGCATCTGTCTCCCCCGCCAGCCCTAACAGCTCCCGAACAGCCCCCCTCACATCCATTCGGGAATACGAAGCATCCGAGCTGCAAAGCTGCCGCAGCGCCGCGTCCGGCTGAGCCCCCAGCAGCACAAGTGTGTGGGCTAGGAGTCGATTGGAGCGGGAGGATTGGCAGCAGGCAGTCGCGAGCGAGGTGCTGTTACCGGCGCGCGGGTTGGCGCCGAACTCCGAAACCAGCATTGCGAGGGACCTGCCTTTATTCCGAAGCTCCTCTGGGGTTCGCATCCCGTTGCTGTGTCGAAGCCAGCATAGCTTTCGCAAGGCGGCATCCGCAGACTCTTGATTCCATGCACCGCTGCGACGCAGAGCTGCCGCGAGTGGCAGCATGACCTCGCGCACACCCGGACCGCACGCAGCGTAAAACGTGTCGCGACTTGGCCGCGCGCCGGCTGCAACCAGTAGTGTTACGTTGGACCCATGGGTCGTTTTGGCCGCCAAGCTCAATGCGCCGTCCAAGCTGTCCAAGCGCGGTCGCAGCGCCAGAAGCTCTTGCAGTGTGGCCAGGTCGCCTGGGGCCCAAGGGGGTGTGCGGATGCATTACAGGTGCGCACTGCATGAAGTGCTGCAACGCAGGAGCAGCGCTATATGCATAAAGGGGCTACGCGTTAAGAAAACTGGCCGCGAGGCTTTGTGTGTATGTGCTTTACCGGACACAGGCGTACCAGGCCCAACGCTGCATCTGACCCTGCATGTGTATCTGCTCGACATGTACCTGGTGTGTCCCGACACCAAACTACCACGCCACACACCCGCCCTCAGCATTCACAGAACCCATCAACACGGTAACATGTCGTACAAGCCCCGCCAACACAACCAACCCTTTTTTTACCCCCCCCACACACCCCACCGTACCCACCCATGCAGCTGCTCTTCCTCAACGCCACCTGCAAGGTGGAGGCGTGCAGCGGCACACCCGCCCGCACCGTGACCGCCTGCAGTAGCGCACGCATCATGCGTGCGTCCTGTACCCCTCCACTGGCTATCACAGAGCAGCAGGAGGCCACATGGAGACGCAGGCCGCCTCGGGTGGCTGCCGTTGCTGCTGCTGCTGCTGCTACTGTCTGCCCCGCAGCACGCCCCGCCGCTGCTGCTGCCGCCGGCCCTGCAGCAGAGCCCTCCACCGCTGCCGCCGCTGCTACAGCGGCCGCTGTGCGCTTGTCCAGCTCCAAACCCGCGCCGATGGCGGGCACGTCCAGCAGCCTGAGCAGCTCCTGCAGCACCGCCACATAGCCGGCTGGGGCAGGGGAAGAAAGAGGGAGGGGCGGGAGGGAGGAGGAAAAAGAAATTTCCAATGTGGGAGAGAGCAGGAGGGAGAAGGGAGACAGCGCAGGTGGCTAGGCCAGCGACAGTGAGGGGTAGGCAGGAGGGCGCGTGAGGGCGCGTGAGCAGTATTACGCTGCAACAGCAACTATGTGGCCAACGGTTCGAGCCGGAGGCCGACTGTGGCAGGCAGGGGTTGCTTTGAGGAGCGTCAGGCAATCCCACTTACTGTGGATGGCACGTAAGATGATGTCTGCAGTGCCTGACGCCAGCTTGGCTCCCTGCTCCACCACCGCCGCACGTAGGGCCCTAACAAGCTGCTCCTCCCTGGCCGCGGGTGGCGTGTTGGCTAGCAGCTCGTCTGCGTGTGACAATAGCTCTAAGACAGCACACCGTGGCCCCCACGTAGCGACGCAGTAGCGCGCAGCTAAGCAGGGATTGTCCATTCCGTCAAGAAAGGTGCTGCGTAATGCCTTGCAGGATTGGTAAGCGCCCCGAGAGTCACGCCCGGCGGACAGTAGGATGGTTTGTTGGAGGATTAAAGGTAAGGACATGAAGTTGAAAGGGGCTGGCGGTTGCAATGCTGGTCGTGGTCGACGATGGCATGCCGCTCCAGTACCGTCAACGGCGACAGGGTTACCGCGACATTGTCGCTTGGCTTCGCGACGATACTCCCCATCCATTGGAGGCGAAGCGGTTAAATACCTACTACTGCCCCTAGGATTCTTCGCCTACATGCATTTATGGACAAACGCGAACTTTTGTAGGTATTGGAAGCCTACATCTGCCGTCATGAGAAGCGTATCTATTAGACAAGATATCGCATACGGACGTTGCTCGAAGGGGAGTGCACAATGACCGTAGAAGCTATCGTGCGATCGACCTGATGCGTGCTCGGCCAACACTCGTACGATTGGAGCGGGCAGCATAATACCACCACTATCACACATGCTGTCATTGTTTTTAGGAACCTAACGGCAAAATGGCTCGCGTAGCTTTTGTAGCAGCTGTTGCTTCTGTCTTCGTGGCCGCAGCTCTCGCCAGCGAGTTCACCAGCCCAAATGTCGTCCATCTGACTTCCAAGGACTACGAGGAGAAGGTATATTGTCTTGAACGTAACGTAACGAATTATTTAGCAGCTCAACAATTTATGTTGCAACCCACCCTGCAGACTGGTGACGGCAAGGTCTACTTCATTAAGTAAGCTGCGTTTGCTGTATGCTGTCTACATAGCCACGCTGGGGCCTGCGATCAGTGAAATTGAGCTGTACCCTTCCTAACGACTGATGCTGACGTTCCCGTTCCTTTCTGCTTGATCTATTGCGAACAGGTACTACGCTCCTTGGTGCGGTAAGTATAACACGAGTTATGCGATAAAAACAGGAGGGGATGAGCTTACGGGGAGAGGTTTTCGGCGATCCTCTCCAAGATCTCAACACATGTCAACCTCTTCGGGTTGCACCCTTTGGATCCATCTTTTTCGGAATCACGCTGGGTGGCCTTTTCTGTTTCCCCAGGGCACTGCAAGCGCCTGGCTGGCACCTGGAAGGAGCTGGGTGATGAGTTCAAGGGCAGCTCCAGCATCGCCATCGCCCACGTGGATTGCACCACGGACCGCGACATCTGCCAGTCTGCTCAGGTGTGGGGCGGAGGGGGGCGGACTTGGCAGAAGTAGTGACGCCTGAGACTTAGTTCGAATCATGCCAGGGGGTAGACAAGGACAGGGTTCGGCCAAAAGTACACGCGGGGTACAAATGCAACGGGCTTGACTCTTGCAATCCACGTATTCGCGCTCATTACGAAGACCATAACCAGTGTCTGCTGCCCTTCTCACCTCTCTTAACGATACCTGCCAACCCACCCACCCCTCTTCTCCTCTGTTGATGCATTCATCTATATTTTCCCCCTCCCTCACCCTATACTTCTCACTTAGTCACCCCCCAACCCTTTCCCCTCCCCCCCGCCCTCAGATCAAGGGCTACCCCACACTCAAGCTGGTGTACAAGGGCGAGGAGCTCAAGGCCTACCGCGGCCCCCGCGACAAGGACAGCCTGAAGGCCTTCGTGGAGGAGGCGGCGCGCGAGGTCACCACCGAGGCCGCGTGAGAAGGCATGGAGGGATGGGGCAGGAGGCACTAATGAGGCAGGCGGCAGCGGAAGCGGCAACTGGGGCAGCGGCAGGCAGGGGCCGCAGAAAGCGATGGCGGCCTCAGCAGTAGCAGCAGTAGAGCACTCGGGCCTGGCCGAGCAACACGTGCGAAACAGTGCCGGCCTCGTGTAAGAGGCAGCAGTTCTACAGCGGCTCCCAGTCGAGAACACACGGACCGCGGTGTCGTAGGCTGTGGGGCGCGGGTGTGTTTCTTACAAAAAATGACTACATGCCACATGACATGACACGAACCGCTTATGCTGAGCACTAGGGAGTAGCGGCTGCGTGCAGGCGGGAGGGTGTGGAGGGCGTGCGACGGGCGCTACCTCTTGCACCGGGATGTGTATGTGGTCCATGGGTTTCATAGGTGCGGGGGTTTCATTGGCGTTCAGGCCAGACTGGTTGTCTCGTCTCCCCTTGCTGGCCGGACATCCGTTGCATGAGGGTGCAGGAAGGGAGCCGTGAAGTGGGAAGTCGACTTGCGGATCTGGTGTGCGGTTCGGCTTCGCAATGAGGCATGGAAGGCAGCATTGCCGAACGTTGCAGCTCTGGTGAAACATCCCTGTCCGCACCAAAAGATGCACATGACCCGACCACGACACACGCACGTAAATTGTTTAACGAAAACCTCTTCATGCAAACGCAGCAAACCTCTCTACAGTGCAAAATCAGCAAACCATGTAGGCGAAACGAACAGTCGGGAGGTAACCACAGCACCCAGCGCCCCACACATCTCCTCCTGCTTCCTCCTGATGCGCCCAGCTCAACAACCACCGCCAGCAGAGCCCCATCCTCTGTACTCCACCAAGCCCTCTACTCCTGCCCATCCGTACCAAAGCCATGCACTACCCGATCAGCTCCATGCAACACACCACACCCGCCATCTACCGGTATTCGCCCCTTTCACGGCTTCTACCCGCCCCTCACCGTCCCCCCTTCACGGCTTCCCGCCCCCCCGCGGCAGTCCCCGCCGCCCATGCAGCCACATCCACACCACGACCGGCAGCTGGAACACCGCCGCCCCCACCGCCAGGGCCCCCAGCGACTCAGCGGGCTCGTGGTACCACCGCGCAGTGCAGTACATGTCGCCGTACACGAACACCAGTACGAACATGGAGGTGACCATGGCCGCCACCACCGTCAGCTGGCGGGCGCCGACCCATGGGTCAGACCCGCGCAGGAGCTCCGCCTTGTAGATGTCCGACAGGCACATGAGCAGCTCGGCCTGTTGCGGGGAAGGCGGGGAGGGGGGGTGGGGGCGGGGCGGGGCATGGTGTAGATGAATCACGAGATACGTCGTAAGGAAAGCTGACGGCTATTGGTATGGCTGGTCACATGTTGAGTGTGGGAAACGCAGCCTAGTAGAAAGCGCCGGCAATTTTAGCTATACTGATGCCGTACACACTGCCAGAATCGCGCGTGCAGCTCTTTCTTTGAGCCCTAACCCAACAAAGCACGTACTGACGTACATGAATCGCCCTGTGCCTCAGGAGCAAGCACGCTCATCATAAGATCCCTTACGTGCGCCACGGACTGCTGAAACGCTACCGCTGGTGCCTTGGTCGGTATTGCCACACCCCCGACTCCTCCCACCCCCCCTCCCACCCCCACCCCCCACCACACGGTCACAGTTTGTTAGTCGTTTCCTCTCTACTCCCCACCTGGAAGCACGCCACCACGGACGCCCCCAGGAACAGGTGGTCCGACACCACCACCCGCGCCACCGCCCGCTGGAAGCTCAGGTGGCCCAGGTACAGCAGCACTCGTACGGCAATGATGGCGCCGTACACCGCCAGCGACAGCAGCGGCAGCGTCACGCCGGGCCGGGGCTGTTGTACGGCAGCGGGTCGCATACCCCGTACGACACGCATGCTGCTGCTGGTGGGGGTGAAGAGGCGCGCCGCTGCGTTGCCGGCGGCTGCGGCGGCAATGCGCACGAGGTAGGGCGCCAGAGGCAGCAGCGGACCCCACACGCGGAACACGTACCTGCGGGCGGTTGGAGGTGGGGGATCGGAGATGTGTGTGTGGGGGGGTCAAGGTGGGGCAGGGTTCCAGGAGGGCAGATGGGGTGTAAAGAGGAAACACCTTACCACGGTCGTCCCACACGGTCAGCCACAGTCACTGGTCCTCGCAGCGGCTCAGCTATCCACCACGCTCACCCACGCCGCACCTGTCGAACCCAATGAGCGGGTGTTCGAAGTCCCGTCGAGCAGCCCCCTCCTTCAGCGGCTCCGCAGCCGCCACCCCCGCCCCCACCGCGCAGCCCCACAGCGCCAGCGGCACCGCCAGCAGCGCCGCCAGGGCGGTGCGGGAGGGGAGCAGCGCCTGGCGGGAGGCAGGTGGGAGGGGTACGTCTTACCGGCTGCTCCTACCCACGTCCCACCCACCACGCCTGCTCCTACCTACCGCGGCATCTCAAGCATACCCAACCCGGCACCCATCCCTACCAAAACCCCACCTGGGAGGAAGCCGCGTCTGCTAGCAGGGCGGCGGGTAGCGGGGAGTACTGGGGCTGAGGCGGCGCCGCATAGGGCCCCTTGGCCGGGTAGTAGCTGCCGGGAGGCTGTGGCTGCGGGGGCGGGGCGCCCATGCCGCAGCCCTGCCGCTCCTGCTGCTGTTGCTGCTGGTGGTGGGGTTGGCGGTGGTGAAGCTGGGAGGAGGCGTGGGGCTGCTGCGGCGGGGGAGGTGCCGGTGAGGGCGAGGATGGCGGTGGTTGGGTTGAGGACGGAGGAGGGGCCTTCATGGCCGGAGGGAAAGGCGTCTGTGGCCTGGTGCCGCCGAGAAATTATCACAGGCTTTGGGTTGAACTAGGACTGTAGAAGGAGGAGTAGGACTTTGCTGGGCGGGCGTTGGACGTCTTAATATGCAATGCGCGAAGGCTAGCAGCGCTTCGGCTCGGCTCAAAGCCCTGCTCTTTGGTGAGCTTTTCAGGCACCCGGCATCATAAAGGCGCTAGGGAATCGCGCGTGGCAGCGGGCTGTCGCGTTGGAAATGGTCGATGCAGCTACCGCCAGGCGAAGAAGTAAAGAAGGGCGATCGCCAGTACCACGTTGACAGTTATAACGGGTGCAATGTACCTATTCCAACCGAAAAGAGCATGAGAGGAGGGGATGGGCTGAGAAGTACTGCTTCAGTAATGCAGCAAGAAGGTTTGTACCGCTATCAGCTGAATGGTTCCCCAACTTCCATATCACATTACTTCATCATAGATACAAAAACACCTGATCCTCTAGGTGCTGCATTTTGAGGAGTGCTGCTTCTAGCCTCATCCCTTTTGATGAGCGCATTGGTGTCCATTGAACTAATTTCACGAAACTGTGGATTTCTTACGTAGCGTCTAACGATGCGTTGCCGTCTTCGTGGCCTTGAGCGGTAAGGGTGTACGCTGCCAACGCTGGTAAAGGCCCTTGGGTCGAAGCCCATAAAGTCATCAAGGAGTAGCCAATGGCAGATATATAACCCCAAACGTCACAACCATATGCAGCGTACAACACATTGCGAGATCCATTGTACCCAGGACCACCAACCGCCAGCATGCGCTAATTGACAATCCTTTCAGCCCTTCCTCGCCAAGAGACGGCATGTTATATACTTTAAAACCTTGAGTCTACTGTCAAATTGTTTTCTAACGCAACTATAAAACTCCTTGAGCGAATTGTCGATCGAGTGTTGCTTTCCCTCACACATTACCACACGCTTTGCTCTGATACCAATGTGTTATTCGTTTAATTGAAGCTTTGGATTAACAACAGCCACCATCCAACGAACTGGGGAAACACCTTATTTTAAGCTCTTTGTGTCGGCAGACTTTCAGGCGCTGTTGGTTCCATCCTTAGCAACCAGGACGGTGCACGGCTCAGTGGATTTCCTAACTGCGAGTCCAGCTGTATTGGAGACGGCCAACACATCCCCTGCATCCTTACGATAGTGTCGCCGAGTAAAAAGGGCACAGCCAACTGCAGAAGAAGAGGCTTACACTAGTCAACTCCATTGAGGCTTATCAGGAGCAGCGGCCATGGCGGGTGCTGGGGGCGATGCACCCACCGGAGCCGGTGAAACAGGCGACTTTTCCATTGGCGAACGTGTTTTCGTACCCCACGTAGACCGACACTATGAAGCGAAGATCCTAAAGGTGCGCCAAGCTGGTTACTTCGGGAAAGCCGTCCTGTCGATACGGCATGGTGTGGGTGCGCCCAGGAGCTTGAGAGGCGTCAGCTCCGCTTACGATACATCCGGCCTTTCCAACTTACCACGCTTCCAGCGCACCTATCTGCCCGCTCTCGCCTCCCTCGCCCTGCCCGCTTCTCCCCCCACCTTCCGCCCATCCCATCCTCCCTCGCCCTGCCTCCCCAGGCCGAGTTCAAGCGCAACGTGGACTGGCCGGAGGGGCAGTGGTACTACTTCCTGCACTACTCGGGCTGGAACAAGAAGTACGACGAGTGGGTGGAGGCGACTGGGCTGGTGAAGGCGGCGGAGCTGGGGGTGGCGCCGGGGGGAGCAGGGGTGAGTGGCTGGGGGGTGGCGCCGGGGGGATGAGGGGATGGGATCTGGGAGGGCGGTAGGAGCAGGAAGCCGAGGGCGAAGGGCTGAAGAAGGGGGAGCGGGTGGAGGTAGGGTACAAAGCTGTTCCTGCTACGAATACAAGTATGGGAGCAGCAGCGCGGCAGAAGCTGGGAGCGGCGTGTAGCCCCTCTAAGCTAAGCCCCCCTCCACTCCGCCCACGTGCTTCTGCCTGGCAGGCACCAGGCGGCAAAGGCGGTGGCGCGGGGGCACGCAAGGCGCCCAAGGAGCGTTTCGCTGCGGCCTCAGGGGGCGGAGGGGGCGGCGGAGGCGGCAAGAAGGGCGCTGCGGCCGCCCGGCTAGCAGCCGACTTGGGGGCCATTGGGGGCGCCACGGTGGGCGGCGCAGCCGCCGCTGCTGCTGCTGCGGCCGCCGCGGCAGCGGGCGGCGAGGGCGCCACCGGAGGCGGCGCCGCCGGCGCCGCAGGCGCCGGCGGTGCTGCTGGCGGTCACTTGCTGCTTCCCCGCGGCCTCCACCTTGAGCTGGACATCTCTCCCGTGCTGAAGAAGGCGCTGCTGGACGACCACGACGCGGTGGTGACGGACGCCAAGCTGGTGCCGCTGCCTCGGAGCCCGTGTGTGGCGGAGGTGCTGCGGAGGTACTGCGAGCATGTGAGAGGCAGGGGGGGGAGGGAGGGAGGGAGGGAAAGGAATGATTGTGACACCCTTGTGGAGAAGTGGAAGAAGTGGGAGGGAGAGGGGGAAGGGGAGGGAGGGGGAGGGGGGGTGGCGGTTGGAGGGAGGAGGAGGAGGAGGAGCCGCCTCTTATCCCTACTGCTTTACCCTAACATGCAACATCATCTGGTTTGCCGTCTCTCCCCTCCCTCCCTCCCTCCCTCCCCCCAGGTAGCCGAGGTGGGCGGGTCGGCGGGCGGCGGCCACGTGGCGGCGGAGGTGGCGGGCGGGCTGCGCAGCTACTTCGACAAGGCGCTCATGGCGGTGCTGCTCTACCGCAGCGAGAGGCCGCAGGTGGGGGTGTTGGGAAACTGACCGCGAGTAGGTTGGTAGGTAGGTAGGTAGGTAGGTGGGTAGGTGTGAGTGGGGGGAGACGGGGCGTGTACGGCACTGACCCTCCCAGCTGCCCTGCCCGCTTACTCCTAGCCCTGTTGTCGCCCTCTCCTCCTAACATCCTCCTCCTCCTCCCACCCCCAGGCCATGGCTGTCCTCGCCGACGGCCGGCTGCCCTCCTCCGTGTACGGCACCGAGCACCTGCTGCGGCTGTTCGTGAAGCTGCCGGAGCTGCTGGCGGCGGCGGGGGCGGGGGGCATGAGCGAGGAGGCGCTGGGGCAGACGGCGGAGGCGGTGCAGGTGCGCAGGGAGGAGGAGGGGGGATGTGCAGGGGGGCTGTGGGCTAGTTCGGCACGCTGGTTGGGCACCTTGCACCTTCACCCACCCCATGCACCTTCCTGAACCCACCCCATGCACCTCTACGACCTCTGGCTAGTCCGACCCTGCTGGACTGCTGCCTGCTCGCCCCCCGGGGCACCCAGCTGCACCACCTCTCGTGCGGACATGCCTCCTGATGTCCTGAGCCCCCGTCCTTCTGTCTCTTCCGCGCCCTTCCTGACCCTGTCGGTGCACTCGGCGGTTTGAATTTGCCTGCTATAATCACCACACTTGGGTTTTCCTTCCCCCTCTCTCCTTTCACGTACACAGTACGCAATCGAGTGCCCCCGGCCCCATGCGGAACATCCATCCCCCCTAACCCCCTGCCGCCCCTGTGGAAGAGCGCTACCAGTCTATGCTTCTCCTTCTCCTTCCCCAACCCCCTGTCGCCCCCCTTCCCTCCTGACTGCATGCAACCAGGACCTCATGAACTGGGTGGCCGACCACCTGGAGGGCCTGCTGGCCCCGCGCGACTCCTACCTGGACCACTGGGACTTCATGGCGGGGCTCAGCGGCGAGCTGGCGGCGGCGGTGGCGGCGGCGGGCTACGCAGGCACCTCGGCGCCGCTGCCGCCACTGCAGCAGCAGCCGCAGCAGCGGGTGCAGGGGTGACGGCATACATGGGGGATAATGGAAGATGGGGTGGTGAAGGGAGCGGGCGGTGGAATGGGAGCAGAAGGAACGTAGGGGGGGGGTGTGGTGGAGCGGGTTCGTGGGCCTGGAGGGGCCACGGCGCCGCATGAGGGGGTAGGGGGTGAGATCGAGGATGAGGAGGACGACGCGGGTGCGGACGCAAGGCCGGGCTCTTATGTAAACGACTTGCGGCCGGGGCCAGTGTGGCGGAGGAATATCACCAAGGCAGCAACAGGTCATTGCACTCGTGCACGGTTGGGTGTGGTAAGAAAACTGGGCGCGAGGCGGAACGTACTGTTATTGCCACGTACTGTGGTTGGGTGTGGTGGGTGCAACGTGGTTCGTGTGCATGGAGGCAGAGGCAGGTGGCTGCCACTTAGCGGTGCGGGGGTTTGTCCTCCGGGCTACAGTCCTGCACTCGTTGGGAGGTGCAGGGTTGAGCTTTGTACTTCGCACTTCGCACTTCTGGTGTACTTCGCACCAGAAGTAGTGTACTTCGCATTTCAGCACTGGTAACGGTAGGTAACGGAGTTGGGGCAAGCTGCCCTCTTCGGTTGTGGCTTTACCAAGTGTGGGCCTTACCTTTGCGTAAGGCATAAGCCAGATGAACCTCATAACTCTTTGAGAAACGCTCCTCGAATGCCTTAACGTTACAAACCTTACACTGATCCACTGGTCTGGTCTCCTTGTCGCGCCAGGCATATGAGATACGGTGTACGGCGTTGTAGGATGTACGGGTAATAGGGTGTGTGTTATCTGTGCATGCCAGAGGGATAGCACAACGAATGGATGCGTGTTTCCCGTGAGGGCGGCAGCTACCGCACGGGAGGGTTGCCGCAAATTGAGGCATGGTTAGCCCAGCTGCACGACAAACACCGCAGGCTGAAGCCAGGAACACGTCGCGCAACCAGCCAAACCTCTTCTTGTGGCAGCTTCCAAAGTGCGTTCGCAGCAGGTAACGCACACGGCCTATAATACAATACCGGTAACCTAAGCCCTACCTGTCAACTAACTTCCCAAACTGCATCCAATCACTAGTTCACTACCGTTATGGCCCATTTTTAATTCGTGCAGTGTAGACGCGCAAACCATGCGGCCGACTCACGTTTGAGGTTTCCAGCACGGGTTGCCGCCTGTCTGCCGCTTAGCTCATGCAGACTTTGCAGAGGTCCTCCCCGAGTACTGCCCCTGCTTCAGTTTCTTGCAATGGACCCATGGGTCAGTGAGAATGAGAAGGTCCAAAATCCTCATGCACCGTGCCTGGCAAAACCCGAACCCTTCGAAGGTACCGGTCTACGTGCAACACACGCATGAATGAGAATGGCCGCCAACGGGCGCCTTGTCGGAGCTCACCTTAGCTGGGTACGGCGAAACTACTGAACGTCTGCCGATAGTCTGTGTTGGGATCATCGGGGCTTGAAGCGGAGGTTGACAAAATGCCCGAACGATTACAAGGACAGGTTGCTGTCTCACACACACACGAGTTAAGCGCGTTGGCGCAGTGCTCAATCAGTACACAGGAACAGCACAATGTGGTGTAAACTCAGATTTAAACACGCCACAAGTTGGGGGCATGAGTGGCACGCTTTCCAGCACCACAATTCCAAACCCTCGAAAACACGTCAAAGGGCCGACGCCTTGGAAGGAGGAATAGTCACGATGGCGACTAGGAAAGAGAGATTTCAGCGCCCTAACACCCAAACGAACGCAATTGCAAGACAAGGCAAGCAGTATAACTTATAATGACGGGCGGTAAGCCACACCTTGCCGCCGACCCAGACCGTAACAGCAGGGCGCACCCCGTCACGACATCGCACGACTGCCTCCCGCAGCACATCCTGGCCGCGAGTATTGGGGTACAGCTGTTCGTACAGCTGTTCGTATGCAGTATGCGGTTGTATCCCCCAAGGGCATTATTGGAGGGACGAGGAACAGATAAGAGATAACAACAGAGGGCATGCGGCAACCCTCCTGGCACATGACATGATACTACCAGAGACCAGGCGAGGCTCACACCGGACAACCGGGGCTTCATCTCACATACCCAAAGTTCAGAGAACTGATAGGGCGGGTTGCCGGTAGGAACGCCCGGGCCATAGTACGGCGGCAAAGTTAAGTGCCAGGTCACGTTAAGCATGTATGGTAGTCGCACATGGCTATCATATGGCCTTGCCTCCACATAAGGAACTGAAGTACGAAGGCATCACGCGCACATACACGGAGACGCAGCGCCGTACGCAGCCCAACACACGCAGATAGGTATATAGGGAGGTCGCAGTGTCACACAGTGTCACACTATCACGCGCTTCCGAGCCCTGAACTGCCGAATCTGCATTGTTGAATCACAAAGGGGTATGCAGCCTGCTGTATCGGCAGAAGGGCAGCTAACAAACACATCATGGGTCGCTGCGAAAGTTGCAAATTCCTTCTTGCGATTGCGGGCGGACACATCCTGCAGTGACGCATGTGAAGAGTATGCAGCGAGCTGGTGGCGAACGGAGAGCGGAAAACCTGAGAATAGGAAAGGACGCAGTAGTGAGCCAATGCGCCATTTGCCCGATCTAAGACCTAGCCTAACCCTAACGCGCATGGCTTGCTACTGCGTCGACCACTACAGCGAATGGCAGCCGTGCTTGCCGTACATGCCGTAAACTAGCCAGGTGTTAAACACCCTACCTTGCAGCTCCTTCCTATCTCCCATCTTTGACGTCACGACAGACGTCTTAGCCGGAAGTGGAGCGCGGAGGGGCAGGAGAGGGAGGAGAGGGCGGTTGATTGGGAGCGGTGATGGTGGTGGTGGTGTTAGAGAAGCCGCCGGTGGTGGAGCTGTATGGCGCAATCACCACCTGGTAGATGCTGTTGGCGTACACACCACCGCACATGAAGTCGGTGGTACCGGTGCAGGTGACATTGCAGTTCCAGGCCAGGCCCATGGAGATTGCCTGGGTCAGGCCGGTGCTGTAGGAGGCGCCGAAGCACAGAGTGCCGTTCTGCAGCGCGTAAAGGTCGTAACCTGCGTGCAGGAGTGCCGTACGTGGATAGATGGGTGAGCAGGGTGAAGGGCAATCAGGGATGGTGAGGGCAGCAGGGTTAAGCACGCGCTTGCGGCGGCTTGCAGCGGGGAGCAATACCGTCATGTAAAGAGTTTAGCTCACTGCATGCCGCGACATGCCTACCACTACAGCACACGCGAGAGAATACAGCAGCATCAAGGCAAGCAAACCCTAGGTGCCTGCCGCCTCCGGTGCCATGATTAGCAAACCTACATCATGCTGCCGGTGCTATGCATGCATGCACGCCGGCTACGTAACTATCTACTACGGCATCACATACCGTGGTTTATGGCACTGTTGCGGCAGTTGTCAGGCGTCATTCCAATTGTATCGTTCTTGAGCAGGTTGGGCACCAAGTCCGTGATGTTGCTGTCCTTGAAGCAGCCCAAGTAGCCGCTGTCCTGGATGGAGATGGCGGTGGCGCCCGAGGTGGTGGCGCTGGTGGCGGTGATGGGGCTGCCGCAGGCGTTGGCGTAGGTGTAGGCGCTGCCGCCCTCGTTGGTGCAGTTGAGGGTGCAGGCGTTGCTGGGCCCTTGGAGGGTAGCCTCGTTGTAGTTGCTGGAGCCGTAGCAGATCGTGCCGTTCTGGATGGCGAAGAAACGGAAGCCTGCGAGGGAAGGGGCAAGGGAGAGGTTAAGGGCGCGTCGTCCCCAGTTTCGCGCGCAGGCATTGATGCCTGCAGGTAGCGGGGAGCAACGGGCTGCTGCCATGGGGACAGTAGGTCTCGACATGCATGCATGGGTTGCATCATGGGTTGCCGACCATGCCACCGCCCAACCGGAACAAGTCAACAGAGGTACGCATGAGCCGCATGAGCAGTGCAACCCTGGTGTTGAAGTCGCGTAGTACGGCTGTCACGGGTGAAAGGTACCAAGGCAGTGATACATGCGACAAGCATTAAGCTCTCAGCTCGTGGAGCACAACCAGGCATAAGCCAGGAAACGCATACATGGAAACCGACACCCATGCTTGCTGGTCGGAGAGCAGCGTGTGGGTAGACTAGTGGCTGGTGGCAGCAGCAAGCATGAGGCTTTCAGCTGGTGTGTGGTGCATGCATGTGTCGCTCCTCGTGTGGATACCGGTGCGCACAAGGGCAGGTAGGTTGCTGCATGCATCACGCAGAGCAACCTTACCCCAGTTGATTGCGGACGTGCGGCAATTGGTAACCGTCATGACTGGCGCGGTGTTGATGAAGGTCATGACGGGCGCTTGGGGGTTGTCGGCGTAGCAGCCAACCCAGGAGCTGGCGTCTGTATTGGAGCGGCAGCAAGGGGAAGGGCAGCAGCCAGGCGGGGCCGGTGGCTTTAGCAGACAAACAAAGAGGCAGCTGCTGCTTAATGCACTGGTTGAAGCTTCGTAAGGAGAACAGCATGTGCATGTAACTGGAAGAAGGTAGCTGTGTACAGCAAGAAAGGGACCGGTGTGCAAAGTAGCAATAGTGGAGCGAAATACGGTACAACACTGCCAATACCGCTGGCGCGGCATGTTGATATCAAGCATGATGTGAGGTATGACACAGCCGTGCGCCGTACTTACTGAGCTTGTTGTACAGGAAGTACGTGCCGTTCTGGTTGGGGATGGTCTGGAACAGGCTGTTGGCCCAGGCGCCGCCACAGATGTCCCCGTTCCCCATCATGCAGCCCTCGTTGCAAGCGTTGGAGGCACCCAAAGATGCGGCCTTGAGGACGTCGTTGGTTCCCCAGCACTCCCAGCCGCCCTGCATGGAGTAGTAGTTGTAGCCTGCAGCGGTAGTTTGGGGCGTCATTTGGGGCGATTAGTAGGTCTGCTGTTAACCGGGTAATGAGGAGTGGGTGCATGATGAGTGTGATTTACTATTAAGCGGTGTACATTACATGTACTGCGGAACGCTTTAGCACAAGGGACAAATTGTTGTAATGCCCCCTTATGCAACATACACGGGGCACAAGGGGGCAATATCCTTTTAGAAGCCCCTTGTTATCCACCCTTGCATGCCTGAACGCGGCCACCACTCACCCGCCACCTGCGCGACCTGACGGCAGTAATCGAAGTTCGCATTGGACGCGTCACGCGCCAGCAGCACGGGCACCATGCGGGTAGAGTTGTCCGTGAAGCAGCCAATATAGCCGCTGTCGTAGATACTGAGGCCCCAAGAGCCGCCGCAGACGAGGCCATCACTGCAGTACATGGTGCAGGTGTTGGTCTGGCCGAAGGCGATGGCGGTTGACATGTCGTTAGTGCCGTAGCACTCGTAGGCGTACTCAATGCCAAAGTAGCGGTAGCCTGAGCAGTACGACACACGTAGTACGGCAGCGGTAGCAGCAGCACAAGAGGAAAGGAGTTGTGTTCAGCAGAAGCCCAATGAAAGGGTGAGTTCAATTTGCCATAAGGCCACTTGCTGTTAGTCGGCAACCAGAACGAAGCAGCAGCAGCAGACAGCATGCGGGACAATTGATTCTTCTCACAGCAAACCACGGGCCCGTGCATGCGTCCATGCGCAGCTGATGCCGTAAAACCATAACTCTCACGGCTTTGCTGCTGTAACTAAACACATCCCCAACCCGCAGGTATGCCCCCTAAAGCTATACCGGTAGCCGCTCCCTGCTGCCCCCTCTCCACCACCGTACGCACCGTTCGCGATGGCGCTCTGCCTGCACGCCTTCACGGTCATGCCCGAGCCGGAGAACAGGAAGTTCATGCGCCGGTTCCAGTAGTCGCCGTAGCAGCCCACAAGGTACTGGCTTGCGGGAGCTGCATGCAGGGGAGGGGAGGGGAGGGAAACATGGCAGGAGCGGGTGCATGGGGGGTGTTGTGAGAGGTGTAGCGGGGCACTGGGAGGAGGAGGGCTAAGTACAGTAACGAGTGCAACTTGTCGAATGGGGCTTGGCATTTATTATGTGTGACATACACTATCGCATGGTCAAGGCCTTGGGCGGAGGCATGCACGCATGTACGCAGTAAGGCCGCAGCGTGTGAGGTGGTATAACCTGGCTGCATGCATGCGCGGCGGCTTGTACCGGTATGTCCGCTTGGCTGCTGCTGCAGTGGGACTTACTGTGGTGCATGACGGGGGTCGCAACCGCCAAAGCGGCCGCGCCGCCAGAACTGGCTGAGCTCTGCCAGATGGTGTAATCCTCCATGAACGTGAAACTCGCCACCTCGATCCAGTACGACCAGAAGTACATGTTGACGCCCACATCGCCCGTCAGGGTAATACCCTCCAGGGAAACGCGACTGGTGCGGAAGTCGAGCTCGGTCTCCAGCGCAATCTTCCACCAGGGCATCGCGATGTCCAGCTCGCCACTGACGTACACGAGGCTGTCGTACGGCCGCCAGCCTGAACGACGTACGGCAGCGGCACATCAGCAACCAAAAGTGTCTGTACATATACCGGTACACATATCAGTATATGATATGATAATACTTTGATACAAAACCGAACCAATAAAGGATATACAAGCGTGCAACTAGTTGTTGAAACCTACGCACAACCGCAATTGAGTGGTGATTGATTTATCGTTAACCAACCCACCGACGCAAATCTCTATTGAGAAGGGGCTTGCAAGCTGGAAGGACTTGGCCAGCTGCAGGGGGCAAGGGGCAGCGAGAACGGCTCCGTGTCAGGTAATGAACAGCAGCGACATGGCTGCTGTGAGGCGACTGCAACTGCGGCGCGTGTTGGCGAGCTGTTACTAGGGTAAACTTAAAGGGCCGTTAACCCCATTATTAACATACATCGCAATCAGGAACCTCCTACGCACACTCGCCCCTTGCCAGTAATAACTAGTAAGTTTATAGGCAGCCAGGACAACGTACCGACTCCAGCCAGTCGATCTCCAGGTACTCCTTGATGTAGGCGTCAATGCTGACACTGACGGAAATGCAGCCTTGGAGCTGCACGCATGCATGCGTGTTGAGGTGGAAAATAATAATTAGTAAAAGAGGAGGGAGATGCACGTAAAGTAGCAGTACCGTAGCTTGTACGACAAATGAAAATGCTACATGCGCCCTGATCGGTTGGCTGTGGGCATTACTATTGGTTGGCATCCTGTCCTTCATTTCAATAGGTCGGCAGGCAGCAATCACACAGCTCTCCTTATCAGGGTTATCAGGAAGCCCCTGACAACAGCTGTCACTGTCACCGTTGGATGCCAAGAGGTAATGGCATGTGCGATACTTTGTGCATTCCAGCTGATTCCAGCGGCTTGGTCTGCTGTATGGGAAGAGGGTGCCGAGGCAGCAAATGCATGTACCGATGCTCACAAACGGCATATCACGAAAAAAGAAGAAGTACACGGACTTACGGTGAAGTTTGAGGGGCATGTGTTCAAAGTAACGGATCCCTCGAGCACGATGGGCCATTCGCCGACTGAATGGGGGGGGGGGCAAAAAAGCAGTAGGGGCGAAAGGGCAAGCATTAGAAGGCGTTGAGCAGTTCAATGCGTGAGCCCATCTCCGTGCACTCCCCTAAATAGCTCTTCACGTTTACCATGCAGGCAACGCGACCCATGGGTCAGTTAAAACGCTACCCAACACCCCGATGCCCCAACGCTAGCTCCATTCCGCCGGCTATCTAGCTAGCGCGGCGACCTAATAACCGCTCCCATCCACCACATCCCAGCATCCATGACACGCACGCACGTGCGCCCTTCCTCACGTTCTGCCTCGCACGAGCCCATCATGTACAGATAGTTGTACAGCTGGCCCACGTAGGCATACTCGAACTTGCAGGGCTCCATATCGAAGATGTTGAGGAAGGCGGCGGGCGCTCCGCAAGCCATCTTAGAATCCAGCTGGTTGGGCAGCGTGAGGACGGCGTCCGTCAGAGACCGGCGGTGCGAGAAGCCGGCACCGCTGGTGTTGCTGGCAAAACCCAGAGAGGCAGCGGATGAGGCGGAGGATGAGGAGAGTGAGATGAGGTCTCGGGGGGGCAGCACGTATGCCTCGCGCATGCCCCCGTTGCCCCCGTTCGAAAGCCGGCGGCGACCAGAGCTGCTGCTGGTTTTGGTCTTGTTGAAGAGGTGGCTCTGTGGAGCAGTGGAAAATGTGTGTGTTTAGCTAGCTATCTAGAGAGGTGGGAGTCGGAGCTGCGTGTGCAGACAAGGCGGCTAGGCACCCGGACCGGCCCTGATAGCGGATGTTATGGGCTCATCATGGGTCATCATGGGCGCATACATGCAGCACACGCACGCACTGGGCCAAGAGGTGCACACTTACGTAGCTCCTGCCCGCGGCCTTCATCCTTGCTTGGACAATCTTGTCAAGAGCTGAGGCACAGTACGTGAGATAGGGGGTTAGAAATTAAGCGAGCACGCTGGGGTGCATATGAGGATGCAGGTCAACGCACGTGACCATAAACGCATGTACCGGACTACCGGTATGGCATGCGGACACGTGCGCGCCGAATACTGGAGAGTAAGGAGAATCGCACCCAAGGCCCCCCTTTTTTGCAGACACCAATGCAACGTGTCAGGTGCCGCAAAAACTGACACATTGCACAGTTCCTCAGTGTGTTAAAATAACTGGCCGCGAGGTGAATCTTCAGTGTGTGTGCGTCGGGCCCTAGGTGACACAAGGCTCCTTTGCTCGCTTACTCTGGTTCTTGACCTTGAATGTGCTGGGCAGGGCGAAGGGCGACTTGAGGATGGGCACGGAGGTATCGTTGGCGCAGGTGGCGCCGGCGACAGACAGCGGATAGACGAAATCCTTGGGGTTGATGTCGGAGTCGCTCAGCTGCACAAACTCGGTCACGTTGATCATGGTACGGCCTGTGAGGGCATTGGGGCAGATGATGCGAGTAGGGGCTCCCGCGGCGTTCTACGATTTCAGATGGCCATGGCCACCCACTGAGGAATGCAGACGTGCGTATCAGGCCCCCGGGATAGACCGACTACATATACCGTAGACGCACCCAGCCAGGGGTGGTCGAACTCAAAGCCCAGAGGAATGGCCCCCGCGCGGGAGTCCCAGTAGTCAATGGTGAGCAGCGAGGACAGCGGCGGCACTTTGGTCTTCTCCTTGAGGGCGCTCGGCGGCTCGGGCTGCTTCACCACCAGCTTGAAGTGGCGGGCGGACCTGTTCGAGGGTGGGGTGAGGGGATAGGTGAAGAGGGAGGTTGCTCTTGAGGGAGTGGTAAGTAGGAAGGAGGAATACAATGACCCGGAGCAGGGAGGTTGAGGGCAAGGGGGCGATTGAAGAGACTAGTTACAAAGAAGGGAAGATGGTGTGGGATTGGGAGGAGTGAGCATGCAAGCATCAGATGCAGCTGGGGTCAAGGCTGGCAAGCAAGATGTTTTTTTTGCCATGCCTGCCACACCAGCAGTACCTGCAACAACTGGTAGCCCATCGCCGATCCCACCCATCCCACATACCGGCCAAAGTGCTCCTCGTATCCGACAAAGGTGAAGTTCACGAGGGACTCGTTGGCGTTCCCCAGGCTGCCGAGCACGGTGTGCGGCTTAGTGCGGCAGAAGTAGGTGGCGGGGGTCGTGGCCGTCGCGTTGACCTGCATGCGCGCGTGCGCCCCGGCGGGCAACAACGAGGGGGTTAATGATGAGGGACAAGATGGGCACAGATGAGGCTGGCTTCTGTATCATGTGCGTAGCTAGGCATGCAGCAACCTTTAACAGTACTTCAGGCACATTGTACAGCCAGCACACACGGGGACGAGCGGACACGCGGGCTCTTGGCATGTACAGTCACAACTGCGCATGCGACACAAGTCAACAGGGCGATCCGATAACAAAACAGCAATCATCTTTCCAAACCAGCCCGCCCGCGATCGCTGCACATCGAGTTACTAGATGGGAGAGGTGTACGTTTGACCCGCCCACCTACTACAGCAACCTGCCCTCTTACCTCCTGCGTCCAAGAGTTGAGGACCTCGGTCTTGTTGTCGTACAGCTCAACCTTGACATAGTCAGGGAACATCGCGTACTCGTAGACAGTGCGGGTGAGGCCCTTGTAGTAAGTGGTGGTCTCGGTGCTGGGAAGGGGGAGAGGGTGGGAGGGGGCGGAGGTTGGAGCAATTGAACAAGGGGCAGACAGGAACGGTACAAAGCAAGGCAACAACACGCAAAGCGACATGGCTGCTGACAAGACCGTGTCAAGAGGCCCAGAGGTACGACATAACCTGCGCCTTCGCGCGGAACAGCAACTACCGGTAACAAACATCACATCTGCCTCACTAATCCGCCCTTCCCCTCCCACTCCCCATCCAGCCACTCACTGGACCATGTAGCGGGTGCCGTTGACGATGGCGGTGCCGGCCAAGTCCAGTCCGTCACCTGAGGGACATACAGGAGTGGGAAACGAGATGTCATGAAAGTGACCGTCATGTTCGTAGAAGCGAACACCGGGAGGGGAGTAAGCGGAGGTAAGGAAAGCTGCCAGCGCCAAAGGCAGCACTACTAGATGGACAATAACCTCCATAAGCATTCGCAAGCCAGCAATGCAGCGCCGCTCCTTCCGCGGCAATTTACCCACTTGTGGTGGTGTCGGAGGTCACCAGTAGATGCCGCCGCTCGCCGGTCTCGGCCAGCCGGCGCCGACCGGTGGTGGTGGTGGTGTCGTTGATGTCGGAAGCCGGGGCGCCAGCGGGAGGAGGCATGTGGAAGTGGTAGGTGGCAGGTGGTGGCATGGGAGGCGGGATGGCGGAACCGGGCAGGTAGGCGCAGCGGTCCTTGGTGGGGTTGTACGGCACAGCGCACATGTCGAAAACCTGGAGGGTGGAGAGAGTGGGAGGAGGAGGCAGGGTGAGGTAAGAGGAGGTTATGCGTGCACAACTGTTGAGGCGTGAGCATGAGTGCGCAGTGTGCGCGAGTGAGTCAAGCTGAGGAAGGATTACGCGTGGAAAAGCGAGGCAAGAGGGCTGAGGGCAACGTGCGTGCGGCAGGACAGAGGGCACCAACAGAGAGCACCGGAGCAGAGTATGGGCACATGCGCGGAAAAGGCGGGTGCAGGGAGCATCATGTGAAACGTAGCTAAAGTGCAGGATGTCCTTTGCCCTCCCCCGCATCGGGCCCACCTTGATCTGCATCCTGAAATCTCCGCTGGGCAGTGCGGGGCGGGGCTCTCCCGAGGGCATGTTGAAGATGTCCACATCCTCGATGAAGTTGAAGAAACCAAGGATGTCGTACGCGCCTTCAGTACGGCAAGGGAGAGGAAGAGGGTGTATGTAAGCATCTTACTGCACGACAGCTGAAGTCCGAAAGCTGCTTCGTCATGGTCCAATAAAGACCACCTCGCTCGCACAAGTTGCCACCCACGCCACCTACCCAGCAGGCTGCGGCGGTTGGCTGACACTTGGAAGCCAGCCTGCACGAACACGGGCGCCAGGTTCTCCGCAAAGTCAATGGCCGTGCCGTCCAGGGTAATGGTGCCTGGAGGTAGATAGGGGCAGGAGGAGTGGGCACGTTCCTCACACGAGTCAGCTACTCTCACAAGCAAGGTGGCAGGAATGGAAGCTAGGACCTAAGGAGGAGAAAAGGAGGTGGGGGGCACCATGGATGCTGGCAGTTAGGCAGGCCGCACTCAAGTAGAAGCGGATGCTTAACATTGGTACCGACCCCTCTGCCCCCCATCCACCCCACCTGCCAGCGTGAGGATGTGCACGACGGTACCGTGCGCGCTGCCCGCCTGCGGCACACGCGCCACTCCCAGCACCGTCATGGCTACCTCGACCTCGCCAGCGCCTTTGATCTGAGGAGGGGAAGCGGGGGCCGGGAGAGGGAGAGGTAGGGGTTGCAGAAGCGGGCGAGGTGAAAGGCGGTCGAAAGCGGCTTTGTGTCAGGCTTGACAGCATACATTAACATAAGCGGCGACGAACAGGTTTAATAAGGATGAGTTGACAAGGTTAGGTGCCTTCCTTTCCCTTGCGTTCCTAACCCATATATACATGTTTGGCTGGCATGCGTACTGTTAACAGTCGCTGATGGCCCTTCCCGCTAAGGTTCACTCACGTACAGGTACTTGAGCTCCATGAGGGACTTCACCGGGATCTGGCTACTGAACTTCTGGGGTGTGCCCACGAAGGCAGCGGTACGGAGGACGGTGCTGGCGTGCGGGGTGTTGCCGGTGCCGGGTAGGGCGGTTGAGTTATCCGGGTCATTCGTTGCCTCGTATGCTTGACGATTGACCAGTACGCCTCCGATAACCGACATGTCGCTGTTGGCAGTTTGTACGACTTGCGTAGGATCCTCAATGTCGTACATCTTACCGCCACGAATCTACGAGCCAGAAGCGGGGTGCAGCGTGGGGGTAAGCGGGCGCTACCAAACCCTGGACCTTGCAAATGATTCAATTCATTGTGCTTTGTGCACAGTGTGACCGTACAGCTTATCATTGCAATGACCAACAGTGTCCATGGTCCTTCCATGCAAGGTAGTTAAAGCGAACGACCTCGACCTCCAATCACCGGCGCGGGTCCTACCTCCTCTTCCTTGAGGGCGGCCACCACACCCCACGTCATGCCGCTCAGCGCGCCGATTAGCAGGATGCTGAAGATTACAAAGCCGATAATAACGCCCATGAGGACTTTTCTGTTGGAGCGAGCAGCGGCGAGCTTCTCGATGACCATGCCAAGCTGCATCAAAGGGTAGGAAATACCGTTAGTCCGTTATGCAAGATTGCCTTCGTCAGCCTGTTAGCGCAGCAGGCTGGATACATTACATGCAGGATACCTGACAGGCCTTTTCCTAAAATGAATGCTGCTGTTATGTTTACAGTGGATTATTCCTACCTCTTCAGGACTAAGCTGACCGTCCTTGTCTTTGTCGAACTCGAGCATGATTTTCTCCAGCTCAGCCCGAGACTTAGTCCCGCCTGCAAGAAGTTGTAGAAGGGACTCGTCACAAAGTTACTATAAATACTTATGTGGGAAGGTAAAACACTAAACATGACACCCAACCCATGTCCTGCGGGTCACAGCAAATCTTTTGCGCCACCGCAGTCAACGAACCCTTTAGAGGACGCTCCACGCTTATGAACTTTTCAACGCCGTAAACGATGAAACGTTGGGAGCGGTGTTGTTGCCTACAGCCTACAGCGAATGCGCCGTGAGCAATCCGGCGGCTCATCTTTTGTTTGCAAATCAGGCTAGGGCATCCGATCGGCCTTCCCTACTGCGCGCCCGACCTCGGAAGCTCGTCCAACCACGTGCTACCGGCAATCTTCTTGAAACATACTTCTTTACGCTATGTTTTCTCTAAATGCGTTAATATCTTGATCATTAATAAGCTAAGCGGTTTACCGGTGTCACCTGCATTTGTTCAGGGCTCCAACCGAAAAAGCTTCATAATACCTTTTGCAGGAGGGGTGCGGAACTATAGTTCTGTACCTCATGCCCCTCCCGGGCCCGAGATACCCCGGGGTTAGTAGAAGTCATCGGATTGTGCCCCTTGAACTATTTTTGGGCCCGAAATGGGGTCCCTGGGGGGGTCCCCAAGGGGGGGGGTCTGGACCCTGCAACCAATTTGCCTAAAAGCCGAAGCGAGAATGAACTGTACCAATAGCATACGCGAAGATGTAATTTTTACAACACTTATATCGAAGGAAAGGTAGTTGGTAAACACCGGGAGGACGGATAATGAATTCAGGTTTGGGTGGGGATGTGAGTTACTGACATGTGCCCTACAGCATACTACGGCAAAGACCTCGCGCTTCACAGATTTGTTTAGCTTCCTGGAGTCCGGCGTGGCATTTCCAGGCATTGTGAAGCTAGTGCATTCCGAACTCCCCGCAGCGCTAAAAGTCCGACACGGGGAGCCGTCAATATACCGGAGAAGCTTAATGCTTATTCGTGAACAGCGCCTTTCGTTTCGTTTCCAAATCGTCTTAAAATTGTAAGACACCTTTGATGTGAAGAAGGCCCAGCCTAACTGGGCGTACAAATAAAATTGGGCTTCCTAAGTACAGGAACATTTTCAAATGGACGCGTGACTGAGTTGTTACAAGCTCTACGGCTGGGGAAATGGACGCTTTCCTAGCGGGGGCATTAAAGATTACGGTTTCGCAGGGCTAGACTTCAAGATCAGGCCGTCTATTCTGAATCACAGGCTCCAATGAAGATAACGAGTTGCTGACTATAGCCCCAGCCAACCCCAGTATAGAAAACTTGGGTGACTACAAGGAAGTACGGGTTACATTTGTGACAGCAACAAACGGAACAATAAACAGTCGTCAGCCAAAGCCTTAGAAGACCAAGCGTGCCCGACTTACGTCCAGCCAGGGCATCCTTCAGGTTAATGGTGCCGCCGGCAGCCGGCTTGCCACCCTCGGGATCAGCACTCGGGATCACACTCATCCTGAGCGGCGACTGCGAAATCAGAAAAGAACAGGGCTTAATAAATAGAATAGCAATGCCATCATCAACGAGTGTGTTGTAAAAGCCGGACGCAACGAAATCCAGGCGCTGTGTGGAGCTCTGTAATTGAGGTGCCAAACGTATCGGTGTTTGCAGCGCTAGCACGCATAATCGTAGCGCAACGTCGTATATCGCACGCGGTTCACAGTCGGTGGACAATACTAGCATGCTGCAATGCACGGAAAGAAGCGGAGCCAACATAAGCAGTCTGCCACTGCCGGAGGCACTTACATGACCGTAGTGACCAAAGTGAAGAAACGCGATCTTGCTGAGGAGCTGCCTCAATAACAGGCAGGGTCGGGGTCTGAACGACAGATAGAAACGGTTCAGCAATGGCGAAGATTGATTGTCATGGTGACCTAACCATGTGGTCACAGCAAGCTCGAAACTTACCTGCAACCTCGCTTATGTGAAGCTCCCGCTCGAAGTCGCCGACGTGTGTAGCCTGGCGATGGCACCGAGATGATAGCAACCCAAGCTCCAGGCGATCTATTAGATAGCCGCCTCTAAGCTGTATTTCGACGAGATGCCTCTCGCCTGTAATGGGGGAAGGTTTCGGAAGAATGCGCCTTTAACGTCGGCAGTGTCGCAAAGCCGTACACGTACGTCCGAAGACAATGTAACTTTCGCTAATAGAACTCGCAGGTGTTCCACTTTTCAGGCAACCAATAACTGTTAGGGGCCTGGCCGTGCGGTCAGCAACGGCGCGCTCGTCTAAGCCAACCCTGCCCACATCACATTGGACGTACTTCCCGAAAAGGTCATCATTCTGTAGCAGGCTGTCACGCATGCTGCCAACTGCGTTCACGCTTATTACTTAAGATACACATAGCTGTAAAACGCTTACCTATGCCAGGCGACCCGGAGCGACGTAGGGTGACAGCTAACTTACCTTTATCAGGTGAAGCACGTCCTATTTAAAGATAATAGATAGTCAATCGTTGAGCTTCGCAGTGGTACAAGCGCTGCCTTAAGGAAATGAGACGTTTCACTTGAGCGAAGGTTCGCTAACTTCCTTTGCCATTTTTGCGCGAACTGCAATGCTCATGGAGGTATTTAGTGTTTTCCATACATGTGTACTTGCTCTCTGACAGGTGTTGGTGCAACAGGGCTTACTAAGATAAGCCAACACCAAACGGAAATCACCGACATGAAGGCACACACAGCAATTGCTTTGTAGTTGTAAGCAAAAAGAACAAAAGAGATAGCGGTATACCTTACGGTTGAGTCAGTCTTGCCACTACGCTATACGTTGCGAGCAATCCGCTAACCACTCCTTGTCAGAAGTCCGCGGAAATAACTGTGCGAGCAAACAAGTACGGGTGGGCAGTTCTTCACCTATAGGCCGCGCCTTCCGAAGCTGGCAGCACCATTTAAAAAAACGAGTGAAAACGAGCCTTTTCCGTGAGAGGGGTATGGAGGGAGCGAAAAAAGGCCCTAATTATTTCCACGAATATCTGTCTGGGAGTGAGATGCTTCGCGACTGCGTGGGAATGTTTTGAATAGGCAGCGTGCAGCCGAACCCCCGAGAAAGTTGCCATTTGCCGCACAAGTCGCCAGTGTAGCCGCACTGCATGAAATGACCTTTTAGAACTTCCACGGCGAGTTGAATGACGTTACGCTGTGGGCCTGGGGGTAGCTGCTAGTGCCGCTGTAGGTGGTGTGCGAGTACAAGGGAAAGAACAGAACGTGGGTGTGGCGGGGTAGAGGTGGGCGTTAGGTTGAAGTAAGGAACGCCATCCAGTTCCTCGCGAGAGTCTCATTCGCAGCTTCGCTGCTGCTACTGGTCAACCTACAGCAGAAACGCTCTCAATCTGCGGGTCAGAGGACGTTAGGCGGCCGAAATCGGGGAGGCACCACAAACGATGCAGGCAGACGCCTCTACCTTGCACCGTACCGTGCCCTATATATTCCACGCCTGCTGCCCCGCCGGAGCACCCCCCCTCGCTCGCCCTCCACACGTCTGCGGCCACAACTTTGGCATTCGGGTTGCGCCCCTTGCCACCATCCATACACCCATCAAGCCCCGACTACGGACGACCCGCCAGTTTCGCCGGCTTTCCTGGCTTATGCCTCGGCATTGCCTTCTTCTGGCCTTCCGTCTTGACACGTTGGCTTACCGCTATGCTTACGGCGTCTTCACCTTGTTTCCCTGTTAGGTAGCCGAACGTTGTAACAGTCAGCCGCTTAGCCCCACATGGCGCCTGCTGCCCGGCCCACGCACCCCTACATGCTCCTTCGCACCAGCCTACTTGGACACGGGCAAACAGACGTATGTATCCTCCTCATTATGTCATTAATGACATCGAAACCACTTACCAAATGTAAGACTTCAGCCATCCGCTGCACGCAACCGAACCGATCACTTCCTAGCCGTACCGGTGCCTGACCCCCGCTACCCTACACACGCACCTCTCATGCCTGTTGCCCTTACATCCAGCAGTGGCCGGCTTCCCAGCATGTCAACATGCCAAAACTACCCACCTTGCGTTGTCCACCGCACCCACTACATTACTGTGCCTGACCCCTTCCGCGCGCCCTGCCTCACCCTCCCCCCCTCCTTCCCACGCCTATCTTCCCTGCTGCCTGCTGCCCCCAGCCGCCCCCCTGCCTCCCCTGCTGCAACCCAGCAGCCAGCTCCACAGCTCCAGGCTGTTGCAGGCGCGGGTCCAGCAGTCGTGGCCCAGATCGGGGTAGCGGGTGGAGCGGATGGGCGCACCGGAGGCCTGCTGGGCGGGGGCGGGGGCGGGGGCGGATGCGTGCGTGTGAGGTGGGAGCGGGGTTGAGAGGTGCGAGGTGCGAGGTATGTACGAGGTGCGAACGGCCATGCGGGGGTAGGGATGGTTAGCGGGTGAAGCGACGGGGTCCGGCATCACATCACCCCAGCCACCTCCCACCCGACCCCAAGCAGCCCCCTGGCCCCCTTCCACTACGTACCCCTCATTCAGCCTCTTTTCGCTTACCCCGTTTCCTCCCACCTGCAGCGGCCCCAGCAGCTCCTCGCTGGCTGAGGGCGGAATGACGTCATCCAGGTCGCCGTGGAAGTTCCAAATGGGCATGTCGCGCAGTGCGGCCACGCTGGCGACCCGTGGGTCACCACCGCCGCACATGGGCACCAGCGCGCTCCCAGCCGCCGCCGCCCCCTGGCACGTCAGCACGGCGGCGGCCAGTCGGGCGTGCACGTCGGCCACCTGCACCCCAGCCCCGGCGTAGAGCATTGGCACTCCGAGGCAGTGGCGCGCCTGCCGTGGCTCGGTGGGCTCGAACATGTCGCTGTCGTACCACGGGTGCATGCAGCGGCAGCGGCGCTTCAGGCTTCTCTTATTGGAATGGATGCCAAGCCTAGGGCCTGTGGTCCAACCACAGACCTCCGGCGCCCAGAGGAGGTTTGGAAGGGAGACCCGGGGTGTACGAGGTAGGGGCTTGCATGCACGGCTCGGAGGGGGGTTCGCGGGGAAGGGGCTAGGGGCTTGTACGGCTGGGGGGGGGAGGGGGGCTCGGCTGGGCCGAGCTGGGCCTTCGGCCCGAAGGGCGCTGACACCCTTTACGCCGAGGGCCGTATGGTGGTAGGGCGTAGGGGGTAGGGTAGGGCATAGGGGGTAGGGGCTAGGGGGTAGGGGGGGGGGGGGGCAGGGGCCAGGGGGTAGGGGGGGGCCAGGGGGTAGGGAGTAGGGGGGGCTAGGGGCTAGGGGGTAGGGGGGGGCCAGGGGTTAGGGGGTAAGGCAGGGGTAGGGGGTAGGGGGAAGGGAGTAGGGTGGGTCTGGGGCTAGGGGGCAGGGCGGCCCGGTGGGAAGGTGGTATGGAAGGCAGCGGTGCTGCCGCTGTGGTGTTGCCCTGCCTGCTGGAAAGTAAATAGGAGGGTGCGGTTGTAAGTAGTGTAGGGGGCAGGGGCGCGGATGCTGTATGGCAGCCTGCATGGCGCATGACCGGTGGGCACAGTTGTAAAGTCCGTGCAACACGTCCACCATGTTGAGATACGTGCGAGGTCATTTGGCAGACGCATACGCCAGGCTTGCATGGCGGGGGGCGTCTAGTCGGTGTTGTACAGTCCGTGGAGGCAGTAAAGGGTGCCGAGGGGGAAGGGAGGATTGAGGGTGTTGCGGGTAGGGGTCGCTGTGGTTTGTGGGTGTTTTTGATGCTGGCTCGGGTGGCGCAGGGTGGGAAGGCTGCCCTGGTGCTGCCAGTGTTGCTGGGGTTGCTGACGGTGGTGCTACAGTGGCCGGACAGGCAGGTCACCGCCGCGAAGCGATCCGGGTAGGTGCCACCCAACCGCCAGGTGCCGTACCCGCCCATTGAGATCCCGGTGACGTATACTCGATCCAGATCCACTCGGAGTGGCATGACTAATGGTTCTAGCTCTTCCTCATCCTCATCTGCTGCTTGTTGCGGGCAGTGGGAGTGAAGGTGGCAGTGGTGGTGCAGGAACCCGCTTGGCTCAGCCATGATGCTGGCGCCGCCGCCACTGCTGCTGGTGTAGACGCTGCTGCTGCTGCCGCCAGCGCTGCTCCTTGTGCTGCTGCCGCCAGCGCTGCTCCTTGCGCTGCTGCCGCCGACACTGGCAGTGCCTGCTGCGCCGCCGCCGCCGCTGTTATCCTCACTGCCGCCTCCACTGCTACCGCCGCCGCCGCTGCTGCTGCCGCCACCACTGCTCGCTTGCGCACTGAGTTCCGCCTTTTGGCGCTGCCGCTGCTGCCACTGCTGGTGGGTATGATGGGAGGGATGCCGCGAAACGCGGAGTGCAGGGTGCTGTCCGTGCTGTCCGTGCTGCCCATGTTGTCCCTGCTGCCCGTGCTGCCCGTGCTGCCCGTGCTGCCCGTGCTGCCCGTGCTGCATGTGGTGGTGTCCGGCGCCCGCCGCCCCTCTCGCCCCTCCCGCAGCTGAGGTGGCCCGGGATGGCTCCAGGGAGAGTTCGTCCAGCAGCGCGATAAGGCCCTCGGGGTGCCAGCCGTAACCCATGCGGTCGTAGTCGAGCTGGGGGTGAAGGGAGGCGGAGGATGAGGGCAAGAGGGCATGGAGGGAGCAGGGGATGGATGATGTGCACAAGGGGAAGGTATAGAGAGGGTTGCGGACGGAGCGGGGCAAGCGGGCAAGGCGGCTATGTTGTAGGGAAAGGAAAGAGCGGCTGCTGGAGTGGAATAGGCAGCACGCTAAATGCGTGCGCGATGGTGGGACGCTGCTGGTTGTGGAGAGATGGGGGCAAGTTTACTTTGGGTACGGTAGTTCGCACTGAGCCGAACATCTACGTATCCTGCTCGTGTAAAGCACAAAGGCAGGTTACCTGTATCTTCAACAGCGCCCTATAGACAACCTGTTGCATCCCGTCTGTGGGAGACGCCGGAGGCTGTACGACGAGCGCTAGGGCCCGGCGGGATGAATTCAGACCGCGTTAATTTCGCTGAAGCCACATACGACGTGAGCTTTCGCCTACTTGAGCCCCATACGTGCCTTCGCAACGTACAGCTTGCCTGCCGCTTGCCTGCCTGCCAGACCCCTTGGTCCCCCACCTGCGGTGCCACGGTAATTGCCCCCTCCGCCAGCATAGCCGCGCACTCCATGTTGACGGGCTCAGGTCGCAGTCCCGCCGCTGCCGCCGCCTCGTCACCCGAGTAGGCAGCGACCATCCGGGGAGGGCCGTGGATCTTAACCTGGGGGCGGGAAGGCGGGGGCGGAGAGGGGGGGGGGGGTTGCGGCAGTGAGGGGCATGCATGCACGGGGGCAGTGAGGACTCGCAAGGGGCTGTAATGAGCTCTCGGCATGAGGGGAACAGCAACGGGTGCATGGGAGGTGGCGGGCCCTGAAACGTAACGAGCCAAATGCACAAAGAAAGGACCCAAGCCCTGCACGAACAACGCCTCTGTGCGCGGGTGCCCCTTGCCGTACCCAGGCACGTGCCGTAACCAGGCATGTGGCGTACCCACGCATGCGCCGTACGTACCCGGTCCAGTCCTCCGGGCCCTCCCTCCCCAGCCCCGTGCAGGAAGAGGAGCAGCGGCCAGCGATGATCGGGCCGCTGTATGCGGGACATGCGCGGCGACGGCAAACAAGGCGGCGCGTCAAGACACAATAACGACCACGTGTTGCGGTTGGGCATATGCACGGCGGCGTCCCGTACAACAACCGTATTGTACGACAGATCCACTCCCGCAGGCAGCCAGGCCCTTCGGTACCCCACCCCTCCCAACCCATCACTACTCCCCTCCCACCCGCACCTGGTGGTAGGTGGGCGGCACCGACAGCCAGTAGTCGTAGTGCGGCTGCGTGTGCTGGCGCAGCGCCCGCGGCGCAGCAACACGTTTGACGGTAGCTGCAGCAGCTGCTGCTGCTGCTGGTGGGCCAGGGGATCCGCTTACCATTTTGCTCGCTGTCGTTCGTGCTTTGAAGACGCACCGCTCGCTGCGATATCCTCCTACAGCTGCGGCACTGGCTGTCCTAGGAAGCTGGAGATCCTGTCTACGTACGTGGCACCTATGTAATGCCGTGTGCTGGGCGCCCAGCAAGCTGTAACACAGTTCCGCAAACGAAGCGATTGCGGCGCGCGGCAGCAAACCCGCTGCTGCTGTGGCGGGTTGGCTTTCGGCTGGCCGCAAACGCGTTCCCTTATGTCCCCCTTCTCTGCTGGCTGGCAAAGGGCATTCAGCAAGTTTGTGTGCAGCTGAGGATTGTTGTCGGCCTGCCGGCTGGGCGTGCGAAGCGCGAACGGCTCAGACGTAATGACTCAGCTCCTTTGCTTGCTCCTGTCACCCCCGGGCTTACTGGATATGGCGCTGTGCAAGCTGTCAGTGCTCAAAAGGGTGGGGGCTTTGAGGCGTTTAGAAATAAAGCGATTTAGCGGAATACGGCTTAAAACGGGCCCTCAGCCGACGTTGGCGTGTAGAACATGCCCTGTGTGAATGATGGTCGTTGCAGTGGTTCTGTGTGTTTGGACTCCGGCTTTTATTTATTTGCGGTTAGTTCTTGGAAGCGCGTGTTGAGCCACATAAAAGCTGTGTTGGACACAACCCGAATCGTTAATGTAGGATTGGGACTATCATTTAAGTGGTTCAGCAGTGGCCATATAGTCGCGGCGACGCCTCGTTCCCTCGCAGCATCGCAGTCCACATCCACGCAAGAGTTGCAGGTGCTGCTGCTGCCCGCTGGCATGACCACGCGAATTCTCCCCTCCCCCCTCTAGTCACTGCTACGTTCCATTACTCAAACTTGTTCTCGTAACAAGCTTATAACAACAACTAAATGGCCTTTTTGGCACCTCCCGCACCCCGCAAGACAATCCTTGCATCACAGAAGCAACAATGAGTTAGTGACCCATGGGTCATTCCGCAAGAGACATCACGGCTTCCCCCTCGTGCCCCTCACTGGCGCTCTACCAACAATACTGTGCTCCCAGGCCTGCCTTCCGCGTCGCATTTCTAACGGTGTTGGCATCTTCCATAGATGCCCCCTAAATCTTCTTCCTTACTACCGATACGGCCCAAAAAGCGCCCCACACGCATGCATGGCCCCTCCCCCGCCCCCTTTCATGGTTCCCATACCATTTCCCGCAGCAGGTTGGGGAAGTATTGCCGAACCTCCTCATCAAGGAACTGCTGCGCTGGCTTTATGTACGGCAGGCTTGATCTCGCAATCTTTGTCCTCGTCTTGTCGGCACTCCTGCTCGTCCCAACAACAACACCTTTTTGCAGTCCCGCTCCTTCGGAATCCCCCCCAAGCTGACCAACGTCGTCATGAAATGTGATGTTTCTGTACGATATCGGATCGTACGTCAGCGTTTTGCCGTACTCCTGAAACAGTTTCAACCAAAAGCACACCCGCGCCTGCGCCGACAAGAATCGGGCTGCGAAGGCCTGGCCTGCTAGCGCTATGCGGTGAGCCTCGGAGTCATGTGTCCGAGCCCAGTTGACGGCTTCCAAGATGTCTTCGGGTCCGGAACCCGTCTTCCACACGGGGATGTAGTGCTCGTTGGGCCGCAGGAGGTGGTGGTAGAAGGCCTGTGAGTCAATTCGGGGACGTGAGGGAGGAGAGGGTTGGGGGCGTGAGCTGAGGTCAAGGGCGTGGAAGAGATGGAAAGGGATGATGGTGTAAAGCATAAGTAGACACCTAGTAGCCTGATGTGCCGGGTTGCCGTGAAACCTTCCCCATTCCTACCTGATAGCCCGACTCTTCCTTCATGACCAGTGACCCAAGGGTCAGCAGCACTTCCAGCTTCGAGGACAAGCCCTGCGCGGATGTGCGGAGATGACGTGTGAGCAGCAGCCACGGGCACACGTGCGTTGGGTCTTGGGTCTACAACAGGCAGGCGGCAATGACCCATGGGTCACTCTTCAGCCCACCACCCCACCCACCTGTCCGTCCACATGCAGCAGGTAGCGCCAGTCCGCGTGCTGCTCCATGGGCACGTGGCGGTCCTTGTTGATGTCCAACAGGTCACTGCAGGCCGGGGGGAGGAGGGCGGAGGTAAGCAGTAAAGAGGAAAGGAATGAAGCACTGTACCGGTAACTCCAATCCTCCGCCCTAAGCCCTCCTCATACCTAAAGTTCGCCGCCCACTCATGCAGGTGCATCCGCACCGGGCAGATCGCCGTACTGCGCCCCTGCACCGCACACAGCTGCACGCCGCCCGCCCCCAGCCGCTGCGTGTGCGGGTCGGCCGGGTGCACGTAGCGCCCGTACGCGGAGAAGCGCGCGAAGAGGCGCGGGCGGCGGGCGGCCCAGGGGCGCTGCATGTTGCGGGCGGCCATGCGGTCCAGGTAGGCGCTCTGGTAGCGCTTCATGTAGAAGTGGAAGTTGGGAACTGTGACCCGGTGTGCGTGTAGGAGCAGGGCATGGGGGAGCAGGGCATGGGGGAGAAGGAAGGGGGCTAAAGAGGAAAACCTAAGAAACCAGGTGAGAAGGGTCCTTCTTGGTTGCCGACCCTTCCAGCCGACCCCGAGGGAGCCAAGCCAGAGCGGTACGCCGACGTCGACACCCACCCCCCTCATTCACCACCTTCACCCTCCCAACCTCAGCACCTCCCCTCCCCTCACCCAATATGTCTGGGTGCGCCGCGCTCTTGCCGAAGCGAAGCACCGGATAGTTCACCCCGCCTGCACTGCCGCCACCTACCCCGCCCCTGCCGCCGCTCCTGCTGCTGCTACTCCCACCGTCAGCAGCAGCAGCAGTCGTGTTCACTGTGAGGCGCACGGGCCGGTCAATGGTGTGCCACACGAACTCCACATCGGGTAGCGCGGTGGGGTGGGTGGCGGCCAGGTGCTGCATGACCAGGAGGTAGGCCACCCAGAGGGACACCTGGAGGAGGGCGGGGGAGGGGGCCGGGGGAGGAAGGGGGTGAGGTTTGGTGCTACATTGGTGTCGTGTGAACCTTGTTCTCCTCTTTCCCTGTTCCTTGTCCCTTCTTCCCGAGTGCCCCGCGCTCACATGATGCCCGAAGGGTTTGAGGTTGATGTGGCGGGTGTTGGAGATGACGTACACGCCACCCCTGTAGAACGCCACCGCTAGGCCCTTCTCGCGGTTGCCGGCGCTGAGGAGAAGGGATGGAGGGAAGAAAGGGGGAATCGAGGGCAGGGGCTAGCGAGTTAGAAGCGACGGAAGAAAGGGCGACAGAGGGAATGCTCGAGCAAGATGATGGATGAAGAGTGCTCCTATACTAGGTAGGTGTCAAGCATTCCGTGCGTGGCATACAGGAGAAGCCGCACCTATGCAGCTTGATTGTGGCATCCATTAGCCTGGGGGTGATGCCCCCATTGCGACGATAGAGCTCCAAATCTCGGTAAATAGAATCGTACAGGGGCTCATATTGGTCGCATACCGTTGGAATGGGCTCGCGTGCGATGCTTGCAGCTGTTGCAGGTTGCAGCAGGAAGTTTACAAGCGCAACAAAAAAGAGTGCGATCATTTGGTCGAGATCTGCTCAGCAGTTGTAAATAAAATAGTCGGACTGGTATGAACAAAATATTCAGCCGCCTTCGTAGGAGCGGTTGATGCCAGACGCTAAGTGGGCTCTAGTGCCCATATCTTCACCCGCTTTCATGAGATACATTCACAAAGGTACGCGCGTACATGCTGTGCTGTCTACCCGCGAGGACAAGCATTCGCGTTGGCAGAGTTCCGTACAGTGGTGCTCCTCTGATCGGCACAGCATCGACATGATTCCTACTGAATCCACTGCGCAGTTACGAAGGCTTATCTTCACAATAGTCATATTGCGTAATGCTTGTATCTTTCGGAGTACAAGCCACGGTCGATATCTACTAGACCGCTAACGCTCCCTCGCATAGGGTTATACTGATACAAGCCTGCGATTACATAAGTACACGGAAATTAATAGGGCTTCACTACCGAACACAGCCTGAGACGAACCATGGGCGGCCTGAACGAACAACCGATATACCTGCAAATCCTGGGGCACAGGGTAATCGTGTGGTATTTGTAGGCCTTCATGGGGACTGGTATTCTCTCGATGCGGAGCTATGCGGTCAGTCAACTCTGTACCGGCCCATCCGACATTTGCAGAATGCATCATCAACGGCAGCACAGTTACCAGCGGCCTTTGAGCGCCGCCCCGGGCGCTTCCTTGTCATCCGGCCTACCTACCTTTATCTCCTTACGGTGGTTGCAGCTACTTCTACTCTTACCTTTGCTACTGCCGCCACACTCATCCGGCGTAAATGCCGACTTAACCCGGTACATTGGCAACACGACATATCCTGTGGACGAGCAGCTTTCGTACTGCGACACCTTGGGCGAATACTACGACGGAATACCCCAGGACCTTAGACATTGGAACAACAGCGATGGCATTACCCGTGAAGCCCTAGACCTCGCATCCGCGCGCTACACAACGCATGGTGCTCAAAAGGGCGTCACGCTCGCCTTTTATGGCGGCGTGGCTTACGTATTAGAAGAACCCAAACTTACCGGTTTGGGACATCACATCAACATCCTCTTCACGTACATGTTAGTCATGCTGGACCTCCAACGACAATACGGCCAGCAGATTCCGGATATGGAGTTTGTCATCGCGAGTTCGGATCGTCCGTTAGTTCTTATATCAACGGCCGCGAAGGAGTACGGCAAAGGGCTTATACCGCCCGTGATGCGCTTCTGCTCCTCAGATGAGCACGCGGACATCAAAATACCGGTGAGCGGGTGTGTTGGTAGTATTCAATTCAGATGTACCGATACGCCCTCCTGCCTTCCTCCTCCCCCCACTTGTCAGCCTCATTCAACATTCCCCACTGCCGCCTCCTACCCCCACTGCTTTGCCCTAACTTGTGGTTTCCTATGGTTTGGTATGGTCTTTGACCCCCCCCCCTCCCCCCCACACGCGCAGATCTTCCACTTCTACACCAAGAAGTACACGCAGGCCTACCTGCAGCCCGGCGCGCAGTGGGCGGCTGAGCACCCCTGGAGCAGCAGGAAGCCGGTGGTGTTTGGGCGGTAGGGGGGGGCACAGGGGAGGGGGGAGGGAGCAGGGAGGGTTCGGAGGAGAGGGAGGGGGTCTTGGCAGTTGGGTTGGTGCGGGAAGTCCTGCGGCCCTTAGCAGCAGTGGGCTAAGGCGCCTTTTGGCGGCGGGAAGGGAAGCTACTGGTGTGGTGACGGGGTAAGGAGGGAGGGTAGGTAGGACAATGGGCCATTCAACGATGCGTGTGGTGTCCTCACTTCCCTCACCCCTCCTTCACCCCCTGCACGCCCCCCTCCCTCCAGCTTCTCGCGCTACCTGCGCCACGTGCACCCCCTGGCAGCCAGCACGCTGAGGCGGGGGGCGCACAACAAGACCATTTGCAAGCAGGTGGGTGGGGGCATCTCGGGAGAGGCGGGAGAGGAGGAAGGGGCAAACAGGGAGGAAAGTGACTCTCCTCCCCGGGTGGCAACCTGGAGGCCCAGCCATCCCGTCCAGCCCGAATGGACGGTTTCCAGGAGGGAAAAGGGCGGGGTGCCGAGGAGAGGAGAGGAGAGGCGGCGGAAGGAGGGGAGGGGAGCGGTTGGGGCGCTGTGGCAGGGGGGTGCCTGCTGAGTCCCCGTTAGTCGAGATAAGGCGCTGTGCTTTTGCTTCAGCCGGGTTCCCATCATCCCGCGCCCTCCACTTCACCCCTTCCCGGCCCTTCTCCCCCCATTTACCAGGAGCTTGTCGTCTTGTTTGCCAATATTGCTGGACACAGTGGGTATTCTTCTTTTCCCGCCCCCCGCCCCCCGCCCCCCAGGAGACATCCGCCACGCTGAGCTGCCCGGTTCGCTCGCACTTCATGGAGTGGGCGGCGCGGTACCACCCGGAGGCCATGGACGTCAAGTCGGGGCCGCGGGTGTCGTACTCCAAGCATGCGGAGTTCAAGTACCTGCTGCATGTAGGGGGAGGGGAGGGTTGGGGGGGGGAGGTGTTAGGGGGCTGTTCCCGACTGCGGGGATGGGTTCAGAAGGGAGGGCGCGACACGCCACCGGCCGGACGCCCTCCCGGCCCTCCCTGCCTCCCTTCCCGCCTCCCTTCCCGCCTCCCTTCCCGCCTCCCTTCCCAAGCTGGTGGACTACAGCCACGAGTTGCCATCCGGAACTGCCCCTGCGTGATTTCCCTCGCCTGCCTCCCTGCCCCTCCCTTGCCTCCCTCCCTCCCCCCTCTCATTTAACCCATTTGGTAGTCATCTCCCCCTTCCCCCCTCCCCTCCCCCCCTCCCCCCCTCCCCTCCCGCCCTCCCCAGCTGGACGGCCAGGCTCTGAGCTCCCGCCTTGAGCAGCTGTTGCCGCTGCGGTCGCTGGTGCTGAAGGAGGAGTCGGGCTACAAGACCTTCTACTACCACCTGGTCAGGTAGGGGGGAGAGGGAGGGGAGGGAGGAATACGCGACTACTCCCCTCCCCCTCTGCTACCAACCTTGCAAAGAATACCGGTACCACACGCAGTCCAGAATTCCAGCCAACTGCGGAATATCCATTCCCATGTAACCCCCACCCGCCCCCTCCAGTGCTTCACTTCTCCGTGTTTCATCCCCCTCCCCCTCCCCTCCCCTCCCCTCCCTCCCTCCCTCCCCCCCCTGCCAGGCCCTACGAGCACTACCTGCCCGTGTGGCGCTCCGGGCAGGCGGGGGGGCCCGAGCAGGTGGTGGAGGCGCACCGCTGGGCGCTGGAGCATGATGAAGAGGTAGGCGGGGGGGCAAGGGGGGGAAGGGAAGGGTGGGAAGGGGGAGAAGTGACCCATGGGTCAGATACTCGGACGGGACGGAGAGGGGGTAAGGAAAACAACCTTGTAGTAGGAGTTGCGCTGGTGTTGTGGAGCAACAGGGTAGGGAGGGTAATAGTAGCCTTAGTACCGGGGGCAGCGGGGAGGGGCGTTTCCGCCTCCTCCCTCCCTCTCCAGTGTACCTGCTAACTACATAAGGCGTGTGTCATGTCACAAGCCCATTTGGAGTATGACAACACCCCCCCTACCGTCAACGCATGGTTCCTCCCTGTCCCACTCCATGTCGCACCCCCCTCCCCCCCCTTTGTGGTCTCCTATGGTTTGGTATGGTCTTTGACCCCCCCTTCCCTCCCCCCCCTCCCCTCCCCTGCCCCAGGCTGAGCGCATGGCGGCCGCGGGTCAGCAGGTGGCCCTGCGCTACCTGGGCAAGCGGGCCAGGTCCTGCTACTGGCTGAGGCTGTTCCAGGTGTGTGTGTGGGGGGGGAGAAATTCCAAAGTGTGGTGTGATAATGATACAAGTTGCTGACAATCCCTGGTGGAATCAACCGTGAGTCGAGCCGAAAAGGTGGTTAAAGCAATGCGAGCTAAACTTACCGAACTTACCAATTATGGAGCAACCTTACCATAGTCTTGGGCATGTGTGGAGGCTGCTGAAGGTGAGCTGGAGACCCACCGCGCCGTTGGGCATAGGCAAACAACAGGAACAGCACAACACGAGCACGCATAAAAAACAACACAGACTGACACACGATAAAACACGTACCTAGGCACACAAAGAGGGGGTAGGGGAGCACTGGGGGTCCCACAGGGCTGGTATTCCACACCCCTTCTGTCCCTGCACACAGTCAGTGTGCAGGGACCCTCTCCTCCCTCAGCTCCTCCCCGCAACTCCCCCATCGTCCCCCATCCACTCCCCCCCACTCCCCCTTCCTCAGGCTTACGCGGCATTGCAGCGGTTCACTCCCGACGTACGACAACGCCCCGGGGCGGTTACCGTTGAGGAGTACTTGGAAACGGTTGGTCGTACGTTTGAGCGCGGGAAGCACCTGCACAAGATCGAGTACTGAGCGGCGGGGCAGCGCGAGAGGTGTCTCCTTCTGAGGGGATCCGTGTCACGGCATGAAGCGAGGGTGGTCGGGGGAGAAGTGAGGGAGGAGTGAGGCGTCAACAAGCATGGGAAGGTGGGGTGTATAGGGGGGGAAGCGCGAGGTGGGTAAAGAGGAAACAACTAACTGACTGAGGGATAAGCGCGAGGTGGGGGAGGGCGTCATGTCCCGATGGCGGCTGTACTCATGTATTCCACGGGGTAGGGGCCTGCATGGGGTAGGAGCTGTGGGAGCTGTGGTACGTCACTGTGACCGGTATTGTTCGTGTCCGGGGAAGGTTCCTGGTTTCGAAAGGGAAAGCAAGCACAGCAGGCAAACGAGCGAGCGAGCGACGGCGCGCAATAGAGCGAATGAGGCAGATGTGCACGGCGACCGTGGGGGTGATGAAGTGACATGGTACCGTGAATAGTGCCGTATGGGGCGTTGAGGCCACTCTGGACGCATTGTGCGGGGTACGACAGATGGTGAAACACCCTAGGTGCAATCGCGGCGTTTTTTTAGGACACACAGCAGGGAAGACTTGGTGGCAAGAACTCGTCTGTCCTAGGCATGTGACATGCGTTGCCTGAGCCGACCCATAGGTCGAATATTGCTGGGTCGCTCGCTAGGTCTTGCATGCTGGCAGACAGATAGCACGCTGTAGCGACGGCCGTATGTGCAACTTCCATTCTTATGGTTACCAGTATACATTTTACGGAGTCGACACCCTATCTACGGTATCTGCAGTGTTCCCTGCCCTTTTACGACGTCGTCCCGTGCTTCTAAACTCTTATTACCAACGACACCGCCTTTCACCTCCCTCCTTTCGCAAAGACAGAAGGTACGGCAGGTCGGCAGCGCACCGTACGCAACGGTACCGGCCAGCGCAACAGCAACAGGTTCACATCAATACTCTTCTCCGCCCCCCTTGCTCTCTCCCAGCTTCTCCCTCTAAAACGTCCGTTCCCTCGCTCCGAAGCCTCCTCCCCTCATATAAGCCACCTCCCCTCCACTACTCTTCAACTTGTGCTTTCATCTGGTTAGGTTTCCCTCCCCACCCCCTAACATTGGGTATCCTTCTTTTCCCCCTCCGCCTCCGCTCTACACGTCCACTGCCAGCCCCAGCTTGGGGCCCTTGCTCAGGTCCCGACCGTCAACCTGGGGGGGTAGAGGTGGGCGGGGGGTTAGGGCTATCGGTATTAGGAGCGAAGAGGAAACAATGGCGCGTTGACGTTTGTGATGGAGAGCCACAGCGAGTCGCGACCACCTAGTAAACAGTTCTCAGTAACAGATGTCGGCGTGACAGAAGGAAGCCAAAGGAATGTGCCCGGCCCAGCCCCCTCCAGCCTTTAACACCGCAACCCCCCCTCCTCCGCGTCCGCTCACATTCTCCCGCCTGCCGCACCACGACTGCCCTGCTCACGCCACCTTTTAGGGCCCCCCCCCCACAAACCTGTCCATTCATCCTGACCGCCCGCAACCCCACCTGCCCATTCATCTCACCACCACCCCCCGCCACCCACCTGCGCCGTGAAGGTGACCCGTGGGCCGGCCGCCAGCGTGTCTCGGTACATGAGCGTCAGCAGCCCGGAGCTGCCCACCTTCAGCTTGACCACACCGCCGGAGGAGGTGCCGGTGGGGGCCTGCGGCAGGGGCGGGGGCGGGGAACGAGGGGTGATGTGTTCAGGGTAAGGTGTATAGATAGGGTTGCTCGAAACGAGCTGTGAAGAGGTGAAGGAGTAAAAAGTCACAAAAAAAGGGAAAGCACTGCAACACGGGAAGGGGTGGAAGCCGGGGAGCACTTTGTATGGCAGGTGAAATGAGGAAAGGAGAACCTCTTCGGAAGGGTGAGGCGAGGCGGTGTGATGCAGGCATGCATCACACCGGCGAGGCGGTGTGATGCAGGCATGCATGCCACTCTTCAATCCCACCAACCCCACCCCACCTTGCCCTCGTCACCCGCCCGCTGTCGCTGCGACGGCGGAGGCGGCAAGCGGAAACTCGCCCCAATCGAAAACGTCGGCGAGGCCCAGCTGCTCGCCGCAGCCGCAGGCGGCGGCACCGCCGCCGCCGTACCACCCTCCGCCGCCGCTGCCGCTGCCGTACCACCGTCAGCACTCTTACTGCCGTACATTCCCACCGCCGCCGCCGCCGCCCTGACGTCCGTCGCCGCCTCCAGCCCCAGCGCCAGTCCGGGCCAGGTGGCATCCAGGCTGTATCCGTACAGCAGGGTGGCTGTCGTACCGCCGCCGCTGAGTGTAAGGCCCAGCTGCTGGCGGGAGTCGTGCCAGGCGGCGGCTGCGGACCAGCGCGTGAGGCGGCGGCTGGCGGAGCTGTAGGCGGCGTCGGCACCCAGGGCGAGCTGGCGGGAGGTGCGGGAGAGGAGAGGAGGGAGGAAAAGAGGGTCGGGGGGGGGAGGTAAAGAGGGTCAACCTCGCACCAAACACGCCCTGACCTGCCCCAGCCGCGCCTCACTATCTTCTCCTCCACATCGCCCCACATGTCCCTGCCGCACGCAACATGCGTCCTAATGCGTCCTTATTCCCCCTGCCTCCCCAACCGCTCCCCCTTCTGCCTCCTTCCCTGCCTCCCTCTCTCACCCGGCCCGCCCCCGCCACCGCTGCCGCCGTGAGCAGCGGCTGGGCCACCAGGCTGGCGCTGGTCTTGAGGTGCAGGTGCGGGCTGGAGTAGTCCAGCGTGAGCTGCGGGGGGGAGGGGGTAAAGAGGAAACAACTAACTGACTGAGGGATAAGGCGTCAAAATGGGGGGGAAAAAAAAGAAATTCCAAAGTGTGGTGTGATGATGATATAAGTTGCTGACACTCCCTGGTGAAATGAACCGTGAGTCGAGCCGAAATGGTGGTGAAAGCAAAGCGAGCTAAACTTACCGAACTTACCAATTATGGAGAAACCTTACCATAGGCTTGGGCATGTGTGGAGGCTGCTGAAGGTGAGGTGGAGACCCACCGCGCCGTGGGGCATACGCCAACAGCAGGAACAGCACAACACGAGCACTCATAAAAAACAACACAGACCGACACATGATAAAACACGTACCTAGGTACACAAAGAGGTGTGTACCGGGAAACCACGTGAAGGGCCAGCCGCCATGTCCAGGGACCAATCCAGAGCGAGGCCAGCCAGGGACGAAACATGTGGGAAGGTGGAAAGGAGGAAACGTTGGTAGTAGTAGTAGGGAAGGAATAGCGGAGGACGGAAAAGCGGGGGGGGGTTCAAAGACCATACCAGATCATAGGAAGCCACAGGTTAGGGCAAAGCAAAGGGGAGGGGGGAGAGGAGGAACACTTGCTTGCGGGGTTACGTTAAGGGGTTACATAGCAGCAGCATCCAAAGCAGTTACAAGCACACCACCCTTTGTGACCCATGGGTCACCCAGGATGCCCCCCAGCCCCCACCTTTGGCGGCAGCTGCTGCCCCTTCTCCGCAAGCAGCGGCACCGAAACCACCCCGCCCACCGCCAGTCGGGCGGGTGTCAGTGCGGGTCCGCCCCTGGTGCCACCGCCTCCGCTGGCGGGCTCCTGCTGACGCTGCGGGAGCGTGACGGTGCGGGAGAAGGTGGCCTGGAGGGATGCGCGGGGGGGAGGGGCGGGAAAAGCGGAAGGAGGGGGTAAAAATATAATGAAACACTGACGATGCAATTGAAGAGCTGTATGACAAGCTCCATTATGAAGGGGGGGGAGGGCGCATGGGAGGGTGGTGTGGTGGCTGCAGGGGCGGGAGAGGGAGAGGGAGGATCGGACAAGCAGGCGCGCGGTGGGACAAGGCACGGGATTGAATCTAAGCGGAAACACTGACAGCAGCATGTCCTCTACTCCTACTTCCTCCTACTTCCTCTGCCACCGGCCCCCTACCTCCGCCACCCCCCCACTGCTGAGCAGCATGTCAGCCGCCCAGCCGTCCTTGCCGTTGAGGGCCGCCACCAGCTGGCCGCTGAGAGGGGGGGAGGCGGCGGCGGGGGAGCTGCGGGGCAGGGGGGGCAGCAGAGGTAACTAGGGTGTGGAGGCAGGGGCAACCATTGGGGGGGCACTCATTCTACTCGCCCTCTCCGCACCAATGCGGCGGAATGCTGACCCATGGGTCACATGGGTCACAGGCACGCCACGGTCATCCCATCCTACCATAAAACCCCAACATGGCCGCTTGCACACTCTGCTTCCTTCCAACCCCTCTAGATCAGCCCTATACACACCGACCGCCCCACCAGGTTCCGCTGGACTCACTAGACAGAGGTGGCAGTGCTGGTCAGCGACAGGCCGCCACTGGTCGCCGAAGACAGCACCAGTTTGGTGGCACCCGGGCTGCCGTACAGCCCCTCCGTGCGGTTGCCGTACAGCACGTCCTTGGCGAGCAGTCCGAAGGCGGCGAGGGACTTCACGGGGCAGGGTGGCAGTGGCTTGGGCGGCGAGATGGGGGCGGCGGGGGAAGACGAGGAGTCGCGGGTGCGGTTGCGGGAGCGGTCGGGCGTGAAGGAGGCGCCAGCGTCGCTACTGGCGTGGCGGCTTGCGGGGGCGTGGCTGCGTATGGGGATGGCGGTGTATGGGGGTGGCGGTTGGAGTTGGTGGGAAGGAGAGAGCGTGGGAAAGGTGAGGGAAAGACAAGGTAAGTGGGTATGGGCTTGGGAAGGAGGAAAGGAGGGACCTGCTAAGGAGGCGGTGGCGCGAAGCCAGTGCTGTGACGGGACTGGCAAATGACGCAATTCGGCTGTCGGGTCGTCGTGCGCTTTGAACACGACAAATGCCAAGCAACGGCTCATAGCAGGGCCTTGTTTGTGCTTTGTTGAGTGCTCCGAAGGCGGAAGGAGACGCGGCACGTCAGCAGCTTATTAGGGTCACATGGACTTGAAAGCGGCGCGGCGAAAGTAGAAGCCAGCTGCTGTGCTTTGCACGCGCTTCTTCGCGCACAACTTGAAGCACATAATATGCTTTACTTAACACGTGGCTTCTCAGCTTAATAACGGGACACATCCCAGTCGTGAGCTGCTAGGACCACGCGTCAATGCACGAGCGCGAAAGCAGCCGAGGCCCCCAATCCCAACGTCCCAACCGCAGCCCGAACAGCCGAAACAAGCCAACATTAGCCGCGAACATTGCGTGCAGCAGCACAGCCCTGACACATTCCACTTGTGGCAGCTTACCCGGTAGCCGACATTTGCGCTCTGCTATGAGCGAAGAGGGTAAGGATTGGCGATCTTGCAGAGGAGGAGCAGAGAACGCAGGACGCGGTTACCCTGCAAGGCTTTGCAGCTCACTTATTTCGTTGAGAGCAGCAGCAGATACAGAACACCAGCTGCGATTTTAGTACCTGTAAGCCTTTGAAACGCGGGAGACTGATTGTAACACGCTTTAGGTGTGGGAGTTTCAGAACTGAACTTAGAAGGAATGGGCAAACTGGCCAACAAGCATCCAATGATGACTTGATGCACGTGCATGCTGTACGGAATGTCGAGCCCAGCGTACAGGCTAGGGATTTCAACCAGTACCTGTAGCCGTTGGAAGGGGTGTCTTTGCTTGACTAGCTGCTTGACTAGCAAAATGACAGGATGACGGCAATGGGCGACAGGTAGGGCGCCGGAGCCCGTTAAGGCCGGGGACGCAGCGCGGACTGACATGAACGACCCAGGGGTCTTCCTGCCTGCGGCGGTGCTTTACCAGCTCTCCTTGCAGCTCTTAACTTAGCTTAAATGCGCCATGCCAGGATCGCGCTAGTCCGTTGGCATTCCTTGTGCAGGGCCGAACCCAAACTTTCTGTTGTACTTTCCCTGCGCCCCCACTCTCTAGCGCACATTGCACGGCATGACAAGCATCTCAGCACGCGCTCACAGCTTCGTTAATCTTCCGGCCTTAGCAGGCGTAGCAGCAAGCCGCATCCACCAACCAGTCCAACCTGCGCTGCGCCAACCCGTTCACTAGGCCATCCCGGTTTTCCCCTAGACAGCCCCGTCACGATACCCGCGGTACACCGCTAAGAACCGTGGGGCGAAAGCGCGTGACGAAGACCTAGGTTTTCGTGGAATATGTATGACAAAGCTATTGTGCAGACTCTAGCGGAGGACAGCCTATGGCATGTGACCCCAACGCTGGCGCCCAGCGATGTGCTGAATATTACTGCCTTGGCGAAGGACTCTGACATTTCGCTATTAGCCAACCTCCTAGCTTCCGAATAACGGTTAATGCATTTCCTTGCCGCCTTCTGACTACGACTGAGTACGGCATTGTTTTTCTCGCCGCAATGAATAACCGCGACGTTGCAGCCTTATTTACCAATACCTTATGCTTGCATGCCTACTAGCATTAGTGACATCATAATACCGTGCATCCTTACTTGCAAGCCCACAGTTGCCACAAAGAAAAGCATTACACCACTGCTGTGTATAGCTTAGTAACTAGCTGTATAAGCTTGCAGCTTGTTGCTCATTGCGCACCTGCGCGACCGATTACTCCAGCGATTACTGGTATATGAGGCACCAGGAGCCGAGATAATTATCGGATAAGCAATGGCCCCGCGATTGGGAGGCCTTTTGGCTTTTAGGTGCGAGATGTCCTGGGGTTTTGCTGCTTGTGGCACCGGGAATGTTGCGTAATGCACCGGTTATGGCTGAATACTCCATCCGTCTTAGTTCAGCGGCGACGTGGGTTGACCTGGAGAACATACAGGCTTTCCCACTTCTAGTTCCTTCTTTCACATACGAATTCATTTCTGCCCTTACACCCTTGGCCATTCGCACATCGTAACCTCTCCCAGGTACCGTCTCGCCAAGTTCGGCGACGCAGCAGACGAGTTCCTCTTCTCCATTTTCCAGGGCTCTAACGCCGTCACCCCGCCCTCGCCCTTCTCCCAGCGGGGTAAATCACCGTCCGATGGCGCCTCCATATCCCCATCTTCGCCTTCCTCTCGTCCTAACAGCGAGGGCGGCCCAAAGCCTTATGGCGGCGGGGGCTTTCTCGGCGGGTCCATAAGTGACGCTTACCGTCGCGCACGCGAGGTGTACGACGCTCCGTTGACCGATCACATGTACATCACCGGACCAGCCATGGCGCCCACACTCAACCGGCGGGGGGCTAAGGTAGGGACTTCCGGGCACGGGCAAGCCAGAAGATAAACCGGTTGGGGTTGATGAGTGTTGGTTTGGGTTGATGAGCCGAGCGATCCGTAAGGTTATGCTGTCCCTTATGGGTGGCTAGGAGGATATCGTACCCTTGGTGGTACGGTAGATGCCGTGTCCGGCCCTAGGGGACAGACGCAGGTGGAGGGATGCTGCGCTCGGTCAGTCGTCAACCCAGCTCCTGCTGGGTTTTCCGTTGTGGATTGAGGAGCCCCAGCTCACCCCCATCTGCCCCTGCTGCTCCGCTGCTGCTGCCTGTGCTGGCTGCCATCAGGACGCCGCTGCTCGCGCTCGGCTGGTTCTGCGGATGCTGCGACGCCCGGGTCCCCGCAACGTGCTGGTGGGGGACGTGGTGGCCTTCCACTCGCCCCTCGCGCAGCGAGACGACACCACCGCGGTCATGGTAGGGCAGGGAGGGGACTGGGTGGTGAGAGGAAGTCCCCTTTAGTCGACTGCCCTCCTTCCTTTCCGCGCCCCCCCCCCCCTGATATGCCTCCCCACTCCTGCCTCCTGCCCCAGGTACGCCGTGTGGCGGCGGTGGAGGGTCAGGAGATGGTGTCGAGCTCCGAAACCGAGCCGCCCTTCATCATCCCGCCCGGGCACTGCTGGGTGATGGCTGATAACGGCTCCTTGCGGCCCGAGGCGGGGGAGGTGATTGACTCGCGGTCGTACGGCCACATCCCCTTTTCCGCGGTCATTGGGCGTGTGGTGTATGCGGCCAGCAGCAGCGCGGGAAGTGGTGGTGAGGGGAAGGGGCGGGTAATGGAGGAGGCGGATCATGGGCCGGTGAGGAACAGTCCGGAGCATAGTGCGGAGGGTGGGGAGGATGAGGCGGTGGTGGCGGCGGAGGTGGATGTGGAGGAGATTTTGCGGGAGGAGACTGGGGAGGAGGATGAGGAGGAAGAGGAAGAGGGGCGGGAAGGAGGAGAGGGAGAGGGGAAGAAAGACGGAAAGAAGCGGTAGGGGGTGGGCAAGAGTGAGCGTTGCTAAGTCGTTGCTATGAGGCGAGCTGGGGCGGGGGTTTTGAAGTGCTTGTTCTATTTCGGAAGGGATGACCCATGGGTCTCGCCGTTGTGTCTGGATGTGGCTGGCGCATGTCGCTGTCGACCCGGTGTGTGCGCGATGCTGTCGCAGCGGTTACGCTAGATAGACGTGTAAGACACGACTCCAGCAAGAGAGCCGCTGGAGGAGAGTCAGGAAGTCCAGGTTGACACATGGAGGTGATGGCGCCAGGACAGGTTCTGCACTGGCCGGGATTGAAAAGAGAAAGGGAAACCACCCGGCGTTAGCGGTGGTGGCACCTTTTCGAATGTGCGACACACCGTGTCTCATCGTACCTGCTACCCAGGTTGCACTTTCGCTGCCTGCACGTTTGCTGGGCACAGGAGTGCCGTCAGACAGATACGCAAGTGCGGCGGAGCTACAGCAGCACTTTGCCGTTACACGCGGCCATGACGTCAGGAGGCAGAGCAACGGTTCTTTCACACAGATCATCATGCCTTGCTGAGAAACAACAACGAGCTAACGACATCAGCCGAAAAACAGACGCACTGGAAAACTGCCAGTTCAGCATTGCCGCTTTCGTTTCATAGTAACTTTGACCGACAGTGTATTCCTCAAAACAACGTGCTGGCGCATCGCACGGTTCAGTTGGTGTACCACAACACACGGCCCTAAGGACACAACACAAGACATAACAACGAACGCACAAAACGATGTGGCTCCCCCCTCGTCAAGGCAAGGAACGAGGCACCAAGCGCATCAGCGCTACGCCAGCCGCAAGGGGAAACCCCACGATCGGAAACACACAAGAAACGACCTGTTACTCGGACGGCAGCTACAGCAAGCCCCGACCTCAGTTGGCCCAATACACACACGCGTTCCATTTCCCAGCTTGTGTACACTTCTAAACCCCAACATCGACGGCCTGTGCCCAAGGTGTCCGTTGGGCCCTGGCCCCCAGGTAAGCCGAAGGGCGGGGACGCCTAAGAGGGGCGCTCTAACAGGCTCTGGCCAAAGGTGCATATCGGTACCAATGGTGACCCGCGGGTCACAGGACATCAACATAAAACCTCACATACCGCGCATGCTGGCGCGTGATGACGACAAGGAAATCCACGGTCTTCACATACATATCGACATCCACGGCAAGTGTATCTTTGTGGCTTTGTAAACTTGCGCCGAGCTGAGCCGAGCAAGGCCTGGATGGGGAGTTCATGGAGTTGAAGTATGCTAGTCTCTTCCACCCCCTCGTCACTCGCCTGTACTCCTCACTCGCTCTCCCTTTCTCATTTTCTCTCCTACCCGACGACACCGAAAAGCAAAACGACGTCTGGACAGGGCAGCTCAGCCCAGCAAAGCAGCAACACAGCCCCATGGCAATCCAGCCTCAACATGACACCTACCCCGCAAAATGAAACCCACCTTGCAACGACACCAGGTTCCTTTCCAAGCTCCACTCTTGAGGGTGCACCTCACGTGCTTCCGGTTTCTTTTACTTTCAATACTGTTGCGACAGGCTCTTTCGACTCACCTCCCAACCAAGTTCGGTTCTTGGTTGGGCTGCACCCTTCAGCAGCAGCAACAACAACAACAGCAGCAGCAGCAGCAACAACCCCAGACAACCAGTCCCCTTCAGATCTACCACCGGGAAAGAGCCCACAGCAATTACCGGTAGCTCCCGCCAGCAGATATGGTCACAGCAATGAAACACCCGTCTTAGCGTAAAAGTTGTTCCTTACCCTGGAATGAGGGGCGCCTCTCGCAAATGAAACAAATACCATGATGATACCTGGGAAATCAAACATTACCGATACGTACTACCATCCTATACCTAACCATTTACAATTGTTAACCATTCTAAACTTTAATCAGCGTAATTGACCGCTTGAAACCGCCCATAAAAGTGCCTTACCAGCCCTCACCTCAACCGCCATTCCAACAGCTACATAAGAACCTTTTCAATAAAACCGCACATCAACTGACATCAATTCCCAAATTCCCAAATTCAATCATGTACGCTACTGTTACCGTCACAATATCAACTGGACAAATCGATGAAGGGCTGGTTCCCCGCATGAACAGCCTCACTCTTCAGCACGACATCCGTCTAAACCCCTCCGGCCCTTCGGCCTTCGCGTGCCAAATGATGCATGGCTGCGGCCTTTCCCCGCGCCGCCCCTCTCCCCCTGTTACACTCCCGCCCCGCCTTACCCTCACCCAAGCACCCTGCCTCGCCCCCAATCCGTTGTCCGCCTACTCTCCCCAACACGCACCTCCCCCATGTGCGCCCACTGCACGAGTCGCTACATGAGCCTGTATATTCACTTCTCATTTCCTATTCCCCCCGTGTCGGGCATCCAACCCCCTCCTTCCTCCCCCTGCTACGTCATCCGGTTTGTCCGTTTTTCTTTATTTTTACCCCCCCTGCTACTTCGCCCCTTCCTTTCTTCCTCCCTCTTCCTTACCCGTCCCCGTCCCCGTCCCCGCCCTCATCCTCTCCCTCAGGAACGCAGCCCGGTGCACGGCATCCACCGCCAGCCGCACCCCCAGCGCCAGCACCGCCTTCAGACCGGCCAGCACCACCGCACGTGGCAGGCTGCCCGTGTAGCCGATGTGCAGGTAGAAGGCGGCGGTGATGACCAGGTCGTACGACGTGACGAGCAGCGCGTACGGCAGGGGACACTGTACGGCAGGGGTGGAGGGACGGGAGGAGGGGTGAAAGCGGAGTGGAGGGGAGGAAGGAGGGAAGCAGGGTGTAGACAGGCCGGTGAGTTGTGGTACAAGGAGAAGGAGCGGAGGGGGGTGGGGGGGGGAGCACAGTCCACATGATAAAGGGCATTGCATGAAAGGAAGGGACGGGAAGGGGCGGCCATGAGTGAACACGCAGAGCGGCAGCGGTGATCGGGACACATGCACAGGGCTGGACGGAGCAAAGTGTCGTGCTATACGGTGCCGCACTAAGCATTACACATCTCCAACCCTTCCTCCTCCTCCTCCTCCTCCCCATCTCCCAGCTCCCCTCCCACCGGTTCGCACAGCGCCGGCAGGATGGCATCCGGCAGCAGCGTGATGCCCCTCCGCACGAACACCAGAGTGGCGGCCGGCACGTGCAGCCAGCCCGCCAGCTGCGCGGTCTTGGTGCTGGTGCGCAGCAGACCCACCAGCGCCCACAGCGGGCCGCGGCGGGGCAGGTAGAGGCCGGCACTGGGGTTGGGGGCGCGTGGAAATTTGGTGTATGTGTGGGGGGTGGGAGGCATGTCGCGGTGTTGGGGTTACCGGTATACCGGCAGGTGACGAGAAGGCCACTGAAACCCCTTCCCTCCAGCAGGCACAGAACACTGTGTTCCTGTCCACCTTCCCCACCCCTCCTCCTCCAGCCCCTCCATCCTCCACCCTTCTCCCCCCCCCCGCTCAGCCAGTTAGTTGTTTCCTCTTTACCCCCCGCTCACCCCGGCCGTGCATGCATCACCACCAGCATCCCCGCATACGCCGCGCTGTAGGCGACCGGCGTGCAGAACTCCGCCAGCGCCGCGCCCTCGCTCCGCAGCCGCCGCAGCGCCGCCGCCAGCAGCAGCAGGTGCAGGCCGCACCAGCAGCGGCACACGCCCAGCGAGCGGGTGGTGAGGTAGGACTGGTAGGATGACTCCAGCCGGCGGCACGGGCGGACCCGCTGCTGCGGCTGGGGCGGCTGCTGTTGTTGACGCCGCTGGCGAAACGGCGAGGAGGTTACAGGAGTGCATTGCTGGTGCCGGCGGTGGTGGTGGTGATTGTGTTGGGCGGGGCTCTCTCCTCCAGCAGGTTGCTGCTGCTGCTGCTGCTGCTGCGGCGGCGGCGGCGGCCGTCGCAGGGGCTCCTGATCTGCATGCAGGCTGGCGGTTGATGGCTTGGACCGAAGCCAAGGACCCCGCCACCGCAGCTGCTGCTGCTGCGGCTGCTGCTGCTGCTGGTGTGCAGGTGGAGTGAGAGTCGCAGCCGCTGCTGCTGCCGCCGCTGCCGCTGAGGGTTGCAGGAGGCCACAGCGAGCAGAAGAAGAACCGCAGGACAAGGAGGGAATGGAAGCGGAGAAGGCGCCGCTGCTAGAAGCTAGGGTGCAGTTGCTGCTACTGTTACCTGCGGTGGTGAAGGGAGAGGCCTCACAGCCGCTTGCTGTCCCCGGTGGGAGGCCCTCCCAGGCGGTCTCGCTGCCGCACTGCCGCTGCTTCCCCTCACCCTCCTCCATCCCCTTTGCAGCAGCGGCGGCGGCAGCAGTTGCTGCGTGTGATGGATTCCCGCGAGGCCGCTGCTCCTCTTCTTTGGCTTGTTGAAGCCACGGCTCCTGGAAGCCAAACAAGGTGGCATGCAGCAGCCGCAGCAGCCCGCCAGCAGCAGCAGCAGCAGGAGCCGACCTGCGCAGCGGCAGTCGTGGGGACCACACGCGGAGACCCCAGGGCACGTTGCTGGTACTGCTTATGCTGCCGCTGGCGCCAACCTGGAAACCACTGGGCTCAGATACTTGCACGGAAGCAGCAGGAGCAGCAGAAGTTGTGTCGGAAGCAGCCGGGGGTGTCACACCGTCAACGCCGTCGACCTTGCCGCTGTTATTGCTCCTGTCCATGTCGCAGTTGCCGCTGTTGTCTCCAGTGCTGCTGCCGCCCCCGCTGTTTGGCATGTCGCTGAGAGTCCGAAGCTCGACAACGGCTTCTTCGCCGCCATGACTGCTCGACACGCACGGGTCCAGCGGCGCCCCTCCAGCAGCCCACTCTGCCAGCTGCCGCCGCCGCCACCGGTACCGCACCTCCCCTCCATCGTCAACATGCTGCCTGGTTTGGTGCTGCTGCTGCTCTTTCTCCGCCAGCAGCGCCGCCAGCAGCTGACGTGGCGTCATGCCGCCGCCGCCGCCGTCCGCGTCAGCCGTCGCCGCCGTCCAAGCCCGCTGAGCCGCGTCGCTGAACGACAATACCCATTCTAGAGCCTCCGCCGCCTCTGCGGCGGCGCTATCGGCATCGCCGCCGTTTCTATCGTCAAAGCAGACAGTCGTCAGCAAGTGGAGAGGCGTCAGACCATCGCTATCACGACTCCACCAGCTGCCGCCGTCACCGACGCCACTAGCAGCATCAACGCTCCGGTCACCTTCCCCTGCGCCTGCGTCCACTTCCGCCGCCCATGCTGCCACCAGCCGCAACGTCGCCGCGTCGCCCGACGCCGCAGCGGAGTGCAGCAGCGACGTCGCAGCGCCGCCGGCGACGGCGTGCCATACCTCCGCCACGCCGTACCCAAGTACGACAAAGTTCCCCATGAATCGCGCCGCCATGCCGCTACACCCAAGTCCCACTGCACTCTCCAGCAGCCCCAGCCCAACGTCGAGCATGCAGCCTGCAAAGGCCGGGTGCCGCCGCCGCGCCGCCAGTACCTCCTCACGAAGGTCGATACTGCCGGGCAGGATGACGGCGGGGGCAGCAGCAGTGGAGGCAGCCGTGGGTTGCTGTGCAGGGTGGCCGTTGGCGGGGTGCTGTGGATGTGAACATGGCTCGGCTGCTGCCGCCGCTGCTGTTGCTGCTTCCGCCGCTGCTTCAGCGTTGGCTGCTGCTGATTCCGCCGCCGCGACCTCGAGTGTGTCGTGCATGAACTCAAACCACATGGCGAGGTCTGAAACTAACGCATCAGTGCCGGCGTCAGCACCAGCATCGTCCGTAGCAGCTACTGCCGCCGCCGCCACCTCCACTGCTGCTGCTGTCTCCCTTTCTTCCACACAAACCTGCCGACGTATCAAGTCCTGTACCAGCTCCGCCAACTCAGCGTCGTACGACGGCAGTAGCAACACCGATTTCGAAGCAATCATGCGGGTGTTGTCGTACCAAAGCTCTACTTGCAGACGCAGGGGCCCTGTGGGCGAGGAGCTGCGGCCGCCACCGCCGCCGCCCAGACCACCCACTGTCAGCTCGAACGAGTGTGCTGGCGGGGTTGCCCTCGGCAAAATGTCTCGGCAACTGCGGCTTTCGCCGCCGCCACTGCCTTCGCCTGCCGACTCAGCAGCGGCCGCCGCTATCGATTTCTCATAGGCATAAGCCAGCCCGGCCGCAGCAGCGGCGGACTTGGCGGCAACTCCGCCGTCGACGCTGGAGAGGCCGCCAGCAGCGGAATCGTCGTACGACGATCTGCTGCAGTCGCCGTACAGCAGCAGGTTCGTGGGCGTGGTGGGTGCCGCCACGCCAAGCACCGGAAAGTGCCGTCCAAGCCCCCGTACGACAAACGTGTAGCGTCCAGCGTCCATGTCATCGCTGACGTCGTACGGCAGGCCATGCGCCCGTACGGCAATGCGTACCTGCTCGCCTGCTGCCGCCGGCGCCACCAGCACTTGCTTGGCCAACGTCAGCTGTACGGCAGCCTCCTGCTGCTGCTGATATGGAGATGGTGGTGCCGGGGGCACGATCGTGTCACTGTCACCGCTACCACCGCCCCTGCTCTCAACCGTACCCGCAGCGGCATGGCCGGCCTCGGCGTCGGCAGACAGCGTCCAAGCCGCCCGCCGTTCGTCGTACACCGCCTGTACGACTTCGCCTCCGTACTGCAGACTCACCCGCATGCCCTCGCTGACGCCCACCCCCATCGCCTCCAGCCATCTGCTCAGCTGCTGCTCCGCCAGCACATGCAGTCCACCTCCTCCTCGTCCTCCTCCGAGGAACCTCCTTCCGTCCTCCTCCTCCTCCGCATCCTCCATCTCCGTCACCCTCCCCGCCTCTCCTTCCCCTGCCGCTGTTGCTGCTCCTTCCCTTCCTGCGCCAGTCCTGCGCTCCGCCTCCGCTCCGCAGCTCCCAGCCAATCCTGCTGCTGGCCGCATGCGTGCCGCCCGCATGCCTCCTGCTGCTGCTGCTGCGGCCCCCCGCAGCCCGGGCGGCACACTCAACACGTCCAGCGACAGCACCACGCAGCCGGGTCGCACCCCCGCCCCCACCACCACCCGCTGCTGCTGGCCCGGCAGCTCAATGGTGTGGCGCAGCGAGTCGAGCAGCGGGCGGTGCAGCAGGGAGGGTGACGTGTGCGGAATCTTGACGTACTGCGAAGGGCGGGAGCAGCGGGAGGATGTGGGCGCTTATTACGACATGGGGTTTGGGTTGTAATTGCCTGTGTGCCGCGTGTGACTCCTCTTGCCCCTGCCGTTGCCTGGGTAAGCCTTGGTAAGCACTCGCTTTGGGTAAACTTCTGTTCCGTACAACAGTAGAGACCCCAGCTTACGATAGTATCTAGCGGAGAGCTAGCCCAGTAGCGAAGTAGCTTGCGTCCGTGTCGTACTGTGGTGGAGCGGACCTCCAGCGTAACCTCCGCATTAGCTGGCGGATAGGGCATGTCCTCGGAAATGACACAATTCGCCAAGCCGCGTGGCTGCTTTAGATTACCCGAAGTAGCTTTGTGTCTTCGGTGCGGTAAGGAGCCTAACCGCAAGCGAGGAAGCACTTGCTGCAGCTGCTGCTGCACTGCGTAATGTCGTTGGAGCAGCTGCTCCGGCTGATGCCATGCTGCAAGGTTAGGGTAATTTGTCTGTGCACGGCCGCGATAAGTGCTGTAGTCATAAATGGACAACTGTGGGGGCGCAAGCACGTCTCCTGGACCCTGTGCTTTGTCGTGGAGGGAGTCCTTCGGCGTGTGCTTCGCGTTGGGAGCTGCTTGGCAAGGGTCCCGACCTGTGGGGAGATGCGGCCGGCCTCATCGCGTTTAATTGCTTCTCTACACATTCTAAAGAAGTTTCCAGTACAATGAGTGTATCTCTTTAGCTTGTAGCGGAACTTGTTCTTGCCCTTATCCAAATGACTCACCTGGTGTTCCTGGCGCCTCCTCTCCTCCATCATAAACAACAGCATTAGCTTCCCGTAGGAGAAATTTATGTGCCGCCGAGTCAGCGGCCGTATCTGCACTGGTCTCGGATGTTTCCGCCCGTGCTTGAGCTAGCGGTTGCATCTGAACGCTTTTGGGAATACTCGCAAACGGATCATGCTCAGGTGTTTCCAACTCGACATGCGCAGCTCGCTCTAACAGCAATGCAGTCAAGTGTAGCAAGGCGACTAAAGCAACACCGGCTGTCAGCAAGGCTGGCAACAACGCTTCGTACGCATTGTCGATCATTGGCATTAACAATAGGTAACTCAAGCCTTCAGCGTGTCGGTTTCGTTACCCATGTTGCGTCCTCGGAAGACAGGATACTACATAACGCTATGCTTTCCAGGTTGTAATTAGTCGCAGGACATGGTAGCATGGTATTCTTGTCATCCCCGTACCTCAGAAAAGTCCAAATTAGTAACAAACAAATGTACGGCAGGCGTAGTAAGGATATCCTGACGGGTCGACAAGCAGTACGGCGCCGGCCCGCCCTTATCGGAGTATGCGATTTTTACATCGGAGATGCGTGGATTGCACGCTACAGTCACGCTGCAGGACAAAAGCTCTTCGATCGGGGTTGAGTGTCTGAGCCAGCTTGGCTAGCACAGGTATTGGGGAATGTGCACGGGAGTGTGCTGGGCGGACCTCCACCCTGAGCAATCACCCCTTTGCACCCCGGTGACAAACTGCGGTCCTTTAACAAGCGAACCGAAAGCCCATGTATTTTGCAAGCCATTTGGGTTTCCGCCGTACCCTCGGATGTGCATGACGCATGCTGGAATGCATATACCATTATCCAACCACTTGACGCTGATAACATGTCAAACGCTTTCGCTCGTACGGAGGAGATCACCCTAAACTGCAGAATCCCCTCTAAGAAGTCGTGCCCTTTCCAGGCGTACGGCAAAATACATCGGTGCATGGCATGTGATGGCGTTACATGGCAACCATGTCTTTCCCAAATCCCAACAAGCACCACTCCGCAATAAATAAACACTCCTCAACATCTGAACATGGTTCCGCCTACCAGCCCTGTCCTGCTCGATACCTGTCCGCAAGACCAGCCCGTCATGCGACGACGCAAGCGGCGGACTGCACCCTGCCCACACCAGCCCCTCAACCCACAACTTGTATCATTATCACACCACACTTTGGAATTTCTTTTTTTTCAACCCACAGCATACAACAGCCGTGAACACAAGAAGCCCCCATAACACCCAAGTCCGCATAAGCCCCGGTTCCCGCATATGCAGCAGCAGCCACAACAGCACTCGCTGTTGGCCTCGGCAGCTCACGGCAGTCCAAAACCCTCCCCAGCCACCGCCCCATACCCTGTCAACAGCTCCCTTCGTGCACTTGTTCCCTAGCCCAACTGCCCCAACATTCACCAACCAACCAAACCCTAGGCCGTCCCGCTGCCTCTACGGCTGCGACCGCTGCTCCTTTCTGCCCCCGTTGCCCCCTCCCCTTCCCCCCTGCCTCGTCCGCCCCTTTCCTGCCCCTGCTGCTCCTTCATCTGCCCACTCCCTTCACCTGAGGCTGCCATACCGCTCACTTCCGGCTCCTCCGCTGCTGCTGTTGCGGTTTGCCAGACTGCTGCTTTTGCTGCTGCTGTGGCGGCTGTCTGGCGGCCGGCTTCGGCTGTTGCTGCTCCTGCTCCACCTTCTTCCCTACACCCGCAGCACCCGCCGCCGCCGCCTGCTGCTGCCACTGCCCCCCCTTGGGCCGCCAGCGCCTCACCTCCGGCGGCACCTCCACCACGGGGTGGTGTCGGCGCCCCGGGGGCAGCGCCGCCCGCAGCGCCTGCAGCCGCCGCAGCCTCACCCGTCGCTCCCATGCGGCCCGCAGCGCCTGCATGGCGGCCCCCCGCTGCTGGGCCGCCTGCAGCGCCATCAGCAGCTGGTACTCCTGGGGGACGAAGGGGAGAGGGGGGGGGTCAAAGACCATACCATACCATAGGAAACCACAGGTTAGGGCAAAGGAATGGGGATAGGAAGAAGGGGAGTCGACATGCATGGGGTACGGGTACGGGTACAGCATCAGTTGTTAGCAAGGAATGCAGACATTTCAGACCACCAACCAGCCGAACAAGGCGCCGGAAGCAAGCCAAGGTGCACATGCGCGCCCCCACCTGCTCGCTCAACTGCGGCGGCTCCCCTGCACCGCCAGCCACCTGCAGCTGCCCCTCCTGCGCGTCACCACCACCGCCACCACCACCTGCTGCGGCCCCACCCGCCCGCCTCGCGCGCTCTGCCAACGCTGCCAGAATGGCCTTCATCGAGGTGCGCCGAGGTGGGTCCAAGTCCGTGTCCCCATCCGCGCCACCCTCTTTTGGAGGCGATCCGTCAGCCGCCTCTTGCTGCTCGCCCACCCCCTGCTGCTGCTGCCGCTGCTTGGGAGCAGCACCCACCTCACCGCGGCGGGCCCTCAAGCGGCGACCGGAGGCGGCATCCCCCTCCTCCGCCACCCCATTCGCTGTCTGTCGTTCCTGTCCTGCCCCAGCGTCGATGTCGCCAGCCTTCCGCCGCTTTCGTTCCGACCCATGGGTCTTCCCGGCCGCCACTGACCCATGGTTCGGTCCGGTTCCGTTCGGCAGCAGCATGTCTGCGGACGGACAGAGGGCGGGGCAGCAGAGCGGCATGGACACATGGGAAGTGACGAAACACGTCAGGCTACCATCCCCCCCCCAAACACAACACATGGCCACACAGCCACACGAGTTCTTCTTACCCCCTGCATCCTCCATCCCCTCCTCCTCCTTCCTCTCCGCCCCGGCGGCCGCAGCATCCGCCGCCTGCCCCGGTGCAGCCTGCGCCCCCGGCCCGGGGTCCAACCCGCCGATGAGACCCGCGGCCGTACGGGACCTCCAGAAGGACGGCCAGAAATCAGAAACGTACGGAGATTTGAATCCACGCCGGCTGGGATCCAGATTGTCAGGCGGGTGGAACCAGTAGTTGAAGGCCAGGTGACCCACGGGCCCGCCGCCAGGAGGGCCCTTGGCGCCGCTGCCGTTTCCGCTGCCACCACCCGCGGCGGTGCCGATGCTGACGTCATCGCTGCCCTCAGCAGCCGCAGCAGCAGTGCCCCCTGCGGTGCCGTACGAGGTGACCTCGTGGAACCAACCTGAGGGTAGACAGGGGCCAAGAGGGTTAGGATGAGCAAGAGGCGAACTACCGGGGATTGTGCGGCATACAGGCTCCACCATGGGGGAAAGGGGGGGGGGGGTGCCAAAAGGGATATAGCCAAAGCCCAATCATGTAATCGCATCCATCAAGGGCATTGTGCTGCTTGGGAATCCCTCCGCGAGAGGAGTGGCCCGGCGAGGCAACAGCGGTGCGGAGACGAGGTGCGGACAGCTCCTTCAGCGCCCCCAGCCGGCTCGACAATCGCACCCCCCCCCCTGCAGCAACACACGCCTACAGCCTCCTCCACCTCCCACCCGACCTGTCCCCCTCCCCTCCCTGCCCCAACCACGCCGCGACGCGACCCACCTGCCGGCAGGTAGAGCATGCTGCCCGCCTCCACCACCACCTCCACCGCTGCACTCCGACCGGGGAAGAGCGGGAAGGCGGCGGCAAGTTGCAGGTCACTGACCCGTGGGTCACCCATCGGCACGCGGCTAAAGCTGGGAGGCGTGTTGTTGTCTACTATTAGGTCCGCCTCCTCCTCCTCCTCCTCCTTGCACTCCCTCCCTTGCCCCTTGCTGGCGCTCCCGCCCCCTTTGGCACCCTTGCTCCCGCTCCCGCTGCCGTTGCTGCCGTTCCCGCTGCTGCTGTTGTTGCCTCGCTTGCCGTGCGGCGGCCGGGGCGAGGGACCCTCCGCCGCATCGAAGTCGTCCCGCAGGTTCCGAGGACCGCCCTCCTGCTCCTCCTCAGCTGCCTCCTGAGCCTCATCCTCCTCTTCCTCTTCCTCCTCCTCCTCCTCGCCCTCCTCGCCGTCCTGCTCCTCCTCCTCGTCGTCACCATCCTCCTCCTCTTGCATGTCAAAGTCATCATCCCCCTTCCCCTCTCCCTCCTCCTCCTCCTCCTCCCATGCCGCATCAGATAGCTCCGCCTCCAAAGCAGCCTCCAACGCGCACTCAGCCGCCGCCAGCCTCTCGGCGGCTCCCTGAGGGAAGGGTGAGGGAACGGTGGGCGGGGGTTAGGGGTTGGGGGGTGAGCGGAGCTAGCCAGACGAAGCCCGCTTCCGGGACCCCTACTGCACGCCACTGACCCCCGCCACCCACCTGCTCCCCGCGCGCCACCTGCACCCCGCCACCCACCTGCTCCCCGCGCGCCACCTGCACCCCGCCACCCACCTGCTCCCCGCGTGCCACCGCCGCCTCCGCCGCCGCCACCGCCGCCTCCGCCTGCGTCCGCTGCCGCCAGCGGGCCACCTCCCGGCCGTCCGTGCCGTCAGCCATCACATCTCCCTGAGGAGGAGGTGCAGGAGGAGGAGCAGGGGGAGTGACCCGTGGGTCCTTCCGGGGTCCGCAGCGGTGGCAACCAAACAATGCCACTCTCCCAACGCACCGCCCTCCCGCTCTGCCCCCAACGCACATGCACCTTGCCCCGTCGCCCACACCGCCGCCCATCCAACCATGCCGAATTCCCACTCTCCCTCTCCCTCTTGCCACCCCGCAGGACTGTCCCACCGCCCCCACCCGGATACCAACGGATACCAATGCTTCAGCCCTGTACATCCTCCCCCCACCTGGCTGTCTTCCACTCCCTGTCCCGGCCCCAGGGAACGAACCCCCACCCACCCCCCCACCCACCTGGCCCTCGTACACGATCCTCCCGTTGTCGTGCACCCGCACCGCCCGCCCGTGGGTGTACATGAGGGCCGCCTGTGCGGGCGGGAACAGCCGGAAGCGCTTGCGGCCCCGCAGCAGCACGTAGAGGTTGTCGTGGAAGTCGTGGTGCAGGCCGCTGCTGCTGCCTGGAGCGGTGGGGGGGGGAGGAAGGGGTGAAATACATACGAAGAGGAGGGGAGGGGAGGGGAGGGGAGGGAACAGAAGGAAGACCATGACCATGCGTTGAGAAGAGGACGGAGGGAGGGATGGGGTGGGGTGGGCAGAGGTACGCGCCGCGGGGTATGTGTTAAGAAAACTGGCCGCGAGTAGGAACGTACTGGTATGTCGGAAGGCCGTGTTGTGCAGGAAGTGGCGAGGGAAGCGCTTGCTGCCGCATGGCGGGACGGGGAGGGTGAACCGCTAGGAGGCATGTGGGGGAGTCGGTCTGGGTGTACGGAATGATGAAACACACACGATGACACGACTGCCGCATGTTGGATACGCCGCATGTTGCTGCACGTCCTAAACCCCTCCCCTTCCTCAAACCCCGCCTCCCGCCTCTCTCCCCACCCCACCCCACCCTCGGGCGCCGCTCCCATCCACACGTTGAGCGACTGAGGCACCAGGTGACCCGCCAGGGAGGGGGCGGCGGGGAAGTCAGCGCCGGAACCGCTGCCACCACCTCCACCCCCCCCTGCCGGCCCCCCTGCTGCCCCCCCCGCCAGGCTGATCAGGGGCTCCGCCATGAGCTGCGGGTGCCCGTCCGGGGCGATGGAGACCTGCGGGCGGCGGGAGGGGGCCATCCCGGACACAGCTCAGTGCTGTCCTCGCGGCTCAGTTCGCGCTGCTGCTGCTGCTGCTGCTGTCGTCCTGTGTGCCGGTGGGGGATGAGCTGGGAACGCCCATCGGTGCAGGCGGGGCGGGGCGGGGCGGCAACAACCCCAGCTCAGCCCCCAGCTCAGCACCCAGTCAAGGCAGCCATGGAGGAACACGCAGCGCAGCCGCCCTTCCGTCGACCCACAGAGCCCTCGCCCCGGGAACGACAGTGAAATGAACTTCTCTCATCCTCCCTCTCTCTGCCTCCCGCCCCCCGCCTCCCTCCCCCGCACGCCCCCACCTGCTGCGCAGTGAGGTAGAGGTTGGTGTCCCCCGCCGCAACCCGCCGCACGAACTGCGCGAACCGCATGGGCCGCTTGACGCCCCGGCCGTAGCCCTCCCCGGGGCCGCCCCGCACCTCCACCAACACACGCGCAGAGCCCTGCATGGAGGCGGGGGGGGGGCATGGAGGCGGGGTGGGGGTAAAAATAAGGAAATGTAACGAACTGGATGACTGGTGGGGGCGGGGGTTGTGTACAGGGTTAACCGGTGGGGTTAGGGAGTACAGGGCAGGGCAGAGAGGGGCAGGCGCAGACGTCCTCTGACGGCACAGCGGTGGGCACCCGTGCGCGCCGGTCAACCTGACACACACACAGGCAATTTTCGGCAATCACAGTACGTTTCGCGGCCAGTTATTGTTATAACACACAGAGGACTCGCGGCCAGTTTCGTTAACACACAGGGGGAGGGCATCAGCTTCCCACAATCCAGTACGTCCCTACTCGCACCAAACATCGTAACACTCCCGCCATGACTCCCGCCGCCCCCCACCCAGTCGCCTACCGCTTTTTTGATGAGGTACTCGTCGGTCCAGAGGCTGGAGGCGCGCCAGGAGAGGTCCGTGGGGTGGCCCCGGATGAGGACCTTCGGGTTTGGGAACGGGACAGGGGCAGGGAGGGGCGAGGAGGGAGGTAAAACAGGGGGTGAGGTGGGGGTGAAGTGAGGGATGCGGAAAAAGGGCGCGATTAAAGAACCTTGGGGTCGGGATTGCTAAGCGCCGGGGGTGTGGAAGAGCAGCCAAGGGAATGGGCGTCGTGCGGGAGGGGCAGGGGAAGGGTGTGGGAGGGAGCGACCAGGGCTGCATGGGAGAGGGTGAAAAGCTAGGGCATTTGCAGCTGTATGTAACTCACTGGTTTGCGGGGTGCGACGTACTTTGCCCAGAAGGTTTCAGGGTCTAGCGTCGCGACATCCACTGTCGCGATGCCCCCAACGTCGTCCTGTACAAACGGGTTTACCTGATGAGGATAAACATGCACAATAGCTGCAATACACTTATCTATTGTAGGTACATACCTCTGATGTTTGAGCCGCCTGTACCATTTCCCAAATGCAGATGCTTGCGTCGAACACGAACACCAAGCAAAGTAAGTAACAACTTCAAGTATATTCAAACAAAGCTCTCTGACATCAATGCTTGTGTCGAGTTTTGTTGCGTCCCTAAATACGAGCGTACACGAGAAGAAGATCAGGGCCTTCGGATGTTGCCATAAACTCCTATGCTCCTAATCGCTCTTGATTATCCACACAGCAGCAGTAAACCCGGTACATTTGGAGCGCATCAGCGTTGGCTTCGGAGCACGCATCAGTTCACGGACTCACGGTTCAGGAGGGTCAGGACTCTCAATTGCTTACAGTCGATCCGAGAATAGGCGCAGAGTCTCAAGGTGCGCTGGTTGTCTAAAATCAGTCGTCGCAGAAACGAGGCCCGCCAGCCAGATACCTTCACAGCCTCCCGCCGCACCAAAGCAGTGAGGTAACCCAGGCTGTGAACCTTACACGAGTTCCATGTGCACATCGTGCATGTGTCCCAATCGCATGCACGTATTCGCAATCCCCAGGTGAACATACATAGTGGTGAGATACACGCTATAGCAACACCTCCCCCGCCATGGGGGGCGAGAGGGCGCCCACTCAAAGCCGCCCTAGTAGCCCAAACAGCCTAAGCCCAACACCTCCACCCACTCATCAACACCCACGTACCCACCCCCTCACAAACACCCACGCACCAACCCACCGACACCCAGCCCAACTCACCAAACCGCCTAACCCAGACATGCCCAACTTACCCACCGTAACCACCCAAATCAATCCTAACTCGGCAAAAGAGCCACGGGGCCCGCTAAACCAACTGTCTGCGCATAACGCGTAACACACGCGTGCCAGGTATAACTGCACCGGCATGGCCACGTGTGAGTGCTACCCAACCTATATATACCCTACATCTACATCCACCGTACATGTGTATGTTTCCTCGGATCCCATATGACTGTACCAGGGAGGTGCAATGCTTGAGACGTAAGTGGCAAACATAACGCCGACTTCTGCAATTTAGGTGCAAGACCTGTGGCACCTTCAATTCATCGATACATCGCTCCGCTCTCATAACTCCATCCGTGCATCCGAACACACTTGCAACGCTGCAGGATAGGACCAGTGCATCTAAAACACACACACATGGCGTTTTCGGTGGGAGGACCAGTTATTTTAACACATGCACCGCTTCCTACTGTCGTTTAGGACCCCCAACCGCCATCCCCCACCTCCTCCAGTCCTCCACCAACACCATGCATCCAAAGTGCATGGCAGCTGCCTGGTAGGCGCCGCACAGCCACCCATCCACAACCCCCACTTGCAGGAAGATACACACGCACGCATCTGGGTCCACTTGCCTCGTATGATACATGGGGTCAACATGTCTCATAGGATACAAACACCCGCTGGGGTGGGGAGGTTCTCTCATCGCCTCTTTCCCTCAACACACCTCTCGCTCCCCGTACGTATGCGCTTGCATACCTTCGTCGCCCTCACCCATGCCCAAAGTAGCCTCCTCATTCACACACCGACCAAGAAGCAGAGCACCAATGCATGTCAACTTCTTGAGTAATTTTAGCGACCAGACCAGCCTACATGAATGGGTATCGTACACATGCCACCATTAGGCGCAGGAACCTGATCCATGCTATTTCAGAACGCTCGCATACCGTAACACTCCTTGAGCAATGAACCCTGCATGCAAATGCCTTGACAGCTTGCCTAAGCGCCCCTCCCCGCCCAGTCGGCACGAGGTGGCAGCAGCTGCGGTGATTGGAGACTCAGACAGACAGATAGAGATCGACGCCCTGCATTCAGGCGAATGCCAGGCTTGCACGCAAAACTCACTCCCTCGCTATGTCCCTTCAAGCGCCCCGCCTCGACAGTGTTAACCGCTCTTATTAGTTTGCAAGCACGTAATGGCAAAAGATGCACGGTAAAAAAAGGCAAGTTCGTGAGGAAAAAGATTTAACGCTGACAACACCAAACAGCCCTCCGCACCTTCTCCTGCGGCAGTCACTGATATGGCCGCATGTACGCTGCAACAGCAGTCTTCGATACAACCTACCGGTATGCATGATGGCCACGAGAACGCAAATCTCCCAAGGAACACAGGCGCACGCCACAAACACACACGATTTCGACTCTACTAGAATATTTGCCACTGGACATCATAAGGCTGTGACGCGAGCGGTGTGTCCAGCGGACATACAATGTCAGGCTTCTTTTGCGGCTCCTGGGCACTCCTGGATCGCATTGTGCCGTACGGAGGTTAGGCAGTAAGATTCCGTTGGGATGTCCGTACAAATATCAGAGGCCAATTGTGCCGGGTAAAGCCTGCGGCCATGTCAGAGAGATAAGTACTGTATGTGCTCTTACTATGTAGCAGTAGCAACGAACTCTTCAGGACGCCTCACCTTGATACCACGCTGCGAAACGTTCAAAAGGTCAAGGTGCCTGTCCTGAACGTATCCCACTGGGCCTTCACCGTCACCCCGGCCAGCGACGTAACCTCCACACGCGCCGAATAGGGGTTTAGCAGTAACACGTGGTGCTCGGGCTGCAGCGGTGGCTTTACATCTTGGTCTCGCTCAGCTGTGATTGAGAAGATCAAGCAAGAAAGAATTAAACTCTTTAAGAGAAAGCCTCCGCAGTATGCGGCATAGGAGAGAGGACGTATGGCCCTCGCACGGACCAGTACAGTAGCCAACACCAAGGAGTAGATGCGAACAAGGGAACCCTCCTGCCTACCGTAGCGGCTTTGGCGCTTGCAGTCGTCATTCCGCGAAACTGTAGTATTGGGAAAATTGGCAAGCAATTGTTGGCAGCCGCAGCTAACGATAGCAGAGCATAGTTGGATGGCATGTCCTGCCAAGGCAATGCTTAGCGATTTTCACTGTACCCCAACAACAGGTAAATGCATCACAAATTACATTGATAGTGTCTTACCGCGTGCTACTTTCGCGTTTGGACCTTGGTCGTGCTCTTGGTATTCATTCCCAGCTGCAAGTTGGTGGGAATCAACTAAAGGATAAGCGGTTGCGCCTAGGGTAACCGATAGTAACATTAATAATTAGCGATGAGCTCACCACGCTTGTTTTCTGGATGTGCTGTGGTTCTAGTCGTCGAATTCGCCGTCGAACCGGAAGTGCCAATATCTTGGCCTCCGCTAGAGGGTTGGGAGTACTTGTAAACCTTTGGATAACGCCGAGCTACCATCGTATTAGGCTGCTGGATGGGGCCCTTGCTGCTTGCGGCGCAATACTATCCGCAAAGCCAAAGTAGGTGTATCTTCCGAAAAGGCCTCTGCTGTCAGAAGTATACAGAACACCCTGGCCTCTTTCAACAATTCCTCTTATAGTTGGCATTTAGCGCCGTGAAAATAGGTTTGGCCTCGGGATTGCGAGGACTTCGTCGTACCATATATATATGCATGTAAGACCAATCGTCGACCTCCAGAGGGTTGGCGGTGTGAAACTCATACCGCCAGGCCACAGTAGTAAACGTTTTAATATAGCAACGTAACCATCATCTTATAAGGTATTGTCCACATTAACGCAGTTTCCATTTCAGGACTGACTGAAGCAAACAAGCATTATAATTCTGGTACAGTGTATATGTAGTTTAATTTCATCTGTATTTTTATGTGGTGGGCAGTAGCGAGTAGATAATTTTTGTCGGTCTTTTGCGGCCGAAGATGAAGCGCTCGTCTACCCGGCAGACGTGGCCTCAGACACGTTCCTTGCCAAGCGTATATGTGACGAGAAGGCATACGCGAACACGTAACTTGTAAGCAATAAACACCGTACTGATAGTGCAATTGACCAGTGAACGCGTACTGTACGTCGTGTTCCTTGGAGGCCAAGCCCACACCAACCCGACAAGGGACAACAATCTCTCAGCCCAGACAAGTCTCTGAGCTTTGAAGCCGCATATTTATAGTCCCCATACGCTCAACTTTCGGGTCTATCCCAACTTCCGTCGAAAGGCTCCCGCATTGTAAGGCCCATTGCCTCATCCCACTGTTAAGTCCCTTTAAATTTTCAAAAACCCACCAGCTACGACAGTCATGATCCCAATGGATAACCATGAGAATTCCGCCCGGCCGCCCAAGCAAACGTGCTTGTCCTTGCTGCATTCAACCGCGTGCCGCCTCTGCCACACCACCAACGGCTAGAAAACCTGAGCCCCCACCCGACGAAGCCCTGACCCAGATCGCCCCAGACGATCCACACCACCCAGTTACTCCTACACCACCCGCCCGCTGATACTGCCGTGATGGTTCTGCTATTGCTGCCCATCTCCCTTCACGCCCCCCTCGCCACGTGCCTCCGTGGCCACCTGTTGCTGCTGCTGCCCTCCTCCTTCCTGCTTATCCGCAGCCGCCGCCTGCGCCCCCGCCTCCGCCGCTGTCCCCTCAGCCCCCTTGCCCGCCCCCTTCTCCTCCTCCTTGGCCGCCCCCGCCTGCGCCGCGGCCCCGCACTGCTGCTTGTGCCCTGTCCGCCAGTGCGCCGTCTGGCACTCCCGGGAGCAGTAGCGCGCCTGTGCGTGTGTGTTTAGGGGAAGAGAAAAGAGGGAGGGGAAAATGGGTGGAGTGGGGAACTGGGTCTCGATCGGTGGGTGGCTCTTCAGGGGCAGTCCAGCTGTAGGCTACCGGTATAGTGGGGGCGCGAAGGAGCGGCAGCTGACAGCGTGTGGGAGGTGGGAGCAACACAGCGGCCTGCCCGCTCGCTGCGAGCGCACCATCCTCCCAACACTGTGGTCACGCCGGAGGAGAAAGGATGGCCGTCAAGGAGCAGTGCCCCCCTCCCCATTGCTTTGACCTAGCCCGTGGTTTTGGCATGTCTTCCCCCCTCCCACCTCCCCGCCCCCTCACCTGCATGCACCTGCTGCACCGCTGCATGCGGGTGGAGGGCACACTGCACTGGAAGCACACGCGACCCTTCAGATAGTCCGTCAGCATCACCTGGCAGGAGGGTGGGAGGGGGGGTGGGTGGGGGAAATAATGCCATCAGAAGTGCAGCAAGGGGGGGGGTAATCGGGATGGAGATTCCGCATAGGGCTGGATTGTAGGATTGCGCATAATGAAACTTGTTGGGTTAGTAGCAGCAAACCGTAATAAAGCAAGGGGGGGAGGAGTCGGAGAGAGTCGGAGAGCGTTAGAGCAGCACGGGGCAGCGTCAGGACGCAGGAGGGTGGTGATGGGGTTGTGCATGCTGCGAGCTCCGTCAGCGTCTGGCGGGGGAGGCGGCGGGTGGGAGCCAGGAGACGGGGCCGGCAAGAGGCGAGCGGGGGCTTAGGAACACAAGATGGGTCCGAAGGCCACGAGAGGCGTCCGCTATCTGTGAAGCCACCTGCGCGCTGTGCTGCTGCTGCAACCCAACCCCGCGCTCACCTCCGCTGCAGCCAGCACCGCCTGCTCCGGCGGCTGCTCCGCGCCCTCGGGCCGCGGCAGCTCCCGTTCCGCCCGAGCAGTGCAGTCCAGCCACAGCTGCACAGCGGAGGCGCGGCGACCTGGGGGTGGAGGTTCAGGAGAGGGCAGAAGGAGAAGGAGGAGGAGGATACGGTGCCGTGCTGTGAACGATAGTGGTGGCCCCGCCCCCACATCCCAACTCCCCCAAGACTCAATTTTCTGGGCCAGTACGGCACCCCTCCCAACCAGGCCCCTGCCGGGAACCCCTCCCCGGTACCTACTTTCAGGCGCCACCGGTACGGCATCCTTGGGCGGTGCCTCGTACTTGGTAGCCCAGTCGGCGGGAATGAGGTCCTGAGGCACCGCGCCGCCCTCCTGCACGGCACGCAGGCGGCATGGTGCGGTACCGCAGGCGCAGCGTACGACACGCGGTTGCTGCGTGGCGATGTCGCCGAAGGCGGTGAGGAAGGCCGTGGCGCGGGGGTGGCGCCAGGAGGTGGAGGAGTTGGAGTTGTTGTGCAGGTGGTCAACGGAGACGAACAGGCAGCCGGGGCCGGGCAGGAGCGGGCCTTCGGTGTCGCAGGGGGCTGCGATGGAAAGGAGGACGAGGGTGGCGGTTGGGAACAAGAGCACAGTTAGGTTGGTTTAAGAAAGGACCGGAATGAGAAAATATAAGTGGCGATATTCATCTGTACTGGTCTGCTAACGCAACCCTGCAGTGCACATTGGTAGGATACAAATCTGTGTTCCAGAAGCCCGAAGTTGTAGGACATGCTAACGCGGCAAGTAGCTGCGCCCTGTACGTCGTGTCCTCCTTACCAAGTAGGACCAGGTCCGGCCGGTAAGGTACATACCACAGTTGAGATGCGGCGGCCATGGCGACGCAACCCTAAGCAGACTCGACGATCAGTAGAGTAGGTGCTCGCCCTTAATGGTTTTGTTCTTCCTTGACTTATTATCAGCACGTATCCTCGGTATCAACTGGCGGCTCGGTCACTGTGCAATGTTCGGCCTAGAAAGCAGCAGCTTAGCCAACAATTCTCGCAATCTTCTAAATTACCATTATCAAAGGCCAAAGGATAGATTACGCGTAGCATGTGAAAGTCGCTTGTACGGTACTGAAAGGGTTGTAACGGTATCAACGACCCAGGGATTTCGCAGCCGTTTAAAGGGCTCTTGTTTGATTTCGCACCGTGTGCACCTTTGAGCATAGCAAGAGTAGTTGTAAGACAAGGCGAACCTTTGGCGGGAAGCTTAACAGTATCTGCATGCCATCTCGCCGCGAGGGCGTTGACGTTGTCCATGTGACGTGACCCTGCCCATAAATCCTTCGCACCCTACGCCCATGAACTCCCCCTCCGGCCCGTTCCGTTCCGATAGTGCAGCCACCACCGACAGCGCATCGCATTCCGGCATCACTAACCTGTTAAATGCTGGCTGTGATCCACGCCAAAGTAAGTAGCAGTGCAGCCATGCATGCCCACTTGGAGGACCCTTCCGCAGACAAGCTAAAACCACTTTGAAAGTCTACCAACCCATCGTAAAATCAGGCACCGGACCACACGTGCCTTCCTGCTTTCTTTGCAGGAGCCTTGACCAAACAGGCTAACTGACTATGCAGCACTTCCCCAACAGTACCGGCAATCACGCAAGGAGCTCCCGTTACCTCCCTCAACCCAGCCACATCTGGATACAACCATGCACCTTCAAAGGCCTTTACGTGTGGCCTACCGTAGCTATAACAGCGTAGTTGACGTGACGGACCCTTCCATTGTCAACCGCCGTTAGCACCAAGCCCACCACCATGAACATCATTCACGTGTGAACCCAGTTCGCAAGATGTTCCTCAGCCCCTTGCAAACCTCTCAGCCCCTCGAGCCAACCACCAAGCCACAACGCAACAAGCCACGCACGCATGCAGGTAAGCACACCAAAGCGACCTTCCTAAGCAGCTATCCAGGGCAACAGGGTGCTTCCAGAAAGCTCGGGGACGCATACCGCGTCCCGGCTCCCAAGCCATGAGCAGTACGAACCGGCATGGGGACCAAATGGCAGGTAACGGCATGCACCCTGCCACCTGCCCCGGCCGTGAAAGCTACCATGCAAGCATGGACCCATGGTTCTTGCATGGAGACAAACGCCGCGTCCTTCCACGTCCTTTGCCCTGGCCCAAATCATGTCTGCACTACCTAACACACCTGATAGGCGAACAGCAACGCATACCCTACACAACAGCTATCCTACACCGCTACAACGACACATCCGCAACAACGTGTCAACAAAAACCTCGGTACGCCCTTCAGCTACTACCGATACTCCGCTACGCCCCCCAAATCCAGCCCCATTGCTTTGCCCTAACTTGTGGTCTCCTATGCTTTGATATGGTCTTTGGCCCCCAGCTCCGGCCCCTCACAAGTCCTCCCGCGGCAGGTTCTGCTTCACCCTCCGCCCCGAGCGAGTGGTGGTCACCCCGCTGCCGCCCGGGTCCGCGGACGCCTCCCGACTGCGCTTCCCCCCGCTCGCATGCAGCCCCGCCAGCTGCCGCCGCGTCGTCAAGTGGTGCTGGTGCAGGTGGTACGGCATCATTGGCGGCGGCGCCGCAATGCCGTCTTCCGACGCTGCAGCCGCTGCTGCAGCAGCGGCGGCTGCCGCCTCTGCAGCGCCTCCGGCGCTGCTACCACCGCCTCCTCCCGCAGCCCTCGCGCACACGGGACACAGCCAGTCTCCCTCGGGAATGTCCGGCAGCCCGGCACACGCCAGGTGCAGGGCGCGGTTGCATCCCTCGCCGTCGCAGCACAGCAGCTCCCCCTCCAGACCGCACCGCAGGCACAGACCCGTCCACTCGGGGGTGGAGCCCACGCCAATCAGCGCCGGGTCGTCCGTGTACTGGTAGGGAGAGTCCGGGTATTCCGCCGCCGCAGCGGCGGCAGCCGCGGCTGCTGCCGCCGCCGCCGCTGGCCCCAGCAACGCAATCAGCGCCGCAGGGCCCTTCTTGGCCTTGCGCGCCGCCGCCGCTGCCGCCGCAGCCTCCGCTCCGCCGGCGGCCTCGAACTCCATCCGGCGCTTGGCCGCCTTGATCATGGGCGTGCACCGGTCCACCAGCACATGCGCCGCAAACGCCGCCGCCGCCTCCGTGGGGCCCTCCCAGCCCCTCCCAGCACCCGCCTCATCAACCCCCGTACCGGCACTCGCGCCCTTGGCCGCCGCAAGCGCCCTTCGCAGGTCCCTCAGCCACACCGCGCGCTCCCGTGCCGAGCGCCACAGCGCCGCCCCCTTGGCCAGGTTGAGCAGCCGCATGTTGAGCAGCAGCGTCTCCACGTCCGGCAGCCCGCCCGGGCCGATGGGCGGGTCCGTGCTGTTGCGCAGCCGCTCCTCCTCGTTGTCGCTGTCCTCCAGCTCGTCCAGCGCGGCAACCTGACGGAGAGGACCGCTGCTGCTACTACTGTTGTGGTTGCTGTTGTGGTTGTTGTCGGGGTGGATGACGACTGAGCCGGTGGCTGGCGCCGCCGCCGCTGGCAGCAGCGTCGCGGGCTGAACTTCTGCTTCTTTGGTGGCGTTTGTGGTGGTGGTGTTCGTGGTGTCGTCAACTGCCATGGGGTCTGAGGAGGCGGGTGCAGCGGAGGGCTCCGCTGCTGCCGCCGCGGGATCAGCAGCAGCAGCAGCAGCAGCAGGCGCGGTGGCGGGTGCAGCTGCTGAGGCCTCGATAGCCGCGGCGGGTGCGGGTGCTGTTGCTGCTGCTCCTCCAGAGGTGGGGAGGTGCGAGGACGGCAGTGCCGAGGAAGAGTCCCGGGGAATGCGAACCCGGCCCCTGGAGGTTGGGAGGAAGGTTGGCGAATGTCTTTCAGACAGCCTAGCATACAGAAGTTGTATGCAAGGATCGTACTCGGGCCGTCTACCGGTAGCACATGTTGGCATAGACTATGTGCACCCGTAATCCTTGCAATGTGTCCCTAAAGTTCCCAGTTTCTTCCTCTGTATCCCCGTTTCCTCCCCACCCCCACCCCACAAGCCCACCTGCTCGTCATGGAAGCCGCAGCGGCCGCCGCAGCGGCTGCAGCAGCCGCAGCAGCTGCCACCGCTGCCGTCTGCTCTGTTACAGTCGCCGCCGCCGTCGCTGCACCCTCCTCCCCGCCCGCCCCCTGCTCCTGCTTGGCGCTCCCATCTCCCTCCACCTCCATCTTCCCCTCCTCCGCAGCTGCCCCCTCCTCCGCCGCCTGCCCCTGCTGCGTGTCCGGCTCCTCCACCCCCTGCCCCTCCTCCTGCTTGCCCTCTCCCTCCTCCTTCCCAGCATCCTCCTCCTTGGGCTTCCTCCACCTGCCCCGCCCCCTCTTCACCTCCTCCGTGCCTCTTCCCATCGGCCCCACCAGCTGCTCGTACTGCTGCTCGAATGCGGGGTCGGAGGGAGCCAGGGTGAACTCCGCCTCGAAGCACTCCGCCTCGGTCGCCGCGAGGGACTCCAGGCAAGGGTGGTCGGCGCCGGGGGGCGGGCCCTCGCCCAGCCGGCACAGCAGGGGCTGCGCAGGGGAGGTTGGCGGGGCTGGACGTTAGCAGTTGAAAAGGAAGAAACTAACTAACCGGATGACGAGTCTTCACCAAGGATTGCACATGGGAGGTTTGTACCGAGGGCCAAAAGATGATGGGGTGGGCAAGGAGGCAGGAAGGGTGGGAGGACCAAGGAAAAATGCGCCCTTCCCCAACATCACGGCCCCCCACCGCGCGCCTACCTCCAGCCGAGCCAACTGCTCGCACAGACTCGCTGCGTCGCCCTCCTCGCCGCACGCCCGAAACACCTCCCGCCACGCCTCAATGCCGCCCTCAACGCCCTCGCTGCTGCCACTGCTGCCGGCGACACCGCCGCTGTGCCCCACCACCATTACCGCCTCCGCGTTGCCGTCCGCGCCCGCCACAGGTGCGGCGGCTGCGCCCGCGTCCTCCTCTGCAGCCGTCGCCTCCGCCTCCGCTAATGGCTGTGAGGGTGCGGGTGAAGGAGGTGGCGGCGGAGGCAGTTTGAATCCCGCCGCTGCCAGGCCTTGCAGCATGGAGTCGACTTCGGCTGCGGCCCCGGACAGCACGCTGCGGACCTTCTCAGCCTGGAGGGAAAGGAGCGGGAGGTGCGGGGATGGCCGGGAGGTGCGTGGACGGTGGAGAGGAAATCAAGACGGGTGCAGGGTGTTCATGGGCAGCAAGCCGGACAGGACCAACAGGATCAAGCCAAGACGCCCAAGACGCCTTCCACACCATGTCCCGCCACTGGTCAACTGGTTAGTGCTTAACTTATCCAACCGGTCGCCTACTTACCCGCCACCCTAGCTAAACCATCATCGCTCCCAACCACATTCCAGCCTCCGTCTCCAGCCTCCATCTCCCAGCCTCCCCCCCATGTCAGTTTATCTAATCCCCCCCATGTCCCTCACCCCCTCCTCCTCCCCTCACCTGCACCACCTCCGCGGGTCGCACCTCCGCCGGCAGCTCAGGCAGGTGGAAGATCCGGCGACCCCGGCGGCACCAGAAGCTGTCCCGCGGCACATGCTCCCCTCCCAGCAGCTCCGAAACCGCCGTACACACGGGCGGCAGCAACTCCTCCTGCTCCTCCTCCTCCTGCTGTGGCTGCGGCGGCTCTTGTTTCCCTTGGTGCTGTTGCTGGTCCGCAGCAGGCTGCTCCTTACTCTCCTCGCCGCCTGCAGCAGCAGCAGCAGCTGTTGTCAAGCCCTCCTCCTTCACATCCATGGGGGCAGAGGAGCCCGCAGTAGGCTCCTCGGTTTTGACGCCGTTGGGACCGAAGGGGACAGCGGCGGCGGCAGCAGCGCCCGAGGGGGCGGCCCCTTGCGGCCCCGGCGCTGCACCGCTGGGCGGCGCCTCCTCCGCCTTCACAACTGGTGCCCCCGGCGCCGGAAGCACCTCCCCAGCTGCCTCCACCTTCACAGCTACCGCTGCAGCCGGCTGCTGCTGCTGCTGCTGCGCCCCGACAGCCTCCGACTTGACAGCTGCCAATGCGTCTGGTTGGGGGTGCGAGGACGATGACGGTGGCGGCAGCGACGGAGGCGGCGGCTTAGAGTCAACCTCCATGTCGTGTTCGTCGTCAGCAACGGCGGCGGCAGCAGCGCCTCCACCGGCACGTACGACACCCGGCAAATCTAGGGACTGAGTCGCCTCGGAATCCGTGTCGTCTTCACCGTCTGCCGCCGCCTTCGGTGCCTTCGTTGCCGCCGCCGCCGCGGCTTTAAGCCTGGCATGCGCAGCCGCCGCCGCTGCAGCGGCAGCCGCGGCGGCGGCTACCACCGCCGCTGCCCTTCCCGGCAGCGGCGGTCGCGGCCCTCCGACGCCCATGTCCTCCGTTTCCGTGGAAGGAGTGGGCGGTGTGGGCGGCGTCGGCGGCTGGGAGGGCTCCGGCGGCGGCGGAGGCGGCGGTGGCGGCGGCGGCAGCAACGCCGCTACCAGCTGTGCGTACTTGCGGCGGAGGACGGCAAAGAGCTCGCGTTCCCTGCGAGCAAGCATACCGGTATGTCGGTGTAAGCACGCACGCGCAAACCCACAGCAGCGTAAGCTTACATCACGTATTTTCAACCCCTACGCTCCACCCGTCACCCCCAGGGTCCTCTCCGCCGGCTGAGCCCCTCCTCCACAACGCCCCTTCAACCAGCCTCCCACCAGCCCCCCTCACCTGGGTCCCCGCCGGTTGAGTCCCTCCAGCAGCGCATCCAGCTCCTCCCGACTGCTCACCACACCCAGGGAGGGCTGAGGGGGGGCAGCGGCACCTGCTGCAGGGGCAGCCACAGCAACAGGGGCAGCGGTGCCAGGACCTTGCAACGCCCCTTGCTGCTCCTGGGGCTGTGGTTGTTCCTGCTGCTGGTGGCTGTCAGGACCCGCATGCGGCCCCCCTGCTGCCGCTGCAGCTGCTCCACATGCGGCAGCAGGGGCCCCTGCCTCCGCCCCCAGGCGCGCTGCCACGTGTAGCGCATGCGCGGTCCGCTGCTCCGGCCGCAGCCCCAGCCCCTGCTCGTGCTGGCAGCTGTCCTCCAGCAGCAGCAGCGGGCCCGCGCCGCCCAGCAGCCAGTAGCGACGGTGGTACCTGGGCGAGGGGGATAAATGATAGGTGCAGCTCAGTAATGTTCATGCGGTTAGACGCAACGCATCGTAACTGTAGTAGAAAAAGAAATGTACGGAAGATAACCAGCCCCCTATCGATAACCACCCTACCCTAAGCACTACCCGACCCTCCCCCAAACACCCCTCCACCCCCACCCTCCTCCCCACCTGTCGCACCCCAGCGGCTCCATGCGCACCGCCACCTTGCGCAGCTCCGCATCGTGCGCGTTGTCGCGCGCAAACCACTCCTCCTCGCGCGCGCGCAGCTCGGCCTCGGAGGCGCCGCGGGAGCGCTTGCGGCGGGGCTGCAGGGGCGGGTGGGGGGAGATGGGGGTATGCAGCAGTTGGAACATGGGGGAATGGGGGTTCCTTGAGGGAAGGAAGCCGTGGGGGGCAGATGTACGGGTAGGACTTCCCGAGCGGGGGAACGGGTGGCAGACCCCTCGGCGGAAGCTGTATCCGTATGTAATAATAGGGGGAACCAGGTACATGCATAGTGCTTAGGGTATCACACGGGTGGTATGGCGGGTTCCGCAAACATGGCCGCCACAGTCCAGAGGTAGCCTCGTGCGACTCAATACACAATGCGCGCAGGTCTCTAACCATCCCAACCCCCACCCCAACCCAACTCACCCCCATGCCAGCCCCGAGCCCCTCCTCCCCTGCCGAGTCCTCCCCCTCCTCCCCCGCCGAGTCGCCCAGCTCATCATCCTCATCTCCGCACAGCCCACCGCCCGGGGGACCCGGCGGCACCATTGACGGCACTGATGGTACGGCACCGCCGCCGCCGCAGCTGCCGTGCGGCGGCGGCGTCACCGCCTCCGCCGCAGCTCCCACAGCCTCCACATCCCCGGCGTGATCATCATCGTCAGCGCCACCGCCGGCGGCGGCGGCGGCAGAGTCCGCCAGACCTTGGCTCATGTTGGCCGACGGCGCTGACGTCAGCAGCGACGGCGCCGTCGGGTCGTTGACGTCAGCGCCGCCGCCGCCGTCAAGCTGTCCCTCCGCCGCCGCATGCTGCGCCGAGCCGCGCCCGCGTCCCCGGCCGCGCCCTCTCCCTCGCCCGCGGCCACGACCGCGCCCGCCGCCGGCGGCCCGTCCGCCCCCGGCATCGTCGCCACCGCCAGGGTGCCCTTCCGTACCAGCGGCGGCGGCACCTCCGCCAGCTGCCGCCGCCGCTGCTGCCATGAGCTGCTGCCGCCGTTGCCGCTCCGCCGCCCTCCGCTGCTGCTGCTGGGCCTTCTCCCGCTTGCGGTGCTGCGTGGGTTCAGCATGCGTGGTGAAGTGCCACGGTTAGGGGTTGTCAGCGTCGGTTACGGGTTGAGGGTTAGGGTTACGGGTTAGGGAACCGTAGGATTGGACATGAGACCAGAGCCATGCAAATCCTCCCTAACCACCCCTCCCCCCGCCCCATGTTCCCCCCCCACCTCCACCCCCTTTGCCCCCTCACCTCCGCATCCGAGTGGTACTTGTTCACTTGCAGCTTCTCCAGCGCGTCCTGCCGGCTGCTGATCTCGGAGCGCGCGCCGTCGCAGCCCGCCGCGTCGTTGCACAGGGTGGCCAGCAGCCGCAGGTGGAAGGAGGGGGGGTGCAGGAAGAAGGGCGCGCGGGACAGCGACAAGGCAGCCTGGGAAGGGGGGTAGGGGGGGAGCAGGGAGGGAGCAGGAGGAATGGAGTTGGGTGGCTGTGGGCTGAGGAGGTGGAAAGGCGCGGGGAGCAGCAGGGAGCCCTACGTGTGCCGGGGCAAGGAGGCCTGGTGGGGTGAGGCCTCCGCCCTCTCCTTCGATTCTACACTGTATTACCAAGGACACTTGCAGCCGTGATCTACTAATTGCCCTTCCCTTCCTTCCCCCCGAATTCTCTACTATTAATCATCCCCTCCCCTCACCTGCACCGCCATGACATCGTCCGGCAGCAGCGGGTAGCGCAGGTCCACCAGGTCCGCCGGGCTGAGGGTCACGTGGGAGCTGTGTGGGGGGGGGGAGGGCGGGGACGGGGGGTGTAATAAGGAAGAAGATTCCGCATTAAGCTGGATTTTAGGATTGCGCATAGTCAAATTCTGGCAAATGGGGGGGAAAGGGCGGGGGCGGGGGGTGTACGGATGTGCACCGGAATTGGAGGGAGGAAGCCGTGGAGGCATACAGGGGAGGAATGGGTGGGGTCAGGTGAGGTGCGCCCTCCCTGCCCCCCCACCCCCCAACCCTTCACAGCACCCGCTTCAACCCTGCACGCCTACACACAGCCCACTGCACAGTCCCCAACCCTTGCACGTGCTCCACCACCACCCACGGTCAGTTCGTTGTTTCCTCTCTACCTCCCCCCACCCTCCAGCCCCCACCCACCGCGACAGCAGCAGGTACCTCCGCAGCACCTCGGGCCAGCAGCCCGGGGCCGCCAGCAGCCGCAGCCAGCGCTTCAGCCGCCCGGCCAGGCTGGGGCCGCCAGTGCGCAGCTGCGGGGGGAGGGGCGCAGGGAGGGAGTAGAGAAGGAGGAAGGCAGCAGCCGCAGTGAGTGCGGAGACACCAACAAGCCGTTCGCAGCCCAGCTACAACTATACACACATCCCCCCCCATTGGTCGTTGCCAGCTCTCCCTCTCCCCCCTCCCCCAACAACTCGCTGCCAGCTCTCCCGTCCCTCCCACTCTCCCCCGCTCTCACCCACTGCGACACCAGGAACCTCAGCAGCGCCACATACAGCTCCTCCAGCAGCGGGTCCTCGCAACCCCACACCACCGCGTGCTGCAGGCAGCGCAGCGGCGAGGGAGCGGTGGCGCCGCCGCGGGGGAGACCCGACAGCAGCGCAGCCGCGGCGGCGGCGGCCTGAGCCGCTGCGCCGGCGGAGGCGCCTGGCGGCGGAGGCGGCAGTCCCAGTGCGGCGGGGGGCACCCCGCAGAGGCGGCCAAAGAGGGAGATGAACTCCGAGACGGAGAGGGCGTCCATGAGGGAGGCGACCCGCTCCTGACCGGTGACCAGGAGCTGGAGGAGGAGGGGGGGAGACGGTGGGGGGGAGGGGTAGCGGTGGCGTTACGTGAGCGGTAAGAACGTGGGTGGAATTGTGGGGTGTTGTGAGTGAGGTTGGGCTCTCTAGCACACGTGTTGAGTAGGGTCAGGGTGGGTTGGGTAGGGATGTCCTCTTGACGTTCATGCATGCCATAACTGCAACCCGATTATCCCATTTCCGCCCCTTACCGCTTAGCCATCACCACCTTCTCCCCCCTTGGTTGCTCTACCTCAGCTCCCTCCCCTCCCCTCCCCTCCCACCTTGCAGCTGGGAGGCCCCCGGATGGCCAGGTCCAGCCTCCTCCGCCGCTCCCTCGCCTCCGCCAGCATCTCCGCAGCGCTCTTCAGACGCCGCAGCGGGTCGATGGCCCCACCCATGCCGCCCCCACCACCACCACATGCCTGCAGCGCAACGCAGCTACCGCTACTGCCGGCACCGGGAGCAGCAGCAGCAGCCCCACCCGCAGCCGGCCCCATGAGGCCCCATGCAGGTGCGGCAGCAGCACCCAGGGGAGCGGGGGAGTAGCTGCCGGGGGGCGGCAGGAGGGCGCCGGAGGCGGCGGCGGCGTGGGGGCCGTTGGAGGGAGGCTGGGGATGAGGGGCAGCTAGCTGTTGCTGCTGGTGTTGTTGTTGTTGTTGTTGTTGCGCCACTGCGGCTGCTGCTGCCGCTTTCTCGGTGAGCTCCTCAATCAGGGCGTCCAGCCGGGTTGCCTGGAGGGGAGGAGGAGGGAGGGGCAGGAGGGTAAGCAGTGCAAAGGACAGGGGAGTGAGGGACAGGAGGAGAAGAAGAAGGATGAGGGGACGACTGTCGGTACGGTGGTAGCAATCACGCGACATGGCGAGGGTGGGAGCCCGCATGCCCGTCCCTCCTCTACCCCCATGTCGCCCTTTCCCCCCACCGCTCCACATACCCAGGGCACCAGCAGGAGTCCCAACCGTGCGAAACCCACACGCACCCCGCTGCTTCCCTCCCGCCCACCTAGCTAGGTTGGGCAGCCCCATTGCCCCCCTCCCTTCCTCCTTCCCTCCCTCCCACACACGGTCAGTCAGTTGTTCCCTCTTCACCCTCCCTCCCCCTCCCGCCCCCGCCTCCCCCACCTCCTCTATGTCGTCCTCCACCACATCCAGGTCATCCAGCCCGCGGGCCCGCCACCGCTGCCGCTCGCGGTCCTGCGTGAGGAGCAGGATGGGGTAGGGTAGGGGGCCGAGGCGGCAGGGGGTTGCGTGGGCGAGGCGGTATGGCAGGCAGGCGGGCGCAAGCAGAGGATAGGGTTAGGAGAGGAGCTGAGCATACGCCGGGCAGCTCCCAAGGCTAAATCGCACTAGCGGAGCTGCGATAAGCCAAAGGAAATGCCGTCAAGCTCAGGGCACCGTGTTGCAGTGCACACGGTAGGACCTGATGCTGCATTGCTTCCGTCACTTCCGCACTCCTGCCCCTCCTTACCCACACCTCTCCTCTCCCTCTCCCTCTCCCCCTCCCTTCCCATCCCCCCTCACCCTCTCCGCCTTGGCTTCCGCCCGCAGCCTCTCCCGCTCCTCCCTCTCCGCCGCCCGCTGCGCCGCCCGCGCCGCCAGGTACGCGGCCTTCTCCGCGGGGTCAGCCCACCGCATGTTGCGACGGAAGGCGGCACCCGCACCCGCAGCCCCCGCGGCGCCGCCGAGGGCATCACCGGCAGCAGCAGCAGCGCCGCCGCCAGCGGCAGCACTGCTGCTGTACGGCGTCATCATGCCGCCGCCGCCGCCCGCCAGGGGTACCTGGTGCAGCGCGGCGGCTCCGCTGCCCCCGGAGAGCTCCAGCCTCTCCGCACAGCTGGTGGGCGAGAGGGAGGGGGTGAATGAGGCGGAGGGGTTCGGGGGTTATTGATAGCGGAAGGGGGTGACCGCACACCCCACCACACCGTACAGCTTACCCCACCGCCCCCAACCCCGCCCCCACCTGGGACAGGCCCAGTCCAGCAGCCGCAGCTCCTCATACTCCTGAGTGGTGCGGGGTGCGTGGTGCGGGGGCAAACGAGACAGGGGAGAAACGGGAGTTTGAGTGGTTCACACAGCTACTGGGCGACCTAACGGGGTAGCGCGGAACCTGCTGCCTCTGCCTGCCTGCCACAGCGCCCTCACGCGAGCAAAGCCAAACATGTCATCCACTCCAGTCCACTCTCCAAACTATTCACAACCTCCCCCAACCCCCAAGCCCAGTAACAGCCTCCTCCCGCTTTGCGCTTCCTCTTTGTCCCCGTTTTACCCACCATTTCCAAGCAAACCAGGTGGTAAGCCCGCGGGCAGAAGTCGCACAGGCACAGCGGCGACAGCTCCTCGTGATACGTCCGCTGGCAGCGCCCACACACCGGGTGGTTGCGAGCAAACGCCTCCAACCGTCGTAACGGTAACGGCTCGAACCGTGCGTCCGGCGGCGCAGGCCACGACAGGCTATCAGCGGCGCCCAAGTGGTGCGCCCCCGCATGCGGCCCCCCTGCAGGCTTGCGGCCCCGGCCCCGGCCGCCGCCTACAGCAGCTCCCGGCGGAGCAGCATCGGCGACACCACCTGGGGTGCCGCTGCGGCCCCTCCCGCGGCCGCGGCCGCGACCTCCCCGGCCGCCCATCGCTGCCGCCGCGGCGCCCCCCGCGCCGTACTGAGCGGCCGCCGCCGCGGGGTCTACCAACATCGCGCCGCCACTGCCCCCGATGGGATACCCAGCGGCGGCGGCGGCCGCCAACGCAGCGGCGGCGGCGCTGCCAGCGCCACCGAAATGCGCACCCTGCGCCAGGAGGGCTTGTACTGCAGGTGCTCCGCCGGCTCGTGCCGCCGCCGCTGCAGCCGCCGCCACCGCCGGGTCTTGTAGATTGAGACCCGCTGCTCGCATTTGCTGCTGAAGCAGCAGCGCGACGGTCGCCGGCGTCGCGGCCGCCAGCGGCGCCGCCGCCGCTGCAGCCGTATCACCGCCTCCGCCAGCACCCCCCTCAGCCGCTGAGGCCGAAGACGTCGCGGCGGCGGCGGCCGAGCCGTCCGCTGCCGGCTGTCCCGTCGCCGCCATTGAGGCCAGTCTGCCGTACGACTCTGTCGTACGCACCTCACTGCCGCCGCTGACGTCAGCTTCAGCGGCATCTGCTGCCGCCATGTCCACATCCGCGGCGGGGGGCTGCTGGGGGGCGTGCTGGGCAGCGGTTACAGCGGGAGTCTGCGGGGGGTTGGGTAGCTCCAGGTTTCCAAGGGTACGGAAAGATAGGTGGTATAATGGTATTGGTACAAGGATGAGGTCATAACGTAGATGTGAGAGCAGCCGCGGGATCACGTGAAAAGCCGAGCGCGTATGGGAAAGCATTCCTTAATGCTTTAAGCACAATAAGAAAGCATGCCCATGGAGAAACAACCAAAGGGGCGAATGGACGTCAGCAGCCGCGGCTGCACATGCGTCAAGCACACGCAATCCAGGCTAACGGCTCTTGCAGCCCACACCACCCTCCACTCTTACCTCCTGATGCTGCGGCGCATGCTGTTGTTGTTGCTGCTGCTGCTGCTGTTGCTCTAGGTGTGGATGTTGGTGGTACTGCTGCTGCAGTTGCTGCTGCTGCGCCTGCCGCTGCTGCTGAAGTAGCAGCAGCGTCTGCTGGTGTTCCCGAATGGCCGCCTCCGCACAGCCCCGCAGGAAGCTGTTGTACGCGGCTCGGGTGCCGTAAAAGAAGCTGCCGCCAAACTGCTGTCGGGCCTTATCGGGGTCGATGTGCTTTGTGAGCTTGGCGACAACCTGACGTGTGTATATATAGGCAGGGCCGGGAGGGAAGTTAAGAAGGGAGGGATGTTGGCTGGTGGTCGCGGCTGGGAAGAAAAGCGGGATTGTCTCACCCAGCGACGTTATGCACTTCTCCAACCTCCCCTGATCCACGCCCCACGTCGTTGGCGGCGAGGTCACCATTACAGGGCGTTTCTTAACACCCCGCCCCATCCTCCCGCGCGTTGATGTTGCGCTCCCTCATCCCCACCCCGCTCCCTTGCCTTCCATCCCTGCAAAGCCCCAGCCACCCACCCACCCGCCTCCCCCCTCCCTCCCCACCTCCCGCAGGTTGACGTTCTGCCCCCTCAGCAGCTCCCGCAGCTGGTCGGGCGGCATGGCGGCGAGGGCGCCCAAATTGGCGGCCAGCTGCACGTCGCGCAGGGACCTGAGTGGGGGGAGGCAGGCGAGGGCGGGAGAGCATCGGGATGCGGGAGTGGGAGCTGGGGCGTTTGGACACAGGCAGCGGCAGCAAGGAGCGGGCAAGCCACCCACCCACCTCAGCACGTCCCTGCTCGCGGCTAGGTATCCTAGCAACACACACGGCAACAACTGCCTACACGCACTTCAGCAGCCCACACGCCCCGCGGCCCCACCTAATGGACTTCTGCAGCACGTCCGCCTGATGCATGGACGTCGCGGCCGCCCCGCCCGCCGCCCCCTCTGCGCCTCCGCCTGCAGCCCCCTCCAGCAGCTCCAGAGGGTCGAAGAAGGCCGGCAGGTTGCGCAGCTGCGCCGCCGCGGGTCCCAGCTGCTGCTGGGGGTGCTGCCGCTGCGGGTCCCCACCGCCGGTCATCTGCAGGGCGGCCAGCACCAGCGCCCGAGTGGAGCCGTCGTCGTCCTCAGGGGCAGCAGCAGCGTCTGCAGGTGCGACAGCTGTAGCTGCACCGGTGTCGCCACTTGCCCCGGCAAGGGATACGGAAGGCGCGGTGACCGGCTGTTGCTGCTGGTACTGTTGTTGTTGCTGGTGCGCCACAGCGGCATGCTGCAGTTGCTGTTGCTGCAGGTGTTGCTGCTGCTGGTGAAGTACGGCATACTGCTGCTGCTGTTGCCGTTGCTGCTGCTGTTGTTGCATCATTTGCATCATGAGAGCGGATGTGGGGCTGTGGCCCGGGGCGGCCTCAGCGGTGTGGTGGCTGGGAGGGCGCAGCTGCAGGACCATGCCGGGGTGTTGTACGGCAGCAGCGGCAGCATTGGCAGGAGCGCCGCCAGCGTGGCCGTACTGGGGTAGGGCGGTTTAAGGAGGAGTTCGAGGAGTTGGCGAGGGGAGAGTGAGAGTCAAAAGGGGAGTTAACACAAGGAGAGTCGAGGGGTGCCGTGCTTAATGTGGAAACTGCAAACATGCCCAGAGGGGGTTTCGGTAACTAGGGATACAAGAAATTAGGTGCGTGTAGTTGAGTGGGACAAGAGCAAGAAATGAGGTGCGTGTGTGTAGAGTTGTCTCATGCATCCATGCGGCATGGGAGCAGGAAGGGCGGCAGTCCATATAGCTGATAGGGGTAAGGAGGGGAGCCTGCCGGAGTTCTAAGGGATGCCCCCAATCGAAGCCATCCCAACCCAATACACTTTGAAACGGTTACGCGGGCTACACATGCACACGGCAAAAGATAAAGCAGCTGCTTGCATTACTTTGACCAGCCCCCTCGCGTGCAAGACGTCCATGGGGCTGTCCTACGTCAGCGGCATTTTCGCCTAACAGCCATATGTAAGTGACAAGTACACAAACGAAACAAGTATCGCGATGGTATGCATGGCGTCAAGGTCACAGGCTAGGCTCGCCTGCGCACATGCGGTTCGCAAACTGACGAGCCGGCTTACCGGATGGCGAAGAGCTGCTCCAGTACTGTCCATTGCCCCAAGAGCTTCCTCGGGGTCCATTGATGGGCGCCGCTATCCCCCGGGGCACTGCCAGGTCGCTGAGTTTGTCTCTGGCAGGCGGTTGTTGCAGGTTGGAGTCCCGTGGGCAGCAAAGAGGTTGTATTTAGTAAGTTTATAATCCACGCTTGAAGTGCAGTTGGCCCCAGATCACTATGACGTTCTTATGTGAGGTGGAAAGGAGCGATTGCTGTTCCGCGCCTTCCTCGCCTCCGGTCTAACCGATATTAGTCGTTCGAATGTGTAAACTTGCCTGCAACTTAATCAGCCAGCTAGGTTTGCGGAAGGCCCCAAGAAGTCCAGATTTAATTATGTCGAAAGCGTGAATAGCAGTCTTTGTCTTGCTTTGTATGTGCTAAAGTGCTTTTATGGCTTTTCTCAAATTGCGGTCAGCCATGTTTGGGCCTAGCAGGCCGCTACGTGAGGCTATTGCAAAAGAGGCGGCGGTCTCTGTTGGCAGGGGCGCCAGCCGTATCGTACCAACTGTACGGGTATACTGCTCGTGTTTGTGTCTCGCATTTCCCTTGCTGTTTGCAGTTGTTAAAAACTCAAATTGCTTTAGGACAACCTCCTGCTAGCCTTCCGTCTTAGTCGTTAACCCGTACGTCACAAAGGGGGTGGCGCGGAACAGATTCTTTCAGCGGGCCCTACCTCTTTCTATACACGAGATCCAGCACCTTATAGCTATGACTCGGCCCACAATACGCCGGACGGATGTTGTGACCTGGCTCCGAGACAGTAGGATACGAACTACTCTGTCCCAGCAGCTGAGCCTGTACTAGCGCGTGCCTAACCCTCCCTTACACAAGCGCCCCCACCTGTACCATGTATCCATCTTTCAACCATACGACGGCCTTCGAACCTCTTCCTGCATTCCAGGCGTGTGGAAGCTCCTGGGCAGCAGCCTTTGAATGCTGCGAGCGCCCTACAACCAACGGCTTGTTTAACCCTGCGCACCCATGGATGCAAATGCCAGGGCCTTCGTGCATTTAGGGAAATGGTTATGGCATGGGGGGCTTGCGGCGGAAAAGGAATAGGTCCTGACACTCGCCCCGGCATTGTGACAGATCATTCTGGGTTGGCTTCTTTTCAAGGTATAGGGGCGAGATTTGAAGGCAGATGGGGGAGGAGAGCAGCGAGGGGAGGAGAGAGAATCAGTGGCTTCCGCACCGGTATTGCAGCATGCTGAGTTGAAGAAACTGGAAGGCGTGAGTGGTTTAGCCTTCCATGTCAGCGATCTTCTTTCCCCATGCGCCATTGAACCTCCTTGGCCGCGGAGCGCGGAGCGCACCTATGAACGACCGTGCCTCTGCCGTTTGGCGGGGAGACACTCCTGTTGGCATGGCTTTCCGTGGGCACAGCAGAGTTAGGGGACAGGCGGGAAAAGTCGAGTAGCACGAACCATGGGACTTCTGCAAAGTATCATAAGTTCCGAGGGAGGCAGATTCCCTTGACTAACTAGACATATATAAAGGGTCTTGACATGGCGTCTTGAAAACACTTAGACCGACGTCTTCAACTACGGCGTCGGGTATGAGGGGACACAAATGCCGCAGAAGGCTCTATACACGTGACGACAGTAATAGTAAACGTTTGCATACATATTACCATAGTTAACACACGACAAAAGCCTGTAGAGGTGCATCTCTTCCAACAACTGCTAATCCAAAATGGCTAGCGACGATGAAGACCAGAATATGAAGGATTTGTTTGGTAGTGAAGAGGAAGAAGATGATGACTATGGACGGGCAAACTTACGCACGGGTTCGCATAGGGGCATCGACGATGGTGAAGCCGGCCCAGCACAAGAAGACAACCTAGAGGACGATCTTGACGATGGAGGCGCTGTTCCTAGCGGCCGTCAGTATCCTGTCTCTGAAGAGCCTGAGGACCAGCAAGAAGATGAGGGCCGGGACCGCTGGGACAACAGGCGCAAGTTTCCTCATGGTCACCGCCCTTTGGCCAGGACTGGAGCTCCTATCGACTATGCGGCACCTCTTCTGCCAGTCCCACCGCCGCAGGGCGAGGTCTTTCTGCTGCGAGAGGCTTTAATTGGCGTCGAGCCCACGCCTTTCAACCCAGAGACTTTTGCTGGGGAGGAGGAGATTTTCATTGACGAGAAGGGCATTACGAAAATCAAACCGGTTGACAGGACAAAGATACGGTGGCGCTATGCGCGGCGGAAGGGCCCCGATGGGTCCGAAGAGCTGGTGCCGGAGAGCAATGCCCGCTTTGTGCGCTGGTCAGACGGCAGCTTGCAGCTGCTGCTGGGTGACGAGGTGTTCGATGTTGACACGGCGGACATATCACAGCAGCGCGCGTACATGGTCGCCTACAGCGGCGTTGTGCAGGTGGGGTATGCATGACAACGCCTACACTTCCACCCTCCGTTGGTGGCCATCACATCAGTAGCGTATGTTACAGTCTCAGCCACACCCCCTCACCCCCTGCGAAATACTGCTGTTATTCCTGCTATCCAGGTGTTAAGCCTATTCACCTGTCGGCAACGTTTCCCTCCCTCCCCTCCCGCCAACCGGCGGCCCGCTGTGGCCCCAACCCACGACTATCCACCCCTTATCTCCCCCTTCCTTCTCAGACCCTCCCCTCCCCTCCCCTCCTTCCAACCACCATTTCGGCTCGACTCACGGTTGATTCCACCAGGGATTGTCAGCAACTTGGTCACACCACACTTTGGAATTTCTTTTTCCCCTCCTTCTTTCTCCTACAGCCTCGGCTCCCTATTCACGAATGCTTCGTCCCTTAAGCCACCGGTTGCTGCTGCTAATGCAGTTCCCTACCTTGCCCACCTCAACACACCTCCCTCCACCCCTCCTGCGCTTCAACGCACGGTGTTCCTTCTCCTCCCCCCCCTGCTGCGCTGCAGGGCCAAGCCGCGCTGACCAGCAAGATGGGGTTCCGCCTGGCCACCCTCAACAGCAAGCTGTACGCGCGCATGCGGGAGGAGGTGGACAAGCGCACAGTCAAGGTGGGATGATGGTGATTGCGGACTGCATTACTGTGGGGTTATGGAGAACGATGCGTGTCCCAGTGCTGGGATATGGCTGGGATGCCTTGCAGCGCTGCCTTCCCGCAACCCCGCCGGCACAGTTCCTGGAGCTTTCACACAAGGGGCTTCTCTTCCTCAGCCTCCTTTCCTCCATTGTTTGCGAACAAAGGGCATGCTGCTCTGCTGAACTGCGCCCTCCTTCCCCGGTTGCGATCACCAGCTGGTTTGCAGTAAGCCTATACACAGTTTACCCGATGAAGGGCCAATGTTCCTAGCACGCTACCCTCCTCCCGGCGCGCAGGTGAAGCGCGTGCAGCAGCACGTGGAGGCGCTGGACCCCGCCAAGGAGAAGGAGCGGCGCGCGCGGGAGACGGAGGAGGTGTTGAGGAACAGGTAAAGTGGGGGGGGGTAACGAGGAAACAACGAACTGACCCTGTGATCCGGCGGGGGGTGGGGTGGGGGGCACGGACCAAGAAGGGGCCGGAGAGACCCATGGGTCGGGGAGGATGGGGAAACGCAGGAGGTTAGGGTAGGGTGAGGTAGAGGCAGGAGATGCCAAGGGGAACGGATTATGGGTGGCGGACGTCCAGATGGGAGGCGAAGGTTGGCAAGGACAAGCGGTTCCTATTCCTCGCAACGCCTCCCTGCCACCTGATGGCCTCTCCTCATCTACGCCACGTCCGCCCCTCACAACACCCCCCTCCCCCCCACACACGCATTCATGCATGCAGGGCCATGTTGGAGGCCCGGCAGCAGCGCACGCTGGCGCGCTACGCGGGCGGCGGCGGGGGGGCGGGCGGGCGCAGCCGGGGGCGACCCGAGCTCAACACGCGCTTCCTGGAGGAGGAGGACGGCATCGAGGTGGGAGCTGGAGCAGGGGAGGGAGAGGGAGGGAGGGAGGGGGAGGGGCGATGGCAGACCCACGGGTCGCGAGGGGTTGCAGATTAGGGTGGTCTTGGAAGAGCTGGCAGTGGGAAGTGAGAATGGAGTGGAGTGGAGTGGGTAAGGGTGTGGGTGCGAGCGGTTGCCCCACTCCCTGTCCCGCACATGCCGGCACCTAACGTTCCCCCTTACCTCTACCCCCTACATCCTGGGCTTTGACTTCCTTCCCCACATCCCGCCCCCTAGGTTGGCGGAGACGCTGGCTTCATCGATGACGGCGAGGAGGACGCGGGCGGCTACTCGCGGCGGCGGAGGTTCAATGAGGAGGAGGAGGTGAGGAGGGAGCAGCAGGACCGATGTTGAGGAGGAGGAAAGCGGACGGCAGGGGACCCCGGGTGGCGGGACGAGGGTGCGGGGACCGGCAGGAAGGGGGGGGCATCTTGGCTATTCATCCGCTGCCGGCTCAATGTGTACAGTTGCAACCCGCTCCCAAACCCGCTGCACACCCTGTCATGCCCTGTACAGGTAGCGTACAGGTAGAGTAGCGCTTTACCTGCCCATCCGGCTTCACTTCGCACCTCCTGGCCCTTCTCTCCCCTCAACACCCCCCCCCCCCCACCCCCCCTCACCCCCCCAGGAGGAGGCGGCTCGGCGGCTCCAGAGCGCCAAGCGGGGCGCGGCTGGCGGGCCGTCGCAGCGGCAGGGGGCGGCGGGGGGCAAGCGGCGGAGAGGAAGGGTAAGAGGGGGGTGCCGGGAGGGAGGGGGGCGCAATAGCATTGGTTAGAAGGGGCAGCGGAGGAGGTTTTGCGGGGCGGGGTGGGCTGACGTGTAACAGGAGGGCGGCGGGCCCGGTAGTAACACACACACCCCAGTCTTGCTAACACAACCCAGCTCGGTGTCCGGTGACCCTGCGGGGTACAATCTTGGCGACTCGCCTTCACTAGTGAGCTCCTGACACCTACCCCCACCCACCCTACACCTACCCACCCTACCCGCCCCTACCCCCTCCAGGATGACAGCGAGGAGGAGGAGCTGCCCGAGGAGGAGGACGAGGAGGAGGAGGTGCGGCAGGGGGGGAGAGAAGGGGAGGGGAAGGGGAGATCGAGCGAGCGGTGGAGGGCCGAGTGAGACGGACGACCACTCGAGAGCTGTGTGGGGGACGTCAACATGCTTCACCCCGCATGTGCCTCCGCGCTAGGGACCCGGGGGTGTCCTCATGAGGACATGATCTCCTGCCATGCACCCCACGCGGGAACCTGGACCAGCTAGCTATAGCTAGCCGGGTGTGGGTATGCTGCCGGTATGCCCAGGTGAACCCGACGCTGACCTGCACCCCCCCGGCCTGCAGGAGTATGTGGACAGCGAGGGCGGCAGCGAGGACGAGGAGGGCGGCGAGGAGGAGGAGGGCGGGGACGAGGAGGAGGAGGAAGCGCATGGACGGCACAGGGTGGGTGGTGGGGTGCTGGCACCACCCATGGGCGGGTGGGAGGAGGGGGCGTGCAAAGGAAGGAAGTGCTGGAACGATGGGAGGGAACGGGAGAACGCTCCCACCGTATGCTGCATTATGCTGCCGCTTTCCCCTCCTCCGCATCTCTTGCACCTCCCTCACGGTCCAAGCCAGCCGATTGCACGTCTACCGCAGCCCACCAATACCTCCTTCAATGTCTAAAAGCTCTTCCCTGCTGCCTCTCATCCCCGGCTGCAAACCCCGTAGCCCCCGCCCACCCACACTCCTCCTCCTCCTGACACCAGTAGTGTCCTGACAAGGGCTGCCTGCACCCATACTCGTGCCCACTCGTGCCCACTCCTCATACCGGTATCCAGACCGGTGCTCTTGGGCTCCAAACCCCCCCAAGCCCCATAACCCCTACCTCCCCATCTCATCTCATCCCCCTCCCCCGTCCCCCTCCCCTGCAGTCCAAGACACCCCCCCGGGCCGGCGGTCGGCCGCCCCCGCCCCCCGTTCTGCGCGGCAAGGGGCTGCTGTCAGCGGGAGGCGGGGGCGGTGGCGGGCCCCGCGGGGGCGGCGAGGTGCGGGCGCCCGCTGCCAAGGTGCGGCGAGGTGTGGTGCTGTCGGACGATGAGGACGACTGAGGGCGGGATGGTAAAGAGGAAACAACTAACTGATTGTGTGTGTAGTTGAGTAGGGAAAGAGCGAGCAATTGGGAGAGGTTCGCATGTGAACCGCGAGTACAGGCAAAACAGAGGTAACCAAACCTCGCAAGGGGCTGCAATGGTGTAAGGGCTGGATTGGGGCGGGGGATTGTGGCTATGGGCCGTGAAGGGCAGGAGGGAGGGATGGGCCCCGTTCAGGAAACAGGAGAGAGGGGAGGATGGAAGGGGTTAGGCAGTAGGAGCGGGGTATGGCGTTGAGGAGGACGGTCGGGGATGGCGTGAGGCCGTGAGCTTGTTGGGTTTAGTCGAAGGTAGGGTTTGAGGAGCTAGGAAGGCCACAGCGACGCCGGGACAAGGCATGTGGGGTTTGTGACGGCTTCTGTTTGTCACAGGGGTCAGCGGGTTGGCAGCAGTTCATTGCAGCTAACAAGGCTCCGAGCTGGACACACATGTGGTTCCCGTGGTCTCGGTTGCCTTGGGTTTCGTGTGTTGAAGTTGGCTGAGTCGGCATGGCACCGATACGTTTTACCCTGCCCGGCAGGGCGGCAGCGCTTTTTGTAAGAAACGCCCTCTCCTGTTGTCATATGCACATATGTTTAGGCACGGAGCATTGTGTTGCCGAATTCATTGCCGCGGCTTCGGCTCAGGAATGGGCGTCGTGACGACGTTTTTGACGCCGAAGCTGTAACGGTCACCACCCACCTATAGGTATGCTCCTAGTGCTGAATGCTTTGCTGGTACTGCCGAATATTTTGGCTTCTGATCATAACTGAGGCGTGCACGATGCAGATTTTGGACATAAGAGGATGTAGGTATAGCCACTTATCCTGTCCAGGCAGCAACATGGAACACCCTTGGCTGCTTGTACAAAAAAGGTAGACTGATAAGGAACTTATATATACTGATAATGGACCAGGTAGCAGCAAATGCGATTCCATATCCGGCTTCACTGGTACAGGAACGTGCAGTCAGTCAGACACCGTGACACGACAGTAGCAACAGCCAAAATCCTTTTGGCATCAATCAACCGGTTTGCTTGTGGCAATGTGAAATGGTTTTTTAAAATTTTGTGGACTATTCATTCGCAATGGGTAAGATGGAACGTCTGCGAAGTAAGGCACGAGGAATGCTTCGCACTGGCGAAGATTTCGCGAGTGCGCCCCAACCTGGTACATGTCCAGCTTTAAACCCAAGCGTACAAATGGGTCATTCTAGATACATTCTTCACTGAATGCCCTGCCTGACTTTTCGTATCGGCAGTTGGCCGGAACGTCTCCTTGCCTATTTTCTGTGCTTGCATACACGCGTACATTTAAATCATTGCTATGGAGGCTTCGCTAAAGGTTGCAAGTGCTCAATTATTTTCTCGTACATGACAGGAACTCGCACTAGATCATTTGCATCCAGCTCCGAAACCCTGGATGGCACAACAAGGAAGGACCACTTTCCCCCTTGATTTGTGTATAAAACGGACATGAATCAGTTCTGAAGACTTACAGGCCCTTTCTTACAGTGCAGCTTCTTTCATTTGCGTTGCTTTGGAAACGACCCTCCAAATGGTGGTGTCAGCGCTTGGAAGCCTTGTCTTCGATATCGAGGTAAGCGTGCTGCATATTATCACAATAATGGTGGCCAGAGTTCATGGGATTGGGGCGCAAACGCCACCCCGGAAACGACTGCGCGTAGGTAGCCCTCACCGAGGACAAGACAACGCATGGAGATGTCCGCCCGCAAGCTCGTGTGGAGCACCTCTTGATACAGAGGCTCGAGGCGCTTTCAAGGCCTGCGTGCCCTTTCGCTCGCGAGGCAAGTTCCCATCGAGAAGCGGTTAGTCTTCTGCGCACGTTTTTGGTCATGTAGCTAGCGTTCAGGTTTTGAATGCTGAACTTCTTCCACTGCGAATATAAGCTCGATAGCTGACGACGGCTGACCGGCGTCCGTCGTGGTGCGTTGCGGGATCCTCACGGACTTGGCCACGACCCTTTCTCTGCCCCCCATAATTTCCCACAGCTGCTCTTCCATGTACAGCGGATATGCTCTGGCGCCGTTGGCCAAGACATCCCGGACGTCCAAGCCCTGGCCGCTGAGTTGGCCTCGCTAGGATATTATGTCACTGTTCGAAGCGCACTACAAGGCAATGGCACAGACTGCTTTAGGTAGGTCGTTGACAAGGGCAGCGGAGAAGCTAGCTTTGGAAAAAGTTCATCCAACCGCTGTCGCACCAAGGTTGCATTTCGGAAATGGGTCGGCGCGCTTTATTGCGACTACTGTTTTTAGACACTTAATGTATTATACCGGCCCAAGCGGTATTGCAAATATCTGGTGAGCATTGCGCCACCAACCGCTCACGCCCTTGGGCCTGAACTGTTTTTATCTTATTTGCCTACTAAATGACTACCCTTACGTTAAGTTATGGCTCAAGTTGAAGCAGTGCGTAGTCTTACTTGAAGCAGCTTCTTACATCTAAGCCTGTCATCGCTATCTGGAAACGTCTGCGCCTGCCCTTCAATATGCGTCCTCATCTCCTTCACGCGCACACAGATCTCTTCGCCACGAGTTCGTCCTGGTTCGCGGCAGCGGCGAGTTCAGCGGCATGGAGTTCATCGTTGAGCCCGCCCTGCGCCAGCACTTCGCCATCCCGCACCCCTCGCCCGAGTACTCCGCCGCGCTCAGCCACGTGTCCGAGGTCTTCGTGGGCGGGAGCTGCCGTCTGGTGCCTGTCGTACAGCTGCTGTGCGCGCTGATGGCTGACTCCTTCGAGCGACAGGGGCTGGCGCTGCCGCCCTGGCGCAAGGAGCAAGCCATGCTCAGCAAGTGGTTGCCCCTACCGCACAGGCTCCGCGACAGGCAGGTGACGCCGCCGCCGCAAGCAGCGGCCGCGGCGAAGTGCGGCATCGTGACGGAAGCGGCGGCGCAGTCGGCTTTTGATGCCGCCATCGAGACGGTCGACAGCGCCGCTAGCAATACCAGCACTGACAGCGGAGACGGCTGGAGCAGCGGCTCCATGGATTGCAGTCCGGTGTCAGTGCTGCCACCGCCGCCGCGGCAAGGGGATTCAGCTGCAACGGTTTCAACGAAGTTTTTCGCCGTACATGGATTCCAACCGCTGCTGACGTCGACGGCGGTGGCGGCGACGGCGATTGGAGGCGCTAGCGGCGGCGGCGATGAGGATATGCCTGCGCTGACGGCGGCCGCGGCAGCCCAGGGTTGCCCTGGCGTCATGCGCGGCCGCGGCGGCGGCTGCGGCGGCGGCTGCGGCAACTGCTTGAAGCGCGCTTTCGGATACGACAGTTGCATGGACATGAACGGTCTTTGCGGCGGCATTGGCGGCGGCAGCGGTGACGGCAGCGACTGTGGCGGCAACGGTAAACATGGGCTGCTCGCCGCTCGGATTGCCGAGTCGGCGCGAACTGTCGCCGCTAACGGCGATGGCGACGGCAGCGGCGATGGTGGCGTGCACGACCGCATTCGCACTCGACCGCCCGTTCACCTCGGAGAGATGGCCATTCGCGTTGTCAAGCTCGTGGGTTTTAACTTACCCGAGGAAAGCCAGCCGCAGCAGCAGCAGCAGCAGCAACAGCGTCAGCATACCGCACACGTCGTGCAGAACCAACCGCCGCCGGTGTCGCAAGTGCTGCAACAACAGCGGCAACAGCCACAACATAGCCGGCGTAACCTGCAAGCGCCGCCGCCGCCACTAGATCTAGGATTTCAGCGACACACCCGCAACGCCGCCGCAGCCGCTGCTGCGGAAGCGCTTCTTCTGCCGTGGCGGCGGCAACTGCGCCACAGAGCGGTCTAGGAAGAGATCTTGTCGCCATGCACCAGTTGAGAGTTGTGCCAGTGGTGGTGCTGATGGTGCGGGTGGTGGGGCGCTAAGCTCGGTCGCCTACTGAACTCGGATCCAGTCAAGCAAAGCAGCTGACTATGGCTTTAGGTGCCGTATAGCCGTACAACACATGGAGGGATGGATGGGGACGATTGGGACATGACGAACGTTGGGTTGTCGTAGGGTTGGTATCAGTTGTTTTGTGCAATGTGCATTCGTGGGCGTGTGCGCGTTTTTTTCATTAGCTGCCGCTGCGTTTGGTGTTGGCTGATGGTGTTGGCGTGGGCTGTGAGAGTGTTGCAAGCGTTGCAAGCGTTGCAAGCGTTGCAAGCGTTGCACGTGTTGCACGTGTTGCACGTGTTGCACGTGTTGCACGTGTTGCACGTGTTGCACGTGTTGCACGTGTTGCACGTGTTGCACGTGTTGCACGTGTTGCACGTGTTGCACGTGTTGCAAGCGTTGCACGTGTTGCACGTGTTGCAAGCGTTGTACGTGTTGCAAGCGTTGCAGTGGCAGCGAAGAAGTTGATTTTGTGCTTCGTTGGGGTGTGTGCTTCATAAGACGTGCCTTCATGTATGCCGTGCTAATTGGGGGCGGTCCTCTTTCGCTCCGACGTGCGTGTCAATCACATGCCCATCCTGTGTCTTTTCTTTATCCTTTACTACTACTACTAATACCACTACGAAGGTACTTCACAGCACAGCAGAATCCCTCCTGTGCTTATTCGGCACTTGGCAGCTGCCCTGCAGCCAAACAAGCTCGTTGGTCAACGACCCGGTGCTGCGGGTTTTCGGCTTTGTGTGCCTTTGGCTTTGAGAGACTTACATCGGATGTGCCGGATGCTACGACGATCGGGAATACGTGCGATCGGGTTTTGTCCGCTGCTGCAGCGGCCCTGCAGTCGTGTTGGTTGGTCGTCTGCGGTACGTTACGGGGGGCAGGCAGCGCTGTTTCTCTTTGCTGTTGTTTGGAATGATGAGTAAGTTTTGACGAAGCTGGATAGGTGGCGTAGGACACTCCTTAGGTAGTAGGTAGATGTAGAGCGGCCCACAGTTCAGGCGGCCCATGGGTCATGAGCCAGTAGTATCGCAGAACGCAGAATGCTAAACAGGAAAGCTCCATACGATCCGGACTTAGGTCATAGACATGTAGTTATAGTCCTCTCGACAGAAGCTTACACTGGGGAGATATCGTCTGATTTATGATCATGTCGGTTGCGCCCAACTGTTGCGCCCAGTTGTTAGTGTCCGTTGTCAGTTTGTTTTATTTCGGTTGCAAACGAACGTTGAATCGGACCTCGGGAGTTGATGCAGTTGATGCTGTTGTCTGTGAGGGTTGCGAGGGGCCAGTCGATACGACTGCGGCTCCAGGCGGAGATCTTTCCAAAGGGGACGAGGGAGGGGGGTTTGGATGGTTGACAGCCTATAGGCGTGTCGAATTGTTCATCGGGGTTGTCAGCATGGATGGGATGATCCTGGCAGGGGGCAGGGGCCTCTGACGGTTGCAACTTTCATCAAGTTGTTGATGTTGATCCATTGTTCAGTGGAGGCGCTGCATTCCGGAAGCAGTTGGGCTTCCGCATAAGGCTCGTGGCTGTAGGGTTGTCGCCCTGCTGGTGGTTGAGGCCCTGTGTGGCTGTGGGCCCGGTAGCTGTTGTGCAGCGTTCGTGGGGGCCGCGAGGGGTGTGAGGGGCGTCATGGGTCCATGGCGTTGCAAACACCGCCTGCTGCATTGTTTGCATGGCGACGGGGACGAGTAATCAAGGTGTACAGAGGTGTCGCTTTTTAGGTGGAACGTACAGGATCTTTGTTTCGACGCCGCTGCGGCAGAACTCCCTCTAGGAAGGGAATGGAGCACGAGAGCACGGTATATAGAAGGGAGCTAGTGCGCGGCGTTAAGCATGTGCACGGAGTTGATGCGTTGGACATAAACAACGCGTGAATGTGCAGGGATGTTGGGATCGCAGGTTGAAACTGCGCTCGAAAGTGTGTTTGAAGGCAGGAGCGAGGAGACAGAGGAGCGTTGTTGCATGCATGTGTGGCTACTTTTACCGTACATCATAACCGTTGCTTTTCTTACATGACGGTTGGTGCATTTCCATGGTAATGAGGGAAAGAGCTTAGCAAGGCAAATTGTTCCGTTATGTGCTCTTCAGGCTTGTAGCTGCAATACGGTTATATCGCCGTTGGTTGCGCTGCTGCTGCTGCTGCTGCTTGCTTAGGCACCCCATGCCAAACAATTTTGTCTCGTCGCGTTTTACGATGATGGGTGGCATTTGTATAGCATACGCCTGACCTCCTGTTTTGCAGTTAAGGAAGCGGAATGGTGCACGGAACGTTCTCATCATCGCAGAATGGTATGTGACGTCGGAATACATAGTCAAAGAAGGATTGCCAATATGAGTTGTGTTTGTCGTGTGTGGCGCGATGTGGTCTGCGCTGAGTGGAATAAATAAAAGCGTTGGTGGGGTTATTGCCTTGGCTCGTAGATATGTTCTTGCATACGGCTAATATGCATTCAACAGCATGGACGTAACCGGTAAAGGTCTGTACCATTTTTGTTGGGAGGTCCGCCCCATGTAGAGGTATGTAGCTGTTGACCTAATTGACTGGAAAACACCTCGTGTAAGTCCTGACGATGTCCTTAATACCCTCAGGACCTTCATCCTGCTGAGCTTGATTCCAAAGCACATACCGTATCCAAGTGCAGATTAACCGGCCCTTGCGCTGTCGCCAACATTTCTTGACCATCCACGATAACTCGACCCATGGGCCATCGGGCCTTAGATGCCAGCATTGTGCCAGCGCCTGAGACGTGTTCAGAAAACAGGCCGCAAGTCGGAACAAACTCTGCTTGCCCGCAAGACGTGGGTGCTTGACAACTTCAACATGAGGAGGAAGTATGCCCAGCTCTTAGCTTTCTTGCAGCAAGGTGCATGTGCTTGTGCAGCTGTAAAGGCGAGAGAGAGTCAGCAACTTTACAGGGAACTCCAATTCTCTACAACCATGAAGGATGCACAGCCTTGCACGCGATTTCGAAGACATCCGACCATGACACACTACAAGGAAATGGACCGATTAACAACCGACACTTCTGCTACTACGCAGCACCTGTTTGAGCGCTCCACCCGACCAACCCTGGCGCCATGGGAGTGCTGGAATAACTCGGCCCGAAACTCGACCCGGGGGATCACCGAGCGATCTGGGATAACCCCCTCTACTGTCGTAAGGAGCAGCACCAAAGAGCCATACACACAATCCAATCAAGTCAACGCAAACAACAACGACAGCAGCAAGCAGCCGTCCGTCAAAATCGAAGCCCTTTGGGGCTGTGGACAGCACCCAATGAAGGGCTTCCAAACCGACTCTTGGAACTACGCCTGCGCCCGCTCGGTTGGACCTTCCGTTGACAGCAACAAGCTCCAACAACTACCATAAAACCAACAAAAGTTAACTTTATTACCGGTAACCACACCGCGAAGGCAATCAAGGGCAAACGCTGGGAACAGAGGCCAAACAGCCCGACGCTCATATTATCGCACGGGTACTACATGTAGATACGGATCTCTGCGCTGTCGTACGGTAGTCCGCGAGCATGCAGGTGGGTGTTGTATGCTGTGGGCATGAGCAACACATTAGAAATTATTACCGTATGCACGACTCTTGCCGCTCTTACTACCTTGCCAGGATGCCCGCACGCACCCAGACCCGCCCACAGTCTCCTCACAACAGCAATACCATATACTAAAGCAACACGAACGCTACGGGACGCTACGCCCAAATCACCCACCAGAAACGCTGCCGACACCTACCCTTCATACCGTGCCTTTACTGCCCCCGCGTGCCTCCAATGCGAATGGCGCAGAGGTTGTACCATCCACCCAAAAGCTCAAAAGCTAGCGACGCCAAAGCATCAACAACAACGGGTTTACGTGTCAACGCCTCATAAAAACAGTCACGTAAGACCCAAAACGATCCGAGTCTTGGCAGCCGAATGCTACCGTATTCGGGACTGGCAAACGCCGTACCGTTGCCCAATACCTGTTAAATGGAAACAACCAACAAACCGGAAGCCATTATAACCCAATGGGACCAAGAACAACCACACACCTCTTAACACCAGCGAGCAACCTTAGCAAACGGGCAGTCTCCGCATCCGCCTCCACCGGCGGTGCGGGATGGCCAAACCACTCTGTAATGCCGTACATCCCGCGTATAGGAGCGGGACAGCAGCTGCAGCAGCTGAGATCCCACTACTTACTCAGTACGCCTTCAAACAATGTCAGTAGGGTGGTGCACACGCGTCGTAAGCACCCGAAACAGGGCGCACCACCAGATAAAAAGCAGCATTACACAAACTGGCTACAAGGGACCAACCAACGAGGGAACAAGCTAAACAGAACCAACCATATCAGCAAACAAAACCAGGACAGGTTCTATCAGCATTATTGTCCCCCCGCATCCACCGCATACCCACATCCGCAGAATTGGCTGTGCCAACAGTCCACGATAAGCATTACCCAAGTCCCCCGTATTTATTTTATTTGCATTTACGCCATGCTTCGGAATAGCTAGATAGGATACGCACACCCGCTGCAATCCCCTCGGCACCCCGCAAACGTTTGGCCAGATACCCCCAGGTATGCGCACCAAGACAGCCGAGCATGTCGAAACAGCACCTTCCCTCATTCACCAGAGGCCATTAAACGGCCAACCACCTTAATCGTGGAGTGCTTGGCACCATGCAACAAACTGTAACGTCAAACTCCATTTTGGGGAAAAGAAAGCCGTTCAACTCTTCACCCATGGCGGCAGGTGTAGCAACTGTGGCCGTTAGCAACTACATAGCTTCCGAAACCGAAACTACACAGCTTCCAAAACCGAAACCAGTGCTGTATATATGACTCTTGCACCAATCTATCGAAATCTTCCCACCCAAAACGACATCCCGAACAGTGGCCGACCGGGAAAAATGGTCCACCGTCTACAAAACATATAACCTTAACCTGTGACCTGTATTCGTATGTATGCCATGAATAACACAATCTCGTTCTCCCATGATGTGTACGGCACACACAAGAGAACCTCCAGCAATGAATGATGGCATATTTCCGCCAGTTAACATGTCACGAGGGTACGAACAGTGGGGACGTGCAAAGAACGCCATCCGACGCCTTCCCACCCTTCAAGCCCGTCCCAACCTCTCCCCATGGTCTCTTTGACTGCAAACATGAACGCAGCCTGGACAACCTACCCGGCAACCTAGCCTAAACCCCAACACATACACCACACTTACGCAACAGTATTCACGCATGCGGCATTACTATTTTGCTCGCGCGCTCTTCTTCTTCATCGACTCCAACGTAACGCATCACAATTTTTCCCTTTTTCTTTTACCGTCTTGCGTAGCATAATGCGTGCCATCCTTTTGAGAGCAGCGGCTGCTTTCATAGTAAAGCCGCTGTCTCAGTCTGTCCTATTCCTGATGCAAAACAAACACGACAATACGTCAACAACTATATGCTCAGCCCTACACAGCTAAGCACTACATTGCGCCCACCCAAGCCGCCCAATGACTGCGGAAGGGGGAGACAATGAGCGCTTGAGGATTAACGCTGTGCCCGAACGGCCCATGACTGGAAGGAGCCCTCCCGCGTGACCAACCGCTCCTGAGGCCTCTCATGCAGCGCCTCTGAGGGCTTACGGAAACCACCACCAGACGCCACAGCAGGCTGCACCCTGCCCTGCTGGTCACGTTGCGGTTGCTGCTGCTGCAGCTGTTGGGGCAGCTCCTGCGCCCCCAGTCGCTGCTGCTGTTGGGGCACCGGCCGCATCGTCGGCAGCAGCGGCACCAGGGGCGCGGTGGGCCAGCCGCCGCCCATCCTGACCACATGGATGGAGGGACCGCTGGGGTGAACCCCAGCCAGCGTCTCCACCACCGGCCTCAGTGGCTGCTGCAGCGGCTGCCGCGCATTGCCTTCGGCGCCTGCACCGCTAGAGGCCATGGCACCCATCGCAATCACACCGCGAGGGCGCAGCTGCTCAACCTCTCCACCCGTTGCCGCCGACCCAGAAGCAGCAGCAGAAGCAGCAGCGGCTTCGTCCTTCTCCCTTGCAGCGCGAATGGTTGACAGCAGCAGCTCAGTGGTTGGTGCACCTGTGGTATCGCAGAGGTGGGGCGTCATGCCGGTTGCTGTGGGTCGGTAGCTGGACCACAAGCCGGGCCCTCCTGCCGCATGTATCAGCGCCGCGCCCTCAGCATCCTCGCTGTCACCGTCCTCCTCCTCACCCTCCTCTTCCGCGCAAACCCCCGGTTGGCTGAAGAATGGCGAGAGAAAGGACGCCGTGAGAGGGCTGTGTGCGCCGTCGCCGCAACCCAGCGGCAGCGAGAGGCTGCGGGTTAGGCTGCTGCTGGGCCCAGTGGTCGTACCTCGTGGTACGACAAAGGCGGTAGAATCCACAGCTGTGGCAGCAGCAGCAGGCATGTCTGCAGCAGCAGAGCCGCCAATACTGCATGCGATAGGGTGGCCAGCCTCCAGTGGCCAGTTCGAGGTTGCAAACGTGGCGGAGGCGGCAGTGGTTGCAGCGGCGGGAATGTCCTCGTGGCTGTCCAGCAGCTTGAAGCCAGTAATGGCAAGTGCCGGGGTGGAGCAGCAGAAAGTAGCGGCCTCTGGCGGCGAGGGCGTGAAGAGGACGTCGCTAAACAGCTGGGTGCACGGGTGCTGTGCTTGCGTGTTGCCCCCGTCGAGATCCGATCGGCGTGCTGGTATGGGGCTGTTCAAGCCGCTGGTTGCAAGCTCAGCCAGCAGCAGCTGAGAGGAAGAGAGGGAACCTGCTGCTGCTGTTGCGGCTGCTTCTATGGAGCCACCGCGGCTGCTCGAGAAGCGTTGCGGAGTGCTCGGCTCGAACGGTGTTGCGAGGGACAGCTCCCCTGCGGTCGAGGTACGCAGCTGATGTGGTGGGATGTCCCGGAAGCGGCCGGTGCTAGGCAGCCACTTGCTGAGCATGGCTTGCTCCTTGCGCCAGGGCGGCAGCGCCAGCCCCTGTCGCTCGAATGAGTCAGCCATGAGCGCGCACAGCAGCTGTACGACAGGCACCAGACGGCAGCTGCCGCCCACGAAGACCTCGGGCACGTGGCTGAGGGCGGCGGAGTACTCGGGCGAGGGGTGCGGGATGGCAAAGTGCTGCCGCAGGGCGGGCTCAACGATGAACTCCATGCCGCTGAACTCGCCGCTGCCGCGAACCAGGATGAACTCGTGGCGAAGAGATCTGCGCAGCGGGAGGCGTGGAGACCAGCTGTTGGCTGACCAGCAAAGGCTAAACCCTCCTTGCGAGCTAAATAACTATGTACCTACCTGAAGCACGCGTTGCCACCGCCAAGAGCCTGCCTTATGCGGACATCGTAACGAAACCTGGCAAGTCCCGCCAGCAGGACAGGCAGTCGTTTTGCTGTATCAATTTCCCCTTGAACTCCAGTAAGCAAATCTTGCACATCGCGACAGAGCTGCGGAGTGACAAAAGGATCGTAACCCGACGAAAGCCGAAAGGGTACTGGTGACGAGGTATCTCGCTGTTTGCGTGCAAATGGCACAACATTCCTAGTTGTCTATTGGTTACACAAACAACTGCTCTTGAAACGCTATGGAGTTTATACTTTTGCGCTCAAAACGACGCAGTGCTGATGGCGCCTATGGCGACTATCTATTAACAAGATCGCGCAACAGGTTTACCTACTTAAGCGAGAAGAGCAAGCGTCCCTTTGATACATACCTGCCGGCCAAACATGGAGGACTGTCGCGTGGCAAGCTCCAGTTTTTCGATTACTTCTTCAAGTGCCTTTTCCGGATTTTGCGCTGCCATAGTATCACACGCTGCTTCGCTGCCCGCTTCCTGTGGCCAGGGGCTAACTCGACTCAGACTATTGCGAAGCCATACTCCAAGGCAACAAAGCCTCGTACCTCAAGCTCAAACACCATACAGGCAACTGATGCCAGCCTTTCGGAGGCGGCGTCATGTTGTCGGTGTGGTCTGTGCAGTTCCCTGGCATGTGAGGTCCAACACATGACGTCTCTTGGGCAGGGCGGCGATGGGGCACCGAATCCAACGCTTATTTTATACGCGCTAGGTGTTCGGTGCTGACGGGAACGTGGAAGCAAAAAACTCAATATAGTGGGGCACTGCACGATGCCACGTGGACAGCAAGATCAAAGCAAAAGCTTAAATGTGTAACTGACCTCAGTACCTAACGTTCATGTATAATAGCAGTACTTCCTTTTAGCATAAATGGCGGGGCGTCGAAATCAAACAACGACATACGGTACAGTACGGCCTCCCCGATCTCGTCCCCGCGAACCTTGAAACCAGATAGGGGCAATATGGCGTTCGAGCGCGGCCAATTCTCTCTTCTCCCGCCTGCGTTGCCGAAGCGAATCTTGGTTTCCGCGTCGCTATGTCTCCCGTGCCCGTTGCCCGTGCCCGTTACCCCCAAGGCCCTAAACACAACGTAGCAACAATCCCACACGAGGCCCGTACGTTTGCATTTCCTACAGCCGTACCATTCAAATTCTGCGTGCCATGCGGGCTTCCACGTCACTACGTTTTTCGCAAGTTACTGGCCTTTGAACTGTGGGAAGGTTGGCGAGTGATGGTGACGCAGGGGTGCGGAACTGCCGCACCCCTAAACACGGCATGTTATTCGCGTACCACCATATGACCTCCCATCCCCCGTCCACCTTGTGGCACCCTGCCGCCTCCTATCCCCTTTTGTCTTGCCTTCACTGCTGGTCTGGTACGTCTTTGCCTCGTTGCACCTGCAGAACGAAGCCAAGCTACGGACGCCCGAAGCGATGACTGTTACATGATTGTTATCGCGCAAGCCTTCCGCAACAGCAATCGGGTGGCGACCCGCTTCTATGCGGGCAAATGGAAGCCGCAGGGGCGGGTCATGTTGCATGGGGCCCATCCAGCATAAGAAAAGGTATGCTTCGATACAATCATCTGTACTATACGTTGCGGCGCATGCGGCCCATGCACACAGGGCGGCAAGCGCTGCGACATGTGCTGCACACGCTGTAGGTCGCTAGATAGGCAGGATTCCAGACCCCTCAGCAACATACCTAGCAGGAAGCCGTGTCTAAGGAATCCAACGACGCAAACAGAGACTGAAAGCAAAATAAATGCACCACTGCACCAGGCGTTTTCCTCCTAAGCCGTGGCGCTGAATTGAGGACGCCCCTAGGAGCAACTTCCTAGGCATCAATCGTGAGCCGTGGCGTGTGCTATCCCGCCACCCGTGCCACCCACGACCTAACTGGCACGGCGCATGGGGCATAACGGCGGCCCCAAGAGGGCAACAGCGGCCCCTGCGCCCTCCTGCTCCTCCTTCCTCGCCGTACTATACATAACAACATCCGGTGACAAAAAAGCAATGCAACAAAGCATCGTCACAACAAAACCTACAGCAGGGATCCAGGGGTCCGCTGCAATTACACACGACCACCTGTGTGTATGGTGGAGCCTGCATGCACAACCGATCCGGGCTTCCATGTCAGAGGACCCAACCGTCAACCGCCAACCATCCGGCGCAGCACTAATTTCTGAACTCAGTCAGTCAACGTGATGCCTGCCAGCTTGCGGCCAACACGCAAAGCACGTGTTGCATGCCAGCAGCTGTACTGATGGATCCCCGTACAGACCAATAATCATTGACCCATAAGGAAGAAATGGAACTGCTCTGACGACGCCCCTTCCGGAGAACAAAACAAAATGCCCCGGGAAGGAAAGTTCCAATGCCTGCTCCTGTACAGCCCCCCTTGCCACAGAGCGGCAGCGCAACGGACTGCTCATGCCATTCGGGAGATAGTGTGCAGGGGAGCATGCAGCAGGCTTCCCATGCCCTAAGTGAATGCATGAGCGGCGGCTGCATGGAGGGCGAGGATGCCATCTAATGTTCGTGCCAACATGCGCCTAAATATGAAGCGGACAAAACAAAATCCGTCAAACAACAACAACAACGGTGGTAGTCAAGGCGTGCTGAGGCGCACATGTAACGGCGTGTGGCCTCACAAGGGGGCCCGGACGCCAGAGGCCCACACGCGAAAAAAGCCACCTCCTCACCAACACAGGCGTGCCGTGCACGTTGCCCTTCGTTACGTTTTTGTACGGTTTATTAAATGCGAAATCACGTTTCGCAAGCCTACAAAATGGACAAGGGATGTTAATCCCGAGGCAAAACACCTTCCCCCCACGTCTAGCTCCCCCCCGGGTCCCCACCGACATCACCCAATCTCAACATTCGCCCGATTCGCCCATATCGCACGCAACACACGGCCACCTACACTGTTAAGCCACTGTGGCTACTACTGCTGCTGCTGCCAGCGTTCCAGGTGGGGTTGCGCAGATAGGGTTGGCCACCCTGCCCGTTTCACCGCTCTTGCTACCGCTGCTCCTGTTGCGGCTGCGTTTCCTGCTGCTGCTGCTCTGCCTGCTTCTCCTTCTCCTGCTGCTGCTGTTGTTGAGCCTCAATGCCCGAAGCGGCAGCCAGATGGAAGCCCATGCGCACCTTGTGGATTGGCACCTCCCCCCAGTGAGCCGGCGGGCGGGTCTCCATCGCCCGCAGCCCCTCGCGACCCATGGGTCCGCCGGCGCCCCCTGTCACCCCCCCGCCAGCCGCACCACATCCCTGCTGCTGCTGCTGCTGCAGCCGCGCCGCTAGCAGACCGCTGTTCCCTCGACTGCTAAGGCCCAATGCCGGGTAGGGAAGTCCGCCTCCTCTACCTGCACCTGCTGCTGCCGGTCCCGCACCTGCTGCTGCTGCAGCCCGCATGCAGCTTCCCCGCTGTTGGGCCAGCAGGGCGGCACTGGCAGCAGCAGCAGCAGCGGCAACGCGGGGCTGATGGTGGCGGTGGGTAGTGGTCGTCGGTGGGGAGGAGCCCTCCGTGTCGCTGCTGCAGCCCCCCGCACCGCCAAAGGGGATGAAGCCTGCCGCGTAGCCCGCGTCCTCCTGGTACCCACCGCCACCGCCACCGCCGCCACCACCACCACGTCCGAAACCGCACCCGGTGTAACCCCCGCCGCCGCCTGCGTGAAACCCGCCCTGGGCTGCCTGGTCGACACGGCAGCCCAGGGCGGGTTTAGCCTCCCCATAACGCTGCTGCTGCTGCTGCTGCGGGCAGGGTGGTTGTTGCTGGTATTGTTGAAGGTCCTGCTGCGGTTGTTGTTGGGGTTGCTGGCTGGGGCAGTGATGGCATGGGGCTTTGGGGGTAGAGGGTGACTGCAGGGGATCACTGAGACGCAGGAACGTGAAGGTGGTCTCCGAAACCATGAAGGGCACATCCACTACACCGCAGTTGGCGGCGGCGGGGGTTACCGCCGCCGCCGCTGTGGCCACCGGCAACTGTTGTTGCTGTTGCCGTTGTTGCTGCTGCTGGTGCTGCTGTTGCCGCAGCGAAAGAACCGAGGAGGATGAGGAGCAGGAGGGCTGGATCATCTGATTTGGGTCGGTGTCATCGCTGCCGCCGCTGCCGTTCACCGTGCCTGCCGGTGCGCTGGCGCGGGCGAAGCAGGTGTCCCGCACGCGGTTGGGCAGCCACTTGCTTAGCATGGACTGCGTGCGGCGCCAGGGCGGCAGCGTCAGCCCGCGGGCCTCAAAGGACTCCGCCATGAGTGCACACAGCGTCTGGCGGGTGCGGCAGGCGGGAAGGGAGTGGGGGCAGCGGCAGCAGCAGCAGCAAGGGTGCGGCAAGGTGTCGGTTAGGTGGTGGTTAGATGGCGGTTAGGTGGCGGTTAGGTATGCGGAGTTGTGGATTGTGGTGTTGTGGCGGGTGCAGGTTGCAGGAACTGGCGACTCCTCTTCTCAGCCACCAAACGGTCACACGACCCCACACGTTTCAAGTGAACCCAATTCCGACACTGCGCACTGGGCATCTGCGGCCTAATTGCACTTCGCATGCTGGCGATGAAAATCATGAAATAAATACATGCTATGCCCCGCTACGTTGCATTGCATGCTTTGCCTGCTGCTGCTGTCGTACCGCTGTCGCACTGCTGTCGTACACACCTGGACGATGGGCACCAGCCGAGCGCTCGCGCCCACGTACACATCCGGCGCAGCACTCAGCAGCTCGCTGTATTCCTCCGTGGGGTGCGGAATGCTGAAGTGCTCTCGGAACTGCGGCTCCACTATGAATTCGGTGCCCTCAAAGTCGCCTTGGCCGCGAACCGTTAGAAACTCGTGTCGGAGGTTCCTGGATGGGTCGTACGACCGGGGCGACACGTGGTGGAGGGAACGGTCAAGGTGATGTCAAAGGTGGTACAGCATTGAACGAAGGGCGCAAAGGAGTGAACGCGGGTGTGGATTTCTTGAGGCGGACGTCATAGGATTGGGAATTGAGGAGGAAGAAAGATGGAGGGTGCTCGTGGGTGCGATGGAGACAAGGGGTGTGAGTGGCAGCTGGTCCTTGCCTGAAGCACGCAGGGCCGCCGCCAAGGGCTGTTCGTACGACCACATTGTAGCCAACTGCGGATAGCTTTGTCGCCAGCAAAATGGCGTCCGTGTCGCGTTCCTCCTTGAGAAAGTACCGTACATCGCGTAGCAGCTGCGTTAACCAGAAACAACCGTATGGCAAAAAGGTAGGAAGGACTATGAAGACGAGACTGAAAGTTAGGGGGTTAGTTGACTGCTATGGTGGCGCGGCAATTGGAAGATGGACGGACATGACTAACCGTCGAGCGCCTATGGCAAGCAAACTCTTCTGACGGAATGCTCCTTCGTCTATAAACGGCACCATAAAGCAAGGAAACCCAGATTCTGTAGGCTGGGTTACGTCCTAACGCATCCTTTAACCGCATATGCGGCCGCCAAAAATCCGCGGCCCCACCGACTCCGCGACGCCAACTCACCTTCCAAGCATACGTGCTCGTAGGCAGGCTGAGGTTCACCAGCCGTTCTCTGTCCTGGTTAAGTTTTTCTTTACTGCTGCGAAGAGGTGCTGCTGAGACAGCAGGTGGCACTGCTGCAGTTGATAGGCGCTCCTCAACCTGGTTCGGGGTTTACGACCAAAGGACTTCCTTATTAGCTTTACATACAGTCACTGAAAATCCTCGGCATACTAGGCTTAGGGAAACGGCATTCCTGAAAAGTCGCCTAGTCTCACCAAACAACGCTGCAACAGTTCCACCCCTTCATCCTGCCAGTGGCAAGTAGTCTCGCTCAGAAGTATGTTCCTTACCTCGCAATCAAATACGAGGCTGCCCATGCCACAATTTGCGCTGTGCACCGGGGCCGTCATTTTGCTAACGGTAGGAGCAGCTGGCTGCAAAGCAAGCATTGTTGCTATCATGCAATTTAAGTAAACTACAGTGTCATTGAAGAATGAGCTTATTTCCTCGTAGATGTCAGGAGAACAACATGAGCAAGCATATGCCCGGAATCGTACGCGTGCACACGAGGCATCAACACAGGAAGCCGTCCATTGAGGAGTCCACTACGGTATATCATGGTTGCTTCGGTCGTTTAAATTCTTTGATATGACCGCATAGAAGTTTCTAAATGGACATTTTGACTAGCCAGGGAAGGGTCCAGTCGCCTTGCTCCTTTCCGTTCCTTCCAGAATTGACGAAAGGTTACTTCCATAGACTTCCATAACTTCCATAGAATTGACGAAAGGTTACTTCCATAGCCAAGCTTAGCATACCAATTTGCCTCATCGGTAGTTCATGTCATATGGGCTTCGAAAGTGGCTGTTAGCGCTGCTGCTGCTGCCGCCGCAAACTTACCACCAGGGCGTGAGCGCCAAAAACAGAAGGGACACCTGCCTTCGCTGCACTAGTCTGCTGTAAGTTATTTTGAGCGCAGTGTTACTATCTTGTAAAGCCTTTCGAGACCAATGCCATGCTACACAGCAGCTACTGTTGGCAGTGTTGGCACGTCGGTCGTTAAAATTTTTTTCCAGCCAGCACGGATGGAAATTTACCAGGTGGACCCAAAATACTATGTGCAGTCGCCAGACAACTGAGAGGGCGCAAACAGGGTCGCGCTGCGCATCCTGTGTGCTTCGTCAACAGTCCATCAACGTTCCCCTAAGCACTACGGTAAAAACGTCTGTGAAATTGCCGTCTCTGGACATAAAGAGACAAACATACTGCAAAGCAAGGGAGGATAGCGCGACTAACCAGACATGGCAACTGCTACCTCCATGCATACCGGTACATGCAAGGTGCAACCCATCCATGTAATTCGATCGCAACCACGCAAGCCACCAGCTCCATAGCTCAAATTGAACCTACATAAACCAAACCCGACAAAGAATTAACTCCAAGGTTTCGGACCCACAACCCGAACGTGCTAATCTCCCATCGTGCAACAGCAACGGCTCCTTTCACAAAGGTAGCGTATCCTAAAGAGCATTGCCGCCCCGATGGGCACGTGCTAATACGGGTAATGAGTATTATGAGATTATGGTAATGAGTTCAGCATTGGTCAAGCCCGCCGTCGCTAACACCGTACACATCATCCGACGGCCACCATAGGGCCATCGCAAACAGCAGCACATGGAATCCGCTTTCTCTTGCAAAAGCGTGTTAGCCCCCATTAGACACCACCGTGAGCAGTACCCAAGAATAACCCATGTGATGTCTTCCCTCAGTGCAGGGCAGTGACAACATCCTCCCTGAGGGGGGCTTGCCATTGCGACAGCCAAACACATAATGGCTGTCTCCCGTTTGCAGCCGAGCCGCATGGTGCCTCCGTGAACACACGCGCGCCTGTTCGTCGCGCCATTTACTGCGCACGCATACAGACGCAATTATAGGATCCGCGATTCCCCACTCAACACACATGCCGCGTACATGAGGGTTTACCTGTTGAATAAATACACTCCTTACACCCGTGGCCCACAACAACACCACCGTCCACGTCACCCGCACCACCCCCGTGCGCAGCTTAATGCGGATTCTGTCTCCAAATTAACCACCCCCGTGCACCGCCCCGACCACCGCCCGAGCTGCTGCATCCTTGCTGCGCCGACCACACAGCCGCATGCGCGTCTATGCGCTACTAATACACCCAGTAGCTGTATTACAATCCGCAACTACTCAACTCTTGACGTCACTACTGCTCCGGCCAGCCTTCAATCGCAAACCCTCTGCCGGCCTTATCATAGCCCCTTTCCCACGAGCATAGCCGCTACATATGAAGAAGTCCCACCCAATGACCGCATACTCCCATCATCACCATTACCACCATGCACACGCTAACTTACCGCGTCCGGCAACCCCACGTGCACCAGTGCACCAGCAGTAAGCTGCGGCTGCCGCTTCCTCACCCCACACCCCTCCCACACCCACGCCCCTCTTCCGCATTCCTCTACCGGTATTCCAGCCCCTTGTATTCCCACCAAAACCCGCATGTGCCAAACCGCCCAAGCACGTTCCACCCGGCAAGCCCACGGCGACCCTCCACCTGACACCGCCTGCCGCTTGCTGCTCCCCTCGTCCAATAACCAGAGCAGCACCCGCACCCGCACCCGCACCACCACCAGGTCCACCACGCCACCAAATGGCTGGCAGCACACCACACACACCGGGCACCTCTCACGCCGCTTACTTCCTAGCCTGCTTCAGTCTCGACATCTGAGATCGTCTGCCGAGGGGGCGGTCAGGCGGGACCAGGTCAGGAGGACCATTGACGGGGGGACTGACCCGTGGCTCAAGAGGGACAGCAGCAGCAGCAGCAGCGGAGGAGGAGGAGAAGGAGGAGGAGGAGGGGGGAACGATGGATAGGATGCGCGGGGAGGCTGCAAGCGCCGGCGGAGGTGCAGCAGGCATGAAGGGGGCAGCAGCGGAGGGGCCGCCTTCGGGCTGGCGGTTTAGCTGGCGGAGGGCTCCGGCGGGCTCTAGGGAAGGCAGGTCGCTGGGGGGACGTCGTGAGGAGGGAGCCTGTGCGGTTTGGTAGGTGGTGGAAGGGAGGAGGCCACGTGCGGCAGAGAGGGAGGGAAGGGAGCAGGGAGGAAGGCAGAGAAGCGGTTCAGTAGGAATGCAGCACATAAGGCTTGCAGGCGGGGGCCGGTTAGCAAGGAGCGTTGTGAGGTGTTAGACCACCGGTCCCGAGACCCTGCCATCTGCGATCGTAGCAACCTCCTCGCATCCTTCATCCTATGCCCCAACTGTGCGTGCTTCTTCCCCTTCCCTCCCTCCAGGGGTTGTCAGCAACTTGTCTCATTATCATACCACACTTTGGAATTTCTTTTTTCCCTCCCTCCTGCCCCGCCCTGCCCCATGCGCGCACCTGCCCCATGCCGCTGCCATGCACTGCTCCTGCATCCCCGCGCACCCCCGCACCCGCAGACACCCCCGCCTGCTGCTGCTGCTGCTGCTCCTGCTGCCCGGTCCCCTGCTCAAATGCAAAAGCATGACGCCCGGATTGCATCAAGCCCGTCTCCAGCGGCTGCTGATATGGCTGCTGTTGCTGCTGCTCCTCCCCATCCTCCTCCTCTCCTAGCGTCCCGGGCGCCGGCAGCCCCAGCATGCAGCAGCTTTCCCTATCTCCCCCGCCGCAGACGCCGAAGCCGCCGCTGCTTCCGTCCGCCTCCAAGCTGCCGGCGGCGGCCGCCATGCATGTCGTACTGGTTCCGCCCGCAGCACCCAGCGGCTGTTGTACCGCCCGCCGCAGTTCATCCAGCTCGGTGCGCATGTCCGCTACCAGGTCCACCAGCGCCTCCTGGGCCTAAGCCAGGGGAGAGGGAGGCGGGGGTAGCAAGAGGGCAGCAAGCGCCATGAGGGGTTGACCAGAAGGGGCGGTGCCGGCGCGTGGGTGTATAGCGTTCACTAGCAACCGACCCCATGCTGGTCTTGCGTACCATGCTGCGCGCATACCTGTAACATGCAGCCCAAGCCCACTGTATCTGTATGAAAGGTCATACTATGTAACACTTACAGTAAGGTATAGTACACTTCATAGCCCATACCGGTACTTGCCCCAACCTCCACATGCCCCCCCCCCTTCACCCACGCACCTCTAGCATGAGTGCATCTCCGCTGCGCAGCTCACCGGCACCCGCGTGCAGCTGCGTCCGCAACCGCGGCAACAGCGCATGTTGCTGCTGCTGCTGCGTCAGCTGGTTCTGGTTCTGCGGCTGTTGTTGTTGTTGCGTCTCGAGTCTCAGCAAACCCCCCTCCGCAGCGGGACCAACGCCACCCTCCTCCAACACCACCCCATGCATATCAACCCAGCCGCCAGCACCGCCGCCGCCTCCGCCAGTGCTGCCTCCGGCGCTACTGCCTCCGGCGCCGCTACCATCTCTCCGTGCCCCCATCGCCCTCACCGCCGCCGCGTGTTGTCGCAGTTGCATGGGGGCCCGCACGGGCGCCGCTCTGCGATGACTCCTTCCACCGCCGCTGCCGGCATTAACTCCCAACCCACCGCTGCCCCCGCCGCCGGCAGCTGTTACCGCAGCAGAGGCGGCTCCACCAGCGGCGGCAATCATCGCCTGAGCCGCCATGGTTGCCCGCATGCCGCGCATTTCCCGCTGCAACGACCGCAACTGCCGCCGCACGTCTTGCAGCGTGCTGCCATCTGCGGAAGCCTCAGCAGCCACACCGATAACCGACGCTGTCACGTTGGCAGCGACGCCAGCAACAGACGAACGTGGAGAGTCCTCACAGCTGGCAGGCAGCCCACCATCCCTGGCGGCGGCAGTACCGCCCAGAAAGACCTTTCTGCCGCCGCCGGGGTTGCCATCCATCATGTAAACTGCGCCATCGGTCTCGGAGCACCCCCCAGCTGCCTTCGCCGCCGCCGTCGGTGCCAACAGGGAGCCCATGGCGGCATGCACCCCTGCTGCGGCTGCATGCTGTGGCAGCAGTGCAGCCATCAGACATGCCGCCACGTGCTCCATTCCAGCAGCCAGCTGGTCCAGCGCCGCTCTGCTGCTTTCCTGGTGCCGCTGCAAGTCCTGCGCCAGCGACGTCACTTCCCGCGTCAGCCCCTCCACCTGCTGCTGCTGCTCCTCGCACTGCTGCGGGTGACGCCCGCATGCGGCGTCAGCTACATCCGCACGGTCAACTGGGGACTCGCGCACCATGAGCTGCTGCTGCTGCTGCATGAGTTGCAGCCTCAGCTCCTCCATTTGCTGCTCGGCTTGTTGCCGCCAAGCGCCTGCATCCGCCGCTCCGGAAGCCAGCGCAGCAAGCAACGCATGGTGTTCCTGCAGCAGCACGCGATGCTCCCCCAGCACCCTTTGGTGCAGGGCCGCCTGCTGCTGCTGCTGCTCCTGCTGCTGCCGCAGCCGCTGCCGCAGCTCCTCCATCTCAGCAGCGTACTGAGATGCGTGCGTTTGGTGCGACATCTCGCACTGCGCTACCGCCTCCCGCAGAGCCCGTAACTCGGCACGTAGGGCTTGCTCATGTAGCCGCTGCTCCTGCTGCTGCTGTTGCTGAGAGAGGAGCGACAAGCTGCCGCTAGCGACGGCGCCGCCGCTGCTGTTGCTGTTACTGCTTTCCCCGGCGCTTGCGCTTCCAACCCCGCCGCCGGTGGAGCGGGACACGGAGCTGGTGCCCCCGCAGACGGCTGAAGCGGAGGCGGCGGAGGGCTGCACCCGCAGCTGCTGAGGGAGCTGGCGGTGCTGCTGCTGCGGTGGCATGGAGGCCACTGCGTGCGATAGGAGGAGGACCTGAGGGTGCGGTTGGTTTAGCGGGTAGTTGGTTACTAGGGGCAGGGGCGGGGGTCGCAATTAGATGTTTTGGGAGGCTCTTGTTGCTGAGTGCGACTAAGGACGCAGGGTGACGTTCGAACTGAAGTCCACAAAAACCCAGGCAGCTAATCAAACCCCACCCTTTCCATGCAGCTTAACCCAAACTTGCCCTCTGGTTTAGCTTCCCAAGACCCCGATCCCTTCCCAGCTATCCCAGCTAAGCCCTGTCTGTCTCGACCAGCAACACCATCCCCTCACCTGCTGCCTGAGCTCGGAGGCATCCCCGCTAGCAGCCGCAAAGCTCCCCGCACGCGCATCATCGCAGCCGCACCCGCCGCCGCCGCCGCTGCTGCCCCTGCCGGCATCGCACGGCAGCTCTTGCGCATGTGATGCTGCCCTCGGCCCTACCATGCCGCCGCCGCCGCTGCTACTATGGTCGAAGCGCCCCTCGGCGTTGTCGCCATCGCCGTCCTCCTCTTCGCCATCCATACCGGCGGCAGCGCCAATGGAAGTGGTGGTATTAAAGCTGCCGCCGCCGCCGACATGCACCAAGTCCCGTCGCAAACTAGCAACGCTGTCATGCATGGCGCCGTCATTGACGGGACGTGGCCCCGCTGCAATCACAGCCATCATGCCGCCACCGCTGTCGTTTCCGTCGACACCAACCTCACACCGCTGCTTGTCCGCTGGTCCGTACTCCAAGGCAACGCACTTGTCGCTGTTTGCCGCAGTCAGCGCCGCAACCGAGCCCTGTAAGTTTTGGATCTGCGCTGCTTGAGATTGGACGAGCAACACAAGCTGCCGTACAAGCGCACCGGAGGCTGCAAACTCGTCCGAGCCTCCGCTGCCGCCGTTGGCGGCGGAGGCGCTGCGAGGGGGCGCGGAGGCGTGTGGTGCGGGGGCGTCAAGCTGTTGCGTGGGAGCAGGTGAAGACTGAAGTTGAAGCTGAGGGCTGGAGTGGCGCTGAGGCGACGACAGATGCGGCGCTGTGGTGCGGTCGGTGGGATCCCGCCGGGCTGACGACGGCGGTGACAACAGCGTGAAACCGCGACGCGGCGTCGGCGGCATAGACGACGCTACGGCAGTGGCAGCGTCAGTGCAAGCTTGCACTGTCAAGGCGCTATTGCTTTGCTCCTGCCGGTATTGCTGAAGAGCCGACGGCGACGGTGGCGGCACCTCCGCCACACCGTCCGCACCCGCCGCACTCGGAATTGAGCCTGCAGGCACGGGCACTTGCGGATATGGACGCCCGCGTCGCGGTGGCAACTCATTCGGGCGTGTTGGACCGCCTGCTGCTGCTGCTGCTGCCGGCGACGAACTCCCGGCTGCAGGGTTACCCGCTGCCGGGCGATAACCCGCCGCCGCCGCGGCCGCTGCTAGTGCCATGGCTTCTTGGACCTCCCGCAGCGGCGATGCCGGCGCCTCCGCTGCCGGCGGTGGTTGCGTCGCTGCTGCCGTACTCCACATGCCGTCGCCTGAAGCCGTGCGTCGCGACCGGGGCCTGGACTCTATGGCTGCCGCAGCTGCACTTCCGCTAGACTGCACAGGCGGCGTGGCAGCGCCCGCACCGACCCGTGGGACGCTGCTCCCGCCTGGTGCAGCATCTGCTGCTGCCGCGGCACCGGAAGCTGCAACAGGAACCGCCGTCGCCGCCGCCGTCGCAGCAGCAGCCTTAAAGCTGTGCGCGTCACTTCCTTCTTCCTCATCAACAACACCGTCGATATCCGTTCCTTCCGGGATCGACAACTCCGGCGACGCCAACCATGCTGTGACTGGCGCCGCCGCTGCTGCTGCGCCCGCCGCGCCGCCTCCCACCCACGATGAGGAGTGTTGGTGCTGCCGTAACTGGTCTATCCGCTGGAGCGCCCCGGGCGGCAGGTCTCGCAGATTCACCGGTTGCGGACTGTTAGCCGCCGCTGCCGACGGAGAACCCGCGCCGTTCCGCAGCCGGGCACTATGCGGCGGTGTCGCCCCTGACGCCGTAGCTGCTGCCGTACAAGACCCCGGGCCCATGTCCATGCTCGATAGGCCGTTCCCGCTAGCCTCATGCATTGCCGACAGGCTCTGGGTGCTCAGTCGTAGCTGGTTTTGCTGCAGCTGTTGGCTCTTCAGGACCTCGAGCAGGTTAACACGGTGCCGGTTGCTCGCGCTTGAGGGTCGGTGACCCACGGGACTTGTCGCTACCGGCGCCGCTCCCGCCGTCACGCCGGCCGTGGGTCCTGAAGAGCCGGCAGCGGTAGCGCCCACCGCCGCCGCTCCCGCCGTACTGTTCTGTCCACTGCTGCCGCCGCCAGCGAGTTGCCCTCGGGTTTTGGAGACAGACCTGCGCGTGGGTGAGGCACGCGAGGGACCGGTGCTGCCGGCTGCCGCCGCCTGCGTTGCTGTAGTTGCAGCGGATGGGATGTTGGGGCTGCGGCCCTTGGACGGAGCGCGGGGAATAGGCGGGTTCCGTGCAGAGCGGGGCGTGTTGTTGGGGACGTGGAGCGATGCCCTGGGAGGGGTCCGAGCCGACCGCGGCGGGTCGCTGATGTTGGCTGCTGTAGCCGGAGCTGCCAGGGGGCCCGACAGCGTTAGCGGCAGGTCTCCAGAGTCGTACAAGGCATCGTAGGAGAGCATTTCGGGGACATCTGAGGAGGCCAGGCTACGCCTAAGGCTATGGTCACGGTCCTGTTGCCGCACACGCCACTCCTCCATGCCGTTGTTCGTACCCTGTTGAAGAAAGGGTTAGTGAGGTGCCGTTGGCCGGTAAGCGAGGTACAGTGTTTTATGACATACAAAGGTTTAGCGCGTCAGCAGGCCAACTTTTTGGGTATGGAATAAGACGAAAGAAGAGCGGCACCCAATGGCCAGGGATGCGGTTGGTTGGGCAGCGCCTGGTCAGCAATGGGTTGGCGGGTTGTGTCCCAGCGCGATGGCCCTCAATGAAAGATTACAAAACAATATCAGTTGTAATTCCCATAACTCAGAACCGGCCGGTACGCGGGCCTAGTTTCAGCACAGGACAGACTAGTGGGCGTGCGAAATGCTTGCACGTCAAAACGCCAGATAGTAAGGGTCCTTTGAGCAACATACAATGGCAACCCAATGATAATATACATTTTGCTAGCAGATGACAGTAAAATGTGTAGCCATGGAGGTGGCTGTCACGGTCACGGTTGGGATGGACGCTTACACCAACAAGCGGCTAGTTCAAGGGATGCGCACGGATGGTTGTCCTCTCACCTTATCCATCCACATGCTCGATGGACAGCAGATGCATCCAAGGACGTCAAGGATGCTAGGCTAACGTAGTTCCAAACTGCTGGGTCACATGTGCTTGCTCGGCAAGCTTTCAGAGGACATATTTATGTTTCAGTCGATATGGGTAATTTACGAAACAAGAGTCAACACGAGTCAATACCGGCACTCGGGCGCCGCAAGTAGGATAATAGGCTAGGATTGAGACAACATGCAGTGTCTTGTACTTGGGAGTATAGTGCAACTAACCTTGACAAGGAGGACAGGATGAACCTGGACAAAGGAAAGGTTACGACGTGACATTCCCGTACGAAGGGTCTCTGTGAAAGCCACCAAGTTCTCAGAAGCTTCAAACCCGTCTGCCTTCCTTGGGAAAATTTATACTTAGCTAGACAGTCACTTGGAATACAAGTAGTTGTTGTGGAGCGTTTGCCTTGTCTACTTGTTGTTCCTCTAGTGGGAGGTCGGCGTCCAGCGGTGGGACATGGCGTCGAAGCGCATTCAGAAGGAGCTGCAGGTAGGCGGTGTACGTTTTAGGCTAGGCGCATCGGGCTGCGGGCGCTACCAAGGGATCTGTGCAGATCTTCGTTGGCCTTCGGCTTCCTTCGAGCACGCTTTTGCCAAAATGCTCTCTCCGGCAGATTTAAGCTTGGGACCCTGTAATGTCTCCTTTTTGTGTTGCCTCCTTTTCTTGCCCTTTTCCCTGTTCTCCCATGGTGCACAAGCTTGTCTACTGCTTGGACTTTAACGAATGGCAATCTCCTCAAACCTACAGGACTTGCAGAAGGACCCGCCCACTTCTTGCAGTGCTGGACCTGCGGGCGATGACCTCTTTCACTGGCAGGTGCGGCGGTATGCAGCTCTGCTTTAACGCTGGACTGCCTCGTCAGTATCTGATGGTTTATAGCGTTAAGCGCATTCTTTTTGTAGGCTACCATCATGGGGCCCAGCGACAGCCCCTATGCGGGAGGCGTCTTCTTTGTAAACATCATGTTCCCTCCGGACTACCCTTTTAAGCCGCCCAAGGTGACCTTCCAGACGAAGGTAAGCGTAATGGGCCTGGAGCATCGTCCATGGGCATTGCACGCGGCCACGTCTAGGGTCCGCGTTGCATGGATGCGATGCTCGCTAGCGACTGACAGCGCCCTTCTGTTTCGCTGCAGGTGTACCACCCCAACGTAAACAGCCAGGGCAGCATCTGCTTGGATATCCTCAAAGATCAGTGGAGCCCCGCACTGACCATCTCGAAGGCACGTGTGGCCAGGCGAAGCCATGGCTATCAATATAGTTCTGAGTTTCTGACGTGCGGGTTTAGATCTCTTTCAGCTCTTACTCCCTTCCTCCAGTGCGCACCGTTTGCCTTTGGGCTGGGGCCCGAACCAATGGCAATGTGTGGATGAATGGGCTGTCACCAAAGGTGTCTGGATCAGGCACGTCCCCCTCCCTTTCAACTCTCCTGCCCCACCCCCTTTTCCTGTGGCCCTTGTGGCAATATCCTTACCATAAGGCATTCCTCCTCCCTTTTCCCCCTCCCCCATCTCTGCGCAGGTGCTGCTGTCCATCTGCTCCTTGCTCACAGACCCCAACCCCGACGACCCGCTCGTGCCGGAGATTGCGCACATCTACAAGACCGACCGCCGACGCTACGAGGAGACGGCCCGAGAGTGGACCCGCAAGTACGCCATGGGCTAAGCCAGCCGCTCACGAATCACGAGCTCCTCCTTGAGGCCACCTAGCGTTGTAGTCACCTACGTGGTCGCAAGCTACGAACGACACCCAAATCGAGCTCGGGCCAGCTATTTTGCTCCGGCGGCCAGGACCAGTGCAGGAGTGTTTGCAGTGCCAGCCACTTGGAGTGGGCGCATCTTACATTGCAGCGAGACGTTTGGTGGTTGGGTTGGGTTGATAGCCGTTCAGCCGTGGCTGCTGCCGCTGCTGGTCTGCAATGAATGGTATGTGGCGGTATGTCCTGCTTTCTGGGGCGAGGCATGTGCATGCGTCGGGGCGCAAAGGGCATGGCATGCGGGTCGGTTGTGTAACACTAGGGGCGCAGCTTGTTCTAGAGAAACCCACTTGTGTCCGGTGTGCATCAGTGACGGCTGTTGATTTTGTGGGGAGCAGAGGAACGTCGCATGGTGGTGAGTCATGTGGCGTGTGGGTGTGCGAGACGCGCGTCCCAAAGGTGGGAGGTTGTTGCTGCTGTGTTTTGGGAGGGAAGGGGGCAGGGCAATGGTCGTGACGAGGCCAAGAATGCGTGTAGCCCCATGTTGGGGGCTAGGAGCTCGACAACAACAACACACACGCGCGCACATGCGCAGTGCTCGGTTATGTGTTTGTGTGTACGTGGAAATACGAATTGCTGCTGGGTATTCCTCTAGCCTCCTCTGTCCTTCAGCTTGACCCCGCGTCCTGACCTGCTGCGCAACTCGTGCGTCACGGAATGCCTGAACGCTCGTCAACGGAATGCTGTGCTCATCAGGCGCGCGCACTGCCGACGTTCCTACTCGTGGCCAGATTTGTTAACACAGCCTGCACTGCACAGCCTTCAGTGTTGGAGAAGTCGTTTAGTACGGTGCAGGCCTCACCCTGTGGAGGCGTACGTGTGAATGCAAGTAGCGGGAGGGACATTGCGAGTGCAGTGGACATTGGAAACCGCGGTATTTGGCTGCTGCAAATACACCCAGCACCAGCAGTAACCGCTTTGTGGTTAGCAGCTCAGCGTGCTACGTTAGCAGCGCGAATGTCCCGTTTGTGTGCAGGTTCGACAACTGTTCATAGCTCAGCACAAAGGACGAAAATCCAAGCCCTCCATGTCTGTTCAACACGGCCTCTTGACGCAGCTCCCAGCCCGCAGCTCACTCCCAAGCAACCAGCACGGGGCCTCATGTACATGCACGCCCCGCAGCGCCACCCGCCATATCGCAGCGCCCTGCAAGGCTCCATAACCGCACCTCCCTCCATTGCTGTGTCTAGCTGTTGTTGCTGATGTTGCAACTAAATGTCCCCCCCACTCCTGCTGCGGTGCTGCTAATCCTGCTTGTGTAACCACTCCCCCACACGGTCCCCCAACCGCGTACATCACCACTCCATTCACATGTGAAACAACAGCCAGTTTCGAGTAACCCTACCCTATCTACATCACCTCCCCCGACTATACATCGGTCATGGCATCCACGTTACCACTGCCGGAGCCCTTGCCCCTGCTGCCGCCCCCGCCTCCCTCGCGGTCCCAGCGGTGCACCACGCCATCGTCGCATGACGCCAGGATGACGCTGCCATCCCAGCTCACGGCAGTCTGCCGCACCTGTCACACGCGCGCACGTGTGTTATGACACAACATAAGTGTTTCGTACATGTGTATGTGTGCCGTACAACATGCTGTACGACCGTGACGGACGGGAGCCCCGTGCTTCGAAAGCACTGTCCCGCACTTACCACGGTCTTGCACTGGGGCACGGAGAGGCGGGTGCGGGCGGTAGGCAGCAGCGGAGAAAACACAAACACCTTGCCCCTGTTGTTGAGGGGAGGGGTCAGCAGTGGAGGCGGCGTGAGAGGGGGCGCAGGGCCGGGCGCGGCTGCTGAGGTGCGGCTGAAGGGAGGTAAAGTGGGAACAATGAACTGACCGAAGGGAGGGGGGGGCGGCGGCACCCACCAACAAGAGCACACAAGTACGGCACGCTAACGAAAAATGGGGAAAAGGAGCAGATGGTAATTGGGGCGGCATTTGGACGCAAAAGGCCACCACCAACCGTTTCCTTTTTGTTCCCTACAGTTCGTGTATGACCCATGGGTCTCTCTCTCGCTTTCCTCCCACCCCCGCCCTGAGGACGCCCTCCCCCCCTTCCCTCACCTCGCGCTGCCGCACGCCAGCACCTGGCAGCGCAGGTCGCAAGAGAAGCGCACGAACCAGGTGTTGAGGCTCTCAGCCAGCGGCAGGTCCTGAGGAGGAGCAGCGGGAGCAGCGGGAGGGGGGGTCATAGACCGGTGAACCGATCCCCGACTTAGATGCCGGCCACGGTCAGTACGGATAGGCGGCGAGGCACTGCCCACCCCCTCACAGAACTTTAAATCCTTCACTGCATATCGCCCAGCAAAGCCCAACCCATGGGTCTCTCCTCCTTCCTCCTCCTACCTCAACCCTCACCCCCCTTCCCAAGCCCCCCCTTCCTACCATGATCTTGATCGCTCGACTGCCCACTGTCTCGAATTCCTCCTGCTGCCCCTCCCCCTCCCGCTCCCCTGCCCCGCCCCCTCCCCGCGCCCCCTCCTCCCCCCCCTCCGGTCTCCAGAGGCTGATGACGTCATGCACCGACTTGGACAGCACCAGGTCGCCCAGCCAGCGCACGCAGTCCACGTAGTCGTGGTGCACCTGGCAGGTGGGGGTGGGAAGGAGGGGGGGGATTACAGATAAGCGCAACAACGCAGTCCCAATCCCATAGGAGAGGTGGTGGGGGAGGTGGGGGGGGAGGGAGGTTTCGTAACATACCGTGTGACGAGCTCATGAGGTGCCAAGCGGTAAGCAGCCAACCCAAAGAGTCCCAGACCCAACTAACCCCAACCGACAACCGTGCAAGCCCCGTCCAGTGTGGCACCTCCCCGCCGGGTCGCGCTCGGCTTATCGCTTCGCTCCCCAGCCACCCCCCCCCCTCTCACCCCCTGCGTCGAGAACAGCGGCAGCTGCACGACCCGAGCCGGGAAGGTCCTCCTCCACCCCCCGCTTCTCCGGCCGGCCTCGCTACCTCCCCCACCTCCTCCCCCACTGTCGTCCTCAGCTGCGCCCAAAGCGCCCCCTCCCTCTCCTCCCAGCTGCCCCCCCTGTCCCTGCCCCTGCTCCTGCGCCGCCTTCCGCTGCCCCTGCCCCTCCGCCCCCAGCAGACACCCCTCCACCGCCTCCTCCGACAGCGCTAGCAGCGGTGCGATGCGGGCCAGGCTCCAGATCTTGATGGCGTTGTCCATGCCGGCCGACAGGAAGCGGTGGCCGTCCCAGGGGTGGAAGTCCTGGCAGGGGGGAGGGGGGGCGAGGCAGCGGTGGAGAGGGGGTGCAGAGAGGAGGGGTCAGAGGGGGAACAAAACCCGTAACGGGGGGGGGCAGACGGAGGGAGGAATGTTTAGCAAGCCGAGAGTGGAAGTGAATCCCCTCCTCCAACCTCCAGACTTCCCACGCCTCTCATGTCCACACCAAACGTCACTCTCCGCCCTCTAACCAGACCCATGGGTCACTGCTGCACGCGTGCATGCGTAAACCACCACCGTGCCACTCCCCTTCATCCCCTTTCATCCCCCCCGCCAGAGCCCACCAGCGTGAGGACCTTGTTCTTGTGGCCGCCCTCCCCGGCGAACACGGCAACACAGGTGCGCGAGCTGCGGGGGCAGGTGTTGGGGCAGGCGGGGAGGGGGCAGGTGGGGGGCCACGTGGGGTTACAGTGCATGCGAGCTAACCCGCAACAAGGGGCATGACAGGTGGGCATATGTGCAAGGTGGGGGCAAGCATGCGCGGAGAGGGGGGGGGCAACAACGTGCATGGGGGCACGCAACAAAGGTTTTCGCAGCCCCCATTAGTCTCCTCCTTACTTCTCCCCTTCCCCTCCCTTCCCCCCCTCCCCCCCACCGGTAGTTCCACAGCCGCACGCTGCAGTCGTCGCTGCCCGTCAGGAAGAGGTGCGGCCGCTGCGGGTGCACCGCGATGTCGTTGATGTCCTGGCCGTGACCCGAGAACGTCTGCGGCACGGGGGGTGGGGCGTGCGTGCGGCAAGTAAGGAGGCGGCTCTTTTCCCCCTCTATTTGCAATAAGTCTTTATCCCAGTCCTGTGCGAATTATCCATCCCCTCAACCATTATCACTCAACACATAGGGTCTCCTTATTCCCCTCCACCCCACCCCCCCGCTGAGTTGCATGCTTCTAGGATAGTGTCTCCGAATGCGCTCACTGCATTAGTCGGGATATGGGATTGGGACTCTAGTTGTTTCACTTTTATAAACTTCCCCACCTCCCCCCCCACTCACATGCACCAGCTGCCCCCGGCTCACGTCCAGCACGCGCACTAGCGCCTTCCGCCCCGCAGCCAGCAGCAGCGCGGCGCCGCTGTCCGGGTCGCGAGACCACTTGCAGCAGTGGAAGCGCTCCCCGCCACTGCTACTACTGCCAGTGCCGCCGCTAGTGCCGCGAGGGGCGGTGTAGGCGTCAGTAGCGGGGTTGGCGGCAGTAGCAGGGGCGTTAGGGTCAACGGCGGAGGTTGCAGCATCGGCGGTGTTGGCCAGGGCGGCAGTGGCAGTGGGGGCGGAGGTGGGGTCGGCAGCGGAGGGGGTGCTGGGGTCGTGGAGGGCTGGGGGAGCCTTCCGCTTTGGCCGGCTTTGAGAGCCGGGAGATCCCTGGCGGCGGCGGTGGTGATGGTGGCGAGGAGGAGAGGGTGTGATGTTGTTTGGCAGGTCAGGGGGCAGGGGGGTAGTACTGGGGGAGGGGTGCAAGGAGGGGAAATGAAGGTGTTGAAGGGGAAATCCTAACATGGTGGTAAAGAGGGCGAACAAAGGTGCTCTGCCGACCTCTCAGACACCGCCCTTCTTGCTCCTTGCCTCCCCCCTCTACCGGCAGTTGCCCCCTCCAGTCCAAGCGGACTCTGTCTTCCCCTAGCAGTTGAAAACCCCAACGACCCATGGGTCACCCTGGTTCGCCACTCACATCCTCGTCCTCGTACACCTGAGGTGGGGGGGAGGGGAAGTGGGAAACGAGCAAGGGGAAGAGACTCAAACGGCAAGGCGGGTCAGCTGAACGGGGTTTAGTCAGAAGTGGCATACTGGCCATGTGTCGCTTTCCGGCTCCCTGCGTTGCCCCGGTACAAGGCTGCCTTCTCCCCTTCCACTTCCCTTTCCATCCACCCTGCCACCAGCCAGTGGACCACACACCGCTCCCTCCTTTCCTTTCATCCGCAGAACGCAGCACCCCCCTCCCCGCTGGATTGCGTTGTTGCATTTATTTATAATTTTCTCCCCGCTGCCCTCCCTCCCCTCCTGCCCCGCACCTGCAGCACCTGGAACTGCCCCGCTGGCAGCAGCCGGTAGATGCTCACCTGCGGGAGCGGGAGCGGGGGAGAGGGAGGGAAGGAGGAAGGAGTGCTGCGTTTGGAGGTCAGGTCAGGAGAGGGGCGAGCTCGCAATGAGGTGCCGGGTGCTGAACTGCTGATAGTCAGGAAGGAAGGAAGGAAGGAAGGAATGGGGTTCAGCGGGGCCATACTGCTTCATGGGGAGAGACGCGGGCTGCTGCCCGTGATATCCTCCTCTTCCTCCTCATCCTCCTCTTCCCACCGCCCTCGTCTAGTATCCTCGCCTCCCACCCTCGCCTCCCACCCTGCAGTGCCCAACCGTGGCGAACACGTCCCGGTGGGCCAGGTCGCAGGTGTTGAAGGCGACGCAGAAGATCGCCTCCTTGTGCCCCTCGTGCAGGCTGGGGAGCGGAAGGGGGGGAAGCCGAGGGGAGGCGAGGCGGGAGAGGCGGGTGTGTGTAGCCCTGACCAAGCCACTATGAAAGGCTGGACTTAGACCGTAACCATGGGAAAAGACCGGGGGGTGATGGCGTCCCCCGGGTCATGAAAGGGGATTTAGAAGACAGGAGGTGGGCTCCCTGCGACCTTGACCACGTCAAGATCGCGGGAGGAAAGGGGAAAGGAAGATGGAAAGAAGACAAGCAAGAAAGCTGAAGGGATGGGGAAATGAATCAGGCAGGGGAGTTGTTGCGGGGTGAGACAGTTGGGGAGGCGGGGGAGATGGGGTAGAAGTAGGAAGGGCTCCCCCGGCAAGCTAGAAGGAGGGGCGAGGGGTGGGAGCCATCCGCGGTATCGGCAACCCCACCTGCCAGCATACTTGTACTTGGGGCGGGCCGCCTGCGCTGTATCCATTGGGGATGCCGATGCAATTAGGTGCGGCTGCACGCAGTGCCGCACTCCAGACGCTCCGATGGGCACCGTTAGGTTCTACATAGCCCCCTTGAGTAAGGTTGCGGAGGCGAAGGAGTCGGTTTGACGACGGCCAATGATGTGTTGCAGTCACAATCGCATTATGACTGAACCCAAGTGTTTAAAGCGGGCGACGTAAGAGCATGGTGCTTGGCGGGACCTTCAATGCTGGGCAGGGACCTTTACGGCTTGAATTATCGGTAATTATGAGAACTTCTTTGGGAGACTCCCAAGAGGCATATTGGCGAAACCACGATCTCCCACGTTAGTTTACTAACAGTGAATAACCAGTATGTGAAAACCTGACACGTTACCGACGGTAGGTCAAAACAGAGATGAGACACAACGATGCTCCCGCCACATTACTACGACGTCCGTACTGGACCGTCCTTTCCTCTCTTTCAACTTTCTTTCTTTCATTTTATTTAACTGAGTAGTGATACTAAATAATATATACAATAGTTATTATATGGGCATCATGTCGAAGAATACGTCACCTAGCGATGCCAAAGCACCTCAACAGCTGTTATCTCCTCCGACTGTTCTTTGCTGGGCATGCGGCGTGCTTGTCCAGATACCTATAGTCGGCGGCGAGCTGTCGCCGGTATTTAGGGTGAGCGGTTGGTGCAACGCTAGTCTTCCTGTTTGCCTCAGTAGTGCAGGAAGGCAGCCAGTTTGCCCGGAGCACCCTCATAATACTGCCTGATATACCTGCAGTGCGGATGGTGCGGCGCAATCAGCGAGGCAGCACCGGAGGGCAACGTCCTTGCTCGACGTCGCCGGGGAGGTGTCTGGCGCAGCTTCATGCGGCTTCTCAGCCGGCTATCCTACATCGTGGTTGTGTTCGTACTTTGCCTTATGCTTAGCATAATCTTGCCTGGCATAGGCTTTGTGTTGCCGCAGCTGTGCACCTCATCCACATCATGGCTATTCCACATAACCATCACCTACATCCTGACCGCCAGCGTCATCTTCAACTACTTAGCAGCCGTCTTCACAACTCCGGGCACGGTACTTGAATGCTGCGACGGCCTGCCGCCCGCGTTTACCTCCCGCGGCAAGGACGATGCCGACATCTGCAGCCAAGATGCCGCTCGCGCCCAGGAACCTGCCGCTGCCAACGGCAAAGCAGCGCTAACAGCAACAGCAGACAGTAGCAATGCCGTTCTTTCCTCTAAACCCCCTGGCATTGCTGCTGGCAGCGAGGGCAGCAGCAACACCAGTTGCACCCACCCTAACGGCAGCGGGACGCAAGCAAGTGGCTGTGCATGCAGCGACTCCCCCAGCCGTACGGCCCTTGACGCGGCCTGTGCTCCCAGTGATCAAAGTGACAGCCCCCGGGTTGGCGTTGCATGCAACAACCCTGCTACGAACGTGGGCACAGGGGTCACCGACCCAGGGGACGGTGATAGCCAAACAGCAGCAGTGGCGGCGGCGGCGGAGGAGGAGGAAGAGGAGGAGTCCTTGACCGGCGCCATTGCAGCTGACACCAGCGGCAGCGGCGGTGGGGAGGGCTGCACGCCTTCACATGCAGCAGAAGCAGGGGCAGCGGCGAGCAGCGGAGGCGAGGACGAGCGGGCGCAGCAGCAGCAGCAGTTGGTGCCGCAGTTTGCTTACGCACACCTGAGGTGAGGTGGGGGCGGGCCGATCGGTGCACGATGGGATCGCGGAAGAGGTGCAGTGCTACCGGGACCTCTTCGCTTCCCCCCGTCCCTGTCTCTGCCTCCCTGCCCATCCCCTCTCCCTCCACCACCTCCTCTCCCCCTCCCCCGCCCCCGCCAGGTACTGCTGGCCGTGCGGCGGCCCGCAGCCCCCCGAGGCGCACCACTGCCACGTGTGCGGGCGCTGCGTGGTGGACCAGGACCACCACTGCCCCTTCATCGCTAACTGCGTGGGAAGGTGGGGGGGTGTAGGAGGGGAAAAAGAAATTCCAAAGTGTGGTGTAGGAGGGGAAGGAGGCAGATATGGGGGTGTAAGAGAGGGCAGGGAGGGACGGGAGGTAGGGAACAGGATCTCCCAGGTTCCATTGCGGCCAATGGTGGGATTGCCTACCTGCCTGACTGCCTGCCTGGCTACACCACACATGAGGGCGCCTCTCTCCCACCTTCACGGCCTTAACCTCACGGCCTCGACGACCTCACGACTTTACGGCCTCACTCTCACTCTCACCCTCCCCCCCCCCCCCCAGGGCCAACCAGCGCAACTTCCTGCTCTTCCTGGCCTCCACCGTGGCAGCCGTGTCGTACAGCGCCGTCATGAGCGCCGTACTGCTGGCGGCGGACTGGCACCTGGCGGCGGCGGCGCTGGCGGAGGCGGCGGAGGCTCTGAGCGGTGGTGGCGGTGGTGGAGCGGGGCAGCATGGCGGAGGAGGAGGCAGCGGAGGTCCTGCGGGGGAGGCAGGCGGCGGCGGCGGCGGGTTGGGGTTCGGAGCGGCGGTGGCGGGGTGGTGGGCGGCGGCGGCGGAGGGGCTGTGGGAGGTGGTGGAGTACGTGGCGGTGCTGATGGCGCACATGCCGCTGCACTTGAAGGTGCGTGTACGACAGGGGATGTGTCGTACGGCAGGGGGTGTGTCGTATGGCAGAGGATGTATCGTGCGGCAGGACGTGCGTGGGTTGTAACTATTATGCGTAGCGCGTCACAAGGTAAGGGGGCCCGCGGTCGTTGCATAATTGCATGTGTTAAGATAACTGGCCGCGAGGCGGAACGTACTGTGATTGCCGGAAGATGAAGTGCTGCCGCCAGTCGCGAGTCAGAATGAATGCCGTACATGAAGCTGCACCTGCCGTGTTGCTGCTGTCTTCCTAAGCCCTCCGCCTCGCACTCTTCACCACACACATGCAGGCCTCCGCCTACGTCTTCCTGATGTCGGTGGCCATCCTGGTGGCGCTGGGGATCCTGCTCGTCCAATCTGTACGACACGCGGCCCAGGGCAGCTGCGGTCGTACGGCGGCGGCCGCTGCCCAGCACGCGGCCCGGCACCACCTGCACCCCGCCTCGGATGCGGCGGCGGCTCTCCGGGACGAGGAGGAGGAGGATGGGGATGTTGAGGAAACGGAGGTGAGCTCGGGGGGCTGAGGGTTTGGGGTTGGGTTTTGGCGTTGTGGAGTTCTGTGGGCTACTGACAGGGGGCTTTAGGCTAGAGGTCGCGGGAGAGGGGGAGGGAGGTGGCAAGGACATGTAAAGCCCAACTAGGTTGGATAACGACAGGCGGTTGTGTGTTCATGGGGGCCCAACATGGTACACAACAAAATCGCATCCAATGTTGCCCCTGAGATCCTCCTCTGGCCGTTTCCAATTACCCTCCAATTACCAACCGCCCGCGCCCTTCCTGCGGCGTAGGCTCCGGAGGGCACCGGCAGCGCCAGCAAACGGGGCGGCAGCAAGAGGAGCGGCAGCAGCAGGCGAAGCAGTGCCGCACTCACCAACCTTCGTCGCGTGTTTTGCGGCCCCGGCTCTACCTGCCCGGCCAGCAACAGCAGCAGCAGTAGGAGCGGCAGCACCCTTCATGTCAGCGGCGGCAGCGGCAGCAGCAGCAGGGACGGCGGCGGCAGCAGCATGTGGAGCTGGGTGTGGCCCTTGTGGGGGCCCCCGCCGGGCGTGCTGCTTCGCCCGCAGCAGGCGGAGGCAGTACGGAGGCGAGGTGGGGCAGGTCGTCGGACGCAGTACGGCGCTGCTGCCACCGCATCCAAGATCCCTAAAAGCAAAACGCAATAAGGAGACGCACGAGGGGGCGTGCAGGACGCGATATAACGCGTAAGGGGGGGTTAAAATAACTGGCCGTGAGGTGGAACGTACTGTGCGGGGGTGTATGCGTAGCAAGGCGCATGAGGGGCGCATACGTGCGGTGCGATGGGGCGCTGTGGGGCGGGCTTATGTTTCGTTACTATGTCCTGGGCTGTTGGGTTGGGGCATGCGGACCTTTGCACCTCCGTGGAGGTATGAGGTGCGAACCCGGTAGAGTACCAGTAGAGGTGTGGTTTGGCAGGTTTGGGTTAGGCAGCACTGGTGCAGAACAGTCGCAACTTGCGCCCACATAGGTGAAGGGAACTCGCCCATACGACCCATGGGTCTTCCTGGCATTGGCGCAGTATATCGAAATACGAACGCAAGAGAAATAAACACGCATGCTTTGCCGTAGCACAAGTAAGATACGCTATGAGCTTTGCGCTACCCTGGGGCCACCGACAGAGATTGGGGCATGTGAGGAGGCGCAAAACAGAATAGGTATATAGCAGTGGGGTACTTTCTTTACAGTTCGTCTCATTCAGCTGCACCAATGCACGCCAGCGAACGGAAGCGTGCGAATTCTCAACATTGTAACTACCGTGCTCTCAACGACTTCCCTTGAACACCAGCCACCAAAACATCGAATAAAACCCATCTCTGGCCGATGCTTTCAGTTTGCAACTGCCGCCCGGGTTAATAGCCAACACCAATCGCCAAGGACGTCCACGGCAACACAACTTCTCCCCGCAAACCAACTCCCACGGAAGCCCCCTGCACCTCGACATCCGCGGGTGGGCGCAGGGAAGGTGCGGGGTACAATCCAACCCTTGCTTGCACAACTCTTCTTCGCAACACCGCACTGTAAATATAAGGCGGCGCTGCTGGCCCCGTGCCCATAGCGTCGACCCCACGACGCCATGCCCACCCAACGCAACGTAATCATGGGCTCGAAAGGTACCGATATGACTGTCTGAAGGAACAGCAAAAGAAGGAATATGCACAAACCTTCACCCTCCCGCCGTAACACAGCATACGCGCATCACCATCATCATCTATACATGAGAACCCGCAACCAAACACCACGGCGATGTGCAGCAACAGCAGCGCCAAGCAGTACTTGGATCGGGCCTCACCAGGCACGAGTAGCACGTCGTCAGCAGTTGAATTATAATGCAACAATATGCATGACATTATTATAAGTAGCAATGATAAAGATTAGGGCACGCCATGTACGCGCAGGTCCAGCAATCGGTCCCTGCACTCATGCTCGTTGCAACATACTCGTTGTGAACGCAATCAGCCGGGCAACCTGCCTCTGCAAAACGCACACAATACCACTGTGCCGTATCTCCCCCCCAAAGGAGCAGGTAAACCCTGCATCTAGCCTCCTTCAATGCGCATGGCCCTCCTCCCCATCTCACCCTTAACCAGCAGTCGCCATCAGACATGCCGAGAGTGCTTCATGCGACTCCATGCGACTGCACGCACGCACAAACCCCAGACCCACCCACCAACTTCCCGCCAAATCCAGCTCGCCTGCACGCCTGTCCCCGTCAAGCCGGTCAAGCCTCCAAGCCCCAACGCAAGTACCCAGACCCATCTCTCGCCACCCCTACGCAGTTGTGTCAGGCAGCCAACACCACCACCACCCCTCCTCGCACCATCGTCGCTCCCTCCTCCTCCTCCCTCCTCTCCTCACACCGCCTTGCACCCGACCTTGCCCCCGAACCGGCCCATGTGGAATACGCTGTCGCCCGGGTAGATGGTGGGCAGGTACTTGATCTCGTCCGACTCGGCGGACCGCACGCGGCTCCAGTCCAGCGAGGTGGACAGCAGCGACAGGAACACCGTCAGGTGGTTGTTGGCGTACTGGGGTGGTGGGAAGAGGGGGGAGAGGTCGGAGCCGGGATTGATGGAGGATAAGGTGAAGAGAGTCAGAAAAGCAGAAAAGGAAAAACGAAGGGCTGGAGGGGACAGCCGACATTGTGTGTAATGATAATGGGTAAAAAAGGTTGCCATCTGTTACACCTACCTCGCCGCTTGCTGCCCCACCCCGTCTGCTCCCTTCCTCACCTCCTTGCCCACGCAATAGTGCGGTCCGTGTCCGAACACCAGGTAGTTGGACGCGAACTTGATGTCCTCCTGCCGCTCGGGGCCGAACCGGTCGGGGTCGAAGCGGTCGGGCTCCGAGTAGCCCTGCTTGCATGCGCTGATGACGCTGGGGATGATGAGGCTGCCCTTGGGTGCGGTGTACGTCTCGGTGAGCTTGAAGGGCACCTGCGCGCGCTGCGGCACCATGGGAGCAGGCGGCCGGAAGCGCAGGATCTCCTTGACCACCTGCCGCGTGTAGGTCATCTCGTTGAGGACGTCACCGGTGATGGGCGCACTGGGGTCGGGGCGCAGGCGCAGCTGCTCCTCACGGACCTGGAGGTGGAGGGGGGGGTGGAGGGGGGGAGTGGGATGATGGGCAAATGACACGTCAGGAAGGGGGAGTTGGGGGGAAGCAGAACAACAGCATGCGTTGGATGATGGTGCTTAAGTGACGCGGGGGGCCGGTGGGGGCACATCTGGTGGGTGTCACAAAGGGCGGGCGGCCCACCTGAAGCGGCGGACACTCCCACTCCAGATGCACTCCCCACTCCCCCATGCGGGTCGTGACGCGGTAAGGGTTGCCGTAACGGTTGCCGTAACGGTCGTTCTAACGGTTGTTGGACCCATGGCCCATTTGACACGCAGCACACACACACACTCCGCCCACCCACCCGCGCCAGCACATCCGGGTGCTCCGCCATGAGGGTGACGGTCCACACGAGCGAGGCGGTGGAGGCGTCCTGCGAGGCGAACAGAAAGTCCATCATCGTCTCCGCGATGCGCTTGTCGTCCGAGTAGAAGGGCGGCTCCGTGCCCGCGTCGGCAGCGTCCTTCATGTCCGACAGGATCTGGGGGCGGGGAGGGAAGGAGGGAAGGGAGGCGGGAGGGGAAGGGAGGCCAGCAGCGTGGTTGCAGAAGTGAGGGAATAGATCGTATCCTTGTGTATCCAGCACCGGTGCAATGAGTGAAAGCGGCACACTGTTGTTAGTCAGCTCCTCTAGTAGAGAGGCAATTTCCCTTCATGCCGCCCTCTTCACTCCCTCCCAAGCCACCCCGCCCTCTCCCCTCCTCTCCCCACCCCAAGCCCCACCCACCCCCCATTGCCCCCACCTGCTTGGTCCAGAAGTCCAGTAGGCACTCGGGCTCCTGCCCGGCAGCCATGCGGACCTTGCTGCGGGCGGCGGCCTTGGTCAGGATCTGGGGGGGAGGAGAAAGAACCATGCGTTAAGGGACAGGGGGCGGGAGGTAGGGAAGGCCGCGACGTGGGAAGGTCTAGGGAGGTCGCTGACAGACCTGACAGGCGGCACTGCAAGGGACAGACAACACCCGTCTTCCCGACACAGCTACCCACCAGTGCACCATGCACTTATCGGCCGTAAAGGCTACTCCCAGAGCCCCTTGCCCCGTAAGCCCCCCTCTTCCCGGCACCATTCCCGCCCCTCAGCCCCTCCACTCCACTCCTCCCCTCTGCGCCCCACCTTGACAATGTAGAAGCGCCCCTTGCGTCCCTTCCATACGGCAGTTCCCGGCACCATGAGCGGGAAGGCCAGGAAGCCGTCCGTCATGGCGCGGTAGGACTCGTAGAACTGGGCACGCTCCTGGGGGGGGAGGGGGGAAGGGGAGGAGGGGGTTGAGAAGAGGAGGGTGAAGAGGGGAGAAGTGAGGTGGAGGGGCTATCCGCAACAGTTCGAGCTGGGATTCGCATTAAACACAGCCCACTCCATGGCTCGCCCGACCCACCCGATCCCACCCTGCCCTCCCCCCCCACCTGCGGGTCATCCAGGTAGGGCCCCATGAAGACCTCCTGGCTGGTGTTGGCGTTCAGGTCGCGAATGAGCGGGCGGACCTCCACGGGTCCGGGCATCTGAGGGAGGGGGGGAGGGAGGAGGTGAGGGACAGAGAGGGTTAGGGTGAGTCACCCAACTTGCGCATCCAACATGCGGTAGCCTCCACCCACTGCACACCCGCCCCCCTTGCACTTCTTTCATCATTCCCCTTCTCGACATCCCTCCTGATCCCCCCTTTCCCTCCCTCCTCCCTCATCCTCCCTCCTCACCGACAGCCAGTCCTCAAAGTGTTTGCGGATGAGTGCGTCCTGCTTGAGCACGTAGAGCCCCAGGGCGCGGCGCGTGAAGAGCGCCAGGAAGCTCTTGCGGAGCGCCTTGTGCTCGGGGCCGCTCATGAAGGCGATGTTGGTGCCGCCCAGAATCCACTCGGCTGGGGGGGAGGGGAGGGAAGGGGATATTCCAGGGAAGGAAAAGAAAACATCAAGACCCAAGGCGTTGAATGATGGTGGCAGCCTCGGTGACAAGGATGGTGGCCGACTGGTGAATGGAATCGAGTGAGTCGAGGGAGGAGGGAGAGGTAGGGACGGGGGCTGGTGTTCCTAGAGCGCCATCCATATTGCGCATAACATTACCCCCCTCCTGCGCTCACTGCATGAGTCGGGATATGGGATTGGGATTCGTTGTTTCACTTATATAATTTTTTCCCTCCTTCACCCCGCTTCAACTGCGGCACCAATCCTCCACCCTCATCCTCCACTCCCTCCCACCCAGCCTTCCCTCCGGTGCGGCACACCCATACCCTGTTCATCCCATCCACCCCCCCTACGCAGTTCGCATGTCGTTTCCTCTTTAACCCCTCCCCAGCAGCACACCGTTGGGGTGCAGGCAGAGCAACAGCGAGTCCTCCGAGTTGTGCGAAAACACGTAGCGGGAGAGCGCCGCGTCGGTCACAAAGATGGTGAACACGCCGCAAATGGAGTTCCAGCTCATGCCGGGGAACGAGTACTGGCGCTGCTTCTCCCAGAAGCCGTACGGGTCCTTGACCATCTCCACAATGCCTCCGAGGATGGGAGTCACGACGCTGGGGCCTGCGGTGCAGGAGGAAGGAAGAGTTGTTGAGAGAGGAAACACGTGGGGAGAGTGGTGCGAGAAGCGGGGAAGGGTGAAGGTGCGGGACGGTGTAAGCGAGCCATGGCTGAGATGTGCATTGGAACAGCTTTATGACAGGAATTTTCACAGCCCCGGTAAGACTTGATGCGGACTCCAATGCCCGGGATGGAAAGAATATGGTACGCATTGCAGATGACTTGACTGGAGTCACATGCACGCGTCACCCCATCCTTTGGTCATCCCAATTACCTGGCATGACACCGCCCTTCTTAAAGGCGCGGTACCAGCGGAACTTGGCCTGCTCCCACAAGGTGTAGCCGAGCGCCAGAGCGCCACCGGCCGCAATAAGAGCGCTGCTGCTGGGCATGCACTCGGCGATTGAGCCTGAGCTGCATCCCATCCGTGCAAGCAGGTCGGCCATGTTGCCCGCGAGCATGCCATCATCCACTACGCCTGTGACGTTCATGTTGGTAGCGCTGCGGGAGGTACCGGCAAGGTGGGGACCCACCAAGAGTTCAAAGGTCAGCGCATTGAAAGCCCGCCAAGTACCTTGTTCTTCCCTTGCATGCAACAAGCTGATGCAAGTCTGTGCGTAGTTGCAACAATGCCAACAAAAGCTATGAAAAGGGTCGTAGAAGCTGGCCAAGTGATGAGTCAAGGCGCGATATCCAAGGGCTGTCGCCTAGGCCACGAGCACCCCACTAACAGTATCAACCAATAAGCCGAGAGCCCCAATAAATAGCCTGGAAGCTGCAGTTCCCAAGCCAAACCAGTGAACAATTGCGCGCGCTTGCACCCTTGCCATCAGCGGCGCTGATTGCCTGGGCCTCACCTCAGACACGCCGGCCCTGTTCAAAGTTCCTGTCAAATGTGTTCCGTTAAGAACCCTGCTTAAGAGGCCTACCAAGGAATACCGCACCCAAGACTAAATACCCGCTGGCGAAAAGGTCAAGCCGTGTAACAGTAACGCTTGCACGCCAAAGCGGGAATCTCTGACTATCAAACACAGCCCAAGGGAAGTTTGAACCGCCCTTTACTAGTCATTTAAAGTAATTCCGGTAAAACCATACTTGCCATACACTGCCGTACCACTTCGTTGCGTGATGCTTGGCGCCTTCCCGCCCACTGTACTTAGCAACATGCATGGCACCTAGTATGTTCTACACCACCAACAGCTTTGGGCACAGGCCCATCGCTCGGAAAGCGCCTAAGTCAACTGCGCATAGCTTCCTTGCTGCACCTGCACATTTGCGTCCGACGAAATGTAACCGCATTAATGCTTATGAAAAGAAGGCGAGCGCTACATCTGTTGGTATAAGCGTCGACGCAGGCAACACCCAGCGACCGGATGGGTATATACTTCGGCAAGGGACGGACACCGATCTGGAGGCCATATGGAAATTTGTGCTGTCCGAGAAGTGGGTTCACACCGATGTACAAATTCCCGATCCCGTTATATGCGCTATCCTGCGAGTGAGGCAGGGTGAAGGAGAGCCATCCCTGGGCGTCGAGCCTCCGAACCCATACGCTTGCGCGCTCGCGCTTTGCTGCAAGCCATCTGTATTTCCAAATTGAAACCATTCATCTAACGAGCCCCCAACGCATCCTGGCGACCTCTATTTTTGTTACGTCGTGACAACCACACGTAAACCCTGCACCGTGACAAAAAGAGCGCTGCTGCACCCTTTGCTGCTCACGTACCGTACTGCTGTAGCCCTACCGGCGGTCGTTTAGCGAAACCACATTAAGCAAGGCACTTTAGCAAAAGCACTAAGTGGGAGCTCTAGAATAAACGCCAGCGCGCCCTGCTGCGCACATGCACTGCATTCTGGTGCTCCTCCCACCACTATCCACGCAGCACGGGTCCAGCCAGCCTCCGCAAGCTGCTTCAGTATTCGTGCTCGCATGAACCCAGTGCGCATCCTGTACGGCGTATCAAACCACCCTGCCCCTGGGGCTCAGTTGACCTAACCAACTGCACGCCTTCAAACACTAATGAACTCCCAGCTGCTTTGGCTCCAACTATAGCAGCAGCTGCGTACTTGACCACCATACTACGGTACCCCTGTTTCCTGAACTGCTAGCAGGGACAAGTCCTAACCGCCCGGGCACCACCCTCCTCCTCCTTTCCTTACCCTGCACCTAGCAGGATCAACCCGCTAGGTCTTGACCCCCGCCGCTTCACCGTCGCCATTGCACCCAGCCAACCGCCAATCACCACCCCCGGCACCCCCTTCCGTACGGCGGCTGACGAGGAGGTGGCGGGTGTCGTACAGACGGTGCCGCTGAGCGGTTCCCCGGGGGGTGGGCTGCTGCTGCCTTCACCGCCGCCGGCGGGAGGGGATCCGGGCGCGAGTATCCAGGAGCCTCCCCTGCTGGTGGAGCTGCGGACACTGGTGGTGGCACCTGGACACCGGTGAGGCGGGGAGGAGGGGAGGTGGGGGGAAAACTACACATGGTGGCGCCTTGTCTCATAATGGTTCATTCCCTCCCCTCGGCCCCCTCCCTTCCAGCCGCCGCGGCCTGGGCTCCCTGCTGGTCACGCAGCGGCTGTGTGCGCTGCCCCCCGGCAGCACCGTCTGGCTCACCACGCTGGGCTCCAGGGAGCGCTTCTACGCCCGCCTGGGCTTCAGCAGGAGGACGCTGGGGGAGGCGCCCAGGTGAGGGAGCTGGGGCAGGGGAATGCGTGGGAGGCTCTTCCTCTGTACCCTGATTGTATCCCGGCCACCTCCCGTCCCGTGACCCCATCGCCACCAACTCCCACTCCCCTCCCCGCCCCCTCCCCGCCCCCTCCTGCCCCCCCGCCGTGAGGTCCCTGCTCCCCGAGGTGGCTGCCGGGCTGCTGGCGGCTCGCCTGCTGGCCGGGCAGCAGCTGATCGTCATGAGCGCCACCACCGCCACCGCAGCGGACCAGGCGGGGGGCAGCAGCAGCAGCTGCAGCAGCAGCGGCTGATGATGGTGGTGTTGCCAGAAGCAAGGGGGAGGGCAGCGGCAGCAGGCGGCATCAGGGGAGGCGGCATGGAGTGCAGTTGCAAGTCTTTGCAACTTTAGACATTATGCTCACATGTGCGACTGTCTGGTTTCGGAGACTTCGCAACCATAAGCTTATGTACTCGGCGCCAGTCCAACAGTCCAAAGTATTTAAAAGAGTATTTAAACATTGTGTATGTTTCAATACAGTGGCCAGTTCAGCAGCAGCGGTACCGCTACACCGGGGTAGGCGTTGAAGCCGGAGGGGCTCCATGAAGGTGCTGTGAGCTGTAATGCGGGGTGAGCCGTGTGAGCAGTCTTGGGCGGAGCATAAGGCGAGGCGAAGAGTGGTGAGCACTTCATGCAACGGAGGGAGGAACGGGCGAAGATAGATCTTTTGACCCGTCGGTCAAAAGGGAAAGAGGCTGGTCATGGCTGTTGCCAGCGAATTGCCAGCGCGGCATTTGGCTGCCTTTGGCCCAACACACACGCAATGTCCGTATCCACATCACAGCCTCTCACACACCATTGCAGGTGTGGATGGCTTCACTGATGCACGGTGTACGGCAATGAGTACAAATAGATCCGCATTGCCGTACACTTACAAGGGTTACCATGCAGTGTGCGTGGCCATACACCGACCATGCAGCAGCGGCCTCCGTGCTACAGCAGCTGCCGCCTCTCCAACACCACCACCACCGCCCAACCGTCCTCAAGCAATGTCGACATGCAACCATGCATCCTCACGCTACCCATGCGGGAAACGCCAAGCAGTTTTACTCCTGCGCGTGCGCATGTCCGTATTCGCCACACAACTCATCTGCTAGCAGCCCTGCCCACATACACAGCACGGCTATCGCCTACATCCGACCGCCTATTCTTCGCCTCCCCTGGCGCTTTTGGTGGGGACATCAGCTACCGACAACTCAGTACGTTCCTCCTCGTGGCAACATTTTTTAATACACACCCCCGCCTTCATGCGTCGCCCCCCTCGCGGTGTGACAGTCAATCCATTCCGCAGCTGCTGGCGCCTGAACCGATGAAGCGATGCAACCCTTCCTGTCACCATGCGCTCCCGCGCCTCCCCCCCTCCCCCGCCCAAACCCATCCGGTTCACCTGCCCTCCCCGGCCCCCGCTCCCCGCCATCCTGCCGTGCTGCCCTCCGCCCCCTCACGCCGGCAGCACGGGCCTCAGTGTCAGCTCCTCCGTGAGCAGCGGGTTGGACCCCCCATCCGCCCCGTCAGCAGCCGCAGCGGGCCGGGTGCCCAGGCTTCCGTTGAGCTTGTTGAAGTAGCCCCACGTGAGCCCGAACATGAGGCCTGCAGGGGGAGGGAGGGGAAGGGGGAGGGGAGGGCAGGTTATTTAGGGGGACACACAAATAATAGCACAACTACTATGGCACGCCGCCGCCGTACATAACGCGGGTGAAGTGAATATTAGAAGTTTGTAACATCCACAAGCACCGTACAGACCTCCTGCTCCCCGCCTCCCTCCCCTCTTCCCTCCCCCTCTTCACGGTTGTTTCCACCAGGGCTTGTCAGCTAAATGTACCACTATCACACCACACATTGGAATTTCCTTTTCCCCCTCTTCCCGCTTCCTTATTTTTCCCCACCCACCCGGGCTCTTGGGCAGGCTGCTGTCCCCCACGAAGCGCTGCGAGGCGGTCAGCGGCAGCGCCAGCACCTCGATGCACTCGCCGTGGCTCAGCAGCCCCCCGCCCGCACCCGCGACACACATGGAGGAGTCAACCTGGGGGGGTGGGCCGGTGGGGGGACAGCAGCTTTTACCCGGGTTAGTGCTGTAGGCCGTACGTCATAGGCACCTCTCTACATGCAGGGAGAGTCCTTGCAACGCCTGAAAAGCAGGGAAGCACCTGAGTACCTAAAGTACCCTGAGCCGCATAGAATCTAACGCCTCGTCTGTACGGCCATGTCACTACATACCCACCAACGAGCTAGCCGCCCTACACCTGCACCTCCCAACGTCGCTCAACAAGTAACCCAGCCAAGGTGTGGCATGAGCCCTGTGTGTATTTCCACTGCCCACCACATTCCCTACCTCCGCGTAGTAGATGGTGTGCGGCACCCCCTCAGTGCCCGCCGCGCTGATGCCTGTCCCCACCTCCCGGAGGCACTCCAGCGGCACCGCGAACCCGCACTCCTCCAGGATCTCCTGCGGGGGGGGGGAGCAGCAGGGGGCACGATAACGGCAACGACAGTGAAAGACACGGACAGGGGAGGGAAGAGTGGAGAAGGGTGCGGGTGTGGGTGTGGGTAGGCCATGTGTGTTTGCAGCCCCGGCCCCAACCCCTGCCCCCTGCCTCCTGCCCCCCGCACCTCCTGGCAGATCTCCACATTGGATTTGGACTTGTCAATGAGGCCCGCACACAGCTCGTAGGTAAAGGCTGGGGGGCCAGGGGAGGACTAGTAGTAAGACACAGGGAGGGAGAGGCCGGCAGGCCGGCAAAGAGGCAGGAAGGGGCTGTACGGCAGAGCAGCGGCTGTGCGGCAGGCAGGCGGGTTGTGCGGGGGGCGTGCACGAGGCGTGCGGCCGTGCATCCAGCCCCTGCAAGCTCCCCGGCAGCAGCCGCATGCGGCACTCCTCATCCTACCCCGCAGCCTCCTCCGCTCTCCACTCGATCCTCCAGCGCATTCCCTCCCCTCCAGCCCCCTCCCCCCTTTGCCCCCACGCACCCGCACTGAATGGCGGCGGCGGCTGCCCGGCTGCCTCCGCCTGGCGCAGCAGGCTGGCGTACACGGCAGGCCTGGGAGGGGAAGGGAGGAGGAAGCGAGGATGAAGGGAGGATGAAGGGAGGTAAATAGGATACTGGCTCTGATGCCCGTATAGTACTTGGGCGCAGACCCACCTGCCGGACCCAACAAGCCCGACCACAGCGGCCATGCAGGTCTGGGCAGCAGGGTGGGCGCTCCGAGCCAGCGGCAGACCCATGGGTCACGAAGAACCGCATGCCATGCACACGCACGCCGCGCGCCCTCGTGCCAAAGCAGAGCCAGCAGCGCCCCTACACACCTGAATTGCCGTACCAGGATCCAGGAGTCCAGATCTCTGTGGTACAGTACGACACCCACTGAGGAGTGCGCCTCAACCACGTCCCACCGCCGCTGCTTGCCTGGAGGTGGGGGGAAGGTAAAAGACCATACCGAACCATAGGAAACCACAGGTTAGGGCAAAGCAATGGGGATAGGAGCAATGAGGATGGGGGCCGGGGTTTGAGGGGTGAGGGGTGAGGCGGCAGGGCGGGAAGAAGCGGGGCGGCAGGGAGAGTGTGCGTGCCTGGCGGCAGCGTGAGACGAAGTGAAGAACGGGGAGGCAGTTCCTCCCAGTGTCCTGTGTATCCTGTCCTAAGTCGCGCTGTGGGCCGCGGCATGCAGCATCGGCATGCCCCGCCCGTTGCCACCGTTCCTGCTGCTGCTGCCGCTGCTGCATCTGCTGCCCCTCACCCAACCCACCGTTGAAGTCGTAGAGGGCCATCTTGGGGCGCACGTAGGGCGAGGGGGTGTCCAGCGGTCGCAGCTGGAAGCCCGGACCCAGCAGCTGCAGCGCCTCCACGATGGTGTTACCTGGGGCCGGGGAGGGGGAAAGTGTGTACGACAGGAGGGTGGGATGAAGGAGGAGAAGAAAGGAATGAAGAGGGAAACTACCGCGCTATGCTAGGAGGAGAGGTGGTGGTCATGGGAGGGGGCGGGCGGCCAGCCAAGAAAGAAACATCAGCTGAGGCAGCAAAGTCCGCGGATGGGCGCGGGTAACTTTGTGTTTGTCGTGTGAGCAGGGGGTCTGGTTGGACGCGGCTCAGCTCAAGAGGTGGATGGACCTGCAGCCCAACCACCGGACCTGCAGCCCAACCACCGGACCTGCAGTCCAACCGCTGATGGTCTGTAGGTTGGAAAAGTGTGGTGCCTAGTGCCCCGACATCAAAGCGTGCAGGATCAACCAACCGATTATATTTCAATCCCTCCTTGAACCCTGCGTGAATCCTATCGTGCACCCGAGTGTCAAGAATGGGTTGGCATTGCACGCCTCGAGCGCCTTCGCCCCCTTTCCCCCGACCATAACCGAACCTGGTGTAAGAGTCTTCAATCCATGAGGATAAAACTCCGGCATTTTAATAGGACCCGCCATGGAGCTAACGCCTGCTGACGTCCGAGCGTTCCGGGGTCCAGGAACCCTGTTATGAACCTGATGCACGCTGAATTGGGACGTAAATATATTTCTCCTGGGAATGTGCGTCGCAAAGGATGGTCGCATGACGTGTCAGAACACCTGAGGTCTACTACTTTAACTGGAGTCGCCCTTGAGCCGCAAATGATCAAAATTATTTATGACATACCACAGCCGTCATACGACTACAATTATTAAGTTGTCGGGACGTCCACGCTAGGGCTTACTCCATTGTATATACCGTATCGCCGTAGAAGGGCGGGAGCCATACACATGATCAGCTTTCCCTATTCGTTACGTCATAATCTATGCAAGCTTGCTGTCATTGCTACAGGGTTAGTGCACCTTCCTCTTACTGAACTGTGCGCGGTCTGCAATTGCTGCAAGACGGGGTTGCCGACTCGGTCCTACTAGGATCAGCAAGATAAGCACAGTGGGATCGTGTTCCGTCTTGAGCAAGCGTAGGGATAGCATGTTTGGGCATGCAGCGAAGCTCTCAGCACTGATCAATAAAGACCCTCCTCAGGTAAGCTTTCCGCTTGCGCTAAACTCGCGACACCTGGGCTAGTGACTCCAAGCATGTTTTCGTTGACCATTGATCACCATGCAAGCTAGTGACCAACCCTGCCCCGCATGAATGGCATTACGCTCAGCATTCTCGGCTCGTCACATGCAACTACGCCTGCTATTTTCGCCGCATGTTATAATGCCTCCATACTATACCGCGTACCGCCTTTACCTCGCGATAAGCGCCCTGCTTGTCTCCCCATATCCATGGATCCCGCTCCTGCCACCCATATGCCCCTCCCTTTCCCCAGCTCCCAAACGAGGACGCGCTAGTAGCCGAACTGCGCGCCAAACTGGGTCCGGGCGCGGATCCGGAGAAGCTGCTCTTCCAAGTACGAAGCTCACGCGGCAAGACTCACTGGGCGGGTAAGACGTACGGCAGCTACTTCATGCCGTTACTGGTAGCTCCCCCCCCTCCCTTCCTCATATTCTGTTCCGTAGCCTCCTCCTCCATGCTCCCTCACAACTCCCTTCCCCCCGCACCCTCGCACTCCCCACCCCCACCCCCCCTGCAGTGAACAGCTACCTGCGCGACGTGATGACCTCCAGCACCCCGGGGCAGGAGGACTTCCGACCCAGGCGGCCGGCAGCAGCCGGACCAGCAGCAACCCCAGCAGCCGCCGCCAGCAGCAGCAGCAGCCCTAGAAACAGGGAGGCAGCGGCGGCCAGCTCGCCGCCTGCCGAGGCTACGGTTGCACTTCCCGGGGGTTGCGGTTGCGGCTGCTCATCTGGCGGCCAGCACCCCGCCTCCCCCGCTGCTGGCGCTGCCTCGGACCTCTCGGACCTCAACCATGACACCCCGGACCCCACCACCACCACGACCAGCATCCCCAGCCGCACCACCGCTAGCTGCTCCCCCGCTCCCTCCCTGGACGGCCTGCCTGTGTCGCTGCTGGAGGCGGTGTGCAGGCGGCTGGAGGACCACCGGGACGTGTGCGCGGCAGCCATGACGTGCAGGGCGCTGGCGGCGGTGGGTGGAGGGTTTTGGAGGGGGGGGGAGTGAGGGGGAGGGCTGGTGGGAGAGGCGTTGGAAGCAGCGACATGCAGCGCCTTGTGTGTTGTGTTCGTGTGCTGTCAGGCAGGTCGATGACGGCACTCCCTCACCCTCTTCCCCACCCCCTGCGCAGGCTGCCTCCTCCGACGCGTTGTGGCGGCGGCTGTTCCGCAGCCGCTGGGGTGACACGGTGTTCCCCACGGAGCCGCACCGGGCGGCAGCAGCGGGAGCAGCGGGAGGCGGGCAGTTGGGGCTGGGGCAGCAGCAGCCGCAGCAGCAGCCACTGCTGCAGGCGGCTCCACGTTCCGCCATGCCTCCGCCCCCTGCTGCGGCTGGGGAGCAGCAGGCGGGCGGGTCGCTGCCTTCAGGGTCGGGGCTGGTGTCGGGGGCGGAGGGAGCGGAGGAGGGGGAGGCCTTGGTGGCCGCGGGACGCGAGCAGCAGCAGCCGCTCCCCTTGCAACACCCGGCTGCAGCAGCTGCAGCGGCAGCGGCAGCAGCAGGAGGGGTAACCGCAGCAGAGGCAACACCGGGGTCGCCTCAGGCAGCGCTGCGGTTTGAGCAGCTGGGCGCCTCCTCGGGTCTCCCAACAGCCCCGGTGACTAGAGAGGGAGGAGCAGCAGCAGCAGCAGCTGGGAAGGACACCACCACTGACGCCGGCGGCGGCCATGCGAGCAACAGCAACACCACCACCAACAATAACAACGGCTTTGGCAGCAATACCGGCGCTGCTAGCAATGCTGCTGGCACCACCCCCAGCACCAGCAGCTACCGGCAGCGCTACCGCCAGCAGCTGTCGTACCTCACCCACCTGCGCTGCCCCCGCTGCGGCGCCGCAGACATCGTGCCCATCGTGTACGGCTTCCCCTCGCCCGCACTGTTGGAGGGCATGCGGCGGCGGCGGCTGATCCTGGGGGGAGATCACCTGATCGAGGACTGTCACGTGTGGGGCTGTACGGCGTGTACGGCGTCGTTCAGGCACTTTCCGTACGACGGGTGCGAGAGGTGGCTGGCGGACCTGGCGCGGAGCAGCAGCAGGCAGGCGGCGGCAGCAGCGGCGGCGGGGGGGCACCCGCACCTGCCGCATTACACGTACGAGCTGTGAGGGGCTGCGGGAGGGGGAAGGGTTGGTGAGGTGTTGGAGGAGGGGCGGAGAAGAGGGAGGAGGAAGGGCGTTGTTGGTGAGGGAGGTGGGTGAAGGGTGTGGGGGAGGAGAAAGGGGCAGACGTGCGCGCGCGGGTGGGTAGGAGTGCGTAGAAGGCTACAGGCAGGTGTGCAATGGATTATGGTTTGCTACAACATACGGTTAGCTGGCTATGAGCTTTGCGTGGCCTCTACCATGTCTTTATGTGACTTTATAGTTACTTCGTTTCATGGCGCCATATCGTGCAGGGTCACATGTTTGCGTGCGGCGTTCTGTGTCGTTTCCTTGGCTGGTTGAGTGCGTTGCGCGAAGTTCGGTGCGGGGTTGACTTGCGCATGAGGTATGCGGTAATGCGGTAATGCGGGCGCGCTTCAATGCAGTGCATCCTGGTGTATCAGCCATATGTATATTAAGAGGACTTGTCGTTTGGGGTAAAGATAGAAGATTGCGGAGTGGTAGGATAGCGACCGTATCGGAGAGATCACTTGTCGTGCAACATCCTACGACAAACGGCTGATTGCTGTTGCAACGCAGCTGTACCTCTGTATATTGCTTAGCATTCATTGTACTGCTAAGCGCGGCTATTTCTCTGTATTTGCTCTCTGTAAGCAAGTTCTGCGAGTGCATCGCTAATTCCGGACATGAAGGATGTGCTTGTCAAATTGGGGTCCTTTACGGGCTCCTTCGCGAAACATAGGCGACATAGCGATATAGGTCAGGCGCCTGCCAACACCAAGCTCAGCGATCCCAGCCAAGATGGGGTTGTCGTGGAGCAGGTCGCTTCCCTGAAAGCGGCCGAGGAGCGCGAGGCACGTCTGGCTTCCGTTCAGCCACTATGTATGGACACGACCTTCTTGGATTGCTTTCAAAGCCAATCAGTTTCTGTCGAGGATAAGGTCAAGGCCTTTAGGCTTCTTATTCATTCTGGTGGGTCCGCGCGGCGGTTGGTGGATGGGTGTTGTCCTGGGTGTTGTTGCATACTGTAAGCTAGTCTTGAGAATACATGGTGTAAGCAGAGGAAACAAGTCGTTCAACCAAGTACAGAGCTTAGCAAGTAGTGTGCATTGGTCGAGGCGTGGACGAATGTTTTGTGACATCTTAGTCCCCATCCTCAGGCCTACAAAACATCGTCATCGCCGCATTTGTGAATGGAGGCAATCCCAATCTCTTCTTTCTGCAGGTAATTGAAAGGCAAGAACTGTTCATTCAAGTGCCTCCCGCAAGTCGCTTGTTGCAGTGCATCCCAATAACGAACTGCCGCCAGACCACAGCACGAATCCCTCAGACCTTCTCTCCCTTCCCACTTTTTCTTAACACCCTGCCCTCCCATCGAGCCCTGCTGCCCCAATCCCAGCATTCCCGTAAGCCCTGCTATCCCAATAAACCCTGCTGCCCCAATAATCCCTGCTGCTGCCCTCCCAACCCACCCCAGGCGCTGCGCTCCCAGCACCTGATTGACGAGCGCTGCTGGGCGGTGTCCGAGCTGTTTGATGCCAACGGCAGCGAACTGCCCGGACAGGTGAGGGGGGTAGGGGTTAAAGAGAAGAAGAACCACAGGTTGCACTTCAACGTATCATCACGCCCACCAGCAGGCTGGGTGGTGCGGCCGGGTGAGATGGGGCAGCATCGCTCCATCAACATGCCTCTCGTCTGTTCCGGAGCCGCTCCCTCACTGGTTGCAAGCTGCTCTTCAGCAGCTGTGCTGTGCCTCCCTTAGCAACCACCAGTCATGACAACGCCCCCGCCCCCTCACCCCGCCCCACGCCGCAGGACCTGCCTCTGGGTCTGTCCCGCATGCTGGAGTTCAGCGTTCAGAACGCGATGCTGGACTGCGATGTGGGAGCAGCAGCGGCCGAGTGGGGGGCCAGCGGCGACAGCAGCAGCGGGTGAGGGGGAGGGGAAAAGGCGGGGGCGGGGGTGTACGGGGTGTTTGTGTCTTACAGGCGGTGATGCGCGCATGCGGCAGGAGGTGGGTGGAGGTGGGTGGAGGTGGGTGGAGGTGGGTGGAGGTGGGTGGAGGTGGGTGGAGGTGGGTGGAGGTGGGTGGAGGTGGGTGGAGGTGGGTGGAGGTGGGTGGAGGTGGGTGGAGGTGGGTGGAGGAACCGTAACCTAGGCAGCTTCCCTCCGCCCCATCTCCTAATCCCCGCCCCCGCTCCCCTCCCTCCCCCCAACTCCAGGAGCTCCTTCCAGGACCTCTGTGCCCTGCTGGAGAGCCGCTGCAGGTGCGGCTGGGAGGGGGAGGACGCGGGAGGGAGGGAACGGAGGACATAGGAGGTTTACCACACAAGGGTAGGACTGTGCCTTGACAACTTTCCTCCACGCCACCTACTTCTCCCCCTTGTGTGTCCCTCCTACCCGCCTCACCCTGCCCTCCCTGCCTCCCTCCCCTCCCCTCCCCTCCCCTCCCCCCCCCTCGTTGTTTCACTTATTTGCTTTTCTCCCCCCCCCAGGTGGGTGGCGGCTAACCTGGTGTGCGGCCGCCCGCAGCCGCCTGCGTGCTGGCTGAGGCTGAGGGGCTGGGAGCGGGCCATGCAGGTGCGGGGGCTGGGGGGTGCAGGCTGGGGACAGGGCTGGGGGGTGGAGGTGTACCTACCAGTAGGCGGGAGGGAAAAATTAAATATGTGAAACAGTAGGCGGGAGGGAGGTGTCTGCATGTGGGCAGCCGGGGGGCGCCAAACTGTGCCACCTTGTCCCACATCACCTCCCCACCACTCCTCCCCACCTTCCCTCTACTCGCCCCATCCACCCCCCGCCCCGCCCCCCCCCCCTCAGGTGGCCCCCACCCGCCTGCTGGCGCTGGTGCGGTGGCTGGGCTGCCTGCCGCCCGGGGTGCGGCCGGGGGGGCTGGTGCTGCACATGGGAGGTGAGGGAGGGGGGGGAGGCGGGGTGAGGGGGGGATGGGTGTGAACTGCAGCACTGGGGGCCTTTCCAACACTCGAGCCCCTGTCCTCCTCTTCACCCCACTTGGCACATCCTCCTTCCTCCCTGCCTTCAACGGTCCCTCCTCTCCCGCCTCCCCGCCTCTCCCTCCCCCCTTCTCCCCTCCCCCACCTCGCCAGCCCCCACACACTTTGTCTTGTGGCACCCTGCCAACTCCTACCCCCATTGCTTTGCCCTAATTTGTGGTCTCCTATGGTTTGGTATGGTCTTTGTCCCCCCTCGCCAGCCCCCCAGCTGCCCTCTACCGCATCAGCTAGGGTGGCGGCGATACGGCGGGTGATGCGCGCGGCAGGCTGGGCGGCGCAGCAGGAGGGCGGGGGCGGGGGCAGGGGGGAAGAGGGGGAGCTCATTCTGGACCTTTCCAGTACTGCTGGCAGCGCCGGCAGCAGTGGCGGCAGCAGCGGTGCGGGCAGTGGCGCGGACACACCCCTGCAGCAGGGGGGCTCTTCCACCGCCGCCGCCGCTGCTGCCACCGCTGTCAGCCCCGCACCTGCTGCTGCTGCTGCTGCTGCCGGCGCGCTGGCAGCGGCCTGCGTGCTGGAGTGCCTGCTGGGTGGCGGGGAGGCGGGCGCGAGTGGGCTGATGGCGCCGCTGATGAGGGTGGGGCAGCAGCAGCAGCAGCCGGTGGTGCAGGTGGGGGTGGAGGATGAGCCGCTGCCGCTGCGGCTGCAGCAGGCTGCCCCCGCAGGCAGTTCCTCTCCACCTCCCTCTTCGGCTCCCTCCACATGCGCCACCAGCTTCAGCGCTGCTGCTGCTGCTGGTGGTGGTGGTGGTGCTGCTGCTGCTGGTGCTGCTGGTGCTGCTGCTGCTGGTGCTGCTGGTGCTGCTGGTGGTGCTGCTGCTGCTGCTGCTGCTGCTGGTGGTGCTGCTGCTGCTGCTGCTGCTGCTGCTGCTGCTGCTGGTGGTGCTGCTGCTGCTGCTGCTGCTGCTGGTGGTGCTGGTGGTGCTGGTGGTGCTGGTGTGTCGGGTGTCAACGGCAGCACGCTGGTAGAGCTGCTGAGCCTGATGGGCGGGCTGGTGGAGCGAGTGGGGGTGGGGGTGGGGGCAACAGCGCCCGCAGCAGCAGCAGGTGACAGCAGCGGGGGCGGGGGCAGCAGCAGCGGCGGCACGGCAAGCACTCTGCCTCCCCCCCAGCTGCAGCTGCCAGCGCTGCAATGGGCAGCGGAGCAGCTGGGGCGCCTCATCATGGGGCCCGGCGGCAGGGAGGAGCAGGTGGGGGGGAGGGAGGGAGGGCCGGGGTGGGACGCGCACTCGCCGGACCCCTGATCCGCTTCCAACTGAGGCATGAAACGCATGAAGCGCCTGAGGCTTAGGCTTGCCACACGGGCCGCATCCCGCGTGTCCCCCTTGCTTGCCACGCAGGCCGCCAAGCCCTTGTCGCTGCCCGCCAGCCCGTCCGCTGCCCCCGCCGGCTCCCAATCTCCCGCAGCCCCCTCCTCGCCCTCGCCCTCACAGCCCCTGCAGCAGCAGCCCCGGTCGCACCCCAGGCAGCCACTCATCCTGGGCCATGCATGAGCGCACCCGTAAGCACACTTGAGGGGGGGCGAGGATGCCTGCAATGGGGGGGGGCTACATGGAGTCGGGTGTAGGTTGCATGCAGCTAGCCTCGTACCGGGCTGCCGCCTCTGCGACCCCCTCCATGTGGGGTTCAGCGCAGGTGGCAGGCGGGTGGCGCAGAGGAGCGCTGAGGTGGGGTAATGGCTGGTGGGCGTTGTAGCGTTAACAGCTTAGCAGAGGTAACACGCCATAGCGCTCTTGTTGTTGTTGTTGTTGTTGTTGTTGTTGTTGTTGTTGTTGTATTGTCGTTGCGCCGTTGTCGCTGTCATGTCAGTTTGGGGCGCTTCAGATAGACCAAGCGCTGTCAGACAGATCTGGGCGTGGCGATGCTGGTGGCTGCCTGGCTGTGCGTTGGAGCTCGGAAACGGTGTAGTTTTGGGTGTCAGGATCATGCGTGGTGTCTTCATATGTGGCCTGGCTTGACACGCTCCCATTCCACTCTGATGCGTGAGTCACTCTGGGTCGTCTGGGATGTTGTTACGCGGGCGCTACAGAACGCTACAGTTCCCGTTTGGGATCACTGTAACGGTAGTGTGGTATCATTCAATACGGCAATGTACTGCAGCCGACTGTGCACGGGTTGGGAGGGATCTACATGTTAGTGTAACCCGCCTAATTAGTAGGGCAACACGGCGGCTGGAGTCCCGTGTCTCCGTGGAGAAATCCGGCAGGCTGCGGTGCTATGCACTGGTGAAAGGGGCGCTGGTTAAATGTGTTTTCATATGTCCGATGCACAGTACGCACGGTCAAGGCTTTATCTAATACTCACGTAGGTGTATGTGGCAGTATGTCTGAGCGCAACACATGCAGGTATCGTATGATATAGGTCTTGCTTGGTGTCCTAGAAGTGTGGCTCTACTGGCTGGCATGCAGCCAAGAGGCCAATCATGTGGTCAATTAGTGGCGCTGTGTAGAGCATGCCAGCAGGGAGTGTAGAGTGACGTGTGTTGTATAGGGCAGTGCGTGTGTTGCTGTAGGAATGTATGGTAGGTTTGTGAATGGCGCCAAGCGACGGTTGGTTTTTGCGACTATGTGGAATAGTCGGGGGCAATAAAGATTGCGGTGTGTAATTGCTTTTATGCACTGTTGAAGCCCTGGAAATAGAGAATTGGCTCGCTTGTATTTATTAGGTAGGCATGGAGTACCGGTATTGTTAACCGCTTTAACAGATGCCTAAGGGCATGGAAGCTTATATGTAATACGTGGTTTCGTGCAGGTCGAGCGCTATGTCTTGGGCGTCAGATACAGCTGCACTGAAACCGGGGCTGGCTGGATTGGCTGCTCGCGTCAGCAGCCTCAAGTAAAGCGGTGCCTTATCCTGCTTTACGAAACGGAGGAAAGCATACTCCTGTCGTTAGGGGAAAGGAAGTTGGGGGGACCGCATGGATTAGGTCTACGGCGCACCTGCTTTGTTACTTCCAAAGGTGGGCGGCATGGGATGGAAGCTGACCCCAAAGCCAACTTTATTTCCACATACAAACTGCAAGATTTTAAATGTCTACCTTGATATACCGCTATACGAAGCGATGCAAGTTTTCTCCAGATACGTACGGTGCACTTTAACCTCCCACAGGTTCATCGGCCTCGCCTGGACAGAGAGCGCTGAATTCACTGTGCACAAATTAGCTTGAACTCTTGCCTGCAATGGAGGGCCTTTAGAGGGCGTCTAACAAACATGCGACATGACGATGTTAGAGCAAGCTAAGGCTCTTTCATTACGAAAAAGAAGAGCATACCTGTGTATCCTCTGGTTAGCGCAGCTTAGTTTTATCAACCAGATATCGGCGCATTCTCGCTATGAACTTAGGCTAGGCTGCGAAGGGCATCCGGCTTCGTCGCCATATAGCGACACTGGCGCCCTAGTAGATACATCTGGAACATTAGAAAGGTATGTCAGGCACTGAGCCTGTTGTCTGGGGCTCTACATGCAACAATAGGCCCTTAAATTATTAAATCGCCCACTTGTTGCCGGCCCGGCTTCCGGCAAGCATATTTCACTACTTACTCTATCTTTATTTGCAGAAATGCGTCATTAACTGTGTTTGATAGCGCTTACAGCGATAGCGTGACGGAATCGTTATGCCGGGGAGCAAGCTACCACGTTCAGGTAAGTCACAGGGTACGGTTGGCTCGTCCCTTCCAGGCGTGCATGCTTCGCAGCGTAGGGGAACGCACGGGTGCAGAATAACCGGTTAAAGATAGTAAAAAGGCTGAGCAAGGGGTACGCCAGACACAAGACCCGGAGGGCTGGGACACTCACCCCTTCTTTGGTTCTGCCCTGCCGCCTCATCCTGCTGACCTGCCGTACACGGTGGCTACCCTACCCCGCAGGTCTCCTTCCCCACAGCCCGGCGGCGGAGGGTGGTGCTGATTGCCAGCCAGGGGACCCTCAGCGGCGCCTCGGAGTCAAGGTGGGGCGCTGGGGGGCACCACACGAGGCGGGCTGACGAGGAGGGAAGCACAACAGATGCGGCTCGCGTACGTGGCCTGCTAGTAGGCTTCAAGGGGTGGCATGTGTGGCAGAATCCTAACACAAGGCGGTGCACGGAGTGTTTGGGCATGTATCCGGAGATACGGGGGAGCCTGCCGTGTCCCCCCCCCATGGATTTAGCGCCCTTTGCCCTTTACCTTCGAACCGACCTGTTCTTCTATGCGCCCCATCTTAGCCTTATCCCCGCCCTCATCCTTGCTCGCCTTCCCATGTGCCCTCCCGCCCCAACTGCAGTCCCAACCGCTATGTGTACGACAGCCCCTCCCCGGCAGCCTCCTCCGGTGGCCCGCCGGTGCGGCCCCAGGGCTTCACCTCTGAGCTGCATGTGCCCTGCGGCGCGGCAGGTGGGGCTGAGCGGGACTGGGGCGAGCTAGTGGGGTCTGGGGTCGAGTCGGCCCCCGGGGTGCTGCCGGGTGCTGGGGCCGTCCCATCAGCCCGAGTCACGCGCACAAAGTTCCTCTCTGTGGCAGGAAGCCCTTTGTCCGGCCTTAAGAGAAAGAGACATCCTGCCGCATAGCGACACAGGAGAGGAGGATAGAGCACCGCAGTACGCCGCACGGCTTCAGCGTCCCTCCCTTGCCCCCCCTCCTGCGTGCCTCAACATCCCCTGCAGGTCCCTCCCTGCAGCTCACCCTGCTCACACCCCTTCTCGCACCCAGCAGCTCCCACGCCCCGCTCCTAAATGCTTCCATCACCCTCCACCTGGATGACTCGTGTACGGCAACTGCATGTACGGCAGCAGCAGCAGGATTGGGCCGTACGGCAGTAGCGATGGCAGCAGCAGCAGGAATGCGCCGTACGGCCATAGCACGGAGATCTGCGGCGGAGGAAGCAGCAGGATCAGCGGCAGTAGCTGGCCGCCGTGCACTAGCTGCGGTGGCGAAGAGCCCGCCCCCGCCGCCCTTCCTCGCATCAACAGGTGCGCCCCAACACCGCCCAACACCCGCGAGCGACCGTCTGCGCGCATGCATGTCAGCCTTTCGCACGACTTGCCAAAGTGTGTGTTGTTGTTTTTCGAAACCTATACCTATCTTGCATGCGCGTGCGGCGCCCTTCTTACCACCCTGCCGCGTCCCTCGTTCCGACACCTTACCTGACCCGCCCTCCATCCCTCCACTCTCGGACACCACCCACACGACCCCCCGCTCTTGCCCCTTCCAACGTCCCCCCTCGCAGCCACCACCGCCGCCTGGCGCGGCACCTCCCAGCTCGCCCTCTACTCCGCTAGGGCTCCCTTCGCGGACGCAGTCACCGCCTGCGCCGCCTCCGCCGCCACCCTCGCCTCCGCCTCGCAGTGGACCCTCGCACTTGAAGACATGGCGGCCAGTCGCGGCGGGCCGCTGGGGGAACTGCTCGTACAACTCATGCTGCAGCTGTACGACAGTGGAGAGGGGGCGGCGTGGCACGTGTGGATTGACGGCGGCGGCAGCGGCTGTGGCGCCTTGCAGCTGGATAGTGCAACGGTGGCGGTGGCGAGGGTGACGGCGGCGGCGGCGGCGTGCGGGCAGCAGCTGTTTTTCATGTGTGTGGGGGCGGTGCCCGGAAGTCCGGGAGGGGCGCCGCCTCCGCCGCCAAAGGTGTCGCCTTCGCCGCCGCCGCGGCCACCTCCGCCGTTGTTGTCGCCGCCATCGCCGCCGCCGCGGCCACCTCCGCCGTTGTTGTCGCCGCCACCGCCGCCGCCGCCTCCACAGCGGCAACCGCCGTCGCGCTTGCCGCCGCCATCGCCGTCAAGTATAACCGGAGGTAGGCAGACTACTACGCCTACTCCCTTCTGTCTTACCATCCCTCAGCAAAGCAGCTGTCTGGCGATCCCGCTCACTGCCTGACTTTACGGTTCCTGCCCGTTCAGTTCCCCCCGCCCCCCTCACATGCTCTCCTCCCCGCGTCCTCCCTCCCCCCCCCTACCCACCACCCTACTTCCTCCCTCCCACCGACAGGCACCGCCGCCACCTGGAACGGCCACATCTGGACCTTCTTCCCGCCGCGGGTGGCCATCGCAGACGCAGACGCGCACTGCTCCTCCCTGGCACCCGCCGGCAGCCACCGCCTGGGGGGTCTGGGTGAGCTAGCAGCGTTGGAAGAGGCGCTGGTGGCGGGCAGCGTGGCGGGCATGTTTGCTGCGCTGTCGAACGCCATGTTTAGTTTCGGAAGCTACGAGGGCAGGCCGTGGAACATCTGGGCTGCGGGCGGCGGCGGGCCCAAGGCCGGCGGATGCGGGTGTGTACGGATGGATCCCATGGCCATTGTGATTACAAATGCCACGTTACGTGGGAGCTGTCAGCAGAAGTTGATGTTTATATGCGTGGGGAGTCAGCAGGCGGGATCGCCGCTGGCACCGCCACCGCGGCAGCCACCGCCTCCGCCGCCGTTGCCGCCGCCGTCGCCGGCACCAAGTCCGCCACCGAAGCGACGGAAGCCGCCGCCGCCGCCAGCGCCGCCTCCACCGATACCGCCTCGCTCTCCTCCTCCACCGGTAGGCATGCAGGCCTTGCGCCTCTGTCTTGGGATTGCGTGTGGATGTGGATGGCCCTTTTGTGTTGGCAATCAGTATCCCTCTGTTGCCTTGTGCTGTAAGGAGTGCCCGAAGCTCCATCTTATGAGCTAAAGCCGTTAAAGCAACTCTTCTATAGGTGTTGCTGTAGGTATGTTTTCAGCGTGATGCACTTACGTGCGTTCTAAGTGCGTGCGAGCTGTGAAGCGTGTGTGTTTTGACACGCGCCGGCTGTGTGGCGCTGCGCCCCCGTCTGTCTGCCGCAGAGGCCGCCTCCTCCGGGCACCCCCACCCCGGTACCGCCCACGCCGCCGCCTCCGCGCCCTCCTAAGCACAAACGTTCTCCGCCCCCACGTCCGCCCCTGACGATCCCTCCCCAGCCGTCGCCGCCGTCGCCACAACCGCGACCGCCGCCACCGCCGTCACCCTCGCCGCGGCCCCCGCCGCGGCCCCCACCGCCGCCGCCGTCGCCGCCACCCCGACCTCCACCGCCGCCGTCGCCGCAGCCCCGGCCCCCACCTCCCATTCCCTGGCCCTCCCAGCAGCCCCTTCCGCCGCCACCGCAGTTGCCATCACCACCACCCCGCCCACAGCCGCCGTCGCCACCCCGACCTCCGTCACCCTCTCCGAGACCTCAGCCTCCGTCGCCGCCACCCAACCCACGACCACCATCACCTTCCCCAGCACCTCCACTTCCGCCATCCCCACCGCCGTCTCCTCCACTGCCGCCAGCCCCTTCCCCATCGCCCCCAACACCACCTTCCGAACCTCCCTCACCACCGTCACCTCCATCCCCATCCCCACCGCCACCGCTACCTCCCTCGCCGCTGCCGTCACCGCCTGCACCACCATCTCCGATACCATTACCTCCACCCTCGCCACCGTCACCGCCTCCTCCGCCGCTGCCCCCCTCGCCGTCACCCTCACCCCCCCTCGCGCCCTCGCCACCCCAGTCCTGCCTGCACTCCAATCAGGGCTACGCATGCTCGATGGCACTGGGGGAGGGCATGCGGCTGCACTGGAGTCCGGCTACGGCGCTGGCAGCGGCGGCGGGAGGTACGGCAGCCTCGCTCACCGCGCCGCCGGCAGCTAGCGCCTGCGCCTCCTTGTATGCGGTACCCGCAGACGTGAGCAGCAGCAGCAGCGATGGCAGCAGCAGCGGCGGTGATGGCGGTGTTCAGGGATCGTTCCACTTCCTTTTGGAAGCTCCGGGTGCCGGTGCGTGGCTGGGGGGTCAGTGCGTATCTGGAGGGGTCGGACTGGCATTTATAGCTGCTTCCGGTGTTCCTCGGCCGTCAAGGGCCGCCTAACTAAACGGGCCTGTTGCCAAACACATGCATGATGCCGAACATCGTGCCCTCCCGGGTTTGGCACCCGCCCCCGCCCCGCTCGGGAATCGGGATTGGGACTCCGTTGATGCACTTATCTATATTTTTTGCCCCCGCCCCGCTCTCCCGTCCCGCAGGCCGCCTGTCCCTGGTCTTCCCCTCCGCCACCGCCGGCGGGCTGTCCCCGGGCGTCACAGCGGCGATCCAGGAGGACGGCAGCATAGCAGCAGCACCGTACCGGGTAGGGACCAGAGGGGGAGAAGCAAGGGAGGGAGGGAGGGCGACACCTTGGAGCAGTGGGAGGAACTGCGCGGAGGAAGGAATGGGGCGGGCTAGGAAAATGCAAGCGCCGTGCCATATAGCACATGTGTAGGGCGGGCTGACGGACATGCAGCTAATAACAACATGCCCCTGCGTGGAGTCCTGCCGCCCGGCTTGCGCGTTTGGTTAAGTGCAGTTTTAAACTGAATGGATACTAATGGATTCTGGTTGAGGCAAAGCTACGTGTAAATGCTCCGTCATCTGCCAACCAGCTCGATCCCCCCCATACCGGTATGTTGTCTCATTGCTGTACGTAGGTGAAGCTCTCACCAAGGCCGGGCGACGACGTCCAAACCGCCTACCCCGCACCCGCCGGCTGGGGCCTTCGCCTCCGTCCGCCAGGCGTTTCCGCGCCGCCGCCGCGCCCGCCGCCAGCCCAGTACAACACTGCCCTGTACGGTAGGGGGCCCTGGCCGCTGGGCCCTCCTCTGTCGTACAATTGGACGGCGGGGCAGGCGGCGCTGTTGCTGCCGCCGGAGAATATCACTGCCAGCAGCGCCCTGAGGCTGGCGGTTTGCTTCACCGCGACGGCGGCGCCGGAGGGGATTCAGAACCTGGGAACCTTCCTAGCCACGCTGGTTCCGGAGCCGTCAAGCCAGCTGCGGCGTCGGCGTCTGCATACAGCAGCGGCGACTGGCGCCGAGGCAGCCAATGCCGACGTGGGCGTGGTACGGCAGCTCGTGGAGGAGTCTGACATCGTACAGCAGCCGCCGCCAGTGGACGACGGGGAGCTGCCGTCAGCGCCACCACCGCCGCCGCCGTCGCTGCGGCCGCCGCCGCCGCCAGCACCGCCAGGAACCGTCGCCGTCACCGGTAATGCTGTGGCGGCTCAGCTCGGCCCCGGCGGCCGTACGCTGCTGCTGCTCCGCGCCGCCACCACGTCAGCTGGCTGCGAGGCGGCCTGCACGCGATTGGGCTTGCAGGCGGGTATTAGCAACGTGACGGGGTACACGCTCATGGGGGCAGAGTACGACACCGCTTGGAGCATGCTGCTGCAGCAGGCGCCCCCCACCTCCCCGGACCCCCTGCAGTCCGCTAGCCCGGTGGGCGTCTGGCTGGGGCCCGCTGCTGCGACCTTTGCGGGGCGCCGCAGCCCCCCGCCGCCTGCCGCCGCACCCGACGCTTCCGCCTGCCTGGCGACTAGTCTGAGGTTTGCTGACGGCTCACTGCGGGCCACGGCCTGCAACAGCCCTGGGTGGTGTCTGTGCGGGAGGTGGTGAGGGTGAGGGTAAGATTTACCCAGAGGCCGTGCGTGAGAGGAAGGGATGGACGTGCGTGAGAGGAAGGGATGAGGAGGGTGTGGTGGGTTGGAGCGCTCTTGCGCAGTACTTGGCATGTCGAGTTAGTCCTCCCAAGCTGTGGAGAGACAAGGCGCTTCAAGGTACTTGTGGTACGACCGGGTACCACCAGTACGCGGTACCCGTAGCGGTTGTTTACCGGGTTTTGCATGCCCGGCACGTTCGTAAGTGCTGACGCGGAATATGCTTCATTGCAACCTGGTATCCTGGCAGGAAGCCAGGATGTGACGTCTGCTTTGCGGGGGCCAAGCAAAGTGGAAAGGATGTGAGAGAGGGAAACGTGTTGGGTGGATTGGGTCGAGTAAGCAGTGCCTGCAGGCGTACGGGCAATCACGTTTGCCAGCTGCTGTCCGCTACATTCAAAGCGTAGCGCGCAATCATGTGTCGGTTAGTTGAAGGAAAAAGAGAATGCATATATATGTGGATGGATGCGCGTGCCAGGTCACCTATTGCAGCAGAGGAAGTTAAAGGAGCAGGAGGCCCGCCGTTTTTTATGCTGTGTCATACGCGCATGCACGTTCATGCGTTTGTTGTGGTGTCTGGCGTCGTGATGCGATCTCGTCCAAAGACGGCAGCGACAGCAGCAGCAGCAGCAGGGCCACTTGTTGCGCGGTGCAGCGGAAGTATATACGTATTGGGGGTGTTTGGGACTAGACGCAAACACTTGTTTCCGTTCGTTAGCAACTAACTAACTCTCCACTCGCTGCGCCTGGAGAATATTATACTATTTGTTAGTTTTGCATGATATAGCAGCCCCGTGGGGTTTCTGGTACCTTCTTCTGGGTGCAAGCAGCGGTGTGCGGTGCACCTGCCGGCGGGCAGAACTGATGATGTTATGGTGAGCTGTGGAGGCAGCCGCCGACTCAAATATGTCCAGCATGTTATTGCAATGCTCGCGCGGGTCATGTGACGGCTTTTAGGAATATAAAGGACGAGAGGCCTGGCAGGTTCACACCTGTTTTGCTGTGAGGTTGTCCGCAGGGTGGCTGGCAGGGTGCTGGCACTGCGTGGGGCTTAACGGGGCCACGTCAGGTCTTCAAAGTTGGTGCGGGATTTGTTTAGTCTAAGCAGGCCAAATGCGCGCCGTATCTGTACTGGCGGCTTGGGCTATCGCAGCACACGTGCACAGCCCCAGCTGACCGGCTACATGCAGCCTTTAGCAGGCTGTACCTATCTCTTACTATTCACCTTCTGGGGAATCTCCTAGTGTGCCGTTAACATACACATATATTTAATATCGTGCTGTGACCAGAACCATGTACTTTTGTAGTTGTCCTGATTTCGCACCTCTGCTGGTGCGCAGGATGCTGACCTGCTGCTATGGCTGTGCTTACGATGCCTCCTGGTGATGCGTTGCTGGGTGCTGTGTTTTCCGCAAGCAGCAGTGCAAAGGGTGTTGCGAGGGGGTAGCTGGGTAGGTTGTGGAAGTGGCTTCTGACGGCGGTTGGCTGCCACTGACTGCTGGCCTGACATGATACACGCCTCGACAGGGGATGAGGCGCATCATTATGAGGTTGGTAGCACTGGCAGCAGCATAGCCAGGACCGAGGAGGCATGGGCGGCGGGCGGTGGTGGCATGACACTTGCAAGCCGCGCGGTGGGAACATCGCGACCCGTTGCATGTATATTACATTAGCGTCAGGCAGGGGCTCAGTAGGGGGCAGCGCATCTGTAAGGTGTTGGCTGTTTATGCCACTCTATTAAGGACAAGGTTAATGAGCACTCGGTTTCCACTTACGCCGTCCTGGAACCCTGTTATTCTTTGAAGGAAGGCCATGTCTATTACAGACAGAAGTAGGCAAAACTGGACAGGGCAGGGCCGGAGCTCGGCTCGGTAAGACCAGGTTTCAGTTTACTTCAAGGCGCGAAATAGTCTTTGACGCATAACATGGAACCCCTTCCTGTTATTTCTGCTGCGTAGCAACCTGCCATTGGCAAGCTTGTCAACAACGCGCTTTCCCTTTATGGGTCGCTCGCCATGCTTGCAAGCGGCACCCCGCTTCCCGTTAGTAACAGCTTATTACTAAACACTAAACTAAAACTTTCTATTCTGATAAGCAAAGCGCCATGCACGTAGGAGAACCTACTCAGCCTAGTCCCTCCCACAAACTGAAAAGGACAAGCCGCAGAAATAAACCAGGCACGTGCACAAACTCGCTGTCATTGGGACGTACTACCAGGCAATGGGCCTTGACCTTGCTACAAATGGGCGATTGCGGGACCCGCCGAGGAACCATGAAGTAGGTGAACAGTTCTTACGGGCATGCAAACAAGTGAACATAGCTCGTCATAATTGGCTCGCTGTTCTTATAGTACCGGTATATACAGTGAACATAACGTGTAGGCTGTAAAGTATCACAAGCAAGCGAACATCACGTGACAATGTTGCCTCTTGGTGTTTCTTAGGTAGTACTGAAGGGGTAACTCAGCTGAAGAGTCGGCATGTTCTAGCAAGAGGGAAGGGCTTAAATAGCACGGTAATTAACCTGTCGTACCTATGATGTAGCTCTGTGTATTGCGTCCCACTGGCCATCGAGCTACACACCACAACCTGCAATAAAAGTACCTCCTGTGTAACATGCTGTTTTGTCGAAGGTATCGCCACATGCAGTATGAACACGCCCATTCTTGCTTGCGTGCAGCGAGGTAGCTTGCAAATTAAATAATAATGAACAACAACCTTCCAACAAATGATATATCCTGTGAAACTGAGCAGAGACAGCGCGGACTGCGGCATGACGCAGACGCGTCATTCCCTGAGCCTGAGCAGCGCGGCCTGTCGTCGGCTCTGATAAACATTGCACGCGAGCAACTTAACGTTTTACGGTATGCTGCGTGAGTATGTATTGTGTGCGCAAGGGCCCGGGCGGCGTTTGATAGCCAGACATGGCCAATGTCGCGAGGCGCGTATTGCAACGTTATATAGGCTCCCATACCGCTATAAGAATAAGGCGTATCCTCTTCATTGTTGCAAAACAATTCGTTCGCCGGAAAGAAGCTGTTTGTTAGCGTCCTTCCTCGAGGGTTCCTCGCAACGCCATGGCAGACCAGCTCAAACGGCTGAAGGGACACGACCCTACACCCCCCTTCACTCCGCGCATAAACCACACATCCCTGCCCCTACCTTCCTTCCTTCATCTCCCGCCTCCCTCCCTCCTCTCCCAACCAGCTCGGAGCAGCAGCCCGCATGGCAGGAGGCCCCCAGCACCAGCAGCGGGGGCGGCCTCACCTCCCCCAGACAGGCTGCCCAGACGGAGGCTGACCCACCGGGGAGCCCCTCCCCCTCCTCCTCACCCTCCCCTCTCACCCTGCTAGCAGCCACCAACTATGCTCGGCGAGCCGCCGCGCGGAGGCAGCAGCAGCTGCAGCAGCAGGGCAGTTCCTCTCCCTCCACGACAACACCCGCCGGTGACCCTGAGGGGCTGGGAGAGCGGGAGGAGGCGGCGGAGCAGCAGCAGGCAGCCGTCCGCAGTGACCCACGGGTCAGGAGAGCGGTGGCGCAGTGGTGGCACTGGCTGCCGCGCGGCCGGGGGCCGAGGGAGGGCGAGGAGGAGGAGGAGGAGGACGTGGACCTCCAGCGGGAGGAGGCGGCAAAAGCATCAGGCGAGCGGGAGGGGCCGCAGCAGCAGCAGGAGGAGGAAGAGCAGGAGGAGGGGGGCGAGGCTGCTCTTACCAGGCGGGCGGGTCGGAGCCTGGGGGGGCACATGTCGGCCTCCTCCAGCCTGGCCTCCCGCTTCTCCGCCGTGGCAGACGAGGTGCTGGGGGCGGCGGCAGTGGGTGGTGTCCCTGCTGCTGTTGGTGCTGCCGGCAGCGGCGGCGGCAGCGACACGTTGGAGCGGCCGGTGTACTGGGCCCTGCTGCTGGCGCTGGCAGGGGTGAGGAGGGGGGAAGGAGGGGGCAGAGCGGGTTGAGGGAGGAGGTTCAAGGGAGGCAGGGGGGTGCCGCCGGTGTGGAAGGCAGGCTCAGGTGGAACAGGAGAAGGCGGAGCAGCTCCCCCCTCCCCGGGTACACAGCGTGATGGGACCTAGTAGAGTGGTAGCGGTCACCAGTGCCGCCACGGAGGCGCCTAGAGGACGAATGTTGCATCGCTTGAAGGCCACTCCACCTCACGTGCACAACCCCCTCCCCTTCCCCTTCCCTTCCCCTCTCCCCCCCCCACACGACAGGCCCTGTTCCCCCGCTTCCATCTGCCTCCCCCCGACCCGGACGACTTTGCGCCCGACCCCGAGCACTGGGCGGCTGACAGCGGCGGGCGGCCGCAGCTGGGCTGGGAGGGCTTCCTGGGGGCGCTGTGCGGGATGGCGGAGGACTGGGCGGCGGGTGAGGAGGGAGGGAGGGGGGGAGGGAGGAGGGAAGGCGGCCCCGGGGTGCAGGGGTGCGGCTGTTGGCGCTGCTGGGGGGTGCAGGGCCCTGCGCTGCGCTCGGGCCCGCCTGACACCTTCGCTGCGCCCCGTACCTGGGTACGACTGGAGGTGGGGGCGGTGTGACCCCACCCCCAACCAACCTGGCCTCACCCCTCTCCCCCCACTGGCCGTCACTCTCCCGTCCCGCTTTGCCCTCCCTCCTGAGTCCTGCCCCTCCCCTCCCCCCTGCCCTCCCCCTGCCCCCTCCCGCCCCCTCCCGCAGGCCCCCACCCGGCTGACCACGCGGAGCTGCTCGAGGTGCGCTTCCCACCCTGCTGCAGGAGGGGAGGAGGGGAGGGGAGCCTGACGTGACAGGCTGAAGAGGGGGAGACGGAGAGAGGGCCATGCCGTACGATCCCCGCAGTACACTCCTTCTAAGATGCCCGCATGGCCCCCGCGTGCCGCTTCCGCTCTTACTTATTCCCTTATTGCCATTCCCGCGTTCTTCTCTCTCTCTCTCTCTCTCTCTCTGTTGTTGCAAGGCGAAACCGCGGCTAACACAGAAAAGCCGCAACTCATCCTTCCGCCCTCCTTCCCTGCTGCTCTTCTCCTCCCCTTCCCTCCTGTCCTCCCTAACCTCTCCTCCCCTCTCCTCCCCCTCTCCTCCCCCTCTCCCGCCCCCCCCCAGTCGCTGCTCCGGGAGGTGCAGCGCGGCGAGTCCCGCTCCGCCGCCCTCTCCGACCTGCTGGCCCGCTTCGGCTACCGACACCACCCGCACCAGTACGACAGCCCCGCCGCACCGGCAGGCGGGCAGCAGGAGGGAGGAGCGGGGGGAGGGGGGGCAGCAGCGCACTCGCCACGTGGGGTTGCTCCCGACCCCACCTGCCCCCCGCCCCTGCAAGAACACCCGCAGCAGCAGCTGCTGCTCGTCCCGGGTCCCTGGGAGGAAGAGGGGGAGGAGGAGGGGCGACGCTTGGCGGCTCGAGAACACCAACACGCGGCACCTCACACCGCCACCTCCGCCGCCAACCCCCACGCCACCTCCCACCGTCCACCGCACCCCACCTCCCACCCCACCTCCCACCCCAAACCCAACCCCCACCTCCTCCGCTCCGCTCGCGCCGCCTCCACCTCCTCCGCCTCCCCTGCCCCCACCCGCACCGCCGGCGCCACCTCCCCCCACCCGCCTCCGCACCACCGCCCCCGCAGCAACAGCAGCCCCACCCCCCCACCGCCCCACGGCCGCACCACCCCCTCCCATGCAGGCAGCCCCACCCCCACTTCACCCGGGACTGGAGGCCGGTCCAGCTCCCCCGGAGGTGGCAGTGTAGGCGGAGGCGGGGGTGGAGGCGGGGGTGGTCGGTTGATCCCCACCTACCCGCCCATCCGCTACAACGTGCCCTCCCGTGTGGCTGCGGCCTACCTGAGCAGCAGCAGCAGCAGCAGCCCCCCCACCTCCGCCTCCTCCCCCGGTCCCGCCTCCGCCCCCCAGCCCCCACCGCCGCGGCGGGAGTTCCGGGTGCCGCAGTACGCGCCCCTGGACCTGTCGGGTGGGTGGGGTGGGGTTACAGATAAGGACGAACTAGGTGTGGGGGAGTAAAGAAGGGATTCGAGCCTGTAAGGAGCCCGAGTACGATCTGCAATTGAAGCCCTTTTGCCCTGGACGAGCGCCGCCCCCTTGGGCCTCTCTGCCGTACCATCTCCTTACGGGCCGGTCCTAGCCGTCTCCTCACCCTCTTCCTCATGCCTTTCCCCGTTTCGCAACCCCCCCCCCCCTCCCCCTCCAGGCGTGCGCTCCTGCCTGGGTGAGTACGTGCGCAGTGGCGTGCGGCGACCTGACCCCGAGACCCTGCAGCAGTGGCGGCGCAGCAGGGGACGGCAAGGCGGCAGGGACAGCAGCTCGGGAGGGAGTGCGGTGAGGGAGGGAGGGAGGTGGAGGGAAACGCATGCAGGGACGTTGGGGGCCGAAACGCTTCATCTTCCTCGCGTGCCGCACCGCACACCCACTACACCCGCCACACTGTGTACTCTCTTCTCGGCTCACAGCCACACACCACGACCGATTCCCTTCCTGCTGAACACACCTGCCTCTGTCCCTCATGCCTCCCCTCCTCACCCCTCCCCCCCCTCCCCTCCCCCAGCGCGGCGTCCCCCTCACCCCCGCCCCGGTTCCCGTGGGTGAGGACCTGCTGTCAGGCGCGGTGGCTGCTGCGGGGGCGGCGCGGCGGGGACACCCGCACCTGCACCCGCACATGGCACCCGGGGCAGCTGGAGGGTTGGAGGGGGGGGTGACGGACGTGGCGCACCCCGCCCCGCCGCCGCACCTGTACCCCGCTGCTGGCCCCAGGGAGCCGGGCGGTGCAGTGCTGGCCTACGAGGAGTACATGCATGACCTGGTGAGGGGGGAGTAAGGGGGTTGGGGGGGGGGGTGAGGAGCGCGTGGGAGGGTGCGGGGTGGGGGCTGGTTGGGGGGGGGTGATGTAAGTACCAGGTACGGCACGCTCACGGGCACTGGACGCGACCGTGTCGTTGTGTGTCCCCTGCTGGGCAGGTCTTAGATACGGCTGCCTGGCCCCCCTGCCACATACCACATCACCGACACCTACACACGGTGTGTCGTGCATGGATGCGTCGCGCCTCCCCCCACCAGCCTGGATGTGTTTTATCCCCCCCTAACTTGTGGTCTCCTATGGTTTGATATGGTCTTTGACCCCCCCTTTCACCTGCCTCCCCCCTCCCCCTTCAGGCTGCCCGCTACCTGGCCCAGCAGGAGGAGGTGCTGGTGGCCACGTCAGCATCCGCGGCGGCGGCGGCGGGGCAGCTGCTGGCGGCGGCGGGATGGGGCAGTGGAGCGGAAGAGCAGGAGCAGGCGGCAGCGGAGGCGGAGGCAGCGGAGGCGGCAGCTAACGGAGGGCCTGCACAAGGGGGAGAGGGTCAGTCAGGCGAGGAGGCGGGAGCGGCTGCGGCTGCGGCGTCCTCAGAGGCTCCGGCGGCGGCAGCGGAGGGTGCACTCCGGTGGGTGGGGGACCGGGCTCCCCAGCTCCTGCTACTGCTACTGCTACTGCTCCGACGTTTGATTGGGATTGGCAACTGGAACGGGGTGGCTGCATGCCTGCACCAGAATGGAACATGACCTCTACCGTGTTCTTCGCTGCCCTCGGGTCTCCTACCTGACCTTTTTTGCCCTCCCTACCTCCACAGGTTCGACTCCCGCGCCCTCGCCACCTCAGAGCCCGGCCCCGTGCCCCCACCTGCTGGCGCCGACACCTGTCAGCAGCAGCAGCAGCAGGACCCGCATGCCGATCAGGGCCCCCATACCCGCATGGCAGCTGCCGCTGACCACCACCCCCACAGCGCCTCCACCTCCACCACCACCCCTCCCGCCTCCTCCTCCGTCAGGCCACACTGCTCACACAGCCCTCCTCGCCACCAACAAGCCCTCCTCACCTCCGTCGCCACCGCCTCCGCCGGGGCACATCCGCCGCCGCCTCTGCAGCAGCAGCAGCAGCAGCAGCAGCAGCAGCAGCAGCAGCAGCAGCAGCAGCCATACGGAATCATGCCGCCGCACGCCCCCGACTCGCCCTTCGTCTCTCCCGGCCGTGCCTTCGCCACGGCGCCGCAGCTTATCCCGCTGCCGCCGCCGCCGCCAGTGCTGCTGCCCGCGCGCTCCGGCTCTCCCTTCGCCGGCGGCGGCGGCAGTGGCGGCGGCGGCGGTGGTGGATGCGGCAGCCCGTCCACCTCTTTCATCGACCAACAGCTGCTTGAGTACCTTCAACCCGTCAGTGTGGTGGGTCATGCCCTGCATGCGGACCTCGTCCGGAGCAACGTCAACAACATCATTAACCCCAGGAGCGCTGGCGGCGGCGGCGGCGGCCTCCGCCGGCGCGCTGGCAGCTGCGGCTCCGCCACCTCCGCCGGCAGCAGCCCCGTCGGTGCAGCTCCACCGCTGTTACTGCCGCCGTCAGCTGCTGCTGCTGCTGCTGCTGGCGGCAGCGGTACGGCAGCAGCCGCCAGCGGCGGCGGCGGGATGTGGGCCGCCCCGCATGATATGACATTGGTAACCCAACAACACCAGCAACAACATCATCAACACCAGCAGCAGCCACCCTCTGCCCTGGACCCCGCGGCTCAAGCGGAGGTGGTGGTGGCGTTCGCAGCAGCGGCATACCGGCTTGCTGACCCTAACGTCCACGCCCTGCTGCTGCCCTCCCGATCTACCCCTGCCTCCGCCGGAGGCGCCTCCGCCGCCGCTTCCGCCGGCAGCCACTCGGCTGGACTGCGAGCGCACAGCAGCCGACGCGCGGCGTCATCGGCTCGCCGAGCAAGACCCTCGCCCGCGTCTGGCGGCGGCGGCGGCGGATACTTTAGTCACTCGCACTCGCATATACACACGCATTCGTTCCTCACAGGTGGCGGCGGCGGCGGTAGCGGCGGCGGCAGCGGCGGCGATCCGGCGGCGGAGCGCTTCTCCAGCTTCCTTGGCCCCGCCGCCGCCGCCGCCACGGCCCTGAGCCACATGCGGTCACTGGCGAGCTCCAACATCGGCGCCGCTGCTGACGGCGGCGGCGGCGTTGACAGCGGCAGCGTCGGCAGCCCCGCGTCAGGTGCCGCCGTCGCCGCCGCCGCGGCTTGGGCGTCCACTCGGCCGGCGACGGTGGACAACAGCGCGCTCGGCCGCCGCCACCCGCCCGCGCCCGTCCTCACTTCCTCTTCGTCGCGACCGGCTAGCCCAGCGGCCGGCGGTGCTGCTGCTGCTGCCAGTGACGGCGATCGGGCTACTGCAATTCGTCCCGTCGCAGCAACTCCACCAGTGGCAGCGGCGGCGGCGGCATCTCTCGGCGGCACCGTCACTCGTCGTCTGGCGGCGACGGCCGCCGTCAGTGCCCCTGCCGGCGGCCGCTCCGGCTGGTTTGCGAGCTCGGGTGTGGCTCCTCCGCAGCCCCCCTCCTCCGACCCGCACCAGCTCCACAACCCCGCCTCGCCCACCTCACCCACCACCACCGCATCCTCCTCATCCGCTCCCGCCCCCATCCCTACCTCCCCGGTCGCCGCCGCCGCCGCCGCCTCCCCCCGCTGGCTATCCGCCCCCGCCGCCGCCTCCGGCCTGCAGCCCACCCCACGTTCCTCCCTGCGTGCCAGCTGCGGCTACACCTCCCTGCTGCAGCACCGCTCCTCCGGCTCCATCGCGGGTCATAGCACCGCCAGCGGTGGCGGTGGCAGCAGCCACGGAGGCAGTCATGGTGGCGTCGGGGCTGCCGCTGCGGTAGGGGCAGGGGCTGCGGCCGGCCATGCAAGCTGTCATGGTCCCCATGGAAGCGGCGGCAGCAGTGGCGGCGGCAATGGCGGCGGCAATGGCAGGCGTTTCTCGTCACTGATGGCCGCCGGGGCCGCTGCGGGCGGTGCGAGTAGTGGCAGCGGCGGTAGCGGTGTGTTGATGCCCAACGGCGCAATGAGCTGCAAACTGGTGCGTGGGTGGCGTGGGTGTGCGTACCGAGTGCAAACAGGGGCGGCCAATGCTGCAATGCATGCATGGATGTGCGATTGTACTGCAAGGGGCTTTCACGGTTGAGGCGCTTGCGGCTGCCTCTTCTTCGTGTGCCTGCCCGCAAGCAATGTCTGCAACGCGTAACCCAAAACGTAGTCTGTGTGCAATGCATACCCCAACGCAACGCCTTGGATTGTGCTTCGACTTTGCCGCTCCTCCCTTCTCCCTCCCTCCTGCAGCGCAACTTTTATACCAGCTCCCCCGCCTGTCTGGTGACCCCCGAGGGTGCACTGGCGCTGCCACAAGCCTACTCTGTGGCCGCAGCAGCAGCAACGGCAGTGACTGCTGCAGCAGCCGGCAGCGGCGGCGGAGGCACCGGAGGCGCCGGCGGACCCTCACCAGCAGCAGCAGCAGCACCCGTCAGTAACAACAAATGCAACAGTGCCGTATCCCACGCGACCAACAGCAGCAGAGGTAACTCGGCTGCTCATCCCAACGGCAACTCTGTCAGCGCGGATGGCAGCAGCAGCAACAGCAGCAGCAGCAGCAACGGCACTAACAGCAATTCTGGTGGGGAGGCAGCCTCCCTGTCACATGCAGAGACAGCAGGAGAGGTGCACCACCACCACCAGCACCAACACCATCTCCATCAGCAGCAGCAACAAGCCTCGCTACTTTGCGCCTCATCCCCCACCGCGGGTCCCCTCCTCTGTCGACGACCCGCGACTGCGGCGCCGGCAGTAGCAGCGGCGGCGCCTGCAGCAGCTGCGGCGGCAGCAGCAGTAGCCGCAGCTGCTGCTGCGGTGGCGGCTGCTGCTGTTACAGAGGGACGTCAGTCATACTCGGGGGGTGGTGTTGCGTCAGCGTCGGGTCGTGTGTCGGAAACGGGCGGTTCCTCCTCGGTCGCCATCCGCAGTCCGGTGCGCATCCGTAGCAGCGAGCCGGTTGGGTTCGCGGATGCGGTGACGGCAGCGCGCATGAATGTGAGTAAGAAGGAGGAACTGCGGTGGGGGAGGTGCTGTTGAGCAATGTAAAAGGTATCAGTTTGTAACAGTTAAAGTCCCGGAGGTGTGTGTTTGCCTGCATGCCTGTCACCTCTTCGCTTGTCTATTTTTTGCCACTACTATTGTCTTTAGAGTAGGGTTGGGTTCATCACCCGTGTTCCCTTCTAGAGAACCATTGTAACGGCCACCCATTCATACATTTATTCAATCAATCATATAATCTTACACCCCCCCCTTACCCCGTCCCCACTCCCTCTCCGAATGCGCTCACTGCATGAGTCGGGATATGGGATTAGGGCTCGTTGTTGCACTTATCTCTGATTCCCCCCCCTCCCCCCCCAGGTTGCCATCATGGCTGACGAGCTGATGCAGCGGCAGGCTGAGCAGCGGCAGCACGCACGCATGCTGCGGGAGCGGAGCCTGCACCTGCACCGCCGGCCCTCCACTGAGGCTGCCCGCATGGTCTATCAGCGCTCCTTCGGGGCGTTTCTGGCGGCTAGAAGCGGGGAGACGGCGGCGGCAGCGGCGGTGGTGGGGCCGGGAGACAGCGGGCCGGGGGACTGACGGTTGGTGGGTAGGGTAGGGTAGGGTTCGTGGGGGTATAGACCGTGTGGTGGATCCGGGCCCACAAGCACATCCCGACGCGATGCGGAGGCTGGTGTGGGGTACCGTGTATTTATTGCGTGATGGTTGGGTGGGTAGGGTTGGTTGGAGGTACTATGAGGGTCTTGCTATGGTCGAGGCAAGCGTGAAGAAGATGAGGAGCAGCGGCGTCGTGTTCCAGATGATGCTGGTGTCGCAGGAGGAGGACGGGATGCGGCGTGTTGCTGCTGCTGTTGGCTGCATCATGATGGATGCGCTCTTGGAACCGTGCGGATCCTCTTCTTGCTGAGAATGTGAGAATGTGAGGCAAGCTCGGAACAGCAGGCTACCGGTACTGGAAATGGAGGATTGTGTTGTGGAGGGTTCGAAAGCTGATTTACACACATTTTGGCATTGTTGCTTACCATTCCTGCTTTTGGTACTGGTGTCCTTATCGATATGGATGTTGACTTGCGGCTATCTTTGTTGGCGTGCGTTTGCGGCGTGCAGGCGTGCGACTGCGGCGTTAAATGGGTTGCAGAGGCTTCATGTCAGGCAGTCTGTTGATGCCCTGACCGCATTTACTACCTTTTGCGAGCTTACCAGTTGGCGTTTTGTAGGACTGGTCTCAGCGTTTCGCAATGCTTCTTGCTCCCATGTTGACCCTTGCCATAATCTCGTCCTCTTCGTCTCTTAGGATGTTGCAATATCTTGCAGCCGTGTTGACCTGGTCCTGTCGACAAAGGCAAATCACACGTTGGCTGACCAGAGTCGAAACTTCAGTTGACAGTTGACGCATGCAATTCATCGTGGACAGTTGGATACCCGGCCTCATGAAGTGCCTTTAACTTGTGACAGGGCGGGAACCTGGCTTTTTAAATGTGGCGTGTGAGGGTGGTTGTGACAGCTGTTGACTGATGCCAGGCTTCAGGTGACGCCCACAACGTGACTCGCGTCCTTCAACACACCGCAGCGTGTGCAATGCGTTTTCTGGGGCTTGAAGCCCCCGTATGACTGGTCGGTGTGCTGTCATGCAACACATGCGCACCCCTGGTGCGGTGTCGTTGGCATGGCGAGGGGAAGAAGTGGGGCTGGTATTCATGTACTGGACACATGTGGATGGCCCCGAAAGCAGCAGAGTAGGGGAGTTGGTTGCTTGACCAGTTGCGTCACCCATGGCACATGCCAAGCATTGTGGGGGATTGCGAGAACGGCTGCTTCCTATTACGTTTTGTTGGGAAGTTGACTGGAAGAGGCGGTGCGGCATTTCCACGGCACATAGCTTCTAAGGAATATATACCGAAAAAGAACCGCATCCTTTAGGACAGGCGTAGTTGCGCGTGCCATAATTTCCATGCCAGTTATGTGTTGTTCATCGGAAACCTATCCAGATTTCATGCCTGCCCTAGCCTTGGCAGGATATGGTTGGTGCTGGTGATGGGTGTGACGCCAGCTGTACACACTTGCGCACCCAACACCCGCGCCCAACACCTGCTCTTAACAAGTAATGGCCTTGCTCGATTGGCGCGATAGCGGGCACATCAAGCAAAGGGACGTATCTGGGCTCCTGCCCGCATTTCCTAGCAGCGACGGTTAGCTCTAGCGACAGCTCTACGGAACCGGAAGCGCAGCTCTGGTATGAAGGGAGGAACCGTACTACGCAAGGCACCTTACATGGCATTTAAATAGGACATGGACAGCCTGGCTGAGATTGTCCATGTTGCCTTTCATCGTTCATGTCGCTTTCCCAAATGTAGTCAGTGACGGTACTGTACACCCGCATTGCGGTCGGTGAAAACCCTATAGCGACAGAGGACCGCCTTCACAGCGCGTCTTAAAAACCCCTGATACAATGCAATAGAAGATGAGTTGGTGCGGCCAATCCAACGTCTGCAGCTAAGCACTGCCGTCGCGGAAACGTCGCCGGGTGTCGGAGCTAACTGGTCTTGAGCTAATCGTAACGAGTCCCCCTTGTAACCTTCGCATTCTAAGCGCAAAGTTTTACTGGGGACTTATAGTAGCTGAAGAGGCAATTCCGTATGTGAAGATCCTCGAAACCCTTTTGGCCTGCCAAAATACTAAACGTGTGTCACCGCTATGCGCTGACCTTAATGCGTCAACAAGTCGATATTGCTCCGCTACAAAGGCTTGTAAGGGGGTAACCGGCTGTTGCGAGGTGGTGCAACGCTCGCGACTTCCGAAAGGGCACTTACGATGACGGGAAAGGGCTGCGCATTTACCGATCCGTGGTTCATCAAATGACTTTTGCCATCAGGCATGCATCTCTTGCCTTACCGTTTAGCCTTGAAGGCGCTCGTGGTCCTTTCCTTGGGGGTACCGACATCTTCGTACGACACAATCGGCGGAGAATAAATCACCGGAGTCGCCCGTAATCTTTTCCTTTAGTTACCTGCATAACGTGACCATGGCGTATCCCAGCTCAGAACAGGCCCTTGTGCTGGCGGCGCCGCAGTTTGCGTTTACGCAGGAACGCGAAACATTCAAGCTCGGCAAGGCCCTCAAGAGCAGCGGCCCCGTTGTTGTGCCTGTGGCCAGCACTTCGTCAGCGACACCATGCTCTTTCACGACTCGTGGGTCGGCGGTAGTGAGCCACAAGCTGGCATCTCGGCGTGCAGTGGCGCGCTCACGGCTTGCCGCGGCCCCCTTTGCCAGCCTCAGCTTTGCCGCGGTGACTATGCAGCCACCAGCTAAGCAAGAGAGCAGCAAGGTTGCTACGAAGAAGAAGAAGTCTCTTGGAGAGATTGTCGCGCTTGCTGGCAAGAAGGCGCTGTCTGGCGGTGTGCCGGGCATGATTGCTATGGGCATCCAGGTGCTCTCTCTGATGTGGCTACGCACTACCATCAACTACCAGTACCGCTACGGGACGACGACGTTGGAGGCCCTGAGGACCCTGTACGCTCAGGGTGGCATCCCGCGCTTCTACCAGGGCCTGACTCCCGCCCTGTTCCAGGTGGGCGTCGAACGAATGCATATTTCACCACATATAGATAATAGCAAAGCAGCACGGCTGTGGTATCAACCGTGCTGTCAGAGAAGCAGCAACAGCCGAAATAACGCTCGCGCGGTCTCTAACGCACGAGACCGCCTTCTCGGGATTTGCCATATACCTCATTGTGCCTTGCGTTGCCCCTCGGTTCCGCCTCTACTAAAATTACTACTGCGCGTAAATTTGCAAAACCCTTTTCAGTAGCATCGCAGTAGTGTCCTCCACCCTCTTCGCACCATCCTTTGCACCCTCCTCTATGCACCCTCCTCTATTCACATCCTCTTCTCACCCAGCCTGCTCATCCACCTCACCTTCTCGTTTTCCTATCCCTCCTCCTCCCACCTCCTCCAGGGCCCTCTGTCCCGCTTCGGTGACACCGCCGCCAACACCGGCATGCTGGCGCTGCTGGAGGACGTGGACATGCCCGTCGCCTTCAAGACCGTCGCCGCCTCGCTGGCTGCCGGCTGCTTCCGCATCTTCCTGATGCCCGTGGACGCCTGCAAGACCATCCTGCAGGTGGGGGGCAGGCACAGAGGAGGGAGCAGGGAGGGGAAAAGGAAGTAGGAGATAATGGAGGGTCAGCAAGGAAAAACGAAGGATAACAAAATAGCTGAATACAATGCTGCGAACAAATGCCTCACTGTGCATATTAATACTAACCACGAATAACCACACTCCTCCCCATCGCCACTGCAGGTGGAGGGCAAGAACGGCCTGAACGCGCTGTTCAACAAGGTCAAGCTGGGCGGCCCCTCGGTGCTCTACCACGGCGCGCTCGCCGCCTCGGTCGCCACCTTTGTGGGCCACTACCCCTGGTTCGCCACCTACAACTCCCTCAACGCCTGGCTGCCGCGCTACGAGGACGACCTGCCCAAGAAGCTGCTGCGCTCGGCCTTCATCGGCTTCTGCTCCTCGTTCGTGTCGGACTGCTGCTCCAACTCGATCCGCGTCATCAAGACCACCAAGCAGACCGCTACCGTGCCCATGAGCTACACCGAGGTGGTCAAGGTAGGGGGAGAGCGATTTGGGTCGGGGAGAATCAGGGAGCGATTTGGGTCAGGGAGAAGCAGGGAAGGAAGGGGTAAGGAAAGGGATAAGGAACTGACCATGTGACTAGGCGAGGGCATGTTTGGAGCCTGGAAAACTGGAGTGGGACCGGTGGGGAATGTGGCTGGGTTGGCATAGTGTCCTCTAGGTTTGAGAAATTGCGTGCGGTGTTGAGAATGCACTGCCGCGTCCAGTCTTTTCACGCTTGCATGCGCCCCAACCCAATTCCTCCCTCGCAGGAGATCATCCGCACGGACGGCGTGTCGGGCCTGTTCTTCCGCGGTCTGGGCACCAAGCTCATCACCAACGGCATCCAGGTGGGCAGGGTGGTGGGGAGAGGTGGCTGCAGGGATGAGGAATGGGATGAGGAACGGGATGGAGAGGACGGTTGGCAAATTAAAAGAGAGGGACATGTATAAAAGGGGCATTGCAGCACGCGCTATTATACTTTCCCTCCTTGTCATGCTATTCGCAAACCATCCTGGAGGATGTTCTGTGGCGCGAAAGTAGATGCCAGTTGTGCAGCAGCATGCCAGGAGTCTGTCTCCCTCCTGACTCCTGGCGCTGCATGCGGCAACATTGCTTGCTATTTGCATATACTGCTTCACAGTTTCCAACTCCCATGCAATGGCGAATAGGCTAGCTTGAAGCCATGTACGGCATCTACATGTGCATTCACAACACAACGGTTGGCAACATGAAAGAGGGGCCATGTGGAAAAGGGGCATTGCAGCACGCGCTATTTCTCTTTCCCTCCTTGTGATGCTATTTGCAAACCATCCTGGAGGATGTTCTCTGGCGCGAAAGTAGATGCCAGTTGTGCAGCAGCATGCCAGGAGTCTGTCTCCCTCCTGACTCCTGGCGCTGCATGCGGCAACATTGCTTGCTATTTGCATATACTGCTTTACAGTTTCCTAAACTCCATGCAATGGCAAATAGGCTAAGCTTGAAGCTGTGTACGGTATCTACATGTGCATGTACAACAGAGCGACGCCGCGGCCCCATGCTGCTTCACTTACCCTCCCTTTACCCTCTTTTCCCCTCTGCAGGGCATCATGTTCAGTGTCATGTGGCGCCTGGGCCAGGACTACTACAACAAGCAGGCGGCTGACAAGGCCGCCAAGGAGAAGGCTGATGCGGCCGCGGCGGCCAAGTAAGGAGGAGGAGGAGGAAACTCTTCTGCGTCCTCTGGTGGTGCATCATGATGTGTCTGATGGAAGCTTTTGACGTGACGAGCCGGTACCTCTCGACTACATTGCGTGGGGGGGTGCGTTCGTGAGCCTGTGCGAGCCCGTTCTTTTTATACGCAGGCACGTCGCTGCTCGGCTGATTTGGGTCACTGCTTGTTTACGTTATGAAGCTTTTGGTGGAAGGCTTACCCCGGTGTGGTCGTATCCATGTGTGACTTGGTGGCTGACTTTAAAAAGACCGTTTGTCTCGTGTGAATTTGGTAACGTGGAGAAAGGTGTGTGCCTGGTAGGGTGGCACGTGGGGTGAATGTTGGTGAAGGTGTGATTATGGCAGGAAGAAAAGCCTCAGCATTTGAACTTACAGCTTTCCGGGAGCCAGTCCGTGTGGGGTGCTCCTTGTGGGCCCAACCTCGGAAGAAAGCCCCTGGAGCGTGTTTGGGACATTCGTAACACCATTATTTTACTTGTTAAAGCGGGTGTCTTTGTTTGTGGGTTTGTGGCTGTTTGCATGGCGTGGGGCGAACCGGTGCTTGAAGCGCTGTGATGAGACCTGGCGGTGTGTTCGCGATGTTTCCTCGGATCTGGTTTCGTGAGCAAGGATTCAAGCGTTACTGTACGTGTCTTAAACCGTATTCCTAGCGGAAGTGCCGCCTTGGCCTCCGTGGCTTGTTGCATCTGTGTCCGCCTTAAAACTGCGTGCCGCGAGGTTCATGGCCCGTGGCTTAAGGGCTTTCGCTGTTGCCTTGGTCTCCTCCTTGATACCAGGTGGCCTTGGTAACAGCTTGACACAAACTGTAGGAGGTGCTCCCCTGCTCTTTACGCAATATGCGTCATCCAGCTGTAAAAGTCTGCGGTGTACTCCTATTTAAGCTGCACTGCACATAACCATCCTAAGCGGGTCTTGCATCTGGCAGGTCGGTGAAGTGGTGTATGGGCGTATCACATCTCCAATGACGCATAAAGATATCAACGCCCCACAGAGCTCCCGACGATTGAGTGAAGCGGCCACCTGCTATGGGGCGGCTAGAGAACTGCCCAAGGACAGTTTGCCCTTGTCAATCCGCCTAAGCAACTTCCTGAAAAGCACAGTATCACATAGCTACAGTATTGATGCTTTTTCATAGCTCATTGGGCGCTTGCGCCTGTTGGCCATGTTAATGGCTTTGCTGGACTTTGCTTCGCCCACACTGCCGTACTATACCTTTGTCGAATACAGTCCGTCGTTTCGTCACCGCTGCAGTTTGGTCTTCACCAAAGGTACTATGGATGCATTCCAAAGCGGCCATCTATAACCTTTTCGACGGTATCAGAAAATTTCTCCGATTACGTTTACAGGGCCGCCCTAACCACGGCCTGAGGTTCCTGCTGCTTAATAGAAGATACTGTGCACTTTCTTAGCACGTTAACTGTCGTTCGTTAGGGCTGCTGGGAACTGCTTGGAGCCTTGGAGGGCGCCTAGGTGGGGCTCTTGCTTCTTCGGAGCCAAGAATTACATGCACTACCTGTTTTATATGCCGTCCTGCCTTCCTGAACATATTGGGTTGGACCTTACTCGCAATGCGCGGGCCCTGAGGAGGCCGGCTGCATTGTCTACCAGCAGCTACTAGCCCTTACCTTTTGGTGCTTCATGTGATACTCTGTATAGTGTTACACGCTTCCTTTTGGATGTGCCAACACAGTTGCTTCCGTTCGGACTCTTCTCGGCCCCGCAGGAGCAACACGAGACTGCAGGCTATCCTGCCTACTGCCTAATGCCTAATGCCGATGTTATGCGGAAGAACTACTTAATGAGGGGGATGCATCGGTGAGGAGCTCGCTTATCAATGCAGCGAGACACCGGAGCTATCCTTTCAGCATCGCTTACTACACCGCCCAGCAACGCTTGGACGGGCTGCAGCGAGAAGCCGGTCTCCGGCTTGTCCACCCGGACCGACCGGAAATGTATCCGGCGCGTAAGGGCTCGAAGTGTCCGTCGGCGAAGCCCTTGCGCGGAGCCCGAGCCTCAGCAGCGCTGTCAGCATAAAGCTTCCATCGACAAGAGACCAGCGCCTATGCAGCCCTGGACGCTCATCACTTTCTTAATAGCCTTTTTCCTTGCCAGCCGAGGACTCTTTGTGCATGGGTTGACAAACGAGTACTGCTCCTCATTCAAGGGAACAGGCATATGTCCACCATGCCGTTCCTCATCAGACCTTTGTCAGGTGAGCCTTCCTCTCGACGTCTCAACCTCCAACCCCACCTCGCATTCCGCGTTCCCGTGCCGTTTGGGCAGCCACCCTAGATGCCTCCTACCTCATGACCCATGCAGCCACCAGCCACTCTTAACCTGCCACCTTCCCCTTCTTAACCCACTTTCTTCCTCCCCTTCCCACCCAAACCCCTCCGTTCCTACCGCAGCCCGTGGACCAGTACTGGCTCAACTCCGACTACTGCCTGCTGCCAGACAGCCTGGGCGACGCGGCCTGCGGCCCCACCATGATATACGACATGGTCTCCGCTAACGACCGCTCCACCAGCGCCGGCAAGCTCATCGTCTTCCAGTCCTCCGACGACTTCCTCTACCTCACCTTCCGCCTGGACTGCCCCTACGCGCTACGCCCCGGTCTGGGCCTGGATCTGCCGTACAGTCTGGGCGTGTTCATCTGGAACAGCACCGAGCTGCAGGGCTCCCCGCAGTACAGCGACGGCCTGACGCTCTCCACCGACGTCTACACCTGCCTCACCGTCGCCATCGACCTCACCCACGTCTGCGACCCCGCGCGCTCCTCCTACATGCCCAACACGCCCAGCGCGCAGTCAAACTACGACTGCGGCTGCTTGCCCACCAAGCGCCCCTGCCCGCCCTCCAACCTCTCCCGCAAGCCGCTGGTAGTGGTGCAGCCCTCCTTCTACTCCGTCGCCTCGCCCGCCACCTGCAAGCCCGCCTCCACCAGCGTCCTCACCCCCTACATGCTGTCCAGCTCTGACGGCTCCGGGCTGCTGCAGTGGGACAGCAGCGCGTGCGGACCGGTGGGCACTCCGCGGAAGAGCCCGCCCACCTCCCCCTCGGGCACCCGCAGTGACCAGCTGCCCGACCTGCCGCCCATGTCGCCGCTGGCGCCGTCGCCCTTCCCGCCGCAGCCCAGACCCCCGCCGCCGCGACCGCCGCCGTCACCCTCGCCTCCGCCGTCACCGCCGCCATCTCCTGCGCCTTCACCCCCGCCGCCTCCTTCGCCCGCGCCCTCGCCGCCACCACCCCCACCGCCATCGCCAGCTCCACCACCTTCCCCTGCGCCGCCACCACCATCTCCCCCACCTGTTCCGCCACCGTCCCCGCCATCGCCCGCACCTCCACCGCCTCCCACTCCGCCTTCCCCACTACCTCCCACTCCGCCACCGCCCGTTCCTCCATCACCTCTCCCTCCCTCCCCTTCTCCTTCCCCTCCGCCGCACCTGCCTCCCTCTCCCTCACCACCTTCCCCACCACCTCCATCCCCATCTCCCTCTCCAGCCCCCACGCCTCCGCCCTCACCGGAGCCCCCTCCTCCGCCCTCCGTTGAGCCCCCGCCGCTGCCTCCACCCGCTCCACCGCCGCATGAGAACGTCGCGGAGTCCTTCTTCACCAGCGCCGGCGTGGGCATGCTGGTGGGAGTGGGCGCGGTAGCCGTGGCCCTCATGTGCTGCTGCGGCATTACGCTCTACGTGTTCTGTCGCCGCAGCAGCCGCAAGCAGATCAGCGAGGAGGGCAGCGAGGACGCGCCGCCGCTTGCCACCGCCAGCAACGGCGGGGACGACCGCTCGCTGAGCAATTTCTCCTTTGCGATCCACCGTGCGTATGATAAGGAGAAGCGTGGGAGTAGCGGAGGAGGCAGTGGCGGTAGCGGCAGCGGCAGTGGCGGCGGGCCGCTTGGGGACATGGAGCGGGGCGGCCACCATCACCCTCTGTACGGCATGCACCCGGATGGAGGCTCCACGGAGGGTCACATCTCGCCCTCGCCCAGCTCCTTTGGCGATGGCTTAGCGTCGCAGGTGTGTACGCCCCCTGTCGCCTCCTGGCCCCACTGCTGTGCGGAAATTTCATCCCCTGTTAACTCCCACTCCTGCCTCCCACTGCTGCTCCCCTCTCAGGGCCCGCAGGTATACCTAGAGCTCGAGCAGGCAGCGGCGGCTGCACCCACCGTCCGGGACCTTCTCAACGCGCATGCAGCCGCAGCAGCAGCCATGAGCGCCCAGGCCAGGCAGCTCGCCGCCAAGGGAGGGGCCGCCGCTGCTGCTGCTGCTGCCGCTGCATCCTCCACTGCCGGCCGGCAGCTGGAGATGCAGCCTCGTCGCGGGAAGGCCGCCCGGGACTTCTTCGGCGCTGCCGCCTCCAAGATCGCCACCGCTGTTGCCACGGTTACCAGTGCTGTGCCCGAGCCGCCTCCGCTGCTGCTGCAGCCGCCGCCGCTGCTGCACCCGGCGGTTTGCTCGCTGGAGTCATCCGCGGACTTCGGCGGCAGCGGTATGGCAGATCTGGGCGCCGCAGGAGGAGGAGGGCTCAAGTCGCTGACAGAGGGCGCAGGTGCCAGCAGCGCGCAGCAGCTGAGTGGAAGGTCCAGTCTGGCAACGGTATCAAGCGTGGGCGGCGGATCCAGCAGCGCAGCGGTGCCGTCGGGTCCACTGGCGACCCGTGGGTCTGTGGGGCAGCAGTGGAAGCAGCAGCAGCAACAACAGCAGGTGCCGCTGCTGCAGCCGGCAGTGGCGGCCAGTGCCTTGCTGCTGCAGACCCGGCAAAGCGGTACATTGGGTGCGGGAGCGGCTGCAAACGCCGCCGCGGCGGCTGCTGTATCTGGTGTGTCAGACGGCACGGCGGCGGTTTGCGGCTCGGGTCACGTCAGCGGTGCGTCCAGCGGCGTCATCAGCCCCGTGCAGAGCCAGGAGCTGCTGCTGTCGCCACGGGCCAGCGGGACACTTCCTTCCAGCAGACAGAGCCTGACCAACGTCAGCAGCGGCGGCGGCGGCGGAGGTGGCCTCTCCAGCCCCTATCCGTCCGTCCTCGCAGTGCCGCCGTCTGCCAACCCCGCAGCAGCATTAGTCTCCGCCACTAGCGGCGGCGGCGGAGGCCAAGCCCTAACAGGCAGCATTGGCGCCGGCGGCGGCGGTGACGCCAGCAGCAGCCGTAGCACCACATCGGCCTATCCCTCCCTCTTCGGTGAGCCTCCTAACACTACCACCACCGCTGCTGGCGGCTACCCTAGCCCCAGTCCCAAGCGCCCGGCGCCGTCTCCGCTGGCGCCCATTCCCTACTGCGGTCCTCTGCACCTGCCCGAGAGCACCTTCGCCACCCACGCTCCCCTCAACCTGGACGACGACGACGATGACGACGCCGCCAGCCAGCTCAGCGTCAATCTGGCGCCGTACGGGTCGGCGGCGCTGGCGGCCTGCTCGCCCGTCGCTCCCGTGGGGTCCACCTCCTCCGGTGACACCGCGGTGACGCTGTTTAGCCCCTCGCTGAAAGGCCGAGGCAGCGGCGGCGCTAATGGCAGCGGCAGGTTTAACTCAACCACCGGCGGCGGCGGCGGAGGCAGTTCCTTTGGCTCCTCGTCCGGACGGGGCAGGGGCGGTGCAACAACCGCATCCAACAACAGCAGCAGCGACACGAACAACAACAGCTGCCGCCCGCTGTCGCCCTTTGCCTTGGGCGGCTCGTTGCAACGGCTGCCGCCAGCGCCGACGCCGCTGTCCCAGCGGACCAGCGGGGGTGCGGCGGCGGCGGCGGCGACTTCTGATAGCGGTGGCGGATTCTCGTTTAGCAGCGGCAATAGCGCTGCAGTAGTAGACGACGGGCCGCCACTGCTGATGCCTGCCGCTTCCATTGACGCGGCTCGTGACGGTCTACACCTCTCCGGCGGTGTCGCGGCGCCGGGAACATCAGCGTCCTTCGTCGCGCCAGGAAGTCGCAACGCGGGGAAGTCAGGGCAGGACGGCAGCCCCCTACGCGGCGCGTTCAGTGTGGGCTGTACCCCCGCCTCGCCCTCGCCACCGCGCCATGCCTCCCCTCCGCTGTCCACGGCAGCAGCCGGCCGTCATTCACCGCAGCCCCTGCGGACCGCAGCCTCCGGCGGCCCTCCCCCGCCGCACCTACGTCCCCTGGAGGGCCCCCACGGCTCGCTGCTACAGCCACCTCAGCCCGCAGCGCTGCAACCCCGACGCAGCTTACCTGCACCAGGCTCCTTTGGCATCCCCGCGCCCGGCACCCTGGGCGGCCGCAGCAGCAGCCCACTCCTACCCGCCTCCGCGTCGCTCTCTCCTCCCTCGCGCTCCCCCTCACGCGCCCCAGCCTCACACCACCAGCCCGGCAGCAGCGGGCGCTTCTCGCCGCCCCCGCTGCTGCCCTCCGCCGCCTCCGCCCCCGGCCTCCGCCACTCGAGCTCCGCCGCTGCCCTCGCCGCGCTGCCTGCTTCCGCCTCCATGACCTCCGCCTCGAGCACAGGCGAGCTTGCCAACACCAGCAGCAGCAGGGCGCCGCGCTCCCCGGGGGGCTCCCCTTCAGCAGGGATAGGCGTAGGAAGCAGCACATGGGGCGCTGCCGGCGGCGGTGGCGGCGCCTTCCTAGATCTCGCCGCGATCCGGCGGTATTGCAGTGATGAGGACGGCTGCTCCTCCTCGGGTAGTGGTGGCGGTGGTGGTGGCCGGGCGGCGGCTGCTGGCGGCTGCGACGGTGCGGGTGAGGAGCTGCCTCTTGCGGGCGCCCCGGGGGAGGGGCTGGCGGCGGTGTACACGGCGGTATGCAAGCTGGAGCCGGGGTCCATCTTCTGCAGCAAGTAAGTGCGGTGCGGTGCGGTGCGGTGGTGCTGCGGTATAGCCGCGGAGGAGGAGTCGTTAGTTGGGTAGCGGGTTACCGGTGGTTCTGCGGTCGCTGCCAGTGCAGTTGCCAGTGCTAGTTGTGAAGTTGTTGTTGGTGCCGTACATGCCCCGGGCGCATACTCTGGCTGGGGTCCTGCTGGCATGCGTGGGGGGCTGCTGCTACATGCGTTGCCAACCTTTCTCACAACCCTGCGTACTCCTTTCAATTCTCATCCCTCATCACACAAGTGACGATTACCGCCTATCTTTCACCGCATGCTCATCCACCACCCGACCCACCAACCCCGCACCGCACCGCCACCGCCCCGCCCCGCAGGTACAAGATACGCGAGGCTCCGCTGCTGGGTCGTCACAGCGTGGTGCTGCTCGCCAAGAACATCTACAGCCGCAGCCGGGTAGCCATCAAATTCCACGCCAGCAGGCGGCAGTACGAGCGGGAGAAGGCGGCGCTGCAGTCGCTGTCCTCCACCTACGTGCCTGCGCTCAACGAGCCGTTGGAGGGTCCCGCCATGCAAGCCCTGGGGCTGCCTCCCGCGCTTGTGCTGGAGGCGGGTCGATGTACACTTACCGAATGGTTGCGTGGCAGCGGAGGAGGAGGAGGACGAGCGGGAGGGTGCGAGGAGGGAGGTGGTGGCGGGGGCGGTGCGGGTGTGGGGGCGGCCCCGAGGGACCTGCTGTCACTCAAGTCGGCGTTGCATCAGGTGCTGGCGGCGCTGATGCACCTGCACGGGAGGAGAGTGGTGCACCGGGACATCAAACCGGCGAACATCATGTGGTGAGCAGGAGGGAAGCCAGGGAAGCGGCGGCGGGAATGGAAGGGTTGAGCGGGATAGGAAGGGTTTGGAAGGCTGCACAAACGCGTGTAATGCACTGGAAGGACCGCGGGAAGCGGAAAGCGGGAGAGGCAGGCCTGTGGTGCGTTGGAAAGGCCAAGCAGCGGGCACCATGCTGACCTTCACTCCTCGCTTCTCCCCCTCCCTTCCCTCCTCCCTCCCTCCTCAGGTTTGAGGAGGCCCACCGCTTCAAGCTCATCGATCTCGCGGAATCCGCCACGCTAGGCGAGGCAGCGCCCCCCTGCTGCACGCCGCTCTACTCCCCGCCCGAGCAGCTCAAAGCCGCACTGGAGGGCCTGTCCTGCGCCGCCACCGTCACCCCCGCCGCCGACATGTGGGCTTTCGGTGTGGTGGCGTTCGAGGTGCTCAGCGGCAGCCGCTTCTACGGCCCCTCCCCGCGGCTGCCTGAGGTGCTGGAGGCGGTGTTTGGCCACCGGCAGCTGCCGTGCGAGGGCGAGCACAGCGCCTTGGCGGGGGTGGAGCTGGCGCAAGCCCGGCGGCTGATCGCACACCTGGTGGTGCGCAACCCGACGCAGCGCTGGTCGGCGGCCACTTGCCATGCCAACGCGTTGTTCGCATCGGGGGATGACACCGACCAGCGGGCAGCCAAGTGGGACACAATGCTGACCCGCATCACGGAGGTGCAGCAAGTGGTGGCCAGCACCACGGCCGAGGTGCGGACCGCGCAGATGGCCATCAACTTCACCATTTGCGAAGCGGCGCCCGCAGGAGGAGGTCTGGACCGCGCCTACTCCACCGCGTCCACCGCCTCCGGCAGCGCAGCCCCGCCGCGGCTGCAGCACATGGACAGCAGCCGCATCTCCCGCCGGCTGGTGTACCGGGAGGTGCCCATGACGCAGGACGACTGCCTGCCCGGGGAACCCATCTTCATGCTGCTGCTGCGGCGTACCTACCAGATCCGAATCACGGTGGCACATGCGCGCGGTCTGAAGCTGGATATTGCGGGCATCGAGCAGCTCAAACTAACCACCCCCGACAACCACGAACAGCTGCTGCCCGTACGGCTAGAGAAGGGGCTACGAGACGGTACGACAGAATTCATAGCGGACTGGGACCCCGGGGCGACTCGTTCGAGGCACCTGCTGACGGTGACGGCGACGGAGGGGCCGATTCAGCGGCGTGTTGTGTTCCTGAATGCGGAGTTGGAGCTGCAGCTGTCGGGTCTGGCTGCTCCCATGAGGGTGAACGCCATGTTGTACGTGGTGATGGAGAAGCACAGTTTCAGGTACCGCATGGCGAAGATCAAGCTGTGGACTGCGGACCGGTGGAGCCAGGCTCCGCAGTGGATGCGGGACGTGGCGCGGGGGACGATGGTGTTAGTGCGCGTGGCGGGGAATGTGGTGGGAGTGTAAGAGAGTGAGGTTGTGATGACGGGGAGAGAGTGCGCGTGCAGGCGGATGGCCGGGGGCTGTGCGGGTTCAGGAGGTATGATTGTTTTTGAAGACGTTAAACGGATATGTATTTGCGTGCGGGGTGGCGTGTGATTGTTGCCGGTTTGTTTATATTCATTGCAAGCCATGGCAGTTCGTGGCGGTTGATGCACTGAGAGGTACGGGTACGGGCCACTGCCCTAGGCATGATGTTGCTCGTCCCTGACAGCTTCAGGAGTGTTGTATGGTCATGCGCGGGGATGCCAGCTTGTGCGAACATGCGCGGAAGGTGTGGTGGGTCACTGCGTGCTGTTATGTCGTCACCGGGCCGGTTTGAGCTTGATGTTTGCATGCGTTGGGGTGCGCACCTGTGCAGAGGAGCAACTTGCAATGACGGAAAAAAAGTGCAAGCCATTGCGGCCGGGCTTCGGGGCACGGTGCGTGGGGGCAGCATGCTGTGCAGAAGAAGGAGCTGCATGCCTTCAAGGTTGATGGCGGGTTGGTATATAAGTGTTGGCAGGATGAGTACGGCGGTACGACGCGTTCCAAAGCAGGTGGGTTCCCGTGTTGTGAAAATTTGAATTTGTTGGGTTGCCTTGCTAAACCAAACTGACCCGCACATACACACACGCGCTGCAAGGGGTCATGCAAGCGAAGCGAAGAACTGCTGTGTGGTTAGCATTGAGTTGTCTCTGTATATGTCTGATGGGCGTTGTCCAGTGGCGGGGCCGCTTGGCGTCCTTCCTTATTGTCGTTTCGTAAACAGAAAAAGCCACATGCGGACAGTTGCAGAGCTAGGTAGCGAAACCTGGCTTGCGCATCGGGGAACGGTGGTCCAATGCATGCTGTCCCGGACATCAGTTGAGTTGGTTGTGCTGCGCTGCTGTTTGTGGCAGCGCCTTGTCGCGGTTATCGGGCTTGGTAAATCACCAATACACCGGGCTTGCAATGAACACTGCGGGCTGGTTTTATTTCTACTACGGACATGCGGGCGCCTGCTGTGGCGCCTCACCACAGTGCAATGACAGTTGGCGGCGTACACGGTAGCCAGTCCTGCCTCGGTACCGTTGCTCGTCCTGTGCTGGGCTTGCACGGTGCCGAAGATGGCGAGCAAGGGCTTGACGGCATCTGGTGGGTGGTGCGTGTGACGTGGGTAGCGGTGCGGTTGGTGGCGCTACAACCCCAGCAGCAGGGTGCACTCCAGCTGCATCAGCTGTCCATGCGGTAGGGTGAGAGGGGTGCGTGCTGTCTTGGAAATAGCATGTGCATAAATTCATGTCAGGCGATCTCCATTTGCGCGGTTGCCTAGCACGGTCGGCCCCTTGCTGAAGTGCGAAAACGTTTCTAGTGTACCGTATTGGTCGGGGATGCGGGGCATGAGGGTACGCTGCGCTGGCGTGTGGTTCTTCCACCGGTAAAGGATGCAAGAGGCATCCTTTTATGTAATATGCAAGCTCCAAAGGCCAGGTCACATTACTGCACAAGGGATTGCTCCCTCGGAGTGTGTCATACTCACCGAGTTGGAATCAAATGTGCAACCAGACACGCCTCGTGCGTCGCTGCACATGCACATGACCTCTACCGGTATCCCGCCCAACATCCAGCCTAGCTGCCTCTCCAACACCGCACCGGCGATACCCTAATCCTGTCATTGCCTCTTGAGGCACACAGTTGGGTAGTCGGTGGCCAAATGACAGCAACAGCTGCTAGGCGCATGACACCCAAGCAGGCTGGTGCATGCCGTGACGCAACTCCGCACCGGAACCACTTCATGTTCGCACATGAGCAGAGAAGCGGAGTTGCCTGTCACACAGGCATGCGTACAGCGTACACACGGCACTGCGTTGTCTTTGATGGGAAATTCACCTTCCAACCAGCTCCTACAATACAGTGTGTTCGTCCTCGTGGCCGTAGCCAGGCGTGCGTCTTTGTGTACGAGCGGCACTGCTGGAAAGGTATGCAAGAACTAGGCTCGGCAACATGCAGCTCAGGGCAGGGTTGGCTCGGCAACGGAGACCCTATGATGCCGTAGCTTATCAGGGCCAAGGTTGTGGATGACGTGCAGCCACTTCAGTATGCGGGTTGTGGACGCGGGGCTTGTCACACGTTCGCAACCCACATATTGTTCCCTCAGGCCTTGCCTTAGCAAGAGGGACTAGCATGTATAAAGCATGCATCCTGCGTTCGCAGGAAACAGCCCTTACATGCAGCATGCCCATACGTGGAGCTGCCGGAGCACGTGACTTCCCGATGGCAATGCCCTAGTCACAACAATAGCAGGTGGTTAGATTCCCACCAATTGCTGCCGCAATGCACCATAACTAATGCACTGGCAATCAAGGTTATTGCGGTTTGTAACAAAGCAGGCACGTCGCGTTTACACCTTGCAGGATAGGCCATGCATGGCTCCCATCTCAATGAAACTACAAGCAATAAGCAAGATTAACCAGCCACAGACAACCCGGACATAGCATGCTACTAGTCGCTGCGTCAGGGAGCCAGTAATGATGTGGCTAAAGCTTTGCAAGCATACCACGGCAACTATTTTCGCTGCAAAACAAAAGGCTCACGACCGAGAGCAAAACATGCAGTTTTGGATCACGCGTGCCTTTTGAATGCGGCATTATAGTTAACCTTTGCGTCGTGCTGAGCATGGAGACGGTACGACAGGTTCCCAAAATTCGTTTTGGATTGGTAGGCTACCTGTAAACAGCTCTATAGGCGCTGCTAAGTCATGGACCGACTACATACTTGAGCCTGCAACACCGTAATAACCATCGGTCTGAACCATTTCAAGGACTGTTAACCACACCACAGGCGATTGAGTCTTGCATTAAGCGTACCGTAAACGTAACTATGAAAATGCTTGTACGCTATTAAGCTCTTTTGCTGGCAAACTAGGCTGGGGCGTGAAGCCGCGACATCTCCCCTCTCCCTAACCCCCCTTCGCCCTCTGGCTTTCGGAACGCTTGAGCCTAGCGGTGCAAAGCGTGGTTGTAATAAGAAGATGGTTTACGATTCACCAGCTGCTGGGCGTATCTTGGCCTGTCGAAAGCATAGCCCATGGACCATGGAACGCGACAGGAAGAAGAGTAAGGCCAGACTGGGCTCTCCGGAGTGCCAGGACGTCGTCTCTGAAGGCATTGAAGAGGAGGAGGAGGAGCCAGACGACCACGGTGCGTTGAGGACTGAGTCTCGACAGCAACAGCTCCTTGCGTTCGCTTAATCAGTCAATATAGGAGGTCTGGACACCCAAGCCGTGGGTTACTTTTTCGGCTTATCATATTAATATCCTTGCTTTTCATAGGCACTTTCGTATTGCTGGTATGTTAGTCAGGTCGCTGAGTTCTACAGCTCTACCACACAGTTCTACACCCGTCGCAAACCCCAACGCTTTACTCCTTCTATCTCTGCAGAGATGACCGAACAGGAAGCACACGTGCTGGCATGCCTTGGACAGCTTAGCGTCGCAGGCCTGCTTGGAGGTCACGGCGACGTGCCAGGAGGCTCGCTCCCACGCTCCGACTCTGCACCGGAGGGTAGGACGGGCTCCTCGAAGCCCAGACCAGGGAAGTATTTGTCCCGTGCATATGCCTTTAATAGTAATGTCACACGTAGCAGGTCAACGCCGCAAGGTCCGGGGTTCACGGGCGCTGTCTGCAAGCTACCAAAATCGCCTCCGCTCTTGCGTCCTCAGCGACAAGGGCAGCCCTGTTCGCCACAGCTCCCGATCCTACGGCGGGGATTGCGACCAAGAAAACGTTCCGCCTGTGACGTTCTCCGCTTCCGAGCACTCCAAATGCTGGTACGCAGTTTGCTGCTTACTTGGATGCAGAGGCCTGTCGTACGCCGGCTGACTTACACCTACATGTTGCTTGGTCACCAGGCTTGCCCGTCGGCACTCGCCTCCAAACGACGCCCCCGCCGCTGCGGATCAGCATCATCGCGTCTCGACTACCTCGTTTGCGCTGCAAGCGCGCAACCATACCCAAGTACCCAATGCGGACCAGTCCCTCGCCATCGCCGCTGCGGCTGCTGGCTGTACTCGTCTAAAACAGGTTGGTACCTCGCTGCGTTGCCTCCGAAAGGGTTGTTGCTGCTTGTGCGCCTTGCATCGTTTTTTGAGCTGTTCGCCTGCATCATAACCCGTTCTGATGCTGCCTCTGCAACAGGAGCATCAACAAGATTTTGACGACAGCCCTGCTCCAAAGAGTCGGTCCCATCGCCGCAGCCAGAGCGGTGCTGGTGCCGACGCGCATGGGGCGCACGGACTTACCGACTCTGCCGAGACGTTGCACGGTCACGCTTCCTGTGCGGACGGCGTACGGCATGGTGTGGCGTCATCAGTTGCGACGGAACGGCGTCATGTCCCTAACGCAACAACCGTCGTTGGTTGCTCCTCCCTGCCGCTTTTCAGCTCAACCCAAGTTGCTTCGCAAGTGCCCATCCGTGACGTCATCGGCCGCGCTACTCAGGGTTCGGACTCATGCGGGCGGTGCCCTTCGACCGCCTTCTCCGATGGCCGTATCAGCGCCTCAGCTCTCGGCTCGTCCGCGGGTTCCTGTGCACCCGTCGCCAAGTATGGAATCGCAGCGTTTGGGGTGGCGGCATCGGTCAAGTCTTGTTTCGCGGGGCCAATCAGCGCGTCAGCAGTGCGGCATGAGCCTGGGGCTGCGGATAAGGGCTCTGCGCAGCTGTCTTGCTTCGCAACCAAGCCAACGGTCACACTAACCTCTCCATCGGCTTCAGGCGAGGCTGTTGGAGCGGACTGCCAGGCAGAAGCGGACGCTGCAAAGCTTCACAGCGGCAGTAGCAGTCCGCTGCGCGCCTCCTTGAGCCCGCTTGTCGGTGGCTTGGGCCGCTGTGCCAACATGGGACTTGCTGGAGGGTCCGTCAAGGCCCTGGCTGATTCGGCAGAGGAGATTGAGCTGCGGCGCCTTGCTCAACAGCGCCCGCATCCTCCCATCTTGCAGCCGGAGCGCTCACAGCAGTTGGTGGAGCCACAACCGTCAGCTGAAGCTCCCCTGTGCAGCTTCTTCAGCGGGCCTGCCGCCCCTGCGAACCCGTCCTTGGCTTCTGCGTCAGCCCAACCCACCACGTTCACGCTTGCACCGTTTGACCTAGCTGCGCTCGCGCGCTCCAACCTCTGTGGCACCAGCTTCATGCCGGAACCTAACACCGTTACTGCTGGCCCTACAGCTGCTGCCGTCCCTAACACCTTCACTGGCTCTGTTGGAGGGCCAAGCTTCGCAGCACCTAAGCCGGCGTACGACGAGAGCAATGGCGCCCCGGGTGCAGTCGTTGCCGCAGGGCGCAAGCAACAGCAGCAGCGCCGGGACTCCTTCCAAGACCTCCAAGACATGTCCGAGCCTCGCAGCCGAGATCGTCGCACAGAGGGCGCTGCGGGCGACATGGAGCAGGACGCGGGCTGTGTTGGCCTACGCACGCCCGGTCTGACTCTTGTTGGAAGCCCATCGTACGGCCAGCAGGGCTTGGGTCGCAGCTTCAGGAGCCACCATGACGGCGCTTTCGGCAGCAGCGCATCCGGCTACAACGATGACGAGTGCGAGGACGGTACTCCCTGGCTGCGCACCAGCCAGCAAGTCCCCGACCCGGACGACCCCTCCAGCGCGGACAAGTACAGCCAGGTGCTGCTGATGCGACTGCAGGCAGCCGCCGAGCATGAGGAGCTGTACAGCGCTGCCGCGGCAGCTGCTGGTTGCCCCTCTGGGCCGTGTGGCTTGTATCACCTGCAGGTCTGGCAACGGGTTCACCAGGGCAATGGTATAGGCGTGCCAGCGGTACATATAGCGTGCTCTATGTCCATGGAATTGGGGGTTGCATTTGGCCTATGCTGCCAGTCCGAGCGAGCCGCTAACCCTCTGCTTCAACTGCTTGATCTCCGCCTCTGGCTGTCCGATATCTTCAGACTGCAGGATACTCCGTTTCACTTGTTTGCAGCATGGTAGGTTTTATCCATGTTTCCGATCCGGTTGGCAGCGTGCATGCGTAATGCATACCCTGGCTAAGGAGCCCCCCTGCCTTTGAGCTCTTTGCCATGGCTTCCTGCCCCCAGGGACATGGAAGCGGGGGCCTGCGCTACGACGGTTACGCTCCGAGGCCGTTTGGGAGTAACAGCTCGAGCATGGAGCCGTCTCCGATGCCCCGTCTGTCCTCACGGCTGCGGCGTTTGCGCGCCAGCCCTTACGGAGGCGGCAGCGGCGGGAACGGTACTGGCGGCTCGCTGTTCTCTCCACCGCCCTCTCAGTTGGGCACCCGCAGCCGCAGCGCTGGTGTCACGCCCGGCGGCACCAGCAGGCGTCTTCGCCGCCGCTCCGACCTCGCCTCCGGCCGCAGCTACGGTGACGTAGACGACGACGTTGAGGAGGACTGCGGCGACGACCACCGCATGTTCGATGCCGGCCACCAACACACGGCCCACCAAGCCAGCGGTAGAAACGCGACAGGCGAGACCCAGCCGTGCGGTGTTCCTCCCTCCTCGCGGGCTTGTGCGAGTGACCCGCATGGGCAGCCGTTGTCCGCGCCGCTGTCATGGCTTGCTGGCATCTGCGCAGACGCTGACGGGAAGCCCAGCCATGAGGAGGTGCCACGTCAGCGGGGCGCTAGCGCTGGGGGCGCCCCTCCGGTGCGGCCCTCGCTTCCGTCGCAAGAGGGGTGCGGCGCAGGTGCTGATCGGCGCTGTCAGGAGTCTGGTCAGCGGTACCAGCAGCACAGGTCCCGGTCCCATCCCGGCGAGGAGTTCCTGAACGGCCTGATGGATTACGACGGTGAGCGATGAGGGCGCTGTGGGCTGTGTAGTCGATGCCAGCCTGGCTTGGATGCCGTCCAGATGCAGCGCTACCTTTTCCGCATGCATTCCAGCTTACAACTCCACCTAACCCTCCCCTTGCCTTCTTACGGTTCGTCTCTTACCGCCAAACACTGTCTATCCCTGCAGCCTGATGACGCACGGCAGCATGCGGTGACGCGAAGCATGTAATGTCATCAAACTAATCTTTCGTCCCTTCCATTTCCAAACCCCGCAGACGATGGGGCGGAGTTCTCGACGCCTCCCCACACTCCCCTCCGCGGCATAGGCAACACCCACGACCACGACGCGGCTGCCGCCACCCATCCTCTCCCAGACACCGCCGACACCTCGATCGCGGGCACCGGTCCTGCGCCTGTGCGTGCCCCCGGGAACAAGTCCTTGTTCGGTGACAGCACCGGCCCTGTCGGCCGCTGCGGTGGCGGCGGCCGCTTACGGGATGCTGCGCCGACGCCGCATGCAGCACTCGGCGGCCGCCAGCATTCCAGCGACGGCTGTGCGGGTGGCGCCATGGAGTGGTTGGCGTCTGGGGCGCCTGGCAGCACACAGGACTTCAATAAATGGATTGGCTGGGTAAGATGAGTAGGATTGGCATGCCTGGGCGCAGTGCCATGCAGGCATCTGGGGTTGCAAGGGCCTCCTTTGGCCCCTTGTTGTTCTGGTACGGTTTCGCTTGCTGACCGAGTCATGGGACATGCTCAACCAGGCAGTGTGCGGGAAGCACCACCTGCTGCATGCCTTGCTAGCCACATATCAGCAAATGTGCCGTGCAATGCGTGACGGTTCCGTTAAGTTATTCCTCGCTCCCTGACATGCAGGCCGCAAACAACAACGACCGCGGTTGCGCTGAAAGGCTCTGGCACGAGATGTGCAGCCGCAGCGTCGCTCCGGACATAAACACACTCAACGCTTTGTTGAGGTGCGCCTGCTGGGGTCTAGCCTGTGTTTAGTATATCGCCGCTTGCAAGAAGGTCCAGCAAATGCATCATTCAAAGCCCCTTGCTGACTGCTGAACCAATTGCTGCGCGCAGGTGCCTCTCCCGCAGCGTTGCTGACCCGGAGGAGGCCAACCTGCTGGTGTGTGATGTGTGCTGCCGCGGGGGCTTCTCGCCCAACGGCACCTCGCAGCGGCTGCTGGAGGAGATCTGTTTCCGCTTCGAACAGCTGAACGGCAGTCTGCTGGAGGCTTGAGGCTGCATAAGAGCCGCCCGCAGTGCCCAGCGCCAGCTCTATTGGCATGGCTTAAGCTGCGACATGCGGGGTACAGGCGGGTGACTAAATCGCAGCCCGTGTCAATACCTAAGGCTTGTCGCACTCTGGATGCTTACTAATCACACTGTGCAAAGGAATGTGAGTTATCCAAGCTCCGCGGACTTTGTGCTTGGACTTTATGCAGGACGCGCTCTGTATTATGAGAACGTCGCTCGCTGGCAGTGGATGGACTTGGTTTGAGCTGTTTCGTTACTCAAGTGTGTGTCCGGGTTTTGGCAGTCCTATCTTCGTTGGTCACCTGTAACATACGGGGAATGGCACGTTCTTCCAGCACTCAGACGCAGACGTCCTATACAGCCACAGGGCGCGGCTGGGTGCAGTGACTATACGACATTACGTCGCATGCATGTGATGGTTTACCCCAGGACAACCACTGGAAACTAACCCGTTTCCAAGAATAAAGGAGCCCATACCCACTCATGAACAGAACCATGATACATGCCGGCGTGCTATCGCACGGAATTCCTGTCGCGGGCAATGGACTGCAAACGATGTGGCGCTCGGTATGTACGGTACCGCCAAAAGTGTACCTGCAAGGAATCCGAGATTGGTGGGCGGTCATGAGACAACACCTGCTATGCAGTATATATAAAAAATAGGCATAAGCATGTCGCCTTTGTGGTGTACCGCTGCGTTTGATACCCGTGTCGTCGTCTAGCTAAAGTCTACGAACCTACCCCCGCTCGCGGATGTTGCTGGTACTCGCAAAAATGCTTGGCTTTCGGGTATATTATAAAAGGGAATCCTTAACTCAGTTACCGTAGACGCCGCGCCCACCTTCGCAATCGCTACGGAAAGAGAATAACCGTCGCCGGTACGCTGGTGTCCTTGAGGTCAATCAGGTCATAGCCCTGAGCGAAACGCATTCGCTGTAACTTTCACATATACATGGTCCAGTGTTGATAGGTAAAGACTTGGTTGGGAGTAATCCAGCCCTTACTAGGACGCGGCGACATTCCCACGCCGCTATAGCAGGGCAACTTTTAGAGGACGACTCTAGCAGTTATTATTTCGCTTATTTTAGTATTTACGTATTAATTGAAGATCATTGCTGCTTAAGCAAGTAACACTTCACCGTCCGCGCCAAGGTGCGCATGGTACCCTTTTTCGCTGAGGGGCAAGTGTATATTCAAGTTAGATGGTGTTTTGGACACTGAAATTAGGACCCAGAAAGTAATAGATTTAAAGCTGCCTTTAACCGGCTGCAGTTGCCATGCATGTAACGACAGGCCTTTCTGGCAAGTACTATTTTATACCGCGATTAGCTGCAATGAATACATCCCTAAATGGTTTGTCTGTTATAAACTTTAAAATGCTTAGTGTTATGTTATATTCTTACTAACTGCTGCGCCTGCCCCGATTCTTGCGACTCTCTTCCGCCGCCCAGGGCTTCCCCAATCGGCCCTACCAGCAACTATTCTTATATAGTCTACTGCACTATTTTAGCACAAATCCTTCTGCGTGCCCGGAGGCCACACTACCATGGCCCGCAGCGTTCGTAAGCTGCAGCATGCGTCCTCGCTCTGGGTCGCCACCACGCTGGTGCTGGGCGCCGCTGTACTCCTGGCAGTTGTCTTGCCGGCTGCTGCTTCGCGTGACTTGTCGACCGTTATAAAGCGGCATGCCGCGGTGCATGGCTTCAACCTGGGGTCGGCCGCAGAGCACCAGGACCAGCAGCGGCAAGTGGTCGAGCACCCCACGGCTGGGGCCAGCAGCAGTCGAGGGTTGCTGGCTGCCAAAAAAGCGTCCCCGCCGCCCCCAAAGCCCAAGTCACCCCCACCGCCAAAGCCTTCTCCACCTTCCATTGATGACGGTGAGCGGCGTACCGGTACCGGTTGCCCTGGCAAAGTGAAGCACATGGTAATGGTGATATGATGCCTGCCTCGCAGAGGGAGCTGGCCCCGCGGACGGCAACCCCAACACCCCCAGCGACCCCAATGTGGGCCTGCCAACCATCCCAACCAACAACGAGTCGGCCTACGGTCAATGGATCCTGGTAGGTGGACCTGCAAAAGAGAACAAGGGGCTTTAGGGAGTTATGGATCTTCGGGCGAACTTTGGTTTTGTTTTGCCAGCAGCCTCCGTCCTAGCAAACGCAGGACAGCCGTGTGATGCTGCGAAGGGCCGCTCTCACCTGCGACACACCGCCTGCCATGTCCTCTGCCCACACAGAAAGCAGTGGGCAACATCGTCGCAGTGCACTTGTGCGCGGTGCCCGGCACTGACAAGTTCTTTTTCATGGAGCGACCCAGCGGCCGGCACCCGGATGGCAGCAACAACATCGCCGGATACTACGACTACATGTCGAACAGGTTCACCAACGTCAACTACACGGACTCGGTCTTTTGCGCCGGGCACACGGTGACGCAGGTGGGCGGCAAGAAAGGGGTTGTGAGGATGGGCTGGGCTAGGCTATGCTGCTGTCGCCGAAACAAACGGTTTGCCTCTTCCCGCTTAATGTTCACCGTGTGCCGTACTCGCAGGATGGTCATGTGCTGGTGGTGGGTGGCCACATTGCCAAGTCAGGCTACGGTGACGGCCTAAAGGGTCTCCGCGTCTTCTCTCGCCGGACCCTCACCTTCAAACGGATTGCCAACATGTCCTACCCCCGTTGGTACCCCACGGCCACGCTGCTGCCCAACGGCATGGTTACCATCATGGGAGGAACTGTGCTGCCGGGAGCAGGCACGGGAAAGAACCCCATTTATGAGATCTGGGACCCCCGCAACCCCGCCTCGACCGTTAAGCGCAACCAGTCGGCCGGCATGGTCAAGAATACTAACGACATCTACTACCCCAACACGGTACGGATCACCGCCGTTCATGCCTGGTCCTTCAATCCGAGCGCTGACGTTACGACCCTGCCCTCCTCCCGCCCCCCTCCCGCTGACGTTACGACCCTGCCCTCCTCCCGCCCCCCTCCCGCTGACGTTACGACCCTGCCCTCCTCCCGCCCCCCTCCCGCTGACGTTACGACCCTGCCCTCCTCCCGCCCCCCTCCCGCTGACGCTGCGACCCCGCCCTCCTGCTGCCCCGCAGTACGTGCTGCCCACCGGCGACCTCTTCCTCTTCTGCAATCGCTACGGAGAGATTACTGAGCCGCTGACAGGGACCGTGCGAGCAACGGTAAGCTGGGTTCCGCTGCCTTGTTAGCGCGACACATGTTACATGGCGCATCATGCACGCCTACCCGTGGCAGCATCTACACGCTTACCGTTCCCATCTGCCCATGTGCCTGCAACGCGGCGTACCCACTGTGCAGCTCCCCAGCTGGTCGACTCTGGCCAAGGGTGTCTTCACGGAGTATCCCTTCACCGGCACGAGTGTGATGCTCCCGCTCACTCCCGAAAACGGCTACACGCCCGAGGTGGTTTACTTTGGCGGGCAGTTCAGCTACGGCTGGATTAACACCACCGCGAGCAAGCTGGCGCTGCGCATCAAAGTGCAGTACAATGAGACAACCGGGAACTACACTTTCGGTAAGCTATCCGGGTTAGCTGCACGAGTCAGTGATAACATATTGGGCGAATGCCTTGTCTGCATCAGTTTTCTTCGAACCTGGACGTTCTCTTGCGGACCTGAATCTCTTTCTTTTCCGCAGGCGATGGCTGGACGGCTGAGAAGATGCCCCTACCCCGCGTCATGGGCGACGCTATCGTGCTGCCCAACGGCAAGGTTGTCGTACTGAACGGAGCCATTGTGAGTAGTAGCGGGTGTCCAGTAAAAAAAGAAGAGGATGCCACGGCAGGGCAAGGCTTTGCTGTTGTTGAAGCCCCTTGTGAATAGGTGCCCCTTCCTGATGACTCTTCTCGCTCTCTGCCCCCCATGTTCACCCCCACAGAAAGGTCTGGCTGGCGACAGCGCTTCCGGCGGCGTGGCCAAGGCTAACGAACCCAACCTGTGGCCGGTTCTGTACGACCCCACGTTGCCTCAGGGCAGCCGCATGAAGCTCATGTCGCGCTCCATGATCCCCCGTCTCTACCATTCCACGGTGGCCCTTACAACGGACGGGTCGCTGCTGGTAGCGGGGTGCGACCGTTGCGACAAGTGAGTATTGTCTGGCTCAGCATGGCATTAACAACCACGTGGTGTCACGCATACCGTATTGCACATGTTGACAACGTTTCTGATTTCATTGCGATGATTGACACACCCTCGCTTTATCTGGCTCACATAAGAACTAATGAATTGTTGCTTTCTTTGGCTCACGTGAGTGTCTGTTACCCCATGGCTATCTTGATAACCGTCTAATGCCCCGTCTAACGCCCAGGTATTGGTGGACCACCCCCGGCGGCATCTCCAAGTCCCCCACCTCTTTCGCCGAGTACCGCATTGAGGTGTTCCGCCCGCCCTGCTGGTTCAACGTCACCGCCAAGCCAAACATCATGTCGCTGGACCCCACCACCTGGGACGAGTACGACGAGGTCCATGTGATGCAGTACGGCGCCAACTTCTCGGTGCAGTACAGCATGTTTTACGAGTCGGACGCGGTGACCTCGGCGGTGCTCGTGTCGCCCAGCTCCACCACCCACTCCACGAACATGAACCAGAGAGTGGTGAGGCAGGGGGATTGAAGAATGGCGAGGGGACGGACACACTTCGGCAATCACAGTACGTTTCGCCTCGCGGCCAGTTATTTTAACACACTTCGGGCATGCACATATCATGCATCCAATGTACATTTCCGTACTGGAAAGTGTCTCGCAGCGGCTCTCCAGCTGACCTCGCCGAATGCGGCACGCATCTGTGCATGCATACAAAATTACAAAGGAAACTAGATTCACACGCCGGGGCGGCGTTCCATTGACCAGATGACCAGCAGCACAACGTTCCTAACCTCCCCCTTTTACCCAAACTCCGCCCACAGGTTGGCCTGAAGATTATTGAACACGACACGGTCACGCGCCAGCTTGTGCTGGAGGGCCCTCCCAACATCAACATCGCCCCGCCCGGCTGGTACATGCTGTTCCTGCTCAACGGGGACGTGTACGGCCAGAGCGAGTGGGTGCGCCTGCCGGGAGATGCGCCGCGCATGGATGACTACTTCGCCTCGGTGAAGAATTAAAGCAACACGCTTGACGGGCCGGACGGCAGCATGAGTGGCATACAAACACACTTGACGCGGCCTCTACAGCAACTCTTACATAATCCAGTTTGTTGGCACCAATTTAGGAAACACTGTTACTTATGACGATGCATGAAGAGTAGCAGTGATTAATACCCGGGTGCTGTCTTCTTAATCTACATTGCGGCTTAGCGCCTTGGGCCCATTCCCCAAAGATGGTTGATATTGGTTTTTACACTGCAAGATGGCGAGAGTACTTACTTGATTGGATGCCGGGATGCGTCTTCCCCGCACCAATGTTACCTTTCATTTAGTACTAGCTGTGCTGCTGCTGGCATACGTGCTTCCTTTACTGTTGGCGTGCTGACATGAGGGAAACCTTACTGCTGGTTGTACGCTGGGACTCACTGCGCGGTCTGTTCTAGGCGCATGTCAAGTGATTTATTGGTACATATCCCACTCTGGATGCTGGGACGTTAGGTTTTGTTCACGCTTTTATTGCATTCCTAGGGCTGCAAGCTGCTGTGGCAGAGTGGTGGAGTGGCTCGGGGCTCCAGCCGTTACGCCGCTCAGCAGTGCTTCATTCTTTAGCTGTGCCGTACAAGCCTTGCATGGTTAAAACCGCTGGCCGAAAAGGTATACCGGTAAGACGAGTGAATCATCGAGCCCTATCCAACAGCAAGCGTACGAGCACGTGTCCCCATGTGGACAATGGTATTGTAGCTGGGCCATATATCCAGGGCTGACGGCCTCCCTGGTTGTCCCCGGCACCTTTGCTTGCTCGTACAGCGATACCGTTCCCTGTAAGTTCGCGCCTTGCGGCAATAGGACAGCTCTTACACCGTCAGCTGCAGACCCAGATGTACGTACCACCTTCAAGGACAGCCATGCTGGGATGACAGCATACCCCGGGCGCTGCAACAAGTGCCAAAGCTCTCAGATATTGCCACAGGACAAGCATAAACGACACGAGTGGGATGGGTGAGGTACCGATAACGCACTTGCTGGAATGGTGCGGGACCTTCCTGGGCGCCTATAGCATAGCTAACTTGGATACTGAAGTAGCATTTCCGTTAGGCTTTGTTACTTGCCAACACTTAGGCTCCATATTTAGGCATGCGGTAAGCAAGACATAACCTGCGACCCATGGGGACATTGAGTGTCCAACTTGGCCCGTTCCTGACGCAAGGTAGTAAGCTTTAATACAGATTCAGGCATCGGTTATGTGGTGCAACCCGACGTTATGGGAGCTTATTCGTAGAAAAGTGCAGTAAAGGATTACGTCTGACTGACAGTGGCGGGCTGTATTCCTGTATTCAAATATCATGCAGTATAAAGCTGCTTATTTCGTGTTCTAGGGGTCGACCCTGTAGCATTCGGCCTAGCCTACCGTTTATTGTTGCAGGTCTGTCGGCCATAAGCTGGGGGGGAAGCAGTGAACACCAGCTTTATAAGTGCACTTTGCCAGGCAAATTTTGTGTTGTGCTTGGATGACACAGAATTAGGGTGAACGTGACTTACATATAGACAGTTCGGCTCAGCCATCTGCCGAATTCCTTACGCCGTTGCAGCCGCTTTTCTATACCAAATCATCATATTGGAGTGAAGGTAGCTTACTTTAGGCCAACACGTTTCCTTGGCACAGCGGGGCTGCATACTGGCAAGGTACGTCGGTCACACCAGCCGTCGCGGACTTCGACAGCGGTGAATGCGCACGGCTTTGTGTCGTTATAATGCTTTAAGGAGATATTGTATGTTTGGTTTGCGGCAGGTTCCGGGGTTACTCCGCATAAACTGACATTTACCTCGCTACCTGGCAGCATCCCATGCGGTTTAGGGCCCGACGCTTTTAGAAGCTGGCATGCGCCGCATTCCATCTATTAACATGTTAACGTTGCCTTTCTACAACCGCATTGATCCTGGGACAGGAGTGCTTTCACCGGCAACTGTCGAAATCTCTCATTGTCCAACCTATAGACAAGCATCGCGTCCGGCAGCCATGAAGTCTCTGTTGGCAGCAGGCCTGCTGCTGCTGGTCTTGGCGACCGCTCTTCCCGCGGATGCTACACCAGAGGGGACCCTGGAGGCTGGAATCCGGGGTGGCATGGGGCGTGCCTTGCTAGCCAAGAAGTCTCCTCCTCCGTCTCGCCCCCGGCCCCCGCCGCCTAGCCCCAAGCCAAAGCCCCCTCCCCCCAGCCCTCGTCCCCCACTACCGCCCCCATCCTCACCCATTGTTGACATCACCAACGAGGGTAGGGTGGGCGCTGCGGTAACGTGTTTTGCCCGCACTAGGCTTCTGTGGGTGGAATTTATAGTGGAAGCATGCTGCACTTCCCATACTTTTCGATACCCCTGTGAGATGAAGCACACCTTGATGGAACTATGATGCCTGCCTCGCAGAGGGAGCTGGCCCCGCGGACGGCAACCCCAACACCCCCAGCGACCCCAATGTGGGCCTGCCAACCATCCCAACCAACAACGAGTCGGCCTACGGTCAATGGATCCTGGTAGGTGGACCTGCAAAAGAGAACATGGGGCTTTAGGGAGTTATGGATCTTCGGGCGAACTTTGGTTTTGTTTTGCCAGCAGCCTCCGTCCTAGCAAACGCAGGACAGCCGTGTGATGCTGCGAAGGGCCGCTCTCACCTGCGACACCATGTCCTCTGCCCACACAGAAAGCAGTGGGCAACATCGTCGCAGTGCACTTGTGCGCGGTGCCCGGCACTGACAAGTTCTTTTTCATGGAGCGACCCAGCGGCCGGCACCCGGATGGCAGCAACAACATCGCCGGATACTACGACTACATGTCGAACAGGTTCACCAACGTCAACTACACGGACTCGGTCTTTTGCGCCGGGCACACGGTGACGCAGGTGGGCGGCAAGAAAGGGGTTGTGGGGATGGGCTGGGCTAGGCTATGCTGCTGTCGCCGAAACAAACGGTTTGCCTCCTCCCGCTTAATGTTCACCGTGTGCCGTACTCGCAGGATGGTCATGTGCTGGTGGTGGGTGGCCACATTGCCAAGTCAGGCTACGGTGACGGCCTAAAGGGTCTCCGCGTCTTCTCTCGCCGGACCCTCACCTTCAAACGGATTGCCAATATGTCCTACCCCCGTTGGTACCCCACGGCCACGCTGCTGCCCAACGGCATGGTTACCATCATGGGAGGAACTGTGCTGCCGGGAGCAGGCACGGGAAAGAACCCCATTTATGAGATCTGGGACCCCCGCAACCCCGCCACGACCGTTAAGCGCAACCAGTCGGCCGGCATGGTCAAGAATACTAACGACATCTACTACCCCAACACGGTACGGATCACCGCCGTTCATGCTTGTTCTTTCAGTCCGGGCGCTGACGCTGCGACCCTGCCCTCCTCCCGCCCCCCTCCCGCTGACGTTACGACCCCGCCCTCCTGCTGCCCCGCAGTACGTGCTGCCCACCGGTGACCTCTTCCTCTTCTGCAATCGCTACGGAGAGATTACTGAGCCGCTGACAGGGACCGTGCGAGCAACGGTAAGCTGGGTGTGGGCCTCTCTATGTGCATGGCAATGGAACGCATGCTGCATGTACGTCTTGAACTGTACATCGCATGGCAGTGCCTTCAATGAATTGACCCCGCCGTACCCAATGCGTAGATCCCCAGCTGGGCTACAGTAGCCAAGGGTGTGTTCACGGAGTATCCCTTCACCGGCACGAGTGTGATGCTCCCGCTCACTCCCGAAAACGGCTACACGCCCGAGGTGGTTTACTTTGGCGGGCAGTTCAGCTACGGCTGGATCAACACCACCGCGAGCAAGCTGGCGCTGCGCATCAAAGTGCAGTACAATGAGACAACCGGGAACTACACTTTCGGTAAGTTGTCCGGGTTAGCTGCAGGAGCAGTGGCTGGTTTATGGTATGATACTCGTGCTGGTCTGAACCTCTTTCTTTTCCGCAGGCGATGGCTGGACGGCTGAGAAGATGCCCCTACCCCGTGTCATGGGCGACGCTATCGTGCTGCCCAACGGCAAGGTTGTCGTTCTGAACGGAGCCATTGTGAGTAGTAACGGGTAGCCAGTAAAAAAGAAGAGGATGGCGCGGCAAGGCGTGGCTTTGCTGTTGTTGAAGCCCCTTGTGAATAGGTGCCCCTTCTTGACGACTTTTCTCGCTCTCTGCCCCCCATCTTCACCCCCGCAGAAAGGTCTGGCTGGCGACAGCGCTTCTGGCGGCGTGGCCAAGGCTAACGAACCCAACCTGTGGCCGGTTCTGTACGACCCCACGTTGCCTCAGGGCAGCCGCATGAAGCTCATGTCGCGCTCCATGATCCCGCGCCTCTACCATTCCACGGTGGCCCTTACAACGGACGGGTCGCTGCTGGTAGCGGGGTGCGACCGTTGCGACAGGTACTGGTGGACCACCCCCGGCGGCATCTCCAAGTCCCCCACCTCTTTCGCCGAGTACCGCATTGAGGTGTTCCGCCCGCCCTGCTGGTTCAACGTCACCGCCAAGCCAAACATCATGTCGCTGGACCCCACCACCTGGGACGAGTACGACGAGGTCCATGTGATGCAGTACGGCGCCAACTTCTCGGTGCAGTACAGCATGTTTTACGAGTCGGACGCGGTGACCTCGGCGGTGCTCGTGTCGCCCAGCTCCACCACCCACTCCACGAACATGAACCAGAGAGTGGTGAGGCAGGGGGATTGAAGACTGGGGCCAGGGAATGGCGAGGGGATGGACACACTTCGGGCATGCACACAGCATGCATGCAATGTACACTTCCGTACTGCGAAATGCTTCGCAGCGGCTCTCCAGCTGACCTCGCCGAATGCGGCACGCATCTGTGCATGCGTACAAAATTACAAAGGAAACTAGATTCACACGCCGGGGCGGCGTTCCATTGACCAGCAGCACAACGTTCCTAACCTCCCCCTTTTACCCAAACTCCGCCCACAGGTCGGCCTGAAGATTGTTGAACACGACACGGTCACGCGCCAGCTTGTGCTGGAGGGCCCTCCCAACATCAACATCGCCCCGCCCGGCTGGTACATGCTGTTCCTGCTCAACGGGGACGTGTACGGCCAGAGCGAGTGGGTGCGCCTGCCGGGAGATGCGCCGCGCATGGATGACTACTTCGCCACGCTGAAGAAGTAAAGCAACCGCGCTTACCGCCTGCATCCATTAGCTGGGCTTGGCTTGACGTCACATGCTTAGATTCCAGCTGCAAATCCCTTCTCCCGTGCGGTATTATTCTTTAGCTTGTGAGTTGACATGTTGTGATTATCGGGTTCCTGTAACCTGTGTGGAATTATTAAGTTTCACCTTGAAGATATGCTTGATGACATAGATGACGAATGATGTTACCATCTATTGTTAGTGTGTGCGTGCAGGAGTTTAGAGCGCAGGTGGGGCATTGCAGGTGCAGTTTTCCATTGATGAAGCACGGAATAAACGGAGTTAAGCCCAGCAAGCACGAGCTGTGCATACGGTGCCCCTCCTGTGTCCCCCGGTCGGCGGTGGCCGGTGCGTTGCCTCTTTCCTCTTTCCTCTTTCCATGCATACTCTTTCCGGGCATACCAGCCTTCATCAAGGTATGTGACATTTGGGCGCTAAAAATTGGCGGTGTGGTGGTTTGCCTTGGCTGTGCGTTGTAGAGAGTGTCAATTGCGTTCTTTTCAAGTAACTGCATGCGTCCATGACTAAGCAATGGATGTAAGGGATGTTCTGCTGTCAGATACTGCCGGTTGTAAGGCGCATGGGGAGCTTTCCCCTGCCGCGTTGTGAACTTGTATACTGCTTTGCGCGCGAGTTGTCGTCATATTGCGCACGTTGGCATGTTGTTCCCTGGCTCACGGAAGGTTTTATCCTGTCCAAGGGATGTCAGGAATGCCTCATTCTTTACCGGTATAGCCTCAGTATCATCTTGGCTTGCATGGTCCGTAATGGACCTCCATTGTAATTAGCAGGCAAGCAACTATGGATGCCCGTACTCCCCGACTCCTGTATGCCCGGCAAAGAGGCCCGACACTTGGGCACCTCAGCCACGCACCGATACATGTCTTAGACACTGCCAGTGCCGTCTGTTCATTACACGTACCTAACCGTCGTTAAGCAACGCGAACTGCGTACCGATATCTTCGCATACCGGTAAGCAGGGTGGCAAACAGCGTATTCAATCCCACGGCGGCATGCCACTCTCCTTCCTCTGTCGCCTCCGGCTCACACGAAGCTCAGATAGCCCAACACACGCAGGTACCGGTGCGGCGGGCCGCACACCCAACCAACCGCCCTGTTGCATGCCCCCGAACCTTCCAAACGGGCAGTTGTAGAAAAACACACCGCTATGTAGGCACCCCAACCATACTACGGAAAAACCCTTCACGTCCCTGCAACCGCTCAGACATCAGGAACTCGGGACACACCTCAACAACCCAGTAGCTGCTGCTGCTACAAGGAAACCACCAGGCAGCAGTAGCACCCTACCCCCGCGCAGCAGTAGCAGCCAGCCCACTTCCTCAATGGGTGCTACGGTAGCGGCTGCCCCCTGCTGCTGCAAGTCTTGCCACCGCACATGCCGCTGCACACACCGCGGCGCAGGTCTGTGTCTAGGGCCGCGGGCCGCAGTCCGGAGCAACCAACAACCACCTATATGTAATGGCAACGCCTAGATAGGCACCGGCTACATGGGACCGAGATACTATTTGAGCCGGCATGTAAGCAATCAAGCATGCGTACCGGTACCATAGATTTGGAGTCCGTGCCACATTATCATCAAAATGCTCTTGCTCTTTATCCGCCTTTATCCTAGCTGATCGTCTTCGTCTTCTTAATCGTCTTCTACCCTTGCAATTTGAATCAACCGCACAACCGCAAAAGGCGCAAGTCCCTTCCCCTCGGGCGACCCAACACATTGCACCGCACAACCCCTCCCTCGCTTCTCCTCATGGAAGTCAACCCCACGCACCCAGCGTCAATGTGGGGTCTATACCACCTTTCTCCTGACTTTCTCTAGCGGCACCGATTTAGACACCGGAAACACGCAAAATGCCGCCCTGTACTATGCATGACCCACGGGTCCTGTCCTCGCCTCCTTCCCCAACAACCAACTCAACCCGTGATGCAAGACCCTCCACGGCAACCGCAGCGGAGCCCCCGTTCCCATTCCCCCCAACCTCCTCACCCCCCCTCCTCACCCCCCTCCTCACCCTCACCCTCACGCAAGCGCAGTAGCAGGGTCCGCCGCTGCCGCTGCTGCCGCGGCTGCACGGGGGCTGCGGGCCGCGAACGCCGCTGCCGCCGCCGCTGCCGCCGCGGGCGAGGCCGGCACCGCCTCCGTCGCCACCTCCACCACCTTGCGCAGGATGTCGGTGCAGGTGACGATGCCCACCGGCACCTCCCGCTCGTCCACCACGTAGACCCGGTGGATGCGGTGGCGCACAATCATGTCCACCACCTCCGCGAATGTGGTGGCGGCTGTGGCCACGATGAGCCGCTGCCCCACCTCCTGCCCGGGCGAGTGCGGGCGGGTGGTGCGGCGGGAGCGGTCCGTGATGAACTGGTGGGCGGGGGAGCCAAACACACCCGCCTCGAGCAGACGCTGGGGGGGGAAAGAGGAGGGAGAGGGAGAGGAGGGAGGAGTGCGGGTTAGGCCGAAAAAGGGGGAGGCGATAGCGGGTTGGCCCTTCCTCTTGGGTGGCACACGCTGCGTTACCTGCTCCTGCAGCCCCCCTCTCACCCAACACCGCGGCCACCCCCAACTTGGTTGGTCCCTCCACCTTTCCCCGCCCCTCTCCCCCCCTCCCACCTCCCTGTTCGCCAGCACGTACTCCGTGTCGTGCTCCAGCGCCAGGAATTCGCCCACCGGCAGCGACAGCGCGCCAAAGTGCTCAGCGGTCATGGATCTGGCAGGGACGAGGGGGGTTGTGTGTGAGGGGGGGGACGTTAGGTTGGGGTGCAGAGGTTGGGATGCAGGTAGACGTCAGGTGGACGGAAGGAGCACGAAATCTTCGGGGTGCCACACGTCTCGTCCCACCCCGTCCCCTTCACCTCATCTCGCTGGCGCTGAAGTTCCCAAGCAGCCGCCCGCCACGGGGAGCGGCGGCGGCAGCAGTGGCATCCTGCATGTCCTCGCCCTCACCACCCTCCTGCCCTCCCACCCCCGCCCCCGACACCACCGCCAGCGAGCTGACCCCCGCTGCCACCATGAGCCGCATGGCGTCGAGCGCCGGGGTCTCGGGGGTGCAACTGACAACCTGGGCGAGGGATGTTGGGGGAGAGGGGAATGCATGTGGGTGCGAGGTACGGCAATCGAGTAGCGCAGCGCAAGGGCCCGCCTGCCTACAACTATACTTGTGGGTCCGCCTCTCTTCCCCCCCCCCCACCCTCCCATCCTGGTGAAGCCTTGTCATACAGCTCGTCAGTTGCTTCGTCAGAGTCTCATTATATATATTTTTTACCCCACCCTCCCCCCCCCTTCCCCCCCACCTGCTTCCTGTCCCAGCCCAGCTGCGCCATGCTGCACTCGCCCAGCCCGCCCAGCCGCTCCATGTGCGCCGCCAGGAAGCGGCAGATGTCGGTCTGGCTGATGACGCAGGTGACGCAGCCGCTGCGGTCGAACAGCGCCACGCGGTGCACCACGTGCGCCTGCTGCTCGCCCTCGTGCATGCCCCTGGGGGGGAGGGGAGGCGGGCAGGGGGGAGGGGCGGGGAGGGGGGGGGGAGGAGGTGGACTGAGCCGCGGAAAACCTCTGGGGAAGGAAAGGAGCTGGGGGTGGGGCTCGGTGTGGGTTCGGCGGGCTGGGTTGGGCCAGCGGTCAACATACTCCTACCATCCTCTAGCCACCACATACCTGCCTCGGTACCTGCAACGGCTCTTTCCCCCCCCCCCGCCGCCGCCACCTCCTCCACAGCAACCCATGGTGAAGCCTCGTCGTACAGTTCGTCCGTTTCCTCCCTCCGTCACACCCACCTCCTCTTGGGGTCCAGGAACCCGTACATGACCAGCTCCAGCAGCGTGGCCTCCCCCGCGTGGCGGCTGTGCAGGAAGTCCCCGTCGCAGCCCTTGCAGGTGAGGTCGCGCAGCTGCTTCTGAGCGAACTGCAGCCCCAGCCCCTCCAGCCGCCGCATGCGGGCCAACATGGACACCGCACCGCCGCCGCTGCTGCCGGCGCTGGGGGCCACTGAGAGATCTGAGGCGGCGGAGGCAGCTGCAGCGCCTTCTACCTCGGACTGGTAGTCTGTGAGGATTGGGGTGCGGAGGATAAGGAGGAGAGGTCGGGGAGGGGGGGGGGGGGAGGGGTCGCGGGTGAGGTATGAGAGGGAGCCCTCGGCAGCACCCTGTGGCTTGTAAGCGAGGCTGAGCGAGGCAACGTTAAATCCACAAGGTCGGCGGGACACAAGCAACTGGCAAGCCTTTTTCGAGTAGCCCGCATACTCACATTCCAGGAAGCTGGTAATGATGTCGTTGACACATACGAACCTGCGAGGCATGAGATTGGGTGCAGGGATGAAGTATGACAAGGGCGGCCACGGGTAGTCTTACGCGTGTGGTATGGTTGGGTAACCGTTTACCCTGGTGGCGTGTGGATATCGGGAAGGGTGAATCGGGGAGGAGGCCCAGGCACTTGAGCCCAGCTCAAGCTTACCCCATGATGTCCGAGTTCGGCAGCTGCGCCGGCCAGCGAACCCCGATCGCTTGACCCGCATCTTCAGGCGCAACGACAGGTGCGGAGAGGATATGGTTCTCGGCAAGAACCTTGTGTAGATGTCGGAAGAAAAATAAGGGAGGTAGCAGTTACATGGGAAGTGCAAGTGAAAGTCGGCGTAGCAGAAGGCCCAGCCTTCATCGCAAATCCCTATGCATCTTAAACAAACCTGAAGCGCCTGTTCCACGGTACTGGTGTCGAGGAGCTGCACCAAGTTAGCACTGCTCAAGGCGCCGAGTGCCTTAACCTTCGTTTCGACCAAAAGCTTACGAGCGTCCTCCATTCAATTGATCCCTTCTATACAATTACTTAACATCGACAAATTACTATGTGTGTGAGTACGTCTCTTCGTGTTATCGATAAACTCCTCAAATGCTTTAGGCTAAAAGGTATAATGTCGGGCTCAATCGGTTATTAAGAAAGCTAGTATGTAGCTCAAGTAACGGACGAAACGTAAGTGATGGCTGCATGAATATGGTGATGAGTCGTGCATCGAGGCAGTTGCTCGGATCAGTTCGGTCACTTGTAAGGCAGGACATCCCTACATTCGCGATCACATATTTTTGTTATTGGTACTAGTAGGTAGTCGTCGGCCTTGCCCGCCACGTAAGCCGGTTTCGGCCATCGATGGCCTCTGATGCCTCCAGCCCGTCGTTTGGCTGCAACTTGCTACAGTTACCTAAAGAATTGCTGTCAGTCGTCTTGAGCCGCTTGTCTTGGCGCGACGCTTTACGCGCATCGGCAACATGTCACTGCCTCCACGATCTCGTCTTCAGCCAGAACTCCTGCCTCTGGACGCACACCCTACGCCTTCCCATTTCAGCGCTGCCAGGACCAGCCATTTCGACCCTCTTGCTGCCTCAGCTCCACACCCTCACCATAACTGCGGGCAATGACAAAGACGATGCCGTCCGCCCCTCCTCGGACGCTGCAGCCCTCATATTGCACGCCTGGCTGGAACGCCTTCTCCCGCACCACCCTCCCCCGGCCGCAGCCCCTGGTCATCCCTCTCCGCTCTGTAACAGCGGCGATGCCAACACCAGCCCTGCCACCCCAGCAGCCATTCCATCAGCCACACCAGCAGCGGCCCCCCTGCCGCCACCAGCTGCGCTGCCCGGCCCCCCGCTGCCGGCTGCTGCCCCCCTCTGCAACCTGCGGGAGCTGCAGCTGCACCTGGACGTGCTGCCCGCCAGCGCGCTGCTGCTGCTGCGGCTGGCTCCCCAGCTGAGCCGCCTGAGCTGCCTGTGCCTGCACGCGGGCGCACACAACGGCGCACCTCAGCAGCAGCAGCAGCAGCAGCGGCAAGTGGAGGGCCAGCAGAAGCAGCAGCGGCAGCAGCTATTGCAGCAACGGACGCAGCAATGTGGGCAGGTGAAGCGGGAAACACAGCAGTCACCTCCACCACCGCAGCAGCAGCAGCAGCAGATGGAGGAACAAAAAAGAGATGGCATCGACCACCCGGCACACCAGCAACACCAACAGCAGCACCAGCAGGACCTCTTCTCACGCCTCTCCCAGCAGCTCTCCTCCCTCTCCCTCTCCTGCCCGGCCTGCCTAGACGCCCTCTTCTCCCACCTGCTCAGCACTACCACCGGCCCCCAGCCCCCCCTGCCGCCACCCCGCCTGACCCACCTGTCCGCCGCACCGCACCCGGCAGTCACCGGCGCCCTGGCGGCGGCGGCGGTCCATGCGGCGCTGCCTCGGGCTCACCAGGCGCGAGCCGCCGCCGCCGCCGCCTCTGCTGCCGCCTCTCGGCAAAGCCACCTGGTGGTGACCGCCCTGGGTAAGGCGGCCTACCTGGCTAGGCTGCAGCACCCGCCACCTCCGGCACCACCGCCCTCCGCCGCTGCTGCCGCAGGGGGAGAAGAAGGAGAAGAGGAAGAAGAAGGGCGCGGCGACTGCAGCGCTTCTTCCTCTGAGTCCTCCGACTCGCCACACGACCACCCACAGCAAGGGCAACAGTCGCCCCCAGCATCCCCCTCCCCTGCGCTCCTCATCCCGCCCGCCCCCTCCCCCTCTCGCCTCCTCCTGACCTGTCTCGAGCTCCGAGGCGTCCGCCTCTCCCCCTCCCTCGCTCGCAGCGCCTTGCCCTGCCTGCCCCACCTGCGCTCCCTCTCCCTCGCGCACGTCTCCGTCGCCCCCAGCCACCCAGCCGGTTGGGACTGGCTGGGCGACTGCTCCGCCCTCACCCGCCTCGCACTGCTCCCCGGCTGCCCCCTCACACCCGCACGCCTGGGCCTAGCACACCCCGCCCTCTCCCGCCTCACCGGCCTGCAACAGCTGGAGGCCCCCGCATGGGGCCTGCCGCGGGAGGCCCCCGCCAACCTGGCGCCCCTCACTCGGCTGACGCGGCTGGTCGCAGCCGCCGCCAGCTCCCTGCCGTACGTCGTACCGCAACCCCTGCCGTACGTCCAGGTGTTTGGATGCGCGGGTTTCCTAGGCGGCACGCCGCTGGGGGGACATCTGGCGGCGCTGATGCCGGCGTTGACGGAGCTGCGGGCGCTGGATCCAACCGAGTACGACAGCTTGGATCTTGTTGCCGCCGCCGTTGCCGGCAGTGGATTTGGTATTGGTGTTGGCAATGGGTTTGTGACTGGTATCGGTATCGGCGGCGGTGCGTTGTTGAAAAGAGGCGGGCGGCGGGGGACAGCTGCTGCTGCTGTCCATGCGCCGGGCCCCACTGCCTCCTCCGCTCGCAGCCGGGTGGCTGCTGCGGTGCTGCCGCTGGACGTGCACAGCTGCGTGCGGCTGCACACGTTCGGGTCGCTGCGGCGGCTGGAGCTGGTGGGGGGCAGGGCGGGGGCGCTGGGGCAGGTGCTGGCGCCGCTGAGGGGTGAGGCACGGGGAGGGTAAAAAAGGAATTCCAATGTTGTAAAGGAGGGAAGGGTGGGTGGGTTGGGGGGGGGTGGGAGGGAGGATAGGGTGTCGAACCGGGGACGGTAGCGGGGAGGAGGTGGTAGGCGCGAGGGCTGTGGTCCTCCCTGCAGTCATACGTGCCTCTAGTGGAAAGACCAGCATGCGTTGTCTATCACGCTGAAGGACGGCTCGCAGCTTTGCTTTTTCCTCTTACCCGGCCCTGCCCGGTTGCTCTGCTGGGCGGCTGCAGGCCTCACCAGTCTGACCCTGCGCTGGGCGTCCCTGCCGGACAGCGATGACGAGGACGAAGATGAGGAGGAGGAGGAAGAGGAGGAGGAAGAGGGCCCGCTACCGTTAGCCCTCCGCGTCAGCAGCAGTAAGAGCTCCTGGCGGCCGACAGCAGCAGCAGCAGCAGCAGCTGGAGGAGGAGGCGCGGGGGGCAGCTTTGGCAACGGCCGCTGCGGAGACAGCAGCGACAGCAGCACCAGCAGCGGCAACAACAGCGAGCGCAGCATCAGCAGCGATAGCGATAGCGCCACTAGCGGCAGCACCGACCGTACTGACGGCCAGGCGGCGCAGCAGCAGCCTCAGCAGGGCGGCGGCGGCCGCACCCCCGCCCCCAGCCCCTGCCCCAGCTCCCCGACCCCCGCTGTGACCTGGGCTCGGCGGCTGGCGGGGCGGCTACCCGCACTCAGTGAGCTGGTGCTGGAGCATGTGGCCGGGCTGGAGGGAGCGGAGGGGCATGACGTGCTGGAGGCGCTGGTGGGGGGGCTGGGGGGGAGGCTGAGGAGGTTGCGAGTGGGCGGCATGGGGGGGCTGCAGGCGGGGCGGGTGGGATGGCTGGTGGCGCCTAGGAGGGAGGAGGAGGGAGAGGGGCAGGGGGCGGGGTTAGCGGGTGGGGTGCGTGGCGGTGGTGGTGTGGGGGTGTTGGAGCTGGTGGGGTGCAGCGGGGCGAGCGAGGCGGAGTGCCAGGGGGCGGTGCGGGAGGCAGCGAGGAGCGTGTGGGTGGAGCTGGTGTGGGTGCCGTGATGGTGTGGCGGGGGTGGGAAGGTGGGAAAGAAGTAAAGCCGAGTTCTAGAGGCAGCACTATGTGACAAGCCACATGAAGGATCGCATGGGGATACGCCACAGGGTGTATGGCGGCACGGCGGGCGTTATGTGAGGACGTGCATGCGTGGCGAGCACGGGAAGTGCGCAGCATGCGATTAGTGAGGCGAAGGGTGTGCGATGATTACAGCTTTGCGGAGGCGCGCAACGTGCGGCGGGCGTGCTTTGAACGCCCTGCGCCGCGAAGTGATAAATAATATCCGGGAATATCGGCAGGTATTCAGTATACGAGTACGCAGGTTAGGATGAAGGCATGTGTAGTAACTAATTCTTGAGCTTCAAGCTGCGCACGTGTGTGACTGACTAGGGCCTTATGGTTGCCGCGCGGGGGGTGGCACGCATGAGGGTATAATACATGAGGAAGAAGGTGCTCGTAGGGCGGATGCGAATGGGTTTCATGTTCATGCAAAGAGGTACAAAGATCGTACAATTGTACGGGAAGGAGGTTAGAGATGTGTTAATACGTGTTGTTGGAGGCGCAGCGGTCCCGTGTCCAGGAACTGGCCGCTGCCGTTGCTGCTGTAAGGACGGGCTGTCGCCCCCCTAGCATGGCAAGGCCGTGCCGGGCACCTGGTGCCTCCCCGCACGCATGCACGGAATCATGCATAATCCATGCATGTCCTAGCTACTGACGGGCTGCGGCTTTAACCACTTTGCAGCCATACTCGACCAAAAGGACAGACGCAGGACTGCCGAGTAAAAAAACAAGATGAGCGCTTGCCAAACTTAGCGTTTGAGTAGCTTACCGGCATCTAGCCTCGCACCTCCTGCGCACCCCCTCCCAAACCATTCCTAAAGCTGCCCATCCGCATTCGGCAGTCGAGGCGACCAGGCTACTCATCCACACAAGCGCCCTGCCAGCAAGACCTTAAGCGTCCAAGGGTCTTGTGTAGTCAACTTGTCAAGCCCGAGGAACCCTACTTTTACCAACAATCATGCGTTCCCATGCAACACCACCTGCATTCATATTCACATTCGTTATCGAGGAAGCGAGCGTAACGGGTTGAGCACCCGAGACAGCTGTCGCACACATCGTGGCCCCCTTTTGCTGTCCTCACGCACCGCTGAATGGTACTACGAACCAGCTCCGAAGCAGAACACGTTTGCTTGCTGCAATTCGGTACTGTGCTAAAAGCCTAAAACAGTACTGGAACCTAGTTACGAAGCAGGAAACAGGAGCGCGCACGCTAGTCCTCTCCCTCATCTGCGCAAAAGCTGCCCTGCCCCTGCAACCACATCAGCTCCCCACTGCACACCTCTCCTCCTCCCGCACACGTCCCTCTCACGCTCAGCCCCCTTCTACCAGGCACCTTACCCCATCGTCGCCCAGCCCCTTGCAGCTCCTCCCTTCTCACCCTCTTCCACTACCGTTACTAACTTTGTCCCAATCCCTTCCCTCCTCCCCTTTTCGCCGCTACATTATACCCTCCCTCCGCTCCTACAATATGCGATGAATGGTGGCATGGTCGTGGTGCAGGGTGGTCCCTAGCGTCAAATCCAGATCCTCCCACCAGCCGTCCAGGAAGCGCTCCGCCAGGATCCGAAACCAGGGCGACCACCGCAACCCCGAGCTGGGATCCATCATGGCCGCGAGTTCCCGCTGGTCCACATACTTCACCGCATCCACCTCATCTGGGTTGGGCGCCAGCGTCACGGGCTGCGACGGCCGCACGAACAGGATGTAGTCGATTTCATGCTCGCCCCATTCCGCGTTGGGCCCGTGGGTGTGCGTGTCGGCTGCGCAGTAGTGCAGTCGCGTGAGGAAGGTGAAGGAGGAGGCGGGGACTTGTTCGGGAGGGATGCCCAGCTCGTGCGCGAGTTTGCGAACGGCGGCGGCCTTGACGCCGGGAACACTGCCGTCTGCGATTTGTTCCGGCTTGTCGACTTCATCTGGCAGCTGTCCGGCGAGTGGGTGGCTGCAGCAGGTGTTGGTCCAGACGGATGGAAAGGTGACTTTGCTGGCGGCGCGTTGTTGAAGCAGGAGCTTGCCGTCCGGGCTGAAGAGGAAGACGCTGAAGGCGCGGTGCAGGGCGCCGTGGGGTTGTGAGGGAACGAAGCGGTGGCAGTCGTGTTTGTTGGCGGTGCCGACGATGTTGTCGTTGTTGTCCACCACCAGGCACTCGTCGCGCTGCATGAAGTCCTGCTGCGTCATTCCGGTGCCTGAGGGGCCGCAAGCCGGGTGCAAGGATGGAGTGAGGGGCATGAGCGGTTAGCTAAGGGGAGGGTTAGGCACCGCTCGAGGGCCTAAGGAAAATGGAACCGGTCTTGGGTATATACCGACATGCGCATTCAAACGTGCTTAATCGTGCGTTACACCAGTGTTTGCCGATGTTTGCCATTAGTTTGACGCAGGGCTGATGAAGTAGTTTTGCAATGAAATTTGTCCTAATGTTAGAAAAGTAAACCCACCTGCCCACGTTGACATGGTTACGTCAACTCGGGCGCCAGGACAGCCGCTATGTGCGAGTGATTGCCGAAGAGACTTTACAAAACGTCCTGCACGAGACCTGCAGACACCTGTTGCGGCAAGCATGCTGCCTCTAGAGAGTGATACAGGTACACGTGGGGGCGCCTGAAGCTTGTGCGCCTGGGCTTGCATATAACGTATGCAGACACTGTTATTTTTCGCGCATAACCGACACAGCACCGTAGCCCAATCACTTAATACAAACGTGTTGTCCCACAGCGTAAAGACTGAAAGCAGCGCCTTTCGGCAATTCCATGGCTTTGCCGTACTCAAGACGGCGCGAAACGCGCTAGGTATGATACTAACTACACCGTGCAAAGTGCCTGCAATACTGGTTGGCTTACGCTTACTTTCGCGCTTGTTAATGATTTGGCTTAACCTTTACTGGTACCGGTATGTCATCGACATGTCATGGGGGGCTTTCGACGCAACATAGGGAATCGCTCATACGCTTACTACTTACTTAACACTCGCGTTGTATAGCAGCAAATGTTGAAGGCGGTCCATTATTAGCTGCTCGGGGTAAAACACCCCAGAGTTCCATCCTGACGACTCGCCGAGCTCTCGCCCCCTGGCAAGCCCCTGCTGAACGTGACAGTCCTCTTATGTCTCTGTTTCCTTGTTTTACCCTGGCGCAGCAGTGCTTTTCCCTACCGCCACGTTGGTCCATTTTAATCCTAGCGTTATCCTGAGGTTCCTTCTGAGCTCTGCGTAGATGAAACATGCATGTGTACACCTCTATAGGTTGCCTAATCAGCATGGCCCATGGCTTTAGCGAAACGGAGGAGAATGGCATGAGAGAAATTGTTACAACGAAAGGGTCCATGTTGAAGGCGTTGAAAAACGCCGATTAGCCAGAGGCTCATTTGTACTCGCGTCTTGATCCAGCATCAACCTGCGGGTTCCGGGACGGCGTTCAACAGGTGTGCCACCAGCCCCGGCCTGCTGAAATTCCCCGCTTGATGTCCGGAAGATGTCAACCCTGCAGACATCAAGGCAGGCCAGAAAAGAAAGACACGATGAGAGAAAGGCTCGGAATGAGTAGGAGAGTTTGTGTTTCTTCGTCACTGAAAAGTCGGACAAAGTTATCCTCATGGCCCACGTACACATGCAATGATCTTGACAGCACGGAAACATGCTGCCTTTGTAAACGACAGGGCAGCCTCACGTCATGCAATGCGTCCCCGGCCTGGCTCAGAATGAGTAGGAGGTTGAAGTTTCTCGTCACAGAGATCAGCAAAAGGTTTCCTCATAGCCACGGCCGCTTTAACAACAGTTGAAACCCCAAATGGTCACACCAAACCCCTGATTTCAGGTAACCATCCCAACCTGCCTGCAGCTCAGTTATGCCGGGCGCATGGGAAGATCCTCGAGGATGAAGGGGGTGGAGGGGAGAGAAGCCCAGGGTGCAGTGGAGCTCAGGGCAGAGCTGCCACGCCCGGATGTTGCTCACTTACCTACGCAGGTACATTAGGGGTCGTTAGGGACAAGGACAAAGATGCGGCAAGGCTGCTGCAGGACCTAGACATGGCGGTGTAGGAAAGATGCAAGATGCTAGCTGTCGTTCCACAGATTGCGCTTCAGATCAGCGGCCCACGTGGCCTATCCGAGTCTACCCAAGTGGATCATTGATTTGCCTTAAACAGGACGAGAGGCCACCTCATGGCGGCTAACCGCTAAGAGGCCTCTGCTTTTAGTCAGGCATAGTTAAAACTGCATGTGGAGCCACAGATTGCGCTTCAGATCAAAGGCCCGCGTGGCCTATCCGAGTCTACCCAAGTGGACCCTGGCATATGATATACCTAACAAGACGAGAGACCACGTCACTGCGAGGACGCTAAGCGGCCTCTGCTTTATAGTTAGGAAGCTGCGTAAGCATGCATGGCCTGTTCATGGTTGCCGAAAGCGAACGCATGCATTCTACGGCGAGCATGGATGCTAAGACCAAGGGACCCTGTCAGCTAACTACTCGACTTCCCGTCTCCATATCCCAAACAGGTATGGCATGTGTGTAGAAACTACAGTCCCTACCTGTGGGGAGAGTCAACGTGAGGAAGTCCCCAAGGACGCCTGACTGTCAGGGCATCGGCGCCAACATCGGGTGGCAGGAGGGTGTGCCCCAACACCAAAAGGTACCTGTATGGGGGAACAGCAGAAAAACAAGACAACCGGGCACTACTTTGAGCGGCGCCGCCGGTGCGCCGCCAGCCCCAGACCCGGACCAAGGCCGGCAGGGGGCGACTGCATTCCGGTATCCAGCGTTGCCATTAGTAGTGTGCAGTTGTTATCTTTGCAACGTTGTGATTAACTGAGACTGATAGTGGCAAGGTGCGGCTCTTATACTGCGCGCTCCGCATGCCATGGGCCTTGTTTGGACGAGCATGGCGTGCCATGGGCCCTGCTCGGACGAGCAGGGCTGAAACCAAAAGCATTACACGTTGTCTGGGGAACGCTTCGTGTGACATGAACATGATTTTAATTCGGTGCTATAGGCTATGTATGCAAAGCTTAATTAACGGGCAGTCTTATTAATGACACTTGCATAATTGCACAAGGGCTAATTATTGTGGTGATATGTCATATGGGTATTGTGTCAACTTTAGCATTTGCCCGTAGGTAGGTTTCTTGGTATGCCCGCGGCTCAAAAGGTCACAGCATACGTTGATAGCTTCATACCAATAGGCTATAAAGCAATTTAGGCAGGTCTATATTAGTGGGTTTGCTGTCTTATGCGGGGATCAAATGCGGTAAGTGCAGCTGCGACGCTCCGCATGCCGAGCTTTGTTTTTGCTGTTTCGCGCCGGTCCGTGTAGGTCACATTCCTAAGAATCGGTTGAGTAACATACTACATATGGCCCGTGGAAGGTTCCCTGCCTGAGACGTTCGTCCCATTCAATTGCTTGCATGTCATATGTATCATACGCGTACGTTAACCGGTTCCCTTGCCCGCGTTTACTATACCGATCTGCAGGTTAAGCCTTGGTATTGGGTATGCGATTCGGGTCCATCACTATAATATCGCAGCCTGATGCTCTGCACTCGCAGTAGCATAGCAGCGGCAGCTACCGCGCACATAGCGACGCGAAGCACGACCTAATGACTTCTGCTGCCGAACGCCTTTACCTTACAGAGGAGCAACAGCAGCAAGAGCCAAACCCTGCACCTCTAGAGCAGCACTCGAGCGGTGGCCAGGGCGCCTTTCCCAGTCAAGCTACAAATGCAGACCCCAGCAGTAGCAGGCGTCACAGTGGCGGCTACGATCCCGCTCGGCAGCTTTCACGGCTCGCAAGTGGCGAGGGGCGGGCCAGCAGGGATGCCAACCCGCCTGAAGCCCTAGCCGCCCTTCCCTCAGCCCAGCCCGCTCCCTCCACTAGCCGCAGAAATCTCGCTGCCTCCCCCAGCCCTGCACCTCCGCCGGCCCCACTGCCGCCCCCCGCACCCCGGAGACCGGACTCCAGCCAGCTGCTGCTGCTGCCTGCCTCCCGCCCCACCTCAGCAGCCGCCGACCCGCACCCGGACGGACGGCGAGGCGGCAGTCGCACCGCTGACGGCTCAACGGCTGCGGACGCGCCGTCCACATCAGGAGGCAGCGATGCGGCCGCCGATGCTGGGGGGGCTCCGGCGCCGCAACAGCAGTCGCCGCCGCTGCCCGGACGAGCCGTCAGCTGGCAGCCGCCGTTAGCCGCCAGTCGAGCCGTGCGGTTCTCACCCGGCGACTCACAAACAGGGTCGCCAGCCGCAGCGGGAGCGGGCGCAGGGCTAGGGCACCTGCCGCCTGTGTCCCGCGGGTCGCAGCTGCCGCCGCTGCGGCACGCCAGCGACGGCGTCTTCTTAGCGACGGGCAGCGGAAGTCATTCCTTTGCGGCAAGGCCAGTCCTGGGGTCTTCGGGTCTTCTGCAGCCGGCAGCAGCTGACGCAGGGGCCCGCAGCGTGCAGCAGCAACAAGCCCTGCGCAGCATCAGTGGCGATGATCTGCCGGTAAGACAAGCCAGGGCTGGCGAGGGGGACGCCGCCACTGATTCGGACGGCTCTCAGCTGCAGCAGCATGGCGGGACGCAGGAAGCAGCGTCCCAAGCTGGAGGGAGAGCTGGTAGTAAGCACGCTGGGGAGGGAGGAGGTGCGGACTGCAGCTCTGAGACTGGGCGAACGTCCAACATGAACCATGGCAGCAACCGAAGCAGCAGCAGCGGCGGCGGCTCGCATGCGGCAGGGAATGGGTCCGGACGCTTTCCCATCCTGCGTGCGGCGGACCTAGCGCCGCCGGTGCCGCTGCCGGGTGCAACTTGGGACCTGGAGCTGCGGACTGCACTGGCGCGAGCAGCCGTCGAGAATGCGGCCCAGATGGCCGGGGGCGGTGAGTCGGCCGAGCCGGACTTTGGCTATTCGCGAGTGGTCTCGGAGCATTACCAGCAGCAGCAGCAGCAGCAGCTGAGGCGGCAGCAGCAGGAGCAGGAGCGGGAGCAGCAGGGACCAACAGACGTGTCAGCGCTGGTGCGGCCGGCTTCGCCCCGGCAGCAGCCTCCGCAACACCCGCAGCAGCACCACCAGCATGCAGTCACGGATGACGGCAGCAACATCGAGCGGTACGGCAGCGGCGGTGGCAGTGGCGGTGGTGGGAGCGACGGCAGCATACACGGCACCCGCTCGCCCTCCCCGGCTGGGGCTGCCTCGCTGGCTGCCCGGCCGCCCCGTCCCCCCGCCGCCGCTCCTCGCAGTCTCCGCAGCGCGCTGAAGGCTTCCAGCAGCCCATGCATGGCGGCAGGGGCGGGGGCAGCAGGGGCAGGGGCGGCGAGTGCAACCACGACTGGCAGCGATAGCGGTGCCGGTACCGAGGGGACGGCCGAGCAGCAACCCCGGCCTGCTGCAGCAGGTGACACTCCCGCCGCTTCTTCCGCTTCACCCTCCCATCACCACCATCACCATCATCATCCCCACCACCACAAGCAGGCCCCGCAGCGCCACCACTCCGCCACCAGTCACCCGGGTGCCGCTGTCAGCGACCAGCCTCACCGCTCACTCCCCCCTCCACAGCGCCTAGCCAGTGCCCCCATCACCACCACCAACACCACCTCCGCCACGCCTGCTGCCCCCGGCTCACCGCTCTTTACCGCGCGCCGCGGCTTCTTCACCTCACGCACCGCCGCCGCCTCCTCCGACGGCAACGCAGCCTCCGCCTCCGCCTCCGCCCCCCTGGACCTCTCCCACGCCGAGAGTGTGGACATCCGCATCCACTGCATCACCTTCAACATGGGCGGCACCACGCCCCCCGCCGCAGCCCTGCCCGACACCCTCTTCACCGGCTCCTGCCTGGCCCCCGACTCGGCCGCCGACGCGCCCGAGCTGTACGTGGTTGCCACCCAGGAGAGCGGCTCCCTTTCGGAGTGGGAGGCGGCGGTGGGCGCGCACCTGGGCCGGCGCTACTGCCGTGTGGCGGCGGAGAGCCTCATGGCCATCCACATCCTGTTGTTTGCGGTGCGGCCGCTGGCTGCTCACATCCGGGAGGTGCGGACGAGCTCCGTGGCGACGGGAGTGGGCAACGTGCTGGGGAACAAGGGCGGCGTGGCGATCACGTTCAAGCTGGCGGGGGCGCAGGTGGGGGGGGAGGGGTGGAGAGGGAGGGGTGGAGAGGGAGGGGAGCTGGGTGGGGTGTGAAGAGGAGACCAACTCCGTTGGCTAGTTGGGTCAGCTGGGCTGCGAGCGAGGTGGGCAGGGCAAAGGAGCGATGGTAAGAAGGGGGGGCCGGAGGGGTAAAGTACCAACAGCTCCGTTGCCGGCTTGCCACCCTTCTCCCTAGATGCCTTCCCTACCTTCCCCGACTTCCCTGCCCTCCCTGCCGCTGCTGCTGCCCGCCTGCCTGCCTCAGGTGCTGCTGGTGGGCTCGCACTTCGCGGCGCACGACCAGCACGTGGAGCGCCGCAACGCGGACTTCCACCGCATCTGCGCGGGGCTCTTCGCACCACCACTACCCACACCGCCACCACCCACACCGCCCCCTGCTGCCGCCACCGCTGCCTCCACTCCGCACCACGCGAAGCCCCCGCTGCCGCCATCCTCCCTGCAGCAGCAACAACAGCAAGGCCCGGATGCGGTACATGGCACCGCCGCATGCCAGCAGGGTTCCCCCGGGAACCCCCCACCGGGCGATGGCCCCGCTAGCGCTGGCCTCAGCGCGGCTGGCAGCAGCCGGCGCCAGCACCTGCTCAGCGGCCCCACTCTGAGCCGCTTCAGCAGGGGCAGCCCCTCGGGGCTCAGCGGGGGAGCGGGTGGGGGCGCGGGTGGTTCGGGTGCGGAGTCGGATTCCGGTGTCAAGGCCAGCCGGGGCGCGTCCTCCCGCACGCTGCTGCGGACGCTGAGCGGCACCTCCACCGCCTCCTCCTCGCATGCTAGCAGTGGAGCGGCAGCGGTGAGAGAAAGGGAAGGGATAAAAAAACATGAGACACTGAGGGAGGGAGGGGGGGCGGCAGCGGGTTACCGGTAGTGAGGTGCGGGAATGGCGGGCGGGAGCGGGTGATTCCTTGAACCGTGGGTGAAGAGGACAGAACACTCCAACGGCTCTCCACTCCCTCCCTCCCTCCGCGCGGACTTTGCTCTTTACACTCTTTCCTTTACCCTCCGCAGGGCGCCCTCCTGCGCGACTCTCCCTCCTCCCACTCCGGCGGCTTCTGGAGCGGCTTGTCGCTGGCTGCAGCCCAGCGGCGCAGCTCGGCGCTGCTGGCTCACTTTGATGTGGTGCTGTGGATGGGCGACCTGAACTACCGCATCGCCGGCAACCCGGAGGTGGAGAGGGGTGGAGGGGGGAGTGGCAGCGGTTGCTCGCGGGGCTCGCGTGCTTTACAGCTGGTGGGCATGCGCCGCTTGCTCCCTTTACCTGCCTCTCTGCTCCCTTCACCTCCCCTCCCGCTCCCTTCACCTCCCGCTCGCGCCCTTTTCTTCTCCCCTCCCACCCCTCTTGTTGTCTTGTTTGCCACTTTCAAACAAGAATGAGAATGGCATTCAACATATCGGGTATTCCTCTTTTCCCACCCCCTTCTCTCGCCCCTCCTTCTCCCGTCCTCCCCCCCTCCCCCAATCCGCAGGTGGTGCAGTACGCCATCTCGCACAACATGGTGGAGGTGCTGGCAGCAAACGACCAGCTGCGGGCGCAGCAGCGCAAGGGCAAGGTGCTGCAGGGATTCGCGGAGATGCCCATCGCCTTCGCGCCCACATTCAAATTCCACACGGGCACGGACGACTACAACCTCAAGCGCACCCCCGCCTGGACAGACAGGGTGCTGTACCTGACGCACGCGGATCCGCGGTTTGCGGACCTGCAGCCGCTGTACTACATGTCGGTTCCGGAGCTGCGGACGAGCGACCACAAGCCGGTGATCGCGGGGTTTGAGCTGTCGATTAGTCCGCAGCATGCGGCGGGCAGCAAGCATACGGCGCATAAGGGCTGCGTGATTTGCTGAGGGGAGGCGAGTGGCGGTGGTTGTGGTTGTGGTGGTGGTGTAGTTCAATTAAGCCGTGGGGAGAAACCCTGTTGTGAGCTCTGGAAGAGCGGAGGTTGGTGCAGGGTTTGCGGAAGAGGGAGGAGGCGATTGCTTTAAGAAGCAGGAAGATGTATGTACGGTATGTATGAGGGAGCGTTACTGCTGGAGATGGAGTTACAGGTTCAGCGCTGCAATAAATTGCGCTGAAGACCTCTTGTTGTGAGGCCGATTTGTACAAGGGTATGGACAAGGGTGTGAGGCCGAGCGGATGCCACCTGGGCATACAATGCATAAACAGCATTATACTAGTTGCATGCGTGTGACTTTCTAATGCCCGAACATGGGTCCGTTGCGCTCATGATGAAAGTGCATTAATAGCTTACTCCAAGGGGCCGCAGCAGGCGTAGCGTGAAGGTGTTAAGCCGATAGGGTAATGCCGCGCTTGGGGCGTGCAGTTGGTGCAGTCAGCCGTACAACCGGCCGTTAAGGAAGTTGAGAAGCCGAAGGAGAGGCGAACGATGCTGTTTGCCGTCCATATGTAAGGTAGTACAGGGTGAACCTACGTCGCGGTGGCCTACGTTCTTGTCAACTTGACATATGCGAAGTACCTGGCTTTTAGTGATCTTAGCTTGGGCCTCAGGCTCAGCAGCTGTGAACTATGTCTTTGATGAGTATCTGTTTAGTAAGGACACATGGGAAAGCTGGAAGCTAGAGAATCCTCTTGAGGGGTTCAACCCATCGGACCTCCTTCAACACGCCAAGGAGTCATATCCAGGCTATGAATTAACGGAGTTTAACTCCTTAGATGGGCCTAAGCGTCGCCTTGTTGGAGCTCAGAAGCCAGGAGTGTAAGTTTGTCGATGCTTCCAACTTGCAGTTTATAGATCGCCAGCTTCCGGGCCTGGTCATTCGCAACCATTGTTGCAATTGCATGACGCTTCGTTGCGCGCAGGAGCCTGGGCCTCGGCTCAGGCATCGAGCCAGTTGAGGATGCGGGCATGTTGGAGCACGCCGCTAAGGCAGTTCAGTGCACGACATGTCATGGTAAGTGAAAGCCGCAAGGCCATGAGAAACCATTACTCCGCTTAGAAAGCTCGTCTGATTAGTCCAACATCACCTGGGCGTCCATGGCCATTGCAACACCCCCACGCTTGCAACGCAAACGCGATTCCACAGCCCTACAACAGCCCAGCCTTCCGCTCCCACCCCGTCACCTCCCTTCTTCCCTACCTATCCAACCTCCCACCTGCCCCCGCTCCCCTCCCTTCCCCCGCAGTGCTGCTGTCCGTGAGCTGGGAGCGGCTCACAGGCGAGCTGCTGGGTGGCGAGGAGGTGACTCCGCAGCTGGTGCGCTCGCGACTGGAGGAGGCGTGCGACAAGGAGGTGCGCGCGTGCGGTGGGGCGGCGGGGCAGTGGCAGTGGCAGTGGCAGTGGAGGGGAGGCAGCAGGCAGCTACCCGGGTCCCGAGCTCCTCCTCAGTCCCGCCCTGCCAGGACCAACCTCCTCCCTTCTTCCCCATTCACTCCCCAACCACCCACCCGCCCCCGTGGTGAAACCTCGTCGCGCAACTCGTCAGTTCCCCTTTTCACCCGCCCCCTTCCCCGCCCCCTGCCCCGCCCTCTTCCCCGCTCCCCCCCCCCCCTCAGGCCCTGGACACCGCCCTGAGGCGCTACTCCATCCTGCAGGTGGAGAGCAGCAGCGGGGGTGGTGGTGGAGGGGGAGGCGGGGCCAGCCTGCTTGTGTTTGTGGTGCGGGAGCGGAAGGGCGAGCTGGCAGGCAGTTCGGCAACGGAGGTGGAGGAGGCGGCGGTGGCGCAGGCGTGCAGGGTAGGGACTAGGGAGGGAGGGGGGATTGGGGGTGGGTTGTGGGGGCTGAGGTTGGGTTTGTAAGACGGCGGGCACGGCACTGGATACAGGGCCATGCTGCCGGTGTGGCAGGGCCGCACCCGCCCTCCCGCTGACCTCCCTTGCCGCGTCCATCTCCTCCGTGCCTCGGCAGTCTGCATGCGCCCCTCTCCCTACTGTTTCCCTTCCCCCTCTCCCTAACCTGTGGCTTCGCTGTATCTCTGCCCCCCCCCCTCCCCCTCAGGCCCTGCTGTCCGAGTCTGATGGCGAGCTGGTGGGGGCGCTGATGGAGCAGCTGGCGCACTACCGCCGGGAGGTGAGGGGGGGGAGGAGGAGGAGGGCGGTGCTGTGCTGTGCTGGGAGGTGGTGGACAGGGGGTGGCAGGGGGGTGGAAGGGGGTGAGGGGAGGCAGCAGGGCAGGGCAGTCATGATGCATGTGTTATGTGGCGTGTATGGAGCACCGTTTGCGGTCCTCCCCCCCTCGCCCCTCACCTCCGTCCTCTGCTCCCCCGCCCTCCGCAGGCTCTCCGGCTGCTGGTCAAGCACGACCGCGACGGCGGCAACCAGCAGCAGCAGCAGCAGCAGCCCCTGACTGGGGCTGCTGGCGGCGGGGGCAGCGGCGGGAGAAGTGGCAGTGGGGTTAAGGGCATCAGCGGGGGCAGCGGCAGCAGCGGTCGGTTACCGCGTCTTAACGGCGGCGGGGGCAGCGGCGGGGATGATGAGGGTGACGAGTATGTGGACCCGGAGGAGTTGGATGAGGCAGGGGAGGTCAGGGTGGGAGCGGGCGGGGCAGGGGCGGCGGGGGAGGGGGGAGGAGGAGGCAAGGGAGCGGCGGCGGCGGCGAGTGGGAGCCAGCCGGGCAAGGAGCAGGCGGTGGTTCACGGCCTGATTGTGAAGGGTAGGTGGCAGTGCGGTGGTGGTGGTGGTGGTGGTGGTGGTGTGCGGTGGTGTGCGGTGGTGTGCGGTGGTGGTGGTGTGCGGTGGTGGTGGTGTGTGATGCTGCCAGGGAGGGGCGGGGAGGGGAGGGGCGGGAGGGGAGGGGCGGCCCTGGGAGCCGCTGCTGCTGCGGTTGCTGCCGCCTTGATAGAGCGGCGGCTGCGGCCGCAGCGTCTCTCGCTCACCTGCATGGCCCCTGTTGCACGCTGCCCGGCATTGCGAGGCATGGCGGCATCATGCCTAGTGGCGGAGGCATGCCCCGGTCCTGGTATCCCCCCCGCCCGCACCCTCCTGTCTCCCTGCCGCTGCTGCTGCCGCCTACACATCCATCATTTCCGCCCCGCCCCCCTTCCCCCCAGCCGCCCCCGGCGAGGGCGAGTGCGGCGACCTGCACCCCAGGTGCGGCGAGTGGGCGGCGCGCGGCGAGTGCGAAGCCAACCCCAACTACATGGTGGGGTCGGCGCTGCACCGGGGGCACTGCCGCAAGGTGAGGGGGGGGGGTAGGGGGGGAACGAGGAATAACAGGAAGACACTGACCGTGTGGACGGAGGGAAGGAGATGGCCGAACCCCCTTACCTCACTTACACTCCTTTTCTCCCCTTCTCCTCCTCCTCCCCCGCTTCCCCCCTCAGTCCTGCGGCATATGCAAGCCCCCCGCCGACTCCCTGCCCTCCACCTCCCCCGCCCTGGCTGCCGACCTGGACGCGCTGTCCTCCGCGCTGCTGCTGGCCGCTCGCAACCTGGGCTGCGGGGCCAGTGCGGCGTGCCTGACGGGGGTGGCGGGCGCGGCGGTGGGGCCGGGGCCGGTGCAGCAGCAGGGGGGGCAGCAGGGGGCGGGTAGCGGTGCGGCGGGGGGAGCAGGGGCAGGGGCAGGGAGGAAGAGGGAGCTGCCGCCGGGAATGAAGGAGTTCCCAGGTGGGGTGGGGGTAGGGGGGGTGGGTGCTGGGGTGCCTTTGTGAGAGGGGAAGGGGGATGCAGGTCCATGCCGCCAGACCTCCTGCAGAACTCCTCTGTGCCAGACAGCTCCGACCTCCGGCATTTTCCCTGCTGTGCAGCTCGCCCCTATGCTCATATTGGCATGGATGAAGACCTTACAAGCACCCCACCCCTGCCCCGCACCTCTCCTCCTGCCTCCCCCCCTCCCCCCCCCCTCAGGTGGCTTCATCCTGGGCAAGCCCTGGTGGGACGAGCCCGCCTCCCGCCCCGTGCCACCACACCTCCGCAAGCCCCTCCCGCAGCTACCTGCTGCTACCGACGCCACCTCCACCTCCTCTTCCACCACCCCCAGCACCAGCACCCCTCCCAGCCCCTCCGAGGTGGAGCGGGTGCTGTCCCCCGCACTGGCGCACCAGCTGCTGGCCATACCCTCCGACTTCTTCGTCTACGAGTTCCTCTACAAGAACCACACGCGGCATTACCACCCGGAGAAGGATGGCAGCATAACGGGTGGGAGCGGGGACCATACCAATGGGGGGGGAGGGCGGGGTGTGGGGGGCGAGGGGTGAGCGGCCTGGCAACAGTGAGGTGCGCGTTAGGTGGCTGATGACACGTAGCCCTCATGGCATCTTACCCCTGTCCCGTCTTCGCTGCCCTGCTAGCTGCTACCCTACACCCCTTCCAATGATGTTGACGCTGATGTTTCCATACTTTCCAAACACGGTCTTGCTCCCCCGGCCCCCGCCCCCTGCCAGAGGACTGGCTGCTGGGTCGGTTCTCGCGGGAGAGCGTGTCGCTGATGAGCTCGGCTACCGGGGAGGTGGCGGGGCTGGAGGTGAGGGGCGGGGGGAAGGGGGGAGGGGAGGGGAGGGGGGACTGGAGGTGAGGGGGGAAAATAGATAAATGCATCAACGGAGTTCCTCCAGGTGAGGTGAGGGGGAAGGGAGGGGGAGTAGTGGGGTGAGTGTGGATATGTTGGGTGCGGTACGACACACACGGCTCGCAAGTCCTGGCTTCTCCTGTTGTCCCTGTACCCAGCGTAGGTTTCCTATGGTTCGGTATGGTCTTTGACCTCCCTCCCTCCCCCTCCCCCCGTCAGGAGCTGGACCTGCTGCCCGGCAGCCCCCACGAGCCCCGCCTGCGCTCCGCCACCTGGCCCTACGTCAAGCAGGTGTATGCGGGGGGCGACGAGTGCGTGCTGGCGGGCGGCCGGCGGGTGGTGCGCCGCGTGGAGGCGCGCATCGCCTGCTCGCCCGACCCGGGGCGGCGGTACATGCTGGTGCGGGAGCCGGACTTCTGCAGCTACGTGTTTGTGATCTACGTGCCCGAGCTGTGTGAGCTGGAGTACTACCGGCCCAGGCCGAAGCAGGGGGTGGGGGCGGGAGCGGGGGGAAGGGGGCAGGGACAGCAGGGGATGGCAGGAGGAGGGGGAGGGGGGAAGCGGGGAGCGAGGGGTGGTGCGGGTCGGGTTTGAGGGGAGCGTGGGTGGGTTGGTGGTATGGGGGTTGCGATGTTGGTTGGTTGGTTGGTTGGGGGCGTGAATTCTGTTGTGAAGTGCCGCTGGTGCGCTTCCAAGAGCCGTTAGGGCCGGTGTGGGGGCTTTTGCCGTTGTTGTGGTTGACGGGATGAAGGTTGAGGGGGTGAAGCAGGAGGGGAGAAGCACACGTCCATACCAGGAGCATGTGAACTTCCAGGACGCCTTGACAACTGAGAAGGCGTATCGTGCGCTTCTGTAAGGCGAAGCAATGAGGGGCTGCAAAGTGGGAGGGATTCGTCTCTCGTGGGTACGTCCCCCAGGTCAAGGCCTCCCGCACCGCACAACTGAGTAGCGGGGCAATCAGGGGCAATACCCAAAGTAGCGCCATCTGGAGAACACTAATCCGGCTGTGAAGCCCATCTGGGAGGCTTTTTGCGCGGATGCCTTGCATGCCGCATGTTGGCAACCACCGCTGCTTCATTGCACAGGTTGGCATTTCATGTGCTGCACATCAGCTGTGCGGCTAAAGCAGTCAATGACTTGCTGTGAAAGAGCAGATGTTATGCACATACTTCTTCCCTATATGCCAGTGCATCGTGCATTACACTTGAGGCCCAGTGCTCGGGGTCTTGCTCAACGACGGTTGGTAACCGGACGCTCGTTGGCTCGTACCGTTCCATGCCCTGACCAACGCCTTCCTTACAGAAAAGCACTTCACGTTATACAACAGGTTGTCGGTTTCAGTGTTACGTGTCCTGAATACGAAGCCTGTCCATCGACCCGTGCTTGTTGAACTCTTCCTTCGGCGGGCGCGATACCTGTTACGGTAAACACACAATTGTATCCATATGAGTACCTAAACATGGCAGTTACCGAATGTACGGTCCTAGTAGCACTAGTAACATGGCCTTCGACAGCTCGATAAGAGGTACTCGGATAGGATGAGCTGGTGTATGCGAAACAGCGCTCTCTGCTGTAGTCATGAAACGGTGGAAAGCCCGACAAAGGATACCGACGACGTCCTGCTGGTCGGCTTGCAGGTAGATGGTCTTCATGCCGTCGACCGTGCTTTATTGTCCTGAAGCCCCTTGCCACAATCTCCGCAGGGAAGCGGCAAGACACTTTTAGGACAGCGCCTGAGAAGTAAGCCTACGTAGTATGCTAATTACGAGCCCGATATGTGAGTACATCCACCTGCTCACCGTTATGCTCGCCCTTCTCTTCCCTTTTTTAATGAAACCCAGCTGTGTACGGAAAGGCTCAAACACCTTTCAGAGCCGCAACAACGCCCACAAATGGCTGTCAGGACTTCCGTGTGCCGACTCGCAAGGGCTGCCCCTTCAAAGAAATCCGCATTAGGTAGGATGGACCACAGACCTCCCCCACCAGTCCTTCCCCGCCAACTCAAACCCTCCCCTTCCCCCTCCCCTTCCCCCTCCCCCCTCCGCCTCCCGCCCCCTCGCACCCTGTCAGGGAGTGCGGTGGCTCCATGCAGCCGCTGTGGGGCCACTGGTACGACCGGCCGCTGAGTGCCGTGCTGCTGGCAGTGGACGGGGCGGACCCGGGGGGGCTGGCGGCGGCGGGAGTGGTTCTGCAGGGGCTACTGGAGGTGGGGTTGGGGAGAGGAGTGGGTAATGGGTATGGGTTTAACCGCAACTGAGTTACATGGTCTGTGACAGCCCTTATAGGGCCCACCATGTTACATCACGTCACATACAGTAGTAGAATACATGGGGCAGGAGGGGAGGAGAGAGAAAGGCGCGGGATGGGACAGGGTGCACGGAGGGGTTGATGCTGGTAAAGTTACCGAAAGTCACACCAAGCTGTAGAACTGCCAGGTCGAAACACATCACGATAAATCTTGCACTAGACCATGCTGCACTCCGGGACATGCACTCTACACCAACCCCCCCCTCTCCTCTCCTTCCCTCCCCTCCCGCCTCCCTCCGCAGCACCCCTCCCTCGCCTCCACGCCGGTATGTGTGGTGCTCACCAAGTCCGACCTGCCGGGGGTGCTGGCGCCCCCGCAGCTGGAGGCGGGCCTGGGGCTGCAGCAGCTGCAGGTGCAGGCGCAGCAGCCAGGGAGGTTGCGGGTGACGCGTGTGAGCAGCGTGCAGGAGCTGGCGGAGTGCCCGCAGCTGGGGGAGCTGGTGGACTGGATGGCGGAGGTGAAGGCGCTGAAGGCATGGCGGGAGCAGCTGAGGCAGGGAATGCAGCAGCAGTAGCAGCTGGGCAAGGGGAGGTAGGAGACGGAACCACATGCCTTCATCAGTACAAAGGAATGAGTGTTAATGTACCATAATTGGAACGTTAATGCCTTAATAAAATGGTACCAAAGAAGGGAGCACGGGTGATGAACTCACCCTAACCTGCAAGACAAATGTAGAGGAACGTACGAATGTGGAAGTGGTGGGTCTTGGGGTGTGTAAGGAGGTAGGGGATCCTGGCTGTCCTATGGCTTTGTGCCCCATGGACATCGGTATGTGCAAACTTGGTACTGGTGGTGGTAACAACACGGCTTGCGGGTGTGCCGTGCATACAGGTGCCATACTTGGGTCTTGACAGGGCCAGTTACTGGGCGACTGTACGCATATAGCAGTTATGGGGCTTGTCTTTGCTGCGCCAGACACTTCCTTCCTCTTTAGGCGGCAGCAGCTACCAGGGAAGCCATGGTGACCCATGGGTCGTACACTCATTCAGTATATCCATGAGCACCCTGCTCTCTGCTGCACTGCCAGGCAGCAGCCACAGCACAGCCAGGTATTCGTCTGCTTAACACCCAACCCAACACAAGCCTTCGTAGCACCCTGTTTCCGTGAGCCTTGAGCCCACTTCCACACGGCAGTCTGTCCATGACCTGCCTCTGCTTGTGTTGTCACGGCAACAGTGCGGGCCACTCTCGGCCAAGTTACTGCTGCTTGCTGTTTGTGCTTGCTGTTGGTACGCGGGGAGGCGAGGAGAAGGTGTGAAGTGGGAAGGTGGACGTGTAGTACGCTTGTTACAGTGAAGCGCTTAATGTGAGATGTTCCGAACCCCTAACAAAACACGCTGTGGTGTGCAAACTGGGTTGTAGCAGCAACCAGCAGCCGGCAAGGATGTTAAGCATGGCCATACACCATACAAGCACAGCGCAACACACACCAGCTTCCACCCCACCCCTCTCCTCACTCCCTGCCACTCCATCTCCGGCCAGCCCCTACCCCTCAACCTTACTTTACGCATTCCACACGCAACAGATTAAAGCAGCTGCCCCCTCCCCTGAAGCCCTCAATGACGTAGATGGCCACGCTGCAAGGCCAGCTGGAGCAGGTGCGTGAAAAGCTTGCCAACATGAAGGTATGTTCCTATGTTTCACTGATTATCAGTGATAATCAGTGACACATAGGCACATACCTCCATGGCGGCAAGCTTTTCACGCACCTGCTCCAGCTGGCCTTGCCCATCTACATCATCGAGAGACCTGCGAGGGAGGGGGACATTTGGGATAAGAGTAGTTATTTGAGTGGGGGTGCGTGGGGTCAGATCCCCCCAGGATGGCACCAATATGAGCTTCAATCATTTGCTCTTCGTTGATGATGCATCTCTACTAGCTACTGGCCATGAGAGGGCCCAGATGCTTTTGAATATTCTCGATAGGTTTTGCCAAGCTACGGGGATGCATGGCCGTTAATGCTTCGGAGGGACTGCAGAAGACCGTGTGTACAGCTATAAGCTGTGCTATGTGTGCTATAAGCAACCAGCTAACAAACAGCGCAAGGCTTCCTCCCTCCAACTCACGCGACAGTTGGACAGCTGGGGAGGAACAGCTGGTGTACGCCCTGGCCGCCCTGCAGTACTACATCCATACCAGTGGCCTGCCGCTGCTGCTCCTGTTGCCGCTGCTGCTATTGTTGCCGCTGCCGCTGCTGTAGCTGTTGCATGCCGCACCCGCGCAGATGTCCGCTTGCTGGGCTGCTAGCTGCTTTTCATTTGTCAGTTTGCCTCCATGTCGGAAGCCTTCTTGGAGTCCTTGCGAGCGCTGTTTGGGCGCGAGGAGAGCTATGACTGCGAAATTTTAATCCAGCTGGAAAAAGGAGAAGGCCGCTCTTCTTCTTGTCAGCTGAAGGACAGTCATAGCTCTCCACGTGCCCAAACAGCGCTCGCAGGAACTCCAAGAAGGGCTCCGACATGGCGGCAAATAAACTGGCAAATGAAAACAAAGCAATTGGAAAGGTAGATGTCAGTAGCGGCCTTTTTCCGTTGATGCAGGCGTTTTCCTGGACCGATGAGCACCTGTTAATGCTATTAGTCGGGCTCACAGCTCGGCTTACCTCGATGCGCATCTGCACGCACAAAGTGTGAAGCGAAGGCCTGCCTTAACTGCTGCCTTTGGTAGCAGAAAGCAGATGCACCATAGACGCTTGCCTTCCTCGGAAGGCGGCCGCAGCCGCCAGGGGAGCCGTCGTGACCCACGGGTCATTTGCGCCGATGTGCTAAATCCTTATTTCCATCATGTTTCATCATCACCAGCACATACACATTTCGTAACAACCCGACGGAAGCTGCGACTACGGCTAATAGTCGGCAAATGAAGCGAAGAAAGAAAGGCTGCTTCGGAGTGGTGAGCTGCTGTTGACGTGAGAAGTTGGTTCCTAAGCGAGGGCCCTTTGTGTGGACAGGCGGTATGTATGTACGGGCGATGAAGGTGTGTGTTGCATCCGGTGTTTTGCAGGAAGGGATAGAGAAGGCATTGCGCAGGACGATCGGGGCCCCCAGGCTGTCCTGCCGTACCTCGTTTCGAGAGAGATGCGCTTTTCCGGCTGCACAACTGCCCTGTCATTACAACCCAGTTGCTTTTCTTTTCCGAAACTTTTGACAGAAAATGCCATCCCTTGCATAGATAGCACGATATATACGCGCATCAATTCGTTATCTGGCGTGTGCGTTTCTTTGCCAGCAACCCCACTCGACACTCAATTCAAAGCTTGCTCAACGGCTGTCCGGCCGTTTTCAGATTTTTTGGCTTGCCCAAACAACCCTAGTAGCAGCTTCCAGTCCTGAGTCCAGGCTCCGCGTTTCATCGATTAGTCACGTTGATCAGCCGCGTCCCAAGGTTCGCTTTCCGCGATCGCTGCGAAAGAAATGGCCCTCCGCGCTTCCCTCTCTCCACAAGCCACCACCACCACCACAGCATCATCATCATCATCCACATCATCTCGAAATCACCACCATCATCAACTCCTTCCCCGCCACCACCACCACCACCACCACCACCGTCGTCCATTCCTCCTCCCTCCTCCCTCGCCTCCCCACCTCCTCCTCCTGCCTCCCCCCTCCGCGCACCTCCCCCCCAACGACCCCTCCTTCACCACCGCCGACATCACCAGCACGCTAGCCGGCGGCGGCTCCTCCCTGGGCGGCCCCGAGGAGGAGCTCGCCCTCGTGTCCTTCCACATCCCCGTTGCCAACCCCGACACCGACCCACGGGACGTGCTGGCCTGCCCCCACCTGCGGCCGCTGCTGGTACCACGCGACAGCCCGCTGCTGGTGCACAACAACTGGGAGTGCGGGTTCGTGGCGGATGAGGACCGTGTGGCGCTCAACACCATGAGACTGGCGTCCATCACGTCGGCAGGTGATTATATGTGATAGTACGGTAGCTCTTTACTTGAAAACAGTGAACGGAATGGGTTTGGGTTTTTCCAATGATCCAATCCCCTTCCCCTCCTCCTTTCCCCTCCCTCCCCCTCCCCCTCCACCCCCCCCAGGTGCCACCGACATGTGTGTGGACCTAGGCGACTCCGGCATCCTGGACACGCGCACCTCCCCCTCCCCCTCCCCCTCAACCCCCCTCGCATGGCCCGTCGTACACCCCGCCCCCCCACCGCCGCACCCCGCCTCCTCCTCCTCCTCTCCCCCCGGCGGCGGCGGCTACGACGCCAGCCACCCGCACGGCCTGATCCACCCGCCGCCGCCGCCGCCCGACGCGCTGCACTCGCATGGCATGTCAGTGGCGGCGGCGCGGATGCCGGCGGGGCAGGCGGCGGCGGCGGCAGCGGCGGTGATGGCCAAGGCGGCCAAGGCGGCAGCCAAGGCGGCGGCGGCGGTGGAGGGAGGACTGCTGGCGTTTGGAGGCGGAGGAGGTGGAGGTGGCGTGGGGGGACCCAGGCATCTGCCCAATGTAGGTGGTTGTGTGGGATGGTGGTGATGGTGGTGGTGGTGGGTCCAATGCATGTGGGTGCTGGCGGGCCCGCACTGCCGTTTCCATTTCTTGCTTGTTGGCCCCTCACCGGCCCCCCTCCACCGCCCGCCTGCACCCCCCCCCTGCACCCCCCTCCCCCTTTCCTCACGCATGCAGGTTAGCACGGTAGCTGACCGGCTGTGCGTGTCCCTGCCCGCTTGGGGCATGCGCGCCGGGCCGCGCAAGCAGATCTTCTTCGACCCCTCCCGTGTCAATGCGGCCATCGTGACGTGCGGCCACATCTGCCCCGGGGTGAATGACGTGGTGCAGGTGGGGGCGGAGGGGGAGAGGGGGTGAGAGGGAGGGGGAGGGGTGGGAGGCGGTCATCCCCGGGGGGCAACCCGTGCTCCTCGTCCGCCTGGGCTTCGAACACTGCTTCATTCCCCGCGGAAGGCCGCTGAGGCCTAAACTGCCCTGAGCAGTGGTGTTGAGTCCCGCTGCTGGCATTTCCCTCCTCCTCCCCCCTCAACCCTCTTTCGCCTTCCTGCCTCTCCTCCCCCTCCCCCTCCTCTTCCCCCCCGCCCCTCCCCCAGGGTATCGTCCACCGCCTGACCGACTACGGGGTTCCCGAGGGTCAGGTGATCGGCATCTGCGACGGCTTCAAGGGCTTCGACCCGCGCCACCCCGCCAAGCCGCGCACACTCACTCGGGAGGCGGTGGAGGGCGCGCACCTGCGGGGGGGCTCACTGCTGGGCACATCCAAGTGGGTGGAGCGCCTGGGGCTGGGCGGCAGATGGGGGCGGAAGGGAAGGGAGGGGAGGTGGTGGTGGTAGGGAGAGAGGGCATGGAGGTAGGGAGGTATAGCGTAGGGCCCTTTCCGGCGCTCCCCTATCCGCGGCTCCGTTTTCCCTTTTACACATGATACCTCACATCCACTCCTCCACTCATCCCACTCCCCCCTCCCTCCCTCCCTATTTTTTATCCCCCCACTCCTCCCCCCTCAGGGGCTGGGCGGACATTAACGCGGTGGTGTCCAAGATCGAGATGTGGGAGATCAACATGCTGTTCGTGGTGGGGGGAGACGGGGGGCTGCGGGCGGCGCAGGTGGGGTGGGGTGGGGTGGTGGTGGGGGGGTGGAAGGGTGGGGTAGGAGGTGGAGGGAGAGGGGCCCGTGGAAGGGAAGGGCCGGCAGGGAAGGGCCGGTTGTAGGGTTGACGGTGGGGCAGCACTTCCTGGACTGCTGACCGCTTGCACTGCTCCTTCTGCCCCTGTCCAGCAGTGTTTCCTTCCTGTGGCCTCTGATCGCTCCCGCCTCCCGCCCCCCTCCTCACCCCCCCTCCCAGCTGCTCTCCGAGCAGTGCCGCTCCCGCGCCCTGCCGTGCTGTGTGGTGGGGGTGCCCAAGTCCATTGAGAACGACATACTGCTGGTGCGGAGGGGGGGGGAGGGGTGCGGAGGGGGGGAAGATGTGGAGAGGTGGATGCATAGAGATGTGAAGGGAGGTAGCTGCCTGTCGGACCACCACACCATCACATTCTAACCCCCATCCACCCACCACCCTACCCCCACCCCCACGCCCCCCCCCCTGCCCCCCCCCACCCCACCCCCAGTTGGACCGCACCTTTGGATTCGAGACGGCGGTGCAGGAGGTGCAGCGGCCGCTGCTGGCAGCCAAGGTGGGGGGACGTCCTTCCTCCTAATCCCGCTCGCTACCCCCTCCACTCCCCTACCTGCACCTCCCTTCACCCCTCTATACATGCTTCCCCTCCTCCCTTCGCCTCCTCCCCCCCCCGCCCCCCAGGTTGAGGCCAGCAGCACTCGGGGTGGTATCGGGCTGGTCAAGGTGATGGGTCGGCACTCGGGCTTCCTAGCCATGCAGGTGGGGTGGGGGGGCCGGGTGGGGGGGGGGAGGGGTGCTACACCAGTCGGGGGAAGGGGGTCAGAGAGGCACCAGGCGGTGGACAGGCGGACTTGTAGGCGTGCTTTGACGGGCGGTACATGTGTGTGTTAAGAAAACACAAGCTGCTCACAAGCTGTGTGCTTTCTGTGGCCCCCCGTTCCCCCTCCCCCGCCTCCTTCCCCCCCGCTCTCAGCAACTTGTATCATTACCACACCACACTTTGGAATACCTCTTTCCCCCCCCCCCGCTGCTGCAGGCCTCCCTGGCGAGCGGAGTGGTGGACGTGTGCCTCATACCCGAGGTGGGGGGGGAGGGCGGGGGTTTTGGAGAGGTGTGTACGAAGGGGTATGGTGGGATGCTGTAGGCGGGGTAGGCGGGGCCGCTGTGTGCCCTGTAGTGCCCGCGCCAAGTCACTACCACCCCGACGTCGCCCGCTCTCCCTACCTCCTCCCCCCTGCCTCCCTACCTCCTCCCCCCTGCCTCCCTACCTCCCCCCCCCAGGTCGCATTCACCATGGACGGCCCGCACGGCCTGCTGGCATACCTGGGGACCGTGCTGGAGAGGAAGGTGGTGTGGGGGAGGAGGGGGTGGGGGGGTGTAACGTGGCAAATCGTGCCGCAGGACATCGAGCGCGTTTCCTCTTGTGAGGAAGGGGTGTCGAACAGGGGGTTGGGGACTGGGGCCGCATGCAGCCGTACCCGCGTGCTGCCTGTACGGAAGATCCACCCCCCTCTCAACCCGCCTGCCCGTCTGCCTGCCTGCCCGCTTTCCTGTTCCCTTCCCCGCACTCTGTCCCGCACCGACCCTGCGGCACTCCCCCCCCCGCTCCCTCCCCCAGGGCCATGCGGTGGTGTGCGTTGCAGAGGGAGCGGGCCAGGACCTCATCCACGGAGGAGGAGGAGGTGGAGGTCACATGGACCCCGCCTTCTCCGCCTTCCCCGGCTGGGGGGGCGGTAACCATGCGGCGGCGCCGGTGGTGGTCAAGGATGCGCTGGGTGGGATGGGGGTGGGTGGGTGGGGGGTGGGTGGGTGGGTTGGGGGTGGGTGGGTGGGTGGGTCTCCTCTAGTGTCTCCTCTACCCCGGTCTCCTCTAGTGTCTCCTACGTACCAATCCTCACTGCATCCCTCCTACTTATCTCTTACCGTATATATCTCCCTTGTCTCCTACTCTCCTCTTTCATGTGTCATGCCCCCCCCCTCCTACCCCCTTCCCCTCTGTCCCCGCCCCCGCCCCCAGGCAACCCCGTGCTGCATGACATCGGTGTCTACCTCAAGACGCGCTTCAAACTGCACTTCAAGGAGGCGGCGGAGGTGGGCGGGCGAGGGGGAAAAATATTGAGTTATGCGTAGCAACGGAGTCCCTATCCCGAAGTCCCTCCCTCCTCATGCGGGCGGGAGGAGGAGGGAGCCGGAGGGGAGGAGGAGGATGGGGGGGGCAGGGGTGCTGTGGGGCGACCTAGACAGGAGGGGGCCGGCAGGTGGGCGAGGGGGCTCAAGAGATACCTGCTGCGGCTGCGGCTGCTGCTGCGGCTGCTGCTGCGGAAGCTGCGGAAAGGAGGAGGTGTTAGGGGGTAAGTAGTAGTGTAGTTTGTAGTTGTCCTACAACCCCAACCCGCTCTTCCCTCACCCCCTCACCCCCTCCAGGTGAAGTACATCGACCCCACTTACATGATCCGCACCACCCCCTGCAACTCGCTGGACCACATCTACGCGCGCGTGCTGGCACACAATGCGGTGGACGCGGCGTTCAGCGGTGGGGCGGGGGGATGGGGCGGGGGGGGGAGGGGAAGGGGAAGGGAAAAGGGAGGAGAAAGTAGAAGTAGAACCATTGAATGAGGGCAGACAGGCTGGCGTGCGGGGAGGGAGGGCTGGGTAGCGAGGAGGGGGCAAACCACTGGGTGGTGGTAATGGTGGTGGTGGTGGTGGGAGGGCGGGGGCGAGGGCAGGCGGTTGCGACCGTCAGGGGGGAAGGGGCGGGTCGTTGAGTCGCACTGCTGCATGCCTGCTGCCCCTGCACCGCGTGATGCCCGCCTCCCCCTCCTCCCCATTCGGGCAGGGCGGGCTGGTCCGGCTACCATGTTTGCACCCTATGGCGAAGACTTGTCGTACAGCTTGCCTCAATTGCCACGTCAGTTCCATCCTGATTACCCCCCTCACCCTCCCGCCCCCCCCCCCAGGCTTCACGGGTGTGACGGTGGGCATGTGTAACAACCACCACGTGGTGCTGCCCATCCCGCTGGTCACCCAGGCGCCCCGCCGGGTGGACCCCTGGGGCAACGCGTGGAACCGCCTGCGGGCGGACTCGGGGCAGCCCTCCTTCCACCCGCCACCCACCTCGCCGCCACCCAGCCCCCTACCCTCCCTCGCCTCATCCGATGAAGACCTGGCCGCCTCCTCCTCGATCTCCGCCTCCTCCACTCTCTCCTCCGCCTCCTCCGCCTCTTTGTCCAACAGCAGCGATGACGGCGGCTCCCTGTCCACTCTCTCCTCCGCCTCACCCGCCTCCTCCATGTCGCTGGCTGATGCAGCGGCAGGGGAGGCGGGCGCAGCACCCCCACCCGCAGCAGCGGCACCCGCCAGCTCATCCCCCCCACCGGCCCCTCCTGTGTCTTCAGCGGGTGTGCAGGAGGTGCATGAGGAGCAGAAGGAGGCGCAGCGAGCAGCAGCAGCCGCATCAGCGAGGGATGCGGACGACGTGATGACCTCCGTCAACTCGGAGCCGGGCGGTCCGCATCTGCCGGCGGAGGTACCGGCAGCGGCGCTAGCGGCGGCAGCGGTGGCGGCAGGGGACGGCAGCAGCAGCAGCGGTGCGGGAGGAGCCGGGGTGCCCGGTGGGGGTGACAGTGGTGGCCAGGTGGCGCCGGGCGGTGTGGGGGCGGCAGAGGTGCGGGCGGAGGGGTTGCCAGGCGGTGGGGGGCCGGGTGGTCTGGGGGCGGGGATGGGAGCGGGACCGGAGTTGCCCTGGCCCTCGCCGCCCCCGCTGACGTCCCAGGGACAGTGGCAGGGGCAGTGGAAGCAGCAGGAGGAGGGGGCGATGGGCGGATCGTGGGGAGGCAGCAGCCGCAGCAGCAGCAGTATGGACGCGGGGCAGCTGGGGCAGCAGGGGCAGCAGGGGATCGCGGCAGCAGAGGTGGTGGGAGGAGGAGGAGGCGAGGGAGACGGAAGCAGGTCGGCGGCGGAGGCGGCGGGTGAGGAGGTCAGGCAGGCGAGCGAGAAGGAGGCAGCAGCGGCGACAGCAGCAGGCCCTGAGAGCTCGGGATGTAAGGCCGGCGGCGGCAACGGCGACAGCAGCAGCAGCAGCAGCAGCAGTAGGAAGGGTGCCAACTCATCATCCTCGCCCGCACTGGGGCTGCTGGGTGCGGCCGTGCATGCGGTGGTCCGCGCGGCAGGGGCCGGCAGCAAGGGCAGCAGCAGCAACAACAAGGGCAGCAGCAGTGGTGCTGGTGGCGGCGGTGGTAGCAGCGGTGGTGATGATGCTGCCGACACGTCTCGCTCTGCTGCTGCTGCGGCGGCGGCTGCGGCGGGTCAGTCGGCGGCTCCATCGGCGGGCGGTGGTGCTTCAGGGCAGTCCCGCAGGTCGTCCCCCTCCTCCTCCCCCTCCCCCTCCGCCTCCCCCTCCTCGCGGCGGACCCGACTGCCCCGGCAGTGGCCGCCCGTGTCGGCACCGCGACCCGAGGAGGAGAGCTCCTCCGAGTGAGATGGGACCGGAGGGCAGGGCACGGAGGGTAGGGAGGGGCTGTCTGTCGTTGCTTTGCTGCGCTGCGTCACAGCGGCTTTCGTTGCTGTTGGTGTTGTTGGGGGTTGCCGCGGTGGCGGGCTGGCTGGCTGGCACACCTGCCTGCTGGGACACTGGCTGGCTGGTTGGGTGTGGGTTGGTGTGCCGGAGGGCATGCAATACATGTGGGGCAGTGGGGCAGTGGGGCAGTGGGGGGCAGTGGGGGTAGGTACTGGCTGAGGTCGGTGGTGGTACGTTGTAGCCTGCGGCGCTGGCTGTACCTGTATGGGGTCGTGGCAGCCTGCTGGGCTGAGGGCTGGGGGCAATGACACACATACACGCAGCGGAACCTGTGCTGGTAGGTGGCCCCGCGAGGGATGTGAGGAGGTGTTGGCGAGTTGGCAGGTTGGTTGTTGTCGTTGGTGGTCCCGGTGAAACGCGTGGTACCAGAACATTATGTTGTGGTGCTTACGTTGCTTTGTGTGCGTGGGTTTGGAGGAGGTTGCGTTCCGGTAGTGGTATGGGAAACATGGCGCAGGGCGGATGTAGTCCGCTGGCGCAAAAGGGGCACGATGGGTGCGGTTGGGTTTTCTGTTGTGTTGATGTGGCGAATTGGAGCAGTAGGACTTGCTGCGGTTTGTTTGTGACCTGGCTGACTGCTGCTGCTGTTGTCGCATTGCACGCAGCGTCGATTGATCGGTTGGACTTGCTTTTGCGGCGCAGGTTGCTAAAAGGGTTGCTTGTGTTTAGGATACCGGTACCGGTATCTTGAGGACCGGTGAGGGTAGTAAGGCCGTGGAGGGAGAGAGCCGTTCAGCCTTGCGCGCATGCACGCATCAGGAGTGCATTTCTTGCCCGCCGGGGGAACGGAGTTGGCATCACATACAGGAGTGGAAGCGGGAGAATGAAGAGCAACAAAGCTTCTGCTCTAGCTGTCTTAAGCTGCTGTTGCCGGAACCACCTAAGGAACAGGGCCCCCACATCTCCTCAGCCCGCCACGCCCCCATCGGATTGCAGACTCCCAGGGCAGGCTCGCCCTTCCTTCCCACAACAGTAATAGTATCCCAATCCAGTAAGCCCGCCGAAATGCCGCTGTGTTGCGCCCGGACCAAGCAAAGCCCATACATCTCCGCAGCCCTCCACATCACTCCATCACTCCTTCCCCCCACTCCACTCCACTCCACTCCACCCCCACTCCACTCCACTCCACCCCCACTCCACCCCCCGCCTCCCCCTCACAGCTCCATCCAGGCCAGCCAGGACAGCACCGCCGCCGCCAGTCCCGCCATGTAGGCGCTGAGCACCACTTGGCGCTGCGTGGGGGGACACACGTCCTCCACCTGCCGGGGGGGGGGGCAGCAGGGAGGGAGGGAGCAGGAGGGAGGGAGGGGAGAACAAAGGCTTAATGAAGCAACGGAGTCCCGGTCACGTATTGAGACCCCGAACTGGGATGCATTGAGCGCACAGGGAGGGGAGCAAGGAAGGGGATTGTGAAGCAGGGGAGGCGTACGCACCCCGGACACCGCATCTATCTTCATTCACGGGGAGGCACCCGAACACTCACCATCAAGCCGTCAATATCTCCCTCCTCATCCTGCTCCTCGTGCTTGGTCGCCTTGCGCGCCCCGCCTGCCGCTGCCGCCGCAGTTGCTGCTCTGCTGCTCCCCGCGCCCCTCTCCTGCTGACCATGACCCCCCGGCTGATTCGCTGCTTCCTGGCTGCTGCTGTTGCTGTTACTGCTGCTGTTGCTGTTGCTGCCTGCCTCCGCCCCTGTCGCCGAGCGGGTGTAGCGCACTCGGTATTGTGGTCCCGCGCCGTACGTGAGCACCATGCCTGGGGGAAGGGGGAATGGGGGAGGGGGGAGAGGAGGGATACAGGGTTGCGTTAACCCGCATGCATGGGCCAACGAGGGCGTTTCGTCTGTTGAAAGGAGGAGGGTGCTGGGTGGCAATTGGAGCTATCCTGCTAGTGCAATGTGAGCACCTTGTAAGCAGCAACCCGGGAAGCTACGGCGTGCCGTGTCGTGTCCTCGTACTAACGGACCTACATGCAGCACCAAGCCCCCCGCACCAAGCCCCCCACCCCTACCGCACCACCACCACCCACCGCCCCCCCTACCCGACCAGAATGACGCCACCAGACCGATCCAGGAGGCGCTGCCGCTGGCGTCACCAAAGTCGAGCAGACCCTGTGGGGATGGGGAGGGTGATGAGGGAAAGAAACTGAGGAGCTGTGCGAAGAGGCTTTACCACATGGGGGGGTGCAGCCGGGGGAGCGGAGCTGTGAGGGGAGGCCGACGGGGGAAGTGGTGATGCTGGTTTCGGTATCGTGTTTCCATGGACGGGAAAAACGCGAGGTGGCGTTACGAGGATTAGCAACAGGAACAGCAACCATTCCTACGCGCCATCATGCTTCACTTCTTCCCTCTACCCCCCTCCCCCTCACCTCCCACGCATTGTCATACAGCTCGTCAATCCCTCATCAGTTTCCTCCTTCTGGTTTTGTTGATGTATCTTATTTATCTTATTTCCTTTCTACCCCCCCCCCCCACCTCCCCCGCCAGCACCAGCGCCACCAGCACGTTCAGCGCGCCCCTCGCCGCCGCACTCAGCCGGCTGTGCAGCGTCACACTCAGCCCCGGCAGCAGCTCCACCTCCGTGTCCGCGTCCTCCAAGGAGTCCAGGGAGGAGGAGAGCGGCTGGGGGGGAGCAGGAGGGAGCAGGAGGGAGGGAGCAGGAGGGGGGAAGATAAGGAAATCGAAGAACTGTACGGGGAGGATGGAGGGGGGGCAGGGGAGGGGAAGCTTGGTGGGGGAGCAGATGGTGGGTTGTAAGCATGGGGGTACGGGAGGAGGGCAGCAGCGGAGGAAGAGCGGAAGGGTGCGGAGGGCAGTAGCAGCTGGCAGCGAGGTGGACAGGGACTGCGGTGTGGCGGTGGGCGGGTGGCTCAGCAGAACAGCAGCAGGGCAGGAGGGCAGGTCGGACTCACTCCCTCCCTGTCCTAGTATCCCGCATCCTTCCCCAAAGCATCCGCCCTCCTTCCCCATCCCCCTCCACACTCACCGGCGGTTGCTGCCCCTCATCACCCTCACCGCCCTCCCGCATCCCGCCCTCCCCCTCCCTCCCCTCCGCCGCCCCCACTCCATCCAGCAACAGCCTCCGTCGCCTCCTCACCGCCTCCCTCGCCCCCTCAATCCGCTCCTCCAGCCCCAAATTCCGCACGTAAAACGCAGCCAACGCGCCCACCATGCCCGCCGCCGCATTGGCCGGACCCCCCGTCACCGGCACCTCACTCAACACCGCATCCGCTAGCCCCCCGCTCATCCCCGCCAGCCAATACACCGCCCAGAACAGCCCCGGCCCCAGCAACGCCTCCGTCTCCGCGCCCACTGTCAGCAGCGTGGCGAGCTGCATGAACAGCTCCAGGGGGGAGCCGCACACGAAGCCCGCGGTGGCCAGCCGGGGCACCTGCCCGGAGGCCACTGCCAGGTGGTCGTTGACCAGACCGTCCACCAGGTGGGAGGCGGCGATGTCACCCTGGGGGCGGCGGGGGGAGGGGGGGTGAGGGTGAGGTGAGGTGAGGTGGGGTAAGGGTTGTTACTGGTGGGTTGGGTCCTGCAGTGGTCCTGGGCTGCTAGTAGCTGGAGACACACGGGGGGGGGGGCCGCACAGGCGCTGCACAATCCCAACCGGGCCGCCAGCAGCCAGCAGCCAGCATGCAAGGACAGCAGCACCCCTAGAGTCGCCGCTATGCGGATGGTAGACGTGGTTGACAGCTGTGCTCTCCTCTTCCTTCCCCCCGGCACCCACTCTCCAGCCCCCAGCACCCAACCACCCCCACCCCAGTCCTCACCTCTGTGGCCTGCAGCCAGGCGGTGGCCAGGTATACAACGATGAAGCAGTAGTAGATGACGTACACGTACACCGGCCGGACCTGCGGGCAGCAGCAGCAGCAGCCGCAGCAGCAGCAGCAGCGGGGCAGCGATAGCGGGCACGAGGCGGGAGGTGGGGAGGTATCATGGGCCGCCGTGGGTGTCCGCATGGAGGGGCTGCCCTAGATGGCTTGAAACTGTTGCCATCCGTACGCCACCCGTGTTGCCATGCACATGGAGAGTGCATTCAGGGAGCTGGGAGGGCCGATGCTTCGTAGTAGCATGAGAAGGGCCCCGTGCAGAGCCCCCTCCTGAAAGTAGCTTACATCTCCCGCGGCAGGCGGGGGCAGCTGTCTCTGCCCAAGCGGCAGCAACCCCGACAACACCGGGTGGCCATTCCGACCAGCTGTACGGCACTGCAGCCAACGCTCACCCGTTTGGGACCTGCCAGCGGCGCACGTCGCCTGCGCTCCTCCGGATGTGGTAGTGGGCCTGTTTGCGGATAGCGAGTAGTGGCAAGGACTGAAGTACTTGTACTGCATTGTCGCGCAGCTCGGGTGGCTTAAACAGCGCAAAGGTGCTGCTGGCACTGACCCACGGTCCCAACGCAGCAGCAGGTTGGGTCGTTCAAATGCTCCGTTTCATGGAAGCCACACAACCCTTTAGGGCTTTGGCATTAAGCCGCTACTAGCCTCCGGTGCCCAGTCAAGCGGTGACTGGAGCTACGGTTGGTTACAATGGCAAGCAAGCAAGCAATAAGGACGCACCTTCTTCGTCGTCATCATCAGTTCCCAGGATGCTGTCCAGTGACTTTATCGTCTCATTTGGAGAGTTCGGGCCGGCTGGACCCCTAGCGGCCGCACACGTTCTAGCCCATTGGGTCGGTCGCGTCGCCCGGTGTGCTAAGCTGAACCGCTGCCTACATGCATACAAGCCTTTTGTCGAAGTCCCTCTAAAATTTACAATGCGACTCGTAGGGACGAATGACAGCGTCGGTGTTTGCGTGTTTAGCCAAGCCCTGTCCTTATGTTTCATGGGCAACGCTTCATCAACTCGTCTGTATTAAGTTCAAGACGCATCAAGTAGATATATAGTTAATATGAAGTCCAATTAGCTAAAATGAACTGGCGAAGGGCTTCGACGCATAACAGCGTCGTCATCTTCCGATAAGAAAGATCGCAAATTCCACGCGCGCCACACACAACGCAAGCAGCCGAGCAAACACCCACAGCTATCATCACAGGTATCGCGTTCTCTAACGCGCACAACAGCATGACAAATTCCGTTGTTGTACGTATGCTTGCACCGATGTCGCATACCGGTACAAGTCGTTCCCTTTTTGCCAACGCTCGCAGCAAGCCAGCAAACCACATACAGCCGGGTAGCCCGAGGCACTCTCGCAGCTCACCTCCGGCGTGGGGTGTCAGGTGTGTCATCTCTACAGACCAACTGCCTGGATGGCTAGCCTCTGATTGTCATCTAGCCTTGCAGGGGCAGCTCGGCTCCTCATCGACCTCGGCTCCCCCACCGGCCACACGACCTGCCCAGTGACAGCGCCGCCGCTGACGACCTCATCCGGCAGGTCCGCAGGCAGCACGGCTTCAGTCGCGTGGTGGCGGGGCGGGGGCTGCAGCGGGGGGACACACTCGTCATGGACATGCAGGTGGGGGTAAGAAATAAAATAAGTGAAACAACAAGTCCCAGTTCCGGGGTGGGGTGGGTGGGATGAGTACGGTAAAACCGTCAGCTTCGCCGGCATTCTTCGACGTTCTATTTCTTCCTATCTTTACACCACCTCCATTCCCCTCGCACCTCCAACCCTGCTTCCCCCCACCCCGCCTCGTAACCCCTCGTTTCCTGGGTGCCCTGCTGCTTGGAACCTGGCCAGTGCTGTTGCACTCCAACTAACTTGCACTCCAGGCTACCGGTAATTCGGGCCGCGCCCAGACATTCGGGGCAGAGCATTCATGCAAACTAAACCCACGATTGTTCTGTTACGGGACGTCTGGGTGCTACACCAGCACGCTCCCCATTTTACTTGTATACCGGTGTTTATCTCTGAATGACATGGGCCTCAGTGGGGCCCTCCTACTGATAGAACAAATCACAGGGCACATGGGCCCCACAAGTCACCCAGAACCAGCACATGTAGGGCAGGATAATCGAACCGCAGTCAAGGCTGTGCGCTGGACTCCTTATACCGGTACCGTTCTAGTGCACAGTGACGTGCATGGCACACGTTTTAGATACCAAGCTGCACGCGCGCGCGGGCGCACGAATGCCGGCCAACGGCAGGCAACGCCTTCTGGGTCCAAGGTACGCGGATGCGTCAGCACTAGTGGGCACGCTGGCGGCCCGGCACCACCACACACACGGTCTGTAGAGATGCATGCATGCCTTCCGGTGTCAAGAGTCAGGATCACCTCCCCATCGATTCTCCCCCTCACATCTACCCTCCAGTAACTGCCAAGAAAACAGCACCTCACCAAATCTACCACACGAACCCCATGCAATCTACAGCAGTCATTGCAAACCCAAGGCCGCTACCCTCCCCAACACCTTATTCCACCACCCCACACCCCTCTACCTCCCTATCATCACCCCCCCCTCTCTACCATCCTCCCCTCCCTTCCCCCCAAACTGCTCTCTCCTCCTGCCCTCATCACGCCGCCCCCGCCCCCTTCTTCAGCTCCCCCACCAGCGCCGCCTGCGCCTCCCGCGGCACCGCCGAGTGGTGCGAGTACTCCATACTGAACTCGCCCTTGCCCTGCGTGGCGGAGCGCAGCGCGGTGGAGTAGCCAAACATGTTGTTGAGCGGCACGTGGCAGGTGATGACGGTGTCGTCGCCCATGCTGCCGCTGTCCAGGATGAGGCCCTTGCGCCGGTTGATGTCGCCCATGGTGGCACCTGGGGGGGAGGGGGGAGGAGGGGGGGGGCGGGGGGGTGAAAAGATAGGAAACGAACGAGCTGTATGAAGAGGTTTCACCATGGATTGCTATACTGGACCCAGCCCATCCCACCCCACCAGAAGTGTTGGGTGGGGTGGGGGCGAGGAGGGTAAGAAGGTTGGTGAAGGGGGAAGAGTGAAGATTACGGAAATAGGCACTAGGCAGCAGGCAAGGACACGGAGAGAGAACAGGCATACAGCAAAGGCAGAGCGGACCCGGGAGTGTCATGGGGCGGTGGGCGGTGTGTTGGGGACAAGCAGCGCCCCTCCCCCTCGCCTCTCCGAATGCGCTCACTGCATGAGTCGGGATTCGGGATTGGGACTGCGTTGTTGCACTTATTGATAACTTTCCCCCTCGCCCTCTGTCCACCCCCCACCCCCTCCAACCATGCACCGCACCCACCCTGGTACTCCGAGGGCACGGTGATCTCCACCTTCATGATGGGCTCCAGCACGATGGGGGAGGCAAGCGCGTAGGCGGCACGGAAGGCCTGCAAGGGAGGGGGAAGGGAGGGGAGGGAGGGAGGGAAAAGCAAGGGGTTAGGAGGCGAGAGAGATGCTGGCTAGGGGCCCGGTACGGCATTTATTGGCTTGCATAGGGCCCTGCATGGAAGCACCTCCCCCCCCATGTCCCTTCCCCCCCGCCTCCCCCCTCCCTTGCCCACCTGCACTGCTGCGATCTTGAAGGCCATCTCGCTACTGTCCACTGCGTGAGCCGCACCGTCCGTCAGGACCACCTTGACACCCTGGGGTGGGGAGGGGAGGTGGGGGGAGGGGAGGGGTTAATAGGGATGAAGATTCCGCATGAAGCTGGATAGTAGTGTAAGCATATAATTGTTGTCGTTAGGTAGTAAGTAAAAGCAATCGTCAACAAACCGGGGAGGGGGGTGGTGGTCAAAGACCATACCAAACCATAGGAAACCATAGGTGGGTGGGGGGTGGGGCGGGGAGTGAGCAGACAGACACGTCATGCAGTGTAACGCCAGCTTCGTGGGTTGGGTATAGCCTGGTTGGACTAGTCAACCGAGCTGTCGGGTTCCTGGTTACCACAATCCCTCCCCTGTCACTTGAAACGGGTTGCCTTCTTCCCCCTCTCCTCTCCTCTCCTTCCTCCCTCCCCCCTTGCTACAACACCACTCACATACACGGGCGCCCCGATGAGCGCTCCGCTGTTGGCCGCCTCCACAAAGCCCTTCTCGATGGCCGAGTGGAACTCCGGCGGAATGGCGGTGCCCACCAGCTTGTTCTCGAACTCAAACGTGACGGGACTGTCCTCCGGCAGCGGCTCGATCCAGCCTGGGGGGGGGGGAAGGGGGAGGGGCAAGGGAGAGAGGGAGAGAGGGGAAGAGGAGCAGCTTCGTTATTGCTATGAAGACCACCCCCTCGCCCCTCATCCCCACCCCACAGAGGAGCCTGGTCACCCAGTTCCCCCCTCCTTACACCACCTCCTCTCCCTCACACTTCCAACCCTGCTTCCCCCCACCCATCCCCCCACCCACCCCATCCCCCCTCCCCGACTCACCCACCACCTTGCCGTACTGTCCCGCCCCCCCGCTCTGCCGCTTGTGCAGGTAGTTGTAGTCCGCCTGGCAGGTGATTGCCTCGCGGTAGTTCACCTTGGGCTTGCCCACCTCGCAGGTCACCTTGTACTCGCGGCGGATGCGCTCGATGTACACCTCCAGGTGCAGCTCGCCCATGCCGCTCACAATGATCTCACCCGTGGCGCTGTTGCTGCTCACCTGCGGGGGGGGGGGGATTACATAAGTGAAACAACGAGTCCCAATCCCATATCCCGACTCATGCTCATGCGGGGGGTGGGGAGGAGGGGGGGGGAGGTGGATAGGTGGTGGCGAGGGAGGGAGGAGGCGGAGGAGAGGGAGGTGGCGCTCCTCATCCGCGCACTCCACTCACCACGTGTACCGGTAGGTGCACCCCGGCCCCCCGGGTAATGCAACCGTATGATGCAACCCGTAACCCATATCGGAGCCTTGCCTCATAATTCGTGCCGGCAGTTGGTGTCTCACCCTTTACCTCTCCCCCCCTCCCTCTCCACCCTCCCCCTCCCCCCTCCCTCTCACCCGGAAGGTGGGGTCCTCCTTTTGGAAGCGCTGCAGCGCCTTCATGAAGGTGGGGAACTGCTCGGCGCTGGTGGGGGTGAGCGCCAGAGACATGACGGGCTCGGGAACCTGGGAGGGGAGGAGGGGGAGGGGGGTGGGGGGAGGGTAAAAACAAGGCAACTGACGACCTGTTAAGACAAGGCTGGAGGGGGCAGGAGGGAGGGAGGAAGTGGATGGAAGGGGTCTAGAGGAGGGCCCAGGGGCAGGAGGGGAGGTGTGCGAGCGGGAGCCTGTGATGTGTCCCCCACCCAGCCTCCATCCAGCTGCTGACAGACGGCTGGACCCCCATAGCATTCAAATACCCGACTCAACCCGACTTCCCAGGATCCCTAATACGTTATACCCCCCTTTGACCCCCGCTCCACCCCCCCCACACACAACCCCGCTCTCCCCCCTCCCGCCCCCGCCCCCCACCTTGATCGACGTCATGGCCATCCGGACTCCGTCCGTGAGCGTGTCGCCGCTAGCGCAGTCCATGCCAAACACCGCCACGATGTCACCCGCGGCGGCGGACGAGATGTCCTCCATCTCGTTGGAGTGCATGCGAACCAGGCGGGGCACGCGGACCTGCAGGGAGGGAGAGGGAGGGGCGGGTTGAGGACTGGAGCTTAGGAGCGGTCACATTACTTGGGGAGCGACATGGGGAGGCGGGGAGAGGCAGCCGCCTCCCACGTGGAGCTCCTGGCCTTGTCTCACCAGCCTCCCTCCTCCGCCTCCTGCTTTCCACCCCGCCCTGCCCTCCTGGTTGCGAATACGGTACACGTTGCCCCCCCACCCCCGCCCTCTCTCCAGGTAAGTTGCCCCCACCCCAGCACCATTCGGGATTGGGACTCCGTTGATGCATTTATCTATATTTTTACCCCCGGCCTCACCTTTTTGTTGGAGCTCATGTTGACAATGGTGTCGCCCTTGCGCAGCGTGCCGCTGTAGATGCGCACGTACGTCAGCTGCCCGTACTTGCCCTCCTCCAGCTTGAACGCAAGGCCCACGAAGGGGCCGCTGGGGGAGCAGGGCAGCGCCAGGCGGGACTCGTTGGCAGACAGGTCCAGAGCCTGGGGGGTTGGGGGGGGGGTGGAGGGAGAAGGTGGGGGGAGGGGAGGAGAGGGGGGTGTTGAGCAACTAACGAAGCTTGATTAGATGCATGCACTCCTACCCTAACAAAAGGGGCATGCCGCCTCAACAGCAGCCGCCCTGCCCCCACCCCGCCTCCCTCCTCCCCCTCCCTTCGCCTCCCTCACCTCGTTCACCACCTCCGTGGGGCAGGGCAGGTAGTCCAGCACGCCGTCCAGCAGCGGCTGCACACCTGAGGGGTGGCGCGGGGGGGCAGGGGGGCAGGAGGGGGCAGCGGCGTGGGCAACATGGTAAAGCAGCGGGACGCACGGGAAATGTGTACAAGACAGAGAACCCACAGGAAAAGGAAACACATGCAAGGGCGGTCTAGAACTTGCTCAGCAACTGGCAACAGGAGCGGATCAAGTGACCGCCGTGCCTGACCCCCATCCCTCACCCCACCCATCCCTCCCTCCCTGTGTGAAGCCGTGTCATACAGCTTGTCAGTTTCCTCTTTATCCCTCCCCTCCCCCCTCCCCCCTTCTTCCTCCCCCCACCCACCCCTGTTCTTGAACGCGCTGCCCATGAAGACCGGCTGGAACTTGAGGGCCAGGGTGGCCCGCCGGATGGCGTCACGCAGCTCCTCGCCGCTCACCGGCTCCTCCGCCAGGAACTTCTCAGCAAGCTCGTCGTCAACCTGGGGGTGGGGGGGTTGGGGGGGAGGAGGGGGGATTGTAGGGGAGAGCATAATGTGCTTAAAAGGGAGAGTACTGGGCAATGCCCCTCCTTACAGTTCGTTTCTCTCTAAACCCTCCCTTGCCACAAGGTTAGCTTCTGCCTCCTTTCCCGTGCCTTCCCAATGCCGCCCTTCCCTCGCGTCGAAGTTGTCCCCTAGTGTTGCCACCACCATCCAACGCATGGCTCCTCTTCCCCCCCTCACCTCGCTGACCCGTTCCCCACCCAAAGACCATCCCCTCCCCCCCCTCACCTCGCTAACCCGCTCCAGCAGCTCCATGCGCCGCGCCTCCATCTCCTCAACCAGCCGCTCGGGGACTGGGGCCTCCACCACCTGGGCAGGGGGGGAGGCGAGGCAGGGAAGGTAAGGGAGGTTTGTAAGAGGAGAGGGAGGGCGGGGTGTGGAAGGCAACCCTCAGCAGCGGCCTAGGGGACTGAGCCGTGGATAGCACCACGATGTGAGGCGGCTTCACCGGTCCAACGTCTCAATACCGCGGCTCAGCTGTGGCAACCAATTCCACCCCACACCACCACCTCCCCCCGCCCGTCTTCTTTCTTTCCCCTCACCTTCTCCCCCTTGGGTCCCCCTCACCTTCTCCCCCTTGGGTCCCCCTCACCTTCTCCCCCTTGGGTCCCCCTCACCTTCTCCCCCTTGGGTCCCCCTCACCTTCTCCCCCTTGGGTCCCCCTCACCTTCTCCCCCTTGGGTCCCCCTCACCTTCTCCCCCTTGGGTCCCCCTCACCTTCTCCCCCTTGGGTCCCCCTCACCTTCTCCCCCTTGGGTCCCTCGAACAGGTACGCCTTCCGCCGCACCAGGTCCACCACACCGTTGTGCTGGTCCTCCAGGCCAATGGGCATCTGAGGGGGGAGCGGGTGGGAGGGGGAAGAAGAAGGGTTGACCAATGGGTTGATTGATGATGGCAAACGCGGTGACAATCGTGACATGCTGAGCGGGAGGGTGAGGGTGCCGGGGTGAGAGAGCGGGGTTACCGGTACCATCAAATCCATGTGGGTCGGAGGGCCCGGGACTGACATCCGCCCAAAGAGTGGAGGCGACCCAAAACCCATTCCTCGCCCATTTCCCCACCCAATTCTAGACCCGCCTTGCCCACTCTGCTGCCCTCCCCATCCCACCTCCCCGGCTGCCCCCACCTGCACCGCGGCCGCGTTCAGCTTGAGCTTGTCCCGGGCCATCTCGATGCAGCGCCAGGGGTTGGCGCCCGCGCGGTCCAGCTTGTTCACAAACACCAGCCGGGGCACGTTGTACCTGGGGGGGAGGGGGGGGAGGAGGGCAGGGGGAGGGCAGCGGGAGGAGGGCAGGAAGCAGCGGGGTGTGAGGAGGCGTGGTGACCAGCTCACATGCAGCATGGTACCGATATGAGCCGCCCACTTGTACGATACCCCCAGGCGCCCCTCCACCCTCACATTGCCCCTCCCCTGCTCCCCATGCTCCCCTCCCTCCGCCTCCTCCCTCGCCGTCCCTTCCCTTCCCCTTTCCTGCCCCCATGCCCATGCTACTCTTCTCTTCCCCCACCCCACCCCACCCCCACCCCCATCCTCGCCCCGTACCTCTTCATCTGTCGGTCCACGGTGATGGACTGGCTCTGCACGCCACCCACGCTGCAAAGCACCAGTACGGCGCCGTCCAGCACTCGCAGCGCGCGCTCCACCTCGATGGTGAAGTCCACGTGGCCGGGGGTGTCGATGATGTTGATCTGGGGAGGGGTGGTGCAGGGAGAAGGAGGGGAGGGAGGGGGAGATGGAAGGAGGCAGGATGTGTGCGGAGGGTGGAAGTCCGGTGGTGGGGTGGGTCAAAGGGCCGTCAGCGCAGCATGGGCGGGTGGGAGGGCTAGTGCCCCAGCGGTTTGATGCAAGTGGGCGCCGGGCGCTGGGATGTATATGTTAGATCCACCCACCTGCTTGTCCTTCCAGCCGCAGTAGGTGGCAGCGGACTGGATGGTGATACCCTTCTCCCGCTCCAAATCCATGCTGTCCATCTTGGCTCCGACGCCATCCTTACCGCGCACCTGCGGTGGAAAGGGAATAGCTGAAATAAAAAGCAGTCTAGCAGCACGGTTGGTGCAGCGCGGTTACAGCCACAGCATGCGCACCTCGTGGATTTCGCGGATGCGCCCGGTGTAGAATAGAATGCGCTCCGTAAGGGTTGTTTTTCCCGAATCAATATGAGCGGATATACCTATGTTCCTAATAGTCGATAGGGCCTTTTGTTCCTCCTCTGTAACAGGAGACAGCGCCGTCGAAAGGCATCGGCTAAGCCAGCAATCAGGTTGGCCAGCCGCAGCAGCCCAGCTGAGGCGGTTTGCGTGTCCGTTCAGCTGACCATATGCGGCACTTAGAAGCTGGCATCTACGACCAAAGCCCAAGGAAACCAACTTCGCGATGGAGCGACCCATTTGTCGTGAGGTTGACGGCGCTAGGCCGCCGTAAGGAACTCAAACAATACGGATTAGCTTACGTTACATGGGATGTTTTAAATGTAATCAAAGTTCCGACGGCGCCAAGTCTGCTAAGGGTAGACTAAAGGCTGACCGTTTTGCACGACAGCTGTAACTTCCAATTACTGAGTGCGTGGCGCACCTGCAACGTATACATACGCAATTAAACGAAACGTCACTTCAAACCTTTGGACGGCTGGTAGGTAAAACCTTGCCAGCGCGCGGAAACAATCCAGCCAACCTACCCTTTAGGCAAGCACACGGAGGCAGCATCGTAAAGCAGGCTAACGAAACAATATATCCCTTATCCGACCTCCCGACTTATTACTTGGGACCACTCGAAAAAGTTCCGTGTTACCCATCCATGCCATCCATGCAATGTCCTCTGCGAAGATACAACCGTCACGTCCCTCCAATCTAATAGCATTAGCGACTGCAGCTACAAACCCAACAACGTGGGCAGCCAAAATGTCCAAACACAAAATGCTGCACCAAAAACGGCAGTTCGTTTCGAATTGTTCTCATTCCGAACTTAGCATCCCTCCTCAAGCATCCGAACTTCAGTCATGCAGCCAAACGTAACCGGCCTACGACGCCCCTTTACCACAGCATACAGGACAAGCATGGCAGCCCTCTACCCATGCCCCCATAACCCCTATACATCGCCAACCGTACACTCATCCTTATTCCCCCAACCAGTAAGACCGTAAACACGACCGCCATGCGTCCCCGCTCCTCCTTTCCTCCCACTTCACACTGCTCTGCACGCAGTCGCCAGCGCCAGCGGCAACAACAGGAACATGAGCAGCAGTCCCGCCATCAGCGGCTGCGGCCTCAGCAGCCACAGCCAGCTGTGTGCACCCCCGCTGCCGCCCCCGCCTGCCGCCCCCAGCGACAGCGGCGAGCCCCCCGCTGCGGCGCTCCGGGCCGGCAGGTGGCGACACAGCTTGCCAGCCAGCAGCTGCACGGGAGGGGGGCGGAGAGAGGAGGGGCAAAAGGATCCAATGGGTATGGACTATGGAGGGTGGGGGTAAAGATCCCAGTTACCAATGAGGCAATGACGGAAACCAGTGCAAGCAGGCCGCCCATGCAAGTACTGTGCAACCCAAGCGCGCTGGGGTAGACACCCTGTGCTTCATGGCACAATGGCATGAACACGGCCACCTACACACCCATCTTCCCGCCCCTCCCCTCGGCCCCTCCCCTCCGCCCCTCTCCTCCCGCCTCACCGCCGCCAGCAGCAGCGAGTGCGCCAGCAAGTGGAAGCCCAGGCAGCATCCCGCCTGGATCAGCAGGTCGCCCAGAGCCTGGAAACAGCACCCAGACAGGCACGAGAGGACAGGCAGGAGGCCAGGAGGGCAGTCAGACGGACAGCCGGGCAGGCAGCGGGCACATCACACGCATGCGGACAAGAGCGGACACATGCGCGGTTGGCACAGTTTCAAGAGGCGCGGCAAAAGGGGTCAAGCACATGAATCCCAAGAGTTCCCTACACACCCACCCAGCCAGCCACACACGTCCTCAGCCACCCACACACGCCCGCCCCCACCTGTCCGTACACAAAGGCCAGGTTGAAGAGCAGCGAGCTGGACTTGGTGACGGTCTCCGGGTGCTCCGAGCTGACGGAGCGCCAGGGGTTGGCGGCGGGGTCGGCCACGCAGCCGGGGCGGGAGGCCACGCGGTGCTGGTAGGGCTTGGGCCAGCGGTGACGTCTTTGGGGGGGGCGGGGGGCGAGGGGGCGAGGGGCGGGAAGGACCATACCGGTGTGAAAAGAGTGTAGGAAGAGCAGCTCGCAACGTGCATCCCTCTCCTCCTCCCGACCCTCTCCTCCTCTTCATCCTTCCCCCTTCCCCCCCCGCGCCCGCCTTTGACCCCTTTGCCCTAACCTCTGGTTTCCTATGGTTTGGTGTGGCCTTTCATCCCCTCCGCGCCCGCCCACCTGGACGCCAGCACAATGGGCTCCGAGGAGGCGGTGGCGTCCCAGGCAACCTTCTTGACCGCCGAGGTGCAGTGCGTCTCGCGCGGCAGGCAGGAGGAGTAGTTGTGCAGCCGCAGGTTGAGCGTGAGCGCGGTCTGCTCGTACAGGTGGTTGGCGCGCGAGTGGCCGGGCGGCGCCATGCAGTTGAGCGCGTCCAGCGAGCAGGCCACGGTGGGTTCGAGCACGAGCCGCTCCGAGGCGGCGCCCGCTACGAAACCTGACAGAGGAGGAGGGGCAGGAGGAGGAGGATGCAGGAGAGGGGTTAGGAGATGCAAGGAAGGGCGTGAGAGGGGTTAGATGCATGCAAAGGATGGCGGGCAAGGAGGGTGCAAAGGAGGGAGGATGCAAAGTGGTTGACTACGCAGCATGGGGATGTGAGTCCTGTGCCACAGGCGACTCTACAGCGTACCTTGCACCCCGGCTGCGCAGAAGGGCAGGTCCTTGATCCGCTCGTACTCCTGCTTGCTCAGTTTGAAGAACGGCACCTCGTACTGCTCCGTGTACGGAAAGTCCGAGGGTGACATGCTCTGCTGCGCGCTGACGTGGCCCTCGCGCGACAGCACCTCACGCAGACTGTCCAGCGGGGCGCGGACCTGGGACGGGAGGGGCGGGAGAGGGAGAGGGCGGGAAAAGAAGAGTACCCAATGTGAGGCAGGCAGGGAGGGAGGGGGAGGGGGAGGAGGCACAGGCAGGGATGCACACCGGTGAGCTGAGCTGAGCGAGTGGAGGCGCGGTGCCGTCATCCACGACCTGCAAGCCCTTCCCCACCTTCCCCACCCCCCATGTCTCGTCCACCCCTGTCCAGTCCCCCTCCCTCCACCCCCCGCCCCCCCCCACCTCCAGTCCGCAGTCCAGCCACATCATGACGGGGTGCCTGCTCAGCGCGTGCCGGAACACCAGCCCCTTGAAGGCGTAGGTGCTGATCTCGCGCACGTGTGGCGGGTAGTCCTCGTACGGGAAGCGCACCACGTCCACCCCCCGCCAGCACCGGATGGCCGCCAGCTGCTCGCTGGTGAAGCCCAGGTCGTATACCGTGATGGGGGTGTCGGGCGCCCAGAACTGGGGGGGGGGGGAGGGGGGAAGGCAGGCAGGGATGCAGGGATGCAGGCAGGAGAAGGAGATTGGGGCGGGGATGAAGGTGGGAAGGAAGGTTCACCAGGAGGTTTACCGGAGGGTCGCATGATGCATGCGTGCATGCATGCAACCCTCGATCTGTTTAATGGTGTTCAACATTGCCTCCGACAGTGGCCCCTCTCCTCCGCCCCCCCTCCCCCCACCACCACATCTCCCCACCTGCAGCGAGCCCACCAGGTTCTCCAGCCGGTCCATGAACGACTGCGTGCAGCCGCTGATGATGGTCAGGTTGGACACGTCAAAGGGGCCCGCGGGGTCCACAAACGGCTGCGGAGGCACGTAGTGCGGCGAGGCGGCGAACGGCCGCACCACCACCGCCCAGCGGGGGCAGGGAACCGCCCCCGGCAGGAACACCAGGAGGGTGAGGGCGAGCAGGAACCCGGCGACGCAAGCCCCCACGGCGTGCAGGATGAACTGAACGCGGGGCTGCGCCAGGGTGCGGCGGACCGCGGACTCCGCTGCCTCCCATGCGAGCGCCGCTCGCAGTCCGATGCCGTGCAGGGCCCGTGTGGCTGCATCCACCGCCAGCACCAGCCCCGCGGAGGCGGCAGACCGCAGCGACAACAGCCACAGCCAGATCCGCAACACCGGGTCGTGCCCCGTGTACGCGCCGCCCCCCATGTGGACCCCCACACCATGAGCTCCGACGCAGCCCGCCCGACCCGACCCCACCACGCCGGAAGCAAGCACCTTGCAGCCCTTCCCGCCCATGTCACCATCATCGCTATCACACCCACCACCACCGCCACCGCTGCCACCGCGGCCCCATGCATACCGCGCCCTGCTCGCCCGCTCCGGCCGGTACGCCGCCGAGGCCTGCAGCACCACCGCCGTCAACACCAGCGCCAGCTGCGCCGCCACGAGGTTCCGGAGCTGGACCTTCAGCTCCACAAACCAGCTCTCGCGCACCAGAAAGTGGTGCATGCCGTCCGCGTAGCGGTCCCCTGACACCAGCCCCCACCAGCGCTGCTCCTCCTCATCCTCCCCGCTGTGGCCCCCCCACAGCAGCCCGCCACCGCGGTTTGAGGAGGAGCCCGGCAGCGGTCGAACGTCTGCATGCCCCAGCCTCCGTGCATGCCAGGAGCGGTCCCCTCCCGGCAGATAGCTCGTGGCTACCTCCTCGGCAAAGTGGCTCACATTGGCCGCAGTGGCCCGCAGCAGCGTCAGCTCGTCCCCGCAGTGCTTCTCGCAGCGGTGGACCCAGCGGTGCAGCGCGCCCCGCCACACGAAGGGACGTCCCGCGGACGACACCGCCCCGCCCCGTGAGGCCCCGGGCCACAACACCTCACCCACCGTAGGGTGCCCCGCCAGGCCCCAGCCCCAGCTGCTGGCGGGTCGCGGCGAGGCGGGGTGCAGCCGCCACTGCGACAGCAGGCTGCCCTCCGCTGTGAACAGCAGCGCCGTTCGGCGGGGGGCAAGCCAGGGGAACAGCAGCGGGCGCGGGTGCATGTGGGTCGTGAAGATCCACCAGATGCCCTCGTGTTGCACCGCCACCGTGCCCTTGAAGTGCCCCGAGCTGAAGCGGTTCAGCCGCAGGCTGCTGCTGCTGCTGCTGTCTGCACCAGCGGAAGAAGGAAAGGAGGATGGATCCCAGCCGCCGTCCTCGGCGCTAACGCCATCCGCGCCCAACCGCCTGCTACTGCTGTGGTGACTGGTGGAGGATCGACGGTAAGCCCCCGCCAGGATGCCCTCGATCTCCTGCTGCGTAGCCTGCGTCCACCCAAACGGGAACTCCGCAGCCGTGGTGGTGTACACGCTGAGCCCCTCGTGCTTCTCCCCAAACCATGAAGATGATGGTGATCTCGACTTGACGTCGGGAATCATGACGTACGTTTTGCTGGCCGCGTCATACACCACGAACGGTGAGGACAGAGACCGTTGCGGTTCCGTTAGTGCCGTACCCAGATGCTCCCATGTGGCTCCGGCGTCCCGCGACACCGCCACGCCGACTTCGCTGGCGTATGTGTGCAGGTTGCGGGCCTCGAAGAAGGCGGTCCAGGTGCCCCGGTCCACCTCCTCGTCGTCTGGGAACAGGGGAAGGAAAAAAGACATTAAGAAGTGAAGCAACAGGAGTGCCAATCCGGTGTCCCGAAGGAGGAGGGGGGGTGAGGAAGAGACTTAGTAACCGTGTGGCAAGGCTCCAGGCATCATGGGAGGGAGGGAGGGAGGGGCATGGTGCGGTGTGAAGGGTGGTTAAGAGCGCAGAGCGGAGAAGGACAGAGGGGGATAAGCGGCGGGGTGTGGAGGTGTGCATGCTCGCTGTCGGTGCCGTGGATCGTGCCGAGGTATGCGGCCTCTGGGTTGTGTGACATGGACGTTGGAGGGCAGGACAAAATGTCTGATTGGAATGTGCTGTGGAGCTGTGTGGACGTAACCCGCATGCAGTCATGCATGGGGACGTGATGGTATCCCCATCCGCAAGGGTCGTGTCCGGCACTCACCGCTGGGTATGTGGATGAATGGCGAAGCTACATAGCTAACACTCGTGGTGTTAACTGTTGCACACGTTATGACCGGCCGATCCGATATGTTGAGGCTGACAGGATTAGAGCCCGCAAAGCTGCCTACTTTCCAGGAGCCATCGTAGTCCCAAGAGCACGGGTCTTTCCCATGGCGCACAGGCTTATGACTGAAAAACTCAAGTGGTATGAGTCCTGATGGCCAGTTAAAATAGGGATCTAAACATAGGACAGCTAAAAGGAGAAGACTGCAGATGTAGTAAGCAGTCCAATAAACACTAGAACTAGACCCGTTAAGGCTCCCCTTACTATACGCGACAGCCATATGTGCACTCCCCAGGCGCCCAAAGGCGCCGGGCGGTGACAACGGGCGCTTACTGGAGGCCACCTGAGTGCAATATGAAAACTTATCTCAAATCCATCGCCAAGCTAGTGTTAATCTAAGCTTTACACCTCTATATTATAAGTGGGAAGGCCGACAGCATCGTTTGGAAGCTTACCTCTATAAATTCGTAAGTCGAGCGCCGTACAGCGACTAATTACTGATAAGCGCGAGTTGATAATTGTTGTAAATTTATGTTTCTAAACGCGTTTGGATGGTATGATGCCAGCACGAAGCAAATTCATACCGCTTGGTAGACGACTGCGCCACGATTCGACCACGGCTGCAACGGCGACGGCTGGCACGTTTCTGCGTCTAAGCATGTCTCTAATTGACGGACTATAGCACATCCTGTCTCTGCACGTGATAAAAGCACGGTATGCGGCTCGTTTGTTATTTTCAACTGCCATGGCAGCTGCGGCCCTGGCGTGAAGAATCACGTGCGCACCGACAACTTTTATGCAGAATGCCGCACTACGGCCCTTCCGTTAATCTTGTCGCTACGTAGCATATCGTTCACAGCACCTTGCCCCAATGTGAGTGCCGGGCTGCCGGCAGACACAAATTACAGCGGGGTACAATACAGCCCGGTCGTCCCTAATGCCTTCATTGGGGATGAGTTTGGGTTCTTGACGCACGTCAAGTTTTTGCAGTATTGTGACATCTATAGTTTGCAATCGGCTCACGGGGTTATGAGGCGTGGGGTTCCCGCCGGTTGGCTCAACCAAGTACCAAAAACAAATACTCAATGACTCCCACAGCAGCACGCCTTGCATCCAGTCCTCGGCAACGTCAAACCCACCACGTTCTTCACATCACCACTTCAAACACTGAACCATGCACGCAGTAGTACCGCAACGACGCCATCCATCGCACGCTACCACAACTCGCACGCACACGCGGCATGGCAGCTACCGCTTCACCTCGCACCCCCACCCCATCTCCACCCCTCCTCGACCCACACACCCCTCCTCACCACCACCTGACGGGCCCCAGCACGCGCGTCACCACCAGCCCTCCCCCCGCTGCTGCCTTGCTGGCCGCCGCCTGGGATGCCTCCTGGGTCTGCTGTGCGCGCTGCTCCGCCAGCCACTCGGCGATGAACCTGGCGGGCGAGCAGGGCGAGGAGGGGAAGGAGGAGGAGAAGGGGCGAGCAGGGCGATAAGGAGGTTGGACAAGAGGAGGAGTTGCGCGGTGAGGGAGGCCCCATTCCTCCCTTCTCCATCATGCCACCCCAGCTGGTGGCGCCCCTCCCCCCACCTGTCCGTGTCTGTATCCAACGTCTTTGCGGAATCACTGCATGATGAGTTGGGCCAAAGGAGTACAGTCTGTTTCACCTCCCCCTCCTCCCCACATTGGGTCTTTCCTCCTCCCCTCTCCTCCCCCCTCACCTGTCCATGTGCGGGTGCTCCAGCGACGCATCCCCGAACGCGTCAAAGTACTGCGTGCCGTTGAAGCAGTAGCCCTCCGGCAGCGGGTCGAACAGGTGCGCCTGGCGGATGGCGGCACGCTGCTGGGCGCTCAGCTGAGCCGCGGAGGCGGGGACGGGGGCGGCAGCAGCGCCGGGAGCCCCGGAGGACGTGGAGGAGGAGGAGGAGGAGGAGGAGGTGGAGGAGGGGGTTTGCGGGGCTGCAGCTGTTGCGCCGCAGCGCCCCAGCAGCCACCTCACCGCGGACTCCTCCACTGCACCGCCGCTGCCCACGAACAGCAGCTCCCCACCGGGGCTGTCCTGGTCCGCGGGCAGCAGCGGAGACCCTGTGGGAGGCGGGGTGGGAGGTGGGATTAGTCGGGTTACCCGGGGGGTTGGGTTGGTTTGTGTGGCAAGGCTAAAATATGTCCTAACAGTCCTAAAGGGAGCCCTCACGGCATCTCGAGAGGCCTTTTAGGGCCTGTGTATCAGGATGGGTCGGCTGAGCACGCTGCATTGCGGTGTGCGCGCATGGAGCCACAAACAACCCATGTGTGCGTCCTTACAACGGGACCGCCATGCGTGTGCAGCACACCCAAGAGCACCTGCGAGCAGCGCTCAATGCCCACACAAGTCCCACGCATACGTTTCCCTGTCTATCATCATCAGCTGCCCAACCCAACCCAACCCCACCCCAGCTCTCACCCAACACCACCTCCCCCGCCCCAGCCGCCAGCCACCACTCCCGGCTGCGCAGCTCCGTCTGCCGGCTGCCCAGCAGCTCGCAGGGTCGCGACCCACGGGTCAGTCGCACGCAGCCGCTCACGCACACCAGGCCGGGGCGCGCCGCCGCGGGGGAGGCCTCTGGGTCCGCCAGCGGCAGCGGCGGCAAGCTGGCGGGGCTCTGGGGCACCCCCAGGGCCGCCAGCTCCGACCTGTGGCAGCGCATGCAGGCGGCGACATCATCATCAGTAGTAGTTTACCTCAGCACGTGTACCGGTAGCAGCGCATGCAGCGGCGTCAGCACAACCTCGGTTTTAACAGAGCAGTGGGGGGGGTCAGATGGATCTGGACACATGGGCACATTACAGGCAAGGCAGGAGCCACTGCCAAACAGCCACACATTGACCTGCATACGTTGTACATGCTGGCGCTCTTTGGACTGGCAGCACACACGGGCTGTGATGACATACACATCACCCGGCGGACATGCGACCCCCCACCTCAGCTTCCCAAAGTCCAGCGGCCCCTGGAACGCCACCCGGGTCGCGTGCAGCGGGCCCAGCAGCCCTCCTCCTCCTCCTCCTCCGCTGCCGCCCCCACTCAAGCCCCCGTCCTCCTCCTCCGCCTCCAGCCGCAGCGGTCCCCAGTGCCGGCCCGCCACCGCCTGCCGCGCCCCCAGCCGCGCGGCCCGCTCCCGGGGGTCGGGTAGCAGCTCGGAGCGGGCCCGCAGCAGGTGCGGGCGGGAGGCGCGGAGCTGGGGCACACCGGGCAGGCGGCGGGACAGCAGCTGGGCCAGCCAGGACACCTTTGCGGGAGGGACAGGGGAGGGGGCGGGGGCAGGGGTGATGAAGATGTGGGACTGTATTGGCGCGAGGAATGAGGCTGGGGGAAGAAGCAGGTGCATGGGAGGAGGGAAAGGACATCCCAACCAGCAGCAGCATAAACCACCCTCCCCCTCCCCCTCCCCCTCCCCCTCCCCCTCCCCCCACCTTGTCCGCCTCGCTGCCCCCCACCACCACACAGTCCACCAGCCCTCCAGCCGCCAGCTGCCCCAGCAGCCCCGCAGCAAGCGCCCCCCGCGCCGGCTCCTCCCACGCCACATCCGCACTGCAACACACCACCACGGAGCCTACACGCCAGGCATGCGCCGCTGCCGCTGCCGCTGCCTTCCCCACCGCTGCTGCCAGCATCCTCAGCTGCGCATGCAAGCCCAGATACGATGCCGTGCACATGATAAGGTGCCGCTGCTGCTGCTGCTGCACGGTACCACCAGCAGCAGCACCCCCGGCACCCCCCGACTCGGGTTCCATCGCAGCCGCTGCTGCAGCGGACAGCGCTGCGGTGAAGTCCGCCTCACTGAGCGGTGTGGCGGCGCATGGCAGCATGGCCACCCTCGCCCCGCCTGCTCGCCCGGCCCCACCCGCCGCCGCCCCCGCGGGCCCCTGCTCGCCACCACCACCACCCTCCAGCATGGTGGAAAGTGCTGCTGCCACTGCGGCTTGGTCAGCCCCCGGCAACCCCACGATGAGGGTGATGGTGGTGGAGGTGCGGTAGGGGGGGCTGGGGGCGGGCTGGGGTGCCGGAGGTGTGGGAGGTGGTGGGGTGAGGGGCAGCTGCAGCAGTGCCTCCACGGCAGGGTCTAGGCCGCTGAGGGGGCCGTGGAGCTGCAGGGAGGGGAGGCAGCGCGGCGTGAGGGTTAGGGAGGGAGGGAGGTTGCTGGTGGGGAGGAGTGGCAGGAAGCAGTGGGCAGCCAAAGAATGTTGCAAAGAGAACGTGTTTTGCTCGTGGCTTGCCTCCTGCCGCAACAAACACCATGCCGACTGCGCCCGGGGTATCCGGAGCCATGCACACGTAGCTCCCAGCACCATGCAACCTCCCATGCAACCTCTGCTTGCCTTGAACACTCGTACAGACCCAGCAACTCATCCCACACGCAACCGCTATTCCCCAACAACGCTTTGCCCTAACCTGTGGTTCTGGTGCATCTCTGCCCCCAACACAGCCCGCCTGCCAGGCCCCCTCCCACCTCCTGCGCGTCCAGTCGCTCCAGGGCTGCCTCCAAGAGGGAGTCCTCCGCCGCCAGAGCAGGCCAGGACTTGGTGCTGCCCCCGGCGGTGGAACTCTGCGGCGGCGCAGGGCGGTTGAATGGGGTCCACGAGCAACATGCCCAGGCAGTGCGTGCGAACAGCCGGGATTGCCGACACTCGACATAACAACCACGAACGGCTTAGTATGTCCAACCCCCACCGCAGAAGATTCGATCCAAAACCTCAGCAGATACATAGAACACAGAAAAGGAAGGGTTGTCCCTGTTGCATGTCAATGTCTGATTGCCGACCCATGGGTCACGCGCCCACACCTGGATCGCATACGCATGCGCGGCGTACAGCTCCATGCTGGGGAAGGGGTTGGGTGCGGTCATGTCCTTGCGGTAGGAGGCGGCTGACGGCGTGTCGTGCGCCTCCGCGGCTGCCAGTGCGGCCTGCCGGCAGGTTTGCTGCCAGGCGGGCAGCACCGAGCCCATCAGCAGCCGCCGAGCTGCCTGCGGGTGGGGTGGGGTGGGGTGGTTGAGTTGGGTGGGGGTTAGGAACAAGAAGGTGGAGTGGGCGGCAGCAGCAGCAGATGGGGTTATATATGGGGCTATACACGGGGCGGGTGTTATCTTGTTATTAGCCCCGCACACCCAAGTAGTCATGTTGCACGGGATCCAAGCATGCATGGTGGCTGTTTGAACCGCGCAAGAGGGGCTCCACAAGCCCCCTAAACCCCATCCCCCCCCCTGCCCGCCCGCCCGCGCCCCCACCTACCGGTGACATGGCCGCCAGCGGCAGCGCCAGGTGCGTGTTGGCTGTCAGGTGGCAGGCGGGCGGCAGACCACACGCGGGGGCGACACCGCGGAACACCACCGCCTCGCCCAAACCACCACCTCCACCTCCGCTACCTCCACCTGTCACTGCAGCGCCCGGCAGGGGCAGCTGCTGCACGGTAATCGCCTCCACTGCCCCTCCCCCTGCCCCTCCTGCTGCTCCCGCCTGCTGCCTGGGGGCGAGGAGCAGCACCCATGTGGCCCGGCTGGCCCGCTCCACGAACACCCCGCCCCCGGAGAAGCAGTGCAGCCAGCCGGACAGCGCGGGGCAGGCGGGGGCGCCTGGGGGGGCGGGGGTGAAGTGTGGCGGGGGATGCAGTGTAAGAAATGAGAAGAAAGGGTAAGGAAGGTTGGGAACGTCTGGACGTCGTGAGTTGTGAGCGTGTCGTTTGTATCCCAACCTGGGGTTCATGTCTCCATCCCAACATGTAGGGTGAACCCCGACCCACGGGTCGCCCCCGCGCTCCTCCCCGCGCCGCCACCCACCCGTCAGCAGCACCGCTTCCTCTCCACCCCCCAGCGTCAGCAGCGCACCCAGCGCGTCTGCGGGCTGCTGCTGCTGGGGTACGGCAGTGGCAGCAGCTGCTGCTGCTGCCGCGCCGGGTTGACGAGGAGCTGATCGCCCCGCAGGCGCCCCCTCGTCCTCGTCCTCATCATCCTGGTTGCGGCCAGCAGCAAGGCAACAATGCAGACTCATACAATGGAGCTTGGGGGAAAGGATACGTACCATACATTGCAAGGGCAAAGCAAACACGTGGCCGTACACGGTGCAGTAAAGGCCAACCGCCATGCACCAGGCCCCCCCCCACCGCTCCCCCCGCACACCTCCTCCACATCCGCCTCCTCCTCCTCGCCCTCCTCCTCCTCCTCCTCCTCAGCGACCGCGGCCGCCCCCAGCCTCCGCGCCCTTAGCTTGGCTGCAAGCGCCTGCGATTCCGCTGCGGCGGCAGCTCCCGCCCGCCGCTGCTGGTCGCGCTGGGAGGCGGCGCTGGCCACCCGGGCCGCACGGGCACCTGGGTGGGGCGGGTGCAGGTGCAGGTGGCAGAAGGGGAAGAGGCAGCGCTCAGGATACGTGGCGAGGGCGGGGTACGGCAGAAGGGGGAGGGGGCAGCTATGCAGTCGGAATGGGAGGGTGACAGCGCTGCCTGCAACACCTGGCCAGACATGTGCGGATGACAGCGGTGATGTGGCCGCGCTGTTGTGTTAAAATAACTGGCCGCGCTGTTGTGTCTGTGCGGTCCACAAAACGGGCACAACAAGAGAAGGCCAAGGCCAAGGCTGTAGACGCCGCTCAGACAGGAGACAGCAGCTGTGCGAAACAGGCGTCACACACCCCGTGTCCTCCTCACCCCTCCTCCCAGGCGCAGCCTCCCTCCTTCCCTCCTGCCCGCTCCCCCACCCACCCGCCCACCCGGCCCGCCTCACCCGCCCTGCCGCCCACCACCCGCCCCAGGCTCCTCAGCGCCCTGGCAGCCAGCTCCTCCTCACTGCCCCCCGCGGGAACGGCCGCAAGCAGCGGCACGCCCTCCGTCAGGACCAGCAGCGAACCGCCACTGCTGCTGCTGCTACCACCGCCATTACCACTGCCATCCGCACCGCCACCTGCTCCTACCGCCCCTGCTCCTGTCCCTGGAACTGGGGCTGGCGCAGGCGGCTGCGGGATGTCGATGAAGGTGTCTCCGTACACCAGCCCGCCCAGCTCCCGACCCGCCAGGGGGCCGCTGCGGGACACCAGACCGGACAGGCTCAGCCGGAGCACCTGCGCGGGGGGGGGGGGCGCGGGGGGGGGGGCATGCGGGATGAGGGGAAGAGGAAGGGGGGGTCGAGGAAAGGGGAGTCATGGAGGGGACGCATGTCCCTTCCACCGCCTCCTAGCCAAGCATCAGGTTAAGAGTTGAGCTGATCACCGTTGCTCTATCACGCTACAGCCGTACGGCGACTCAGCGCGGCTCGCAGGCTGCCCCCCCCTTCCCCACGCATCCCCAGAGTCCCTGCCACCCCACCAGACCGCCCGCGCACCTTGAGCTGCCTGCTGCCCCGCACCGCCGGCGCCGTCACCACGTTTGCGTGGTCGCACTGGTACAGGCTGAACCGCAGCCGGGAGGCCAGCGCAGCAGCAGCAGCAGCAGCCCCTGCACCTGCTTCCCCCCCCGCCGCCATGTCCTTCGCCTCCCCCAGCAATCCCAGCTGCTCTGCCCTCCTGGTCAGCACCCGCTGCGCCTCCGCCTTGGCGCTCAGAGCGGTGGCGCCCTCCACCTGCAGACAGACAGGTAGCAGCGGTTTGGCAATGATGCCATTAGGGCATCCGGGGAGGGGTTTGCATGTTTGGGGGAGGTTGAGAGCGATGTGGACGATAGCAGGGATAGATGCCAGCGGCGTCGTCAAGCAAACTTGCCCACTGCACCCCGCCCCGCCCCCCTTCCTTACCTCCGCAAAGTGCCTCATGGCCGCCCGCCCCGCCTCCACCAGCGCGCTGTAGCCCCGCAGCAGCAGCAGCAGGTCGGGGTTGCGGGCGGAGCAGCGGGCGGCGGCATCGGGGAAGTCAAAGCCCTCCGCAGCCTCCTCGTCGGGGTCTGCGGGCGGGGTGCGGGTTGCGGGGGGCAGGGGAGCAGGGAGCAGCGCGAGTCGCACGATTAGGCAACAGGTTGACATGTGTAGAATAGAATGATCCGCGTGGTCAGCACCCAGTCAGTTTTATTAACACACCTGCAAACACGTCCCGCTCCACCGCCCCTCGCGACAGGAAGTAGGTCCGAGCCACCCGCAGCGGACTGCGTGGGTCAGCAGCCTCGGCCACAAAGTGAAGAGGAAGCTCCCATGACGACGATGACGACGAAGACACGGTGGGTGCCGCTGCAGAGGCAGCAGCGGCGGCAGCGGATGCAGCAGCAGAGCCCTCCTCCTGCTGTTGCTGCTGCTGCAGCGGGTATCCGCACTGCATCAGGGTTGCCGCGCCGCTGGTGGCAGTGTCGTCGGAGGTGCGCGGGCCGAAGATGACACGGGGCGGCAGCATGACAGCCTGCGCGCATGCAAGCACAGTGAAATCCATCGGCTGGCATTACGCGAGCCGCTCTCTGTTGCCATTCATGTATCATGTTGCTACTCCCCATGGTGCGGTGCCAAACGCTCCCTTCCCTCCACCTTCCCCACCCACACCCCCTTCCCTCCCAGTTCCCTTCACTCCTCACTTATCCCCCCGCCACCCGCCCCCCACCTGCTCCACCCCCGCCACCTCCCGCAGCAGTCCGTACGCCATGTAGCTGGAGAGCGGCTCCGCCAGCTGCCGCTCAGCCAGGCTGCCCCGCCCGCCAGCTGCCTTGCCGCACAGGGTCTGGGGGGGGGCGAGGAGGCAGGGAGAGAGGAGTGAGGAGGGCACAGGGAGGTGGGCACAGGGACGTGAGGAGGGACTGAAGGCAGGCGAGCAGGACACAGCTGCGATGCTGGGAAGCATGCAGCCACACGGGCAGGGAGGGCGCCCAAACCAAACCACCTCACATGCGCCTAGCATACGCCGCACCCCGCACTCCTAATCACCACAACCCCACTGCACACCCGCCCACCCACTGCACCCGGCCCCCCCCCACCACCACCTGCATCATGGCCTCCCAGTGCAGCCTCAGCGCCCCCGCCGCCTCCCCCGCCACCACCGCCAGCGCCCGCCCGTCCAGCCGCCCGTACAGCTGCCGCTGCAGGCCGGGCAGCACATCGCACACCTGCGCAGCCGCAGCAGCAAGGCAGGGGAGGGAGGGAGGTGGGAGGAGCGAACGAAGGGGTGGAGTGGGGTGGGCCGGGAGCATGGTGCCCATGCACGTGCCGGTGGCCTGCTGTGTGTTTTCCCCCTCAAACGAGCGAGCCCGGAACCACCTCCTCCCCTCCTCCTCCTCGTCCACACCTTCTCACCTCGAAGTTCATGGTGAAGAAGCCGCTGCGACCCACTCCCTCCAGCCCGTACGCCTGCAGCAGCGGCCAGCGCTCCAACTCCACCTGCTGCGCCGCGGTGAGGGGCGGCAGACGCGGTACGGCGCCGAAGTCAGCAGCAGAAGGAGAAGAAGAGTCGGTAGTGGCTGCCAGGCCGCAAGGGATGCCGATGCGCCTGCAGCCCCGCAGCAGGTGAACAAAGCTCGCTAGCTTGTTTTCCTCCAGCATGTCCATGTCCGCTGCCTCGGATGCGGTTGGGCCCAGCAGCCGCAGATTTGTGACGTGAGGTGTTAACAAGTCCTGGAGGTGCTGCTGGAGGTCAGGGCTGGCTACGTAAAAGGCGACTTCGTCGGGTGTAATTAGAGCGCTGCATTCGTCGAGCTGGCCGTCGAGCTTGTTGACATCGATGGTGTCGCGGTTGCTGCGTCCTTCTAGCAAGTAAGCGATCGCCTGGTTGCAAACGGAAAATCGTCCATCCACGCCAGGCACCAGCAACACGGCGTCCAGAGCTTGCTGCTTGCAGAAGGCTTGCACGCGCCTAATACGCAGTGCAGCCTGACAGGAGCTAAATTCATAGCCCGCCATTCCTATGATGCGGATCTTTAGCAACAATTGGCACAGAGAAGGCGTGACGGAGCCAGCTGTCCTGGTAATACCAGCAGGTATCGTGCTGCTGTCTCTACTATGGATCGCGCTCTATTATCATGTAACAGAGCGAAATCGAAACCATTAAGGAATAATAGGCTTCTTCCGAAGTCGAGGCGTCACTGAAAGCGCGCGAACAGTGGCTACACTGTAATTAATCCCGCTTGAGATGTGCTACTGTGTATTCCAAGCATATGAGTGAAAGAAGGAACGGGCTCTGTCGGAAATGACGCGATGGGGAAATTGACGAAAGGCTTCGCCTTCCGTACGACGCGTTTGCACCAGCAGCATCTATAAGCGAGATGCATGGGCATTCTCGCACAGAACCGTAGTCTAGCAATAAAAAAGTTTCCAAAGTTATCATTTACCTTTGGATGGGAAGTTGAGCAACCGCTGCAGCTGCTTCCATCTGCTCGCCATTTTTCCACACAGCCTTTGGCTCAGTCCGGTGTGCCAACTGCAAAGTGATAACCCCGCAAAGCTACAACTCCTAAGAAGACCCAGACTAGACACCGCGCAGCTTGTCCCCCGAATCCAATCCAGCCCTACTTCTCATTCGGGTACTCCAAACGGCGTCATGTCCAATCTCTCCCGGCGGATTCTAAACGGCTGGAGCGACATACACGTGGCCGCAGCTGCCGGCGATTTGGGCCGTGTGCGACTCGCGGTGCAAAAGAACCCGACAGACGTGGACAGGCCTACTAAGGTGATTGATGCACTGGGGAGGACAGGTCAGAGTCTTAAGGGATTCCAAGCCTAGGAGTTCTGCTTTCAGCGCTCCTCTGCCTTCCTTCCTAGCGTTTAGGCTCTTGCATGCCGGTATCCTGACCACCCTTTCGCCCCCTTCCCGCTTCACTCCCTCCTCCCTCCTGCCCCGTCCCCGATTCCTCCTCCTCCTGCTTCCTCCACCTAACCCCTCCCTTTGCTCAGGAGCGTCAAACCGCGCTGCACCTGGCCGCAGCCGGCGGGTTCGAGGCAGTGGTGGGGGAGCTGCTGGACCGACATGCCAGGACCGCACTGCAGGACGAGGTAGGAGGGCGAGCAGGGGGGCAGGCGAGGCAGGAGGGAGCAGCGGGGACAGGGAGTGCGGATGAAAGGAGGCGTATATACACGCTGCTGCTGCTCGCTGACGCCACACTGCGTACCACTGCTGCTGCCCGGCTGCTGATGCGGGTGCCCCTCGCGCCGCTGCAGGCTGGCCGCACCCCGCTGCATGCAGCCGCCGAGGCGGGTCACGCCCGCTGTGTGGCTGCGCTGCTGGGCCCGCGCAATCGGGAGCCCCCGGCGGAGCGGTCGAGGCTGCTGGGCCTGCGGGACAGACAGGGGCGGGAGGCGCTGCTGGCGGCGGTGGTGGCGGGGCAGGCGGGGGCGGTGGAGGAGCTGGTGCGAGGCGGCGCGGATGCGGCCCGGTGCACTGACCAGGTGGGGTACCGAGGGGAGGGAGGGGCTAGGTGCGGCCGGGAGTGGGGGCCCTGGGGAGCCCTGCTGTCCGGCCTCTGTAGGTATGAGGCATGCACGGTGCTACCCAGCATGTAATGCTAACCGTTGCATGAAACAACCCATGAGACAAACATGCTGACCCCTGGCCACCTCCCCTTAAATCCCGTACCCCAATGTGGTTACCTGTACCTTCCCCCCCTCCCTCCTTCTCTCCCCCCCCCCCAGTCCGGCAGCGGTCTGGTGCTGGTGGCGGTGCGCTGCGGCCACACGCACCTGCTGCCGCTGCTGGCCGCCGCGTGCGGGGGGCTGCTGCTGCAGCAGCGCGACCCCGCCACGGGCGGCACGCCGCTGCATGTGGCGGCAGCCGCGGGGCTGCTGGGCCCGCTGCAGTGGCTGCTGGCCGCGGGGGCCAGCACCGGCACCAGGGACAACGCGGGGCGCACACCGGCGGAGGCGGCGCTGGCGGCGGGGCAGCATGCGGCTGCCAGGGCGATCCGGGAGGCTGTGATGACGCCGCCGTTGTCATCACCGCCAATGCCGGCAGCAGCCACCTCCTCAGCAACATCATCGTCAGCCATGTCAGCGGCGGCGGTGCACGCCCTGGGCAGCGCAGGCGGGGGAAAGCATAGTTTGTACGGCGGCAGGGGGGCGGGGCAGGGAGGCATGCAGGCGGCTGGGGTGGGCGGTGCTGCGGCAACGTCATCGACGCCCTGGCAGCAGCAGCAGCAGCAGGGGGCTGGGGGGCAGGAGCCGGCGGGTCCGGCTGCGGCGGGGGGTGCAGGTGGGAAGCTGCAGATCCCGGAGACACCGCCGCAGGCGGTGTATTACCCCACGCCGCTGCCCGGAGCGGGTGTGTACTTTTAGGAAGCAGGATTCCAGGGTTTTGCAACGCGTGCTGTACTATAGTTGCTGTGTAGATTGAGGTTTGTAGCTGCAGACTGCAGCTGAATGGATTATGGGTTCCTTGATAGCTGCGGTAACCCGAAAGGGTGTGGCTTCACAATTACCTTGGCATTCATGTGTTGGCGGAAGGTGCAGGGCATTGTAATTGCTGGACAAATGTTACCGGCCTCACCAAGGGCGTGATCGCAGCTGAGAAAGCTGCATGGGGGCATGTTTGCGGCTGGAAGATTGCTGCTTCGCATGCGGGGTGGTCACACTTGCATGCGGGGTGGTCGTGGCGCAGGTTGCCGTACTGTTTGTTTAGAGAGGAAGTAGAGAGGATTACAATAGGGTGCAATGTTCGCACGCAGGTGGTTATGGACCTGACGGAAAATACTGAGTGGAATGAATGATTGCTGATTGCTGACGGATTGAGTGCGTTTGCTCCTCATTGCATGGGAGGGTCGGTACTGCAGCATCCTGCATCTACGGAGCCGCGTCCATTCCTGTTGTTGTGGATGTCTAGGGTCTTGGGTCCGAGGGCGCCCTTGCAAACTAGCTCCGCGTAAACACGATGAACACAGCTGAGTAAGCTGTGCGACCCACGCTGCGCGGCGGCGGTGAGGGTGTTATCACCGACCCAGGGGTCGGGGTCCTCCTGGGAGATTACCTGTGGATTTCACAGGAAAAAGAAGGCATCGAGGGTGGATGGGCGTGGTTGGGCTTCTTGTTAGGAGCATAGGGGGCTGTGCCGCTGTGGTTGATCCCTGTGTTTATGCGCCAGACCAGGTGGCGCATGTCCCTGCTGCCCCTGGCAGCACGCACGCTGGAAAGCCGTGCGCTTGCGGCCTGCTGGTCAAGCCTTTATGATACAGTTTTTGAAGATGCTGGGGTGCAGATGCTGGGTGCATATCCCATGCAACAATACTCGACCAAGACTAACACCACAGGTATAAATAACGTGTTCACGCTTCCGCCCTGCCTCGCCTCACCGCACTGCGCAATCTGCCTGGAGTATTGCAGCCCCACATTAACGCACAGGTTGTCCACGGCAGCTGCGGCATCAGCCGCGGTACTCACCGGCTGCGTACGGCACATAAGTGTACGGCATGCGTGTTGTACGTCCAAGGAAGAGCTTCATGTACGGTAACCGCGTACTTATGGCGCGCAACATGCACAAGAGCTTCTCAACCTTTTACGAGCTCCGGAGATCACCAGCCTTGGTCGCGTTTGGCGGAAAGGACGGCATGACATGCGCTGACAGGACGAGCTATCGAGCATGTTGCTTGGGCGGACAGGCCGATGTGCCCAGTGGCCAGTGGCCTGCTCAGTGCTCACCTACCTGCAGAACCCTGCACTCGGCTGCGGACCTGCCCACCCTGGCCCACCTGCACGAAGGCCGGCCGACCCACACCGTCGATGACGTCGAGGGCAGCGTTGAGGGTCACAGGGAAACCTGGCGGACGCAGGAGGGCGGTGCAAGGGGAACGCGAGAAGTCTATGCTCTTACTTATCAGGTTTTGGCCTACATACAGCACCGAACGTGCAGAGCACTGCAATTCACAAACGGCTGGCGTTCTGGTTATCTGACCAGTGCATGACAACTTGCACGACATACGCGTACGACAGGCAGCTCACCGAACGGGAAGAACTCGTACTGTTGTAAGGCCCTCCTGTGGCGCCAAGCCGCCAGGGATGAGGCCAGGTATCTGACGGCCGTGTCGTCTTGCAGCCCGCCAGCGCCCTCATCCGCGTGGGCTCCTCCCCGTAGCAGGTCTAGTCGGCTGGGTCTTAGTAAAGGATACCCTGTGTAGTTGAGCAGGACAAGAAAGGATACCCTGTGTGCGTGTTTAAGCGTATGGAAAGGTTGAAAACCATTATACACGTGGGCTGATTGCATGCGACTGTGTCGTTCGTGTCTCTGCGTTACCTTGGTGGTCTGCGGCCCTGGCCGCGGCGATACAGAGCAGCGGCAAGAGAAGAGGGCACGACACGACAGTTGCCTTCCGTACCAATCTTGAGACTGACATTCCGAGAGTTGCAGTTAAGTAAAAATTGATATGGTAGCTTATTGTAGCTATCTATAACTAACGTACCGGTATCCCTCACTAGCAATTGCAGATGGGCCGTAGGTTGGTATGTTGCGCGCCGTTGTTCCTAAGACAGCTTCGCATACTATTAGGTAAGACAAGTAACATCTTAACTGGATGACGTAACTTTTATATCGTCTCATCTTTATGGCATCAATCGCACCTTTCACACCTTGTTGACATTGACGTCCCAGCGTCTTTGGTGCATCACTGTCAACGCCACTCGGTACTACACATACTACAATAGTGATGTGCTAACCAGCAGTCTCGCTGCCATGTGACCTAATCAAGTTTTCGTAACAACCCACTTGCATGTCATGGTTGCCTAATTGATCGCAACAGTGGTCCGCCACTGGTTGTGGCCAGGTAAGCCCTCCAACAAGACATACTCTGTTAACCCTGGAGGTCATGCTTGGGTCAAATGTTAGTTGCAAGCCGGCGTCCTCAGTAAGATCCATGGATCCATCCTTGCTAAAACTATCGTTATTCACCGCTTTTCAGGAAATGAAATAAACGCTGTAGCTACCAGGAATTCCGTTTCGTATTATTACAAAATGGTACACGACAATCCTCGCAAGGCAAAGGCGTTCACGGGTTGTCATGTGGTTGTAACGGCCAAAAACGAGTCTGGATTGTAGTTACTCCCGTGCAAGCAGCCGCTCAGCAGTCGCTACGGGCTTGCCGCACAGCCACAAAACTTCAAACTGCTCTCTCCAAAAGCATTACATCTTCTCCTCACCACGCCTCTAAAACACACATGCCTGTCAGCACGATGGCTCTCTCGCTGACTCACTTCTCACACACCCCAGCGCGCCACGTCCCTGTAATCCTCTCTCGCACTGGTCTTTTACAGCCCGCCCGCCAGCCCCTCACTCCCGCTTCTTCTGCAGACGTAAACCCCCTGCTAGGGCACGGGATGCCTATTATGCTCATGAGAGGTCCGTCACCACTAACGGTACACACTACACCGCTCCTTGCTCCTCGCCTCGCCCCGCTCCACCCCGCTCCCGCTGCTGCTGCGCTTCCCTCAGCCAGCCTCAGCCAGCGCTGCTACAGCTGCTCAGCACACAGCGGCAGCGGGTCCCCCCGGGCGGCCCAGTCAGCCGCTGTTTACGACCACCAGGGTGCGCTGTCGGTGCGGAAGTCGGTCTCCGTCCAGGTGCTGAAGGTGACCAGGTCGTCGTTCACGTCCACATGGGCCAGCGCCAGGGACTGGGGAGGGAGGGAGGGAGCGGGGAGGGTTGAGTTGAGTGGGAGGTCCTGCCTCGGTATTCCAGGTTCGTGCTGGTGCATTGCGGAAGGAGGGGATACCAGATCGCCGGAGCAAAGAGCGCGTCTGGAAGCATGCAGGCGTGCCAGGCAACAGGCTCGAGCTGCACGGATCTAAGCAGGCCTGGCCAACAGTCGCAGCCCTTCAGCTGTCGAAAGACATGCTGATATGCTGCCCGGTACATGGTCTTAATGGTCACCCAGGCCCCGCCCGTAATGCGCAGCGCAGCCCAACCCTGCCCAGCAGCAGGGGCTGCCCCGCCCGCTCCCTGCCCCCGCTCATCCTCACCAGGGGCGCGGGGCCGCGCACCACCTTGCCCTCCGTGTTGTACTGGGAGCCGTGGCAGGGGCACTTGAACTTGTTCTCAGCCTGTTGAAGGCGGGGGCAAGGCAGGGCGCGGCAAGGCAAGGTGAGCGCACACGTACGGCGGACAGAGACAGCATTTAGGAGGTCCCCGGAGGTCTTGCAAGCAGCACACACGGTATCTATGCAGGAAGCATACGTGGGGCATGACACGTAGGATACGTGCGTAGTGGGATCAATTTCCTTGTGCGCCCGTTTCGAAGCAGGAGGCTACACGAGCAAAGGCACGCAGCGTCGGGTTCCAATAGTTGACCAACTCACCGGCACCCAAGGCACGACGCAGCCCAGGTGGGTGCAGACGGCGTTGAGGCCGTACTTCTCAAGGGCGCCGTCGTTGTTGACGATCAGGTAGGTGGGGTCGCCCTGGGGGTTGTTGGAGGTTCGCGGGAGTTTAACGGATTGCGGGTATGTTGACAGATGAGCGGGCGTTGCAAGATCAGAGAATTATGTGTCAAGCCGCAAAAAGCTTACCTTGAGGCCCTGGCTCAGCGAGCGATCACCCTTGAGGTGCGTCTTGAGCCACTCGCTGGCCTTAATGTCGTTGCCCAGAGCGTCCTTGGCAGCCTGGCCAGCGCCACCGCCGCCCGACCTACAACAGTGTAATGATTACTTCACTATTCTGTTATATCACGTCGCGTCAGGTAGATGTTTGACAACTACGATGCAAGCAGAACGGCGACCGGTGCAAGGCTAGGAACGCTCTAAATTAGTTTGGTCAGGAAAAATTGCCGATCTGATGCTTTGATTGCTGGTATCGGAATGGGCCTCGCACCTAGGAGGAACGAAGAAAGCGCCATAGCCCAGAGCAAGAGTGGTCACAGGCAGAGATGCAGCACCAGCCAAGAGCAGGTTCATAAGGTTGCGCTTGTTCATATCAGGGACCTCAGAAGCAATAGCGGCAGCGCGGACGACCGGCATGGTGCGCGAGCGGCGAGTTGCCTGCGCCTTGCAAGGCGCGGCCACGCGGCAGGAAGTGAGCGAAGCCATGGTAATCTTTATAGTCAGAAAATGTAAAACTATCCGCGCAAGCAATTTCAAGTGTCCTGACCAAACTAATGGAGACCGGTGGGCAAGGGGAAAGGGAGGGCAGATGGTACGACGCAGAAGGATAAGCCCAAGTGAGTTCTCAGCTTTATCGGGCGTTTCGGTAGTATGTCAGAGTATGGGAGCGTTGACCTTTATATACTTGTTACGGCAGACCCAATGTGTGGTTGCTCGGGCTTTGGAACGCTGTACCTTGCTTACGTTTTGCTTATGGCCCTGATGACCCAGGGCTTACAAGGCGCCAATAGCCGTTTCCTAACATTTCAAACAGCATGCGCTATCTTTTACAGCGGTTGAGTTCTTGTGTCTCTGTCTGTACTCTGCATGTACCACTCTCCTTTAACTTCGTGGGTCCCACTGGTCCGATTGGCCTGTCAGTATCCTCTAGTGCAGTTAGTGGGGGAAGGGGTAGCATAGTTTCTTGGGAATGTCGGTTATGGGAGGATGGTGGGGCGTTCAGGAGGATGGTGAGGGCTTAGCCCACCGGCTGTAACCCGGTCATCAGCCCGAAGTATTGCACGCAATACGACTGGAGGTCTGGAACCCAGTCTCGTGTCAGGGAGCAAGCCTCCTTGCAATAGTGGATATCCTGGAACGGCTTGACCTCTGGCGCACTTCAGGGGTTGCTGGGCCCAGAGAACAAAAGAGCATGCAAAGCACAAGGTGCCCATCGCAAGTTGCATGGATGGACGGACGGACAACTCCGTCCGTCCGTCCCTTGCTTATAGGGATACCCGGACGGACATGCCAAAATGCGGGCCATTGCCGTCCATGTGGCTGCCACGAGGCACAATAGACATGTGCCAGCGTGGGCCATTTGCTGTTCGGAGGGGCGAGCGGGCACCGGTAACCACCAGGATGATACGACAGACGCTCCAGTCGGCTGCATGCGCAAGGCTAACCCTCTGCCGACTCGATAGTGCCCGGTACGGCTAACCTCTTGTACGGCAAGGTGCAAACAGTGAAGCAGTTGAAACGTAGTAAGCAGTAAAAGTGCCTTACGCTTTATCCACTACCGGGCATGCCGAAGCCGCTACTATCATGTAAAGGCCATAGCACAATGTAGTGAGGCCAGTTACGCTGTGACTCAGCTGCTATGCACGCACCAGCACTCCTTAAAAAGATAGTCACTTATTAAGGCATGTTTGAGCCATATTGAATAAAAATGGTTGGGCTTCAAGTTGTGGTCTCGGCATTGTTGCTGGTTGCATACCACGCTGCAGCAGCTAGCTCGGGACCGATTCTGACGGATTTCAACTGCAGAAAGATTGCTTTCTACAAGGTACTGTCAATGCGCTTCGCTCCTACTTACGCACAAAGGTTCCCTGTCGGCAGTAGCTAGAAGTCGCATCCATGCTACGCCTCATCGGGAACACCATCACCTTACTCACTACCCACCTCCATCGCTCCCACCCCGCAGACTCACAAGACGGGATCCACTACCGTGGGCGGTATCATGTTTCGGGCAGCAGTGCATGCCAACATGTCAATTTACACCACCAAATCCCACTATGTCACGGTGGGCTATAGGGAGACCGCCCATCTGATGGGCAAGACCGATATGGTCTTGCGCCACATCAGGTATTCAGCCGCGTCCAACTGGCACCTCGCTACTCGGAGCTTCTACAGTCGGGCCCTGGGCACATCTGACTACGGCTTCCTCACCGTGCTACGGAACCCTGTTGACCGGTGGGTGCCTGCTGCTCCCAACCACCCTCGACCCAACCCCCTGCTCCCGTAACCTCGACAATGCCTGCTCCCAACCCATTCTCCAAGCCGCACAAGGCCATCCACCTTGGCGGGTACCGGTACTTCTTTCCATCCACTCCCCCCTTCCCCTCTCACTCCCACTCCGCAGCTACGTCAGCGACTTCTACTACTTTGTGGAGCCCGAGGCGCGCGCCGCGGGTCGCCCCCTCACCCTGTCGGCCCACGTGGAGGCGGGTGCGGGCGCCAACCGCATGGCCGGGGAGTTCGGGCTGCTGCAGCAGCAGCGGGGCAGCGGCAGCGGAGGAAGAGGAGGCGAAGGCGGCGGGGAGCAGCAGGTGCTGGAGTTTGCGGCGGGGGAGATGCACACGGACGGTGGGTGAGGTGACGGGAGGGGGGGCGCGGAAGGGGCCCGAGGGGGGTGGAGCAGGCGCTTGGATGGGTTGGATCAACTGGGCAGGGCTGACGACGACTCCCTCTCGGAAGGATCCTCATGCGGTGTACGGCATCCCGCGCCCACCCCCTCCTCCTGCGCTGCCTGCCCCTGCCCCTGCCCCTGCCCCTTCCGCCCCCCAGGCCTCTACCTGCCGGTGGAGCTGCTGGACTACGGACTAGCGCTGCTGGGGGCGCGCTGCGGCTGGGCGCTGGAGCAGCTGCTGTACCTGCCCGTCAACAGCAACACGGCCGGAGCTGAGAGGTGTGGGACGGGGGGGATGGGAGGGCGGGGCAGGGCAGGGGATGAGGGCGGGTGGTAGCAGGAGAAGGGGAAGAGGAGCTGCTGCTGAGGAGTGCGCATGTAAGTCACTGTGCGGGCAAGTGCATGGGGAGCGCATGTTGATGACGTCCTGAGCCTCGTGCCGTACTGCGTCGTGCACTGTGCACTGCAGGTACGGCAACGTCAAGCTGGCTGCTCGTCCAAACATGGAGGAGCTAGCGGCACAGGAGCCGGAGCTGCTCACACGCATCGCGCGACTCAACTCCCTGGATGCCGTACTGTACGGCGCAGCGCAGGGCCTCATGCTGGGTCGGTTGGCGGTTGGCGGCGCGGCGGCGGCGGCGGGCGTCATGGGCGCGGCGGTACGGCTGACGGCGGCGCGGAAGCGCCTGGAGGCCGAGTGCCGTACACTGACGTCACGTTGGCGTTTGAACAACAGCACTGAGGGCACTGCGGCGGCGGCTGGTCGTACGGCAGCGCTTGCTTCTGAGGAAGTGCAGCTAGCGGGCGTTTGCTCCTGGTATTCCCTAGTCGACAGTGTGTACGAGAAATTACCCAACGATAAAACAGGGTATGTAACACCGGAGACGCTGGTTCCGTACGGCGCCGTCGGGCTGTCGGCGGCGCCGCCTTCGTGGCCGGTCGTGGGGGAGGTATTACGTGCCGCGCAGCGGCATCTGGCGGTGGCGGCGGACCCGTCCGTGTCGTACTATCACACCCTGGTCGCAGTCAGGGTGCGGCCGCCGACGCCGGCGGAAGCGGAGGAGCTGTACGGCATCAGCGGCGGAGGTGCTGGTAACGGCGGCGGGGGCGATGCAGCGGAGGATGCGGTCTTGGCTGCAGCCGTTCGGGTGTGGACGCAGCACCACGCAGCTGAGGGCGCTGACCACCTGGTGTTCTGCGTTGACGGCGGTGGGGATATGACGTCGGGAGTACGAGTGGAGGTCGTACGGCAGTCAGCTGCGGCGGCGCTGGCCGGCTCCTCCTTGACCGGCTACACCACGTTTGAGGTGACGGCATGCGATGGCGGAGATCACGACGCCGGCGGCGGCGGCGGCGAGAGCGGCGGGAGCGGTTTAGAATCTTCATCAACCCTGTTGGGCGATCTGGTCTCCAGGTCTCGGTGGTCAACGGAGCTGCCAGGACTGTCGTACTTCCTACACGGCAACCGAGGTACCGTACGGAGTGTGCTGCTGTCGTACGAGGTGGCCGTACCTGCCGCCGGGGGCATCTGTGCGCCGACGGTGCCCTGGCGAGTGGAGTCTGAGGGGAGCGGCGAGGGACGGCAGCGGCGGCGGCGGCGGCTTGTGGCGGCTGAGCAGGGTACGGATGAGGACCTTGAGGGCGGCGAAGAGGACGGCGGCGCAAGCAGCGATGAGGGCGATGATTCCAGCTCACGGCAACCCAGCGAGTGCATTCGGCTGCCCTGCACGCCTGGCGTGACAGGCAGTCAGCCCGCATTGCCCTGCACCATACTGCGCAGCCTGCCACTACTCGGCCTCAAGCGTACGTTCTCGTCCAACGGCCGTACGGAGCTGCCGTACGGCAAGACCAAGGTACCGTACAAGCTGTCTTCCTCGTCGCCTTCCTCATACAATGGGTTCGAGGAGTACCGGCTCCAAGTCAGCCAGCTGCTGCCGGCATCCGGGGCTGATGAGCAGCAACAACAACGCGCTGAGCAACCTGGTGACGATGTGGGCGATGATGAGGGTGAGGGTGGGGGTAATGCGGGTAGCCGGGATGAGGAGCGGGGCCGGTTGCGGCGGGGGCGGTTGCGGCAGTTATTGGCCTTGCAGCAGGGGGGCAGTGGCAGCTGCTCGCGCCTGGCTCGACCTCGGCTGCGGGTACCCTGGTGCAGCCACCGGTAGGAGGGGGGGGTTCGGGGGTGCTTGTAGGCCTTGTGCTGAGGCATACGTAGGTGAGGGGGAGGTAGGGGCGTAGGGTAAGACGGCGCTAGGAGGGGATGTAGGAGAGAGCTGGTTAGCAGACTGGAGTTGCGGAGCTGGAGAGGGTTGATACGATGGGATGCTGGGTGGGAAGGGAACTGGGGAGTAGGGACGCCTGATTAACGTTGGTGATAGGGGCATGCCTGGTGAACCTAACGAACCCTAACCGAATAAGGACGCAGGAGTAAACCTAATGAGGAATGAGGCGATCAATGTGGGGCGAGCGAGCACATGCGTTACCTGACTTGCATGCAGGCTGCTGTGCAGGTTGCGGAGTTGCTGGTGTAGACGTCTGGGCTTACGAGAGCCTCGACGGGCCGCACGATTCAGTCACATTTTAGCCATCACACATGATTACCGGTATGTATTGTCACATGAGCAGTGCCCACGTCAGGACTCGGAAGGACGGGGGTAGGTGTTAGGATGATCGAGCCCGTCTGGTCAGTTAATAACCTGCCAGTGTGTTTTGTTTACAAGGCCTTTGTGCTGCTAACGTTCCCTTCCTGCGTAGCTGTACGCTGATTCGCCGCTTTACAAGTGTACGACAAGCCAAACCTAAAAGCATGAGTACCGTATTCCACCAGAAGCGGCCCATCGTCGTTCCATTCTCATCATCGAAGCAAACCCCAGACCACAACACCATCCAATAATCGCACACGCGCGCCTCCAACACCCCATGGGATGCAACCCTCCATAACGCCTCCCCCATGGGATGCGACCCCGACAGCCACCTCAGCCACCCGCCTCAACACACCGCGCACTGCCTCACACCTACCTCATGTCTGCACTCTCCTACCTCGATTCGCCGCAGCAGCACTGCCTCCCGTCCGCCCGCCGCCCCTCCCAACTCCAGCAGCACCACCACTCCCACGTCCCACTCCCCGCCCACCGCCTCCCCCCAAACCTGCATCCCCGGCGCCCACACCGCCCAACAACAACTCCAGGGACGCTGCCAGAGAGCTGCTGCCGCCGCCGCCCCCTGCAGCTGATGTCGTACCGGCCGCCGCGCTGCCGCCGCCGCCGCCAGCCCCCCTCGGGACTGCAGCGGCACCACCGCGGCTGCTACCACCGCCGCGGCCGGCCTTACCGCCGTTACCCATGATGATAGCCAGCATGGGGTCTCCCCCGCCGGCTGCAGCGCTGTCTGCGGCGGAGGCGGCGACGCGATGCAGCGGCTGCTGCTGCTGCTGTTGGGGCGGTTGGGGTGCGGGTGTGGGTGTGGGTGCGGCTGCAGGAACACGAAGGAAGGCCGGGGCGGCCCTAGGCCTGGCAAAGGCCGTTGCGGTCGTCCCCAGCTGTACGACACCGCTGGGTATCCTCCTGGGTGGTACGGCAGGATCAGCACCAGCTGCCGTACCAGCAGTACCAGTACCAGTCTGGGCGCCAGCAGCTGCCGTACCAACGAGTGCTGGTGTCGTACGAACTGCCGCTGCCGCCGGCGCTTGCGCTGAGCCCTCCGCGGCGGCAGCAGCAGCAGCAGTAGGACCTCCACCTGCCGCTGCTCCCGTCGCCGCCTCCGGAGCAGCGGCTGGTGTTGCGCCGTCGGATGCTACAATGGGCTCGCCAGTTGCCGCTGGTGCCGCTGCCGCTGGTGCCGCCGCCGGAGGCACGGAAGAGTCATCCGGCCCAGCAGCAGCAGCGGGGTGCTGTTGCGCTGGCAGGGGCGGAACTAATGAAGCGGAGCCACCACCCCCGGCGGCGCCCCCGAGCCCCAGTACAAGTCCGTGCCGTGTCTTGTAGGACAGAACCACGGGGGCCTCCGCCGCAGGTACAGCTGCCACTGCGACGAGGCAACGAGGGGTAACGGTATTGGATAAGCTTGCCTGGCCTGGCAGTTGATACACCCTGGGACCAAGCTGGCAGACCTGGCACCATTGCACCAAAAGCACATCCCAGCTTCGTCCAGTGAAGACCAATGTACGATATTCCCGTGTCCCCTGCCAGAGGCTCCCAATGCGAACACAGCACCTGGCAGCATCTTAATCGCACCTGTTGTGGTTGCCGGTCTTCTCACTGCTGCTGTTGCCGAGGGTTGTTGTGCCGTCTCCACCTTCTGACGTTTGCTGCCTCTATCTTCAAACACCTGCATGCAAGAAGTGTTTCCGGTGGTTTAGGGTGCAGCCAGGTGCAGTAGCCACTTTACCTTTGGAAACCACTCCCGCGGTTGCGTCACAACACACGCTTTGCTGCATCTTGTCATCCATTCCGCCCGACACAGGTAGGGAGGGTTGCCCTGCGCGGGGAACCGCAGCACGTACTCCACATCTGGCTATACCTTTCCTGCAACTCACACCCTGGCCCACACCGCTCAAAGGCGCGGAGCCGATCTGGCGAGTAGAATAGGAAGTGCACGGTGATGATTGGGGAGACACGGTGGCTGCGCTGCCGGCCAGCCTCGCACACTGCAGCCAATGTTTCGGCCCCACGCGGCAGCCAATCCTCCAGTTCTGTGTTTGCCATCTCGTGGCCTCCTACCGAAACATTGGCTGCAGTGTGCGAGGCTGGCCGGCAGCGCAGCCACCGTGTCTCGCCAATCATCACCGTGCACTTCCTATTCTACTCGCCAGATCGGCTCCGCGCCTTTGAGCGGTGTGGGCCAGGGTGTGAGTTGCAGGAAAGGTATAGCGAGATGTGGAGTACGTGCTGCGGTTCCTCGCGCAGGGCAACCCTCCCTACCTGTGTCGGGCGGAATAAATGACAAGATGCAGCAAAGCGTGTGTTGTGACGCAACCGCAGGGGCGGTTTCGGGTGTGCTGATGCTGCTGACCCGCTTTTGAAGCAGTACGGCAGCCCAGTACGGTGTCATGACAAAGCACGCCTGCACTCACCTGCAAAGGAGCCATAGCCTGGCCAGCATGCGTCCGCTTGCTCCCACCCGTGCCCGCCACCGACATGACAGCGGCAGCAGCAGCCGGCACCACAACCGCACCTCCTGGCGCCCCCGCCGCCGGTGCCGCCCCGGGTCGCCGAGCTGACATCATGTCGAAGAAGCTCCGCCGGTCCACACGCACACCCGTGTCCGCCGCCGCCGCCGCCGCCGTCGCCGCCGCGACTGTCGCGCCCCTGAAGCGAGCACCCGCTGACTGCCCAGGGACCGACGGCGGCGGAGCCCTGGCGGAAGCAGCACCCGCCGGCGCCGCCGCAGGTGCCGCCAAGGGCTCTGGTACGGCAGCGGCACGCGGCTCGTCAAACTGTACGGCGATCATGTACCCGTGGTTCTCCGCTACCTTGGCGGCTCGCTCCTGCCAGGAGGGGTCCCCGGGGGCCGGCGGCACTTCTTCAAGGTACGGCAGCTGCACATGCTCGTCCCAGCGGCAGCGGACCATGTGCGGCAGGGGCTTGGACCCGCCGCCGTCGCCGCCGCCGCTGCCAGCACTGCCCTGCCGCAGTTGCCCTGCTTCGGGCCGTAGTCCCTGCTCTTCCAGCTGTTGCTGCTGCTGCTGCTGGCTAGGTTGCTTGGTTGAAGCATCTGGTGGCGCTGGTTGCTGCAGCAGCAGCTGTCGTAGGCCCCGTGAGCGTGTCTCCACGCCCGTCTGCTGCTGCTGCTGCCCTTGAACTCCCCGCCCTGCCGGCCCCGCTACGCTCCCAGCCACCGTCATGCTCCCCCCTGACACCCCCGCTGAAGCCCCCGAAGCGGCGTTAGGGCGGTTCGTTGGGAGGTGCGCCTCCTGATGCGTCGGCTTGCCTCCCCGCCGCCCTCGAACCGGCGGCAGCGGCGCCTTTTGCGCTTTCGGAGGCTGCAGCGCCGGCGCGAGCTCGGGAGGCAGCAGCAGCGCCGGGTCTGTGCTGTGTCCATCCACAGCGGCGGCAGTAGCAGCAGGTTGTGGCAGCAGAGGCAGCAGGTCCGCGAGCGCGTTGTAGGTCTTGACGCAGTCCAGAAGCAGCTGCAGCGATAGCACCTGTGCAGGAAGGAGGAGGAAGAGGAGTTGCGGAGGATGCAGTCAGAGCGCGGGGTCAGGGTGATGCATTAGGCGCAACATGAGGCGTGGAAGAGCTGAGGAGAACAACAACAACAACATCAACGGACTCCTTCTTCCTTGAGACTCCATAATATCTTCCGCTGGTCTTCTCCTAGGGTCCCGGTCACAGTGTTCCATCGCCGCTCAGTTACGGCATGTAAAGCGCCCCGCCCCGCCTCGCCCCGCACTTCCCCTTGTACCTTAATCCTGGCCAGCATGGCAGTCGCGGTGGTTGCCAGCGGGACGAAGTAGGTGAGCCCCAGCTGGGCTGCCAAGTGGGCTGCGGCGCGGTGCAGGGGAGCCTGCAGTCCCACCAGCAGGGCCGCACCTGGGCAGGCGGGAGGAGGGCAGGCGGGAGGAGGGCAGGAGGGGGGAGGGCAGCAGGGGGGAGGAGGTAGGGACAAGAGGAGGGAGCAGGAGGAGGGAGCAGGAGGAGGGAGCAGGTGGAGGGAGCTTGGGGCGGGGTTGTAGTAGGGTAAGGAGGTGACGGCTAGTGTCGAGCTCCATTGTTCATTTTGTTCTGCTACCGGTGGTTTCGGTCAAGAATGGGGCTTGACACGCACTTCGCCAGCTTGGGTGTTTAGGTTAAGAAGCTAGGAGCGAAGTTAGGTTTTAAAAGGCCAGGAACGCACCCGTTAGGAGCTGCTTCAACACCGCCGCGCCCGCCTCACGCGAGGGCAGTCTGTACGATGCACGCCCTCCTCCTGCTGCTGCTCCTGCTTCGCTGCCGCCGCCAGCAGCTATAGCAGCCTTGCTGCTTGCCCTGCTGCCTCTTCCCGCTGCCGTTGCTGCCCCTGTTGTTGTTGCCGCTGCTGAGCCTGGCCCCAGCACGCCCCCCTGTTGCAGCAGCAGCTGAAGGTCCTCAATCTGGTGCGGCAGCCGCAGCTCATGGAGCCGCAGCAGCATGCGGCGGACCTGTGGGGAAGATGGGGAATGGGAACAAGAGGCAGGAAGGGAGGGTTGGGAGTAAGATGGCTATCCCTAACCAGCAATCCCTCTCCCGTAGTGTGTTTTACGGGCGCCGTACGCAACCTAGTTAGCACCGGTCGGTAACCCGCCATCCATCCATCCATTGCCCGCCATGCTGACCTCCTTTAGGTGCCGCATGAAGTGAGCTCCTCTGTGCTGGTGGATGTTCTTGTAGTGCAGCTTGTCGAGCATTGCAACCTCGGACCAGAGAGGTTCGGCGGCCAGGCACGCCTGCGGAACGGCGTGGAAAGGGACATGGACGAGGATGGAAATGGAAACGGAGTTACACCGTGCGGAGCGGCGGACTGCCGCGCCGGGGACTCAGCGCAAACCGGGGACGTAATACCCACGCTGCACGTACTGTAAAAGCGATCATGTAATTTCACGCAGGGCGTTTGGTTCATTCTGTAAAAGTTGCAAGGATGCTAGCTACGTTCGCCTGTTCAATTGGCAATCACAACGTTCCTTACGTACTTTGAGGACAGGTAGGTTCGCTTGGCGGAAGAGGGGCGCCAAGTCTCCGTAGCAGGAGAGCTGAACCGTGACCCGCAGATGACCAGGTAGCGCCCATCCACGGTTGGTTGGAGGCGCATAATCACCAGCTCCAGCCGCCATGATTTTCGAGATATGGGCACTCGGAATTGTGGAGCTGCAATACTGACTTCTATTGGACAGCTTCCTAACTTCACACTTACCCTACATGCAGGAGCTGCCGTCGGTATAACGTGCGCAGAGGGTTACTGGCAATGCACATTTTACACAAATTTATGCTACTCCTGAAACAACACAACAGTTCCAAGGCACTTACGCAGTACCAGCTGCATGTTGATGATGACGGATGCCGGTGCCGCACACCCTTGCATGGGCAGGGCGGCTTAACGCGTCGGTCCGCTCCAATGCAGCAAGTCCGTTGAGTAGAATATACTTGTCTAGTTAGGCAGTGCATGCATTAACACTTTGCGCGTATGTAGTCCTTGCCTGCACCTACTCGGCGTCACAAGATAATAAGCCAGTACTTTGCCCTTTGACTCATAAAAACGTGTTAGTGTTAAACTTCTATAGCTTCCAATATGCGCCGTGCAGTGGCGCAGCTGTTTTCGGCGTCGACGCCAGGGGCATCGTGGCTTGCAGAGTTAACAAGTGCCAGTAACCAGCACGTCGTGCGGTCCCTTGGAGAGACGTCTACAAGCTACAGCGGCGTAAATGCTGAAGGGCCGTTCCGAGTAAGTCGCGGTCGCTGATCATTGCTTGGGCCTTTTCCTGAACTGTTTGGCGCCTTTCACTGCATAAATTTTGCCACGTGTCGAACAGCCCTTCTGTGGAAAACGTGGGGCTTGCGATGTGAAGGTTCTCCCATGCATTTGCAGGTACTGACACGGGCCATGAGCGGCAAGGGTGGGAAGGGTGGAAAGGGCGGACCCGCCTCCAAGGCCGCGCCCCCACCCCCACCTCCGCCAGCACATAAGGCGGTACCTCGTGACAGCGTTCTCGCAAGCGCAGGTAACCACGCCTCTCTTTAGGCCACAGGTCACAAGCTATCCCTCCCCTCTCCCACCCTCTAGCCCTCCTCCCAACCCCACCGCCTCCTCGTCCTCCGCCTTCAACCTCACCTCCCCTTCCTCCTCCTCCTCCTCCTCCTCCTCCACCTCCCTTCCCCTCCACAGGCGCCCGCCTGCGCAGGAGCCGCCCCGGCCTGGAGCCCATCGCCCTCCTCACCGCCCAGCAGCGCCAGCTCGCGGAACAACTCATGCAGCAACCCGCCGCTCCCGCCGCCGCTGACGGCCCCGCCGCCGACGCCGCCGCCAGCGCCTCCGAAGCCGCCACCGCCGCCCTCCGCGGCCTCGTCCCGCTGGGCCTCCCGCTGGAGCGCCGCGACGTGGCTTCCCTGGTGGACCAGGCGCTGAGCGGCGCAGCGGGGCAGCACGTGCACTTCCAGCCCTTTGTCTTCTCCAACGTGTTCCAGAGCGCGCCCGCTGCCGCCACCTACGTGGCAGCGGCGCTGGAGAGCGGAGTGGGGTGGCCGCGCATCGAGCGGTTCTTCCTTGCGGCGGTGGAGGCGGACAGCTGCGTGCGGGGGGTCAAGGTAGTGATCAGCGGCAGGCTGGGTGAGGCGGGGTGGCAGGGCAGGGCGGGATGTGGGCGGAAGGGTTGCTCCTCTGCGCTCCCCCTTCCGTGTGTTAAAATAACTGGCCGCGAGGCGAAACGTACTGTGATTCCGTGTGTGTGTCCCTCGTCTTCACCTCACAACACTTCATTGACCCCAACTCTCCCCTCCCCTCCAACTCCCAGGTCGCAAGGCCGGCATGGCCTCCTCCCGGAGCTGGGAGTGGGGCGAGATGAATGTGATGGCGCTGTCCGACAGGCTGGACTACGGAGCGGCGGCAGCAAACACACGCATGGGGGCCGTGGGTGGGTGCGGGGGCTGCGGGGGAGTCAGGGGGGTCAAAGATATACCCCAGGGGCGGGGGGGATTACAGGCATTGGGGTATGGTCACAGGGTTTGGTTGCGGAGAATGCCGGGGGTTACAGGGAGTTATAGGAGCACGGGGGAGGGGAGGGTAGAGGGGGCAGCTGGCCGTGTGACAGAGCTGCACCATGGGCTGCGCACTAAGGTGGCTGGCCCTTCCAGCCCGGCCAGGGCAGGCCGAGCCTAAACGTTAGGTCTTGGGCGTGAAGTAGATGGATGGATGGTGGTGGAAGGGACGAGGGGAGGTAGCTGGGAGCAGCAGTGAGCGTCGAGTAATTACTCGCCCCAGTAGGAGTTACTGGGGCGATGAAGTTGGAGGTTTAAGGCGCGAGGCCAGGGCTTGTGTTCGATTGGGCTGATTACGGTTGACGGGGCCTCCCTCACCTCCCCCTCCTCACCTCCCCCTCTTCTCCCGCACCCCCCGCCACGCAGGTGTCAAGGTGTGGTTCCGCTACAAGACCTCGGCCGTGAAGGACGTCTTCTTCCCGGCCATGGGCGGCTCACACTACCGCACCGCACCCGCCGCCGGCGCCCTGCCGCAAATCAGCTTGGACGAGCTGTACGGCGCCGCTGTCAGCCGTACGACACGTGTCGCCCTGCCGTACAGCTTCAGCACGGTGGGCTGGTGGGAGCGTTCCGCGTCGCAGCAGCCGGTTGAGAACCGCGTGTCGGAGGTGTTTGTGTCGGACTTCGACCCACGGGTCGGCGACCGACTGGACGCCTACCTGCGGCGGCGGCGGGAGGAGGGGCGGAAGTTCCGCAGTGCGGCGGAGCGGCTGTCGTACATGGCGACCACTGGCAGGTGGGTGGGGTGTTACTGTGCTGGCAGGTACCTCCTTGGCGTGTTTGAAAGGCAATGGAAGGAGGGAAAGGAAAGGGGAAAAGGCAATGGAAGGAAGGAAGGGGCATGGAGGAGGCAAGCATGAAAGGCTAGCTGAAAGGAGCCTTTAAGGGTAGACATGCAGCTTGCGGCTGCTGCCATATGGCGGCTGAGGGGTTAGCTGCCTGTTAGCCAGTATGGTAGCTTGTCCTTATCCTGCTGTAGACATACCAAGCTTAGCCATCCTAATTCCTAAACGAACGCGCGTGTGTTTCGCCCGGTCTTCCATCCGTGCAGGTTCCTGGCCAGGCAACGCAAGGCGGCTCAGCTGCGGGCGGCGGGCCTCAAAGGCGGGGCGGCGGCGTCCCTGGGGCGGCGACCCGACCGCGCACTGGGGCGGGTGCGGGCGGGGCCGGTGCTGCTGCGGCAGAGGTTGGAGGCCAAGGCGGAGAAGAAATGAGATGGGCGATTTTTAAGGATGGAGGTTTGTGTCTTGGGAAGGCGTGCATGAGGTTGTTCGGCGGATGCACGGCTTGGACGATTAGAAAACGGGAAGTTGGGGTGACCTGGGCGGGAGGAGGAGGGGAGACCGAGCGTTAGTAGCGGGGTCGCGTAGCATGCATGACGTGCAGTACATCGGTTGCGGACTTTGGGTTACGTAACTGGAGGCCTTGAAAGTAAATTTTGTTTTACTTGGACCGTGTGTAGGCCAGCTGGTTGGCCAGGTGTGCCAGCAGCTGAGCCATCGACATTTCAATGGAAGCCCTCGTTACTTATAAAAGATAACATCGGGACAAAGCTTGTAATGCATGGTTACAGTATCTTCACGCTGCAACGTTTCTCTTTGCAGCTGCAGCGGACTTTTTACTCGTCCGCTGGCATGTTTACCTACTTGCAAGGTCCCCTTGTCGGCAAAACGAAATCGGCTGGCACGAAGTTGCAAAACGCAATCAGACTTTTATTTCGTACATCAAATAGCGCGTACTCTTCACTAGCAGCTCAGGCCGATGAACGTGTCGGCCAAGCCAGCGCAAGTCAACTCATTCGCTTGAATGAGCTAGGCATACTTCCTTCCGTGGCGAAGCACTGGGACGCCAGCACAGCGGACGCGGAGCTCCGCAATGCGGCAGCCAGCAGCAGCAGAGCCCCAAATGGACGACCCACCGCGGTGCAGCTGGCGATGGCGCAGGTGAGGCCGCCGAGCAGAAAGCCATGCTCTCCGACGCGAATCGCTACTAGGGTGTCACCGGAGCTCCCAAAGCCTCACTCGTTAGGTTTGCAGGGTGTCCTTCTTTCCAAGCCTGGCAACTTCGTCCTACTCGCCCTCCTTCGTCCTTACAGCAAACCAGCCAAATATCATCTCCCCCACACTTCTCATCTTCACTTACCCGCAATACCACACCTCTCAATACCCAAACCCGCTCTGCTAAGGCAAGTCCCAACCCCTCCTCCTGCAGCGTGCTGGTGTAACGCTGGGCCCGGAAGCCACACGCAAGACCGCTGCTCTCGGCCTCGCCGCCGTACAGCCGCCTTCCGTACATTCCCTTGCCGTACTGTACGGCGTGCTGGAGTACGATGGTGCTGTACCGAGCTGCGAGGAAGCCGCAAGGCAGCTCATCAAAGCCATAGCCCAGACACGGCCACACCAGCACCCGCTGGACTTGGACCTATCACCTGTGGCTCTCAGCCAGGTACTTCACTCCCTACACACTTCACACTCAGTAATGCCACTTTGAAGTGTCATATCCGGCACCCCAGGCCCCGCCCACCTCTTGCTCCTGGTCCGAAACTCCTAACCGTCAGACGTCATCGTAACCGCCAACGGCTTTCTGCCTTCCTCTGCACCCTGTCTGTACCGCAGATGAGTGAGCTGTTCAACCGACTGGGCTACATCGGGCGGCCGCCCTTCTCGTACGGCAGTGCTCAGCTGCTGGCGTTATGCGCTCGAAGCATACTGGTGGATGTGGAGGAGGAGTCGCGACTGCGGCAGCTGCCGGGGTAGGGGGCTCGCTGAGTGGGGGAAAAATTATATACTCCGCTGAGTGGGGGAGGGGGCACGTGAAGGGGAGGGGATTCGGGCCGAGGCGGGAAGCAGGGCTGAAGAGGATGCCATCCACGTTCGCGCTAGTAGGCTGAAAGACTGAAAGGAAGGGAGCATGCATGCCTGTTGAAAGCAGGCAGGCTTCTCAGAGCCACAAACCCTGAAGACCAAGCCCCTTCCTCCCTCCCTCCTCCTCACCCACCTCCTCCCCCTCCGCCTCCCCCGCCAGGCTGCACCCCCACCAGGCGGCGCTCATCCGCCTGCTGCGCCGCCGCCGCGCCCCTCCCGGCACCCGCGGCATGCCGGCAGTGGGGGAGCTAGACCTAGACGCAGCGCCCGCGTCCGCAGCAGCAGCAGCAGCAGCAGCAGCACCCGAACCGGGCTCCTATGCAGGCACGTCAGCAACAGCCGCCCCCACAGGCGGAGTGAGCCGGCTAGCCGCTGCTCGCAACCTGCTGCAGCTGCTGCAGAACCACGAGCTCTCCGCCACTCCCCGCGGACCCGCCGTGGAGGCGTTACGAGCGTTAGGGCACTGGTCTGCCGTACCACCCACCACGGGGGAGGCACTCATGCTGGCGGGGGAGCTGCGGAACAGATGCATGAAACCCACGCATGCGCAGCTGGCGGCGCTCCGTACGGCAGGGTATGGCGGCAGCCGTACATGTGACAGAAGTAGCAACAGCAGCAGCAACAGCAGTAGCATGGGTGATGTTGTGGAGGCGCCGGTTCCGGAAAGCGTGGCACATGTGAAGGCAATCCTGCGGGTGCTACGGCGGGCGGATAAGGACGCTGCCACGCCTGCCAGCCGCGGGGAGCTCAGGGAGTGGGAGGAGCTGCGCAGGAGGGCGCCGGCGGGGGGCCATGCGGCGGCGGCAGCGGTCGCCAGGGTGCATGGAGGAGGAGGAGGTGGCGGCGGGAGCGGGAGAGTAGGGACACTGGGGCCGTGCCCAAGTCGGTTGGAGGTTCGTACGGCTATTGAGGAGCTGCCGTTGTCGGAGGAGATGCTCGAGCGGCTGTTGGACTTGGTGGGTGAACGGGCATGGTGGTTGGGGTGGTTGGGTGAGACGGATGGGTGGCAACAGGGTTGGGGCGTCGTTTAGCACTCGTTTGCAAAGCCGAATGCGTTCCCGGGCCGCCTTGGAAACTCGCACACCATGCAAATCTACCCCCAAGCTAGCCCCGTGAACCGAGTTTACGAACATGTGGCGCTTCCGCTCATTAACGGTCTATGCTATTTCTGCTCCCACAGGGTTGGTCCGGCCCCTTGCCGCCGAACCATGGGTCCGCCATGGCGCTAGAGACCTACCTCATCCACCACCGGACCACTTCCACCGCTGCACCGCCCAACAGCACCAACCAGGGCGCACCTGCTGCTACTGCTGCATCGTCTGCTGCGCCGGCAGCAGCAGCTCGGGCAGCAGGCGGGACTGCCATGTGCCGAGTAGACGACAGTTCGCCGCACGGGCACTACCGCCGTACCGGACAGCAGCAGCAGCGGAGTCTGCGGGAACAGCGGCATCAGGCGTTTGTTGCGCGGCTAGGACGCAGCGAGGAAGAGGCGCTTTTGAAAATTCAAATCCGAGGTTTATTCCCGGGTGCGGTTTCGGAGTGGTACTTGCCAAGCATGTGTAAGGAGGAGGCGGAGCTGCTGTTGGGGTGTTTGGTGGCGGCACGGAGAGCCGTACTGCAGCGGGTGTCGTACGATGACGTGTCATATGATGGGTTTGTGGAGCGGTGGGGTCAGGCGGAGGTGCAGGGGGAGTGGTGGGGCATGGAGTGCTTGTGGCATTAAGGTGCGCTGGGGTTTCCGCCGTGTGGAGGTTCATGGAGGGGGTCTATGGTGTCAAAGAGGTCCGCACGTCCTCCTCTGGTTGGGAGGAGGGAGGGAAGGCAGGGGATGGCAGGACGGAGTCGGGAGCGACGCTCCGATGGCCAACATGGCTTATGATGTTTGTGGGGATTGAGACGCCGTGGCTAACCGGATGCGCACCTGACGCAGGAAGGCTGCTCTGTAAGGGTGAGGATGAGAGCTGGCGCAGTTCCTATGGTCTCTCTCATCGTCTTATGCATATGCATACATGCTAGGTATGAAATCGCAGGCAGGAGCGTGCGACTGCTGAGCGGTGGGCGGGTGGGGGCGATCAGTATGCTCATCTAAAGGCCTCCATCAACCACTGCAGTAGTCCGTTAAGCCCGTACGGCAATCAACTGCAGCAGTTTGCAAGCGCTGAACACACCTGGCACTGCTAGTACATCAAACATCTGCTATGTAGGTAGGACCTAGGAGACAGCTCATTGCAAGAGGAAGGAAATCCAACACGCTGAACGCCGTGGCCACAGCTTTACTACACCGGCTTTAGCCACTGCGTTTCCTGTTACCTAGTCTGACAATCATCGTTTAGTTACACGCACATTCCAGGCTTGGAAGCACTTAAGCCACCAAGGTTATGTAGGCTGCTTACTGTGCAGATTCCCGAAGGATAAAGCTGATTTACACGAAAGGAGGCAGCATCAGGCTGCATTTTAAGATGCAATTTGCAGCAGTGATGGCGGACTTGGAGCTGTAGTTGGAGGGAACGTTACGCGTTGGGATTAGATAACGGAGTTGCCTTGCTGTGGGCATTGAGCGCCAACCATGGGTAAGTGTCGCGTTATTGTTGTCCATACTGAAGATCTGAAGAAAGTGCAGCAGTTATGTGAAGGTAGCCGCTCTTGGAACCTCGACGATGCCATTTTGAAACACACTTGCAAGAGGGCCTTTACAGGCAGCGGTGATGATGCTGTAATGATATTGGTTTTGAACGTTGGGCTTGGTACTATCGTTTGTTGCGAGTGTGCATCCGTGTAGTGTATATTTAAGAAGCCGTTTCCCTTGTCGCTGGCTTGGCCCTTGCAGAAGCAGTCCGGAGAGCGGTCAAGGACCGCATCCTTGTCGACATGCTTGGGGGTGTGGTGGATGAAACGGCCGGTGGTTGGAAAGTCTTGGTACTCGACGAATTCACGACCCGCGTCGTCTCGTCGACTTTGCGCATGTCTGATATCTTGGAGTGCAACGTCTCTGTCGTCGAGGATCTCATGAAAGCACGGCAACCGCTGCAGCAGGCGGCGGTTTACTTCATCCAGCCCAGCCCCAAAAGCATCGCCCGGCTCTTGGAGGACTTTGGCGGGCCCGACGGCAAATCCGGGATAACAAGGGGCATCAAACAGCTTTACCCCGCAGTGCACATCTTCCTATCTAACAAAATTTCCTCAGAGGCACTTGACAAGCTGAAGGCCAATCCTCGCCTCGTCAAGTCCCTGAAAACTCTCAAAGAGCTCAACCTAGAATTCCTAACCGTAGACTCCCGGACCATGACCACGGAGCACCCGGAGGCAGCGCGCTTGTGAGTGGGGACGGGACACACGCGGGTTTGTCGTACATTGGCATTGCCATGTTGCTGTGCCATCGTGATCCGCTGGCCGTGATAATACCATCCCGCTTCTGGCGTGCAGCAAACACAACACCTAAGGGTGGGTACAGCCACTCTAGCCCCTCGCGCGGCATGAGTGACACGGCCAACCTATCGTGTACAACCCCACTGACCCCAGCTGCTGCTGTCACCCCGACCAAATACAACAGGTTACTCAGCGACACAGCGGACAGCCGGACGGTAAGCAAGCATGTCGACCAGATCGTGTCGCGTCTGGGGACTCTGTTCACGGCGCTCAAGGAGTTCCCCGTCATTAGGTGAGGGAGGGCTGGGGATGAGGGCGGACCCATGGGTCGTTTGCGCATGTGCAACAGTTTCCCGGACCCATGCCAAGTCAGAGACGCAGCTCTTCCATTGAGACTTGCATCCAGCTTCTCTTCCCATACTACACTACGCCGGACCGCCCTCCATGCTGCATCACCACCCCACTGCTCCGCCGCTCCATTAGGTACAAGGCCGCTCGGCCGCCACAGCCCGGAGACCCGCCGGGTCAGTCGACCCGCGGGTCGCTGTCGCAGCTGCTGGCCAGCAGGCTGTACGAGCGACTGGCGGGCATGCAGCGGGCGGGGCAGCTTCCGAACAAGGTAGGGGGGGTGCGGGGTTTGGGTGGAGACCGGGTGCGCGAAGTACCGAAGATAGGCATCTCCAGGGGGCCGACAGCACAGGATGATGGTTGCTCAGGGAGGCAGCGTGGGGCCGATACCAGTGCTCATCGTATCGGCGTGGGGCGAGGTGTCGTATGGTCCGTTGGCCCTCAAGGTTCTCACCCCCTCCCGCCCCGCCCCCTTCCTTCCTCTCAGGAGTCCTGCGACATGCTCGTACTTGACCGTACGTACGACGCTGTTGCGCCGTACATCCACGAGTGGTCGTACGAGGCGCTTGCATACGACCTGGTGCACATTGACGGTAACGTGTACAGGTGGGACGTGGGAGGGAAGGGCGAGGTGCGGGGGGCGCGAGGCAAGGGGGGATTACCGGTATGTGGGAGTCTTACTCCCTGCCCTGCCTTCGCACCCTCGCCAACCTCGCACCTCTCATCCCCGGCTAACCCCCCATCCACCTCCCGCTCCCCAGATACCAGGTGGAGACCCAGGGCGGCGGCGGCAAGGTGGAGGCCCGGGAGGCGCTGCTGGAGGAGAGTGACGAGCTGTGGCTGGAGCTGCGGCACCTCTTCATCGCGGACGTGTACAGCAGCCTGGGCGAGCGGTTCCGGGAGTTCCAGGCCAAGAACCGGGCGGCACGGGCGGCAGGTGGGGCAGGGGGTCTCACGGGAGGGGTGAGGGAGCTCCTGGCCAAGAACCGGGCGGCACGGAGCGGAGCAAAATGCCCCCTGCACCTTATCATGCAGGGCAACATGAGCTGCACGCTTGCGCGACATGCTAACCCAATGCCTCTTCGCTCTTCCTCCCTTCCCGCCTCTCCACCCTCCTTCTTCCCCTCAGGTGGCGGCGGGCTGAGCAAGGCCGGCGAGACCATGTCCTCCTCCTCCATCCGCCAGCTCATCATCGCACTGCCGCAGTACCGCGAGCTGCTGGGGCGGCTGGCGCTGCACATCCAGCTCAGCTCGGAGCTCAAGACGGCCACCAACGCGAGGTCGCTGACGGACGTGGGCGAGCTGGAGCAGGACCTGGTGCTGGGCGAGAAGACGAGCAAGGACCTGCTGGCTTTCCTGTCGGGTGGGGTGGGGGGCGGGGGTGGGTGGGGGCATGGGAGGGGCGAGGGTGAGGGTGGTTGATGGATGCATGGCTGGCAAGGTGGTGGTGGAAGAGGGGTTTGCAGGGCTAAGCAAACCGGAAAGGCGTGCATGCAACTCCTTGCGCGGGCTAGGGACGTCCAACCCCAAGACCCCCGAACAACCTTCTCACACCCCCACCACCACTCGGACCCCCTCACCCCCCCACACCCCGCAGAGCACCAGGCCCAAATGGACGCCGCTGACAAGCTGCGGCTGCTGGCCTGCTACCTGGCAACCCACCCGGGGAAGCTGGATGTGGCTAAACGAGTGCAGTGGCAGAAGGTGTGGGATGCGGAGGGCCCTGTGGGGGGCGCTATTTGCCCATTGGGGGCTGTGTGGCATGCAGAGGCAGTAGCAGCACCTTTCCTGGCTGTGGCGCACACCTCTCGCTCACGAACCGGGGCCCGTCTTCCTGCACGCCGCCGCGTCCTCCGGAGCTTCTCCGGAGCTGTTTTTGACGTTCGTTACCTCCTCCTATTGCACCCACCCCCACTAACCACCTCTTCCGTCACCCCCCTCCCCTCCCCCCCGTTCTCCTGCCAGACCGCGGGTCTGTCCGTTGATGACATGGCGGCCCTGTGCGGGGGGCTAGCGAGGCTGGGGGTAAAGGTCATGGAGACGCGTGAGTGGGGGGGGACCTCCGGGGAGTCGGGGCGGCATGAATTGGCAGGGTTGCGAGGGAGGGCAGCGGCTTGGATTGGGGTGTCGATCGACGGCATGTCATTGCAACCGAACGGGCTAAACGGAATACGCTCCAAAAGGAGTGAATTCTTACCCTCCGCCCTACGCTTCCTGGGCACAAGGCATGCACCCAATTCACCCCCTTCCCGCCCCTCCCATCCCCCTAGTCAGCAACTTATATCATTATCACACCACACTTTGGAATTTCTTTTTTATCCCCCCAGCCGCCCCCGCGGAGGCCTCCAAGGGCTTCTTCGGCGGCTCCAAGAAGCCCAAGCCGCTCAAGGCGACCCGCAGGAAGGCGGGCGGGGACGACGAGGAGCAGTACGCGCTCAACCGCTTCCAACCGCTGCTGGCGGAGCTGCTGCAGGAGCTGGCGGCGGGCAGGATGAGCGCGGAGGAGTATCCGTACGTTAGGTGGGGTTGCTGCCGGGGGCCAGGTGGGGTTGCCGTACGTTAGGTGGGGTTGCTGCCGGGGGCCAGGTGGGGTTGCCGTACGTTAGGTGGGGTTGCTGCCGGGGGCCAGGTGGGGTTGCCGTACGTTAGGTGGGGTTGCTGCCGGGGGCCAGGTGGGGTTGCCGTACGTTAGGTGGGGTTGCTGCCGGGGGCCAGGTGGGGTTGCCGTACGTTAGGTGGGGTTGCTGCCGGGGGCCAGGTGGGGTTGCCGTACGTTAGGTGGGGTTGCTGCCGGGGGCCAGGTGGGGTTGCCGTACGTTAGGTGGGGTTGCTGCCGGGGGCCAGGTGGGTCGCAGAGTAACCAAGCCAAGTGCTGGCTGGGCGGGTGGGGTAGTGAAGAGGCTACAGTTGGCAGGGTTCCCCCTGCAGGGTGGTGCAGGGTTTGAGGCTTCTTCCACTTTCCGTACGCTACCGTACACAGCGTAACTCGTTTGTTGTGCTTTCCAACCTTCCTTGCACGCAGCCATCCCTGCATGTAACTCAACCCCGGCACTCCCTTGCAGGCAGCCCTCGGGGGACCCCGAAGGCGAGTCGGCCCGGGCAGCCGCCTCCGCTCGCACCGCCCGCTCCGGCCTCAACTGGGCTAGGCGCAAGGAGGGGGCGGAGGGCGCGAGCGGCTCGGGGGCGGGACCCACGGGTCGGCGGCTGGTGGTGTTTATCATCGGAGGAGCGACAAGAGGTACGCGAGGGCGGAGGGGGCGGGTTTTGGGCGCGGGGAAGGGGCGGGCATGTGCCTGGAGGAGGAAGGTGTTGCATGAGCCACTCGCATCCCCCCTCCCGCCATCAAACCCTGCGTACTCACCGTCCTCCTCTGCGCTCGTCCATATTTCTGACACCGTTCACATTCCACCATTCTCCCCCTCCTCTCCCTCCATTCTCCCCCTCCTCTCCCTCCTTGTGTACTCCCTCCTTCCCCCCTCCTGCCTTCCCACCCCGCCCCTTCCTTCTCTCCCACCCGCCCAGGTGAGATGCGGGTGGTCCATCAGCTGTCCTCGCAGCTGGGTCGTGACGTCATCCTGGGCTCCACCTCAGTGGACAGCCCCAATGCCTTTGTGGACCTGTTGTACCACCTCGCGCCGGAGACGGCAGCGGGGGCGTAGGAGGGAGGGAGGCAGCGGGGGTAGGGGTGTAGGAGGGAGGGAGGCAGCGGGGGTAGGGGTGTAGGAGGGAGGGAGGCAGCGGGGGTAGGGGTGTAGGGAGGTAGCGGCGGTAGGGGTGTAGGGAGAAAACCGTGGGGAGGGAGTAAACGAAGAATGGACTGCAAGGCGGAAGGGGGAAGGAGCGGAAGCAGCGGACGGAAGAGAGGGAGATTATTGAGACAGGCGAGGAGCGGTTGTGCTCTTCTCGTCGGCAAATTGTGTTTGTGATGGGAGAGGGTCAGACGCCAGGATGTTGGACTAGAGTTTGGGTACCTTGAGACGGTGCTTGTTTATCCAGAATTGTACCACGTCCTAATGGGGATTGCAGGAGAAGTGAGCGTGTGTGTGCCTTATACTACTGAAAACTCCCACAAGAAAATTGTAAGTAAGCGGTCTGTGTTACCCTTGGACAATTTAGTTCACAGTCCTTACGAGAAGGCACCCCTTACATTTTTTGACGAATGTTCTCTTTGCTGGTTTTTACCGGTACTATACACACCATACACTTCCCCTAATGCCACATGCCAACATATGTACAATGGTTAGGCTGGAACCGACAAACTTTTAACTTACTCTACATGTCTGCCATCAATCAATGCAACATCCAAGTGCGCGTACGACAACATAAGATGACACGTGGTCGCTTGGAAGTACGGCGATGGCCGACTGCACATAGTCAGCAAGAATCGCAAGTATGCGCAAGCGACGAGTGTCATCGTGCAACAAGTAGCGTACAGACGCACAGGAGTTATGTATCTATTATGCACTATACCTAAACGCAAAACGCTATGCAAAACGCTTTTCATGCCATATCAACATACTATTGATAAACGGCACCGCCAAGCATGCAAGACCCAGGACCCAAGTACCATGGGCATTTTACTGGTACACGTGGCATGTGGCCACCCTCGACAGCGTTCACTACAGTGACACAACCACCACCTCCACAGTCCCAACCACACCACCACTTTCAACTATACCACCATCCACCGGCACCTCGCCTGTATGTCCCCCATCCATCAATCCTTTCCCGCTACTCATCCCTCAGCTGCATACGCAGCTTTCAATTAGCGCGCCACTACCTCTTTCCGACGACTCAGCTCAATATCTAACGACAAGCAAATGCCCCTATCATCCTGGAAAGATTCGTGTTCCCTAATGGATTCGTTCAGGGCTTTTGCCCCCTCAAATTCCTGAATCCCCCTCTGCGACGGATGGGAATGTCCGGGAAAACCATTCAGAAAGCAAGAATGAGAAAAATAACAGCTGGTTTGCCATTTGGCGTTGCTGTCTCTTCACATTCCTTGGTTGCATGACCTCGGAATACACACATACCAACATACCCACGATTCGACACGTCATCTAATCTCGTACGACAAACTGATCTCAGGGACGTTAGAAAATACTTTGAATGCAGGCCAAATGTGGGACGCCGTCCCAAAGGCCTTGGTCGTTACTTTCTACTTTCTTTGCTCTTACCCCCCCTCCCACGTCCCCAACGAATGCACACATCATCTGCACTTTATTCTGGAGCAAACGAGCTGCAAAGATATCGACAGACGAACAAACGACACCCGACCTGCCGTACCAAGTGCTTTCTGTGCCCTGCTTCCCATCCGCATACACAATATGCAACGCAAACAGACGTCAACATGTAGCTTTCAACGAGAAGACTGAACGCCCGACTACAATTCGAAAGCTCCGGAACAAGTCCCCCCCTACATTCTGGGTTGCAAGGTTGGAAAGCCACCAAACCCACATGCCCCGAAGCCACTAAACATCCCCGCTCAAGTTGCTTTCCAACCAGCTGTAGCATCCCGACAGTGACGGCACACCCACACCTTCAGCAGCCGATCCCGCTTTCCAATCGGATATCTCCAGCTCCTCTGTCAAAAGAAGATCAATGCTACAGCAATGCGCAACGGATCTCGTACATTCAAGCCGTGCGCAATAGCTTATTGACCCATCCACAAAGAGCATCAAATGACATTGCTAGACGACAGCACTCATATGAGTGCATAGCATCATCGGAAGCTTCCGTGCATTTCCAAACCTGTGATATGTCGGCCGTACGGTTTTGTATCAATTACGTACATTGCCGCGACCAAGCAACATCACAGCACTCTTTGCACGATGTGCTTCGATAGGAGCTGTAGCTAATAAACCCCGCATGCGTTTGTAAAGGGGTCAAATGCATACAGCGATACACACACGAGTTTCCTTAACACATACACACACAAGTTGCCGTACGGCAACTTCACGCAAGCAAGCTATTAGACGGAGAACCCATTGATAGCAATGATCCGGTTCGTCTTAAGGTTGACACATCAAGGGAGCAAATGATAAAAGGCGTCCCGTTTTATCCTCGAAATACTATCCGAACTCTTTCCTCATTTCAAACCAGGGTTTGGCGGTTGGAACTGTGCGTCCCGTGTAAACGTCGTCGTCAAAATTTACCCCGCAAAGTATTATGCATGGAACGTCAAAACTTCATCATACGGTTTCCTAACGACATCTTCTCTAACGACATCTTCTCTAGCAAACGTGGGCAATCTTCTCTCTACTATCCCCCTCCACAAGCAACATCCCGTTACGTTCAGTAAAGTCAACGTAGTACAGTCGTATAGAAGTCAACGTCATCTTACTAAGCCCACCTAGGCTTACCTAGGCAAGCCTAGGCAAGCACAATGCAAATCAATGCAGTCAACCATCTCAGCAAAAAGCCCGGAAACCGCAACATGCTACATGCTCCTACAAGCCATATCAGGGCCTACACCACCCCCAACGTGCAACATATGCACCCGCAGCATAATGTTCCGCCCCTCAAAACAACGACCTTCCTTCCCATTGCCTCCCTCAATCCTGCACCCTCGCCTCCCTCGCTCAATCCTGCGCCTCCCGATTACCTTCATATAAGCCGCAGCAGCACCAGCGGCGTGGAGACCGTTGCCAACTTCCAACTGCCCGCTGCGTCCTTGCTGACGTGTCAGCCGTTCAGTTTAGTAGACGTCGCAGCACAGCGGCTCATCGTCCAGCTGGTTGTGCACAAAGTACGGCCCCAGTCGGTAGCCCAGCCCCTCCAGGCACTTGAGCTCCACCTGAATGCGGGGGTACGGCGGAGTCGTAAGCAGGAGCAGGAGCGTGTGTGTACCGGGAAATCAAGGCAAGGAGCAAGTAAACTAGGCTGGGAGGGTATGCAGAGTTGTCAAGCAGACCGCGCGGTCAACGACGCCACGTGTCCACAAATCAGTCCAGTGGCAGCTCCGTACACAGGCCTCATGCGAAACATTCATTACAGCCATGCAGCAGTGCAGCTGCCCCATACCGGCCCTCACCGAGTGCGCCTCCTCCCGCGACACGTTGACGTTGTACAACATGGACAGCATGCGGCGCAGCATGTCGGTGTGCGGCATGCGGTCAACCACCTTGGTGGCCAGGTAGGCGCACGTGAACAGGATGGACCGCAGACCGTCCTTCTGCGCGGGTGGTGGCAGGCGGGCAGAAGATGTGCAGGCAGCGGCGTTCAGCAAACGGCCAACGGCGCTGGACACCATCGGTGGACCGCCTGGTTTCGTTAGCGTGAATGGCTGGGATGCCAAACGAAAACAGGAATGACACACACAGCAGGACGCCAACATCAGCGCAAACCCCATCCATCCTCTCACATGCAGGTACTCCTCCGGCTGTCCCTTGTTCTGCGCGTTGCCGCCGTCGCGCATGTAGGCGGCGTAGGCGGCGAAGGGCGGTGCATGTCGTACGGCGGCGTTGAGGGTGGGCGTGATCTCCACCAGGCGCTGGAAGTAGGAGGAGCCCAGGGTAAGCGCAAAGGCGGAGAAGCCCCAGTGGATGCCGTTGTAGTAGAGCATGGAGTCGGTGGTGACGGGCATGAAGGAGATACCGCCTGCCAGGGGATGCGGGACGAGGCGTGAAGAAACGTTAACAACGGCAAGGGTTGGACGCATTACCATCAGGAAAGAGGAAAATACCAGCCGAGGGAACTGAAGCTTGTCCAATGTGTCCAACAAAGCAAACACCTCCCGGGCTCACCAGGCAGCCGGATGCGGCCCATCACCTCGTTCGCCAGCGCCAGAGCCTGTGGTGATGACACGTCGGTGTACACGGTGGGTAGGAACGCGGTTCCGTACGGCCGTACGCAGCTCCGCGCGGCACGGGAGGCGGCGGCGGCGGCGCTGCGGTAGGCCGCGACGGCGGCGGCGGTGGAGGTGCTGCGGCCGCCGCTGCTGCCGCCGCTGTAGCTCTCGCCGCCGAAGGAGCCCCCCGCGGTGTAGAGGCTGCTGCTGGTGGTGCCGCTGGTGTCCGGGGCGTCATCTCCCAGGTCCTCGTGGCAGTCCAGGAAGGCGGTCTCGGAGCAGTGGGAGGAGTCGTCGGGGCTGGGGTTGGCGGTCTGCGGTGGAAAGAACAGCGGAACAGGTGCAGTGAGGCAACGCAAACATGCGGCGGTTGAGGCACTGCGGGTCAAACTGCAACCGCGAAAGCCCGTGATCATACAGGGGACACATAACCATGCGTACCGGTAAGCATAGGGACAAAGCCCGCAGGCACAAACAAGGCGATGGCGCATCACACGTGGTGCGTAGCTACCTGGGGGCTAACCGCCATTTGGGTCGGCTTGCTCTCAGCCGCGTGGCGGGCGACCGAGGCCCCCATGCGCTGAAGAACCTCACTGGCGACGGCGGCGGCGGCTGACGTGGCGGCGTTGCGATCGTTGGAGTAACTGCCGTACAAGGAGTTAACTGCCGTACCGTTGGCCTGTGCAACGGCCGCTGACGGGGCCACATTTGCGGCGGCGGAGTTGCCTAGGGCCGGCCGCTTGTACAGGACGGAGTTACCGGCGGCGGCAGGTGCGCTGCCGTCAGCGGCGACGGCGGCACGCTTGTACATGGCAGCGGCGGCGGCGCTGGATGACGCGGGGGCAGCGGCCTTGGCGGCGGCGGCGGGGGCGGCTGCTGTGGCGGCGGCAAGCAGCCGCTGCTCAGCCGCCGCGCGCAGTTGTTGATGTTGTTGGTGGCGTTGCTGCTCCACTGCAGCGGCGTTGCGTGCAGCCACCTGCAGCAGAGCAGCAATCATGGGCAGCAGTCAGGATGAGGGGTCAAGGTTGGGGGAAGGGAAGCGTCTCCGTACGTTTTGGGTCATAGGTGTTGAATGCTCGGGCATTGAAATAGACACGGATAGACGTCCGCATGCGAACATGGATGTTGCTCAGGGGCTGCTGTCTACTCCACTTGTTGACCCAAATCAATAGCGCATAACGGTGTTACCACTACCTAGGGACCAAAATCAGGAACACCCTCCCTTGCCAAGCTTCACCCACCTGTTGCGCAACCTCAGCTGCTGCCGCTAGGACTTGAGCTTGCTGTTGGGCCTTCGTCTGGAGCTGCGCCGCCTGTTGCTGCTGCTGCTGTTGCTGTTGCGCGGCCGCCTGCTGACGCATCTGGATCTGCCGTACCATGCTCAACTGGTGCAGCTGAGCAGCCGTGTAGCGGCGGAGCCCGGCGTCACCGCCGCCGCCGCCTCCAGCCGCCGCCGCAATGCTTCCAACCGCCGCCGGGCGACCCTTGCCGTACAAGGCCGTGGCGTTGCTGGGAGCAAGAGGGGCACGCGCTTGCACCTGCAGGGCATGGTACAGAAGCAGGGGTCCATATTACGCAATGGACGAGAAACCTACACAGTTGGTCGCACAACGGAACGCATCAACGATCGCTCACAGGAGGACCTGCAATGTGGGTCTCTATCCGTCTGCTAACCCACCTGCTGGTAATTGCCGTACAGCGCAGCCTTGGCGGGCGGCTGTTGCTGAGCCTGCATCGCCGCGGCGAGCGGGTCGCTCGCCGCCGCTGCCAGGTTGACGACGCCCAAGTTGAGGCGCTGGGAGCCGTCGGCGGCGGCGGCGTTGCGTGCAAAGTCCGCCAGCACCTCCGCCGCGACGCCGCCGCTGGCTGTAGCCATCAAGGCCGCCGCGGCGGAACCGCCGGCATCACCGCCGATGTCAACCATCATGGGGTCGACGGAGGAGGCGACTGTAACCGGGTCGATGTCTGGAGACACTGCGAGGGCAGAGAAGGGGATGCATATAAAAGATTTTTCTTTGAGCGCCATTTAATAGACGACCCACATCAATTGTGGCTCGCAGTCAAAAGTTGGCCGCGCAGATGACCCACGGGTCACCACACCGAGTGCTTCACCAGAACGCTTCCAAAATTTTAGCACAAGACCAAAAAGCGCGCGTACGCAAACAAGCATTGCGAGACTTCACTTGTACCCCGCAGTTATGTGTTACTTATGACAAAAAACAATCATGTAGAAATTAACAAGGCATCCCCGAACTTACTTAGCGCGTCATCGACAGCTGCGGCCAAGAGGGACTTGTCGCGCGTCCCAGCGTTGACGGTGCGATAAAGAGCAGTCCCAGCACCCATCCCTCCGGACCCAGACCTGGCTCCATAGAGCGCATTATGAAGAAGCGCTGCGCCTCCACTAGCGGCAACTTCGGTGCCGCCGGCGGCGGTCGCATGTTGAGCGTAGTAAGGATGCATAACTGTAGTTCTTAGCTTCTTGAAGGAGAAGCAAGATTTTATTTGAAGAAACGCGGAGGCACGGAGAAGATTCTTGCGAGTAGTTACTTGATAATAACTTGGCGGTTACGATCCTGGAATCTTGTCTTCGCGACGAGAAGGCCAAGCGAGTCGAGATTGCTCGGTGCCAAAAATAGAAGGCAACTCCAGCTTGAGGACGGGAGCGATAACAACCGCTGACAACGTTGATCAAGGGTGTGGTATCCGTCCCAAGCGAGAGTTGGCTACCAGGGGAACCAGCTGACGAAAGCTGTTAGCAGGACTGCGGGGCGCAGGGACGAAAGCGGGCATCGTAAGTCAGGGCAAAGCATACAGGACATCTGGAGCAACGACAGGAACGCAACGCATGATGGGTTGCTAACGTGAGGCTCCTCAGTTGTGGCGCGCAAAACGTGTTCCACGTCCTCCCTTACCCAAACAGACCGGCAGAGGCCAGATATGTGCGTGCTGACCAAAGTCCTTATATCTTAAGACACAGCTATAGCGACGGCCGTGGCTGGATACCATAACGGCTCAGCGACACGCGAGAGCAGCGATAACAACGTGCGTAACAGCTCATAGGAATGCCTTCGTACGCTACCAGTGGTATATTTGTTTACGCTTTTCAGCAATTTCAGCCAACAGCAAAGCATCTATAGCCGCTGCGTGCCGTTTGCGGCGCACACAGAAAACCAGCTCGCGTCATCGTTCCTTGGACGCCCCTTTCGAGGAACCCCACCTAACCTTACCTCCGCTGCGTCGGCCTGCTCCGCTTGTTGCCTCAAGCTCTTCCAACCTAAGGCTACAGAACGTGAAAAAATGGCCCCTAACCGTGTTATTGCCTGCCTATCTTCTACCTACCAACGCTGCCTGGCGTGGGGGCCTACTGCGACCTAACACAACTAACTACGAGGTGTTTACTATATGGTGTTTACTGAGCGGTATGTAAGCAAACGGATAGTTGTGAGGATTTTTGTATGGCGGCCCTGCTGTATGGGGGCCCGACAATCCGATCCGCGTCGTGCAAATGCGGAATGCAGGATTTTGCTAAGCGACACCTTTCGCTATTAATGGCCCATCATGTTCCAAACGACCAACATTGTGCTATGCGTTACAATTCAAGGCATTTGCGGCACGCCTTCAAGCTGGAGACAGTTCCGCGCCGTTACGTTACGCGTCAGCACGGCTCAACGGCATGCGGCGCCAAAGGCCTTCCTGATAATTTCATTTATCATAATAAACATACATTTCACCGTGTACGCTGGCCACTGCAATACCTGGACGCTTCAGCGCTTCTCGGTACAACTGCCGTTCGGCAAATGGCCCAGGGATAAACACGAGCAATGATCCGGCGTTCTAAGCTCCAAAACAACTTTCACGGTTGCTCGTCGCAATGTCGGGTTGACCCATATGGAAGCCACCTCTATTCGCCTGCCAATTGGTTTATATGGGTTGCGGGTGCTGACTGAGTGCATTGGATGGGCGCATGCAGGCAAACCGCTGCATACCTCATACTTACAATACCGGCATTACACACCGATAGCAAGCATTATGCAATACGGCTGCTGTAGGCACTTCTGGCCTGTAAATAGCATTGCCTGCCGTGTACAGTCAATGAGCATGGTCTGGGGGAATGCACGCTGCCCGACCCAGATCAGTTTTGCGCAACCCACGTGAACCCGCTCACCCCCCAGCCCGACCCACATCGCCTAAACTATCATGATTGGGTTTAATGATGGGTTGGGTCACGCCGGGTCGGATAAGCTTGCTTGGGCAAGCTTGCTTCCGCTCGCAATACGCCATACCTGCGTTCCTGACCCATGGGTCACATGCCTCCCGCTGTCGTGCGCTCCTAAGACGGCTCGCTCATTTCAGTGGCCGGCCTTGACCGTGGGCACCCTACCTTCTCATGCATCACATGCCTCGGAGTAGTGGGCTACACTTGGCCGTCCGATATCGGATGAACCCACGCCATGATGCGAAGCCCTGTTCTGCTGCTGTCTATCCACATCAGCTACGCTTTACCAAAGCAGGAGCTGCTGCCCCGGCAAAGGATCCCAAGCCCCAATCCGGGACGATCAATCAGGTTTGGCAGCATATCAGACCGCATCGGGGCTGCTATCTGCCTGAATTACACAGCAGCGGTGTGCTTCTTGATGGGTAGCCTATGGGGCCCCTGGGCTTTCATGGCTTCACGTACACTTACCCAGCGTACCTGATGACAGCGTACTTGCAATAGGCCGCGCATGCAGGCCCACACGCGCACAGCGGCACACCGTGCAAGGCCCCCTAGGGCCCTAGTGCAGCTGGGTGCACACAAGCAAAGCGCAACCCTGACGGGCGAATCCGCGTTGCGCGGCGCTCCCATGCCTCCACCCGCTTGACAGTGAAGTCACGCACACTACAAGCCTGCCGAAGCTCCTTTTGGCGAACGACGCGACACAGGTCCGAAATCCGAAAGCCATTTCAGCAGGTTCAACCTAGACCAGCTGGTGATGTGGGTCGAGTTAAAGTGGTGAGATAGAAGTGATCTGGGTCAGAGGTAGGTACCCGCGGCAGTCGTAAACACAACGCAAGCCATCTGGGTCAGACGCGAAACCGGGATGTGAGCCAGCTTTACGTACCGCACTGTCGTGTGCGGCGCACTTCTGTTACCCGACTGTTACGCGTGCAACCGCAACCAACTAATTAACCAAGTCAGCTCGCCTGTCTGGGTCCGCTCGATCGCTGTTCCCAACTGAAAGGAAGATGCGGCGCATCCACACGCCTAGGCTCTCGCCCCTCAACACACGCACTGACACACTCCAAAGTATAGCACGCCATCGCTTAGCACCTCGCAGCCCTCTCACCACCACGCAAACGCTCGCCGCTAGCCCTCGTGTCTCTCTCCTACAACACCCCGCCCAACCGGCCGGGTTACCCCCTCCTCTCCTACATTTCTCACAGCACCCAACCACGTAACCCTCAATATTCTCTCATGTTTCTTCTCAGCCCTGCCCCTCACTTGCCCTTCCCACCCTTCTTCTTACAGCAACACTTCCCCCCAGCCGCCGCCGCCGGTGCAGCTGCTGCCGCCTGCAGCTCCGGCTTTGCCTGCACGGGCTCCGCCGCGTCCTTCTTCTCAATGAACGCCTCATGCGCCCAGTACAACCCGCCACACACGCCGGCATACAGCAGAGCCCAAGGCGCCAGGGAGGACAAGCCGAGTGGCTCGTCGCCGCCGCCCGGCGCGCCGCCGCGTTTGCCCCCGGAAGACGAACCGTCGCCGCCGCCGCCGCTGCCGCCAGCACCGCCGCTGCCTCCGTCAGTGGGTCCGGAGCCGCCGCCTGGTCCCAAGCCGCTTGGGACCAACCGTGCGCCGCCGCCGGATGGGCGCGAGAGCATATCGCCTGGGGGTGCGTAATGCGGTTGGGTGCGGGCGCTTAGTGAAGGAAGTGGAAGAGGCTGGTGGATAGGACGGTGGTGACGGTATGAAGGTCGACAGCTGGTGACCCACTCACCAGGTAGGCGCATCTACCGTATCGCCGTGTGAATGAACTAAACGCAACTCATACATCGGTGACAGCAACAGCCGTACAACCCTCATAAAATGACCACAACGTCAATCGCCAGCTCCCAGCCGCCCTACCTCCTGACCACAGGGGTCCGCCGGATGACCCAGATGGCTGGGTGGATCCGGGCGCCTCATTGTACCGCATGCAGCCGCCGCCGGGGCGCGAGAAGGAGATCTGGCCTACTGCGCCCGCGGTGCCCGGAGGGGAGGTGGGGACGCCACTGCGCGGAGGGAAGGAGGAATGTGAAGGGAGCAGGGAGGGAGCAGGGAGGGAGCAGGGAGATGATGGGCGCGGGACAGGAGGGCCAGGGCAGGCAGGCAAGGAGGGTCCATTGCATGCAATGCGGAGGGTGCTTTGAGCGGTGCAGATGCTGTACGACAGTATGAGTGATTTGCAAGGCAACCGCAAACCGCGTCAGGCAGGGATTCTTGCTAATTGCGACCACGCGGTGTCACATGTATTGGCCACAGCGTTAACTACTGCCGTGAGGGTTACTGCGTCGCCACCACGTCCGTACAAGCACGCTGCATGTAAAGCCCTGAAGCTCACCGGAAAGCTCCGCCTGAGGGGCGGATGGCCACAATGGGCACGTCGCCCTCCGCGTCCGAAGGTACCTCATCCATGGAGCCAACTGCAGAAAAAGCCGGCAGGGCTTGTGGCTGTAAGATGGAAATTCAAGTTCCTAGTGCAATGGCTACCGCAGTTACCATACAGCAGGGACACGACCGCCGCATGCTACCGTATGTGGATGGGATGATGTTGCTACGACTGTGGTTTCTTCATTCACGCCCGCAGCTTAAGTGTTTAGGCCGCATACGGATACAAGGGACTTACTCGAATAGCGTGCGGCGCCACCGCCCGGGCGGTTCGGGAGAGTTGAAGGACCTGCGGCCCAAACAAACATATCCTAATTGACAACTTGGTTGGGCAACGCGCAAGCAAGCCAGCAGGCGCAAACGTAGATGTTATCCTACCAGCAACATTTGCCGACAAGTTGACCACTAGCGAACGCCGCCCGGCGAAAAAAGGACGGGTCGTCCTCGAGCAAGCTAGAGAAGGGGCCTGCAGCAAAATCTATATCATTGGTACTATTAAACGCGTAAACATTGTCACGCGCAGTAGGGACGGCAATGCTTGCAGCAAACGGCGACAAGCCGACTGCAAACGACGGTCGCATCCAAGCGTCTACGCGCCAAGACGAAGATCCCTACGGTTAAGCCACCTAAAGGAGCGCACCTTCATTCTTAAAGCTTTGCAGGCGAGCAGCAAGTCTAACTTGTTAAGGCCGTGTGTTGAGCTAAGGTACGCACCGTTATGTACCGTTTATAGCCGTATGAATGGAACGCGCAATCAACTGTCAACCTGTGAGCTAGACAAAGAAGAGGGTACGCTTGGGTGTGAGGGATATGTGCCGTTGTCCTTGCTCAGATCGAAACAGTCTCCTGTTGTACACTAGCTAAGCTTTGCTTCCTTTCGCAACACTCTCTATCGCAAGCCGGGGTCAATACTTTCTGTTCATCGTCCACCAATCGCTGATGAATTAGGTCTTGCCAAGGCCGCCAGCGACATCTTTACCGGTTGTCTCTTACTACCGGTATTAGCTCAGCCTTACCCCGCACTCAATGCTGGACCGGCTATATTCGTATCTGTATAGTCCCTTACCATACGGACGTTTGGCGCTATAACACCTAGCTGCTGTCTTCGCTACAAGTAACGGACCTCGGGCTCGCTATTAGGCGCCATGAGTTTATATGGAGACCTACCGCAAGCCAAAAACAGCACCAATGATGCTGGAGGGGCAGCGACAGGGTGGTCCGCTATGGACCCGAAGCTCATGCCCCCGCCATCCCTAAAGAAGCCACCTGCCCCGGCCTTCAAAGCACCACCCTCAGTGCTCCGCGCTGCCGCTGCTGCGGGGGGCAACTCTGGGCCCGGAAGAGGGGGCCCTGCTAGGTAAGCGAGGGGGCTCTGCTGGTTGGCTGCACCTGCCAGCGAGGGGGCCTGCCTGGGTCCTCCGTTGACGTGGACATTGTGTCCCACGGGCTTCCATCCATTCAGCATCTCCTTCAGCGCCGCGCCGCTTCCACTCACGCCCCTTGTCGTCGCCCCCTCCTGACCCCAACGCACAGCTCCCACTCAGCCCAGCATGCCATGCACCTCCACCACACCCGTCCTCCCCCCCTAATCCGCTTCCCAACGCGCCCATTCCCAAACCCCATGGCCATCCCTCCTCCTCCCCCTCCTCACCGCCCACCCCAGGGGCATCCCCATCACCGGCCGCACCGGTGGCCGCGGCCCACCCACCCTCATCACCGACGGTCCCCCGGCACCCGGCACCGCCGCCGCCGCCAACCCGGACTCCTCTCGGGGCGCGGGGACGCCGGGAGGCGGCTTCAGCACAGGCCTCCTGGCTACGCCCGGCGCAGCAGCAGCGACTCCAGGTCTTGGCGCCGCCGCCGCAGCAGCAGCAACGAACCATGGGGCTAGCACACCTGGGGGGCCTGCTGGGGCTGCTGCTGCTGCGGCTGTTGGTGCAGGCGGTGTGGCGGGTTCGTCTTCTTGTGGGGTGTCTGGCAGCAGCATCTTCACGCGGCATGATGGGCGGCCCATTGAGGACGAGTACGACCCCATGCGACCCAATGACTATGAGGAGGTACGGGCGTGCGGAGGGAGAGTTGGGCTAGACTGCCTTGCCTTGGCTCTGCATGGGTAGGCTCGGCGTAGTTAGGCTTGGCTCGTTAGGTCGTTTCCTTTTTAGGATAGTATGGGGTTATAGACTGCTTATCCTCAGGCAGGAGGGCTGACTGGTGGGTTGAGGACTGGCGTGTCGTTGTGCGGGTTGTGAATGCAAACCTGCATGCGTGCGTGTGGTGCCGCAGGTGATAGCAGCCCGGGAACGAGCTCGCAAGGCGGCTGAGGCGGAGGCGGAGCGGCTGGCCAAGCTGAAGGAGATGGAGGCGGAGGCGGAGAGGTTGCGGAAGCAGGTGGGGATGTTGAGAGCGCTGTGCATGTGCCGGTGGGAGAGGGAGGCAGGACTACGGTTGGATTAGCTAAGTTGGGTCCAACTGGTTGCCCTCGTTGGCCTGCCGCACGCGTCCCTGTACGTCACCGAACCGCTACCAACAGCCAACACTGTTAGCTGGTGCATTTGAGAACCTGTGTGTGTGCGGCTCAAAAAGCCCCTTCCTTCCCTGACACCCCTGTCTACCTACCTACCTACCCCTACCTACCCGCCTACCTGGCCATAACCCCAACCGCACCCCTCGTTGCTGCCCAACCTCTTCCAGGAGGAGGATCGCGCCAGCAGTGCAGCGGCAGCCAGCAGCAGCAGCAGCGGAGGTGCGGGTGGGATGTCAATGGAGGAGTATGAGCGGCGGCGGGCAGCCATGGGCATGACAGGCGACGACGCTTTTGCTCGGCGAGGCAGGATGGCGGCGCCGCCTCCGGGGGCTGCTGCTGGCGGTGGTGGCGGCATGGGGCCGCCGGGCGGGGAGGAAGGTGAGGGAGGAACGCGCACGGCTTAGGTCATTGGGTGGCTTAACCTGTAGGTGCAGCATGTGTTATTAATTTCCCGTGCATGAGAGTAGTTCCCATACCTCACATTTGGTTGCTCCTGGGTTTGTAGGATACCAGGTGCAGGGTAGGTGCCTTGTGTGCTCCAGCTGCCCTTGCATGGGAACGCACCTGACCTGCTCGCCCGCACCTGACCGCATGAACGCATGCCCCCCTCGTTCCTTGCCTCGCTCAGGTGGTGGTGGAGGTGGCGCCAAGGGCATGTCGCTGGCCCAGAAGCTGCTGGAGAAGATGGGCTGGCGCGAGGGCGAGGGGCTGGGCAAGAACCGACAGGTGGGGTTGAGGGCGCCCAGTGGTGTCCTGGTTGCACAGGAGGAAACGCTGAACTCCCGCCCGTGTGCCGCCCCGCCCTCTCCTCTCTTGGTCACAAGAAAGTGTGTCTCATCGCGGCCCAGTTGAGTACCGGTAATCATCCCCCGCTCCAATGTGTTTTCTTCCTACCCCTTCTTTTTCCTCCCCCACCTCCAGGGTATTTCCAACCCGCTGGTGGCTCAGAAGACCAACCAGCGGGCCGCGGTGATTGTGGAAGCGCCGCCCGCACCCGGCAAGGCGGCTGGCGGCGGGCTGGGGCTGGGCAGCGAGGGGCCGGACGCCAAGCGGCCGAAGGGTAGGTGGTGGCGAGGGAGGGAGGAGCCCCGGAGGGAGTGGGGAGGGAGGCAGTAGCATGAGGCACTCAACGGCTGGTAGCGGGTGGGCTGGTAGCGGGTGGGCTGGTAGGCTGCTAGGGGTAGCCGCAATGCAACGCAACCGGGAACCCTGGTATCCCACAGCGGCCCTTCCATCTGGACTCCCCATTGCCAAACACGCGCTTGCACCCGTCGACCCCTGCATGGGTGCCTTATGCTTCAAACCCGCTCTCCTTCCCTTTCCTCTCCCCCATCCTGTCCTTCCTCCCCGCCTCCCCGCCTCCCTCCCTTCCCCCCTCTCTCCTCCACGCCCAGGTGTCGCGCTGCCCGGCGTCCCCTCACGCGTCATCTGCATGCGCAACATGGTGGGGCCGGGGCAGGTAGACGAGGAGCTGGAGGAGGAGGTGAGGCGGGGCCGGGGGGCGGGCAGGCGGGCGGGCAGGGGCGGACGGGAGAGCAGGCGGGCGAGCGGGGCGGACGGGAGAGAAGGCGGGGGGCCAGGCGGGGAATGGCGGAAGAAAGAGAGTACCAACTCCCGCGCTGGGGAACGGTGATGAGATCCGAGGTGCCAGCCCCCTCTTCACCCTGGTCCCACCCTCCTCATACCCCCCCCCCTCATCCCGTATTTCTCCTGCGCCCCCCCCCACCACCACTGCTTCCCTCAGGTGGGTCAGGAGCTGACCAAGTACGGCAAGGTGGTGGATGTGCTCATATTCGAGGTCACCACACCGGGCTACGTGGAGGTGGGGGGGGGCAGGGGGGCGCACCGCCGCGCATGCAGTTAACCACAAAGCGGGCGATGAATCTCGGGCCGGGTAACTGAGCGCGAGATGTGTGCGCCTGGGGTGTTCGCAGCAGTTTAAATGAGAGTTGCTTCGCAGGGAAACATGGAAAGCAGCAAGCAAACGCCTCCTCCTCCTGCTCACACCCCCCAGGAGGAGGCGGTTCGCATCTTTGTGCAGTTCGAGCGGCAGGAGAGCGCCACCAAGGCCGCGGTTGACCTGCAGGGGCGCTTCTTCGCGGGCAGGTTAGTGCGCGTCGCGTTCTTTTCCGAGGAACGGTTTAAATCCATGGATCTTGCTCCCAAGCAGGGAGAGTTTGACTGAGGAGCAAGGTTGGGGTTGTATAATGTTGCGGTTGGGTGGTACGGCGGTTACCGGTACCTTGAATGGGGGCTCGGTTTCGTTTGGATGCGTAGGGGCAGGAGGTGTTTTCGTAGGAGGTGTGGCACGCAACAGTCTTGTCGCTTTGGAGGGGCTACGGAGTTGGAGGGAGTTCGTGTGGGTGATGTCCGCGGGGATTAGGCTCCCTTCGTCGGTACCCACGGGTCAAGGGCGCTTCTTGTGACAGGACTGTAAAACAGTAAAAGGATTATTTCACAGCGACATATGCTGTACGTAGTCGGCTTCCTGATCGTCAGAGGCTTCCGATCGGCCATTCGGCAGTTGGCAGTTTCTGCGATACGCAAGCTTACAACCAAGTGGCCAATCCTCTTCCAGCTTCCAGTTACAGACATACGTATCATTTATCAGAATACAGCATCGCTTACATCGCTAGTAACTTTGCAAATTCGCGGTGTGCATTGGCTTGGACAAGAGACTGAGCTGCCCGTTCCCAATTGACCATGGCCCATATGGCCATGGTTGGGGCGTGGCCACAAGCAAATAGATTGCCTCCTAGCACAGCTTGCAAATCACTAGCTTCGCCGCCGCGAATGGTCCATACATGTAGCACGTCAACTCCCTCTGGGCTAGCAATCGGCTGTCATCGGTTACAAGGATTACCTGCTGGGAACTTGCCGTTCCAGCGACCGCTGCGCTCGTTTGGGTCGCAGCGGCATGCCCCTCGTCGCGACTTGCGCTCTGTGTCGACAAACTTAGCGCAGACACGACACTTCAACACAAACTTTGATCCCTCCAAATCGAACATTCCCAAGGAGTACAATTTTGTCCAACCGCTCTCCGCCGGTGTTGTGACACCATCCGAAGGTGATGGCACCCCACTTGGCGTCCTCGATGTTGGGCCCTACGTGGAGTTTGACCCAGCCAAGGAGGACATCCCAAAGAACTACTGGCGCGGCCCCGCACCGGCCGGCAGCTTTACCATCGGCAACAAATACGCGCAGCGGACGCGTCTGACGCCCCTGCGTGTACCCGAGCTGGGAGCCACCGGGCCCCGAAACCCCCTGGAGCGGATCCTCTCCCCTTTCCCCAAGGAGGAGTACTACGTGAGTTGGTGGGGACGGGTGCCGTCGAGCAACACATGCTCCTGCGGGAGTTCGCTTGCGCACGGGACATGCCGCACATGTGCATGGGTTGGAGAGGATGGTACGGCACGTGGACTCCATGCGCACTCCTCCCCCCATGTGAACCTGCCTTGGCCCCGTCTGCCCCCAGGCCGTTGAGATGGACCTGAACTACGGTCGGGAGTGGCCCCGTCTGGTGTGGGAGGAGGGGCGGCCGGTGCTGCGGCCCGGCTTCCTGGCTCCCTCCCTGGACCCCGCCTTCCCCGCCTACTGGCTGCACCGGGGCATCGCCAGATTCCAGCTGGGCACCGCAGACGGGGTGCTGCAGGTGAATGGGGAGGAGGCAGGGGTAAAGTGAAAGGAGCTGACGAGCTGTAGAGGCGAGGGTGGGGGCAGCGCATGGGATGGGGACTCGGAGAAGCGTGGGTGTGAGAATGTGATGTGGGTGTGACAGGGGAAGGAGTGAACATGAAGAAACCTGGGTGGAGGAGGTGTGGGTGCCTGGGGGCTCGTTTGCATGTCCTCTTTCCACCACACTTGGCCTCCTGACATTCCATTACCGTACCCCTCGTCTTTCCCTGCACCGTTCACCCAACACGCCCACAGTTCATCGTCGGCGCTGCCTACCTCGCCACCCTCGCCCTCCTCGCGGCCGGCCTCTACACCGTCCGCCCCGCGCTCCTCGCCGCAGTGGCCGTCAGCTGGGCTCGCAACTCGCTGTCCCTGGCCAAATGGGCCCTGCTTGCCGTACTAACGGCAACCGACCGGCTGTACCTGTACTGGGTTTTCCTGGCGGGCAAGATTGTGGACGGGGTGTTTGAGCGACATATCCCGGAGGTTCGGAACTTTTGCTGGGCGTGTTTCGCGCTGTGGGGGGTGTATCTGGGGTTGAGTCCGGCGAGTTGGCCGCTGCTGCCGGGAATTACGCTGTGAGGAGAGTTGCGGTTTGGGGTTTTGGTGAGGGGAATGCAGGAAGGAGTTTGGCAGCGAGGATGAGGTTTGGACGAGTTGAAGGGATGAGAGGAGGTTGACGGGGTAATGAGGATGAGCAGGTGTGAGGGCATGGTGATTGCAGGGTTTCACCTGCATGGGATGCGGGTCTTGTCCTGCCGCAGGTGTGATGAGGGCGGCTGCAGTAGTGCCCCCTGCTTATGTGGTCGCATGCATGCTAGGATTCGTGCCGTAACGTTGGCTCAGACGTGTGCTTGTGACTCAGCTGTTGCCCGATAAAGCACTTTGTTTGGGGTTAGGGTTGCCATGCGGTGATGGTAAGGCATCTGTCGCTTCGGAGCCTGGTGTCGTCTGCCTCAGGCTTTGGAGTCTGCAGGTTTGCACATGGCTAGTTCTCCCTATGCATTCACGTGTATTGTGCACTTGTGGGCCCCATATCGCTTGAGGTTGAGCGCTGCGTTATATCTTGAGTGTGACCCGGTCGCTGGCCGTCCAATGTACACTGAAATCCGGTCATATGTAAAAGCCGGGAGGCCATATGCAGTGTCATCGACATGTCAGCCAGACATGTTCCGCTAAACGTTGTTACTACTTCTTCAGCGCATTCTCCTTATACGCGCATCACACAAACATTTTACCAGGAAAAATGGTCCTGCGCATGTGAGTGTGGCTGCAGCCCTCGGCAGGATTGGATAAGTAAACCCCATGAAGCCGCCCCCAAAGCAGCAATCACCCTAAAAGCTATTATAGGTCACTGGCAATTTCTTACGGACAACGGGGACATTTTATGGGAGCGCTTGTCGCCGATCCTAGCACAAAATCCGGAGGCACGCACACCAGCACCTATGAAAAGCAAGGCTGTATGAATGTAATAGGGGCAAATAATATGTATAATGCTAAGCAGGAGCCGCCTGGATTAGAGCAGTCCTCGGGGGCGCACGACATCCTGCCGGACGACCATTCCGGCACTGCAGTGAGTTCTTGTACAGGGCAATCATAAACTTTTCTACTGCCGCACTGTGCTAGACTTGCTGGCCCCAGACAGCTGATACATAGGGGCGCTGCGGACTTTGTTCCTTGATTGCCGACACAATGCTCCGCAACGCTGCTAGGCGGCTGCTGGCCGCGGGCCAGCGCAGCGTCAGCACTTCGGCGATGCGCATGGAGGAGGCTGCGCTGCCTGCTGGTCCCAAGGAGTTCGCGGACGCCTGGGCCAAGAAGGCGCCCTCAACAATGGCGGTGCCCGAGCTGCCCAGCAACTTCACGAACGTCAGCACGGAGAACCAGACTCAGGGCGACCTGTTTCCTGTTAACTTCTACACGCCCCACAGCGTGATGGCCGATGGCACTAAGAAGGATAGCGTGACTCTGCCTGGCATTGATGGCTACTTCGGCATTAAGGCCAACCACGTTCCCATTATCGCCCAGCTGCGGCCTGGTATTGTTGAGCTTGCCAGCGGTGCTGAGACTGAGAAGTTCTTCATCAGCGGTGGCTTCGCTTTCGTTCACCCGAATGGCGTTGCTGACATCTGCGCGCTGGAGGCCGGCACGCTAGACCAGTTCGACCCCGCTCAGGTCAAGGCCGCTCTGGCAGCTGCCAACTCTGCTCAGGGCCAGGGCGATGAGTACGACCAGGCGGCCAACCGGGCTGCCCTGGAGCTCTACGGTGCTCTGGACTCCGCTCTGGAGAACAAGGCGTAAATCCAGCACCTCAACTCGGCATGACCTGTGAGCGTGCGGGCGAGTGCAGCAAGGTTTACGGAATGGGAAATGCCATCTGAGGGCTGTGTGGGCGGGATGCCCTGGGTTTTTCCAGGGGTGAGCGGCGGTTGACAGGGACAATGTCACATCGCTTCGCTATCCATAACTCGCATCGGCTTTGTAGGTGGGCATTTGGACGCTTAGGACACCGGGTGTTGTGTTTGTAGATGGACACAGGGCGGCGTGCGGGCGATGCCGGGTATTGAGCATCGTGCAGGGTAGGACCAGCTCTAGGAATCCCCTAGGAGGGTTTCCGTCGCATGTTGTGAGGTCGGAGCCTGGATTCGTTGAGGTCATTCGGGCTGGGAATGGTTGCTGGTAGATCTTCTCCATTGTAGCAGCATACCCTACAGTGTGGATACTGCGAAGGGAAGGGTGGGCGGTGTGTTGCACGCCGTACGTGCCAAACTCGAACTGCTGTATGCAATGTTTTTGTAAGGTTTACCCGTCTTGCTTTCCATCGTTGCGCGGTTTTCCCCATCCAGGCATGCTCGTGTATAGCTTCTGCAGCTTCTACCCTCTAGGGCACCACTTACAGCACATACTGCCGTTCTACATGCCAGCAAGAGGGGTTCCGCGGGGGGGGGTTTACCGAAGGAAGCCCGTTGCACTCAGGTTGTGTCGCAAGGGTTTCCCCCGCATCTTAAGATGCGCCGCATGGTCTTCCCCGGGACCGTTACCTTCAACAGACATGGAAGATGCCAATACCAATCCGCCGAGTTAGCATTTTCCACTCCGCATATGTGAATAGGACTTCCCGCTTCACTATTTGCAGCTCAACGACAGCAGGAAAACCCATGAGCCTTGCGCAGCACATTCCTAACTGATTAAGGTGTCTTGTACAACTACGAATACTTTTACATGGGTTGTACGTTAAGTAACAGTACCTCTCCTGCGTTAATTCCACAGCAAACTACTTCCTCTGCCACAGCTGACGTGATCCTGTCTATTTCTTGCGAACACGGAGAACAGGTGTTGCAAAAACAAAACATGGTTAAGGATACCGCAGCTCCAGATTCGATAGACGCGTTAGAAACTCAACTGCGATATTTAAGCGTCAACGGCGGAGCGGATACTGCAGCGACGCGTGGAAATGAAACTCCAGAAGATGATAGCAGCTCCAGTTCATCAGACAGCACGGAAAGCCTGCCGATCGAGTTCAGTCCGGCAGACGCTGCCCGCGCCGGTCCATCCCAAACGCAAGCACCGACAGCTCCGGTTCCTGGCGACGCGGCGGTTGGCCTGTTATACGATCCCTCTATGGAGCTTCATTTGGGACCAGGTAGGAGGGAGTACAGTTGTTGGGCGGGGCTCCAACGCCCTGTTGCCATGTCTGGGCTCCTAACTAGAATGTCAGCTGGTGGGGAGCTGATTCATGGCCCAGGAATGGGGAAACCATATGATGACACGGCGTCGCTTACTACAAGCCATTGTGTGTCTCCCTCTGATTTGGGTCGGAGTTGCTTGTTCGCAAGTTCACATCGGGATCCCTGTTGGCACGGCCCGCCTCCTAGAGGCCTATCCGGAGCCCGTACTGTCATTTTCAGTTGCACACCTCCTTAAGGAGTGCTCGCAACTCTTCCCACGCTGTCCGCCATCCATCCATCTTCACTTCCCTCTACCCCTCTTCACTCCGTTTCCTCTCCTTCTTTTCTTTTCTCCTCCTCACCCTAATTACATCGTCTTCCTTCCCCCTCTCCCCTCGCTCCTCCAGACCACTACGAGCGGCCAGCCCGCATCATCCAGCTGCACGCCACCCTGGAGGAGCAGCAGCTGATGGGCCGCTGCTGGAGGCTGGTGGCGCGGCAGGTGAAGAGCGGGAGCGGGGCGAAGGAGAAGATGACATGTCATGGGTATCTTTTAAAAGTGGCAACCAGGAAGAGCGGGGACAAGAAGAGGGCGGCAAGAGAAGCAGCGTGCAATGGACGGCCCCATGTTTTTCATGTTGGGCTCAGTTCTGTTCCGACGTTTCATCAGTGGACGGGGCTGCCGTCATGGGCAGGATCACTGTTTCCCTCTTCTTGTCCTTTCTGTGTCCCTTCGGACGACTTCTTCCTCCCCTCCCTCCCACACACTGGAATTTCTCTCCCCCCCCACACCAGGCCACGGACGCGGAGTTGCTGCTGGCTCACAGCGAGGAGCACATCCGCAAGGTGGGGCAGCAGGAGGAGGGGGGAGCGAGAGGAGGGGGGGAGCAGGAAGAGGGGGGAGCGGGGGAGGGGTGCAGAAGGAGACGCACAGCACATGGAGAAGAGGGGGTAAAGTGGAAACATCTAACTGACCGTGTGAAGAAGAGGGGGTAAGCAGGGGACGAATTCTGATAAGGGCGAAACAAAGTGACAAGGCAGTAGGGACCACCTGTCGCACCTGCCTCCTAACGTATCATCCTAAACGACCGCCACCCACCCCTTCCCCTCCCCCCCTCTCTCACTCCCTCCAGGTCGACTCCCTGTTCACGCAGCTCTACCCCTCCCGCCCCGACTCGCTGGCCGACGCCGCCTACTGCTACGCGGACGGGCGGATGCAGGACGTGTACCTGAGTGAGGGCACCGCGGCGGCGGCGAGGTGCGCGGCGGGGTGCTGCGTGCAGGTGAGGGGGCAGGGGAGGGGACTGGGGGCTTTACCGGGCGCAAAAGGAGGCGTTAAGGCACATTGAAGGACGGGAGATAGACCAGCAACCCGCCCCTCTGCCAGTCACACCTCTCTTTCCTCACCCCCGCTCTCCCACCCTCTCCTCCCCCCCCTCCAGGCCGTCCAGTCCGTGCTGTCCGGCACCGTATCCCGCGCCCTGGCTGTGGTCCGACCCCCGGGTCACCACGCCGAGTGCGAGCGCGCGCAGGGCTTCTGCTTCTTCAACAATGTGGCGGTTGCGGCGCTGGAGGCGCTGCGGCAGCCGGGTGTGAGGCGGGTGGCGGTGCTGGACTGGGACGTGCACCACGGCAACGGAATACAGGTGGGGTGGGGGACGGGGCGAGGAGGCATGGGAGGAGCGTGGCGGGGCGTACTGCCTACGGACTGTGCGGATTGTACGATAAAGACGGCTCAACACGCAATAGTCTGCAAATCTTGATGTGTGTTTTCCTGCTCCTCTCGTGCGTCTCTCTTCTTCCTCACCTCTCAGTCTCATTTGCTTCCTCTTTACCCCTCTCGCTCCCTCCTCCCTCCCGCCCCTCCCTCCCCCCCTCCTGCCGCACCAGGACGTGCTGCTCCGGCGCCCCGACGCGCTGTACCTCTCGCTGCACCGCGACCCCAAGCGCTTCTACCCCTACCACTCCGGCTATCTGGGGGAGGCGGGCGAGGGGCCGGGCACCGGCTTCAACGTCAACGTGCCCTGGCTCAAGAAGGGCATGGCGGATGGGGACTACATGGTGGGGGCTGCGGGGGGTGAGGGCGTGGCTGGATCCCAGTTTTCCCCTCTTTGCAGCGTTACGTGTTATTTTCCTCCTCCCCCACTCTCCCCCCCCCCTCTCTGTCATCACCCGCATGTTTGTTCTCGCGGCTCAGGTTAACTCCCCCCCACACACACCATGTTTCGTCAGTGCCTCATTATATTTTTTACCCACCCACCCACACCACCACCCGCACAGGCTGCCTTCCGTCTGGTGGTCGAGCCCATCCTGTCCGCCTACCAGCCCGACCTGGTCATCGTGGCGGCGGGCTTCGATGCGGCGGATGGGGACCCGCTGGGGGGGTGCAAGGTAAGGGAGGGGGGGAGTGGAGGGGCGCTGCGCGTGTGTTGCTTTCAACGGACCTGTGTATGTGAAATCTAATATTCGTATATTCCCTATTGCGTTGCCCTCACTACTTGTGGTTCCCATGGGAACGTGCTGTACATTTCTCTTAACCCCACCGCCCGCCCTCCTCTTCCCCTCCCCCCTGCCCTGCCCAACAGCTCTCCCCCGAGGGTTACGCCTGGATGACGGAGCGGCTGATGCGGTTCGCCGGGGGCAGGCTGGTGCTGGCACTGGAGGGGGGATACAACACACGGTGAGGGAGGGAAGGGGGGAGGGCGGGTGGGCGGGTCGCAGGGACGCATCGCTTGTTCCACCACCTCTTCTCCCGGCCCCTAAACAGAGTAAACACATGTCTGCTCCTGCTCCTACTACATCCCCACGCCCGGCCCCCCACCCTCACTACCACCTCCCACCCCCCCTTCTCAGGGTGACCTCCTGGTGCGCCGCCGCCTGTCTGCGCACGCTGCTGGAGGGGCGGGCGGTGCCGCAGCTGCCCGCGGACAAGGAGCACCTGTGGCCCGCGGAGAGCCACAACAGCCTCAAACTGGTGAGGGGGGGCGAGGGCGAGCGGGAGGCGGTGGGCGGAAGTGGGCCAGGCGGGTGGCCGGGCGGAGTCATGTGCGGGTATCTCCTGAGGGCGGCTAGTAGGAGCGCGGTTGCAGAATTGTGACCTAGAGGAACACATGCGTTCAGGAATTGCTCCGTCGCTCACGCTGTCGTACCGCTGCCGTACCGCAGGTGTACGAGTTCCAGCGGCAGTACTGGCCGGTGCTGCGGGGCCGCAGCTGGACGGAGGCGTGGGAGGGGCACCTCAAGGTGGGTTGGGCGGCAGTACGGCAGACACTTGCACAGCTCCCGTTCCATTGCACGGGGCACAGCTCCCGCGGCGGATTGACACGTGCGGCTGTGACGCGCGTTCCAGGGAGGGCGGTTCATGTTGCCATGTGATACTACCTCGCCGGTACCTGGTGCAACTCGCCGGCGATTCGCACCTCTTCCCTCCCCCCTCAGCACAGCCGCCAGCTCATGAGCTTCACTACGGTTTGGACTTTGAGTGCTGCTACTAACCCAACAAGTTTGTCTACACGCCAACCCTGTAATCCAGCCTAATGCGGGGCATGTATCCCTATTTATCCCCTCTTCCCCTTCGGTCCGGTGCACGGGTTGCTTGCTTGTTCCCAACCCCATACACACCACCCCTCCCTCCCTTTCGCTCCCTTCCCCTCCCGTCTCCTCCCGTGTCTTCCGCAGGAGGTGGTCGGCATGCTGGGTGACAACGTCCGCTCCAGACGTAATTCCGGCTGCAACACCACCTCAACCATCATCACCACCACCACCACCACCACCAGCAACAGCTGTAACAACACCCCAGCTGACAAGAGCAGCAGCAGCGGTAGCAACGCCGTGACGTCCAACGGTCGCCCTCGTGGTCGTGCTGCCTCGGCCGCTGCCGCTGCAGCAGCTGTGGCTGCTGCTGCCAGCAGCAGCAACCCCGCATGCTCCTCCTCGTCGGCGGTGACGGGTGCAACAGTGGCGACATCAACAACGACAACAGCAGCAGCAGCGGGACTCGCAACGCCCCCAGCGGCAGCCCTTGGTGCCGCCGGTGGCGCAACACCTGCAGGCTGCGTTGGCAACACGCCCCCAGTCGGGTCTGCCCACGACGACGGCGGTGGTGGTGGAGGCGGCGGCGGTGATGCTTCCGGCAGCGGTTTGTCCCCTTCCGCGGCGCTGCTGAGCGAGGTGCAGTGGCGGGAGGGAAGAGGGGAGTGCGCGGTGGGGCAAAACACACACGCCACGTCATCATCGTCGTCTCCCACGCTACAAGAGGCATTCCGAGCGCGCAGGACGGCACGTGAGTCAGCTGCGGCTGCAGGAGCGGCGGCGGGGGCTGCTGCGACGGGGAGAGCTGCTGGGTCAGGCAACGTCGAGGAGCGACGGCGTTCCCGGCGTTTGTCAGCGGCTGCGGAGGGGGCGTTGGTGCCGCCGGGGCAAGAAGTCCCCGCCCCGGCAGTGGTGCAGGTTTAAACAAGGCTTGCATGGGCGTCTGATGTAGCTGTCAAGCTGCTGCTGTAGCGCTGGGGGTGCGGTATTTGAGGTGACGCCCCGTACCCTTTGATGTGTGCATGTAGGGGGGCTTGTTGTTTTGCGCAACAGGGCCTTAGATGCCTCGCCTGGTTTGTCGCATGCTTAGGACGTATGCTGAATGTGGCGCGCGTATTTATGATTTCGACGTGAAGCGTATTGACGGTGTGCTTGCGAAGATGAAGAGGCGCGAGGAAAATGAACGTCTGTACAGGGTCTGTATGTCATTCTTGCGTGGGGTTTTGTTACCGATATGGTATAACGCATGCCATGCCATGCTGGGAAGGGGGCACACACACCTGTACCACACCGCCCCGAGTCGGCATGGAAACAACAACAAGCTGGCAGTCGTGCTGGGCTAGCTACTGCGACTCGCCTAGACTGTGAACTCAAGTGGGGACTGATATGGCTAGAAGCTGCGGTTTTGCCGTGCCAGGCTGGCTGCTTTCCTCTGTTTAGGTTGAGCCGGTGCTGTCTTGGTCTTACTCACCTGTACGAATGCATGCGTGCCGTGTGGCGGTTAAGTAATTCACCTGCTGGAACGGACGTGTTGCCCACCCTATTTGGCTCTAGATGTATGCCTCGTAATGGTACGGTCAGCGCGAATACGGCTGCATGATGTGGTCGACACCACCTCCAGCTGTGTATCACTAATGTACTATATAACTGCGAATGGCCACTAAAATAGTTATAGTTGAGTCGATAGTATACTCAGCAGGAACGATATGGATCAACTCCTTTGGAAGTGTGTACAGCTGCAATGTGCCATGGGGGAAGACAGCAATGGCAGGCGCTTGCGGCGAGGTCTGGAGGGCTTTGTTGGATCTTCGCTGTCACATGCAGCGGTTAGAGCGCGGTTATCGCCGCAAACTGGTGCACACAACGACACACGTGCTAAAGGTTATCTAACAGCGGAAATACACTTCATGTTGTAGTCTCGGAAAGACACGGGCGCCCGAGCGGACCCATGGGCCACTTTGCGTATCTCAAGCTGTTACGTGTTCATATCTTGGGGAAATACCGGCTTTACTGGCTTCTCTAGACGTGTTCTCTTTTGATGTCAAGCAAAATTCAAATCCGTGTATAGTCCCCGGCTGGCAGCGCTAACCCGTACCACAAGGCCGACCCGTCCCAACAGTCCGACATGTTGTATTTCCCAAACTCCGTCCTTTCCATAACCCTAGATCGCTGTGGCGGTGCAGCACCACCTCGCGTGATGTCATAGTCAAGTTGAGGCGTTATGTCCTGAGACAGTACTGCACAGCACGGCGAGTCAACGGCGTCCCGTACCGTTGGGGCAAAGCCGACAAACGCGGAACACTATGACACCGATGGTGCCATCCCTTGATCAATTTTGCACTTGCAAATTCGTTAGCAGTCCTAATCAGTCCTACCGTAAGGAGCGTCAGCTTAGCGGCATCTGACTAAGTTTTATAGCGCTTTACCGCTACCGGTATACTCATGGCATGGAAAATATTTTGCTGTTGTAGCAGCAAGATTATCGCGTTGTCGACGATCATAGTCCTGGGCATTTTGCCTTGCAACCTTTTAGCAGATACACCCATCAGACCAGCAGATGGCGATGTTAAGTTGCTTGGAAGCACAGACAATGAAAGAGAAGGCGTCATCCAGATTTACAGCTGGCAGGCTGCAAATTGGGTGTCCGTTTGTGACAACGGCTTTACTGTCACTGACGCTAAAGTAGTCTGTCGGCAACTTGGCTTCCCACCCGTGAGTTACTGGTCGGGGGACGACCTCACAATCCGGCAGTATTCAACGGACTCTCAGTACAAATGGTGGAACCAGACAGCCATGGGTCCCACGGGGTTGACGCTTAGCTGCAACGGAACTGAACAGAGTGTCGAACAGTGCCCCGGTTATGCTTGGAATACAGCGGACCAAGGCAAATGCAAAGCGACCCAAGGCTCGGCCGGGCTGCCAGTCGGAATAACATGCCGCAGCAGACAGAATGGCACGGCAAACGCCTTACACCACCCTGTCGTCGAGGGTGACATCAAGCTCGTTAGCGGCACTCCCAGTCAAAGGGACGGCATTATACAAATTTACAGCCAGCAAGCGGGCAACAAGTTTGTCTCCATTTGCCAATCATTCTTCACCACCTCCGATGCCAGGGTCGTTTGCCGGCAGCTCGGATACCCACCTACCGGCTACTGGTCAGCTAATGACCTTCTGGTAGTCCGCTACACCGACGAGACCGACCCTGCTTACAACCCCGACACCAACTTGTGGTGGAATCAGACATCCATGGCCCCCATGACCATGAACCTGAACTGCGAGGGCACCGAAGCCAGCGTCACCCTCTGTCCCGGCTACGGTTGGACTCCAACAACACAGTGCCTCACAAGTTCCGGAACTCCAGGACTGGCTGTGGGCGTTATCTGCAAAAGCCCGCAGACCGGCGCTGCCAATGCCTACAACCACCCAGATGCACCCCCACCTCCACCCCGCCCTCCTCCTCGTCCACCTTCTTCTCCTCCTCCCCCTCCCTCCGTTGCATCCTCGGCGACGCCAATCGCACTGCCGGCTGCCTGGACGATGCAGCTTACAGCAGCAATGGGGTTTGTCATGGCTTGCTTGCTTGTCCTGCTGTAGTACAACTGTAGATACCTAGATGCGGTAGCGAGATGGGTTGTGCAGGTGTGACGTGTGTTATATTAACTGGCCTGACGTGTGTTAAACTTAGCCCTTGAGCCGGTTGTGGTGTAGCCGCCTGGTTAAGCTGGCCAACACATCATGCTGAGCACGTCGTGCTGTCGCGTGCTGCGAGTACGCTTACAAGGCGCGTGCGACATTGACGGCGATGTTGCTGATGTCCAGACATATATTGCACGCATTCCAGGGGAAGGTGTGGATTTTGATCGGGAACATGAGCAACATCGCCAATCTATGTCGCACTTCCATCGCCAGCCTAGCTCATGGTCACAACATGTTGCAAACGTATAAAGAAGTAGCCACGGACTAGATATTGCATCGCTGGCAGCGCCAAAGCCCGTGGGCGGCTGGGATGAGGTTGTACGACGCTTGATCGCCCGACACCTGATCATTCCAGCGGCTATCCAACAGGCTAGTTAACTTTATTTCCTTATCACTTGTATTCCTTCTATGTAGCGTATCTATGCACCATAGGGCAATCCCGCGCGCAGCGACGATGGAGGATGGAGTCGCTTAGCGCTTCGCCGACGGGCTTAAAAGCTTGAGCGGCAGCTGGGGCGATATGGTGGATATGCACTGGCTTCATACCAGGTATATCCTGTTGAAGGCGTATGTTGTCTATTCATCATCCTAATGACTGTTCTGTGATCCATTGTCGTGCAAGTTGCGGCCTTCCTTGCAGCAGAGGCGTCTAACACGGTGCTATGGGTCATGGACACCAACCGCACCACCACTTGCTAGCTGCCGCGTCGCGTCCGCCCTGGGACGCGCGAAGCGCATTTGCGTCGTCCAAAGCTGCAAGCGAGTCGCGCCTTTCGTAGACTAGTGTTGCTGTGCTCCTTTAATGGACTTATTTGCAATGCACTGACCTTTACTCTTTTTTACGTTTGCAGGCGTATTCACCGCTTCGCGTGGTATTGTCGGCGTTGCATTGAATGTGTGCATGCATCTTGCAAATGCCAGCCAGCTTTCCACGTCGACGCCCTCTGATTTAGTTTCCAAGCTACCGTGCCACATACTTAATTCGCCAGCGGATGTGATCCGTCTGTCTTACAGCAGAGTAGCGTGGCAGCCTACCTGAGCTTGCATTTCGGCAGTGTTACATACATATTTACTGCGCATGTGCAAGGACTGCGGTTCAGCTGCAACTGATTAGAAGGCCAGCTATACGAGCAGCTCGTGTATACATGGTTAAAAACACTTGTGTGTCTGCAGCAGTAATCGTACATTGATGTTCATTAGCCTGTCACTTCAGCTCAGGTACTGCTGCCTGCCGCATTACCGCCTTTGATACAATGGACAAACGTAGAAAAAGTCCCATTCCTCGCAGTATGACAGTATTTGGTGTAACTGCGCATGTGCAATTAAGACGAAGCAGCTGCATCTTAATAGGCGCTCAGCTATACAAACAGCTCAAACGCTACATAGCAATCTTAGCTGCGCAGTGTGCCTAGAACAGCAGAAACTGGACACAGACTGTTTCATCACTGCAGTTGATACAGTGTGTATACGCTGGTAGATGTAGGATTTGACCCGTTGTCACCCTCCAGACAGTTGGAGGTTTTTTGCTGCACCGCTAGTAGCCCAACATATGCACTTAATGTGCACGCGGGGGAACAGGAGGAAGCAACGCAGGGGGAGGGGGGTAAAAGGGGGGACAGGGAGTCCTCTCCCCCCTCAGGGTGATGCGTGCCGCAAATGCTTGGGAGAGGGGGAGTCCCTCCCGCTCAGGCGATATTCATGCACCAAAAAGGAACACCAAAAGAAACAAGGCTACGACGCTCTGGTGGTGCACATGGCGCTTGCATGTGTAGCAATGGATGTCTTGACGCCCGCAACATCAACATCAATGTCGCACTGATGCACTGTCGGCCCCATCTGCGCATTGTCGTCAATCTTAACACCATTGGATAGGAAATTTGAAAACCTACCTCATGGTATTAAATTTTCATACGCAGGCTGCGCCAAAAGCCCAAACGTCTATGCTTTCTGCCGTCCAACTAGATCATTCACCATAACCGGCTAATTAACTGGCCAGGTGTGAAATGTGTGGGTTATGGTTTCTGTAGGACATTAGCAGGCTGATCTGGGTCATGGCAGTACGAAATAGTGACAAATTACATCATCCATGCACGAAGTAGCGTAGTTGTACCACTATGCGTTCACTTATTGAACCTATACACGTGACTAAAGCGGGTGTAAACCGGTGCCAAAATGGCCACATACAATTTCCATGTCCTCCCTGACTACTGTTGAAGAGGTGTATTGTTGAACTTGGTACCGCTGGGTACGGTACTACTACTGGACACTGCTTTACCTGCATCTGTGCACTTGGTGTTCAACTGCCGACTGGCCTCGCCGGCGGCTTTCCGACTGAACTATTCTTGTGGAAGCCGCCCAGCGCTCTCCTCGCAGCATGTGTTACATTGGGCCCTGGCCAGCGAATGCAATGTTCGTTTCTTCGTATGCCGTGCATTTCTGGCAACAGCTAGCGAACATTGTAACTTGTTGCAACATCATCCTTTGGGGCAGCCGAACAGGCCAACATAAGAGTGGTGCAAGCAACCAGCCTAGATTCATTCCCACCACGTCAACCAGCCCTGCCGGCCCCCCACGACCAGCCAACCGACAGTTGTTCCCAACCGACTACAACGGGGCCCACAACACCTTATAACGGACATCCTACGCCTACACGCACCATGCAAGCAGCAAGCGAGGCATGCATCCTGCAGCCCCCCCACCTGTCCTACACGCCACCCCTCCCTCGCTACCGCCCCCGCTAAACCCCAGCTCATCCTGCTTCATGTGCCTCACCTCATGTGCCACATATGCACCCCTTCCTCCCTGGCCCTCACACCTCCCGCCCCTAAATCCGAACCCCTCCAGCTCCTGCTCCCCTCACTGCTCCATGGGCGCAGAGCCGCCCCCCTGCTGCCCTCCTTGGTTCCCTCCCCCCTGTCCCCCCTGCTGCCCCCCCTGCTGCCCTCCCCCCTGCTGCCCTCCCTGCTGCCCCCCCTCGCGCGCCACCAGCTCCTGAATGGCATCCAGGAAGTCAGCCACGGAGTGACCCTGCGTGGGGGGGGGCGGGTCAAAGACTGAACCATAGGAAACCACAGATTGGGGCAAAACAATGGGAATAGGAAGGCGGGAGAGGAAGCGCGGGCAGACGAGGGAGGGAGGGAGGGCGAGCCAGGAAGTATTATAGGGTGGCGTGCGCAATGGTGGTGTTGAAGCCGGGAGCAGCAAACCAGGTGGAAGATCCACCTATGGTAGGAGCTTGCGTGCAGGTGCGAGAATGTTACTACATGTACGACATGCGGGAGGGCACTGTGCAGCGGTAGAGCCTCCCCGGCCGCCTCCCTGCCCCCCCTCTCTCTCACTCCTCTGCCTGCCCACGCTATCTATCCAAACTTTCCAGCCCAGTACGGAATATCTATCCGCTACATCCCCCCTCCTCTTCTCCCTCCCCCTCCCCCTCGCCCTCTCACTGCACATGCGCTCACTGCATGAGTCGGGATATGGGATTGGGATTCGTTGTTTCACTTATTTAATATTTTCCTCCCTCTCCCCCTCTCCCCCTCCCCGTCTCCTCACCGCCGCCCTCAGCCCGAACTGCGCCAGGTCCAGCTGCCCCGTCTGCAGCGCGGCACTGAAGGCGGCCAGCTGCTGCTGGAACTGCGCGCTGTGGGCCAGCGAGGTGAGCGCCTCGGTGGTCCTGGTGGGGGGGTGGGGGCGGGAGGGGAAGCGAAAGCATACCTTGCTGTGAACAACAGAAGACAGGGAAGGAGCTAGTACCGATCTGGCTAGTCAAGTCCGACCGACCTCTTACGTCAGAACCCGTCCAGAGCCCTCTCCTCCCTCCTCCCTCCTCCCTCCTCCCTCCTCCCTCCTCCCTCCTCCCTCCTCCCTCCTCCCTCCTCCCTCCTCCCTCCTCCCTCCTCCCTCCTCCCTCCTCCCTCCTCCCTCCTCCCTCCTCCCTCCTCCCTCCTCCCTCCTCCCTCCTCCCTCCTCCCTCCTCCCCCCCGCTCCCCGCACCTGTGTTCCTCCGGCAGGTGCGGCCCCAGCACCGCCAGCACGCCCGGGTCTCGCAGCACGGGCAGCAGCAGCTCGGGCCGCAGCACCTCAGCCAGGGAGGGACCCGCCGCGGCGGCCACTGCGGCGCGCCGGCCGCCAGCCTGTGTGGGGGTGGGTGGGAGGGTTTGGGAGGGGGAGATGGGGGGTGGGGAGAGGGAGTGAGAAGAGGGGCAAGGGAAGAGGAGGGAGTTGAGGAACGCTGCATCCATCCATCAGGGTATCCCAATCCCGTACCCACAATTCATTTCTCGGTCGCCGTCCTCCCTGCTCTCCCTCCCCCGCCTCCCTTCCCCACTATCACAGAACGCATGCTTCTTCATCTTCTTCTTCCCCCCCAACCCCTCCCTCCCCTCCCCTCCCCCCCTCACCTGCGCCGCAGCCAGCTGCGACAGCAGGCTCTGCGCCAGCTGCTCTCCGTCTCCGTACGCGGGCCGGGAGCCGCCCCCCAGACCCGCAGCGATGGCGTTACCCAGGATGGCCGCGAGGTTGCTGGCCTGGGGTGGTGGGTGTTTGGGGAGGGGGGGAAGGGGGGGGGGTGAGGGCGGGGAGAGGTGGGGAGTGAGGTGGAGTGGGGGAAGCAGCTGCCGGGGGGGTAAAAACACGCAACGTGTCCCCACTCATCCGCAATCGCAGTGAAGCTGCCCTGCCCCGCACCCCCCCTAGCTTCCTAGCTTCCTCCTCCTCCTCCTCCTCCTCACCTCCTCCTCCTCCTCCCACCTCCTCCTCCCACCTCCTCCTCCTCCCCGCCCGCCCACCTGCGCATTCACAGCCACTGTGCTGCCCGGCGTCTGTGCGGCCGCGGTGGGCAGCTGACCCACCGACCCGCCCACCCCCATCATGGCACCCGCACCCGCCCCACTGGGAAGGAATGGGGGGGAGCGGGGAAGCAAAAAAGGAGGGAAAGGAGGCGAGGGAGTTAGGGCAGGCAGAGGCAGCAGGTACGACACGGACTAGGACGGGACTCAACCCCACTGAAGGCACAGGTAGGGTGCACACACAGCAACCGGCATGGGGCTGCAGGGGGGACAGGGGGCACCGCAACACCGCAACGAAGCGGAAGCATGACAGCCAGCCCCAGCAGCCTCCGAAACCCACCTCCCCTCCCCTCCCCCCTCCCGCCCCCCCACCTGGTCACATGCGCATGCTCCAGAGCGGAGGAGGGGGTGATGCCGTCCGCCGGCATCCCCTCGGCCGCCCGCACTGCCTCGTCACCCAGGTCTGGGGGGCAGAGGGGGGGTGGGGAGAGAGGGAGAGGGATGGGAAGGAGAGGGCAGGGCAGGGCAGGGGGCGTGCGTAGGCATGCGAATGGGGGTAACGGGCGGCACCGCGTCGCTGTACCGGTGGCTGTACCGGTGGGAGGCAAGCGAGTGCCCGAACAGGCGATGAGCCGCCGGTGAGGTACCACCCACGTCAGGAGACTGACCCTCCCCTCCCCTCCCCTCCCCAGCCCCTCCTCCCCTCCCCAGCCTCACGCCCCTTCCCTTCCCCGCCCCGTCCACCCCCCTCCTCCTCCCAAGTCCCACCATGTGCGCGGCTGAGCCCCGAGTTGAAGCCGGCCACCAGCGCCTCGTCGACCTCAGCGCGCGGCTCCTGCAGCCTGGCAGGGGGGAGGAGGAACGGGGGGGGGGAGGGAAGTAAGGAAGGAGGAGGGGAAGGGAAGGCGGTGGGGGGAAAGGGAGGGAGCGCAGGAGGGGCCAGGGGGTATTGTAACGCTGCACGGAGCGCGAATCAGGTTACCACCCGTATTCCCAGCTTGTTGCCCGTATCCTACAACAGGAATCAGCAGCAGCAGCAGCGGCAAGTAACGCCGCCTAACCCAATCAACATGTGCCCGGACTCCTGCTTCCTCCCTTCCACATCCTCCCTCTCCCCCCCTGGCTTACCAAAAGAACATGTCTCTGCCGCGGTCCTCAGCAAACTTGAGCAGTAGAGCGCGCTGGCCGGGAATCTGAGGGAGGCAGGGCAGGGCAGGGCGGAGTGGGGAGTGGGGCGGCGCCGGGAAGAGGCAGGGGCGGCATATGTGCGTTGGGCGCTGCTGACGGGGCAGCACAGCGGGGCTCAACGCCGGGCCCACATAGTGAGTGGTTGGGGGTGGTATGAGACGGTAGGAGTTGAGGGAGGGAGAAGGCGGCGGCAGATGTGTACGGTAGGACGTATACCTTTTCTAACTTAGCCTCCCCAGGAAACAGGATGACGTCGTCTTCCGGGTCCTGCGCGCTTCCAGTTGCTGTACGTTCGTACCATTGAACATGAACAAGGGTATCCTCCGTCTGCAGTTGCCGGGGCATGGCGGAAATTTCCGGAAGGTGTGGCATTGAGACTCCGCTCAGAGGGCAGCATTTGGCTTCGAGGGCAATTTAATCTGACTATACCAAAGGCCAGGTGGAAACGAAAGAAAGGGAGCTAACGACGCCGCACCAAACATAAGTATCCCACTCAAGGTCCATGGGTCTCACAAGGCAGTTTGCAGCTTAGCTCACAGTCAAGCAGCATACGTTTGTGCACAAGGTATTAGCCGGTATTTCACGATGACGGAACCATATAAGCTCGTCACGTACCTGCACGAGTCTGACGAGCCCCTTCCGCGGGTCCGCGACGAGTTTCCCTTCTTGTAGCTTGAGTTTGCCAGCACGGAACACACTGATCAAAGCCTCCATACTAGTAGCGCGACAGCTTCGGGTAACTAACTACGCCAAGTGTTCAGCTTAATGATCTGTATACAAAGGGCCCCTCACGTTTAACAGTTTTGCTAGCAAAGGTTATGTACTGGTAAGTGTTGGTAATGTAATGTGCATATTAAATTAGGATAGAAGACAATGGCCCATGCAATGGAAGGAACCTGTCGTATCAAACTTACAGACCCGTCCTGCGCTCCGCGGACTGGACCTTTACTATGATCTTTTTTTCTGGACGTCTACATAGCTAGCAACTTCGAGTAAGGCTATTAAGACCGGCTAAATCAGTCGGCACCCCAACGTCAACGACCGTTGAAGCAAGCAAAGTCCTTCAGGCTTCCATAACCATTGCGCTATTCATCTTCACTTTCCTAAACATTAAACTAGGGTGACGTCCAAAAATGAAGCCCTGTCATTTCGACAAGCACGGTCGGCTTCGTATTTTAGCGATAGACGATGACTCCGTAAATCTTATGGTTATAGAGTCTGTCCTGAGGCCCCTCGGTTGGGATATAGTGCCAGCGATGGACAGCACGGAGGCTTACGCAGCCGTCGACGATGATGACACCTGGCCGGACCTGGTTCTGCTCGACTATAACCTTGAAGTTGGGGACAGTGGTGAAACTGTCCTAGCCAACCTCGGGGCCAAGTTTGGTCGGGCCAACATCCCCATCGTGATGTGCACGGCCATGTCAGCGAACTCGGTCGAGCTAGAACGTTGCCTTGCGGCCGGCGCGGTTGACGTACTCCTCAAGCCTTATGAGCGCAGCCGCGTTATGAGCGTCGTGGAGAAGTACTGCCCTGGTAAGAGCACTTCGCGGCCAGCACCATCATCAGCACCAGCTCCGCCCGCTCCCGCACCCACGCCCCCAGCGCCAGCCCCCGTCCCTGCTCCTCCCCCACCACCTCCCGCACCCGCACCCGCACCGGCTCCTCCAGCGGTAGCCCAGCCAGACATCGAATCCTTCTGCTGCGGCATCGGACTGGATTACGTGGGCAGGAAGCTCAAGGAACAGGGCGTCTTGCTGAAGGACCTCACCACCTTTGACGACGCAGCGCTGCGTAAATTGGGTGTGGTGGTGAAGTCGCAGCGGGATAAGATCTTGGAAGCCGCCAGGGCCCTATAAGCGGCTGGGTCGGCTACTGCAGTACCTTTAATGCGACCTTGCATGCAAAAGGTATCTGCTGCGATTAAAGCTGCCTTCATGCGGTTTAGCTGCTTAGATGTTGCCGGGCACCGTTGCTTGCTTGGGAAGTGGCAGTTGGTTACCGGTATTGTAAGGCCTTGTACGGCGTTATACGGTGTCGTGCGATATTGTACGCTTTTGAGGTGGCGCGGAAACGGTGTGGGCGTGTAAGAGTTCTTGAGTTCTCGAGTCAAGGAGAGGTACAGTAACGAATGTCAACAAAACATGAAAAGAGGACCCTTGAGCGAGTGTGCAAGCGTGTGGTAATGTCGGTGAAGGGTGCAGGTGTGCGGTTAGTTTTGCTCCGCATCATAAGTCAGGTATTGTTTGTAAACTAGTGTTGGCTCGCCTCGATAAGGGGCGCAGTCTTAGCGTTCACTCAAAATAGTCCGGGCCGAGGCGTCCTTTTTGTACCGTGCACGTGTCCTATGGTGTATCCCTGTACAGTTTGGATGTACCTGCACCGAGGTCGCAGATTCGGTCGGACAAGGTGGCGTAGTAAATTGTGTTGTGTTTTGAATACAACGGTATGTTGAAAAAAGTGAGAGTGTTAGAGTTCAGAAGACGACCCAAATGTCGTACATATTGGCGGAAACAAAGTGCTGTTGGCAGGTTTGTCTAGGTGATTCGTAATTTCCATAGCAATGTCATTGTAGCGTTGTAACGCTGGAACCAACGTTTAGCCCATAAGCCAAGGATAAGTTGGCTCTTGTTGTGCCTCCCTCAAGGCTGACTTGCCTCTTGCAAGAAACTAAACTAGTAAAGTGGAGATTTCAGGTAGAATTCAGGAAGCTTAATTGTAGATCAATACAAACAGCTTAGCAAAGGCTGCCGTTCTTACCATCCGGCCGTTGGCGGTTAATTCCCTGGAACGCTGTTCTACTTAACGGCTTAACCATGATGCCAGAGCCCGTGTCTGCTGCCCTTACTTCGCACCCATGTCTGCTGCACTATTGCAAACCCCTTCACCCGCAGCCGCCCAGGTGGCGCTGGCAAACCCGTGGCGCCCCAGCTGCTGTTGTCATCAGCAGCGGTCTTTGAGGCTATTCCAGCAACTTTTTGCCAGGCATTTAAGCCCTCTAACTTGCATGCAACCGAAGTCCTATTAGTCCTTATCGTACCTCCACAAGTTGACACAGATGTATGCAAGGCAAATGAGGTCCCGTAACTCCGTCTTCTAATTCCCACATAAACGTGCCTCCTTGACGCAGGCCATCATCAACGCAATCCCTCCTCCTTGCTCACAAAGCCACGCTGCCTCAGCCCCTGGATGGCGTCATCACCTTCCATGCCTTCCATCGCCTCAAGCTCCCTCTTCACCAGCCGCACTTGAATGAGCTGCTGCTGGCTCTGGGCCTCCACCGGCATCATAGAGCTAGCTTCCAGCCCCGCTCTTGCCGCCTGCGGAGGGCAAGGGTGTAGGAAGGTGGGGGCGCGGCAGTGTGAGGACGGGGATGCCGGCCAGATGCCTCTTGTGCTGCCCGCATGCTCAAGGCGCGCTACAGATGTTTGCTGCAAACAGCAACCACAATGTTTTCCTTCGACTTTCGCCGCAGGTATTCGGAATTTTGGATAGGTAGGCAGCCCATGCAGCTGCTCGGCCCCCGTCCCCTACTGGTCCGCTACTCCCGTCCATCCACTGTCAGCCCACACTACCTGCCATGAAACACGTACTGCATGCAACAACCAACAAAGGCATACCTTGGGACGCAGGTGTTGCACCGTCACGAGCGAGCTCCCTGAGACTCCTTCGTAACGAGGAACTCGAGCAGCGCCTCCCACTCGCTCCGTGCCTCGTCGGGCAGACCCGCCAGGTACGTTGCCCGGAAGACCTCCGGCTTCCGGGCGCGCAGCTGGTGCGCGGCTTTACAGCCGTCGTCGAAGGCGGTCTCTGGGCCTTTGGACAGGAGCCCTGCGCACGTGATTGGGAACGCCAGCTTGTCCTTGAACCACTTCGGTCCTCGTTCCTCAATGAGGCGCAATACGTATGCGTCCCAATGCTCAAAGCCGTCTCCCACTGTGCGGCGCGGCCCGGCTGCTGTTTGCAGGTAATTGTGCACGTCGGCAACGATGCTGCGGCGGAGGATTTTAGCATATTCCGGGTTGCTTGCCCGCAGAATCGCCAGCTCAGCGTTGATCGCCTGCTCAGAAGCAACCAGCCGGCTAATCTCCAGACGAGTCTCCTCCTTGTTAAGACGACTTTCCAGCTCAATAGCTGCCAGCCGGGCTTCCAAATCCTCAGCTGCGCTCAGCACGGACATGGTAGGAAACCATCAGTCCGTGTTGATACTATATGGCGGAGGATTCGCACGCAAACAACGGAATTGGTAATCTATGACACAGGCTTCAGTTGTTTCTTTTCTTTTTTGCCTTCTTTTGCGTTTATTGCGTTTGGCTTCGGCCTCATTTTGGCGGGAGTTTTAGGTCTTTGGGGTAGACCCCTGTAAATGGCCTTGGCTTAAAGGCGCATGGCGCCTAGTCGTTCCTCGGTCAAAGCTTTGGGCTCATAGGGCAATCCTGGCCCACTTGTGATGTGGCACGCTGGAGCATCGTACGTATTGAAATTTTACTAAGTCTCACATGCATGTAGACAAGTACACATGATCCGGCGTTGTGTTGTTTGCCGGCGACCTCTGTTGTCCGCCAGGGGCGCGACATTTGTGTTACAAAAACTGGCCGCGAGTTGAGCTTACTGAATTGTCGGAAGATGATGTTCCTCACCGAAAACGCCAAGGGGGAAGAAGAGTATGCTGTCGATGTAGATTTATACTCATCCAATACGGCGCTGGGACGGTCTTTCTTGTTGCCGTCCGGTAATTGGTGGTGATTGTTGTTGTGTGTTTGTTGGGCCAGGCGAGGCTGTGGCTTGCCTGAGTGATGTGTATCCGTGGAATCACAAATGTATATACATGCTGCACAGTCCAACGCGTGTTTGAGAAGACGTGGGCTTCGTGCAATTTGCTGATTGCTGATGTAAGTTCTGAGGGTCCTGACTCACAATCAACTTAGATCTCAAATAAGATCGTGGAACTGATTGCTTCTCATACCATATCAAGCTACGTACGCGTAAAAGACCTTTCTTGCCCTTAGGCCTGAGCAGCACCTATGGGATGGCGCAAACATGTCAGCATAGCCACATTAGTGTTGGCAGCTGGCGTATCGCGAGTGGAAACTGCTGGCTACCACGTTTTACCAAATTTCGTTATTAAGGGCTCTCGTACATAAACATGGAGAGCAGTACAAGCATTGATAGCAGGCATGGGCGACTAAAGCGCAACCTCAGACTACGCACTGCAAACGGGATGGCGGAACTCAAAGTCAGCCCAGAGGCGGGTCCAAGCGACCCATGGGTCATCCCCCTTAAGCCTGATGACGAATCAGGCTTACGCCCTTTAATGTTCCCTACTGCTTCTTACTCGTTACACGAGCGCAGGCCACAGGCCGCATGCTACTATGAACCACAGCAGCATACAGCAGCAAGGGAAGCGTGTCAACAGCAACCAGCAACCGTCGATACGGCTGCATAATTGTTTTAAAAGCAGCAGGGCCCCTGGGAATTAGCAACAACCAACAGCGTTTCGCCGTTTGGGCGCGGTCGCGTCACATCCATACTTTCACCTGCCGTAGAATTCTAGGCGCACATCTGCTTCAATGCCCCTTCCAACAACCTGACAGCACATGCAACCACAGCTGCAGCACCTCCCTGAACCCCAAGCTGCCCTCCCGCCTCGCCTCTCGTTTCTGTCCTACTGCTCACATCCCCAACATTACCATCAGCACCATCCTTCCACCTGGCGCAGGACTCCAAAATACTCGATCTAGAAGCAACGTACGCATCTAAGGCCGCATCTATGCCCGTGTACGGCACTGCAGTGCTCGCAAGGATGTACGGCGTCGTGGTCATGTACTGCATGGATCGTACGAGATCCATGTCGACCCCCGCCGCAAAGCTCTCCCGTACAAAACCCAAACCCGTCCAAAGCTTTTGTAACCTTGTCTGAGTAGCCAGAACATCCGCCCCCGTCCCAACCCCTTGCCCGGCTTCCGCCACTGCCGTCGTACCGCCATTCCCCGCTCCTTCCTGATCCACTCTACCAGCGCTGCCACCTCCACTGGTGCTACTGCTGCTGGTATTGGCAGTAGCAGCAGCTGCAGCCACAGCTGACGCGACGGCTAAAGCAGCGGTGTTCAGCTTCCTAGCAGCTGCCATGGGAAAAATGGGATCAAAATCAAGACGCTGTTCCAGTTCACGTTCCGTGTCCGCAACCGCTGACATCATGTCCCAGCTGTAGCACCGCCGCTGCGGACAAGGCCGCGAAGCCGGCAGCAGCACGGACGATCCACTTCCCGAAGCTTCCGCCGTAACGCCCTCCTGTTGTGCCGAAAGACTCCGCCGCCTTCTGTTCCCGGAACTAGAGCTGCTGTTGCTGCCACCTCCGCTGCCACCTCCGCCGTCCTCTTGCGTCACGGGCCAGCCAGGCGCCGCAAGGCCCCATGACGCCGGCACCGGACACAGCAGGTGTCGTACCGCCGGCACCGCCGCCTCCGCTGCCGTACAGTCTGCCGGCGTGTGGCGCCGCAGGAAGGTCTGCAGCTCCGCCGTCTCATTATTGGTTGGTCGCAGCAGCGCCGCTAGGCAGCGCAGCACGCCGCCGGGTGTAGCGGCGGCGGTAGTGGCGGTAGCGGGAGCTGCTGAGCCGGCGGCAGCAACGGTCGAAGTGCTGTTCCTGTCGTCCCCAGTGCTGAAAGGCGGCGGAGGTCCCAGTGGCAAGCCGATGAGACGTAGCGCGTGGTGAAGGAAGCGCTCCTTCTCCAGGTCAAACGACGCCCCCGTTGCTGGAGCCCCCGCTGTGGCACCACCACCACCACCACCACCACCGCCGCCGCCGCTGATGCTGGCATTAGTGGTGTCTGCAGCAGCACTGGTGGGGTCGCTGCCGGCGGAGGCAGTAGCACCAGCAGCAGTTGCGGCTTTGGCGGTGGCGGCGGCGGCTCCCGGGTCTCCGGGAGCAGTCCGCAGTCGGGCCAGGGAGGGCAGCGCGTTGACCTCCACCAGGGTCGGGTGGAGCGTGGAATTGAGCAGGAAGTCAATGCCCAGGACCTCGAAACCTGGAAAGGGAGGAGGAAGGCAGGCCCACGGATGTGTTAAAATAACTGGCCGAATGTGTGTGTGTGGGGGGGAGGGGAGGGGGTAAAGAGGAGCACCAGTCATGTTGAGAAGACCACATCACAACGACTCCTTCAGCCCTCAGCCACTTCAGGCCTCCCTATCAGGCACGCACCCCTGTGCTTACCGCTGCCCTCCAGCGCTGACAACTGCCTCGCGGCAGCTCGCATGCGTCCTGACGGCGCCGCCAGCACTGCCCCGATGGAGGCACGTACGTGATCCCAGGTGCGGTCAAAGACCCGTGGGTCATTCGGGAAAAGCGTTTCAGCGTGTCGCCGCAACTGAGCGACTGTCCATGGCGACATCTTCTCGCCGGCGATCGTCCAGTAGTTGACTTGATGTGTCTCGTACTGCTGGCGCTGGTGCTGCTGTTCAGATTGCTGGAGATGCCGCCCCCGCCGCTGTTGCTGCTGAAGGGGGGCCTCCCAACCATTCGTCGCCGCTAGCTGCTCCTCCCCTAATTGTTGACGCATCAAGCGACGACCCTCTAAAGCATCCCCACTCCGCCATCCCGCCCGGTCCTCTCCCGCACCCGCAGCACCCCTATGTCTGCCCCGTCCGCGGCCCTCTCTGCTGCTACCCGCGGCGCTGCTGCTACTGGCGCCGATCCTGTCGCCAAACACAATTACGCCGCCTCGGAAGAGATACGCGCGTAACGGTCGTAGAGATGTGACCACGACCCATAACCGCAGGTAGCTTGGCCGGTTGTCGTACAGGAATTGCTGTCGTACGTAGCTCTGTACGAGCACATAGTTGCTGTTTGGCTGTGCTGCTGCATGACGTGGCTGCTGCTGCTGCCGCTGCTGAGATGTGTTGCTAATTCCTTTCAGGGCCTGACGCTGGGCCTGTGTTCGGGAGCGAAAGGAAACCCCAACCGACATCAGCTCAACATACCTGTAGCAGTCGCCAATACCGCTGTACATTTGTACGAACGTTTCCCTGTGGCATCCTAAGATCCCAGGTCATCAAGGGTGAGGGCCCGTGAACTCCCAGCCGGCACATGCCCCCCCACCTGACGCTGCCGCATCACTCGCACTCCCCGGCCCCGGTGCTCATTTGCCTTGAGAACCCAAGGCAGGTCAGCAGGCGAGCTCGAGTGCTGCGTCCAGGCCCGCCAAATCCAATACTGCGTCGGAAGCATGTAGCTGCGAGGAATGAAGTCAAACGCCGCCTCGCCGTACGCTTCCTGTTGGCGGTTGGACGCACCGTACGGCGGGTGGTTAAGGAGGGCTATACCAACCGATTGGTAAGCATCAACAGTCTCTCAGCCCCAGGTCGAGCTTTGGTGACAGAGCCTCACCTAACATGCGCTTACTTGCATGCTGCGGACTAGTGGCTGCTTGTAAGCCACCGCTTCCACTCCAGGTATGCAATTGACTCGTTTGGGAGGGGCAATGGCGCCCAGCACGGCGTGGCAAGCGCGCCTCACAGTCCAATAAAGCTCCCATGATTGTGGTACATACGCCCCCTTGACTGAAAGGAACGAAGCTTGTGTTTCGCCAGAAACGACCTGAGTGACGGAAGCAGCATTCGTCTAGTCGGTCAGCTTGGGACACAGCGCAGGGCGAACCGATAACCACAAGCAATTTAATCAGTATTATGCATTAATGAAGACGTTGGCAACGTTCTATAGGCTCTTGGCAAGAGGATGTATGCGTTTGTCATGACGGGAGAGCGGCTGTTCACCGCACCCGAGAAACCATAAAGGAAACGGTAGAGACACTATAGCCTTACACGTTTGGTTGAAAAGGGGGATGAGTGAGAGCGTAAGTAAAGCGCTCCGATGGCACACGCCTGGCTGTCGCCTGTCGGCTTCACACTTCGCAAGCCCGGACCTCACCAGTTTTCCAGAAGAATTGGCGACGATGTCCTTTAAAATTTGGATTTCTCCTGTCGAGAAAAAAACGGAGTCCAACCAGAGTCGAACCGGTGTCCCCGCGTTGCTGTCGCTGGGAATAGCATCGCCCGCAGCTGCGAGCAGAGGCCCTAGCACGAGTGCTACTAACAGGAAGACAGTAATAAGAATTAGGCGCATCTCTGCTGCTTTATCGCCATAAAAATTGCGGTCAGGCTACTAAGATAGTTAGCATTTGTCCTGTAACGGACATGGATACCTAACATGCATTGATTCAATCATTCAACACTGAAGCTGACTGAAGAGCATAATATATTAGTAAAAAAGCGGTACCATCGTTGTAACTTGAGCGCGCTGCAGTTAATCGTACAATACCAGTACGCTTGCAGACACGAAACCTCGTGGGTAATCCGGAAAGCATCCTGGACCTTACGAGCCTCACGTTTGTAAGAATCCTATTATACAGTATTGTGGGCCTTCCGGAAGCGCAAAGTCCAAGTTGGTGTGCAGCACTCACTGAGTAGCAGCAAACAGTACAAACAAGGCCATGCATGCCAGTCACCGCCCCAAATGGCTTCACCAGGGGCGTTTCAGGTGGTTATTTACAGGAGCCGCAGACCTCAGAATACGACGAGCTACGTCGTGAGTACGAGGGTTCCCTTAGCTTTAGCAGTAGGTTCATGAAGGAGACCTCTGCCCCTCCTCTAGCTAGCTACCTGAGCCGCGTATGGGAGACCCGCATGTCTGTCAGAAACCACATGCGCAGAGCCCCTAAACGGAGGCCTGTAGGGGACCCTGACTCAGACTCACTTTGGTTCTCATAGTGTTCTTGGCCCCCCTGGATCGCACGGACACACTGTACACGCGTACAGATTATGACGCGGATTAACAGACGCCAAATCCAGGTCCACGCCACGCCACGTTATGCAACCTGGCGCACACCACTAGTGTGAACGGCACAGGCCGCGCATTGGAAAGCACGATTCTTCCCAACACCTCAACTACCGTAACTGCCAACCGGAGACTTCAGGCGCGCACGTGCATGTATGCTCCGTCGGTGGTTCGCCAAAACCAAGATTGCGGATCACATACCGGTATTTCCTTAACACCCATTAGAGCTGCTGCCACCATGACATTTGCCAAATCTTTAATTCTGGGAAATGCCTTATAAACATACAACGTACATGCTTAATCCATGGTCGAGTCACAAATAACGTAAAGCAGCCTTACGATAACCCTTACCAACATCTATCGCCGGCATAGAAACATTGCACTATATTGCCGAGGAAAACAAGAAACCAATTTCAGCCTAGTACTGAGTACGGTAATACTAAAGCACGAGACAGCCGGCCGAGCAATCGAGGGCATACCATCTGTCCTGATGGTGCGCACAAGCTGAATCTCAAGCAACGAGGCAAATTTGCATTAATTCCGCATTCGCCGATAACCACTAGCTATGTATCGTGAAGTGTAAAGCAGCTATCGTTGCCTGCAATATCCGTAAACGAGGCCCACATCTCCTAGTAACATCCCAATACCCAACACGCACGCAAGACGCAAGCATGCCGACAAACCAACTGTCCTAGAAGCAAGGAGCTTAGCCAGTTTCCTTTGAACGAGCCTTGCATGCCTGTCGACATGCATACAACTTCGCTTCATTATATAGCCACCATCCAACCCCAATTATGCATACATCCATGCACCTCCTGAACCTTGTAACTCAGGCAGGGAAACCGCGCACAACGTATATACGACAGAAATGGCACATGCGTGCACCCAATCCCTATGGCACCATGAATGGAAACTGCAATAGCAGCAGCAGTTGCACACTCCGCGCAACAGGTTTGCCGTATACAACCAAACATGGAAGGACTGGAAACGCACCGAATTGAGCACCATCAACATCACAGTTCGATATAACATAGCATCGCATATATCGTAACCATTTAGCAAAATCCAGGTAAAATGCGACAAGATATTGCAGACAGCTTCACAAACAGTTCATGCAAAACCGAACCCCAAAACACATTAACCCACTTAACCCACAGTTGCTAAATGTAGTAGATCAGAGGGCAGACAAACAATTCCATGATTTGTGAGTGGATCCATGTCCATACCATGTGTAGCAATACCTATTTAGCACTCAGTGTTTAGCACTCAGTGCTTAGCAAACGCCGTTCATAAGCCCTCCACACCGTATGCGCCCACCCGCCTGCCGTACGCACCCCAATACCAGTACAAGTACGCACATGACAATTCGAATTCCCAATTAGCAGCCAACTAATTCACAGCGATTCACCCACAACCTTCAGAAACGCGAACTTGAGTCTTCAGTTTAGGAGCATGCGAATAAAGGGGAATACCGACGCCAATGCCTGCGAATAATTGCAGCTGACTCGAGCTTACGTGTGAGCTCACCGATTTCCCCGACACCCTCGGTAAATACCAAGTGCGACTCCCAACCCATCATTACACGTAAAACGAGCACAGTACATTCCTCCCCGCGGCACGCGTAGCCGTGTAAATACCACACGAACCACGGGCAGTACTCACCCACACAAGTGCATTCCACGTCACCGGTACCCACACCTGCCATCCCTAAAACCACCGCCACTCCAAAAGCGCCCATAGGCACCCTCAAACTAAACTGCTTACAGTAAACCCCGCCCCCCTTCCCCGCTTCTTCGCTGGTCGCGCGCGCCTGCAGATCGCCTTCACGTGTCCCACCGTGTCCACCTCCGCGGGCACGTGGCTCAGCAGCGCGCTCTGCCGGGCCGCGTCGCCCTTCAGCTTGGCGAGGTGCGGCCACAGCGTGAGCACTACGTAGGCGGCCAGCAGCAGGAAGGTGATGGCCAGTAGCACCTGTGTATGTGTGGGGCGGCAGAACCAGAAAAGTGGCTAATAAGCGGCTTGCCGTCTGAAGCGATGCAAGTGGAAGGAGGACGACGTATCGTGCCTCCAGCCGGCGGGTTGTGGCCAGCAGGCGCCGACCGTGGTCGCCAGACGTCCTGCGAAAGTGGGTGGATATGGCTGCGTATAGCAGCATGCAAGAGTGCATGGCGCCAAGGGGCTACCGGGCATCTGTCTAGGTGGTCAAGGAGCCAAGATGCACAGGCTCAGCCCCCCGAAAAAGGACAGATCCAACCGGACCAAACATCGCACCACACCGACGCCCATATCAACGCGCGCCCATCGTTATCGAGGCTGTAGGCGAGTACCTACCGAGTGTAGGCGAGTGACCTGCAGACAAAAGGCAAAACAGGGGGGCAGCAGGGAAACCGGAAGTCAGCGCACATCGTTGGACGAGCTATCGCAATGCCACAGGTTGTACGCAAATAGCAGGGACCTGTGCAGCGATATTAGCGGGACTATGGCCGCATGTACCTACCAGGAGCGTCCAGGACAGGGTATGCCGCAGGCGATGTAACCAAATGCACAGCGTATGACGTCACACGCAGCACACGACGCCACGTCGCAGGCTCGCAGCTCACGTCATCACATGGGAGCGACCCCAACTGACCTGGTTGTAGCGGCTGATGGAGTAGTCCACGAACAGCTCCGCCGCCTGCTGCAGCCCCTCGTACAAGTCAAACGTGCCCACATTGTACATGTAGTCCCATCTGCACACACACACACACACGTTTCGCCTCGCGGCCAGTTATTTTAACACACGGGTGTACGGCAGGAGGCTAGCTGGAGTGTAACCGTAACGGTGCATGTGAGGTCGTTGCCTTTACTAACCGCGACGTCCAGGCAGGACTGAGACTAGGACGTTGGAAACCAAGAGAGTGTGAAAGTGTGGAGGCAAAGGAAGCCACCATCTCATGTGAGTCACCTCAAACGTCATGTTCTCATGTGGACTGCTTGTGGTGCGGTCGTACCTGCTTCCGTTGTATACGGCATCTTGGTCTGGATCCGTGACGAGGAGCTCCATCTCGGAGATCATGCGGCGAACCATAACGTCCAAGCCGTTGTGAGTTACCTGTTACCGGTATCACAAGGTCAGCCACCAATGCCAAAAGGATGGTCAGCTGTGTTCCAAAGCACCGAAGGATACATGAGAAGGCAAGATCTCAAGTACGACATAGCTGCATTTCCAAAGGATGGAACAGATGGATGGTACAGATGATTGGTGAATAAAGGACAGCACGTACGATGTAACACGCCAAAAGACGTACCTCATAGTACTTCGAGCCCGGCTTGGCGCAAAGCGTCTGGTTGTATCTAAAACACCTCTTGGTTTTGAAAAACTCGTAGGCAAACATGGATGAAGAGAAGGTACTGGCAGGCACAGGGTGTGTGAACACGCTGTTGACCTGAGAGGTAGAGGGCAACAGGAGTATCCGGTTAGCGAGGCGTCCGGTTCGCGAGGTTTCCCGGTAAGCAAGGTGTCCGGTAAGTGAGGTATTCGGTTAGACAGTGTGGCTTAAATCAACGTGCATGGCTTGGGAACTGTGTGCAGTCTGCAACCTCAAACTGGCCGCGAGTCGTCACGCATCCGTACCTGCGACAGTGCCGTACCGCCGTACATGAGCGCCATGTACTCGCTGTCAAACAGTCGGATCTCGCTCCGCAACATGTCACGCCAGAGGGACTTTGACTCCGTGTCATCCTGCGACAGGAACTTGAACCCCACTGCGCGGATGCGCGTGTAGCGGTAGATGACGTGGGATGCCATGTTGAGGGAGGCCAGTGGGCCCTGCATCCCCTCCAGCTGGTACAAGCTCACTCCGTAGATTGCGAGAAGCGTGAAGAACCACGCGCAAGGAATCAGCTGCGCGGAACAAGCGGTGACACACGGGGATGGGAGCAGGGAGGAGCATAATCAAGCCACGCAAATACATGCGGCGGTATACCGGTAAACCACGAGATGTACCGTATCCACTCTTCGCAACAAGCATGTGAGGAGGAGGGTGGCAAGGAGGTGGCGCTTACCGCTTACCGGTACAGCCGGCCTCACGACTGGACTCACCATGAGCTTGGATACGCGCCACCGTGAGGGCACCAGGGCCTTGCCGTTGACCACCTGCACGCCCAACCGCCGAATGCGCCTGGCCTTGGCGGCAACTGCGGTGTCGGCCCCGGCCGCCCTCTGCGTGGTAACGGATAAGAAAAGGTTGAGAGAAATGCCAAATTAGGAAACGGTCCCTGCTAATGCTCTAGCAAACCGCGGAGGTCTCATGAGTATGCGCTCATGGCAGAAATAGCTTTGCGCAACCAGGCAAGCTGTGACCTAAACGTGCATACGCAATACGATACGGCTGCGACCCGTGGGTCAGTCGGACTGCTGAAATTCCGGTCAAGCCGCAACCACAGCTCAGTGTACCCACCTGCTGCTGCGCCTTGCTCTTCGCCCCGTTGTCATCATCGGCCGCACGCGCATCCAAATCCTGACCATCAAGAGAAAACCCACGTACTGCCTTGGCGGGGCCTCCATCCCCCGAGTCCGGCAAACCGCCGATGCTGCTGCGCCTGTTACCGGCCTGCGCTGCCGCGGCAGGCCCGGTCTTCTTGTTGTTGTCTTTACCGTTGGCGGCAGCGGCAGCGGCAGCAGCAGCAGCAGCGCCCTCTTGCTCTCCCTCCCCGACATCATCCCGGTCATCATCGCTCTCATCGCTGCTGTCATCCAGGACCTGAGTACGGCGAAACATTGTACGGCAGCACATGAATGGTTGGTGGAAGGCGGAACAGAGTAGTGCGGCTGTAGCCGTGTAACAGCCACCAAGTTCGCAAAGTTCAAGCGGACTAGGATGTTTCCTGCTCCCAACTGGCTGAGAAATAGCGCGGGCGTGACTGCCAGTCGTACGTTATGCCTCATCCCGGCGGATGTCAACCTGCCTTCGTTTCCTTGCTGGCGAGCTGTCGAAGCACGGGGGCCGGGAGGCCCACCATGGACATGATCCCCAGAAGCCGTGCGCCTTCCACTTGTCGTACCAGCAACCACTCGTACACCAAACAGAGCAGCTGAATGATGAGGACCTCCACGACCAGCAACACAATCAGCACTGCAAGGGTAACCGCAGGTGCAAACAAGCATATTAAACCTAGCCAGCGAACTTCAATTTTACCTATCGCTACCGTATTAGTTTGTGAGTTAAGGATGAACGCGGCAACTACGGCACTCAGCCAGTGATGAGCCATGTGCTCCCAAGGGTCATCCGGGAAGACAAGAATGCAGCACCCTCCTACCGGTCCGCAGTTGGTCCAGCGACTTCCATGCAGAGTCCATCAGGAGGTCCAGAGATGTGGCATAGCCCGTAAACAGCGAGCCGATACCGTTGGTCACGATGAACTGGTACACGCGGTGAAGCCTGCATGTGGCGGCATGGGGTTGGATGTCCAAAGCCACAAGCAACTCCTACTGTACATACCGGTACCTGCACGGGCGCCCCCTACTGTACATACCGGTACCTGCACGGGCGCCCCCTGCACGGGCGCCCGCAATTTATACCGGTCCCCACTCTTTCATCTCCATCAGCAACCAGTCCCCACCAGCAAATCACCCATCCAGACATTTTAAATGGGCACACCAGTAACGCACATGAGAGTAATCCTATAGACAGCGCCTTGTCACCGACTTCAACTCAGCTCCCCAACCTAAACCACAACCCAGCCCAGTCCCCAGGGAACCCAGAGCCCAAGGCTCCTCCTCACTTGAAGTTGGCCTTCAGTAGCGGCATGTAGTACAGCGCCTCCCGTGCTGCCGCTATGAAGCGGTTGCCCAGCTGCCACACGCCCGCCGCCTCCGTCAGCACCTGCGGCGGCTGCGTGTCCATGTAGAGGTGGTAGTCCAGCTGCGGCTGCGTCCACACATCGTACACCTCGCTGGCGGGCTTGGCTGTCTTGGAGGGGGAAAACCCCATGTACACGCCTGCATGACATGATAGCGGTAGCATGCAGGAGGATGAGGGTAATGATGGAGGCTCGGCTGGGTCGGCACAGCTGCTACAGCGCCAAGCCGAGCGTGCTTCCACTGTATGTAGGGCTGTTGCGTGGAGATCGTCCCCTTCCCTGCTTCTCTCCTGCCTACCTTGGTGGTTCTGCTCCAGGGTGGTGATGCTCGCCTGCACGTAGGATAGGGAGCCAAGACTCACGCAGGTATACACCTTGTAGTGCTGTTTGTACGTAGGCTCAGGAGGAAAGACAGGATCGGGCATCCGCACAAGTTTAAAGGCCGGAGCCACTGCCAGCACCGTGTATACGACACGTTTCTGAATCCTGCTTACCCCTTGTTTAATTCTAACCTCCTACCAGCACCGGTGACCCAAAGACTACACACTCCGACTCGCAAAGCGACACACGGGGTTATTGGTAATCCTGTTACAGTCTTACCACCATGTTTTTGATGTGTGTGCTTAGCGGCGGCGTGCATGCCGACACTTTGGCAGTGACGTTGGCGCGCTCGCAAAACGTCCCGATGAGCACCCGAACCACGATCAGTTCCGCTCGGTCCATGGCCATAGCCTGGCGATATACCAGATACACATTCCTGCGGACCAGAAAGGAGCAACCACAGGCAGCAGGACAGGAGCAGGGAGTGAGTCTAGGCAGTCTACCAGCACTGGCAGGGTTCATACGGCAGCAAAATCAGTTGCATGCCGACTTTGCTGAGAAAGCGAGGCCACATGCATGCACGACACAAGCAGCTTCGATACAAGTGTCGGTTGTGTAACTACAAGAACCACTACATTAGTAGCCGCAGCAGAAACGGCAACAGCAGAAGCAACCAGCAGGATTAGCAACTGGGCAGACTTACGAGTGCTCGTTGGTAATGATGTTGGTCACAACCACATAGCACGCAATGTGCGTGAGGAGCATCACAGCAAGCAGCGCGTAGCTGTGCAGTCGGAGTCGCTCCAGGGGGCCCATCAGCAGGGGACCCATCAGCACCTTCCGCAGCGACCTCAGCAGCCGCCCCCGCCGAGCATCGATCATTAACTCAACCATGGAGGGGTTGCCTGAAGTGCCTGCATTCATTTCATAAACGTGGAGAGCATAGTGGTAGTACTGGACACTGCAGCCGTAGCATATGTGGCTAGGGAGCTGCCTGGGTGCAGAGCTTCTGACGCTTATGAATCCTGGATATCGGTAGGTGCTTCTGGATGGGCGTGAGCGACTTCAACCAGATGCATGCGTTGCATGCTTTGCATCGCCAACAACACAACGTTGGGTGCTTCCACGTGTAGCGCATGCATGCATGTGCGGCACATACCTGTAATTGCGCTGCCCGCAGCCTGGCTGCCATCCGCAGAAGACTCCGCCGCCTCGCTGCCCCTCTCCCACTTATCTCCATCTCCATCGCCGCCACCACCATCGCCAACACGTTCGCCGCCATCTGCTTCACATCCGTCCATGGGAACCTGCCGGTCAACAAAGCAATGTGGTTGAGGGACAGTAAGCCAACCCGTATGGTGGTGTGGTGTGGGGACTATGCTGTTTAAACGATTAGCCCGGGTTCACAACACACCTTCAATTGGAAGGCAGTTGCAAGCATCGCTGATAACGCGTGATAAGCTATAGCGCATACATCCCCATTGAGAGGCTGAGACAAGCACTGCTAAACATAAAGCCAGGCAAGGCACAGAACCTGTATGACATGCCAAATTCCTGCCCCGCTCCTGCACGCCTCAGTACCGTTTGATGCAAGGTTCTTCCTCACCTCAGGAATGGTCGGCAGCCGGCCGCTGAGCCCTCGTTGCACCTTCTGCCCGGCTGAGGGCTGAGAGGTAGGCGGCGCAGGCAGCAGCAGGGGCTCCTCACACTCCGGCCCTTCAGCAGGGCTGCCGCGCGCCTCCGGAGCCTCCCGCGCCATGCTGTTCTGCTTGCTCAGCGATGCGACCCATTGCGTGATGAACTCCGCCTTGCTGGCTGCGCGTGGAGAAGAGCGAGAGGGAGCTATAGCTTCAGTTTAAGGGTTCAGTGACGTTCATGACTGCGAATGCGCCAGTGCGCCCCAGAAACACCCAACAGGACACCCTACTAGCTCTGCTTGGCGAAGGTATGACGCAACGGAAAAAGGGAAGTGTGTTTCCCTTACTCTCGTACTCCTCTGGGACCGCCGCATGGAACCAACCCCTTCGAGCCGTACGCGTCCCTACCGCGACAACAACTCACATGCTCGCCGGAGCAGTCTCGCTTGGTTTCGCGCTTCCGGATCCCCACCCGTCGCCTCAACGGTTGCACTGTCGACGCCATCCTTGTCCACGCTGCTGTTCTCGCTCAAGTCTCGGCCTCCGCCCTCTTCTCCCTCCTCCTCGCCCTGCTCCGATCGACGGACGCGCTCCATACTGTTCTCGCTCCGGCCGCCATCGCCCTCCTGGTCATCGTCATCCCCTGCTGCGGCTGTATCACCGCCATCTGCAGGCTCCTGTTGCAGCCTCTCACGCACACGCCGCCCGAAACTGCTTCCGCCCTCGCCGCCGTCTCTTGCGCCCAGCATCGCCTTCTTGCCTTTGCCCACCGCTGCCATCGGGTCGCCTCCACCGCCGCCCTCCACACCACCATCCGATGTGTTGATGGCATGGACGTGTTGATAATGATGTTGACGGCCTCCCATCGTCGTCGGCGGCGTGCCATGGCGATGGTCGCGGCGCCCAGCGTCTCCGCCCTCCTCATCCACCTCCTCCTCCTCCGCCCCCGCTTGCGCCTCGCCTTCCAGGTGCAACACACGCAGCAGGTCGGCATGCGCGCCCGTGTATGTTGTGTCCGGGTGAAGAATCGCCGTAACTTTACCGCGGCCGGTTCCGGAGATGGAGACAGCCATCTTGACCCCTTGCACGAGGATGCGCATGGTTCCCATGTCCGGATGGGGCCCTATGAAGGCCATGGGCGGACTCACCACGCCTCGGTTGGTGCTGCCTTTGAGGGCGCTGCGGTGATTGTGGTGGTGGTGGGTGTGGTGCTTGTGTGCTATGATGGCGTCCCAGGGTTTGTTCCGAGGAATGTCTAGAAACCTGCGAGAGGCGAGGAGGCACATGCCCAGAGTAGAGGTGACGGGACAAGACATGCATGGAGTACCGGGAGCTGCGGGGCTGGGGCGTCAAGAGACCATGTCGCTAGTACTGACATCGCAGCAGGTCGGTCGACGCGCCTGACTTTATTGGGAATTCAGGTATGTCAGCTTGACATCTGCACTGCTACTACGGAGCGCTGTGCCGTGCCCGCCTGCAGGCCCCCCGCACTTGACAACCAGCCCTGGCATGTATGCAGGCATGTCAGTCCCAAACGCATGTCCCCTTGCGCTTCTTCCCAGGCTCCCGTCACGACCACCTGTGCGCACCTGTGCAGCGGTTTTTTCAACATGCTCGCAGAAGGGATGCCCACGATAAGCCCTGTGAGGGGGCTGGCTCTGCGGATGAGCATGTTCTCGTCCAGCTCCACCACACCCGTCAACAGGTCCCGACGCCAGAGGGTGAGCTTGATGCGGGCGTCGCTGTTCTCCTTGCTGCTGTCTTTGAGGCCGGGGAAGCCGTCTGCTGCCACCTCGGCATCACCGCCGACCTCCTGCTCTTCCTCCCCTTCCGCGCTATCCGCCAGCTCGACCTTTGGAGTGGGTAACATGGGGTTGTGCCGTTGAAGGAAATGTTTGACAGGTGTGAGGACAAGACATGCGCGTATTATGGCGTTTGCCAGCCAGTGTAAAAGCGGCACTTAATGCGTGGTAGGCACGGCACACAGGCCCCCCCGGCTCGGGTTGAAAGCGAAGGGTGTACCTCCCAAGGTGAGGTATCGGTAGTCGCAAAACCCCAAGAGGGCAATGCCGTATGCACCCATGGCCACTGCGGAAAGCCCATCTTGCCTGCAAGCATGCGGACACCGTCTTCTTGGTCTTGGAGTCATGAGCAGCGGCGTGGTGGTGGTGATGATGGTGGTGATGATGGTGGATGGAGGGTAGGTGCGGGATGCCGTCTTGGCCAACCAACTCGGACGGTTTTTGCACCCGCACACGCCAGGAGGTTCCTGCAGGAATGCAAAGGTGGTGGTGGTGTAATGCCGGTCAGTGTAGGCTGCCATTAACAAGGATAGCACACAGGGCGCTGCCAGTAAGCCAGCAAAACCATGACGCCCACGTACCTGGCATCTGCTGCTCCTTATCCGTGAGGGCCAGAATCAGCAGCTGCAGCTGCGATTCGCCGTTACGCGTGCGCCACTGCATAGACGGAAGAAAAGAAGCGATAGAAGGGAGTGTTCTTTGTGCGTGGACCTTCGCAAGATGCAGCGAGGTCATTCTACGTTCAAGACAGATGCCAAGAGCAAGGCACGGCACCCGGAGCTATCGAAACTGTGAATTACCGAGCATCGACCCAGGGGCCATGCAACGAACCAGGAAACCCCCAACAAACTCACATCGTCAAATATGTCGACGCAGTCACACAGGCTCCTCCCAATGCACTCAATCGCCTTGAAGCCGAACAACGTCGACAACGGTCTTGACACCCGGAGCACCCGGCCGCTCATGTCGGCTGTGAGCACCAGCCGCTTCTCCTCCAGCAGCTCACTGGGGGGTACCTTTTCAATCTGCGCACGTGGGTGAACAGGATTAGGGCGTTGTTGTTTTGCTGGGGTACCATGCACAACAGTGCATGACGCAGACAAGCATGTAACTATGCGCCTTTCTGGTCGGGTCTACGGCACACGGCACATGCAGCAGATAAGGGTTGCGTACACCTGGTCGCAAAGAGGACCAGCCCTGCATGCCCCCGAACACCTTTCGCCAGCTAGCCCCCGGACCTATAGGAGGGCAGTACGCACCTCAATGACGTACAGCGACACCCCGTCCGCCCCAATGGTGCTGTGGATCTGAAGCCGTACAGGTATGGGCACACGCGCGTCATTGAGCAGGTGCACCACCCGCCCTGAGCGGCAGCTGGCAGCAGGGGGGTCGTGGGGCGGATCCTGCTGGTAGGGTGTACGGCACAGGGACGCAGTGTCAAGCAAGCTAGGGGAGGCGAAGCAGCAGCAAACAAACACAACGCATGATGGGACGGCTATTGAGCAGTGTGTTGCTAGTTCTTGCTGGAGTACCGGTCAACCGCGAACCCATGCAAACAAAGCACGTATTCGGGGAGGTCATACATCCCCCTCCTAGCCAAAACCCGCAACCCTAACCTCAACAATGAACTCCAATCTGCCTCACTAACAAACCTACCCTCAGCCACTTCGCATGTGTCGCGTCGAAGGGCTCCGGAAGCAGCTCATCCAGCCCCATGCTGGTCAGCTTTCGGAGCGGGTAATTCAGCAGCGTTGACACACCCAGCGAGGCGAACCGCACGCGCATGTGCGTGTCGACTACCATGATGTTGTCAGCTCGGCCGTCAGTACGGCGGCAGGTGATGGACATGATGCGCTGACCGTCCGTGCCTGTAGACCGTCAGGACAAGGCAGTTAGTGCTCGCGGAGAACTGGGTAGTGGAGACGGGCTGTGGATGAGAAGTGGGTGCTGGGAGAGGGTGCTAGGGGAGGAGCTAGCAGCACATGAGGATGGAGGATGGACGGAATCAGGCAGCTTAAGAGCTCGCGCGCAAAGGCGAAGCAAGAAGCAGCCCATGCCCCCCGTCCAACACGCTCGGTTGGACCGCACTGAAGCGGCCGAGCGGCGCCCGCATACAACACAGCCGCCTGGGCATACCACCGGAATCCCACACGCAGCACATTTGCAACTTCACTACCCCAGCAACCCCACCAACAGCGCACCAGCACCCCTCAGAAGCAATATCCCAGCACCCCAGAATCCCTACAAGCAGCGCCCCTCCCCCCCCAGCAGCAGCGCCCTAGCAGCAGCCTGCCAGCCACCCACCCGCCAGCCCCACGGTGAGCTCCACGGGCACCGGATCCAGGAAGCGGTGCTTGAGGTTGAAGTAGACGCGGAAGAGCCCCGACTCCAGCTCCACAGCGGAGGCGGCGTGGAAGCGCTCGATCAGCTTGTCCACCTCGCCCACCTCGCCCTCCGCGACGAGGGAAGACAGCGAGTGGCCCACCTTGGGGAGCGGGGGGGGAGGGAGCGTGGTAAAGGGCGAGGAAGATAGCTACCAACGGTGTGACATGTAGGCTGTAAGCATGGGCGAACGTTGGGAGCAGGCCTGAGACATGCCCTACAAAGCAAGTAAGCAGCAGCTACCGTGTACGGCTGCAGCGGGTCCGTAGTTCCTCCTTACCAGATCCTTCTCGGCGAGGCCACACATGGAAGCAAACTGCTGGTCGCCGCAAAGGAAGGTGCCGTTGGGGGCCAGCCAGGCGCGGATCATGAGCGAGTTGGGAGCCAGGGGCCGAATGACACCCAAGAAGACACTGCATGGTGCGCACGTGCGTGTGTCCGGAACAGCGGGCGGTACGAATTAGGTGTGGAGGTGGGGGTGCGAGTTAGGTGGCTTCGAGCGAGGTGTGCCAGAACAGGATGCGACGCGACATGCATGCAGTGACCGTAGCAGGGTATTAAGGAGAGGCGACAACAGATGACAAGATGAGGCTGGTGTTGGAGCACAACCTGTGGCCGGGGCGACCCACCTGTCAGAGCCGGTTCCGCTCATCTTGGTAACGCAGATCATCAACGGGAATACGTAGCGGTCCTGTAGGGGAACACACGGAGAGGCAGCAGCGGTGCGTTACTACCGGTACAACGCCAACAACCCCTCCACACCCGCCCAGAAGCCCACCACACACACATCCACGTCCCTCCCATCCTCCCACCCACACAGACTGGTGTTCGTTTTCTGTTCCTTTGTTCCCTTTCTCCTCATCACCCGCCCACCCACCTTGTGTAGCGCCACCACCTCCCGCACAATGTCCAGGATGTGCGACTCCCCCGTGGTGCGGTACCGAGACATGTACTGCGAGTGCCGCTGGCTGAAGGGCTGCGGCATCAGCAGCGCCACGTCCACCCCCTCCAGCTCGGCCTTGCTGTAGCCGAACACCGACTGGACGGCCTGCGGGAGGTCAGGAGGGCAGGGGTGGAATGCAGGCCGGGAGGCATGCATGCATGCCACTTGAGCTTACTCTTAACCAGGACAGGCATCTCAGCACAGTAGGGTAGTTAGCAGGCTCGGTTGTCTTAACATACACAAGCTACGTATGGAGGAACTCCGGAGTGGCTGACTGTATGGCTTTGGACGTGAGCCAGGGACTCAGTCCTGTAGACCCGCCCTGATGCGGTCTGAGGAGGCCTACGCAGCAGCACCAACACCCCTGTTCAGCTCAGACCCCACACTACATACCGGTAACGAACATGCCCCACACCTGGCTAACCATCAGGATGATCCCCTCCGCATCAATCACAATCACCGCATCGTTCTGCAGCGACATAGAGGTCAGGAACTCCGGCTTGTCCACCGCCTGCTGCACGGAGCTCAGGTCCAGCGACATGATGGCGTCGCCGCCGCCGTTGCGGGTGGCCTCCGCGTACACGCGGCTGGCAGCGGCCGCGTCGTGCTTCACATCCTCCAGGAACTTGCCGTAGCAGCGCAGCAGCTTTCCGTTGGTGGGGTAGCGCTCCAATACTCTGTGCGGGATGAGATCGGGTCCCGTCATTGTACGTCTTTAAAATGAGCGGGCTCTGGATCCTTCCATACAGCAATCAAGTAAGACTTCCCCTTGTACGGCAAGCGAGCGAATCTTAACTGCGTACGGCAATCGTACACATATCTCCGGAGATCTCTCCGTACCTCTTGTACACTTGATTCGCTCTAGTGGTTGCGGTCTCGAGCTCATCAAGCATCTCATCCATCTCTGTGATGCGCAGGGTGGTGCGCGTGCACATGCGCCAGAGCTCCGTCTCCAGCGCTAGAACCTCCTTGTGAACACGCAACACGGCCCTGCGCAAGCCGGGGTTATGGAAAGCCGATGGCGTTCAATCACCGTTATTGCTCGGGCTTATCAGTACGCTTGTTCTGTCGCACGACTCCTTGTACCGCACCTGAAGTTGCGCCGGAACTCGATGTAGGCCTGCAGGTCCATGCCGCCGTCCTGGCTGTCCTTCTGACGTTTGCTGGCCTCCATAGTGCAGTACACCTGTACGACAGCAACACAATTTGGCATGACCGTACAGTGCACGAGAGGGCGGAGTGTGATAACGCCCAGGCAGTGAGGCTTGGGTCTACCATGGGACTACTTCCAAAATCATTCCCCTCACCATGCCACCCTATCTCGCCCTATCACCTGATACAAAACCCCATCACACCCACACAGCCAGGCAATCAAAGTTAACCCTGCTAGACACTAACCCAGATCCCCAGCACCCTGCATGTGCCCACCTGGTATCGTTCCACCAGTGTGGGTGTGTGCTTCGAGGCCAGCTGCAGGTGTGTGCGGGCGGCGGGGCCGTCCTTGCGCACCTCCAGCAGGAAGTTGGCGTAGAGGATGTGCAGGAAGGGCGCATCGGGGTACACCTGCATGCCGGCCTGCAGGGCGGGAGAGGTGGAGGAGGCACGTTGGCTGCATGGAAAGGAGAGGGCACGGACAAATGCGGGTAATCCAGTACCCTCATGCATCTCCTCTCCTTACCACCCGTTGTGACGTCGCATCGTAAGCATCTTCCCTCCCCATGCAGCAGGGTGAGCGTCTCCGCGGCTCAGCTTATTGAACTCCCCATGCAGCACCATGCATGAACCCCCCCCTTTTCACCCCCTCCCCACCTCCACCTCACCTGCAAAATTAACTCCCCATGCGCTGCCGACTCCTCATCCACAATACCATCGAGGTCAAACTTCCGCATGACCCGCGACAGCACTTCCACCTCATGCATGCCGGCGAAGCGGTGGATCCGGTGGATCTTAACGCCCGCCAGGCTCGTGAGGCCCTTGAACTTCCTGGCGGGCTGCTTGACCCACCAGGCATGCAGGCCGCACAGCGCTATGCTGCCGCAGAGGACGGGGAAGATGCCATACAAGACGTACTGCAGGGAGGTACGGCAGAGGTGGAGCAGAACAAAAGGAACGGTAAGGCAGAGAAAGGATGGTGTCTATACAATGATGCGTTGACGAGCATGAACGGAACGGACAGTTAGGGCAACGGATGCACTGTACCAGGCATCCAAGCAACACCCATAGCTTGGAGACCCCATGGCAGGGAACTGCCGTATCCTCCCCGAGCCCAACCCGGGGCAGACGGGAGGTACGGTAAGCGCAAGCACAGCCGCACTCCTCTCCTGCTGCTCCTGTACTCCCCACCTGCGTGTACTTATGCATGCGAGCATCCGATTGGTCCTTGTCAAAGGCACGCGCGGTGAGCAGCAGCGTGCTGTACAGCACCGCCACCCAGCCGCCGCTCCAAACCATGTTAACAGCGGTGCCGTAGAAGGGCAGCTGCGGGAACAGAGATGAGGGCAGCGGGCCAGGAGCCAGTCACCAGGACGCCACTATGTGTTTTGGAATGGAAGGTTGGAGTAGGGGTAAACGGGTACCGGCCCACAAGAACAAACGTGGGGAGGACGCCATTGGTTTCCCTCTGACCCCCACACCCCGCCTTCCCTCTTGTTAACCCCTACACCCTACCTTGCGGAAATTCCACCAGCAGCAGCATCCCACCGCCACCACCACCAGCACTCCGCGCAGCTTGGGCCAGCTCTGCAGGTCGTCCGTGAAGATGATGAAGAGCGCCTTGGCAGCCAGGATCTTGAGCCGCGAGTAGGAGTCGGGGGAGGCCAGGTGGCCCCGGGAAATGGGGTTCAGGTCGCTGGAAGCGACCACCATCAGTGCAGTCACGCTGAAGTGGACCAGGGCTGCGAAGGCGGCGACTGACATGTGCAAGATGTGCGGCATTTCAAGACAGTCTGCGGGTGGGAGCAGCAGTAGGTGGGCGGGTGATGCGCAAAGCGAGGGTTGCAACGGTGGGGAGTGGGTGAGCAGAATGGGCGAAGTTAAAGAGCTGTGAATGCCGTACAAGGGCAGGGTTGCCATCTCAAAACAGCCACACACCGTACAACACAGTCCTTCGCGTGTATAACAGCATGGGCTATAGAGAAGTTATAGCAGTAGCCACTTCCACAGACGCTCCCGCCCCTTCCCGCATGTCGGATCCCGCACTCACTGACGCCGGTGAAGAACGCATGCTCCTTGCTCGCGTGCGTGAAGTTGCAGTTGGCCGTGAACACAAAATAATCCATGAATGAGGCCTGCGGGCGGAAAGGCATCAGTGAAGATGCCAGTGGGGAGATACGCATTGCCGAGGAGGCAGGGGGAGGCGAAAGGTCCCAGCATCAGGCGTGTGACAGTACAAATGGGCAAACGTGCAGCCCCGTGAAGTACACGAGCCGCGGCCCCGTCTTCAGACGCGAGGACCCCAACCAGGTGACGTGTAACCGGCAAGCGCTGCTTTGGGGTAAGACCATGCGATCCAAGTCCTTGTAAGATACGATGTCCAGGAAAACAACCCGGGGCCAAGCGGGGGTTCTCTGTTCCCATGACCTCACGAACTGTATATGAGCCCCTTCCCATCCCCATGCCTCCCATGTACGGAACTCACGTAAAATAGCATAAACAGAATGTCGTACACCACATGCAGCGCAGCCGCCGCTTTGCGCAACCACTTGGACTGCTCCTGCTTCCTCATGGCCAGTGTCAGCCACACAAGGCCCCCAACGGCTAAAAGTACGGCAGCTGCCATAACGTACAACACGCGGATGTACGTGTCGTACCCGTACAGCAGTGTTACGGGAGAGCGCCAGAGCGTCCATCGAATGACTTGCCAAACGGGGTTGCTCGTCTTTATGTCCCATGAGTTGGAAGGATTGAAGACGACGAGCAAGGGTATCTGCATGCGAGGGTGACGAGACAGTGGCATGCCATTAACACACATGCGGGTATTGGTCACAAAAGGCTGGGCATTAAACGCTGCATGTCTACAAACGTTAGCAGTGTGTGTTTAAGCATTTATATGGGATACTGCTTTCGCATGGCGGCAACTAGGTGGCATGGCATGTTGGCCTCTGCCGAACGGTGCCAACGGCGCAGTTCTCGGACTACCGGCATATGCCTGACTGGTCCGGTTAATCTTGCCCCACGCCGCCGTCATCCGCAGGTGCCCGTGCCGTACTTACCAGGCCCTCAAGCACAACTTTCAGTATGGAGAATTTCCAATTGCTCAGGGCAGATTGCCGAACGAGCGTGTACATACACGCGAACACGCCTTCCTGGAAGGTGCGCTTCTGACCCATGAGGTCGCCTGCATGCGGCAAGGAGGAAAGGGGGCTATGATGGTGATGCATGCTATGCAGCAGCACCCCGCAATCGTAGACGGGCCCGGCTGGGACAGGCCCATGCCATCATGGCGGATGACAGGGGCAGCGGGGCAGCGTCCGTAGGGAGGTGAAGCCTCACCTTCTTCGGCATGCTCCTCGGCCCTGCGGTTGTATTTGGGAAAAGAAACGGTTTGTTCAGGGGCAGGCGCATTCATGCGAGGTAGGATAGGAGAGGTGGACTTCTTTTTAGGTGGAACGATCCATGCACCCCAGTGCGACTGTCAGTGTGAATTGAGGGTAGCAGGCGGGACGTGCAAGGCAGTTGCAGGCGGCAACTGTCACAGAAGCGCCATGTAAGAATGGGTAGGAGGCGTTAGCGCTCCGGCTTGCATGCATTCAACGCGCTCGTTGTGTGCAGTTGCAGATGTGTGAAGCTTCAACTGTTGGATGGGTTCGCGCCTTACGTCTTCCACTGTGTCCTAGCACTTCGACGAGCTGCCTCAACGCTGGTTACTGACGTCTTACAGACAGGCGTACAGTAATTCTGCTCCGAACTGGCGTTCGCAAAGTTGCAAGCATCCCAGCAGAACGGTCGACTCAAGTTGGAAAGCCGTGCTCAGGATTGCCCAAACAGTATAGGAAAGATGACGTGATAGATAGCCGCCACGATCAACGAGGAGAATGCTCCCTTCTACAGGCTTGCCGACCTAAGAGTTAGCCCCTTAATCACCTTTTGCAGTCTTATATGCTAACCTGACTGTACCCAACGTTTCAGGAAGCACTGTGCCCGTTTCATACCCTCATAAAGTGCTGCTTACCAGTATGCTTGTGACCCAATGACTCAACATAACACAACCGCTTTCCATTAAGCCCGCACCTGTGCCGCCTGAGCATTTTGGAATCGGACCGCTGCGAACTTGTTTCGCTCATAGCTCCGGTCCCTCCGCTCGCTTGACTGGCAGTTTCCGACATTCTCCCTAGCTAACTTTCCTCTTTCGCCTTAAACAGCAAGTTCTATAGTCTATATACGAAAGTGGATAGCATTTTCAGCAGCTGAGTACAAGCCTTAGAGTTTGCAAGTTGTCAACAATTTGAGAACGCAGAGCTGCCGCGTGTAGCATACTTAGAAACGAAGTGCACCGTCTTAAAGGACTGCATTAAGAATAGGTATACGTGAAAGTAGAAGTCCTTTCATGGACTCTTCCGCATAAAAGGGGCACTGTTCGGGCATGTGAGTACGGTGCACGTGGCGAGTGTGGCATAAGGAGTCAAGCAATTTTGCTGCTGCCTTCATACGTCCGAAAAGCCCGAAAGTTGAAGTAAGGATTTCTTTATTTGCAATGGCATATGGCAGCTTTTTATGTACCTGCTGACTAAGCCGCCGTCAACTGCTACTTCGCTCGTGCTCTGCGCACCCAGTTGAGATAATATCCCGAAAAGTTAATACGAAATACCATACACTACCATGTGCCATGTAGGCATGCGCATCTGCGCCGGCGAGCGCTCCCTTCGACCAGTTGCTAAGATGGTAGCTGAGCGAGCAGCGGCGTATCGACTGCTTATACCGTTTACCTTTCCAAGAATGGCAGCCAAACCTTTTCACCGTGCGTATAAAGTTCTTTTGCTAACCTGCCCATCCGACTACCGGTACAGCTGAGATAGAATGAAATCCTGCCATGCAAACCAGCCATCCGCTTCTCGTGAGCAATATTGTGTATCGGCTTTTTTTACCAAGGTGTACTGTATACAAGGAATCCGTTTAGAACGCAGTTCCGTAAACTACATCTTGCGAGTTTGTGCAGCCTACCTCAACGACCCGCCGGGCGCGCGCTGACCACGCTGAGGATGTCGCATGTCTGTCAATGCCAAATAGGACGGACATCACACAGAAAACTTGGAGGCTAGCTGGCATATGCATTCGACCGCGTGCGGGCAACTTGCCACTGAACCAAGCTTGCTTTGCAACGCAACACTATATTCATGCTGTTTGCACAGCAAGAGGGTCCTTGCGTGAGATACTGAGCTTGGGGCAACCAAAGGCCCCTCGTGGGTCAACTTCGTTGCAATCTTGCGAAGAACACGAACCTCTACTACCGGTACTGCAAAGTAAATACGAAGTGCTAAAGGTATATGCCATGGTGGGTGAGGGTCATCCGTTGAAGGCGGGTTGCGTTGGCAGACACGGCAGCTTAATTTTGACAGCTGCCTCTCACGCGTTATTCCCTTCCCGTCCTCAACGCTCCTCATGATACCGGTCACCATGCAACACCTTACAGTGCTTCCTTAATAGGATACAAGCAGTTGCAGCATCACAAAACGGTGTGTTCGTGAGGCTGGGACCTACCAAAACTGTGGATAGCTGCGGTCACTGCGCTGCCGACAACGCAGCAGCAGCCTCACCCAAGCTTTGCTTAGCAAAGCTCGGTCAATACCGTAGGTTCTATTCAACCGTCACAAACGGCACGAGCATATTCGCCATGATGCCACGAAGGCCCCGTGTCAGCAGAGCCGCAACATGCGTAGTCCTGCTGGCGGTAGCTGCCGCGCTCTGTGTCGCGGCCCAGGGGTCAGTGATGCCAGGTTTCCGGTACGCCCCGCCGCGCCACCGCCGTCAACTGATGGGCAAGACCCAACAAGATAAGAAGCCCTACGACACATGCGTTTGCGTGTTTGGTAAGCCCAGAATGAAGAGCACAGGGCGCTCTTAGTAAGGCGGCATGCGTTTGCTGTTGTGGATGCTGGCGTTTGCCAGGTTGGCTTCCTCACATGCTCGTTGTTGCCCTTACAAGAACCCGCACGTTCCGTTCTCCACCGTCGTTGCATGCGACCAGACTTCGACGAGACGCTGCGGGTGGTATCAGAGGACGGCAAGGACTTCGACCACCCAGCCCAGGACGGCGCAGGCATTGTGAAGGCTTGCAAGGCAGGTCGTCCAGCGATGCCCTGACTTGCCTCCGCAACTGTGACATTTGTGCAAATCTACCTTGCGCACTGCACAAAAGGTAGTGCAGTCCAAGAGGACTAGCGCCCTGAAGGGAGCATACACTGGTTCCAGACAATCACACTAACTACATAGCTCCGCTTTGCATGCAGGACAATGGGTGGGGAATCGGGGTAGCAAGCGCGAACGATAACTACCTGAAGCTCGAAAAGGTGCGAGGGGCGGAGCGTGGAGCTCTCCTGAGGCGCACGGCGGGTCCTGCAGGCAGGGTGGAACAGGCCTTTCGCCCCGCTTGCAGTTGTCGTGCTTTGAAGCCCGACCATATGTTTACCATGCGACACCTGATACCGGTTCTCAGCAAACGTCCGCTTCAACACATGGCAACATTGGCAATGCGTGGCTTCTGTCGCGTTGTCCTGCTGACCGCCGCAGGTCCTCAGCAAACGAGTGGACGCCACCACATTCACGCCTGAGGTACGGTTTTACGGCAACGGTTGCACGGGTGTACGGATGCATGTACGGAAGCGTCTGCTTGCTCCCTAGCTGCGGTTGTTGAGTGTCCACACGTGCTTAGGAAGCCTTGACCGGAACTGCCAAGGAGCATTGAGCTCTGTCAAACCTTTAAGGAATTAATGATCGTTGTGGTTGTGGGGCCGGTGGTACGCTGGCAACCACTAAGGCAGCACGCCGTCGTCCTAGACATTATTCCCCGGCCTGCCCTCCCATGCACGCACGCCCGCAGTTCTTCAACTCCTCCGCCTTCCAGTACCACTGGTTCAACAAGTCCATATCTCTCAACGCCATCGCAAAGTATTACGACACGGACCCCACATGCATGATGCTGTTCGGTAAGCCCTTGCCTGTCACATCCCTGAACTACCTACACGCCACGCCACACGCCCTTGCTTGTCACGAGCGGGGCCAGCAGGGCAGGGCATTTGTCGTATTAAGCCTGAGTCCTATAATACCTAGGCCACCCTTGGCCCGGTATCTGCCGCATGTTCCCTCTGGCCATGCTTCGCTTCAAGTCAATAGTTAGAGCTGCCTTAAAAGTCACATCCCGTACACCTACTGTCGTTTGCACACCCACAGATGATGCGGAGCATAACCGCAAGTACGCTGATGCGTTGGGAGTGGTGTTTGCCAAGGTTCGTAACGATACAGGTACGTACGACATTATGTGTACAGCCGTCGCCTGCTGGAGTCATGGATCCGCAGCTCGTGCGCGGGCACTCGGCCGCGTAAGCGTTTTCCTTGTGGTACTACCGTACTCCCTGCCGCAATGCATTCCTTATCGCCGCTGCTGCTGCTGCTTCAACCGCGCGCTCCTCCAGGCATCCAGTGGGAGGATTACATGCAGGCTCAGAAGAAGCTATTCTCCAACTGCTACTGCGCCCATCCTAAGGTTCGTTGCAAGCCTGCTAACGACCGGTAGCTGCTACGCGTGCGAGGTACCACTTGCTTGCTACTGCTGGTGCCGGCTGGGGCTTTGCGACGAACATTGGGTTTCCCTTCATTGTTATAGCGCTACTCGGCAAAGTACAAGGCACCAGGGGGCGCCGTTAAGGACCGTGTCGCTTGTGAGTGCGCGGAATTACCTTGGAATGCGGATGTTTGCTCGGCGACGGACCAGTGCGGCGGGCTTCACCTGCTACTTCCTTCCATTTACCGGACACCCTCCCTTACGTTTCACACTTTCCACCGCCACTCCCCTTGACACTCCAGGACCGCACGTTCAGCCCGTACTCGTACCAACCACCGGATCGCAACTTTGCTGGCAAGGACCGGTAGGTGGCTTTGGTGCCGACCCGTGGTTCGGTTTTGTGCGTGGGGATGATTCAGGCTGTCTGGAGCATCCTTGCTAGCTCCCTGTGGCTGGCCTGCATGCCTGCGCTAGTTAGCTAGCATGCTGATGTGGAAGCACTTTGCCCGTGGGTTCACAAAACTGGCCCACACTAGGCTTTCATGCATACCCATGGGCCAGTTTTGTCGATATACAGGAAGAGTGCGTTCACATTAGCATGCTCGATATTGCTAGTCCTCATGTGGCCGAAATTACTCACCCTCTAGGCACATGCCCCTGTCGACCTGCTCTGCCTTCCCTGCCATTCAGGCTTTCCTTTCCTTGCTGCAATCACCGTTTTCTGCCCCTGCCCCTTTCCCCGTATCTGCCCCTTCAGGTGGGGGAACCCGCTGACTAACGGCACCAGCGCTGCCGGCGGCGGCTTGTCGACGTCTGAGAAGCAAGAGGTTCGCAGCGACGAGCTGCAAGACTCTACCAGCCAGAGCAAGAATGGCGGGGCATCTGGTAGCAGTAATAAGGACAAGGATAGCAGCGGCAGCAAGGACAAGAGCAAGGACAAGGACAGCTCTAGCAGCAGCAAGGATACCAGCGGCAAGGATACCAGTAGCAAGGATACCAGCGGCAAGGATACCAGTAGCAAGGATACCAGCCGCAAGGATACCAGTAGCAAGGATACCAGCGGCAAGGATAACAGTAGCAAGGACAATAGCCGGGATAGCTCTAGTAGCAAGGACAACAGCAGCTCCAAGGGCAGTAGCAACAAGGTTAGCAGTGGCAAGGAGCAGAGCACAGAGAAGGACAGCAACAGCAGCAAGAGCAGCAGCAGCAGCAAAGACAGCTCTCCTGCGCCCGCCGCAGCCGGCACCACCCCCACCCCCACACCGGACACAGCAGCCGGCACCACCCCCACCACACTAGGCAACGTGGCCGATACTATCGCAAGGGCCGCTTCCGATGCCATGGTGGCGGCCGCACCAGCAGCAGCTGCAGCTGCTTGGCCATCAACTGCGGCCCCCTCGGCAGCACCCACTCCCGCTGCCGCGCCATCACTGGCACCTAGCGTCAGCATCAGCAGCAGCCCAGCGGTTCCGTCAGAGCCTGCGGTACCGTCAGCTTCGCCTGCTGCTGCCACCAGCGGCTTTAGCATGCCGGCGGCTGCAGTACAAGATACGACAGCGATGGCGCCGGCGCCGGCTGTAGTGTCTGCGCCGGCGCCGGTAGCGCAACCTGCTGCACCGCCGATGGTGGAGGCCTCCTCGGCTCCGAGCAGACCTGTCGCTGCTGGCAGCAGCGAGACACTGCCTGGGGGATGGGTGTACGACACGGCAACGCACTCGTACAGACGGTCGCCAGCTAAGCGGTCAGCTTTCTGAGAGGCAGGACGGCACATGGCGGCATGGGTTATTGTGCGGGCGGTATGGTAGTGGTCAAAGACTGGGTTACTTTCGTTGCCGCTGGTATGGCGTTTGCGTTATGGTGCTTTACTGCTGACCTTCATTATTGCGCGCATTCGGAACGCAACGCCGGGTCATTGTAGTGTAGGAATGGTGGGAGGAGAGGATAGCGTTGGGAGGAGAGGATAGCGTGATGCGCAGTAACTGTTTGAACTTTAGGTAGGGTCTTGGGTGTGTGGTGCTTGACGTCTTGCCAGCTGGTGTCATAGGCGTTGCTGCGATTGGCGCAGTGTAGGGCTAGGTCTCGCCTACTTTATATCGGAATTCTAGTCTTGGGGGTCTTGGTGTCTGGGGTCTTGGTGTTGTTCCGGTTGGAGTGTTTGCGTGCTGTGCGTGGCATATGTGCGGTCGCCTTCACAGCGTGGCGCGCCTTCTTCCTTCCCCCTAGTAGGAAATTAGGGGGGCGGGAGACAACCTTTGGACTAGATGGGGGGTTACAACGAGTAACAAGACCAGGCTCCGGATTGCCCTGAAGTTACTCACTGGGGGTGGTGAACACATTCCAGCACACTGCAGTCTGGGAAGACTGCTGTTGTTGCTGTCCGTTAGAGTTGACGGTACGAAGCAATTTGAGACAGAAGGGGCAAGAGCCTGGGGACTTGTGTAATCAATCATATGCCGGGCATGCTAAGTGGCCATGCGGTATGTTAGCTGCCGCCTTGTTTGTGAGAATTGTGACTCGCTTTGTAAGGAAGCAGTTACGCTTTGTAGGCAGGCAGCTGCGGTTGTAGCTGTCTGTACGCGTGTCCATTGGTTAACCAGCAAGTGACGATCCAAACATGGCATCCCAACTGCACTCATATAGGAAGTACGGAGAATGAGCAAACCTTACGGTCCTGCTGGAGTTAAAGGTGTGGCATTCGCAACGAATGCTCCACAATCGCGGCGACGTGCGCTTTATTCCGCCAACTTGCTCCATACTTTAATTATGTCCACCATAACTTCAATTTAGTTTTCCTTCAGTGAAAATGCGGAATTAAGTATATTCTCTTAGGCGGCCCTCGGATGAGGCTTCGGCTCTAGTACAGCTCGTATATAGCCTGAACGGGCTCTAGCGACCACCTGCCTCAAAAGCAACTACATGGCTCGTACACGCAGTTAGTTGACAGCAGGACTATGAATCGTATGTGTTGGTGAATGGTCGGGGCGATCAACAGCAGGGCGAGCTCTGTAGTGTCGCGGACGACCCACTACATGCTGCGTTCAGCCGCGGTCTCAAACAGCCTACAACGCCCCAAAAGTGCTGCACCACGCCATTCAACCTGTGGGCACGCCGCTGTAACACATAAATGCAATATTTAACGCTGTTTGCTGCTGCGGCGCTTTCGCTGCTTGCGCTGCTGACCCACGGGTCACTTGCCCAAGTTAGTACGGCTGTTGAGGGGTTTCGGCGGGCCACAGCACATACACCGCACCTCCAGCAGGGCTGAGCAGCACCCCAACTGCCTGAAACGTGCAGGCAGAGTTGGGAGGCTACCTGCCATCTCCGCCGGCTTCAATACCCGCCGACACCTGTGTGTGCGCTTTTGACTTCGGTGGGTGCATGTGTGGCAGCTGGCAAGCGTGCACATGAGCAAAAAGGTCATGGCTGGTCCACATCTGTCCATGCCAAGATTCAAACGCCTGCGAGCTCTTGCACATGCCTGTTTCCCAGGCCACCGTTGAGTGCTCTCATTCAGGAGGACCAGCATGGTCCACGCACCCCCTTCCCCATTCCTTCCTGCACGTCCGCATCTATCCACTTTCGCCCCCTGCCCTGCCCTGGACCAGATGGGGTGCTCCGTGCGCCTCCTCCCGAATCTGGAGACCAAGATGCTCCCGCATCGGATGCTCAGAGAGTGGTGGAGGCTTGCAAGGTCTGTACGGATAGCGCAGCAAACAGTTCGTTGTCCGTGCTACAGGGCACATCTCATTATACCGGTACCTCCTTAATGCTAGGAGGATGAAACATGATGCTTTAGGACGAGCAAAGATGCATGTTTTCCTTAAATATTGCTTCCCTTTGCTTGGTATCCTGACCTTCTGGCCTGCTGCATGCATGCATGCCTCGTTTCCTAATCAAGGATGCCGGCTGGGAAGTCGCCATCTGTAGCGCCAATGACAATTACGATAAGCTGCGGGAGGTGGGTGAAGAGGAAGGAACCAACGACTTTGGGACCACTGCAACGGTAATTCATTCATGTAGGCCTCAGCATGGGGTGCAACCATGGTAGCCAGCCCATCCCACCCCACCCCAATGTTGGGTGGTTGGGTGCTCAACGGCAGCCATGATAGCGCTCGGTGTGCTCTGGCCTGACTTGGTTGTTACTTGTTAGTGCCTGGTTGGCTGAAACGTCTTATTGCCTGCCCCTCCTCACATCCTAGCAAGCAACCCCTACCTCAATGCCTAAGCATGCTCGCGTCGTGAATACGCAACGGCGCTTCTTAATCTTGTGTGCTAGCGACGAACTCACTCGGAGGCTGACGTCAGAGACTACCGGTGACACAACGGCATAAACGCAGGTGTTGGGGCAACGAGTAGATCCCTCCGTCTTCACGCCCTCCTTCTTCGACACACCCGCATTCCAGGTCAGAAGGCCCTGTTGGTTATCGTGAGATGTGGATGCAGCCTGCTACTGCTATCTGTGTAATAGCAGTACCTTGATTAGCGAGAGTCAAATGTACCTTTGGTGGTCCGAGCGACTGCCGTACATACATTACCAACCGCCACTGCTCTTCTTCTGTGATCTTCCGTACATTCCATCTAGATGCACTACGACGACAAAACCATCACGCTCAACAGGATTATACGATACTTCAACACTCGGCCGCAATGCGTTATGTTCTTCGACGATTCGGTGGGTCCTGGAAGAATAATGCGATGAGCCGTGGACCGCATCCTTTGGATTGCACCGCCGTTGCCAACCCCATCACTGGTGTCACCCCAGGTTGTTCTTCAAATCACTCGTGCGCCTATCCCGACCAAATTCCTGATTTATTGCTACCCTGCCGCGCCAACATCCAACTCGTTCACACGTCATCAGGGTTGGCACCGGGCGGCTGCGCAACGGACCGGCGTGCTGTTCTTCGCGATCTCCTCCAACACAGGTTGGCATGCAGGGTTGCCCCCGTAATGTGGGGCACAGCATGCATGGGCTAGCAGCTCTCTGACAGGCAGCATGGGGTATAATATTAATAGCACCGCTTAAGATTCTCTGCTGCTGCCTCATTCTTTCGTGTTTCATGCCGTTCTTAACATCCCCCCTGCAGGCATTACGTACGGCGACTTCTTGCGAGCACAGGCGAGCATCGGAAGGTATTGCAACTGCGCTAATAAGCCCCGGGTGAGTCCTTGAGCTGGCAGTTGGGGTTGTTACATGCATGGGGTACGGCAGCTGGGATGTCTGTATGTCTGTACGTAGGAAGGCTGTGCACTAGGACTTGAGGAGGAGTGGCTTGTTAGAACACGCGCTGCGAGAGCTGAAGGAGAGCCGTGCTCCCTGGGCCACCACGTGCGTGTTGCCCAACTAATAACACTGCAATGGGTATCCTGATGTGATTTGATTGTTGCTTTGCTTATGTCCGAATCATGGGTTCGTCGCCTGTCTACTTGGTCACATGCAGGACCGTTTGTACAACGACGACAGGCGCCAACGACCGGAAGTGCCGTACCTCGGTTGACCAGGTTTCTGGCATGTCGGCGTCTGCATAAATGGATGCGGCGGGGCTTAACTGCATGTGTGGGGTTGCCTTATCTATGTGTGTTGGGGGTGCCTTACCCGAGTGTAGAGAGTAGGAGTTATGTGTGTGGGTGCTTTATCCATGTGTTAAGAAAACTGGCCGCGAGCAGGAACCAACTGGGGTGGAATAGCAACCCAGCCATGTGTCCAGCCAGGTTTAATTTGCCTTATTCATGTGTGGGTGCTACCCTACAGGTGTCCATGGTAGGCAAACTAGCTAGGGTAAGAATGCAAGCCGCGCCTCTAACAAAGAGGCTAGCGAGACCGTAGACGTGAGCTGTGCTACTGCTGCTGCTGTATTAACTCCTGGCCCCGAAATCTGGACATAGACTCAGGACCTGTTGAATCCTCTGACAACAGGAGCAGGACAAATTACACGGTTGCGTGACATGTGAGGGAACACAACCCTGCTATGGGGTATCACAATTCCCACCCAATTGTAACTCGGACCCAGGAGGCAAGTTACTCATACATCTTAATTGCGTGGCTGTTATACACACACTGTTGCCAAGGAAACGAACGGCGCTCGCAGTTATTGTGTGGGACAACAAAATAGACACCCCAACAACTCCCTCTCTCTGACAGCGTATCACGAGCTCGGAGAGCAACAAGCGTTGGGGCCATAACCCACATGACAAGGGCAGACCAAACAAAGGAAAGGATGGGGGCACATGCGACAACTGAAATGCGTAAACAATGACCATGCAGGAGGTGTTCGTACGACAAAAACCGAGGTTCCATTACTCCACGAAATCCATTCGACGTTTTCCGCGACGGCGCCTGCCTACCGTGGAGAAAACGGCATGTCAACAGGGGACCAAAGCCTCTGCAGTGCCAATCAACAAAACAATAAGCAGTCGACCAAACGCAAACGCCCGCCTCATGTAACATTCCTTTCCAGAATTTGAACCGAAAGGATAAAGCAGCATATGAAGGGATGAAGTGCTATAGCATTTATAGGAAGGTACCAAAGCCTTCATGTCTGGAAAGTCGTGTTGGGAAGCACGCTAGACACAATTTGTTCAGTTGGAAAGGTTAGGTGGCAAACTGGCAATGGATGAAGCTAGCAGACAAGCAACTGGCAAGCGCCGCGAGGGAATGTTCATGCCCGTCCTGTAGCAAACGTGTTCGCTCGTGCAACTGAAGGTAACAAGTTTAACCAGAGCACCAACGAATTCCAAATTCAGATGCCCCAAGTATGTCAGCAACACAACCCCCCTGTCAACAAATTAGCAGACAGCTCCCTTCTAACCACAGGAAAGCTCCACTGCAGTGTGTGTGTCAAAGCAACGTATCGCTCGCTCACCACCAGGTGCACTCAGTAGTCCGAACTCACAAAGGAATGGGCTCGCTCGAGCTAGCAACCAGAAGGGTAGCCGGACCTGCCCTTCTGGCTTCAGTAAAACGGTAAAACGAACGTACGGGCGCAGCGACACAGCGCCCCAAACCCATAACATAGCCTGAATGCTGCAACAGCTTTTCAGGCGGATGAATGGCCTTTGGATCCGGATGAGGCTTGAACTAACCCGAGTAACATGCGGTCAGCCAAGGCCTGCCATCTGCCATCTCTCCGACTCAATCCATGAATGAGCCCCCTCCGCACTGCAACCGGCAGCCAAATGAGCGGTCTCACGCAACAATGCTGACGCCATCACCCATGTCCCTCGCTGAAACGTCGAATAGTACTACGAAAAGGGCCCTAGGGGACCGCTTTTCACCCATGCCCTTGTGCTCTAGCAGGGCATCGGAAGAAACGTCTTCGAAGGACTTCGCCGTGACGCGCACGCCTTTCGCTCTGGCCCCCCCTCTGGCTACTGTCAGAAAATGATTGCCCAGCTGCTGTGCCCACGTCGTAGCCCGACACATCTGACACCACCCACGTGCATGATGCGAACGCCCTGCCGTACCGTATGCGCCGTACAGTGAAGCAAGTGTCAAAACAGACAGTCGAACAGGCGCACGCCGTACATGCCGTACACATGCTCATGGAGTGCGAGTGCATCATTTGTAGCGATCTACCGTACAACACGGTAGGAAACAGGAGTCCGAATCCTGCTGAAGTACAGTAAGTACAATATTAGCAGTAGTAACTGAACAACTCACCGCATGCACGCATGCACGCAAGCCCGCGTACGATCAACATACACATGATTCAACCCACCCGATGCGGTCCCATAACTAGTCGCAGAAGCTCTGTAACAAAGCAAGGTCAGGGCCACTCTTCACCCATGCCAGCATGAACAGGCCTCAGCCGTCGCTGCTGAGCCCCAGCAAACCCAACATCCTTTTTGCACCAACAAAGCAAACTAACCGCCAACACCCATTCCATCCTTCCCCCAACTCCTCCACACCGCCAAGCTCCAACCGCAACACCAACCCCCCAACTCCGCCCACACATGCTGCCGCCCTCCGCTGCGCCTGATACCGCCGCCCCCTCCTCACCACCCCTGGGCCCCATCAAGGCATTCCCCCACCACCAGCTGCTGCTGCTGCTGCTCCCGCAGCCGTGGCGTCCTGCTGCTGCTGCGGCTGCTCTGAGCCCGAGGCCGGACCGCACAAGTCGGCGATGAAGCTCTGTAGGTCGCTGTCAGCCAAGTAATCCTGCTCGTTTACCAGACAAGCCACATCCATCGCCTCATCCAGGCCGCGACCAGCAGCACCAACAGCACCAGCACCAGCCCCGGGAGCAGGCAGGGGGAGGGACAACGACGGCGCGGGACCCAATCCGTAGCCGCTAGAAAGGGAACCGCGGCTTACCTGAGCCCAGCCAGCCATCCCCACACCAGCAGCAGCACCGCCCATGGTTCCTCCGCCTAGAGGCAGGGGAACTGGACCCATGTTGCCGTACATCGGGCCGCCCAAGCCGCCGTACGGTTGCGGACTCATGTTGCCGTACGACGCCGCCGCCATAAAAGACGGGCCGGGGTGATGAAGCATGACCCGGCTGTCGGGCCCTCCCACGTAGACTGGACCCGGGAACGCAACACCGGAGGGGCCTGTGTTGCTGTTTCCAAACCCGAGGGCTGCAGCGTGGCTGTATCCGGGGTTAGGCGGCAGGTAGAGCCCCGGGGCCGCCTGGAAGTTGTTGTTGATAGTGATGGAGGGCTGCTGGGGCAGCCGGGTGAAGGGCGCTCGCGGCAGCTGCATACCCTGCAGCTGCTGCTGCTGCTGCAGTTGCGAAGAGGAGAATGAACGGCTTCGGCCGGGCGCGCTCGTGGCCTCTGACGACGCCAAAACCGCCCTGCGTTTCAGAGCCGCTTGAAGCATATCGTTCCCCATGTCGAGCCCCGCTGCCACCCTCACGCCGCAGCCAGGGCCAGTAGCACACGCCGGCGTCTGCTGCTGCGCGGGGGCCGGCTGGGATGGTGACTGCTCTTGCTGCTGCTGCGTTTCCTCGCACCTAAATGCCGCAGCACTCCGCTTACCGGCTTGGCAAGCGCCTCCTGACGACCCAGTCGACTGCAACGCCCGCAAGCCGCTGGTAGCAGCAGCACCACCACCAGCAGCAGCAGCAGCGGTGGAGGGACCACAGCCAAGGCCACCATCTCCGCCACGGCAACCAACAACAGGGCCTGGGGTGTTGCCGTTGCCGCCGCCGTTGAAGCGACCGTTAGCAGCGGCCGCAAGCACCGCTTGAGACACCGAAACACCCATCTGCTCCAGCTGCCGCAACCTAACAGCCGCAGCCTTGGTATCCGCAGCCGCTAGAGGAACGCTATGAGAGCGCTCCAGGGGAAGAGGCGCCTGCATGCCGGCTGCGCCAGCCAGCAAGCCGGCGCGCATGCCCGTGGTGCTGGGCGCATGGGAGGCTGCTGCTGCTGCTGCTAGGCCGCCTGCGGCTTGGAAGGCCGTGAGAGGCAGCCCGGTGGAGACTGGGCTCCGCAGCCCCGGCAGGAGCTCCCCGCTGCCTTCCAGCTGCCCATGCATGCGCTGTTGCTGGTGCTGCAGCAGCAGCGACCCCTGCGCTCCGCCGCTCAGCTGCCGGCCGCCCCGCAGCATCAGCAGCTCCTGCTGTAGGCTGCTGCCAGCTGCTGCTGCTGCGGATCCCATGAGCCCCGGCGCTCCCAGACCCCCTAGCTGTGCGGCTGGCAGGGCGGCGGCACCGGAGGAGGATGGGAAACCCAGCGCGACGCCGGGACCAGCTGTTGAGCAGCGCTTGGGCGGCAGGCCCAGCCTAGCTCGAATCGAGGCCTCGATGAGTTGAGAGCCGCAACCATTGCCGGCAGCAGCAGCAGCAGAAGAGGGGGCCCTGGTGCATGCACCTGGGTTTAGCGTGGCTGCTGCTGCTGAGGGGAAGCCGGTGCCACCGAGTGTTAATGGGTGTAGCTGCTGTTGCTGTTGCTGCTGAGGCCCTGACAGCTGCTGCGGCAGCTGCGCATGCAGCTGTGGCAACGGCTGCCTCCACTGCTGTTGTTGGTGCTGCTGGAAGCGGAGGAGGGGGTTCAGCTGTGCTGCCGGATGTGGCATCTGCGCCTGGAAGGACGAGGAGCGCAGCGGGGGCTGCTGCGGGGCTCGGAAGAACCCCGGCTGCGGCGCAGGCAGGTCATTCAGGGCTGTGGGAGGCGGGGTGCTGGTCTGACCTGAGCGCTCCTGCGCCTGAGATTCGCCGCTGCCACTGATAACAGGCGCTGCTGCTGCCGCCGCAGCTGCATTTGAGGATGGAGTGCATGCCTGTACGGCAGCGCCGGGCCGCCGTGAGAATGGCGGTAGCTCCCGAACCCCTGAGGAGGGCGGCTCCAGAGCTCCTCCAGTGCTGGCACCTCCATCTCCTCCTCCAGTGTCCTCCTCGCGCACCCTATCAGCTGCTGTGACAATCCCGGGGTTTGGCGCAGCGGCAGCAGTGGAAAGAGGCTCCAGCTGAGCATCTGCTGCGCCTTGCAGGGTTGGCCTCTCGCCGGGTTCCTGGCTGGCTACTTCTTCCTCCCCTGCTGGCAGCGGTGTACGCGCCTGCTGTGCTTGCTGCTGCGAAGCAGGGGCAGACTCATCCTGAAGGGGTACCTGCTGCCGTGCTGCTGTGCGCATCAGCCGCAGCGATCGGCTGCTGGTCCCCGCGTCGGAAGGGCAGAAAGCGGAAGGGGTTGGTTCCTGGGTTCCTGACGCGTTTGTGGTTGGGCTCCCACCAACGCTTGAGCTGCTCGGTATTATTACGTGGCAAGCTGCGAAGGCAGTGCTACAGCCACCATCAGTGCCAGCAGCAACAAAACGCTTCGTTAGAAGCGTTTGCTGCTGGCCCAAAGTTTCCTCGGGCTGCCGCTGGAGATAATCTAGGGAGATATGCGACTTTGGGAGGCACCGGGAGCGAGGTGCCTGCAGTCCTAGAACACCCACAACAGGGCTAGCACTGTCGTTTCCTGTATCGTCGTTCGGGCTACGCCTGCTGCTGCAACCTGTAGATGTTGTCTCCATCAGAGCATTTACTGGATTCCTTAACGCGATAAGGCTCGCAGCTTGCTGACAGTGGCCTCCAAGGACAACTGCGACGACAGGGCGCAAAATGTGGGTCGAGGAAAAATATCAAATGGTCTAAGCAACCACATAAGTTGCAGCAAGTTTAACAAGGATTATGTCGACATTTGAGAGGGCGTTCGGTCTGGCTTCCCGGGAAAGAAGGGTAAGCTCTTTCAAGCGTAACACAACTACCTGGCTGTAGATAATGACTGCCCGTTGCATGACACGGTGGCCAGTAACAATGACTAGAGGGACAGGCGCACATGGGCCAAGTCTATCGTCAAACGACTTGCTTACCTCAGAATCAAGGCGCTATCGCTATCCCCAGGCTGAGGTCATGCAGCAGTAATAAGAATTGTTACAGCCTCTTACTTGAGCGCCTAAGGTCACGCGTATGTAAAGGTGTGCAGTAGGTCTATCTTTCTTCAACTGGAGGCCCAAGCACTGTCCAAGCCGTAGAACTCAAGCCTGACGATACTTTAATTGAGTTTGCGCACTGTCGCGGTGCATTTCGGGAAGGAAACGAATCAATGCACTAACGAGCAATGACGGTACGGCGCTGCTTGGCCACCTGTCGCACGCTGAGGGCCCTGGCTTTACTGGTAACGCACGTCCACCAGTGTGAAGGTATTCCACTGGCCTGGCGGGTTCTGAAAGATGGCTGCGCTATGGGAACATACTAACCCGGCTGGCGAAGTCAACACGCCATTGTCCCAAGGTTCTACAATGCTGTTCGACGGGGTTATGGTGCAGCAGTTGAGCAAGCGCAGCGTAGCGTGGGGGCACCGCGGCTTAGGGCATTGGCGCTCTTAGCTACCATCCACCTCACAGGCCCATGATGGCGCCCCGCCGCTGTCGGTTGCCGCAGCTTCTGTCCGTCCATGCTAAGCTGGCGCTCCGACTATGTATTCGTGCCGCTGGGTTAAATTCTGTTGCCTGAGGAAACGGACTAGGCGAGACGCTCTGATTGCGTTAGTGCTGACGGGGCTGCCATGGGGTGGGGCGGAGTCTGGGGCTCTGGGCCCTGCTGAGCCCACCGGGTTGAGTAGGGCAGCATTGGGTGTTGCAAGGCAACGTGGATTGCCCCTTGGGGAGGCCAAACAAGGGACGAGGTATGCAGAAGTGCGGGAGGCGAAGAGAGCAACCAAGAGACAGGCCATGCAGCGAAGCCCTCCGTGCACTATGTCTGTGCCATCTTCGCCCAGTGGGTGGTGCTTTGAGGCCACGACCTCCTCTCCTGGCACCCACCCCTGATCCTCTCCTAGCACCCACCCTGCTCAGCCCGCTTACCGCGGGTCGATAGCCTCCTGCTAGGCGGTTGACCTCCGACCCCTAGCCGGCTAGCCTCCATCCGGCCGTGGATGCCACCCCTCCTACCCGCAGTGTTCCACCCTCCTGGTCCTATGATGCATTGTCACGAAGTCAGAGGGAATGCACAACACCATCCATGGCATCCAAGCCTATTCAATGTGCTGTCTGCTCCTGTCCCTATTCCTGGCATGAGCCATGCATGTGTTTTGTGTAACAGAAGTCAACGCAACTACTTAAGCGTGAAGTCAATATGGCAGTGGACAGCATCTGACGAATATAAGCTTACGTACGCCCATGGGTTCCAACGGGGACGCGCATGGAACCGGTTGGGAGGGGGTTGCGGACGGCGAAGAAGCAGGCAGTTGCACGGCTCACAGGGGGATGCCATGTCACTTGAGGGGAAATCCACCACGCCAGCCCTTAGGTGGTTGCAGCTGGGGGGCATTCTGCTCTTGCTGAAGCCGTAAAGTTCAGCCTCGATACACCGAGACGCTGCGAATAGGCCAATCCACTGTACAGTCCATACCACAGCCTGTAAAAGGCCCAACATCCTGGGAACCCAACCGCCAGCGTCTTGTCGTCGCGCCCGAAATCTGCTGCCGAACGAATACCGGTACTAGTTAAGAGGACCGAGTCTACTTGTTATCTGCTGTGCGTAGTTCGCTGCTTGTCTTATTGGCCGCCGGATCGTTCCGTACTGTACCATGACTAATGCCACAGCAAAGCATGGAGGTATGGTTCCATTAAGCAACGACACTTGCAGAAGCTATAGTGTTGTCCTCTTGCAAGCACAACACGGGACATTTAATTGTAGGAGCTGAGGCCCTCTTATTGAAAAAGAGACCGCCAAAGGCTTAAACATATTCTCTCAATAGACACGACAATATAAATATTTCATTGCTTGCTTCGTAAATATAAGCTTTAGGGACATTTGCCTGCAGGGCTGCAGCGGCTTCCAGCCTAATCCTTAGGATAGGTACTATTTCTCGCAGTCAGGTGCTAAGATTTGTCACTGAAAAGCAGGAGGCGTTGAATGGCTGCCGGCGCGACCTGGGCTCGGTACCAGGAACGCGTTCGGCAATGGGTCTCCGTCGCCGCATCACATACGGGTGTCTTTCTACATACCCTGTCATGCTTCTATGTGGTAAGCCAGCAGCGGCGTAGTTTACCTCGTCGTGCGTTACGGATTGGACGTGCGGCTCTTCCAATACCGTAACCGTTGTGAGAATGCCCATAGGCAGCCCGGACCCCGACCCCGACCTCGTGGCCCCGCCGCGTCCCCACACCCGCTTCGCCTCCTTCTTCCTACCTATATCCCTCCACTCCAAATCATACCTAACCCAGTCCCACCCGCCTCCTCTCCCACCTGTCTCCACTCCCTCCACCTCCATTTCCCTCCCCCGCAGGTGAGCCGCTACGGTGTGTTTGTGTCTAAGGTGACCGGCCCCTCCATGTTCCCCACCTTTGCCGGCCGGGGGGACTTCGTGATCGCGGAGGCCGTCACGCCCATGTGGGGGCAGCTGCATAAAGGTGGGTGGGTAACGAGGAACAAACCAACTAACCGCGTTACAACCCTGACAAGGCCCCGGCTGCACAAGGAAGAGTGGGCGGAGCGGGTGGGGGCAGGGCAAAATAAACGAGAAGTGAAGCAACGGGTTGGGACGGGTGCAGGGATGGTAGTCCAACTGAGCCGCGGGGAAGTACGACGTCCGTGACCGCCGGTCAAGGGGTGTTGGGCCGGCACGTCCGCATGGGCCCCAGCTGCGGAAGAAGGCTGTGTGGGCGGAGGGCTGGCGTGGCTGGGCTGGGCGGGGTAAAAGAGGAGGTGCCCTTTCAAGCCCGTAGCCTTAGAACCCTATTCGAGCCCTTTTCCCACGGCGTTTCCTTTCCTTTCCCCCTGGCTGGCAGGTGACGTGGTGATCTGCACCCGGCCGGTGGACCCCGCGGAGTCCATCATTAAGCGGGTGGTGGCGCTGGAGGTGGGCGGGGCGGGTGGTGGTGGCGGTGGTGGTGAGGGGGGAGCGTCATGGAGCTGGTGTGGAGCAGGATGTGCGTACAGCTGGCAGGGGGGCCAAAGAAGCCTCTATGCAGCCCTAGGGCAACATGTCACTCAACAGGCTCTGTCGGACGGCTTCGGTTGAGGCCCAGCGCGCGCGTCCCTCCCTTCCTCAATCTTGCCCCGCCCCTGCCCTCACCCTGCTTCAGGGAGAGGAGGTGGTGCTGTACCCGGATCGGGAGAGCAGCGAGGTGCGCCGAATCAAGGTGGGTAGCAGGGCCCTGCGTCGTACACACCGCGTTGTGACCTGCCGTACGAAATCCTTTAACTGTGCTGCGGTGTGCGGTACGGCATTCGCAGGTACCGCCTGGGCACGTTTGGATCCAGGGAGACAATTTGACTCACTCTTTGGACTCACGGCAGTACGGCGCGGTGCCGCTGGCACTGGTACGAGGCCGTGTTGTATTGCAGGTGCGTTGCTGGGCGCTTTAATATTGGTTATATTTTGATTGGGGCTTACGAGGGGCAGTCGGGCCTTTGCCGGGTGATGGTTACCGGGAGGGATAGCGGAGGATGTACACGTTTGGCTGTACCACTTATAGGTAACATTGGTGAACGCCATGAACGCCCTGCCATTTCCGCTGACAGGTCTGGCCTCGAGTAACCTGGGTGGAGAATTCGCTGGAGTCCGTAAAGCGCACCTGATACCCTGCGGGATGGACATTTGGGCAGTTAATGATTGTAGGACGGAAGGCAGGTGGATCGATTTATATTGCAGTGCACGCCTAGGCAGGAATGATAACTGTGATCTTCATGGAATTGGGGATATTGAGGAGGTGCTCGCTGCTGCTATCGTCGGGCGTATTGCAGGACGCTTCGGAAGCTTTCTTCCAGTTACTTGTAACAAAGTGACATACTTCCTTTTGAACCAGTACACAAACCAGGCATCTAGAACACAAGACTACCTTACAAACATTCGTTTCAGGGCTTGCAGGCTCTTGCAACACTCTTGCTTTGCTTCTAGCTAGCACATTAATATCTTAAATTCGCCGGCAGTAAACAATTAGTTTCATGACATATATAGCCTAGGAAATGGCTTAGCTCGTATTTTGGCAAGACGGGCCCAGCCTTGTTCGGTGCAGTTGGCTATGGACCCGCCAGGAGGTGGCTTCTTAAGGCCGGGTAGTAGATCCGATTCAGCGTTCGGTGTCAAGTTTGATCGCCCAGCCCAGCGCGGTGCACGTCGAAGCGACGACAAGTCCCATGCCGGTGCTGCCATCGACGGCAGCAAGCGCCGGCGCCTAGCAGCCGACCAGCGGGTTTCTCACCACAAGCCAGCCGATGTCAACGACAGCGATGGCAGTGACGACAGCGGCGGTCCAGGGCCTTCGGGGCGGCTGCCAGATGGCATACCCCGAGGGCCAGACCTACCGCCCATGAATCCCAAGTACCGCTACGGCGATCCATCCCTACCGGTCAGCAAATACAGGCGTCAAATCCTGTACCTCGTGGAAAACCATGCGACAACAATTATCTTGGGGGAAACAGGCAGCGGCAAATCCACGCAGCTGCCACAATTCTTGTTAGAAGCTGGCTGGGCCGAAGGCGGCTTCAGTATCGCAGTCACGCAGCCTCGCCGCGTGGCTGCCACCAGCGTCGCAGCCCGGGTGGCGGAGGAGCTAGGCTGCGACCTGGGTACGACAGTGGGCTATGCCGTACGGTTTGACAGCGCGTTGACCCCGGTAGGTGTGACGTGACTGTCCGCTGGGTTTGCCCCGGTAGGCTTGCCCCGGGTAAGGCTGGCCTGGATGGTGTGTTCAGTCAACTGAGCCGCGTGCCCGCGGGTGAGGTTGCCCGTGTGTGTGTTTGGGTGGGTGAAAAAGGTAACGAGACCTCGCCCGTCTTGATAACGAAACCCCGCCTGTCCCAATAACGGAACCCGCCTCTCTCAACAATAAGGCCCTCCCTGCTCCTTCCGCAGGGCCGCACCCGCATCAAGTACCTCACGGACGGAGTGCTCATCCGGGAGATGATGGACGACCCCCTGCTCACCTCGTACAGGTACGGCAGATCGGATGTCGTACAGGCACGACAGATCGTATGTCGTACAGGCACGACAGCTGCTGCTCGGTTGGTTGGTTGGCTGGTTGGTTGTCCTACCTCCCACACCCATGCATTCTCTCGCCGTCTTCTCGTGCTCCCCAATCCTTCGCCTCCTCGTGCCCCTCCCCCTCCCCTCCTCCGGTGTCCACGCGGCTCAACTTACCTAATCCCCTCCTCCCCTCCCCCTCCTCTCCCCGCCCACCCAGTGTCATCATGGTTGACGAGGCCCACGAGCGCAGTGTGGCCACCGACATGCTGCTGGGGCTGCTCAAGAAGGTGGGGGGCCGGGAGGGGGGCAGGGGGGGGGGGAAAGGAAGGGAGGGGACAGGAAGGGAGGCGAGGAGGGGAGGGGCGCTGCCTACCTGCGACCTGTATACCCCCGCTACCCTTTCTGCATGCAAGCCCCTACCGCTGCTGCTGCGCCATCCCTCCTCTCTTCCTCTGGTTTGCATTCTCTTTTAGCACATTGAAACACATTCCTTCCTTCCCCCCTCCCCATTTCTTATATAATTTTCCCCACCCGCCACTCAGGTCCAGCGGCGGCGCCCCGACCTGCGCCTCATCATCTCCTCCGCCACCCTGCAGGCGGAGCAGCTGAGGGAGTTCTTCCACGCGGGGAGCACCGCCGCCCCGGCAGCACCTGCACTGGCAGCAGCAGCAGCAGCAGCAGCAGGCGGTCAGCAGCCGCCCAGTCGTACTCCTGCCGTGCTGTCGGTGGAGGGGCGCAGCCACCCGGTGCAGGTGGGGGGGAGCAGGGGCTGGGAGGATAGGGGGCAGATTGGGGCAGAAGGGAAGAAGATAGCATGCCGGTTGCTGGAAAGAAACCAGGAACAGCTAGGTAGGTCAAGGGGCGACAGGGAGGCGGGGCGGAGTTGTGAGGGCAAAGCTGCTGTGCCCCGCACCCCTGCTGCTACCCTTCCCTGCCTCCCATCCCTTCCCTCTCATCCCTGGCCTCTCCTCTCTCTTCCCTGTTCCATCCTCCCTGTTCCCTCTTCCTCCTCCCCCCAGATCCACTACCTGGACGCCCCTGCACCCGACTACGTGCGCGGCGCGGTGGAGGCGGCGGTGGCCATTCACGCGGAGGACATGCCGGGCGACATCCTCATCTTCCTGACCGGCCAGGTGTGTGAAATGGAGGGAGTGCGGGAGTGTAGGGACCAGGGCGAAGGGAAAGGTTGTGTTTAGTTTAGCGGAAACAAGAGCAAGCAGGTTGTGTGAGCGGGAAAGGGCTGCCGTGCTGCCGTACTGCCGGGCTACTGCACCAGTTGCCCCGATGCTGCTGGACCCCCGACCCGAAACACAACACAACACGCTCGCTCGCACTGCGGCATGGAGCCCTGACCAGCCAAGTCCCCTTTCCATCCCAACCCCGCTCCCACCCCAACCACCCCAACCCCACCACCCGCACCCCCTGTCAGGAGGAGGTCCAGGAGGCGGTGTCGCTGCTGGAGGAGCACGCCAGGAGGCTGGGGGGTGGGGGCGGGGGACGAGGAGGGGGCGGCCTGAAGCTGCTGCCACTGCCGCTGTATGCAGGTGGGTGTTGGAGAGGGGGTGGCGCGGGTGGGTTTGTGTGGTGTGGGGTTTGGAGGGCTCGCAGCAGGTCTCCTTACACGGCCCGCGCTACATAGCCCGCGTTACATAGCCCGCGTTAGTGCTACGAGACACATACACACCGCTGGACAAGCAGGCCTGTCTGGCTGCTAAACTACCACAAGCCAGCTGCAAACATGTAACCCCATTCAACACCATCCCTCTCCCCTCCTGCCCCCATACTACCTTTGGCCCCCGCCCACCCCCGGGGCTGAGCGGGCTGGCTCACATGTCGCAAAACGTGATGTCGCCTTATCGCACGTCAGTTAGTTGTTTCCCCTGTTCGCCCACCCCCCTTGTCTGCCAGCCAATTTCAACACATTAGGTATTTCCCACCCTCCACCACAACCCCCGCCCAGGCCTGCCCGGCCCCCAGCAGGCCGCCGTGCTGCGCCCCGCCCCCCGCGGCTGCCGCAAGGTGGTGGCGGCCACCAATGTGGCGGAGACCTCGCTGACGCTGGAGGGTGAGCGGAAAGGGGGGGGGCTGAGGGGAGGGGGGCTGGAGGGAAGGCAAGGGTAAGGATACCGCTCACTTGCGCCTCCGCACCCCACCTATCACGTCCTGTCAGATCTTTTTAACATCTCATACCGAGCCAATACCGGTACGGCCCGCGCACCCCTCCCCCTCCCTCCCCCCCCCTCGCGCAGGCGTGGTGTATGTGGTGGACTGCTGCTACGTCAAGCTGCGCTGCTACAACCCGCTGACCGGGCTGGAGTCGCTGCTGCCGGCGCCGCTGTCGCAGGCGGGGGCGGCGCAGCGGGCGGGGCGGGCGGGGCGGGTGCGGGCGGGGCACTGCTTCCGGCTGTGCACGGAGGAGGACTGGGAGAAGCTGCTGCCGCCGGTAAGCAAGGGTGGGTGACTTGGTGTGGGTTTACGTGGTTTAAGTATAAACCGTAATAAACCGTAAGTATAAACCGTAATCCATGAGCTGGCGCGCCTAGCGACTGTGCTGAGATCGTACCCTGCCCCCCTCGTTGTTTCAATTTATATACTTGTTTTTGCCCCCCTCCCCTTCCTGTTCCCCCCAGGTGACAGTTCCCGAGGTGCAACGCAGCAACCTGACCAGCATGGTACTGCAGGTGGGGGGTGGGGTGGGGTGGGGGTGGTGGGGGGTAACACACTAGTTGTGTGGCATGGGTGGATGGGCGGGGCGGGGGATTAATTTGGAGACGTAATCCGCCTTAGGCTGGATTTTAGGGATAGCAATTAATTGTAGTTAGTAGCAATAATCAATAACAAACCGTATTGTAAGCTCCATGGCGGCTGCCAAGGTGATTTGAGATCACTCTGTATTGGCGAATAAAAGGCGGCTGCCACTGTGATAACCGGCGCCGCTGCGCTGCACCTGCTGTCTGTGCTGCAATGCTGTCGGCAGCATCACGTATGTAAGCTCCGCTGCTTAGCTGGGGCTGTCATGCGGCTGTGTGCACCAAAGCATCCCACCCTGCCCGACCCTCGCAATGACCCATGGGTCTAACAAAGCCCAGCCCACCCACTAGTGCGAACCCTGACTAACCTGCGTAGCAAGGGAAAAAGTGTGCAACGAAGACGTACCAAATTTCGTTAATAGTGAGCGAAAAGCGTCCAGAGACACAAGAAGGCGGCAAGAAGGCGGGGCGGGGGAGGGGAGGGGCCGGTGGGGCACCTGGCTGCCGCCTCTTTGCATCGCCTGGTGTGCGGTGACCTACGGCACCACTTACGGTAACCCACGCCCCGATTACCCCCCTCTCGATAAGCCCCCTGCCCCGGTAACTCCCCGCCCCCACCTCCGCCGCACAGCTCAAGGCCCTGGGTATCGGCAACGTGGCTCGCTTCGACTGGCTGTCCCCCCCGCCCGCGGAGGCGCTGGTTCGGGCGCTGGAGGAGCTGCATGCGCTGGGGGCGCTGGATGAGGAGGCGAGGTAGGGGGGGGGTGAGGAGGCGAGGTGGGGGGGGGTGAGGAGGCGAGGTAGGGGGGGTGAGGAGGCGAGGTGGGGGGGGTTTGAGAGGGGATGCAGACCGGACTGGGCTGGAATACTGGAACATTGGTAGGGAGGTAGGGAGGTGGGGAGGTAGGGAGGTAGGGAGGTGTGAAAGAGGAAGAACCTACTACCGTGTACGGTGACCAACGGCGGCCCAGGCAGGGGCTCCAGCCGGGAGTTGACCTCCCGTCTGCACCCCGCCAGCTGATGCACACCCGTCCATGAGGTGGGGACCCCGCCACGTGGTTGCTTCCCCCTCGTTAACCCCTCCATCCGCCTCCCCCGCCTCCTTCCCATCCCTCCCTCACCCTCCCCTCCTCCAGGCTCACTCGTGACGTGGGTCTGCCCCTCTCCAGCCTGCCCCTGGAGCCGGGTCTGGGCGCGGCGCTGCTTGCCTCGGTGCGGCTGGGCTGCTGCGAGGAGGTGCTGACGGTGGCGGCGATGATGGGCAGCGGAGGAGGAGGAGGAGGAGGGGGAGGGGGAGGGGGAGCGGGGAGTGTGTGGGTGAATGCGCAAGGTGAGGAGGGAAGGAGGAGGAGGTGGAGGAGGAGGTGCATAGCCGTATGGGGTGAAGGGGAAGGGGCCACCCAGCTCAGCAGATCCCCTTGGCTAGCCTGGGTTGGGCTGGGTGGGCTCGGCGGGTGATGGCTTGACACGTCATGATCAGCTTCACCCTCTACCCCTCTCTCCGCCCTTACCACACCCCTGGTGCGGCGCCACCTCTTCCCCCCTCCCCTCCCCTACCCTCATCAAGTCATCATACAGCTCGTTAGTTTCCCCTTTTCCACCCTCCGCTTCGAGCCTAATATGGAATCCCTACTACCGTAATCCCTATCCATTCACCTCCCGCAGGCTCCTCCCGCGCCCTGGAGGACGCCAAGTCGCGGTTCGCCTCCGCGGAGGGGGACGCCGTGACGCTGCTCAACGTTCACCGGGGCTGGCGGGGCAGTGGGCGGTCGGCGGCGTGGTGGGAGGGGTGGCGGGAGGGGGGAGGGGAAGGGGGGAGGGGAAGGGGGAGAGGTGTGGGGCTGTGGCGGGAGGGAGGGCGGGAGGGAGGGAGGTGGGGCTGGGTAGGGTGCACGCAGGTGGAGACACCCCTGTGGCGTGCATGCGTGGGGAAGTATAAGAAGTACGCTGTGACCGCAAAAACACACCATATGCATGCCTGCGTGCCTGCCCGGTCCGCCTGCTACTCCTTCCCTGCCTCTGCCTGCCTGCCTGGATTGGAATTCCAGTTCTTCACTGGAGCCACACTCCTGTTTTACCCCCCTCCCTCCCTCCTTCCCCGTAATTGGTAAGTTCGGTAAGTTTAGCTTGCAATGCTTCAGTCACCAGTTCGGCTCGACTCACGGTTTTTTCATCAGGACTTGTCAGCTTGTTTTACCACGTATCACACCACACATTGGAATTCCTTCTTTCCCTCCCTCCTGCAGGGCCCATCGGCACATGCTCAACCCCTCCGCGCTGTTCCGCGCCGACACCGCGCGAGACCAGCTGCTGGGTGCGCTGCGCAGGAGCGGGCTGCTGAGCGCCGACACGCCGCCACCCAGCTGTGAGGGAGACATGGAGGTGGGTGAAGAGGACCCTGAAGAGGAGGAGGAAAGCAGCTACCTTAACCGTGTGACATGAACACATGACGTAGGCTCCCACCATCAACTGCGTTGCACGGCTGGTGAGGGGGCCGAGTGGGTGCTGAGGCTGCTGCTGCTGCTGCTGCACTCAGGTTGCTGCTGCTGCACTCTCCCAGGTTGTTTGTCTCCCGTCTCCCTCTCCCGCTGTGACCTCCCTCCCGCCCGCCCTTCCTCCCTCACTCCCGATCAACCTGGCTTCATCCTTCTTCCTTCTACTTCCTTTCCCTTCCCTCCTTCCCTCCTTCCCTCCTTCCCTCCCTGCCCTTCCTCCCCCCTGCCCGCCTACCCCACCAGCGAGTGTGCCGCGCCCTGGCGAGCGGCCTGTTCCCGCACGCGGCGGTGTTCGAGGGCACGCAGCACAACCCGCTGGCGCCTGAGAGCGACCCGGGGGTGCACTGCTACCGACTGCTGAGGTACACGGCAGCCGGGCAGCGAGGTGGGTGAAGGGGAGCTGGCGGGAGGGAGGGACGGAAGGGTGGTAGCGGTTAGCGGTTGAGTTACCGGGGTTGATGACATGATGAATGTCCTGCAAGGGGCTGGACGGTCATGGGTTGGGTATGGCGTATGGGGCTTTGGGTGCACAACTTGCTTTCTTACTGCCCTTTCGTATTCCTATCCTCTGATAGACTGATACCACTCTGATCCGCTGCAACCCGCCCGCCTGCTGTCCCTCCTTGTCCAGCTCACCCGCTGAAGCTCCGAATCCATGCAAGCAGCGTGTTGTGCCGTAGCACTCCCTCATGCGTGGTGTTTGCAGCCGTGCAGCAGCAAGCGGGGGCAGGGAGGAGCAGTAGCAGCAGTAGCGGCGGAGGAGGATGGTTTGAGATGCAGGGGGTGACGGCGATCCGACCGGAGTGGTTACCGGAGATAGCGCCGCACATGTTCCATAAGCCTGACCGATTGGCGCGGTGAATGAGTCAGTCGGGGGAATGCGTGTTGGGAGGAGGAGGACGTGGGTGAAGGAGGAGTAGCATAGCAGGGAACGTGGTGAGGTGTTGAGGGCGCACAGGGTGCATTAGTGGATTGAAAGAGACAATTAAAGACAGGTTCGACGTTGGAAGAGGCTCTTAAAGCTGCCGGCCGCTGCTGAGCGCCTGCGGGCGAAGAGGGGCCACGCACCGCGCAGATGACCAAATAGCCGTATAGTTTCGGAGCAGCGGCAGCTGAACGCCGCGGCGGACTCGGAGATGTAATTCTTTGTGCAACATAGCTTAGGTTGTGCAATTGACGCCCTACGGCCCGGATCGCACGCATGCGGCAAAAAGCAAGCTATGCCAAGACAATGCTTCACCAGAATGTCACGAACTGGGCCTTTCTCCGGGTTTTCATGTATAATACAATAACTTGCAATTGGCGATAAAGCGGCTGGAAACAGCTAATCATGATGACGGTAATAGGCCCAACAGGGGCTGCAAGCCTTCCTCCCGGACTCCTTCTTCGACTGGAGCGGCGATGTGCTTGCGGAGCAGTTATTTGTCGCAACAGCAAACGCTGCACTGCAACCGGTGTTCAAGACCGGCGGTTGACCGCATGCAAGCATGGCTTCGGCGCCATGCTTGCACGCAGGTCTTCTCCTGCTTCGCCAGCATCTCTCCCAAAACATCTGGCTTCGTCGTCTAGCGGCACTGAATGGCGTGGAAGGACGCCAACGTCAAGTCGGCAATTACCTGGTGCCATGAATCCTCCATCCTTGCCGGCTAAACAGCAAAGGGCCCAGCAACAGGAACAGGAGCGGCAACAGCTGCAACGGAGGAATCAGAAGCAGGAGCCGGGTATGCAAAACACGTGGCGAACACCAGAGCGGCGAATGCAAAACACACGGCAATCACCGGAGCCGCGGATGCATAAAACAGGACAATCGCAGTTGCTTCAAACTCCGCCAGCTTCCAAGCACCAGCAGGAGCAGCAGCGGCAAGATCAACACCAAGACCAACGCTTGGCGCGTTCGCAGCCTCCCGCTGCACCCACTCAGGACTCCTTTCTGCCGCCCCAACCCCAACCGAAACAGCCGCCTCCGCAACCACTTCATCCCCAACCGCAACCGCAGCCTCACTCGCCTCACCAACCTCACCAACCTCCGCACCAGTCAGACACTCTGCAACCGCAGTTCCCCGAGTCCCAACCTCAACAACCCTACCAGCCACGCAAACCCATCCGCAGCCGGTGGCTTCCGCCGTACTTAGAGCACCCCTACGGCGGTACGACAGCAACCTCCTCGGCTCCTGCCGGCTCCTCCTGGAGATCTTTGAGAGCAGGGGTGGGGCTTGGCGGCGTTGGCGCCGCCACTAAGTACGGCAGTAGCAGTGTCGCTGCGGGGAAGAGCAGCGAAGAGGAGGAGGATGGGGACAGCTGTGGCGGGGGAGGAGAAGATGAGGACGGGGGCGATGAGTTAGAGGCCGGACTGGACTCCCTGCTTTGGACCTCCTGCGATGGAGCCCTGGGCGAGCTCGAACGCATATTCTTGGAGGGCCGAGCAGCAGCAACAACGGCGGCAGCAGCAACAACAGCTGTGGCAGCGACAGCAGCAATACGTGAAGAAGCACCCGAAGACTGTAAGCTGGAGAACCCTGGATCTGCATTCGCCGGCAGCGGCGTAGGTAGCGACTGGGTTGCAGCTGCAGTTGCAATGGGGCCCGGGAGCGGAGGAGCTGCGGCGCCGGGGGAGGTCTGGTCGCCGCAGCCGCAGCAGAAACAGCAGCAGCAGCAGGGGGCGCTGGGGAGTGCGGAAACGGGAGCTAAGGGCGCTAGGAAGGGTGCAACGGCGGTGGGCGCAGCTGGTGGTAATGACGACCACCTGCGGGATGACTTGGAGGTGCGCGAAGTGGGGTGTGCGGGTGTGTGTAGGGGTGCCGGGGAGAGGCCGGGAAGAGAGGAAAGGAGGGGTAAGCGGGTGAAAAGGGCGTGGGAAGGCACTGCTGCTGATGTGGGGTCATAATTGGGATCCCCTTACAAGCTATACCGGTACGCCTGCGGTTACCCTGTTGTTCCCGCTGGCCTGACTGCCCCCCTCACACAGTAGTGCTATATGGTACATCCCACTAAGGCCACCCTTCCCTTCCTCTCTCTTCTTCCTCCCTCCTCCCCACCCCTCCACGCCCCCAGGCCCTGCGCCGCCACGGCGGATACTTCCCCGCCAACAAGGCCCAGCTGCTCGCCCCCCTCCTCCGCCGCCGCCGGGCTCTGCACCCCGTCCTTCCCGCCCTGCTGCTGGGCATGGGCGCAGCCTACACCAACCCCACAGCGATACAGGCAGCAGCCAGTATAGGGCGCATGGCGGGGACTTATGACGGTGGCAGCATGGGGAGCGGAGCCAGCGGAGGAGGAGGAGGAGGAGGTAGGGGTGGCGGAGGCGTGGGGCCGTACCGGTACGGTGTGGGATCCAAGGGGCAGGTCGTGGATCTGGTACGACAGGCTCGAATGGCGGCGAGGACGGCGGTTCCTGGGCGGGTGAGGCGGCGTGCGCTGGCGGCGGCAGCTGAAGCAGCAGCGGCGGCGAGAGGTGGTGGTGTGGATGAGGACTGGGAGCAGGAGGAGGGTGAGAAGCGGGAAGGGGGTGGTAAGAAGGGCGGAAGGGATGGTCAGGCGGTGGTCCTGCGGGTGCGGGGTAATGAGGGCGGTGGTGGTGGGGAGTTGAGGGATGGGGATGAGGACGAGGTGGAGCTGGGGGAGGAGGAGGAGGAGGGGGGAGAGGGGTTGGGCGGGGAGGGTGAAGAGGAGGAGGATGCAGAGGGTGAGGGGGATGAGGAGGAGGATGAGTTTAATCTGCTGATGCAAGAGCGGGAGGAACTGGTGGCTGAGATGGAAGACTACGAGGAAGCGGGTGAGGAGGAGGAGGAGGAGGGAGACGGGGAAGGCATGGAGGATGGAGATATGGAAGAAGAGGAGGAGGAGGCTGAGGAGGAGCAGGGAGAGGGAGGGGAGGAGGAGGATGGCATGGAGGGTGGGAGCGAGCCGGGGCTTGAAGCGGCTTGGCGGTGGCTCGAAGAGGAGGGAGTGGAAGAGGGAGAGGAAGAACAGCTTATGGCGGCCGGCGGAAGTAACGAAGACGGCGGCGGCAGAGGCAGCGGCGACTATCACGCTACGGCGTCTGGGCCGCTGCGACGACGAGAACGTCATCCGCATGTCGGCCCCCAGGTTGGCGGCGGCAGCAGATCCACCACCGCAGCCGCGGCCGCAGCTACTGAGAGTTTTCGCCGTAGTGAGGCACCGCATGACGCCGCATTTGGAAGGCCACGGAGAACCGCGGAGGGAAAGAGCAGCGAAAACGTGCATGACGTGCACGATAAGGACGACAAGGGTGGTGGCGGTGTCGTACAATACATCATGTACGACGACGATATGTACGAGGATCTAGAGGGTGATGATGATGATTACGACGGCAACGTGGATGATTTGCTGGAGGAGCTTCTGACGTCAGCAAGCGGCGGGGGCGGAGGCGGTGTTGGGGGTGATTACGGCGGCAGCAGCAACAGCAGCAGCGGCGGCAAGAGCAGCAGCAGTGGTGTCCACAACGGTGATGCATGCCACGTCAGCGGCGTGGCTGCTGTGACGGTAGCGGCGATGCCGGCGACACCAGACGCACGCGTCTTTGCTGCTGACAATGCCAATAGCAAGCAGCAGCAGCAGCAGCCACAACCTCGACAGCAGCAGCAGGCAACGGCGATGGTCGACGCAGCTGCCCGGGACGTGGGGGCTGCGACAGGCGGAACGCCGGCGGCAGCGGCGGTGGAGCGCAGGGGGCGGCATGCTTCTGCCTCCGCAGCTGGGCGGGCTGCACCCAAGCCGGCGACGTTAGGGGACCCGCGGCAGCAGGACAGCGGCGGCCCCGGGAGGGATGCGAGCAGGCATGGAGGAGGTAGGGACGGGCGGGGTCCAGGTCAACCTCATCCCGAACCAATGGGAAGCAATAACAGCGGGAGTAAAAGCAGTAACAGGAGCGTTAACAGCAAGCCAAAAGTGGAAAAGCAGCCGTCGACGCCGCACCACAGCAAGCGCCAGCCTCAACCACCGCAACTGTCATCGATGCGGCGAAGCGGAGCAGGAGGATACGTGGGAGGCCCGCCTGACGGTTGGCAACAGTACGGCGGCTCAACCCCTCCGTCGCCGCAGCAGCAACAGCAGCAGAAAGCTGCAGCGGCGCCGAAGGCGACGCCAGCCAATGCCACCCCCGCCAGTGCTAAACCTCGTAGCCGTGGCGGCGACGGCGGCGCCGTACAGTCGGCGTCTCCGTCTCCATTCCCGTCCTCCGCCGGCGGCAGCGGCAGCGTCCATGGCATCGGTAGCAGAAGCGGAAGCGGAGGCGGCATTTCAGCTACGCCGCCGGTGTTGCTACGCGCGTTCCTGTACTGCATGGGCCGTAACGAACTGTACGACGCGCTGTGGCGGTTGGACTACATGGATCGGTTGGAGTTCGTTAGTCGGTTGGGGGAAGCGGACATCGTGCTGCACAGGTGAGGGAGGAAGCGCTGGAGGGAGTAGATTTAGGTTTTAGGCTTAGGTAGCGAGGTAGACAGCACTACCTCCTCTTGCCTTGGCACGTACCACGCACGTTTCCTAGGGTGCCTCTCTAGTACACTCTATCTCATTCAATAGCATGCCTTATGTGCATGCCTCTTGGCCCCTTACCGCGTTTCGTTTGCATTACTCCTTGCTACGCCTCCATCCCTCCTTCTTACTTTTGCCTGTTACCGACCCTCAGGGCCCCAGCTCCCGGAGAGGAGCAGTTCGCCCTGCAAAAGCTGGTCAAGGGCGCTCGAGCCGCGCGCATTCCGTTCGTAACGGTACGACAGGTTTCGGAGCAGGAGCTTGGTCCCGCTCTGGAGCGGGTGTTCAGGTAGGTTGTACGGCAATACCGTTACGACAATGGCTTACGGCCCGTGCTGATCCTGTGCACATTGGGGCGGTGGCTTTGGATACCTGTATTGGAACTGCTGCGACGGTCTGCACGCATGGGGTATACGGGTGCAACCGCGTGCTGTGTGCTGGATTCAACTGGCTTCCACTTTTACCGGTAGTGTAAACCCTGATGTACGGTATTGCTGATCCTTTTGGTACTCTCAGAATACAACAGCATGTCCATTAAGCGGCCAGCTGACAGCCTCCTTCAAACAAGTGGATCGCATGCCCCCACGCGTGCAGGCGCTTCGAAGCCATGTACGAACAGGTGCTTTCGGAGCCATCAGCAGGTGGTGTTGCCGGGGCGGCTGCGGGGGCGCGGAAGGCACGCGGGTCGTAGACAGATGACGTGTCTGGCCTCTGGGATGCGCTTCCAGTTCAGGCCATAAGGCCCTGCATGTAACAAGGGCAAGTGCGGGACTGAGGCATGTGTGGGGCATGCGTGCATACATCGCAGTGCAGGTGGTTGAGCAGTTGATGAGGAGCTGACGGGGAATGTGTTTGCGGACCCAGGAGCGTTTCTATTCTAGCGGTGCGGCACTGGTACGGCGTTGATGCAGCATTCGTGCGGAATGGGTGCTGCACTGATGCGGCATTGGTGGGGGATTGGTGCGGGGGAACGGATAGTGGACTGCGGGCCGTATAGAACATAGTTGAATCTCTACCGGTATGGTCACTACCGGAACATGATTTCCGCGTTTAGGAAACAATTTGTTAGCATCCGCAAGCGATTGGTCGTGAGACAGTCACGGGTTCGTCCACGGTGGGCCATTATACGACAACTGGTCTGACTTCGTGTGACATAACGGCACGTACGGCCCTACAAAGTCCGCAAATGGCTGAACTTCAAAGGGACATGCCCCACGTGAGCTGTTCTCCAACTTCTCACCTCCTTCTCATCCTCCTCCTCCAACCACCAGCCGTCAGGAAGTCAATTAATGCGCACGCCTGCTTGCCACAAGGTGCCAACAACCCCACCCTGGCTTTGTTCTGACTCTGCCCGCTACCCCTCAGCCCTCCTCGCAGTCGCTTCACAGTACCATCCAAGCGCAATCTATAACAAGCACCCTACCAACCAAAAACGCAACGCGCCCAGGGGCGCGCATGCCTAATATTAAAGAGAGGCACCTCATAACAGGCAGCCATCCCTTCCCCAGCAGGGATACCAAACAGCCCGCCATCATCACACATCCTCAGCTCTCTTTCACTCGCTGCACACCGCTCTCTGCACTCCTCTTCCCCTCATTCCGGTCTTGTCAGCGTTTGCTTTCCTCGTTCATTCCCACTCCAGGTGCTTCACTGCCCTGCAGCGGCCCCCTCGGCAGCCCCGACGGCGGTGGTCGCCGGCGGCGGTGCTGTTGGTGCAGGCGGCGGCGGTCCGTACATCTGCTCATGCAGCCGCTGCAGATACTCCGGAGGCAATGCGGTGTACTTGATGCTGCACGTGCGTAGGGCGTTGAATGGTAAATTGGTAACCGGACGCCGCAGCCAGGTCAGCAGCAACAGCAGCAGCCGTAGCAGAGCGGAGGTGAATGCAGGGGAAAGATTGGCAAACCGGTTGTCAAGGGGCGCAGTTGGCCGGTGAACCTGTGCCCTCACTGCCTCGTGTCCGCGCAACCCAACTGATGGCTTTCATGGCCCCTTACCGGCAGTCCACTCACCCTGGATTGCACCGCCACGATTGAACCCTAGTACATCCACCCGCACAGAGCGCACGTGCCCTGCCTGCTGTCCCTCCACCGCACATGCCCGTCACCCCACCCGCGCACCCATCGCCCCGTCCCCAAACCTACCGTTGAAGCGAGCTGAACTGGTGACTCAGGATGCGGTCCAGCTTGTTCCAACGAGCTCGATCCGCATCCGTCAAGTGTCGTCGTACCGGTACTCCGCCGCCGCCAACACCGGTGAGCCCCGTCTCAACTGCCGCCGCCGCCATGACTTCCGGCAGCGGCGCAGCTAGCGGCGCTCGAAGCGTCCCCAACGACGGCGACTCGAGATCCACCGTCGCCGCGTACGGGTGATGCGGCCCAGTGTACGACAGGGAAGCAGCCGCCGCCGCCGCCGGTGCTGCTACTGCTGCGGACGGCGGTGAAACCGAAGGTATGGTGCCCTGTCCCTGCCCTCTCCCTTGCACCTCCTCTGCTCTCGGTTGCTGTCCTGGTTGTTGTTGCTGCTTCCCTTGTTGCTGCTGCAGCTGTTGCGTTGCTAACCCCTGCTGCTGCTGCTGCTCCTCACGTGCAGCTTGCCGCGCGAGCTGCTTGGCCTGCCGTGTGAGGGGCTCCAGGTCTGCTTGCAGCCGCGCGAAGCCCTGCTGCAGCGCGAAGGTGCAGCGCTGCAGACGAGCATGCGTCACCTGGTGCGCAGAGGGAGCCTGGGGAGGAGGAAGGGAGGAAAGGAGGGAGAGGGGGTAGTGGGAAGGGGTTCGTGGAAGAGGGGGGAGAGGACTCCGGTGCGGGACGCAGAGAGGTTCCAACCTGCATGATCTTGTTGTTTGCGATGTAGTAGTACGCCAGCACGATGGGCCGCTCCAGCGGGTTCGGGCTGCTGCGAAGCTGTGGGATACAGGAAGTAAGGAGAAGAGATGCTAGAAGGATGGGTTTGACTTCCCGTAGAAGGACACGAGAGCGAGGAGCTTTGCCCTAGGCATACTGTGCAAACCGGCCATCCATTTAGGTGCCTCAGCCAACAGTTATCGCCCTTACCTGCTTACGTATGACGAACGCATGTGGTTCTTGTGATATTTCTATTATGAACTCTGGTCGACCATGAGGCATGCTCCTGTATTCCATGGCAAGCCATCGCGCGAATGTTACTACTCGGCTGCCACGGTAGGCAATGCGGTGCGATAAGCTAGACGATATAAGCTTGAGAGCTTACTCTAATACACCAGGCACCGCTGGATCTAGCCCGGCCAGCCGGGCTTCCGTGTTGTTAATTGTAATTGGCTGTCCATTCGCGTCACGCCCAGCCGCTGCGAAAAAGGACGATTGTTCAAAGTAGGCAAGCGCCTTGTAGCGATCTAATGGAAACCAGGATGCGCAAGCTGGAATGAATTCTTGCAACCCCGTCTGGTCTATTTGGTCCATGTGACTAGTTGGGTTCGATATGTACAGCTACAATACTAGTACTAAACATACCGGTATATTAGAGTATTCAATTAATGCGAATGCGCCCCAACCGTTCAGCGCTGGGATGTACGGCATACACAGCATACCGACCCCGCCTTGCGAAGGCAACACCCAGTCATCAGGTGTGCTATGCAAGTGGAGGGAAAGGCTTTTTCTGTCACAGTCATCGAAGCCAGACCCAAGGAAACGGTAGGACGTTGCCACAGGCTGCCCCCGGCTGCCTTCCCTCATAACCATAGCATTTAAACCACGAGGCAAAACCTGGTGCATCCAGTCAATGGATGTATGCAGACGGGTGCTACTGCTTGCCTAGACACTGCACCCACAACCCTCTCATGCGGGGGCATGCGCAACCTCATGACGTCATGACGGCACTCATGGATGCTGTCTGCTATATGGCAGTTGCTGCAACCCAAGCCAAGCAATTCATACAGTTCATAGCATACACGGCGCTCCATTTTATTGCTGGGTGCCTGCGCGATGCGACAGTCGGCATGCAGCTGGCACCCAGGCTGCGGAGGGCTTCAATACACAAATTCCCTTTTACTGCTAACGCTAGCTTCACTATCTCCTAAAGCAAGATATTCCATCGTTGGACGGCTGGATGCTTCCATAGGTGCCCGACAAACGGGACGAGCAGGAATTACGTACCGTTGGTTGGTTGCCGATCCGAGGAGTTTCGCAGTGGGGCAGTTGAGGTCGTATTTTTGTCGAACCCAGTCGGACAAGCAGGCGAACGGTAGCTTTTCCTCAACCTCCAATCCACAGGGCTGCGTGATTTGCATAAAGGAAAGAATGCATTTGCATTATATTAGTATGATATCACACTTTCATTAGATTTACAGGCCTTGAAGCGGTGTCGACGGGTGATACACGCCGGTATCTCTTCCGTCGCTTAAATTCACGCCGAAAGCCAACCATTGCCAGTGCCCTATGCCAGTATCAGCTGCTTCGCTGCAGCCACAACCATTAATCTAGCATTTTCTCCTTTGCCTGTCTTTGCGTGTAAAGGTGCGTAAGAACCGCATCGCCTGCCATCAAGCCCAGACGCCAGACGCACGTCCGTAGCCGCCATTCACCGCTTGTGCCCTACCCTACGCCTCCGCGGCCTCCGCCGTTGCCAATTCAGGAACCACGCTCTCGACCCCTCTACTCTTCCTTTCACACTGCAGACCATGAGGCGCGCCAGTAGATTAGTGGGCCACACACGCAGCAGCGCCTGTTTAGGCTACCTCCGCCGCCACTGCAGCCGCGCTTGGCGCCTGAACGCTGGAGCAATCGCACTTGTCGCCATCGCCCTCCTTGCCTCATGCCTCTTCGTTCTGCCTCCAGCTGCGCGGGCCCAGTCCTTAACAAATGACACCTCCGGCCGGCCCATCTCCTCCCCTCCATCACCTGCGCCAAACCCCACCCCCAGCCCTGCGTCCTCTCCTGCAACCAGCCCCGCACCCAGCCCTGCACCAAGCCTTCCGCCACCCCCTGCGGAAGCCATCTCGAACCCTAACTCTAGCTCCAACGTGACATCTGCCCCGCCGTCGCAACCAACACCGCCACCGGCGCCGGCGCCTGCCCCCGCGCCGCCAGCTGCCGCCGCCAACGTGTCGTTCGGCGGTCTCCCGGCGCCCCCACCCGGCTGGATGCGGGCTAGGGCATCCTGGTAATTGAATTGGTGCTTATGACCCATGGGTCGGTGCAGTGGCGACAGGATTGGTTTTGGTATGAGCAGGCTAGCAAGTACTACATGCAAGCTTCCATAGTACATGCAGCACTGGGGTTTGTTGATACGTCAACATGGGCCATTAACAACCCAACCTGCTGTTGCAGAGCTTACAACCGATGTTCCCCAAACAACGCGTGTCAGGTACGGCACTCCGAAGCCATTCGTGGACACCTTCGCACCCTCGCGTGGTGGTGGGGAGGCAGCGTTCGGAATCCTGGAGTGGGGCGGGTGAGCGGGTTGGTGGGCTGCCTTCTGGGGTAATTGGACGGCTTGTACGAGCTGTGGACCCTGTGCTGCCGTACCGTTAGTGGCGGGCATCGCTTCTAGGGGAGATCTCACTTACCCTTACCTGATGGCCCATAAGTTGACATTTACTTATGCTCACGTGAAGTCATTCGCCACCGATATTGTGAATGAAACCTAGGTGAGCACCATTCCGGTAACTAACCACCCCCGGTGCAGGTGCGGATACACCAACTCAGACGGTTCTCTGGTGTGGGACAAAACCCAAGTTGCCTCGTACGCCGATGCCAACCCCGACTTCCCCGGTAAGTACGGTACCTGGCAAGGAACGTCTAACCTTGTTTAGTAGTAGTCCTTGACTAACTACGGGACTCCATTGGGAGCGCTTTCAACACTTATGCGTAGAAGTACAGGTACTTCCGCCCCCCAGACGCATATTGCTGGGCACATACATACAGCAGCTCGCATGCACCGGTGGTTGGCCCCTATGTCCTAATCAGGAAGCTGCGGCCGGTGCTATGAGGTCAAGTGCGTAAACGGAGCGGTCCTGGGGCGCAACGACGTCCCTGTGCCGTACGAAGATTGGTTCTACTATCCCCGGTACGTGTGCGCTAATGGCTTTGGCAATATAAATGCCCCACATTCAAATAGGCAGCTGGCTGCTGGAAACCCAACAATGTAATAAGCCGGGCCCCATTCCGAAAAAGATTTAATGCCGCCAATGACGCTTGCTACAGCTTCTTCTGCAGCGTAAATTCAGCGACCTTTGTTGCCACAACCCCTACCCCTACCTCCGACATACGATTATAATTCCTCCTCGCAGGTACGGCAGCGCTGTCGACACCATGGGTCGGTCCTTCCCCGGTAACCCCTCTGAGAAGGACGGTTATGTGTACGTCAAGTGCTGGGACCCCAACAAGGCCGTACGAGTGCACGTCATCGACATCTGCCCCTGCTGGTACGAGCCCAAGGGTCAGCAGCCGTACGAACAGGTACGGGATATGCCGTATATAGCAACAGGGACGCTTGGGCTTTTGCATCTTAAGTTCTAGGCACCAATGATTAGCGTTAGGGGGCTTTACGGTCGCTTCAGCTGTTGTATATGCAGAAGCTGGTGCTCCGTTTGGTGCTGACACGGCCTTGTTTGAACCACTCTTCCTTCAATACGGTGGCATGCAACCAACGCCACTTCTCTTGTCCGCACGCAGCCATCATGTTGCTATAAGAACTCTACAAACTCACGATCGGGGCAGCGTGAGATGGACCTCTCCTTCTGGGTGTACGAGCAGGTACGACACGCATCTCGAACAGCGGGCTGGCTGTTGCAAAGGAACTACCATGTGCACGCAGCAACTAATTCCTGTACTAATTCCTGTAAGATGTGCTGTACGATAACTGCGGCTTCACGGCTTTCACTACTGTGGGATGTGCAGAGTTAGAATGAGCAGTGTCGTATAGATCGCTCGGTAGCCCTGTGTTCGCCCAGCATTACTGGCCAAGCTCCAACTCCCAGTTTCCCACCTACTCCTCCTACTCCGCCTCCCCTTATTATCATCCCGCCGCCACCCCCGCCACCACTACCATCACTACCACCACCGCCTCCGCTGCTCAGCTGGCTCACCCCATGTACCCTGAAATGATGCTCGACATCCGGTACGGGTTCCAGGGTGGCGTGTACGGCACACAAGGGCTGCTGCTGTACAGATCAGCAGTACAGGCTAGATCAGCAGTACAAGTAACTCCCTGTCGCTGAACCTACCTCAGCTGCCTGTCACAACCTTCTGCTATGCATCGTAAGCTCTCCAGCTCACCGGCAGTGAACTAAGTTGCCGTTCTATTGGTCCTCCTTACTTTCTTCCCGCCCACAGCCCCGTGGACTGCTCCTCGGGCTCGAGCCTGCCGCTGGAGCCGGGCTACATCAACCGGGATGTGCTGTACGACAATATGGTCACCACCGGCTGGTCCTGGTTTCCGTACTTGACGCCCACCCACAACTTCCAGATTAACGCTGCAGGCCAGGGGCTGCAGGGCTCCGCAGCGGCCTGTGCCGAGGTAGCGCCCGGTGCGTGGGAGCGACCGGCTGCACTGCTGGCTGGGGTGCACGGGAAGACGAGGCAAATGGCATGCCGAGGTGGATGACAGGACCACGTACTGGGGGCACGTAGACTCTGTAGTTGGCACATTCGCCCCATTATGCTTTGCACAACTCTAGACTCAGCCGTCTTACTTGGTTGCCTAGAAGCTTACCATTACAAGCAACCTCCATGCGCATTGCATGCATGCGCGTCGCTTGGTTGCATCCTTGCTTGTTCTGTCCTCAGGTGGAGGTATGACCTGGTGGTGCCGAGGCTGCTACCGGCCCGGCTACCAGCCCTTCTCAGGCGCTACATCCATCAGCTTCTGGATCCGGAACCGCTACTTCCCTGGAACACCGCCGACTCTCAAGGTGCGACAGCAACGGTGTACGAGGGTCAGAGCGCTAAGCAGGTTTAGCGCTGCATTGCAGAGCTTAATATTGCTCGCATGGCAGGGCTTAGACAGCAAGCGGTGATGCACAAGTGGTGATTTCTATCTGGTTTTGGGGAATAGACCCGGCTTGGTGAATGCAATCTGGACGTGATGTCACGTGCAGCTAGTTAAGCATACCGTGATACCCTGTCGGCTTCCGTGTGTTAAAAATAACTGGCCGCAACTGGTGTGTGTTTGTTTGTGTGCAGTTGGTGGTAGCGCAGCAAGAGAACGACTTCTACTGTCCCGGGGAGGTGAGCCTGTGGGAGGGCATCGTGGGCTGCTTGGGGAACCCGGTGCAATGATGGGTTAATACCTGCTCATATCTGAACCAATGTCGCCCCCTGTTGCCCCCACGACCTGCCTGAGGTCGTCACATGCTGTGCACCGCGCATGAAGTGGCCTCTAGTCATGAAGGGCAGAGGTTGCCTTGGCTGTGCTGTAAGATGCGAACCCGGAGGCCGAGCCCTTTGCGACCGCCCGGCTTGCTATCTTGCATCAGGCCTACCTTACCTCCATTGGGCCGAGCGCTTCGGGCGCTGACGGTTGGCTTCAGGTAAGGATTCTCGGGCCTTACTCCCATTATGTTTCGGCTATCTAGGATTGGTTTCGCTTCTATTGGAACTGGGACAGGCAGACATACCGTGTACCCATGCATCAAACTTTTAAGTACTGGACAATGCCCCGTTTTACATGGAACACATACGTCCATCCATGTCTATCGTACCCATAACTTTTAGCCCAACGTATGTGGTGACGTTCCAGTGGACTCTGCCTTTCGACTCTACCTTCGGCTGTGGCGACCGAGCCTCTATCATGGACAAGCTGGGCTTCCAGTGAGTGGTGACCCATGGGTCGGGACATGCCTACCGGCACTTGGGGTTCTTGCCCTTTATTCTTATGCCGCGATGACACGAGATACGATGCGATGAATGAAAATGTGATACCGAGTGCTCTTCAAGGTGATCGCCTTATCTGCCGACACGCAGATACCGGTAAACCCTTGCCGTACTTCATTGCCGTGCAGGAATGTCGGGCCAGGCACCATCTCGTTCTGTGTTGACGAGGTCCGCGTCTCTCACGGCGGATCTCAGCAGCTGTCTGCGACCGCTAAGTAGTCATGAGTGGCTAGCGTGACAGCGAACTGGAGGAGACAGGGAGATCATCACTAAACAGGTTGCCGAAGTCAAGAGGCCAGCGTACGCAGATCTGTCGGTGTTCACAAGCAGGGCAGCAGGCTGCGTTGTCATACAGTAGAAGCTAGTACCGCGAAACGTCATCCTCTCCTTCTTCCTGTTTGCTAGACAGTTCTTCAGCTTGCTTCACGAACCTCCTATGAGTAGAAACCGAGTAGCATGTTTTTATCTTGAGCCGATGAGGCCCTCTTCCATCATCCTTACGTTCTGGCGAAGTAGGGTAGGCTACTGGCTTTGCTAACGGGCATTGTTATTTCCTTCGAGCTCATTTTAGGCTATCTCTCTCTCTTCATTATTAACATTGTTTGTTCTTTCGCTGGTACGGACACGACCAGGCTAAGATTCCTGGGCAAGTCTGACACGCACCCTACGGCGTCCGGTTGCCCTATTAAGCATCCTCACTTGCTTGCATGTCCCACATGCGGCCCTCGTCATGTTTGAGCGCTGCGAGCAAGCATAATTGCTTATTTCGTATTACAAACACATGCTTAGTTCTTTGCGTAGCACCAATGTGTGTTACCTAATTTTTGGCTTACATAAGCAATCCAAACTGGGGAAATCCAACTGCCACGCCTTAATGGTTGTAGTACCCTGTAACAATCAATCTGAAATGGTATGCCAAAACCACACCAACATCTGTGCACCGTCGAACAGGAACGAGTACGACATATTGTACATTACCAAGCACCGTGCTGCACGCACTCTTCAACTATCCTCAGATAGAAAACAATGCAATCGCAAAATCTACCGAAATATTGCTCCGAGCGCCTGCATAGCATTTACCAAAGAATGTTTATCCCGGGAAAAGCAAGGCCACATGAAGTAAATTTAAGATCCTGGACTAACCCTTGCATAGCCCTGCTGCACACGAAACATACCAGTTGGCGTATAATAACGGTTTCATTCAGCATTTCCGTTCTCGCAAAGCTTCCCCTATGCGGGGATGACTAAGAACCTAGTTTAGCGCAGGATGCCAATTATCGCCATCCGATTTAAGTTGGCCACACCATTTCCTCGTACACGCACTGCACCATGCTACCCGTTCACGATGCAACAGCGCGCACCTTGCATCACTGCAGCCCCATGCATGCTCTCAGTGCGCTAGCTCAGGCCTATTCAGCAAGCTGTTTCGATAATAAGGCTCTTGGTTTCACACCTACCACCAATATCCTCCAAATGTTCACATGAAGCCCCACCTGTCCCTCATCAGCCCCGCCATTACTGTACCCTTGCCGAATCAGGCAGCCCCTCAACCCCCGCCGTCGCAGCTGCGCCTGGCGCCCAACTGCAAACCCATACGTCTGCCTTCCGTAACTCCGGCAGTGCCTCCGTAACACTCGCCTTCGTACTGCTCCGCGTCCAGCCCCTCGTTAGCGCAACTCCCTCTTCCTCTGAATCCGCTACAGCGCTCACTGCCACCGCCGCCGCTGCCGCCGCAAGCGCGTCCGTATCACAGTGCATCTTGGCCGCAGCGGCAGCCCGCTTGCGGCTGTCTGCTGCCGGCTGCGGCAACAGCCTCAGCTGCTGCGCACCAGGGTTGCCAGCCGCTGCCGCCTTCTGCACCTGCTTAGCAACACCCCATGAGCACAACACCTGTCCCATGAGTGCGCTTCTGCAGAGCTTGGTGAGACGGCTGTACGGCTTTCCTCCGTGTTGGTTGCGGTACAAGCTCTCCGCATTGATGCTGCCGTCTTGGAGGAAGGAACCCTCAACTGCGGCGCAACGAATGCGGAGCCCACGTAAAACCAATAGCGGTGCTGTGGGCGAGCGCAGTGGCGCTGCCGCAGCCCGTTCGGGACACGGTTGAGGAGGCTGAGGCTCCGCTGGAGGAGGATGCTGCTGCTTGTGCTGAAGCCATCCGGGTGACCCGTGGGTCACCTTGGTAAAGAATGATCGCAAACGACTTGGTTCGCCAGTGGCTTCTGCGTGGCCGTCATAGGGGCACTCCCGGCTGCTCGCCATTGTCATGGAGGGACGCCGTCGGGTGTCCTTGACGTGTTTGTCCAGCAGGGAGGGGGCGCCTTCAGCCATATTGTGCGCCGCACAAGGTGTACTGCAGGCGCCTGAGATGTTCTTTGCAGCAGCCTCTCGTTCAAAACTGGATAGCTGCCGACCATGTTGCGGCATTTCTGGGCCGCTTTGTACATGTTTCGGGAACGCGGCCTGGATAGCTCTCTGCTGCGGTCCTAGGCCTAGACCCGGCATACGAGCAAGGTACGGCGCATTGCTACCCGCCTTATCGGGACGCGTGTTGCCTGTCTCAGCAGCCACATTGCTTCTGATAATGCTGCCGCCGCTGGCGGCCGGGGCTTTCCGAGGGCTGTAGAGCGGCAGGGTCATATTTCCGTCGCAATAGGGCTGCGGTATTAACGCAGCAGCTGAGGCGCTGTCCTCCGTCGCTCCACCAACCGTCGCCGTAGCGCATCCTTCGCTGCTCACAAGCGCGCCTAGATCAGCGATCTGGTGCATCGACAAGCTGAGCCCGCTGGAGCTCGAGGGCCTGCCGGCGCACTCCTGCCGCCCGCACGGGTACAGCTGGGACTCATGGGGCGGTAGTGCGGCAGGCGCCGGCGCTGGGGATGGGAAGGTGACTGCGTAAGAGGACATGGTGTAGTATGTCGGCGCGGGGTGTCTTGCTGCGGCTGCAACCGCTGCATCTGGCTCCTGTTCAGCAGCGTCCGGGAGCGGGTTGCGTTCTTGGTGGGAAAGCGGGTGTGGCTCTGCGATTTCGGAGGTGTTGGTAAGGGTTATTGTTGCTTCCGGCAGTGGTGGTTGTGGTGGAGTTGTCCGAATGACCCATGGGTCATAATGAAGGTGGTCAGGGGGACCGTGTGCGACAGCTGCGCCTTCTAGATCCGGTTGCCGCCGACAGCACTGGGGCTGCTCCAAGGAGTCCTCCTCCAGCAATGCTCTTGCGAAGTGTTCTGCAAGGTCCTGCCGCTGTGAAGGCTCAGCCACCACGGCTGCCGGTATCTGCCCACGGCCGCCGTATTCGTACATGAACTCGTCCGCTGTGACGCCGAACACCACCTGAGACTCTGCATGGGAAGGCCGTTGGTCTGCTGCATCTGCCATCCCAAACGTCGACTCGAAACCCTGTGCACCGTCCTCATCGCAGTCCCCCCCCTCAGCATGCGCGGGGAAACCTGTATCGGTAGCCCACCGTCTTGCCAGGATAGGCGCAGCAGCCATCACATCGCTCTTCCTGAGCTGCAACGTGCCCAAACGGGCCAGCCTGACTGCCTTCATTCCCTCTGCGCTTCCGCGCTCGGCAACCAGCTCGTGGAGACTGGAACCCCGGCGAGCGCGAGCGTGGTTTCCTCCCCCACCAGTGGTTACACTGTGGCTCCACGCTGGGGCTGCTGCTCCGCCGTGACTGCTTCCCCTAGAACGGGAAATAACCACCTCCGCTTTGCTGCACTTCCGGCCCAACGGCAATGGAATCCAGGCAGCTGAATCGTCTGTAGGTGCTGTCTGGTGGTTGGCGTTAGCACCGGAGCCGCTGGCGACAGAGGTCAGATGCATGCTTTCGCTCCCGCCGCGCATGCGGTGCCTCAGCTTGACCCACTCTGGCAACAGGCTTGACGCCGATGCCTCTGCCCCGCTGGGTATTGCACTCGCCATGGAGGTCGGCGTCGTAGGGTCTAAAGGCTGCGGCTGCTGCTGCGGAGGCTGCATGATGGTGACGGTAAGTTCATCACCGAATTCGTGACCCAGCAGGGCTTCCGGCCAGGGCACGTGCAGTCGGAGCTCCTCCTCAAGGGACAGAAGCCAGCGGATGGCGAAGGCCTGCGGGTCAACGGGGAAAGCGGAAAGGGTAACCAATGGGGTCGAAAGAGCCGCCTGCTGTACTGAGCAGTGCACGCGTGAGACCCAAACGGCGTCACGCTTTCAGCAACCACTGTGCATGTAACCGGTCATACAAAACTGTTGGCCGTAATCAAGTCACTATGGACCCACCGGTGAAGCGAAGGCTGCCAGCAGCCGCCCTCCATCCATCGCTGCCGGGTAGCCCCCCGCCGCCCGCAGCAGCTCCAGGGCGGTCCCTCGCAGCAGACCCAGCGACTCCCGCGTGACGCCCTCGTTCCACTCCTCCAGCACCGGCAGACCAACCACCTGACATAGTGTTGAAGCGTGGCAGGTGTTGCGACATGCATCCTATGGTCACAGACAACATTACAAGCAGTTTAGCATAGCTTTGCGGTGAATCCCATGTGCGCATAATACTGCCATTCCTCATGCTTGTTGCATGGCAGGTCGTCTCATATCGTCGTATGTGGTCTCACCAGCACCCATGAAACCACCCACCTGCACCATGGCCAGGGTCACGGCACCCAGCGGCGCCGCCAGCACCCCCGGCAGCACCTGCCCCAGCGCCCGTAGCGGCTGCCGTTCCAGCAGCAGCTGCCGCGCCGCCAGGGAGGTGCCAGACAGGGCCTGGTAGAGGTCCTGGGGTCCCACTCCACGAGCAGCAGCCGGCAGGTCCTTCTGGTGGTGCGGGAGCTGGAAGGAGGGGCGCTGCTGCAGGGAGGGACGCGGCTTATACAGGGGCAGAACGGAGCCGTTGTCTTCTGCTGCGCTGTCGATGCCGCCGCCTGCTGGCATGTTGTCAAGCTCGAAGCGGCCCTTGTGCCAAACCAGCAGACCCTGCAGGCAGCAGGCCCGTGGGGGAGATGCGTGAATGCGGGTAGTTTGTCCTTCCAACAGGTGCTTGAATAACCAAGCTGAGGGGGCTGAGCACTAGCATATAGGCTGAAACCAGTACGCGGAAAGTCTCTGCTAAATAGCATGGTGCCTATCCGTAACAAACAGTACTGCACCACTCACCTGCAGGTCCTTCCGCGGTAACGGCTGCAGCCTCTCCACCGTGGAAGCGCCCAGCAGCACCATGCCGCCCAGCGCAGCGTCGCTGATGAGCTTGGTCAGCTGCAAAGCACAAGGCAAGGACAAGGACGACGTCCGGAGAAGATCAGAAGGGGCACCGATTCAAGTTCACTAGAACCCAAGTCCACAGTCTGTCGCTGCACATACGTACACCTTTCCCGGCGATCACCCCTGCAGCATCAATGGAATCCAAGCACGCTGTATGTATGGATTATGGTGCAGTTCTGACCTACGCCTTGCGACCTCCTTGCTTGCCACATGCATGGCGACGCACCCGCATGCACCGCCCCGAGTAGGCCATACGGCGGCCCAGGTCCTTGCGGTACACCACGTCTCGACCCTCAACTAGGCCGCTGCAGATGCCCACACGCACCCGGAAGCCCCTGTGCGTGATTCCAGCAAGGTAAGGCAACGAGGGCATTCAATAACTGGATGTTGCTGTAACATTGCATATCCATGCATGCTAGATAATGTCAAGATACGGGATTGGGCTCAGCTGAAAGGACCCCACGTACGGAAGGACAGAGGCTTGGCGGATGGGGTGGAGGACCGAAGAGAAGGGTATATACAGACGCAATAGACGCAACAGAAGCTAACAACACAAGGGAAGCCAATAGGGCCGAGACAGTGTATGACAATCTACCTACCTATTACATTGTGCGTTGTTCCGCCTATCTCGTACAATCAGGGCAATCGTACCAATGCAAAGCCATACGGGGCTTACCTGAACACCAGGACACCCGCCGCCGAAGGACTCCCAGTTTCACGCAACCGGTGCACGACAGGGCTGTTGCTGCCTCCAGCAGCGCTTCCAAACAACTTTACAGATGCTGCGACGACTGGGGAGCCCGCCACTGATGACGGTGTTGTTGTTATGCCCAACGTGCTCTTTGCTGGGGTCTCCGGCGCTTGGGAAAACGAGCGGAGGCTGAGGTTGCAGTCCCGGAAGAGGTTGAAGGCGTGCGCTTGGCCGCTGCTTGTACTAACTGTAAAGAGATGCCGTCGGGTCCTTCCTCGTGAGGGTGGATGCCTCCGAAACGAAGGTGAAAGAGCGGTGGAGGGTAACCTCAGGGGTGAGGACAAAGAAGGAAGCTCCAGAAGCGCCAGAAGCGATGCTGATACAGCGGTGGCATCCAGCTTGCTGCTATCGTTGCATGCAACACCGTTGACCATGGTTGGAGGCCTTGCAAGCAGACGCTCTGAATTGTTAATCGTACGTATACGTTCAAACTCCCGCGTAATGGACTGTTGCCTGCTGCTGCCGGCTAGCGCTTGTGCCAACAGTGCAAGGGAGTGGAAGTAGGCAGGGGCCAGGTGGTCATCATCACCCGCCCCTTCAGCTGTAAACCCTGTAACAGAATCTTGAGAAGCTTCTTGAGCTGCTGCCGAAATGGATCCCCCCGCTCTTACTACTCCGGTGACGGTTTGTGTGTAAGGTGTCCCTATTTTGGCTGCAGCCGCTGTAGCTGCTGCTGTGGTGTGATACACGGTAGAGCAGTCCGGACAGCTCAGCAGGAGCTCCTCAGGCCATGGAAGATGCATCAGGGCGACCTGCATGCGTGCAGGTAGGTCATGGGAACACGGGAGCGTGACGTAAGCAGTTTGACTATGCGACTGCAACAGTATACGTTGATGCGCATGGATGAAGGGAAGGGACTGGTGACAAGAAGCAAGCAGGCTGCTAGATAGGATTTAGGTACACCGGGCTGCCTGGCTTCACAAACATGCCCGCACCTACCTGCATTTCCATTGCAAAGTCCACCGCGCAAACCGCCATGGGAAAAGCAATGATGAAGGAGTCTCCCTCCGTGTGGCACTCGTAGCCCTGGTGCTTGGAAAGCAGGCGCCGTATACAGCTGTTGTGCAGCGACAACGAAACGTCCATGACCCCTGGGTCGAGCTCCTCCCACAGCATCGTCGATGACTGCGATACACAAAAGATGGATGTAGCAGGGTTACTTGGCTTAGGTCTGCGCGAGCAAAGGCAAACTCATGCAAGTTTCATCAACCCTCCTGATTGCGTGCTGCTCCCTGGCCCCAGCTTACTTGTATGTCCGTGATGCAAAGCGAGGTATCCGGAGAGTAACCAGGCGGGGACAACACGCAGCCTCCCCTGCCGCTGCTCTTGCGTGCCTGCCACCACTTCAGCAGCACTATGCTTCCTGCGACAGCCAACAGGACCGCCGCGGCGGGCATGCCCACTGCCAATCCCAACACGCCGTCCGGTGACAGGCTGCGGCTTGAGTCGCTGCTTGGCGGTGGCGGTTGCTGCTCTTGTTGGCGTGAGGTGGCCCGGGTCTCGCCGTAGCCAATGTCACGGATGTACGCGGCTTGGAAGGCGGCCGGGTTGCCATCGTAGCGCCGGTTCAGCATCTCGGAATAGCGCTGGTTAAGAACCTGAGAAAGGCGCGGGTTGGTTGGTGTTGCCGTGCTCCGTGATGATGACATACATGTAAGCATGCGTGAGGAAGAGTGGAGAGGACATGGGTCAAGACAATAGGGATGAAAGGCAAGGGAAGCTTTATGGGTTTTGTACAATTCACGCAAGGGATTGAGGTATTTGTACGCCGCAGGGGACCCCATAAGGGGATGCCATGCGCCAAACTAACTACATCTCTAACAGCCTACACGCGTACCTCGCACAGCCTTCCAGGCGTTGCGCCGTTGTCAAGCACTGCCGTGGCCACCTCCGCCATCGCAACCTCCATGTCCACTGCTCCAGGGATCCGCATGCCCGCCGACATGCAGGGATGCCCCATCGACTTTGTGATGGCAGCCACGTACTCTTGCATGTCCTCTTGGTTGAATCCCCACCCTCCCCATTCGGCTATGTCAGTCGAGAGGTCCCCGGTACGCACGGGCGTGGTGTCTGTGGCAGGGTCCATTGCCAACGTCCATCCATCCTGCATGCCAAGCAGCCAGATGCAAAACATTGTCGAGAGGCGATGGAGCAATACCGAGGGGCAGTGCTACCACGCCATGAGGTTACCACAGTTATCGCACATACATGCATGTTACATGCATTGCCGCTGCCTGCCTAGCCTTAAGCTTGGCTACTGTCAAGCAAGTAAGACAGACCTTGTAATTCATGGCGAAGATGAAGGCGCGCAGCGATGCCATGACATGGTTGGGAGGCGCCTGGCGGTTGATAGCCAGGGAGAAAGCTCCGCGGCCCAAGTACGGCACCCGACTGATGAGTGTCGTACCGTTGTACATCTCAGCAAATGGACACAACGCCGATGTGCATGGCGCGAGGAGTCCTGCAGAGGTACCCAATGAAGAGGAGGAGAGGAAGGAGACAGGTCCAAGGGCGTCGGCAGGTGAGCGTTACAACAGTTAGGCACGCGAGGATCTGCAGTCCATATGTTCGTTGCCTACTTCTTGTTTATGGGCATGCCATGAAGACCAACCACTTCGCCCCACACGCACCTGTTGTCCTGTCCTGCACCTTGTCCGCTCCTGGGAGCATGGACACGCCAAAGCGGCCCCGCATTGTGCCGTCAGCCGCAAACCCCCACTGCTTAAACAGTGTGGTCAAGCTCACCCCAATTGCGCACTGGGGGTTTGGAAGGACCGCGGGAGTGGGTAAGAGCGGGGACTTCTCCCAGAAGGACACGCCTACGCAACCAAAGCCAGCAGCGGATTGGGGGCTCCAACGTTGACTCGCTAACACTGTAGGCGGTCAACTACGAGGCAACTGCCGGACAGTACCGTCCTATCCACAATGCGCAGTGCTAATCTGCCTACATAAACATATCCGAATGCGCTGAACACAGCATGCACTTTACGCACGCGCCTTGACTGACCTTGCGGAGGTAGACGTCCAGGGAATGCCGCCCGCAAGCAGCGCCGGATGCTGTCCCAGTGTCGTTCGGACCCAGCAGCAGCAGCTCTCGGTAGAGCCGCAGGGCCTCCTTCATGGCAGCGCCGGTGAACAGGGGCTGCGTGCATGAATGCAGGCCGGCATGCAAGAAAATTTAATTGTATATGCGTCACACCCAAGCATACGTTATGGAAGAGCGCCGTACAGCTATGCCGCACCTTCATGTTGGTTGGATCAAAGTACAGTCCCCCGTCGGTGCCGTACGCGCCCACCATGGAAGCCCACACCGTGGCAAGTGCCATTCCGTCGTAGAAGCAGCCATCGGGCAGGCCGTAGCAGAAGCCCGCCTGCTCGCACTGCTGGGATGGGTCGTCGATGCAGGGAACCTGTGGCGTGCAGGGCCATGGGTATTGGTAAGTGCAAGAGTGCAAGAAAGGGCAGGCAGTGGTGGACTTGGGAAAGGTGGTCCGGCTGCTATGATCGGCCCCGTGGTCCGCATGCATTGGCCTGGCGTTGGGGATGCGACCTGGACAGGAATCACCCTCAATCTGTACCTGTGTTCCGTTTATGCGCCTGGCAACTGCCACCGCCTCCTCCCACGTGGCAGGAGGGTTCAGCCCCAGCTGGGAGAAAACGTCTCTGTAGTGCATGGTTGGTAGAGGCAAACGAAGTCACGGTGTAAGCGACATGAGAAAAGAACCCGTGAAAGTTCTCCCAGTAAGGTGCCCCAGTTACCTGCGCCAGAACAGCAGCGGTATCTCTGCTGTGTACGGAATGCTCAGGATGCTTCCGTCGTACACCGAAGCAACTTCTCGGAACACCTGGTGCGCCGGAAATAAAAATACTGTGACTCGGTGAGAATCGCATTCCTTCCACAATACTTTTGAACCAGTGTGTCAACTTGCGAGCGCGCGCGCGAGCGTGTAGGGTGCATGTCCGCTAAACACATGCGCACTCTCACTCTCACTCGCAATCGCAATCGCACGGCGCCTTCAACCTCATTAGGTATAACATAATAACATAAAGGTTTAACACACTGACGCACAACGCACATACATACTTCTGGGATGTCTTGCCACACGATTGCGAGGTCAGGGCTGACGGTTAGCAGCGAGTCCAGCGGCTGTAGCAGTCCCGCGTCGTACAGCCCGCTGAGAGCGGAGGGGGGCACCACCCAGGCTGCAGCATGGAGGTTTTGCGGTGAAGGTGGAAAGGGTAAGTGGATGGAGGAAGAGGGTGGTTTGGGAAACCAAAACATTCTTGAAGGATGTGAAAGAATGCGGGAAAATGGGAGATGCAGGTGGCGGGTTGGAGCCATAGCCTGCTGGCTCATCTCCAACAATACCCCAACTGAACACGGCACCTATCCATGCTGTGTCTTCCGTCCTATCTGTTTGCACCGTTATTGCTCTGTTATCGTCTCGCACCTGCGTATTGGGTGAGATTGACGTCCAGCGCACTGCTACCCATGTTTGAGAGGGAAGACCACCACTCGGAGGAGACCGTCCGCAAATCGAAGGAAACCTGAGGTGGGGTGGCGTTACGAGCGCGGATCCAGGTGAAGTAAGGCGAGTATCGGATCCTTGTAGTGAGGAGCTCACTTCACCAGGTTGTGAAGTCAGTCTCGACATGCGTGCAACCACTGCATGCAGCACACATAGTGTTGCGCGCCACAAATGCAAGTTATCCTTTAGGACCACGCGGATAGCTAATATAGGACTCTTCCCAGTTCCCACAGTGTGGACCTTGTCCGGTTGCTCACACTTCCTATCGAGGTGCTTGCTGCCAAAAGAGCTTTCGTCGCTTACCCCTGACGCATTGGAGTATTCCTGGACCAGCCATGAAAGGTCGTGCGATTCCTCGCTAGCGTCCTCAAAGGTGGCAACTGTGGGTGCAAATGGAAGGCCGACCCATGGTTCACAATTAGGACATGATTCCAATGGAGGGAAGGAGGGGGCACTAAGAAGCCGGCACCAGCACTACGCCACATTAGAGGCGCTATAGGGTTATGTATGTATCCGTTTCCAGGATTAGCATGGGCCTCCAAAAAGGACAAACACTCACCTGCAACCGCCAATGTGGGTTGGGAGGAACATCAACATCCCTTCTTAGGGCTGGCATACATCTACCGGTCCCATCCCCAGCGGTCCCAGCGGTCCAAGCTCCCTTACCTTTGTGACTGAGGAGTAGCATCTTGACGGGCTGTAGGGCGACACATGGGATAGGACGGGTTTGTAAACGACAGGAGAGGCTGAGGAGAAAGTGAAGCAGCCTACAGTCCCGCGTGCAGTTCCAAGTAAGCCGTACGCGCAAACAAGGGCCGCAGCAGAAGCAGCGGCGGTGGCAACATGCGGGCCCGCGGGTCGGGCTCAGCCAGTGCTGACTGGTACGTCGCAACGGGATGTGCCATGGCAGGCTTGGTTGCACTACCGGGAAACGCGATTCGCCGTTTGGTGCTAAAGTCTGAAACATATGTGGGCTTACCTGTACATCAAGGCCAAGGCTTCTCGCGCAGGGCGACCATAGCATGGGCCCATCCAGGCCGACATCGTCAGCGTCTGAGTCGCCGTCACCTATACAAAGCCTACAAAGAAAACCGCAAGCAATTAAAGTAGTTTTACCCGATAATATTACTTTACCCGATATTATACCATATCAATCCATTAGGCGCACCTGTACGAGCTGAGGAACGTCGAGCACTCAGGAGGAACTACAGCACCGGTATAGTTCCCCGTCCTCTCAGTCGACGCCTGCCCTGCGGCTACATAGATGCTACCGAGGAGCAGCGCGATGATTGCGAGCACGCGAAAACTGTTATAAAGACGCGACTGCTGTTTACTAGTGTATGCGAGAAAAGTACGGTTCGCCCACGACGGTGGCATTGATTCATAGTTGTTTGCTCGAATTGTTTGCTCGAAATCTTTGCGCTAATGTACGCCAGTGGGCGCCTGTGGCTAGTAACAAGCTTTTGCTATCTACCGGCTGCCATGTTCTTCAACGAACCCATGAGCTCTAATCGCATTTAGGGATAGTTAAATTAAGCATGTTAGCATTGGAATCATGCTTCTCAGTTTGTGCAAGGCGTCATAACTCAGATGCCGTTGCAACTGACGTACGAACGGTTGACATGACTGCAAGGCGTGAGCCTGCCCGACCGTCGGGGCCATGGATCCAGGGCCCTGCTGGGCCTATATGATAAGGGCCGCTACATTAGCAAGCGCCCTGGTTGTCTAATTGTTCTCTTCTACGCTGCAACAATTGTTTTGTAATGCTGGGCTGGATATTGTTTTTATGATCGTGAACGCTACACAGCTAAAGGCTTTTTGCGCGGCAGTCTAACGGAGCTTTTACTTGCGAATGCCCGGATTGGAACGTTAGGCCGGACGAGCGGGGGGAACCGTTGATCCTTCCTCCCAGTACTGCTTTACCAAGCGTGACCGCCTGACAGGCCCTGTCAGGTAACATCCATAACGTCAAAGGTTTTTAGCAGAAAGGCTTCAATGCCGTTTTATAGAACTTGACTTTCGGGACAGGAGTAACATCCATAACGTCACGCTTTTTAGCAGAAAGGCTTCAATGCCGTTTTATAGAACTTGACTTTCGGGACAAGCATCAGTCGCTCAAACGCCATACCATATCTAAAAGTAGTGTTCAAGGGCCCCCATTGCTTCGCATGCGTCAATACATGTTTCAACTCTGGCATAACCCATCACGGGTAACCACATATGTCACATATGCTATTGCACTTATACCGTCACTACCTCCTGATCACCTGCTACCGGTACGTACGCCATCCAGCGTCGCTGCACGCACCTCTTTACCGAGACTCACTTCTAGGCCCCGACCCACATCAGACACCTCACCGGATCCGTGTTGCTATCAGTGGCCAAAATCCACCCATGCAACGAACAACCCCAGCCTCATGAGGGTCATGACACATCATAAGTCGTGTCCAGGTCTTCTGCCCAGAAGCACACAGCCCCCAGCCACAAGCAGCTCCATCTCATCCTCCAGCTAATCCATCACTACCAGCCTTAACAGATGCACAAGTCTAGCTAAACTGCAGATAGCTCCTGCCAGCGCTACAACGCGGCCCTGTCAGACACACTAACGGCCCGTTCCCCTCACGCGCTGCCCCGTGTTTCCGCAATCCGGCCATGCAGCCACTGAAGGATGGTCGCCATCGCATCCGTGTGGACCGGGAAGTTTTGCACGGGCTGGTAGGGGTGCGAGGCAGGAACCTCGAACTGGGGGACAGGGAGAAGAGAACAGAGTGAGGTATGCAAAGAGATACAAAGAGAGATAGGCACGGGAGGGTTGTGACAGCCCTTGACAGAAGGCCTGGACGGGATGCCCTTGTGCTAACACAACACACGCTCACGTGCGCTTGTCTGGAGCTGGCCTTACCTTCTGTTCCAGGTTGTGTTGCATGGTTTGCCGCAAGGACGAGTGCACCAGCGGCCCATGTGCGTACGCGAAGCGGTGCCACACGAGCGCGAGCCGGCGCTGCATACGCTCAATCTGCAAGTCGCAGGGCAGCATGGTTGCGGTTAACAACGGTCATACCAACATGGATGGCATGAAAAGGCCAAGTCCCAAGTCCAAGTCCGAGCCCAGCTCACTTCAATGGTGTTATCCTTTTACCTGTTCCGGCGAAATTGCCTTGAGCAGCAGCGGCAGGTGCTCGTCAACCGCCTCCTCGTTGATGCGGAGCGAGAAGGCGTCAATGTCAACCACGCTCTCAAACACGGCGTGGGTGTGGTCCATGAGGATGAGCGGCAGGCAGCCGTGCAGCACCGCGTCCTCAAACCGCATGGAGAAGCCGTCGCCTATGTGGGAAAGTAAAGGGAGGTGAGGTGGAGGTGGGAAGGTGAGGACTGAGGAGGCGAGGAGCGGAAGGGAGGAGAAGGAGGGAAGGGAACAAAGAACGTTTTCTTGAGGAGAAGGTGCGGGAAGAAAGCGATTTTATAAGATGCCCACAACCCACCTGGCACCACCACACAGAAGATGGATCTCGCCAGGTGCTCGCCGTAGCTGCCTTGCAGCTCGTACTTCTCCGCAATGAAGATGCGGTGCTTTGTGGCCCAGTCCAGGTCTGTGGCCAGCCTGCAAACAGCAAGCGTGCGGACAGCGGAAGAGATAGGTAGACGCGGTGTTACCGTCTAGGCATGGCTAAAAAGGTGACGGAGGGAATGGGCATGACAGCATATACCGGTAGGTAGCCCAAACCCCAACAAGCCAAGCAAGGAAAGGGGCCTTAATCAACCCCTATTTGTGTGCCGTACTTACTTGTACAGCTTTTGGCGGATTCCGCGGCTGTAATTGGGCTGCCTGTACTTGCCGACGTCACCCCGTAGGTACAGAAGGATGTCTCGCTCGTAGGGCGCGGAACCCAGTAGCGGCGAGGAGGAGAAGTGGTTCGGAGGCTTGAATCCCGGAACCACCAGGTCCTGTTTCGAGTGGAAAGGGGCACATGGACACATGTTGTATGGTTGCATACAGACCCCATGTACAAGTCATACACATTGTGTACCCCCACCTTCTCTATCTGGACAACGCACACCGTCAAGTTCCCATCTATGCATGTGCATGTGCATTTTCACGTAGCAAAACCGCAACAAAAACAAGATCAAAAAACGCACAACGCAGCCATGCCGCACGCACATCCGCGGGGCACGTACTTTCTTCGGGTTGTAGCAGGGGTGCCCCTCATACAGGATCTTGACGTCCTGACCGCCCAGCACCCCGGGCCACTTGATACCGTTGGAGTAGTTGTCCGGGTGGTAGGCGGTGTTGGACTTGTGGTCGGGGTCCAGGCGGCCCCAGTGGGTGAGCATGATGGACGCGTTGTAGATCTCTGTGGGGGGTAATGCGGGGTGGTGTGGGGATGCGAGGTGAGGGGGTGCCGTGAAGGAGAAGGAAAGACTATCAAGTTCCCGGTGCCTTTGGAAGTCAGGTGGCCAAGAGCAATGGCGAGCATGCAGTGGGCAGCCCCGCACACAGTACACGTCATGTAGGGGCACAGGATCCCCTGCGGCCTTTATCCTTGCAGTGTTGGGTAGCAAACAGTGCGTGTTGTGCTTCTTTCCCATTCTTTGGCAAAAAGGCGACCCAACCCACCCGTGGGCATGTAGCACGCCCCCTCATCATGGTTGGTCATCCAGATGTGGTCTCGCCCGCCCCGCCGGTCCCAGTAGGGGAAGTGCGACTGGATCCAGTTCTTGGCCGCCAGCCACATGTGGGCAGCGTTGGAGTAGCGGTGCCAGCCTGCAGAGGTGAACAGCAGCGCCGGACCGAGTTATTGCTTGCTTCGAAAGCTTGTGGCTACACAAACATAGCCAGAGTCTAAGACAATGCTTTCCAAAACGTCGACCGTTGTTGTTTCAGAGCCGCTGTCGCAGTGCGCGGCCATCCAACCAGCTTCCTAACCCTCCTCATGCATGTCCTTCTGCTGCCCCGGCCGCCGTCTTCATCACTCACTCGTGGGCGCACCCCAGAAGGGCATGTCGGCCCAGCCGTTGATGGGCCACATGAAGCATCCATAGTACACGGGAACGTAGAAGAAGTCCGCCTCCTCCGGGTCGAATGTCCTGCGGTGGTGGTGGTGGTGGCGGTGGTGGTGGGTGCTTCAATCAAGGCATGGCTACCGTACACATTCCGGTTTAATTGCGGATGCCTTCCCAGCTCCAAACCCTGGTAACAGCCCTTCCCGCCTGCGCCGTGACATCCGCCATGACCATCCCCAAACGCGCCAATCCCCGTACTACAGAATGGCCAACCAGGCAACCTCCCCTTGCGCTGCTGCTCACCTGTGCTGGCTGATGGCCAGCATCTCATGCAGGTACACCTCCAGAGAGTAGTTGTCGCCGTAGACCTCGGTGCGGTTGCCCTCACGCCAGGAGCGGTAGCCGCAGTGGTCGCTGCATGCAGATACATGCATGCATGTGCGGGTGGGTAGGCAGAGGGGCGGAGACAGCGGAGGGAGGAGAGGGGGAAGCTGGTAAGGAGGGCAGAGTTAAGAAGAGCAGGCATGAGGGGTAGGTGATACCGGTAGGTGCCAGCAAGCAGAGTCTGTTGTCTGCGAATAAACACCCCTGCGGTAGAAGAGATGCCATTGCATGGCCATGCCCAAGTCGATGCCATCGTATGACATCACCATCAAAATCATCACCATTATTATCATGCCACCCACTTGACGAGCTTGTACTGCAGCATGCGGCTCGTGAACTCCGGCGGCATGTCGTAGATGTAGATCAGCGGCCGCAAGCGACCGGGCTGCTGCTGCTGCTCCGCCCCGCTGCCAGTGGCGCCTGCTGGGCCGCTGCCGGCAGCAGCAGCAGGGGGCTCCTCCGCCGCAGCTAGCACCGGCATGACAACAGGCTTGAGCCAGGGACGCGCCTCCATGAGGCCTGGTGGGGCAAGAATTAAAACCAGGCCGAATGTAACCGTTAGGACAAAATACGCCTGATGCCGTGTGGGATGGGCAGCAAGCATTGATCCACCTATCCACCCATCAATCCTTTGTTTAACCTTGTTAAATCCAATAACCCATCACTCAATTTATCTACTGCCCGTGCTTCCTACCCACCCGGCTCTAGCGGTTCGCCGGCTTTCTTCCGCGCGCAGTCCTCTCCGTACCACCCCTGGTGGCACCTGAGAGGGAGAAGCGCAGCGAGGGGATTGGGCAGAACGGGGCGAAGTACTGTTGGGCGAGGGAAGCTGGAGTAATTGTAGGTGGGAAGCCTTGTGCTCTTGTCCCATGCATAGAATGCATTCAGCTTTCATGCCCATACAAAAACTCCTTGCCCTGCCTGCTTGCTCCTCCTATTATTGTTTAGTTGCTTCTGGAATGCCCCCAAACATGCACGCAGCAGACACCTCGCCCAACCCAACCCAACATAGCAGCGCACAGCGCAACCCAACCCACGCACGCACGCGCACACCTGCAGTAGCCGGCATCGCATTCGCCATGTCCGGAGCACTGGTTCAGGCACGTTTCCTCAACCGCCACCTCGCACATGAGCCCGACCAGCCCCTCCTCCTGACACCCACGCCCACCCATGCAGGGGCCGCTGACAGGAAGCAACAACAGCGGAAGCAACAGACACCCGGGGTTAGAGGAAGCGGGGGAAAAGCGGATACAGGAGGGTGCCGTGGATTTGCTGAGGACGGCGAGAAACCGACAGGCACGCAGGAGGGGAAGCAGGCGAAATTACATTAGGCAACAGGTGGAGAGAAGTCGCTTTGTCCAGGATTGGTATGGCTACTGAATGCATGCGTGGCGTTGAGGGAGCAGACGGGAAAGCATGCAGCAGTTCTCCCAAGCTCATGTCAGGCTTGTGTAAAAAGGCGGTACGGGGAGCGACGTCCCATGGTGTCGAAGAACTGCTGAACAACACTCCCCACCCTGGAGCCGCGAACTTACTGTGCAGGACCCGCTACTTCGTTCGGTGACTTTGCATTGCACCAGCCCTGCGTTTGGACAGGTCAAACACAGTCTCGCAGCAATTTGCAATAGCACAAGGTCACATCACACATGGCGTTAAACGGTTGTGGTACTTGTAAATACTAAGTAAGCGACCGCAACATACCTTGGGTCCAATCAAGTCGTCCAAAGAGAGCCCTTTTTGGCCCCAGTCGTTTGTAACAATCTTGCCTTCTTTGTTCGGCACCTGGTGGGATGTCACGGTAGGAGGCATGGGCAAAGCGACATCTACAACCCCAGGCGAAACCACGAAACCGTGAGCGAGGAAAAGAGCTTCCCTGAAGCTAGAACCGCCTAAAATGTTTGCAGCCCTTTCCATTCCCGGCGCTTTCCAATCCTCACACGCCCACCTTGCCCGGCTTGCAGGCCTCCAGGATCACTCGGCCGCGCTGCGAGTAGCGGACCCAGGGCGGGGAGCCAGGAGGTGGCGGTTTGCGTCCGTACGTGGTGTTGGGCGGGCACCAGCAGGAACCTCGGTCGTCATCGCAGAACCCTGCAACACAGACGACACAGAAGCGTTGACACTGAAACGAGGGGGCGCTAAAACGAGGAGGAAGAGGTTGCGAAGGTGCACCATGTGAAAGTGGACACGGGCAGTAGACACCACTGTATTGCAGTGCACAGCATGGGGGATTGCCCTGAGAACACGTCACCCTCAGATGGAGTTACACAGGAGCGACCCGACTTGCCTCCGCATCTAGAGGCGGCCCACCCTCCTGCGCTCAAGTCGAGATCCAAGCCGTCCGGTCCGATATGACTCTGCGTTTGCGGGATCGTTGTATTGAAATGTTGAAGTGTTGGAGTACTGAAGGGCAGATGTGGGAAACGAGAACCCGGGCACCCACGACAGAACCCAGGCACCCATTCCTCCACCATTGCTTCACTTCGTCTTCTCCTTTGCCCACCTGCCAGGAGTATGACTGTATGAGGAAATCTAGCCGCTCACCCACCACCACCCACCCACCATGATGAGGTCAAGCGGCTGTTCGGGGGACTTGTGGTTGTTGGTGCACGGCCGCTTGTCGGGCTCGTCGCACGCAGCGCCACGCCAGCCTGCAACGGAGGTCCATGTGCGGTGGGAGTGGAGTGGACTGGAGTGGGCGTCATATCGGCCAGCAATCAGCGACAGCACACGTCACACTCAGCAGGGCAGCGGCCGGCAGACAGCAGCAACTAAGCAGCAGCTTGGGTCACGCCAGCAGCTGTGAACCGCATGTGCCCAGCATCGCAAAATTTATTCATGTGCGACATGTCCGTGCAGCCCTAAGCCATTCAACCATTGTCCAACGCAACCGGTACCTTTGTTAAGGTCCGCGAACCCCCCACGCTATGCCCAGATTGCCTACCTGCCGGACACTGGCATACACCGATGTCGTAATGACAGTTACCAACACCGTTGCATGGACCCCATCTGGTGCTGGGGCAATCCTTATTCCCCCGAGGCGGCTTCTTCCAAGCTACCCGCTCTTGCCTGCGGGTCCGGGAGCAGGTATTGCATTACGGTGGGTTTAGAACGCCAGTGCGTCGCAAAGCCCAACACCTGTATTGATGAGCATGGGTGAACGGTACGTCAAGTTCACACATGTACATGACGATAGCAAGGCTTCCACAGAAAGGTCAATCGCAGCCAGCAAAACGTGGATGGCCGGGGCTGTGTTTTGTTGTATTTTGCGGCGACACCAAGTTCATGCATGGTATGTACGCTGTACACCCGCCCTACTGCATCATCCTCTCTTGTTGCAAGCCTGGCCCCCCTGTGCAGCCGCGCCTAGGCGCCGCAAACTCCTGCCCTCACAAGCCACCACACGGACATCGCCCCTTCCTCTTCTCCCACCCTCTCACCGGTAGTACTCCTCACACCAGCTCCCACGCGTCAGGGCGCACAGAGCACACTTCCCGCCGCTGCGGTCGCAAGCCGGTGCATGGCCCTCTGCACGACCCCGACTAGAGCGGGTGCCCAGGGCTGCATGGCAGGGCAGGAGAAGGGCAAGGATAGGCAAGAAAGCGATACTAAGAGGGGCCCGTAAGGGGAAGAAACAGGGCACGGATGACACAGTTTGGGTAAGGCTGGCCCACTGAGGGGGAGGGGCAAGCTGACAGCTGCACGCCAATTGGGCGATCGTCGGACACAGGCTTATAGGATTGGAGGCCTCGCTAGGCATGCGGTACATGACAAGGTGCATGCTGCAGAAAGCGCGGCCTTGAGCATTACCCTTTGAGACCCGGGGGGCTGGTCCAGCAAAACAAAAACATGTCAGGCCAACAGGCCCCTCGCGTTCGCGGCGTAGGTTGGGTATCTCCACAGCCGCCATGCTGCTCATGCACCCCTAATGCCCATGCTGGCAATGAACCCCTCTGGTTCCCTCAACACCCCGCCATGTAAACAGGTCGCACTGGCCTGAGCAGGCAGTGCTGTGGCCGATACCCAGGCGCTCTGTGGCTTACCTTTATGGGATCTATGCAAGACATCGTGGTCGAAGGCGCCTATAGCAGACAGTTAGGGGAACCACCAGTTATGAGTGAGGCAGCCGTAGTCAGGTAGGTTACAACCTCATCCATCGTGCGTGCAATCTTGGTGCGGTATGTTGCATGTTTAACACACCATAGTTTCACAGATCATCACCTCCCCCCCCCCCCACACACACAGGCACATACTCTGTATGGCATCGGCCGTTCCGTTTAGGGGGGCGCCTGCTCGTTTTCCGGGACCCGGGTCACGACGTTGGCTTGTCAATCGTCTGGGCGAGGACAAGAGAGACCCCGACCAGCCAGCATCCGACTGCGGGTGATGGGGTTTTGGCCACATACCGCAAGAGGTTGTTTTTTCTATGCTTTACGCTTTTGGGAAAGCTTTTTATGCCATGAAAACAAGGACATATGCGCGACGATGGAGTGCTACGGTGCCCTCAGCTAGTCCACAGCGCACCGTAGTACACCACTGTCAAGTATTCCCACATACCTTCAATGTAAGCACCAGGAGCGTTGTCAATATAATAAGCAACTGCTGTAACATTGTCAGCGCCCGCGACATAGCACGCTTTCGTATATGGCGGAGTTTCCCTTAGCTGAGACAAATAAGATTTCGTCGGATTTAAAGTTTACGTTAGCTTAGGTTCAAAGCCATCAAAGGCCAAATCGCGTTGTCGCGAGGAAATGCCAACATACTGGTCGCAAGGGCAGGCAAGGGTCCAAGGTTACGCTGGTTTTGGGCATACAAAGAATAAGGAACGTACTTTGCTTGCGAACACTTCTGCCCAGGCGTCGCAGAACTGGCCAACTGACGTCTTGGATCGCCCCGTACAGTACTAAGAGTAAGCAGGTTACAGTAAGACCTAGAACCTCAGCAACATACAGTTTATATACCTGTTCGTTGCACGTTTCAGCAACAAACCTGGAGTCCGGCCTTCGTTCGTATGCAACCCCAACGAACGTCGTCGCTGTGCTACATGCGGCATGCCTACTGGTATACCAACCACAATGTTCGTCTTGTCCTGCATCTGCTCCGCTTCTAAACACCAAGATAGCTCTGGGTAACTCCTGCGGTGTCAATACCAGCAGAAGGCTTACGCGTACTACTGCGTACCAATGCGCTGACAAGTGTGTTGTGCAGAGTACGTGTCCTAGGGCAAAACAACTCGGCAATGCACGGTTTGATTCATTAAGGATGGTATGCCAAAGCAGAAAACGCCGAACCCCGGGTCAGCAAGGTCATCAACTGCCCATGCGGCCCACAGAGAGCGACGTATTGATATTTTTGTTAGTATTGTATGTTTTATGTATCCTCTGCACGTTGCGAACGCACATGGGCCATCCTAGGTTACCTGAACCTCAGTTCAGCCTGAGTGGAAGGTACGAACGTTTAACGTCAACACAAAGCGACTTGGTGCAGTAAGTCTAAGCAGAGAATTGGTCTATTTACTGGGACGAGTTGAGCTATTTACGTATGCGGTTGCTTAGGCATTTACTGCGACCCTATAGATGGCAACAAGTCATTCGGTCATGGCCGATACCAAAAATGACGCCTAGCACTAAAATCTAATCAGCACTGCCTTGCGCACATTAGGCATGCTCAATGCACCTGCTGGTTGTGGGCATCCTGTTTGTCGCCGCCTTCGAGCTGTCGTTGCGCGGCCAGTCGGCGACGATAAATGCTCTCAACATATCGACATTTACCCCTTTGGAAGGCTCACTAGCTGGGGGAACGCGGTACGGCGACCGCTCGGTGCGTTTGACCATTGCAAGCACCTGAGGTTTGCTGCATTTTGCTAACGCAGACTCGCAATCTATGGCGCGGGATTCGACAATCAATTCACCGGGAGTCTTTCGGTTGCGATTGGACCATACCCTTGCCAAGTACTAGTGACTCAAAGCAGCGCGCAAGTGGTGAGTCGCTTTGTCTGGAAACGCTTTGGGCGTCTGGGCAATGGGCAAGACAGGGGAAATCGGTGCTCCCTAAGTCAACCCCTGGTGTGTGGAAGGGGGTTGGTAAACCATGGAGGGTGATAGGGTTTTGGTGGGTTGCAGGGAGATAAGACTGAGTCGCCGGAAAAGCATGCCAGTCGTAATATAGCGTGAGTGTAACGCTCATCAGGGCGATCACCTCCGCTTGATGGCATTTGGCCCTAAGACCTTACGTGCTTGGGTTTGGGATAGTGCATCAGGCCGCAGCTAGGGGTTAGAATTAGCACACCTGAATAAGGTTCGTTGCGGTTTAGTGCCAAGCAATACCGGTAGGGGGCTATAGCGTAACGACCTGCCGCGCTGCTTCCATGTACAAGTCTCCAAGCCAAAACCGGCGCTCCCACGTTCCGCACAGGTCACATGTGAGGCCTCCCCGGGGCTCTCCGGCACGTATTGGGTTAGCGTGACCTCACGTGGTCCGGATGGCATCACCGCCACTGCCGCTGCATGGGGGTTCACCTACACAGCGAGTCGCACGCCAGGTGGGGCTGTGGGTACGGAGGGAGACAGGGGGTTACCTACCAGTTCCACGGTGGGTAGACGCCCAAGAGGACATGGTTCAGGGCGTTTGAGTAGTGCAAGGAACAGGGTGTGGAATTCCTTGAAGTGGGTGGCAAGTTGTTTGCTCTATGGGAGGGGACTAACCCGGTTGGCCTTCGGGAGGGAAGTCGTTGGATCCGGGGGCTGAAGCTTCAGCATGTTGTTCAGCAGCACCTCAACACTTCAACCCGTCTTTGCTCGTGCCTTCGTTACCGCGGCAACGGCACATCGCGCCCCTTTTCCTTGCCCCTTTCCTATCAGTCATGCGCGCCGTACAGCCATCTGCTGGCCCGCCTGGGGCCTCCATAGCCATCATAGGTAACCCGGTGGACGTCGTTACACGTGACTGCGGCCCCACTGCGTGGGGTGATTCAGACTGCCTGGGGGGCATTCGGGTGGGCCGGCTGCTGTGCGCGGTGCCAGAGGGCGACATCAGTCGCATCTACGATGTCAGGTCGCAGCGGCTGCGGTCGGCTGGGCAGACGTTTCAGATAAACTGCACAATGCCGCAACCGCAGCGGAACAACCCAAAGGTACCGTTATAGACACGGCTGGCAGGGGGATACCGTGTTAGTATTAACACTGTCCGGATGCATTGCAGGGTCTGATTGGAGAGGGGTAAAGGGATGCATACCAAGCTGTTCTCCGCAGGCTGCGTGTGAATGAAACCGTTAAGCAGCATCCTCACGGCCGACCCCTTCCCTTGCCCGGTCAATGACAACCGCCTTTCCTTTCACCTTCTTAACCCCTCCCAACGCAGATGCCCTCCGTCGTTCCCGGACTCGGCACAGCTGGCATGTACAACGTAACACTTGCCTTTGAAGCAACATCACGTGGTGGCAGGGCTGGCGTGCACAGCAGCGCCTGGCTTTACAAGGCTGATGGCACGCCGTACATGTACGAGCAGTATCCTGAGGTGTCGTACATAACCCCGTCCGCTGGTTCCAGCGCGGGCGGAACCCTTGTGACCATCTACGGCCGCGGCTTCCCAGATTTCCATCGCGGCCTGGACGACAAGGTCGAGATTCAGATCTCACCAGGCATGCCTTGCGTCGTACAGGACAGTGTGTACGATAAGATCACGTGCATGACGTCAGCCCGGCCGGACAAACTGACACCCGACGTCAGTACTGCAGTTGTCCGGGGTTTGTACTCCGGCATGCGCGGTGCTGAGTACGAAGTATATCCTACGGGACCTGACAGGACTCCGGGCTTTAGAGAGCTATGGAAGCTGAACACGACCATTCGGGCTGTGGACCTACCCAACGGTTATGTGGGAGTGCTAATGGACACGATGGAGGGCCGGACTGCGGACTATGGCTTGCCGTACCATTGCAGCCGCATGAAGGGCTTCTTCAGGGCGCCGCGAGATGCAAACTACACCTTTTACGCCGCAGCTGGTGAGTGGTTAGGATCCAGGCTTAGGATCCTCCTGCAAGGTTTGCGTGCTGTGGACAAAACGTTATGATACTGCTTGACGCTGCGCATTGTATCCATGTTGGCAGTTTAAGGCCGTGCCGAGTTGACCCTGATACGCGCTTCCTCCTGACCAACCGACACCCACACAGATGATTACGCGCAGCTAAATGGAACCTGGATCCAGGTGGGTGAATGTGTGGGTGGGTGGGTGGGTAAGCACCTCGACTATGCATGCATGCGAAGCCGCCATCTGAAATGATAGGTCAATGGTTGGCCTTGTCTAGTTGATAGGGCGTCAGTGCAAGGCTGACACTCAGCTTCGTAACTTCCTGTGCTACTTCCATTCACTGTCGCACGCAGGATGGCGGCGGTGAAGTGCAGCAAGTGCTGCTGAACGTGACGTCGCCAACAGCGCTACTAGACTGGTGAGAACCGTGAGATTGGGCAATTGGGGCATCTAAAAGGGCATGAACCCAAACCCGGGTACGGCGAGATACGAGCTGGACAATTAGTTAGCCTAGTATAATGTATAATGAGAAGAAGGTAGCGCCGCTAATCAGCGGACAGCGCCCAGCGTGGCAGTGGGGGGGCCAAAGGGGCTACTGCTGCCGTGATTACTGCAAGCTCTCAAACCCGATGCAACGTTCCCGTACGCCATTTTCATGCCTTTGTATGCAGGAAAAACTTGTCAAGCAGCCAGGCATCTGCGCCCATTAGGCTGTCATCTGGGCAACCCATCTTACTGGAGCTCAACCACTGCAACGTACTGTCGTACGGCACTGCTCAGTTGGGAGTACGGGTCTCCTCCAGCAGCCCCGCAACCAACTCCCTCAGTGAGGTGCAACGAATCCATGTGACCAGCGCCCGGGTTCCGAGATCCGTCGCAATCTCGTACATGTACGTCAGCAGCAGCAGCCCACCGGCTGTAGCGGTTCAGGTTTTAGTTTCTGCGGACAGTCCAACTCGCTTTTCGGATCGCCGATTAGGCCTGCAACTAGTGCTCAATGTACTCAATGGCTTGGCGACGGTCAAACTGCCTGTAGCAGCCACAGCTGCCGAGCTTACTGCAACCACCATTGCAGCCCTGCTGGAGTCTCACAACGGCACCGTCCTGAATAACACGACCTTTGGGATCCGGAAAAGCATCAGCGGAACAACGCTTACCCTGGAGCTGGGAGGGGACAAAGAAGTCCTGAAGGCAATGAATGTTGTCTCCTTCCGGCTACTTGACCTTGGTACTCACGTCATCGTTCCCTCAATCACCGACTGTGAATTCGCCAATCCGCTGCTGCAGCCTGTAACGGGCACGGAGGCTATCAATGCGTTTACCAGCCTACCCAGCACTGCCCAGACGCAGGCGGAAGCCCTGGACCTCAACTTATTCACTGTCACTCATCGCTCAGCAGCAACGGTTCAAACTTCGACACCAGCTGGATCCTGGCAGTTGTCCGTACAAACCGCCAACGGCAGTTTTAACGTGGACACCTTGCCTTACAACGCCACAGCTGAGCAGGTCGCGACTGCCGTTACCAATTTGACTGGCATTGAAGTGGCTGTATACCGCTCGTCCAATGTACGGCAAGGCGCTTATCTTGCGACAGTCTGGAACATCACATGGCCTAGGCTGGCCTCAGGTTCTTCGTCTACCGGCAGGAGCTCAGACAGCGCCGCAGTGACGGTCCTAGCATCCCCAGGAGTTGGCTTTCCTTCAGCCGCAGTCCTGGCGACGGAGGACCGTGCGGCCTCAGCGGCCCCCTCAGGCACCATTCGTGTCTCCTTTGGCGGCGAATGCGAGTGGACCGAACTCAACGTCTTCAAAGACCCGTTGGACGTCATTCAGGCCAAGCTTGGGTCCCTCCCGGGATTCAAAGCCCCGCCACGGGACGCCATACGCGTCGCCAACGACGACGGGTCTGTAGATGTTGCCTTCAGCTATGATTCTATTGCAAACCCCGGGGACCAACCGTTGCTTAGGGTGGTTGATACGCGCGGGCTAGTGGGAGAGGACCCAACCGCCTGGGTTGTTGCAGACAGCACTGGAAGTACGGACCAAGTGTTTTTCCCAATTCCCGTCGACATGATCCATCTGCCGATACCTCTTGAAAATACCATTACTCTGTCGGTCAACGGAGCGGCGGCGGCTTGCACTCACCCTTCAGGTACTTGCTCCTACGCATATGAGGGAAGCCTGACGCCCAAGATCACGTCAGTGCGACCTACTACGCTATCCTTTGGAGATGGACAGACAAGCGCTCTCCTCACAATTCTTGGTAAGGGCTTTACTCCAGCTAACAGCAGCAACACGACCAACAGCAGCGGCCTTGGCTCCAGCAGTAGCGGCATTGGAGCGGTTGCCGTTACCGTTGGAGGTGCCAACTGCAGTGTCGTGTCAAGCAACGACACCGCAGTGTCATGTGCTCTTCAGCGGGGTGCTGTTTCTGCTGGCAAACACAGCGTAGTGCTTTCCGTACCCGGAAAAGGCTACGCCAGCGGCGCTGGTAAAGTTGTGATTAGTAACCTGATGATAAGCGACATGCCGCCATTGCTGCTGTCAGCGCAAGGCATGACGCAGATTTCGATCAATGGTGAGGGGTTTGGTTCAACGGAGGCGGAGTGCTCCAACTTACGCTTACTAATTGGTGACGTGGCGTGCTGGACGGTTTCCTGCACGCCTACCAGCCTTACCGCGATTTTCCCGGGTGGTCCTGTTGGCGTGAACCTCCCAGTGAAATTACAGGTAAGCAAGCTTGCTGCACGGCCGGCTTTTGGGTTTAATAAGGATGCCTACTAATAAGCAGCATGGAGAAGTACTGCCACCTAGAGGGGTTAATCCGTAGTCTTTCAGCACACCCTACCTTGCAATGTGTTTGGTTCCCAGATGAATCCTTTGTGGCGCCCATACTGCGTATTCCAACCCCGGCATCCTCCTTACGTTACCGTAACATCTGCTTGGCCACCTCAGACCACGCCAACCTACGGCCCTGCGACCGTGTTCTCCCCTCTGTAGGTCCTTGAAAGCGGCACAGTCGTGGTAGATTACACAGCGGCTACGGTGGTTGCTGCCGTTGATGATCTCGCCCCAGCTGTACTGCTTCATACAGCCTCAGTTGGGGCCTTGGGCGGCGACATTATGCTGACTCTGTTGCCAGAAGGCATGACTGCGGACCTAATCGCCAGCATCTCCCTGGTTCCAGCTGTCAACACGTCACCAGCAGCTGCCATTACCGGCACTGGCAGCAGCATTGCCAACATCAGTACGCTTGCCGTAGCCATGGCAAAAGCATACCCATGTTCCTTTTCACCAGCAGACGACTTTGCTGAGGCGGCTGCTGGCGCGGTTACAACCATCTCTAGCACCGCAGGTCCTCTGCCACGCGGCGGCTACTACGTGAGGGTAGTGCTGACGGAGGCACTATCTGGACTGACGCTGTTGTCTTCCAAGACGCTTACAGTTGACCTTGCTGTGACAGACATTAACCCCAAGGTCGGCAGTGTAGGCGGCGGCACATCTCTAAAGATTAGCGGCCGGGGCTTTAGCCCCCGTGCAGTTGACAACCTGGTCTTCTTATCAGTACCCGTTTCCACCACCTTCCGAACCGGGCGGATGCCGTGTGACGTCTTATCGGCAACGGCGACTGAGATTGAGTGCCGTACCCGGCCATATTTCCTTGCTGAAGTCGACATGGAGGACCCGCATGCGAGGAAGTTGACACCTACCGTGGCAACGGATCTGGCAGTTGACGTGGTTGCTTGCACTTGGACAGACGATGCCACGTCCTCACTGGTAGGTTGCTTAGGTACCGATACATCCAGCCGTCGTATAGAACCTGTCTCTTGCTGGTCTGCCCCATCTCGTCCAACATGCGGCCATGCACCGTGGCCTTAATGGGTACTAACTACGCACTCGGGGGCGTGAAGGAGAGGTGCAGTGCCTGGATTAAACAGCTGTTGTGCTCCTTGTTTTAGGAGACATGTCTTACCAAGGGCTCAATGGCGCGCTGCGAGGCGAGCAGCTCCCAGCAGCAGTCGTGTCTCTTCAGGTAGGCCAGCTGCTAGCATTCACAACTTTAACCCCTGCCCAGCGCTCGTTATCGTCACGCTTCCCTCTGACAATCTGTGGTAACCTATTTCTTGCAGCTACACTGCATCTGCAACACCTGTATTCGGTTCCATAACTCCAAGCACGGGTCAAGGTGGCACAGAAGTGCATGTGCTGGGGCGCAACCTGGGCTCAGTGGTTGAAATGCGGTTCTTGACTGCGGCTGGTGACATCCAAGCGGCATGTGCGGCGTCAGAAGACTTCGGTCCGCCTGGCACGGAGGCGGTCATGTGTGAGGTTCCGGCGGACCTTCCTCTCGGGAACTACAGCCTAGTCCTAATAACCGACACAGGAGGAGCCTCTGTAGATCCATACGGGGTAAGGGTATGCCGTTCTGAGGGGTGTAGGTCTTGTTGAGGGCCATGCACATGCATGCTTCTTTGCCTCGAGTTCTAAATGGGTAGAGGGTGGCCCTGTTAGCTGCCTAATCACCCTTGTGTTTGCGACGTTTTGGCCTTCACTAACACGTCTCCATCCTGGAATCTTCCACCACACATGTGCAGGCATCGACGTTCTCCTGCCAGGCCAGCATGATCAGTGTCCAGCCTAGCGCCGTGTCACTAGCTGGCGGGTTGCCACTCACGGTCACGGTTTCGGGTGCGGACTTGCAGTCCCTCAACCTCAGCACGTTTTCTGTCACGCTTGGAGCTGGCGTGCTGGGGTCTGCGGGCCTGCCCTGCACTGGACTGACGGCTAGCAGTGCCACGGAGCTTAGTTGCATGGCACCGGCGCTGACAGGATGGGTGCTCGCAGAGGTTTGGAAGTCGCTGGATGATGACGTTTTGCAGTCCCTGGATAACTACGGCGATCCAGGTAAGCGCCTGCTGTGGGCCAGATCCTCGCAATCCCTACATTACCTTGATTGTCGTCGCCAGCTGCCACCCGATACGCAGACACATTACAAACCCAAGTATTTGATACGCACCTTGCATTGTATTACCATGGTTCAAGCCCCTGCAGTAATGTGTGCGCTTTCTCGTACTGCCGTCACCTCACCCGTGCCTTCCATGCTCTTGCTTACGGCCCCTGCTGCTGGCTGGCACAGATGAGGTGCTTTTGGTGGAGGGGGACGATTTCAGCAGCGCTGATAGCGGCCTGGCGGCACCGGCGGGTGCTGTTCCGGGGCGCATGTGGGCTGGTCGGGCCACATTCTACATGCAGGTCAGTATCAGGGTATGGGAGTATCAGGGTATGGGAGTAATTGATGCCTGAGGCCCGCATGCGGTGCAAACCTCCGGCCACTTAATGCCGGGGATAGAGGCTCCATATGGATACGCAAAAGCGCCTGACATGTTCATACCATTCACTGTTCACTGCAATGTTCGTACGTACGTAGCATATCCTGATCGGTTAAGAAGCCTTTACACCTTTGCAGCTTCTGACTGACACGGAGGCTGTCGTTTCCTTCAGCGCCGTCAACCTGACGGAGTTGTGGGTGGATGGCAGCCTGGTGGGCGGCGTGACCCAAGGCAGCCAAACCTTTCCCGTCACCCTCTCTGCGGGCCTTCGCAAGCTTACCTTGTAAGTGGGAGCACTACTCGGGGGGAAGGTGGGACAGTCTGCCGTTCAGTTTGGCCATTCGTGTCGCCTGGCTTGCAGCCTCTAGCAAAGCCAGACGCTTCAAGTCCTTCTCTGCCAGCGGCATCGCAGCCATACTACTACGTAGCCACCACTCCTGACACATCTTGGGTTTCTTGCCGCCACATGCAGTCTCGGGGCAAGTCAACGCGATCCTTCCATGGACCTGCATGGACACAACTCATGTTCATTTCTTCCCCTCGCAGGGCCTTTCACCAGACCACCCAGTCCGCCAACACCAGCTTTAAACTTTCCGGCGATACAAGCACCCTGGAGGGTATGGCATGGGCTAAGGTAACCCCGGTAGCCCCACGCACACCGCTGCAAGTCATGGTTACCGTGAACGGGGCGCCCTTTGAAGCCGCATGCGACGAGCAGCACGTCCCGCTGCTCTCATCGGCTAATCAGCAGGCCTCGCTGAATTTCGAGCCAACCGCAGTGAATCTTGCTGCCGGCTCCCCATCATGCAGCGTCGTCTACAGTGCCTACAAGACGCCAACACTGGCTGCAGAGGTGTTCAGTCTGTCAAGATCCGGTGTGCAATTACCCAACCGTACAGCATCAGTACGGACGTTGTACGCGTACGGAAGTTTTCTGTCGTCTGCCTTGGAATCCGAGGTGACCATAACGGTTGGAGGCTTGGATTGCGGCAGCAAGACCACCGCAGTTATCGCCGCCAGCGCTTCTAGTGTATCAGGCAATGGTGGCACCAGCATAACGCGGTTAGCATGCACCGTGCCGCCTCTGCCGCTGGGAGACTGGCCCGTGGTGATAACCGTGGCGGGATACGGTGCCACACGGCTACCGCTCAGCTTTTGGACCGATAGCCCGGTGCTCTCCTCAAACCTGACTGATGACGGTTTGCTTGGCGACTTGTCTGCATTGCAAACAACCTGCCAGGTAGAAGCATGTGCTGGATTCGCTGGCAGCAGGGGCTTCACTTCCGAGCATGTGCAGCCGTTGCTCGGCTGTACACCTACACCGTAGCCTGCAGTTTTGCTCGCGCCTGCAGTCTTGCATGCCTTCATGAGACCTCGTATCAGTCCTGTCCATACCCTACAGCTAAGCCTACCGGTACTAAATGCTAGGACAATGGTATATGTCTTTCCTACAGGTTTCTCTCTTCGGTGGTGGCGCCCTTGACTTGACGGGTACCAGCAACATCGCGGACCTTCAGGACGCCATAGCATCCCAGCAGCTGGCCGTTAGCTGGGATAGATCGGACGAATCAGCCACTGGGGCATGTGTACAAACGGCAATTTCCAACTGTTCATGGTTAGGCAGGCCAACACCGCCACAAGCCGCCGTCAACGCATCCAAGCTGTCCATTACTCTGGACTGGGCTGGGGGTGCTCCAGTGGTTTCAGTTGGGCGGTACAAGCTTGCCGACCTGCCTGCACCAGCGGCAGCAACCACAGTGTGGCCAGAGCTTTTGTCATACATAGACAACGCTGCCGTGCAAAGCTCCATGAAATGGCGCATAAAGCAGGCTTCCAGCACCGCAGCTGGTGGTACGTCAGAGTCCTGGGGCCTGGCGTCCATGTGCGGGGGATATACCCCCTACATATACGGTGGGTATACGCAGGTGTTTCGTGCTTACAATGCATGCTGCCATTCGTGCTTACAATGCATGCTGCCAAGGACATGTTGGAGGTTTAGTTGCATGCATGCAGACTCCAAATAGCCTGTACGCCACACCTGTCTTGTTAGCCATTGCGGCACATGCACTCATTCCCGTCCTCTCAACGTGCCTTGATTTGCAGAACTATCACCGACGACAGCTAACCCCGACATGATTGACGGCGAAGTGCAAGCCCAAGTCAGGTGGCGACTAACCGGAGTCGGAAGCGCTGACGGTGTGCTGCAGACCGCTGACATCAGCACACCCAGCCTTGCCACCCTTGAGTTCGAACCCCATGATGGAAGCAGACGGACCCTGACCTGCATCCAGCCCACGGTCATCTCCAGCACGGCTACTGAAACAACCTATGACGAGACGTTCTCATGCAGGCTCCCACCTTACATGACAGCAACGCAGTACACCGTGTGGCTTTGTGTGCAGCCCTACGGCTGCGGGTACTACCCTGGGAGCTGGGGTGTTACATACCAGCCTTTGGGCTTCCAAGAGGGGTTTCCCACATCAGGTCCTGCTACGGGCGGGACAGTCCTGGGTGTGAAGAGCAGCGGCCATAGCATGGACCCCACCGCCATCAAGGTGCGCTTTGGCAACAGCAGCTGTACGGTTCTAGATGCAACAATCAACGAGATCCTCCTTGAGACGGTAGCGGTGCCGTACTGTGACATTTTGGGTCGTACAGACACAAGTGCGCCGTTTGAGCTGCCTCTGTCAATTATCCCGGCTCCAGGAGCGATCGAGGTCACGGATTCAAGCATGACCTTTACTTTTCTTCCAAAGCTGGACTTGGTGATTTTCTCCGTATCACCGGCTAGGGGATCAATAGAAGGCGGGACACTGCTAACTATTGCTGGGAGCGGCTTCCAAGGAGCTGTGACGGATTCATTATCACGTTCAAGTGTTACGACAGTTCTCATCGGGGATGAGAACTGCGACTCGGTTACTGTTGTGTCAGATTCCCTGCTGACGTGTGTGGCACCGGCTGCCACGAGTGCCAATGCGGTTGCGGGCGAGCTACTGCAAGTAACACTTTACGACGCGGATAGCAACCCTAGCGCCTTTCGCAGCAGCAGCAACAGCTCTAGTTCAGCAGCAGCCTTCCAGTATGTGGCTCTTTGGTCTTCGGCGGCCACATGGCCCATGGGTCGGCCACCACAGGAAGGAGAGGATGTAGTCATCGCTAATCGGACAGCAGTGCTTCTGGATACCAGTCCGCCGCCTCTGGGAAAGCTTACTGTATCTGGTCTGCTGCTCTTCGACGAAGCGCAGCCGAACATTGATTTCCAGGTATGAGCACAGTTGGGGCCCCCAACTTGGGGGTAGATAGGTGAGGGCTTACTAAAGGCTGCTTTATGTACTTGGGCTACTACGTAAGCTTAGGCTAGCCAGGCAGGGACATGTGCATGGCGTCGAAACTAATAGCAAATGCCCGAAGACTCTCACTCTATACTTTCTAAACATATGCTCTGCCCCATCCACCACAGGCCCGCGCTATCCTGGTCGACGGCGGCAATATCACCGCAGGCAGCGTATCTCGGCGTTATTCATCAAATGTGACCATAACATTACTAGGGTCTCCGGGTGACTCAGGGCTGCCTTTATACGGCACTAAGGTGCTTGCCGTACGTGAGGGTTCTGTGGAACTGTACGGCGTACCAAAGCTCCCGCCGTACACAACCCTGAACGCGACTGCGGACCCCGGGAACAGCTCTGTGCTCGTCAATGGTCCGGTAAACTGGCAGGTGAGACTGGACGATGGCTAGGTCTCAGTCACATGCTGGTCATTGTTGGTCTTAAGCTCTGGCAGTATGCTTATGCCGTAATGTAAGCCCTGCGCGCCAAAAGCCATCCCCTCAGCTTACCCTTGCTTTCCAACTTACGGTTGTCTTGCCTTGTTGGGCAGGTGGGCGACCGTATCGTGATAGCAAGCAGCTCCATATTCGCTGACGAGGTCGACGAGGCAACCGTGGTATCAATAAGCAGCACGAGCGACCCACGGGTCGTTCGACTGGGACTGGACCAAGCCCTGTCATACACCCACCTAGGGGTTATCGTCACGCCAACTTCTGCTGCTGGTAGCTCGAGGCCTATTCAGCCACTTGACATGCGTGCAGTGGTTGCCGTACTGACCCGCAACATTGTGTTGCGGGGTGACTCCTCTTCAAAGGAGACGGCGTTTGGTGCGCAGGTAAGGTTGGGAGGTTGGTAAGCAGAAGTGGCGATGCGGGATGAACCGATAGTCGAGTTAAGGGTCATAGTTACGCCGGGCAGGCCCTGGCGTGTGTTAAGGGGGTGAGGCAATGATTGGAGTTATCCCCTGGATGCCACCGCCGCCGCCTACCTGGATAAATTGTACACGTTTCCCTCCCTTTTCCCAACGTGATTAAGACTCAGGATGTTCTTCCTGCTGGCTCCTTGCGTTGGTTAATGCCTTCCCTTAACCAACTGTGTTTGTATGGGAACACCTAATGCCGATCGCAGGTCTTCGTGCATTCCCCACCCAACACGCCACGCGCCATTGTACGGCTGGAGAACGTCGAGATGTCGCACATGGGACAGGCATTGGGTCCTGGGCGCTTCTCACTTCACTGGCATCAGCTTGGGACCTCAGGCAGCGGCAGCAGCTCGGATAGTGCCTCTTGGATTCGGTATTGCAGCATTCACGAGGCATACGCTCGAGGATTGGTGCTAGACAGTACGAGCGATGTGCATGTGCAACAGACAGTGACGTACAACGTGTACGGACATGCCTTCACGCTAGAAAACGGCGCAGAGGTGGGCAACCTCTTTGATGGAAACGTGGGCATTTTTACGAGGTCATCGTCGGCTTTAGCAGACGAAGACTTGAGGCCTGCAACGTTTCGCATCACCAACCCGAACAATACCCTCAGGTGAGTAGGCCGCACCTGCCTCTGAGGGACTCTATGTATTGGCGTGCTCGCGTATTTGATGACCCATGCTTCATGTTTCCTGCATAATTTCCATTGCAATTCGCCTACGTGACCCTATACTGGTAGCATGTTGCCGTGCTCGAAACACCTGCCGTTCGTGAATACGTCTACCAGGATGGATGCCAACGGTTTCTACCCAATCCACTACCACAGGAACAACATTGCTGCTGGTTCCGACTATACTGGGTTCGCCTACCTCCTCCCCGGCAGCCCCGGCGGCGCCTCCAGCCCCATGTGCCCCCAGTTCACCCCAATGCCCTCTGGAGGCTTCTCAGCCAACAAAGCCCACTCCCACCTGCTGTACGGGTTACGGCTACATCCGCAATACTTTCCTCGTAGCAATCCTTGTCAAGGCCTCACCTCACCCTTTCAGCAGGTGGCTGCCGTGTTCGAGGGTTTCACGGCGTTCAAGAACGGCTACAAAGGTGCAGTGGCGAGTCAGGTACGTGTGACTAACCCCTTCTTTGCTGTGCCTGGCATGCTAATAAGCAATACCTCCAGCAGCTCTGGGCACATACATACAACATAAGCTTTAAACCAACTCCGGGCAATTAGAGGCTGTCGTGCAACGCTTGCTGCAAACAAGAAGCATAGGCCATCTAGCAAAGGCGACGGTAGAAGATTTCCTCCCTAAACCCAGTAACACCTATCAATTCCCTCCAGGTGGGCCTGGTTCAGTTCCGAGGCATGGCCCTTGGGGACAACGGTGCTGGGCCTGTCGTACCTGTCCGGGACCGCAAGGATGTCGCGGCGGAGGCTGAGATTGCATGGGTGCTTGACGATCGCCCCAGGTAAATTCCACCAGCATGCAGCTCCTGGCTATCTGCTGCATGCAACCTGCTTCTGGAACCGTACCATATATCCTGCCTTGGTGCTGAGTGCTGTAACTTCCACATGTCTTTGACCAAGTTTCAGTCACTTTCTTTTGGTCGCAAACTGACTATAGTCCTGCTGACCTTCTTCATTCCTGTACAGGCGGCAAGTCCAGCTGGCGGGCATGGCAGGCCTGCACAACAGCACACTGTACGGCAGGACTGTCCAAGGAGCCCGCGGTACGGCAGGACGGTGGCCAAACCCCAACCCGCGCATCGTCAGCATTGCAACCCAGAGCGCAGTCCCCGGGCAGCACGCTCTGTCCCAGGCCGCATTGTCCTTGGTCAACATCACCTTTGTGAACTACGCAACGGCAACAATCACAGTAACGCCTGGGGATGTGTATCCCCAGTACTACGCGCTCGAGGCATGTGCCAGGTGCCTGCCCGGCCAGGGAGGTGCGACGACGTTGACTGCCGGCATCCGGTTTATCAGCATGACCAACAACGGAACTGCTGGTGGATCTGCTGGAAGCAGTGCAGGCGGTGGAGTAACGCCCCCACGACCGGCTGTAGCGTTTTGGAGCTGGGCACAACAGGTGCGCAGATGAGCTGAGGGCCGCGTTTGTTCCTTGGCAAGACAATGTAATGGACCGTGCGGGTACCCGGACCGTGCAACCATCGCCCTGCACACTTATACATAGCAACTCACTCTTCCGGGCCCTCTTCTTATCGTCCATGCGCCTCTGCAGGGCGTGTACGAGGACACCGATGGCACGCTGCTAGCCCCTGCAAACCTGGCACCATACACTTGGGACTGGGCAAGCAGCTTCCCTGCAGTCCCATGGTTCGGTGCGACCTTCCACAGCGCTGTCTCCAATGACTTCTTCGACCCTTCGGCTTGCACGTACCTGCGTGGGCCTCAAGGGCAGCCCACCACTAACAATGGGGCCATTTGCGCACCTAGTGCTGGCCCTTTCCGCCGCATCATCGTAGATTCCCTAGGACCAGCTGAGCTGACAACAGGAGACCTTTGGGTGGTTGATGTAGCAAGCAACAGGAGCTTGCTGTTGCCGTACAAAGGTACGGAGGATAAGGACGGCTACATGTTGCTGGTCCCAAGCTCACGGGAATACTGGATCCATTGGCGCTCCAAGAATGGATCCCGGGTGGATCCCACATCGTACAGGTGGGTAATACCAGTAATGGGGTCGTGGGCTGGCGTATGGGTTGCACATTGGGTACTTCTGGCAAGAACCTAGGTGCATAATTGTTACGGTTACTCGGTTGAGGCTATGAAAGCTGCTTAGGGACTTGTACTTCAGGCAGCATACAGTAGCAGGACTCGCTTGTTGCAACCGTAACACTGCGTCCCTCCAGACCTAACCGGGGGCATATGTGGGGAATGTGCCCTTGTGATGTTCAGGATTCGGAGTATAGACGCTCTGGGCTCGGCTGACTATCTGTACATTACAACCAAGTACATACGGCTCATGGATAACTTTACTATGAACGGGACTACTGTGAAGTCAGCCCTTCGACCCCTGGCAAGCCCTACAACGACCCATGGGTCATCTGCCTACAACCGTACCTTCGCCCCGAACACCTGGCGCTGGGTCACCCTTCCATCTGCAGCAGCAAGCAGCCCCCAGCCCGGCATCGTGTCTACATTTAACGACACAACCTTCACTACCTTCATAGCAGGCTCCATATCAAGCCCAGTTCTCGTAAATGCATCAGTTGTCTGTTCCTCTTCCAGTTGCGGTACAATACCAGTGCCGTACGTTGAACAACAGCCCGAGCCCTTCTTTCGTTGGTCATTGGCTTCTACCTGGCCAGCGCTGCGTCCAAGTGGCAAGCCGGCGGCCGGTGATAACGTGACCATTCCCGAAGGATTTACGGTCCTGCTGGATGAGAGCACGCCGCCGCTGGCTTCTCTGGTCGTACGAGGATCTCTGATCTTTGACGTGTCGCAGGACATCGACCTAAGGGCTTCGCTGTTGCTTATTGCAGGACAGGTGCGATAACCACGTGCATGTGCGGGGCCATGCAGCCCATGCGTAATGAACACTGCGGCTGTGTCCGGCCCTAGGAGCCTTGTATGCGACGTATGACGGGAACCTATAGCCACGGAACAGCACTTGCGTGTGTCCTGTGTAGACCTTCCTGCAAAGGAGCACGGCCTAGTTGCCATGCTTCAATTCATGCTGGCAATATGGCCAGGCTCAACAGAGCCTGCATCCTTTACTGTCAGCGTCACCATTCCTCGCCAACCGAATCCTGTTGCAGGGCTTGCTGTCTGTCGGTTCGTCCACATCTCCGTGCCCTAGGACTGCACGCATCTTGCTCTCGAGTGGTCCAGCTTGGACGATTTCAGACCTCATACTCAAGGATGTCGGTTCCACTCCCGAGGGATCCAACTCCGCAACCTACCTCGGCAGCAAGGTGGGTTTCTGGAGCTAGCGTGTGTGGTAGATCCGCAAGCCGAGCTAGGTTTTAACTTTATTATGGTATGGTGTTTTTAAGTTTGCTGATACCATACGACTAGTTCGCCGCCTTACACTGAACATGCCAAACCGTTTGGTTCTTTGTTAACACCAGGTTATTGCCGTGCTTGGTGGGGGCACGCTGGACCTGCATGGCCGTCCCCTGGGCCAGAGGTGGACTCGGTTGCTACATCCCACCAAGCCCGGGGATGCCGTACTTCGGGTGGATCCCGCGGCGGTTCTTGGATGGCAACCTGGAGACCGGGTTTTGATGACGTCAACGTCGTACAATCAGCATCAATCTGAGGTACGATACATCATCGCCATCTTGCCGTACAGTCGCCTTACAAACGACACCTCCGAATCTCCGGCTTCCATGGCTCTGGTGCTCAATGCGCCCCTAGTTCAACCCCATGGCGCTCGTTTAGTGGGCGATGCTGGAGGCCCAATGGCCGATTTGAGGGCAGAGGTGGCCCTGCTGTCTTCCAACGTGATAGTGGCTGCTTCAGAAGCGTACGACAACAACCCTGCAAACCAACCTAATAACAGAAGTAACGCCAGCGCTAGCTATTCATACTACGGCAACATAGCTGATGTGCATGGTGACTACAATTTATCAGACGTGACAACAGAACATGGAGTCCGGCTGCTTGTTTCAGGCAACAGCACTGCACGTGTGGACGGAGTCTTGATCGAGCACTGTGGACAGGTTTGGGATGGCCAGGCCCTGCCTTGTCTATTGTACGATGGTCTCCTTCCGGCGCAAACAGCTATTGCTGTCAGCAGTAGCGGGACTTCTGGTAGCAATGCTAGTGTTACTGGCGCTGCCGTGACCACCACCTCTTACATCAGTAATTCAGCAATCTTGGGGGGAGTTGGCGGAAACATCGTTGTCAACTCGAATTCATCATCTATGGGAGTCGGTATCTACGGCAATGTTCTATACGGGTCTTATGGTGCGTCAAATGTGTGGCTCAGGACGGGTGGAAATGCACTGACACAGAATTTGGCACTTGGCTGTGCCTTGTACGATATAGCGGATCACGGAAACACAACATGGAGCTCTGGCGAGCTACTAACTGCTAACTACCATATTAGCTCACCTGAGAATTGGATTGAGGGCAACGTGGCAGCGGGAAGCGACCGTTTTGGCTTCATCCTCCAGGGCTTGCCATGCACAGATCCAGCGGGGGCAGGGCCAGCCGGTAGTACTAGTAGCAGCGGCGGCGACCCTGGACCATTTAGTTGGACCCATGGGTCTTTCCTCAACAACACGGCACACAGCTGCTTGGCGGGCTTGTGGCTTCGTGCCAGCGCTGCTTCGAGATCTGTCAGCTGCACGGCCCTCTCCAACTTCACGGCACATGCCAACTGGGACTTTGGCATAATTACCATGCGTGGGATTGACACGGATGTGCGAATGTACGACGTGCATGTTTTGGACACCAAGCACGCTGGAGTGACGCTACTCCGCCAGGGCAGCTTTACGGAGCCCTCTGGCATTTCCTGGCGTGGTGGCTTGCTGGCTGGACGGTCCTCTTCTGACGTCTGTGCAGCTTGCAGCTCTCCAACCGACGCTGGTTGTCATAAGCGATTGTCGAGGCAGTCGTACAATCGTGGTCTACCGTACACTCCAAGCGTGGGCATTCTGTCCTCAGCCTTTGCGTTGGGTTTCTCCCTGGGGCCGGAATATGGGCCCTGGGAGGCTGTTAGCGGCTATCCCACTGTTTTCGGCCACATGAACGTTAGTCTGGTCACGCTGCTGAACTTCGAGGGGTATGGCGGCTGTGCTGGCGGCAGCTTTGCAATGGCCAACAACCCCTCTGCTCCGGACGCTTTCCATCCGCACTTCTTCTGGAATATGCGCCGTGTGAACGTTAGCTCCACTGGGTAAGTACCATGCAGAGGGGTCTGTGGTCAACTGGTCATGCTCTCATGCATGAGCGAAGGATGCTGGGCCTTTGCGACAAGTATAGCGATGGAGGAGCTCGTTATTACTGACCAACGGTAACCGATTCAGGTGCTAGCGAACATAACGCCGTCCTTGTCCTGCTCCATGACCCTTGCCATGACAGGTCAAGCCAAGGCCTATTTCTGCTGAAGGGTCCAGACCCCTCCTGGCGCAACTTGGCGGATTGCGGGACAGCAGTCTACTCCCCCGAGTCTGGCGTCATCACCGCCACCAACAGCAGCAACAACAACAGCAACTCCCAGGGCGTTCCTCTTAACTGCGCTGGCCCTGCGCATGCTTTCTTCCGCGACGTAGATGGCTCACTTTCGTTGCTGTCAGGTCAGCCTGCCACTCTGGTGGGGGCCTATCCAGATGATCCAAGGGTGCTGCCGGTGACCCAGGGGTCACTTGTGCCAGGGGACCAGCGCTGCTCCTTCAACACCGACATTGGGGGATACGTCTGCGGGGATGCGGACGGGTTCAACACGCGGCTCTTCGTACTTGCGAGCTTGGATGCAGGCAGTGAGGTGAGGCTGGAAGGCACGGATTACAAACACGACAAACGCTAATTTGCAGCTATGCATAGCTGCATAGTCGAATAAACAGGAGGGACTTACCATCTATCATGTACTGATACTGCAGGTTCGTGGTCCGAATGCTGCTCTCTTTAACGTGTCAGGTGTTGTGGACGTCGTACTTCCCACCATGGACCAGGTGGGCCGGGTTGGTCCAGGATGATGTTGGGTGGCGCGGGGACGAACAGAACGGAGGCAATAAAGGTAGACTTTTCATTCCAATGAGGTGCAGTCTAGTACTGGTCCTTACATACCGCTTAGCACCTACGGTGATCTCAACGTGCGTGGCTGCAGGGCTGGTGCTTTGAATCTGCGAACAGCAGCAACGACAGCAACGACATCTGTAGCAAGCGGTTGGCTGTGTTTTGGACTTACCTACCAATCAACAACACCGCTCTAGTTTCTTTTGCTGGTGCGTGAGGTGGAGGCTTGTAGGGGATTGACATGAGTGGTCCCCTGCATCACGGTACATCGGCAAGGTTGGGACTACTTGGCTGAGGCCCCAATCATGTCATAGCCGCCTTACTTGTGTTTGGACACCTAGTAAACCTACCCGTGAATCGATTTGCAGGTTCGATACCGCATTCCTTCCAGATCTGGTTGCCGTACGCCAGCCTTGCAGAAGAGCTGTTGCTGCTCGTACAGTTCCCAACCAACAGCTCTGCACGGCGTTTTGCCTGGGTACCGGGCTCCGGGCGCTCTGATCCGCTGGCATCTCCACCGGAGCTGTACGACGGTCCTGGGCACGGGTCGTACTATTGGGATCCAACCAAATCCTTGTTGTATGTGAAGGTGTTTGGAGGTGGCACGCTGGAGGTTCGGACAGAAGCTGCTGTACTGGTATGTGATGGGTACGTGATGATTGCTTAGGTACTGTGATTGGCTCAAGGGAAACGTTGCAAGTGTTGGCAACTTTGTTGTGTGGTACCAGGCGCTTACCATTCAGGGTCATGTTGGAACTCTCAGGCTTGCACCTGCTGTCCTTGGTTTATTCTTATACACTCCTCTCAAGTGCTTAAGATACCATTGCCACCCAATCTCTCTTGCCCTCCATAGGTTGGCTTTGGCCTGTCCCTCTCTATCTCTGACTTCAATGCCGGCATGCGGCAACACCTTCTTTCGGGCTTAGCCGGCGCCGCATCACTGTTGCCCTCTCAGCTACAAATCTTCAGCGCCGTACCCGGATCCGTACAAGTCAACTTGCTACTGTACCCGCATTCCTCGTACGGCAACACCTCCGTAGCTCATCAATGGCCGCAATGGAGCACAATGGACAGCCTGGATGCAGCATCACAGGTGAGTCCACGGACAGCGTTTGTCCTCTAATAGTTGAACTGATCACAGATCCGGTTTGAGATCTGCCCGAACTGTACGGTTCCTGGATCCTGCACCTGCAATCAAGACGTTTCGTCCTTCCAAACTTGAATGCCCCCGTTTCTGGCTGTTGTTGTCCCCAACTCCTTTCCTTCCTTACCGCCTGTCTCCCCATCTCCCCAATCAGGCTGCTCTTGTCTCCCAGCTAGCCAACCTTACCGCCACCAAGCGGCAGGAACTTATTGCAGCAGCTAAAGTAAACCTGGAAGCTGCCCTTGTAGCCGACACAGACGCTATACCGTACACCTCGTCATCGTACGTCCCACCACCGCCGTACAGCGAGTCCTCGGGAGCCACGTCAGCAGCGGCCCTGCCGGCGAACCTCGTAGGGGCGCTACTGCGGCTGGTCTCAGCACTAGCAGGTCCTGATGCTGCCGCCGCCGCAGGGGCGCCGGTGCTGGGAGAACCCAAACTTCTGGCAGCTTACGACAGCACCGGTGGGAACCTGATGGGTGATCCTGTCACAGCGGGGAATTTGCAAGCCCTTGTCAGCGCGGCCGTTAAGGCGGCGTTAAGGCCACCCCCACCAGCACCGAGACCGCCGCCGCCTGCGACACTGGCAGCCGATATCAAAGCCACCCCTCTAAAGCAGTTGCACCTGCCTGTCATCTTGCCGGCAGTGCTGGGAGGCCTGGCAGCTTTCGTTCTGGTAGTTGCCGGGATCATCTACGTTCTAAAAGCACGCAACAGCGTTGTTGGTGGTGGAGCTTCAGGCACTACCGGCCGGGATGGGCCGGTGCGGGCGTTCGATGATCTTCGTAGCCTAGCCGACGCAGCCGTGCCGCCGATAGCCTCTGGGTCATACTCTGGTGTTTTCGTTGCACCGCCACGACTTGCCGCCGCCTGGGAGGGAGCTGCTGTGCCCGCAAACCACCAAAACAACAGAGGAGCACAGTCGTTCACTCAGCAGTTCACGCAGCACTTCTTTCCCCGGAACGCCGCGCCAATCCACTCCTCAATCACTGCGGGCCACCGTCGTAGCAGTGCTACGGTGTTTCCAGAACTGGCGCCACGCAATACAAGCAGCACAACCCCAGCTGGCGCAGCGACTGGTGCTGCTGCGGCGGTGGTGGCCAGCCCCACTGCCGCCGCGAGAGCTGTTCCTGCAGCGAGTGCCACAGGACCGGCTGCACTGCAGTCTGCATGGCAAGACGTCGAAGTTGGACCAGAAGCAGCCGCGTCTGGGCTATCCATCCCGGCTGCTGCGCTGCAGCCGTCTCGATCGATTCCGGACAAAGCAGCAGCCAAAGGGTCGTCTCTAGGGGCTGGACGGGAACCTGCAATCCTGGCGCAGGCGGAGGCCAACCAAGCAGTGCACGCCATGGCGGAGATCAGTAAGAGACGTGGGAGCAGCACAGGAGGTGGCGAAGACGGTTATTTAAGCCCAGCTACGGCCGCAGGCAGCCCTGTCTTGCCAATTGCATTAGGCATGCGGCATACAGTCCTGGGCGGTGGTGAGGCGGAGCAGCGCTGCACAACACCTCGTCGTGGGGCATTCACAACAGCGGGTGGGGGTTACGGGGGCGCCGGACTTAACGGGATGTCCATGATGGGAGACGAGGGCAACGCTGACGGCGTGGTCAGCCCAGCAGCCCAGGGTTTCACGCGGCAGTACCGTACAGACGGCGGGGATGGAGATATCCAGGCTTTAGGGTCCCCCGGCCCGTTTCCGGCGCCACCGTCCTTTTTATTAGAGCGAGGCGGCGGTCGCGGGCATGGGTTTCTCAGCAACGTGGGCGACGCTCCGGAACACAGCAACCGTTCCTTGGCAGCCCGGGGACCCTGGCCGTCTTCGTCAGCATCGCCGTCACCATCGCCTCTGCAGTCACTGGCATTACCGCATTTGCCGCCGCTACAGCAGCAGCAGTATCGGCATTCCGGTGCTTTGCTCGCAGGAGGCATGACAGCACCTTGGTCCGAATCAACTGTCTTTCCAGGCACAATTCGTGAGGCTGCCAGAAGCAGCGGTGGGGGCATTGTCGACAACGGCGACATAGGTGGTGGCGCTGGTGGTGGGTACGGAAGAGGTAATGGCGGTGGTGCTGTAGCTAGCAGTGGAGATGGGAGTGCAGGTCATCAAGCGGAGCCGTTTCCACCGGACCTGGCTATTCCTGTGGTAGCATCGGAGGAGCCAACAACGAATGTGATGACCCATGCGGATCGTGGGTCCGCAAACGGGAGGACACAGGAAGCATGAGGAGGAGGGCAGATTCACCCTCATGCGTCATGACCGTTCCGTGCGGTTACATTGTGTACGTTTAGCAGTCGAGGGTTAGGTAGCACGGGGATCCCCTAAATACAGGTTATTATCCATATAGGCTCACCAGTCCGCTTTTAGACCGTTTGCTGGTTAACTGTCCTGCATGCGTAGAATAGATGTTGAAAGCGCTTTATATGTCTGGTGTATGGCGCCGAACGGCTGCCCATTCTTTCGCGACAATGTCTACCGGTATTGCATGACTTGGCTAGGCAGGCCCAGCATAGTACTGACTACGGAACGGCGGGATGTATATGTCGGCACCGGGCTAGCACTTTCCCCTAAGGGCAGGCACCGGTGCTGTGTGAAATTGCTGTATGTGCCCCAACTTAGCGCGTGGGTACCGGTAGTTGCTGCAAGGCTTCTGAGGGTTAGAGTTTTTACCATATCGAAGGCCTCATTGGATGCAGGATAGCTGTGCATTGGATGTCCAAGGAGGAGAAGAGGTATTAGGAACAACATGTTGTTGCAATTGCGTTGCTTCAATTGTTTCCGTACCCTGTTTACATTCATCTCGTTGCAGTGCCCTATGTGGCCCACCCTGTCAATGGGATAAAACGTAAGGCTCGCACTACACTGCAACGTTTACTGGTTGATCGCTCGGGTTCATTACCCCTGTATTTAAGTGTAGGGGTTTTACATTCCGTACTTATATTTTAACAAAGGCTGGCAAGGCCTGTGCGGCACCACCCTCGCTACCATGATACTATCCCGCACCCGTCCTCCAGTGCCAGTCCTGCTAACGGCGCTGGCGGCGGCGGCGGCCTCCAAAAAAGTAGGGCTCCTCCTGGAGCGGCGGTATGTCCGTGTCGCGTGGCCAGTGCTTCTCCTCCTGATGCAGCAGTGTTAGCTCTTCATCGCTGAAGTGGTGGCGGGCTGACGAGGCGCTGGGGGGGCTGCTGCTGGTGCCATGGCGCAGAAACACCTCCTGGTACCTGCGAGGGGACACGCGCGAGGAGGAAGCATGCATGCAAGACGTTAAAAGTTTGTACACGGAAGTAGGGGTTGTGGAAGTAAACAGAACGCCCGACAATGGACCATGGATTAGTACATGGAATTTGGAAATTGCAGAACACATGCATGCAAGCCTCTGGCGAGGAGGACCGCATGCCTTGTCTGGGTAAGGAGTGTGACATCCCGTGTAACACCGCCACCAACGGCACCAAGTCCTTGGTAGCTCCCGCCCGCACTTGCGTGCACCCGTTTGCACTGCGCTGCTCGCTTACCTGCAAGACTGGGCCGTCCGGGGGTAGGAGGACAGGAATTCCAGCATGCGCCCCAGAGGGATGCACAGCTTGCGTTGGGAGCAGTCGGGGGTGTACCTGTGGGTGCAGGAAGCCAGGAGGGAAGGCGCATGCAATTAGAAGGACCTAAGAGGGACATGGCAGCAGCCATACGTAATCGTGTTCGTAAAGCTCTAATACGGCGTCGGCTAGCAACCATTGTTGGTCGTGGTTGGCTTTCCCATGTATAACCCAGGGCCGCATCGTTCCCCCCATCCCGACCATCGCCGCAAGCAATGGTCTTATTCAAGGATGTGATGGCCCTTTCCATACATCTACAAAACAACACAACACTTCGCCCGCCCTGCTGACCAACCCCACGGCCTCAGACACCACCCCCAGGCTCACCTCATCTTCTTGCCCAGCTCCTCGATCAAGCTCCGGTAGTAGCACAGCCGAGCATTCCGGTGCAGGTGACGAACCGCGAACTGCTGGGCGTTGGCGGCGATGGCTGCCGCCTGGTCGTCGTGCTGCTGGGCCCAGCGAACCACCTGGGGCGCAGGGGTCATGGGTATGCAGTAGGGATATTTGCAACGGGCTGGTTTGGGGCAGAGGGGCAGGGATGACGGGGACGAGAAAGGTAGCGGCAAGGAGGCCGGGACGAAAGGATGTTGGAACAAGACGGGCGCCGACCCATGTGGTAAGAGTGAGGACGGCTCAGCTTGCTGACAGGCAAGCATGCGGGAAATAGGTTGAAGTTATTGACTCACATCAAGGATATCCTGCCTGGACTTGTTGAGGAAGGGCAGGTAGTGCTCGCCAGGCCGGAGTGCGTCATAGTAGAAGCCGTAGCGGGAGGAGGTGGCCTGAGAGGGACGTTGCATGGAAGAGCGCGGTGCCATTAGATAGAAGGCCTGGAGGGAGCAGTATGGGTTCTCTGTCTACCACCACGGCTTCCCTTACGTCCCGATGTCACGTAGGTGTTCTCTCGCCCCCCTTCCTGCTATCATCCCTCCATGTGTGCACGTCCTGCCTTAAGAATGGTGGACCCCAGGAGCAGGTACTTGTCGAACTTGGAACTAATGGCCCAGCCGTCTGTGGAAACCAGGTACCTGCAGAGCAGCAGAGTGATGGTGGGTGTGAACCCAGGGCCCGACCCATGGGCCATCGTGCGTCAGGGCGGCAATGAGGTGGGACGCGGGTTGGATGTTGCCCGGTATTGGGGTATGTGCTCGCATGGGGAGAAGGACACAACGGAAAAGAGCAAGCAAACCAGCAAACCCCTCAGCTTCTTCAACCGCATCGTAACAGACCATTCCACCGAGCGCTAATGACGTTTGCAGTAAACACAAGACGCGACGACATGCGGTCACAGACCTGAAGACATCTTGATGCTGCAGGGGGACGGGCCTGACCCCGTTGGCCCCTGTAATGCCGATGTCCTGTTACGTTGGGGAGGAGGCAAATGACGGTCGTGGTTCCGGTCAAAACCTGTGCTCCATACGCCCGTACACGCAACCCCGAATCCAAACACCGCAAGCCCGCAACGCTCCCGCATAGCCATAAACCGTCCAGTTCCCTTGCAAGCCTTACCATACGGCCTTACCAATAGGTCCTTGTGCTCCTCTGCGAGCTTGGGTAGAAAGCCCCGGGCGCATGGGAACGACTCGCCGCTGGGTAGGTTGGGCATTTTGTAGTGATAATTGGGACAGAACTGGTTCCAGCGACCAAAGGCGACCTGGCAATGGGATGAACGGGTTAAAGTGTCGGATGACGGAGTCCAATCCGCACATGTAACAGCTTCCAAGCCTATAATGGATGTCGCAGTTGCATGACAGGTGATGCATGGCCAGTTGGCCACTGGTGGGCCCTGGACAGCCAAGTCAGAAATCATGCAGGCTAAAAGAGCAACAAACAAAGTCCTGCCGACCCAAAGCCACATAGACCTTTATGGCACACCGACGCATCGCCGTCCTCACGGGCACAGCAGTGCCGCCGTGTTGGCTGGTCGCTGCCGTACCTTCTGCTTCTTGGCCCAAGGCACCCTCCGAATGTCATCCAGCCGAGTTAGCAACGCGTCAAAGCTGTCATCCGTACATCTGCAGCAAGAGGGGGAGACAAAGAAGTGAAGCACAGGGAGGGAAGGGAAAGCCAAGGAGGGATCACAACGTATGCCATTTGTACTGTAAGCCGAACTTCCGCAACGGCAAGCGCCCTGTAGCAGTGACGAGTCAACAACTACAGACGCCTTATTTTACCTCCAGCAGGAATGCCAGAGATTCGCGGAAGTGTACACGGGGTTTAGTAATACCTGAATGCCCCGCTGTACGGCACCAGCTGCGCAAAGCTGGCGTCGCTTTTGCTCCAGGCCAGTAACGGAAAGGGCCCGCCGTGGAAGCTGCGAGGATGAAGCAAGGTGTAGGCGAGCGCCGTATGAAATCCGTGTGAAAAGGGAAACTGAGTCCAGATTTGGTAGCAGAGTCCAATGGCTGCTGCTGCTGCGCTTAGCTTTAGGCCCAAACAACGGGCTACTCAGCATGTCATTGAGGAACGCTAAGCCATACAAAACCACTTCTGTACTGTATCCCACTGTCAGTTCCTGTTCCGTACAAAATGCGGTCCCCATTGAGAGCAAAACGTCACCGCGTTACCCTCGTCACTCACACTGACTGCAGCTTGGCTCTGTCTTTCCAGTCGAAAGCGGGACTGACGGCATCGTCGTTGCCGTTGAAAGCAAACTCCAAATCGGGAAGCCTACGGGAAACAGTGCGGCAATCGCAGGAGATATAGATGTCATAACACACCCACCAAAGAGGACTGAAGTAATATTGGCCGTGCAGGCCCAAGTACCAGAAAGAGAAAGAGCGTGTCGCACGGTACGAAGAGAGTGAAGGTTACGACCACCAATTGCGTACAGCTTCCTTGCAAATTTGCTGCATGCCCTGCTCGTCCAAGCATTTGCATCACCCTGTACGGCAGCTTCCGTACACATGCTTCACGTGCCTGTAGAGTTTGCTGGTCTCGTACAGCTCTAAAAGGAACCCTATGAATTCCGGCGGGCCTAGTCGCCAGTCCGGGTGAATGCTATTGAGGTAGATCTGAGGGGGAGGCATGGGCGTCCGGGGATGGGGCGTGGTAAGACGTAGGATTGGAGGCGTAAGCAAAGAAGTGTGACACGACGGTAACACGGCTCGTTCACCACCAAAGTCCCCAGCGCAGGAAACCGAGTCTTCCTATCTACTACCGGTATTGCATAGGTAAGCACAGCCGCCCCGCAGCGCAGTGCTTCATTTCTCCTTCTGTAACGCGCAACGCACGTAGACCCCCTCGATCTCCTCCTATCTACAGCTGCATGCGTACGATGCAGCCCCCCTTCCCGCCACGCATGTGTGGACCTCCCCGAGCCCCGACCTGCCAGCAGTGCGCCCCACCGTACCTCACCGTCCTTGATCATCATGCGTACCGCCATCGAGTTGCACTGGTGGCTGATGCCCACATTGCACACCTGGTATTGTTGTTGTTGTTACAGCAACATGGGGAATCAAGCGCAACCGCCAATTGGTATTGATTGTGCGCCATAAGTAATCTAGGTGTTGTCAGGGAGGGATAGTACGGTATCTCCCCAAACACGGCTTTCATCAGCGCTATCCAAGCCACGCCCACATGGCTTACCAACGAAATATTGCGAATCATGGCGTCCGTGATGCCGCCGATGTCGTCCAACCACGCCACATCCTTCCGGATCCTGTACGGCAAGCCATGCGTACGGCCGCGGGAGGGCGGGGCATGTACGGAAGCACAGCTTCTGAGTACTGTAGCATGGTAAGGCACGAGAGTTGGCAAGAACCATGCTGCTGTCCAGCCATACGGTATGCCATCAGAATCCTTGCCGTGTAACAAAACCTATGACGGAATGGCTTCCAAGGTGGCGGCCTTTGCCAGCTGACCAACTGAGGAGATGGAACCGCTGGTTCCCGTGGGAAAGGCATGCGGCATGTCAGGCGCTGGGGTAAAAACTGAAACCCATACTCATGCCGAGACGCTTAGCAGTTGCCAGGCAGCACCCACGATCTCTAGGAACACATTCCAGGGTATACAGTGAAAAGCTCGAACCCGCATGCGTCCTGGCAAGCGCCATGTTGACACCCCCCTACCCAACGGATGGCCCCCTAACAAGTCGGTGGGCGCTTCCAGCTGTGCAAGGTAGGCGATAGCTGCGACAGCAGCTGATGACAAAAAGACAGGATTTGATTGGAGCACCTCACCTCTCCCGAAATGCCGGATGCATAGTGCACGGCCCCGAGCATGTTCCTGAAACTCCAGCATCGCTTGCTCGGATGGCTGGAAGAAGAAGCACCAGACCAGACAAAAGAATGATAATGCTCATCGTGTTAGTTGTCACTTTGCACAGCCGGTGTCTATGAGCATGTTGGCCCCGGCAACGACAGCTTTGGCCCCGGTGCACTATACCAATTCAAAACTTGTCAATAGTGTTTAATCACTTAAAATTCTTGTTCACACTATCCGTTTGCTTCGTAAGTTGCAGGGAGCAAGCAAACTAAACATCATACCAAGTAAGGCCTTCGCAGCAAAGATAGTGCCTTAGGCTAAGCGCTAACACTAGTGAGAAAACGCTTTCTTCTCACCTGTGAGGCAGAGATCGCGTTTGCGCAAACACAGTTATTGTTCGTATACGGGCAGCCGATCTTGTTTCCGAGCAGTTCGCGCAAACGAGCATGGACATTAGCAGTAAGGATACAAATGTCAACCTAGTTACCGGTATTTTGAGCCACGATGCAGGCCTACGCGCCAGCTAGGCACTCGCAGACCCAAGGGGCGGTGCCTGGAGGGTAGCGTGGCGACTAGAAGCACGCCAGAATGCATTGCTGCCATACGCCAGCACTTCCAACATAGCACAGAACATTCTTTAGGGTTGCTAGAAACCAGCGGCTTAAATCGCAAGTGCCGGCCCCATCATGGAGTAGCATAAGTGGCAGGTGGTCTCCTCGCGAACAAGCCCTTCAGTACCCTAACTCACAAGGTACCTCACAAGGTTACATGCCAACTTTAGGAAACGCATGCCATGTGCGATATCCCGACTGGCAAACGGACCTCTGCACCAGAACAATCAAGTTCCAGCCACCTGAATCCACGTGAACAAAATGACCATGCCCCCCAAGGTGCGCCCAACGACCAGAAACATGGCAGGCGCTACAGCAGCTTGGAGCCGGCCTGCTGTTGCAGAGCTTCAGGAGCAGCATCACGAGCTGTCAGCTCTGAGCCTGCGTGGAAATGACACCGGGAGCACGTACGGTACGGCAGCACTGTTAGGTGGTTGGCTGATTGCGGGGTAGGAATGCCCGAGACATGAGACAACAAGCCGACCGGTAGCAAGGCACCACCCAACGCGGTCCCAACTTGCCGCTACGCGGCGAACCATACCTGCCACGCGAGTGTTCCTGACGAATCCGTAAGCTCCAAGCATTCCGTGCAAGGCGACATAACATAAGGAAAGGGCAGCCGCATCTCCACGATTGCTCGGATTGCCACCCCCGTTCGCGTTGTTGACATTGCTGTTTTACCAAACGCCCTAGGATGAGTTATGCTTGAACAGCTTTAAGCTAAACCAGTGAAGGAAGATCTGCGGGTTTGACAGTTAGGGTGAAGATGTAGAGCAACAGAGTACCCCATACTGGCCGCAGCTGGTGTAGCCAAGCAGGGCAAGCCTAGCATGGGGATTTGGGATTGAGTACCGGTCATGGGCAAAACACTTGACACACGAACCTATCGAGAGACTAGACACACCGTGCCGCGCAAGTAGCAGGATCTGACACACAAAGTGGCCTTACCGCAAGAGCTGTTGCATGGAAGGCAAAGGCGAGGCGAAAGAGGAGCTGTCTGCGATGTCAGAGGCAAGCAAGGCGTTGGCAACACATAGGGCACCAGAGGTGAGCAGTAGGGGTTAGGAGGCAGGTTACAAGCCGGCCGGCATTCCGCCACTGAAAGCCCAATCACCCACGTGGGCTGGAGCTAAAACGTGAACCAGTATAACCTGGCAATGAAAGAGGCTCTGTCCTGTCCAAAATGCGTACACGTCGGCAATAATTCCATTCAGCAGATGCCGGTGGAGGAGGAATTGTGTCCGGCGGGGCTCCCTCCTCTCCCTACTCACGAATGCGTGCGCATGAGGCTTAAGAGAGGCGGCAGAGACGCGACCGGAAGCCACAATGCCGCCTGCGGTTGCACACGTCAAGCATTGTGTTGATAACAAAGTTAAATGTGCGAAAACGTCTTTGGAGCGAGGGCGAGGCAGCTGCCGGCATCCGCCACGCATGATGTCCCCAAGCATTCCCAATGGATGCCGTGTTCCAGTGATTGCCGCCTTCCGAGGCACGCAAAGGCTATGCCCCTTTACCGGAATGATTGCGTTACCACGCCTACCATGTGAGCGACGTGCAGACCGACAAGCGCGGCAGCAGCTGTAAGCATGAATAAGCTGCAAGGGGAGGTTGCCGCAAGGTGGGTGGTGAGCAGGGTAGAGCGTGCTAGGGTGGGTGCCTTGGCGCACGGCGCTTAATCTGTGTGTTGATACCGGAAGCTAGCATTCGTGAACACGGTATGCTCCGTAAGGCCCACGTATGGCGGCCGGCATGTGCAAGGGAACTTAAGGGAGGGCATGATACAGCACGGCACGAGCTGACGACACTTCCTGTCATCCCGGTCTTACCCAAGTAATCTAGTCATAAGCGAATGCTCGCAAGGGGGCTTTGGCGCTTCAGGAACCAGCAGCGACTGCGAAGGCCGGTGGGCATGAGGCGAAGTTCAGCGGTCGTCGAACCCGAACTCTCCTTTGCACCCAGGTACATGCCTGAAGAGCATGTGTCGATGCTACCCTTCTCCAGGACCGGTTAAGCTCGCCCTCAAGTTGCGCAATGTCCGCCGATGGCTGGCTTCTTTCGTCCCCAGAGCAGCAATCCTTAGCCCTCACGTTCTTGCGTCGTGCCATTCTGAAGTTGCTACTACTTCACAGTATACTTTACAGTTGCTACTACTTAACCGATTTCTGTCCTTTGCGTAGGAACGACGCATACTTCCGCGGAATGCTCAGAACATCATGTACCCCAAGCGGAACAGCATATTGTTTGAAGGTTATAGGACAAATAAAGAACGTGTGTCGTCGGCAAGCAGGGAAGCAACGCTTTACCGCTTGGACATTCGCCACCAAATCAACGGGCGCCGGATCCAAGGATTGGAACGCGCTGGCAGCTGTTGTCGCTGTCTCGCTTGCCACGCCTTTGGCTGCCTGGCATGCATCTTAAGCTAATCTGTGAACGCGGATGCACCGCTTAAGGCTTTCCGATCAGGGTGCCTCTAAAGTACGTGTGAGTTTCCACCGACCAAAGGGCGAAAGCACCCCTCAAATGGGAGTGCCGTAATGGCCGAGGTCAAGCCGATCCACGTTATCGGATGATTGAGGGAAGGTTAGCAAGGAGACGATGTGTATGTGTATGTTACGGCTCCGGGGGACGTGCCTGGCCAAAGAGACTGAAGATACGTCATACCCATTCATGGAGTCCCTGCCGAGCCCTACCTAGCGTTCGAGCACACATCCTCATAAGCTATATACCTTCATCGCCTGTACGCCACAACAGGATCCTCCCCATGGAGCCTTAGCAGCCTACATGCCATGTCCTCCGCTAGTCGTATTACAGAAATGGCGTAATGCCCTGCGCATTCAACCCCCTCCTTCCAGGTAGTCCTGTACGGCCTGGTATACCCACCTTCTGCACCATCATGCACACCGACATGCATAGCAGGCTGCTAGACATCACCAAACCCGAAAACCTAATCGCGCCTCCTGCAACTACTACGGCGTCTTCGACCCGTACCCTTGACCTGTGCCTCGCCCCGCCCTACCTTCCTGCGCCAACGCCAGGGCGTATACTTCGGAGTAAAACACCCCCAAGGCTTAAACTGCCGCGGCACACAGGCACCCTGAAACCACTCCTTTAGGACCCTTTGCTTACAGGAGATCCTTCGCACTCAGCACCTACCGTATGCACCACAGCTGCACACACCTACAAACGCTTCAACATGCGCGCATGCATGCTCGCGGTCGCGTTAATCGCACTCCTCCTCCCAAATAGCCCTCCAAGGAGCTGCGCCCTCCGCGCTGCCTGCTACTAGTGTCCGCTGCCTCCCCCCTGGCCCTTCATTATGTTATGCAGCAGCTTCTTCCAGCTCTTATCCATGGGGCAGCCGCTCAGGTCAATGTAGTGCAGCCCAGTGTTGGCCTGAAGGCAGGGGGCACAGGGGAACCGGGGCAGGATAGGGATTAGTAGATTAACGCACAGGACTGGACACCGGTAGCAGCTCGAGCCACAACGGTAAACGGATGGAAATGTGTAAAGCGCACAAAGCAAGCAACCAGATACTTGTAAGAAGTGGAGCGGAGGAAAAGGCATCACACTCACTGGGCTCAAGATGGCTCAAGGTAGCCCTCCTATTCCACCTCCAAGACGGGTCCCATACACAGAGCCCTCCCTGCCTCCCTCTCCCATCAACACGTACCTGCAACGCGTCTGCCAGCAGTTTCGCGCCCACGTCCGTGATGCGGTTGTTGGCAATGAGCAGCCGCTCCAGCGTGTTGTTCTGTTGCAGCGCCTGCAAGCAACGCGACACAACGGACAGACACGCGAGCAAACGTTGAGGACGCGAGAAGCACATACGGTGACGTGCGAAATCACCAGGAACGTCAATGCTTTCTGTAAGAACACACCAAAACAGATGAGGGCTGGGAAGGTTGAGGCTCGCGCGCGGGCAGGACGCAGCAAACCGCCATTGCAGGCCACGGACCTGCGCCAGATACGCTGCGCCCTTGTCATCACAGCCCGTCCGTGAGAGGTCGAGCTCCTTGAGCGCAGTGTTCTTTGCAATGCCCTTGCATATGGAGTCCACGCCTGCACAGCAACAAATGTGACGGTGATATCGTGTTGCCGTCTTTCCGAAGGGTGGTGGTAAATGCCCTTCCCGATGGACCACACGGGAAGGTACACCGTGTACGAGGATTAAGGGGAAATGGAAAGCTACACGTCAAGCTGGTAGCTCTCGGCGCGCCACAGCACGAGACATGCTACAGCAACTCAATGAAATCATAATCCTCGCCAAACGCCATGCAAGCAGCCCTTCAGTCCTCACCCTGCGTGCCCAGCCGTGTGTTTGCCAGCCCTAGGCTGCGCAGACCGCGGTTGCCCTTGAGCATGGCGCCCAGCGCCCCCGCGCCCTCCCCGCCCACATCGCAGTTTGAGAGGTCTAGCCGCTGTAGCACATTGTCCTCGTTGAGGACCTGGGAGGAGGGCGAGCAGGGCAGGGCAGGCAAGAGCAGGCAGGCAGAAAACGTGAATACCGGTAGGTGTGGTGCATGCATGCATGCGTACTGCAGAGAACGCCGGGAAGGGACGTGAGGCTTGCAACCCTACTTGTGGCCCACGTGTAAGCCTAATAACACGCAGGTGTAAAGACTCTGTACCAAGACAACAAGACGTACATGCGTGGCTAGCTAAACATGGCAGAGCGGGCCTCCAGATGCCTCACCGATGCGATGCCCTTGACGCCCACCGGCCCCAGGTTGGTGTTGTTCGCTAGATTGAGCGTTACCAGGCACTTGTACTGCGGAGTGGGAAGGAAAAGGGGCATGGCAGATGTGCTAATCTCTGCTGTAGGTCCTCTGGCATAACGACCAAACAAGGAAGGATCCTAAAAGGGGTTGGCGCGTGCATCCGTGGGCTGGGATTGGCAGCTCTGCCGCGTACCTGCATGATGTACGTCGCCACTGCCTCCGCTCCCGTGATCCCCACATCGTTGTTGCTCAGGTCCAAGTCCCTGCAGAGCAAGGTGTGCCAGCACGACATCACCTCAATACAGCGGTAACGCCCCGACAGAGCAAGGTAGAGACTGCTCGGTCAGCCTTGGCCCATGAGCCTAGGCGTTTGCGCACGCATGGACAGAACCACATGCGATATGCCACAGCAGAGGGCGTGCTGCGGCCTGTTTTTGCCCTCCATACCCTTTAACAACCATGGCGTACAAGTGTGCTAACAAAAACAACATACACAAGTCGTACATACGTGTCGTACTGCCGTATACCTGATCATCAATCCGTACAGGTTATGCCGTAGCCCCTCCATGATGTGCGACACCGACTCGTCGCTCAGCCGGTTGTCAGCCAGGCTGAGGACGTCGAAGCCGGTGGTCTCAGCGAGCACCTCCTCCAACATGCGGGCCATGTGCGGACCTGCGAGTGAAAGCGGTAGCAGCAAGACAGTAATGGGATTGTTACGGGTATGCATAAGCACTTTGGAGGTGCAGGACGCATGATGCCAGAAACGGGTTGAGGGAGCAGGACCGTGAGACTCCCATTATGTTGTTGTCGTCAACCCGCCACTCTTCTTACATCAAGCACCAGCTATCTCAGCAGTTTTTGAGTTACGGTTCAGGTTTGGTTACCTCTGTTTTACCTCTGTTTTGTTTGTACTTGCGGTTCACATGCGAACCTATCCCAACTGCTTGCTCTTGTTTCCGCTCAACTACACACGAACCCTAGTGGCCGGACCCTCCCACCTGGCCGTATGTTGGACGCGTCGACTGCACGAACAGTCCGGGTCTCCTTCAGCGCCTGAGGGCCACGCAAGGTATGAGGTATAACATTTAAAATGCACATGCCACGTACCCAGGATGCTTTTAGCATGTTCTACGCTTGTACATATGTCACCCCAGCCAAGCACCTGCGTGACAACGTTTATAGATGCCACTAGTCGTGTTAGCCAGAGAGCTTCCATGCCAAGGTGCTCACCTGGTCTCGCAAAATGTGTTGATCCACCTTGCGCGCCAGCTCCTCCGCCCTGTTAAACCGTACGGCGCCCTTGTTGAATGTGCGGAGGGCCTTACGGAACAACGACATCTTGTGACCGTCTGCCAGGTGTTTGGCCTCGCCCCTGAGCGAAAGGAAGACAGAGGGTGAGAGAACAAGGTTGCTAGGAGATAAGAAGCAGTTAGGTGTCCCTCTAGCCTGGGTTAGTGCCGCAGCAGAGCTATGCAACTCCAGGTTGAGCAAGGGGAAGTACGACACTCTGTCGCGAGCAGTTCAAGAAGCGCCTTGGCACGGCATAATATACGGTAGTGAATCTGCTTGCAGGAATTCTGGAGAGTGGGGCCTGTTGATTAGTAATCCCTCCTACCTGCAGTTGATGACGTATTTATCGTACAAGGGTTTCAGCGTGAGCTTGTCGCCACTCTCGCCCAGCTGCACGTTACACCTGCGGTAACAGCATCCGCATCCGCAGCAGCAGCAGCAAGACAACCCATAAATGAAGGACGAGGATATTCACAACACATTGGAGATGGCAGCGGTACAACAACAGACCGCAACCATCAAGGACGAAGCCATTATACCTACCGGTACACTCCCCACCTCCATCCGCCCCTACCTGAGCGACTAAATACCACCTGCCCTATCTCTCTAACAACCAACATCGGGAACACCCCCAGCAGCCAAACCCCACCTGAACACAAAGTCCAGCACGAGTGCCCGCGGCAGCCGAGCAGCATTGGAGCGCATGTAGCACAGCGGGTAGCCGTCCTCGTTGAGCGGGTGCAGCCAGGGGTCCGCTAGCGAGAGGCGGATGAACTTGTCGATCACGTTGATCACCGCCAGCATGAAGGCGGCGTAGATGGCGTTCAGCGCGGATTTGCGCTCCAGGATGTGGCTGCAGGGCAGGGAGAAAAGAGGACAGGTAGTGTGTAAGGATGATGTGCAACAGCAGGAGGAAGAACTGTGACACCGAGAAGTATATACGGTAACCCGCACCGCAGCCCCCTCGCGTTCCTAGGGTGACGCGGGCAGCTGCTAGAACCGGTTCTGCCATGTTGCGCGGTTGCCAAGCTCGTTTATCATTCAACTCAGTTCGGTTCGGTTCAATTGCTGCTCGATCATCCAGCCCGAATGCTCACCCAAACTCGTCTTTGAGCGCGTATATTGCATCGTACAACACGCCCAGGATGATGCAGGCGGGCAGGGAGTTCATGATCATGTGCAGACACACGCGCGCCTCCTCGTAGCCCTGCAGCATCATCTGCGTCATGCCCTCAATCATGATGTTGCTGTGCACGACGGAGGACAGCAGCTGGATGTCGAAAAACAACACGTCAACCTGGGGGAAGGGGGCAGCGGGGGAAGTGGGGTGTTGCATCGTGTATGGTTGTAAGCAGGGTGTGGTTTCGGGACTGTGCGACGTAGGCGGGCAAGCGGACGGCTATCAATTGTCGACACGCGCGTCATAATTCACGGCACCGGTATCGACGGCACACGGCACGTTCAGGGCACTCGTTAGCGCCCGGTTAAGTTCCTTACCTGCCGCCGTGCGAAATTGAGGAAGTCTAGTCCGCTATATACCGGGCAATCTATGGGCCGATCATTTTCCATGTACCTGCGGAAGAAAAAGGTCGCCAAACACTGCTCATGCTAAAGGAGTCCTAGGAAGCTCATCAGCAGTTCTGCTATGCTTGATGTAACACATGTCGTACTCACATGATAACGGCCATCAGGTAGTGCGAAAGGAAGTACAGCAGCCCCATCACAATGGACACCCAGCCGTTGCCGTTTTGCGACAGAATCTACATGAAGCGAGGCGAGGGGGCATGATGGTTGTAAGCTTGTGACCCATACCAGCAGGCGCGCGCATGTAAGACCTTCAGATGCGATAGACTACACAAGCTTCCCGGAACCAATGCGCCACGTCAGCTTTCTGGTCCGGACCCAAATCAAAAACATGCGCTACGCACTTCCAATGCAAGGAAACCAACCCACGGTCTATTGGACGTGTTCCAGGTTTGCCCCATTCACAAGCACCAGACCTTTGCACCCCATGGCCTTCCGGACAATGCGGTCTTACACCGACAGGTTGGCAGCCAGGCACCGCGACACTTACATTGATCACAACGAAGATGAGGATCACGTCCACAAAGTGCAACGCCAGGGACGTCGTGTTCCACAGCCAGATGATGATGGCGCGTACGGTGGGCATGGTCTTATCCATTGCGTCGCTGCCGTAGAAGACGCCGTACGACAGAGGGTAAACGAAGCGCTGCCAGCGGTTGAGAACCCAAGATAAGCCCTTGATGCACTTCCAAGGCCCGATGGCTATGACCCACATCAGGTACTGCGGGGACCAGGGTCGCAGGGAATACCTTCTGTTGCTATCATGCTATGGAGTTGTACGAAGGAGCAAAGCGCAGTCATGTCATGCCGACAAGGTCCCGCTGCCGTACCTTGAAGAAGGCCCCCAAAATGAGTTCATGGTTTGTGCTGCGGTATTTTGGTAGCGAGGAGGCGCCCCCTGTGAGGGCCACTTCCTCCAGGTTGTCAGCCTGTAGCAGGGGCGAGGCAGTTGGCCCGGTGAGGCTTAGGATCCCGCGAACGAGGTATATGCTGGAGAGGAAGGTGTGCGAGGCAAATGCAAAGGCCATCGCAGATCATGGCACGGCATAGCTTGCGGTGTTATAGCGGCCATGTTGGTGCTTACCGCGTAGTCGTGTACAGCCTGCTGTCGGCTGCTGCTGGGCCCGGCCCCGTTAGCTTGCCCGCTTGGTGGCCCATTAGCTCCCCGAGAGGCCGTGTATGTCTGAGGCTACCGGAGAAGGGGCAAAGGGGTCACGTGGAGCTGGGAGAGTCGAGATGGAAGTTGAAACGTTGGTTAGGCACAAGCCGAAGTACCACACGTGCAACAGCCTTTTGAAGATTCTTATCCTAGCCTTTTCCTAGCACGGGCCTCACCGTTCGTGCTTGTGGCTGATTGGCCGCCTCAATGTCCAACACGGCTGCTGACCTTGACTTGCGCATCCTTGTGCGCAAGAGCTAAAAGATTATAGCTGTTCAACAGGAACCGAGTAGAGTAACCTTCAATAGTAGATCCCCATGTCATGCATAGAGGATTGGAAGAGTATGTTCAGTGAATGCTGTTGTGCATTTTTCGGTCGGACATCCGAGCCTTTTAGGAAATGTTGTACAGCTACACCTTCTAGCCTGCTAGCAAAGGTAGCAATATGAAAAACCTGCTTTTGTATGTGCAAGCCTTTATCAAGGGCTGGAATGGCCCTGACGTGCAAGCTACTCCGAATGGTAAGTTTACATAGAGGGATCGCGCTTCTTCACTATCTAATAACCCGTTCCAATAGGTCACCATGTATCTTACCGGATGTTTCGCTGCTTCCATCACTTTCCATCTGTTGTCGTACTTCTGCAGTGGAGACTGCACTTCTGCAGCTTAGGCCCGCCATGCCACCCCTGGCACGCCCGTGTCCTCCCTCTGTTGTTATTGAGGTTTCTGATGAAAAATGATGATGCACGCATAACCCAACCTGTTTCCCTTCTCCCGGGGCTTGCGTGCAGGAATGAACCTAGTGTTTGGTACATCCCCGTCTAAACTAAGGACATAGGATATGCATGACGTGTTCATGTTCCATCCTTCCGTGTAAATCACATACCTCTACTGTTCTTACGGTCGGAGAAGTCTTGAATAGTGCGGCAGCAGCACTTAGGCATCTATTTTCGTTACAAACCGCCCAGGAGCCTTTGCGGCCAATAGAAGGGCGAACAGGACTCGCGCGCAAATCCCTAAACAAGTAAGCCAAGAACGCCTAAGCGTTCAACACCCCAGAAAGCCGGTCGCCGTAAAGCTATGGCCACATTCACTACCAAGTCTCTCCGCAGCTCCCTGCATGAAGCTCCTTAACGCGTGCTCTCAGGGCCACAAGGGAGCCTAAGCTCCTGCTCGTCCGGATTCACCGTTGCCAAGCACCGGCCCTAGCATGCCGCCTGACGCTACCATGCGCAGCATCACAACACCCTGGCTGCAGCGCGTAAACCAAGCAGCCGTACTCCCAGCACGCCAGCAGCCATCCAAGCATTCTTAAGTCGTGTGCGCCATGCAGACGCTACCGCACTCCGACGCCGATGCTGCAGCTGCTGGACTATTTTCCCGTTCCTGCTGAGACGCGCCGCTAGGGCTGATGCGCCGAGGCTGCTGCAGCGCCTCCAAGCGCAACCCGCCCTAGCGCCAGCCAGGTCCCGCTGCCACCCCGCCCTCGCCGGACGCTGCTTACAGGTGGTCACCCTTCTTGTACTCATCCATGTAGTCATAGTTGGGCACAAACTTGAGCTGTGGGGAACAAGTACAGGAAAGGAGGAAGGGGTACATAGGGGTTCAGCGGGGGAGACGGTGCCTGGCTAGCAGGCTGGAAAGCTGAGAATCCGCCGTGACCGCTTAGGTAAGGTTGAGCCCACTTGTAGGGCCCAAAGTTTGCCAAATCAGCAGGGGAAGCTCCGACCATGACAGGCCAAAGGGGAGGCGCCCGTAGAATGCTCCACGTGGCTGCCGAGAGACCACTATCGCTTGCCTGCTGCCATAAGTGTCCCCACTGCCCCGTTACATGGTGCTATACTTCTACCAAACCCCCGCAGACAGCTCTACCTCTGTGCTTTCCCCCTGTGCACCCCCTACTGCTCTACGCCATCCCTGTCGTCAACCCCACTGCAAGCGGACGCCCTTGCGTACCTTGGGTTGGGCCGGGTTAATGGAGTAAGCCGTGCCGCCAATGAACTCGGGCTCTGTGAAGTAATAATAAGCAATGGGATGAGCCAATTATAAAGCTTGGGAGGCCACAAAGTTAAGCGTTCATGGCACTTACTGATGAGCGGCTCCCAGTGACGGAAGCGCGCCAGCAGCTCCTCGCCATGCTCAACCTTCTTGCGAATCTCCTCGCGGTCAGACTGCAAAGGGATAAATAAGAGTAAAAGCACGGAGTAGTCGGCCCCACGAAAGCCAAGCCGCGCTCTGGCTTGAAGCGAAGTTCCAATGCCCTTTTAACGCTCCTACCAAGTTGCGGTTGTCCTCAAACTCCTGTCGCAGTGCATATGCCTGCAGGGAAATTGCGGAAGAAGGCAAGCCCGTTTTGCCGTCCTCATTTAGCACTGTCAGCCCAGCAAAGATTATAGTACTATAGAATGTTAGGGAACATAGGTAAACTCTATTAACTGGGTCGAGGACGCCTGGCTGGGTTCATTGCTATGTGCTTACCCGTGGATACCACTCATGCCGGGTAGAGCTCCAGTTAATCAGCTCCTTGAGACCAGTCCGATACATGCGCATCACACGAAGCTTGTGGGGGAGAGCAAGCACAACTTCAGACGCCATTTTTGCTAGCGCGCTGTTATATCCCCTTGTAAAAAGCTAAGTCGCCCTAAGACCCCAGTTCCACTCCTAATATCCAAGCAACATCTACCCGGTCCGTTACCGTCAGGACAATTGCGCCCGTACGGAATTTCGCCCTTGCACGTAACCGTTTGCAAACGGTAAAAGCATCTTTCTAAAACAACGTTTTACTGGCTAGCAAACTAGCTCAGCTGGTTAGGCTAGCTTCCTCGCTTTCTTGGAAGCTGTCAACTGAGCAATCGAGCCGCACCTACACTTTGCTGCGTCTTTTGGCTCTTTCCTACAAGAATTGTATTTGGGTTTTGTCCTAGGACGTTACCCAATACTGAACAAAGTAGGCTGAGAGGCAGAAGCCGCACAAGGGCGTCATGCGAGTGCATTCGGGAGCGGACACGCTGTTTTCGCAAAGCTTACGCATCCAGTGATACTTACAATCCCATGAAGTTGCGCATAAAAGTTCCACCCCATCATATATGGCAATGAGCTGTGCACGCGCCGCGCGCACACACCGTCCCTCCCGTAAGGAAAAGCCACAAGCCGTCATCCACACAATAAAGTACCCGCGCTCACTCATAGGCCATGGAACCAAACGAGAGTCCAGTATGTCTACACCCACCGCCAGCCCTTTCCAGGGGTACCCTCCTCAAATGCAATCTTAACATCCTTGTCCTCCGCTGCAACCCACACCGATGTTACTACCCATTCCACTCCCATCCGCCGCTGCCGCTCAAGTTGAAACGACCGTGCATAGGCACAGATGACCCCAAAGCACTAACAGCACTTGGGGGCAAGGGTGGACGCCCTACAGCAGCTGCAATAGTGGGGTTTGCATTCCTACTTGCCTCCATACGCAGCCTAGCTGCGATCTCCTCCACAATACCTGCACTGGGCCGCTCCCTAAACAGATCCGGTGCGCTGCCACTTGTCCGCAGCTGCTGCACGGTCCCAACTCCTCTCAGCGACGGGCCCATGCCCAGGCTGCTGCTACTAATGCCACCACCACCACCACCAAGAACGCCAAGGTCCAATCCCCCGCCACTGCTACTGCCGCCGCTGTTAATCCCGCCGCCAACCCCGCCGCCGCCGCCCAGGCCCAACAGGGGCAGGGGACCGGGCGCGCTGCCACTCGTACGCAGGGGCTGCATGCCGCCCAATGACAGGCCAAGATCCCATCCCGCGCTGCCGCCGCTACCTCCCCCATAGGCACTTGCTCCGCTGCTGCTAGGGCCAACAGCACCTCCGCCGACGTTGCTGATCCCGCCGCCAACCCCGCCGCCGCCGCCCAGGCCCAACATGGGCAGGGGACCGGGCGCGCTGCCACTCGTACGCAGGGGCTGCATGCCGCCCAATGACAGGCCAAGATCCCATCCCGCGCTGCCTCCGCTACCTCCCCCATAGGCACTTGCTCCGCTGCTGCTAGGGCCAACAGCACCTCCGCCGACGTTGCTGATCCCGCCGCCACCCCCGCCGCCGCCGCCCAGGCCCAACATGGGCAGGGGACCGGGCGCGCTGCCAGTCGTACGCAGGGGCTGCATGCCGCCAACTGACAGGCCGGTGGCAGTGCCCATGCCCAAGCCGCCGCTGGTCCTGCCGCCGTTGGTGGCCAGCGCGCTCTGGATAAGGGCCGCAGCAACGATAGCCTGGCTGCGAGCTCGCTCTGCCAGTAGTGCCCTAGCTAATATCGCTGGGTCGTACGCAGCAACAGGTTGCTGCGCAGTTGCGCTTGTCTTTCGCCGTGATTTGTGCTGGCTCATTTTGGGGCTGGGCCTGGGTGGAAGCAGCGCGGAAGGCGCTGCTTGAGATGCAGTTCCTCGCTTTGCGCCTTTCTGCCAAGTGCTGACGGGGCCCTTAGTCACGGCTGGGAGCCCATCGTCGCTCGGCTGCTGCTGCTGCTGCTGCGAAGCCTCAATCCTCTCATGCACCGCAGCCTGCCCTGCCGCCGAGCGCTGAGTGTGCTCTCCCACCTGCAGAAGAGGAAACGTTATACCTAATGCCATGCAAGGATCTCTTTACAATTCTTACCAGCGTGTCGACTATCATGGCCCTCCTCGCGAGTGCTTCAATGGAGCGCTTGTTCCCAAACGCTGCATGGTGCCGCCTGTTGATGTCATCGAAGAACGTGGACATCTCCCCTTCCCGAATCTTGTAGCTGTCGCGGACATAGCTGTCCACACGCACCGTTCCCGCCTACGTACATAGCCATCATGTTGAGTTTTACAGGTCCAGGTACCAAGGACGGTGAATGGTACCGCACCTGTTCCCTGTTATCCACATTCTTCGTCAGGTTGAACCTGCCCTCGCTAGTGCTGTTGGTGAGGCCAGTTCGGAACCACGCAGGGGCCCGTGCACCGGTCCTGAGGAAGCTGGTGTCCAGCTTGGGTACTAGCGGCAAGAGGACAGGCGTCCAGAAGAGAAAGCACTTGGAGCAGTACTCGCCGATGTACTTAGACACCTCCTTCGAGTAAAAGGGATTCCTGACGACCAAGCCAGGGCCACCGCTGCTGGTGGCAGTGCTGGTAATGGTGCCGGCGCCAGCTGAGGGTCCAGAGCCGCCTGTAAAAGGTCCAGAGTGGCACAGAAGCAGGCATCTATAACAGAAGCGGGGATCCGTCATGGATATGGGAAAGCACCTGACGCTACCCATGGGGTTAAGAGTGCGTCCTTCCCAGCAACATGCTGCCCGTGCGTTTTCATACCTTCATCATCGGAGCCATAGCCCACATCGCACGTGTCCACCTCGAAACCCTCTTCGAAGACACGGACTCGGAACGGTTCGCCCTTTGCGTTCAGGAACATAGGCGCCTCCACCACGTACTTGCATGGGCGCGTCCTTGGCATCGCCTCCGCAGGCAGAGCCTCGCGCACGAAAATGCCATAGCCCTTGGCACCCGCACCTGGCGTCGCGGCTCCGTCCTCGCAGAAGAGCCACTTGCCAACAGGCAGGAACTCCGTCTCCGTCAGCTTGGCGCAGGACGCGAGATGCGTCTTTGCTGCCTGGTACTTGTCCACCCCATAGAACCGCGGGTCACGGGCCATATGCCCAAGCATCACTTTGCAGACAACAGAGAGCCACTTCCGCTCTGCGTGTACAAACCATAGTTAAGACCATGGCCGGCACCTAGCACTCACATACCGGTATGTGCACATCTTACCCTTCAACGGGAGGTGCTGGAGGGTCTTGCTGTCAAGGGGATAGCGCTTAACCGCTCGGACCCAGTGGAATAAGCAGATCCAAAGAAGGACGGGTCCGTCAGGCTTGGTGGGATCGACAGCGTCAACCTTGCCCTCCTCCAGATCCCTCTCGAGGCGCTCGTGGAAACCGAGGTGCCTGCCATGACCATTAACGACACTTAGTATCCTGTCTTGCATCCAATTGCACTGACCTGTTCGTACCGCTGGCCATTGAAGAAGGTGCTGATGTCGTTCATGATGACGGCGTCATGGTCAGTGACCAAGACATGTGGGCGCACACTTGCTGCGCATGGCAGCCCCGACGGAGCGTGCGGATCTGGGGGCGAGAGGCTTCCCACGCCCGCGAAAAACCGCTGCAGGGCGAGGCGAAACGGCCCCTCCGATCGCTGCGTGGTGACGACCTCGAGGAGCTGCAGTGGACGCGGACGTTGATCGGATGTAAAATAGGCACTGATAGCGCTGCCGGGATTCTCCGTCGAGAGGACGAAGTTCAGGGGCTCCTTTCCGTTCATCTTGCTCACCTGTATAAAATAGATAGTTTAGACAGGAGCAAGACGATGGGACGCATTAGGCGCTAACCAAGTTCCCGGTAGCATCCGCGTACATGACCGTGCAGTAGCCCTGCTTCTGGAAATAGTGGTAGACCTGCACTTGCGGGTCTTGGAACAGTATTAAGGTAGTGTCAGTCGGCGTCATGGAGATGTCTTGGGCATAGCCGGTAACCGCCACCTTCTTAAGCGCATCCGCCGACTTCCCCTGCCGTTGACGCTCCACAAGCTCGGCGTCCCACTTGCGTACGGACATGACGGGATCTGGGTCGTGCTGCTTCTTCTTCTCTGCCTCGTACTTCGCCTGCAAACGCGACGCACGTGGGTATGCATGGCGCAGGCGCATGTCGCACAGCATCGTCTCACCTGGCGCACAACTTGAGATGAGGCGCCACAAGCACTCACATCACCATCGAGCTGCTGCTCCACGCTCCGGGCCCTAGCGGCGTCCATCCGTACAGCAGAGGGCGCCCGCACTACAAGACAAACGCAAGGTGAGATCTGAGAGGTACAACAGAGCAACGTCTCAGCGACTCACGGCGTGCCTCTTGGGCCAGCTTTGCTCTCTGGACGCCCTTGAGCCGTCCAACCACCGCGCCCGCCTTGTGCCTACAGGAGTTGAAGAAGGAGACCTCCAGCGCGGAACCCAAGTCCCGTTGGCCGGCAAGGACGATGGTAGGGCACCTGCGTTACATTAGGTGTAGATACATTGGCTACTGCGGTGGTATGATGTGTATGGATTCGACCTCACCCTTCATGGGCACAGTTGAACGAGTAGTACCACTTGTAGGCCAGGTGGGGTGATTCAGCGGGCGCATTAGCCATGGCCTGTACAACGTATAGCAGTATAGGACATCAGTTACACAAGGTGGACTGGATATGCGTCCCATGCGGCACCATACCGCGGCATGGACGGCACGCCTCGACCCCGCGGTGCGGAGAGGACCCGCTGCTGACCCGTGGGTCCCGTTGCCATCCTCTGCCGCCTCCGGCTCCTCGTCCTCCTCGTCGGCGGACTGGGCCGATGCGCCTTCCTTGCTAGGCGTGGCGTTACGTTTGGGATTTCTAATTGTGAGGACAATGTGCTTAGGGAACGCAGCTAAAGCAATCAACCAGCTCATAAGCGTCTTGCCGGCGGTCGAAACGAAGCCAGCCATGCCGCGCTTAGCGCGTCCACCTTTTCTTGACGCGTAGGTGATTGGCCTTGGGTCAACTATGCATTCCTTGATAGTCTTATGATCAATCCGCACACGGCTTCCGTCGCCGAGAGCTAACTCGGTGCCGAGTGGGACCGTGATGGCATTGGGCACTTCACTATAGACGCTGTAACCGTCTTCAAATTTGCTAACTGGCTCAACACCTAAGCACCGTGCTTGAAGCTCGCGTAGCTCACTGACAGAACCTAAGTTGTCACTCGCTAGCGACAGATCGCGCACGGTGCCTTGCTTCTCCACTGTATCTTTACTAGCCATTAGGCTCGTGTACCAAGTATCTTAATAGAACGCTGCTTAGCGTGTTTGGTCTCTTACAACAATGTTTGCCGGCATAAGGCATCGGTACTGCGGACTGGCGATGGGCACATGCATGAGAGTAGACATGACCGTTACAATGGTCCCCTAGAAGGGAACACAGGTGGTTCCCTGTGGTTCCTTAGGCTATGTTTCTTAGCTTATGTTTCAGCACAGGTGATGGTTGTGCAGTTCACGGCTTAGGGCTATCTTCCGGGGAAAGGAAGAGCTAATACCCAAGGGCACGCACTGTGGGGCATAGACACGGTGTGTGCACAGCACATTGCCAAGGATGACGGATTTGAGGCACACGTTGCGGCTCTATGGGACTTTAATCGTTGTTGGAAGAACCGGAACTGTGAAAACAGCGTGTCCGCTCCCGAATGCACTCGCATGACGCCCTTGTGCGGCTTCTGCCTCTCAGCCTACTTTGTTCAGTATTGGGTAACGTCCTAGGACAAAACCCAAATACAATTCTTGTAGGAAAGAGCCAAAAGACGCAGCAAAGTGTAGGTGCGGCTTGATTGCTCAGTTGACAGCTTCCAAGAAAGCGAGGAAGCTAGCCTAACCAGCTGAGCTAGTTTGCTAGCCAGTAAAACGTTGTTTTAGAAAGATGCTTTTACCGTTTGCAAACGGTTACGTGCAAGGGCGAAATTCCGTACGGGCGCAATTGTCCTGACGGTAACACCCGGTCCAGCAAGTGCAAAGCGTGTACAGCTTTAGGCTTACCGTACGCTCGTCCAGTCCAAGCCCATGGCATGCGCGTATGCCGTTGACGTGTTTCATTCTAAATGTGTACCATACCCTTCATGCTTATTCATACTTGACTTCTTGCTCTCCAAATGAAATGAAAAAATCACGGACTGTTTACCTTGACTGTTCAAATAATACGCCTTTCCCGGAGGCTATTTTAGGGGAAGGACTGCAAATACATCAATGGAGCGCTACATGTGTTGCTTAGAAGTTTAAGTACACCAAATCAGCGGTGGTGTGTTAGACAGCCCGAATTGCACATCGCCATGGCGAAGGGCAGCATCGTCGTCTCCCTCCGGTCCAAAGGAATCCCATCCTTTAATAGGTCGTTATTCCTTGACCTGCGCTACCAAGCCGTGCAATTCGTGACGGAGTTCCTGGACATTTTCTTGGCTGCCTTCGTTTCATTTGCATGCTTATCGTGGACGTCATGGATCAGCATCGCTGTGGCCATCGTGTCCATCGCGGGGACCCAGTCAAGCGACTTCGCACGGATAGAAGCGGACGTGGTATTCGTGTTCTTCATGTACATCTTGCTGCCGCTTCTCCTGCTACTGGTCTTCGTCTTCAGCAGGCGGGACCGAGCATCTCGTAACTTGGCGGACCTTAAGGCATCATTCGTTACGCTGATGCTCAGCCGGCCGCCAGGCAGCACACCGGCGCAGCGTGAGGCGTCAGACGACCTGCATCGTAAGGCGGTCACCTTCATTGACGACCTCCGCCAGTACCTACAGCACCGCAGGCCTTATGCGCGTCACTTTTACCTGCCCTACCGCACATCGGAGCCCAGCCCCACGGATGAATTGGTACGGTCCCTTGGTTCCTGTGTTATAAAAATTATCACCGCCGCACATTCGCACATTAACAAAGACCATGCACAAAGGTCTGCGTTTGTCCCCGCAAGACCCGCACGCTCGCCCTTGCCGGCCCGGCCCTTGCATGCACTTTAAGCCATCGTGCCTGCCCCTCTCGCCTGCAACTTGCAGCTCAGGGTGTCTCGGGAGTTGGGCCTGTTGTTACGCAAGGTGCATCGCGGTGTCCGCGATTTGCACCTAACGTGCGGACGCATGGGCGATGCAGGCATCGGCCAAGCCCAGGTGCGGATTATGGTTTGAGCGCGGGTTTCTGGGTTTGTACCAGCAATTGGCATGCTGAGGAGATTAGGTGGGTGGCGCTGACGGTGAGCATCCACACCACCAAGGGGACAGAATGGCGGTTGTGCCATATAATGTAGTGGTATCTTCCATGACGTGTGGTGTGGTCAGCTCTGAGAGCCCGTACCTTGATCATGCTCATCATCACCTCCTTGGCTCCCCTGCGCGCAGGTCGCCAGCCTGATAACGCGAGTGGAGGCGGTGCATGCCGCCACGGAGCGGCTCGTCAACATCAAGGAGATGCGCACTCCCGTGGTGCGGGCCGGGATACGGGTTACGGACGCACGTTGTATAATACCGGTATGCTAGGCATTGCGCTTGTGGAGCAAGGTTGGATGTACCAGACTAAGTTGCACGTGCATGTGAACCAGCCCAATAGGCCGTTGTAGCCAAACCCATATCGCCAGCTTATCCCTGCCTTTACCCCCCGGCCACGACTACCAGGTCCTCCGTGCGACGATCCGCTGGTTCGTAGTGGTCCTCATTCCCGTCGTGATGGGCCCGTTTTGGAACAACATCTCCATTAAACTAGGCGACAACGGCGCCTTTGCCGGCATCTTGGGCGTTCTGGTGGGTACATGAGGTCCCGTCAAGCCGGTAGACGAGGTTGCCGCGTGGTGCCGAGCGTGTTTGTACACATGCCAAATGTACAAGGGCATGTTTCATGACCAACCCAAATCGAAGCTCTACAGGCAACAACCCTTACCTTATCTCGTAAGCTGACATGCCGTGGTGGCTGCTCCACCTCCCTTGCTGCTTCCTTGCAGACCCAGATCGCCCTCATGGGAATTGTGGACACAGTGGTTGCGATGGAGGACCCATTTGACGACACCGCGCTAGACGCGATCAGCCTTTTCGAGGTCCTCGACCAAGTGGGCGTGGTGAGTAACGTAGCAGAGGCCAGAACCTCCCGTCGGGCGCGCTGAGTTCACACCGCCTTATAACCGCTGGTCCACCTAGGGTACTCGGCAAGTTTGCGTTTGGCAAGCAGAAGAACCTAAGCTCATGGCTCGGTTGGTTTGAGGTCACTGATCTAAGTGTTCCTGCGCAGATGACCACTCCCGCCACGGATGCGGACGGGTACGAGGAGCTGGGCGCTGAGGCGGAGCGGGGCGGCAACGAGGACGGCGGCGCTCCGCATGTCGCGATGTTCATGGGCTCGGGTGCCAGCGGTGGAGGCGCGGGCAGCGGCGGTGGTGCTGGTAGTGGTGGTGGAGCAGCAACACCAGGGGCCGCTGCGCCAGGAGCGGCGGCGGTGGCGGCGGCTGGGGAGGCTGCGCCGCCGGGCTCTCCTGGCGCGGGTACGGTTGCGCCGCCGGTGGGGAGCGCGTCTCCGGGACCGCCGTCGGAGGTACCCAGCATGGTGAGGCGGGCATAGGGATTCAGGGTGGGCCTAGCTTGCGAGCAGGGAGTGCTGCAATAAGAAGCTTGCAGTCTCCAGACGGTGATGAACCATGCAAGGCGGGAATTTGGCGCCGGTATTCTGGGACAGATGCAATCACGACGTTGCGATTGTATTTTCCTTTTGTTGCTTGTTTCCTTGCTGCGCAGAACCCACAGAAGGCCCATGCGCATCACGGCATGGTGCAGCCCTCCGGTGTGGCTGCCATGCGTGGTTCCATTGTCACCTCGGAGACGGCAGTCGGACCGCCGTCAGCCATTGAGCCGTATGGCGGCGGAACGGCAATGCCGTCCATTACGTCACCGCCGCTGCCAGACGTGGGGGTGCCTATTAGGGCACCCGTGGCGGCGCCGCCCATGCCGGCACTAGCAGGACATGCCATGTTTCGAACGGGGGCTGGCGGCCCAGCTGCAGTACATATGTACGGCGGCTTATGAGTAGTAAAGGGATTAGGATGAAAGCAGGTCATGTTCATGTCATGGGTGCGTGCGTAGGTGAGAGCTGTTTTAAGTGGAGTGTTACGCAGAGCAGGTGTGGCAATGTAGGCATTCCAGGCAAGCATGGAGCTGTTCGGAGTAGCTAAGAGCCTAGGACTGAAGAACAAGTGACGCACTGCATTACAGACCAGTTACATGACTGGACGTAGACATGACGCGGCGTGCACGGCAACGCAAGTGTGCGGGTACAGGGCCTCCTACGGGCACTCGTACTGACACGACATGGGCCAAGAAACACAGCCTGGATTACTGAAGACGATAGCGACGTAGCCGGTTATGCTTCTCTAACCCATGTGTCTACTGCATGACACAAGGAATTAACCGCCTACTCGTCAAATCATGCATCCAATGCACGAACACAAAGCGTGGCTCTAGTATATAAAGGACCAACAAGTGCAACAGCCGTACACTTACGGTCTCGAGTAACAAAGGACTCTCAACGACTGACGGCAAGAAGACGCACAAATAACCCAGCCCTCCAAAAATCCCGGCTGTAAACCACTCTAGGATAGCTCAACTGGAGCAACCCCCATGCATCTACGCCCCATGTCCGTGTTCACATGCAACAACGTTTCGCTGTTGCTAACAAACAACGTGCAAGACAAACCCAGCCAACAGACGCCCTGGCGCTTATCGTGGCTGGCTTGGGTAGATGGAAGATGACATCGACAACGTAGAAAAAGCAAGATGCGACCAACAGGTACGACCACCTCCAGTGTAGGTGTCAGTAGTCCCGCGGCATGCCATGGTAGCAAAATAGCCCGTGTCACGTGGCGCCTACTGTTTCCGTCCCATGGGTCTGCACAGCACCACCAAGCGCCCTTCCACAATGCACATTCCAATGAGGATATGGTATCATCAGTCTTCAACCTGCTTCAACATTAAGGTAAGGATTCTTCTAGTCCTACTTGAACCAAAACCACCAGCATTGTCCAATGAAGGCTCGCAAATTTGGGAAGGGAAGATCCCGCTTCTCGGCTGGACACCTTTCCACAGGGTGCCAGCATCACAGCAGTCAAACGCTATAAACGTAACGATGTTCGGAGTCCGGTCATGGGCTCCTGTCGAGAAGGGACCCGAGGTCAGTCAACAGCAACACCATCCAAGCCTCATTAAGGTCATGTAGAGATATGAAAAGCACCACAACTGCGATACATAGACAGTATCGCACAATGAATCCATCAAACCCGCATTACAGGCCTGAAACACACATGGATGAATTGACGTTATCAGTGTCAACCTGCCTTGCCACAGATGCACCCAACTGCTGCATGCAAACGACGGCAGGCGGGTGCGCTACCGGCTTCCACCAGTATAGCCGGCGGGACAAGAAGCAGGGAAGACGCTAGGTTTGACCACATTGCGCCGGAAGTAGATAGAATAGTTGATGTTGCCAGGAGGGTAGTAGTGGCAGACGAATACTCCGATGTTCGCCCGAAGTCCGAAGACGCCTTCCTCCCCACAATATGTGTAGCCACAGCCGATTGCGGCGGTACTAGCCCAAACCATCTGCGTGTAATGGCCCGTTGCCTCCTCAAAACCCGGATCTTTGAAGTCGTATATGCAAATCTGCAAATAAAAATTGACGGGGGATGCTAGTTAGCGCTGAGACAGTAAACAGTAAACCGAGAGCGGAAGGCTGGCAGGCGGTGACAGTGCGCGCGGCCAACCCGATGAAGAAGAGCCTGCGCTCTGTGACTAGCCCATACCCACAAAGGGGGTCCTCACCTCATTGTACCAGATGCCGATTCCATTGAGAGGGTCGGTCTGCTTGCGGTACGTTCCCGAAGCTGCAGCAAACGCGAGGGAGCAGCACGGGGTCAGAGCAGTTAGGGGGCGGAGCAGCGGTCATGAACTGCAATGCGCGGAAATATGGGTAGCGGTTCGAGAAGACAGCGTCTTTTCACTTCCCAACCTCTCGAGGATCCGACCTAAACAACCGCAACCGAAGCGGAAGACGAAGCAGCCCAACAAAAAGCAAGGGGCATGCGGATACCTACCCAGGTTCTCTCCGTAATTGCCGTTGGAGTGCTGCCACACACACTGCTGGCTCCACTCCTGCGCCGACTTGGCTAGGCCGTCATCCCACGTCAGGTTGCCCACACCCGCCAACACGCGCACCGTGTTGTGAGCCTCAACTGCGGCGAAGGAACCGGGAGAGGGGTTGCAGCGGGACAGCGGCAACAGCTCAGTCCCCAAAGGCAAAGTTGTTAGTCCGGTGCTGCGACATTGGAAAGCTAGGAAGGAAGTCATCGTACAAACACATGAAGCCCAGTCGGATTGACGGAAACCACACACTGCAGCCGCCATTGGAGCAAAGGCAACAGCAGTCCCCAGAGGCATCGTTCTTGGTCCGGTCCGGCAACGTTGTACAGCTAGACGCTCGCCGCTAGCCTTAGGACAGCAGGTACCTAAAGCACTTACGTATGAGGCTCGGGTTAATTATTGATGGCGGTGGCGGCGGTGACGGCGGTCTCGGAGGTGGTGGGTTGGGTGACTGCACAGGCGGCGGCGGCGGTGGTAAGGAGCTGACCTTGTTAGGAGGCGATTGGGTGCTTCCGGGGTCTACGACAGCGCCGCTAGGAGGCCGTCGCAGCGGCGGAGGCCTGGGCGCGGGAGTTGGCGGCGGCGGCGAAGGTAGCGGCGGTGGAGGGGGCGACGGCGGCGGCGGGCGAGGCGATGGCGGTGGAGGTCGCGGTGGCGGTGACGGCCGGGGTGACGGAGGCGGAGGAGGGGACGGCGGCGGCGGCGGCGGTGGTGGCGATGGTGATGGCGTTGCAACGGCGTCCGTTGAGGAGCCGCCGCCGTTGCCATCCGATGAGCCGTCGTTGCTGCTGTTGCTTGGCGGCGGCGGCGGGGAAGCACGTCGAGCTGGTCGGCAAGGTGGCGGCGGGGACGGAAGAGGTGTTGGGTGCGGCGGAGGGCTGGGTGGGGGTGGCAGGGCTGGCAGGGCTGGTTGCAGCTTCCCCGGGTCGTTCTGAGCATCGGGAGGTGAGGAGGGCATGTCGGGTGGCGGCTTGGGGCGACGGGAGGTCTTCTTGGGGGGCGGCACAGGCGAGGGTGTGGACGGGGGAAGGGCGGGAAAAGACGGTGGTGAAGGCGGTGATGAAGGTGAGGTGGGAGGAGACGGAGAGGACGGTGGGTAGAGAGGGGGCGATGGTGGGCTAGGAGGTGTTGGGGGGGGCAGGGGAGCAGTCGGAGGGGAGGGAGATAACGGGGAGTTTGGTGGAAGCTGGGGAGGCGAGGGAGGCTCCGGAGGTGAGGGTGGTAGCGAAGGAGGAAGAGGAGGGGATGGCGGAGGTGAGGGAGGCGTGGGAGGGGACGGTGGAGGCGACGGTGCTTCTGGCGGGGATGGTGGGGATGGAGGCGTCATTGGGATTGTGGGTGGGAAAGGTTCTCCAGGGGGCTCCTCACTGTCGGGAGTTGGGGGTTCCGCTGGTGCCTCGACAGGAGTGTCCGGTAAGGCTTCAGGCTCTTGTTCTGGGGGAGGTGGCCTCTGGGGAGGAGGAGTGGCTGGCGGGATGGCTGGCAAAGGGGGGCCCGGGCTTGGAGGAGAAGGACGGGGAGCTTTTGTTGGGGGTGGTGAACGAGCTTTTGTTGGCGGTGGTGAGGAAGCTTTTGTGGGGGGCGGTGGGGAAGCTTTTGTGGGGGGCGGTGGGGACGCTTTTGTGGGGGGCGGCGGGGAAACTTTTGTGGGGGGCGGTGGGGAAGCTTTTGTTGGAGGCGGTGGATGTTGAGCATCGCCACCGAGCGCATCCATCCAAAAGTCGTCCCACGAAGTCATCGCTGTGGAAGACGCCTGAATTTCGCCAAGTGCGCGGCGCTCCGGACGACTTCCATCATGGCCACTGCACGGAGGTGAATTACACAGCTTAGTTAATGCAACTGTGATAGGAAGGGACACCCCTATCCATTTGCATACCTTCGTTCTATATGCAGCTTGGCCTGGGTTCGCACAATGAGACAAAGAAGGCCAACGAGCACAACGCGGCGCACAATGCCATCTGACGCCTTCGGGTGCAAACAATGGCTGAACATAAAACCTTTGCTGCTGAGAGCCATGTCGCTTCAGCTCCGCAGGCGTCGATTAAGGTGCAAAGGACAGGTCAGTCGTTCCCCATCGCCTAAGGACCCCAAGGCAGGGCAACAAGCATTCGTCTCGTAACTAAGGTCATCCACTTTGAGATTTGTGCAAACGGGTCATAGGCAACCATTCCAGCTTCCGGATGTTACGCAAGTGCTAGCTGCTGAACCGGAAGGAAACCTACTAACAGGGATAAAGTGAAAATGTGGCAAGCATATTTCTCAATCATCTTGGGTTGAAGCTCCCGGACAGTTTGGCGCAGCTAGAGGTACGGCACAGTAGGCGGGCGCCGAAGGCAGCTTCGCCAATAGTTGCCATATCAAAGGGGCGTACGGCCCCTAAGCTGGTGCGGCTTTATGTTGTTTTGCTGTTATGTAGAAAGTAGCGCAGTTGAGGTAAGCCTCTTACGAAGGTACAGGTAGGGTGGTTTGCGAGTGGGACAATGGTCAACCTTTTCCGAACTAATTCGTAGGGTTAACATTGAATTCACTTCAACTTGACCGGCAAACACTGCGACGAGTTGGCTGGAACGACAGTTTCCGGGACACGTAAACGGTAACGATGAGAACGGTACCGCCTCCGTTAGCCTGATAGCCAGCAACCAATGAGCATTGGACTCAGGATGCCAAGGGAATGCTCAATGCCATGGATAGTTGCTGGGAGCTGCTTCTGGATAAATGTATTACGGGCAGTAAGCACAGTTGAACGCTAAAAAGACAACGGCGACAAAGATCGTTGGAAAGCTGGACCCTGGGCGTTTAAAGGGCGCGTTCTCAAACTCAACGCAAGAGGTTCAGGTTCTTGAGAAGCAGGTCGAGCTATGCCCCATCACGATGCACATCTGTCGGGGCGAGAGCTCCCCAGAAGCTGTCGTCCTGGTCTGCGCCAGCGTTCGCGCAAGAACGCGTATAGCGCACTGCTTCTTGTACCTTTGATAATGCGCTTCAAGCTTATGGAGCTCTTCTCTCAGTATCAGGTCTACTGCTGCGACATCCTCGCCATCGTGGCTGACCCTGCAAGGCAGCGAGGCGAATCTCACATCCCCGCTATCAGGCACGGTAGGAAATTTCAGGTTAAGATTCTTTCGTTCATGGCAAGCTGCACTACGAGCATGTATGTACAACCAACCAACAAGCATGTATGTGCGCACGCCCCGGTCGTCGTCCGAGCTCATTAAACAGTTCTTACCAAGGTTCCACGTCAAAAACCTCTGCATTAAAGCAGTCAATGATAGCCCACCCACATGAGCCGAGCAATGCCGCACTGCTGTCCGCAGCACCCCCGCACAACGTCCGACCCAAATCGCCGCCTCTAAGCCGCGCCAGCAATCCCCACCATACTACACCATAACCACCAAACCCACCACCATCTTTGCCTTACGTTGCATGCCTCCCAAACACAGACATTGAGAACAAGGACAGCTCAGCTCCAGGGCCGTCATCCCACCGGTAGGTCCTAAGCCACTCATCCAAGTCCTACCTTCGTTGTAAGTTACAACTTGTAACAATCCACACCCGGAAAACGTCATGCGTAGTAAACACTGTAGAGCACTCGTCGCAGATCAGTCCCCAGCAAATACAGCAGGCTGCAGTAAAGCGGCACAATAACTCAGCTGGATGCCCTCAAATGCTTGCGGAATGGACGCCACATGAGCATGTGCATCCTTTGGTACAACAGCGCACTTTTAGCGGCAACCTCATTCCGTACAGTGGTTCAGGCGCGTCCCGGCCCGTCTTCATGAAGAAGAGCTGCTTGCCTAACGGTCAACCACCCCTCCTGCGACGACAACCGTACGACTGTACGATAACACCATTACTGGTGCACTGCCAAGGAAGGAAAGCCCAGAATACATTCGTTCATGCAGCCTCCGCCCCCGCCACCGCTGCGGCTACCTTATAATCCCGTACCGGTACCCCGGCTCCGTCTCCGCTCCCTCAGCGGCGGTACACCACGTGCGGTGTCTGCCGCTCGTAGCTGCCGTGGCCCTGCGGGGTGGGGGGGTTAGGAGGGAAGAGTACCCGTAAGTACCATGCTGCAATTGAAAGTGGCAACCCTGTGGCCCTGCGGGGTTAGCATCGGGAGGAGCGGATGCACAGCATTCCTGTTGCCGTGTTGCTGTTCCTGGGCACTTACAGCACCACCCCCCAGCCTCCCGGCCAGCCCACATCCCCGCTGTCCCTCCCGGGCTGCAACTCCTCATACCCAGGTACCCACAGCCCCGACCCACATGCATCCCTCTCCCGGGAGGGCTCCTGCAGCCCACCCCACCGGCCGACCCACATACCTTGTACATGAAGCGCTTGTAGCAGGCGCTGGTAAATATAGGGAAGGTATGGGGCAGGTGGCAGCAAGCGGGAGCAGCAGTCCGACAGGGGACAGGGCCAGGGCAGGAAGCGCGTCAGGAGAGAAAGAGAGAACATGGCAACATGGGAAGCGGTGGGAACGCAGGAGGATGTGCCGGTAGGGAGGCCCAAGGCCGTGCACATGCAGCAGTCGGGACATACCGGTATCCGAACGAACAGCAACGACTTCCGGTCAATATATGCAATGATCGCTGCCCATCGAGTCACAACGGCTCTGCACCTCCAGGCCCCAGTGAAAGGCGCCCCCTCGCGTCCCTCTTCCCTCCGCCCTCTGCCGCACACTGACTCTTGCTGCACCCATGTCGACACCCCCTGCCCGCCACCCATGCCGACGCCGACGCCCTGCCATCCCGATACGGGTAACCCCGATAGAGATCCACCCATGCCGCCCGAGGCCTCCCTCACCTGCATGTGAACTCTCCAGCAATCACCTTGTGCCGCTTCCATGAGTTGCCCTGTGTACGGTATTCGAAGGCATGAGATTTAGTACCGATAATGAGCTGGGGTGGAGTGAGGCACGAGGGGTTGCTCCGCACATGCAGTGGGACCTCCGCTTCCCCTCCAACCCAGGTAGCAGCCCAACGCGCATCCCACCCCCATGCGCCCCATGCACCCCATGCGCTCCATGCACTTACCCCGGTGCGAGTTGTACCGCATTCGTAGCACCGTCGTACTTCACCGGAGCCGCCGCCGTTGCCGCCGTCGTTGTCGCCCGCCGCCCCCGCCGGCGCCCCCTGCTGCTGCTGCTGCTGCCCCTCGCCGCCCTCCACCAGCACCAGCGCCGTCGCCTCTTCCTCCACGCACAGCGGCAGCGGGGCCACGCGGCCGTAGTGCTTGTGACGCAGGAACCTGACAGCGGGGAAGCAGCAGCAACGAGCAGCGGGACAGCAGCAACGACAGCGGGACAGCAGCAGCAACGAGCAGCGGTAGCGGCAACGAGGGGTCAGACAGGTTCGGGAAAGAGTCGACAGACAGGAGACCTAGGCTGCATTCCTCCCCATGTCACCAACAACAAAAGCGACATCACACAAGTGGCCCAACACAGGCGTACTTAACGCATGCTGGAAGCAGCTCCTGAAGTCCTCATGGACGTTGCAAATTTCATGCCTCCCCGCTGATGCCTGCTCCTACCGCTTATAGCAAGCCTTGCACGTTCGTTCCGACGGGATCTGCTTATGAATCATCCAACATTTGGTCGTCGTAGCCCCACACTCGTAGCACTGTCGTATAGCGTTTTTAACGCCGTCGCCATCTTCGCCGCCGCCGCCGCCTCTGTACGGCACAACCGCGTTGCCACCTGTGTACGACACAACGGCGCTGCCGCCTGTGTACGGCACTACGGCGCCAGCGGCGACTCCGGTGGCAACGCTGCCGTCGGCAACGTTCCCGGCAGCAAAGGCTCCGTCGCCGTCGCCGGCGACGCCGTACAAACCGCCTCCGTCACCCTCTGCCGCAGCCTCCTCCGCAGCGTTGAGGTGAATGCTGGGCATTCCGGGCACCGCCGCCGTCAGGGCCATGGTATCCTCCGCCGCAGCAGTTACCACTACCCCCCCGCCGCCGCCGCCGCCGCCGTCACCGCTGGCGTCATCTAGGCCGACGGCGGCGAGGAACGACGGCAGGAGCGGCTCCGCTGACGTGGACTGGTGCATCAGCAGCACTTCCCGAGATCGCTTCGCCGACGCCTCCGCTAGCGCTCGGTCTACCTTCCGACCACGCTTCGTGCGAGGGTAAAGCCCAGGCGCCGCGTGGGCGTCCGCGTCAGCGCTCACGTCGGCAGCGGCGCCGCCGCCCTCCACCATGCCTCCGCCACCCTCGCCTCCGCCACCTCCCAAACGGTCCTCCTCAATCGTCACCATCATCATTGCCGCCGCTGTCTCCTCCATGTTGATCAGGGCGTCCTTGCTTTCCTCCTCCTCCCCCTCCGCACCTCCCTGTTCCTCGTCCGCAGCTACACCAATGCTGTCGTCGACGACGTCGTCGTCGACGTCGTCACGACGACCAAACCGGCCCTCATGCTCCGCCGCCGCCGCCTCCCCAGGGCAAAGCCCACCTGGTTCCATCTTCACATGAACGTGTTGTTCCTCCCCAAACCCAAGGCCCGTCGGCGTCAGTGGCGATGCATGCGGCAAGATATCTTGCTGGGGTGTACGGACCTGCCGCCGACGCGTGGACCGTTGTTGCTGCTGCTGCTGTTGGTACGACAACTGCTTTGCCGTCGGCTGTCGCCGCCTCTGCTGCCGTACAGGCTGTTGTTGCTGCTGCTGTTCGTACGATAGCTGTTTCGCCGTCGGCTGTCGCTGCCGCTGCCGCCGTACAGGCTGTTGCTGCTGCTGCGGCGGCGGCGGCACTGCCTGCTCATTGCCGTACACCGCCGGTTCGATGACGGCGGCTGCAGAGCGGCGATGCCCTGCTCGACTGCGAGCGCTGGGCTTCGGCGGCGGTGTCTGAAGCGCTGTAAACTCCAAGTTCACACCGCCAAAGCAGCCGCCGCCGCCGCCGCCACTACCACCACCGCCGCCCACAGCAGCAATCCCAGCCGCCGTGAAACCACCCGCTAACTCGCCGCCAGTATCGCCCTGGCGACCCGCCGTCAGATCCAAAAGCTCGCCGCTCTCCGTACGGAAGCATCCGCCGCCGCCGCCGTTGCCGTACAGTCCATCAAGGGCATCGTACGCCTGCTGTCCGCCCATCTCGCAATCCTCGTACCGAGCATAATCGCCGTACGACATGCCGTCGCCTTGGTACTGCCCCTCCGGCGGCGCTTCCACCTCCGTAGCCTTCAAACCTAGAGGGTCGGAATTAGGGTTACCATTGCCGCCGTCGCCACAGGCGACTCCTGAGTCGGTAGCGGCGTCGCCGCCGGCTCGAATCGTCCAGCCTGGCCAATCGCGCGACGTCGGTGCGGGGTCAGGAATAAAGCCGGCGGCGGCGGCGGCACCTGCGCTGCCACCGTCGCCGGCGGGGGCGCCGGCGGGTCGCGAAGGATCAGTAAAGCGCGGGAGCGACGCGGGGCCTGAAAGAGGCCCGGGGTTCGCCGTACCATTCGGTGCCCGTGGATGCCACTGGGGCGCCGTTGCCGCAGCCGCCGCCGCTGCAGCGGCGGCGAGTACTGATGGCGGCGATAGTGGCAGCGGCGGCGGCTGCTGCCTGGCTGTAAAGCTGCCGCCGTTTCCAGAGCACACGACGAAGCCGTGGGAGAGATGCGGGGCCGGCGTGATGGGGGGAAACCCGCTGCCGTGGCTGTGAGGTACAGGAATGCCCTGGAACACCAGTGGAGTGGACAAGCCATTTCGTCCTATAGTCGAGAGTGCGTGCAACGGCATGGGCGCCGGGCGGGGTCGCTGCTCAGGTGCGCTAGGCGACGGCTCGCGCCCGAGCATCGGCGTCGGTGTTGCAAGTGGTGGCTGTTGCTGACGCGGACGTTTGGCTGATGGTGGTAAAAATTCAGGCAATACTAAAGGCGTCAAAGAGACGGCGTTTGCTGCGAGAGCGGCTTGTTCATCTGCATGAGCATCAGCGACCGCAGCTTCCGCCAAGAAGTGAAGTGGTGAGGCAGCTCGAATGGATGAAAGCTCCGCAGCAGGGGGCAAAGAAAAAGGTTGTTGGAATTGCTGCTGCCATGTCTTGCTGGGGTTGCTGGCGACTGGAGCGCGTGGCGGGAGCTTGGACGGTCCCCTTGGACGGCTTTGCATCCTCTTCTTTGGGAGACGCCTTAACGCAACTAAAGCGGAATAGCTAGAGGAGTAGCCTGACAGTATATATATTCTGTTTTGCAGAGCCTGAAGCTGATTATGCCAGCAGGATAGTGGTTAAGCGAATGACAGAAACATTTGCCCGCCAACCATAGAATCTCACGGCCCGTGGGTCTTGACACGGTCTGTCAGCATGGTTTACCAGATACAGCCTGCCCTTGTGTTTGTGCGGTGCACGAGGGCAAAGGGATGAGCTGTGTTGGGTTGCCGTACGTCTCCCTCGATTTCTCGTGAGTCACTCGCCCATACGGCTTGCGACCCTGCCATCCAGTCCCTAAGGCTGGTTTCCACAACTTCACGTTTCACTTAAGGCCACTCCGTTATTTACCACAATCACTGCTCAAGAGGCCTCGAAAACGGGCTATCTCCTGACAGTGCACGGTCGTTTCGCCTTGAAGTTACTCGCTCAGGCAAAAGCAGCACGAGTTGTCCTTTTTGCGTAGCCATAAGCTGGGTAGGATGGCTGTCTTCCATCGCAAAAGGGTGTAAAATAGCTGGACGAGCTGGGCTTGCCTCACTACGAACCCAACTCAAACGACGCGCAAAAGCGACACCAAAGGCAACAGCCCCCAGACCTCCATTGCAAGGTGTGAAAGATACAATCTTCCAAAAAGACCAATGTCGCGACTTGCGCTTGTGAGTTGTGACCAATCCTTACGCTAATCACAGCGCAACATAAATAATCACCGCATCATCCGCCCAAGGCACAGGCCACATGGAACATACCCACCGTTCAGTTGCACATATTCCTAATATTGCTCACAATGCAGTACCTAAGGCCTTTTGCAAGCTCTACCTGGCCTCCTTCCAGGCCGTCGTTCAATACACCCCACCACACCTACCACAACTCACGAGCTGGTCACAATGCCTACATTTTACTTCACCCATGCTTCCATTAACAGGCACCCATCGCGTACGTTATCGCATCCACACCTGCAACCCAAGCGTCCATGCACACTCGCACACTGAGCGACGCCTCCTGCCAACCCTTTTAAGCAATTATGCGCAGTACAATCCTACCAATGCAACAAACGGCACGAGCACCGGCCGAACATGCCAACAGAACAAACTCTGGCCGAGTTGAGCAAAACGCAAAGCGCGTGAGCTTGTAAGGGTGGGACGGGCGCATTGCTGCCTTAATATCCAGCGGCCCAAGCGCCGTGCATGCACCAATGAGCGATGTACCCCCACGGCCCCATCTCAACGGCCGGTTATCGTCCACATCCCAGAACAAAGCTTGTCGAGTGTCGTACGGCCCAGTACTTCGTTGCTGCATGGAATACCAGTATCAACATTATCCTCATTGCACACCACACGCCTTGCCTCCCATCCCGAGCCAGTCCAACATTCCTCCGGCCTAGACTGTCACTCCTCCACATCAAAACAGCCTGACAGCCTGACATTGGAAAGCCCCAAGAGGCCTAATGCAAATCGCCTTTTGAGAAACCCCGCGTGCTCCATTGGTACGAATCACATGCGATGAGCAGTACTCTTAAGCATCATACATCAACCGATGCCCGGCGGGACACCCGCTTCCACCCGACCCCACCCGCCCATCCAAATCACCTCCAAGCCATATGCCCCCACGGTATCGTACCTATAGCCCTAAAACTATCACGTTTCACACCCAACCCCAGCACCTCCTCGCTCGTTGTTGCTTCAAGAACAGCTTCGACCCACATCCCCGTGCCGCTTCGCTCTGCTTGCCTGCAGCGAGGGGGAGCCTACCCACTCTCCCATGCGTGCAACACACCTAACACTTCCTACATTGACCATGCCCTCCCCCAATCAGCGGGTTGGGTTGCCTAGTCATCATGTTAGGTATTATCTTCATCACCCCGCGGCCACCACCACCACCCCCGCGCCGCTCTAGCCCCCTCTACCGCTGCCCGGCCGCGGCGCCCGCCAAGCCCCCCTGCAGCAACCGCGGCTTGAAGCTGGAGATGATGCCCCGGCAGTAGGGACACAGCGCCGGGGTGAGGCTGTGGCGCTTCACCAGGTCGCGCGCGCAGTTGATGCACAGCGGGTGGCGGCAGGCTTGGACCTGGAGGGGTGGTGGAAGCGAGGGAGGGCAGCAGCAGGGCGGAGGGGGAGTAAAGGCATGAGTATAGGACATGTGCATGCATGTGCGCGTTCCTGAACACACACACCCCCACCCCACCCCATGTTGCAACCCATGTTGACGCCTTATCCCTCAGTCAGTTAGTTGTTTCCTCTTTACCCCCCACCCCACCCCCACCCGCACCGCCCAACAACCCCCCCTCCTCCCTCACCAGTAGGTTCGGTGCATCCTCCAGGCACACGGGACACACGTCCTCCTCACTGTCGCCGCTGCGCTCTACAGCGCTGGCGCCCCCGGCCGTGGAGGACCCTGTCGACGTATCGGACAGAGCCTCACCGCTGCCATCCGCGTGATCCGCCGCCTGCGGCTGCTGCACCTGCTCCGCGGCTCCACCACCTGCCCCTGCCCCTGCCCCAGCCGGCGCCGTTGCTGATAGCGCCGGAGTCGCCACTGCTACCACGTCGTCATCCTCACCGTCGTCATCGCCATCGTCCCCCGGCGGCGGCGGCGGCGTTGCCTCCGGCGCTGGAGATCCATCGTTGCCGCCCTGGCCCCCTCGGCTTCCTCGGGCCCCCCGCCTTCCCGAAGTCCTCATTGAACGCCGTCCAAACGGACCCGACCCTTGACTACCTCCCCCGACCCTAAGCTGCGTGCGCCGCCGTGTCCCGGTCGCCGCCGCTGCCGCCGTCGCGCCATCGCCGCCACCGTCGCTGATCGACCTGCCGTCGGCGCTGGTGCTTTCATTGTCCACATTGCTGCTGGATAGATGGCTGGGTCGCGCGAGGTGAACCGTGGGTCGGCGGATGCCTAGACGGATGCCCCTGGGGGTGCCTGCATGGGCCCCTTGCTGGTTGTGGCTGCGGCCGTTGCCGCCGCGTGCCGGGATGCCCACTAGGCGGCTGCCGGGAAGTCCAGAGGTGAGGTTTGTGGAGTCCAAGGGGACGACCTGCCGGAGATACGCGCGGGGGATCGTACAACAGTTATGCAGGGAAGTCGGCTGTTAGACGACGCATGACACCCGTACCCGTCACCCTAGCCCGAGAGAAAACGCACGTGCCTCCTTCTTACTCCTTCTTACTCAAAGAACATATTTCCCCCTCTCCCGCGCCCTGGTCATATCTCCCATCTTGAGCTCCTGACTGGTCTCATCCCGACCTCCCGACCCACCTGCGCCTGGCTCGTCCGCCGCAGTGTGTTCCGCAGGCTTTGCAGCAGCAGCCGAGCGCCCTCGCCCACTCGCCCCAGCTGGGAGCTCAGCCGCCAACCCGGCTCCCCCACTGCGCCGCCAGCAGCAGCCCCCGCCGTCGACGTCGACATCGCACCAGCCCCTGCTGCCGTACTGCTCCCCGTCGGGCTCACCGCCGCGTCCGCCTCCGCAGGCCCTCCCTCAGCATCCCCATCCGCATCCGCCGCCGCCGCCGCAGCTGTGGTGGAGGAGGTAGCTGCATGCTCCCCCAGTAATGGTAACTCCTCAACCGCCCGCTCGCTGTCAGAGCCCGCATGACTGGAAGCGCTCTGAGATTGCGCGCCGCCGCCGCCGCCGGCGACATCGCCAACGTCTGCACCTCCGCCATCGCCGCCGCCGCCGCTGGCGACCGCGTCCTTTCCGCCATCCTGTAGCCTACATCGGGACGAAGCCGGCGGCTCCTCAGCGACCGCGGTGGCGATGGTGTCAGCGGTACCTGGCAGCTGCATGGACAGGCAGCCGCTGTCGTCGCCACCGCCGTCGCCGCTGGTGCCGCTGCTGTTGCCGTCATTAGCGAGGCTACAACCCTCCAGCTGTGCGTCTTCACCGCGCCCTTCTTCAAGAGGTGCCGACTCCAGGGGCCCTTCCGCGGCAGGATTGCCACCACACCTGGCAGGTGGCGGAACGGCATCCGCAGCTGACGTGGCGCCCGCAGGTGACGGCAGGAGCGACGAAGGCGCCATCGGCGACGGCGGCAGCAGCAGCGGTGGCGGAGGCGGCTGCAGCGGCTCTTTCTTGGTTGTCGGCGCACAAGAGGAGGAACTAAGGCGTCGCAGCTCTAAAGACGGCTGCAGCGGCAGCCGCGGCAGCAGCGGTACGGAGGATGGCGCTGGGGACACTGACCCGCCACCGTCCGTCACCCGAACTTCGGAGGCTTCTTGACAACAAAGGGGCGTACCCGTTGGGAGGGCTTCGGTAGAAGCAACCCCGCCCAAGGCGCCGCCGCCGCTACTGCTGGCGGCAGTTAATCGACCGGGAGGAAGAGGGAGATGCCTGCTGCTGCTATCGCCGCTTAGCCGTGACCAGGGAGGGAGGCTACCGCTGGGCGACGACGGCAAGTGTACGGCAACGGACAGCGACGGCAGGTGTCCCGGACGATGACATGCGGTCGGCAGCGGCGACGTGGGCGATGGTAACGCCCCAGCGGCGGCATGCAACGCGTCAGCGCTCTCCCGGGGCAAAAACATCTGGGTCAGGAACGCACTGCCCCCTGCCGTACCGCCGCCGCCGCCGCCGGCAGCCGCCGTCGCTTCGCCTCCTGCCGTACTGCCCTCCGTCCGCATGCCAACACCGCCCGCATGCAACACCCTCGCAATGTCCTCTCCGCCACAGCGCCCCTGGTTTCCTCGCTCAGCAGGCCCCGCTGCGGCATCCTCCCCAGATGACGAGGAAGCCGCCGCCGCCACGGCTTCTGGCGCACCTCCGCCGCCACCGCAACCAGCTCCAGCTGCCAACGCGGTCGCCGCCGCCGGCCTGGCTGCTGCTGCTTTCCCTGGATCCATTTCCTGGGATGCCACGGGGCTAATGTCTGGCACTGCGGATACAGCTGGGGGATGATGCGGCTGCTGTTGCTGCTGCTGATGATGAGGGTGCGGATGCAGATGAGGGTGGTGAGGGTGGTGGTGCTGCTGCCCCCAGGGAGGCTGCGGGCGCTCGGAGGGCGCATGGGAGCCGTCCGGGGAGAGGGCGGTGGTGGCGGAGGCTGCGGAGGGGGCGGGTGACGTGGGGGCCCACCTCGGCGCTGCCAGCCCCGGCAGCAGGATGCGGGTGGGCATGTTGTAACGCGGCTCGCGACCGGGACTGCGGCAGGGGGGGCAGCAGGGAGACAGACGGTGAAGCAGACGCAGAGAGTAAGATTGGATAGTTCGCATAGAAAGCAGTACCGGTACTGACATCTTTTGGGGTACTCTAATGGACCGGCAGCGAAACATCAATGGGGAGGGTTGCAAAGTACACCGCCATTCACGCTTGCATCTCCAGCGTCGCCTCTCTGTCCAGGCCACGAACGGTGGACCAACCCTCCTTAATACACTCCTGGTCCGTAAGACCGTAACCCCCTAACCCCTCCCTTCCCTCCCAACCCGCGCGCGCAAGCTCACGTGAAGTACGCCACCGCCTCATCCGGCCCCTCCGGTATCTGGATGCCCGCCCGATGCAGCCTGGCCACCAGCGCTGCATGCCCATGCGCACGAGAGCCCGCAGCCGCACTGCCGCGCCGCCCCAACGCCACACGATACAGCCGCCGCAGCATCTTCCGCGTTAGTCCGGGGCTGCTGCGCTCACCGCCGCCGCCTCCGTCAACGCTGCTGCATGTGTCGCTGTCGGCATCGGCCACGGCGGCGGAGGCGGCGGCGACAGGGGGCGCAACGTTGGAGGCGACGGCGGCGGGGGCGGCGTCGCCTGCTCCTCCTCCCCAGATTCTGCTGCGGCGGGGCCCTGGTGGGGCATCTGTGTCGGAGGGTCTGGGTTGCAGGAGCTGAAGCAGCGAGCGGGAGCTGCGGGCCATGGGGCTGGTGGGGGGTGTGGTGCTGCTGGGAGGGGCTGCTGCACCCGCTGCTGCTGCTGCGGTGGCGCCTCCGCCTCGGCCGCCTCTGCCGCTGCCGCCCTCCGGGACATCCGAACCAAGAGCCCCCACATTTGTGGCTACTGCGACCGCGACCCCGGCGGTGTTGTTGGCTGAAGCTGCCGCTGCTGCGCCTTCAGGAGACGTTGACTCCGACCGCTGCTGCGCTGCCGCCGCCGCTGCTACCGCCGGTACTGCAGCGCTCGCGACTGGTGTTGCGCCGGCGGATTCTGCCGTCTGGGGGTCCGTCGGGGGACGACGCCGACGCGTGCCGCGTCGCCGAGACGAGCGCGAGTGAGCGGGGGGAGCGGGGCCACCTGCATGCTCCTCCCCGCCGCCGTCAGCAGCCGCTGCTGCCCCGCCGCCGCTGCTGCCGCCGCCACCGGAGGAGTTCCCACGCGCCCGGCGGCCGCGATGCCGCCACGGCCGCCAGCCGCCGCCGCTGCGGTTGCCGGCCGCCGACGCCGGCGCTGCCGCCGACGCCGACGCCGGTGCTGACGAGACCGGCTTCTCGTCCTTTGACGCCCGTCCCATAAACCTCCGGATCGTGCTCGTGAGGCCCTCAGGTGGGGGTTCCTGCAGGAACCAAAACAGCTCAACATGCGCGCAAAGTCCACGACGCCCATAGAACTTACACCCATTGCAACCGATCACGTTGCCGCTAGGAGGTGAACTGGCCACGTCAACAGCTTCGCCCCGCTTCCTCTCCCTGATACCGGTACCCACCTTGCCCTGCTTCAGGGCTGCCGCCGCCGCCGCTGCCTCCTTCGCAACCCGCCGCATCTCCCGCCGCCGCCTGCGCTCCTGCGCCGCCGCCTCCGCTGCCTCCGCCGCGCGCCGCATCTCCTTCTCCGCCGCGTCCAGGGAGGCAAGCAGCGAGCTGTGCAGCGCGCGAGCAGCGATGACTGTCAGCCTGGAGCGGGGTGGGAGCACACACGAGGGAGGGCGGGAAGAGGCCCAAATGGGAGTGTGTGTGTGTGGAAATAGGCGGTAAACACGGAGTGGTTGGGACACAGGACGGGGTGGTGTCTTCCCTGCCTTTATCAAGCTCCACGTAGGTAGGGGGGTACCGGCACTCTGCATGCAGCAAGCAACAGCCCCTTATTTCTCTCCCTTCCTTCCTCCTTCCCTTGCATCCCTCTCCTCTTCATCATCCATCCCCTGTTCCCCTCCCTACCACTCCTCCCCTCCCACCTGGACACGCCCACCAGCGGCACCTGCCCGCTGCGTCTGCGTGCCTCCGCGCCCTCCACCCCGCCCCCCGAGCCGCCTCCCGCCTGCCCCCCGCCGCTCTCATCCGCCTCCTCCCCGCCAAACAGGAACATTAGCGGCACGGAGGGGTCCAGCCAGTCCAACAGATGTCGGTGGCCGGACCTGCAGGGCGCCATGTGGGAGGGCGGGGGCGGGTGGTTGAGGGCGGGTGAGAGCGAGTGGCGGCGGGGCCAGAGAGAGAGCATGCATGAGGGCAGGCAGGGCAGGAAGGCAAGGGCACCCTTCCTCTTGCGCTGTACAAGCTGTAAATCCTGTAATACGCCTCGCTGTCATGGCGATAGCTTCAGTCCCTGCGTCCACCTGTCTTCCCAGCACCATCCACACCGCCACCGCCACCGCTCCCTCTCCCAGTCCCCACCCCACCTGGCAGCCACATGGAAGGGCAGGCGCTGCGTGCGTGTGAGGATGAGTCGCGGGTCGGGGTGGCTGCGGGCGCGGCGGCGGCGCTCCACACTCGCCAGTAGCGCCGTCTGGCTGGGCAGCAGGTCGGCTGCCGTCTCGTACTGCGGTGGTGGTGGTGGTGGTGGTGGTGGTGGTGGTGGTGGACGAGGCACACAGAGCAGGGAGGTAGTGGTGGTGATGGGGAGGAAGGGGAGGGCGGGGGATGGCAAGGTGGGGAGGGATGAAGGGAGAGGGTAGGTGTACCGGTAATGAGCGGAGGTCGTGTGGGAGCAGGGGACAGACAAGGCAAGAGTCAAGCGGACGTACCGCCTCCGCATGGCTAACGAGCCCCCAGCCACCACCCCCATGACACCCCGCCCCGCCCCGCCCCCCATGCGCCCCACTCACGTAAGCCCGCAGCAGCATCCTCACTCGGTCCAGGCAGCCGTGCAGGCAGGCGATGTGCAGCGGCGTGGAGCCGGCAGGCAGGTTGGCGTACTCGGAGTGGAGCAGCTGGCGGTGGAGGAGTGGAGGCGCGGTGGGGGGTACGGGGTACGGGGTGCGTGGAAAAGAGGGAAAGAGCCGAGAGAGGTGGAGATGGAGCCCCGATCCTGAGTCCTTGTTGCAATTCAACCACGCCACACTCCTCCCCTTTCCTCCTCCCCTCCTTTCCCCATCTCTCTCACCAGCGACCTGGCAATGAGGTTGGCGTCGAAGCCTATGAGCAGCATCATGGCTGAGCGGCGGTTGCACCAGGTGGCGTAGTGCAGCGGCGTCCAGCCGAACAGGTCCAGGCAGTCGGCTAGGCGGGTGGAGGGGTGGTTGTGGATGACTGCACGGCTGCTCAGGGGGCGCTCCTGACCCAGCAGGACCTGCGGGAAGGCAGGGGCACCGGTGGGGGAAGGGGAAGGCAGGAGGCAGGCCAAGTCAAGGCACATGGAAGCATCTTGGATGAGCCCCGACGATGCGGCTGACTCCCCTCTCTCGCCCCGCCGTCCCTCCGGCCCTGCCCTTTTTCGGCCCGCCTTCCTTCTCGCCCTGCCCTACACCCGCGCCCGCACCTGCAGCGCCCGAATGGCTCCGTACTTGGCTGCCAGGTGAGCCGCGTTGCGCCCCTCGTGGTCGCCCTGCCAGGGGTCCGCACCTGGTGGGCCGCAGGGGGGTTGGGGTTGGGGTTGGGTGACGGGTGCGGGTGCGGGTGGGGAGGGGTGTGGCGGGTCATAAGGTGGGGACTGGACTGGGTGGTATCCCGCACGGCTCCAGCTGGCCCTTGTGCGCTCCCAGCTGCGCGGCCATGTTGGCCTGGGTTAGCCCCACACCTGGCCTCAGCCCTCACCCATCCAGCCCCCTTCCAGCTGGGCCAGTGTTCGCGTGTAGCTGTGTCATAGCTGCCCTCCCCAAGCGCAGGGCCCCTCCCCCTCGGCCCTGGACCCATCCACAGCCGCCATGCCAGGGTTCCCACACATCCCTCCTCAGTCCTCACCCATCCAGCTGCTTCCTCACTCATCCAGCTGCCTCGCACGGCTCCTGCCCGCGCCCCGCAGCCCTCACCCATCCAGCCGCTGCTCTCCCAAGTCCCAGCTGCCTGCCCCCAGGGCCCTCACCTATCTCCAGCAGGAAGTTGACCGCATCCGCCCGGTCGTGTGCGGCCGCCAGAGACAGCGGCGTGAGGCCCCAGGCGCTGCGCCCGTTCACCAGCTCGGCCACCCGCTGAAGGGCGGGGCGAGCAGCAGCAGCAGCAGGGGCAGCAGGAGGGGCAGCAGGAGGGGCAGCAGCAGGGGCACACCTAACATGCCTGATAGTGCGGTGTTGCAGTGTTTCCGTGTTACATGTGTGTTAAGAAAACTGGCCGCGAGTAGGAACGTACTGCAGGCAGGAACGAAAGCATCCGGCGTTACATGTGTGTGTGCACGGTCGCGCGGTTACCGCTAGGCGTTCGGGTTACATGGAGGGCGCGGAAAGGGTACCCCACGCGGGGATGTTACGAGGCGGGGCGGGGCGACCAGCTGCTGCGCACCTCTTCGGGCCCTAGGGGCGTCCGCGAGAGGGACATGAGACGGGCCGACAGCGACAGGCTGAAGGAGAGGCTGAGGTGGTTGTTCAGCTGCTGGCCCGCGTCCTCCTCTACGGCCCGGTCCCGGAGCACCCGTAGTACCTGTGTGGGGTGCGTGGATGTCGGGAAAGGAAAGGATCGTGGTGGGGGAAAGGAATGTAGGGGACATGGAAGGGAGAGGGGTGATAGGGTGGTGCTGGTGGGTGATGTTGGAGAGGAGGCGAAGGGAACACATACAAGGGCTGGATAGCCCTCTACAGTATGCATGGTGTGCGGTGCAGGTGTCTCGACATCAAACATGCTTAACATTCTTGGGGCAACCGATCCTGGGGCAACCGAAATGCCTTCAGTGTGCAGCCTTCTCACCTCAACATGACCCTTCTCCGCAGCGATGTGCCACGCAGTGCGCCTATTCTTCTTATCGGCATGCCTTAGCCATAAAGCATCCTCCCGTACAAACCTTGCAACCTCGGTAGCATCTCCTGTGCGGGTCCCAAGTGCGAGGCATTGAAAGGCGAGTTCTGTCGAAGGACAAGGTGAATGATCTTACCCTCCTCAACCGCCAGGAAAAACGGCGATCTCCTGGTACAAGAAACACAGCACTTCGAGGCTAGTACACCGTGTTGTTGTGCCGCCATGTCACTAGCCAGTTCTTCTGAACTCATATCGTACTTCTATATTGTGCGAGCCCTTATTTAATGGCTGAAGTCAATGCCATTATCTGACATTGTAGTGATTGCTTTTCACACCGCTGCGACCAAGGGGCCGCGGTCATAACCAGTTGATGCATTTAGTGTTAAACTTAATGGCTCGACCAATTTTATCCATATGCCTGGTTTTCAAGAACCCGAAAACGTTGTTTTCTCAGCACTGCCGTGTCAAGCGTCAATAACGTCGTACAGGCACTCGATGGCCGCTCAGGCGCTCAGCGCTCACGCCCAGCTCGAACACACTTCGTCACCAAGACAGTTTGTATGGCACAACTCGCACATATGGCATATGCATGACCATGAGATAATATTGGCGAAGGCTAGGCATAAGCAGTCGTAACTCCGTTAACCGTGTTACCACCGGGACCCCAATAATTTCCAACATGCACTTCGTCTGCCATTGGCGCCCTACTTATGATACAAAGTTCTAACTTTGCGCGATGACTGCTTCGTGCCTGGAATACTTCACGCTCAGAATGATAGCGTAGTGCGATTAGGCCTCAGCATTTTGCGATCTGCGTCCGAGCAATCCTGGGGAGGAGCAAGGATACATATATCGTATATTCCATGCCAAGGACACGGATCTGCCTCTGAAACGCTTAGTGCACCTAGGGCTACCGATAGTACAGCAAACGGCAAAGCACCATCGCGACGGGGCTAAGCGCTGGTCAAGTTTTGTGTGGGCTATGCTTGAATGGAATGCTTTGATCCCCATGTAAGAAAGCAGAAACTCGTTTGACATCGAAGCATGCCTTAGGCGCGCGACGGATACAACTGCACGGGGCACCTAGTAGTGAATGTGCAATCAAAGCAATAACAACGCAAAAACGTTACATGGACAAATACCACACAGATATAAACCAAAATCCCCTCACCGCAAATGCCCATAGGGTTCAGTGTACTACCCAGGGCGCTTCTACCTAAGAACATTCGACTGGCCCTCCCCGATGACCCATGGGTCAGCCGTGTTCATGGTTCATATTGACCTTGGGGCGGGGTTGGCAGATCTATATCCACGGAAGTGATCGGAATTTATGGCTTGTCCGAGTGAGGGGTCCGAGTGAGAAGGACAGTGTTGTCCAATGAAGAAACACACTGAACATACCCGGCACTACTCAAAACACACACACATCGCACCCCTCGACCTGCCACGATGACATGTTTCAATCCATGCGACGCTTGCAATTACTTCTTGGACAAACAAGGTCCAAGGCAGTCGCAAAGGGGGACAGGAGCATCACTAGTAGTCTACTAACACCACCCACAGCTGACCACAGAAAAGGCGCCAGGCAGGTGGGAAGCGAAACTAGACACCCTAGAGGATCCCGTACGGAACGTACCCGCCAACTCAACCAGGCTAGCACGCTTCCAATACCACTAACTTGAGAGCCAAAAAGCCTGAACCCAACAGCGCCTGCCTCTATGTAGCAACGAGGCTTCCCAAAACTGCATCCCTGTGCTACAAACGGTTAAACATAGTCTATCCTGGACTGGTAGCTTTACATGACGGCGCATACAGGCGAAACTTATTAAATAAGCACGCTCGTCTCGCCCCAACCTAGGCGTCCATGCGTATAGAACAAACACGAGCCCTCATGCACCACAGAACAATCCGGGCGTCAACAGAAGGGGACACTGCCGGTTTGGTTCGCCGGTACTAATGCACGGCAGTAACAACGTACCACCCTCGGTCAGACATGTCAACGTGTTGTTCACCCGGGGCCTGGCGCCAATCATACCCCAGTTGGATTCCAGTCATGCAAATATTTCAAGCAGTATGTAATTAGAGTAAGAGGAGCCATATTTCACTCCTCTTTCACATATGCTGTGAGCACTCCTCTCGTCATACTAACTTTGCGCCGATCCGCAAGGGTGCCAGGCGCATGGCTTGACGTTGGGATGTTGGACGCTTCCGTGGACTCCAAATGCCACTCTGCTTCACACCTAAAGCGGAGGCGGCTACTGCCAAACACCCGCGCTCCTCCCTCCCTCTTTCCCTCAACTAACCACTCCACTAAACTCCATTAAGGCACCTTGCAGAGGCACCACGTCGACACAAACTCAGGCTCCACTTGTGTACAGCACACACATACTTGGCATTAATTTGGTTACTGTTCCGTCTGAAACTCCGTCTGAAACTCACTCTTATAACTTTGGTAACCACCAACCGTATCGTTGTTATTCGACTTACGCTTACTCTGAAATAGATTACTCTGATAGTGCCTTCACACCAGCTGCTACTGTCTGCTTTACGCGCTGACCGGGCCTTCTGCCTCCAACCCTCAGCAGGCCCAGCGAATACCATAACCAGATCTGCTCATTATCCCCGCTTTACTGTACGCCCGGATGGCGCTTCTACCCTGTCACTTCTTCTATCTTCTGTACGGCATCTTTATTGCAAAACCAGTACGCGGGGAACTTCTCGAGGGCAAAACAGGTCATTGCGTCGGCGACTGTGGAGTCACAGTCACGTTGACACAAAGCAGCAAGCTCCGCAGCAGCCCTTCCATCGCCACGCTCAAAGCTACCTCCCATCGCTGCCGTTGCTATTGTTACCGCTGCTGGAGGGCAAGTTGCGTGCGACAGCGGTGTCGTGCGGGCCATGAGGGGTCGCGACGGGGGCTGCTTCGTGGAGCTTCTGCGGCTGCTGTGTCTGCTGCTGATGGTGCTGGTCTCGCTGGTGCTTTGGCTGCTGGAGCGGCTGCTGCTGTGGTAGCTGTTGTTCTTCGGCACAACCACCACCACCACCACCGCTGCTGCTGCCAGCCGCAGCAGCTGCACAACCCTGCTGACTCCCGAATGAGCTATCCGGATGTCCGCTCAGCCCCTCAGCGACCAGCGCAGCCTCTTCACACGCGCGCAGCAGACCCCGGGCCAGCTCCATGACAGCCTCCTTGACGCGAATGCAGTAGCCCAGAGGTCTGAGGGATTCACAGCCAACGGTATGGTTAGGGTGGCGGATGACACTCAACAAAGCTCATCAATACGTGGCGATCAGTACGCAGTGCCTCTACGCTGCTTTCCAAAATTCCAATCCTCTCTCCGAGCTGCTCATGCTGGCTTGAGTGGACGCAGATGCACCGCGATTTCACTGGCCAGTGTCAATTAACGTTTAGGCCAATACCATAACATGGCCCTAACATTGCACGAAATGCATCTTCGCCACTCCAACCCCAGTTAATGCCCGCTGGCACGTAAGACCCACCTTAGGCCCAACCGCTCCAACTGCTTGACCTCCATGCCAAGCAGCATGTCCAGCCGGATTGCCTCCTTGCGGAAGCGTGGAAGGTACGGCAGCAACCCCAGTTCCAAAAACAGTTGCTGAATGCCGTACGATGGTAGCACTTGGGTTGATGGCAGTACGGACAGACGTGTCACCGACTGGGGCAAGACCGCACTGCCGCCTGGCGACGCTCCTGCCGCCATGTTAGCGGGACCAGCGGTTGCCGCCGCGGCAGTTGCTGCGGTGTTGCTGGTGGCGGCGATGGCAGCGCCGTTGGGGGTGGCTGGGGGCAGGTGTAGTAAGCTCGCAAGGCCCAAGGACTGCAGCGCACTGAGTTTTCTCGGGATTCCCATTGGTGAGGCAAGCGCAATGTATGCACTTGTGTAGCCTGATGCAGGCGGATTGGCAGCTGCATTGCATTGAGCAATGTCCCCAACCGGTTGCTGCTGCTGCTGCTGCTGCGCCGACGGCTGGAGATTGCCAGCAGCCCCAGGCCTGCCACTGCCATCGGTTGCGCCGCTGCGACTGCAGCCTCTGCCGGCGTTAGATCCAACCTGTCGTGTAGCTACCATGCCAGCTTGCAGTTGCATGTCAGAAGTCAAGACAAAGGGCGAGCTAGGATTCACTGACGAAGAGTCGTCACCTCCATGCGGTGCATTGGCCCTGGCGGAGGAGGTCGTCGCAGCTGCCTCGCCAACCATGGGAAGGGCAGAAGTCCCACCGGTGTTACCGCCATTGCCAGTGCTGCTGCTGCTGTTGTACTGTTCCTCCGTCAGGATGATGACGTCCGTATCTTCCAACTGACCCAACGATGAAACGGCTTGATGGCGGTGTTGCTGAGTCCGGTTGGCATCCAGTGATCTCCGCAGCAGCTCTTCAGCACTGCCGGCCTCTGCGCTGTCACCGCTATTCGTGCTGCTGCTGCCGACAACGATGACACCACTAGAGCCGTTACTGTTGTACGGCGGCTGAGTGATGGCGCCTGAGGAGCTCTTTCCATGGGCTGCTGCAGCCACGGCGGCAGCGGCAGCGGAGGTGAGGCGCAGCTGCCGCGCCAGCAGCCCTGCCTGCTGCAGAGCGCCGGCGGTGCGACACCGCTCTGTGTCCAACTCCTCCTGTTGAAGCCAGATGGGTTTGAAGGGGGGTACTATGTGTATGGGCACAACGGCGCAGGTTGCGTGGAAAGGTATGAGGAATACATGAAGTTTAGTAAGGTGTGCCGAGGCTACTGCCAGGTGTGTGGCAAAGGGCACCGAAATTCCCACCCTAAACTCGGGCAGGACGAAGAGCCAGACGCTGCAAAGCGCGCAGCTGGAAGCCAACAGCACGTTGCCATGTAATGATTGTTGCGGCAGGGTTCAAGTGCCCGCTATAAAAACAAGGCATATAACATAAACAAAACCGTCCGCTAACAGCTCGACCTTCCATACGACATACCTGCAGCCGCTGCCTGGCTGCCATCTCCGAAACCAGCTGGCTCCCCATGCCGTTCAAACGCTGCTCCAGAAACACCACCGTTGGAGCCCAACCGCCGCCAGCGTCACACGCAGCCCCGGCGCCGCAGGTGCCACCGGATCCCAGGATCACACTGCTTGAGTGGAAGAGCTCGTTGTAATATTTGTGCCCTAACGCGGTACCCGAGCCTGTTTCGAAAGGCGCCGATGTCGTTGTGGACGGCGGCGGCGGGGCTTCAGTCGCCGTGCCGCCGGCAGCGGCGTCGGCACTGCCGGATACAACGCGAGCCGAGTTGAAAAGGCTCGGGATGGGCGTGTTCCCGATCATCGTGCTGTTAGGTTGTGGGTGCAAGCGGTTCATGCTTGCTGCACATGCGAAGGTCCCGGCGCCGTCTTCAGAGGAATCCTCACGATAGTACGCCTCCGAGCCAAACGTTTTACCCAGCAAGCGATTGTCCTGCGCATGTGCGTTCAATTGCGGTGCAGCTGCACACCCCATGGCGACGCCACCAGCCGTCGCTGCCTTACCAGCAGCAGCAGCGCCGCCAGTGCCCGCTGAAGCCTTCAGCACCGGGAAAGCTTCCGGGCGCGACAAGGGACTGCGGCCAATAGAGTTGGTGCAACTGCCGCCGCCGCTAGGACCAGCGCCGGCGCTTACGCCACTGTACAGCGGCGGCAATTGTCGTACTGCCGCCGACTGGTTTGATTGAGCTGCCAGCGCCGCTGCTTGTGCCATGTCTTGCAAGCACCCACCACCGTTCCCAGACGCTGTCTGGCAGCCGTCATCGGTACCCGTCCGCTGCTGGGGCTGCTGGCACAGCTCCCCAATACCTCCCGATACGGTAGCCTCCAGCACAAGCAGCGGGCTGCCGCCAGCGGTAGTGCTGTCGGGGGAACAGGCGAGGTCTGCCAGACGGAAGGAGTCGCTGTGCAACATGCTGAGCGGGGGCGGCGCCGGCAGTGGCGGTGCAGCAGGCGGCTGTGTTTGCAGGTCTGATGAGCATCCCAGCAAGGGCGTTGTGCTTCCTGTTCCTCCACCTGTCTGCTGGGCTGAGGTGGCGGCTGAGCCAGTTGCGGCAGCAGCGGCGGCCTGCAAACGTGCGGCATATTCGCGCAGCGCCTGCTCCCAGGCTCCGGCCCGTAGTAGATACGTGCGCATGCGGCCCTTGCCCTTCACCTCACGCTCGCCCACCTGCAAACCAAAAGCAGGAACACAGCAGCATAGGGGGGCCTCAGGACAAACAAGCTGTGGAAGCTCCCTTCTTTAATCCACTGTAGCAGTCAGTGTTAAGACCTGCGGCGGGCATTCCTAGACAGAATGAAACCTTACTCTCACCCGCCCACGCACACCAGGCCCATTACCAACCTCCTGCAGCTCGGTCTCCGCATTGGGGTGGTGTCGGAATACGTCCTCAGACACATGGACGCACATGGGGAAGCCCGTGGACTCCTGGGGGGCAGGAGGTCAGTGAGGAAAGGCAGCGGGTTGGGATAGCAGGAGGTGAGGAGTGCGCGGGGGGCAAGAGGGCAGGAGATGAGGCATGGAGGGTACGCAGGGCAGTGAAGGGCTTGAGGAAAGGGAGAGAGGCGCAGGGCATGTCGCCATGTCCCTTAAAACATACGTCTGTTGTGGTGAGCCGTGCCGCTTGGAGGGGAACAGTTGCGCCCAGTACGACCAGTTGCGTACGACGCTAAGTACCATGGGATCCCGTGCACGCACGTACCATGCGACTGGCGGTGTTGACCGTATCTCCGAGGAAGCAGTACCGAGGGCACTTCATACCAATGACACCCGCGAAAGCAGGGCCGCAGTGGACTCCCTGCGCGTCGTGAAGTGGCAAGAATATACATGAAGGCGTTAAGCAAGGCGGTAAGTGGGGCTTAGTCATTCCATTTATCGAGGCCATGGCCATGCAAGCCACCTGTGCGTTGTTCTGTGTCGTCCTGTCGTGCTTACAATGCGTATGCGGAGTCTCTCGCCGTTGGGCGCCGTGATGTTGCGCACAACGTCAAGCATGGCGCGCGCGAAGCCCAGCACACGCATCAATGGAGAGCCCTTGTGGGCCTTATCGTCGTCCTCATCGTGGCCCGCAGCGACCATGTAGGCATCGCCGATAGTTTCGACCTAGCATGACGGAACAAAGGGACACAGTATAAATGTTAGTTGAAGGAGAATGAACCAAGAGTAGACAGAATTGATAGAGTCTAGGCCGCTCTAACTAGCTCGCGCAAGGTAAAGCCTACAATACCGTAGAGCTACAGACGTACGACGGTCCATAACCCGGCGGCTTGTCGCTGAACCGTAAAACGCGTACCTTATAGACGGAGAAGCGGTCTGTCAGTTTGTCAAATGCGGTAAACATGTTGCTCAGCATTAAGAAGACCTCGGCAGTTGGCAGCTTGGAAGACAGCGAAGTGAAGCCCACAATGTCGGAGAACAGGATTACAACTGCGATGAGGAAGCGGTTTCAATGAGTAAAGCGGGGCGCGGAGCATGTAAGAGTCTGGCGAGAAGCTCGAAAAGCAAGGCAAAGCAGGAGTGGCTCTATGACTAAGCCGTTGCCATCTCACCGTGCCTATGCGAATCCGCAACGAACTTTTGCCCCTGCTGCATGCGTGCGATGATGGATTCTGGCAGGATGTTCTTCAAGAGCTTCATGCTCTCCGTCTCGCGGCCGTCCACGTTGTTGATCAGCTCAGCCAGCCACCAACTGCAAGCAGCCGCCAGCGGAAAGCGAAGAGGATAGTCAGCAAGAGGCGGGCAGTCATAAGTTTACGTAAAGGGCGTAAGAAAACTGTTACGGGGCGGGCAACCGCTACATTGGGGCAGGCAGCGTCATCAAAGGCGTGCCCCTTGGTCCACTCGGCATCCCACGTAGCACCGGGCCAAACACAACACGCTGTGGCACCCACCTGTCGCTTTTCAGCCGCAGCTGCGTCTCAATGCGAGCCAGCAGCTCCTCTCGTTGGTACGGCTTCCGTACAAAGTCGTTGGATCCAGATCTCAGGCCCTCCACGATGTTGTCCTCATCCGACTTGGCGGAAACCATGATGACTGGGAGCACGTTGCCGGGGATTACCTGACAAGGGGGAGCCAATGGCAAGGGAAGCACGCTGGCTCAACGACTTAAGGTGCTAGCAGCATGGAAGGCGTTTGGAAAGCCCCGTCTTACCCATCCCATCTTCAAGTTCACGGAGATTCCAACCACCTCCGCAGTTATAGGATGCACCCAACGCCGTTCAAGCTACCTTACCTTTCGCAGCGTCGCGCAGAATTCATGTCCCGACATGTTGGGCATCATGCAGTCCAGCAGAATGAGGTCCGGCATGGTTTCAGAGGCACACAGCCACTCCAGCGCTTCCAACCCGTCCATGCAGCGCGCAAAATGGTACCCAGAGCTTGTCAAGATCTCCTCCAACACAATCTGATTTACCTCCTCATCGTCAACTGACAGGATCTGAACCGTGCCGTACATGTCGCTGTACGCCAGCTTATCCAACGTAAGGCCCGGTGGCGGAGGTGGCATGGTGCAGCTGCTGGAGGTTGTTGTTGCTAGGGTTGTGCTGTTATGCAGCTTGCTGCCTCGCTCGGCAGGTGTCTTGTTGCCCCGTCGGCTTGAGCTGCGCTGCATGAGTATGGATTCCATTGATCCCGCCTCAATTTCGCCACCCACGCTGCTGGCTTCATCAAAGGACGTCCGCCGAAAGCTGTTGCGGTAGAGATCGGATTCCAACGCTGATTTAAACAGCGGGTTGGTGAGTCCAGAGCCGCTGCAGTTGCCGCCACCGTTGGCAAAAGAATGCGGCTGCGGATACATGCCACCGCCGCCACGGTTGCTCCCGAACGCTGACATGCGGTGTGGAAAGCAAGCCGCGCCTGGTTTGCTATTGCTCAAGGAGGTCGAACCCGACAGCTTGCGAAAGCCCGTCGCTGTGCTTGCACTGCTGCAGTTGCCGGCGCCACCCGCATTAACATAGCCTACACCTACATGCAGGTCAATGCTTGTCCTCTGGTGACGATCGTGCGCATCATCTTCCCCGTCGGGGAACGCACCCGCCACAGAAAAGCGACCTCCGCTATGTGACGTAACTGCAGCAGTAGCAGCCTGCATCCCAGTCACCGTCGCAGGCACGCCTGCCTGCCAGCCGCTGCGGCGGGGCCTTCTCCCGCCGTTAGACCCAGAATCCTCCGATTTTATCGTTCGCCGTGCAGTCCAGAAACCTCTTCCTGCACCATCGTCGTCACCTCCATCGTCCCCAGCCGACGCCCCATAGCCGCCGCGGCTGGCCGCTGATGTTGCCCATTTGCTGCTGCCCTCCGCACCGACTAGCCGCTCCTCAACTTCAAGCTCTGACGGCCGCTCGAGGGAGCGGCTGTCTCGCTCGGCTCGGCGCTCCGGTGCTGAGAGGTGCAGCTGCTTCGACACACGGCTTGCTTCGTCTATGGAGCGTTTGTGCTCTGTACGGCGCTGCAAATCCCCCATCAAGTTCTCTCGCTCTAGCTCCTGGATATGCAACATGAAGAACCAGCACCAGAAGGAATGCATTTGCACAGGGAGTTATGTGGCGGGCGCGACCCGGAAGGGATGAGAGGCCCGTATGCACCCATGTGTATAGCCTCATCAGCATCGTTCTCTTCTCCGTCCCTGTCCCATTCAAAGATGCTTCTTACCTTGGTTCTCCGGCGGTATAGCGTTTCCTCGTCGTCATGGCTGTGGCTGTTGCCGCCGCCCCCATCACCATCCGAGCCGGCCTCCTGACATCGCGCATGGGGGTATTGGAGAAATGAGTGCATGCACGCAGCCTATCGACCTTTGATTAATCCAACCCGTAACAGCCTTCAGACCCCCCAGTTTCATCCACAGTCCCGCCCTGCTCGTCACGCGCACCTCACCGTGGTGTAACCCCCGCTTGGTCGCCTCGCCAGCCCCCGGGTCAGCTGCGAGATGGTCTCCTCGATGGCCCTGCGAGGTGAACGCAAACAGCTCATATGGCAGCGCTGCTGACACCTTAGCAGCCATCACGACGCTTCGGCCTGTTTCTGCCATGTGCTCTGCCATGCACGCCGTCCTTTTCTCCCTCCATCCCAGGCATCCCTCCTTCCCCGTCCACTACCAGCTTATGAACTGCTTTACCAACTACAGCTTGTCTAGTACGACTATACAACTCATTGCTTTCACCCCATACACATTACCCCTTATTACCCCACCCGCTCAGTTGTGTAGATCCCGGCATGCGCTTGGGCCGCCGCTTGCTGAGCGCCTCCTTGGCACCTCCGTGTCCGCACGCCGACAGGCTTTCTAACACCTGCACTTCCAGACTCTTCCGCGTGCTGCCCTGCATGACCGGCAACGTGACAGTGAAGGTGGTGCCCTCACCCTCCACAGAACGGCACTCAATGCGCCCCTCGTGCGCCTCCACCAGCTGCTTCACGATGTTGAGGCCCAGACCCGTGCCGCCGTACTTGCGTGTAACGGACATGTCCACCTGGTTGTTGTGACAGTGCGTTGTGTGGTACTGTGAAGGTGGTGTGAAACTGTGCGAGCAGCATGGGTGAATAGCTCCAGGGAACGGGTTTGGCTTGCGTGCTGAGAGGCCATGTGGTTGAGGACAGTGTTGCTGTGAACAACAGTGAGCAACAGAGAACAGAATTGCCGTGAGCAACCTAATTGTAACATGGTAAAGAAAACCTCACAAGCCGATCCTATACCTGTTCCACGTCTTCAAAATCCTGCCGTATACCTTCCCTACCTGCTCAAACGCCCCCCAGATGCTGTTGATACGGTCGGGTGCGATGCCTATGCCGGTGTCCGACACTTGCATGATGACACTGGAGCCGCCCCCAGACGGAGACACGCGCACCGCTACCTGGCCCTTGTGCGTGAACTTTAGGGCGTTGCCAATGAGGTTGTACAGGATCTGCAAGAGTGGGGCAGCCGCGTGAGGCATGAAGGTGGAAGATGCGGGAAGATATGCGGGAAATGCAGGTTGGGTAAGCGGCTTAGGTCTAGAGCAGAGAGGCCTGGGTGCGGATGAACCTGATGCAAGGCCCTTCTGAACTACCTACGCTACATGCACGGGGTTCATGGAGGGCCTGATTCCACAATTTGGGGGTATACAACACATCAGCAACTACCCTTTAACCCTTAACCACACGCTTCATGCTGCCAGTTCACCCTAACACCCTTCATGCCGTGCAGCGCCGAACCTTCACACCTGGATAACACGGCTAAAGTCCGCTATGATGCAGGGCGTGCGAGGATCCACGGACCGCTCGATAACCACGTCCTTCTTAGCGAGCGGTGCCACGATATCCACCACGTGGTCAACCGCCTTAGCCAGAGAGCACAGCTCGTGCTTGATGGTCAGCTTGCCTTCCTGCATGGGCGAGGGAGGCGGAAGGGGCAAGGGGTGGAGGTGGAGTGGACGTGGTAGCATGGGAGGTTACCGGTAGTTAGGGAGGTGAGCAGACACGAACCTTCCAGAAGCTTTAAGTTCACCTTTCGGCTTACTGTCGCAACACGTTTAGGAATGCAGCGTTCTGGTTGCTGATACTGGTACACGGTTGCATACACACATGCATGCATGGTCGGTGTCGCGTTGCCAGCCCACAGTTACTGGAGACCGTGCACGCGCACCCATAAGCCGAGAAGGGTTTAATGGGAGGGCCCCCACCTTACCTTCAGCGCCGCCACATCCAGGATGTCGTTGATGATGTTGAGGAGGTGGTTGGAGCTGTTCTTGATGGTTTTCACAAAGTGCTGCCCCTTGGGGTTCATTTCGCCTCCCGCACCTCGTACCTGGTGCACCAAAGGCACAACCCCGGGGATACTTACGGCACGTTAGGGACATTCCGTAGTAACAGAGCACCGGAAGATTTTCAGCAGCGGGATTATGGGCGCCTAACCCTAAGCAGAATGTAACTCCACCCTATCCCTATAGCCATGGCACAAGTCAAACAGAAAAACCCGGTGCTCCTGAAACACTCGTACCTTTCAAACCCACCCACACTGACCCATCCCTTGATGCTCCACACACAACCCCTCTGTTTCCTACAACTCCGACCCAAGCCCATCTTACCAGTGCGTCAGACAGCTGAATGATTCCATTGAGCGGCGTGCGCAGCTCGTGGCTCATCAGACTCATGAACTGATCCTTCCGCGTCACGGCGTCCTTCAAGTCCTGGATCATCCTCACGCGGTGCGCGTTCTCAGCCGCCTGCTGAGCCAGCAAGCGCCGCTGCGCGATGGTCATGTAGTTGCCGTACATGATTGATGAGGAGAACAGCACCTGCGAGTTGCGAAAGGAGACAAAGGCGTGATGGAGAGGTGTGTTAAGAAAACTGGCCGCGAGTAGGAACGTACTGATGTAGGTGTGTCCGTGCATGCGTGTAACATAGGAGAATGGGTTTCAAAGCACGCATGCCTATCAGGGCGCCCAAGCCAGTCCCTATCCAAGCTATCCAAAATCACAGATGAAGGAATGGCGCGGATTACTTTCGTCTTACACACCACATCGTGAGCCAACCCCATTTCCCAGCACGTTTCCCAGGCCACCCGCCTTAGCCGTCCCCACCTTCGCCATGAAGTTTGCGAACACGTTGAGGTACTCGGCTTGTGGCGAGTTGGCCTCAATCACATGCAGAATCCACGCAACCGGAAACAGCACCCAGATAAGCAGCGTGCACATGTAGATGAAGAGCAGCGAGCGGCGTGAGGAGGCGCTGGGGTGTTCCTTGATGGCTGAGAACACCATGAGCCCCATCATGTACATCACACCCACGAAGCAAAGCATGCTCAAGCCGAACAACGGCCCTGCGGATGCGCATGGGGTGTAGCGTATGCATGGGAACGGAGAGGGGGGGACAGCGGGGCAGGAGAGGGAGGGACAGCGGACACATGGTCAACGTACAGCAGCGAACACGTTGGAATGGAGAGGGAGGTGTGCTTGGATACGGCACACTGCGCTGTGATCTGGTCCCTTGTTGCTCTAGTCGGTTTGTTAGACCAGTACCCGCATCTGCTGCATGGAGCGCTCTTGAGGTCGAGAGCCGGGGCCAGAAGGCTGAGGGCCACACGCGTACGGCTGCGGGACTGCATACCGATAAACCTTTATCGGCCGCGTCGTTCCCAGACTGCCACTGCCCCCAACCATAACCATCATGAACGACCGCCCTTCTATCTGCTGCTGGAGTACGGACCCGCTGCGGCGCAGCATTGCTCCCGAGTGCTCGTTGAGTAGTCTGCGAATCTCCCTCAATCCCTCAATCTCATATCGCTGCTGCTGCATATGGTTTTGCCACACAGGCGGCAATGCATACATCGTCAGTCAACTAGCTGCATGTGATCTGCTGCCTGCTTGCGGCACGGACATGGCTTGTCGTGTAGCTGCCCTCCAAGACGTACATACAGCAGCCGCAGCAAATCGCCACCGTGGGGGCAGATCCCAGCAGGCAGGTCGTGTCGCAATCCATAGGAGGCATATTCCGGTAGGCAGGTTGCACCGCATAAAGAGTTGCGAGGTGGTGGTAGGCACGACTAGTGCCAGGAGCACAGAAACAGCCGAGCCAAAGCTGTTGGAGCCGGAGGAAGAGCACACCAACATCTCCCGGACTGCCAGGCTCCAGATCTTCAATCGCCGAAAGCCTGCCCATGCTGTAAACGTCTCATCACATGCACCGCATGTGCCGCCACACTTCATGTGCATCACGTCCCTGCTGCTGTTGCTGATGCTGTGACAGCGAAAGTCCCGACCTGTTTAGTCATGCTTGGGTGGGCTGCCAAGCCGCCATGAAATTCATCGCTAGGACGTCTTGTAGTTAGGTATTTAGCTTGGAAGCTGGAGCACCCTGTCTCTTATCTGCTATTCGGGCCCCATGCCCATGTCTCGCTGCCCGCATTTCCACCCACCGCACCCACTTGAACCCACCCAAGGACAGCCATGTTGCGTCCCAATCACACCCCTGTCAAGCCAAGGCCCCGCCATCGCCGTCTCTTATCCCCACCCCACTCCCAGGCCACCTCCCACTCACAGTTCAGGTAGGGCCCAGGCACGAGGTTGGCGCCGAAGCCCGACAGAATCATTACCACATCCATGACAATGGCGGTGGCGGTTTGCCGCGGCGTGAAGTCCGATATCTTGGACAGGATGTACACCATGGTGGGTGTGGTGACCAGCCATTGCACGTAGCGCTGCGGAATAATGCTGTACAAGTACGACAAAGTACGGTACGGCAGGGCAGCACACACATGGAAGCGTTATGGAGGCGGGGGCAAAGGTTTGCAGATGTGCATTTGGCATGCTACCGGGTGTAAAAGAGCAGTGGGGGAGCAGCTCTAGTGGCCTGGGCATGCTGCGCGCCGTCAAAAGCCCGTGCTGAGTGCCACATAATGTGTGGTCCATGAGTAAAGCTCGATGTACGACAGGACGACTAAAGAGCCCCCGTACGACGCACCCAGTGGCTTACATGGAGCCGAATGCGTCGTAGATGACAGTCGTGCGACCAGTGACCAGCAGCATGTCTGTGTGACATGCTGCACCCTTAATGGCGACGCTCAGCAATGCTAGCTGGCGCTTGGGCGCGTTGTCCTCAAAAAGCAAGGATGTTAGGTTTAACACTAGCGCCGTAAAGAACGCCGTTGAGCTCATTTGGTAGACAATGGGCGGTACCTGCGTAGAGCGGTCAAATGGGATGCGGCGTGCTTGCTTTGTACTGCATGAGACAGGAAGTAACAGCCCCCTTGTTGGTAGGCACCAGCGGTTCCGTCGCCAACCTAACAATGCCACCGCGTGCAGGGCGCAAGCTGGGGCGGAGAGAGGGGAATAGAGCATTGGATGTACCGGTTACCAAATCCTCACCGCCTTCATCAACTCAGCATATGCATCCTGATTTGGCGGCAACATATACTCCACGAGCCATCGCGCTCCAAAGTACACGAAAACGCCAGCCCTGCGCCAGGAGGCAATGAAAAAACGTTTAATGCAGTCGACGGCTGTAAGGAAAGCCCTCGTGCCGGCGAACAATCGCTATGCATAATAGACTTCTACGCGTTCATCAAGGTCCGCTGTATCTGATACGAGGTTAAGGCTTGCTTCCTTGCTACATCATAACTTGGCAAACCCTCTCCGCACTCACAAAGTCGCTGCCCAAGTTTTCATCCACCCGTAGAACACCTCTGGGTCCTCAGCATCCTCCTCCGGTGCTGGCGATGCAGAAGCAGGCGCCGGGGCCGGCTCGCTCTTCTGTGGAGGCAACGCCACACCCGAGCGCTGGCGCATTCCATTGTAATGCGGCATTCTTCAATATGACGCGACCTTTACACAATTGGCTGCATTATCTTCGACTCAGGATGCAGCTTATGAGCCCAAGTTGGCCTACTCTAATTGTGGCTCCTCAGGCAGTGGGACCTATTGAAATGAGACGTACTTCTAAGCATAGAACCCTATACAACTAGCGATAGATAACCGGGCGCTGGATTCCTTGTCAGCCAGACCGTTCAAATCCTAGGAAAGGTCATGTCGTAAACTAAAGCTGCAAGCTCTCGTACGTGACTGTAACAAAGGACTATCAATGGTATCCAAATAACCGAGCACCATCCGTATTAGCGAAGTTACGCAACATGCGGCAAAGTACGGTCTGTCCCTGGAGCGGTGTGCTTCCTTCCTGCGCAATCAAATGCACTTACGCAAGTGATAAACTCAGTGTGCATAGGGTGATTACAAAAGCAGCCCAATCCGTAGCCAGAAAACCCAACTGATGAGCTACCCGTACGAGGCCGACCTGTACTTCACCCAACGACGCTTCGTAATCTACCCCAGTTATCCACAGTTATCACTACTAAACTATGGAACAAAGATGGGCTAGAGATCAAAAGTCGTCCATAGTGATGGCTTGCAACCATATTGGCTGTCAATAAACACCAAAGCAGCCTGTACCTCCACCTCCACGCCGCTTCAGCACCCCCACGCACGGCTGGTCATGCAATTATCCCTTTGAAAGTTCTGGCCGTTTCCTCCTGGTTATATCCATAAGCCCTGTTTGCTGCAGCCCACAGCACCATTAAGATGTTACAAGCCCGAACCTAGTCCTCCCAAGTCCCAACCATACGCCATAATCATTTCCCTTCGCCCCGTCACCGTACTGGCCATACCGGCCAAAGTCACTTAGGAAGTGCCCCAGGATTGACCAATACTCGGGTCATTGGGCCCAAGCAGGATACGGGGTCCCTAACAGCCACAGCTTCTCTTCCACTCTGCTCCTGCCTCCACGTTTCTCTCCCTCTTTTCCTCCCCCCCCTGTCGTGCATGGCCGCCGTCACACCACTCAACTCCGGTCTTATCAGCACACCTCGTGGCCCTCGTCGCACCTTCCGTAGTTTCCCGTTCCTCAAGCCTGCTTCACTCTGCAATAGTATCATACTCGTACGCATTCTCGTCGCCACTGATCGCGACGATAACGCCCATAGCCTCTCATTCTCGCATCGTAGGCATCCGTTAAGTTAGGTAAGGTATGATGAACATTTTCGCACTAGCGCTTTACACGTCACAGACCGGTTTGCACAATAACACCGCGCTTTCAAGTTTACCATAGCTCAACATACCGGTAGGTATCAAAGTTTACTTAGGGTTAGTTTGCTGCGGCTCCGCTCGACCTCGCCGCAGCCGTCAGCAGCAGCAGCTGTGGATTGCCGCTGCAGCTGTTGCGGCTGTTGCTTTGGCTGCCATTGTTGTGACTTCGATGACGCTGTAGAGCTTGGAGGTGCTAGAGGTGCCACATTCGCTTCCGCAAACGCAACTGCTGTTCTTGATGCTGCTGACACCGACGGCGGCGAATCCGCCAAAGCCGCAGCGGATAGGATGAAGGCCCTAGCCACGGCTAGCTGCGGTCCTTGAAGGGGCGGGATGGAGTGCCCTGGGGGACAATTAGGGCACCAGAAATAGCAGCAGCAGCATGAAACATCAGCAGGCACTACAAGGACAGCAGCAGCGGCGATGCTTTGGAGACAGAAACACCACTCATGAGGCCTGACGGGTATTACAACAGTAACATATCAGGTGCGTTTCCCCCCACCCACCTCTCTGGTGCAGCAGCACGGTGGAGGTCTGGAAGGAGTCCGCCAGCTCAACACAATACGGCTGGTGAGTATGATGACCGGGGACAGGGAGGAAGGGAGAGAGAGGCAAGATAGAGAGAGGGGGGTCAGAGGTGAGAAAGGAAAACACGAGAGGAATTGCCGATTGCGTCGCATACTGGCACCGCATAAGTAACATCATGCGTGGCCAAGTGACGAAGAGAACCTCGGGAAGAGACGTCACGAGCTGAATACCGAAAGCATCCAGGCAAGCTGGTAAAGGCAAGGTAAAGCCTTAATTCGTACCTGCACCTAATCCGCCAATCCGAACCCCATGACTCGTTACCAGGAATCCTTACATTCTTGAGCGCGTCCTTGTCTCCGTACACGTGAAGCGAGGGACACGGAACCTTGCCGGAGAGCGCGTCAAAGGCGGCCACATGGCCGGGATGGCGGCTCTGCAGGGTGGGGGGCAGCAGCGACCCGTGGGTCCGTTGGATCGCCGGATGAGCCCTAACAATATACACCATGCGCCCTCTCTGCGCCCTCTCCAGACACGTCATCCATCTCATTTTTCCTCTCTTGAACCCTTGGCCATCAGGACTCTCGTTTCTATTAGATGCTCTTTTACAAATGCTCTTTAACAAATGTTCCAAGTCCGCGACCACAGCCAGCACCGACCTTCATTCCGCCAAAGAGGATGCAGAAGCGCAGGTGCGGCAGGGCAGCTAGCGCGGCCCGCAGTCCCGACTGCTGCAGCGCCACCAGCGCTGAACCCAACACAGCTCCCTGGCGGAGCTCATGCGGGGAGAGGAGGAGCAAGGAAGGGCGGTGGTACCGGTACGTAAGGGGTGGCAGCGGAGCGGCCTATGTGTGCTCCTACGTGTCAGGTACAAGTCGTACAACCAAGGCAAGGCACAAGGTTCGATGGAAAGGAGTTAGGGTCAGCCGTGTACCAAAAAATGACGGTGTATGCGTAAAGCACCTTTAGCAGTTCAGGGGGGTTGCGATTTGCCTACCACAGCTAATCGTCACCCCTTTCACCTCACCTGAGAGAAGCCCATAATGCCGTCGAAGGGCCCCTGACGTGTGAGCACGTCGAGCAAAAACCGCTCCGAAGCCTGCAAGGGCGGGTCGGTTACAAACCAGCTGCAAACCAACGGTCACAAACCAATTGCTTGCCAGTTGCCACGTGATCCCCATATGGCCCCGCTCGTGGCACAGTTGTTAACCCTACCAGACAGCATTAAAGGATTTAAAACATACACACAGTGTGTCAGTTTTCCAGCAAGTTGACTTTACACGTACTCACCTCCACCTTGGCCTCATCAAACTCCACTCGGTCCCCCTGGAAGCAGCATCAGACGAGAAAGGAATGATGACGGAGGATGTGTGGCATGGGCCCGTGGCTGCCACACGCTCATTCGTTTACACCTGGCGCACAGGCAACGAGGTGCGGAGCGGCAGGGATGGAACTGAGGGCTGCAATGTAGTGCCTTCACGGCTCATCCACGACCCTGCCCCATTCAGCCCCAATCCTCCTCCTCCCCAGCAGCACCCACCACCTCCTCCGCGGTGAACCATTCAAAGTAAGGCCCTTGGAAGTACGGTCCCACGTCTCGCGGGATGTGGCCGCTGGCGGGGTGGGGCGCGTCGACAAAGGTCTGCGGGGTGCAGGAGGAGGAGGGGAGAAGGTGTGGGAGGTGGAAGTAAGGGAGAGGAGTGTAAAGGGAAGAGGGTTTCCGTAGCCGAGAGGGCCGAGAGACACGAGGGCGGGAAGGAGGGAAGGCCCTTGCACTTAGTGGTAAAACCGGTGCCTACAGGGCGCCCTTGCAATGGGAGATATCGGTATGGCTCCTGGCTGGGTGCCACATGCTGAGTCATGCAACAATTGGCTGAAGGTCATGTACACTCAAGTACGCAAGGCCATTGTATCGGTCCCTATGCCTGTAGCGTAACCCTGTCTTCACGCTGGCGGCCGCAGGGTTTTGGACACGACCACATTGCGCAATTTATGCCAGAGCTTTACTTACAAACTCCACGAGGTCCTCCAGTGCCTCGAGTAACCCAGCTCGCTGGAGCTGCGGGCGAGCAGGTTGGGATCAGACGGACGTGTCAGACGAGATCGGCATCCATTACATCCGTGGGCTGTGGTGCTTAGGAAGTTCGCTCAGGCGGTCCATGTTATACGGCCAGGATGGCAAGGATGTTTTCATAAGGTGCGCAATGAAGAGGCGCTCGCGAAGTTAGCACACCTGCTGCTTAAAGATGCTACCGCTGGTGCGGAAGGAATGGATACATAAAACCCGCAGCCGGCGCATTGGAACACCGCAGGTGGTTAACTCCAGTGTGCTACTATTTGAGCGATATGTTAGGAAAAGGAACTCGCAGAGGTTTAGATAACTGTAATGCGTCACGTAATGAAGTGGAGTGTGCCTATCTATGGCAGTAGGTCGTGCCTGGGGATACAAAATTCCGCTTGTAATGTTAAGGAACGGGAATATGTGCCAGTGGCGCCGCGTGTTATAACTAGATGATGCACAACACGATGCGGGTTGTTACAACGGCCAAACCACTACTTGGCAGAAACGATCCTAATCCAGCAGTTATAGCTGTGTACCCGCAGACTCTTTAAACTGCGAGCACGAGCAATAGCACAAAGTGGCTTTCTACATTAGCAGTTGTCGTCTCAGATGCCGGTGACACCGCTGACCTATCGCATAGTTCATATACCTACCACACGTTCTTGACGATACATTTATTTGAAATAGGGATCCACGCGTTTAAGGCATTACCAGGCAAGAACCATCCACAGCCCTTCTATGGCGTGGCGGTATGCTTGCAACATACCTACGCACATTACAGGGAAAGATGAAAACGGAGAGCCGGTTGTGGTAGGTGTCTAGCTATTGGCTTGGAGTGCAAGAGGCGCGAGCATTGCTCAGAATGGCTTTCGCTCTTGGATTCCACCACAGCTTTACCGGGTCAACGTCTTCCTGCAACAACAAAACGATGATGGCTCAAGCGTCAGCGCCAATAGCGTGTTGGACGCGGCGCCTTTCTTCGTGCTGAGGCGCTATAGCCAATTCCGGCACCTCTATGAGCAGGTGAGCGCGCTCTGCCCCTTGATGACTCCTTGGACAGAATCTGCTAGGGGCAGGCAAGGGCAACCATTACGGATGCCCGGGGCCCGCACCTGTTGCTGGAGCTCTTGCATGTAACCGGCACGCTGCTCCCAACAGCTCACCATGTTGCCTCCCTGTGATGCTCTCCGCTCCCCTCCGCACAGCTCCCCTGCTGCCCCCGTTCTCTTCCCCACACAAAACCCTCCTCCTGCCCCTCTTCCTCCTTCCGTACGCATGCTTGCACCTCGTCGCAGCTGAAGGCCGCCTTCCCGTCCGCCATGTCAGCTCGCGGGATGGCCCCGCCGCCCAAGCACCCCCTCACCCTAGGTACGTCTTAAAGGGGTTTCGGGCAATGAAAACGTAGGTTTCCTCTTCTTGACTACCCTAGCTACCGGTATGTCCTGCGGGGTTCCCTCCGTCTTGTACCTGGCCTTGCTGCACCTGCCCATGCCGCCCCGCCGTACCTGCTGCTGCTTCGAGTATCTCCTCCCTCGGGTCGCTTGCTCCCTCTTTCGCTATTGGGTTTGAACCCCTCACCTGCCTCTCACCCCAAACCCCTAGCCGCTCCGTCGCTCCCGCTGCCATATGCCATTAACCCATTGCCCACCAGCACACGCAAACCACCCTGCGCCCCCCTGACGGAGCCCCGCCACACGGTTGGTTTGTACCTCTTCATTCCTCTTCATCGCCACAACAATCCTCTTCATCCCCTTACGCCAGGTGGCCTGGGCGGCGACAAGCGGGACGCCCTGGAGCGGCGGCGGGCCGAGCTGGAGCGCTGGCTGTGGCGCCTGGTGGCAACACCCGAGCTGGCACGCAGCCAGCAGCTCAAGGCGTTCCTGGAGTTTGACCGCGCGTTGACTCGCGCGCAGCAGCAGCTGGCCAGGCGGCGGGAGCAGCAGCAGCAGCGGTAAGCAGAGGCAGCGGGTACGGTGCGCAGGTTGGATGCTTTGATGCGTTTCGCCTTCTTCCTTCTTCTCGCTTCCCTGTAACCCACTATCTCGCTGTTCTTTCTCCAAGCAGGCTGACCGACGCCGTGGCGGCAGCCGACTCGGATTTCGCCGCCTCAGCCTCCGCGGGCCCCTCCGCTGCCCCCTCGGAAGCGGGTTTCGGAGGCCCCGCCGGCTACCCCTACCCCGGGGGACCCAGATCCCATCTGGGCCGCGGAGGCGAGGACAGCTCCAGCGACATTTCCGAGCCCAGTGGCGCAGCGAGCACCGGAGGGATGTCGAGTCGTACGGCGTCGGGAATGGCGCTGCCATCGTCGGCATCGAATGCCTGGGTGGCCCATGGGTCACGACCCGTGGGACCGGATCCCCGAGCGGTGGTGCCGGCTGGAGCTACAACAGGGATGTCGCCGCCACCTCCTGCCGCTTTGAACAACGCGGCTTCCGCCGGCCGCCCGCCAGCTGCCTTCTCCGGTGCGGGTGCGGGTGCGGGTGCTGTCTCCTCTCCGTCCCCGGCACCGCTACCCCCTGGAGACGGAGCCGCCTCCTCCAGGGAGGCGGCAGTCGCAGCGAGGTTGGGTATCCGGTTGCAGAACCGGGGTGATGTACGGCAACTGGTGGAGGCGCTCGTACGGCGGCTGGAGTCCGCATGTGGGTGATGGTGGTGGTGGCGTAATCATGTGGTAGTGATGGGGATGAGGCGGAGGCGGAGGCGTTGCATGCTGCGGGTGTGAAGACCTCGTACGCTCCGCAAAATGCCTCAGCCCTCGACTCCCTCCTCACGCGCCCTGTCCTCCTCCCAACCTGCCAACGTCACCCTCCTCCTCCCCCTCCTCCTCCCCCTCCTCCTCCCCCTCCTCCTCCCCCTCCTCCTCCCCCTCCTCCTCCCCCTCCTCCTCCCCCTCCTCCTCCCCCTCCTCCTCCCCCTCCTCCTCCCCCTCCTCCTCCCCCTCCTCCTCCCCCTCCTCCTCCCCCTCCTCCTCCCCCTCCTCCTCCCCCTCCGCCTGTTCGGTAGGGAACGCTAACCACCACTTGGTGTGTGGCACCTTGCCACTTTCTATCCCCATTGTCTTGCCCCAACCTGTGGCTCCCTATGGTTCGGTATGGTCTTTGACACCTCCTCCCCCCCCAGGCTCCGACACCGCCGCTGCGGTGTGCGAGGCGGAGGTGCTGCGGGCGGCGCACCGGAGCATGGCGGAACGGCTGGGGGAGCTGCAGGGGGAGATGGGGGAGGGGCTGCAGCAGCAGCACCCAGCTGTACAGGAGCAGGTGGGGGTGGGGGTGGCCGCACACGCGGGGGTGTGCATATGCTTGATGTTACATGCGTGCCTTCGACCAAAACGACACCCCGCTGCCACCCTTTTACCCCGCATCCCGCAGCTCTCCTCGCTGCGTGCCGAGGTGGCGGCGCTGCGCGGCTCGCTGGCTGAGTCCGAGGGCGCCCGAGCGGCGCTGCAGCTGCGGGTGGAGCAGCTGGAGGGGCAGCGCGAGGCGAGGAGCCGGGCTCACTCGCTGCAGCTAACCCAGCTTCAGTCTCAGCTGCAGGAGGCGCGCGACGACAACTGCCAGCTGCTGCAGCGGCTGCAGGAGTGGGACGTGTGCAGCAGCAGCAGCGCTACCACCGCCACCGCCAGCAACAACAACAACAACAACCCACCCAACCACATCAACCACAGCAGCAGCCTGTTGCAGCTTGCCAGCAACACCGAAGGGAGCAGCGTGGCGGCTGCTGGGGCTGAGGCGCCGGGGGCTGCAGAGGCGGTGGCCGCAGCGGTGGCAGCAGCGACAGCGGAGGCGGAGGCGGCGAGGGAGCGGTTACGGGTGCAGGAGGCGGCTGCTGCGGAGCTGGGTCGGCGTTGTGAGGAGCTGGAGGGGCAGTTGAGGGAGCGGGAGGGAGTGTGGAGGGAGCGGGAGGGGCAGATGGAGGAGCTGAGGAGCAGGCTGGCGCGGCAGGAGGGGTTGCTGGTGAGGGTTGTGGGTTGGGGGTTTTGGGTGATAGTGGGGAAGACGGAGGAGGGTAAGGGAGTGAGGGAAGGGTGTGAAGGGAGCTGGGAGTGGAATGCGGGGGGGATGGGAAAAAAGGAAACAATAAACTGATTGTATGATAAGGCGTCGTCGTGGGAATGGGAAGGAGGTGGAGGCCCTGGAGGAGGCAGCGTGGGAGATCATGTTGGATCCGCCGCGTCCCTTCCCGGACCATGCCTTCATGCGATCTCCTGACCTCCTGACCTCCTGTCCTGACCTCCTGTCCTGACCTCCTGACCTCCTTGCATCCGTACCTGGTAAAGCCCTCTGCACACTGCGAACTGAGGGCAACGCTCTGAACAACCTTCTTCCTTCCCCACCCCCACCCGCCGCCTCACACAGTCTGAGGAACGCAAGAGGAGAGAGCAAGCAGAAGCTTCTGCTGCTGCTGCTGCTTCGACCCAGCCGCAACAACAGCCCCAGGCCCCGCAGCCGCAGCTGCAGGCGCTGCTAGATCGCGCCCGGGCGGACAATGCGGTGCTAGCCGCGGAGGTGCAGCGACTGCGATCGCGAGCGGCGCAGGAGCGGGAGGCGCACCGGGCCGCGCTGGCGGCGGCGGGGGGGCAGTGTACGGCACTGCAGGGGCGGGTACGGCAGCTGGAGGAGGCGTTGCTAAGGGCGGCGGGGGCGGCGGCGGGGGGCAGGCAGCATGGGACGCAGCAACAACAACAGTTGCCGCCGCCGCAGCAGCAGCAACAGCCAGCATTAGCGGTTTCGCAAGAGAAGCAGGGTCAGGAGCAGGGGCAAGGGTGACGCGTAGGCAGCTAAGGAGAAGCCTTGTATGAATGGGGTGCGAGGGGTGTTTCATACAGGGCTGTGTGAGGGGCTTGCGGTAGTCATTGGATTCGTGTTGGATTCGGGGTGCATGTGGGTAGAGGGTAGAGGGATCGTGACCCATGGGTCTTCCAGGATCAACATGTTGGTTATGGCGTTTTGGAGGTAAGCGCAGGATGGCCGTGTGTGCGTTTGGGTGAAGAGGGTAGGATAAATCAATTGTTGGGCGGCTGCTCGGTTGCGATGGTAGGAACGGCAGGTGTGTGGCGCGTGGGCTTTGTTGTAAGCTGCCACAACGCTGACCAGCAGCTGTGTCCATCGGTTCTGGGTGTTTTTTGCATTGGGTTCTGAAATGGCACCTATAAAGTTTTTATCCCGGACGGCCACCAGCGCTGTCATGGCAGCCGGCTTGGACCTACAGAAGGGGCATGCTGCACGCAGGAGGACTGGGTTGGTCAGGGCGCGCTGTGAGGGACAAGGGCCCTGGGGCCTTGACGCACGAAAGGCAGGCAGACACTTTACCGGATGCATACGGCAGGTATAGTACGAGGCTGGATGGTGCGGGCCACTTCTTACGCAGGTACATGCTGTCACAGGAGCCTCTTTTGTTAGCTGGATGGTGCCGTACAACTACCGGTGAGCTTCCCAGCAGCGGTAGAGAGGTGCGGTCGTTGTGCGATGGCGGCAGTTTGCAGGTCTCTAGCTGCTCTAGGGTTGCTGACGGCAGACGGGGAGGCGCTGGCGCGCTGTTGACTAGGTTAGGAGGCGAGGATTACACTGGAGGACCAACCAGTAAGGAGTCCGTACTGGACTAGGTTAGCGTCTGAAGCTAGCTGCCGTACATGTCCAGCATACATATCGGTACAGGCTACAAGGTCGACGGGTTGAGGATAAGCGTGTACCCTCCAAACCCAGTATCTCGCCAGCCACTCGTGGCATGCATGCTTGGACATTCCCAAGTGTGACAGCAGTCCTGCTGCCAAGCAGTGTTCACTACCCGGTTCGCAGTAAGCACCGACGCAAGACGTGGGAGACTGGGAGTACAAGACTAGCAGTCCAGGTGGGAAACATGCAGAGTCAAAAAAGCAGCCTACAGGGCAGAAACATCAGCATAGCGCATGAGGGACAGAGGCGCATGAGGGGACAGCCACCCGACGAACCCTTGCCGCTACAGCCGTGTAATGGCTGCGGTACCGGTATAATAGCTTGAACGTCCTTTGCCGTGTCCTTGCGATTGTCGACACGAGCAAGCAACAACTATCAACAGTGCCCCATCACTATATGGTCGTCCATAAGCTTACAGCTACACATCAGCGAAGGCAACCGGCCCGCGTGCTGATTCTGGTGAAAAGATTACGACAGAAGCAAACAACCAGAAAGGAAGCACTGAAGAGGAAAAAACAATAGTGCGAGAACCATGGGTCCGACAAAACTGACAACTATATTGTAGTACGGCAAAACCCGACAAAAATGCACTTCTAACATCCAAGTATGGCAAAAAACGTCTGCAAGCGCCTACAAGGCATACATGCTAGGCATACATGTCTGCGTAAGGTGATGAACACGTCTTTGTAGAGGACAACAGCTGTAATTCAAGACAACCCTTCAGGCTTCTGCAAGGGGCATCACTGCGCAAGGTGGTTCGATGCAGACAACAACAGGGCGACGCAAAGCCCCCAGCCAGCATCCATGTTAAGTTCATTCTCTATCCGGACCCGTACGGGTCTTTTTATACAAAGACAATATACAAGGTACACACAGTATTGTATAACAGCTAGCTAACCGTACCCATGATACGAAACACGGCAGTTGCGGGGTAAGTAGTAGTACCTACCTCCGAACATTGCCAGAATGCCAGTCCACACAAAGCAATGTAGCACGGCGTATGTAACGATCTGTTGAGCAACATTCACAACACATTCCATCCTCCAGGGGGCAGCGATTATCCCCAACCTTATGTATCTCAGTTGTACTTGAAGTACTGTTAAACCTTTGGAGCACCCCGCTCCCTGCCTCCATGTGCCATGTGCTACTCACAGGCTGTTAACAAGCACATCCCAGCTCATGCAACACGTACGGAAGCCTGCTGGAGCAGTGGCCTGCGTGCACGCCGCACGCTGCGTCAGAAGACGCAGCCGTCCCTACCCCTCCCATGAAATGCAAACGCGCGTGTACCGCCCATGGCGCCTGATGCGTACCTAGCCTCATCATGTACAAACGACAGTGTAACATGCGAGAGACTGAACAGTTCGAGGTACCGTACCATAGCTTCGAGTCATACCAAGGGAGACACTTCCGCGCTTTCCAAACAGATGCCTTACCTAGTTCCTGTCTACATTTCAAGACGTCAAGAGTCATCAGCTTTAACGGCCAATCTCTCACATGCTTCATTCATTGCGATGCCATGCAATCGCCTCGCAGGCCCCATACAAACCCAGTCGATATACGTTTCCCCAAGCGCGCCTCCCCCTTGTGGTAAACACAAGCACGCATGCCTGCATGCGAGCAACCTAACCCACCTCACACCAGCCCAACCCTCACCCCTCATACCCACACCCCAAAGCGGCCACTGCCCTCTCCCCTGCCCTTCTCATCCCCCTTGCCTTGCGCTAATTTGTGGCTTTACCTTAAATTCATTTCTCTTTAACCCCCAAACGGCGTCCCTCACTTGCCCCACCAATAGGTTGGATAGCGGCGTCTCGAGCTCAGGTTGTTCACCAGGACCGCCACCGCCAACATGGCCAGAGAACCGAACAGCACCGTCAACACAAACTTGAACCCGTGCCAGGCGCCGATGTTGGCGGCGGAGGCGGCGATGAGGGCCGAGGCGCCGCCTGCATCCAGGCGAAAAAGCGCAGGACAGACGCAGCAGCAGCAGCAGCAAGGGGGATGCAGCAATTCACATGGGGACCGCATGGGGGCCAAATGAGGACCATGCGAGCAGCAGCAACAGCGACCGCAGCAACGAGGAAAGGATGGCAGTACTAGCGGTACTAGCAGTTCCCATACCCGCGTTACACCACCCCTCCTCCAACCATCCCTCCTCAGATCCTCCCGCACCCAACACCGCCCACACCTCTCCCGGACCCACCCGGCGGATGTGTGGTGCGCGTCAGCTGCATCACCACCAGCGACAGCGACATGCCCAGCGCCGCAGACAGCCACACGAGCTGCGGAGCGCTCTGGAAGGCCATGCGAACCAGCACCCCCACGATCGCACTCAGCACCTGGCCGCCTGGGGGGCCGGGAGATGGAGGGGGAGAGGATACGGGAGAAACACGGGTCTGGTTACAGGCAGCGCAGTTCAGTGGCAGCAAGGTGCACTTCAGAGGAGGGAAGAATCATGTGCAGGGTAGTTGATTCCCGGCTCCTTTCTTGACCCAAAAGGTCCTACCTAGTAAGTTGCGCGGCTGTGCTAGCTTGGACGCGGGCACGCCGAATAGCAGCACGGCGGAGGCTCCGAAGGAGGCGATCATGAGCGGCAGGCTGATGCGCGGCCTGTGTGAAATGGAGGTTCATGGGAGGCGGCAGCAATAGCAACAGCAGCCACGCCGTGAGCAGCAGCAGCAGCCACGCCGCCAGCAACAGCAACAGCAGAGCATCAGGACAAGGCTAGCAGCACGACGGCCCCGACGACACGTACGTGCACGTCGGACTGGGGTAAGGCTGCCAGCGTACGCGTCAGCAGACATCCGGCAACCCCATACGCTACCATACCATTGTAACTACTACAACGACGGTACCACAGGGCTCACGTAAGGTATTGATGCAGCAACGCAACCAGCAGGATGGAGAGGAACGCGCCCAGCCAAGACCAGAAGATGTCCACCGGCTGATCCGCAGGCATCAGCGTGTCCCCCACACCGCGCCACTTGCCAAAGTACGACGCCACTCTCCCGCGTAACGTCAGCTTCAGTGCTAACGCGGCGGCGGCGGCTTCAGGACCCGCCGGAGAGGCTGACGCTCCCGACGCGAAGGCCGTCGCCGCCGCCTGGGCTCGAGTGGGAGTGCCGCGCGGCCCCTTCATCTCCAACAACACAACGCGAGCATTATCAGCATGGTCCCCGCCTCTGCCGCTGCCGCCGCCGCTGACGGTTCCGAAGGCGTCTCGTGCGCTGCAGCCCTTGCTACCGTTCGCATTCGCATCGCCGCCGCCGCAGGGTTCTAATCCGGCCGGAGCTGGTGCAAAGGCGGAGGGCAGGGGCGGAGAGGCAGCAGGGAAGTGGCGGCGGTGGCGACCCGACTGGGAACAGTCCTGCGACTTGCACGACACCGGCGGCGGCGGCGGCGGAAGTACGGCAGAGGAGGAGCCCTGCGGCGCCTGTGACGCCGCCGCGTCGTCGGGTCGGGAGCGTGGTTGCTGATCAAGCAGAGGGTTGTAGTAGGGGCTCATGGGGTTCCGAACATCGTCCCAATCAAGTCCCACCATCGAGGCGGCGGCGGGCAGCACGGCGGCGGCGGGAGAAGGGGCCGCAGATGGCGGCGACGGGGTGTGTTTGACGGCGGCGACGGGCTCCCTTTCCCCGCCGGCTTCCAATGGTAAGGGCGGTGCTGCTAATGTGGCAGGATGACCGCAGGCGGCGACGGCGCCGCCGCTGGCCCTAGAGGTAAGCGCTGCCGCTTCAGTCAAACCGCCAGATTGGAGCCCTGGCTGCTGCTGCTGCTCTTGTTGTGGGTGCACGTGCTGCCACGGGCGGTCGCTGGCCGTTGCTTTACCGTTGCTAGAGGTATCCTGAGATCCCTGAGATTCGGGCCTGTTTAGGCAGGCAGGGGCCTTGGCCGCTCGTCCAAGACGGGACGTGCCGATTGAGCCCACAAGCGCCAGACTCGGCAGCCCCATGGGTGTTCTGTTGCTACCGTCACCGAGGTGGTGGCTGAGGCTATGCGCAGAGGCGTCGGGAGCAGGGACTTCGGGCAGGCCGTCCACAGTGAAACGGCTTGTAGAGCTACGGTGGCTTGCTTGACTGCGGATGGATGGATCAACCGCTGGAGCAAGGATGGGCCGGGTTCCACATAGCACGTGGGCGCTGAGGTCAAAGCTGCTGGCTCGTGCCTGTGTGGTGCGGCGTACAGCTAGCGCATGCCAGGGAGCTGTAAAGGCCCTGCGAAGCCTTTCTGCGGGGCTGGATGGCGCAGGCGCGCGTGGTGGATAGTCATTAAGAAGTCGAGCAGTTTCACCGTTTAATTGCGTTGTGTTAGCACCAGAGCCTAGGTGAGGATGCGGATGCGCCTCAGCAGTGGCGCCGGTAGGCTGATTCCTAGGTGACGCGGACGCGACGTTAGCTGAACTTGTCGCGAGTATAGGTAATGATTCTGAACGCGTTACACTTGACATCCTTGTAATGAGCTGCAATGCACAAAGTGGCAGATTGTACCGGTACGTGATCTCAACTGCGTTCGCTTTCGAGGCTGCACATACGGAAAATAGCACGCCTCTATCCTATGCGGAAACTTCGTCGCGTAGTAGTACTCGCTTAGCGCTTTATTGGAGCATTCCGCGCTTTCTGCATTCGGCTTGGCCGTAAAGTGTGCGAAAGGTTCCCCACGTGCACAGCAAGAGTTCACACAGATACCGTATACGAGTGGAGAGCACGTCATGCCTTTTCCCTTATAAACACAAACACTTGCCCCGTTTCCCAAGTTAAGAGATGTATTTGCGCCATCAAAGCCTGCTAAATGTAACGACCCAGCCAAGCGCGTTTGCTAGTTAGCCATAAAGCCGCTCATGTCTAGCAAAACGTCAATGTCGTCCAGCTTTATGCTTGCCGTCTTGAGTTCCACCATTTGATACGACAATAGAGGAAACTAGACTAATCGGCGCACTCTTCATAGTTATGAACACTGTCGCTTTACTTTAATTTCGTGGCGCAATCCATCTCCCACCAATGATGCCCAATACTTGGCTGCGTACCTACAGTCGAACATTACTCTTGAATCGTTCGATGCAAAGCTAGCCACATCGTTTCACATGATATAGATAGCGGTTATAAGTGACATTGGCCTTAGATTCTCGTAAGGGGTTAGGTGCAGGGGCACTATGTTTGGTGCCCGACGCCATTACAGCGCGAGACTTCGTCGTAAAGTAGAAACAATGGCCTCAAATATTCAATCGGGCGGTGTAAATAGAGCGCAACAGTTTTCGACCTCGCCTGACGGGCAAACCGTCGCTAGCGCAGTTCGAGTTGCTAGTGCTGCCACTCCTGGCAATGGTGGTTCAGCACAGAGCCTTGCAAGTGGCTCGGCGCATTCCCAGTTGTTAGAGGAGCAGCTTGGCGGCTCGGCGGCAGTGGTCGAGCGAACCAACGGAAAAATGGGAAAGGCCCGCGGAGCAACTTCCGCAGAGGAAGGTCGCTTGCAGCGCACCGAGTCATGGTTTGGACAACGGACATGGGCAAGCATGCCCGCCCCGCCGGTAACTGCAAGGTTACCCACATCGGCGGGGATGGCATCTACCAATCCAACAAACTCCTGTGTAGCGCACATGGATAGCGCTAAGAGCCATCGATCAGACGTTGCAGCCAGCTCATCGGCGTCACCGCAAATGTGGAGCTTTTCCGTTATGTGCTATAACATTCTTGCTGATGCGTATGTAAGTGCATCCACATGCAAGCGTACAACGGCTCCTCGCATGTTTATTCTAGGTGCCATGCACAGACAGTAACCGCATAAACGCTTCTTGGGCTTCGGCGGCAAACGGCAATTGAAGCGTACCGCCTTTCGCCTCATCTTCCTTGTCCATCCACTGCTGCTCTCGCCTCTGATGCCTTCCCCAGCAATCCACCACAGTCTTAATCCGCCAGCCGAAACACCCGGTAGCTTAGCAGACGACGCGAGGAATACCCAAGGATGCGAATTTACCTTAACTTGCATGCATGTCCTCACAACCTAGCCGCCTTTCCTTACACGCTAGCACCCCTTCCCACGCACTGCAGGCCCAATACTTTGCGAACAAGCTGTACCGCGACGTGCCGCGTCCCTGCCTGGAGTGGTCGGCTCGGCGGGCGCTGCTGCTAGCGGAAATCCGGCACTGGTCCCCGGATGTGGTGTGTCTGCAGGAGGTGCAGCACTACTCGGACCTGGAGCCGGAGATGCGGGCTGCGGGGTGGGGCATCCGGGGGGCGGTTGGGGGTTGGGGGCTGCTTGAGGCCAAGTGGGGGTGGAGGGCCGCTATCACCTTTTTATAGTCACAGGAACCTTGCTAGGAGTATACCGATAACACTGAAGACGTCGCTGCCGCAGGTACGAGGGGCACTTCGAGCGCCGCCCGGGCAGACGCCGCGACGGCTGCGCTACCTTCTGGTGGGTCGGTCGGCCGGTGACCCGTGGGTCGCTGGGTCGTTGGACCCATGGGTTGGTAGGCCGGTGCTGCCTTGACGCAGTGGCGAAGCCGCACTCATCCTGTACTTCTGCCTCTCCGTACGACTACGATGTAACAAGGCGCAACCGGATTTTGCCGCATGCAACGCCGACGCTCCTTGCCTCCTCCCTCTCCTAGTTACCAGTAGTTTCTTCCTCCCTCCCTGCCTGCCTCCTCCCTTCCTGCCTCCTCCCTCAGGCGTGCCGACCGGCTGCGTGCCTGCTGGGTTCGCCGGCTGGACTTTGCGCCGCTGGGCCTGGATGACAACGTGGCACTGCTGCTCAGCCTGGCACCGCGGGCTGGCGAGGGAGGCAGCGAGGGGGCGGGCGGCGGCAGCGGAGCAGCAGCTGGGGAGGTGGCGACGCAGGCAGCAGCGGAGGAGAACTGCAGGTAAGGAGAGGAACTGCGGTCACGCGATGGCCTCCTGCTTCTCTCGCTTTGTTTGTCGCTTTGTTTCACGGATCCAGGCGCCGTGGCTTGCAAAGACCCTCCCTGCCACCCTGCTACCCTATCAGCACTCACCCCATTTCTCCCTCCCCTCCTGTTGCTCCCACCTCTGTTCCACCCCAGCCCCCAGTCCCATGCGTCCCTGTCCGCTGTGCGGCTGCTGGTGGCTACCACCCACATCACCTTCGACCCCGCCAAGGGCGACATCAAGCTGGGACAGGTGCGCACGCTGCTGCAGCAGGCGGCGCAGCTGGCGGCGGCACCGCCGGGGGAGGAGGGGGAGCAGGGGCAGGAGCAGCAGCAGAGGCAGGAGCAGCAGGGGCAGGGACAGGGGCAGACGTGCAGGAGCCCAGCTAGCACTCATGGCCAGCAGCAGCCGCAGCAGCAAGCCCAGGAGCAGCAGCAGGAGTCGGGACTTGTGGAGGGTCGTCGACATGCTCGAGCCGTCTCGCCGCATCGGAGTCCGGCGGGGCCTGATGCCGCGATGGCTGACTCGCCTGCTGCTGCTGCTGCTGCGGTGTCACATCCACAGCAACAACAACAGCAGCCGCAGCAGCAGCATAAGCCGGAAGAGCAGTCAGGGCAGCAGACAGAGCAGGAGGAGCGGTGTCCTGGGTCATCGCACCGGCAGCAGCAGCAGCAACACCCGCAGCAGCAGCCCCTGCAAACGCTGGCGATCGTGACGGGGGACTTCAACAGCACCGCTGGGAGTCCGCTGTACCAATTCCTGGCCCGTGGGTCGCTGGACCTCTCCTGCACGAGTCGCAAGAAGCTCAGCGGTGGGTTGACGATGATGGAACGGGATAAAGAGAGGCCTAACGTATCTTCATGGCATGGGGGCGGCGGACCGACCGCGGAATTGCCGCTCTTGCACTCTAGGGGCCTCTGAAGGATTCAGTCTTGGGTAAAGGGCTCCCTCCTTACGTTCTCATCCTGTAAGATCCTGCGCGCAGGACTGTGTCCCCGAACACCCCATAAGTATATTCATTCGTGGTGTGGCTTCCTGGTGTGCCCCCATCCTGTTAACCCCTGACAGGTCAGCTACACGGCGTATGTCACACGCAGTACAAACCGGTGTCGGAGGTGCAGCAACTGCATGCCAACCTCACGGCCACGGCAGCAGCAGCAACCGCAGCAGCAGCAGCGGCAACCGCCGCAAGGTGCGCCGCCGCCGCCAACACCCCTAGCAACACCCCTAGCAACAACCCAGCTGCCACCGTCACCGCAACTGCAGTGTCGTGCGCCGCCTCACCGCCCGCTAGCCCCCTAGCTGCAACGGCGGGGGTACCAGCGGCGAATACTGATGGCACGTCTTCCGCCGCCTCCTCGAAAGCGCCCAACGCAACTGTATCGCCAACGGCGCAACAGCAGCAGCAGCCACCACTTCTACAGCCGACGCCGTACGTACCTACAGCGGTCGTTCGTACGTCGCTCGACTGGCCCCAAGCGCCATTGGGCCGACGTAACAGCGCCGGCGGCGCCTTTCACCATCACCACCACAGCAACCACTTCCATGTAAGCGGAGAGCGATGGTCGGATCGAGAGCTCAAATGCGCCATGGGAGATCAGTACAACGGCCCGCCGCCGCTGTCGCCGCCGCCGCCAGTGGCGCCGTCGCTGTCGCTGTTGTACCAACCGTCCGGCTGCAGTCGGTTGGCAACGTCCGAGTCGGCGCCGTCGGTTAACTCCAATGCTGGTCAGCCATGCGATGACAAAAGAGCCGGAGGCAGCTCAACAGGAGGGGAGCCCTTAGAGGTATTAAAGGGTCGGGCTACGGCGTCTGAAGGCCTCCCAGCAGGAGAAGCTCCGGCACCGGGCACGGCAGCCACCGCTTCCAACGTCACCCCCTCCTCCTCGACCTGTTCGCCGTCGCTGTCGTCATTGCAAGGCCAGCCGCAAGCCCAGCAGCAGCAGCAGCAGCCTGGCTCGCAATTTGGTCGCGCACTGGGTCGCCATCACAGCGTGCACGCAATCGCTCACATGACGGCGACACAGGGCACTAGCGGAAGCAGCGGTGGCGGCAGCGGTGGCGGCGGCAGCAGGTCCCTGCTAGGAGGGCCTGTCGGTAGTGTATACCGGCGCTGTTCCGTCGACCTGCCGCCGTACTATACTCCTACCGGTGGCCTTGACGGTACGGCACCCGTAAGGCCGCCTCTGATTGTACGGCACCCTCTTCAGCTGAAGAGCAGCTACGTGGAGGTATCGGCGGCGGAGCCTACCTTCACTTCCATACACAGCGGGTTCATGGGCACGGTGGATTTCATCTGGTACACCTCGGAGGCAATCCTGCAGGGCAGCAATATGCAGGAGAGCAAGATACAGGAGGGCAGCATGCAGGGCAGCAATATGCAGGAGAGCAGTGGTTGCAGTACGGCGGCGAATGGGGAGGCGACGGCCCCAGAACTGAAAGCGACGGGAACGCCTGTCCCGGCGGCCGGGCCGTCGTCGCCGCCATCTCAACATGAGGGCACGTCATCAATCGCCAGTCGTTCGGCTGGCGGCGGCGGCGGCTGTGACAATGGCGACGGCAGCGGTTCTCATTCAATCGCATCTCCGGAGACCAATGATGGTCAGCCTGCTGCCACCTCACCGTCTGACACGTCATGTTCTGCAGCAACCGCCCCCACCGCTTCTATCTCCACCTCTACTGTCAAACCCAATGCCTCCTCTACCTCCTCCTCCTCCGACTCCCCGCCCATTCGCTTCCAGCTGGTACCCGTGGCGGTGCTGCAGCCGCCCAGCATTGAGGCCCTGCCGCGGGGACTGCCGGCGGAGGGCTGGGGCAGCGACCACATCAGTGTGCTGACGCGCTTCGAGCTGCGGCCCGTGCCCGTGTCCGTGTGATGGGTCGTGCCCGTGAGTCGTATCTGTGCACCCATGTGGGGGGCAGCGGTGGTGGGAGGGCGAGGTGGGGAAGGGGTTGCTACTGGGTCGCTGCTGCTGCTGCGGTAGTGGTGAGGGTAAGGGTGAGGAACGTAGGATTAGGGAGGCCTGCTGGTGTTGAGAGGACGTGGCTGTTCGGTAGGTTGAGCTGTTCGGTAGGTTGATGGTGTAGCAGCATGTGCTAGCGCATGAGATGCACATAAAGGGACTAAGGGAGGAGGCAGGGTCAGTGCAGGTTAGTCATGTAGGAGTTGAGAAGATGGGGGCGTTTTCAGAAATTATGCCCGGTTTGCCCAGTCATGGGTTGGGTTGCGGTTGGTTTGCTAGGTGGGCTTGTCATGACATAGCCCGCAATGTGTTGGAGGCCTCGGTACGTTTGGATGGCCGCAGGGTTGCAACCTACCTTAAACTCGCCAGGGATTGGTTCTTGGATGAGCGGCTAGATGACATAGAAAATAGCCGATTAGCAAGGCGACGGTAAGCTACAATCATAACCCATTTAAAGCCCTAGTTGCTAGTAAGAATCCATATTTAAGGGCTGGCGATGCCTCAGTATGCAGTTGTTGTGTTGTGTTGCGCACTTGCCCCTTTCGTCGTTTAGTCATGTTGCGGTCTTTTCGCATTTTTGTCGTTGCTCCCTTCTGTCCCCCTGCTACAACGGTGTCGTGTTTGACCCATGGGTCGGACCTAGATCCATGGGTGGTTATCGCTATGTGAGCTGTAGTTGGTTCTTCCCAGTTTGTATGTCACATTTGCTGGTGGGGTTCGGGGAAGCAAGGGGCTGCAGTCATCGCATGCCAGGGTGGTTTCGACAGATGCTCGTGTACCGCTTTCCACACTTCTAACCGTCATCCAGTGTTTGTGGGAGAGATGGTCCCGGCAGTCTGATAGAGAGGAGAGCGGAGAGGTGTTTTTGGCCGTGGTGTTGGTTGGTGGGAGTGGTTTTGGTGCCGTCAAGTCGGGGGGAGAGGGCAGAGCATCAATGCAGTGGAGAGGAGAGGGAGGAGAGGGAAGAGGGAGGTGGCTAGCTGGCGGCGAGGTAGCGCTAGATGCTAGCTGTGTGCGGATGGGGATGATGCTTGGCGTGAGAAGACGACACATGAGATCGAGCGAGCGAGTGCAAAACGGTAGGGCGTGACAGTGTTCTTGGATTGTGTGTATACATGTCGCAAGCGGGTTAGCGTGAGAGTGCGTTTCCTAGTCAGGTGATGAGGGCCAGGAAGGTGGCATGGGCCTGGGCAGCGTATGATGGGCGGAATAAGCGGGAGGATATGAAAGAGCTTAGCCGTGGTGTTGCTGTGACGCGACAGTGCAGGTGCGAACAGGAGCAGTGCGCAGTCATGTGGGACACAGCTAGACCAGGCAGTCGAGGGGTCGTAGCTATGGTCTCTAGGAAGTTTTGATTTTTAAAGAATAAAAACCCTCATGCCGCAGAAGGTTTCTCACAGCCGGGTTTGTGGGGACACGTTCACGCGGGATGCGTGGGCACAACAGTTAAGTACCGTGTCACGAACGGAAACGTCGGCTGCTGTTGAGGGGTGTTGCGCCTGCCTGCGTGTGTGCGCTTGCAAATCAGAACCTAACAGTGCGTTTGAAACACATATGTTCCATGCAGTGATCTCCTTAATCTCTGCTTCACTGGTGCGGTCTAGGCAGGTTGAGCTTTGACTAGCGTGCTAGAAAGTGCGTTAGGAAGGGAGCGTTGTTGGGTGGCCTGGCCCAGTCGACGTCAAGAGGCAATTGACGGGCGGCTCTAGCCACCATCGCTACCTTGTGAGGGACGAAGGGTCTTTGCGTTCTAGATTGCCTGCGAAGGCTTGCGCCGCTGTAAGAGATGACTCCGTCTGAAAGCAATAACTACTGGGGGCAGGATTTCGATGGTCTAGGGGGCAGTACTCATGTGGCTTGATGCTGCATGCGTGTGGGTAACGGGTACCGGTACTTGAGGTACACGGGACTGCTATAGGCACCACTGACGCTAAGAACGCGAGGTGATGGAAGAAAGGTAACAATAATGTTGCTAGCGGTGCCGGATCTCCGGGCCTACCAGTAGACTGCGTTCTGGAATGGCTCACATGGAACACCATGGAACCTGTGTCATCCATTAACCCCAAGTGAAGTGACGTAACCTTCTGTGATGAAATCTATTGCAATTACATGAGAGTATATGGGTATTGGAGGTCCGTGATCATCATTAGCATGCTTTCGACCTACGTCAGATACTGTTTCAGGTGTACGGAAGCATAGCTGGGCTGCTGGGGTACCTCCTGTACTGTGTCAATTGCAACTACTGGATGTCCTTGAATTACGTACACGACTATCGGATTCGCAGATTGTTACGTTGCGGGGCCGCAGCTGTCTTTACTTCACTGGCTTTGACGGAGTTACGTTATAAAGCGCACTTCCTGGTCGCACTACCTGACATAAACCTTACCAATTAGCTGATAGCTCTGCAGCGAGTTGCAGCGAGTTACTGGAGCGACGCAACCAACATCTGCTTGGTAAGTACCCATACGCCATCGGACAGCACTAGGTCGGCATTTGTATGAAATATTACTCGTCAGGTGGCTTGTAATGTTAGGTGGTCAGGCCTGGCCGGAATTTGAGCCAGCTTACGACCCCTAGTTCTTCCACCACAGTACAATGCTATATACAGCCGCATATTGTAGGAATGGTGCAGCAGTGATAAATTAACTAGGCTGCTGACTAGCCCTTTGCGCTTGGGTTGCGTTGTCCTATTTCCGGAGGTCTTGCTTTCTGGCAGTACTTTTTCAAGCTCTCGGAGGCCTTGCATAACCCTTTTGAACGGGTGTTAACCACTATATCCGGAAACTCGATTGTCCACAGACGCTGGTCACCTTATCCTCCATCCTAACCCTCGCCGCCGCGGGTACGCTTGGCCGTAGTGCCTAGCGGCTCTCTTTACAGTAGTGTAGCGAGCGAGGAACGAAGCTTCAAGTAACCCCGCGGCGGAGCTCGGCAGCTTTTTCGGCTTGCCATCGGCCTGCTTGCCTTGCACACCCGCTCCGGGGCGCCGTATTGGCGAGGCTGGCGCCGTCCAGCCGTACTGGAGGATGCAGTCATAAGCAGCTGCACGGAGCCTACCTATCACAGTACAGAGCTGTAGCTTTCATACACCTCGCACACCGTCGCCAGAGCGCCTCAAACTGGCGAGCGACGCCGCCAACATTGTCGGTGGCGACCTCGACGCGGACTCGCTCAATGCCTTTCATGCCCTCAACAGCTTGGCAATAGCGGCGGAGCATGAGGCGGGGCGCGGCAAGGTGTCCAGCCGCTTGCTGGACGGCCCTGCGCTCACGTCAGGCTCGCAACGGTCGCAACCGGAGACCTCCCAGGATGACCCAATAACCACCAAGGTACGTCCTTCCCAATGTTGTTATGGAAGGAAAGGAAAGAAAGTCCATGCCCTAGCGGGCTGTGTTGCAAAGCCCTTGCTGGGGCTTGCATGCGACAAGGTGGTCTCACACGTCGTGGGGTTTTTGGCATGCAAACAGCACATAGCTCCCCTCCCACGGCCTTGCACAGGTCGCCCTGAGCCATGAGGAGCAGGATGATGCCAAGTCAGGGTCGGGTGGCAACCTAGGCCTGCCCATGTCGATGGGCATGGGCATGGGCATGGCCATGCCCCCGGGTATGGCAGCCATGGGCATGCAGATGCCCATGCAGATGCAGATGCCTGGAATGGCAGCCATGGGCGCAGCCGCGTACCCGTACATGCAGGGCCTTATGCCGGCCTTTGCGGCCATGGGAGGCCCGCAGATGGCTGGCATGGCAGGGCCAGGCGGCGTGGGAGCGCCCGGAGGTGCCGGCGGGGCGGGTCCTGATGCAGCTGGCAGCGTGGTAACCGGCATGCCGCTGGCTGACTTTGCGCAGCAGTGGCAGATGGCGCAGCAGCAGCAGGCAGCCATGATGTACTGGTGGCAGATGTGGATGGCGGCGAGCATGTACGGCAGCATGGGCATGTCGGCGGCAGGCATGGGGGGTGCGGGCGCCGGCGGCCCGGACGTTGCCTCCATGCCCATGATGGCTGCAGCGGGCATGATGGGTCCAGCAGCGGCTGCAGGAATGATGGGCGGCATGAATCCGCAGCAGTACCAGGCCATGATGCAATCCATGATGATGCAGATGAGCATGGGTATGGGCGGCATGGGGCCGATGGGCGGCATGGGGCCGATGGGGCCCATGGGCATGGGACACATGGGGGCAATGGGCGGCGGTGCCGCCGGCGGCGGGGCGGGCGGTGCAGCGACTGCGGCGGCGGCGCAATGGATGCAGCAGGCGCAGGCCATGCAGGCCGCCATGATGGGCGCGATGACGGGCATGGGGCCGCAGGGCGCTCCTCCGGGGATGGTCCCGCAAGGAGGCATGGGCATGCCTGGGATGGGGCCCATGGGCCCGATGGGAGCCATGGGGCCCGGAGCGGCCATGGCAGCGATGGGGCCCATGGCTGCGGCTGCGATGGGCGGTTTCAAGGCCGCTGGCATGGGCGGGGGTGGGGGCGGGGGCAGCTCGGGCGCTGGAGCTGGGGCAGGGTCCGGCGGCCCTGGCGATGCGCCGTTGTCGCCGGGTGATGTGCCGGGTGACCTCATGATGATGCAGCTTGGGATGCCGATGCCAGCGAACAGCGACGAGGCGTACCAAGAGGATGAGATGGAGGGGAACACGGGTGAGCAGGGCCCTTTGGGGGTGTTCGGATCGTTGCAAGGTACATGGGGTGGGGTATAGGTCGTTACAGAGCCCTGGTTATGCTGCTAAGCATTTGGTTGTGATTGATCGTTGTCATGATGCCAGCAAAAGGCTGATCACATGCAGCTGGTTATCTTTCGGGCCGTCAAACCGAGTTATAAGTCTGTCAGCTTGATTGACGTCATCTTTCTCCTCCACCATGTGTTGGCCACATCGCAGAAGAGGAGTTGGAAGACGTCGAGGACGGTGACGAGTCGCCGGCGCACCAGCATTACCCGCAGCAGCCCCTCGTGCCCCCCGGCTTCGGCAGCTCGGTCCAGCAACGTCACACAGGGGCGGCGGGCGCTGCGGGACCGCAAGGCGGTAGCGGCGGCGTGTCGCAAGGGCCGCAGACGCAGCCGCCATCACAGCCCCCTCAGGGTGCCGCAGCGGCGCAAGGAGCAGGAGGGGCCGCTGCGGGCCCTGCACAGGCGGCCCCGCCCGGCGGCGCTGCTACGGGGGGTGCACCGAACGGCCAGCCGCCGCCGCCGCCTCACGTATCTGCGGCGGCGGCAGCGGCGCTGTCGGCAGCGGCGGCGAATGCTGTTGCCGCCGCCGCGGCGAACAAGCGTCCTTTAGAGCAGGCATTGGCCGTCAGTCCCAACGGCACCAGCTTAGCAGCAGCCGCGAATAACAGCTACCTTTCCAACCAGCCGAAGAGGGGCCGGAGAGCAACCAAGGAGCAAAAGGTGCGTATAAGGACAGAGGGGATACCGGTACGCCTGCTTACCTTACCAGCGGCTGTCGTGCTTGCTGCGTTTATCAGGGTTTATCGTTTAACTTGCCCCATGAGTACCATGGCGGTACACGCATGTGCCCGTGGAGGCAACACTTACATCATGGCTGTCCACGCGCCTGCGCAAACAGGTGTGCAAGAACTGCGGAACCAAGTCCACTCCCTTCTGGCGCAAAGACAAGAACGATGGCCGACCGTTGTGCAATGCCTGCGGGCTGTACTTTTCTAAAAACGATGCGCCGCGACCAAAGATACTCTGGAAGCAGGACGAGCAAGCCGCGGCGGCTGTTCGCGAGGTAGGGAGGGGGCGAAAAGGCGGTTCAAAGGCAAGCCATGGATGAGCGAGTATAAAGGGGTTCATGCATGTAAGAGTTAGTTGGGTGGGTTCGCCTGGCGTCTGCCTTTGCCTGCTTCCGTCGCCGTGCGGAAGGGATCAAGCTTCGACCCTTCATGCTTATCATGAACCCTCATGCTGCTGCCTTTCCTTGCCTAGGGACAAGCCGCGGCGGCTGCGGCTGGCAACCCAGCCGCGGTGCTTCCGCCCTCGCTTATGGCCGCCGCCGCGGACCCCACCACAGCGGCCGCACTGGCGGCGGCCATGGCGGCAGGGCGGGCCGGCCTCGCCTTGCCGCCGGGCGCAGCCAGCGCCATCTCGACATTGCAGCAGAGCTTGCCAGGGCTGGCGGCGGCGGCCGCCGCCGCCGCCGCGGCTAGCGCCGCCGGGGCAGCCGCCGGGACCGCAGCCGGCGCGCGTCCTGCTGGCGCGGCACCCCTTGCGGGCGCAGCCGCAGCAGCGGCGGGAGGACCCCGGCCGGCGGGGGCGCCAGGGTCCATGACGCCTGCGGGCGCGGCGAACGGGGCAGCCGGGACGCAGGGTCCTGGGGGGCCGGGTACAGTAGCGGGCGCCGTACCGGGACAAGTCCGCCCCATCTTGCCGCCAGGAGCGCAGCTCAATGCAGCTCAGGTGATGGCCGCAGCAGCAGCGGCTGCTGCGGCTGCAGCGGCGGCAAGTAAGGGCGGGAATGGGCAGGGTGTACGGCCGACGGTGCAGATCCCGGGCATGCCCAACTTGATGACGCCTGGAGCAGCGGCGGCGGCCTTGGCGGCTGCTGCGGCGGCTATGGCGGCCTTCCCGCAGGCGCGGCCGGCGCTACAAGCGGCAGCAGCGGCAGCGAATGGTACGGCGCCGACAGGAGCTCCTGGTACGGCGGGTTCTGCGCCGACGCCCGCTACTGCTGCGTTGTCCCTCGCGGCTCTGAACGCGGCAGCGCAATCGCCGGCAGCTGCAGCAGCGTTGGCTGCCGCTGCGGCGGCGGCAGCTGGCGCTTCTGCAGCGTCTCAGCCCGCGACGGCAGCGCCGAGCGTTGCGCCGCCGGCAGCTGCTAACCCTAGCGCGCCGGCCGTTACTGCTGCGGCCCCTGCTGCTGCGCCGGTCGGTGCTGCTGCTGCTGCTGGTGCCCCTGTTACAGCGGCGGCAGCATCGTCGGATTCGGCAGCACCGACCGAGAATGGAGTGGACGTTGAGGCCCCGGCGGCCGAGGTCAAAAGCGAGGATTCTTGAGGCTTGGAACTTACTTTAGTGGCCGGCTACGGCCCATCTTTCATGATATAGTTTGGACTCAACACGTGTGGGTTGCCTTGTCCTCGCGTTGAGGGGCGTTGGCAAACGTTGTTTATGTGGTTGACCTTGGGAACTGTAGCTGGGTATTGTGTTGTGGTCCTTGAGGTGTTTTGGTTTTGGACGGTAAGCGGCGGTGTGCTCAGAGTTCTGGAGAGTTGTGTCAAGCGGTTACTGTGAAACATCCTTGTTCTGTGCCCAGGCAGTGCCTGACGTTGCTTGCCCCAATGACTGATGCGGTGTTGCATGTCTCATCATTGCACCCTTACAGTGCCCTCAGAGTGGCTTGGCCAAGAATGCCAATTGTGTTTTGACTAAGAATCTGCTCATCCTATTGGCTTTGTATGTGCTCTGCTAAGGTCTGATGATTGCATGGTTGGTTTTTGTGGCTGTACGAATCTTGTGACGAATCTGTGGCTGTATGAATCTATGTACAAATGGATTGAAACTGGCTTACAAGCCGACCTTGAGAGCTGTTATGTTGCTGTTGCCTAATTTTATCGGATGGCAACCATCGTTGAGCTTTGGATTGCCTTACAAACACGTTGGGGCTCTGGTAACGTCTGTTGCGACTGGTAACGTCCGTTATCTCGTCGCGACAGACGGTCGCGTGCCCGACAGTATATGGTATGCCTTCGGGTCTGCCTTAAGCCTATCCGTATGGAGACCAGTTGAGCATGTGCATCACCCCTTGCTTACAATAGCACATGCTGCACGTCACACGGAGGCACAGCTACCGCTCCATGTCACCAGATACCGGTATCCGAATACAGGTTGCAGTAGCCAGCTTCAGTTGTTCCACATCAGGCCCAGTAGACCCCATCTCTTGCCCGGATCCCCCACAAGCACTCGTAACGCATAGACAACCATAACCGTCCACGTGTTACGCCCTGCCGTACTCGAAGCACGGCTGGGACGTTCCGTACCCCTGCTTGTCTGGAACCACCGAGGCCAGGCAGGCTAGTGTCCCTCCGCAAGTTTATAGCGCTCTAGCATGTGCTTGTGCGACTCCCACATGGATATTGACTCCAGCATTTGCCGCAGCTGATCTATGAGCTGCTTTACCACCTCGTTCTTGCCGCTGAGCTCCGCCTGCAGCTGTGTCAACCGTGTCGCCATGTCATCTGCTGTCGCGACCGGCTCCTCCTTAACAGCGTCGGCCCCTGCAAGCCAGCAGCGCGACTGGTTGCAAGAGGGCCGGTAGCCATGCAAAAAGGTGCTCAAAGGTTTACCCACCACAGTCGCCAGAATGTAACTGCGATGACAAGACGATACACTGTTCCAAAGTCCTCCGAAGAGCACCCACTGCAGCTAGGTACTGGTGTTGCAGTGCTGCCTGACGCTGCATCGTGTCATCGGCATCGCCGTAGCCTATTTGGCCGAATAACTGCCTAACAATTTCAATCACATTGTGAAGCTGGTCTATCCCCAAGGCAGCAAGCGCGTGCAGATCACCACATAGCGCGCTTGGGTTCAAGGATTGAGCCATACCAAAGTGCGGTTCAACAACGGCAATTGCAAAGGATTCCTTCTGTTCTGCAGTTTGCGTAGTATACCGGTAAAGGGAAACTATTAGGCTTGTCCTGGGAGCGAAAGCTGTCAACTGCGATACCAACGATGTGCGCGACGACTAGTGCCATAGGAAATCGGGAACTGATAACTATCTTCTTATAATAGGGTTGTTTCTATGGGAACAGTACGCGTTAGATAATTTTTTGGTTAACAATGACACGTGTTCATGATAGCTTAATAGGACGTACAGCTTTTCTGCCTGTTCGGTCCAAACGTACCGTCATATCATGATTATTTCAGTTAGGGGTTGCATTCCCTCGCGGGGAAACAACAGCTTGATTTTAGCTGGACCGAAAGAAATGTGCATATACCATGATTTCTTGTTTACTCATGCAGCTAATAGAGACACAGCGGGGTATGCCCAACAGTTACAAGCTTTTCCTCCAGCTACACCAGGACAACATCAACCACAGCAAAACATCTGCAAGCAGTTGGCAGCTTAGAAGCCACCGCGCAGACGCAGCACCAGGTGCAGCGTGCTTTCCTTCTGGATGTTGTAGTCGGCCAGGGTGCGGCCGTCCTCCAGCTGCTTGCCGGCGAAGATCAGGCGCTGCTGGTCAGGGGGGATGCCTGCGGACACAAGGGCAAGCAGCATGTTTAAAATCAGACATCATGCTCTATATTTGAAAGCTGCAGCACAAGAGACCAGCGCAGCATAAAGATTCGACAACCCCGGGCAGGAGCTTCAACCCAAAACAGCAGTACCCAAACCCCTTCGTCCAAACTATCACCCCGACCTACCCTCCTTGTCCTGGATCTTGGCCTTCACGTTCTCAATCGTGTCCGAGGACTCGACCTCGAGCGTGATGGTCTTGCCGGTCAGGGTCTTGACAAAGATCTGCATGCCACCGCGCAGACGCAGCACCAGGTGCAGCGTGCTCTCCTTCTGGATGTTGTAGTCGGCCAGGGTACGGCCGTCCTCCAGCTGCTTGCCGGCGAAGATCAGGCGCTGCTGGTCAGGGGGGATGCCTGCGGACACAAGGGCAAGCAGCATGTTTAAAATCAGACATCATGCTCTATATTTGAAAGCTGCAGCACAAGAGACCAGCGCAGCATAAAGATTCGACAACCCCGGGCAGGAGCTTCAACCCAAAACAGCAGTACCCAAACCCCTTCGTCCAAACTATCACCCCGACCTACCCTCCTTGTCCTGGATCTTGGCCTTCACGTTCTCAATCGTGTCCGAGGACTCGACCTCGAGCGTGATGGTCTTGCCGGTCAGGGTCTTGACAAAGATCTGCATGCCACCGCGCAGACGCAGCACCAGGTGCAGCGTGCTTTCCTTCTGGATGTTGTAGTCGGCCAGGGTGCGGCCGTCCTCCAGCTGCTTGCCGGCGAAGATCAGGCGCTGCTGGTCAGGGGGGATGCCTGCGGACACAAGGGCAAGCAGCATGTTTAAAATCAGACATCATGCTCTATATTTGAAAGCTGCAGCACAAGAGACCAGCGCAGCATAAAGATTCGACAACCCCGGGCAGGAGCTTCAACCCAAAACAGCAGTACCCAAACCCCTTCGTCCAAACTATCACCCCGACCTACCCTCCTTGTCCTGGATCTTGGCCTTCACGTTCTCAATCGTGTCCGAGGACTCGACCTCGAGCGTGATGGTCTTGCCGGTCAGGGTCTTGACAAAGATCTGCATGCCACCGCGCAGACGCAGCACCAGGTGCAGCGTGCTCTCCTTCTGGATGTTGTAGTCGGCCAGGGTACGGCCGTCCTCCAGCTGCTTGCCGGCGAAGATCAGGCGCTGCTGGTCAGGGGGGATGCCTGCGGACACAAGGGCAAGCAGCATGTTTAAAATCAGACATCATGCTCTATATTTGAAAGCTGCAGCACAAGAGACCAGCGCAGCATAAAGATTCGACAACCCCGGGCAGGAGCTTCAACCCAAAACAGCAGTACCCAAACCCCTTCGTCCAAACTATCACCCCGACCTACCCTCCTTGTCCTGGATCTTGGCCTTCACGTTCTCAATCGTGTCCGAGGACTCGACCTCGAGCGTGATGGTCTTGCCGGTCAGGGTCTTGACAAAGATCTGCATGCCACCGCGCAGACGCAGCACCAGGTGCAGCGTGCTTTCCTTCTGGATGTTGTAGTCGGCCAGGGTGCGGCCGTCCTCCAGCTGCTTGCCGGCGAAGATCAGGCGCTGCTGGTCAGGGGGGATGCCTGCGGACACAAGGGCAAGCAGCATGTTTAAAATCAGACATCATGCTCTATATTTGAAAGCTGCAGCACAAGAGACCAGCGCAGCATAAAGATTCGACAACCCCGGGCAGGAGCTTCAACCCAAAACAGCAGTACCCAAACCCCTTCGTCCAAACTATCACCCCGACCTACCCTCCTTGTCCTGGATCTTGGCCTTCACGTTCTCAATCGTGTCCGAGGACTCGACCTCGAGCGTGATGGTCTTGCCGGTCAGGGTCTTGACAAAGATCTGCATGCCACCGCGCAGACGCAGCACCAGGTGCAGCGTGCTCTCCTTCTGGATGTTGTAGTCGGCCAGGGTACGGCCGTCCTCCAGCTGCTTGCCGGCGAAGATCAGGCGCTGCTGGTCAGGGGGGATGCCTGCGGACACAAGGGCAAGCAGCATGTTTAAAATCAGACATCATGCTCTATATTTGAAAGCTGCAGCACAAGAGACCAGCGCAGCATAAAGATTCGACAACCCCGGGCAGGAGCTTCAACCCAAAACAGCAGTACCCAAACCCCTTCGTCCAAACTATCACCCCGACCTACCCTCCTTGTCCTGGATCTTGGCCTTCACGTTCTCAATCGTGTCCGAGGACTCGACCTCGAGCGTGATGGTCTTGCCGGTCAGGGTCTTGACAAAGATCTGCATGCCACCGCGCAGACGCAGCACCAGGTGCAGCGTGCTCTCCTTCTGGATGTTGTAGTCGGCCAGGGTGCGGCCGTCCTCCAGCTGCTTGCCGGCGAAGATCAGGCGCTGCTGGTCAGGGGGGATGCCTGCGGACACAAGGGCAAGCAGCATGTTTAAAATCAGACATCATGCTCTATATTTGAAAGCTGCAGCACAAGAGACCAGCGCAGCATAAAGATTCGACAACCCCGGGCAGGAGCTTCAACCCAAAACAGCAGTACCCAAACCCCTTCGTCCAAACTATCACCCCGACCTACCCTCCTTGTCCTGGATCTTGGCCTTCACGTTCTCAATCGTGTCCGAGGACTCGACCTCGAGCGTGATGGTCTTGCCGGTCAGGGTCTTGACAAAGATCTGCATGCCACCGCGCAGACGCAGCACCAGGTGCAGCGTGCTCTCCTTCTGGATGTTGTAGTCGGCCAGGGTGCGGCCGTCCTCCAGCTGCTTGCCGGCGAAGATCAGGCGCTGCTGGTCAGGGGGGATGCCTGCCCATGAAAGGCAAAGGAAGAGATGCAAAGTAAGCGTAACGCAAAACAAGAACAAGGGCCACAAATTGCATAGTGCATAGCTTGTGAGTTGTGACTGCTGCCAAAGCCCTAGCGCTGCCTCGCAGTCAACATGAGTACAGCGCGCGCACTTTAATAGGCGAAAACAGAACTCGGAGTATAAAAGGAGACAAATAATGCAACCTTAAAGGAAGAGTCGTGAACATGGACACCGCGTCACGTTGGAAGGTGAGATGCAGGCCTCAGCCTTCACCCACCACCAGACCCCAACAGTACTATAACACGCAAAAGAAAAAGGCAAGATCCAAAGGCTCAGACGTAGCCAGCTCTTTGCAAGTCTTACCCTCCTTGTCCTGGATCTTGGCCTTCACATTCTCGATAGTGTCCGACGACTCCACCTCAAGGGTGATGGTCTTGCCCGTGAGGGTCTTCACGAAAATCTGCATGCTTGCTGTTCAACTCAGAAGTGCAGCGGTTGATGTTGTCCTAGGCGCGGCCTTCGCCTTGAAGCGGAGAAGCGTGCAACTGAGCTTGTAATGTTCAGGTACTAAAGGTTATGTTTTACAGGCATATACCCACAGTTGCGTCCGGAGAGCCTCTTTATGCAACCTCAACTGCCATTGAACCCCTCCTGGAGGGACCACGTTGGACGTGCCATGGGATTTGCGAATTTCACTTTTCACAGACAAGACGTTGACAGCGCATTGCATATGGTAAAATAGTACCTCATTTCCTCTTTGTATGGCTGTTAAGAACCATGCATGCGGCTTCTTGTCTTCCTCCACTGAGTCGTTGAGTTTTTCGCAATAGTCCTGCCATATTTTTCTATAATACGATAGTCCTGCCATACTTCCCTAGAATGCTTAGCCAACTGGACTACCTGCCTATTTGGCTTAGTCGAAAAGGAGCTGCTGACATGGCCCCTTAACCGTGTCTATCATAACTGCCGGCAAATGTCACCTGTAGGTCCACATGAACGGTGCACGGTGCTAGGCCAACAGCAACCCCAGAAGGGTGGAGTAAGGAAACCAGTCCAACAGCGGTTCATTTCCTGCTAGTGTCACATCTGGGTTATGAGGCAGAGGGCGACTAAACGCACAACAGCCCCGGGCAGGAATAACTAGGAACACGAAGCTTACAACGTCAGAGCAACTACGGGTGGGGCAGGTGAGGGCGCGGTTTCTAACACTTGGGGCGTTACGGTTTCACTGCGTACCAGACCTTGAACGCGAAACTGATTGCACCCTCATGGGTCCCACACAAGACACTACAAATCTGATCATGCTCTTCCATCGCCGACCCAGATACCCGACGCTTCCTCCTGGCATGGCCGCACGAAACCCGATAGTCCCCAGATCTTCGTACAACGCAACCTGCAGTTTGCAAGAGGCCGTCCCGTGGGTCAATCCTACCACGGGTACGACATGTCGTATGCTCAGCCGAGACCGAATACCTGCTGCTACAGTAGCCTACACACACGCATGAACGATGAGCCCTACCGTGCCGCATGCAATGCCCCATGCGCAGTAAAGCCCCATAAGGAGATCAGCAACTATGCTCATAAATACAGTGCAACACGACCCGCAGCTCCATACCAGGGTTTTTGTTGGCATTCACCGACACGACAGGCACATGGTGTGCAGGTAAGACAGCGTTGTCTAACCCTTATACGCGCGTCCTTCATCGTCTTCCATAACCCGACACGTCCATCATCAACCACCTCGCCCCTCCTGCCAGCAGATACCGCTCGCGTGTGCAAACACGAAGCAAACACCCGCTTTCGCGTTCCCACCCCACACGCCCCTCCTACCCACTCTCCCAAGCATGGCAACCCAACCCCCCACTCGCATGCCCCTAAAGCCCCAGTTCGCACAAATCCTCAGCCAAGCCCAGCTCAGGAACGCACTCCTCGCCGCCTCCTCTCCCTGATGCCTCGATCTACATCACGGTTTCGAATCGGTTTCCTCCTCCTCACGCCCCTCACCGCCGCGTCCCCCCTCATCACCGCCCCGCCCCTTCCGCCGCGTCCCTCACCAGCGAGGTGAGCTCCCAGTCCAGCCCCTCCTCCTCGCCACCACACCCGGGGGGCGGCGGAGGCAGGTAGTCGGGGGCGGGCTGCGAGCGCAGGGTGGCCCAGTCGATGCCGGCGAAGAAGGGGTGGGACTTGAGCTCGGAGAGGTCCTCCGCGCCTGGATCGGTTGGGGCGCAGGGGTGGTGGGGGTGCGGGGGTGCGGTTGAGGACGAGGAATTGAGGATGGGATGGCGGTAACGGTGGTAGGATACCACATGGTGCACGAGCGGGCTTACAAGAAACTGGACATGGTCAACAAACTCCCAGCAGCGCTGCAAAGCCGCCCTAATCCTAGGCGGCCACAATCCCGGCAGAGGGATGGCCACCCGATACTATCAATCACAACGGCAGTTAAAAGCACAAACGCGTGGACATCCCTGATAGGCTGGGTCGATTTGCCATCGCTGTCGTACACCCATGCAAGCGCGCCATCTGCTTCCACGCACCACGGCAGCTAGCAAGAAACCTACTTCTTCAGTCATACTTCCTTACAGAAGTGGCATCATCCAAACGCTCGTCCCCTTTCAATACCGTATATACAAAGATAGCATTGCAGGGCAGGCCAGGGGCCCCCCTCGCCTCCCCCCTATCTACCTACCGATGCGCGCCGAGGGCTCCATGGCGAGCAGGCGGTCGGTGAGGTCGCGCGCATCCGGCGGGTACTCCACGGCGTCCAGCTGCGGGTCCGCCGGGTCATCGCCGACCCGTGGGTCACCCGGGAACCTGAAGTCGCGTTCGGACACCTTTTGGAAGGTGAGGTACTCGCTGGCGCCCTTGAAGGGAGGCTTGCCTGAGTAGGACAGAGGAGGGGGCAGAGAGGAGCGAAACGCCGGTTGCTAATAGAAGAGCCCCAAGATACCTACCATGGGAGAGGTGCCTGCGCGGCGGAGCTGCGTGCACGCTGCGCGGGTAAAAGGTATGGCAGAGGAGCTAGAAGCATGCGATGCTCGGTAAGCATCTGTCGGCTATACATGCTTGCAAGGCTGCAACCCAGGGCTGCAAGCAAGCAAGCCCAGCCGGACCCGGACCGACCCACATCTCGGTGCCTGCCTGCTGGCCCAACCCGAGCCCCCAAGTCTGTGTGCAGCTCCAGGCTACCCCACCTCCCAAACCCCCACCTACCGCTGCACCCACTGCTGCACCCGTGCACAGCCCAGCCCCAACTCACCCACCCCTCCACGCCGCACCCGCCCCTCCACCCACCCACTATCATCTGGTAGACCATGCAGCCCAGCGCCCACAGGTCCGCCGGGTAGGACAGCGGCTGGTTGAGCAGCACCTCGGGCGACACGTACTCGGCGGTACCCACGAAGGAGGTGGCGCTGGGGGGGGGAGGGGGAGGGGGGAAGAAGGGGAGGGGGGAAGAAGGGGAGGGGGGAAGAAGGGGAGGGGGGAAGAGGGTGGCGCGGGAGGAAGAAGAGGAAGCTAACCGTGTGTGTGCCAGGGAGGGCAGGGAAGAGGGGCGGAGATAGTACGGCTAGTTAGTGAGTACCGTATAGCCGGTATAGGGTTAACATCGCAGTGGAATGGAGTGGCGGTAGCGGTACGCGAGAGCTGTTGTTAGTACGGCAGCCGCGCACACACGTCACGCACAGCATGCCTCTCTCCCACACACATGCCTCCCTCGCGCCTCACCGGTTTTTGCCCGGCGGCTTCTCCGCCTGCGGCAGGAAGTAGGCCTTGGCGCTGCCGAAGTCGATGAGTCGCAGGTGGCCGTCGCCTGAGAGCAGCAGGTTCTCGGGCTTCAGGTCGCTGCAGGGGGGGAGGAGGGGGGGGGGAAAGGAAGGTGGGAGGTGGGAGGGCAGGAAAAACATCTATGAAAGGTGAGACATCGGAGTCCCAGGGCGGGGGGGAGGGAGGTGAAGGGAGGAGAAGGTATTATGCTTGATATGATGATGGGAGGGAGCGGAGCTACCGGTAGTTAGTAGGGAGAAAGCCCATCCACGCGCGATGCCAGCTTGCTGCCTCTGCGTCCGTCCGCTTCCTTCCCCCTTCGCAGCCCGCTCCTGCCTGTCACGTGCTTTCCCCCTGCTGTGCCCCTGCCCTGCCCCGCCTGCCTCCCCCCCTCACCGGTGCACCACCCCTGCCTGCCTCCCCACCTCACCGGTGCACCACCCCCGCCTGCCTCAGGTACTGCAGTATGAGCACCACCTCGGCCGCGTAGAAGCGCACGGAGGCCAGCGGCAGCCGACCGAGCTGGAGGAGGGACAGAGGGAGGAAGGATGCAGAGGGGAGGGGCGAGGAGCGGGCCACGGGTTCGGGGTTTGGGGAGGGCGAGAAAAAGGGGGCTTGAGATATGGAGGAGAAGGGAATGGGTGGTGAACCCTAATCATGGGAGTGCTGCCGGGCATGCACAATATGGGAAGGGGAGTGTGCTAGGGGGAAGGTGTGGGGGGGACAACGGAGGGGAAGCACACGGTACTACCAGCCCTGGGGGCCGGTGTTTTGGGGAGCTGCACGGGTAGCTAGCTAGCAACTCCCAAAGCCGCTGCCTTGTGACATGAAGACCCCCGACAGTCCTCCTCCCAGGGGCTGCAGCCACAAACTATGTACGACAAAGTCGCAAGACGCATGCAGGCAACCATGCCGCGTACCCTGTGGATCTGCTCGTACAACTCTCCACCAGCGCAGTACTCCATGCCCAAGTCTTGTTGGGGGAGGGAGGTTTTAGGGCCGGACAGGGCATTGGGTTGGAGGCAGCAAATGCATTAGTTCAGTGTGTGCTGACATCGCATGGGCTTGTACCACTTTTGGGGTGAAGGCTGCCGTCGCACGCAGGGGCAAGGCAGGTACTCAAAACGAGAAAAACACATAGATGGCGCCCTACCCATCTACCCATCCATTTCGACGTGAACTGGTCCCAGCGCGCTTGATACATGAAACCCTCTGGAATCCGGCAGCCCATCGACTTACATAGGTTATCAGGGTCCTGAAAAGTGAAGTGCAGCTTTGCAATGCCCGCGTCGTCCAACTTATCGAGGATGAACCTCTCGTTTTTTATGTACTCCACCATTTTATTGCGCATAACGAGGTGTTTATTCATCATTTTGATCGCATATTGCTTCCCGGTTTCCTTTTGCTGCGCCAAGAAGACAGTCGAGAAGCTGCCATCGCCAATACGACCGTTGATGTTGAAGTCGCGTATTGTGAGGGAGACTCGTGGCGCCCTATAGCCTTCCTGCTGTTCACGGTCTTGAAGCTGCTGTTCAGTCGACATCGCGGACGGAGCACTTCACGGAATACCTACAGGTCGCCTTGCATGGGGCAGTATTTGCTTGTGTCAATATACACGACGAAATCAGTCCTAACAATCAACTAGCTGTAATATTGTTTGCGTAATATTATGCGCTGGTGGCAAAGCAACCAAGCAAGTAAACCTAAATCTGCTGGGGTTAAGCTTAGCCTATCGCTGCTGCGTTTGATGGTATATGAGCACTCCTTAGTGGGCCTTGGACAAGCGATTTCGCTGACCGGTTAACGACGAACTCCTCTGCAAGCCAGGGCGTGAGGCATCTAGATCTGTCCGGCATCCGGCATCCACGGGGCAACGAACAACAGTCCATGCAAGCAGTACCCTAGTCCATGCAAGCTAGCGGCCGATGGCAGCAAATCTCGTGCAGTCCCCGCCTGCTACACGGCTATGGTTACGGCACATACGTGCACACTGCACCCATGGGTCATTCCGCGCTATTCACGGAGGGTCACGGAGGGCCACCCATGCTCGTACCATCCCAAGGCTTCTCTTGGTGTTACAACGGGCAAAGCAGCACCCATGAAATTTAACAACTCCCATGCACCAACATGCATTGGTACAGGCATTATGCTAAAGTGTCCGTACGTGGGAATGTCCGTGTTACCAGCACCTGAAGGTGACCCACAAGGCCCAAACCCCAGATAAACACTCATGGGCACCACTCCCTCTAGGCAAGACTTGTACCCAACGAAATTCTCGGTGTCAGCGAAACATACTGCAAAATGCCTGCAGCCTCACAACAAAATTCTTTGCTCTCCTCTTGCAATGGCTTCCATGCAGGCCCAGACCCCTACCACCCCGAGGCTCGCCCTACATGCAGCCACGTGCATTCTATCTTATGCCCTCGTTATATGAAGGTAGATCCTGTCTAAAGGACACTGAGCCTCGGCCTGCGCTGTCAGTACCCCGCACCCATGCTTGACCGCCCTGGCGCTGCTGGGAGTTGCGGTCCATGCCGGCTCCAATATTCCCCTCTGTAGCTACAACTAGCTCATAAGCATCGCATGCCCAAAGCTTACGCCAGCTTGGCGGTCATCTCCTTCGTCAGCTGGTCTGCGACGCGCTCAATCTGGCCGCGAATGGACAGGTCGATCTGGCTGCTGCCATACTCCACCACAAATCCAGCGATAAGGCTCTGGTCGATGACGGGCTTCAGCTTAATGTTCTTGCTGCCCGTGAGCTCCTGCAACTTCTTGGCAATGAGGAACTGCTGCTCCTGCTCGAGCTTAACGGCCGACCGCAGGGTAGCGACCTGGGTGTCCGTCATGCCGCAGTACAAGTCCTCGAAGCACTCGCAGATCTCAGGGACAAGCGAGAGACGGTCCTTCTCCACCAGCAAGTTAAGGAAGTTCACCGTGTACTGCTGGAAGCCTGCCTCCTTGGCGATCTTGGCCAGCACAGCGCGCTTCTTCTCGTTGTCGACGACGGGGTTCATGATTAGCTCAGCAAGCTTCTTGTTCTCCTTCACCAGGCTAGCGACCGCGTCCACATCAGCATGCACTGCCTCGAGCTTGCCCTTCTCGTCAGCCAGCTCCACCAGCGCCTTAGCATACGACTCGCTAACCTCATTCTTACGCGCAAGGACAACTACAGCGCGGCGCGCGACCTTGGGGGCTGTGCGCGCAGCGGACGCCTTGAAGGCGCGCTGGCCAACGACTGACTTGGCGGCCAGCATTGTTAGGGAAAATTATACGCTAGGTTGGTCACGTCGTTAGGTACCTACAAGAGGTCGAAAGCGGGATGCGGATGGTCGCGATCCCCTCGTTAGCAGACCAGGATAATGATAAGGCCCGCCGAGTTTGTACGGTCTTCTCCACTTTATAGCTGCGGCCCACCCACAAGTGGGTTCTATAGTAAATGCTATTGGTGCTAATAGCATAGTGCTGTTCCTTGCTCATTAGATAGGAGCTTTAGACATACTGCGGGCCTTTGCACTTTTGGAGCACCCCTTTCTGCTGCTGCGGAATGTAGCTTATCCTGTCTCAGGGCTTCGCTTTGACGGTTGCTAGTCTTGAAGCGGAGTCGTCGGCTGGATGGTTGCTGGACTTGAGAACGTCGTTGGATCCGAGCACGCCGCCACATGCTGCTGGCTTCTTAGCATTAGATCCCTCTCATCTTTGGAGCAACGAAACGGCCCTCGTGCACATCGCTTTTGAAGGACACTCTGAAAGCAGTCCATAGCTCTGTTGTGGCCTACCGGTATTCGGCTGCATGTGGTCCAACGCGAATAGCTCTTCCCTTGGAACTCGCAATCGTCAAAGACTACCAGCCCCCCCTACCCGCATGGCCATTTGTCATTGAAGTCTAGGCCGCTGCTGTAGTGCATGCTTGCTTGGATGCGCATTGTCCACGTACGCCACTGGACCAAGGCAGGCACGTCCGCCGTCCCTATGATTATACACTAATCACACACACAAGTCTTAATCAAGACCTTCGGGCGTGATGACCCATTTCTGCAAACATGAGGGACGGACGCCTTATCGCCATAAATGCACGCCATCACCCATAACCGGCACTTTGATGACGCGTACCTGCCTCGCCGTCCATCCCATACATTCATGCTCTCCCTTCCCTTTCGGGTCTTCCCATGTTTTTAAGGCTGCTCTCCCCTTCAAACTCCTCCGCCCCCTGCATCTATGTCATCATTTCCTCATGTAGCCCTTCCGCCTGACTGTATTGATTAATAACCTCCCTTCAGGAACGTGCATGGGCGGCATGTGCGTGTGACGTATGGGCACGTACCCACGTCCCAGCGTAGGTGCAAAAGAGGGAGTGACAGCAAGGATGAAGGGATGGTGTATGGGCATGCTGGACGTACATGACGCATTTGCAGAAAGCCCATCCTACGGAAAGCATCCTTGCCCATCCCCTGGCAATCAGACAGGCCCCGCCTGTCCATCAACAGATAGGGCACCGACCACTGGCGCTTTCCTTCACACCGGCAGTGCAACCATAGGAAATGTGTCTGAAGTTAGGACGCGCCGGATTTGGCATGAAGTTTGTCCACAGGCTTCCGATTCCCGACTGTTGCGTTGGCGACGTGTCTAGGGTCTGCCGTCGATAACATTAACACAAAGCGGCATGGGAGGAATGTTGAGGATCGTACCGGTGTCCCCGGGAAAGGCGGAAGGGTTGGGTTGCAAGGCTCCCTAATGATGGCGAAGGACAGCTCTTCAAGGAGGGCATATCGCTTATGATGTGAAACGGGGTAATGGGCTTGGCATAATCGTGCCCTTGAAGCAACCAACCATCATAGGCTCGCTCAGCAGTCAGCACGAAGTACCGGCACGTTTGACCGAAGAATTCAGTTGAAACCAGCTACGCTCTGAATGTACAAATGCCCAAATTAGACCACAAGTCACTCAAAATGGGATCGCATGCACGCTGTCCACCATTCACCGGTATGGCCCCAGGGGCCTATGCTGTACTTACATAACAAAATATTGAATGCATTGTAAGTCGTCCGCTATGAGCCAACAGCAGCTATGTGGTATTGTGGTTCCAAGTGCAGACGCTCCAGGGAGATCCTGGAGATCCCGATCACTCCGCTTTTAACAAGTCGCTCCACCGAATCGACTCGGCACGTTGCAGTCGGCACCTAGAGCAAAAATGATGCTCCTCAACCGCTCTGTGCAGGTGACTTGGGTGTGCAGTGATCGCGGACTTCAGCCTTGCCAAACTTGCACAAACTGCAACCTCGCAAACCTATGCTAGGAATGAGTACCATTAGGAAGACAGCAGTACAGCGTATTCCCCTGGCGATCCTGACGCGCTGTTGGTGTTCTTGGATTGCAGGCCGCTTTCAGCGGCAAGGCCGCCCGCCCGGCCAAGTCCAACCGGACGCGCCTGGTATGCCGCGCTGAGGAGAAGGCCGTCGCCAAGGTGCGTATATGAAAACAAGCACTTTTAGTCTGCCCTGCTGTCGATTGGGTGATTGTCCGCGTGAATGGTCGGTAACAGCGTGAGCAAGCTGGACGCTTTCTAGTGTTGATCGCGCAACTCCTCACGCAGGTCGACCGGTCGAAGGACCAGCTGTACATTGGCGCCTCGCAGTCGTCTCTGGCTTACCTGGATGGCACGCTGCCGGGTGTGAGTCTGGGCTATTTGCGATTAGAAGGCCGCGCGATCATCGCAGAATAGCAGCTTCAGTGTCGCTCGCAAATATAAACAAAAAAGCTTCCTCTTTAGGACAAGCGCTTGGGTTTCGCCGTTGTTGAGTATGGGTCGGCATCGCTCGCGCCCTGTTCATCGTGTTGCATTGGAATAGGAACTGGATGATCGTACCGTTTTTCATAACACTTAGAACAGAAAGGCGCGAACCGTTAGCACTTTAGCGCGCGTGAGCTTCTTGCGAACAGGTGTTGCATTTGGCCGGGCCGTTCCCCGCCCCGACACAACTCATCCCGCCATCCACCTAACCTCTCTCCACCAACACATTTCCTCCAACCAACAAACCCCCCTTCCCAACCCACCTCTCCTTCCCCTCCATCCCTCCTGCTTCCTCAGGACTTTGGCTTCGACCCGCTCGGCCTGCTGGACCCCGTCAACTCCGGCGGCTTCATCACCCCGCAGTGGCTGCAGTACAGCGAGGTCATCCACGCGCGCTGGGCCATGCTGGGCGCCGCCGGCTGCATCGCTCCCGAGGTGCTGGGCAAGGCCGGCCTCATCCCCGAGGCCACCAACATTGCCTGGTTCCAGAGCGGCGTGATCCCGCCGGCCGGCTCGTACGACGGCTACTGGGCTGATCCGTACACCATCTTCTTCATCGAGATCCTGGCCATGCAGTTCGCTGAGCTGCGGCGCCTGCAGGACTTCCGCAACCCCGGCTCCATGGGGCAGCAGTACTTCCTGGGACTGGAGGCGATCTTCAAGGGCAGCGGCAACCCGGCGTACCCAGGTGGGGAGGGAAAAGAAAGGCGGGCGTGGATGTGGGTGCGAGTATAAAGGGATGTCCGCAATGGGAGGGGTGTATGGCTGTATCGCTGCTCCCTTTCTACTCAGCTGCTCCAATACCTCTCCCTCCTCCCCACCCCCACTCCCCTCATCCCTCACCCCCCCAGGCGGCCCCTTCTTCAACCTGTTCAACCTGGGCAAGACCGAGGCGGCCATGAAGGAGCTCAAGCTCAAGGAGATCAAGAACGGCCGCCTGGTGAGTGTAACCGCGCATAAGAGGAGGGATGAGGCCGATAATGGAAAGCGACGTACACCATTACAGCACGACGGCATGCAGAGCCGCACACGCAGAGCCGCCTGCTACCTGCCGCCTGGCCTGGCCTGGCCTGGCCTGGAGGAAACCGCGAAGCACACCACCTGCCGTGCGTACCAGCTACCCCCTAGCCTGTCTCCATGCACTTTCCACCCTTTTGCTGACGCCCTCCTCTTCCCTGCCCTCTCTCCTCTTCCCTCCTCTCCACACCCCAACAGGCCATGCTCGCCATGCTGGGCTACGGCGCCCAGGCCACCCTGACCCGCGAGGGCCCCTTCCAGAACCTGCTGGACCACCTGGCTGACCCCGTCAACAACAACATCCTCACCAACTTCGGTAAGGAGGGAGTTGCGCCTGCTGACTTCTGTGGAAGAGCTGTTGCTGGGGCCTGGCAGCTGGCCTGACGTGCATGTACACCTCTACATTCATCTTGCGCTCGCTTACCTACCCAATGCCTACCTGGTACCATGCACCCTCTTGAACGCACAAGACATCTTTCCGCCACCTCCTTTCCGCCCGCAGGCAAGGTGTTTGGCAGCCAGTAAACGCGCATGGGTAACGGAGCTTGTCCAGAGGCGGCAGTGGCAGCAACTAAGCAGACAGGCGGTTACAGCTTCCGTGGCCACTATCCGCATGGAGAGCTTGTCCGTCCGTCGTCTGCCTGGCGTTTTTGTGCGGCAGGATTCATCCGGCAGTACAGATGGCTGCCGTACAGACTGCTGCTTCTCTTGGCGCTACTGCTGCTGAGTTGATGCATGGCAATGAGGGAATACCAGAGTAACAAACATGAAGCAATTTTCCCTGTGGGTGGTTAGGGAAGTTTTGGAGGGTCGACTGCGACAGCCTCCAGGGGTCCGCTGGCTTGGTTTGGCGTGTGTGGTTGCAATGCATGTCCTCCCACGCTCCTTGTCATGCATGGGAGGAGCTGTTGCAAGACGGTTTGTGGTGCTGTAGGTGCAAAGGGTGGGCAGAGGGCTATAGGACCTGCGACCCGTACCGCACTACCACCGTGTTTAGGAGGGTATCGTGCCGCTCGAACACCCTCACCCCGGGTGTGTCGAATGGACGGACCTGTAAAACTGAGAAGAGAATCAGCATCTATGTCGTACGGCATAAGTTTTCATCTGTAGTGTATGTATGGGTACACTCTCTGTAACGTGCAACGCAACGTGGGAGGTGAACGGTACCTTCTGTTGCCATCCGCAACACTTGCAGCTTCATATGATACTTCGGAAACGGCGAAACCCTTCTGTTGCAGCCAAGGTCACCAATCCCACCACCGTGTTCCAGAAGACCTGCTGGTAACAAACTACGCTACATAAAGGGCTGCATTCCCCCTGCCCCCAACCATCCTCTTACTCGACGCAACTAGCTGTCGACACCATAACTCTTCACGTAATGTACACCGGAACAGAAGGCAACTCGATGACTTCCCTGTACTACGTCCCGATAGTATCATTCAGGAAAGACGCCTAAAACGGTCCGACCGGAGTCAACCACCGTGCACCCAACCTCTATGGAGAGCGGCAGAGCTAGGTTCGCGTATGTGTGCTCCGGGACCAGGCCGTCATGCCCGAAGCTGCTGGCAAGGCTACGTATTGTACATGTCCCACCCATCCACTCCTGCCCTCTTGCCTTACCTTCCGCCTGCATGCTCCTATGCCCCTCGCTCCGCCTCCAAACCTTCACCCCACCTCGTGAAGGCAATTTGGATTCGCCCTCCAGCCAACTACTAGCATCACCTCAAACCAGCTCCACTGGAGGAACAGTTGACATTCAACACCACAACTGCAAACCTGGCACGTCAGCAGCACCCGTCTACTTCACCCGCACATCATCATAGCATGTGTCCCCCTCCCCCTCCCCCAACTCCCCAATCTCCTCCTCAACCCGCTCCCTCAGTCCCTCATCCCAATTCCCACCGCCCGTACCCTACATGCTCCCGTACTCACAGACACAGAAGCTTGCTCGTTCCTACCCCTACGGCCCTACCCCTTAATCCAACCATGATGACGCCATATCACACGGTCAGTTAATTGTTTCCTCTTTACACCCCTCAATCCACCTCCGGAAACGTCAGCCGCCGTAGCCCCTCCTGCCGCGCCTCCATGGGGCAGTAGGGGCACTTGAAGGGCCGCCCCACGCGGCTCTTGGCGGCCAGCTTGGCCACGCTCTGTTCGCACAGCACGTGGCCGCACGGCAGCAGCAGCGGCGGGTTGTCGGGGCCGCTGGCGTCGCGCGACACGGGGCAGGCGAAGATGGAGCGGAACACGAAGCGCGGCCCCAGCTCAATTTCCACCGGCAGCTGCTCCACGGCACGGAGGTCCTGTGGGAGCGCGGGGTGGGGGTGGTGGGGGGGAGGAGCGGGAAGTGGAACCATGGGCAATGAAAGAAGCAGCCGTACATTGTCCAGACAGAAACTTGAGGACCCTGCCACGACCGGCAACCAGCTGCAGCCATGCGTGCCTCCCAACACCCGCCCCGCCCCCACCTGCGCGTTCCGCTCCATGACGGCCGCCAGTTTGAGCAGTGCGGGCAGCGCCACCGCCCCGGCTGCCACCACGGTCGACAGCGGGCTCTCGGAGGCCTGTAGGAGGGGGGGGGGAGGAGGGGAGGGGAGGGAGGGGACGGGTAGTGAGTCGAGGTACGGTAGGTGGTGGGTTGTGTGGTACGGGTGGAAGGTGACACCGCACAACAGGTATTGTTACCTCTGCTGCAACTTCATGCCACCTCCCTACCCCCTACACGCCCCCTCCCCTGCCTTCCCCTCACCTGTCCCATCAGGCTGCACGCCAGGCGTGCGAACTCCGAGGCCGCCGCGTCCCAGCAGCCAGGCGACATCAGCTCGGCGTACGGCTGCGGCAGCTGCGGCCCTCCCCCCGCCGCTGCTCCACCTTCTCCCTCTCCCCGCTCCTGCTGCTCCCTGTCCCGCTTCCGCTGCACCTCCCTGTCCGCGAACACCAGGCAGCCCATGAGGCGCTGGATGGCGGGCAGCTGGCCCCGCCCGGCGTGCGGCGCGAAGTGGCGCCTGGCGTACGACAGGGCGGCGGAGCGGCCTGCGGGGCGGTGGGGTGCGAGGGGGCAGGGGGGGTTTGGAGACGAAGGAAGAAGGAACCAACGAACCGTATGATAGGTTCCCCACCACCATGGGGTTCAGAGAGGGAAGCAGATGGGAGGGAGGTGAGGCGACGCGTCGGTTCGGCAGGTCCTTAGCTGGGATACGTTTGTCATGACCGGCCTGGTTTCCACGGGTCCCACCTCACCGGTGGTTTCCTATGGCTTGGTGTGTCTTGACCCCCAGCCCCCCTACCCTGCGTCTGCAGCGTGTGCACGAAGTTTAGAGAGTGCAGGCGGAACTCGAAGGCCGAGGGGCCGCCCTCGGGGCTGAGCGCGGCCCGCTGCGACTCGGCCCACTGCAGCGCGGGAGCCAGGTTGCGGGCGCGGATCTGAAGAGCGGGGAAGGGGGGCGAGGGAAGTGGGAGGCGGGGAGTTGGAAGGGAGCGGGAGGAAAAGAGTAAGACCATGTTGGACATGATAAGTATAACCGGTAGCAGGACAAACTCACCTGCTCCAGCACCTCATGCATGGAAGCGTACGGCGCTCGCAGCTGCTCCGCGTCCATAAGGCCCGCCTCCGCCGCCAGGCAGTCCCCCAGCTCGAACCGGCCCTCGCGGTAAAAGTGTTCAGCCAGCACACGCGCAAGCAGGCCTGGCTCTGATGCCGCGGCGGGGCAGGGCCGCAACGCGCGACAGACGTCCGCATCCATGTCACATGACTTTTCTAGGGCCTGTAAGGATGACATGTGTGGAGGTAACAGGGGCTTACGTTGCGGACTGTTGCATGCCAGGCCAAACTACGGTTGGTGTGGAAGGAAGGTACACTTAAGTTGTAGGTGATTGTTTATAGTGGAAGGTTACAAATCAGGATACAGTATGGAAAGGTCTTGAGCTGCAATACTCGTAGAACAGCGGCCTTGCGGAGGCAAACCCTATAGCCCGTCTCATTTGCGCACCTTGCCCAGCTTTGCTATAGAAGTATGCAGCTCCTTCGTTGTGGAGTTTAGCTCCTTTAGTAGTCCAGCCTCCTCGATGCTGGACTTTAGGCGACCTATAATAGCATCTACGTCGGTGCCCTCCACGGCTCTTTCTAGTTCCTGCTCTGCGGAGCGGGCCATGCTAGCCATTTTATCGATGACAGCATCGCTTTTGGAGGCACATGTCTTCTGTCGTTTAATGCACTTTTGCGCTTCATCCAACGCGACTTGCATATTCGCGCTCATGTTTGCAATACAATAGACATAAAGACGTCCAAGAGCAGATGAGCGCAGTGATGCTCAGACGTGCACTTGGGGGTTGATGCAGGGAGTATGGGAGTTGGTGGCTTGGTGCCTGCTCCGTTACCCTAGACGTTGGCTCCGTTGCCAAGATGCCACTACGCGATAGCCAAGTTTAGCCCGTGGTATCCCTCAGGTACTCCCCTGTGACCTAAGGATGGCACCCTAGTATTTCGCTGCTGTAATACCCGCTAGGAAACATGACGGGCCACAGAGAGATGTTCGACAAGCTCTACGCCGTAGTAGGCCAGGCGGCTGTCTGGGGTATATTGGCTTACGCTGTAGTACAATTACTAGAGTGGTACACGAAAACGAAGATCAACAAGGTGTCAGCCCAAGCAGATGCGCAAGAACCAACATCCGCTACCACGGCGGCGAGCTCAACGCAAAAGAATGCTCAGGCGGAGCCGCAACCAGCTCTTGATGAGGTTTGTGATGACGGCTTGCGGAAATAACCCGTCGTTGATGTTAGCGTTCAAAATTGATCAGCTGAGCTGAAGGATCATCGGCCGGCCTAATTATCTTTGTACTAGCATACCTCCCTCTTATCGTGCATATCGGAACGCGATCTAGCTCCCGTGTTAAGACTGCCGGCTAGGAGCGTTTCGAGAGCCTTCGACTGTTTTCAGATGCAAATACCGTTCACCGGCTTCTCCTTAGGAGTGCCAGCTGGGGAGTACCAACGTTTTAGCACAAATACTTTCTCGTAGGGCCCTTGCCCCTCAGCATTCACCACCTCTTTCATCAGCCCCTCCCTACTTTCGTGCCTTCCATCTGCAATCCCAGAGCGCCCATCGTGCCGAGGTGGAGGCGCTGCTGGCTCGTGCGCAGCAGCAATGCAGCAAGGCCGGTGAAGGCAAGATGACGCTAGAGCACATGGTGCTGGCTCTCGCGGAAAACCCCAGGTGGGGTTTTTGGAATCCCAGCCACCTCCCTCCTCCCTCACCTTGCCCGTCTCCCCTCCCTCACCTCCTCTTCTTTTCCAAACCCACTTCCCGTCCTCACCCCTCCTCCTCCACTTTCTCCCTCTCCACCTCCTTACCTCAGGTTTGGCGAGATCCTGTCCTGCGCGGAGGGCCTCACCGAGGAGGACCTGCGCAAGGCCGTCAAGAAGAGCCGCGTCATGTACAACCACACGGAGGGCGCGCTGGAGATCGCGGAGCCCCCGCCCACCGCGCTGTCGCGGTACGGCAGGGACCTCACGCAGCTGGCGAGGCAGGGCAAGCTGGACCCGCTGATTGGCCGCACGGACGAGCTGAGGAGGTGGGTAGGGGCGGTAGTAGATAGGGGGCGGCAGGCAGGAGGTAGGGTTAGATGCTATTCTCCTTGGTGGCTCTGATGGCGAGGTGCGGGTGCGTGAGGACGGGGAGGTAGGTAAGAAGGATGGCGGAAAACGAGGCCAGCGGGCTACCCACTTGGACACTCTGGGAGAGCGCCCGGCAGGGAAGAACATCCGACATGGGAGAGTTCCCTGCAGCCCAACTCTCGACTCTTGCTTTTGCGATGCCCGCCCTTCCCTCCTCCATATCCTGTTTTCCCCGCCCCCCCTCCTCCTCCCTCCCAGGCTGTTCAACGTGCTGTCGCGCCGCACCAAGAACAACCCGGTGGTGCTGGGCGAGAGCGGGGTGGGCAAGACGGCGCTGATTGAGGGGCTGGCGCAGCGCATCGCGGCGGGGGACTGCCCGCCGGAGCTGCGGGGGGCGGCCATCATCGCACTGGACCTGGGCATGCTCATGGCGGGTGGGCGGGGCGGGCGGGTGGAGGGGGGGCTAAGAAGGGGCGAGGGGGGGGGGCTTGGAGGCGCGATTGGGCGGTGGAAAACTGGAAACGGGGCCGGTCCATGGAGGGGGCTCTGTGCAACCTAGAGCAACCAAGTCATACGGTACCATTACGATAGCGTCAAGCTGTGAGGTAGCCACTCGGTATGTAATACCGAACACCCCCCGCCATGCTGCCCGCTTGGTGTCCCGCGCAGGCGCCACCTTCCCCGGGGAGTTCGAGCAGCGCATGAGTGCCGTGCTGAAGGAGCTCTCCGACCTGCCCAAACAGCAGCAACAGCAGGGGCAGGCGGGAGGAGCAGCAGCGGGAGGGACAGCAGCAGCAGCGGCCGCCCAGCCGCCCCCCAGCAGCTGCATCCTCTTCATCGACGACATCCACAACGTGACGGGACCCAACGCACAGCAGGTGGATGCGGGGGCGGGAGTGCGAAGGGGTGCGAGAGTGGAAGCGGGAGACGAGGGCCTACAGGGCCGCACAGGTTGGGGCTCCTCGACCAATCGGGGGTCGGTGCCTTGGTTGGAACTTATTTGACTGAAATGGGCCTATACCTGCGGGCCCTAGTAAGCTCGAATCCATGCATGCGTCAGCAGCCCTGTCGGCATGCATGCCGTGAAGACATGCCGCACCTCACCATGCCGCATGCACCCCAGGGCTCCCACCGCCTCACCCCACCTCTCCGCCCCCCTGCATGGTAGAGCCTTGTCCCGTGGTCAGTTCTTCCCCTTTACACCTCATCTCACTCCTCTGTCCTCTCCCTCCCCTCACCCCCCCACTCGACCAGGGTGGCGGTGTGAACGACGCCAGCATGCTGCTCAAGCCGCTGCTGGCCCGCGGGGAGCTGCGCTGCATTGGCGCCACCACCCCCGACAAGTACCGCCGCTTCATTGAGAAGGACCCAGCGCTGGAGCGCCGCTTCCAGACGGTGAGGAGGGAGGGGAGGAGGGAAGGAGGATGGGGTAGGGTAGGGGGGCGAGGTGTGCTGAAGGGTGCGGAAGAGGCTGTGTAGTGCGGGATTAAGAGGAGACGTGGGTGTGGTGGGGGCAGCAGGAGGAGGAGGCATGTGAGGACAACATTTACGAGGGAGGGAGGCATGGCGGCATGTATAGCATTAACTTCCCGCCGTATCTATTCCTCCCCCCTCCCCTCTGCCCCCCCCTGCCTGCCTGCAGCTGCCCCTGTCCCAGCCCTCCGTCCCCGAGGCCATCTCCATTCTGCGCGGGCTGCGTGCGCGGTACGAGCGGCACCACGGGCTGCGTATAGCGGATGCGGCGCTGGTGGCGGCGGTGGAGCTGTCGCACAGGTGCGGGAGGGTTGGGGCTATATGGAGGGGCTGTAAGGCGGGGTTAGGATGGGTGAGGGATGGTTAGGACGGGCTGGACAGGAGCAGTAGCGCGCCCCTTACCAGGCAGCTGAGGCCCTCCCCCTGTAACATGCTCCCCACCTGCTGCTGCTCCCCCCCCCTACCCGATTGGGACTCGTTGTTTCACTTGTATAATCCCCCCCCTACTCGCATGCAGGTACACCGCGGACCGGTTCCTACCGGATAAGGTGAGAGGGGGACAGGGGCGCGAGGAGGAGGGGGTCCGGGCACGTGCATGGGAATTCAGGACTGACTGGATCGGTGTGTTTCAACGCGGATCAGTTGGTTAACCCTTGCGTCTGCCCCCGCCTCCACTGTACCTTCCAACAGGCTATCGACCTGATTGACGAGGCGGCTGCCCGCGTGAAGCTGGACCTGGACCAGCGACCCGCGGTGAGGAGGGAGGGTGGGGGCGGGGAGGGGCGGGGGCAGGATGGGAGAGGGGAAAGTACGGTACTGGTGTGCAAAACTGGTAGTGCATGACGGTCGGAATGGCCTGGAAGGAGGGCTAGGGGCATGCGGAGGAGGAGGGGGAGGAGGGGGAAGCCATGGGGCTGTCTGGTGCGTGACGGCGAGCTGACGAGGAGGTGGTCAGGATGTGTGTAAGGTCAGCAGTAGCAGCAGCTCCGTTGCACCCTAGTCCGCTTCCCAGCACCCGCCATGATGTTGTTGGCGTTCCAACCCGAGTCCCCTCTCCCTCCTCTACCCTCTTAAACCTCCCTGTCCCTCCGATAATAATCAGGCCAAATGCGCAATATGTATCCCTGTTAATCCCTGTCCCTCCCCCCCTCCTCACAGCTGCTGGACCGCATCGTGCGGCGCATCAGCCAGCTGGAGGCGGAGAGGAAGCTGCTGAGGAGGTCGGCAGGTGAGGAGAGGCCGAGGTGAAGAGGAAGAGACTGACGAACCGTGTGACCTGTAGGCTGCACCGTGGGTTGCGTCAGGAGTTCAGGAGGGGGGCAGCATGCGGCCGTTCCGATGCCGTGCCGTACACCATCTCAACCACCACCAATCTCCTTTACAGTATACAATGTCACGTCGTTTTTGCGTCAGCCAAGAAAGTACCCAATCTTGCGGCCGTTACCCCTTGCCTAACCCCACTCCCCTCTTACGCCTCTCCCTCTCTTTTCCTTCATCTCCTCCCCACACTCCCCCTCCCCCCTCCCCAGGTGTGGACCGGCGTGACGCGCTGCGGCTCACCGAGCTGGAGGCCGAGCTGTCGGGGCTGCGGGCGCAGCGGGACGACCTCACAGGCAGGGTGGACAAGCAGCAGAGCGAGGTGGGTGAGCAGGAGCTGGAGGGAGGGAGGGGGAAGGGAGGGAGGGCTGTGAGGATGTAGTGTGGTAGGATGACGGAGGATGGACATGTAGACAGGCTGTTGCGAGTAACTACATAAATGTGTGTTGCCCCACCCGCCCGTGACGGGGCCTGGTCACCCTACCCTACCCCCACCCGCACTCCCACCCACACCCCCACCCGCACTCCTCCCTCCTCCCTCCCCCAGGCTCGCGAGCTGCAGGCCCTCACCAGCGAGCTGGACTCCCTGCACGAGGAGCTGGAGGCGGAGGAGGGCGGCCGCAGCGCAGCAGCCCTGGCGGAGGGGGCGGACCGACCCAAGAGCGACGCGGAGCGCATCCGGGCGGAGCGCGAGCGCAAGCAGCGAAGGGAGCAGCTGCTGGCGAAGCTGCATGCGGCGCAGGTGGGTGGGGTAGTTGGGTGGTTGGGGTTCGAGTTGGGCTGCAGATCAGCCGGGAAAGAGGGCTGAGCGCTGCCGGGGCTCCACGGAAAAAGCTTCTGGGGGGTTTGAGGGCACATGATGTGCCCCTGACGCATCCCAACCCCACCTCGCCCTTTGCCCTCACCATGGTCTGTTCCCCTCCCTCCTACCCACCGCCCCACACAGGAGGCCGCCCGCAAGCGCCGTGCCGCTGCCGAGGCCTCCTCCTCCCGCGGCGCCTCCTCCCTGCATGGCCCGCCCCTCTGCGGCGGCGGGGGCGAGGTGGGCGAGGCGGACATTGCGTCCGTCATCTCCTCCTGGACCGGCATCCCGCTCACCAAGCTGGTGGCCTCGGAGCGGGACTCCCTGCTGAAGCTGGGAGACGAACTGCACAGGTGGGGGAAAAGGAAATGAGAAATGAAGCGGAACAAGCTCCCATGTCCCGACTCTTGCAATGAGCGCATTAGCAGACTCAGCAGGACTCAGCAGGAGGAGGGAGGGGGTGTATGTGCATGGGGGAGGAGGGGGTGTAGCGTGGGGGTTGAGGGCTTGCATGGGTGCGATTGCGTGGCGGGTAGGAGGGTGTGTGTGTGGTGCGGTAGGGGTATCTAGCTGCCGCGTGTTGCACGTGGCCCCATGTGTTTGAAGCAGCGTGTTCAAGCTGCCTGTGTAGGCTCTCCTCTGCGGCTCCTCTCCATCTCTGCACCTTCCCTCACCCCGCCCCCTGCCTCCCTGCCTCCCCTCCTCCCTGCCGCCCAGGCGCATCATCGGCCAGGAGGAGGCGGTGAGTGCGGTGGCGGAGGCCATCCACCGCAGCCGCGCAGGCCTCAAGGACCCCAACGGCCCCATCGCATCCTTCCTCTTCCTGGGACCCACCGGTGCGTGGGGGTTTCTCTCTGACCCCCGTGCTCTGCGCCCCCTCGCTATCCTATCCCTCTCATGCAACTTTCCCTTCCGCTCCCCCTGCTACCCCCCCCCCGCTGCAGGTGTTGGCAAGACGGAGCTGGCCAAGGCGCTTGCCGCCCACCTGTTCAACGCGGGGGACGCCATGGTGCGGCTGGACATGAGCGAGTACATGGAGAAGCACGCGGTGTCGAAACTCATCGGAGCGCCGCCGGGTGAGAGGAGGCAGGGAGAGTGGGGAATAGATAAACTGAGCCGCGGAAACACTGACCCTGACCCTGAGAGTGGGGAGGGGAGAGGTGGAAGGGTAACCCGTGTGGGCATGCTGTGCTGGACTATGGTGGCTTCATAGCACACATGTGTGTGTGTTTCAATACTGGGTCCGATTCTGATGGGTCCACCGACCCCCGGGCCCACAGGCTATGTGGGCTTCGACGAGGGCGGGCAGCTGACGGAGGCCGTACGGCGGCGGCCGTACACTGTGGTCCTGTTCGATGAGGTGGAAAAGGTGAGACACGAACACGTCTTGACACGTCTTGGTTGACCCTTTTCCTATACCGCTGACCTAATTTGCGACCGGCGGTGCACGTCCGGCGGTGCACGTCCCCGTATCCTACCTGCCTTTCCACCTGTCCACAGCCCTCTGCAGCCCTCATGCGCGCCCCGCCCCTTTCTTACCGGTAGCCCAACCACATCTCTCGGCATCCCAAGCCTCTCTCCATCGACCCCTTCTCCCCCGCTCTCCTCCTCCCCCCCTCCTCTCCCCCCCGCCCCCCTCAGGCCCACGTGGACGTGTTCAACCTGCTGCTGCAGCTGCTGGACGACGGCCGCCTGTCGGACTCGCAGGTGAGGGGGAATGGAGTGAGAAGCACAGCCCGACTCATGCAGTGAGCGCAACAGCCGAAACTACCCTAGAGCCAGGTGAAGGGGAGGGCCAACGGGCTGTGAGGGATGATCCACGCCCTATCAGGACACGAGGATGTACGGAGGGTGGGGATTCGTAAAGCCACAGCAGGAGCGACCCTCCTCAACCCTCCTCCACCTGCTGCCCCTCACACCCCCCTGCTCACCCCCCCCTCCTTCCTTCCCTCCCCGGCACAGGGCCGCACCGTGTCCTTCAAGCACACCATCATCATCATGACCTCCAACCTGGGCTCGGGGGAGATCTACCGGGCCACCGCAAACAACGCCAAGCAGCAGCAGAAGCAGGCGGCAGCGGCGGACGGCGGCAGCAGCAGCTTGGTCGCCTCTGACCCGCAGATCAGGGAGCTGGTGATGGATCAGGTAGAGGGGCTGAAGGGGTTTGCCAAGGTGGTGGTGCCGGTAGGGGCTCCAGAGGGTGGTGGCGGTGCGACAAAGGATGCTTCCGTTGAGCCATGCACGCCGCCTCCTTTCCGCCTCCTCTGTGAAGTTCCGCGTTCACCCGACCGCGCCTCCACCACCACGTCACCCCGCTCACCACGCACCCCAACCCTCTTCCTCCTCCCTCCTCCTCCCCCTCCTCCTCCCCCTCACAGGTCCGGCGCCACTTCCCCCCCGAGTTCCTGAACCGAGTGGACGAGTTCATCATCTTCGAGCCGCTCACCGCGCCGCAGATCCGCTCCGTGGTGGGGCTGCGGCTGCGCGGGCTGGTGGGGCGGCTGCGGGAGAAGAAGATCCGGCTGGTGCTGGCGGACTCGGCCATGGACTTCCTGGCAGGTGGGAGGCGAGGGAGGAGGCGGGGGAAGGGAGGAGAGGGAAGGGAGGAGAGGGAAGGGAGGCGTGGGGAAGGGAGGAGGGGAGGAACCCAGTGCCTTTTTGTGTGTTTTGACTGTGGCTGCACTTGATGTAGAACCTGACATGCATCCCTGACGCCCGTCGCGTCCTCTTTGCTGAGCGCGCCCAACACACTTCCGCTTCATTCTGCTGCTCCTCCTCCTCCTCTTCCTTTCCTCCTCCGCCCCGCAGCTAAGGGTTTCGACCCCATCTTCGGCGCCCGCCCCGTCAAACGCGCCATCCAACGCGAGCTGGAGACGCCGCTGGCTCAGGCGCTGCTACGAGGCGAGTTTGAGGAGGACGACAGCTGCTATGTGGCCCTGGCGCCCGGCGGACAGCAACTCAGCCTGCTCCGCGTGCGGCCCGATGAGGAGCTGCCGCCCGTCGCGGATACCCAGCAGCCGCTGCAGCCGCAACAGCAGGGTGGATGCGGCACGGAGGCCGCGGATGGTACCCTGGCTAACGGAGCGGCAACGAAAGGCGGCAACAGGGAGAGCAACGCCACGTCCTCATCGTCAACCTCATCTGCGACCGTGGCAGCAGGCAAGGAGGAGGAGGAGGGCGGTGGTGGAGTGAAGGACGCGAGTGGCAGCAGCAGCGGCAAGGGCAAGGCTGGCTTGGGAGGGAGCGGGCTGCCGCCGCCGCGGAGGGCCCGGTTCGACCCCACACGGGCGCTAAGTGAGAAGGTGGCGCGTGGGGAGGATATTTCGCGCGACGGGGCCGAGGCAAACCGCGACGACTTTTCGTTGCCCACTAGTGCGAACTGAGGCGCGGAAGGGAGCGGAAGGGAGCTGCTGGGATTGTGCGGTTTGAGGGTGCTCTGTCCTTGTGGGCCCGAGGCGCCAGTGCGTCGGTAGTGCAAAGTGGAGGCGGCTATGTGGTGTGGTATGATGTGGTACACATCTTGCGCTCGCGAGCGGGGGACGTGAGTACCTGAATAGTATCTGTTTGAAAACCGGGTTCGTGTGATGTTGCCGGGGAGGTGTGCGCTGTGCTCTCTGGAATGCGGTTCTGGCACCCTCCCTGCTGCATACATTGGAGCTGTAAGAGAGGTCCGGGCATGTTAAGGCAAAGCAGGCGTCAACATGTCGGACCATGTCGGCATGAGAGCACAGCTCGGTCGCTGTGGGGCGGTGCTCCTGCTTTCGTACGCCCCGCACAAACTGCAACATGGGAAAGGCGATTCTGAGGAATTCAACAACACTGCCATAGGTGCTTTACCTACTCGCTGATGGATCGAGGGCCTGCTGAGAAAGGTCGCACGCGGAGGAGGAATCGCCGTATATCCTGTTAGAAGATCTGGATAGCGGAGGGTAAAAGGCAAACATGTTTCGCGGCTCGTTCGAGTGGCTTTGCACCCAATAGCGTATAATCCTATTTCACACGCTTTGACACTACAACTGTCGTACGAATCCGTACGGCAGTTGCAGCCTGAACCCGATATAACCCCCGAAATGGGATCCTCGCCATCTGGATTAAGCCTTTTCGCGCTGTTACAGACACGATCCATTGCATGACTAACAGGCACAACGGCATTCCATACAAATACCGCCTCATACCGTGCAAGAATGATAGTTGCTTAAATTGAAATACCGCTAGTCCATTATCGTACATAGTCATCGAACCAGTCGCAAAAAATCCATACATAACTGCAAAACCGTGTCCCTTTCAGCATACCGTTGTTAAGCCCGGGGTTGCAAAGAGCAGTCATAGCATGCACTCTTTGGTGCGCGGAGCATTGGGTAGATACAAAAAGGTGTGTCCATGGGAGCGCTGAATGCTAAGAAGCACACTATTAGTGCACACACAAGCATGGAAAACCATCTCAAGTAAGCAACAAGCGCCCGAGGGTCGTCAGGCGTGCCATACGTAGAGCCCTTTCAGTCCTCAGTACGGAAGCGAACCATCCCTTAGGCGATAGTCAAAGAGGTCAAAACCCACGCAGTACTTAGGTGTCATCTCAATGCTTCAATTGCGGATATAACCCCCTGGGGCGCCGAATGTGGGGAATATGTATACATGTTTATCGATGTTACGCACGTATAGAAGTAACGGCATTATTGTTGCCGTCATGCATTACCACATAGTTCCATAAAACCCTTCCTAAGCAAGCAGCCTGCGCTGGAGAAATAGAAACCATTCATCCTGCCCTGCACACGCCTCCACCGTGGTATGGTTTCCATCCATTCACAGCCGGCCTCTACCGTGCATCCAGACGTCCATCAAAGGCAAATCTCCAAGGATAACAAATGGAAAGGGCATCACTGTAGCAAAAACACAACATCACAACCAAACTTCAGACGTTTCCAGGTTTTGCACTGAACAGCAAAGTTGCACTCCTGCTCCCAGTAAGGCACCCGCCGCACGTGCACGTTACAAACCAACGCACCCTGTTTCTTGTTAGTCAGTTCTTAAGGCTCCATCTTAAATGGCAGCGACGATCAAAACACATCAGGGGAACCATTCAGCGGATCAACTTGTCACCCCAGGCATACGACAGCTCACGCTCGATCAACCTAGCTAAGCGATGCACCGGGTATGTAGCAGCAGCGCGGCCCGGCTTCTGAGCCACAAAGAAGGCCACATTCGGAACCGGTGCAATCTGCAATGCGTTAGATTTACTGCCCCCAACAGTACCGGTAATCCCAGTGCGTGCGTACAAACGGTAAGCAGGCTTTACCTTCCGACAACCCCGCAGTTCCCCACACTTTGGTGTGTCATGCACAACAGTTCAAACATGCCGACGTGCGCCCCCAATGCTGCTTAGTAAGGCCATTGCTGCCTGGCCTATTTGTTATCAAAGCATCCCCGCTCCTGTAACGTGGTCAAATGCGCACAGTGAAAAGCCATTCTATGCCCCTTCCAGCCGAATAGCAAGGCGTGGGATGATTGTCGTAGTTCCCTCCACTAGCAGTAGCAGATGCACATAACAGCATATGTACACCTACGATGCGCATACCCCTTGTAATGCATGGCGGCTAGACCAATCGTGTAACCCCCAGCATAAAACCTTCGGACCGAGCCGCCCGACCCAGGAGACTCGATGATGCTACAACACCTGCGACCTGTAACCCACATTTATACATACTACACAAAAGACACCAACAATCATCATCCACATTTGTATCCCCACCCTGCTGTGCGCCCAAGCTTCTTCCAACCCATGCCCTTGCTTCAATCGATGCCGCCCAAGCACCGCCTAACTAAAGGCCCTCCGACCGGCAGGTGGGTCCAACATGCTATCTTCTTCCCCCAAACCATCTTCTTTCCCCACGGGGCGCATGCCAGTAGCCCTTGAGGACTGAGTGAAGAACCGTCGCATTTGCCTTGCCGTACTGGCAGCCGCCGCCGCCGTGTACGATTGCGATTGTGTGCCCCTGCTGCCAGCCAGCGGCCCACCGCTGGCCACTGCAACGGCCCCATCCTGCTGCTGAGGATTAATTCTGTGAGCAGCGGAAAGCGTTCGCTGACTAGTGCTGTTGACGACGACGGCCCCCGGAGCGGCTGGCGAGGCGCTGCTACTGAGACTACTGCTACAATGTACGGTGGACGGTAGCGGGCAGCCAGGCAGGAGCATGTTGCCCTCTACAGCAGCAGCAGCAGCAGCGTCATCGTAATCAGAGGGACTCTGCACCAGGTCTCGTACGGCAGCAGCTGTACGACCGATACATCCGCCGTCTTCACCACCATCCCCGCCGCCGCCGCTGTTGCTGCTGCTGTCGGACTGTCCGCCGCTGTATCTGTCATTATGGCTGCCGTACCGCTGCACAGCATTCGTACGAACTCTCCACCTGCTGATAACCTCCTCACGCTGACTTGCCTGCGCAGCAGACCCCGCCGCCCTTACCGCGGCTGTTCTGTTCACTGCTCCAACCGTAAAACTCCTGGCGGCATCCGCGGGGAATTGTCGACCTGTAGCACTGGCGGCGGATGTAGCAACGGCGCCACCACTGCCGAGCTGGCTCCGCATGTTGGCCACGGAGTGCCCTCGAAGCAAAGTCAATGCGGTCGTGAACGGCGACGCACGGATCCGGCTGGCGACGGCGGCGGCGCGATCTGGATCGCAATCTCTCCTTGCACAGCCGTACGACAACTCCTGCCGCAGGGTCAGGGTCTGCGAGAGCACGGCGGATATACTTGCCAGCGAGATCCCACGGCTGACTGGCGGCTGAAGCGTGAGAACTTCACTGCTGCAAGAACTCGTCGGAGAGTCGGGTGAAGAGGTTGGCGCGTTGACCACCGGTACACCCGCGTTTCTAGAAACAGCCAACGGCGCAAAGGATACTTGTCCGTTGGCGCCGCCCGCACTGCTACGCTCTGTTCCGAGAGTTACCTGTGGAGAAGGCGGCTGTTCCAAGCCACTGCCGCCGCCGCCGACAGCTGCTGTGGGACCTTGCCGGAACTGGAATTGCCCACGTTGATTTGCTGCCGTACTGCGGCTGTGACGGGATCGCAATTGAACTGTAGTCGTACTGTCTTCACCGCTTTTTTCTTCGTCGTCAACATAATCTTCAACGCCTTCGGCGCCGGTCCCGCGCTTACGGCATGCATGACTGATAAGCGTGCGTTCTGAGCAGAATTGTCTGCCTAGATGGCTGCGGCCGGCAGCACCGCTGCCGAAACTGCTTGTGGTCTTCAGGATTGGCTTGATAGTGGTGACAGTTGCGCTGGCGGCTGGGACGTCAACAATGGCGCCTTTGCCGAGTCCAGGCGCAGCGCGGGATGTGATGGATTGGCTGCTGCTCCGGGGTTCAAGGAAGCGGTTGTGAGTGGACGCGGGTGCACCGGGAGAAAGGCGTTCGGTCGAAGACATTCCGAAAGTTGACACACCTTCACCCATTCTGGGCGTAACAGAGGTGGCGGCAACAATGGGCTGTAGCAAACCAACCGCCGCGGCAAATGGCGACGCCCGGATGCGTTGGGAACGCGCCTGCGCTGCCGCCGCCATCACCATCGACTCTGCCCCGCCGCCGCTGGCCTTGCGTTGTAGGGCGCATGCTTGTACGGTGTCCAATGCCCGTTGCACGGTGTACGACAGATTCGCGTATGAAGTATTGCCATGTCTGGACCGTTGCGCGAAGCTCTGAGCCCGGGACTCCGTCGCGCGCCAAGGGCAGTCGTCCACGTCAACATCCGCCGGAGACTCGTCGTCGCGGCTGTCGCTGCCGTCACCTTCGCTGCCGTCATTGCTGCTGTCGTCAGCAACGTCTCTGTCGCTGCCGCCACTTAGAGGGGTCCCCAGCTCTTCCCTCTGCTGTAACTGCTGTTGAACCAATTTCTCAACGTCACTAAACCTGCTGACCAAACGCTCCGTGGCACCAACGCCATCGCCTTCCACATCCCCAATGTCTTCCTCGTCATTGCTGTTGCCATAGCCGCCGTCGTACCCCACGGCTGCAGCACCTGGCTCCAGTGCACGCGAAGCGGCAGCTGCCGTTGACGACGACGATGACCGGTGGGCACTCGGCTTGTCCCGGCTCGTACTTGCCATGCTGGGGCCTCTCATGTACGATGGCACAGTGACCCGTGGGTCACGGGTAGCAACCTCGTCATTGCCAGGGCCTTGTATGCAGAGCATCAGCAATCCGCGAAGGAAACCTAATAGACGAGCGCCGATAGATCCACCTCCGTCTGTCGTGGTGCTTACACCTGCCGTATCTTCCATTAGCACTGCTTCTGCAACCGCTGTGCCCACTACTGCTGCTGCCCCAGCGGCAGCAGTGACGGTGGTCCTGGGAAAGGCGGCGGCGGCGCTGCCGGCAAGATGGCTGTTCTGCCCCAACGGGCCAAGCCTGCCAGAGGCAGCGGGCAAACAAACGATGGCATTGCCGCCGCCGCTGCCTTCGCCGCCGCCCTGCGGCGGCGGAGCCACATGACTCAGACACATCAGTGCAGGTTTCTTGGAGGGGCCGCTTGCGACGACTGACACAGAGGCACTGAATCGGGCTGGACCGCAGACCCTCTTTTGTGGCGCACCGCCGTCGCCATCCCTCGGAACATCAACAAGTCGCCCGCCCCTTCTCGCTCTCCGGACCAGGCGTCGCCGACACGCACACCACTCACCCCAGGTTTCTGCTGCTGCTGCTGCGCGTCCTTCCCTCGGTCTGCTAAACCCTCCTCCCCTTTAAGCTGCCGACTGCTGTTATTGTCCTGAGAGAGGTGCCGCGGCTCGAGTAGGCTTTGCCTCGGCTCCTGACGCGGCTCTAGCAGGCTTGGCCGCGGCTCGGCTTGGTTTTGTCGGGGCTCTAGGAGGTTCTGCTTGGGTCGAAGGTTTTGCGGCTGTTGCGGCATCAAGTGCTGAAGGTGTCGCGGGTAATGAGGATGAACTTGGTGCGCTCGGGTGGGTGCGAGGAGGGACAGCCGGGGAGCTCGGAAGGGGTTGGCGGCGGCGGCAGCAGCTCCGCGCAGCATCTCCCGACTCTCGCTGCCCGTGCCGTTGCCGCCAGAAAAGGACGAGGGCGCGCTGTTGCCGCCGCCGCCCCATGACCCCCGGTTAAGCGCCTGGAACCGGTACACCGCGGCGGGGCGAGGAGTGAGGCGTGGGGGTACCCCTGGTGGCGTGCTTTGGCGTCCGGCTTCCTGCCAGTCCTCTGGAAAATCGTCGGATTCGGGGAAGTCCTCTGGGTTTGTGGCCGCCGCCGCTGTCGCAGCCACGGTGGCGGCGGCGGTGGCGACGCTGATACTGCCGCCTCCGCCAGCGGCCTTTGGGCCATTGGTCTCCGGACCGGCGTCCGTAACGTTAGCTTGTCGTTCCGCAGCATTACCACCGCCGGTACCGGCGCTGCCACCAGGCCTGCCAGCTACAGTGTTACCACCGGCACCGGCGCTGCCACCGGCGCCGGCGCTAGGCCTGCCGGCTCCAACATTGCCCTTGCCGCCGCCCTTATCTTCATCGTCGCTGTAGCAGCTACCGTCGTCGCTCCCAAACATAAGGCAAAGTGAGCCAGAGCCGGTTCGTCCTGGTACGGCCATACCCCGCGACGGCGGCGTTGGCGGCGCCGGAGGCGAGGGCTGCACCCTGGATTCAGCAGCAGCTGCAGCGGCAGCGGCGGCAGCAGCATTGCGCTCAGCTTCCGCCATGGCCAACGCAAGTGCCGCTAAACGGCTTTTTCCGGCGCCGCCGCTGTTTGGGCCGGCGACTAATTCGCACAGCTCGTTGGGGTTGATACGCCCTGTTTTTAGCGCCTGCAAAATCTGCGCTGGAGCCCCCATTGCATCCAGGAAGGGTAAATCCCCCATCGCCGGCGGTACAAGTCCCGACGCTGACATTTTGACCGATACCTCCGTCCGTGTTTCCAGCGTCGTACTGGACTTTTGTACATTGCCGTTAGCGGTTTGCAACAACCGCTCTTTGCCCCCACCGACAGCGACAATGGCGCCACCACCACCACCGCCAGCCTGTCGTCGGTCCTCCGCGTAGTTCGGGAGCGGCGCTTGCTGTAGTTGCTGCTGCTGCTGCTGCGGTGATGGCCGCTGGGGCTGCTTCTGCTGCTCCTCGTACTCCTCATCGCTGTTTTCAGGCGGCAACCAAAGGGTGTCTGGAGAAAAGCGAATTCGCTTCTTTTGCGCTGGCTTGGCTGTTTGGGCTTTGCCAGCGGCGTTTGCGGCGCTGCCCCGTAGGATGGAGCGCTGCGGAGGAAGAGTTTCACCATGGGTGCATGGGAAGGCACATGAAGTCAGAGGGGCCACTGCAGATAGCGAATTGGGGGAGGAGGCTGGCAGCCATGCATAGGGCCTTTCACAAGGCTGAACAAACCGCATCACGAGTCGTAACGATGCCAACCTGCTGCTCTTACCTGCATGCGTGCGCGTGCGTGCGGGTATGCAGGGCGAGACTAGCAGTTGGCAAAAGCGACTAGGGCAAGTGGGTATGAACCCAATTGCTATGTAGGGTAAGTGGGAAACCCGATGCCAGCTAGCGCACCGTGGGCCGTCGGGTCTTCAGGTGTGTCCGTAGCTTAGATGGCCGGCCGTCAATTAAGATGTATTGCGTCCGCACTCGCATGCGGAATCCGGAGCAGAAAAATGACCGAAACGTGCAGCCCTTTGGCTCCACCTGCATGAAGCGAAAGGGAGCCCCACGGTGATTACTCACGCACACAAATACTTTGTATTTGTGCAAATTACAATATTTGGAATGCTGGATGGGCGTACAATGCACAACATACCGCCGCGGGTGCACGTGCTGAAGCCTATCACTCACCGGCATCCCCACAAGATCCTCATAGCCGCCCTCCGGGCCACCACGACCCAGTCCTGGGGCGGCCCCACCTCGCAGGGCTGGGTAAGTTTGGTTGGTACTGTCCATGGGCATACCAAAACACGAAGCGAACGCATGACAGCCGCAGTCTGCCGCGTCATCCTGCAGGCAAACAGGAATTTGCAGCGCTTTCAATTAAAGCAAGGATGGAAGAAAGTCTGCGGCGCACTGAAGAAGGCATTGCAACAAAAACTTGATGTTAAACCAGTGCGAGCAAGGCTATAGCCATAGTTGGCTGGCGCAGGAGTGGATTAGAATAGCATATATGTGTGACCCCCGCAAAGACTAAACGCGCCCCATACGCGCAGTTGGCTTTGGTAGAACGCCGCGGCCATGTAGAAACATTGCGATACCACGAGCCTAAAAGTAATCGCGTTTTTAAAGCCGCATAGTCCAAAACCTAAGCTTAACAACTATTAACTGCTAATATTGCACCCAACACCGGTATAAGCGCCCCGGGCACCTAACCATCAGACGGATAGGAACGGCTAGTCGAAACCGGCAATCCACCAATCGAGCTGCGAGATTATAGATTCTTAACATTCATAATATAGTTAATATTAATGGTACTAAAGTTGGGGTGTTTTCGCCTCCTCGCTGCTACAAGCTTCCAACGGTCACCTCACCTGGAGGACATTGGACGCGGCCTGGACCTTGACTTCACGATTGCTGTCAGTTTCACCATTTGCTTCTGCAAAATTCTGCCATCGAAGTCGTCGGCGATTTAACAGCACACTGTCGCCCCTCACGCCAACGTTGTCGAAGGTCTTCTGGGCCTTTATTGTTATGCTGTCCTTCGATCTAAGTTCCTAGAGGAGGGAAACGGAAGGGAAAACGGGGCCAAAAAAGAAACTTGTCATGCTGCTGTCGCAACCAGTTCTTGCGAGACAGCTAAGGCGACAACAAATATATTTCTTCAAAGTACATCCTTATTGATAATAATGGCTGAAAAGGACTGGAACAGTGTTACGTCGGTCCAGACGACTCACCGAGTAGCTCGAATCCGTCCCTTCCACAGACTTGCCCTTTTTCCACATGGTACACGTTGAAGATAGCTACTGTATAATAGTTAGATGTTGTCATAGCATTGGAAAGCTCGGCGAAGGGAGGGCAAGCGTTGCCATGGCTCTGAGAGGGCAAATGTTGTCGCCATAAGAAATTCGCCACTGCCACTCCATTTGACCAAAGCATAAAGCAAACGTTTATCTTCCAAGAAGACGTATGCGCCTGTTACCCAACGCTACCGCACCTAGTAGCGTTCCGTACTGCAGTAGAAATGAGGATTGCAAGAGATGCCTGTAATTATACACGTACATGTCATACTTAAGAAAACATATACATGTCTCTAACACGTTCATCAGCGCTAAAATTTACTGTCGGCTTTAGGACGCTCACTTTTGGATGTCAAGTTCTGCAAATTTGTAGACCAGGTCCTTAGCCAGTTCATATGCCTAATGACATCGTATTGCCTCTTTTGCTTATATCTACTTACCTCACACTATCATTATGAAAACCAGCGCATGCCTGTTGTAGCCAATGTCCAGACAGTACAGCTCTTCTCGAACTGTCATCCCCGCAGGCAGATTTGTTATTAGCTAACATATTCTGTATACTTCCATTAATGGTGACTACAAGTGCAAAGTTGCACCGACCTGGTCTCGACCTAACCGCTATCTAGCTACCAACCTTGCTATATTCAGGGATGCCTGGCCACAAAGAGCTAGCGAAGGGGCACTTCAACCATTGGCTGTTCCAATTAGTGGCTGAAATGACCCCCCTGCAGCTGGGCTTGTGGCAGAAATGGTCCCGGTGGCCATGACAGGTGTTGCAAGGCGGAAGAAGAGTCTTTTGTCCGACAGATGCGAATCGCAAGGAGACCTGCTTGACTGGTTACAAGCACCCACGTAATTCGAAATGCTGCCAGAAGGGAGGGGGCCTGAATCCCTGATACATAACGGCTCCTTGAAAACCATCCTTGAAGTAACACGAAGGAAACCAGTGTGAAACCAAAAACAATACCGACAGAGACGGCACAGTAAAGGACAGCTTGGTCAATAACGCCCACCGCCTAGCACAATTTGCGAGATACGGTACCCAGGGCTCAACAAGGAATAAGTTGCCTATGTGCACGCCTCCAGCATCTGGCGAAAGCAAATCCATCTCGGATCCTAGTCAGCTAACAAAATGGGACCCTCTCTCAAGCGCTTATGACAGCGCCGTCAAGTAAACCTGCCCGCAAAGCCATGTAACCCTACGACTGCCGCTCACACTGCGTCCCTTCATCAGCGCCTGAATGCGTCTGCTTTTCAAGCGGCCAGATGCACGTCGGAACCTGCAAAATAGTCCATATTGACTGCAAAAGCGGTCGCATCCTGTCGCATACATTAGGAAGAACAGTGATACATTAAGACCTAACGGCCCTGGACTGTTGTCCACATCTGGAATGTGCAGTGAAGGATAGGAGTGCCTTAATAGGGCCATACAACAGCCGTTTCGGCCATCTAGGTTCCTCCTGCCCACGCCCATCCAAGTAATCGCCCGATCAGTACAGCACTACAGCCTACATAACGTAGTGCCAGGAACGACGTTACCGCAGCAACATGCGGCGAGAGGACACAGACGGAGAGGCACTCTCCGAAGCATCGGACTGAGCCGAAGCATCGCCTCCATAAGAGCCGCTGCCGCCATAGGGGCCGCCATAGGGAGGGGGCGAGTAGCTCTGGGGCGGGTAGAGGCCGTAGCTGGGACCATACGCGGGCGCTGGCGGTGGCGGCGCAAGACGGGGCAAAATGACGTTGGGGAACGGCGGCGGGCTCAAAGGGGAAGACTCGGGGAGGACTGGCATTGGGAAGGATGCCAGGAGGGAAAGGAGGAACAAGCCACATGTCAGAGGAGTAGAAATGGGCTTGGCAAGCTTGTCGGCTAAGCAGTGGAGGTGTGGAACCCCACGTGCCACTGGAGGTATGCTGGGGAGGACTGACATGCCCATGGCTGTTCGTGCGGGTTTGACACGGAATTGGAGATGTGGCCAGAGGGCGGTTGATGTTGCTCCTATGGACTAGCAGCAGGTAAATTGCGGGGACACTTCAGCAGGTGAGGCAGTGTGGACCCACCTGGCATTTCAGGTGACTGCCCACAGTTGGGGTCCTCACATGGCGCAACGCTGGATGGCGGAAGCTGGTCTGGTGGATAGTCGCCCGGGGGAGGAAAGTCGTCCGATGGTGGAGGCGCCTGCAAGCGATAACGAACGAGTATTGGAGCAGTTGTTTAACGAAATGGTACGCAGCAGCGGGCATGACGTATGAACACTTGTCACGCATTACTCGCACATACGCATAGTGACGGGTGAGGATACCGACGATGGCCCTAACCTAAGCAGTCAAAAGGGGTGGAGATCATCCAAGTGATGTATCACAGACTTACCATGTCAACCGGCGGTGGTGGCGACTTTTTGGACTGCGCCAGGGGCACATGAAGTGCCAGCAGACCGACAAGAAGAGCAACCGCAATTGTACTCGAGGATGCCATGTTAGCGGTTGGCCGAAAGAATGAACCTCAAGCCTCCAAGAGCCAAACTCTTTGGAAGTGTGACAGGGCTGATGTTGGCACCGCTGTCCGCTTCCAACCTGTGGCTGGTGTCAGAAGAGAACAAGTCACCTCGGCAGCTGCTCGGCAGCAGCAAGCGTAATAACCGCAAACGACGGCTCCTTAACCGTGATACCCGAAACACAAATATAAGCAACTACAAATGGAGTACATGTTATACAAGCTGCCGGAGGCCACACGTTGCTCTGCCGTTTTCAAGACTTTCGAGCAACAGTAGCATTCAAGCTACCCAGTATCGTGTCATAACGTCAATAAGCCGTATTGCATTTTGTAGGTAAAGAGGTATATCAGAGATGGAGGCATCAATTGCTTACCTTGGAAGTAAGGGACTATGATTTTTACTCCCTGCGTAATGGCGGTTTGCCACTTGCCAACGTCACAGGCAAGCTGGCTAAACTTTTTGTGCGGGGAAGGGCCTTCAACAAGGGATTTAATGCCAGCGGCGAAGAAGATGCAGTACAGCTATGTTTTTGGCGGGCGCAATTTGTGATGCGACACTGGGAATCCAAGAATGGTTGTGCATACATGTACTCGTTCCGGACTGGGTACGTTGCGTCTTTCATGTTTATGCGAACCTAACGGTGTCTGACATCGTGAGAGGAAAACGAGAAGGGAAACCTTACATACCGAGGCTTGATAACGCACGTTGCTTTCACAATTTGCATAAAAGCACCTTACGCCCCAAGGAAACCTTCTTTCCCGAAGAGGCTGAGCAAGCGACATGTACGAACGCAACTTTTTACCCAGCAAAGAAGCACGACGTGTGCAGTGGACGTCTTAAAGTGTCAGAGTGTAGTCCTTCCTAAACGAAAAACGCTGGCATGAGAACGTTCTTGGCTCGTAGCTTCGTGGCTTCACGAACTCAGCTATCCCAGTCAGATGCGCAGTCTGCGTCAGCGGGTGATTGCAAGTGTTGCAAAGGCCGAACGTTTATATAAATTTCTTATTATCAACGTACCCTAAGGAACGCCCTATTGCGTGATAATGCTCTAATGCTGTAGTATACTGGGCATGTAGGGATAGATGTGAAGCAAAAGCGGCGGCAAGCTCCTTCACTAAATAAGAACAAACCTTTCAGCTCTGCACTTTCCCTCTGTACGGGTTACCCTTGATGCCATGGTGGCCCCGTCCGAACGAACACATCCTTACAATGGGTTTGCATCTGTAATTTCCGCTTATTTTGCAAGCGAATTCCCTAATCCCCAATTAACCCATGAACCTACACGCCTGCTAAGGATTGTATCATTCTTAAAACCCACACATCGGCGGGCAGGGGGGCGCACATGCCTGGCCTTCATATCATCCCTGCCTTATTGAAGTGTGCAAAGTGTGGAACCCTGTCGTCTACCTCAAGTTTGCAGGCAGCAACGGCATGCTTGCGCCACCATTTCCCTCGACGCCACTCATCACCCCAACACCTGTGTGGCTGTGTGCAAGAACCACTGTGCATTCCGTGCCCTGTGCGGCTGTATGCCAGGAGCACTGTGCCCATCTTTACCGCTGGTTGCAAGATTTACAACCCTTGCAGCCTGGCCGTCCGGGTCATGTGTAGATACTCCTTTATGCCCGCATGCACCATATCCCTTTCCCTGGGGACCACGGAAGATTAATCCTTACTTGTACCCCTACTGCATAACGACCGAAACCGTCCGGCTTTCATGCGCCCTCAATTCTTCGAAAATCTCCACCTCCCCGACTTATCGTTTAGCCACCTCCACCAAACCCCGGCTGCCCATTCGTAACCTGAATCGCTCAATTCGGTTATGCGCTTACCCAGCCCTCGTGGCTAGAGATCACCTATTGCCCGTATGTTCGGTTGTCCGGTATATGGAGGACGCGGGAACCGGCTATCACTACAGCGACCGCCAATCCCCATAGCTCCGCCGCGGTGAGGTGCTTGACCGAGCTGGAGTCGTGCCGACCCGGGGGTCACCCAGCTGCCCCTTCCCTGCTGATTCTGTGCCATGATTGGCTACACTCCCCTCTCCTCCCCCTTCAAGCCGCCGGCGCCAGTCGCCGTGAGGGGAAGCGGCACGAGTGGGCTTAGAGGGGGTGGGCAGTGCCGTTGGGTTAGTTGAAGCGGTTGGTGTGGTTGGAGCGGTTGGGGAGGAGGTAGTGCTAGTGGGCTGCGAGGGCTGCTGGGGAGTCGGGGTGGCAATGGAGGCGGCGACGGAGTTGATTGCCTCCATATCCTCCTCAGCGGCCTGGGACGGGGCGGTGGTTACGGCAGCGGTGGCGGTAATGGTACCTTACTGGGCGTAAGGGGCTAAGGCAATATTATGGGGGAGGTAAAAGAGAGGATGCGTGTGCCGCATGTGTTGCGTGTTGCTTGGAGGTCGCGGACTGCAGCCAAGAAGGCTTCCAAGCTCCTACAATTCTCGCAAAAGCCGTGTGCCACTAGCGTGTCACCCAACCCCGGCCGCCTTTACATCTACCACCTTTTCCCCGCCAGCTATCTACTGCGATACCTAGGAGGTAGGAGCTTGGACAGACAGTCAGGCAGACACTTACGCAGGAACTTTGTCGACGTCCCACGATACACATCCTTACCATCAAACCCGCGAGGACACGCACGTGTCCATTATTCCCCCCCCCCCATGCTTCCCCCCCTCCCCCGCCTCACCCTCAGCTCATCCACCAGCCGCTCCTGCGCCTGCTGCGCCGACACCCCGCCCCGCCGCATCACCTGCAGGCTCTGCCGTACAGCCCGCAACGCACTCCGGCCCGCAGCCGCCTTGAGGCTGGGGTGGTAGTGGGGGGCGGGGGGGTATGGTGTAAAGAGGGAGAAACCAACAAGATGTAGGGTGGAGGTAGGGTGGTGGCGGCGTGGTAAGAGGTGTAAACGGTTGATGTGGGGCGTGGAAAAGGATGACGATGGCCGGCAGCAACAGCAACAGTGAGAGCACAACGAAATTCGCACAACGAAGTTCGTACAGAAGTTTAACGTTGGATGTCACAATTGGGACGTGGTAGGGAGGGTTCACTGGGCGTCTCATCGGACCCCGTCAGCATGCGCACGAGTATCATACCGGCTTCTCCACAACAACATGATTTCACACAGCACCCTGAACACTGTTCTACTCCACGCACCGGTACTGCTTCGCCAGAGCCGCCATGCGCTGCTCGTGCTCTTGCCGTACTTGCTGCACCACCACCGCATCATCGCTTCTTACGCCCATGGGTCGTAGCTGTTGTTGGCTGTTGTTCCGGAGCTGTGATATCATTTGGTTGGCGCGGCTCAAGCGCTCTTGAAGCTCAGAAATCTGGTTGCGGTTTAAAACAATGAACGACGTGTCCACGAAGCGGGATGTGGTTAACACAGTAAGCAAATGTGCCTCGTGCTACACGATACGCAAGCACTGCGACAGTGGTAAACCAAACACATGCACGCTATCCGCGCAGGCTCGTCCCCCGGCTAGCACTGGAAGGCTTGCAGGACGCTTTCCAAACGGACTGCCTGAACGACTATCCGCATTGTGTTTTATGGCGGCCTGCCCCTCCTTCCACAATGCCGTTTTCCTACTTGCCTACGCACCGGGTTTACTTATAAACCTCCCTACCATTCTCTCGCCGCCCCGGTCCCCTTGCACTCTTCCTTGGAACCCCCCGCCCTGCTGCTCACCTGCTCCCGGCTTGCCGCCTCCGACTGCTGCAGCTGCGCGCGCAGAGCGGCCACCTCAGCAGCGGAACCAGAGGAGGAGGTGGCCTGAGGGCAACGGTGGTGCAGGGTGGGAGGGGGCGCGGCGATGAACACCCGCTATCTTCATCCCCGTCCCGCTGTCCCCTTCTACCCTCTCTTTCTCTTCATGTCACGCTACCTCCACCTCCCCCTTCTATCCCACTACTGTCCCACAGCTATCCCTCCCCGGCACCCTGCTCCCCGCCTCACCCTCTCCGCCGCCTCCCGCCGCCTCGCCGCCGCCTGCTCGCCCATCTGGGTGTTCAGGCCGGCGTAACGCTCCTCCGAGCGCTGCGGGGGGGGGGGCGGGAGGGTGGAGGGCGAGTGGTGGTGGGGAGGAATGGAGGAATGGGGATGCGGAGAACAGACGGATTGGGCAACCAGGGGGTTGGAAGGCAGGGAGGTCGGGGAAAATGGAAAGAAAGCAGTGCAAGACCCATTCCCCAACGACAGCTGCCTCCACGCACACCCGTTTCCTCCCCATCCCTGGCGCACCCATGAGCCCTAACAGTTCCCTACACGGCGCACGACCTCATCCCCACGTGTCCCCTGCCCCCTGCCCAGCTGCTCACCCTCAGCTGCTCCTGCAGGCTTGCGGCCCGCGCCTCCAGCTCAGCCACCCTCCGACTCTCAGCAGCAGCCTCCCCGGCTGAGGGCCGCTGCCGCTCCTATGGCCGGGGGGAAACGGCCGGCAGCAGGTAGGGGGCTCCTAGGATTCTTAAGCCATTTTTGTCAGTGGGCGGCGATGTGGGGTACACATGACTTGGGCTCAATGTATAGAACAGATAGTGCGACAAGGGAAGGACACTCTTCCCAGTACTCCGGCCATACACCCCCCAGCCGCTCCCTCCTGCTGCACACATGGCCTCTCCCCACCCCCACCCCCTGCTCCCCGGTCCCGCACCCTCTTGAGTCGGTCCACCGCCTCCCCCGCCTCCGCCAGCCGCCGCTGCAGCGCCGCCACCGTGTCTCGGTAGCCCGCCAGCGCCTCCGCCGCCTCCTCCAGCTCGGCCTGGTAGCCCGCCTCCGCGGCGTCCCAGCGGGCAGTCTGGGGAGGGAATACAGTTCAATCCATATGGGCGCAGGCGAATGGGAAAGGAGAGGGAGAGGGAGAGGGAGAGGCAGGGGGCCGGGCGAGGAGGTGGGACGGGGGGCAGCAGGGAGAGAGAGCAGAGAAGGAGCGGCAGGGACAGGGAATGCGGTTGGGAATGCAGCCGGTGGGGACGAGGAGGCGCTGCACTGCCCCTACCTTCACTGCCCCTGCGCGCACCACATGCACTGGCCCTCCCCCCCCCCACACACACCTGCTCCTGCATCTGCCGCCGCGTGTCTTCGTACTTCTGGCTGACGGCCGCCAGCTGCTCCGACGCCACCTCGAACTCACGACCCATGGAAGCCAACTGGAGCTGCAGAAGAAGAGGTGCAAAAGCACAACAGGTCGGTGCCAATTCAGGCAAGGTTACATTCTTACATACAATTTCATTACCGTTTCTGCCCCCCTCGCCCCCTCACCACCCTATATCTATCCCATCCCAGCGATTCCGTGCCCCCACTCGCTTCCCTGCCTTCTCCCACCACCCCTTCCTCCGCCCCACCTGCGCCTGCTCGTACATGCCCCGCATGCTGCCCAGCTCCTCCCTTGCGCCGTTGTACTGGTCCAGCAGCGCCGACAGCTCGCTGCTCAGCTCGTCCAGCAGCCCCACGCGGGATTCCAGGGAGGGCAGCACGGCGAGCTGGGAGGACTGGGCGGAGAGCTGGGGATGGGAGGGGGTGGGGTGGGTTGGTGAAATTAAGGGAACTGACGAGCTGTATGACGAGGCTTCACCGTGGGTTGGGTGGGGGTGGGCTGGGTGGTGAGGAGTGGGAGTGCGAATGAAGGCCAGAGGAGGAGTGGTGTAAGGAGCCGGCCCGGTGCTCTACCTGCCCCTAGTTCCCCACCCACCCAGCTCCACCTGCTCTTGCGCCGCCCTCAGCTGCCGCCTCAGGTCGTCCAGTTCCGAGCGAGCAACTGCCAGAGCAGACTGGGTGGAGGATAGCTGCGAAGGGAGGGAGGGAGGGAGTGAAAAGAAAAGGAGTTATCAACGGGAATGGAAGGGGAATAACGGCAGGGCAGCAGATGGTGCACCGACCTTTCGTGATCTTCCACCAACCAAACTTATAAACCTGTTTTTTTAGTCACACCGCCAGCAATACCCTCCACCTACTCCACCTATTCCCGGTACCGCTAGGCTGGTTTAATGCTTGGTTTGCCAGCCGGCAGTCATTGTAGACTTCTAGCCGGTTTGCCCTTGCCTTGCCCACCTGCTCCTCCAGCTGCCGCTGCCGCTCCCGCGCCGCCCCCAGCTCCGCCCGCCCCTCCTCCAGCTGGCCGGACAGCCGCTCGGCCTCGGAGCGAGAGGACCTGCGGAGGGGCGGAGAGAAGGGAATAAAGAGGAGAGGAAATGAGCTGCCGTTAGCCGTGTTACATGTGGGCTCCACCATGAGGGGGGTGAGTGTGAGGAGGGCTGGTGAGAGTGGCCCCGGAGTGGCCGCCGTCCCCTCCCCCGTTGGCGTTGCGTTGGTGAGGGGGACGGAGAGCGCGGGGCTGGGTTGAGGTGGCGGCCGGGCAAAGGTAGGATGGGCAGAGAGAGAGGGGCAGGAGCCAGGGAATACAAGGCAAACACGCAGGTAGAGAGAGACGATGCCGAGCCCCCTGCCGCTGCCCCTTGCTCTCACTCTATTTCGGCTCGCAGCTGCTCCTCCCGCGCCCGTCCCTCCCGCCGCAGCGCCGCCAGCTGCTCCGCCGCCTCCGCCGCCGCCTGCCGCGCCTCCGCCGCCTGCCCCTCCGCCGCCTCTACCGCCGACGACAGCGCCGCCACCTCCTCGCGAGCTGCCGCCTCCTGCATGCGGTGCATGCGGGGCGGTGCATGTGAGGTGGTGTGGCATCAGTTGCGAGGGTGCGGTTCCTTAGGGGGGGGCATGGAACCAAGCACGGTTGGGGATGGGAGGTACCACCTCCCTGCCCGTGTGCATAGCGCCTCGCCCACCGCCTACACACCACTTACCTGCTCCTTAAGGCGGATCTCAGCCAGCGCGACCTGCAGCCGAAGCGTGTCGAGCTCACGCTGGACAGAGGCTTGGCTGTCCGGTCGAGGGAGGGGAAGGATAAGGAAGGGAAAGGGAGGGAGGCGGAGGAGGATAGGTGTCAAGCAGCAGGAAGCCACGGTACCAACAGGAAAGTGCAGCCCCTAGACAGTGATGAAGATATGCAAGGAGAGCGCCGCACACATGCACAGCGAAACGGATGAAGTCCTGTGCACGGGCGCAACCACCAGCTAACCGCCCAACCACCACCCAACCGCCCAGCCACCAACCCACCGCGTCTCCGTCTCCTCCCTCGCAGCCCGCAACTGCGACCCCCACTGCGCCTCCGCCGCCCTGGCCGCCTCCGCTGCCTCAGCCCGCGCTTGCTCCGCCGCCGCTTCCCGGGCAGCCAACTCATCCTGACGGCACGGAGGGATGGCTACCATGTTTAGGGTATATACCGCGAGAAGAGTTACAAGGGGTTACGCACCTTACGTTGTTGCCAGCAGCCACACCCTCTCCAGCGCCCCATCAGACACAGACACCCAGTTTTCCCACCCCGCACTTCCCTACCAGCACTTCCCCAACCCCCACACCTGGACCACCCCATACACGAAGTACCCATCCTTCCCCACCCTCCTGCATAACCCCACCCACCCCACCCCCGCCAACCTGCATCTCCCTCAGCTCCATCTGCAGCCGCTGCTGCGCCGCGCTGGCCGCCTCCTGCGCCGCCGTCCGCTCCCGAGCCACCAGCACCGCCTTCTCACGCGCCTGCCGCTCGGTCTGCAGCTGGGACTGGGGTGGGGGGCGGGGGTAGAGGGAGGTGGGGGGTGGGGGGTAGGGGGTAGTGTTTATGGGGTTGCACGCAACGGGTTGTGAAAGCGAGGTAGGGGGTCGGTGGGCCGGCAAGCGTGCGGCGGTAGTCCACAACAAGCGAGGACAGGAAAGACAGGAATAAGGGAAGACAGGAATGAGAACGAGCCGCACCATGGTCCCGTCCCTAGCGTTACTGCCGTCCGCATGTCTGAAACTATCAAGCGACCCATACGTCCGTCCCACCCTTCTGGGCGGGCACTTCACCAGCCGTCTGCGCTCCTGCTCCCGCCCTCATCTCCCATAATCCCCCAACCCAACAATCACAGCCCTTCACGTTTACCCCTAAACACACTACCCCGCCTCCCGCCCCCACCCGCACCCTCATGTCTGCCTCCACCGCCTGCGCCCGCTGCTGCAGAGCCATCAGCTGCCCCACCAGCTCCTCCTGCCGCTCCTCGGCGGCTGCGGAGGCGGATGAGGCCTCGCGGGCTAGCGACTCGTAGCGGCTGGTGGCAGCCTGGGGAACGGTGGGTGGGGGAGATGTGGACGTGGGGAGGGTGGTGGTTTTAGAGTTTTAGGGTTTTAGGGTTTTCGGATGGACAGAGGGAAGGAATGTAGGGAGACTGTTAGAGCGGGCTATGGGCGGGAGAGGTGTTTTAACAATGTTTAATACTAGGGTTTTAAAGTATGGTCTGTCAAATCTGTGAGCCGTTTGGTAGTACGATATAGTACCGATAGCTATACAAAGTGGGGATTGGGTGAGTTGTAATGTGTACAGCGTGTGACGAAGGCAGCAGGGGCTGAATAATGGAGAGGTTAGGGTTTTAGGGTTTTACGGAGACGCTACCGCTAGCCGACCCATCAGGGCTCGCCCCTTCACGCCTCTTCTCCCTCCACTCCCCTGCACCTAACCACATAGCTATTTTTCCGCTCCCCTCTAACCCCCGCCCCTGTTATATCTTTGACCCCAACCTACCCTCAGCGCCTCCTCCCGCTCGCCCGCCAGCCTGCCCAGCTCCTCCACCCGCCCCGCCAGCTCCGCCTGCCGCTGCTGCGCGGCTGCCAGCGAGGCGGACTGGTCGCGAGCCAGCGACTCCAGCTGGCCGGCGGTGTCCTGCAGGGGGGAAGGGGAAAAGAAGGAGTCCCATTGTGTTGCATGATAATAGCAAAAAAGACGACAAGCACCAGTTTACACCAACCCTGCCCACCTGCCTTCACCCATACCACCCTCCTCACCACCCAACACCCCCTCACGCACCACCCACCCGCACCGCCTCCAGCTGTTGTTGCAGCTCCCGCTCCCGCTCCGCCGCCTCGAAGCGACTGGCGTCCAGCTCGGCTTGGGAGCGCTCCTGGAGGGGGGGATAAAATGGGAGACATTAAACAGCAAGACAGGGCTCCTGAAGGAAGTGTTAAGAGGGAAGGGAAGCTAGGGAGCAGGAGAAGGTCGATATTCGATAGACAGCATGAGCGCAATGCAGTGGGCTAGGACGGGACAGCGCTCCTGCTGCTTTCAAGACGAGGAGTCTGGGGTCGATGCATGCCCTCTATCCTCCCGTCTCCCGCAGGCCTTCCCCGCCCTCACCGCCGCCTCCTGCGCCCCCCGCTCCGCCCGCCCTAGCGCCTCCCCCAACGCCGCCTCGCGCTCCCCCGCCGCCCGCAACTGCCCTTGCAGCTCTGCAAGCTGGGAGGAGTAGGAGGCGGCAGCGGCGCGGTGAGAGGCCTGCGAGGGAGGAGAGGGAGGGCAGGGAGGGAGGGAGGGCGGGGGGGAGGGGTAAAAATTTAAAGGGGGGAAATTATATAAGAAATGCAAACAACTAAAGTCCCAATCCCATATCCCGACTCATGCATGGGGGGAGGTTGTAGGCAGTGAAGAGGGACAAGAGGGTGCTGGCGAGGTTACAGGGTCACAGATGGGTTTGGGCGTGTGTGGTGCGGGATCCGGTTTCGGGACATGGGCCACAAATAGGATGAAAGGGAGAAGGAGGATGCGCTGGCTGAGATTAAGTGAGCGGCGGTAGGGGGGCACGGTTTGTTGAAGAGATCGTGGCAAGCGCAAGGCGGCACGCTCGTCCCCTGCATGTTTGCATTAGTGCGCTTTTTCATCCTCGTACGTCCGTACAGCCGCACATCTCTCTCTTGTAGCTACCTGTTCGCGTGCAAGGGTGTCATTGAGGTCCTCGATGCGACTGTCGTACTCGGATTGTACGGCGGCCAACTGCTCGTTGAGCTCCTGGATCTTGTCCTCGTACAACTGCATAGTAGGTGAGGTGACCCATGGGTCAGTGCGACCGTCAGTCGCAACAGTAGCTACACAAATACGGACTATGCAGTACCGGCACCGAAATGTATTGAGACAGGTCTTTAAATATGTAAGCGACATATAATGGCACCGCAAACCTCACATCTGCGGTACCTCCTAGCACCCAGTCCGCATAACTTAAAGCCCCACCCTAAAAGGCACTTCGCGCCCTCCTGCCCTCCTCTCCCTCAAGGGGCATTCACCAGAATCACCACGGATTGCCTTGCATCACACTTTCCCCCACACCTTCAACGTCGCCTCGTACTGTTGGCTGGTGGCTGTGAGGCTCTCCTCCAGCTCCCCCAGCAGCGCCGACTGCGCCTGCCGGGCAGCCTCCAGCTCCGCCTCCAGCGCCGCAACCTCCTCACCCCGCCGCGAGTCAGCCGCCTGTAACGCCTCCTCGAGTTCCAGTACCCGTTTGTCGAACAACTGTCGCACCCAGCGGCACGTAAGGGGAAACAGAGGCACGTGGGGATCGGAGTACGTAGAGGGCGCCAAGCTGGAGGGGCATGAGGCATGCGACCTTTCAATCGTATGCGGGCGCGCATGGTGTCGTTCCCCTTGTTACAGCCCTGGGTGCCGTACCCCGATGCCGTACCGTGAGTGTTGTTTCGTACTGCTGCGAGGACGCCAGGAAGTTCTCCTGGATCTGGTTCAGGATCTGATCGGAGCAGGCAGCCGGGAGGGAGGGTGGGGGTAAAGAAGGGGGTAAAGCAGATGGAGGAGAGATGTACGCGTGTGCTAGACAGGCTGTGACCCCTCCTCCCCCCCCACCACATGGCCCCGCCTCCGCCCCATCACCCCTACCTGCTGCTGCCCGCTGCGTGTCTCCTCCAGCGCTGCCTCCAGCTGCCCCACCTCCTGCTGCCGGCCCTGCTCAGCCGCCTCCAGCTGGCCCGTCAGCTCCGACACACGCCGGTCGAACAGCTGTGGGAAGAGAAATGAATGAAGAAGAGACACCAAAATCGACACGGGGCGGGAGGGTTCTTGTTGTGATGAAATGAGGGGAGAGATTGGGGCTGAGGAACGGAGGTAGGACTTGGGAGGGAAGTGCTAAACTACCTGGTTGGTCTATGCTAGCAGGTACTTTGCAGACAATGTAGCCTGTGCGGAAGCTTTCAATCTCCGAATAGTCCCCCTCCTTGTGAAGAATCCTATGTACGAAGTTACATTTAGAAACCGCCCACTCGCACACCCACCTCTAGCGTGTCCTCGTACTGCGCGGATGCCGCTGCAAAGTTCTGCTCCAGCTGGGCCAGCAGCGCCCGGCTGCGTTCGTTGATGGAGTTGGCGGCGGCTAGGTCGGCCAGGGTGGTCTCGTAGAGCTAGGGAGGCAGGGGGGGTGGGGAGGCAGGGGGGAGGAAGAGAGCCGGGGAGAGGTGAGGGAACGTGAGAGAGGGCTGGAAAGGGAAATGGGATGGGCGCAGGGGTTTTAATAAGGGGTGGGATGAGGACCCCGCATGCACCAGCCCCACCTGCTTTGTGGTTTGCAGCTCCTCTCGAAGAGCGGCGGCGGTGGCGGCGGCTTGCGAGTCGGCAGCTGCGGAGGCGTCGGCGGCAGCGCCCGAGCGAGCTAGCGCGTCTGACAGCTGCGAGCGCAGGGCCTGAAGTAGGGGGCGAGGATTGATGGGGAAGCTCATAAAGGTTGAAGGGCATGCATGTCGCTGGTAGATCCTTGTTTGGACGGCACTCTTTTTGCCCGCGTTCACGCTTCCTTGAACATCTGACCTTTCCCTTAACGGTACGTCACACCCTCATCTAGTAGCCGGCACCCTAGCACCCGCCAACCCCCACATCACCGCAAATCACATCACCCCACTCCATCCCTCCCTTCCCACCTGCAGCTCCTGCGTCCGCTCCGCCTCTCTCGCCGCCGCCTCCGCCAGCCGTTCCTGCAGCTCCGCCGCCGCCGCCTCTTTGTCCGCCGCCGCCGCCCGCGCCGCCGCCATCTCCGCCTCCGTCGCCTCCAGCTGGCCCCTCAGGCTGTGCAGCTCAGCTGCCAGCTTCGCCACCTCATCGTCCGCATTACCACCCGCCGCCGGCTTGCCAGCGCTGACGGTATCACCGCCGCCTGATCCAGAAGGGTACGGCAGCGGTGGCGCCTTCGGTACCGCCGCTGGCGCCCTGCCGGCTGTTGTTGCTGCGGCTGCCGCTGCCCTGGCTGCTGTGGATGTCTTTAGCTCGGCGATCTGCGCGGACAGTCGCTGCTGTCGTTTCAGCAGCTCCAGATTGCCAACATGCCCGCTGGAAGAGCCGCTACCGCTGCGGCCGCTACCGCCGCTTCCGCTAATGGCAGCGCTGCTGCCGGCGGTTGTTGGTGTTAATGCAGGTGTTGTCGCCCGGGCCCCTGGAGGGAGGGAGCCTGCTGCTGGTTGCCGCTGATGCTCCTGCTGCTGCCGGTCCGGATCCCCTTCCCCGCCAGCACCCCCAGCAGCAGGCGCCTCCGTCCCCACCTGATGCGGGATGAAGTGGGTGCGGGTGGACTCCGGCTGGCCCCAGGGGCATTCCACCTCTACCAGCATCGAGCCCATGCTGCTGCTACTGCCGCTGCTGCTGCTACTGCCGCTGCTGCTACTGCCGCTATTGCCACCCTCAGCAGCAGTAGTAGCCAGCCCAGGCTCACTAGGCATGCGTATGATCCTGTTGCCCCCCGGTTCCCACTCGGGGCTGAGGCTGGGGTCAGCGGAGCCCTGCTGCCGCGTGCTGGCGCGGAGGACCACCAACTGCAAGAGGGGAAGGGGAGGGAGCATGCAGGCGCCATGCTAGGCTACAACGGAAGGGTTCGTGCCATGCTACGTTACAAGTCTTACAATGGAAGGGCACACAGTGTGGTCCTGGAATGTGGGAAGCGGGGGGGTGCACTGTGCGGGACATGCGCAGCGGGACCAGCGAGGTCGGAAAGAGACATAAAAGAGACGAAGATGAGGCATAGGCGGCCTGTACTCGACCAGACGGATTTGGTTTGGCTGGATAGCACGCGTCTAGGACTGCAAACTTCAGTGCCGTCCGCACCTTGGCTGTCACCTCGGAGGCCAGATCCAGCCGCACCTCGCCGACCCAGCCGCCGCGTCCGCCGCTGCTGCTGCTGCCATCGCTGTCACCGCTAGTGTAGCTGTTGCTGCTACTGGGCTTACTCGCTGATGAAGCAATTGAAGCGGCAGGCGTCAGCAGCAGCCCTTGCTCTGGTGTCCAGTTGCCCAACTCCTGACAACTGCCAACTAACAACAACTGGGCTGAGGAGGTTGAGCCCTCCGACGGTTCACCATCCTCGCTATCGCCGAGAGGTAAGGCAGGGTTTTCTGGGACAACTATACGGCAAAGTACGGTTGAAGCGGAGGAGGAAGGCTGTGAAGGGGAGGGCGACAGGTCAGCCGTCAGTGGTTGCTGCTGCCCGGCTGAGGATGCATTTTGCAGAACTAATTGTTCTCCGTTTTCCCCTCCTTGCAGTTGTACTGATGGCTGTTCCTGCTTCTGCTGAGGATCCGTCTCATCAGATGTGTCCGTATTAGTGCCAGCACTCTCAGAATCCGAATGTGCGGACGCCAGAATGGTTTTAAATTTCGTACGGCATTGCTGATGTTGCAACAGCTGCAGCTGTCGCAGTCCCTGGCCCACAGCTGTGAGCGAGGGTGATTCGGGTATGCGAGAAGTGTCGCGCCACAACGGCCGCTTCCAACCCAAACCCCAGCGCAATCCCGAGGCTAGGCCGTGAGCTGAGGGTGTTGCGGCGACGGTGCTGCTGCTAGGGCGGCGGGGATGCTGTACGAGGATGCACCGATGAATGGAATGAGTTGGAGTTTGGGCTGGCCGAGCAATGCAGATGCATGAGGGGACCAGCTGTCGAACTGGAAGAGGGCAGAAGGAAGTAAGGGGGAGGGGCTTCGGGTCATAGCTGTAGCGGGTTTCGGGTTTCCGTCATTAGGCCTGACTTACTCAGCGGCAACTCCACAGCAGTACAAAGGGCTGACCATAAACAACAAGATGTGGCCTTTATGTAAAGTTGTTTCGAAGCATCGACGAGGACTATACATGCCCTCGTTGAACTAGCCGGCAGCAGTACAGGTACTCGCGTATTTGCTCCTTCTTGTGGAGTACATGCTCAATTTGCGCAGCGACAACTGCCATACCCGCGCTTACCACCAACTTGAGGCCCCAAATGAAAAGGCGTCGATACAATTGATGCCGCAGCGCGCTGCTGTGTCCGCACTGCTGCAACACCATCCATTCGTCCTGCGGGAATGAGGATGTTTCCGGATAAGGATATGCGCCGCTAGCCAGGACAAAGATAATGTAGCAACACTTACTAACGTAAAGCTTGCATGAATTGCACACGACGACTACCATAGCATATGGGCGGTAGAGACGCTCGTTAAGCTTGCGACCGACTGACCTACAGTAATGTACTTCGCTCCTTGCAAGCGAGGTGGTTTTTTATGCTCCAACACGATTTTGTTAAAACGGAGTCCCTTCCAGTTATGCAGCGCTTGTCCGAAGCTCCGAGCACCCTGGCCGCAAGCGAGCCAGTCCTTTCAGCATTTCCAACTGCAGTATGCAAACTTAATCCTATCATGTACCAGTAAATGCTTAACTGTGTTTGTCTCAACACGATGCGACTCGGCCAGGTGCATGCAAGCTGTGAACACAAGCCTAGCTAGATGCGTAATTGAGTTACATGTCTCTATAAGTTACAATTGAGCCTACTTAATGCATAACAATAAAGGGTCAGTGGCTTGGTGTCCATAATTGGCTGTAGATGACCGGGAAGTTGCTCAATCGCCCAATATCGTTCTGACTACTGCAAAAGCAAAACGTGACTATAAAATTTCATCTAATTCTAGCGTTTCTCTCATGAATTAATGTACGCTTGTTCCCCGACTTTCATAGGAACTTTCAACCATCAACTGAGCGAGCAGCCCTATTCACAATGCCGTTTTGAACGTCGTAACTGCTATGAGTAAATACAGCAGTTACAGTAATGTAGCGAACGGGCTGCATCGTGGTCGTCTGCATCCCGCCAATGCTGCGCCGCCCAAGTGGCCCTGTGGCGTCGCGACTTCTGCCCGACAGCTGTGTGGAGCTCGTACACATGCTCGAGTCCATGTGACAATGGCTTCGGGGCGTCAGGTGTGTCGCGTGGGCGTGGCCGTTCCCATTGATAGGGCCCCAATCGGTTGAAGCCCCACGAACAGTGGGCATGCAAGCCCTGGCTGTTTCCCGACGCGGGCAGCAGCCCTCAGACCCACCCGCTTGCGTTGCAGGGGCTGCACTGCGCATATCGAACACGGGATTTTGATCGGGGCTTTGGGGAAACGTGTGAAGGGGCCACGCCCTGAAGCCCCAACCTCCCACTCGCTCGGGTGAATGTTTACCCTCCCGCTCCTGCCCCTCTCCCAACAGGCTCCGGAACCCAGCCCCGCAGCGCTGCTTACGCCGCCACCGTCGCTGCTGGCCCCGCTCCTCCTTGCTCCCTCGCTAGCGCCCGCACCCGCACCTCACTCGCCGCTGACGCAATGCAGCCGGCGAGCGGGACGTGGCGTCAGCAGATCCGCAGCTAGTGGCGGCAGCGCCGCCACCGCTCCGCATGGTGCGGAAGGTGCTACAGCTGCAGCTGCTGGCGGTACGGCAGCGTCTCACGCTGCGTCGTACGAGCTGCCTGAGCACTGGCAGGAGCAGATGTCCCGGGCGCCGCTGGGGAGGAAGCGGGTGCTGCAGAGGTGGGGTGCGGCGGGGGAAGGAGTGATGCGGGCGGAGGCGCGGGTAGGGATTGCAGAGGCAGGCGGCTCTAAGGGGCGGATTGCCGGGTCTAGGCGCAAGGAGGATGTAGGGTTTTAGCCTATGGTAAGCGTGGAGGGAGGCTTGGCTGAGGGAGGGTTAGGGTGTGCCACGTGCGCAGCCGCAATGCCTCCCTCCGCGCCTCCCTCGCGCCCTGCGTTACCTCTCGCCCGACCCTGGAGGGCCCCTCCATGCGTCTTCTGCTCTTCTCAGGCCCCATGCTGCTTCACCATGACCCACCATCCCCATCCCTCCGCCCCCGCATCCCACCCCCCTCCTCCGCTCCATCCCTCCCTGCCCGCAGGTACTACGCTGACGTCATTGCCATCAACCAACTGGAGCCAACCATGCGGGCCCTCAGCAACGCGCAGCTGAGGGGCAAGACGGGTGAGCGAGAGGGGAGCGGTGGGAGTGGTGGGAGGGGGTTGCTAGGAAGTTGGCATGGGGGCAGAAGGCGGCCGAGCTGTGTTTCCGGTACGGCGCATCCCTGGCTGGCACGCGGATGCAGCAGCAGCTGGCACCACCAGGGCCGTACACGCATCATCTCCACCCCACCCGCTTATCCCCCGGTAATGCCGGTATACTATGGTCAGAATCAGTGTTCCCGTGGCTCAGCTTACCGGCATCTAATACCCACCTTCGCTTGGCGCGACATTGACGCCCTCATGTACCGTTAGTCCGTTACCCCCCTGCGGCCCCCGCATTAGCCCCTAACTGCCCGCCTGCCTCCCCCCTCCTGCCGCCCCTCCCAGCGGAGTTCCGCTCCCGTCTTGCAGCGGGCGAGTCGCTTCAGTCGCTGCGAGTGGAGGCGTTCGCGGTGGTGCGCGAGGCGGCGAGGCGGGTGCTGGGCATGCGGCACTACGACTGCCAGCTGGTGCGTGAGACCCATGGGTCAGGGGGCAAAAGAAGAATACCCAAAGGTGTTGAATGAGGCTGGCAAACGACTGCCAGCTGGTGGACTGCGGGGACTGCTGGGCTCTGCTGGGGGCTGTGCCGCTCGGTCTTCCGTCGCCCTCACCTCCCTCCTCCCTACCTACCTCCTCCCCCACTCCCCCGCCAGGTTGGCGGCATGGTGTTGTCGGAGGGGCAGGTGGCTGAGATGGCTACGGGCGAGGGCAAGACGCTGGTCGCCACCCTGCCCGGCTACCTGGGGGCACTGGGCGGGCGGGGGGTGCATGTGGTGACGGTGAACGACTACCTGGCAGCGCGGGATGCGGCGTGGTGGGGGCGGGGGGGGGAGGGAGGGAGGGAGGGAGGGAGGGAGGGAGGGAGGGAGGGAGGGAGGGAGGGAGGGAGGGAGGGAGGGAGGGAGGAGGGGATTGATAGGGATACATATTCCGCATTAGGCTGGATAGGTGGGTTAGCGAGGGAGGGGAGGGGAGGGGACGAGGAATCTGTGTTAGAGCATCATATTGTGTTTTGGTAGGGAGTAGGAAGGAGCGATGGGAAGAGCGAGAAGGAAGCGGGTTAGGACGAGCGAGTGCCTGGGGAAAGCCGTCCCTCCCCCCACTTCCCGCTCCTTGCCTCCCCCTCCTCCCCTCCAGGATGGGCAAGGTGTATCGCTTCCTGGGCCTCTCCTGTGCTGCCGTACAGTCCACCTCCTCCCCCGCCGCCGCCCGAGCTGCCTTCGCCGCCGACGTGACCTACGTCACGGGTCAGGAGCTGGCGTTCTCCTTCCTGCGCGACAACACGGCGCTCAGCCCGCAGGACCTGGTGGGTAAAATTAGGCAAACTGACAAGCTGTGTGACGAGGCTTCACCATGGGTTGGACCTGGTGGGGGGGAGAAGTTCCAATGTGTGGTGTGATAGTGGTACAAATTGCTGACAAGCCCTGGTGGAAACAACCGTAAGTCGTGCCGAAATGGTGGTTAAAGCAATGCGAGCTGAACTTACCGAACTTACCAATTATGGAGCAGCAACCTTACCGTAGTCTTGGGCATGTGTGGAGGCGGCTGAAGGTGAGCTGGAGACCCACCGCGCCATCGGGCATAGGCAATCAACAGGAACAGCACAACATGAGCACGCAAAAACATGGACTGACACACGATAAGACACGTGCCTGCGTGCACAGGATGGGGGGAGGGGAGCGAGGCGGGGGTGGATGAGAGGTAGTCAGGTAGAAGAGGACGATGGGGACGATGGGTGGGGCATGCTACCCCTGGCAGCCCTCTAAACTCACAACTGCCTCCCTTTCCTTCCTTCCCCTCCTCACCTCCTCCCCTCTTCCCCTCGTCCCCCCCCCCAGACTCTGCGCGAGGGCGGCTGCTTCCACTTCGCCATCGTGGACGAGGTGGACTCCATCCTCATCGACGAGAGCCGCAACCCGCTCATCATATCCGGCAAGGGCGCGTGCGACAGCGGCGTGGTGCGCCTGGTGGACCGGGTGAGGGGGGGGGGGGGGGGGGGGGGGGGGGGGGGGGGGAGGGGGGAGGGCGTGTGTGTATTTAAAGAACTGGCCGCGAGTTGGAACGTACTGAGTTGTCCGAAGATGATGTCCCCACCAAAACGCCACGGGAGCCTAGGAGTAGGTTGACGTAGTGCGTGTGTGTGTGCGGTGGGATGGGTGGCGTTTGTGTGCGCCCGGGTTGCAGTTGGACATCTAGTGCCCCAACTGCGCTGGTTTCAAGTGGAAGTACGATCCGTTCCATCGTACGTTGCAGACAGACAGACAGATATGTCTTTCTTCCTTTCACCGCCCTCTTCTCCCGGCCGTCACCGCCCTCCAACCTTCCCCCTCCTTCTTCTCCTCCCCCCTCCTTCTCCTCCTCCCTCCTGTACGACAGGCGGTGCGGCGGTTGTGGAACCAGGTTCAGTCGGAGCTGGCTGCCAGCCGGGCTGCTGCGCTGCGGGGTGCGGGAGGGGGGGAGCTGTCGGACCCGGAGGTGCAGCGGCTGGAGAAGGCGGTGAAGGGCAGGTGGGGAGGGAGGGAGGGAAAAGAATATAATGAGACATTGACGATGCAATTGACGAGCTGACGATGCAACTGACGAGGGGAGGGGAGGGAGGTAGGGAAGGGAGCAGGGCAGGGTGCCTCTGCCATCATGTCCCGTCCTGTCTTGCGTTGAGGGAGGCAGCTCCGGCTAGGCTGACCTCTTGCCTTTCACCACCACAAGATCAACACTGACAGCACTGACACACTGACCCGGGGTACCGTAGGTGTATCAGTGCAGTGCGGCTGTCAATTGTAACATACACACACATGCTTGCTCTTGTTTCCGCTCAACTACACATACACACATCATCTTCCGCCAATCAGTACGTTCCTGCCCTCAGCCAGTTGTCTAACCCACCCACCCGCCCCCTTCCCCACCCACCCAACCCACCCAACCCGCATTGCTTTAACCACCATTTCGGCTCGACTCACGGTTGATTCCATCAGGGATGTCAGTAACTTGTATCATTATCACACCACACATTGGAATTTCTTTTTTCCCACCACACCCAACCCCCCCGCAGGTACTACACGGTGGATGAGAAGACCCGCACCGTGTCGTACACGCAGGCCGGCACCCACCTGGTGTTCCTATACCTGCGTGAGTTATTGGGGGGGCATGGGGACCTTAGGGGGCGGAGGTGGGAGAGGAGCGGCAGCGGGTGGGAAAAGAAGAAAACCCTATGTGTTGAATGGTAATGGCAAACTAGGTGACAAGCGCCTGGTGCATGGCAGCGGGAGGGGAGAAGGGAAGGATGTTGAGTTGGAGTGGGACAGGGCGGGAGGCAGTGGGAGTGGGAAGGCGGCGGTCCGGACGGTCGTCTGAGGTCCGGAGGTAGGAAAGTGCTACCGGCGGCGACGAAGCCCCATGCAGGGATACGTACGGCACCAGTATGCGACCCATCGAACACGGCACTGTCCCTCCTGTCACCCCCCCTTCCTCCCCGCCCCCCCCCCGCCCCCAGGTGACGAGGGCGCCCAGTTCCGCGACCCCTACCCCGGTGTGCACAGCCTGTGGGAGGAGGAGGTGCCGTGGGGGCGCATGGCGGTGACGGCACTCACGGTGCGGGAGGGGGGGGGCGGGAGGGGCGGGAGGGGGGGGAGGCGGGAGGGGCGGGGGGCGGGAGGGGCGGGGGGCGGGAGAGGGGGGGGGGGCGGGAGGGGGGGGAGGCGGGAGGGGGGGGGGCGGGAGGGGGGGGAGGCGGGAGGGGCGGGGGGCGGGAGGGGGGGGGGCGGGAGGAAGGGGGGGGGCGGGAGGAAGGGATCGGGAGGGGCGGGGGCGGGAGGGGCGGGGGGCGGGAGGAAGGGATCGGGAGGGGCGGGGGGCGGGAGGGGCGGGGGGCGGGAGGAAGGGATCGGGGGAGGAGGTTAGTGGTTGTGTGAGAAATTTGATGTGACGGCCAGAAGTAGGTGAGAGGTGAGGTAGGGAGGTAAGAGGGAGCTGTGAGCGAGGAAGGGGGCCCGTTCGCTACTTGAATTCTCATCTCCTATCCTCTTATCGTGCCATTTTGTCGTTTTAACCCCTCCTTTTCCCCGCCTCGCCCCCCCCCCGCCTCCCCCCCCAGGCGTACGAGCTTTACGTCAACGGTCGTGACTACATCGTGCGGGAGGGCGAGGCGGTGATCGTGGACCCCTCCACGGGCCGACTGAGGGTGAAGACGCGGTGGCAGGGGGGCGTGCACCAGGTGGGGGGGGGGAGGGGGGCGTGCACCAGGTGGGGTGGGGGGAGGGGGGCGTGCACCAGGTGGGGTGGGGGGAGGGGGGCGTGCACCAGGTGGGGTGGGGGGAGGGGGGCGTGCACCAGGTGGGCTGGGGGGAGGGGGAGGGGGAGGGGAGGGGAGGGGAGGGGTGGGGGGTGAAAGCTTAGCTCGGGGGGCGTCGTGTTCGTCGTGCTTCATAGTATACGGTTATGAGGCGCCGCATTGTGCGCAAAGGCATGTATGATGCCAATACATGCATCAGTAAGATTAGTAACCCCGTCGTATGGGAAGCCCCTCTCCTGCCTCCCTCACCCGTCGTCCTCCCTCACCTTTCTCCTCCCTCCCTACCAACCTTTCCAACCTCTCCCACCCTTCTCCTCCACCCCACCCCCCAGGCCGTCGAGGCCAAGGAGGGTCTGTCCATCCAGGCTGAGAACCTGGTGACCGCCACCATCACCTTCCAGCTCTTCTTCGCGCAGTACGAGTGGCTGGCGGGAATGACGGTACGGCACAGGGGTGTGTGTGGCACAAGAGGGCGTGGACAAGGGGGCCGTGGCACTAAGGGGCGCGCAAGCATGTGTGTGTGGTTATGTTACATGTTATGTTATCACCCTCACCCCTCACTCCATACAGGGCACCGCCCAGCCCGCCGCCGCTGAGTTGTTCGAGTTGTACGGCATCAAGGTGGTTCCGGTGCCAACCAACCGCCCCTCGCGCCGTACCGACCACCCGCCGCGGCTCTACCCGGACAAGGCGCTCAAGATGCATGCGCTGGCGGAGCAGGTGGTGCTGGCGGCGGAAGACATGAGGTGGGAGGGGAGAGGGGCGAGAGAGGGAGGAGGGGGGAGAGGGAGGGGGAAAGAAAAACACATACACACACGCGTGCGTGCGCTTGCGGAGCAGGTGGTGCTGGCGGCGGAAGACATGGGGGGGGGCAGGTGTCGTTTATGAGCACGAAAAAACCTTAAGCAAGGAAACAAGACAGTAATTGAACGATTTCCGCATTCCCAATCCATGCCTGCACCCCACTCCACCCGTCTCCCTCCCTCCCTCCCCCCTCCTCCCCCCTCCTCTCCCCTCCTCCCTCCCTCCCTCCCCTCCTCCCCTCCTCCCCCCGCTCCCACTCCCACTCCCCTGCTGCTGCAGGCCCGTCCTGATCGGCACCACCAGTGTCCAGGAGAGCGAGCTGGTGCTGGCCTACCTCAACCGCACCGTAGCACCCGCCATGAAGCACATCCAGGCGGCCAGGAGGAGGAGGGCGGCGGTGGAGGCAGCTGCTGCAGCTGCTTGGGGCGGGGGTGTAGCGGGGGCGGCTGCAGCAGCGGTAGCAGCGGGGGGCGGAGGAGGCCCCAAGCCGCGAATCACGCTGCTGAATGCCAAACCGGAGTTCGTACGACAGGAGGCGCAGGTCATTGCTCAGGTGGGGGGCTGGGGAGAACTTGGGGGGCAAGATGGGGAGGGTTGGGAAGAGGATTTGTGACGCTTTGTATGGAAGCCCTCCTTACCAAAAAAACAATGTCGGTGTGCGCTCCCCTGCGGTTACTCTCATACTGTAACCATCCCAACCCAACCCCCCTCCTTCCTCCTTTCTTACACCCCTCCCCCCCTCTCCAGGCCGGCCTGCCAGGTGCCGTCACCATAGCCACCAACATGGCGGGTCGCGGCACCGACATCATCCTGGGGGGCAACCCGGAGGGCCTTACCAAGCTGGCGCTCATGAGGCTGCTGTACGGCAGGCTGCTTAGAGGTACGGCAGGGTTCCGTAGATGTACGGCAGGCTGCTTAGAGGTACGGCAGGAGGGGGCTTGTTGTTGTGGGTGACCTAGACCCATCAACTGAGTTGCTGCCTAGCCGCAGCTTTCGCCTTGGATTCCTCCCCACAATCAAGACCCCGCTGCCGAACCCAAGCCCAAACCCAAACCACACGCACACGCACCTCCCTTCCCCCCAGCCTCCGAGCGCCGTACACTGCCCTCCGTACCGCTGTCCCAGCTGGATCCGTACGACACGGATGACTTCGCCGCACTCACCAGGTGGGGTTGTGAGGGCGGGGGGTGAGAGCTGGCGGGTATGTGCATTCCTGCGTTTCTGAGACGTTCCGTCCGCACATTTGGAGGAACAGTTTAGGCCACCAGGGCTTTCAGGGCCCCCGGGGAGCCCCCAGGAGGAGAAACCGGACAGTCCTGCAACACCAAAAAAGCGGTTTTCATAGGCTGAAACAAACTACACTGCTCATCCGCACTTCACCCCATACCCCCGCCTTACCCACGCCCCGGCCCCCCCCAAAGGATTCCCCACGCCACACCCGACCATCCCCACGCCGGCCTGCCCCGCCCGCTCCACGAGGTCCTCTCAACCGCCATCCTCATCTCGTTCGCTGCCGTACAACAACAGCAGCAGCAACAACAGGATCAGCAGGATGAGCAGCAAGGAGGGGCAAGAGGAGGAGGGGAACAGCAGGGGCGGGGGCAGCGGGGGCAGGAAGAGGAGGAGGGCGTTAGCAATGGCGATGGCGATGGGGTCGCCCTGTCATCACTTTCAGAAGGGGAATTAGAGGAATACGAGGTCGAAGGAGGGAGAAAAGGAGGTGGAGACGGAGACGGAGGTGGGAGTATGAGTTACGAGCAGGCGGCTCAGCTGGTGGTGTGGGTCATGGACCGAGCGGAGGTACTGCGCAGGAAGGTGGGTGGGTTCGTGCACGGGGCTACGTCTTCGCTAAGCTAAACGCTGGGTCGTACCGCATTCGCAGTCGCCGATCCTGGGTCAGTCATATGCCGCTATACCTCCCCCTTCGTCATCGCCGACCCGTGGGTCTCACCCATGGGTCATACTGTCAGCAAAGAACTATACATACACCTCCCGTTTGCATCCTCAGCTGATTAGCACTAAGAGTGGCGTCTCTATTTTGTGTATTGGCTACCTGCCTGCATGCGTGCCGGGCAACTGTCCACACTCATGACGGTTTAATGAAAACACACACGCACATCCCAAACACCCCACAACCCCAATCAATCTCCCCCTCCCCAAAGGTCCGCGGCGCCCTCCGCCGCACCTACCGGGACCACCCGGGCGGCCTAGAGACGCTGGACTACACCCTCTGTGTGGCCCCCCTGGCTGCTGCCGTACTGGCTGAGAGGGACAGGCGGCTGTACGACAATAAGACCAGTAACGGCGGGACTAGCAGCCAGCAAGGGGGGTTGGAAGCCGCTGCGGCGGCGGCGGCAGCCACCGCTCCTGTGTCGGCTGGTAGCGGCTCTCCTGCTAACAGTTATGCGGATGACGAGGAGGCGATGGAGGCGGCGGGGGAGGTGGCGGCGGCGGGGACGGGTGCTGCTGCGGTGGCGGGGGAGGTTGAGGACGAGGGCGAGGAGCCGCCTGTGGCACAGGTGGGGGGTGGGGGGGCGGGGGGAAGTGGCCGGCGCGGGTGGGGGTGGGAGGCGGGGTAGGGGCAGGTGAGGTTGGGGTCGCTGGGAGCAAGGAAGGGATGAACGCGGTGGGCGTTGCAATGCTGGGTGCTGGTGGTGTCCATTATAAGACCTGGGCTCCCCTGCGCTGGTCCCCACCTCCATTGTTCGTGGTGTTATTCGTCCAGCCATCCTACCTCCCCACGGCAACCCTCATCTCCGCCCCATTCCTTTTCCCTTCACATTCATGCCTCCTCTCCACATACTCTCCTCCCGCCTGCAGGCCTGGGCGCTCAAGGCCGCCCTGTACCTGTGGCTCTGGTTCGACCAGGTGAGGCGGGGGCTGGGGCGAGAAGTGCATCTCCCCGCTCCCATTCTTTCGCCCTAATTCGTGGTTTCCTGTGGTTTGGTCGCTTCTGTGCCCCTAAAACCCTAAAACCGCTCCCCATGCTACTGTTGCCCTTTCCCTCGCCACCCCGCCCCAGGAGTGCGCTCGCTACCGAGAGGAGGTATGCGGCGCTGGGGGGCTGCTGGTGATCGGCACATCGCTCAACGAGTCGCCGCGAATCGAGCTCCAGCTGAGGGGCAGGGCAGGCCGGCAGGTGAGTGGGAATTGGGGGGGGGGGGGGCAAACGCCGGGGATGGTGGGATTCTAGCTCCTAGGTCTGGGTGTGTAGGAGCAAAACACTATATCTAACAATATGGAAATTAGGGCTCCCTTTCCTGCTATGGGATCTTTGCCGTGGGATTGAGACTTCAACTTGTACTAATGCTACTTCCCCTAAAGCCCTGAAACCTCCACTAAAACCCTAAACCTCCACTAAAACCCTGAAACCTCCACTAAAACCCTGAAACCTCCACTAAAACCCTAAAACCCCAGGGCGACCCCGGCGAGACGCTGCTGCTGCTGGACTGCGCCGACCCGCTGATGGCAGTGTTCGGTCTTGACAAGGTGTCGGTGTGGCTCAACTCCGTCAGCAACGGACTGCAGGTGCCGGGGGGAGCTGCGGGGGGGGGGTGGCAAGGGGGCTTGGGAAAGGGAGCGGAGAGGAAGGAGCTGGAGGGAGGGAGCACTTTTTTCCAAGCCTCCCTGCATCCTCCCTGTCTTCACCTCACCCCCATCCCTCTCGCCTCTCTTGTTTAAACACGTGCGAACTGTAGTTCTAGGATACTTTAATCCAGCACGTTGCGAGTAACACCATACGGCACACATAACCCCCTCGCCCCTATTCCCTTCCCCACTTCAACCCCAAAACCCTTCCCCCCTGAACCCTTTGACCTTCCCTACCAATACCTCCAGGTGGCCCCCGACTACGTGGACGGCCCCCCCGTGGAGCTGCTGCTGCGCTCCGTGGTGCGCTTCCAGGAGAGCGCCTTCCAGAGCATGAGACTGGAGGTGGGGGGAATGGGGGCCATATGGTCAATATGGGTTGGCTACTTGGGTTTTGTGGGTTCTTCCCACCGTGCTGATAACCTTGCTCTGGACGTTCCGTGTTCTCCTTTGCGGACAACTGAACATGGTCTTGCCTTGCTTTCTACCTGCCCGCCTCCCTCCCTGCCTGCCTCCCCACCTTTTCCCCTCCCCCCCCAGTCCAAGAAGTACGACGGGGTGATGGAGGAGTACCGAAGCAACCTCTACACGCTGCGGCGCCTGGTGCTGTGCGGGGGCGACATGCAGCGCGCGCAGATTGCATACGTGCTCATACAGGTGCGTGGGCTCGCCCTGCGTGCGTGCCTGCCTGCCTGCGTGCCTGCCTGCCTGCCTGCCTGCCTGCCTGCCTGCCTGCCTGCCTGCCTGCCTGCATGTATGCATGCATGCATGCATGTATGTATGCATGCATGCAGGTGCCTAGAGCGGCGCTCCCCCTACCTCCCCCTCTCCCCAAGGTTCCATTTTACCTGACCCCTCCATCCTCTCCCTTTGTCTCCTCTCCCTGTCCCTTCCTCCCTTCCTCCCTCTCCCTTCCCTTCCCCTTCCCTTACGCGGAATACGTATCCCTCCCCACCCCCGCTCAGTTTATCTAATTCCCCCCCCGCTCCCCCCCCCACAGCGCTACGTGGACGAGGTGGTGGGTCGCTACCTGGACCCGCGCTGCGCGCCCTCCGTCTGGCTGCGGGAGAGCGTACCCGCGGGGGAGGTGCTGGGCGCATGGGGGAGGGGGGGTGGAGGCGAGGGCGGGGCGGCGGAGGGGGGCGAGGAAGGGCGGCTGGTGAGCCCGCTCCAGGTGAGGGTGGGGGGAGCTGGAGGGGGGTGGGGTTGGGAAGGGGATCCATGTGTTGGTGGGGAAGGGAGCTGGAGGTGCGAGGCAGCCCGGTGGGCTGGGCTGAGGGGTCGGCTGGACTGCAGGTTGACTTGTGGGCTGTGCGGTTGGGGACTGATACTGCCGGGTGAGGGTTAGAAAGCTGCCTTGCCCCAACGCTTCCGCCTTCGCCACCCCTCCCTGCCCCCCACTCAATCTTCCCGGATTTGGGATTGGGACTCCGTTGCTGCACTTATCTTGCTTTTCTCTACCTCCCCTCATGCAGGCGGTGCTGCAGACGCTGCACGCGCTTCTCAACCCGCCCGCCCGCACCACCAAGACGCGGGTGGACTGGGGGCAGCTGGCGCGCAGTGCGGCTGGGAACGCCACTGTGAGGAAAATGCTGGCGCTGTTTGGTGAGGAGGAGCAAGGAGGGGCAGGGCAAAACATAGTAGCGGTAGTGGTGAAACGGGTCGGGGGGGATGTGTGCGGGAGACTTAGATGGGCGTGGGGTGGTTTGAGTGTGGTGCAACTACCCTTGGCCAGCCCCTTCCTCCTGTTGCTGTGATTGTTCCCTGTCGGGCAGGCGTCACGAAGGGTGCAGGGGGGCACGTTGACGGAGATGGAGGCGGCAGCAGCACGGGTGGCGACAACGACAGGGGTGCTGCGTCCAAGGCGACATCTGGAGGCGGCGGCGGCGGCGAGCCGTCCTACCTGCCAGTGTATAACCAGGTGCGTGTGTGTCGGTGGGCCGTTTGGGTCGCTGGGTCGGTCGGTTGACCCGTGGGTCGGTAATCCAAACCATATTAATGACTTCATAGTTTGTTAGCTTTCGTTCTTAGTTGTTATGTTTTTATTGCACGGTTACCTATGCACGCCACCATGCTGCTTAACACGCGACCACCTCGTTTACCGGTACCCTGCAACCGTTGCCCTGCACATCGCCTACTCCCACCCCGCTACCCTGCCACGCGCCACCACCTGCAGGTGGAGGAGCTGGAGCTGCTCTCCCCCGCCCAGCTCCGGAACCTAGCCGAGTACCTGGCGGACGTGGGCCCCCTGGAGTGGCCGGTTCCCGCCGCCCTGGAGGTCCGCAACAACTTCAAACTGCAGCTGCAGCTGAGGACGCATCGGAGGCTGTTCGGGTACGGGGAAGCACTGCAATCAGTTGTGGCGGATGCTGCAGCAGGTTCTGCTACAGGTGCTGCTTCTACGAAAGGGGATGAGCAGGCGGTTACCGTGGCTGCAGCAGCGGAGATACGGCAGCGCATGTCTGCGGGTGCGCCGACACTGATTCAGCGGCCGCCGCTGCGGGGGCGCTTTGCGGAGAAGGTGCGTGCTTGCAGCTGTGTACGTGCATGCTGAGACAACGTCTTGTACTACACCCATTCATTTTTCAGTGTCAGTTGTGCGACTTCAGTTGCCGACAATAAATCCCAGGGAGCAAGTACAACAAGTCCATCCTGCGACCCACCCTACTTACTCTGCACTGCTTATACTGGTCCGTTGAATCCCTTGGGAAGATTACTTGGGATTGAGATAGATCCCACCCGCCCGGAATGGGGTTGGCCACTCGGCTGCCCGCCCTCAGGTGGCGGTGCTGCGCAACTATCTGGGCGAGCTGCTGATCGGCTGCTACGAGTCGCGCCGGCTGGCCGCCCGCCTCACCCTCACCGCGGCACCGGGACTGGACATGACCGACATTGATGCAGAGCAGCAGGTGGGGGCGGGGGCGGGGTGGGGCGGGGTGGGGGGAGCAGGGAAGTGGAAGAGCGAAACCATGGGGGAGAGGAAGGGGGAGGGACGGGGTTTGGGGGCTTGGCGCCCAGGGGTTTTGGCTACTCGGGTTGGGCTGGATGGGTCGGCAACTTTGATGCAACAAACGGTGGAACCTTGTCACCACATGGTTAGTGTTTCCCCGTTGCCCTCACCCCTTCTCCTTGACACATTATCATACAACACACTGGGTCTTTCTCTTAACCTCCTGAACACTCACAGGTATGTTCCTTCGAGCAGCAGACCATGCTGGCCTGGCTGGACGCGCTGTGGAGCTGCTTCCTGGAGGACACGGGGCGGCTGAGATCTGCCGTACAGATCCGCAGCAGCGGCGCCGCGGGGCTGAACCCGCTGGAGGAGTTCCGGCGGGAGGCGAATGCGGCCTTCCTGGCACTGCTGGATAACTACAGGTGCGCGGGAAGATGATGGGCAGGGAGGTGTGTGAAGATGTATGGTGTTAATGGGGTGGGACATGTGTGTTAGTGGGGTGGGATGTGCGGTCGATTGCAGGGAGAAACCAAGTTACATCTGTTGCTGTAGAAGTTGGGCCACGGCTGTAATCCTGCATCTCAAGTCCTGGGGCTGCAATGAAGTACGCGGTCGCCACTGCTGTGACGTCACCGCGCGGTGCTGCGCTGCAGGGATGCCGTACTGGACAAGCTATTGGTGCCCGACTTCGGCATTATGACCTCGCTGGAGGTTGGGGGCGAGGAGGAAGAGGAGGAGGTGCGGGAGGAGCAGGAGGCGGGGCAGCTGGGAGCAGCTGCGTCAGCGGTACTCGAGCGATTACAGGAACGAGATAAAAAACAGGAAGAGGTGGCTAGCACCGACGATCGGTCATCGTTCGGCGGTAACGGTAACGGTAACAATTAAGCCCAGCTCTAAAGGCAAGAACTACCCAAGAGCCGCTTGAGAAAGGCTTTCAAGGCTGGGCCGGGGCCGGTGTGGGATGGTACATAGCTGCCGGGTTGGCAGAGGCACGAGGGAGCTATGAGGGGGAGGAAGGAACAAAGGTGGCGGTGACTAGGACAGCAGGTAGGGACAGTGATGTGGTTTGTGAGTTGAAGTGTTGTCACTTGGTGGGTGGGGCCCTAGCGTAATGGGATTCGGGGTGCAGGCATAGACCACCATTGAAGGTTGATATGAGAGACGGAGACCCATGGGGCTGCCCCTTGTGGTAAGGAGTGAGGAGTGGACCAAACCCCCATGCGAGTCAAAGCCCGGTTTGGCTGGAGGGTAACACTGAACTGGGCGACTGAGAGGGAACAGGAGACAGCGAGCGCTGTAGCAAGAACTGACATTCGCAGGATTTCGGGTAGGCTAGAAGGTTCGAGCGGCGCTGCAGTGCCTACCACTGAAATGGCCAATGACGATTGAAGGCCTGGCAGGGCCTGCAGCGTCCAATAATAGCCTGCGAGGGCCAACATACCACGATATAACCGTTTACAAAGGTGGCTTTGCTGTCGCGCGTGATTTTTAATCATGACATGCCGTCATAGACGCTTGGGCCCAGACAACGATGCGACCAGCCAGTCGGCACCGGAAGGCAATTGGAAATTGGCAACCCCCCTGATCCAGCGAATGAAGAGAATCCGCGCATTACCGCCTGTTGCCGTGGCCACGCAGTCGCAAATTGCCGTGATCGCTTCAACGCTGAGAGACTTCGGGGCCGGCCACCTATGTATCCAACGATGTCCACGATTTATACTCACAAGTGTTTGTACTCTCTGTAATTGTTAGGTGCTCCGCGCTCTCGGGTAATGGACGAGGAAATGTGCTGAGAACTCTACTTGCTGCGACAGTGAACATGCCTCTGAACTTGTTATTGTAAGAGACGCAGGAAACAGCGAAATCTTTCGGCTCCCTCCTGGGGTTACACGCACACAGATGGCTCGTCTAAGCCCCAAACCGTTCCGTCAATGCTACCGGTATACGGGGCACACTTGCGCGTGTCACACTGGCGTTACCTACGAAGAAGCTCGCACATCTTTGTAGCTCATTATAATCTTCTGCTCCCCCCTAACAACAGGTGTTCTAAATGCACGAGCATGCGTGTGTGATCTCAGCTGCCAGGGTGTAGCACGTGCATGTGTTGTACAGCCCCAGCTACAGCCCCAGCTACAGCCCCAGCCCCAGCTCCTCCGCTCCCTCCGCAGCTAGCGGGTCCACCCCAGCACGGACAGCACCTGGCGGCCAGGCGGGGCGGTGGCACGCAGGATCTTCTGAAGCACTGCGTATTCCTCCTGGGTGGCCTGTTGCGGGGAAAGCAAGAGGGAAGACAAGAGGGAAGGCAAGAGGGAGAGGGGAAAAAGGTGAACACGGTGTTTAGCGCAGAGGGGAAGTGTGCCTTAGAGAGGGGCAGAGGCGTAGATGAGGGGGGTTAAGAAGCCGTTGGGGTGAAGCCGTGAAGGCAGCTGGCATGAGGGGGTCCGCATGGCTGGCATGAATGTTGGCGCCGGCAGCAGCGGCAGAGACGACAGCGGGACAAAAGCATGAACGCAGCAACAACTTCAGCAAGGGAGGGGATGAACTACCCAGCAATCCGCACCTGCACGTACGTTCCTACTCGCGGCCAGTTTGTTTAACACATCGCCACGCACACAATCGCACCTGCAGCAGTGTCGCCACCGCCGGCAGCAGCACGTCCCGCTCCTGCACCTTGTTGCAAGCATGCGCCTCCAGGAACTTGAGCAACACGTTCTTCAGGTACACCATGTCCACATTGCTGATGCCACCTCCGCCACCCCCGCCTCCGACGCTGACTGCACTGCTACCCCCTCCCCCACCGCCGCCACCACTTGAACTGCCATCACACGACACCCTCGCCGAGCTGCTTCCCCCTCCTCCCCTTCCCCCTCCTCCCCCGGCGCCACCCGCCGTACAAGAGGCAGCTGCGGCAGCACTAGAGCTGCATGCAGCCGCCGCAGCCGCCGCGTCTAGGTTATACAGCCCGCCGCCGCCTACACGGTTCTGCACCTGCCACTTGGGCGTCATCACCGCAGTCATCGTACATGATGCATGTCCGTTTCCATTCCTCCCGTCTCCGCCGGCGCCGCCGCACCGGGATGCTTCACCCGCGGCCGTACACCGCCGCACCTCCTCCTCCCGAGCCGCCGCCGCCGCCACCTGCGCCGCCGCCGCCCGCTCCGCCGCCAGGTCGTGTCTCAGCCCCGCTGCCCGCGCCTGCGCCTCCGCTAGCTCCTGCCGCAGCTGCTGCAGCTGCTGCGCGGAGGAGGAGGCCAGTCGGGTGGCCTCCAGTCGGCAGGCGGCCAGCTCCTCGGACTGGTGACGGGGAGAGGGGAGGACGGGTGAGCAGGTGAGAAGGGAGGCAGGGGAGGGGTAATAATCTCCAGGAGGGGTAACAAGCTCCAACAGCAGAGCGTTACCGGTAAGCAGGAGGAGCAGGAAGGCAAGGAGGGTTGCAGTTTGGGACTTGTTGGGATTTTGGCTGAACGGCTTCAGAAAGCAGAAGCCACCCACCTTGACCCTCAGCTGCTCCCTGGCTTCCACCGCCTCCGCCTCTGCCGCCTCCGCTCTGCTGCCCGCCTCCGCCACCGCCGCCTCCGCCGCCGCCAGCCTGCCCTCCAGCGCCGCCACCTCCTCCCGCAGCGGCTGCGGCCACAGGGCCCGGGAGGACCAGGAGGCGGCGCAGCGGCGCTCCACCTCCGCCGCCACAGAGGCCTCGGCGGAGCGGGCGCGGGCCTCCGCCGCCGCCAGCTGGTCCTGTTGGAGTTTGTGTCGTACACGGTTGTGTGTGTCGTGTGTACGGCGTGTTTTACAATGTCTTTTATTACTATGTCGTTTGGAGGAAGAGTAAGCAGGTACAGCACGCTCTCCTGCCCTTCCGGACGAAACATCCTTCGCACCCCTCTCCCGGCCCTCTTACCTCCGCCGCCGCCAGCCTGTCCGCCAGCGCCTGCTCCCTCGCCCCCGCCGCCGCCTGCTGCCCCGCCAGCTCCACCAGCTGCTCCTGCAGGCGGCTGGTGGCGGCGGTCAGCTCGCAACACAGCTGCGGGGGGGAAGGGGGAGGGGGGAGGGGGAGGGGGGAGGGGGGGCGGCGTGCATGGGGTGCACGATGGGGTTGGGGTTGGGGGGTTGGCTGGGCACGAAGAGAACGCCCGCGGGGGACATATAAGGACCCGTCCGCATGAGATGCAGCAGCACGGGAGCCGGCGGGACCCTACCTCCTGCCTACAGCGCTCTCCCTCAGTTGCTCCACTACTGTAGTACCTTCCTCTACATCTCCCCAGTCCCCGTCCCCACCTTCGCCCATGAAAACAATGATGACGCCTTATCACACCGTTCGGTAGTCGTTTCCTCTTTGCCCCCCGCCTCCGCCACCCCCCCTCAAGAGTACCTTCTTGTGGTACGCCGCCCGCTCCAGCTCCCCCCTGCTGCCCGCCAGCCGCTCGCTCAGCTCCCGGTGAGCTGCCGCCAGCTCCTCGCAGCGCCCCGACAGCGCGGCGGCCTCGGACTGGGAGCAGGAGCGGAGGTGCCGCTCGGACTGGGGAGGAGGGGGGGGGCGTGCAGTGGGGGGGTAGGGGTGAAGGTGGTGGAGTGGAGCAGGAGAGGGAGCGAGTAGGAGTGAGGGTTGGGAACCGACTCCTGTTTGCCCCCCCACCCTAACTGCCCCAGCCCAACCTCCTCCTTCGGACCCTCGCCCCACCCCATCCCTCCGGCACCAGGAGCTCGTCGGCTTGTTTGCTATCCTCATTCAACACCTTGGGGTTCTTCTTTTCCCCTCCCTCAGCGCCGCACCTGCAACTCCGCCTCCAGCCGCGACACACTGCCCTGAGCTGCCGCCAGGGAAGCCTGTGGGGTGCCGGCGGTGGTGGCGGTGGCGGCGGTGGTGGCGGTGGTGGCGGCGGTGGCGGCGGGAAGAGCACCGTTGGGCACATGAGCTTGGGGAGAGCATCGGCCAAGAGAGAACGAGCAGAGAGTTGCATGGGGGCGATGGGCGCGAGGCAGCGAGCGAAGCGAGGGAGGATTACCTGCCAGCCAGCGGGCACCTCCGCAAAACACACAGCGCACGACACCTCACCCTCCCTCCTACACACGCAATCCTTTTCCCCTTCTGCCCCTCTCCTACACAGCCGCACCTACCCACCCACCCGCCCAGTGCCCCCTCACCTGCAGCTCCGACTGGACCTGTCGCAGCGCCGCCACCTCCTCCCGCGCCTCCGCCGCCGCCCGCAGTCCCCCCTCCGCAGCCGCCGCCTCCGCCACCCGAGCCGCCGAGGTCGCCGCGGCCGCCTCCGCGCGCTGCTGCAGCTCCGTCACCCGCTGCTGCGCCGCCGAGTGGTCTCGGAGCAGCGTGCGGTGCTGGGCCTGCAGGAGTGGCGAGGTGAGGGGGTGACGAGGTGTCGGAGCAGAAGGGTGTGTGTGTGTGTGGGGGGGGGGCATGTGGGGATGAGGTGCATGGAAGCGTAAACCCCCAAACCCTCCACCCCGCTCCTCCACTACGCTCCTCCACCCTGCCGCCCCCATCCCTGTTCCCCCACCTGCAGTGTCTTCAGCTCTCCCTCCAACCTGCCCGCCCGCGCCTCCGCCCGGCTGGACCGCCTCGCCTCGTCGCGTGCCGCCTCCTGCAGCTCCAACACCAGGTCCTGAAGCTGGGCCAGCTGGGAGGAAGAGGAGGAGGCGGAGGGAGCTGCGGAGGATGAGGGCTGGGCTCCCTCGCTGTGGGAGCCCTCACGCCGGCGCGAGGAGGAGATAGAGGAGGAGGAGGGGGCGGCTGTTGTTGTCGCCTGCATCAGCTGCTGCTGAGCCTGGGTTAGAGCGGTCTTGAGCTCCGAAACCTGTTTGTCGTACTGGGCGCATTGGGCTTCGAGGGCAGCTAGGTGCTGTTTGGTGGCATGTTGGGGGCCCTTTTGGGGGGATGGGGAGGTGGGATGGGGGGCGGGGAAAGGGGGCAAGTGTGAGACTCCACCACTGCACGTTTTTTAGGTGGCCCGTCTTTTAACGCCATTCAAAAAATATAATACTAACGCCGAAGGCATCATAGAGAGTAGCGAGACGAAAGGAGGAGCTGTAGGAGGGCTGGGTTTGGTTGTTAGGCGTGAGAGGTGACCCTCGGGTAACCTGGTCAAGGAGATGCTCTCGGTATGTGTTGTGCGTTGTGTTGTTCTTAGGGTCTCGTACAACTCACAATGCGTGTTAGGGCTGTCCCGGCGGAGCTCGAGGCAAGCTGTGCTAGGTCCAGATGCTCCAGATGATGTGGCGGGAGACCGAGGTGCGGGGCTAGAGAGCGAGGAGGTGTTGATGATGTTGATGCGTTCAGTGCATCTGGATGGGGGTTGGGGAGGCCGTTCGCGCCTCGCGAGCTGTCGGGCGGCCCGGCATGGTCTGCAGAGGAGCCATTGGGTGTAGCATGCTGGCCCCTGCGGAGCATACAGCGACGCAACAAACCGCCTTAGCCAGCATATGCGACGGGCCGGAAGCAGGGAATGCCAGCAGGACTACATCACAGCAAAGGGGGCGGAAAGGCAAACCGGGTTGTAGGTACTCACATCCTCAGTGAAGATTGCAGTCGTGCGTTTTCGGACCGCATCTCCTCGAGGTGGGCCTCCAGCGCTGCAAGCAGAACACTCGCAACGCCTTCGTGTGCTTCAGCAAGCTCCGCTGCTGACCGGACGTGGGCACTGACCTCCTCATCGAGCTTCGTTTCGCTGAGGCCATGTCGAAGCAGGACCTTTTTCAGCGCTGCAATTGCGTCTAATAGATCCCTTTTTTCTCTAAAATGCGCTTTTGTCAGTGCCTGGACGTCGCCTTTTTCGAACCAACGCAGCCTGCGAGCACTTTCTAGAGGCAGTCGGAGATACTGTCTATCGCCCTGTGGCGTCTGCGGCTGCACATGAGGTGCAGCGGGCGTCTTTAAGACGCCCGATATTGCGCCAACTAACTTGTCCATGAGAATTGAGCAAACAACTCGGACTCAACTGTGTAATGCAACATTCCATACAGCACTCAAGCGCATTTTGTAATGCATGTAGAAGTAAGCGTGTTAAGTGCTACTGCTATCCGGCGGTTAGCGGTCCAAGACACGGCAGGTACGGACCACCCGGCAACGGTTCGTAAGACACAATAGTACAGGTACCAAGTTTCAGCTTACTTCGGTGTAGCAATAAATGACTGGTGTGCGGCAAGACGGTATAGGGAACAGAGGGGCGAAAGGGGGATGACAGAGTGGCAGCTGTGCTCCACGGCTGCTCCATAATCGTCAACATGCAGCAATGACGGGTCTAACGGTTGAATTGGTTGGCAGACCTAGCACACGTTGAGCGTGTTACTTGTGTGGCACGCGCACGGGAGTACACAAGCAAGGCGGTCAGATGACAGCTGCACAACGCAAGGGCCAAGCAGCCATTTGAGCGCCGTACATCCTTCAAGTTCACGCTGTTACTGAAGGCCGAACTAATCCACAGTCATTATGAGTGACCTACCCCCCTGGCGAACAGCCCCTAACCTGAGCTGCCTAACCATCAGTTCACCCCCAATGTACGGCAATCTTGCATGGCGGGACAGTGCCTAAAGAACAGAAGTACGAGACCCGACACTCCCGTACAGCTAGGCACCTGGTTGTGCCCAAACGGTGGTTCGGACATGGTCCACTGCTCCACTCTTACCTGCCGGCATCTGGATGCAACCTCCCATGCATTTCAGGTACCGCACACTTGACACTTATGGCCGCACACCAAGCAAGCGGCATGACAGCAGACGATGCCCCGCTCCACGCGTTTGTTCAGTGTGTGGCAATAAACAGTACAACCGCTGGTGGCGGACACGTGCTTGCCCTAGTAGTTATCAGCCATAGTAGGTGCAGCATGGGGGTCGTGGTGAGGGTTTGTAAAGAAGAATCTGTACAAGCTGCCCTTGAGTGGGACGCATAGCATGGCAAGGATGCACAGGTAATAAGATGTATCGATGAGTGAAGTTTCTTTGCATAATTCATTCGCTGGATTCTTAGGGACTTTTTAGAGACTTGAGAGGATAAGAGAAAGGGTAATGGCGTTAGCAACAAACGAAACGCATGCTTAGTGCCCTAAGGTTAGCGCCAAAAGGCACCAGGTCAAAGAGCAGCATATACGTGGCCTTTCTTGTGACCATGAGCGTGGCCATTCAAGGCGTATATTGTGGAGCAATTTGCTGTACCACCCAAAGCAGATACGTTGTTTTATGGGTGACCACCCAGCGAGCGTATCAGGAGCGTATCGTCGTACGTATCTGCCGAGAAAATCCTGCTAGCTTGCTTCCATGGCGCGTGGGCGCCCGGCACAGCTAATGGACATTCATAGCGTTCTTGTCATCGTTTAGTTGCTAAGAATAATTCGTTTACAGTTTAAAGTGTCTTTTCTAACTACGTAAACTGGTCGCAAGGAGTTTTCAGGAGTCGACGCAGGCAAGGCAAGCGGCCAAGCATGTCCTAATAGATCTAACGACAACATTGAACCTTACAGCAAAAGGTGAGCGCGTAGCAGTAGGAACTCTACCCCTAGCGGATGCGCATTGCTGCTGGCTTGCAAGGAGGTCCAACGCCGCATATGCACAACGAAATTCCATGCATGTAACGAATATATTTCCAGCTTTACCGTTGTGTTAAACCTTGACAAGCCGTGCTGCTGTGCTTGCACACCGATTGCAGGACACGGACGAATGGAACATGCCAATATGCCAAGGGCACGTGACTGGGGTGCATCCATATCATGTGAAATCCTTCAGGCAAGTGTGGGACTCCGCATCTATTATCATGGATGATGATTGACCTGCAGGCAAGCCATGGGGGCATGTATGGGTACAGTGGACAACTACTGGCCCGCGACGCGAGCATATAGGAAGGGCGGCTACACTAATAAAAAACATAATTCTTTAGTTTTCCAGTTAGCAACGAGCAATCGGCGGAAGCAACACCTTTCCTCCCGACAACCGCCTTTCCAAACACCACGACAGGGAATAGCCAAGCACACAGGCACAGAGAGCTGGGCGACGCTTCGCTGCGTGTGTCAAAATTGGAGCCGCGGAATTGGCCTCGCAGTTAAGACCGTTCGGCTCACCATTCCAGACGGCAACACAGTCCTCGCAGCCCAACAAAATGCCACCCAGCTGGCCCCGCCGGCCCTCGGCACCCATTTGCCAGTTCGCAAGACTGCCGCTGTTGGCCGTGCGAATGGCCGCGTGGCAAACGCCGTAACCACTGCCGTATACGATAGTCAGGTGCCGGCCACAGCAGCAGCAGCTGTGATGAAGGAGGAGCTCGCGCCGTGCCCCAGCCATAGCCACCTGGCAGTACGGCAGAAGCGCGAGCAGCGGCCCTCTCATCGCTCTCCACGGCGGCGTCGCCGCCACAAGCAGCAGCAGCAAAGGAAGCAGCGTCAAGAACTATTTCCAAAGCAGAGTTACCTGCAGCCAGCAACAAACGCGGATGGTCACGGATACGATGTCTCCAGTGAGCCTCCGCACCGACGCACGTTTGGTACCAGCCAAGCAGGGTTGGTGGAAGGCTCAGAAGCCAAACGACCACTCACAAATATCGCAGAAGCTGCAGCTGCTGCAGCAACAGCGCCTGCAGCGGCAGCCGCAGCCACGAAAGCAGCTGCAGCCGCTGCCGCTGCTGCACCAGCCCAGGAGCCATGCCTGGATGCCTCAACCGCAGGCAGGAACCCGCAACTGCAGCAGCCAAGCCTGGAGCACCTGGCTTGGGTCTACAAGTTGCAACGGCATGCTGTGTTTGAGGCCGCAGCGGCCGCTGCCGACGCCGCCGCAGCGGTTGATACACCCGCACCCGCAGGAGCAGCGGACACAGCTGCAGCTGCTAACACGGACAAGGCCGCTGCAACGGGCCGGGCAACGTTACCAGCAACAGCATCTGAGGCAGACATTGCACAGGCGCATGCGATACCGGCCGCCAGCGACTCCCATGCAGCCGGCGGTGTGGCTAGCTCGGTGGGAAGCAGCCGCATGCTGGCATGGGGCTTTCTGGAGGCCGCAGACAGGCTGGGTGCTGCATTTCCGGCCTACGAAAACCTCACACTAGGGTTTTCGGAGCCGCTGCCACTGGCCGCGCTTGCTGGTGCGGGTGCTGCTGGGGTTGCAGGTGCTGCTGATGGTGTGGTAGGAGGGGCCTGTGGTGGCAGGTTGCTGCAGGTGAGCAGTGGGCGGCTGGGCAGGCGTACAGTGCCGAGTAGCGGAACTTTTGACGCCCGTCTGGATTGTTCCATAGCCTTCCTGCCTGCTATCCGTGCGTTTGCCTCTCTGGTTCCCGGCTTCCTTGCTTGCATCACATTGCGGATTACAAAAGGATCTTGACCAAGTCCTGACATCCGCGCACCCCCTCTTCCAGTGTTGAGTATTGAGCGAGTTGGGAACACTCCGTTTCCTTCTGTTTTCGACACCCTACACCCTCCTCACCTGCTTGCCCTCACGCACCCGCAGCATGAGGTGCTCTCCGCGCTGCGTCAGCTGCTCAGCGAGCGGCTGCAGTCGCTCACCCTATCCGGCTACACGCCCTATCCGCTCCTGATGACCTCGCCGGCCCAGCCTCCGCCACCACCACTGCCGATATCGGCGCTGCCTACACAGCAGCAAGGTAAACAGCAGTGCCCGACACCGCAGCACTACGCCGGCGCTGCTCGTGCGGCTTCCGAGCGCTGCGGCCGCCCTCCCGCATGGGTGCCGCTGTCCGAGGAAGAGGCGCCGTACACCGTGGCAGACGCGATGAAGGCGGTGGAAGCGGAAGCACGACGCGGGCTATCAGGAGAAGAGCGCCCAGGTCCCAGAAAGCCCCCCAGCAGCCCGGCCCCGGCGGCGGCCGCTACTGCCGGCACCAACAGCGGCATCGACAACAACGGCAACAGCAATAGCAGCCAAGCTAACAGAGGCTCATCCCAGAGGAGTGATCCTCCGTTCCGACAGTCCAGTGAGTCAAGTCATCTGGACGCCTTTCCTTTGCCAGCAGAAGATAACCGAGACAGCAGCCCCGTTGTTGTTGAAAACAGCAGCAATAACGGGGCATCTGCTGGCGACGACGCCTACCTCCAGCAGGACAGAGGGGCTACCCTTGCTCATGGCGGCGGCGGCGGCGATTCCATGGACGTTGACGTTTGCGATGCAGCTACCGTCATACCCGTCGTCGGTGCTTGCCATGAAGTTCATGAAACCAGCGATCCGCACAGTTTGCCAGGCGTCAATGACTCTGATGACAGGCCGGTTGCTAAGGGAAGAACCAGCAGCGGGGGCCCTGAAGCAGAGCGCCGTCACGCCTCTACCGCCTCCGCAGCAGCAGCCCCGGCATCCGTGTCGCCTCCTCCATCCTCCTGCTTTCCACATCCGCCGCCTCTTCCTCATTCTCCTGCCGTGGGCCCTGCTGTCGCCGCCGCCGCCGCCAGCGCTGTCCCTCCAGCCCCTCCCACTTCCGCTCCTGCTCCAGCACCTTTTCCTCCTCCTCCCCTTCCTCCCTCCCAACCGCTGCTGTGCGGTCTGACCCAACTGGTGTCCCTGACGCTCTCATGCGACCGAGGCTTCCCCGCTCCGCAGCACCTGGCCGCCCTCGCAGCGCTGCCCCGGCTGCAGCAGCTAGACATGCGGGGAGCCAAGTTCATGCAGCAGGTGGGGACGGGGGGGGGGGGTACCCGCCGGGAGCGTCATGCGGGGCAGGCAGTGGGGGGAGGGTGTGGGGTAGCCGTCAAGGGCAACATGCGGGGCCTGGGTGAGGAGGGCGCAGATAGAGCTAGCGGGGGATGGACGGGTGTGTACCTGGCAACAGCGCGCCCCTTCCTACCTCCCACTTCCTGCTCCTCCGCCCCCCCCAGGAGGACCCCTCCGCCTGCCTGCTGGCTCGCCACACCTGGCAGCGGCTGGGCGGAGAGCACCTGGCCTGCCTGGCGCGCTGCACCGCCCTCACACAGCTGCGACTCAACCAGGTAGGGGGAGGCGGGCGGGCTGGTGGCGGCGGGCTGATGATGCCGGCTGGTGGGTTCCTTGTTGCCCTGCCGTCCGTGCTCCTCGCTCCTCCTCCCCTTCGCTCCTCCTCCCCTTCGCTCCTCCTCCCCTTCGCTCCTCCTTGTCCGTCGCTCCTCCTCCCCTTCACGTTCCACACCCAACCCCTGCCCTACCCTTCCTGTTCCACGCCCCCCCCCATGCCAGGTTCACTCGGTGGCGGGTCAGCAGCTGGCGGCGCTGAGCTGCCTCACCGCTCTCACGGGGCTGGGACTCACGGACGCGCTGTCGGGGCAGCTGGTGCAGGGGGGGCACCTGCGGGTGGGTTGTGGGAGCTGTGGGGGCTTGGGGTGGTGGGGTTCGAGCTGGGGTGGACGTTAGCCTACGACAGGCACGGCTGGTATGGGAAGCCACCTGAAAGCTCTGAGCCCTTTCTTGGGAGTTAGGGTTGGGTCATCTCTGTAGGTGGATGGTGAGTTGGTGCCCGCCTGCTTGATCCCACGCTGCATCCCGCCCGGCTGCATCCCGCCCTGCTTCTCAGGATCTGGCAGCCGGACTGCCCCGCCTGCGCTGGCTGGAGCTGGGTCGCGTGACGTGCCCTCCTCTGCACCTGCTGCACGCGCCGCCTTTTCCTAAGCCACAGCCTCCGCAGCCTCAGCCGCTGCAGCCGCTGCACCCGCCTCCGGCTGAGCCAGTTCAGCCTGCGACCGAGGGGGAGGCCGCAGCTATGCCGCACGAGGCGGCAACCCCAACCCCAGCTGCGACCGGCGCTACCCCCGCCTGTGTCCCAATCGGCACCTCTACGGCAACAGCAGGGGCGGCAGCTGCGGCACCGTCTGAATCCGCACAATCGCTGGAATGGGGCCCGGCGTTGAGCTTCTTCCATAGCCTTACTTCGCTGCATTTGCAGGTGGGGTGAAATAGAAGGGGAGTGACGAAGCTGAGGTTGTGGATGCGGAGGGTGTTGCTTGTTTTGGGTTCGAAACCCGTCAAGACACATCCGCGAAATCCCGTTGCTTGAAACCTACCGGTATTCATCAGGTCATGCGCTTAGCCGACCCTTTGCCACAGGCCTCACATCAGGTTGCCCTGTTCGATGACCGGCGCAAACTCTTTCCTGCTTTACGACCTGCTATTCCCTCCTCCTCCTCCCCCTCTCATCCCCCACAACAAGGTGGCCTGCTGCTTCGAGCTGCCCCTTCTGTACGGCATTGCGTCCCTGCCGTACCTGAGGCGGCTCTCCCTGGAGCTTCTGGACTTGCCGCCGCAACACTTGACGGAATTCCTGATGGAGCTGCTCGCCATGACAGCGACGGATGCAGGGGCAGGGCCGGAGGCAGCAGCAGCGGCAGCAGCAGCGGCAGGGACTGAATGCCGCGGTGGTGGCGCAACCAACAACAATGACCCAACCGCTCAGCCCAACAACAGCCCTCGCCGGCCGCTGTCAGCAGATGCCAAGCCAACAGCAGCCGTGCTGCTGCCCGCTCCACGCCACCCTCGGCACCCCCATGGCGACTCAACACAACCAACAACAGACGAGTATGACGATGACGTCGACGAGGCGCTCCAGGACGACCATGGCAAAGCGCTGGCGTCCCACGCTGGCGTAGCTCAGGCTGACACCCTCGGCCGCGGTCGTACACTCCGCAACCTGCTCCACAGCCTAAGCCTCACCGCCTGCATGCTGTTTGAGGAGCACCTCTCACTGGTCGGGCAGCTGCACGGCCTCCGCAGCCTCAGCCTAGACCAGGTGGAGTTAAGGACGCGGGACCCTGAGGGCGGCTGGAGCTCGCTGGCCGGGCTGCGGCGGCTGCGGTCGTTTGCCTTCCGTGCGTGGAGCGACCCGCTGTTGCTGCTGTCGGCTACCAGCCTGTGTGGCAGCGTGCTGACGAGCGATGGGCTGCAGATGATGGCTGCTAACTGGCCTGAGCTGAGGCAGCTGAGCTACAGTGGGAAGGTAAGTGAGAGAGGGAAGCAGGGGGGGCTGGGCGCAGCTGGGGTTGGGCGCGTGCATGCTTGCAAGACGGGGCTGCCAGCTGAGGCCGAACGTTCCAAGTTTAACCAGCCAACCCTTAATCATAGCACGCTGGTGTTCAAAACGCATGCCCCATGTGTGCTCGTGCTCAAGTGCACCACTCCTCGGATGGGACGGCTGGTGTTGCTTGTGGCCATGCACGCCAAAACCAACTGCCAATCCCAACATTACAACCGCAGGTTGTGCTAACAGAGAAGGCCGAGGAGCACTTGCAGTACATGCCTCATCTGCAAACAGCGGACATCACTGGTACGGATGGTACGACATGCCGTGCCTGGCGCAACAAGGACAGCGGGCGGTTGCTGACTTCCTTGAGCTGGCCGTACGAGGCTGCAGCTGCCGTACGACAGCACGGCAAGGTGTCCAGTCGCAATGGATACGTGACGTACAGCGACAGTAGCGAGTTGGCTAATTCGGAGGGTTCTGAAGCGTCGGTGAACTGGATGGGGGAGGTAGGGTACGTCACGAGCGAGTATGACGCAGACTGATGATAAGGGGCTGGGTGGAACTCGACTTGGTTTACGGGAGAGGGTAGCAAGCACGACGCAAGGGCGCTGTGTCTCTGCTGCATGCAAGGACACAGCGCCCTTGCATGCAGCAGAGGCATGGCATGGCTGGGGCATGGCTTTACAATGCAACATGTTGATACGGAAGTAAGCCTTTTCCTCCAAGCAAACGCTGTTTAGGATAGGTTGTGAGCTTGTGACAAATACAAGACTTGCCTTGCCTTACAATTTAAAGTATGCATAAGGGGGGGGGGGTAAAAACGCCTTTGCCAAACCCCCATGCTAAGAAATCCAAGAAAGGGGTGCCGGACCCATCCACCCACCCTGTCGTACCATTTTTGCTGTACGACAACGCTGTAAAGTTCGCGAGCTCGCCCCCCAAAAGCACCATTCACTCCATTTTACAAGGTCTGTATATCATTCTCACGATAGACATACCATTTGGCAACATGTCCTCGAGTCACTCGCCACACGGGGGAAGGCCCCAGGCAGGCTGCCAGATTCAATGCTCTCTGGTATACAGCCGACACACCTCGCTTTCAAACTTCACATGCATTGCTGTGATGCCTTAGTGGGCGGTTGCGTTGGTCCGTGCCTCCTCCTTCAGCCACGGGTGTGTCGTCAGTACACCTGCTGTGCGCCCTCCCCCTTAAACCTTGCCCTAACTTGCGATTTTATTCGTTTGGTTCTTCTTTGAGACCCTTCCACCTTTGTCCCTGTCCCTGCCGCTTACTTTGCCTGTGGAGAAGCCATACTGTGTATGTTGGGCCAGCTAGGGTCTTCCATGGGGACATGCCACCCCACATAAATGCTCCAATATTAGCGTAAGTTGCATTTACTATAAGAGGAGTTCCTATACGATACCTAGGAAAAAAATTCGAAGGTCAAAGAAAAAAGGTTTGGCCTCCGGACCCACCTACCCACGCCTGCTGTACGACCAACTTTGGGAGCTCAAAACCTTTTCCGTACAACTCGGATTACATTTCTGAAAGCGGTTTAGGAATGCTCTCGTTGAATTCTTTTATATTGAAGCAAGGGGTAATATTGCGGCGAAACTACGCCCCCCTGGCGTATCGGTCATATGATGAAAAGTTGGAAATTACTCATTAAAGTTGGAAATTATTAATTAAAGGATGTTGTGCCTAGCTTTGAAGGTCCAGACCAATACGACGCTTGTATGCAATATCGAACACTGCTGGCGGCTTGTCTCCTGCTGTAGTCAACGCATCATCACGACAGGACACGAGGACAGGCTTTACCGCAAACAACCGACCTTACTATAACTCTATTTATGATGCTTTTCTGGCAAATGAACCCAAAGCCATGTTTCCGTGATTAACTGGTTGCGCTTCGAGCCTTGCTCCGGCAATATGAATGCACTCGACTTGCACCGTTGTTAATATAACGCGCTTGCCGTAAACACCTAAAATGCGTGTACCGGATGTCTTTAGCGAATTGCCAGTTACACCTCTCGCCGCGGCGGCTAGGCATGCGGCCGCCGCCGTGGATATCGATACTCTGGCCTTTCGCGTGGCCGACGCATTACACGCAGTGGGCTTGCTAAGCTGTATGGAAGATGCGAACGTATTGTTCGGCTACCGCAGCGGCGACAAAGGCCAGCTTGCAGCCTGCCAACGTGATAGTAGTGACGATGTCAACAACAACAGCAGTCGTTGCGGGGGCAACGCAAGCAGCAATGAAACTTCCAGTCGCGCCGATTGCCAGCATGGCGCGGGGCCAACCGACTGCGCGGCCTCGGGGCTTGGGGTTTTCCCGCATAATGATTCCCTGCTGCAGTGGGAATCTTCTCCTCCTCGTGTTGCGGCTTCCTGCGTAGTTGAACATCGTCTCGGCAGTGAAGTACAGACGCCGCAGGGGAACCCCACCGCAAACCCTGTTGCTGCTCAACGTGATAAAAAGCTAAAGCAGCAACGGCTGCAGCAGCAACAGCAGCAGGACCCCTCTCAAATAAGCAAGCACCCGCAGCCACAGCATCCCAGCGCGCCTACACGACCCCAAGAGATGGTTGTGCACAATCAGGCGCAGTGTTTTCAGCAGCAACGGCCGCCAAAGCAGCAGCAGCAGGAGCAGCCACCGCTACCGCCGCAACTGCGACAGCAATCACAACTGGCGCACGACAACCACAACCGCCAGCAACACCACCACCTGCCAAACAAACGGCCGCATGCGGATTTACCGCAGGGTGCACCGCCCGCCAAGGTTCGGCATCTGGAGGACTCCTCCCGTCTCTGGACCCTGGCCACCATAGCCGCACAACATGCGAGCCAAGCGGATGGGCGCGATGAGGCCGAAGACGACCTGCAACAGCAGCAGCGGGATGCGGCCCCTGCAGGAATCTGCAGCACCCGGAAAGTCCAGCGGGTGTGCCAGGGGGCAGCGCGCCGGGAGCCATGGCGCGGGCAGCCGCTGCTGCCGATGCCGCAGCTGGAAACGCCTGCAGCGTCAGGAGAGGTGCACTTTCAGTTCGGCCTTCAAATGCTTAGAGCCAAAATGAAACGTATCTGGTCCATCCCACCTTCACGTGGACCTAGGAAGATCGCGCCAAGCACGGCCTCCTCCCTCGCCAGCACTGCTAATGTCACCGCCAGCTCAATCTCTCCTACAGCGGCGGCAGCTGCACCTCTCCCATCCGCTGCTGCCGCTGCTGCTACCCCTCCTGCCACTGCCGCTGCCTGCAAGCTTGGAACCACTCCCGATGCAACAAATCACCCGGGCACACCCGTACAGCGCACCCGGCAAAACCCCCAGGTACTGGCCCAGTGCTTCTGCGATGCAGTGGATAAGATAGGTTTGAGGACATCGGGTTCCAAGATTCTAAATGTCATGCAAAACAACCCACGGGCCAGCGACCAGCCCTTCTCTCAGCAGCAGGTGCAAAGGCGCTTAGGGAATTATTGGGAATGGCTGAAGGAGTGCGCCGGCCTTCCTTCAGACGCACCAATGCGCTGGTCTGGCGTCGAGCAACTGATGGTGCAGACACATAAGGTGAGGAACGTGGGGTGAACTTGTGGGCAAAGTGCGGTGGATGCATGGAGGGTTGTCGCATTTCTTCCTTGAATGCCCTACCAATACGCATACCCCTACATGCCGCTATGGGTGCTTCAGCAATGTCGAGTAGCTCTACGAACTGCTCTTCATGTTATGAACCCCGAGGAAGGCGAGTCACATAGTAGCCAAAGGCCACACACACACACAGAGGCGCTCGCTGCCATTTATGCGTGAGAGAGCGAATGGGAACATGCCTCGCTCATCATCACGTGAAGCAGGCATTCGCCAGCTGCACTATGACCTCAACACCAATGCGAATATCTGTCCAGCCCGCACTCGGTGTATGTTCCAACCTATACAAATCATCACTTTGTGTCGGTTGTGCGTGCCACGCGTGTCCACGCTCCCTTCCTGCTGCAGGCCTTCATGCAGTTTCTGCGATACCCGGAGCTGCTCCCCAGCGCTGCAGCCGTCATTGCTGCTGCGACTGTTGTGTACGAGGCTGAGGCGCGGGTCCGCAGCGGGCACACACCAGCCCTCTTACCACCAAGTGCTAGGCAGATAACAGTTACCACTGGCTGCGCCCCTCTGGGGCAGTCGGCCCCTGTGATGCAAGCAGCAGCACCTGTGGCACCACCACCAGCCGCAGCACTGGCAGCACCAGCTGTTGCAGCAGCGGCAGCGCCACCAACAGCAGCAGCACCTGTGGTACCGCCACCCACCCAACCACGAGCATCAGCGGGACTGCCAGCAGCAACAGCAACAGGAGGAACAACCCCACCAGCCGCAGCAGTGGCTGCTGCTCCCACTGCTGGTTCACCTGCTGCCACTACCGGCACATCAGCGGCAGTGCCACGCATGGCGGCGGCTGCTGGCTACCGGGCTGTGCAGGGCAGCCCTCACGACCGCATGTTGGAGCTTCGGCATCAGCAGCAGCCGCAACCACAGCCGGCCAGGCAATTCTCATGCCGGCAGCCTAAGCCGCAAGCTCAGCCTCAACAGCAGCCTCAGCCTCAACAGCAACCCCGGCCCCAACAGCAGCCTCAGCTGCACCTACGGTCTCAGCAGCCACAGTCGCACCAAGAAACCAACCCACTGGAGGCTTGTCAACAGGCATCGCAGCTTGCATTTCTGTTCCAGTGGGCATTGATGCACATGCAACGATGAGTGCTCGGCTCACTCTGTCACTCACGTAGGACGGTGGAGAGTAGGGTGGTGCATCCGGCTCATTACTGGTTGGAGTTTTGAGGTTTTGCGTTTGGCAAAACCGCGAAAAGGCTTACACGGGATGGCAGGAACCCTATAGGTCTAGGACACATCCTTGAAGACTGGGGCTGGGGCGGGTGTGCCCAGCCTCTTAGGCAAAGCAGAACGTTTATTTGCACGTTGACTGTGGCAGGAGTGCTTGCATGTTTAGGAGTGCATTAAGCTTTGCTGGCATTGGCCAATCCTAATGGCTGCTAGACCGAGTGCGGCCACTAGTGCACAGTTGCCCACCGAGGGAATGGTGGCAAACCTTCCGCATTGTATTGCAGAGGCAGCAAAATAGCATGATGGCGTTCTTAAAGCCTTGTGTTCATGTGTTCGCGGTCAGTTATTTACACGCTCCTAACGGCCATGCCTGAGCAACTTGTCGTACTCGCATGACAGATTGACGGACGTTGCAGATGGCCGAGATAGGTACAGGTCAAAGCTAACCCATGTTTTATAATTCATTTTAGCCTTTTAAGCAGGGTTACGCAGTAGACTAATGTGGGACAAGTATGCGCCCGAGCGCTTATGAAATTTTTGGAATCATCCACAACGCCACCGGTTGATTAGCCAACGAAAATGCGGCTTACACATTTTATACATTAGGACAATGACGGGTCTGCTGGTCGCATGTAATATGGTGGACTCTTAACTGACAGCCAGCCGGCGCACCCTTGCATTTACCTTGGGCCGCTCATTCTTGGCGACGAGTAACGAAGATGGCACCCCATATACTTCCTAGCGATCTCGCAAATGCCGCTATGCTCGCTGTCGAGACCGTGGATACCAGCACCCTGGCTGGTCGTGTAGCCAACGCTCTACATTTTTTAGGGCTTTTGGATTATGTGGACGATGTCCGCGAATTGCTATGCTACCATAGCGGAGAGGTCATCCACAGTCCCATGCCCAAGCGCGAGCGAATTGAGGACCATTATGGCAAATTTTCTGGCGAAGACGACGAGAGACATACTCCAAACATTCCCCACAACCAGTATGCGGAATGTGTGGATTCTTTGGAGGATGGCGGCCTAAGGCTCACGGCCACACTTAGCGACAGTGCATCTCAAATGAGGCCCTTCGCTGGTCCACAGAAAGCAAAGGATGTTGCCACATGCCTTGACACGGACACCTTGCTATCCCAACAGCGCACGCAAATTCAAGGACGGCAGGCTCTTCAAGAACTTTCTCGGAACTTTCACCTGCAGCATCCCTTCACCATGACGCATGACCAACCCCCACCACCAGGGCTTCCCGTGCTTCTACCGCGGCCGCCACCACCACAGCAGCAAGGGCTGGTACAGCAGCAGCATCAACCTCAACCCTTGCGTAACCAGCATCCGCACCTCCTCGAGCACCTACAGCCGCCACCACCGCAGCCAACGTCCCAGCCACTGCAGCTGCCCCTCAAGCGGCCGCCGCAGGGCCCTGCAGGGCAGCAGGCGCCAGCGGCCAAGTTCCCCCGCGGTGACGAAGGCTGTCGCCTGTGGCAACTAGCTGCAATTGCTGGGGATACCATTAGGGCGGAGAATAGCTGTGAGGCTGCGGCCGCGGCGGAGGGAGCCGAGGATGCGGGTCTACGGGTCGCCGGTTCCGCTGGCGGCGCCGCCGTCCGTCGGACAGTGTCCGGACCGACGGCGGCGAGTGCGGCGCAAGCCCAAGCTCCGGTACCAAGCACTGCGAGCGGCTCAACGAACGCGACCCGCAAACAATGGCCCGAGGTGTTGCGTGTGAGCTTTCAGGATGCAGTGGAGAAGCTGGGCGTCAGCACATGCTGTGGCATGCATGTCATGAGAGTGATGCGTGCTGACCCACGGGTCAGAGGTTTGAAGTTCACGCTGGCCCAGGTCTCCAGGCGCTTGTATGTCTACAAGCAGAAGTTGCCGGGGGCCACACCTGCGACGGGTGGGGCGCCCTCGGCCATGGAAGAGGGGCAGGCGCCGGCAATAACCCACAAGGTAGGGAAGGGGAGCGGGGAGCAGCTGCCGGGATGAGTTATGGGAGGCAAGTACAGGTACCGGTAGTAATGCAAGGCACCATTGGTCACTTTAAAGCACCCCACCTTTCGCAGTTGGTTGCACCTTCGTCCAGTAACAGTAGTGCCCTGAACCCGCATTTCCACGACCCCGCCCGATATCCTTCCCGCTGTAGACCTCCGTGATGGAGCAACTGCATTCCAGGGCCGCTTCCGACCCAGGGGTCATTCCTGTGCACTGGGTGGGTCCGGACCCGTATCAACAGCAACAGCTGCAACTGCTGCAGCAACAGCAACAGTTCCATGACCGGCTGGTGCAACAGCAGCTGCGGCTGCACGGGCCTTACCTCTGGCTGCAACAGCAGCAGCTGTTGCGAGGACGCACCCCGGCGCCCCAGCCGACATCACAACCTGTGGGCTCATCTGCGGTCGTTGCTGCTCCTTCCGCCGCGGCTGCGGTGCTAGCGGCGGTGGCAACCTCCGCACCTGCACCCGCACGTATGGCCGAGGGAGGAGCAGGAGCAAGCGGCATGGCGGTGGCCGCTACCGGCACCGCCGCTGCCGCATCAGGACCAGCACCGTCACTACCAATCCCTGTCATCATCCCACGGGCGCGGCCGCCACAACAGCCCCCTCAGCCGCCCCAGCAGCCTCAGATGCCGCCTGCATTCACCCTCGCGCAGCTGTTACAGCACTTTGCGAAACAGCAGAAGCCGCAATTGCAAGCCCAGTAGCAGGTGCTTAGGAGCTGCAGGCGCGCGCTGGAGGAGCGGAGAAACATGTAGCTGGTGTGTAATAGATAGGTACGTGGCGTGCCCTAACGTTTGCGTGCATGGCGGTCATGAGGCAGTCGCTTGTGACACGATGAGATGTGCATAACCTGCCGGTACCAGAGCGATGCGGGGCGCGGACCCAAGCGAGTGAAGTGCACTCATTTCTGTGTCACGGGCTTAGGAGCGGCGCACCATAGCTAGGATCGTACCTGCGAGAAAGTGGGATACGGGGCAGGCCCCAGCACGTGCGTTAGGTCCACAGCAGCGGGTGCTTAACGTGGAAGTTGGTGTTTACTGTGCAGGGTTAGTATTTCGTTTGCTCAAATCAAGCTTTTCGGGATAATATCGAATTTTTCTACAACGCAGGGCGGCTTGCATGAAGGCAAGGCGCGGCTTCGTTTTAGTCGGGTGTTACACGGCCTGAACAGCCTACCTTCGTAAACCGACCCGTACTGTCGTACATGTCTAGCCTTGACAGCGGTACATTGCCGCTGTTTGCTTTGGGGTTTCCTGGGCAACCCCGGCGTAGCCAAGCAAACTATACCAGTTTAAACCCCATACAACATGCTATCGTACAGGCGGGAAACATAGCGAACTGTGGGTAGCGTTTAGGCGCCTGGCGCAGTGAAGACTCTGATGATTGAATCTGTCTGTGAAGACTGAGGGCTACATGTGTCTTGCGTTACTCCTTTGTTGTTGAGGATATTGATGGCACATGGTTCGTCATCCTGTTGCCTAAAAGGCCGTGCACTTTGAGCTTTGACGCAGTTTTAGTCAACTGCGGCATGCGGCAAGGGCTTATGTTCTGCCACCTTTGCCTTCCTGCGTACGGCATGTACATGTTCTTTGCTCACGGGACCTTTTCATGTTGCCAAACAACAACAACAACACAGAAGGTTACAGTTGTATGCAAGCACTTGCGGGTTGCAAGCCCAACCTGCTCAAGATGTTGTGGCTTGGTCGGCATGCCCGCCGCGGAGCAACATTGATGCAGATCCCGATGCAATGTCAGAGGCTGCTCACATGCAACTAATCACATTGTTACCACTATCCATATCCTATTTGACGCCTTATCACTAACTCCGACTTTCATCTCAACCCTCTCCTAGCGCAACAGCAACCCACATCCCCTCGTCATGTCCTCTTGCCAAGGCAACTTCAACCCCTCCCAAACCCCACACGTCTATGTGTGGGGCTCAAGCGTCAGCCAACAACTCATCCAAGGAGACAGGATCAGCACAGCCGCCAACTCATGGAGCTTTAGTACGGCTTGTACTTCGACTGCTGCTACTAGCCCAACAAAAATAGCTAGACCCAATCCTATAATCCAGCCAAATGCGGAATCTCCAAGCTCTCTTAATCCCCTCCCCCATCGCCTACATCCGTAGCCGCCCACCTCCCTCCACGCCTCTCCCTAGCAGCATGCGCCCCCCGCGCATGCCCCTCCCCCCGTACCCGCACTCGCAGTGGGGCTCCCAGCGGCGGCTGGCTTGGGTCCGCCGCCGCAGTCGAACTGCCCGAAGTGCACTGCCCGGTCGCCGATGACGGTGAAGTGCGGCGCCAGCCAGGTCTCACCCACCATGGAGGCGGTGTTCCCACACACCAGCATGGGCTTGTTGGTGACGAACCTGGGGGGGGGGTGGACACAGCAGCAGCAGAGTTGTGCAGGATTGCCTTGTGCTAACCGCACTGCCAACAAGCAAGCAAGCAGCCCAACCTCCGCCGTCCCCCCCACCCCGCACCGCCTGGCGCCCCACCTACCTGTGGTGGTCGTCCAGGTCGTATGCGTGCGGGTAGCCTGGGATGCTGCCCTTGTACACCGCAACCTGGCAGGGGGGAGCGGCATGACGCATGAGGGGGAACGACGCATTCAGCTGCAGGAGGTGGGAGGGGCAGGAGGTGGGTGATTGTACGAAGAGAGGGGAGCAGGATGGATGCAATGCGAACCATGGGACATGCACTTTCTCGGCAGGTACGGCAAGTAGCTGCAAAACCTCCTCTCCCCAGGCTCTGCTCTCTGCTCAAAGTCCCCTCTCATCCTGCCACACACCTGTCCGTAGTCCTCGCACAGGTCCTCAATCTGGCCGGGCACCTTGAAGAGGCGGTAGGTGATGCTGAAGAAGCGAGCCTCGCCCACCAGATCCTTGGGGGGGGGGTGGGTTGAGGACGGGAAGGGGAGGGAGGGAGGGGAAGCTGAGGCGGCCGGTGGGAAGAGGCATAGCCGGCGAGCGGCAACTGGCAAGCAATTGCTTTCCATCACAGGCCCGCTTTACAAAAACCGTTACTCTCCTCCCTTTTCCTTTCTCGTTCCCTGTCCTCCCTTCTTCCTCTGTCGTTAATCTCGTAATCAACCCTGGTCTCATTCGCATCTCCCTCCCTCCCCTCCTCCAGACCACCTTGAGCTCCGGGTCGGTGATGCTGATCTCCTCGCACTCCAGCTGCCGCGGGTCGGTGAAGCCAACCTGGGGGCGGGCGGGGGGGGAGAGGAGCAGCAGCAGGCGGTGGTGGTGGTGACAGGTGTGCGGCAGCGGCGGCGACAGGTGCAGGGTGAGCAGACAGGGAGAGGGCCTTCTGGCACCGGCACAACTCCCGGCACCTCTTTCCAGCCCCCCGCCACAGGCTCTATCGCCGCCTGCCCTCCTGCTGCCCTAACCCCAACCCTGCCCCAACCACCACCACTCCACCACCCCTACCTGCAGCCCCCATCCCCTGCAGCCCCCATCCCCCAACCCCTGCAGCCCCCATCCCCCATCCCCTGCAGCCCCCATCCCCCATCCCCTGCAGCCCCCATCCACCTGCAGCCCCCATCCCCCAACCCCTGCCCCCCTGCCGTACCTTCCGGCACAGCCTGATGAAGTCGTTGACGTACAGCGCCCCCGCCAGACACTCCCCCAGCAGCACTGGGTGAGTGCGCACCGCAGCGGGCAGCCGCCGGTCGCAGTAGACGTCGGAGAAGTGCATCTCGCCGCCCTTCTCAAGCACGCGGTATGCCTCTGACAGCACGCGGGCCTTGTCCGGGGAGAGGTTGATCTGGGTCAGGAGGGGGGGTTGGGGAAGGGGTTTGGAGGTGGAGGGATGGTTGAGGTTGGATCCATGCGCTTCCATCTGGGTCGGGTGCTGGGAGGCGTCGGGTATGGAACCATGGAGGTGATGGGTTACATACGGTGCCGGTTCCGGTACCCAATCCCTTCCACCCCCTCCCTCCAGCTCTATCCTCTACCCCGCTTCATCCCCAGCCTCCCTCCCCTAGCAGCCTCCACCACCCACCCGCCCAACCACCAACCACCACCCGCCAACCTCAACCACCAACCACCACCCAGCCGCCCTCACCACGCAGTTCGAGATGACCAGGTCCACCGAGCCATCCTCGATACCCGCTCGGTCCAGGTACTCGATCTCGCCCCGCACGAACCGCATGTTGCAGCCGGGGTAGCCCAACGTGCCACGGCAGTAGCTGTCCGCGTGTGCGGTGGCCACCTGCAGTTGAGCCTCCGTCATGTCCACACCTTGGGTGATGGGAGGGGGCAGGGAAAGACACAGCGTGGGGGGCAGGGATTGGGGAGGGAGAGGGAAGCTTGAAGCGAAGAGAGAGAGGTGCGTGTGACGGCTGCTTGGGTGCGATACGATTCGGCTTCCAGGACCCCGTCTTCCTTATACACCCTGACTTTGCAACCGTTTGCCGCACCCAACCCCAACCCCAACCCAATCCTTCCAGCCCCGCCCCATCCAACCCACCGATGACGCTGCCCTTCTCCCCGACCAGCTTAGCCGCCACATAGCAGTCCCGACCCGACCCGCAGCCCAGATCTAGCACGCGCAGCCCTTCGATGCCGGCGGGGATGGGGTTGCCGCAGCCGTAGAACTTGTCCTTCACCTCCGCGGGTACGGCAGCCAGAGCTGCGCGTACGGCAGGCGGCGGGGGCTTGCAGGCTGTGCAGGCTGAGGTACGGAGGTCGCCGGTGGAGCGGAGGGTCTGGAAGTGGGGGCACAGCAGGGGAAGAGAGGTGGCGTGGGTGGGTCCTGGCATGAAAGAGAAAGGATAGGATATGGGTCGGAAGAGAGCAGCAAGATGTTGTCAATTAAACGTCTCCCGCTTGCGGTACTACCCTGAACGGTGCGAAGGCCTTGACATAGGCCCCATCGGGTGAGCCAAACCCAGATTTCGAGAAAGCAGCCTACCTCCCCGTAATACGTTTTCACGGACTCCTTGACAGCAGCTTGATCCGATCCCAGCTGCTTCGCAGCTGTGAGCTCCGCCAGAGCAGCCGGTTCCATCGGTGCCGTGGCCATCGCTATCTTTGCTGGAGTGTAACCAGCGTAATTCAATTGGGCAGGAAGTTAATTATTCTTTTAAGTTAATGGTTTGCAAATGATCTATGAAGTACCACGTAAGACCAACTCCTATGAGCGTTGCTCAAGCAGAAAAGAACTAGGCTTTAGCGTAGTAGATGTCCTTACAGATGCGGGCATGGCCTATAGCGTGATAACGTGGAGGATAGCCAGGATAAGGATCCGCACCTTGCCGAGGGTTGTACGAAGGAGACATCTGACGAAGTATTGATGAGGGCGCGTTAAGGTCAGGAAGCTTGTTCAGTTCTCGTGCCTCTATTCGGCACCTCAAGGCTGAGGGGCGAAGCGCGACGAACATAGTAGTGCGTAGCCGCAGCGCAGGCTTCCGCAGGTGTGGGATTAGCTAGGTATTGAGCAGACACTCTCAAGAGCAGTCGTAAATGTTTATGATTAGAGGCTTAGCGCCCCACCCACAAAGCTCTGACCTAAACATCGTGTGCACTGTTCGTGTAGTATGACTAAGCAAACGATCCGCGGACGACGCTTTCGGGATAGATAAGTTGTGCGCTGTCCATTCTTTAGAAACCAGCAGTCACATCGTAGTCCACAACGCCTGCAGACGCATTGCGCAAAGCGCTACGCGCTCAGATTGTTCTGTACGGCGGCCACACCACCCTCAGCTGCACGCACCTAAGCCCCTATGCCGAGGACATTTCGGTCCAGGCTTCACATCATTAACATAGCTCTCCCCCAAGTCCCATCCCCTAACGCAGTCAAACTATCGTCACGGTTGGTCTGGAGCCCCACCGCTTAATAGCTAAGGTGGCAGTTGCCAGGAATACATACACTCCGCACAGCGCGTTAACCGCGTCTCCTATCACATGCACAGCGCGTTAACCGCGTCTCCTATCACATGCACAAGAAACTAGTAAGGTCACAGCAGCCGCCCCTAACCACGTCGAAACCACAGTAGCTACATCGTATGTACACATGGGCAATAAATGGGTCGTCCACACATCACCTCCAGTTCTGACACCCTCGAACAAACTCTCACACTATCATGCCCTGCCACGTCTCCTCCTCCTCTGCGCCCCCTCCCTCCTCCTACAGCATACGCCCCACCCCTCAACACTGCGTACCGCCCATCTCACAAGCCTCCGCACGCCTATGGTTTGGTATGGTCTTTGTCCCCCCTTCCACCCATCCTCCTCCTCACAGCTTGACTCCGTTGTTCTTGGCCCACTTGCGCATCACCGCCACGATGGGCTCGCACTGGTCGGCGCTGTTGTTGCCGCGGAGCAGCGTCACGATGTCGCGCAGCGTGTCCTGGCGCGTAGCAGGGGACGAAGGAGGGGGAGGGGGCGGGCGGGGATAAACGAACTGTCAAGCCACGGAGTCCCAATCCCGAATTCCGACTCACGTAGTGAGCGCGGGGGTGGTTGGCGGTGGGAGAGGAGGGGTAAGCACGGTCCGCCGCGCAACGCATGCATGTCCGTTTACCATGGGGTTTACAATACAGTGTCCTGCGACTGCCCTCTGACTTCACGCAACTGCCCATGCCTCAACGTGGGCGTGGTGCGTACACCCCCATAAAGCACTTCCCAACTCGTGCCCACTTCCACCCCGCCCTCCTGCCCCACCCCGCCCTCCTACCCCACCCCGCCCTCACCTTGGGCTCCTTGGCCGCCACGATCATCTGGAAGGCCCCGCACGCGGCGCCCTTCTTGCCCTCCAGGTACTCGGGGGCGGGGTCCAGCCGCTCCAACACGTCGAACGCCTGGGCAGCAGGGGGTGGGGGGGGGGGAAGGGAAGGTTGGGAAGGAAGGGAGGAAGGGAAGGAAGAGAGGAAGGGTGTGAGGGAAGGGAGATGGGGGGCATCAAGGGTGTGCAGGAAGGGAGACGGAGGACATGAAGGCTGTATGAGAAGGAGGGAGGAAGACATGAGGCATCCAACCGGCGTGCTGTAACCTCTGCTAACCGTGCCCGCTGCAACATGTGATGTACCTCAGCCGCAGCTCATGGTGAATGACGGTGCCAGCGTGTCATGCCTGGACCGACGGACGAGTCGCCCGCTCCCAGTGCTTCCCACGTCCCGTCCCGATCCTAAGAACGGCCCCGATCCCAAGCCCAGTTGTCCCACCGCGCAACCTGCCACCGGTTCCACCCACGCCTACAATTCCCCACTTCCCCACCCGCCCACCTCCACCCGCTCTACCTTGCATGCGAAGTAGAATGCTCCCATCTTGTAGCAGTCGTTTGCGATGAGCTGCAGCAGCTGGTAGGACTCGTCGTTGGTCTCCAGGCGCAGGTACAGGTCCCAGGCCATCCGGCTCTTGCCGTTCATGATGTAGCAGCGGGCCAGCCAGGAGAGGTAGCAGTACTCGTTCCTGGGGGCGCGAGGACATGAACAGAGGGATGAGGAGGAGAGGTGCATGAAAGGACGGAGGATGAGGAAGAAAGGAGGAGAGGACAGAGGAGGCAGAGGAAGGGGGAATAGGGCTAATGGTAGTAAGTAGTGAGGGGTAACGCTGTAAAAGCACATTGTGACAAGACGGTGACAGCCACGCAACGACTTCTTTCTCCTTACGCAGCCCCATGCCTACCCCGTAGTTGTGTCCTGCACACCTTCGGCCCCTCACCGTCCGTTCGCCCGGACCGGTCCCCCCCCGCTCCCACCCTCACCTGTACTTGTCGTTCTGGATCTGCAGCAGCGTCTCCTCCGCCTCCTTGTACTTCCCGGTGGCGGCCTTGGCGATGCCCATGTTCCAGTTGAAGTCGTCGTCGTTGAGGAAGTAGGTCTTGATGGACTGCGCGGAGGAGGGACCGGAAGGTGGAGGTGGCGGAGGGGAAAGAGTGGGGGTGACCCTGTTCAATGCATCGTACATGCCTCCATAACCCAAGTACCCCAATCCCAGTGGGCGACATCCTGATATACGCATATACCCAGTCCCCTGCTTGCTGTGGGCACCTCACCCGGCCCCATTTTACCACGATTGCCGTCACCTAACCACCCAGTCCGTTCTCCCATCATTATCTTTCCCAAACGCCTTTCCACTCCGCCACCCCCCTCTCCCCGCCTCCTCATCCCCCGGTAAAGCCTCGTCATCCAGTTCGTCAGTTTTCCTTATTTTCACTCCCCTCGCCTCCTCCCTCGCCTCCTCCCTCTCCTCCTCCTCACCGACAGGAACACCAGCACGTCCTCAAACTGCTTGAGCAGGAAGAAGCAGGAGGCCATGCACTGGCGGCCGGGGATGGTGTCGCACTCGGAGGCGGAGGCGCCCACCAGCTGGTAGTACTGCTGCGCCTTCTTGAGGTGCTCGGGGTCGCCCTTGGCCTGGCCCAGCATGGCGTGCACGACGGCCTGAGGGGGGAGGCGGTGGTGGTGGGGTAGAGGCGGGATGGAGGCGGAGGAGGCGGGATTAGGGAGGAGGAGGAGGGGAGGGAGGAGGAGGAGGGGGAGGAGGAGGGATTAGGGAGGAGCGGGTTTAGCTGTAGGGAAAACCAGGAAGTTGTGTGGTGGTGGTGTGGGGCGGATGGGGTTCACCCGGCACTACCCTCCCTACCGCCTTCTCCCCACCGCCCGCCCCCTCTACCGCACCCCACCTTGAGTATGAACTCTGGCGGTGTGGAGGGCTCCATGTCCTTGATCAGTCCGTACGCCTCGCCGATCTCGTGGTGCCGCAGGTGGTGGATCACCAGGTTGAGACGCGCCTCGGGAGGGATGTCGCCCAGCGGGGGGAGCACCTGCAGGAAGGGGGAGAGAGGGAGTTTGGGTTGCTAGGGTAGCAGGGCGAAGGAGAGGTAATGCCACGGACCATGCATGCAGCTACCCGCCACGGCCGGCCGCCTCCCAACTCCGGCCTCCCTCTCCTGCATGCACTTCCTCGGTCCTCACAGCTCTCACCCTCATCCCTACCCTCAGCTCCGGCTCTTCCTTCCTCACTCCCCCATATCATTATCATACCACACTTTGGAATTTCTTTTTTTCCCCCAACCAATGCCCACCCAGCTCAACAGTTCTACTTATTTTTTTCTTCTGGATGTTCTACTTAGTTTCAACCGCCTCACCTGCAGCGCGTTCTCCCCGCCCCGGAACACCACCATGCCCACCCACCTGCAGCGCGTTCTCCCCGCCCCGGAACACCACCATGCCCACCCACCTGCAGCGCGTTCTCCCCGCCCCGGAACACCACCATGCCCACCCACCTGCAGCGCGTTCTCCCCGCCCCGGAACACCACCAGGTTGTGGCGGATGAGGTCGTGGTCCAGGTGCTGCCCGCCGCTCAGCTCCGCCAGCGTCTTGAGCTCCGCCTCCGCGGCCTTGCCGTTGTACATGCGGAAGTGGTTGCAGGCCTGCATGCGCGCAGGGGGGTGGTGGGGGAGGGGGGGCGTACAGGGTTTTTTAGGAACGGGGTTGTGGGAAGGCCGAGGAATGGTTTAGGTCACGTCAATGTATGCGGGTTGTGTCAGTTGCGTTTACCGCAAACGGCGGACGGGGTACTTGTTAGGATCCACATCTAGCCACCCTCGCATGGGACCCGCGTGGGCGGTCCCTCCCTTCGCTCCGCTGCGTTGCCGCGTTATGTACCGTATGTACTGTATGCTGCCCGTCCCCATCATGACAGCTTAGCCACACTTAGCCACGTCAGCTTACAGCCGCATGTAGCCTTTATTGAAGCACAACCCTGACACCGGCTCCATGCGCGTCTTTAGCACCTTCACGGCAGCAGCTTTTCAACCACCCCCCTCCCCTCAAGTCCACCACCCAGAGCCGCCTGCCTCACCTTGAGGTTGACCGCGATGGCGCTGTCCTGGAATGCGTTTAGGTAGACCCCCAGGATCTCCAGGCTCACGTCGTAGTAGTCCAGCTTGCAGTAGCACAGCGCTACGTACACCTGCGGGGCAGGGAAGGGGCGGAGGAGGGGAGCAGAGAGGGGGCGAGAAGGGAGGTGAAGAAGGAGAAGAAGAAGCACCATGCGGTAAACGGCAGTAAAGAAGGAGGAGGCAGCAGGAAGGTCAGAGGACTCGTGGGGGAAGGTGTGCAGAGGGAGGAAGAGGGCGGCATGCCAACAGCTCCAGTCCAACCCTCCGGCTACAGCCCCGGGTGCCCCCGGGCTGCCGTACACCAGAGGCCGGTTCCAAGCCGCCGCCCTGACGCACGCATCACAACCACACATGGCCGGGCTCATTACCCCCCTTCCTACCCAGCAATGGCCTGGCAGCCCCTCCCCTTTCCCCTCCCGTTGCGCTCTACACAACCGTGGCGTTCTCGCGACCCCTCCTCATCCCACTGCGTGTCATAACGCCTGCAAGCCCTCCGCCTGCAGCGCCCCATCACCCGCAGTGCCAGCCGCATCACCAGCCGGCCCCACTGCGCCCCGATGCCCTGTCGCCAGCCCCTCCACCTCCTTCCCCCCTCCCATCTTGAGCCCCCCCCTCGGCAGCCCCTTCCCCCTTGCCTCTCTCCCCTTATCCCTGTTAACCCACATTGAGTGCCAGGTAGTCCCGGTGCTCCAGCAGCAGCCGCTTGTAGATGTCCGTAGCCTGGCGGAGGGGGGCGGGGAGGGGAGGGGGCGGCGAGGTGAGTAGACGGGTGGGAAGGGCTGTACGCGTTCGTGGCATGATCTGTGGACGACGACTCCGTAAGCAACTTCCTGTAGATATGCTTCTGGTGACGTGACTTATTCACCAAACCGTTGATTCGATCTGGGTCAGCCAGCGCAGCGCCAGCGCCTTACCTAACAACCATTCCCAGCGTACCCTCCCCACTCCATGCATCCAAGCAACGCCCGTGCAACCTTGGCCATCCGCCCATCCCCTCTACTAGCAACACTCTTCTCTCTTTCTCGCTCACCTCCTGGAAGTGGCTGCGCTGGTAGTGGATGGAAGCCAGCGTGAGCTGGTCCTCTATGGAGTCAGTGAGCTGGCCGTGGTAGGCCATGAGCTTGTCGTCATTGCCCTGCCGCTGCGCGCTGTGGAACAAGATGCGCGTCTGCAGCGGGCACTTGGGTCCCTGGGGAGGAAGGAGGTGGGAGGGGAGGGGATGGTGGGAGAGGGAAAGGGAGGGTGAAGGTGGGTCCGGGAGTTGAATGCGTGTACAAGCGTGGCTCACGCGGCGCTTGCCCTGCTCTGAAGCCACGTACAGTTGTGGTGGACTTCATACGGTGCGCAGATGCACAACCACTGATTCCCGATTGCCCCAAAGTTGCCACCCCGAAGCACCTGCTGCGCTATGTCCTCAGCCTCCTTGTACATGCCCATGTAGTAGTGGCAAGCCGCTGAGTACACGTAGTACATAGGGTCCGGGTCATCGTGTGTAAGGAGCTCCTTGTAGATTGCCAGCGCCTGCGGAGAGTCTCCGCTTTCACTAGACGCAGGGGCGCATGTAACTGGTGCGTGCGAGTCAACCATACCTTGTCGTGCTCTCCATAGTGGAAATAGCAGTAAGCTAACCACTCTAAGTTCTTTACGTCGTTGCGGTTTGCATGGCGTCTAAAAGAAAGCAGGGCGATTGCGCCGAGGTAGTCACGCTTCGTCAGGAACTCCTCAAGCTCAGGCACTTTAGGCTTTTCATTTTGCTGCCCCTGTATATAGTCATATAATCGAAGTAAGTACAACAATTGAAACGCTCAGGCTTCACACGGATGTCCTTCTGCACGCGGACCTGGGCAGCGTTCGAGCGGGCCGCATGCTGTGGTCTTGACTTGCTGTAAAACATATTGCAGTCTACCTACAGCAACGCGGCCGCTTGTAGCGTTTCTACGAAAGTCTAAGAGGCGAAGAGGTCAAGCACAGGCAAACAAAAAGCGATGTAATGTCCGAGTATTGTCCGTGGTAATGAAAGAACACTAGATCCGCTGAATACTGCTGGTCAGGAGCTTGAGAAGAAGAAAAGCCGGGATAGTACGGAACGTCAGCCCCAGACCTGCCAACCCGGGTAGTGCTGTACACTAATGTGCTCGTGGAGATTTCGCTTTTGTGTATATAATGCTATTCTTAATTAAATAAAGGGTTTACATTCCAATGTACGTAGTACATACCCTAACCAACGGCCCAAGCTTCTCACTGGGACCTCCCACTGTCCTGCTTACTGGAAGGTACGACCATTACAGTCACCCCCTCCACGTATCTCACTAGCCGCTTATCCTGCGCACCTCTTGCTTGTACGGCATGCACGGCATACGTGCGTGGTGCTGCCACCGTGACGACGATAATCCTAAAACTGGTGATCCTCACCCTACACCACCAGCAACCTCCGCGTCCGTTAGAAACATAACGCCTACAAAAAGACACAGGTAATGGCACTCGCACGAAATGATTAAATCCATCTATCCGCTCTCCAGGACCTGACTCCGATTATCCCCTTGTTAGTTGCCAGGTTTCTGCCAGGTTAGATGGGCGATGTCAGGTCAGCCCGCCAGCCCCTGACCACATGCCTAGCCGGATAACATGATGGTGCTGGCCATTAAGGCGGAAGGAAGCTACGGGCCCCCAAACAAAGAATGAAGTTAACTGTACTGCGTACGACGGGCCGCAACACAACGCCCACGGGATGCGGCACGACATGGCATGGCATGGCACGACACGCAAGCAGCTTGGCTGGTGCGAATAGAGTGAAGTAGTAAGTAGGTAGCGCCTGATGCCTCGCTCAAACCGCGAAACGATGAATGACTTGCACAAAGGATCCGGGGCACTGTTGCCCTGAACTGCTAGCGACGGGAGCTGCTGGCACACATGCCCACACACTGACTCGTCCCGAAGACCCCCACACGCACGCTGTATGACACATGAAAGCAAAGCAGCTCCCAGGGGTACTGCCTCTAAATGCCCCCGTTCCATTTTAGATACTGCCCAGGTGCCCACGCCTTGAATGTCGCTTGCTCCCGCTACTTTACAACCATAACCACAGCTGTTCTCATAAATAACACCATTGCAGGTGCCGCCAGGTAGGTTTCCCAACCAACCTGCATGCCGCCACCCTACTGTGCGCTGGTGACACCTTGGGCACCTCAACACGGCCATGACCTCTGCTGCTGGCTTGACACAGCCAAACACAGCCAACTGGTCGCCGAAGCATACACCCCAATGGAGCTCCTCATGCGCTCTCGGCAATAACTCTCTGTGCCCTCTCGCAGGCACACAAGTAACCTGCACGAATCACGCATGAATAAGCCATCACCACACGTACCGATGTACGCCACATGCACCCCCCAACGACGGCCTTGCTCTGCATCCTGCATGTTGGCTGTACATGTGTTAAAATAACTGGCCGCGAGGCGAAACGTACTGCTGTACATGTGTCTGCGCTCTTAACCGCGTTTGGCGGCCGGGCATTGCCCTCCTAGTCTGCTTCTGCATCTCTGCCTTCACCCCGATCTGCGCTTGTCTAATCTGAATCGGGGAGTGTCTGGTTGCGGCAGCTGCAACTCAATGTCTGCCCGCATGCCTGCATTAAATTTCTCCACATGCGCGCCAAGTCCTGCCGCATTAGCATCGCTACATGCCTGACTGTTGGCCTACCTGGCTGTTTTACAACATACCGTGATTCAGTCTGCTTAACCCTACTTTGAACATAGCTAGCCTGTGGCAATCTCTGCAGGGCATCGAGAGCTGTCTCAGATGCCGGCTATCCTATCTTGCAGCTGTTTTCCGGGATCTGCGGGCTGCTGGTGTCGCGCGGGTTTCAGCCGTTGGGCGCTGAGGAGATGACGGGCAGCACAGCGGACTTGCGTGTGGCTCGTGGGGACTCATTCGTGCTGGTTCGCCTGCGAGGACGGGAAAGTTGAGAACACACAGCTCAACGTTCAGCACCATTTTGGGCAGGGGATGGGAGTCTCGTAGCAAAAGAAGAATGAGTTGGCGCCTTTGCGGAAGCGAGGCCCAATTCAAAAGGGTAGCGGAATCGGCTGCCTCTGGTGCCGAAAGCCCCGGATACGGTGCTCCAGGGGCCTTTGTGGATTGCCGGTAATGTCACTCCCGCTCTCTCTTCGGTACTCTCTTCCCGATATACTACTTGTCCCCATCAATCCTACCCCACTCCTGGATCGTTACATCTGCTCGCCCATTCTGCTCGCCCATTCTGCTTGCCCATCCCATCCGGCTCCCATCCCACGTCTCAAGCCACACCCGCCTCACCTTCCAAAGCTGCTGCCCACTCCACGCATGTTCGCCGCTGCGAACACCCCACTCAGGGAGTTCCTGAGAGCCGGCGACGCAGCCGCTGACGAGGACGATGAAGCCGTTTTTGCCAACACTGGCGGCGGCGGCGACGTGGGCAGCGGCGGCGGCGACGCCGTCAGCTCCCGTCCTGTGCCGTACAAGGGAGTCACCGGGACGTCCGACGGCGGCGGAACCGCCGTTGCCGTCGCTGTCGCTGTCGCTGTGGCGGCAGGCGCATTCCCTGACGCCGCCGCTCGTACAGGCGACATGGGCGATGCTGCGGCGGATGTCTGCAGTGTCGTCGTCGTCGTCAGCAGCGGCGACGGCGGCGGTGATACGTATGCAGCGGCGTTTACCGTCGTGATCGCCGCCGCCGCCGCTGAAGCTGACGCTGACGTGGACGCTGTGCTGCCGGCGTTGACGTCTGTGCCGATGTCTGACGAAGATACCGCCGGCAGCAATCCACATGTGGACGGTTTGGCTGGGGGCGCTGGCTGCATCTCTGCTTCTAGCTGGTCAAAGTACGACGGTCGTAGCTGATAGGCGGCAGCCAGAATGTTCTGTTGAAACAGGTTGGAGGGGAAAGTTATGAGCGCTAAGCCATAACTAAAGCCCATACAGCACAGTAGGACACGACGCAGTTCATCTACCGTAGACTGGCATGGCATCCGTGTTTTGCCAGACCAAGCATACATTTCCTCATGCAGGGTCAAGCACATCAGGAACGGCGCTAAGAGGTGCTCAGATGCTGCGGCTGCCGCTCACTCACGTTATTGAAGTCGAAGGCGTACCTCGCCAGCGGTAGGTCATTGGGATCTGCGAGAAAAGCAAAACAACAGAAGTCCACGACCGATACCGTTAGATGCAGTACGTCGTACATATGCACAAGCGTGCGTGGCCCCAGGGGTGGACGCACAAACGGGGAGGCGTTCGTCATCGCAGCCCCTCCATCTTCGGTCGGCACAGTCAATACTGGTAACAAGTAAGCCTTTAATCAGCTAGACATGAAGCCAGCAGCACCCAACCAGCGCCCCAACCCACACCTCCACCACCCCCATTCCTCACCGAACCCAAAGGGGTCCTCCATCTCGCTCGCCACCTCATTCAGCGACCAGTAGGTGAGCACCACACTGAACGACAGCAGCACACCCATCCACAGCTCATCAATGAATGCGGTGACCACGAAGGGGAGCAAGAGGGCCATCAAGACCAGGAAGGCCATCACAACCTGGGCAGCGGGGTGCAGGTGGCAATGATGTGTGCGGCATGGGGTGTTGTTGCTTCTGGGAGACATAAAGAATATCAAAAGAAGAGTGAGGGCCAGGCAAAGGGGAAAGGAATAGGTGCTGAGAGGGGCAGTCATGACAACAATAGTGTTGGGCTGTGGGCAGGTACGAAGTAGCCATCCCTCCCTTCCTCCCGAACAGCCATCCCTCCCTTGCTGGTGGAAGGGGGAAAATGATGGCAATGGTAATGTGATGGTGCTGGTTGCACTGCTTGCTTCCTCCACGCCCACTTACCTGCGCCCAGGGGAAGGGGAACTGCGTGGACGCTATCTTGGCGCACTGCCCGAACGCCGCCATGGCGGACTCCGCGATGCCGCCTAGCCGGGCTACCAGCGGCGCGCTGGTCTGCAGGCCGCCCTCCGCTATCCGCCTGCAGCAGCGAGGGGCACCGCGACACACAGCGACAACGTTTTATTAATACACAGCCACACAACTTTTTAACACACAGCGACACATACAGCGAGAGGAGTACAAGTGGGTGCCGGTAGGTGGGTGGGTAGTGAGTTGTGAGGGAGGTGAAGGCGGAGGCCGGGAAGAGCGGGAGGAGTGGGCCGTGTGTTGGTAATACAGCTAATACTAGTAGATGCGTGTCGTATCAGGTCCCAATATACAGTCACGTTCAGCCCAATTGTGCACCAAATGCGCAGAAGCCTAAGCAGGAGACAGCTGGAGCACTGGGAGCGGTCGGCCGGGGTGGCACTGCGAGGCGGCGTACCCACCCACCTAATGTAGAGCTGGTTGATGAGGGCGAAGATAGCGGGCGGGCGGGCGCCATTGAGGGTGCTGCCGCGACCTGGTTACGGTTTACATGTCGGGGTGAGGGGCCGGAGGGGGAAGGGGAGAGCGGCAGGAGCGTTCCGTGAAGCGATAGAGCGCAGACTGCAAACAAGGTGAGCAAGGCAACAGCCCTCCTCTGCCTCCGCCAGAGCTTCATGCAGTACCGGTACCCTTCTCAAACCCAGCCCGCGACCTCTGATGGCCTCTCACCCTTCATGGCGGCTATGGGGACTAGGTTGGTGAGCCTTGCCCGCTCCTCCTCTCGCAGCCCGCCGATGACCGGCATGGCAGCCTCCCTTCGCAACACGCATGCATGATGAGGGCGGTAGGCAGCGGGAGGATTGAGGTATGGGGTTCGGGGGAAATGAATAAGGAGTGAAGGAGGTTTGAGTGGGGAGCCAGGATGCGTTAGGAGCGCAGCAGGAAAACAGAGAAGGTGGGAGCGAGGAAGGAGGGGTCAAAGAAAGGCGCGGGCGGGGGGGTGTCTTGGAGACAGCGCATGCAGCAGCAACGGGCTGAACGGGCTGAACGAGGAAGGACGGGCTCATCAGGAGGCTCTCCCCTTGCCTTTCGCCCTTTAGCGTTACGGACGGTATATCGTGTTCGGACCGGGTTTGCTCCCATCTAATTCCCCTCCAAGAACCTTCTCACTGTTGCGGGTTGTGGATGTCAAGCAGGTCGTTCAGCGACAGCACACGAACCAAGAACACCTCCCAGCGCCGCCACCCGCGATTGCCAACGCTGGAGTCCTGCAATGTATGTACGACAACGATGTACGGTATGTACGGCGGGCACCATTGCAACATAGCCCAACTAACCTGCCGTACAAGCATGTGCAACCTCCTCAAACGTGAAAAATAACGAACCTCCTAACCCACCAGGAACGGCGCCTGTCCTGCCATGTCATGCGTGTAGAGGTCGTGCAGGTCTGTGTCGCGCCGCAGCGTTTTCATCTGGACTGCGAACAGTAAACTGACCAGATGAAGCAGCTCCGAGTAGAAGCTGCGGGGAGGTATGAGTGTTGCGTAGGGGCCGTGGGAACGAGGTGTGTTCCGTCTGGTTGCTACCGGTAGTTGTAAGGGTGGGCGTGCATGGGCTCGTGGATGGATGCCGACACACGTGGATCAGCAGCAGGGCCACGCTGCGTGCGTGGGTATGCGCGTGTTAAACGCAGACAGGATGTGTGGATGTGCCTTAGAGGAGCGCCGCTACCTCACAGGTACGACAGTAGTGTCCCAGAGGAAGAGGCAATATCGCTCCCTGACCTTCCCAGTCCGTACCGGAAAGCCTGCCTGCGCTCCTGCGGGGATGCTGCTTCGTGGTCAATGCTAGCCAGGTCGGCAGACAGGGTCTGCAGGACGAGGGTTGAAAACAGCTGAAAGTGAGTATTGCGGAATGGGCGAAGAGGACATTCGATGTGCGCAATGGGGATGGGAGGAGGTACTCTGACTGCAGCCCGTGCGGGAGATTCCTTACCTCGATAACGAAATATGTAAGCATACCCATTACGCTTTGCAGTTGGGTACGCGCCTCCCAAAAGCGCATGTAGCTAAGGTGACTCCTGTTTGGGCGAATGACGCCAAACACATAGGCGTATTATTGCTATTGATAAGTATGGTGGCATTCGTTAAGCTGTATATGCGCTCTACATTCTAAGGTAGAGCACGTGGAGTGATTGCTGTTCGATGATGAGTGTTGCATGCTTGCCTGAATACCAGAGCAAAGCCGACAACGAAGCCGAAAATCTGGAATATGTTTGGAATTTTAAGCGCCTTCGTAAGGGTATTGGGCGCGAACAGTTGAAGCAACGCCGTCTGTACGCCTGCGATGCTTGCAAACAGGAAAGCACGTGGGAACGCGCTTCCATACACTCGCCCCAATAAGGGCAGTCCCCAATAACGGTTCTCGTAATGAATCATTGCACAGCCGTCACTGTAGTTCAAGACAAGGCATAGGCCATGGGAAAGCAAGCGGCGTCGTTCTGTTTACACGTTGTAAACATGTCATAGCAAAGTACATCCTAACCTAAACCGCATACGCTTTACATCCGCCTGCTATGCACACCGCCTAAAGCGCTGCTTCAAGCACCGTACACCAATCACCACGTGCAATCTATCTACTCCGTGCTCGTCCAGCGCATTCGCAAAGTTACCACGTTAGGACATGCGGAAGATTAACGCGTTATCCCGTAGGCTCCCGCCCGTCGACAAACTCTGGAAACGCAAGCTGTCCCCTTAAGCAGCAAATCCTCACACCACACGAAAAGGGCCTGCTTCCTGCAAGACCTCCTGCGCTATAAAGACTCATAAGCCAAACGGCTAGGGGCATAGGGGAAATCGATGCCCTACATCCAGCGTCAACCCAAACCCAAATGGCCTCGCATCCAGCGTGCACTCCTGCCCACGCATCATCATATCACTGCGCACGGCGGCGTAGCAGGTCCACCCAGTCGGCCTTCTTGGGGGCGGGCTTGCGGTTGGCAAGTGCCCACACGTCGTCTGACAGCCCCGCCTGCCGGGAAAGGAGGGAACACGGGTGATTCCAACACACATAACTAACGAGACTAACGTCTGCAGTTCAGCCTTAAGTCAATGCACGACATCTTCGTTTGATTTGAGCTGTCCCTGCCATGCAGTACGCCGCCCTCCCGATGCCATTAACTATCAAGGTGGGTACGTCGCCAATGCCCTTCTCAAGCCCCATACGACCCAGTTGCATCCCCATCCTTGCCGTACACCTACCTCCACAAGCGCATCCTTGATCTCCTGCACCGTCATGCTGGCGATGTTGCCCGCCTCCACCAGGACACGCCCGTTACCGCCCGCTCCGCCGCCGCCAGCAGCAGATGGGTGGCTGTCTGCTCGGGAGGATGCGACAGGGAAGGACGTGGCAAACGAAGATTAGCATGTACACCGGAGATGGTGAGCCGCAATTACTGGTAAAAAGTGCAACATTGACTTGCCCAGACTCTTACTGCTAAGCCTAAGCGCACAGGGTATCTCGCGTCCACACGCGTCCATGAGCATCCCAAGCCTCCATGCCGTCCAACAAGCGGGACAAACCATGTGCTGAAACATTCATGATGCATGTTGTGCACGCGAGCACTTACTCTCGTCGTTGTGGTGCTCGGCCTGCACCGCAAGGGCCTGCGCACGTGCCGCCTCCACCGCCATCTCGTCGAGCCGGGACTGCGAGAGCAAGAGCAAAGCGCGCAAGGCACGGATGGATAGCAGCAAAGGCTTTCCGTACCACACAGCATGGGTTGATGCAGACGCTGCAATTAAACCGAATAGACGCAATGACACCTCATTCAGCATGTCTGCGTCCTCGCCCGTACCTGCATCGTGCTCTTGGCGGCCACCTCCGCCTGTGTAGGGGTTGCAAGGAGCAAAAGGCGGCAAGGGAAGTCATGGCCGTGGAGGAAGCAAGAAAGGAAACCTAATACTGGTAACGTGCGGGGAGGCCGAACGAGCCATCCGATGTGGTCCCAATGCATCCACGTGAAGTTCTGGACCCACGGGTCTGTATCCCATCCCACGGCCAACCCAACCATGCCGTACCTGCAGGTCAGCCCGCAGCTGCTGCACCTCAGCTCGCGCCGCGTCCAGCTCTCGGGCGATACTATCCCGCTCCACCCGCATGAGCGACAAGTTGTCCGACGCCTGTGTCATGACGCAACATGAGAAAGCTGTTGCCATCTGACACCAGCATGCTTGTTATGCAATCCCCAGCGCGAGCCTAAGACCACGCCTCACCTCTTCACGCTTGCAAGGATACGTGTTTCCTAGGCTAAACATCACACTCTACCCAGGACCGCTGGTTCCACCAGCCTCGCCAACATCATACCCCCTTCCTTGCTCACCTGGTCGCGCTGCCCCTGCAGCTCCACCTTGGCAGCGGCCTCCTGCATGCACTTGCGCCGCCACTCCTCCGCTTTCACCTGCTGGTCCGCCAGCTGCGCCTCTGCGCCGCTGCAACGGGCCGCCAGCCCCTCCAGGTCCGCGGCAAGGCTGTCGGCACGGGTGCGCTCCGCTGTCATGGCGGCCTGCAGAGCAAGGAAGGAAGGTGCGTTTGGCAGATGGGTGGGAGGTGGAAAAGAGGAAGGCGCAGCTCCGGTAGCCGGGGGGCAGATGCCACAATCGCATGATCTTGTCGACGTTATCGACAGGCAGGTGTCGATGAACCAAAGCGCTGCAACATCAATTATGCAATGTTGGACCGGCCACACTCACCGTCATCTGCGCGACCTTGTGCTGCAACTCCTCCTGCGCCGCCCGCACGCGCGCATCGGCCAGCTCGCCGGCGCTCGCCTGCAAGGGCAGAAAATTGTAGCATGGTTGGTTGCAGGACTGATACGCCGTGCAGGCTGCGTGTTATCGGCGCCATGCATCAAACACAGCACTCGTCAGGACAAATCCTGCGCCATAAGACGTGCTTACTACAGCACAGGAGACCAGCCTACGATGACGGTGTAGGCGTCGAAACGGCGATGCACACGTCAGCAACCCATGGTATCGTATCCTGCCGTACGGCGGCCTACCTGCTTGCGCTCGCTGACCAGCAGCACCTCCGTCATCTGCTGCTCCAGCGCAATCACCTTGGCGCTCTTCTGGTCCAGACCCGCCTTCAGCCGCGCCATCTCCTGCTGCATCTCACCCAGCTGGGCGGTGCGCTGCTCCACGCTTGCCTGCAGGCGCAGCGCCTCCTGCTGCTGCTGGGCCAGCTCAGCTGCCCGCTGCTCCAACTGAGACCGCAGGCGTTGCGCCTCCTGCTGCTGGTCACTGACCTGCGCGGCCCGTTGATCTAGACCCGCCCGCAGGCGCTGCACCTCCTGCTGCTGCTCGTTCAGCTGAGCAGTCCGCTGCTCAAGCTGCAGCCGCAGGCGCTGCGCCTCCTCGCCGTGCTGCTGCTGCTTGGCGTCCATGTTTGCGCGCAGGCGGGCGGTCTCTTGTTGCAGGTCCGCCAGCTGCTTCTGCAGTGCGGCCGCAGAGGAGGAAGCCTCGCGGTGCAGGCGCTCCACCTGCGGGTTTGCATGGGAGAACCAAAGCAGATGTTGCGCTGCGAAGGCTTTACGGTAGAGCCAGTGCCCGTTGGGAGGCATCCTTCAGCCCCATCCCATGACATTCGGGAGGATGGGGGAAAACAAGGTGCCACGGAACGGGTATGACAGCTCTGGTGGGAGGCACACCAGCCCCAGGCTACTCGTCTAAAACCGCCTCGTTTTCCGCCACCTTCCCCGATATCATGGTATGCCTTGTCCTGGCATGCTCGACACGCGTCGCTTACCCGCTCCCGTTCCTGCGCAATCTGCTCCGCTCGCTTCTTCTCCGCAGCCAGCTGGTTCCGCAGGTCCGCCGCTTCCCGCTGAACCGCCTCCAGTGCCGCCTTGGCGGCAGCAGCCTGCCGCTCCAACACCTGGAGGGTGAGCGCAGAGGGCGTCAATGGGAGACATGGACACGTAGGACGACTAGCGGTACAACCACCGGGGCGGCGTGCCCCTTTGACAGCATAGCGTGTTAGGCGAAGACAACCGGCCTTGTGTCCCTTTGCCTGTCATGCCCTTACTCCCCTGAACTTGGGTTCCAATTAAACAGCACCTGCGACGCCGCCATGGGCCATGTCTCAGCCAGGAAAACGCAGAGCTTGTGCCATTTGGTGGGGCCTGCAGCCGCCTTCTCGTAGTGCACCACGAAGGCGGCAAGCCGCTGCTGCAGGGCCGGCAGGTCTGCGCCGCTGCGGACAGCCTGCGTGGCGACAAGGGGACACCGGTCTTAGCCACCAGGGATCCCGACCTGCGCTGTCATAGCAAAGCCGTATTATTAAGTACCACCAAGCCCCTCAGCACGCACCTGCGAAATGTCCGTGGCCCCCCGGTACAGCAGCTCCGTCACCGCCGACGCAGCCTCCGCCAGCCTGCGTGCCTTGAGCTCCTTGTAACGCCCCGACACGGCCTCCATCCATCGCGCCTGGTGCGCCCGCCGCACCCCCTCATCCCCGACCGCCACCTCATCAAAGGCGGCGCGGGCAACAGCCAGGTACTGCTGGTGCCTCGCCTCCAGGTCCGCCTCCTCCGCCGAAACCTCGGGGCCAGACGCCCAAGCGGCGGCATACGCCTTCTCGGCGGCCTCGCACCCGCGGCGGCACTCTGCCTCTGCCACGCCCTGGAAAAGGCAATGGGAGGAGTTGGGACATGTAAGTAGCAGCGCAAGTAGAACTAACAACAAGACGTAGGGTAAGGGCTGCGGCGATGACGGCACATGCATCACCCCTGCCGGTTGCAGACTTGCCTCCCGGCCCATATCCGGCGTTGCAAAACCAGAACTTGACGCGCCTGATACAACCACGCACCCCCTCCCCACCTGCCATGCCGTCGCAATGGTGGGAACCGCCCCGTGGTTGATGGCGCCTACATAGGCGCCTACAAGCCCCGCTAGCACCGGGCCCGTCATCAGCTGTGATCCAAAGCGCTTGGGGTTGGCACGCGAGAAGATCATGTTGGTGAGCTCCTTGACACCCTGCGGGGTGAAGTGGAGGGACGGTGGGGATCGCGATCTGGGTTGGAAGCTGGGTCCTAGTGATGCACGTACTCAGCAGCGGAGGAGGGTGTGCAAGTTCGTTCCCAAGAAGCCATTGCTGAGGCGGACAGTCGGCGGCTTCAACCATGCAGTGAGACTCCGCATCCGGCCTCCTACGCGTGCCAACATGCTACAAACCTACGATCCTATGCCACTTCAGCCTCTAACGTTATTGCCAGCCTTACCCGCTGGAACTCGGGCCGCAACTTGTCCCGTGGCAGCGTGTTCATCTGGGACAGCATGGTCTCGTCATTCATGGGGCGCACCAGCGGGAAGCAGTCGCGCTGCGGGAAAAGCTGGGAGATGGAGGCACGGATAGCGTTCTTAGCTGCCACCGCGGCGCCGCTGCCGGACACCGGAGCCAGCGCGGTCTCAAGGTACTCGCGCGGGGTAATCTGCGGATTGGGAATCAGCATACAAACGCAGTGTTGGGGTGCAGGGCTCAAGTACAATTACTTGCAAGTTTGCGACCCCAAAGCTCGTGTCTTCGTAGCTGAACCCACCTTGCGGCCACCCTCTTCCTCAAGTTGAAGGTAGAAATCGCGAAGTAGCCAGAGGAAGGCAGGGGAGTGCTCCCCCAGACCTTCCTCGCCTGCAGCAAGGTGAGAACGGGAGGTGAGATCGGCTATGCTTGCGATGGAGTGTGCATGCAAGCACATCTCCAGGGTTCTTTGCAGGCAGGGGTTTTTGGGTTGGATGCGAGCGTGCAGAGCAACATGCGCGTAAAGTTTGGGAACATGAGGTAATGGTGCTGTGGAGTGTGAAACGCATGGCATGCTCCCTCATGGCATGCCTTTCCACGTCTCGCTGATGCAAAGCCCTACCTCCTCCTGCGTTGTTCGCTGCAGCCCGCACGCGCACGTGCTTAGTCATCTCGGTGACGAGGCTTAGGCGGTCCAGCGCGCTCTCGTCGATTCCTCCCATCTGGTTGTACACAAAGAGTGATGACAGCAGCACTGCCAAGCTGAAGATCTGGGTGGAGTACTGGGCCGTCTGCAATGCAAAGGAGGCGTGCAAGGCGCGGTAAAAGAGATCGGTAAGAGTTAGTACTGGGATCACAGCCTTGTGGTGTAACCGTGTTGACAAAGCGGGACGTGGCTACTGGTGTAGTTCTTGCTCGCATGCTGTCCCTTCCCTTGCGACTATGCCAGACTTACCTGGTCGTAGGCGTCGATGCCTTCGGTGTCTAGCAGCACCAAGTGGTGGGAGGAGCCGTCCGGAGCGGTCATGCGCTGTGGTGCAGACCACATCCACAACCCCTTGGTGCATGGCCTGTGTGTAGCGCCCACCTGTTGGGAAGGGGTTGCCGATGCGGCAGGGCGTGGGAGTGAAGCGCCGATGCAGGTGTGGCGTGGGCGTCAGAGACTTCCACGGGTCGGAGAACGGCCACACCTGGAAACCTCCGCCGCTGCTTTGGAGCAGCAGCTGGTTGAGGATGAAGCTCTTTCCTTGGCGGGCACGTCCACAGACGGCCACGACTGCTACAGGCCCTTTAACCTGCAGTCAATTTGCACGCCCTTCAGATCGCATCTCAGCTGGCTCTAAAGCTAGGTGGAAAGGACAGGCATGTGCCATTCGGAAGTTTAAACCATGTTGGTCCTCACCTTCCGAAGCGCATCCAAAGCCGCTATGCCGACTTCAAACTTTCCATTTTGCGCATTGTATTTTATCAGCTCGAGCGGCGTCCCCATGGTTACAACTGCTTGCTCCTTCTCTGGCCAAAATTTGGAAGCGCCTCAGCTTTGCTTAAACACAAAAAAATTTATATTGCAAGCTACAGCGCTATGCTGGCAACATGGGGAGCTAGCGGTGTCCAGAAGAACTGTTAAGGCGAGGTGCGCAATAGCCAGGCGTGTTGCGCTACAATTCGAATGCCAAGCGTACTAGAGCCAGAGTACTTCCGATCTAGCAGCTGGTAGGAATCTATGCAGTCTATAGCCTGGCGCACGATGCGGAACCTTTGGAATTGGATCTCATCTGTCCGTCTGCCTGTCTCCCGTTTGTTAGTTGCCTCATACTCTTGCCTTCTACGCTTTGGGTTCTTTCTACCGTACTAGTACAACGCCCAATAGCCTTATCGCTATGACTGAAGGCAACAGGCCCTTAAGCCATCTACTTATGGTCAAATCTCCGCCCTGCAACCACGCCCTTCAGCCAAGCCAAGGTGCAAAACCATGCGAGACAAATTTTAATCAAGAAGTTGGCGTTGTCGTCGCGTCTCCAAGGTAAGTTGTCAGTAGGCCAGTGTTACGCCGGTTGCTTACTTCGGACATGGAGATCTCACCCCCGCTTCACCTGCTCGACATAAACCCGCAAGCTGTAATCGCTCGTGCCTGCCAAGCAGAAACAAAACACTTTGGGATAAGAGGAACTGACCCGCATGGAATACTGGCCGTGACCACAACAACGCGTTCACAGCGACCCGTGTTACGTAACTTACGTTTGTGCTGCGACTCTCTTGTCCCTTTAGCCGCTTTAACGCTGGCCATAACTGCACCGGCGCAATGCACAATAACTTGTCATCATGGCGGGAGAAATCCCACACGCAGGATATGCCATGCGCTTTTCCAATCCACGAAGCTAACTTTAGGACCAGCGACGAGTTTGTGCTTGTGACGCGAGCATGGTAAAGATCTTCACTAACGACTGTGTAACCTTAGATAGCGTTGATGACAGGGCACATGCCCCAAGTACCGGTACGTCCCCAAAGCTGCCCATTGCCCCGGCCCAGAGTTCCACCCGGGCTTCGTTGCGCAACAGCCCATATGGCCTAAGGCGCCCTAGCGGAAGTCGACGCTTAAAGCCGTAACCATCGTCCACCTGCAATCTCCTAAATGCCTCCTCCAATTGAGTCGTTCAGACTCCCCTGTAAAAATCGCATACTCCTCCAATTTCAGTTTTGGACTGAACTCCAAACGACAGCAGCCTCACCTAAGCCAGCCTATCAGCCGGCCTCTTCAGCCTGTGCCACGTATCCTTCATATGCCCGCTCGACTCGGTTACGTGCAACAAGATGTACGGTCACGGAACGCTGTCTTTGTTTTCGATGTGAGTATAAAATTCATAGTTCAGGCAGGGAAGGACGCTCTCATACACTGCGAGTAACCATCCGTGGGCCCGATGTGCTTAACCGTCGGTACAATTGCCAGCTAAGGCGTTCTACATTATATTGTAAACCTGTGTACGCTTTTATGGTTGCTGTAACTTTATTAAGAACATAGCTTAGGTCCGGTTGCGATTGCAGTAAAATTGGTTCAGTTGTCAATACAGTATATATAAAGTACAACCAGCGGTTCCTTTATAATGATATTCATGCATGAAAGGCTGAAAGGCGCATAACGGCATAAGGCTACCTACGAGGTCTTCTACATGGCCCGCATTTAACTCGATTGCTCCTGCATAACACGCCACGCTTTTCATGGAGTCTAGTGGACGCAACTGTTCTGGCGTTTCATTAGATGAGCAGCGAGCGCAGTTCACTGGAGATGTCCGCAGGTGGAGGGTTTGGAAGAGGCATTTCTACATCCTTTCCTGCTATCATCTCGATTTCATTGTTGACGAAATTTATGACGCTTCTTGGTTTGCAGCGCCTTTTGCATCCTGCGTGGGCGTGGAATGGATGCCAACCAAGCAGTTGCTCTGGCTCTTAAGGTTGCGGCTGGTGTAGGTGTGTAATGGCTTCGTTTGGGTGCACATACTTCAGGGGTTACGTTTTGCCGGCGTTATCCGGGATTGGCATGTTACCTCTCTAACAGCCACTCCTGCCCTGCCATCCCTCTTCCAGCCGAGCTGCCCCCAACGCCCGAAGAGCTGGCTCGGCAGCTTCGACAAGACTCGAGTGCTCCCCTGGGTCAGCTCTGTTCCCAAGTTGCGCGCTTCTTCGCCAACGGAGACTGCCTGCAGGCAGCGTTCTGGCCGCGGGAGGTGGGTACCCGGCCCTGAAGGGTTTTTGGCTTGGACGCTGGGCGTTAAGGGATTTCCTTCTGCAGCCATTGTGCTGGGCTTTTTCCACTGCAACGACGATCTGGGTCAGTCCCCTTCGTACCCCTCCGTCCCTTCCTGCCCTTATTTCCGCCGACCCAGATGGCAGCACCTGCTCCAGCACCCGGCACCTCTCCGCCCGCCTCCTCCTCGTCCCCAGCTGCAACCCAGGTGCCGTGCGATGGCAGCAGTGCCCGCAGCAATAGCACCAATGCTTGCTGTACTTCCAACACCGCTGCGGCCTGCAGCAGCAGTACCAGCAGCTCCTCTGCAGCAGCAGCCCACGGTAATCCTGCCAACTCAACCACCATTAACACCACCGCCACAGCTAGCAACGGCCCCAGCACCGGCAGCAGTTGTAACAGTAGCAAGAGTAGTAGCAAATCGGGGACCTGTTTCCAAGCGTGTCCGCTTGATTTCAAGGCTATTGCAGCGTTGTACGATAGTGTTCTAGGCTGTTGTGGCAGCAGCGGTAACGGAGCCGAAGCAAGTGCAGGCAACGGCGGTGGTGACGGCACCGGTTGCACTGCAAGCGGTGCCGTACAAACCAGTACGGCCACCGCCACGGCAGCGGGCGCTAGCAATGAAGACCTAGCCCCATCCTCACCTCCGTCCTCTTCCTCCTCCGATGTAAGCTACAGCGACACAAGCCAGGGCGCCAGCCCAAGCAACACTGCTGCTGTTGCTCCTAGCAATGCAGCCGGCAGCGTTGCGGAGCTGTCGCCGCCGCAGCGACCCGCGGGTCACCTCAACGCGCTCATTAGCGCTCTTTCTGCCGGCGTGGAGGGGCTGCTTGTGGGGCTGTCGAACCTGCCGTACAGCGTCAATCCCGGGCTAGCCCGGCAGCTGGGGGTGCTGCTGGCGAATCCGCTGCTGGACCGGGGGGAACACCACGAGTGAGTTGTGGACGGGTTGGATAACGATAACGAATGGGGCAAAGGAGGGGCTGATAGCTGCCAGGGAACTCTAACAGGTACTGTCATCGCCTTCGAGGGTTCCTCCATGTGTTTCCTCATTGGGGTTGGTCGACCCAAATGACCCGAATGGAACCATGCGTAAGCGATAGGAGTACGGTTGGGGCGCCCCGGTTGCTGAACAGCCCCTCGTTTGACCTAGTTGCTACTAGATGTAGTAATGTTGGGAGCCGGGGACAGGGGCTGCTTCACCCCCAGGAAGCCACAGCTAACGGCGCACGCTACATTCTCACTGTTTTCCTGGTGTCTCTCAGACCTTACTCTCATTGTAAACGGGCCTCAAACAACCACTTCCTTCTCCCCGCCTCCCTCTGCTCTTCCCATTTCCCTCCACTCCCGCATCCCCTGCGTTCCTAACACCCCCGCCTCCAGCCTGCTGGGTGCGCTGGTGGGCTTCATCGGCGCGCTGTCGGCCCCGCAGCGGCGCTCTCTGAGGGAGCTGTTCGCCACCTACCCGGCGGAGGAGCTGCGCAGGTGGGGAAGCGCGGGGGGCGGGTATAGTGCGGGAGAGTAAGGGATTGGGTGGCGCGGTAGTCCATGTGAGCCGCAAGGAAACTTGGGCCGCAGGATGGCCGGAAGAAGATGGCGGGATGGATTGGGTGGGTGGGGATTCCGGGGCTACGGGGGACATACGTGCGCATGGCATTCCGCTTTTGCTGATGTGGGTCATGTCGTGTGCTTCCCCACCCATTCGTGTGCCTCGCAACGTCCTTCCCTCCAGGCTGCTGTCGCGGTTGCACAGCTTCATCAGCCTCACCCTCTTCCGCATGCAGGTGGGTGGGAGGGGGCGGCTGCTGGGAAGGGAGCAGCAGGCGAAAATGGGGAATGGGTTGAAACGGGCAGGGGTGCTGGACCATTTGAAAGCACTCCACATGCAAGCTGGCGTCCTTTCCTCCCTCTCAACGAAACCACCTGACGAAACCCAGATCGCTAAAGCTCTCCCGCCTTCCCCCCTCCCCGCCTTATCTCCTCCCCACCTAATCCCTCCCCTCCCTACCGGTACCAGTCCATCACCCGGGGTGTCGAGGACGCCACGCGGCTTGTAGCCCTCATCCACGAAGCCAACGAGGAGGCAGGCAAGCGGGCAGCAGCAGCGGCGGCGGAGGCCGCCGCTGCCGCCGGCACAGCACTGCTGGTCCCTCCCTCCTCCTCAACAGCAACCGCAGCTGCCTCCTCTTCTGAAGCCTTCTTGCTAGGGCTCCCTGCAAGTTACGGAGCGTACGGCAACGGTGGTTTCGGTTTTGGAGCCGCTGGACTTGGGTTTGGCGGCGGCAGCGGTGGCAGCAGTGCTTGTCGAGCCGGCGGGGCCGCGGGCTGGCGTCCGTTGGAGCCGGCTGCGTTTTACAACGACGCGATCAACCACGAGGACTTTAACTTGAAGGAGGATTTCCGCAAGTGGAAGCATGTGGGTTTGTTGAGGTGCCGGCTGGGACGCGATGTCGTGTTTACCTGGCCTTACCTGTGGCGTTGTAAGACTCTCGTTACCCGCATGTTCGATACCCTGTCCTTACAAATCCGCGCATCTCTGGTTTCTTTCCAATGTGGACTCCTAACGTAACTTTCCAATTGCATCTGCCCTTCTTTACAACAACCCCTACTCACTCCGCTCTCCTCTCCCATGCGCCCAACTAACAGCCGCACAAGTACGACTTTTGCTTCTGCAAGTTCCCTTTCATGTACGACCCGGGATCCAAGGCGCGCATCCTGCAGATGGAAAACCAGATGAGCCAGGTGGGCGCGTGGGGCGCACCGGGGGGGGCAGGGGCAGGGCAGGGCAAGAAAGGCACCGCACTACCGCTTCCATGCAAGCATTGCCCTTCGCAATCCTTAACCGTCCAAAGTACCTGTCATAAGTTACTCCACCTCACCTCCTGTATCCTCCTCGTGCCACGCCTCACGCCGCCGTACCGTTTTTCGGACGGGTTGTATCCTTCAGGTCAACGAGCTGCACTCCGCGCTCTTCCGCGGGCTGTTCGGCGGCGGCAGTCCGCTGTCGGGCCTTATGCCCGACGTGTGTCCCTTCCTGGTGCTGCGTGTACGGCGGGGGCCGTACCTGGTGCAGGACACACTCATTCAGATCCACCGAGCCAAGGAAACCGACTCGCTGAAGAAACCCCTCAAGGTAAGGGGATGCAGGGAATGGGTATCTGTCGGTTTCTTAAGGCGACAGGGCGCTTACTATTCATGTCTCTCCTTGTCTTCTCCCCGTCATGGACGCCTGCTGCGGCCGTCCATATTCCTGCAAACGCACACAATGGTGTTTCCCTGGTTCCCCGTTTCCCATGGTTTCCTTACCCACCTCGCCTCGCCTCACATCCTCATCCAAACCTCACCTCACCCCACCTCGACCCCTCTCATCCCACCTGTAGGTCAAGTTCATAGGCGAGGAGGGAGTGGACGAGGGCGGGGTGGCCAAGGAGTTCTTCCAACTGCTTGTACGGCAGCTCTTCAACCCGGATTACGGCATGTTTACGGCAGACCCCACCTCCCACCTGCACTGGTTCCGGCCTTCACGACTGGAAATGGAGCTTGAATTTGAGCTGGTTGGCATCCTCATTGGTGGGTGAATTCCACTCGCGAGTGAACCCCACCCACAACTTGCCGAATGAAGCACCACGACGTGTGGCTGCAATCGTGCTGAACTGCTTGCACCCGCTGTACGGTAGTTCGCGCCAAGACCCATGAGCCCACGAGGAGTACAACCATATGCATGCAAGTACCTTCCTGTTCCCTACCTGCAAGACCTCTGCGCGCGCATGGACCCATGACCCATGGGTCACTTTATACCTTTTTTACCTAACCTCGGTTCACGTCCCTTCCTAACCCACACTCCACGCAGGCCTAGCCATCTACAACAGCCACATCCTGGAGTTCCAGTTCCCCTCCGTCCTCTACAAGAAGCTCATGGGGGCTACGGTGGGCTCGGTGGGGGGTCCGGGTAGTGCAGCGGACACCGCGGGGGTGGCGGGACTGGCGGCGGCGGCGGCGGCTGGCGTCAGCAGCGGCGGTGGCGGCGCGGCGGGTGAGGGTGCTGACGAGGGCGCTGGAGCTGAGCCGCGGCAGGCGGCGGTGGCAGCAGCTAGGGTTGACGTGCCGAGGAGGGGCAGCAGCAACAGCGGCGAAGGCGACGGAGTCGCCAGTGTATTTGGAGGCATGGAAGGCAGTGGCGGTAGTTATAATGGTGCCGGCGGCGGAATTGTACGACAGTTTGGTGAGGCGGGAATTGGTGGTGGCGGTGGCGGCGAAGGCGACGGGAGCGGCGGCGCCGACGGCGGCGGAAGCAGCGGGCTAGTGCTGGGACTGGAGGTGGGTCTCTTCCTTCTGCTGTAAGAGTGTCACACACACACACACAGGGTGTGGGAGGACGTCTAGCGTGAAGAGTGGGACACGAGAGGGTTGCTGCTATCATGTTCATGCTCCGTATTCGCTTCCCCCCTGTATCGGGTTTGAGGCACTGGGGACTTGTAGGCTCTCCTTCACTACCCGCCCGGGTCGGGCTGGCTCACATGTTGCAACCCATGTTGACGCCTTATCCCTCAGTCAGTTAGTTGTTTCCTCTTTACCCCCTCCTCCTCCTCTCCCCCACCCCTGCAGGACCTGCGTGAGCTGGCTCCCGAGGTGTCCTCCTCGATGGCGCAGCTGCTGCTGATGCCGCCCGACCTGGTGGAGCAGCTGGGGCTGGTGTTCCAGGTGTGGTGAGGGGTCAAAGATCTTGCCAAATCATAGGAGACCACAGGTTAGGGCAAAGCATTGGGAGGGGGGCGTGGGGGAGAGGGGGATGGAAGATAGACATACAACCGTAGGAACCCAGAAAGCAGGGCAAAACTACAATGAGGGAAGGAGGCGGCAGGGTGCCAAGGAAGACCCTTCCTCCTCCCCGCCGGTGCCAGTCAGCAACCATGCACGCACTGACCTCCCCCTGTCCCTGTCCTTCCATGTCCTCGCCATGTTATGCCCCCTGCCTCTCCCCTCCCGCCCCTTCCCTCCCAGGTGGACATGGAGATGGGTTTCGGCGAGGTGGAGGCGGTGGAGCTGGTGCCGGGGGGCGGCGAGCTGCCCGTTACGGCAGCCAACCGCCGCCTCTACGTGGATCTGTATGTACGGCACCTGCTGCAGGTAAGGAGGCTGGAGGCCATGGGGGACTGGGGAACTAACTGACTGTGTGACGGGGGTGGTGGGTTGGGGCGGGGATGGGAGCTGGCAGGGCGCTGTACCTTGTTTGAAAAGACCCCCCCTTTTCCGTCCTTACCTCCTCTGCACCCACTCTCCTCGCTATCTTCTCACCTCGTCCTCTGCCTCTGCTTCCCTTACCATCCTCTCCCCCCCCAGGACTCCATCGCGCCCCAGTTCTCTCCCTTCCGCCGCGGCTTCCTGCGCCTGTGCTCCGGCTCCGCGCTGAGCTGGTTCTCCCCGGCGGAGCTGGAGCTGCTGGTGTGCGGCAGCCGGCAGCTGAGGCTGGAGGAGCTGGAGGGGGCCACGCAGTACGACGACGGATACACGCGCGACTCGGAGGTGAGGGGGGAAGGGTCTGCGGGCATTCGCTCTGCCGTCCCTGCGTCCCTGCCCTGCTCTGCCTTGCTTCCCCTTCCTGCCACGTTCCTGCCTCCTGGCGGCGGGTCACTACTATTAAAGGTCATGGCCCAGTAACAGCTGTTCCCTCCCCTCCTGCTTCCTCTCCTGCCTCCCCTCCCTCCCTGCCTCCCCTCCCCTCCTCCTTCCCCTCCTCCTTCCCCTCCTCCTTCCCCTCCTCCTTCCCCTCCTCCTTCCCCTCCTCCTTCCCCTCCTGCTTCCCCCTCCAGCCCGTGCGGTGGTTCTGGGAGGTGGCACACGCGCTGCCGCCCGCCTCCCAGAAGCGGCTGCTGTTCTTCGTGACGGGGTCGGACAGGGTGCCCATCAAGGTGGGGAAGGGGCTGGAGGAGGGAGAGGGAGATGAGGGGATAAGGGCAGGGGAGGCGGTGTGTACTGTTGAGGATGAGAAGGGGATTAGGTAAATCAACTGAGAAAGCGGAGGACGGGACGCATGAACGACCCTTGGGTCTTGGTGGGCTGAGGGCTGGTCGTCATGAGACATGTTTCACGAGAGCTTAAAGGAGGGGCACCAGAAGAGAGAGGGGATGGAGCGCGTCCTGGTGACAAGCAAGGCAGTCGCAGCAGCACAGTGCTGCCGCCGGGAACCGACCAAGGATCTCCTTCCGCACCATCTTCTGCCCGCGCGGTTGCACCTGTGTCCTCCTTCCAGTGCTTCTCTTTCCCTCTCACCTCCCCCTCCACCACCTCCGCCTCCCCTCAGGGTCTGGCGCACCTGAACCCCCCCTTCGTCATCTCCCGCGCCGGCGCCCACTCCGACCGGCTGCCCTCCGCGCACACCTGCTTCAACCACCTGCTGCTGCCGCACTACAACAGCAAGGAGGTGCTGCAGGTGGGGGCGGGGTGGGGGGGTTGTGAGGGGGCGGAATGGCGGGCGCGCGGGCGGGGGCATAAATGGGCACGAAAACAGGGGCATGGCGACGCGTGGGCAGGGATGGTTCCGTACACGCCAGGCCCTCGGTCCCGGCACTACCACTGATTCATGTGTCACGCTTCATACACGCACACCCTTGCACAACTGCCGTACTCCCCGCACACAGGACCGGTTGGAGCTGGCGCTGCAGAACGCCGAGGGCTTTGGCCTCATGTGAGAGGGAGGGCTGGTGGGGAGGGACTGATGAGGGTGGGCTGCGGCTGCGTCACTTCCATGCCGGGTGGGCGCCAGGCCATCCGCATGTCCCAACTTGCAGCGACGCCGGCATGTCAAAGAAACACGTGGACGCCATGCCAGACGTCGCACCGGCGTCGTTCTCCAACAACCGTTATCATGGTGGATATACTTCTCCTTTTCCATTGCTGTTCCTTGTTCTGTGAGGAGCTTCTTTTGGCTCCTGTTGTACAGGCGCTGTGAAGTGGCGCACATTGTTTGGTGAATGTAGGGCGACTCCTGGCATGGGCGTGCTGTGATGCACCACCCCATGCACCCAGGGAAGCATGCATGTGTGGGGATTGAGCTTGCGGTGTACGGCAGCTCGTGTTATGAGAAATGACGGGTGGTCTCGTTTGTGGTGTTGTTTGCTTCCGAAACGTGTGCGAAACGAAAAGAGAACGTGCACCTAGCGTTGGCGTACGGTATTCTATTGCAGGCGGTAGAAGCTGTATACGGGGTATCCGGTACCGGGCAAGCACGCCTTTGTCGCTGTTTGAGCTACCTGCCATGTGAGAGTTGTGGGATGCGCCTTGTTTGTTCGTACGGTTCTGCTCCTTTTGGTGTTCTGCTCTGTACGGCAGGATTATGTTGAACTCCTACCAGAGGTATCGTGTGAACCCAATTGGATCTCTTGCTTGCTGACTTGTTGTACGGTGATGATGGCTAGAGTACCCGACGATTTGCTTTGTGTGCGGACTTGTGCGGAGGAGAAAGGCCGGGGACGGAGTACCGCAACCCCTGCAAGGCGGAAGGGGTGCGAACCGCTGCTGCATGCGTACCGCTGCACGGAATGGAATCCCGCCTGAATCCGGCGCGTTTAAAAGGGGCACGGGAGAGGGGTGCGGCTGATGGGCGGATGCAGCTGCAACCGGACCCACTCAGGACAAGAGATCAGCGCCGTGGGTCGAGAGGTCGGGCGTCTGCGACCTAAGTGAGTCAAGGTAGCCCCAAGAGTGTGGGCTGGGGCAGCTGTGCTGTTTGGGAATGGTAAATGAACGGTTTTAAGAGGTAAGCCTTCCTTCCTCCTGAACCACAGTGTGTTGTGCATTAAGTACGAGAGGCCCAAACTCCCTTGACGGACGACGTTTCGCGGCAAAAACAGTTGGGCAGTTACGTTTCACGACCCTCAACGTTGTCGCGCAGCTTGCAATTGCCAGGACACACGACTTTTTCGCAACGCTGACTATGGTTATGTTAGCACCCTTACCCATGCTCGGGAGTACCGTTATCTTGTCGAATTCTTGAAATTGTCATGTTCGACACACTGCTAGGAATTCATTCATGTTCTGCGGCCTCTTCCGCCTCATTTATATTCCTTAGCATACTTACATGACCGCGTACTGAAACAGTCCTCCTAAAGCCCCAGAATCGGCAGTGTATTCTGCGGCAGCAAGCATGGCGTCGGACGACAAACCGTCAGGCGCAGCAGTCATGACATTACGTGATGTGCTCACGCCGCTTTGGGCTTATCTCGACGAGTATGATCGGCGTGCTGTTCGTGAGTGCTGCCACGAGGCTCTTCGCTCCCATGATTCGCTGATAACATGGCTGAGTGTGCACGACTTGTGGGGCCGAGTATTGCCAAATTCGCCAGACGAAATAAATCGATCTCTGGCTCGCATGGTGCGGCGAGGGTGTCGTCCGCGGGCCCTCGTGCTCCGTCTCCAGGGTGGCTCGGATGACATCCGACTCGCGCGTGGGTAAGGAAGCAAACGCGCATAACAGACTTGCCAAGCCGGTGTCGCGTCGTCTGAGTTTCCTGGCAGACATGTGCTCTTTATTGCTTAGGACCTTCACGAAGGCTTGCGTCCACCGGCCCCTCACATGTCCATCGCAGGCTAGCGGTCCTTCGCGCGCTTGCCCTTACGAACTCAGAAGCTGGCACGAACCCCGGTGTCGGCAGCGGAGACCAAGTTAGCCACGTCTCCGGCAGCATCACCCACGACGACAACAGCGGTGACGGCGGCGGAGGCGGCATTGTTGTACATTCGGGCCAACTTTGTTTCCAAGAGCTCCGGCTCGAGGGTGTGCCGCTGACGTCAGAGCTGCTGGGCGCCCTTGCTGCGGCTGCACCGGCGCTGACGTCCCTCAAACTGTACGGCTACGACCTCGGCGGCGACGGCAGTCCTGGCGGCGGCCGAGGGCTGACGGCGCCGCCAGCTCCGTCGCCACCGGCGAGTCTGGAAACCGCGCAAGTTGATGTCGTGGAGGAACGTACGGCAGAGGGGCAGGAACGTGCGAAACTGTTTGCTTCCGCCGCCTTTCCTAGTGATACAGACGTGCCGGCGCTGCTGCGGCTTGTGAGCCCTCGTTTACATCACCTCACGCTGCAGGATTGCAGCGGCGGCGGCAACAGCGACGGCGGCGGCGACTCCCCGGATGGTGCCAGTGCCGGCGGCGGCGGCGTTGAGGGTTGCTGCGCCACCGACTGCTGCTCAATCTGCGACCGCCGCTGCCGCTGGGCTGTGCCGCTGCTGACGGCGTTACGAGGCTGCCAAGAGCTGCGGTACCTGGGACTGAGGCACGCTAGTCGGCCCTGCCCGGTGCTGCCGTTGCTGCTGCGGCCCTTCGGCTGTACCCGCTGCTGTGACAACAGCCAGGGTCCCAGCCAGCTACAGCCCGGAGTCTCGCGAAGGACTTCTTTTAACAGAATGGAAAGCTTCAATGAGGGCGGTAGCAGTGCCTCTGGCGGCGGCGGCGGTGCAACCGCGGCAACGGAGGGAACAGCGGCGGCGGCTGCGGCGGAAGAGTCCTTCCTTGCGACGTCATTCCCCCGCCTGGCGTCCTTCAAGTTCCAAGCTCCGCTTCCCTCCATGCAGCGAGGGCTGTTCCAGCTGACGGCGGCGCTAGCGCAGCTGTCGGCGCTGACGCGACTAGAGCTGGGAGCGCGTACGGCGGTGCCGTCGCTGGCACCGCTGCTGCCGCCACTGGCGCCGCCGCTGCGAGGGCTGCGTGACCTAGAGGTGGCGGCGGCGACGGTGGCGGCGCCGTCAGAGCTCGAGGAGCTGTCACGATACCTGACGGCGCTGACGCGGCTTTCCGTCGGCGCGATGCTGCCGTCGTACGGCACTCGGCGGAGCGAGGTGACGGCGCCGACGTCGACGGAGGCGACGGCAGTTGTACAACCGTTACCGGCGGTTGGTACGGTGGCGGCGATTGATACGGTGCCGCTGCCGCCTCTGCTGCGAGAACTCAGTGTGGCTGCACCGCTGCCGCCCGCAGCCCTAACGGCTCTGCAACTGCCAACGACGTTGCAAACCCTGCGTATAACCGGGTTCACCCTCGACCTTCGTGACGTGTACGACAGCAATTCCGCCGTCGGTGCTGATGCCGAAGATGCTGGCGACGCCGATGACGATGCTCCGCTCGTAATGTTACCCGCCACGTACGAAACGCTAACGACTGCCGTACAACTCTTAAACGGGCGCTTCGCGTACCGAGACCTCGGTATCGAGCTGCATGTCGGCTTCCAGGCAACACCGCCGGATGTGGCGACTGCGCCGCCGTCGCCCATGCAACAGCCGAGACGACGACGGCGGTACTTGGCTGCGCCGCCTGAGCGACCCATGGGTCACTGGGGCTGGGCATCGGGACTGTCGGTTCTACGGCTCCAGGGACTGGAGTTAGCAGGGCTGGAGCTGCGGCCGGAAGATGTGGCAGCGGTGGCGGAGCATTTAGGCACCTTGGAGGTAGGAGGGCGGGGACGCGAAGTCGGGGAGTGAAAGATACGATAAGGGGAACCTGCACGCCAGGGGAGCAAAGTGTGGGTCACAAGGGGTGAAGAAGCAGTGTGGATCGCATGAGGGGTATCGCACATGGAGCTGAGAGCTGCTTTGGCATGTGTCATGTGTCGTACCCGCCGATGATGACGTCATCAACCATCATCCCGTATGCCGTATGCGCCCGTTTGCATTCCACCCACTCTCACAGGATTTGCGTTTGGACTGCCGTTACCCGCTCCCCAGCCTTCCCTGCCTGGCTCACCTACGTCGCCTGCAGCACTTGCTGCTGGATGTATCCTTCTGGCACCAACACCAAGCGCAACAGCAGCTGCGGGAGGATTCGCCGCCGCCGCAACAGCAACAGCAGCCGCAACAACAACAGGAGGACGAGGGCCGTCAATCTGGGGATCCGACTGGCCCAACACCAGCAGCATCAGCACCAGTACCGCCAGCAGCAGCGGCTGCTTCTGCCGTACGAACTCCCAGCGACGCATTGGTACGACTCTGCGCAGCGGCTCCCGGCTGTTTACGTAATGTCTACCTGGCGCCGTACGCGGCATCGTACGGCAGCCCACCTGTGCGCACGTGTGTGCTACAGGCGCTGGATGCTGTGGAGAGGGCGCTGCCGCGTGTTGCGTGTGGGGAGCTGCGGCTGTGGCTGAACGGCTGATAACGGTAGCAGCGCCAGCGCCGGAAGCAACTGGTAGCGGACGGACGTGTTGTGGTGGTGGTGGAACAACTGCTGAGCTGTGTGGAGGGAAGTATGTGGGAGTGCAGCAGTCACTGAGTGTGGGGACGTAACACCATAACTGCGGCTTTGCATGCTGTGTTGTACAGGTGGGTGTACGACATGTGGGAACATGCGTACGACATGCGTGCCTTCGCAGGATGGCTCTGAAAAGGGCATTACAGCTGATGGATTGGATTACTTTTCAAGCGGTCTACCGGCCAGGCTTTGTAAGGTGTCACAAAAGGATGACATGTCACAGCGGACTTTACGACCGTTACATCATCCTAACATCGTGTGCTGACGTGTGCAGGCAGGGGACGAGGTTCAGGGTACAAGGTGTTTTAGAACGGTAAAATCCCGTTAACGCCCAAAGAGTGCGTTGTTTTGGCGGCACAGCGCAGAGCTCAATTGTGGTGTACACTGTACCGTGCCTATGAAACGCTTTGTTTGGACTTTAGCGGGATACAATACGATACCGGTACACCCCAGGCAGGTGCTGTACCCTGCACGCCCATTCCTCATCCTCTCAGTTCTTCTGCGCAGCCTCCTGGCATATCCGCAACACACACCTGCCCTCCTGCTGCCTTTATGACAAGGCAATACGCAATCCGCAATCTCCATAGCACCCACAGTGAATCTAAGCCCTCGCCCTGCTGCCATCATCACAGCGACAAGGGGCCGCGAGCAACCCCTACCGCATCAATTAATGCTGAACGCCTACGTTGCCACGCACCCATTTTCTCAAGACATGCACACTCACACATGCGCCATGCGCCCCACAGACAGCATGCAGCAGGCAACATGCAGTGCCTCCTTGTCTCACCTCCTCTGCTCTCATCTCTTCTCCGCGGTACGACATGCTCCCAGCATCTCTTAAAGTTAGTGCCGCTGCCGGCCATGTCCCCTCCCCGCACGCGGTTTTTCGTTAATGTCCTACTTTGTGCCCTACAGTCCCGTGTTCCTGCGGCCGCGCCTCCTAGACGCCCGCCGCCTTCCCTCCGCCTGCTGAGCTGCCCCCCGCAGCTGCAGCTGCTGCTGCAGTCGCCTGCCGCTCCTCGGCCCTCTTAGCCCCATGGAACGTCATGGCCATGTGGCCGTACCGGGTGCCCGACACCTGGGGGGTTGGGTGGGGTAATGGGTGAGGTGAGGGGTGGGGAGTGAGGGAGGCGAGCCTTTGAGGTCAAGGCGTATGGGAGTCGCGTGTTGGAGGAGCAGGTGGAGGCAGCCTTGGACGCATGCGGAGGATGGGACGGTGAGCGCTGAGGAGCCCCATGCGGCACGTGAGGGGGGGTGCGCTGGGACTTGCTCCCTCCGTCCCGACCTTCCTCTTCCCTCCCTCTTCCCTTTCTCCCTCAGCATGTCCCTCTCCTTCCCTCCTTCTTCTCTCCTTCTCCTCCTCCTTCCCTCCCTCCTTCTCTCCTTGTCCTCCCCCTCCCTCCCTCCCTCCCTCCCTCCCCCCACCTGCTCTGCGGGCACCGCCAGCTCCAGCTGCTCCAGCTCCCCCGCGGTGAGGCCGGGCAGCAGGGACAGGGCGCCCAGGTTCTCCTGAGGGGGCAGGGCAGGGGGGAGCAGGGGGGATGAGGGGCTCAGGGAGGAGTGCGTTGGGGCGAGTGGGTAGGCACAGGGAGCAAGCCAAACAGCACCCGTACCCGCTTTCGTCCCTTACTCCGCCCCAACCCGCTCTCGCATCATCCCACCTTACCACCAACCGCCACCACCACCACCACCCTTCCCAGCCCCAGCCATGCAACCCCCGCCCCACGCCCCTGCCCCTACCTCCAGGTTAGCAATCTTGCGTGTGCCGGGAATGGGAAACACGTCGGGCCCCCGCGCCATCACCCACGCCAGCGCCAGCTGCCCTGCCGTACAGCCCTTGCTGGCTGCCAGCGCCGCTAGTCGGTCCACAAGAACCAGATTCTAGGGGGGGGATGGGGCAGGCGGCAGGAGGTGGCGGTGGGGGGCGGCGGGAGGGTGAGAAGGGATGTCGCGACAAGCGGGTGAGCGGATTGAATGTGGGCCTCGATGCAAGCTCTCGCAAAAACAGTCGAAAGGGCTTACCTTGTCGATTTGTTCGAACCATGGGCTTCCCTTGCGCCTGAAGAGAGAACGGTTGGAAGGAGGTCAGCAGCAGCAGGAGGATCCTCACATTCCTTCGCAGCGCCCAACGGGGCAGCGATCCCCATCCCCGACCCACACGCCAGCTCAGTTGGTTAACACGCCTCCTCAGTCTCCCATCACCGCCCAACCACCACTCTTACATACACACACGTTGCGCCTCGCGGCCAGTGTTTTTTAACACACGCCCCCCGCCCCTCCCCACCTGAAGTCCCCCTCGCTCAGCTGCTCCACGCTGCGTAGGGCCCCCGTGAGCAGTCCGCGACCCAGCGGGCTGTAGGCCAGCATGCTGATGCCCAGCTCACGACAGGTGGGGATGATCTCAGCCTGGGGGGGAGGGAGCGGAGGGAGCACAAGGCCCAATGAGGGTGTGATCAGGCACGGCAGGCGTCACAAGGGACTGTAGGAGAATCCGCATGACGCGGCAACTTGCCGTAGATGGAGAGGTGCATGTCACCGTCTGGTTTGGGTTTGTGCGGGGCGAGGCGAGGCGGCGGTTCAATGACCCACCCGGACACGCACCCCCCAGGTCAACCCCACCCCCCCACCCACCTCATGCCCCGCCCCCCCCCGCCCCCTTTCTCCCCCCCCCCACCCCGCACCTCCGCATCCCGGGTGAACAGCGACCACTCCAGCTCCACCGCCGCCACGGGCACCACCGCGGCCGCCTGCCGGATCTGCGCGGCGGACACCTCCGACAGCCCCACGCCGCGGATCTTGCCCTCCGCTAGGAGCAACTGGGGGGGGGGGGTGGGGGGGGGGTGGGAGGGGTTCGCGGATGGTGGGATGAGTGAGGGGATGCGGAAGGAGGATAAGGGAGCAGAGGAGCGCATGTGGGTTTGGGTGAGGCAGGGTACGGAAAGGAGGTTGGTTGGGGTGCTGATTGGATGTGAGCCGGGGACCTTGTGGGCGGGTGAGTGCCTCGATGTTACAGAGTCCCAGGGGCCGCTTGTGACCCCCCCCCCGCCTGCCCCCAGCGCCGATGTAGTGGGTCACGCTCGCTGGTTGCATTGTTTGTTTAAAGCCTGAACCCTGTACCTTGCACTCCTCCATGGTATCCGCGATGCTCACGCCCGAGGTGGGATCAGGGGGTCCGCGGTAGGTGAAGAGGTCGATGCAGGGCCGCTGCAGCCGCTGCAGCGCGCCCTCGCAGCACCTGCGGACGTGGAGCAGCCTCAGCAGGTGGGTGTGAGTCAACGCGAGAGGAACCGGGATGTGGCGAGGCATTGGTAAACATGTAACAAGTTTCAACAGCAGCACTACAGCAACTGGAGAAGTGATTACGAGAGACGCTGTTGAAGACGCACGGCTACAAGGAGTGGAAATGGAGCACATGTGAAAGCGTTTTGGTGTCCGTGTTACGAAAATCACGACCCGTGGAAGCGGTTAACCATGTCATCACTTTGACCTGACGGGCACTAGAGCGACAAAATTATTTCAGGCTAAATCGTTCCATAATACCAGTAAACGCACCTGCGGCAGTTCTCACGGCTGTTATCCTGAACGATACCGCGTCCCGGAGCAAACATGGCACCCCATTTCGTTGCGATGACCACATCCGGGTACTGATCCAGCGGAAATGCACGAGCCAGTAGCACTTCGTTCGTATAGGGACCGTAGAGATCTGCAAGAATGATGGTGCGTTGAGTAGGAGGTCACGGCAAGGTCGTCAGCATGAACGGCATGCGGGAACGTTAAGCGCCCTTTACAGGTGAAAAAAAGTTACTTGACCTCCATAATGGTGATCCGTATAACAAGCCATCGCAATGCACATGCGCGCGTGTGACTAACCGGAGGTGTTAAACAAACGAACGCCGAGGTCGTAGGCCCGTCGCAGCAGAACAATGGCCTCTTCCTCTGGAGGCGCGCCTGCGTAAAGGTTACTACTGAGGCTCATGCAGCCATACCCTAAGCGAGATGTGGAAATACCACTAGCCCCCAGGGTCCCGCTTGGGTTTACAAATTCAGTGGCCATTCTTTGCTACATACAAATAGAGCAATGCGCAATGCTTGCAAGTTCCGGTCTTTGTAGCACCTTATCTCGTACAACCGACCTTCCATGCTGTGCATGCTGCGTCGTACACAAGCTTAGCCCACAGAGCCCAAGCGGAATGAAGGTTGCCATGTTACACCTACATGTCATAGGCGACAAACATGCAAGATACGCTATAAGACAGAAAGTATCAAAGCTACTGCCGACGTTATTTACTCGCAACCAGCTAGAGTGGGTCTTTGGGCTTTATAATGATATGAGTGAAAGCGTTCTTAGCGACTATGGGTCAGAGGTGCGACACCCCCGCAGACGTTATACTGGTCAACCCGGAAGGCCTGATGGAGTTCTTTTTCTTTTGGCTTGACAGGATATTGCCCAGACAGTAGCTATCCTTACACAACTCAAGTCTGAAAATGTAGACCTTAAGCGTAACTTCGAGAACGTAAGTCCTGGGCATGTCCCTTGGTCGTCGCAGTGCACCTCCTAATACAACAGGCGCTGTGCTTGCGCAGTTGAAAGGGCTGCACGTGCGTCTTAACGAGACGTATAAGGGGCTCCAAAATCGTTACACGGCGTTGTACGATGAACGGGTAAGCTGGATGAGGACAGGGCTATGCAAGGAGGCAAAGGTCGGGTTACCCTGACTCATCCAGACTCACCCTGGCCACAGACGAACGTTGAAAAGCAGTACCAGTCGCTGTGCGAGTCATGGCGTGTCGAGCTGGAGGAGAAGCAGCGGCAGCTGGAGGCGGCAAAGGCGCAAATTCTTGGGCCCAGGTGCGTGTGGACCTTTCGGTAGTCCCCCCCCCCCCAGCATACCAGCATCACGGCCTAGTTTACCGGCGGGCGGGCGAGCGAACCGGTCCCCTTCCTGCTGCTCCCGCACAGGGACATGGACGTGCTGCGAGTGAAGCTGCTGGAGGAGTTGGAGGCGCCGTACCGGGCAAAGTGCGACAACCTAACAAAGGTACGGCAGAAAGGGTATGCACCACGCTGCACTGCAGAGTCTCCTCCTCGTTCAGGCTCGGGAGGAATCGCGGGAGTGATCTGGGTCAGTAGCGTCCTCGCCTGCCCCACAGCTCCACTCTTGTTGCCCCCTGCAATGACGGTAACCTCGCCGCCTTCTCCTCTGCCTCCGCGCCCCGCCCCCTCCCACCCGGTGCAGGAAGCCGAGTCCTCCCACCAGGCCTACCTCAAGCTGCGGAGGGAGTACGAGGAGCTGCAGAACACCTACCGCAGCCTGGTGGGTGCTGGGGGCGGGGGAGAGTGGGAGGATACTGGGTGACGTGAGGTGCAAGCTATTTAGACCATTTGTGAGGTGGTACATGCCAACATAGCGTAACCTTCTGTGTGCGCGCTCGCGCATCACCCCTGTTGCGTGCCATTTGGGTTTCCCGTCCGGCCCATGGCCGCTCCTCGTTCCCATCCTCACCACGTTACCCCATGGTGTTTACCTGCCTGCATCCCGCTCCTTCCCACTCTGTCCTCCCCACTCTGTCCTCCTCCTCCCTCCTCCCTACACCTCCCTACCCCCCACCCCCAGGAGGTGCGCACCGTGGGCGAGCAGGAGGCCCACCGGCTGGAGCACACGGCGCTGGTGCGCGAGCTGCGGGACAAGACGGGGCAGATTACACAGCTGCAGGGTGAGGGCCTTTGGGGGCTCATGAGGGGGGTGGGAGGGAGCTGGGAGGGGGATGGAAGGGAAGGGGGCTGAGATGGGGATTCCTGGCTTGCCCTTCTCTTCCCCCCATGTCAGCGCGACCTGCGCTGCTGCGTGTGCCATGACTCCTGCCAACTCACCCCGCCCTCCCTCCGGCCCTCCCTGCCGCCTGCCTCCCTGCCCCCCTGCCGCCTGCCTCCCTGCCCCCCTGCCGCCTGCCTCCCTCCAGGCAAGCTGACCTCCTGCGAGAGCGCCGTTCGCTCGCTGCAGCGGGAGGTGGAGGCGGCGCGCTACTCGGGGGCGCAGATGAAGCAGGAGCTGGAGGAGGTAAGCAGGGGTGGGGCGGGGTGGAGCAGCACTGTGGGGCCAAGCTGCCATACGGTACACCAACCTCCTGGCACCTCCCCGCCGCACCGCACCACACCAACCACCTGATACCGTACCACGCCCAACACCCCTTGCACAGGTGCGCCGCGCCAAGGAGAAGGCGGTGGTGGAGCGCGAGGCGGCTGCGGTGCAGGCCGACAAGAAGGTCAAGGCGGCGGAGGAGGAGGCGGCGCAGCTGATGTCGTACGTGGAGAGCGTGTCGCGCAAGAACCGGCACCTGGTGCAGGAGCTGGCGGAGAGCCAGAGGGCGGCGGAGGACCTGTTTGCGGCGAATGTGCGGTTGCAGGTGAGGGTGTGGGTGCGAGGGGGCGGGTGCCAGCCGCGTGGCAGGCGAGTACCGTATCAGGGAATGGCAGCGCCAGGTTGAGTGTGTGCTAATTCAACAATTTTCAATTCCAACGGGACGAGCGGGTTGTCCGTGGGACGTGTGACCCACATCCCGTCTCTCCACCTCACCCACTCCACCGCGCCCTCACACCCCGTGCATGCTGTCCCCTCTTCCTTTCCTCTCCCCTCTTCCAGAGCTCCCAGACGCAGCTGCAGTCTCAGCTGGACAGCTGTGTGCGGCTGTCGGCTGCCGAGAAGGCCGCGCTGGTGGCGGAGCAGGAGGAGGCGGTGCGGCGGCTGGAGGAGCGGCTGGCGGCGGCGGCGGGGGAGGCGGCCAAGCGGGAGAGCGCGGCGGCGGAGGCCAAGCTGGCCATGCAGGTGGGTGTGGGGGGAGAGGAGCGGGTGGGGGGACAAGACAGTCCTGAGACAGGAAACGGGAAGCCTGCTGCTGTCCTCCTTTGTGCGGTGACCCGCTGCAAGCACGTGCCCATGACCAACCATACCCTCTGTCTTAACTGCCCTTCCTAACTCCGCGTCTTCCGCATACCTCTCCTTCCTACCCGCGTATCCTCCCCTCCACCCCGCAGGAGGAGCTGTCCAAGCAGCACTCCGTCTGGGAGTCCAAGCTATCCGAGGAGCGGCGTGCTGCGGCGGAGCGGCTGCGGGAGGTGATGGACGGCAAGGCGGATGCGGCGGAGCGGGCGGCGGCGCAGCTGCGGGCGGTGGAGGGTGGGTGGGGGTGGTGGGGTGGGGAGTCATGAAGTGGGTGCTGAGTTAGGGGGGGCACCCGCTGGGTTAGGGTGCTCGGGTGTAGGGACCATGCACACGCCACATGACGTACCGTAGTAGGGCAGCTGGGTGAGACAGGTGGGTGGGGTGCATGTGTCGTGATGGAATGGAAATCCCTGTTCCTGGCCTCCGCTTATCCCCTGTCCTTCCGCGCCTCTTCCCTCATGCTTCCTCTGCTCCGCTCCCTCTCCCCTCCTCCTTCTCCACCTCTTCCCCAGAGCGGTGCCGTGAGGGCGAGGCGGCGCTGCGTGCGGCTCAGAGCGAGGCGGAGGCACACGCGCGGGAGGCCGCCGCGGAGGGGCAGCGCGCGGAGGGGCTGGCCAAGCAGCTGGCGGAGGCGAGTGCGGCCGGGGAGGCGGCCCGGGGGGAGCTGGCGGAGATCAAGGTAGGGGAGGCGGGGGGGGGAGGAAGGGGAAGAAAGGAACCGTGTGAGTAGGCTCCGCCAAGGGTTGGTTGACAGAGGAATGAAGGGAAGGGTACACTAGGGGAGAGGGTGGGCAAGGACTGCAGGTAAGGGAAGGAAGAGGAGCGGGTGCGGAGGGAGGAGCTACATGGGTGGCCCTTACGGCAGCTCTACTACACAGCCCCCCGCAACCATTCCCTCGAGCTTCCCCTCTTCACAACGCTAGCCGTCCTCTCAACGTCGCCCCCACCCTAACGACCCCCCCCAACCCTTCCACCTCCCCCCCTCCCCCAGTCTGAGCTGCTGCGCTGTCAGCTGCAGTGCCAGCAGCTCTCCGAGCGGCGGGCCGAGCTGGAGCAGCGGCTGCGGGCGGCGGAGGAGGCGACCGTGCAGGTGCGGGCTGCTCGGGACGCGCTGGCGGCGGAGTTGGAGGCGGCGAGGCGGGAGGCTGAGGAGGAGCGGTCGGGTGCGGCACGTGCGGCGGAGGCAAGCAGGTCAGTTGAGTGCATGTGGGGGCGGTCGTCGTGGTCATCATCGTTGCCATGTAGCGCGGAGGGGGATGTGCACTGTGCGGGCACGGAGTGCAGGGAGTGCACGGTTTGCTTCCGTTAGGGTCAAAACCACGGCAGAGAGGCCTCTTCATCCTGTTCCTCGGGCACTTCAAAACACTACCTGCTCTAGTCCTTCCACCGCAACCCGCTGATGCATGTCTCCTCGTCCGTCTGCCGCAGGTCCGCCTGGGCGATAGAGAAGGCCGCCATCGCGAAGCGCTACCAGGTGAGCCGAAACACACAGGCCTGGCCCGGGGCCATGCGCGTACGGCGCTGTGCTGCAAGCTTGTGTCGTACCTGCGTCGCCTCCGCCTGGTGTTCCTTCCGTCCGGCAGGACCGCCTAGGCTGCTGCCGACCACCTGCTGCTTCCTGCCTACCCCGCAACGCAATGGGATTGTGCGCCATGTCATGCCCCCTGCCAATCCCCACTCCTTGGGTGCCTCAACCCCAGTGCCGCCCCCTCCTCCTCACCTCCATCCCACTTCAACATGCTGCTGCTTGCTTCCTTCCTTGCCTGCCCCACCCCCATGCAGTCCCCCTCAAGCCTATTGCGACTATAGTCCATTGCGATTGATAACCACCTACACACCACCCCACCCCTCCTGCAGTCCGCCATGAAGGAGCAGGCGGCGCGTCACGAGGCGGAGCTGCGCAAGCTGAAGCGCAAGGCCCGCGGGGCGCATGCGGCGGTGGCGGCGCTCACGGATGAGGTGGCGGACCTCAAGGTAGGAGGGGGGAGACGGCGGAGGGGGCGGCATGCGGGGGGGTAGGGTGCCAGCGAGGCAGCTTTGGTGGGATAAAGAGGAAGAAACTACGGTAGCTAACCGTGTGACATGTAGGCTCCCCCATGGGGGGGGTGCATAGTCGTTGCCGACCCATGGGTGGGATGCTCGGGGCCAGGAGCCCCATGCTACGACAATCTCCTCAGTGGTGAGGAGGTTGAGGTAGCAGGGGCCTGTACCGGTGCACAGTCCATGGTCGCTTCCGGAGGAGTGAAGGAGCAGCTTCCAAACGCTGAAACACTTGGCGCTCCGGCTTCTTTCCTAATCCTTTATACTCTGTACCCTGCCCCCCTCCCCCCTTCGCCGACTCCAGTTCAAGGCAGCGGAGGCCAAGCACGTGAACCACATGTCCGAGATCCTCTACCTCAACACCGGCGGCAGCACCGGCGCGCGAGCAACCAGCCCCTACCGCGACATGCCGCCCTCCTCGGCACTGCCGTACAGCTCTGCCGGCGGCGCCTTCGGCTACGGCTACCTGGGCAGTGGCGGCGGCGCGAGACCAACAACAGCGCCGTCGTACATGCAGCCGGCGGCGGCGGCGACAACGCTAACGGGTGGCGGCGCCGCTGCCTCCGCCATGGGGGCGCTGCGGCCGCATCGGTCGACGGCGGGAGCGGAGGGGCAGGGTACGGAGGGCGGTGGTGGTGGTGGTGCGGTGGGGGCCAGTAGTGGAGGCAGCGGGGCGGCGGCGGTGGGTGCGGACCTGCTGGGTAGCATGGCTGCACTGAAGCAGCGGCAGCAGGAGTACATGGACGCTGCGAAACTGGGGGTGCAGCCCTAGGGGGAGGAGGTGGCGATAGGAGGTGCTGGGAGCGGCAGCAGGAAGAAGACAAGTGGGTTGTGTCTGGGGCCTGCCAAGACAAGGGCGGATGGACGTGGGATATGGCATGTGTAAATAGGGAGACGTGTAGCAGTATCGGTAAAATTAGTGAAGGTGCGTGGGGAATGCGGGCGGAGTATTTCCCAGTAACAAGTACCACGCGCAACGACGAATATGACATGCATGGTTGGTCAAGCGGTCCAAAGCGATCCTGTATGTTGACCCATGCCACTATGAGCTGCGGGCTGGGGCGTGGGTGACCTTGGGATGCGTGCGAACGTGGGGTGCGGGAAGCGGAACTGGTTTCTCGCCATTCCCCAGCCGTTTGACAAGACGCACGGTACTGAGGACGTGATCCTGGGTATGTGGGTTTTGCATCTCTTGAGGACGAAAGGTAGACACGGTGGCTGGCGCGTACCTCTATGCGGTCGGGGGTCTATGACGCCATGGGGCTCCTCATCTACACGTTGTACATAAGTTCCCCCTGATTCCCTTTGGTTTGGTTACATAGCTGTAGCATACTGTAATGTACATTTCACGACGCGAAGCGCGATCGCCTTGGCGATCGTGCGACCCATGGGTCGGGAGCTACATTTCGGGCGGCATACAGCCTTGGATAGCAAGATAGTAGTTGAGTATTCCTAGAAATGCAGCACCTATGGGATCTGACTTCTGGCGTTAAGTTTGCTTAGTGACGTCAGTCGCTATCGAAAGGATTCATGCCGCATCCCTGAACCCTTCACCGTCTTACATCCAGGTGAACAACCTTTCAAGTGATATAGTGGCTTCCCCTTCAATCTACTGTACAAGCTTAACTCACTTTGCAACAATGCATACAGGCTAAGGGTGCAACGTTGAAACCAAGTCAGCTTCCCACCGCGCCTGAGAGATTGTCAAAGCACATCACATTCCTTACAAGAGGCCGCTAGGTCACTTAGCAAAATGGTCCGGAGAATGCGGACTGCTCACACGGCACTCCAGCAAGAGCCTCAGCGAAAGCGCTCAGCCCGCAGTTCCGATAATGACTCACAGCCCCCACCAGCAAAGAAGCAGGTGATTGGTGCAACTGCGACCCGCGCAAAAGCAGCAGCCGCAGCAGCTTCCCAGCCCGGCCCTTCCGCTGCAACAACGTTAGCAGCAAAGGCGGCAGGAGCAGGGCCTTCTTCGCGGCCAGATCGAGCGCTACGCAGCAAAGGCCCGGCTCCACCTCCTTCACCGCTACCTTCAAGGTCTCCAGCAGCTGCAAAAAAGCCTGCCACCAGCGATCATCGGCAACAACAGAAGCAGCAAGAGAAGCAGCAGCAGCCTCGCGCTCTGCGCAGCCGTCCGAGCAGGGCCGCTCAAAATGGCCTTGCTTCAGCTGCGGCAGCTGGACCTTCGGGATCCGCAGCCGCAGCAGCAGCTGCTGCTGCGCCTCCAAAAGCAGCACAAAAACGTAAGAAAGCGGAAGACCAGCCGCCACAAAATGCGCCGGGCAGCAAAAGCGCGCGCGGAGGCGACGGCGGGGCGGGCCCGAGCACCTCTAGGCGGCTACGGAGCAGCCAACAGCAGCAACAAGAACAACCCCAACAACAGCAAGCGAGCGGAGGAGATGAGCTGATCGGTTTGGAGCTGTCAGTCCCGCTTGCGGAACTGTACGGCGCAAAATCATACGGCAAGCAACACGGGAAGGCTCTCGTCAAGGTGAAGACAGGGTTCAATGTGCCCGGGTGACAAGTAACGGTTGTGAGTATTCGAACGTGTAGCACCGACGTGTTTTTCCAATGTCCCTGGCGACTTCCTAACCCCGACATCCGCACACCCACTTCTCCCCGCCCTGCCCCTGTAACACCAAGCATCCCCCTTTTCCCCCTTTTCCCACAGGCGCGCGATCCCTCGCGCCCCGGCCACCTGCTCATCGCCACGACTGCTGACCGGCGGCGCAGCTACTGCCAGCCGGAGGAGGCCGTACGGCGCTGGCTGCTGCCGGGGCAGCTGGAGCCGGAGGGGGAGGAGGAGGAGGAGAGCGGGGAGGACAGCGGGGAGGAGGAGGAGGGGGAGGAAGAAGAAGAGGAGGAGGCGGATGAGGAGGAGGGCGAGGAAAGTGAGGAAGAGGAGGGAGGAGATGCAGCATCGTCGTCACAGGAGGAAGAGGCTCAGGAGGAGGAGGAGGAGGAGGAGGAAGAAGAAGAGGGAGAGGAGGAGGAGCAGCAGCAGCAGCCGGAGGATGAGGCGGCGGACGGTAGGCGACGCTCCACCCGTCGCGCCCAGGCAGCCCAACCCAACAAGTCAGGCAGGGAGTCCGGTGCCGCCGCCGCGGCCGCTGCTCCATCCCGCCGCGCCCACCCCACCACAGCAGCGGCGGGGCCCCCTCAGCAGCAGCAGCAGCCCCGCACGGGTCCGGCTAGGGTCACACGGCGCACGGCAGCAGCAGCTGCTGCCGCCGCCGACGGCGCCGGCCCCTCTTCCGCCGCTCCAAGCGGCACTCGCCACGCCCGCGACGGGGGCGGCGGTGACGGCGGCGGCGGCGGCAGTGGCGGTCGCCGCGGGGCTGCGGCGGCGGCGGCAGCGCATCGCAGCGGGGCTGCTGGCGGCGCTGGGCCCTCCACCGCGCCAGCTGCCGCCGCTGCCGCCCCTGCCGCCGGCTCCCTGGCTGACGTCATCGCCGCTGCCAAGTCCATAAAGCTGGTTCGCGGCCGCACCCGGCGGGAGGATGTGGAGGATTTGATTGGGGAGGTTGGTGCGGGGAGGGAGGCTGGGCGCGGGGTTTGCGTTCGTTGGGGTCAGGGCGTTGGGATGAGCGGCTAGGGTAGCGTGCGCAGGGGATGAACAGTTGAGGGCCGAATTGGGAGGGTGTTATGGAGCAGTGTTTTCCATACATTCCGTAGCTCGCTGGCCGGTCCAATGCGACTACCAGCGCCTGCTTGGTTTCGCGTCTAGACCTCGGTAGTCGGCAACCGCTCGCATCCACCGACATTCCTGTCTTAACTTGTTTGTCGCCGAAGCCTTGCTTCCTGACTTGCTCCTTCCTTACCCGTCGCTGCCACCGCTGTGCCATACTACTCTCCCTCTTGACGTGCGAAAACCTGCTGTACAGGACGTGGATGTCCCTGGCTGGGTTTTCGACGACCAATCAACCACCTTCAGGGGCGAAGTTACTGCACCGGATGATTCACACAAGAACTGTATCGTCATGAGTTTCAAGGGGGACGATCAAAAGTGAGCCAGTTGCCCTTCGGTTGCCCTTCGGTTGCCTTTCGGTTGTAATATTAAAATCAAGCTTTGCAGCTGCAACTGCAACGTCCGAAATTCAAACGTAAAACAGTTATTCGTAAAAGCGAACAAAGCCGTTTTTCGTAGGCCAAACCGCTTCCGGCTCTTCCAACGCCCTAACTGCCTCAGGTACTTCTTTCCGGTGGAGCTTGTGCGGCTGTGGCTGGCGGCCACACAGCCCCGGCCCGCCGCCGACGCCGCCACCGCGGAGGCGCCTGCTGCAGCGGCGGAGGCGGCACCTGCAGCAGCAAACCAGCAGCCGCCGCCACAGCAGCTGCCGCAGCGGGCCAGCCGAACGCATCGAGGCGGCGACACCGCGGCCGATACTGCAGCACCAGCCAGCGGCGCATCGCCAGCGGCAGGAGGGGCAGCGGCACGGCGGCACACGGAGGACGGCGCGCCGGCGGCAGCGGCGGCGGGACTCAGCAGCCGTCCACGTAGGGGCCAGGCCCCCGCTGCGGAAGCTGTCGGACCCACGGGAGCTGCTGCAGCGCCGGGACCTGCAGCGGCGGCGGCGGCGGCAGCCCCCGCTGCTCCCGCGGCGGTTCCTGCTGCTGACGGACAGCATGTCGAGGGTGGAGGAGAAGCAGCGGTGGACACCGCCGCCGCAGCGGCGGAGGGCACGGCGGCTGGGCGGCGGAGCAGCCGAATCCGCGGCAAGGACAAGGAGGACGTGGCGGCGGCGCCGCCGCCGCCGCCGGTTCAGACCCGGGAACTTCAGGCCGCAGGTGACGGCACGACGGCTGCAGCTGCCGGCAGCAATCGGTACAGCACCCGAGCGCGGAAGATCCAGCAGAAAGGCGCGGCGCCAGCGGTGCCGACGGCGGTGGCGGCGTCGGCCCCGCCGACGGGACCAAGTGGAGCGGCACCGGTGGAGGGTACGACAGGCCCGTCGGCGGCGGCCGCGGAGGGTGGTGTACGACAGCAGCAGCAGCGGCGCCGCAGCCGTGGAGCCGCGGAGGTAGCGGATGCAGCGGAGGTGCTGGCGTCGCTGCCGTCAGGGGGCTCGGGAGGCGCGGGTAGCGCTGACGGCGGCGTTACAGGTGACGGCGGCGCCGCTCCTGCCGCCGCAGGCGTGGGGGCAGGCCCCTCGGCGCCGCCGCAGGCGGTGGCCGGTACGGCAGCGGCTGCGCCGCCGGCAGCTGCATTCGTCCCAGGTACGGCACTGGCATTACATTCTTCAGCAGCGGCCGCTGGCGCTGCTGGTGGCGGCGGCGGCGGTGATGGCGGCGCGGCCGAGGCCCCAACGGCAGCGCCGCCGCCTCCGCAACCTGTCGGCCTGCAGATCATGGCAACGCTGGCGGAAGTGACAGCGCTTGCGGAGGCAGACGCAGGCGGCGGCAGCGGCGGTGCTGGGCCCAGCCAAGTGGGCGGCGGCCATGCGATTGATCCGCTGAAGGCGTTAGCGCAGGTGGGACGTAGCGGCCAGCACATTCGACCGCACGTGCCTAAGCCGGATGAGGACGACGACGATGAGGAGGACGAGGATTACGAAGTGTCTATTTCAGAGGACGAGGAGGAGTCGGATAGCGAAAGCGAGCTGTATAGCGAGAGTGGCACCGACGGCCCTGATGATGACGATGCCGCGGCGGCGGCGCCGCTGCTTCAGCTGATGGACGCCAAGTTGGCGGCGGCGGAGGCCAGGCAAATGGCGGCGGCGCAGTCCGATGCCGTACTGGCTGCTGCTGCCGCCGCCGCCACCGCCCTGCCGCCGGCCGGTGAGCCAGGCCCCAGCGGTACTGCTGCAGGGGCTGACGTCGGTGCGGCCAGAGGTGGCGACGACCTGGCACTGCAGCTGGCGCCGGAGGTGGCGGAGGACGCGGTCCTGATGGCGACGGGTGCCGCCGCTGCACTGGCGAAGGCGGAGGCGGCTGTACGCGGCGAAAAGCTTCCTGAGCCGCCGCCGGCGTCGCCGCCGCGCACCGTAGGTGTGGGGTCGGCGGTGGCGGGTCGCTCGGCCAGCAGCGGCCAGTACGGCATAGGAAGTGCAGGCCGAGTGCGAATCGTCCAGGCGCCGCCGGCAGCGGCAGGGGGGCCGTCAAACCCGCCGCTGGCGGCGCCGCCGGCGGGCCTTAACCCGATGGGGCAGCTGGCGGAGGCAGCGGCGGAGGCGGCGCAACCCGATACGAATACCGCCACGGGCGCTGGCGGTGGCGATGCTGCCGCTGGCGGCGGCGTTGTGAGTTCACCAATGCTTACGGTGGCGGAGGTGGCTCAAGCGGCACGCAGTTTCCAGCACATGCGGCCACGGGTTCCCAGCTTTGGTGAAGAAACTGATGACGACGACGCAGACGGCGTCAAGGACATAGCGGCGGGCACCGACAGGCCTGAGGCCGATGACGCCGCGGCGGCGGAGCCCATACTGCAGCTCAAGAACGCCAAGGCAGCGGTGGCGGAGGTTCGGCAGTGGGCGGCAGATCAGCCGCAGGCCGTCCTGTCTGCAGCAGCGATGGGTGCTGGAGCACAACCGTCGGGCAACAACACCGGTGGCGGTGGTGGAGGCGGAGGCGGTGGTTCATCCGGCGCGGCTGCTCTGCCTGCTGGTGCTGCTAATCCTGAGGACGTGGCGCGCGCCGCCCTGCAGCTGACGGGCGCCGCGGCAGCGCTGGCGGAGGCGGAGGCTGCCGTGCGCGGGGAGGCGCTGCCGACGCCGTCACCTGCTGGCAGCGGTGGTAGCGGCGGTGGCGGCAGAAGTGGCGGCGGCGGCCAAAAGTCCCGACGCCGTTCGTTGGGTCATATCCGTGGTACTGGATCCCCCGGTAGGGCAGGTAGTGATACAGTGGGCCGTGATGCTGCTGCTGCTGCACCGATAGTGGAGGCCGGAAGGCGCCGCAGCGCACCGCTTCAGACGGAGCAGCCGTCGCCGACGGAGGCGGGGACCAGGCCTCGCCGCTCAACCCGCCGCCGCAGCGGCGCCGCCGCCTCTGGAGGCGGGGACAGCGGCGGTGGCGGAGGCGGCGCTGCCAATGCTTCGCAGGACAAAGGCGTTCCGCCGCCGCCAGCGGCGGTGCAGCGTGTCAGCGGGGCGGTTTCTGGCCATGATGAACTGCGCGCTGCAGACAATGGGGAGAATTCCGGCGCGGCGGGAACGGCGGCGGCGCCGCCGCCTAATTTGACTGGGTGCGGTGCATCAGAGGCAGCAGTTGCCGCCGCTGAGCTTCACGCCGCGGCGAGTCGCGCTGCCGCCGCCGCGGCGCCGTACGGTTCTGCAGGCGGCGCCCTCGGCTTGGGAGTGGTGGGGTCCGGTGTCTCCGGCGGCGCTGGTGGTGCTGGCGGCGGCGGCGACATGTCGTACGACAGGCGGCTGGACAACGACGCGCCACCGGACGCGGAGCGTGAGGGCCGTGAGATCGCTGCACTGAGTCGTACTCTCAGTGGCCACCAGCCGCCGCCCGTCGCGCTTCCGGTCGAGGCCGGTGCCGCTGGCGGCGGCGGCAATGGCGGCGGCGGCTGCTCGCTGGTGCTACCGCCGCCGCCGTCGCCAACGGTCTTTGACGATTTGCCGCAGGAGGAGGAAGCGCTGCGCGAAAGCTCCTACGATCGGGGCTTCGCTGACTTGCCTGGTTTGGACGAAGGGCTGGGGTACGCTGGGGTTTAGGGCCCAGGCTGCCAGGGTTTAGGGTTTTCGGGCTGAAGGTCCTTGGGGTAAGCCGTGCCGTGAGGGCGGCGCGAGAAGTCTATGCATGCGTTTAAACATGGACGGAGCGGCACTGGAAGGGCACGGATCCGAGATTGTGTTGAGCACAAGCGGGTTTTCAACATGGGGGCAGGCCTGTGGTATGTGGCATTATGGATGGCAGGCTGGGAGTTGCGGTTGGTCACGCACATGCTTCTTACATGTCCCAACCGGGGCCTGAAAAGTGTGAAAGCACTTCCCCCATGCTTCCCTATGGTTCTGTGGCTGCGTGTGATGGTTTGATAATGAAAGAGTTGGTCAGGGCACAAATGTCCGAACTGGGGTTGCGGCACGGTGTGGATTGCTGGCAGGTTAGCAGTGCGGCTTGGTGGCTAGGTCCGCGACTTGCAAGTGCACGCACATTAGCAGGGCACGTAGCGGCAGGGATGGGTGCATGTAGGGGCAGAGAAGGGCACCAGTGCACGCTTGCAACCCTGGCCAGACTGTATATACCGGTATCCTGTGGTTAGGGAATTCGGCGTGCATTTGTAGCGTCATGGTTGCGAGGGCCCTAGGTGTAGTTGTGGATAACTGATACCGGTACCAAGTTGCGGGACTGTCAGCGCAAAGGGTTGTAAGTCGTTGCTGTGAACCAGAGTTGCCGTTCGCTCCATAATTAGCCATGTATTTCACCTGCACTTTGGTCGCTGATATTGGTCCAATCCGCGTGCCATAGGATAACCGCTCAAGCCAGTTTAGGATGGACATCCCCCGACCCGTTGTTGACCAAGGCACCCGTGTGGCCCCCTTTCATGGTGACGACGTATCGAAGAGCTTACGATTAGCAGGAGGTAACGGGTTTATTATCGGAGGCTTCGGAGCATTAACTCGATTACGACAGTCAAACTTCCTCCTGTGCCACCGACCCACCGTGCAGCTGCAACGGACCAAAACCCCCATCGCTTGGTTTACTGCTCCGCCATCCCGGAATATATACACCTCTAGTGAAAGGAGGGGATGTGGGTGAGGCGGGCCTCTGCACGCGGGAAGCCAAAGAGCCGAAAGCTGTTGGTCGTTAATCCCCATGCAAATCATACTTAAGAAGTCCTACGGTCAACTGTTATAACTCAGTGTGTTCTTTTCATTGCATATAAGAGACGTATATTCTCACGTGGGTTTCCCCTGCCCGCACCTGTGAGCTGTGACTTGCGCCCGGTCTTTTTGCAAGAAGTGCTCAACACTGTGTGCAGCGCCTACACTTGTAACAATATAACAGTACCATTATGCATATGTAATTTAGCTCAGTTTCTTGGTTGTCTATACATACGATACATGAACTTTCCAGGTGACATAGGCAATGTTAGCTGCAATCAGCAAGGCCTAAAGCTATCCAAGCAGTTTGTGCAGCTTTGCGTCGTGAGCCGGATCGGCCAGTTGGTCGCTGCTCATCCGCCATTGCAAGGAAAACCGAGGTGCCAGCACCGGCAACACGGCTTGTATAGTGGTGAATGGCTGAGGGTGCTGTATCCTCTGGTGCCCAAGCTGGGTGCAGTAACGCTCCTATAAGCAGCGCCTCCCTGCCGATCGACAAGCAACACCAGCAACAGCAGGGACAGGAGGTCTCACCCGCAAGCGCGTCCGACGCTGCGTACTCTACTCGTAGCTCTCCTAGCCTGCCAACAGTGGCAGTCCCACACGGTTCAGTCCCCCCGCCTGGCGCTGGCATCCTTGAACCCCCGGGGATTGGGGCAGGCATTGGCGTTGACTCCATCCCAGACGCTAGCTTCGAGGCAGCGCAACCGCCTCGCAAAAAGCCCCGGCTAAGCCATCCCAAGGCCGTCCTCAGGCCACGGCAAGGGACTGGTGTCGTGCCAGGTGGGACCGTTCCCGGCGACGTCGACGAGGATGGCAAAGTCACATGTGTGCATGCGCCAGTCAGAGGCGTTTGCCGCGCGGCGCGGGCGATACTCGACCTCAGCTGGACAGAATCCCGCACCTCCTACTTGTACACTACTGCCAAGACAAATTTTGAGTCCGGGAAAAAGCCGGACTATGTCAAGATGATGAAGCACCTGGGTAGGTATGCGGGCGGGTTGAGTAGGGTGATGGCAAGGGCGAGTAAGGATTCTGGTGATAAGAGAAAGGGGCAGAGGGCCTTATGCCTCTGTGTTGTCTCCCGGGAGTGTAGCTGCGCCCTTCTGGGGAACGCACACCGCAGATCTACCACCCATCGACCATGTGACCAGCCAACCCAGCAGCCAAACCCCCAATCTGCCATCGTCGTTACTTTTAGCCAGTTGGGCTGACGCATGGGGTGCCACGTTGCAGGTCCTGCCCCTGCCGCTCTTGCTGCCACCGTATCCCGACGCCATGTCTCACCCTTCTCCGAATCCCCCCCTTGACGCTGCCGTCGCAGGCTGGCACCAGCACCCCGACCCGGCACGCGCCATGTCGCGGCTCCGCAACAAGTACTGCACCATGCGGCGGATGCTGGAGAGCGGCGTGTCGCTGCAAAACCGCATCGCGCGGCCGGTGAGTTCGTGGGTTGGGGTCTTCGAGTACTGCAACAGTTGGTTCGGTGTGTTGTGAGGGTTGGGAGAACACGGGCACGCATTGGTAGGTCCTTGAGAGCGGCCTGTTACCTGTGTTGTTGTCGCCTTCTCGCACCGGTTCTGTTCCGGTTTGTAGCCTTGAGGCTTACTTTTGCTGCCTTGCCTGATCCCGATCCGCACCCATGTCCTGCTTCCCACGCGCTCCGCACTTGCTGCCTGGTCCCCGTACGCAACAAGGCATGCTGCCATGCCGCCGTGCTTACAAGTTTAGAGCTCATTCCCGTCCCGTTGTCCTGCCGTTGTGCTCCACCCCCTGCAGGTCAAGTACCCCTACCCGCTGGCTCGCAAGGTCCAGCAGGTGCTTGTGGCCTTCCCCAACCGCATGGTAAGTTGGGTTGGGTGCGAAGGAACCGACGGACCCGGTGCAGTGGGAATTAGACAAATCGAGCCGCGATCAGTACTGGGCGTGACCATGGAAGACCGCAAGGGGGATGGGCCCACCTGTTGCGTTGGCCCATTCAGAACCCGCATTCTGCAATGATTGGCCCTGCACTGCCGCCTGCAACCACAACCATGCTGCAACTTTTGGTGAGGGGTTGTCAGTGCCGGTTAGTTCTTTCGTTTCTTCCCTTCTGCCCCGTTGCACTTACAGGCAACCGTACGGGAGGTGTGGGAGGCCATCGAGGCTGACCCCGAGTACAGCCCGCACCTGGACCGCCGGCCGCAGACCACTGACGGGGCGCACCTCACGCGCTGGCAGAAGCAGGTATGTGTTCGGTGGGGAGTAGTAATAAGGGAGTAATATGAAAAAAAACTGACGAGGTGACTAACGAGCCGTATGACAAGGCGGTGGGGGGTGCGGTGAAAACTCTCGAGTCGGCATGCGAGGGTTGGTTGCATTTAGGTGGTGCTGGGGGGAGCAAGGCGTGCGCGGAACATGCCAGGGCACTTCGCAGGATAGATAGGGCCAAGCAGACGAGGAGGATGCGCTGTGATGCCATGGCCTTGTACGCCGGATCTTCCCTGCGCTGCACCCTCATGCACACGTATACCCCTGACCGTCGCTCTAGCTGCTTATACGCCACCCCTGCCCCTTACGCTGGGATCTTACCGGTATTGAGTGCATGCATTGCTGCCGTACAGGTTGGTCGCATTTTGACCAGCCGGACGCATCACGGGTTCGTCAACACGGGAGTTCGCAAGGACGGCCTCTTCTTGTACCAGTATGACAGTAAACAAGACTCTCGCAATAAAACGGTGCGTTACACACGGTGTTGTTATTGCTGCGCATGGGAACTGCTTTCGGCACTGCCTGCATGTGAAGGTACGACTTGTAAGCACCATGACTTTTATAAGAAATGGCGTTTTGTTTTAGCATAGACTGAAAGACATGCGACCCGACGCCCTTGCAGGCCGACAAAGCCAAGCGGCGCAGCCCCGCTTTGGCTTCGGAAGGGGGCAATTCAGGGAGAAGAGGGGCAGGAGGCGCGGATGGATCATGCGCAGTGTCGGGGGAAGATGCCCCGGCGCAACCAGCATCGCCAGCCGCCGCCACAGCTGCTGCCGCAGCGGCGGATGCGCCACCCGCAACGACGGCACCTGTCGCTGCAGGCGCACCGCTAACAGGGACGGGGACCCAAGACACCGGAACCGTAACTGGCGACGGTTGCACGAGCGCGGCTCAGGCGCCGGGCGGGGAAGGGCACAAGCCGCCATTGGAGGCGGTGGCTGCGGGATCGGCGGCTGAAGCTGGGTTGGCGCGGCATGCTGCTGCTGCGGAGGGCGCAACATCTGGAGACGGATCGGACAACGGTGGTGGCCGCTGCAAGGCGGGTGCGGCATGCGCCCCCTTGCACTCCCGGCTGCCTTCGTGCAGGAAACACGCAGACACAGCTGGATGCTCAAGTGACGAGCATGGGGGGAGCTGCCTGGACCCCTCGCGGCGTGACTTGTCGCGTCGGGGCAAGGACCCTCGGCAAGACCTAAGACCACACCGGCAACGAAAGGGACGGCACCGCGAGTTTGAGGGTGTTACGACTTCCGGGGCTTTAGCTGCAGCCGCCGCTGCAGCCCTGGCCGCGTTGAGCGATGGGGGCGAGGTACTGGAGCAGCAACTTGCTGCTGCTGCTTTAGATGGGGCTGTGCTGGGGTTGGGAGGCCTTGGCGAAGTGTTTGTTTGACGTGGTGTACAGTAAGCACGCCAACGGCAACTTGGATAGAAGCGCCACGCAGTTGACGTAGTGTTGTGGACAATATCTACGCAGCACATCGTTAGTTGCTTGCAGCTCTGAAGTCCGAGCCAAGCGGTAACCGTCATGGGTCCCGGTCACGGATGAGTGGCCCAATAGTGTGCCCCTAAGAAATTATAACAATGCTGAAACAGGCTTCTTTTTATCTTGTAAAAGCATATTTATGTATTGTATATAGCACTGTTATGAGTTTAGTCGTTAACTGGCATCGGGAGGCCCTGTTTAATGGAATCTTTTGTCGCACACACTCCAGTGCCAGAGGAGTCGCACCCCTCATCAACTTACACCGCCTGGGACCTGGCCTGCGGGCCCAGACTCCGAACAGCGTCTAAGAGACCCAACTCTGTAACTAACCAAGTTTGCTACCTAGCCGATACCTCACCCTACCCTCTCCGGGGAACAACAGGAGAGGGGGAAAACCAACAGCCGGGCGCGGATGGGCTCTAGCCCCCAAAACCCGCCCCGGCGTATTAGGCTCTAGGCGCGCTTCCGCATGCATGCACGCCTAGAGAGGACCCCGGAGAGAGTAGGGGTGGGAGGGTGGGAAACAAAAGGCTCGCCTACCTACAGCTGCAGCCATACTTAAGAACTGTCTGCAACTACGCAAAAGTCAGCGCCTTCCTAACTGCGCACGGAAACTCAGCGGCAAAGACCTGAAAGGCCAGCTGAGGGCAAACTGTTTAACCAAGGTCAAAACGTCTAGCACCGTCCACTCGCAAGCCTGGTGGCGACTGCTCTGCTCCCTGTCGTACATGCGCTCCAAAACCCCATTTTTAGTTGACACTCAAAATGATACTTTTGTCGCACACACTCCAGTGCCAGAGGAGTCGCACCCCTCATCAACTTACACCGCCTGGGACCTGGCCTGCGGGCCCAGACTCCGAACAGCGTCTAAGAGACCCAACTCTGTAACTAACCAAGTTTGCTACCTAGCCGATACCTCACCCTACCCTCTCCGGGGAACAACAGGAGAGGGGGAAAACCAACAGCCGGGCGCGGATGGGCTCTAGCCCCCAAAACCCGCCCCGGCGTATTAGGCTCTAGGCGCGCTTCCGCATGCATGCACGCCTAGAGAGGACCCCCCTTACCCTGTCACCCACCGCACGCCTCGTCACCTCACATGCACCCCACAATGCGGGCCTTAGCCGCCGCGGAGGGGAGGATATACGCGCTCACCGCCTCCGACCGCCACCTCCCGTGCGCCTTGATCTGCTCTCCAGAGGCCCCCCCTTCCGCTGCAGCCGTGGCTCCCCCCCTTCTCAGGCTGTGGGACGCGTAATCTGGTACCCGCCCGGCTATTTGTGGCAGGGCGCGCTGCATCTCTCCTAAGAGCGCCCTAAGCCTACGCGTAAACCCCTCCTTCCGCCAAGCCTCCGACCCCGGTCCCCACTGGGGGCCCCGCGTGAAGAGCGGCGCGCTGGGCTCCGCCCCCCCTGAGCGGGCCCGCTCTAGGTGGCGCCCTATAATGCGCCCGATGCGTACTCCGCTGCCAGACGATGCCCCCAGGTGCACATCCACCCCTGCCCCAACCTGATCGGTCTTGCTCCTCGTTATCCGCACCACGTGAACCCCACCAGTCAGCGAATGCACGTCACCTAGCCGCAGCCCCGCCAGCTCGCTTCTCCGCAGCATCCCAAAGAAACCCACCACCAGCCAACACGCATCCTGCTCGAGCTCCGCTCGGCGCGCTGGCGCCCCGTCCGCCGTCGCTGCCAGCCAGCCCAATAGGAGCCGCAGAAGCGGCACCGGGAACGCCTCCTTCGTACGTTGCGGCAGCGGCTCGGCCCCTGCATCGCCGCCAGCTGTGGCGGCTGCCGCCGGCGCCCGGGCACGCCACGCCTGCCTCAGCGTGCGTTGCACCAATGGGTTCCGGCGGATGGAGGCCTCCGCCGGAAAACCCTTCGCGCGCTGCCAGTCCGCAAGGGCGCTAATGGTGCCTGACAACGTTGAGGGGGCCACACGGTCGGCCTCATGGGCGATGAACAGGCTCACCAGCTCGGGGCTGAGGTCCGCGCCCCGCGCAGGTGGGAAAGCCGCCCTCATGGGTAAGCCCAGAGCAGCGCAGAAGGCCGCGTAGCGGCGGCGATGGGATTCGTACGTCCCTGCTGAACCCGCCGACACGGCGCTTCCCGCTAGCGCCACCAGCCTCGCCGCGAGTGCCTCCTGCCGACCGCCCGCAGCCCCTGCCGGAAAACCCGCCGCCGCCAGGATGCAGTGGATGCAGCGGAACCAGCCGCCGGGGTACGAGCCCGGCGGCAGTCCCAGGCAGCGGCGATGTGCCCGTATGTCGCATGTCTCACAGCGCAAGTCCCCCACGGAGGTGCGCCGCACGCAGGCCTCGCAGCTCCCGCCACCCTCTACAATCGCCATGGGGGCGCAAACGCGGATCGGAATTCGGTCAGGGCAGGCGTAAGACCAGCATATCGTAAGGAGAAGGACCCGCCTCGTCGCCCCAGGGCCAAACGCAGAGGCGGCCGCCCCTGGGCAGCACCTGGGCGACCCGGAATGGTGCGGATCGGCTACGGACGAAGGCCCGGAACCACCTCCGCTCCGGCCAGAAAGGCACCACCACAACCGCCCGCGTCCGCGAGTCACGCCGTGCCGCTGCCACGAGGGTCGCTAGCACCTCCCCCACCAGGGCCTGGGGTGGGAAGGCCCACAGCGCCTTGCCCGCCAGCTCGGCCTCCTGGCCAAGCACCGACCGCCCCGCGCTGTAGAACACCTCACAGCCGGGCTGCCGGTTGGAGCCATGGGCGTCGCAGCAGCAGTCGACGGTGGGCCGGAGAGAGAACTTGCGGCATAGCTCCCTGAAGATGCTGGCCTTCAGCCGCAGGTTCTGATCCTGGGCGCTGTCAAGGCGGCGGCTGAGGCGGTCGGCCTGGCCGTTGTCCACGCCGGGAATGTGCTCAGCCCGGACCTCGAACCCTGAGCTAATCGCAAGCTCTGCAATTTGGCGGCTAAGGCTGCGGCCCTCTGGGATGCGGGTGGAGCCGTGGTTGATGGCTGCTACGGCTTGGGTGTTGTCACAACGCACCAGCACCCGGCGCCCGGCAAGGCTGGCGGCCCATGACTGCAGCGCTCTGAGGACCGCCTTGAGCTCCAGCCACGAGATGTGCAGCTGACGCTCCTCCTCTGACCATGCCCCTTGCACCTCCGCCTCCCCCCAGACTGCGCCAAACCCACGCCCACTAGCGTCCGTGAAGAGGACGGCCCCATCCTGGCCGATAAACTCCCCCCTCACTAGGTCCAAACCGATGCCCGCTGAGCGCTTTACCCCGTCCCAGACAGAGGAATCCGCCCGTAGCACCTGCCACCAGAAAGCCAGGTCTTCTACTGCGTCCGCCGCCAGGCCGACAGTGGCCGGCGGGCGGGTGGGGCAGAAGAGGCTGTCGTAGAGGCCCTGCATGAACGTGAAACCCCAGCGGCATGCCCGGGCTATGAACGTTAAGCGGCCGACGGTGGACTCCAGGAGGTGCCGCTGCACTGGTCCGGTAGCTGCCGCGTCCAGGAGGGCGCGCACGTCCGCCGCGTAGCGCTGCCGCTTGTCCGGCGAGATGCGCATCTCCATCTTCTCGGTGTCGAACAGCATACCCAGGAAGTCGAGCTGCCGCAGGTGCTCGTTTCGTCCGCGGTCCTTGCTGGTCTTCCACTCCAGCCCCAGCTCGCCACCTATTTCGTCCATGACCGCGAAGGCGCCAACGACGTCTGCATGGGTCACCCCTAGGATGATGTAGTCGTCGACGAAGCAGAAGAGCTTGACCCGTAGCCCCCGCCGGTCGCACTCCGCTTGGAAGATGGCACACGCGGCGTTGGTTAACTCCACAAAGATTGGGGGCGATTGGCTGGCGCCGAAGGGCAGCACCACCCAACGCAGGACTGCCTCCGTGGTGGGATGCCTAAAGGCCATGTACCGGCGTGCTTCCGGGCTGCACTTGATGTGGTGGAAACCAGATGCGAGGTCCCGTTTGCCTAGCGCCCCTTGGAACGGCAAATGCTCCAGAATTGAGGCGAGGTCGGGCAGCGGGCAGGGGAGCTTGGTCATGCAGTCGTTCACCCCCGAAGCGGTAGGGTCGATGATCGGGCGCAGGTTGCCATCCGCCTTGCTGACAACATGCAGTGGGTTGATAGTGGCTGCAAAGTTGCGCAGGGGGCCATGCTGCTTGCTGTCGTACGCCTCCACCAGGCCCTGGCGCAGTAACTCGTCAATGTGGCTGGCGTACCATTCGCTGTGTTCGCGCACGGATGGGTAGTTGCGCAAGTGGTGCGAGGTTGGCGGCGTGGTGTGGAAGGTCCAGCTGGCTTCGTTACGGGACGCAGGCGTGTCGATGCCGTGACGCTGCCACGCGGCCGTATTAAGCTTCACGCCCCCTGGGCCGAACCAGCGGCCGGCCGACGGCGTTTCCGCCGCCGAGTCAGGCATCCACAAAACTGCATGAGGCACAGGTCAAGGTTACGCTTTGGGTGTTCACCCTCGCAGGGCCCCCGTTCGCCGTAGGTCGCGTACACCACCGATTGAACCACATGCGAACACCGTCAGGCCCTTCTTCCTTCAGGCAGAGCCACACGACCCCGGTGCATGCCACGGCATATTGCTTGTCACCCGCGCAAGGCCCCAGTCCGCCGTAGGTCGCGTACACCACAGACTAGACAGCAGGTGGACGCAGGCAGGCCCTTCTCCCCTCGGGTAGGGTCACGCCACATGGACACACGCAACAGCACATTGCTTGTCACCCGCGCAGGGCCCCAGTCCGCCGTAGGTCGCGTACACCACAGACTAGACAGCAGGTGGACGCAGGCAGGCCCTTCTCCCCTCGGGCAGGGTAACGCCACAAGGACACACGCAACGGCACGTTGCTTGTCACCCGCGCAGGGCCCCAGTCCGCCGTAGGTCGCGTACACCACAGACTAGACGGCAGGTAGACGCAGGCAGGCCCTTCTCCCCTCGGGCAGGGTCGCGCCACATGGACACACGCAACAGCACATTGCTTGTCACCCGCGCAGGGCCCCAGTCCGCCGTAGGTCGCGTACACCACAGACTAGACAGCAGGTAGACGCAGGCAGGCCCTTCTCCCCTCGGGCAGGGTCGCGCCACATGGACACACGCAACAGCACATTGCTTGTCACCCGCGCAGGGCCCCAGTCCGCCGTAGGTCGCGTACACGCTTACCTTCTGGTGTCTCCATCCCTGCCGTATTTGCGTCAGCTGCCCCACCGCCGGCCGTACTGCCGGCGGCTGGATGGAGGGGGGGCGCCGTTGGCGCCGGGGCGACCTCGCCCCCAGCTGACGCTGCCGCGTCCTAAGCCGGCCGGCGGGCTGCCTGCTCCTGCTTGGCGCATTCTGCGAATGCTGCCGTTTGGGCCCCAGGTTCCAGCCACCGCAACTCTCGGCAGCCGCGGTAGCTGTGTCCGGGCCTCTTGCAGTAGAAGCAGCCGTTGTCGCGTGGGGCACGGGGCTGTGCCGGGGCCGGCGGGAGTGGAAGAGGCGGGGGCGGCGGGTAAGCCGCCGCGGGAGCGGCGGCTGAGGCGAACTTCCCGAAGAGGTGCTGGCGCTGGCTGTCCGTAAATTGCGACAGGGCGGCTAGGAACTGCTGTGTGAGGGGAGAGCCCTTGCTGAATACGTCCATGACGTCCTTGAAGGGCAGGACACGGGCTGCATTCTGCACCTGCCGGAGGACCTCTTGTGTACGAAAAGCCTCCTCCCACACCTGCGCGGCCTTGGCCAAGAGCAGCGAGAGCTCCTCCGAAGAGGATGCGCAGTGTTTGGCCGCTTCCAGCTGGGACGCGAGATGCTGCAGGGAGCGGAGATGACTGTCTGCCTTGTGCGTGAAGGTCGCCTGGTCCCGGGATGCGAAGCTGACGTCCGCCAGCGAGACCAGGCTGCTGAGGCCTGGGATGCGGTCGAACACGTCTGCCCAGGCCCCTTCACGCTGAACGGTTGCCGCCAGGGGGCCCAGAGCGGACGGCGGTGCTGAGCCGAGGGGTAGGTGGCCGAGGCCCAGCACTGAAGAGTTGCTGTTTAAGTCCCCGCCACTGCCCCCCAGCGTGAGGCCCAGTCCCCCTAGGCCTCCCAGGCCTGCTGACGCTGCCCCAAATGCTTGCAGTCCGCTGCTGCCGGGAAGGCCCTGTAGGTTCAGGCCGGCACTCCAGCGTGCGTTCCCTATGGCAGGGTGCCGTTGGTCGTTCTGCAGGGTGGCGACTGCCGGCCGCCGGTCTTGCGGCAATTGCTGCTGCTGCCGTTGCTGGCGCTGAGGCTGGTGCTGTTCGCTGTCTTCTTCGTCCTGCAGAGCCGCCAGCTGCCGCTCTAGCACCGTCCTCCAGACTTCCGCTGCCTCGTCAGCGGATACAGGCTCCCTGATTTCCCGTCTTGCCAGCTCCAGGCTCGCGAGGCGCCGTACTTTGCGAGCTGCATCGCTCAAGCCCGCGTTCTCAAGGCGATCGAGAGCCCGTACAACCGCTGTCGGTGGGACGGATACGGCGCTGGGTGCCACACCCACGTCCCTCGCCGGCGCTGCCCTTGCGATTGCCGGCGACCCCGTACCGGGCATGGCGGGAGGGCCGGTGTGCTGCAGTGGCGTTGCTTGGGTGGCAAGGAAATCTTCAGCAAGAGCATCTAGGTGACCAGTTACGCCCAAGGTCTCGGGGTCAGGCGCGTTAGGTGAAGCAGTGGAAACAAAAGGCTCGCCTACCTACAGCTGCAGCCATACTTAAGAACTGTCTGCAACTACGCAAAAGTCAGCGCCTTCCTAACTGCGCACGGAAACTCAGCGGCAAAGACCTGAAAGGCCAGCTGAGGGCAAACTGTTTAACCAAGGTCAAAACGTCTAGCACCGTCCACTCGCAAGCCTGGTGGCGACTGCTCTGCTCCCTGTCGTACATGCGCTCCAAAACCCCATTTTTAGTTGACACTCAAAATGATACGTTATCGGCTCAGTGAACGACGCAAATCGCATAGAACGCTCAAACGCAATCACACAAACCGCAAGTGCTTACAAGCGGATTAATCGTTTATGACGCGCTAAATGTTTGCGCAAAAAGGGAAGTTGTGCCGCACCGAACGCTGCCGCGGGGACATGTCCCAACCAGCCATACCGCGGCCAACCCAAGCCCGGGAAACGACTCATAACCACTTCCCCAAAGGCCGTAAATGTTTGAGCTTGCTAGGCCTTAGCTTGCTATGCCTTCTACTCGTTACCCAAAAGGCATGCAACGTAAGGAAGCACAACACAGTACATGTACTCCATACACACCACACACGCACGGTCGGCAATCCATCCCAAATCCATACTATACCCAACCTCACAAGGGGCATCCGGCATGCTACTCCGGCACCGTAAGACACGCATGCAAGAAGTGTAGCCTCACAAACCCCGTTACTCATCCATCTGCGTCTCCAGGACCTTGCTGAGAATGTTCGTGTGGTCCAGTACCGCGCACCCTCCCTCCCCCGCCGGCAGGCCGTGCTCCTTGATGGGAGTGAGCCCCGTCTGGGCTTCGGCCGGGACGTGCACCGCCTCAGCGGTCTGCTTTAGCACGTTAAGCTGGTAGGCGCAGCTGCTTAGCACGCTGTCCTCCTCCAGGTTCTTGCAGTCCGCCACAGTCATCAGCGGTCCGGGGTCCGTGACGGGTTTCGGGAAGGCCTCGTGGTGGGTCCGCAATGAGGACTCCAGATTGCTGAGGCTGTCGTTAGTGGCGTTCGCCTCCACCAGCTTCGCCTTGACGTACTGCACAATGTCCATCAGGACGGCCGACAGCTGGTAGTCGTACTGCACCAATGAATGGGCCTCGAAAGAAATCTTCTGGAGCAGCTGGTGGGCGGCTTCATGCCGAGATGTTGCCGCGTCTGTTAGGTCCTGATGCGACTGCTGCAGCTGTGCCACAACCATCTGTGCAGCGTGCAACAGAGGCTTCACCACATTCTCGCGCGTACTCTCCTGCTTCATAGCAACCTCCTCGTAGTTACGTGCCCGTGTGGCGTAGGCCGTACGCTGGCTGTTCTCGGCAAGCTTCCTACAGCAGCGGTCAGCAAAGAGGCCAAAGCAAGAACAGTAAGCGGGACATATAGGTACGGCAGAGAGTATGTTGCAATTAGAATGAATGACCGTTACCATGGTTCCCTAACAGGGAACACAGTGATGAACCCAACCCTACACTGCAAGGAAAGCGCAACACGCCGGAAAGACAATAACACAGCGGGTCAGCAGGAAACAGGCATGAGAACCCAGGAATTACAAAGTGCTCCTAGCCCTGGACCAAATGCGTTGCCGCTTACCGTTCGAGGTCCGGCTTTTTTGACAAGAGCTCCAGGACCTCCGTGCACGCCTCCGTGATGTCAGCGTCTCCATACAAGTCCTTGTCGTACGACTGACCCGTGCTGAACAGCGCACGGCTACGCTTTAGGAGGTCTGCCGCACCTTTCCATTGAGGATTGCAGCATTGACTCAGGCCAGCCTTGGCCTTCTCATAGAATACGTTGCTGCTGCTGCTTCCTGCAGGGGCATCTGCAGTGGGTGTGGAGTAAGCATTCAGTGTTGCCTTGTCTGCTACACGACCTGACGGCTGTAATCTGATGCAAGCAAACTGTGTAAGGGACCTACAAAATCAAGAGTCCGTGGCGTCAATACGTCTAGCATACAGCATTAATGCATGCTTAAAAGCTTACCTCCACTCATACCCTGCCCGGAAGTGGCCGCAGCATGTGGGCCGGGGGCGATAGGATGGACCTGAGGGCCCTGCCCGAAGCCGCTGGCTCCCCTGTTCAGCGGCAAGGGTGTTGCGGCCGTGCCTTGTGTGCTGCCGTTGCCTACACATGAAGACGCACATCCAAAATGTCAGCAGATCAGGCAGGCTGAATATACCTTTAAATGCATCACTCACCTCCAGTCATTCCCTGCCCGTACGCGGCCGCAGCATATGGGCCGGGGGCCATAGGATGGACCTGAGAGCCCTGCCCGAAGCCGCTGGCTCCCATGGTCAGCGGCAAGGGTGTTGCGGCCGTGCCTTGTGTGCTGCCGTTGCCTACACATGCAGACGCACACGTCAGCTAAGGTAGGAGCCATCCAAAATTTCAGCCGTTAGGCAGGCTGCATATACCGGTAAATGCATCACTCACCTCCAGTCATTCCCTGCCCGTACGCGGCCGCAGCATATGGGCCGGGGGCCATAGGATGGACCTGAGAGCCCTGCCCGAAGCCGCTGGCTCCCATGGTCAGCGGCAAGGGTGTTGCGGCCGTGCCTTGTGTGCTGCCGTTGCCTACACATGAAGACGCACATCCAAAATGTCAGCAGATCAGGCAGGCTGAATATACCTTTAAATGCACCACTCACCCCCAGACATTCCCTGCCCGTACGTGGCCGTAGCGTATGGGCCGGGGGCCATAGGATGGACCTGAGAGCCCTGCCCGAAGCCGCTGGCTCCCAGGGCGGCACCAGCGTGCTGAGGCGGGAGGGGCGGTAACCCGTTAGACCGCAGCTGTGCCGGCATGAAGAAGCCTCCACCTGAGACATTTGAAGAATTACAATTAATCGGGGCGTTTTATGCAAGAGCGCGGGTAGTTGTGATGCCTTACCTTGGGCTTCCGCAGCTGCGGAAGCAGCCAACAGGCCCAACAGCGAACCACTAGGATGGCGAGCACCAGCTTGGACGGCGTCTGCATTCAGCAGTAGATAATAGCCCACTTGCGACTAGACAAGTAGACGAATCACTATGATACCCACCAGATTCGGCCTCCCCAGACGCCTCCTCGTCCCCGTCTTCGTCTTCTGACACATCACCGGACTGCGGCCGCTTGTTGCTGGGCTTTGAAACAATAGGGTTATCCCATATGTCAATATCGGGGCTAAACTTGCTCATGGCGTACTCGCCGGTGGCATCCAGGAGGCTAATCAGCTCCGTGTGGTCCCTGCATGTTTGACGTCCATTGAGGACGCTTCCCCGCCCAGAAACCATATGCTGTTCAGTCGCGTTGTGGTGAAGGAGAAGCCGCAACTTCACTTGGACGCGGTCCTCTTTCATCGAATCGTCATAGCACTTGCGGCAGGCGTTAAAGTTGGCCAGAATGTCTGCGGAGGTGGGAATCCACATGGGAGCAACAATTAATCGCTTTATACGTGCTTTACTCATTATGCATGAGTAATACATGCAAGGTATCGTACATCCAAGCAAAGCATCCTAGCATCCAATATCCTAGCGATCGGGAATCTTGAACGGCTTCCAGGCTTGCAGGTGCTCCGGTCCCCCTTTTAACTGTAGAATTCTATCCATGCGTATACCACTTACGGTTGGCTTTCGCGGCGCTTTCCTTGTCCTTGCCGGCAGCAGTTGCGATGAGAGAGTGGAGCAGTACCTTGAGGGTATCTTCCTCAGGCGGGTACCTGTACCCTTCCGGCAGAGCGGGGAAGTCCTCAGCATACGCAACAGCCCCTGACTGGTTGTGGTCAGCTATAAGGTGCGCTGCAGCCTGCGACCGGTTGATGAATGCCCTCCCGCAGAATGCAGGGTTCTGCTGGCCGTCCCTCACGAACGGCTGATAGCGGCACCCAACAACATTGCACGTGATAACACCTCCGGTGAGCAGGCAATAGTTTCCTGCGAGCATAACATTAGAACAAAATAGATATTATAGATAATATTGAGTGCTTGTAAAGCGTGAAAACACTTACTACGCCGCCCGGCAAACTTGCGACCGACAGCACTGTTCGTCTGCCTTGGCGCCTGCTGTTGTTGAGGCCGCCCATTTGGGGCTGCTGGGGCAGCCTGCTGTGCACCAGTTGCATCAGAGACGACAACTTGTTGTTTCCTTGCCGGCTTCTTTGGTGCCATTGTTACTGTAACGCCAACTAGTAATACGCCAAGCTTACTGCTGGTGGAAGGTTGCTTCTGGTTTCAAGCGTACCTAAGCAATGTATCTTATCCCGGAAGGCAATTATAGGCTAGGATCATTGGTATTATAGTGGATACTGCATTTTTGGCGCTATTATCGTACAATTGGTAACGCCATTACATACACCAGAGGATACGCCATTGGCCATTAGTCCATTCGCCAATATGCCAAATGTCAAGCCATAACTGGTAGTCCGTCGTGTTCTCTACCCAAGAAAAGCAAGTACATAATATCATTAATATACAAAAAGGTCGAGGCAAACACTCCACAAAAGTTTGCGTATCACATAGTTCTGTGTGGCGCATGGCGTTATGTCATCGCCATTGCCGCCGAAATACTAACGCCAAGTGGCGATACACCATATGCCATAGCCTTACACCACAGGGCGGGAAAGTCGTTCTACGCGGTATAAATTGGCTCTTGAAACTATGTTGATATCTTTTGGTTTTAGATACATGCGCATGGCTTGCTAAAAGTAAAGAATCTCCTAAGAACATTACCTCCGCCATGATGATAGCATGCCATCCCTTCGTGAATTGACGCCCGAAGCTCGTTCTTGCGTTGTCGAACTACAAAACCTTAGCAAGGAGGACCTCCGTGCCGTGCTTACTCAGGTGTTAGACCATAAGAAGACCTCTAACCTTCCAACCGAGTTCAGCACTGTCGTTGTAGATCGTGCTATCGGCGACTCGCTTCGTGAGATAGTTGATGCTGTTAGGCTTACCGGAGGACAGCACAAGGAGAACAAACAGACCTGGAGCACCGTTGCTACTGCTGTGTCAGGTTGGTTCGCTGTTCATACATAGACAGTATGTACTGCAATTTAACTGTGCGTGTACGTCTCCACACAGGACCATCGGTCGTTGGCAACCGCCTCCAGTTAGCTGTCTCAAGGCGTCTAGGGATTAAAACTAAGGTTATCCGGAAGGGTGCTCATCGATTTATACGCATTACCAACCGTATTGACCGCCGCTCATACCAGCCGTACCGCTCCTGTCAGCGGAGGGATAAGACATCACCACAGAAGGTGTCATCCGTACGCAGTTTCTGGGACGGTAACAGCATCCACAGCCCCTCTCCGAAAGACCTGATAAAGGTTACCCGTAGCCACCCTTCTATTGGAGCTAATTACCGCTACGTGCGTCGGAAATACGTTCAGCAACCCTACCGTACGTTACATCGGAAGTACCTCCTTGAGAATCCGACATCGCTTCACGTATCGTACGGTGTTTTCCTGCGTTACCAGCCTCCTTACGTGTCGCCATTTCAGGTGTGACATCAGTAAGTATTGTATTTGATGCTCCCCGCTGTGATAACCTAATACCCCTTTCCCTTCACTTCCCATAACAACAGGCAAAGAAACGCCGCACGTGTGTTTGCGTAACCTGCACCAACTTCCAGTACTTGGTTCAGGCGTTAGCGGCATTCCGGAGGTACATTGCCCCTGTGACCAACCTAACAAGACTTCGTCGCATTGACGCCGTACCGGAGGCATTGACTATAGAAAGCCTACTCTTGGCGTCATTTTGCAGCATACCTGAGGGCGAAATTATACCCGGGAGGGACTGCCTTTCCGGCGACTGCCCACATTGTGGTATCCGGAAGCTGGATTGGAACACGTACTGGCTGGTATGGTTGGGAGGGAGCACTGCTATTCTTGCTGTTAACCATGCCTTCGCTGTTATGTCACAAATGCCGAACATTACATAGGAATCACCATAGATGAACCCATCATGCCACTGTAAAAGCCATCACCAATTTTAACATATAGTGTCCTTGACGCCAGTACTTTCCTTTTTTTGATTGCATGCTGGCCGGCAGGAGGACGACCCGGCTGTCTCGTACCGTCAGGAGCGGAAAGCGCCGTCTGGCAGCCAGCGTGAGGGGCAATCTGAGTACGTCACCGTACAAGAACCTACCTCCGAAGCGGTTCAGCATCTCCTCTGCCAGTTTGAGAGCTTTGCGCCACATTACTATAGGAAGGAGTGGCAGCGGCGCATGTGGCACCTCGCTTCAGATGCCAACACTCAGCTCGCACACGAGCTGGTGACAAGTGCGGATTTCTCCGAGAAACTCACGCTCCGGTACGACAACGAGGTGCAAGCCATGTACCGGCACACGGTTACCATGGCTCTGCTCATTATCGTGGTGTACTTCATCCATCCAGGTGACAGTTGATACGTTGCAATACTTAAGCAGATAGCGGGCTGGCATCCAGGGTTTTCATTTTGCCATTTGCAGACACTGGTGAGCAAGAGGTCGAGACCCATTGCTTCTTCAGCGAGGACCCCACACAAGATGCGCCGTTTGTCAACCTTGCCTACAAGCTCTTGCTGCAGAACCTAGCCGAGAGGTGAATGATGCCGAGTCGCTGCGTTTCCTTGCTGTGTACGGAAGCGTAACGGTCCATTTCCTAAACCCTGTATTACAGGCTTCCTGCATTGCGAGCCTCCATTCGCGCGTGGTTCAGGTGGTCCGACAACTGCGCTTCTCAGTTCAAGTGCGCTGATGCCTTTCTCCTGCAAAGCCAGTGGTGCGTAATAACGTTGCAGCTCTAGTCCTCCCAATATAGGTTTAAGGGCTTAGCGTATGCATCTCGTCATTGGGTCGTACAATCAAGTACACGTAACCATACAATTGTCTAATTGTGTTCGTTTCCATGTCCATTTTGTGTTCCAGGCTGGGCAGCACCGGTCTATACGTCCAACAGGACTACACGGAGGCCAGCCATGGCAAGGGGCTGCACGACTCGGAGGGTGGCATCGTGAAGAGGGCGGTCAACGATGAGTTGAGAAGGCAAGGCGGGGAGCTGCTGAAGACCGCTGAGGAGGTTGTGGGCTTCTGCAGCAGGAACCTGTCGGTAAGGGACTACTCGCATGGAACGCCTCTGGGTTTGATGTTGGTATCCACTGTAGGAGAAATCCCCACACGGGAGCAATATCTCGTGCGCCGCCCAGCATTTCGACGTATGTTATCGACCTTATCGTCATAATGTGCCAGCGCACGATACCAAATTCCACTTCTCCCTTAAACCTTTCTACAGGTGCCCGCCTCCCAGGAGATCCTCTCTGGAGAACCTGACTCTGCTCGCATCAAGCAGCGGAACTTCTACCTCCTAACAGCTGCAGACATCCAGGCGGAGCGACAGTCCTTTGCCAAGGGTTCAAAGCCTGTACCCCAAACCCAGAAGGTCCACTCAGTGCAGTCAAGCATGCTTGCCGGCGCTGTCGGCTGGCGGCTGCTCAGCTGCTACTGTGATTCCTGCCGGCACTCTGCGGCACGAATTGACACGGAGGACATGGGGTGCGCTAACACGCACCATGTCAGCGACTGGGAGGTCCATGAGTTGCAGCCCCCGGACGCCCTTCAGCGCGATCGGGAGGCAGCCCTGCTTGCGTCTGTGAAGCCTGGCGAGGTGGTTGCGCTTGCCAACACGGACCCCGTCAACTACCCCCAGTACGAGTACTGCCTGATGGAGGTGTCTTGGTGCGGGGAGATTGAGGACAACCCGTGGAAGGACGGCGACGGCGTCACGTTTCCGGTAGACACCGCTGTAATCAAGGGCCGTTGGCTAGCGTACGCCAAGGAGAGCAGCAAACTGCAGTTCATAGCGGACAAGGGTGGCCGCATGTCAGGGGCAAGGCTGTCAGATCTCATCTGGGCTTCCGTCCCCTTTAGGCGTGGGAGCAAGGGGGTAAGCCACATCATCACCGCTGCAACTGACGCAACTATCCGTGAGAAGATGCGCACAATCGTGTGACAGGAGCCTAAGAGCGTTAGCAAATTACCCCTGCATAAGGGCTCTAGATAAGTTATTGGATGATGTGGTTTGGTTCCTGCTCCCCATCTCATAGGGATCATAAGTGTTTTCGGGCCACGGTATGCGTGTCAAAACGAACGAATTTATTATTGCGAGCATGTGCTAGTTTGTACAGGCAGTTCAAGCTCATGTCCTTTGTGTGCCTTTTGTATGGGATACACGCGGTGGTGGGTTTTATTTGCAGATCAGCATGCCGGATGCCCCTTGTGAGGTTGGGTATAGTATGGATTTGGGATGGATTGCCGACCGTGCGTGTGTGGTGTGTATGGAGTACATGTACTGTGTTGTGCTTCCTTACGTTGCATGCCTTTTGGGTAACGAGTAGAAGGCATAGCAAGCTAAGGCCTAGCAAGCTCAAACATTTACGGCCTTTGGGGAAGTGGTTATGAGTCGTTTCCCGGGCTTGGGTTGGCCGCGGTATGGCTGGTTGGGACATGTCCCCGCGGCAGCGTTCGGTGCGGCACAACTTCCCTTTTTGCGCAAACATTTAGCGCGTCATAAACGATTAATCCGCTTGTAAGCACTTGCGGTTTGTGTGATTGCGTTTGAGCGTTCTATGCGATTTGCGTCGTTCACTGAGCCGATAACGATTCCATTAAACAGGGCCTCCCGATGCCAGTTAACGACTAAACTCATAACAGTGCTATATACAATACATAAATATGCTTTTACAAGATAAAAAGAAGCCTGTTTCAGCATTGTTATAATTTCTTAGGGGCACACTATTGGGCCACTCATCCGTGACCGGGACCCATGGTGCTAAGCGCGAATGCACGTTAAGCAGTCGAGCTGATATGCCAATGTATATGTATATATCCTAGATACGAATAAGCTTCATGACTGCACCAGTCATGCAAGGAGAATGATGAACCGCAGATGAAAGACGTACAAAAAGGCTCCCCACCACGGACTGATGTCTACAATCAACTTGTAACTTTCTTTTGTGTGTTGTTAACCAAATTTGAGCCGCCCGAGGTTGCCGTACCTAGTCGACGTTTATTGGGCCCTCACAGGGCCCTAAGGGAGGCCCTTCTGCCCAACGAACCCAGGACCAACACGTCTGCGACCTCTCCTCCACCTAGCTGTGCGACCGGCCCCGACGCTCCCTTGGGCCCCAAGGCCCTTTGGGCGCATCGGGCGCCTGCGCCACAGCGCCAGGCTTAAAACTTTTCTCAAACAACAGGACAGGAACTTCACTCTGCTTAGAAATGGCACAGCCAGCGCAGCTACCGAAGCAGCCAGACCTACAGGACCTTGCCGGCCTGTTTCTTTCAGCGGCTTCTGTTCTTGCTCCTGGCGTTCTTGGCGCTGCAGCCCAGGGATCTGTTGCAGTTGGTGGCCACCAGCCTCCCCCATTGCCTCCCCACCTGCTGCATCCCACGGCGCTTGGACAACCAGTGGATGGCGATGGGCTTCCTTTATCTATCTCAGCGAACGGTCAGCGGACAGCAAGGGGCAACAAAGCCGCAACAAAGAATAAGGACTTTCCAGACTTGACAAACATGGGGGCGCTGCAAGCGCACGCCCTTGAGGTCATCGCGAGCCAACAGCCGTTTGCATCTTTGCATGCGCTGGGCCAGCAACTTCCTACCGACACCGCGACAGCTGCGGCCGCAGCGGCCGCGGCAGCTGCTGCAGTAGCAGCGGCAGCCGCGGAGGCCCAGCAGCAACATACCAGCAGTTTGCAACCTGGGGGCAGCGACGGTGTAGGCCTCCAGGACGCGCCCACGGTTGTGGCAAAAAAGCGGCGGAGAGAAACAGCGGCCGAGAATGAAAGCGCTGGTCTCATCTGGACAGATGAGCGGGTGCAGCTTGTTTTCGAGACTGTCAGGAGCAACATGGCAGCAAACAAGAAGCCTGACTACCCGGGTCTCATCAAGGCGCTGGGTGAGCACGGACCCTCCCAGCCTATGTCATGAGTGTATACACTTTCATGCGTGGCCAACGGCGACACACAATTAGGGGTTACCGCCTTTCCATGCCACCCATTGATTCCGCCGGCGAAATTCGTTCAAGGCCGCCGTTCCTCCCAAAGAACTCCAAGCACCACGTATCCGACCCATCCTCCGATACTCCTCCGCACCCACGCAGGATGGGAGAACGTGCCGGACCAGCACAAGGTGGTCCTCAAGCTGCGCAACAAGTACAGCGCCATGCGACGTATCGTGGAGAGCGGCGCTACGTTTGAGGAGCGCATCGCACCCAAGGTGAGGCTACCTACATCGGTGCCGTGGGTCACACAGCCAAGCCGCTCGTGCAGTGGTGAGCCCGCAGCCTCTTCCTGAGGAGGACCTGCGGCTTGACCATGTGGGTCACAACGTTTATGGCCATGGTAGTGGTGTGCCCTTTGTGAGCATGGCTGCACGTGGGCATGACGCTTAAGTGGATACATGGTTGTCCCTTGCCGCTGTACTGCCTGCTCGTGTCAGGTGGACTACCCCTATCCGCTGGTGCGCAAGGTTAAGGAGGTGCTCAAGACTTTCCCCAACTGCTCGGTGAGTGCGTGCGCCTGGGAAGGGCAGCGTTTTCTTAGGTTCAAACGCCGTCGTAATGGCACCCAAAGCCACCAAGTGCCCGCCTGTAGCATGCCAGCGCTTGGGCTGCACTTTGCGATGAGACACCCTCGCCCTGCCTCGCCAATGCATTTGTTGGCCCGGGCCCGTGTGCTCTCTTTTGTTGTCCTACAGGCGACGGTGAAGGAGGTGTGGGAGGCCATGGAAAACGACCCGTACTACAGCCCGTACCTGGACCGGCGGCCGCAGACAACGGATGGCCGGCGCTTAACACGTTGGCAAAAGCAGGTACGTTGGGAGGGACAGAGAGGACCGCGCTCTTTTGCCTGAGCGGAGTTGAAACCTGAACCATGCAACAGTACGCCTTGTGCATTGTTTTGTTGCTGTCGTTAGCACATCTCATGTGTACCCTGTGCGTAGGTCAGCCGCATCCTGACAAGCCGCGTGCGGTTCGGTTTCATCAACACGGGTACCAAGAAGGATGGGCTGTTCGTGTACAAGTACGACCAGGCGCAAGACCACACCACGCGCAAGGTAGGTCGGGTTGGGAAAGGTGGGATCCGGGTCTCCTGTCCTAGTCCCTTGTCCATGGTGCGCGGATTCCTGTTGGGAGTAGGAAAACGCCTTAATAACAGCTATCTTATCCGGACCAGATACGGCCTTAGCTGCGATGCGCACAGTGGTATCCTGCTCGCACTTATTACATTGCTGGCGGTTGCTGCCTTCCGTATCCCTTTACCGGCGTTGTGCCCAGCATCCAGTTGCATGCATACCGGTACCCATGCCCGCATTGCTCCCTGCCACATTGCAGGCGCGCCTCAAGTTTGACCTTGCTACGGGGCCACCCGGCATGCACGGCATGCCGCTGCCGCATGGCGCCATGCTGAACCCCATGGAGGACATGGTGGACGAGGAGGATGACGACGACGAGGAGGCGGGAGCGGACGGCGCCGGCGGCTCGAAGCGTGCTGCTGCTGAGAAGCGATCGGCCGTGCTCCGGGCGGCGCTGCTTCCGCGAACCGCTCTGGACGTTGGCGTTGACCCGCATACCGCTCCTAGGCATCGCAGCAACCGGCCGCTGCGTCCGGCCTCGGCAGCAGCTGGAGCGCAGCAGTCCAACCACCAGGCAGCGGCGGCTGCGGCGGCTGCTGCGGCGGCTGCCAGCCAGGTGAACATCCAGCAGATGGGACAAATGCTGGCGGCAGCAGCGGCGGCAGGGCAAGCGGGCGCGCTGGCGGGTCAACAGCCGTTTGCGCAAATGGTTGCGGAGGCGGCAGCAGCGGCGGTTGGAGCCAACGGCATTTCGTCAGCTACATCGGCAGGGATGGTGCTGCCACCTATGGGCATGGTTCAGCCCCAGCAGATGTCTCCAGGCCAGATGGGAACGCCGCAGCTGTCCATGGCTCCGCATGACGCGGCTATGCTGTCTTCCCTTGTGAACAACCCGCAGATGGCGGCCGCAATGGCGGCTGCAGCCATGGGCGGCGACCCCAGCCAGGTAGCCGCGAACATGGCGGCAGTTGCCGCTGCGGCCGTGGCAGCAGCCAGCGGTGGCGGGGCATTGGGCAAGCGGTCGACAGGGCGCCTAGCGCGGACATGCTCAGAGTCCTTGGCCGGTGCAGACGGCATGGCGGATATTGACATGGGGGCCGCGGTGGAGGATGATGGGCAGCAGCAGCTGGAGCCTGGCAGCGCGGCGGCGGCAGCGGCAGCCGCGGCCGCAGCGGCCGCTGCGGCGGCTGGCTTAGCGAATGGACAAGGGCTGCTTGAAGCTTTGACTGCTGCAAGCGGGCTTGGAGGCGCGTCGGGCCTGCCCGCGAGCGCGCTCAGTGATGCTGCCATGCACTTTGCACAGATGCAGCAGCACCACCAACTGCACTTGCCGGGCCTGCAAGGGCTGACGCACCATGCGTTGGGCGGCAAGGACGGCAGGGCAGAGTACGCTGGGGAGGATATGCATGACCAGGCGGCAGGCGGCGAGGTGACTGAGGAGGAGCATGCACATGCCCACGGCCATGCGGATGGTGGCCATATGGCCCCTCGGGCACCCCATGATGCGCAGCTGGAGGGTCCAGGCCCGGGAGCGCACCATGGCGATGTGGGGGTGCTTCAACACCACCACCATCACCACCACCACGGCCACCACCACCCGCAGCAGGCAGCAGCTGACCACACGGCTGTGCTTGAGGAGAACGCGGCTGCAGCGGCAGCAGCGGCCGCTGCGGCCGCAGCGGCGGCGGCGGCAGCTGCGCCGCATGGGGCGTCCGGGGACACTCAGCAGGGGGATGTGTCCGGCGATGGAACGATGGCTGCGGCGGCAGCAGCAGCGGCAGCCGCGCACGATAGCTTGATGCAGCTCCAGGCGATGGGGCTGGGAGCTGCGGCCGCGGAGTACCTGCAGGTCTCACAGCACCTGATGCAGTACGCGGCCAACCCGGCAAACGCCAATCAATTGCTGATGCAGCTGTCGCAGCAGACGCAGCACATGCACCATCACATGCAGCACCCGGGGCTAGACATGCAGTACCAGGACCCCCAGCAACAAGCCGAGGAGGCTGCGGCGGCGGCGGTTGCTGCGTCACAGCAGCAGGGCGAGGCTGGACTAGCAGAGCAGCATCAGCCTGGCGGGCAGTTGCAGGGAGGGCATCCCCAGGACGTGTCGATGAACATGCTGCTGCTGGGCTTGGGGCCGTTGCTCGGGCTACAACAGGTGTTTGGCGCACCGCCGTCAGCATCTGAAGCAGGGGGTTTGGACGATTCTAGCACAGGAATAGTGCAGAAATGAAGCGGGCGGTCTCCACGATGGGTCTGTGAGTGACTTCAGTAGCAATGCCAGCCATGCGGTTTGTGGCAGTATAGTTGCGTAAGGGTTGTGGGGGTAGAAAGGGGACCGCTGGTGCTCCAGCGGCGCCGGATGGCTGACTTGGTAAAAACATGCCTGAACTAAACAGTTTGAAGTGTACGGGTAAGCTTTCCGCAATGAATGCATTATGGCCTCTTGGTGGTGCATGTCGTTTCGTGCCATAATACTAAGAACTGTGGGTGTTGCAACTTGTCCTTTCTATGTGCGTTAAGCTCCACGGTTATGCCCTAAGCTCCACGGTGTGCTTGTGCGGTCATATGCGCCCTTCCGCTGGCTGCGTAAAGTCGCTTTAGCTGCATAGAACCCTTCTATCCATCCTTTCAGAGCCCATCCTTGCCATAAAGTGTAGCGGCCAGCATTTACCGGTAAGCCACAATACCAAAGGCGGTGTATACTGCAGTAGGTGTAGGCAGAGGCTACAGTCAGCAATAGCTAAGGAACCGTGAAGCCCCATAGCACCATAAGGTAGTAACCCCCGCGGTCCCTAACAGCCATCAGGTTAGGAGGCGCATCGGGGCTTGTGCGGGATTGCGATGCTGCCCGCTGGGAGGATCAATACTCGATCGTGCGGGACTGGGAAAGGAGCAGGGTATGTTGAATAGTCCAAACATCCCGTGTGATAACATTGTATCTATCATGAGGTAGTCGCAATTAAACGCCGCATGCGCTGGTGCCTGGTGGGACATTCTATGGGCTCCGCCGTACTCAGTCTGCTTCACGCAGAGCACAGCGCAGCACAACTTAGATTTGCTAACCGCATTGCAATTTGCGTTTGCGTTTGGAATTTTAAGTACTCTCTGCGCAGATGCTTGTAGTTGAAGACAACAGCCATGCAGTGCTGCGAGCTTAAGTAGGTTGTAGCACATCGATCACACAGCGTATCTGCGCGGCTGGTTGCTACTGGTTAACCCAGCTTAAGGAAGCCGCCCTGGCGAGGGAAGGCTGTTGCCAAAGCTGATGCGCAAAGCTCAGGAAAAAAGCTTCATCGCGGGCTCCTGTTGGGCTTAAACTGTCTGCCAACGCAGATAGGAGGCGTTCATTCATCGCAGAGAAGTAGACTTCCCGGTAGTTGGCACAGGCGTCATTCCTGACAATTTGAGAGCGACTTACAGCTATCTGCACTAAAGCGCTTGCATCGTCTACAATGAACGAGGATTGTGGGGCTGCAGCGGCTGCGAAGGAAGCTCAGCCGCAAAATGGGCTTGTAGCGGTGGATCCTGCCTCAGAGGCGCAAATGGAAGGGACCATTGACGGCCAGGCCGGCCAGCAAGGCAGGTCTGCGCACGCCACAGGAAGCGACGTGTCCGGTGGCAACAGCGCACGTCGCAACGAGGACGGTACCACCGTCAACACTGCAGACAGTGAGCTGGAACTCGCCTGGCCGGAGGGCGGCAAGGAGTACGTGTACGAGACCGCCAGGGCCGACGTGCAAGCTGGGCGGAGGCTGAACTACGCCGAGATGCTGCAGCATCTAGGTGGGCCTGCAGTGTCGCACGGGCACTACCCCATGCGTCTAGGCCGCTGTGGTCCGGGACGTATGGGCAGCCCCTGCGGAGGGCTAGGGTTCCCGGGACGTCTGTAGCTGGCTGACCCACGTGATCCTGTTCCTCCTTACTGCGGTAGTAAACGGTACTGTGCATAAGCAGCAGAAGTACAGCTCGCGAGACTGCCGTGTTGTTTGCCAGGACATGGGCCCCCCGTCGCCAACACGCAGGCTGGCCGAACACCAAGCGAGCGCGCAAACTACTAAGCAGCAACTACTTTTATAACCGCCTTAGGATAAAGCGCGGGGCCACCGGTCCGCCGACCTCCACACTGCAGGTATGGGGTTTACCAGTTGTGCTCATACTGCCGGCTGGGGCCAAGAGGTGTGGTCCGAGGGGCATGTGGGCGGGTCCCCATGTCTACTTCCTCTGTGGCGACCATGGCACTCCGCGTTTGCCTTAATGCCTTTAGGGTGCCTGTTCTGGGCCTCCCTTGCCCGGGGCTCGGCTGCTTCCCTAACGCTCTTGAAGGTTGCCGACGCTAGCATGAGCCGGCCCTTGTTTCCCTAGCAGGGGGATTGCGCGTGTAAGCCCCACGCACATGGCCCTACATGGCTCGGCCACCCTGCTTTTCCTGCGTCGCAGGGGACAACGCGGTCGGAGGACTGGAAAGGCTACATTGCCGGGGACATTCACGGCGGCGGAAGCGCGGGTGGTGGTGAAGGGGCGCCACACCGGTCACACCTGCTGCGGCGAGCCAAGGCTCGTGGTAGCGTAGACCCGGTAGGTTTTGGACCCGATGTGGCTGCCTGCATGGGATTGAGGAGCTCTCTTGCCTGTGTTTCTGGCGCCGGTATGGACTGATGGCTCCTGCACGGTCTGGTGTGCATGCCTTGCTGACGCTGTATGCCCGGTCTAGGCCGCATGCCGAAGCGGCCCATGCAAGAAGCGGCAGGCTCGCGCTGCTTGCCGTTGGCTCGTGAGTGGGAACAAGTAGTGCACTGCTTACTCGCATGGGTGAAGTGGGTCACATGCATGCCGGCGCATCTTAGACTCTATAAGGGGCCTTGATTGCAGCGGTACTCGCTTGCAGGGAAGTCGTTCCGCGCAGCGCAAGAGGCGGCGGTCGGAGACCGCAACGGGCGATACTGGAATGGAGGATGACGGCAGCGGGGGCGGACAGGCCGAAGAAGATGATGGGGACGGCGATGGACGCAGCGGTTCGGAGGATGAGGGTGCGGAGGCGGAGGAGGCGGCAGCGGAGGAGGAGGCGGAGGAGGAGGCAGCGGAGGCGGAGGAGGAGGCGGAAGCGGAGGCGGAACTCGCCTGGCCGGAGGGCGGCAAGGAGTACGTGTACGAGACCGCCAGGGCCGACGTGCAAGCTGGGCGGGGGCTGAACTACGCCGAGATGCTGCAGCATCTAGGTGGGCCTGCAGTGTCGCACGGGCACTACCAGGCGTCTAGGCCGCTGTGGCCCGGGACGTATGGGCAGCCCCTGCGGAGGGCTAGGGTTCTCGGGACGTCTGTAGCTGGCTGACCAACGTGGCCCTGTTCCTCCTTTCTGCGGTAGGAAACAGTACTGTGCATAAGCAGCAGAAGTACAGCTCGCGAGACTGCCGTGTTGTTTGCCAGGACATGGGCCCCCCGTCGCCAACACGCAGGCTGGCCGAACACCAAGCGAGCGCGCAAACTACTAAGTGGCAACTACTTTTATAACCGCCTTAGGATAAAGCGCGGGGCCACCGGTCCGCCGACCTCCACACTGCAGGTATGGGGTTTACCAGTTGGCTGCCCATACTGCCGGCTGGGGCCAAGAGGTGTGGTCCGAGGGGCATGTGGGCGGGTCCCCATGTCTACTTCCTCTGTGGCGACCATGGCACTCCGCGTTTGCCTTAATGCCCTTAGGGTGCCTGTTCTGGGCTGCCCTTGCCAGGGGCTCGGCTGCTTCCCTAACGCTCTTGAAGGTTGCCGACGCTAGCATGAGCCGGCCCTTGTTTCCCGAGCGGGGGAATTGCGCGTTTCCACAGCGCGTTTTCCTCTCGCGGTGCGTCCCCAGCACTGCCTAGTCATGTAGGTTTCATGCCCGCATGCCTCCTGGTTGGCAGGCCGCTGCCGACACGGGGGGGTCACCCGTGCTTGACGCCGGCGCTTCGGACGGCGAAACGGAGGCTGACGACGACAACGACGAGGACGAGGACGACGAGGAGCTTGACGCCCTCCTCCTGGGGTCCGCTGCTGGGGGAACAGCTGCCGGCGCAGGTGGAGGAGGAGGCGACGTAGGGGACGGTGGAGGCAACCCGGAGGACGAGGAGGAGCTAGAGCGGCGGCTTGTGAAGGCCCTGCGGGAGAGCGAGGCGACGGCTGGGTACCTGCAGGCGGCATTGGATGTGATGGAGCTGGCGGTAGCTGACCCAGGGGTCGCTCAGTACATGCTTGAGCAGCTGAAAGCCAGGCTGCCGCCGGTGTAGGCGTTAAGGTGTAGGTGTTTAGAGGGTGGCAGCAGGCAGGGTAAGCAGCAGCAGCGACGGCGGGTTGCAGCGGATGGCAGGAGTAGCAGTATTGGTTTGGGCTTTTGGCTGGATGCTGAGTTTAAGGGTTAGGGACCATAAGCAGGTTCGCAGGTTGTGTCTGTGGATTGCTACGCCGTTCGCATTGGCGCTCCGTGTGTTGTGGTGCGGTTCTGTCCTATCTGATTGCACATTTCATCCGCTCCCGTTCACATGCTTCCTCTACTAATGCAGGCTGGAACCCAATGATACCTAAGGATATCACTTACAGTCTGATGCGTCGCAGGGACAGAGGGAGTGTGTTGAGGGGAATGTCCTGATTGCCGGATGCCAAAATGTTGCAGACGTGTTGAGGGGTTGACAAGGGGGCATGTCCTCGCCGCCTTCCCAACCCTACGGCCCGGCCATACTGCAGTTGGCGCTAAAGCGTTGGTGTTGGTGTTGGTGCTACGGGGACAGCGGAACAACGTGGAATGCCATTACAACAAGATACAGGATGCAGTGGCGTTGCACACGCACTGGGCCCATTTGTGCAAGAGCCTAGTACCGGGGTGCGGCTTGGGTCCATGCATTAGAAGTCTAGGATACTCCGTTAAAAAGTTCCCATGCAGCCCCCATTCCGTAGCGGCGCACTTTGTTTTCCAGCTCTTGAAGCGAGCTGCATGCATCGCCGATGATCCGGCAGACAGCCTTCTTGCAATACTCTGTACAACTGGTAAAACAGGTACATCAACAAATCGACCCATGATTCGCCCTAGCCACCTCCCTAGTCATCATCATCGTCTGGGTGCATGGGGTTGAACATCTCAAACTCCTCCACGTCAAACATGAACGAAACCCAGGTCCGCATGGCCCCCGTGGGCATGGCGTCCTGCATGGGCAGACCTCGCATCCGGGCTGCAGCCTGTGAGCCCCCATTGCCGACGTCCTGCTCCAGGTGGTGGGGGTCTTCACCCGGCGCCTGAGGACGCCGGGATGCCTGGGTGCCAAGCCCAGCAGCAGCAGCGGCAGCCGAGGCGGGGGCTGCTGCTGCTCCGCTGGCGGTCCTGAAAGCATCTGCCCACCCGGGGGGACCCGCTGCATGAACGCCTCCTACTCCCCCTGCCGCCGGTCCCTCCGCCGTTACTGGTGCAGCCGGTGCCGCAGAAGCACCCCAACCACCAGCGCCACCAGCAGCCATGTAGCGCCCATGGAGGGGCGCAGCAGCGCCCGCCGCTGCACCCCCACCACCCGCGTGTACCCCACCTTGCTGCTGCTGCTGCTGCTGCTGCTGCCAGGGTCCCCCGGCTGCCTGGCGCATGGGCTCCTGCGTCCACAAACCCTGCTGGCCGCATGCATACCCAGGTACTGGGTAGTGACCCATGGGTCCGTGGGCACCGCCGAACAAGGGTGTTGAGCCCGCAGCCATGGCAGCAACAGGGGGCCCAAATGGTGGCAACCCACCGCCCATACCCAAACTCATATTCATTGTGACGCCCATAGGACAGCCAGGAAACGGCATAGGGCCCCGGGCCCCGCCCCAGCCCTTCTGCTGCTGCGGCGGTGGCAGCGGTGGCGGCGGTGCCGGCTGCCCCCAAGGTGGAGGTCCGTAGCGAGGGCTTCGATCGCAGGACCTGCCACGCTTCCACGCCTTGTCCCGGCCGCTGTGCCAATCCTGGTCTCGGCCACGATCGCGACTGACGTCAAGACGCGCGTTGCCTTGCTCTTGCGTCGGCTCCAGTGCCGTCAAGTATGGCACACGACCGCGGTCTCGGCTGGGCTCCCGGCCTCGACTGAGGTCTCCGTCATGACTCGCATCGCGTCCGCGGCTGGGCTCCCGGCGACCACGACTGCCCGTCCGTCCGCGGTCCTGGTCTCGGTGCACAGCCCGCCCACGCGGTGACTCTCCGCCAGGGTCCCTTCCGTCCGCTGCTGCCGCCGCCAGTGCAGCTGCTCCCGCTGCTCCTGCCGCCGCCGCCGATGCAGCTGCGGAAGTGTGCGGGGCAGCAGCAGTCTGCGCTGCTGATGGCGACGCGGCAGCAGTAGCGGTGGCAGAGCCGCTTCCGACCACCTCCACCGCTGGCGGGTAGCCATCCAGGGGCTCATCATGCGCATGCAGCACCCGTTCGGGTGAGATGCCGTACTCCTGCTGCAGGATCTCCGCATGCAGCGTCAGTCGCCGCCAGAAGCTGCGGCCGTAGTCGCGCAGCAGCGGTTCCCCGGCGGCGATGTTGCGCAGCGCCACCACCACCGGCAGCACCAGGCCGCGAACACATACGGGGAGCACCTGGTTGAGGGGTTGAGGGGAGTTGAGGGAGGCAGGGAAACGAGAGGATAGGACGGCTGGCGCTGTAAGAGCATGTCATGCAGCTGGCGAGTACGTTTTTCTTTACCTGTACGGAATGCCAACATACGGTAAGTGATGGATGTGGGTTGCGCGCGAAGAAGGCACACGTCGCGCTCCCTCGCCCGGTGAGACGCGACGACTGTTAACACTTGACAGGGTCTACTCACCCCTTCGGTACTGTTATTGGAACCAGATTCGCACCAGGCGGGGTTATGAGGCTAGGCTGGCACTACCGGTAACAACCAAATGCTAAAAGATAGCAGGCGGCGTGTAGCATGATGCACGAAGCAAGGTCACCAGTGTTCACACTGGACAACGCTTGGTTGCACAGCAACCTGGCACATGTACCAACGACCCAACGAACCACGATCACTCTGCCACTCAGCCAGCCATGCATGTACCATGCAGTTGGCGTTCTCGACTGCCCCGGCGTCTCCCACATCGTTGTCGGCATCTTCGCCTCGCATATCGACCCGTGGGTCATTTATGAGCGCTGCAAGGTTGCCGTAGCCCACCATGGAGACCACGGCAGGAGGCGGCGCCGAGGCTGCCCCTGCTGGCATGAGAGACGTCGAGCACATGTTAACGGTCACAACGGTCGGGCCTTGCATCGTACCTGATGCGTATCGTACTTAAAATGTAAATAGCTGCTGGCGCAACCGAACAGCCCCCATACATGAGGTAGGATAGGAAGGCGCAGGCAACCAGCCTCGGACGACGAATAGGACCGTGAGTGGGACGCCCCGTGGCCCCGACACACCTGGCGGTTGCCTCGAGGTGCCTTCCTGAGCGGGCGGCTGATGCCGCTGCCCCTGCCCTTCATGCTGGCGACCTATGGGCCAAGCGTACGGCATCTGAAACGCCTCCGCTAGGAAGCTCCACGCGTCTCGCGCCGCCGCCGCATCGACGCGACGCTTCAACTCCTCCTTAACTGCCGTACTGCACGACGCGTACGACAGCAGCTCTGTACGGTCCGCCGTGGGCAGTACATAACCGGCAACCACTCCGAGTACGACATCCTTCTTGATGTCCGCTGCCGCCGCCAGACCGATGCCTCCGCGGCGGCGGTCGGAGCAGATCCGTACTGCACTCAGCAGCCACCTAGCCTCTTTGGGCAATGGTGCGTCGGCGGCGCCTTTGTCACCCGTCAGGCCCAGTAACCGCGCTAGATTGTTGCAGATGATGTTTCGCCGCAGCTTGCGTTGTTGGAAAGGAGTAACCCAAGGCGGTTGTGGCTGCGGTGGCGGTGTTTTGGCGGTGGCGGCTGCGCCACCGCCGGTTGCTGCGCCGTCAATGCCCGAGATCTGCATTTGCTGTTGTACGACATCCAACCGCCGTAACGGACAGCCCCGGGCAGCCAGCCAGTCGTCCATGCTTCGTACGGCATGGTCCTTGATGCGCGGGTGGAAAACCAGCCCGCACACTTGCAGCTCATCTGGCTGCACTTCTGGCAGGCTGACATGCGGCGGCAGGTAGCCGTGCAGGTGGCTGATGAGACCCCCGGGTCGTTCGGCAGGTGGAAGACGTAAGGAGTGGCCAGACGCAGCGGCGGCGGCGCCGGCCGACGTCGGCGGCATACCTTCGCGCGCCTCGCCGCTGCCGTCGCTGCGTGCTGTCCGCTCCTCCTCCTCCTCCTCCTCCTCCATCGCCGTCGCTGCTGTGCGGGAGCCAGCAAACATGGCTGTAGCAGCGCCGCCGCCATCGGCACCCGTCGTGTCAGCCGCACTGGCGGCGCCGGCGACGGACCGAGTGCTCACGTTGAAAGTGGAATCGCTGTCGGGCACCGGCGCAAACACGATGACGTCGCCCACCTTGGCGCCTAGGGTCCGCATGACCTCGGGCGTTCCGTAGATGCGCACTCGCGGTCTGGTGCCTGATGACTTGCACAGCCTGGCCTGCAGATGTAGATGCATGCCGGACAGCGTGTGGCATGGGGTTGAGATGTATAGGTTACGGACTTGCGGATAGAGGGTTGAGTCTGGGGATGTACCGCGCGTGTGAAAGAGGTGTGCCAGGGAAAACCACCCGGAGGAAGACCGGCTGTGTGTACGATGGCAATGCGATGCAGAAGCAAAGCATGGCGGCGGCGCACATCGGGGCACCTAATGCTGTCAAGCTACTTGACATCGTCGTTCTTAACTTACCGGGTGTTGCTTGCCCCGGGCAATAAATTTTAGGTCAAGCTGCGCGCACGTTTCGGCACTTGGAAGCCGTGCCAGGGCGGGCGCGAACACGCCAGCGCGCATTTCGGCAGTCACTTCGATCGACTTAAAGTCAGATGCGACAATGACTTTGCCGTTTCTAGGATTGAAGCCAAGATTCCGCCCGCTGTGAACTTTGCCATATGCATCCTGCCCTGCTGCTGCCATCGTTGGTCGCCCTGGCGAGCTCTGTTCCTCGGCGCATCCACTGAATGGAGCTAACCACTAAAAGCGTAATCCGTATGCATGCCTAAAATTGCGAATCCGGCAGTTGAGCTTGTGCGAGCGGGCCCTGCCATCCCTCAACATCCGCTCCAAATATCGGTATAGCTTCCACAGAAGGCAACTTAAAAAGCTACAGTCTTAAAGTTTTACCAACAAATTACTAATGAGACCACAGATAGCATATGCATAAAATCCTTAGGCAGGCTTGTCCGTCGCTTGCCGCCCGCCCAACCGCCGGAACCAGCAGCTGTGCAAAGCCAAAGAGACGTAAGACGCCAGTGAGTGAATAGGTCCTCACAATAGACAAGGTCAAGGATAGCCTGTAAGCTGTAACTGGAAATTCGGCTGTAAGTTTATGGTGTCGTAATTCGTCAGTCACGTGGGTTCGGTGCGACGCTTACTGCAGCCTCTACGTATGCGTCATATACGTGTAAGATAAATTATGTTCATGATAACCACCATACCTTTTGCGCCTGATCAAGGCTGGCCCCGTGGGCGTTTCGTTTCCGGTTAACCCCAGCGAGGCGTAGCCTCTGACACCACGGTCAAAACTTGCCACCAAGTCTTGCTGCAAGTACGAAGTACCAGTGCTTCTGTACAGGTGTACGAGTGTCGGTGTCCCGAGTGTGGCAATCCCAGTCCCCTACCAATTTCGGGGATTATTTCCCAGGATGGTAGGTGCCGAAGCCGTGTAGAGAGAGCCTTCCGTAAGTGGCACAGGTCGCTTGTGTACTATGTCTATGGTTTCCGTCAGACAATTATAGCTTTTGTTGGGTAGGTAACAGGCCCCCATGTCGGTCCAGAACGGGGCCGGCATGTCGGCACCTTCAGGGTAGTGGAAGCCCTATGCAAACACTCTTGTCAGCCATAGAGATGCACACATGGTGCTAAGACACCCTGACCTTTTAGCAACTAGCAAGGGAGTTTTAGTATGTTGGCTGGGCAGGCCTCCTGTAGGTGTAGGCCCCCTCAAGGCAAGCAATCCAATTCCCAATGTGTGGTGTGGGATGTTACCACGGCGGTGCTTCCCGCGTCCTCCTACACGTGTTTGCCATGTAGACTGGGCTGTAATGCACGTCGCCAGCTCCGTTGCCCTGTTATTGATGGCTGCAAACATCTGCTTTTTAGAAGCCCAAAGTAGAAACCCGCGACTTGAGGTGATGGGTGGCTATCCGTGCATCCCTCATGATCCTGCCGCATATGACTTATGGCAGTCAACCTGCCGGAAACGAAGCCGGTTACGTGCTGCAAAGGGCTACCCAGAATGAATGGCCGTCAGGTGATTCCCCAATGCACCCTGTTGCATAATCCAAGCAGGACAGGGTCCCTGTCAGCTGAGGGATTGCACATAGCAAGTTTACAAAGGGTCAGGGGCCTTCGGAATAGCGCTGGGGAATGCCGTGCTGCTGACGTCTACCCAGCCCTAGGCGTTGGAGGGCTGTGTTGGCCTGGCGGGGGAGCGGGGGACGTAACAATATACAGAACAAAGTGTGCAACAGACTTACAAATGTACGTGGAAAACCTAAGGCAAGAGGGCGCACGTGGTTTGCGGTAGACTTGCTGTTGCTTATCTATAACACCTGCACGTCCGTATGGCTCTCATTGTTGGCTTAAACCACATAAACTCCTGCATGGAGTCATGGCCCGTTGCGCCGTCATCCCGTCAGGAGAATTACGACATCGTATAGTCGGGCACGTCAGCTTGGTTATTCTATAACCGTTGCTGCTTTAGTTCTGCATAAGCAGTTCTAAATCCCATGTTCTGTGCGGCGGCATAAATCGCTACAACCCAATCTCGTCGGTAGAAGGTTCGCGGGACGCATTTTTCGCGAGCGCGCATACAGCGAAGCTGCTGCCCGCTAAGTATGCATAAATATATATCATATTAAGACCACCCGCTACACGTACGTCACGTTGCCGCATGTGGAATCTCACAATTGTACCTTTTCCCAGTAAGCTGGATGTATGGCCGTCGACATAACCTTGTACGTTCAACTATACGTTATACAGGACTATGTCGCATTCATGTCACATATTCATAATCAAGAACGTCTATGTGCCCTTTTTATGGCTTGGTCAACGCATTCCTGTCGTGCATACTACATGTCGTGCCCTAAAGGGACCCCGTCTGTGCGCAGAAGTTGGGTCGACTTTATACATGTTTGACGCAAGCTTAGTATCTATCCTTATTGCTGGGCTACATGCACGGCTCAACGAAGCCAGTGACGTTTGGAACTTAATGGTTCAATGACTTTACAGAGAGCCGAGTCTATAGCCAGCAGCGGTGCTGGACCTAGACTAGCAAATCTCCCAATTAGGTGGGTTCTCTATGCGAGTGAGATTTGCTTCGCGCCTCGGTCTAAGACCTTAATGAGAGTTCACCAGGCTGCGCCACTGGAGCATGTAAAGCGCTCTTTAGTCCTTATTTGGAAACAGCTATTGTTTGGTCGTCTTATTTCGTCATGCGCTTGGCGGAAAGGGCGTGACGACAGCCGCCAACTCCGCCAACTGCCCTGACCATACTTTTATGGTTAACCGTTCCAAACAGGACTGAAGGATTTACCTCCGATTCCGAGCAGGATGATTTATTGCAGGTGGGCGCCAACCATGTATGCTTGTGTATATTTCCCTGGCCGTTCGACATCCGCGGTCCCAGCGACATGGCCCAGGGGCACTGGTGCTGACACACAATGAGCAAATGATAACTTTGCTTCTTTTTACAATGCTATGTTTCTGATCATTGGCACTCATTCCTTCAGACTCCCTCGCTAGAGGCTGGCATCTTTGGAGTGCTGTTCACGCTCAGCCAGGAGAAGAACCAAAACAATATCCAATACCAATGGATATTGCTGAAGGCAAGAAGCATGGAGTGATCCAGCTTACTCAATGGGGGTCTGACGTAGCAACCGTAGTGGAAGCCGGCAAGCGTTACTTGGCGGGTGCCCGCCTTCTGTTTAAACCAACATGGGCGGGAGCACCGGGGACTCTGGTTTACCCGCTATCAATCCGGACTGAAAAGCTCCCCAATTGTGACACTCCCTTCGCATTTTTCCTTGAGCTCCTGTCGCCCTGACCCCCACACACAGATCCTGCTGGACGCATGGCAGATCTTCACCACCATAGTGACGCTGGGAGCCGGATGGGACATAAATCCAGACAGCACGCTCTGGAAGGGCGTTGCCGTACTCAACTTCCAATGGCTCACGAGCCTGGTGAGAAACGTGGCAGAGCTGATGAGGCAGGGGTGCAGAGGGACGATGGGGGGAAATGAAGTTGCGGATGCACCAGTGTCGAGAAGGGCGCAGGAGCTCTACCAAATGCAGGAAGTCGGGCAGCAACACATGCTCTGCAACGGGCGCCAGCGGCTTTACCCCGCTGACGGGTAAAGCCAGTCAGCGAGGTCACAGAAGTGCCTCCGCTGCCGTGACCCCGTCTGGCACAGCGTATCCCGCCCCTTGCTGGTAGCCAGGTGGCCCCATGCACGCAGCAACTCCGCAGCTCATCCGAGCGAGGGTGCCTGGAGATCACCCTCAAAGCGCAGTGCAGTGCCGGTCCACACAGCTCAAGCAGAGGGGACGGGGGATCTATGTATAGCAGCAGCAGCAGTTCTGGGCCTCAGCAAACTAGAGCAGCTCGGCACGGCAGCTTGCACGGCATGCGGGGAGGCTTCCGGAGCTTGGGACTGCCGCACTTTCGTGGCTGCTGTTGGGCGGACAGCTGTGTCGTGCAGGGGGAACTGTTGTGCTGTGGCTTCTGTGAAACTGCGTACGCTGGGGTCAGCCTCAATGGGCTTGTACGACAGCGTCTGAGAATCCATGCCAGTTGTACGGCATCCATGCCAAACTCTGAACTCCTCTTCTGTATGCTGTGTAGCGTGTGCTAAGGAAACTGGCGTGTGTGCGTGCGTTTCCTTCCCCGCAGGGTTACAAATGGTATGTGACCATCTTGTATGCCATGGCGGGGCTTCTGGCGCTCAACCTCTCGCTGTGCGTGTGGGTGGCCTGGAGCTTCAAGGAGCAGAAGTTTGACTATGTGTGGCCCATCAAGGTGGGGGTAACAAAGGAGAAACTAAAGGGGGGGGGGTTGAGAGGGCGAGCAAGAGTGGGCTGCAGGGGATAGGCAAGGGGTGCAGAGATGCTGGATGAAAGGTGTAAAGGGAAGGTGGTTAGGGTCTGCCTCGGGGAGGAAAGCGCTTAAACAATGCTCTTCTGATGCCATATGGTATGCGCATGTAACCCCGTCTTCCCTGTCCTTGCCTGCAGCTCGTACGTGGCTTTTCGTACGTGTTTATCCAAGTCTTCGACATCACTAGTCTGAGCTTCTTGCAGGTGTGCGCTCTGCTGCTTACTGTAAAAACCTTCGGTGGTACTTTCCGCGCGAAGGAACTAGCTGCTCTAGGACAAGCTAGACGATTCCTCAATCCTTGTGGCCATCACTTACGTTGTGGGCTTTGTAGACTAACCTAGCTAGTTTGCACCTGGCCTCGTGGTACCTATACGTGTACGGCGTATGTGTAGCAACAGACCGCTATTCAGCAGCCTGCCCCCTTCCCAACCAACCAAAAACACACTGTCTGACCCTCTTCCCCTCCGCTCCGTCCCTTCACCACTTTGCCCGCCCCTCCTGTCTCCCGCGGCTGCCCTTGCCCCTCGCAGCTGGGTATCTCATGCAACTACACGGGACATTCGGGTCCGCACCTGCACATGCAGCTCTTCCCCGATCACAGTAAGTGCGTAGGACTGGGTGCATATACGTACGCGCGGCTCGGTCAGTTTGTTGTAAGCATGGCCACACGCATCGGGAACGCGAATGCGCTGGGCATGTCGCATGTGGCTCAACATGTGTGGCTTAACATATGTGGCTCAACATGTGTGGCTTAACATATGTGGCTTAGCCATGCCATGCCGGTATACCCCTTCGCCTTGAACTTTATTGGGCCACATTCCACACGCACACACGTGCTGACAGTACCCCTGCACACGCTGGGATGCACTGTGCATGCCTCATCACGCATTGCATCACGCGTCGCTACAGTAGCGGGACGCGGTGCAGCGCTGACTGCAGCTACCCTATACGCCAGCTGAGCAGAGCTTACACTTGAATTGTGTGCGGCGGTTTTATCTTCCCGTGCCTTGTACACTGTGTCCCGTGCAGGCTGTGCTCATGCGCCGCACATCATACACGCGGTGGTGTCGGGCATATTGCTGATGCTGTTCGTGGCAATGGCTATGCTGGTCAACATGGGCGAGGTGGGGCGGGATCCGGGCAGCAAACACGAGCGGAAAAGGCGCCGCGTCTGTGCTGCTGCTGGGATGGAGCAACGTGTTGCGTGGGGTACCGTATTGGGCTCGAAGCGCTCCTAGGGCAGTGGGAACGAACTCCCTTGCTTGCACTTGCGTTCAACCCAACCTCATTAGCCCATTTGTCTTCTTAAGTAGCGGCGGCCGCTCTATTCACTTTGCTCGTCCCCATCCCTGCCGTACATAGGTGGAGGTCAACCCGACCAGCAGGTCACCACAGGCGCTGGGACACAGCGGCGCGGAAGTGACCGCGTTTGGGATCAAGGTAGGGCGCAGGGACTGCAATCCAGCCACTTACCAGGGAACGGGCGTTGAAGCGGCGTAAGGTTTTGCTAACTAGGTATACGGTATCACAGCAGTATGTGGTGTTTTACCAGGACCACACCCAGACTTGCATCATACCTTTCATACCCTCCGCCACCCCGTTCCCGCCGGCCCGCCCTGCCCAGGCTCTGATGACCCTGGTCGGTGTGTTCTTCGGTGATCCCAAGGTTGCTGCCGCCATGTACCTTGTGCTGGCGCTGTGGCTGGCGTGGGAATACCTGAGATGGGTGAGACAGAGCGTGGGCAGCCGGGAGGAGGGACTCTTCCATGCATGGTGGAACTCGAGTCCTCCATGCCAGAGCGCTGCAACCTGCGTTCGGCTGCTGACAGTCCCTGCGCGGCTGTTTTCCCCCAGAACCATGTCCCAACAGTTGTCCCGTACTTTGATGTCGATAACTGTACCTCATGCACATCTCCTGAGCTAACCACGCTTGCATGCATCACCACCATGCCCTCCCCACATGAACCTTCCCCTCAGGTACCGCACCTGCTGACCTGGGTCAACTGCCTAAAAAGCGGCGTCTCTGTTGCCATGGTGGGGGTTGCGGGTCTGCAGCTGGCGGTGGTGCTGCTGCCGCACTCCGCCTCCCGCGCGCTCACGCTGGTGATGGCCTACAGCATGGGACCGCTGTTCCTGTTAGGCGCGTTTGCGGCGTACTTTCGAACCCGGATGTACACGAGCGCGGTGCTCAAGGCGTTCAGGTGCGTGCGATATGGTCATGCGGATGACGGATGCGTCCGAGGCAGGATTGGATGGATGGTGGGACTGGTGGCTGTGCATGCCTGTAGGCCGACGGCAGCAGGCAACGGAAAAGCCGCTTTTGTGTCCATCCATTGCCCAACTCAGGAGTGTTCGTCCCGAAATGGCTGCTGGTTTACCCAACTTGCGTGCCATCATAAAATACGGATCATGGTCAGGCCGTACGCCAGCTTACCGTATCCTTTTCAACACGACTGGAAAACACTATGTCGCTTACACGCACGCGTAACCAGGCGGTCAACTGAGGACCCGCATCCGATCCACAGGAACACGGATCCCGAGGCCATCAAGCCCAAGGACATCTACCACTTTTCGCACCCACGGGATGTGGAGGTGGTGGCTCGCAGCGCCCGCGTGTGGACCGACCTGTACACACTGGAGAAGACGGCAGTGCGACGGGCGGAGGAGGTGATCAAGGTGGGTGCTACCAAGGAGCGGGTTAGGGCTGCGGATTGCGCTGAAGTCAGAAAAGGTCGGCATCAGCGCTGTCTGACCCGCTTCCTAGGTAGTCTTGGGGTGAAGCTAAAGCAGGACTGAGCTGTATCCATGCCAAGCCCTGCCGTTGTCCGGCATAAACCTCACTCCCGGGGGGGCCCTGGACGGGAAGGGAGCTGCGGCCGAGCTACGAACCAACTCGCTGGTGTGGCGCGTGGCTGAGGTCTTGTCCCCCTCCATCCCTTTCACTACGAGTGACACAGGCCGGTGTGGCGCTTTTCCCGGAGAATGCCTACGTCTCCCTGGTGCACGCGAATTTCATGATTGACATGCTGGGGTTCAGCCAGACGGGCGCTCGACAGCTGGAGGTAAGGCAGGCTCGTGCGCGCGTGTTTTCGCGCCGGAAACCCCCTGCCGCGTGAAGTCCTGTCCGTCTTGGCTCGTCCCCTTACTCCTTGCTAGCACGATAGCACTCCGAGACACGTGCCCTGCTTTCTAAAATGCCCCTCTGCAGACTGCTCGCAAGCTAAACCCGAGCCTGATGTGTCGCTTCATGTTGTTTGTGAGGCAGCAGCAAGCCACGCAAAAGGCGGCAAGCAGCACTGTGGGGAAGGGTGGTAGCATGGACCTCCTGGGGTGAGTGCTTCATGTTGGAAATGTGGGGCGCAAGCTATGCTGGTTAGGTGGAACACAAACCCATTAGGCCTCTAAATACCAACGGACTACTGCTCCGTGGTACCTCTTCGTGAAAACCAAGACAACCATGTCCCCGTTTGCAAGCCAAGGATTGACCCATTGGTTACGGTCGTTTCCACGCCCTACCTGCACCCCCCTTAACCTCGCCCGCACTGCACTTCGTCACAGCTTCCCTGCAGCTCATTCCCTCGTTCCCGTCCCTCCCTCCTGCAGCTACGTGGAGTACCAGCGCAAGCAGCGAATGGTGCTGCGACACCACAAGGACGCGCTGCAGGCCATGGCGAACTTCTGGTGGGTGACCCATGGGTCAGGCAAGAGCCGCATTAATTTGATGACCTGTCCGGGAGTGGCGTCAAAGCTACAGGAAGGGCTTTCGAACCCACTTACAGGGGGAACAAGCGGACAACCCCGTCCTTGACCGTTATAGTGCGGTAACTTTCGAAGTGTACTGACCATGCTGCCACCGCCGAATATATATCTGTACTGCAGGCGCATCCTGGGTTCGAGCTCCGTGTCTTTCACCTCGTTGAGCAAGTCCTTGGAGGACATCGACACGTCCGTGTCAAAGGTGCGTATCGGGATTGCAGTGACATGCCAGGCTGTGCGTTCGGTAGTGGCTGGATTCGATGCGTAAACGTTATCAGTACTAATGCAGCCGTTACAGACGATGGTGTGCGGCAAGGCCTTGGTCACAGCCCAGGCTTCCTGCCCCTGTGAACCATTCCCACCAGGCCGAGACGGCGTACCGTGTGGTGTTGGAGCTGTACAACAACTCCCCTCGCCTGGTTCGCCTGTACGCCAAGTTCCTGGAGACCATCAAACAGGACCCCTGGGGCGCTGCCGAGTAAGTTGTGTGGCGACTCCTGGCCCGGCAAGTGTTTACTTAGATACTTACTGCAAAAAGCCGTGCATGGTTATGACTTGTCCCTGCTTGTCCTAATGTTTTGGCCAGAGTTCATTGACCTGCTTTCCAGTTTCCGGATACCAGTGGCAACAAGCGCCGGGAGGTAATCGTCGTTGCTGCCCCAGTCTATAATCTTTGGCCTGTACTGTATCCGCAATTGGTGTCCCTCTCGAGAACTCTACTGCCGTAAACTCCAACCCCTTGTTATCACGTTGCGTGGAACCGGGCCGACAGGTACAACGAGGCAGCTGAGGAGCTCGAGCAGAGCAAGGACGAGGACGGCCAGGGACCCGCCCTGCCTGATGGTGGGCTCGAACTGCGTACTCCTTCCAAATCGCAGGATGAAGCAAATGGCTCTTCATTTCAACTCCTAGTGTCGTTAAATGCCTGCAATGTAACCCATTGCCCCTGGATTGTGGTGCAGCCTTGCAGGCTCCAATACTGCAAGCCTCGCTCGCACGCACCGTAGTGAGTTTCATTCCATGAATGACCATGGCCCTCCGCAGGCACCCCCATCAGCCGAATGGACGATGTGGAGAAGGGTGTGGTGGTTGTGAACGCCTTTGGCGACATCCAAGTCGCAAACAAAAAGCTCCATGCGATCTTTGGCTACAAAAAAGGTGTGTACGACATGTAGCATTGTGACATTTGTATGTATAGCAGGTTACAGCAGGTTAGCGCCCCTGTCAGGCCAGCCCTTATCCTGATCTATCGTCATCTGGGTCCGTGTCTGCCCCAAAGCTTGTAACATTACAACTTTTCGAATTTCTGCGCTTTCCCAATGGCCCAAGTAACCTCCAACCGCTTACCGCTACTGCCTGCAGGCGAGCTGGACGGCAAGAATGTGATGGTGCTCATGCCGCCACACGAGGCCAAGCGTCATCCGGCACTGCTGCGACGCTACATCGATTCCGGAGATAAAGCGGCGCCGTACTTCCGGCACCCGGTGCTGGGCATCCACCGCGAGCGGGTGGCGTTTACCGTCCGGATTGCCGTCAGCCGCGCTTCAGGTAGGATGGCAGGAAGATCGGCGCAAGGGTGGGCCACTCATGGGCTTGTGTTTTAGTGTTCGTTGGAGGATGGCCGGATTCCGTGACATGCACGACATGCTCTAAAATCCAGTGTGTTTGAAGGAGCCTGCATGCGTGGAAAACATCCTTCCCTCACGTTATTGGACAACCTTACAAGCAGCGGCCGTTTCGCTGCGTCTACCTGCCGGGCAACCTAGCCCAGAATGTGTTATGGACGTTTTGGACCCACCGGTATCTCCCGGCCTGCCCTGGTTTCCTCCCATCTAAGTTCGGCGCTGCATCTTCACTGACTTGTTGACTCTTTCAGGTCTGGGCGAGGACAGCGTGTTCATAGGCATCATTGAGGCGCTGCCCACTGAGCCTGGAGTGGGCCGGGTGTGGGTGACGAAGGACGGCATCGTCGTGTGCTGCGACCCGGGCTTTGTCACGTACTTTGGGTGAGGCCGACCTAAGAAGGGGATCCCTCTTTGGGTGAACCGACCTAAGTATCTCTTGACGGCCATTAGGCCGGCTCCATAGAATTGAAGCTCTTAGGTGCAGCCAAGCTCATCTCTAATTGGGGTCACACTTTTCCGTTGAAACCAGTTACCTTGTTGCTGTGGGGGCATCGCCAATGTGCTTTCGTCGTAAGAATGAATGACCGTTGAAGTCGTGTTATCCCACTCCGCTGCCCCGCCCCAACTCTACTACCCCGCCCCCGCCCCAACCCTCCTGATGCCCCGCAGCTACCAACCCGACGACGTGCTGGGTATGCAGCTGGACAAGCTGCTTCGCTCCGGCAGCTCGGGAGAGGACCTGCTGGCCACCAAGGACGTGTGGGCGGCCAGCAAGGCCAACCACGACAACATTGAGCTAGTGCAGAGGTGAGGTACCTGGGCCGTGTTGTGGTTGCCCTTGTGTTGCTGTTGGCGTCTCCACGCTAGTGCAGAGGTGATGTGGGCTGGTTGGGGCTGGGCTAAACGGCTTCGTTTTGTTGGCACGGTGCACGTGGGGGCCGTTGCTGCAGCACGAGCGGGGAGGGCCCCGTATTCCAACCTCCCCGATGCAGTGCCCGTGCGCGTCCGTCTTCTCCTAGGCAGAGCGGTAGCACCTGGTACTTACAAGAAACACCTTATCCGGCCATCTATTAAACATAAGCCCCTGTCGCTTCTCCTCCTCTCCTACATTCTTGGAGCAGGATGCTGGAATCAGCAACGGACTACGGCAGCTTTTCCTCGACTGCCAGCTTGCCAACAGCCTTCACGTGCCAAGTACGGCATAAGTACGACTTCGCAAAGGACGTCAGCATTACCGTGCGCGCAGGTACGGCTACGACACGCTGCAACTTGCATTAGTACAACATGCATACACAATCCAGTACGTTTCTATCTCGCGTCCAGTTTTCTTAATACACCTTGACACCTCCGCATCCTGAGCTAATCCACCCCAGACCATTAAGTCCATCCTGCAAAAGCAGTCTTGAGGCACGCATGCATGCATGATCTTGTGCAACCCCTTTTCCCCTTTCTCCGTTCAACAGAGCTGGCAAAGACCTCAGTGTACGAAATGCGCATGAGGCTGCTCTCCGACGAGCCTCAGCTGCTGATGGTGGTGGAGCGCAAGGGCGCCATCCGGCACATGAGCGGGGACCTGGCCAAGGTGTTGGGCGTGGGCATGGTGGATTCCTCGAGCGGCCAGCAGCAGGGACGCGGCGGCGGCGGCGGGGGTCCTCGTAACCGGGACGGCAGCGGGACGCCTGACAGAATGGCCTCAGCGGACGGTCAGGTAAGGGTGGAAGTGGGGAGTTAGGGTTGCTAGCCAAGATTGAAGGTGTTGCGAAATAAGTCGCAACGGGTGTATGCTTGGCAGGCCGTATACCGGGATAGCTGCTGATTAGGCAACCCGCGTAAAACCGATGTTGCGTTGTCTCGACGCATTGTCACGCATTGTTTACCAGGGCGCCAACATCGTTTCGCTGCCTTTGTTTGCGTTTCTAACGCCATTTTGGTTGTGAATACGGTAACAACAGGTCATGACGGAGCTGATGGCCGAAATGCCGCAACGCTCGCTTGACGACTTCTTGCCAGCGCCCTGGAACCACATGCACCACAAGTACAGGAAGGTCCGTCCGCTAGTAATTGTACGCCTTTGATTGTCTGTCATCTTTCTAGTAGTAGTTGCTTCGCCCGCTACCCGCACGTTCGATTGGTTCGTTTGTGGCTTGGCCTAGTTGCACCAACCTGAGTGAATGACTGTTACAATAAACGCAAGCCAACCAACATGTCGTGCCTCGCTGACTAATCGTTGGCAATCTAGTGAGCCCACTGCACACCCAATAACCAAGTGGACACCTGCCTAGACTAACATCACTCCGGCACCGGTGTTTGTCTCACAGTACGTCAAGGGCGGTGCTCCCAACCTCGCGGCCGCTTGGGGGTGTCGTGCGCCGGTGAAGGACGGCAGCGGCAGCATCGGTCCCACCATGCGGCTGGTTGGGGTGCATGGCAAGCCCGTGTACGTGCACGTGGCTGTTGCTTCACGCGAGGAGTCCGGGGACATTCAACATGTGGTCCGTATGGCCAGGTACTGCGCATCCTAGGGCGCATTGTGGCACGTAGCAGTGCAGTAGACGGCAATTTGGCGTACAGGGGTCATATACGGCTGGGGCTACTCTCTTGCTGGGCAGGGGCCTATCCTCATGCGGGGCCTATCCTCATGCGCGTGAAACTGCGCGCAGGTCCTCCCTCGAGACGGCAATCGACGAGCGCCGCGTCCGCATGCGACTGACGGACAACGGCACGGTGCAAGAGGTTGTGCAGCTGGGCGAGTGTGCCAAGCCCCCAGCAGGCAATGTCTCCTGCTCGGAACTCTTTGGATTCCCAGCTGAGCAGGTATGTGCATGCAGTACATTAGCAGGCTCTCCACACAACGGATGGGTTCATGCGGTACATAATTACGTCCCATGCGGCAGGAATAGGGTAATCGCCAGCCCATGTTTACTCAAACAAATGGTGTCAAAGCACTTGTTTGGGTTACACTTGTTTCCCTTCCGCAGCTGACAACGTACTATCAGCATCTTAACTCACTGCAGTTTCTGACGCATGTCTGGGGTCTTTCCGATTGCCTTGCAGATGGTGGGTTGCCGCATTTGGGACTTCCTGGCTGTTGTTGCCAACGGCAACCAGCAGCAGGCGAGCAGCACCAAGCAGGCACAGCAGCAGCAGGCAAGTCGAGACGTGCTCGCAGAGGCAGAGGCGGTGATGGCTGGGACGCGTAGCAGCATGACGGGGGAGAGGCGGCGTGAATCGGGAATTCCGCAGTTCGAGAAGAAGTACGGCGACTTCAATCTTGCCATGCTGGACAACATGGTCACGAGGTTAGCAGCGATCCTTTCGCTGTTTTTCGCTGTCTGACCTTTCCTTTAGTCCGTTTGTTCTATAAGCACAGGACGTGGATGATGGGCATCTTCACGCCTCCATGTCCAGAATGCGTGCTGTAAGATAGATGATGTTCCATCGCTATGCACAATCATTTTGGGTCTCAGTAAGCCTTGAAAGATTGCGGTAGCAGTTTAGAACCCTAACGTCCATTTTTGTACGGCTTTGCACCTACCCTTTGCAGCACCCTACAAACGCCCGGCATCTCATGGCGCGTGAGCGTCATCCCGCCAGCTGCTATCGCCGAGGCTGCTGCCATGGGCAGTCCTGCCAGAGCTGCTGCGGTGCTGGCGCGGCGAACCCGGCACGCCATCCTGCGGGTAAGCAGCTACGAGTTTCCTTATGTGAAGGATGAACGGTTGTTGAATTCTGTTGAGGAATTGTACTGCATGCCAATGTTGGCATACCGGGATTGCGGTTCCGGTTAGGGTTATTGCGTACCTAAGGTTCCCAAAACTGATGGCGTTAAGCGCAAGCCTCTTTGGTCTTGTACCCGTAATCCTAAAACAGCTGAGTCCGTTCATATTGTCGTACGGTTTCCTTTGCAGCTGGACGTTGCGCTGCCACCTCCCGGCTCCATCCAGTCCACCCCTGGAAAGCTGACCGTCCACGCGGAGCTTTGGGCCGCTGAAGCTGTAACTGGTAAGTGGCGCGCGCATATGTGCCTGAGCTTGTTGCATGTTGCCGCTTCGGCATCCTGGAGCGACACAGATCACGGCCGCACTCCTTGGGTCCGTGTCCGGCATGTCAAGGGAAGAGTGAGGGCGGGTTTAGGAGAGACCACGGTGCTGTGTATACACTGTGCCTGGGAGCCATGCCATGCCGGTTGGTGTGTCAACCGTATGCGCAGGTGTGGTGGAGTTGGACAGTGCTGGCAAGATAGCTACGGTGCTGGAGGAGGAGATTCGGCCTCCGGGGCTGCTGTTCGGCATCCCGCAGGAGAGCCTGGTCGGTACACCGTTGACAACGCTGCTGAAGCTCCAGCCAGGACAGAGTCCCGTGGGTTTGTTGAACGAAAGTGGCATTGCCAAGAAGAGCTCCCTCAAGACCAGTTCAAAGGGCAAGGCCAGTCTGAAGGTGAGCAGTTCCCAAGTGCGCAGTTGCGCCCCTAGGCACCTCAGTCTAACACCTAGCTCATCAGACTTCTTGACGACATACAAGGAGTCTAACGCACCAGTGTCGAGGACCGTCTAATTGTTTGTTTGTTTCCTTTCATTCTCTGCTTCAACACCCCAGGTGGGCCCTGTGCACTACCTGGACGGTTTCCATCGGGACGGCCAACCCCTCAGCCTCGCCGTGCAAGTTGTCGGCAAGCCCGGCTCATGCAACGGCCTGGCAGTCATCATGCGGCTGGCGTCACGCCCCAAGGCGCCCGGGCCACCACCCGCCCCTGGCTCCGTTGCCACGACAGGCCCCGCGGGCCACAGAGGTCATGTATTCCTGGATGTGGCGGCCGGACGTGGTAACGACTCCAGCGGGCAGCACTCGGGCTTTCAGCTGAAGCTGGCGCAGGTAGGCATTGCACGACAAACTTCTTCCACGTTAACAGCTCCGGTGCAGCCTGCTAATTCCACAACCAGTAAGGTGTCAAACGACTCGAGCCGCGCCACGGCCAAGACACCCGTGATCAGCTTGAAGCCTCCGCTGCAGCCGCCGCCGCCACAGCAGCAGCAGTTAAAGCTCCCTGAGGCGCCGCCTGCCGAGAAGGCAGTCCCACCGCCGCTTCCGGGCTCCAGCCTTGCAGCAGGTGTGGAAGACACTCTCAAGGAGCGGTCGTCTGTGGCAGCGGTCGGTGACGAGGCAGAAACCGCTGCGGAGGCTGCTGTCTCTGCTGTAGATGCGGCAGAAACGCGACATTCCTCGCCCATAAAGCCCGAGTCACCGCCCGTCACGGACCCTGCAAAGCGCCTCGCTGCTAGCCCCCGGACTGCTGCAAGGTTGGGGGATGATGCGGATGGCGGAATCGGTTCCGGCTCCGGTGGAACGAGTTCCCCGCAACTGGTGGAGGTTAAGGTGGATGCTGCTGTGAAGGCGGATGCGACGATACCCGCTGGTAACGATGCTGCTGGTGATGGCGGCGAAGCTAAGGTGGCTCCCCGGCGTGGCTTGACGTTCGATTCCGGCAGTGCGGCGGCTTGTGAAGTCGGCAGCCTGAAGTCGGGGATAGGTGCCGCGACCAGCGTGGCGTTGGGCGATCTCGGAAACGTGAAGGTTAGTCATTGTGGGCAGGGCATTCTGCATACGTCTTGAAGCCTGGTGTTCCTCACCTACCGGTACCTAAGCCTAAATTCGCCATCCGCGTACTTGCCGTAGTTGCCATGATGGACTTATTTGCCCTGCTTCCTAATTTTATGTACGTTTTCACTCCTGTTCTTACAACCAATAGTACTATTGGTACTATAGCGTCTCTGGACTGATATCTGCACACCCGTCAATGCTTCTCTTCCACTGTCGGACAGGACCTGGAGCAGGGGATCGGCACGGTGGACAAGTGGGTCGCCACAGGCGGCAAATTCTACCAGAACCACACCCAGAGCACCGCTGGGTCCGCCGATTTGGATGCCGAAGACGATGGCGACGACGGCTCCGGAAGCCACGCCACGTCATCCCACTGGGCCTCCCCCAGGGCCTCTGACGCAGGTGGCATGGAATCCTTTACCCAACAACGCCTAGCTGAGGAACTCCCAGACGACCACCCCGCGGAGGTCGCGGTTGGCAAATCGTTGTTGAAGGGCGGTTGGAACAACCGCCTGCACGTGGACGTTCCGGATGCAACTGCGCAGCAGGGCCTGGGTGCTGCTGGGGGTATTGTGGCGCTGGAGGCAGCCAACCTTCCTCAGGACGGTGCTGGCCAGGAGGATGATCGTGGGAGCGATGGCGCCGAGAGTGCCATCTCCGGGATTTCCGGGACTTCAGGACTTTCAGGTGTGTACACTGGCTGGCGATGTGCGTGTCGCAGCGTGCTGCATGCAGATAACATTGCGTGAAGCATACATAGGCTGGATGTTATGTTTAATGGCTTGTAAGACGGAGGTCGTATTATGCAATGCCCTGTCCTTTGCAGCGCCTAAACATGGTTACTGGATGGGCAGGGATGGGTGAGGTTTACTGCTTGGACCAAAGATAATGTTTTATGTTCCGTGCTTCCATCCTTGCAGATGGCAACACGCCGGCGGACTTCAAGCGCGGCAAGCGCTACCGGAAGCTGGTCAAGCTGATGGACTCGCCGCAGGCGCAGAAGGTGATGAGATGCGCATGTGTCCCTACCGGCAACATATGTGGCGCAACTGCGTTAGTCCTTACCCCACTGAGAAACAGCAGAAACCCTATCATCACGGCTTCCTAACCGCACCAAAATATTAGGGAACTTCATTCATTCATTCGTGTAGTCGTGTATCGCAGGTTGTGGTGTGGCTAAAAATCAACACAAGTTTGGCGTTGTTCTTCGCGGGCGCCGTACACATCCTGTGCTTCGCGCTCATCCTGTCCGCCATCTCGGTGAGTTCGAGAGAATTTCTTGGTGTGAATGAGGGTTAACAATATTAAGGTTTTAATAGTTTTAGCCCAGAAATGCCATGGTTTTATTTTTTGCCCTCAGATACACGGCTCCCGCTGTAGCATCTAGCATGCATGCATATCATACCCTTTTCGCACACGGCGATGCTTAAACGATGCGTGTCTGCAACTGCTGCAGAGGCAATCCAAGTCGCTTGACCAGCTAGCAAGCGCTGGGGGAGCGCAGCGCTACTTGCAAAAGGTAGGATGCTTCGACTGGGCATCACTGTTCGTAGGGTATGTTCGTAGGGTACCATGCATGATGACGCCAGTGCCCCATTTTTGTGTCCCTGGTTGACTGCCGTTTTATAAATGTTCTCCTTCAAGAAGAAGCATGTACGCATTACACGTTACTAATTTAAAATGCTCGTTGGCCTTTTTTGTGGAAGCGTAGGCCGTTGCTGCACCGGACACGCTTCCTTGCTTGTTTGCAACGGCAGCAAGAGCTTGGTTTACATTGCTCCTCCCCGCTTCATGTTTCTTCCTGATAGGCGTTGGTAGCAGTACGTGCCTTGGATCAGGCGTACAAAGGCAAAGGTTCTGCCGCTACATACAGCTCAGCTGACGTGCCGGTGAGTTGGGCACGGCTCACGGTCAGGTTGACAGCTACTAATGATATGACAGGTGCTACATTACAGCGTCCGCCTCCAGCCATGCCTACTAATGCAATTACCCCGACCCTTGTACAAGTCCCCGCCCCCTTCCTACAGCTTCACAAGCCTCAAAATACCGGTATCAAACGCGTAAACGTGACTTGGTTTTTCCCTTATTTCAGATGCTCTTGGCCGACCTTACAGCGTCCTCGGACCATTACCGGGTGGGTTGCAAACCACCTAGGAATGTAGGCTGCACTCACTAGGTTCGCTGTTTGCCATTCTAAAAGTGAAATGCGCTGTAGACCCTGTAGTTATAACTAACGAGCCACTAATTGAGCGGTTGGCAAGGGTTAATCCCCCTCGTAGACTGATTTGACAAGGGTTATTCCCCCTCGTTGACTGAGCTGAAACCTAGGGCTCGCCACAATTTTTTGCAGGACGTAAACAACGAGTTACTTCACAAGGTACAAGGCCTCGAATTCTATTACAACAACCGTGCCCTTGAGGTACGCTGCTGAGAGGGGACAACGCAGCTCCGTGAGCACACAAGCCTGAGGCTCGTGCGATGCTTTCATGCCAAACACGTCTGGGTAATACTGCTGCATCAAGGTTGCACTTGCATGTTTAGTCCTAGGTTGGTATATGGCGCTGTTGCTTTTCTGTTCCTCCCTCTTCCTTAAGCTGCGCCGTTTTAGCACTCGCGTGAGGGACGCTTCCTTACCGCAACCCCACAGGTCGAGTCTGGCTACAACGCCTCAACTAGACTCTTCTACCCTGAGAACACAACCATGGCTGTGAGTCCTACGCATGGCATTGGCTGAAATAATGAATGGCACGTAGTTGGCATGGCACAGGAATTCCTTTGCTTGCTCCCCAAGCTACAAACCCCTTCACGCCACCCTCCACCTGCTCGACCACTTACCAGAAAGTACCTCACAATCGCAGAACCTGGTAACGATGTTTTACACAGCAACGAATGACATCATCCAGAACCACGCACAATGGAACCGAATTGGCACCAACATCTCGGACGTGAGGTCGGCTGCTTTCCTGTTACAAAGCGGCCAGAGCCTTACCGAAGGATCGTACGAGGTAAGAGGCGTATCGGATTTGTACAGCACCACGCAAGCCGGGATTCCTCTGTCCAAACGTTTCCGCTAGCTCAAACGGTAGATGGACAGCGCGACGGGCCACTCAAGCATCTGCACCATAATGCAATACTCCTTGTTGCTCGCATGCAGTCGTACATTTGCCCTTTGCGAGCCTCCTATGTATGATCACCACCTCCTCTCCCTGCCGCGTGCATGCATGCGCGCAGATCCTCGGCACCCTACTTCACAATGCGGTTGACCGAACGAATGCGGTCAACACCCTGCAACTGCTGTTCCTCTTGTTGGAGGGCTTCCTCGTCGCTGGCACGTTTGCGATGTGAGTAACCGGTGTCCCCTGGTGGCTGAGGAACGACGGTTAACCCATACTAACGGGCTATCGTGGCTAATCCATTAATGACCCACCGTCAACGCGCACGCCGAGTCTGCATGCATTCATTTTTGCAAGAAAAGGACTGCCCTGCCACATGCGGCCAGGGCAGTACGCAACTGCCTGGCGCCATAAACATGGATGGGAAATGAGAGTTGCTGTCATGAGGTGCCGCTGGCACGGTGCCCTGCGGCTCATCTCCCATGACCTAATACTACAGTTGCCTGGTCTACGTGCTATGTGTACGTGCTTTCCCTCGAAGGTGTATGGATTGCCCCGTGTCTAACAAATACATATTAAAACATTTGCAGTGGCCTGGTCTACATGTTGAGGTCTGCAAGTGAACAACGCTACCAGCTGTACGAGACCTTCCTGACCATCCCTGTCGGTAAGTGTCATCCAGTTTAACTGGCCGTTAAACTGACAAGGGACGCTGCGGGACGTGTGCTTAATCAGCTGGCCGCAAAACTGACACTGACCGTGAGGACGTGAGGACGTGTGTACCGGTATGCGTGCCTTGTGCTGGTGTCCCATATGCCGTGAAAGCATGTACCATATATTTCTGCCGGCGATAGACATGAACAATGAACGAATGCCCAGGCGTTCGCTTGGCCTTACAAGACCTTCAATCATTCTTCGTGTGGTCTTGCTTGGCTCCTGGCTTGGCTGTAACTTTGAACCGACTTGGAACGCCCTCGCAACCCGCACACTGTCGCAGGTCTGACACGAGCCTTGGCGTCCCAGACCACCCACTTGCTTGACGATGACGAGTCAGAAGATGAGGAGGACGAAGATGGCGGTGGCAGCCAGACCAAGGTACGAAACATACTTTGCCGTGGAGGCGCCGCTTTGGCGGCTGATTCCCAGCACACACGAGCGTTACGACATTGCTATTACCGGTACTGCGTTTCATTTACTCCGATACTACTCAATAGCTGTATTACTCCATAGCCAACGGACTTCACTTCACTTGTGGCGTTTCTGTGGGAGGACTTCATCTTCCGGTGATCACAGTGTGTCCCGCCTCGCGGCCAGTGTTAACATACGAACGCGGCCAGTTTGATCAGCACTTGAACGCTTCTGTATTCCTGGTGCTGAGGGTGTACGCATCATCCGCCATCAACAGGGGGGCTTTTTGTCGTGCCCTTCTGCAACAACCTACCCAAACAAAGCATAACACTGTGCTGCGCTAATCCATACAGTCGTTAAGTCGCTGTGATCCTACCTCTCTCAATGCTCCGCACCTCCAGGAGCATCCCGATGATCCCGTCTCGCCTGCCGCCAAGCGCAAAACGCTGTTCGAGGATTCCACAGGCGCCTCCAATGATCATACCGGCGACAGCATGCGAGCAGCCACCGGGTCCCACGGCGGGGCAGGTACGCAGCCGCACGGCAGGCCGCACCGGGGTTCCGTTGTCGAGTACTCGCCGCTCATGGGAGCAGCTGGCGGTGGAGCCGGCGGCGGCGGCGGTCACCCACATCCTGGAAATGTTGGTCGGAAGTTGGCTCGTATGGAGGAATCGCTGCGACAGCTCGCAGTTGCTGGGCGCGACGACTCACCGCTGATGGGCTCCATGGGTCACCAGCAGCAGCAGGCATTTGGGCATCGGACATCCGGTGCTGGGGCAACCAGTGTGCGTGAACCTCTTGGTTCGGGGTTTCACCCGACCATGCCACGCACTGGCTTTGGTGGCTGGTTGTCGCGAATGAAGAGCAGGATTTGGTGAGTCTGCGCTGCCGCTTGTGTGAAATTTTGTGGTGGATAACTGGCTCGGGGTTCCGTCGAATGTGTCCGCTGCTTGTACTGGCAATACCTACCGGAAACGTACCGTAACCTGCCGCAGCCTTAATTAGTGGGCATTCACACAGCACCGCAAATCAACAATGCTTCAACGCCGAAACAACAACGCCACGTTCCACTGAATTCCTTTGTTTGCAGGCGCTCAAATGCGGTACAACCGCTGCCCTCACCGACGCGAGGCGGGGAGCATCATCGCACGCTGGAGCGGAACAGCAAAATCGCCAACAAGATGCTGGCCATCGTGGCGACATACTCCTTGCTGGTGAGTAGCGTGAAAGAAGGGAGAGCATCATGCTAATTTGCCAGCGTCAGCGATACGAATCCATAAAGAAAACTCCTATGTAGCATACATAGGCACAAGGACTTTGCTCCCTTCCAAAGCTGTGATGCAAAGGCAATGTATTAAAGACCTTCCATCAGGGTCATAACCTATGTATGCCCTTATCCAGGGCCGGGGCACTAAAAGTTGTTGGTAGTCTTATGATCCAGCTACATGCCAAAAACTTGGATGCTGGTTGCGCTGCGCCCCCGTTCGTAACCCTCATCGTGGACAGATCATCCTCTTCTACAGCGTGGATTATGCCATACTGCTTCGTGCAAAGGACATGGTGGCGATGCAAGCTGTGGCTGACGAAACAGCTGAGCGGACCTATCGCAGCGTCTTTTACGCGCAGGTATGTCTATCCTACTGGGACATTGGATTGAGAATTGCCTTGGTTACAGCAGGTTCGTGCCCCTCAGCACAATTACATGCTTTCTGAAGATAGAACGTACAATTTTCATGGGGTTTCTAAACATTACGTCGTTTAGGCGCAGCAGCGCTACGGTCATGGCCGGAAAGCGTTAGTGCTGTAGCCACGTGAGGAAGCACACCGCAAAGTTAGACGTACTGAGAATCTGAAATGCCATCTGCAGGAGCTCGTGTCGGAAGAGAAGGCCTCAACTATGCCATCCCGCGTGCAAGCCGTGCTCAACGCTACGTTGGCTCTCCGGAACTCGTACTTCCTAGCTCGCATGGGTGCACAAGCTCGCGACACCATTGGTGAGTTTGGGGAGGGCTGGCTTGGATAGCGGCCGTGCTACAAGGCTGACCTAGACCTTCGGGGGGCTGCCTTACGACCCCTTACGGCTGTAGTTCGGGGCTGTAGGGGCTGCCGTTACATAGCTCCATGTGAAGGCCATTGACGCTTGGGAACTGAAGGGTGCGGTGCAGGGCCGCAGTGCATGGGCGCGCGTGTGTTTTACCAGTGGTATGGACCGCGCCCTTGATACGTGCCCCTAATATCGCAGCAATGCGACTTCTCAGCTCACTGTGTCACGTCCTGACCTTCTAATACCGTAATTCGTTCCCTGCCCGACCCAATACTACTGGAGCAGGAGACGTAGTGGATCAGTATCGATGGATCAGCAGCCATGGCCTTGTAAAGGAGTCAGCAAACTTGTTCAAGCTATTTTATGGTCATGGCATCTGTCTGCGGCTTTCAGAGCACATGCCCTGCCCGTTGGACACCTACCGCTTCTTTCGGGTGCGTATCTTCTGTCTCCGGCTGCCCGCTTCCCATTCGCCCGCTGTTCCGCCTGCCTGCTTTCCCCTATCATTCGCGTGACAATCCTTCCTCTTCCACTTTCCAGGTAACGCACTCGGGCGCAGACGGCATGATGCTGCAGTTGCTGGCGGAGCTGCAGAGCTTGGCAGAAGAGGCATCGGCTGCGGTGGCTGCAGGCAACAACACACGAGGATTTGGGAGCGCCCACTGGGACTACATATACAACGTAGCCACGGTGGTGAGATAAAACCGTTTTTATTTGTTAATTAAAGAGTTAAATGATTTTTTGTGCGGATTGGCGATTGCTCATATTCTTCTTGCAATCCTTGTTTGGGACGCAATTGCCTGTAATAGCTTTGAAGGATACCACCTGCGAGAAGCGCCCTGGCTGTAGCTTTGGATGGTCCTTCGCAACAGGTGTCAAAATATCAGTTAAAATATTAATAAAAGTATTATTAAAAATTTTGTATTACCGGTACATAAGGAGGCTTAACTATCTGTAATTGCCTGGGAGCTGGGACGGTACCAAGGATGAGGGCATGCGAAGTTGATACGCTTTTGACTTTGCCTTCGTCTCTGTGGGTTCAGGACCTGAATGACGCCAACCTGCGGATCAGCTCAGAGCACCTTAGCGACATCCGAGGTGTTTTTAAAGGTGCGGGACTGGGCTTCTCTAGCTTTTACCTGCTCCTTAGGTAACCTTCCATCTGCATAGGTGCACGTGGTGTCTGTCGACTGCCGCCGGGCTTAGTTGTGTAGGTGCCGCCGTAGGTATGATCCTCCTCATTCTTACCATTTCCTAGCTCCTGATGTCCCGCATGCTGTCTGCTCTGCTATCTTCTCCGCTTACTACTTACCCTTTGCCTCCGGCCGGCCATGTGCGCAGTTGTGGTGGTGATGCACGTGGTGTTGTTCCTCCTGGTAGCCGCCGTCTTCTTCAGCTTCCTGCTGCTCGTGTACATCCCTCTTTTGCACCGAATGAAGAAGGAGGTAAGGCAGTTGCACATGTCATGCCTTAAGAATTCTCTCTTCTTGTCAACAAAATTGCCCTTAGCGCAGCATCGTGTAACCCCACATCATGTCATCTAGTTACTCTTGGGGGCTTTCCACGCACTGGCATTCAGCCCAAGCCCCGCTATGGCCATGCTTTCTTTACAACTCGTACATCTGCTGCTGTATACGCACCATGCAGAAACGGCGCATTGCCGAGATGATGAGTCAGCTGCCGCCCGAGCTGGATGTCATGCGGCTCGTGAGTACGGCACTGATGGGGCCCAAGGCGGGCGGCCACGGGGGCGGCCACCACCACCATCACCACCACAACCTGAACGCGCACACGGGCACAGTAACTGAACAGTCCGTGGGTGCTGGCAACACGCCGCCTTCCACCAACACGGGCATGGCACCGGGAGCGCATCCCAGCTCGAGCGGTAAGGGGAGATGGGTGCTGCAGGAGTGATGAGCCGTGAAAGGAGGTTAAGGTACTTTTTCTGAGAATAGGAATTCGTGTACGGCTGTTGACATCTGCCACACATACGCAGCGTACTGCGTTATACACGTGCCAATGGTTGAACATACATTCCCTACCTCTTACAAATGTGCGGCATGCTGGCTGCCCCTTTCCCCTCTCCCGTGCCTCCTTAGGGGCCGGCGGCAGTCCGACCGGTGCTGCCGCGAGCGGGGGCAGCAAGGCGTACCAGGCATGGAAGGACATCCTTAACAGGTGGGATAAAGAGGGTCCTCCGTACATCCGTATGCTGCATTGTATGGCAGTAGAAACGTATTCATGCCATTCTCATGTTTCTCTACCGCAGCCCGTAAGGTGCAGTCCTTTCCGTCGCCATAACTTTCCATTCACCGGTGGTATACTGTGTAAATCTCCTTACATAAAGCACGTTCCTTTGGGTGGCTTGCTCCTATATTTTATCCTCATTTAGAAGTAAACTTGCCCCAACGTGCCCAAACGCATATCCCGTCACTGCTAGCTACTCGCCTTTCCGCACAACTAACACACACCTTCCTCTGTCATCACGTTCTACCTGGCCATCATCCAGGGCAAGCACCATTAGCAACCCAACAACTTCGGCTAACGGCGGCGGGCCTCATGCCGGTCCCCTGGGAGGGCCGCACGGTGGGCCGCACGGAGGGCCTCATCCCGGTCCGCATGCAGGCTCTGGCGGCTCACATACACTTATGGGGCACAACAGCATCCGGCGAACCAGCCTGAAAAATATGACCCTGCCGTAACGGGCTAACATGAACCTTGCCGTAACAGTTCTGTACCGCGTAACGCCGTGCCGTACAAGGAGGACTACTTACCATGGAAGGAGGATATTTAGCAGGAGGACGTCCTGCATTTGAGACGCATCTTTGTTTCTTGGAGCATTTGGTCGTCACGCTGTGGCAAAGAGCTTCTCGTGAACTGTTGCGCCGAGAACTTTGTGTCAAGGAGCTTGTCGGCTACTGACTTCAGAGAGCCGTGCAGCGCATGCATGGTAGGAAAGATTGCGGAGAAGTCCGCCCTCGGCGCCCGTTTGCCAAGTTGGGAAGGAAACCATTGCTATAGTTTTATCCACAAGTAACTTGGGGCTTCTTTTACGCATGGCAGTAAGGGACATGAGCGCTTTGCTAACAATGTGCCCGCATGCTGTGCGGGCTAGCTAGCAGCGTCTTGTCACTTAAACATGTAGCGCTTAATGTTCGTATGCTTTGTTACTTGTTATCTGGTTACACGCGTGGACAAAACCCTAAACGTTAAATGCTACCCGTTTTAAGTACTTTGGACATAACGTGCTTCCTGCGGAGCAGAGCAAGCAAACGTCCTCTTGTTTGTACTAATGGATGCTTGTGGGGCCCGTTAATGTTGCTTAGTTGGAAGGCGATGACGGTTTGACGCCGTTTAAGGAATTTTTGTCACTTCATAGCGCAGGGTACGTAATTCATGAGTGGTATTGAGCTTGTAAATGAGCTACAATGCATATCACTGCCAAATATACAATAATGAGAGGGTTTGTGAGTGCGTTTATCAGTTTCGAGTCGTATTGGCATGGCGAGTGCTTTGGATTTTTAGAACGGCCTTGCTTGTGTGATAGGACAGGGGCGCCCCAAGCTGACATTGCCCTGTGCTTGCTACTCGCCTACCTTTCCTAACAGTCCTACCTAAACAAGCTGTACACATGACGTGCTACGTACGTGTTCCTCGTGTAATAATGTTGTGTGAGAAGGGCTACCTTCTGCTGTCATGAACGTTGGTGGAACGCTACCTTTGTAGGGTGCTATCTGAGGCGCGGGACTTGTGGCTAATGAAGGCAGCTGCTAGTGGAAGCCCTGATCCACGAATCTGCAGACATTGTAACTTACAACTGCCCAAAGGAGACGGCTGGGCACTTTGGAAAGCCAAACGCTTAAAGGGCGCATGGCGCTCGTGGTCTTGTGGAAACGATTTGGAACTTGTTGCCTGCACCCTTGCGAACAAGAAAGCCACGTCAGCTTGTAGTGGAGGGAGATTTTGAGGTTAGGGCTCCAAACGCACGCAAACGTACGCATTAGCTGCATCTGGGCACGATATCATACACCTAAATTCAGCGTACTTCTCGGGGTGTGAAAAACAAGACCCATGGGTCAACCATGAGACTGACGGTCAAGCGTCCACCACGTTTGGCAAACACATCACCAGGAGCGTACAATCGGAGCATGTATGTTGTCTTAGTTGCCATTTTAGTTTAATATTAACTATTGCGTGGCTAGCTGGTCCTTCCTTAATGCGGCTCGTTGCTTAAGCTCAGGAGATGCCTCACCCCTCCACCTCTTCCGGCATACAACTGGAGGGCAAAGAATCGCATCCGGACATCAGGGCGTCCCGTTATGCATGGCTTAGGACCTTCACGTGGGTCGTGGACTCCCCGTACTTACGTAGGTATGACGTGCACTCGTAGATACAACGATGTCACGCCCTAACGTGTGACATGAAACACAACATGTGCGTATGGTTGACTCCTTGACGATGTAGAACACATCGCGTGTAGATGCGTAGTCAGTTTATCGAGCCAGTGCAACCTGATAACCATAGCAGCCAGCAATAGCCTTCACAGTTAGTAGCAGCAACCACATTGCCAGCCCTCACGAGCCTGGTCAGCCCGTGACCTAGCTGTCTTGCGGCCGGATCCCAGGCTCAGGCTCAAAGACACCCGTGCGGTGCTACCTGAGCTGCACAAGTCCGATTGCACCCCAACGCAAGAAGCGAGTGGGGACTAGCTGTGCCTAGTGTGGACCCTGATGACGCAAGATGATCAAGCCGGTGTTTTGGCGCGACAGTCCGGCATACTTGGGGATTTCACCCTCACGGGGTTTTGAGGGCGAAATTCCCTTGCGTTTGCACCTGGCTGCCACTACATGTTTCGCTGTGCATTTCCAAGGGTTATTCAGCTGCGTTATGGCCTAATGTACGCAACCGTACTGTCACGTAACGGACCTTAGAACACAGGACATGCTTCTCACTTCCTTCGCGCCAACCCTGTCGTAACACCACATCATCTAGATTGTGGTGGTTGCAATGTGTTGCCTAGGCTACGCCCTTACACTGTGACGACACAGGTTACTTCGGTTACGCAGGTTACGAGTAAAGGGTTGTTTAAGGTGCGGTTATGCAAACGGCGTTCACATTACCAGTTAAGTACCGGTAAATAGTTGTGTTTCTCATACGTGAGTTAAGGCGGTTGAACTACCCTGAAGGCGACCGCCTGTTTCCGCTGGCGGACTAAAGTAGCATTGAGGCTACAGTGGGAGGGTCTCCATGGCAAGTCAACATATGTATGCTTTTATTGTTTCTAAGAAACTCCTGCGTGTAAAGTTGCCAGGAGCTCAATCTGACATTACTATGGAAAGCGTCAGCAGTCCGACAATCCCCACGAGGGCCCATAGAAGGTGTTTCTGTGGCACTACTGAGCATGATTTAGACATTATGCAAAACTCTGCACAGTATATAGAATTTTAGTTTTGTAACTTACCGTCAGCAACTGGATGACACAAGTTTGTACGGCATTAAGTACGCAAAAGCGAGGAATAGGGAAGTACTTTTCAGGTTTCTGCTATGTTTACAGATTCGCACATGTTAAACCCAGCAACGGCCTGATTTGATGTGTCCTACCCAGCCCTAAAAGGTCAACATATACAAACGTTTAGCATACACACGGTTAGCTGCCTCTTCCTCTAAATCAATATGCATATCCTATAATAGTTATCGGAAGAGCATTGCTTCAGCGAGACGTGCAGTACTTTCGTGAAGACTGCGACCTTGTAAGCCGTTCTGCCCATATGCCTCGACGACGCTTGTGGAAGCTGTTAGCTGAGCATAATGCTTAAACACCGCATCCGGCTTCAAACAGTTCTCATTTCTGACGCGTTAACAAGTTGGAAGGTCCTATGTATGCACCTCAACACTACGTGCGTGTCCTCATGTTGTCAAACTAGTCCATTATATACTGGTAGAGTCAAGCCCAGCTCGGAGCGCTCAGTGCTATGACGCTTATGCGCGCGGAGTCCTTTACTAGCAGTGCTGGCCACGAGCTAGTAGACCTTCACCTCAAGTAAGTGGTGTGTTCGTCATTTTCACGCAATAAACAGGCATCGTATAGGCGGCCGATTGTATGGGGCGCCCACTTACCTTGCATCCTACCTCGGCGGTGCCAACCATTTCATGGCCTTTCTGAATTCTTCATTTTACCACTATATATGATGCAGAGGTGGAGTTCTCAACTCAGAATCGGAGCAGGATGACTTGTTGCAGGTGGGGATGGGACCGATGCGCACTTTGTTGCGGGTGCTTTGTACCAACATTCCTCCAGCGTTGGACGGCACGCTCTATACGTGTTTTTTGTACGGCGTTTCCTTGCCTTGCTGAACCTGCTGCGACATGTTGCTAACAGCCGCTTATATGGGTAGCGGCCTTGGCGATGCCAGTCTCCTAGTCTAAACCCAGGAACAGTAAGAATTGGCGAAGTCATAGAATTTAACCGGTCGGCACTAACAACTTCAGTCGCACGTTGCGCATGGCTGCTTTCAATTGGCGCACTAGGTCCCTCTAGTAATTAAGGTTAACAACTTTGCGGAATAAAAGAAGCTTTCGGCATTTGCGACTATACTTTCCCAGGTTGAGGGATACCCAGTAGTTTGTTTGGACCTGCAACCTGCGGTTGAGCAGGTGCTTATCCCACTATTCCAGTAGAGCTTGCCTTTGAGCCTGTAGTATGCTGCGGTGCGGGTTTCGGTTTGTTGCGCAACCATACCAAACTGGGGATTACAAAGCGTTTAACCGTCGCTTTACCCCCCCCCCGCTTTATCCCGGATTGGGATTCGTTGTTTCCCTTACATAATTTTTTCCCCGCCTCGCCTTACATTTGGGCTCACATTTGGGGCTTTGAAGGGAGGAGCAGCGCTAGGGCAACGAGAGTACTGCAGCTCTCTAATCGTTGCATGTAGTTACTCCTATGGCTTTCGTAGTCTCATTCCATGGAATGCACGGCTCATGGGACTGAAGCTGTCGCAATGCATGGAGCAGCGTGCACTAGCTTCATGAGGTTTTCCTTTGTGTCCTAGGTGTTGGCGCTTGACCTGGGCCCATGATAAGGATATACGGAGGGTGATTGCAAAGCTACGTTGTTCCTTATAGCCGTTATAGCTACTTAGTCTTGACTGGTCAGCCTCATGTGGCTTACCAACCCGACCAATATGTGCCTCTACCCAACTTTGTCCCGCAGACACCTTCACTTGAAGCTGGTATCTTTGGCGTGCTCTTCACGCTTAGCCAAGAGAAAAATCAGCAGCATATTCGGTACCACTGGATATTTCTGAAGGTAACGTAATTGGGTTAGGGAACTCTCCTGAGTACACATCCCCGCCCCGACCCTCGTCTGGGTCTGATCTGCCACTCCCTATACCTGCCACCCTCCGCAGATCCTTTTGGATGCATGGCAGATCTTTACACAAGTCCTTTCCCCTGAAATGGGGTGGGACATTAACGAGAACGGCACACTCTGGAAATGCGTGTCTGTGCTCAATTTCGGGTGGATGAAAGACCTGGTAGGTAGGGCCTAGGGGTTTAGGGCTTTAAACATAGCTTACCGCCGTACGTATCCAAACAAGGCGGCTGCGGTGTCCCCGAATATATCCCTCGGTTTGGTGTTCAGGAAATTAGCCTAGGGTAGAGCGTCTAGAGGACGAGGGTTGTTGTTGGTAACTGATCTTCTGATGGTCGTGGCTGAAGCCGCGTGCCCATTACGTCTTGACCGTAAGCTTTCAAACCGGTTCTTTGTTCCGTGTTCCTTGCCAAACCCATCTACTGACTGTGTCAAGCTTCGATTTGCAGGGCTACAAGTGGTACGTGGCATTGCTGTACAGCATGGCTGGCGTGCTGGCCTTCAACATCGTGCTGTGCGTGTGGGTGGCCTGGAGCTTCAAGGAGCAGAAGTTTGACTATGTGTGGCCCATCAAGGTGGGGGTGAGCGAGAGGGCGGGCGCTAGTGGGCAGCAGGGGCTTGGCAAGGGGCAAGGTTGGCTTCACTGGCCCTTGTCGCATAAATATTATTCCTAGTAACGCGCACAGCCACTCTCCACGCCAAGCTGGGTCCAACTCAAGATGCCATTGCTTGCAGGTCGTACGAGGGTTCTCGTACGTCTTCCTACAGGTCTTCGACGTGACAAGTCTGAACTTTCTGCAGGTGCGTGTCTTGCGTTTGAACACTGTAGTCGCAATCCATAACGTTTCCTTGCGTACAGCTCAACCTTACCCCTGTCTTCTTATGCCTTGCCCCTTCCTTTTGCTGCTTCCTTCCATCCGCTGCTTCACATTACAGCTCGGCATCTCGTGCAACTATATGGGCCCGGCGGGGCCGCACCTGCATATGGCTCTCTTCCCGAAATACAGTGAGTCTTTCAGCGTTAAGGTATTTGCAATTGGAACAGACATTGTCTAGATAATGGCATTATGGGCAATGCTAGAGTTATGCCGTCTGTACATCTGGAGCTCATGGACGCTCTGAAAGCATATCAAACCTGAATTACTGTGCCCCTCCTGGCTGACAACGCAGGTTGCTCTCGCACGCCTCACATATTCAACGCGCTGGTTTCGGGGCTCCTCTTGTTGATGTTCGTGGCCGTAGCCATGCTCGTAAACATGTCAGAGGTAGGTCGGCCCGGACATACGCACAGCGGCACGAGGAGGACGAGGAATGCAAGTCAAAAACCATCCAGCTTAGCTTGGTTTTGCGACGTCGGCTTCCGTGATCCACAACCTCACGAATTCCCCAAACCGCCGGTATGTGTACAGGTGGAAGTAAGTCCAACGAGTAAGTCGCCACAGGCGCTGGGCCACAGCGGTGCGGAGGTCACGGCGTTTGGAATCAAGGTAGGCTGACGTCGTGGCCCCACCTAATAAACCGGCAGGTTTACGGTGGTCCATTCTGTGCACACTAAGCGCCCGACACGAAGGAGCTGCCCAACCTATCTGGATAGCATCTTCCGCGCGTACGGGAAGACCACAATTGTGCCACTGCGCGCCCTCATGGAGCTCACAATTTAGCACCTCGTCCAGCACGGTTCTCCTCCCCGCTCCCGCCGCCCCGCCCTGCCCAGGCTCTGATGACCCTGGTCGGTGTGTTCTTCGGTCAGCCCAAGGTTGCTGCCGCCATGTACCTTGTCCTTACGCTGTGGCTGGCGTGGGAGTACCTGAGATGGGTGAGGCGGAGCCTGGGCACGCAGGGAGCTCCTTACCACGGGCAATATGGGAGCGCTAATGGAGTGTGTTGAGTAGGGATTGCCTTCGTAGTGTTACTCCTTTCAAGCATGTGCTCGGCTCTCCGCTTACGGTGTGTTCTGCCTTCTTCCCTGCTCCTACCAGGTGCCTCACCTCCTGGCTTGGGTGAACTGTTTGAAGAGTGGAGTGGCCGTGATGATGGTGGGGGTTGCGGGTCTGCAGCTGGCGGTGGTGCTGCTGCCGCAATCCGCCTCCCACGCGCTGACGCTGGTGATGGCCTTCAGCATGGGGCCGCTGTTTGTGGGGGGCTTCTTCATGGCATGGGCGCGCACGAAGATGTTTACGAACGCCGTACTCAAGGCTTTCAGGTGTGCTGGGAACTGTCTGTGCAGGAGCAGCTATTCCGCCATTCACGTGTGGGCTCCGTTCTAGTGCGGTGTGGCGAGCTTAAGTGCCGGGCTGTGTGAACTTTTGCTGGGTTTGAGATAAGACGCGCTTAGCGTTAAGGTCTGTACCACCACACGCTTGATGTCCAAGCCTTATTTCTTAACACTTTCCAGGAACACGGACCCCGAGGCCATCAAGCCCAAGGACATCTACCACTTTTCGCACCCACGGGATGTGGAGGTGGCGGCTCGCAGCGCCCGCGTGTGGACCGACCTGTACACACTGGAGAAGTCCGCCGTACATCGGGCGGAGGAAGTGATTAAGGTGGGTTTCTATGTCATCTTGCGTAGGGACATCCCTGTAAACCCTAATAACCCTGAAGGCGTTATGACTATGTGTGCCTGAGCAGAACTGGCATCCTCCCTAGCGGCGGCAGGCAGCTGTCAGCAGCTATCTACATGCAGTGTACGCTGTTGGTTAAAGCCCTCGTGCCCCTATTGTTTGTAACAGGCCGGAGTTGCGCTTTTCCCAGAAAACGCCTTTGTGTCGCTTGTGTACGCCAACTTCATGTTGGACATGCTGGGCTTCAGCCAAACTGGCGCTCGTCAGTTGGAGGTAAGGATGGGGTAGCGTTGCACCGTGACTCCATCATAGCTGGCACGGAGGTACCTGTACTCAATGGAAGCTGGCGCATGTGAAAGTATAATATCAGATGCCAAGCTGCACGTCATCCTGACTTGTGCTCCCCTATCTGTTTGCCTGCACCGCAGAGCGCTCGCAAGCTGAATCCAAGCCTGATGTGTCGCTTCATGCTGTTTGTGAGGCAGCAGCAAGCCACGCAAAAGGCGGCAAGCAGCAACGTCGGCAAGGGCGGCAACATGGACCTCCTGGGGTGAGCGCAGACAGCGGGCTTCCCTTGTCCATGAAAGAGTAAATATAGTTGCTCCTCGGCATGCTTCTAAACATGCTTCTAGCCTTGCCCTTGCATTGTACCGGGTATTGTTACCGCCGTCCTGTTTCCCATCTCCGTCTCACCTTCGCCTCCTTGTTGTGCATCTACCTCCCTCCCGCGCACAGCTACGTGGAGTACCAGCGCAAGCAGCGCATGGTGCTGCGACACCACAAGGACGCGCTGCAGGCCATGGCGAACTTCTGGTGGGTGCCCCATGGCTTGAACAGGGACCTGTTTGTTTAACCTTGGTGACCTGCGCTTAGGAAGCAACAGTGTCCATGAGGCCTAAACGAAGCACAACTGATGAACATCCCTGCACGTGTCGTTTTCCTTGGGCACATGCGTACAATCCGTACTGCCACCCTCGCATGTATGCGGCAGGCGCATCCTGGGTTCGAGCTCCGTGTCTTTCACCTCGTTGAGCAAGTCCCTGGAGGAGATCGACACCTCCGTGTCGCAGGTAAGGGGCGTGAAAGGGATTGCCAGTGGGGTAATCCGTGCATGGTCAGACCGGAGTGGCCTCCAAAGACTCTCACAAAGGTTGATATTGAGGCTTCTTCGTCCCTGAATCCAATCATTACACCAGGCTGAGACGGCGTACCGGGTGGTGTTGGAGCTGTACAACAACTCCCCTCGCCTGGTTCGCCTGTACGCCAAGTTCCTGGAGACCATCAAACAGGACCCCTGGGGAGCTGCCGAGTAAGCCTTGCTACAACGGAATGCGCAGTCACAATTCACAGATCTTAGTCACTTGTGTGATAGTTGCGGTAACAACCTTGCTTGACCTGCAATGCAGGTACAACGCAGCTGCTGAGAGGCTCGAGCAGAGCAAGGACGAGAACGGCCAGGGACCCGCCCTGCCTGATGGTGCGTACAACTTGGCGTGAAGGACGTTGCATCACAGCGACCTGTGGCTGAACGTCTGAACGAGCCGGCATACAGCCTTAGGAGCGCGAGGCCTTACTAATTGGTTCCCTTTCCTCCTCCGCAGGCACCCCCATCAGTCGCATGGACGATGTGGAGAAGGGTGTGGTGGTGGTGAACGCCTTTGGCGACATCCAAGTCGCAAACAAAAAGCTGCACGCTATGTTTGGCTACAAAAAAGGTACGCTGGACCTGGGTGGACAGAGGTTTATAGGTTTAAATCAGGTACTCGGCATTGGAGTGGAGTTTTCGATGCTCCTTGGCAGTGTGGGACGCAACCGGTACTAATAGGCCACGCACGTAACCTCTAACCTGCCCCTTGCACTGCTTACCTCATCTTCTTGGCTACCTTGACGTTTCTGCTGCTGTTCCCGCTTGTTGCACGCCCATTGCAGGCGAGCTGGACGGCAAGAACGTGACAGTGCTCATGCCGCCACACGAGGCCAAACGCCACCCGGCACGGCTCAGACGCTACATCGATTCTGGCGACGAGGCAGCACCGTATTTCCGGCATCCCGTGTTGGGCATCCACCGCGAGAGGGTGGCCTTCCCGGTTCGCATCTCGGTCAGCCGCGCCTCAGGTACGGCGCTGGATGGGGAGTGCAGGGCTCTGGGCCTGGCCTGCTGCAAGTATGCTTGGCAGGCTCTGTACCAATTCCATTGCCCATACCGTGGCCAGCTTGACCCACGTACACTGCTACCTCCTTCCCCTCTGCTGTCAATGCGTGTTGCCGGCTTTCCTAGCCGTCTGAGTTTGGGAGACGCCTGGAAAGATGGCTGAACTGACTATACCCAACGCTGCATATGTCTGAACCCCTCTCCATATCCCCCTAAGGCCTCGGAGAGGACAGCGTCTTCATTGGAATCCTGGAGGCATTGCCGGCGGTTCCCGGGATGGGCCGGGTGTGGGTGACGAAGGACGGCATCGTCGTGTGCTGCGACCCGGGCTTTGTCACGTGCTTCGGGTGAGCGACATAAGGAAGGGAGCCCACTTTAAAACCCTGGCCTGCTTGTTCGGCTTATTTCGCAAGGCATCTGCACCATTGCTGACAGAATGCGATGCCTGCACCCTTTCCCAGGTACCATCCCGAAGACGTAATCGGCACTCAGCTGGACAAGCTCTTGAGGTCGGGTAGCAGCCAGGACGACCGCATTGCCAACCAAGACGTGTGGGCAGCCAGCAAGGCCAACCACGACAACCACGAGCTGGTGCAGAGGTGAGGTGCCAGGCTGTGCCGCGGCTGTGTTGCTGTTGGCGGCTTCATGCAAGCAGGGTACTCGTTATCATGGGTGCGCTTTGCCAGTGCTCCTCTTAGTGCATGTGTGCGGCACTGATGCCACTACTGTAACGACATCACATGATAACCCCTTCCTGGTGCCCCCGAACACAGGCTCCTTGAGAAAGCCATGCAGCAGACGGGCAGTCGGGGCTCGCTGGAGGAATTGGACGAGTCGCAGCTGCCAACCGTCAACTGTCGCGTACTACACAAGTATGACTTTGCGAAGGAGTGCCAGCTGAGCGTCCGGACAGGTTGGTACATGCTGGTAGCACTAAGGAGGTCTACGCCCCTATGCGACAAGGATTGTTTGCTGGCTAACACTCTTGTAAGCCAACGCGGCCGCTATGCAATTTCCTGGTTAGGCATAGCATTGTTGCTGTGAACCCCGGTGCCTTTTCTCGAGCAGATCTAACCGAGTCGTCAATCTTCGAGTTCCAAGTCAAGCTGCTCTCCGACGAGCCTCAGCTGCTGATGGTGGTTGAGCGCAAGGGCGCCATCCGACACATGAGCGGGGATCTGGCCAAGGTGCTGGGTGCCAGGTTGCTGGACACCGCTAACGGTAACCGGCCGTCTGGGCGCAACGGCGGGGGCAGCGGAGGCAATGGTGGTGGAGGTGGAGGCGGCGGCAACGGCGGCGGCACGTTGCCTGATCGTATGATGCAAGACGAGCAGGTACGCAGGGGTCCATAGGGATTGATTGGAGGGAAGGGAACGGAACGAGCGTTTTCGTATGTTCTCCTTGAATCTCTTTAAAATCTGGGTGCTGTCTGTACTTCAATGTTGGAGGGCGTTCCTGGCTATCTTGTATGTCCCGAGCTAGAGCACGTGACGCGCCATTGCTTCTTATGCACCTGCCTTGTCTTGGTGCATCCACTGGTGCTGTGCTGTCGCTGTTGCTGCGCCTTTCCCACCATGGTCACCCGCTACTGCCTGATGTGTTTCCTTCGGATGCTTGTTTACTGTTCATCTGAACGATGCAACCTATGCTGCTAACGCTGTCGTCGCAGCTCATGCTGGAGCTAATGGCGGACTCTCCACCCTGCGCGCTTGACGACTTCCTGCCCGCACCCTGGAAGCACATGCACCACAAATATCGCAAGGTGAGTGGGTGTCGAACTCAAACCCGAAGTCCGCTAGTTGAATACGGCTGTCGGCTTGGTTGCTTGCTGGTTAGGGACTGTCACCTTTTTAGTTAGGGCGTGTTAATGTACGTCAACCAAGAGTCTAAGGATTCGGGTTACCGCGGCTTTTGGCTTAACTGTTTCGTCGCGCCTCCTTTGCCTACAGTACGTGACCGGTGGCTCACCCAACCTGTCGGGTGCGTGGGGCTGCCGTGCGGCGCTGGCGGACGGCAGCGGCAGCATCGGCCCCACCATGCGGCTGGTTGGGGTGCACGGCAAGCCCGTCTACGTGCACGTGGCTGTGGCTTCACGTGAGGAGTCGGGCGATGTGTTGCATGTGGTCCGTATGGCGAGGTAAGGCCCAACATTACGTTTGGCAGTACTAACGTTGTTTAGAGACCGCTCCGTAGGACCCGCAACGCTTGTGTCCTGCCTCATGAGTCATGGCTTACCAGTAGGGGACAGTAAAGTTGAAACAATATCCGAACACCAAGCACAATGATGAGACTTCGAGGTTAAGCCTCTCCCAGAAGCTCCCAGCTTAACGGTTTTTGGCGCTCCATTCAACGCCCGCAGGTCCTCCCTGGAAACGGCTGTTGACGAGCGCCGGCTGCGCGTGCGGCTGTCAGAGAACGGCACGGTGCAGGCCGTCACGCAGGGCAGCGCTACGGCGGGCAAGGCTCTTGCTGGCGACACCCTCTTCGGCTTCCCATCCGAGCAGGTAGGCCAGCAGCTGGCGAACTGACGAGTCGGCGGATCGCGGATGCATGGAAGTGGGGACTCCTGCCTAGCATACGGCTCCAGGTCTCTCTTTTACCGGTATTCCAACTTCCTCTGCCCTTGGTCGATGTCTGATGTCCGTTATGATAGGATTCTTGATTACAACCATCCTGGCTCCTGACATTGGGTCCTGCTTCCTCCTTTCCTTCCATAGTTGGTCGGCTGCCGCATCTGGGATTTCATGGCTGTGGCGCTGAACCAGCCGGCCAACAAGCGCACGGCGCAGCAGGCTCAAGATGTGTTGGCCGAGGCCGAGGCCATGTTGGCTGGCGGCCGGCCGAGCGTGAACGGTGCTGCCGCTGCTTCCAGCAAGAAGCCGCCTGAGCCCAAGTGGGGGGAGTTCAGCATGAGCATGTTTGACGCCATGGTTACAAGGTAAGCTGCTGGAGGGGGCAGACGGCGATAGCGTGGGAGTTGCGTGATAGGAGGAAGCGGCATGCAAGGATTCGGCAGTGGGAGGCTAGGGGTTACTGGGAAGGTATCGGGTGGCGTGCATACTCGTGAAGACTGCATAGGACGCCCCACTGCTAACCTTGTTCCTAGTGTAGGCGTGTTGTCTGCTAAACCTGCGGAATTTGGCGGTACGTGAGACGCATGAGGCGTCCCATGCAAAACCCTTAGCTCAGCGTCTTGCTGTGGCACGAGCAACGTTGTGGTAACCCTTTCCTCCCTCCCTTGCCCGCCTGTCCCGCAGCACCATGCAGAACCCCGGCATCTCCTGGCGCGTCAACGTAGTCCCGCCCACGGCGGCTGCGGAGGCGGCTGCAATTGGCAACCCTGCCAGGGTGGCGGCAATGCTTTCCCGGCGTACTAGGCAGGCAGTCCTGAGGGTGAGTCTCACAGCATTGCGCCATGGATTTTGCCACAATGAGTGCTCTATTGGTGGGTCAACTCATGGCCGCACGTCCGCACCTTTAGGATGCCTCGTTGCACTTCATTTACCATGTGTATGTCCGTGCCGTGTGTTGGTACCTAAGGGGGTGGATGTATAAGCATCAGGCCATGTGCAGGCCTCATACATTTACCCTGTTTGCTGATGTTGAAATGTAAAGCTCTCTTAACAATTACCACTTTACCTTTGCTCAATCTGTTCCAACCACAGCTGGACGTGGCGTTGCCACCTGCGGGGACGGCGTCGAGCCCAGGACAGCTGACGATCCACGCGGAGCTTTGGGCTACAGAGGCCGTGACGGGTGAGCCCAATGCATGTCTTGGTGGACATAGCTGAGGTTGGGGCCATTCTGATTTTTAGGCCGATTGTTAATCTCTCCAAACTTGGCCTGCGAATTAAATGCCAAACAGGCGTTGTGGAAATTGATGGCACTGGCCGCGTGTCGGGTCTTGTGGAGGAGGATCTTCGGCCGCCCAGTCTGCTGTTCGGTATTCCCCAAGACGACCTGGTGGGGACGCCCTTTGCCGCGCTGATCAAGCTGCTCCCCGGGCAAAGTCCAGTGGGCCTGCTGACGGATAGCGGTATCGCAAAGAAGAGCAACCTCAAGACCAAGGATCGCAAAGGGAAGAGCTCAACAGTCAAGGTGCGAAGACAACACTACGCATTATGGTTCCACGCATGAGGGGAGATTACATCAATTACACAGTCGTTTCTTGGCCCCACCCAATAACTCTCTTTAACCTCTCGTCTCAATATTCCCGTAACGAACCCTCCAGGTGGGCCCTGTGCACTACCTGGACGGTTTCCATCGGGACGGCCAACCCCTCAGCCTCGCCGTGCAAGTTGTCGGCAAGCCCGGGCCCGGCAACCCCGTCGTCGCCATCGTTCGTGTCGCCACGAAGAACCCGAAGGCGTCGCAGCGCCCCAAGATGAGTGCTTACGCGGCTGCTGTTGCAGCGCACAAGGCCCACGTGTCTCTGGACCTAGGAGCAAAGCACAAACAGGCCGCTGCAGCCGCGGCGGCGGCTGCAGCCACACCTGCCGGCAAGGCTGCACTACCAGCATCGGGACCATCGCCCTCGTTCAAGTTGCCCGCTGCCAGTTCGAATCCCAGCATGAACATTCGTAACCTCAACCCCCAGCTTACCAGCTTCCAGTTGCGGCTGCCGCAGCCTTCAATCCAGCCGCGCGATCCCTCCGTGGCTGCAGCCGCGGCTGCAGCAGCAGCTGACGCGGCCGCGGCCCAGCTGACGCCGCAAGACTCCCTCGACTTGGACCTAAACATCACAGGCAACAAGAAAGACGCCCCTGGTGAGGACGCTCGAGCGCCAGCGGAACTGCCGCAGGCAGCTGCAGACAGCACCAGCGCGATGCCCGCTGCGCCAAACATCTCGCTGGAGTCCATGTCCGTTCCACGGATCGCAGGTCCGCCTGGAAAGTCCTCCGTGGCTATGTTGCCGGGTGCAAGTACATTAGCCGCCGGAGTCGCAGGCCTCCTCAAGGCCAAAACGATGTCCAGCAACCTAGAGCCGGTGGCTGACCCGGTGCCGGCAGAGGGACTGCCGCGGGAACAAAAGGGCTCCAGAACCTCCTCGCCTCTCAAGCCCGCATCGCCACCCATTGTAGGCCCAACCAAGCGCGCATCAAGCCCCCAGGAGGGCTCGCCATCGCCAGAGGATGGGGAGAAGAGCAGCAGCCGTCCAGAAACCTCGGATGAGAAGGGGCTGTCAACGCCGGAGAAGGCCGAAGGGCGCCTAGCGGGTAAGAACCTTGGCAGCATCAGCGGAAACCGAGGACTATTGGGTACAGAAGTACGTCCTTGCAAAAGACGTGCAGGTGCAAGCAGTTGCCCGGCAAGCTCTTTTGTGCCTTGTGGCCTTCTTGTGTGCTTTGGCGTCTTGTTGCGGCGTCGTCCTTGCTTGCACAGGCTATCCAGATGTTGCATTTTCGTGACTGTAGATGCGGACGGGGATTACATCACGCCCCGAGACCTGCGGTTGGAGACCGCAAGTACGGTGGCAGGAGACAACGATGACCAGGTGGGGTGGATGAGGTGCTGGTGCGTGTTTGCAGCTGCAGGAAAAATGCTGGTTCGGGGCATGGCCAATCCTCATGTGCGTAATCTATCGCGGCCTTCAGCATGCCACGCCCATTACTGTAGAAGCTTGGGGCGGTCATCCCATCTCATTCGCCTCCTTATCCCAACCGCCTCCAAAACCTGTAAAACCCTTACATCCCGACCACAGGACATCGAGGCCAGCTTCACTGAGATCGGCACGGTGGACAAGTGGGTCGCCACAGGCGGCAAGTTCTACCAGAATCGCACCCAGAGCGTCGCCTCGGGCGCTGACCTGGACGACCCGGATGACGACGACGATGGCGACGGCGATGGCGACGGTGACGGCGAGGGCTCTATCGGTGCCACCAGCCGCGCCACCTCCTCCCGCTGGGCTTCTCCGCATGCCTCGGAATCGGGGGAGCATCGAGACCACGCGCACACGCGGAAGGAGGAGCACCCTCGACCAGTGGAGTCGCCTCCTGCTGACGTGGCCAAGGTCACGGGTTTGGCCTCGGGCTGGGATGTGATGCGGCAGGGCATGGACCCGCTGCACGCCGGGTTGCCAGGGGATAAGTCGCCCGGGGCTGGGATGGACCCGTTGGAGATGTTGGACTTGGAGGCTGCGGCGATGTTTGACCACGCGGACAGCGACGGCGGCGAGAGCGGCATTACCGGGATGTCTGGCGGCTCTGACATTTCTGGTGGGTCCTGGTTTTCGTTCTGGTGGGGAGCTTTTTGGGGTCTGGAAGCTACCTGTGGGGTTGTCTGCTTTCTCCTGCCTTGGAAAACCGTGGCTCAGGGCCAAGGCCTGCAGTTTAGGATCAATACGTTGATGTCTTCTAAGTCTTGTTTATTTTGTTCCTTGCAGACACCAACACGCCGGCGGACTTCAAGCGCGGCAAGCGCTACCGGAAGCTGGTCAAGCTGATGGACTCGCCGCAGGCGCAGAAGGTATCGACCTCCCGCATAACGGGTGAACAAAATAGGACAGACATCACAACCGTACCTGGCTAGCAGCGGAGTCGAAGCAGCCTAGCACTGCTGGTCCGTGTGATGGTCCCCGTGCTTTCCCACCGGGTGCCGTGGGACCCAATGCGTCTATTTGCCAAAGCCGCCACCGCCACCACGGCCCAGTTTCCATCGCTGGCATTTTGCCCTTTCATTGTTCCGTGCCTTGCCGTCCTGGCTAGCTTCTGCAATACCGACATTAAACCTCTTCGCACTCCCTCCTTGTCTTTCCGCAGGCGCTTGTGCGGCTGAAGATCAACACCACGCTGGGGGTGCTGGCTGCGAGTGCGGTGCACGTGTTGTGCTTCGTGCTCATCATCACAGCCATGCAGGTCAGGAGCACAGGGCACCGCAGGGCTGCGTAAGCACAGTAGTACTGGGTACTTAAGGGTTGGCTGGGCGTTCTACCAAAAGACCCTTTACTTAAAACCACTTGTCCGTTACGTGCAGTAGCCCGGTTATGCATGGCAGGCGCGTTCCCGTAGTTACTGTTCTTCATGCATCATTTACATTGGTACTTCCGCTGCGCAAATAGCCGTACTAACTACCGGTTCTCCATGTGTGCTACAGAGGCAGTCAAAGGCTCTGGACCAGCTGGCATCTGCAGGCGGGGCGCAGCGCTACTTGCAGAGGGTAAGGGCGCGAAAGCAATGCGCTTCAACTGGAACTGCGCCACAAGTGGTTGCACCGCATCTTGTCCATTTGCTGCTTGTATTTCCCGCATGCTGAACCAGTAAGGAATGCGTGGTGAAGCTCGTTCTCTGTGGTTGCAGGCTCTCGTGTCCGTGCGGGCCTTGGACCAGGTCTACAAGGGCAAGGGCTCCAACACCACCTACTCGATTGGTGATGCCAAGGTGTGAAATGCATTACTTATGTTATTTGTATCATGTCAGTAAGTTTTAAACATCAGTTCACCAGGTGGTAGGGTTGCTAATAGGACTCTTTATTTTTGTATGTGTATTCTTCCCGTGCCAGTTTAAGGGCTTACTTTCAAGCCAACTGCACTGTCAGTCCCTAAGGATACTGTACGGACGCCGATTCCTTAGATTAGGCGAATCAGCAGATTAGGCGAATCTAACATTGACGAGAATTCGAACCGAAAACATGTAGCAGAGGGTAAATGTAGGAATCCCGTCTGGGTACTCCCTCGTGTTCGTTGCGGCCGTGGTTCCCCCGCAGGACCTCGCCGGCGACATCCTGACGTACTCGGACCTTTACAAGGTGAGGGAACATAGGGCACTAGGTGTGTCACCTGGTTCAGCGCAGCCGTCAAGCGCTAAGCTCTTTTCCCTTGTCTTTTGTTTGCAAAAGCAATTCATCTGCGCGCGCAATTGGCTATACGACAATCTTGGATCTGCCTTTCCCGAGATTAAGCATTACTACCCCATCATGCTTGTTGCAGGGTTTAAACAATGGCTTGATGGAGACGGCGGGAAACAAGATTGAGGACATGTACAACACGCACATCGTGGAGGTAGGTTGCTGCAACTGCAACGCAAGGCTCTGTGCATGTCTTTATTGCCTCCCAATCGCCGTGTCTGACGCGTGCTTGCTGACGGAATTCCAGCGGGCCCGAGTCGTGTGCTGGCCGTGGCTTTAAGGACGGCACTACACCAATGCCACTACTGTCGCTACTGTAAATGCTGAGCGTGTGCCGACGATTTCTTTCCTTTCCCAGCCCTGACTCCGCCCTTCCTCGCCTTGCCGGCCACCAGGTGTGGGACTACGACAACTTTACAACCGGAACCACCTTTTACCGAAACGTCACCTTGTGGGTGAGTATTGCTAGCCTGCGCGTGCCTGCAGCTGAGGGCGTACGTGTTTGCGTCAAAAGTTGCGCCAGGAGGGTGCAGACAACGTTACTGTCAGTTAACATGGATGGTTGGCGCAACAGGTCCCAGTCAGTAGTGGATTTCATGGTTCCGGTCCGGTATGATTAAATAATTCCCGCATCCTTCCCACTTGCCATTTCAGGAATTGGTTGAGACGGTCTCAGTCGCAGCCAAGACGGTGTACCAAAATTTCGAAACGTGGCATAGCAAGGGCATAAACATTTCAACCCAGACATCCGCGGCTTTCCTGCTGAAGAGCGGCCAGGCCTTAGTCCCAGGCATGAAGGAGGTGAGGAACGCTGAGAGGAATGCTGCAGGGAGACAAAGAATTAAGGGACTCTGGTTTACCCGTGGCTTATATGTGGCAACGCAAAGCGTCAAGAGAAAGAATGCATAGCAGCAGCAGGCTGGGTCCGGTACCGTTACGGATGACCCTCTAAGTCGCTGCTGACGTTCCCCCGCAGGTACTGGATGGCCTTCTGAACGTTGCCGTTGACTTGACTAACACCGTCAACAGACTGCAGCTCACGTTCCTGCTGCTGGAGGGCTGCTTTGTCACAAGTTGCTGCGCCATGTAAGCATGCATGCTCTTAATGCAGGCGCTAGAAGCAGTCTAGGATGCATTTTCAGTTTACATTCCGTGTAATTCCCTGGCGACAAATTCTGCCAATATCGGGACAGGTGCTTGCATGTAAGCGCTGTGTCCCCTACCCTTCCTATGAGCACGTGTTTTCCCTCGAATGTGTATGACTTGTCCCCCGTCTAACAACTTCAAACAAACACACTCGCAGCGGCCTGGTGTATATGTTGAGGTCGGCGAGCGACCAGCGCTACCAGCTGTACGAGACCTTCCTGACCATCCCTGTCGGTAAGTGGAGTCCCTTTCTAGCCACCACCGATAGTAGCCCTTGAGGACGTGCAGTACATTTCTGGTGATGATTCGGCTCGGAACAGCTGGCATGGGCGTAGCTTCCTTGGTGCTGTTTGTTTACTGATGACTCCGTTTGCTGCGGCCGGTGCAGGGCTGACGCGCGCATTGGCATCTCAGACAACCCACCTTCTGGACGACGATGAATCGGAGGATCAAGATGACGACGATGGGGCCAGTCAAAAGGTACGAGTACCTTGGAATTTCTTACCCGGATTCTCTCCATACCCCAGTAGAAGTTACCTGCCGCAATCAAAAGAGGGTTAAAGAGAACGAGCTTGCGGTTTTTACCTTCTCCCTGCCCTTGCTGTTGGCCTACAGGATCACGTGGATGATGGTGCGAGCAGCCACATGCACGCACCCATCAAACGCAAGGCCCTCTTTGACGAGTCGGCCAACACCGAAGACCATGGCCGGCAGCAGCACGGCCAGACGCAACAGCAGCACGACAACAATGGTAACAACCATAACGGCCAGCACATACACCACAATGACCACCACAACGACCACCACAACGACCACCACAACAACCACAACGGAAACGCCAACCCCAACCCCAACGCCAACAACAACCATAACAACAACCATAATCATGTTGGAAACAACAGCCAGCATCACCAACCGAAGCAGCGCAGGTCCTCTGTGGTGCTTTCCGAGTACTCCCCAATGGGTCACCCGCGTGGCGGAAGGCGCCAATCGATGGACACGATGAGCCTGGGTGGATACCACGGAGTGGGCGACCGGAGCTATCACAGCGCCGCATACTCCATGCGGTCGTACGCTGGCGGCGCAAGCCGCATTATGTTGCGTGCGCCCTCTGAGTATCACCGGCAGGAGAGCATGGGCTGCTTTGGCCGCCTGTGGGCTAAGCTCTGGTAAGTCTTATAGGATTGGGAGTTTTGCGTCGGGGATGCCTTTGGAACACTGTTTTCCCTTTTCAGGTTTTAGTGTCTAACGCCCTACACAGCCTGTCTCGTTACTTCGTTCATTATATCTGGTTGTCGTTTCCTACCCAGATACAACCCAGACCAAAGCCGTGTTCCGAACATACTCCTAAACGTTGTGTTGCAGGCGCTCGAATGCCGTGCGGCCGTACCCGGGCAATTTGAACGGCTCTGCGTTGTTTGACATCGGTGGTCCGCCCCGTCGTACTCTCGAGCGCAACAGCAAGGTCGCCAACGGGATGCTGCTGAGCGTCGTCACATATTCGATGCTGGTAGGTGTCACGGTTTTGGTAACGCAGACCGGGCTGAGCAACATCAGTCCAACGGCTGCCGTACTTCAACTTTTCCCGGACTTCATAGTATTTTGTAAAATGCTCGCCGCCTTTGCCAAATGCATGTGCGTGTGCTGTGCTGCTGGGGACCGTAAGCGGTTAATTACTTTTTGCGCTTAAGATTTTTCACTCCTCTTTTGTGGTCTGCGTCTTCGCAGATCATCATGTTCTACAGTATCGACTACGCCATACTGCTGAAGATCAAGGACCAAGTCGCGCTGCAAGCGGTGGCAGACCACAACTCCGAGCGCACGTACCGTGCCGTCTTCTTTGCACAGGTCGGTTTACCTATCTATCTTCCACGTTCACCACTTTTATTAATTGGCTACATGGGCAGCCTCCATGCATTGTGTAGAAAGCGGTGTTCACGACTCAGTGTGTGTGCGCAACCGCAGGAGCTGGCAGCAGAGGAGGACGTTACCGCCATTCCATTCCGAGCTGAGCTCCTCTACAATGCGTCCATTGCTATGCGTGATGCTTACTACACACTGCGAATGGGCTCCGGTGCATGGACGGCTGTGGGTGAGTCCTATGTTAGCAAATTGGTGTAGTGTGGATAATGTGTTTCACAATTTGCTCCCAAAACGGAAGTGGTCACAGGACTTAACCATCCGTCCTTAGCTTGTGTTTGTGTCGTCTGCCACTCCACACGACGCTCTATCTGTGCTCCTAGTCCTGGTCTAGTCTAGTTGTCGTGCGTGTTAACACCCTGTGTGCTACTGCCACCCGTTACCCCTGTCAGGGCGAGGCATCGAGCAGTTTCCGTTGGTCAGCGGTCGCGGTCTGGTCAAGGAGTCCCACGACATGTTCCAGCTGTTTTACAATGACGGCGCCTGTCTGCGGCTCTCGGAGCACTTGCCCTGCCCGGAGGACAGCTACCGCTACTACCAGGTACGTGCCGGCAGTGGCATGTTGTGGTGTGACCATGCAGTCCACGTGTGGTGGGTGGGCGATGCGCTCTAGTTCCAGCTGCCTGGCCAACTGGTATCTCTTATCATGCGTTTGACCTGTACAACCTTACTAGTGTGGGGGACCGAAGCACGCGTGGTACTGCGGCAATGTGATATTGCGCACACCCTGTCGATTGTGCCCACCCAGCACCACCGCTGCCATCATTCACCAGCACCATGGCGTGATGATCCCCTTGACTTCCACATGCACCAACATCACTTCCCTTGTAACGGCCGGCCATTCATTCCCCCCTTCCCTTGTAACAATCATTCATTCAATCCCTGCTCTTCCTGTACTAATTTCCAGGTGACACACTCGGGCGCTGACGGCATGATGATCCAGCTACTGTCAGAGATGCAGAGCCTGGCGGATGCGGCGATGATTGCCGCGTCCACTGGCGGACATCAGCCCGGACTGGACAGTGAGCAGTGGGACTACATCTACAACGTGGGCACCGTGGTAAGGATGGGGAAACACAGGAGTTCTTACAGTGGGTGAAGGATGGGGGTCGGCCCTGAACAGTGGGCCTGCGGCTGAAGCCACACAGCCGCATAACCTTTACAAGGCGGTCCTGAATGCAAGTAATAGTTTGTTTTGTGTTGCAAGCGTGTCTGTTTGGATTGCTTGCTGGCGGCTTGGTACTCTCCTCCTCATGGTTTCTCGCACGGCTTGCAGGACCTGAACGATGCCAATCTGCGCATCAGCGCCCAACACATCAGCAACATCAAGGGCGTGTTCAAAGGTGCGGCACTTGACAGTACGTGGCAGTCAATGAAGCATAATGCATTGTTGCACGTATTCAGTCCTCTCTTGCATGTAGCTAGTATGTGCATCCAGTTGCTCCCTATGTAAGGCCGCTTTGTATCCTTTCTTCGCTGCTCAATTTTCCTCTGTCTCCAACTCCTCGGTTGCAGTCGTTGTGACGATGCACGGCGTCCTCTTCCTGTTGCTGATGGGCGTCTTCCTCAGCTTCATGCTGCTCGTCTACCTGCCGCTGCTGCGAAGAATGAACAAGGAGGTACGGCGCGGCACCATGTGCGCGACAACTGCAAGCAAACCGACGCGTGTACAGGTGTATGGCATGAACGGCGTGAAGAGTAGGCTGACATGGTTCCAGCTACGGCTAAGACCGTGGCTTCAAGTAAGGCCATCGCCAGTTAAAGACGAGGTGCCTTTAATGGAGTGCACGACCCGATCCCTACCCTATCGCCTCCCCTATACACACCTAGGGTCCTCTGGCCGCACCAACAAATCCCTAACTGCTGCCCTGCTTCGCAGAAACGGCGCATTGCCGAGATGATGAGTCAGCTGCCGCCCGAGCTGGATGTCATGCGGCTCGTGAGTACGGCACTGATGGGGCCCAAGGCGGGCGGCCATCACCACCATCACCACCCAACCGGCATTACACGTGTGGAGACGAACGTGCTGAGCCCTGCACCGCACTTGTCAGCTGTCGGGGCCGCCGGAGCGGGCATCTCGACGCCTGTGCAGCCGTACAACGCTTCACCTGGTACGTATGAATAGCAATCTGTATATACTTTATTTAAAACTCAAACCATGGACAAAATAACACTTGTGAGTTGCGGACTGCAAGCAAGTGGTTGAAATGGTGGGGTTGTGGCTAGTGGGGTTTATGGAATGTGGGCGGCTATGTATGTATGTAAAGGATACTTACTTATGGTGCATGTATACTCGACAGCATGTGAGGCTGTAACTGCGAGTATTGGGGGCCCCTGTGTTGCTAACGTAACTCTGAACACAAGGGATTGTTGCTCCGCGTGTATGTGCTGTGCACTGTAGTTGGGACGCCATTGCTGCTCTACGGCAAAGAGACTTACATGGCTGGCGTGTTTTTCATTCGGCTCGGTGTTACTCAGCCTTCAATGTGCAAAAGTTGGCCATTGCAAATGAGGGGTTATTGGCGCCACTGTGTAAGGTAGATGCAGATAATGGTCCGTGTGTGGAATGGCACGGGAATCTTACACTGCCGATTGTTAGGAACATTCAACTTCTTGTTAACTGGGGTTTAACTAATGGATTATGAAAGCAATGTTGAAAAAACCGCTTGATTAGCGCTAGCGAGTCCTTGTCCCATCAATTTGCCAACCTTGGGCCTTGGCAAGCAAAATTGGATTGCGCCGATGGATTGCGTGGTATGCCGTACTTAGTCAGGAGCTTGCGGAAAAAACAGCCCTTGGTATACGGAGATCACTTACGTCTGACAAGCTTTATTTTTTCGTTCTAGTGAAAAGCGTTCAATGGATGACTTGGTTTTGTTTCGGGCCCTAATCCAAGAGGTGTAGTGTCTGCTGTGGATCCAGCTTATGGTGTTGCGGCCGATCATACTTGACCAAACCTATGTAAGTTAGGTATGATGCCTTCACTTGAAACCCTTCGTTGTCGCAAAGCTCCACAATCCCTTGTAAGCATCCATTCAATCCTGCAACGTTTTCCACGGTTACGTATTTTGTTACTATATTTTTTGTGATAAAGCATTAAGCATTCCCTCTGTCAACACCTGCAGGCAACGTGGGAGCACACGGCGGCGAGGACCAGGGCGGTGGCAAGGCCTACCAAGCGTGGAAGGACATCCTAAACAGGTACGCGCCGTGCGTGACCTTAAATTATGGCCCTTGTACCGTAGTGTCGTTGTCATCGTTGCAACATGCAGCCAAGTTACTACTGTTAAGGAAACGCACCCATGCAATGATGCCCTGTACCCCTAGTTGATTCATAGTAGCTGTCAAGCTTGCATTAAAACTTTTCTTAACGATTGCGGCAATTGCAATGCCTCATTTCCTGATCTGCGCCCCCGCCATAACCACACCCGACCGTATCATCCGCAGGGCAAGCAGCATCAGCGGCGCAACGAAGGATCCAAACTCAAGCATTACCCATGGAACCCAGCACGCCAGCCGCCGTATGTCGGTTGAAAAATGAAGCCGTGACGACGAAGCCCTCCCTGATGACCCTGCTGAGGATGACGATGACAAAGAAGACGACGATGACGAAAGATAACGGCCGCTAGATGAAGAGAGTTCATCACGTCTATAGTTGTAGTTTTGTTGTTGCTGTCGTTGCTGTCGCGTGTTGTTGTTCGTGTGATTGTTCACACACACCAAAAGCTTCCTAAGCAACTGAACAAGTTACTGGGGCTGCGTTGTTGTCAGCAACTCAGCTCCTGGCAGTATGCGAGTTACTTACTACTTTGTCACCCTTACCTTGCTTACATGCGCACGTGGGTTTACTGCACTGATGTGTGGGTTTCGTTGTGCCTCTGACTTTGCAGCGGTGTCTTTGCTACGGGTCATGCACACACGCACACGCAAGACGGTTAACTGCACTCGTACATCCCCCAGGCTGTGCGCTGGTGGGCTATGAGGTGCTGTCGGGGGGTTTTCTGATGTACGGCAGGTTTGTACGTACGTAATGTGGCTCGTACGGTACAGCTCAGGGCGTCATGACGTAAACTGAGCAGTGTTGGTATATGTGTAGTTGGGGGATGTGGTTTTGGCTTTAAGTACTTGGACTTATAAATAGCAACGGGTCGCCTTGACCATCGTGGGTGTTAAGATAGCAGGTAATTACAGATTGCGTACTACCGTAAGCGTGCGGATGTTGTTCACGGCCATGTTTGGGTGAGCCTCTGCTGGCTCCCATTAATGCCGGTTGCGTGAAAAATGTGAAATGTGGGACGTGAGCAAGGAGAGGCGCCATAAGTATGCGGCACCGGTCTTCTTTTGTCGGCGGCCACACTTGCTAATGCCGCTAGTTATTCCTCCTTGTCTTGCGCTATACTGTTAGTTTTGGTGCATGTGTCCTTACCCCGGTGTGGCTTTGTGACCGCTTGCCGAGTGGGGGATCATGCCGGCAGCAGGCAGGAAGTGTCGTAATCCACCATGATGCTATGGGCCCGCCATGACGACGTTTATGTGAAAACTTGTTGTTGCGTTGGCCAGCTTGGGATTGTTGTATAAAGAGCACAACTATCTTGATCTTTTGCAAAGCGTTGACACGGGACACGGACGATGAAGTTAGTATCCACAGCAACGCGCGCGCTGTCATATTAATTCCATCAATGCCTCCTTCCTCATCCGTTGTCGACACCGGTTGAATTTGAGCAGGGATTTTTGCTGTACGTCATGTGTACGTCACTGTCAATTCTCGGCTTCGTTGTTCTCTGGCATTAAGGGAGCTGCCATGTCTTTGTGAGGGGCTGGCGGCTTCGTTGTTCTCTGGCTTTAAGGGAGCTGCCATGTCTTTGTGAGGGGCTGGCTTCAACCTTGGTTCTCTTGGTGAGGGCTATAATTCAAATGCATTGAAGTGGAGTTAGCAGCTGCGGACCTGTGTCGGACTATGCTGCTATTGCTCGGCATTGTTGGCATATTAGCTCGCTCAAAAACTGTTAGGGCCTTTCTTGTGCCCCTCGCTTTCAGGTATACTTGTAACCAGGTGGGTTGTGACAGCCTCCGAATCATGGTGGTCATGGTTGAAAATGCATATTGAAGGGTTTTGGGCTATTACAAGGGTGTGAAATTCAGCATAGCATTTATGGAGGAAAAACAGCCCGCCTCTGGCTGGAGCATGCCAGGATGTTTGTGTTGGCGAAAGAGTGGGCATACCATTCATTCGACTTTATTTGACTTTGCATTACCACACTATGTAACATACATGATTATCTAGTATCTTTCTTTACCCGTGCTCCTATGCACATCCAAACGACTGGCGGCCAATTAGTAGGCTAATAGCCAGGAGCAGTGAGTACCGGTAATCCTATCTTGGCAATTCCGTCACACCCCCTCTGAAGGGATCACGTGTTTGAACCCTAGTCATGACTTGAACCAGCTATAGCGGCGTGTGCTATGGCTATGACGGCGCGTGCCTTAATTGCATACGCCAACTGACCAAAACGATTTGCAGGCTATAAATTGTACGATATCCTAAGTTGCTGCCCGGTGGTAAAGGACACACAGTCAGCAACGGTCCATACATCATGTGGACACCATAGTTGCTGCGCTGAAGTTGCTGCAACAACGTGAGCTGGCAAGTGAACGATGACACGCTATCTTACGTTGCGTATGAGCCAAATTGGACATGGGCCTACTTGGTTCACAACTCATGAGTCCACGTCGTACGGAACGATAGATTAATCCTAATCAAGATCCAGGGCTTTCGCAAGGTATAACGGAAATTTCATGTTAATTTCATCCGTCCCCACAGCCAAGGCATACTTAGGGACATACCTTTGCTCGAGTGTCCGCTTGAGCGCCTCGCGCTTGGCAATACCGTTGGGATATGAGTTCCTGGAATCATTCTTGGTCTCGCCACTTGGGCGCGTACAGGATGCCACAATGCTTCCAGGAAGCCATTTGATGGTGCCCCTGCCGAGCTAAATAGCGCGCTGGAAAGTGGAAGCCCTTTCTAACGACTGCGAAGCACCACTGCGACCAAGATTTGTTGGGTACGCGCGTATAATATAGAATAAGACCGATAACACACGTACGCTTACTGTCCTGCGACAATATAACCTGGCAAAGTACAGATTTATATAAGCGGCCGAATTGCCAGCCAGTGTAATCTCTGCATCCTAATGCTTACCAAACATCATAAAGCGTGACTTGCGCTTTTCCAGGAGAAACACTTGGCGCCTAATAGTAAAACTTCTCATACCTTTAAACCTGGGTCGTCCAAGGTTTCTCTGCAGGATGCTTGCTCGTCACTCTCCCGCCACTTACAAGCGCCGCCTGTATCACCTGTGGACGGAAGCTACATAACGCTTCCGTGCGACAAATGGTTCACACACAACAGACGGCCTCGCTTGCGCTTGCTTACCAGTGGCCTATGCTAGCGCCATTTCGTTAGCATCGGACCAAAGCAGAATGAGGATTATGGAAGAATCTGTAGAGAGTAATGTAGTATGAAATCGAGACTAGACCCTTTTGGCTTTCTAGGGGACGAGTACGTTTGCGCTACTAGAGATAATCGTAGCGGAAATTGGTTGTGGTCCCGGAGCTGGAAACCGGCTCATCTTAGGTCCTTCTGAAAATTTTACTGTTAGTAGAGCCTTCCGTGTTACACACTTTACACTGTCCACAGCTCTTGCTGGAGGCTAAGTTCTGGGCTTTATTTCCCATTTTGGTGGCGTGGCTAAGTTAGCGAACCGACGAGTGCCCCAAAATGCAACACGGAACTAAACGTTGCTTACATCAACACAGTGGAACGACGCCGCAACTAATGCGGACGGTGCTTTGCCCAGCACCTTTCAGACCACAACCCCACGTCCCTGTCCAAAAGCGTTGTACTTTACGTTCCGCAGCACATCACGTAGATTCATTTGCTACAGTGGAAGTGGGTGGACTCACGGCGTCTACCCCTCTGGATGAATTGGAGGCTTCGGCGTTTTGCGGCATGGAGGGTAAGGTGCAACACCGAGGCGAACATGAAACGCTGTTGTAATCTCTTCACCGAAGGCTGACAATTGAGTATTACCAATTGGGCTACGGCGACGCATGCTGCCTCCCGGGGGACCATGGGCAGTTGGCACGCGTAGTAGCTTGCCTAGCGTCGCTGACCGAAACTTCGCATTTCCTGCTCGTGGCATATGCTCAGATCCCACAGCAGTGCGATCACTCACCCTGACAAGGAACTGTTCTTGCAGTCTTCAGGCACACGCCCCCATGCTGCCCGCGTTATCCTTCCACTGCTGAACTTTGGCCCCGCTCCTGCATCTCATTGCATCTGCTATGGGACGGCCCCATTCCACAGGCCAAGTGCTGACACGTAAGGCCCCGGAGGGCATCCCCAAGAACGGCAAGAAGTACTATATTCATACCTTTGGCTGCCAGGTGGGGTCTGCGGCAGAGGCTTTGTCTGCACATGAGAAGAGAGCCAGGAAACCTTGAGGTTGCTTGAGAGTTTCATCCTATTAAGATGGCACACGGCAGCCTCTCTGCACATAGCTGCTTCCCTACCTGTTCGCTGCCTCCTCGTACTCCTTTTTCACGCCTCTCCCACTGGCCCCGCTGCGTCCTCTCCTTCCCTGCACATCGCCCGTCTGCCTCGATTGCCGCTGGCCCCCGCTGCTGCTCGCTGCATCTCCACATCCTCCCCTCCACACCTGCCCATCACCCTAACTACCGACACACGCTTGGCAAAACAGAGTTGGTAACCACATACACCCTTCCCCCTCCTCCTTGACCCACTTCCAGCCTTAACCCCCTGTCTGACTCCTGCCCCCACTCCTCAGATGAACCTGGCGGACAGTGAGCGCATGGCGGGCGCCCTGGAGTCGGCGGGCTACGAATGCAGCCCGCAGGCTGACGAGGCGGATGTGCTGGTCTACAACACCTGCTCCATCCGCGACAAGGCGGAGCAGAAGGTGTACTCGGCGCTGGGGAAGCAGGTGGGCGGGTAATGGTGGGGGCAGGTGGCGGGCGGGTGGTGGGTGGGTGGGTCTGGTGGGGACAAGGGAAGCAGGTGGGCGGGTGGCGGGGCGGATGGTGGTTTAGGTGGTGTGCAAGTAGGAATTTACCGTAGCTACGGCACGGTATCTGCCCCCAGGCCACACGTCCAAGGGGCCAGATCGCTCCTTTAGCTGTGTGTTGTTGCCGCCCCAATCCCCTCATCATCCTCCGCACGGCTGGTCCGCCTGCGTCCCCCGCTGCGTGCCTGCCTGCGTGCTCCCCCAGGCCAAACGCAAGCGGGCGCGAGTGGGCGACCTGAAGATCGTGGTGGCGGGGTGTGTGGCGCAGCAGGAGGGGCAGGCGCTGCTGCGGAGGGTTCCGGAGCTGGATATCGTGATGGGTGAGTGAGTGCACAGTCCAGGGTGGCCGAGTACGTAGACACACAGCTGCGAGGTGGGGGAAGGGCTTGGCTGAGCTGACCCATGGGTCGTCACGTGGAGTGGCGGCACACGTGCACGCGACCATGCGCCCACGACACGTGCTCACGGCGATTGGCTCAGGACAGCCTTCCTGACCGTTACCCCTCTCCTCCTACCCCGGAAACATCACCCGCTCACCCCTCTCCTCCTCCTCCTCCTCCTCCTCCTCCTCCTCCTGCTGCTGCTGCCGCCGTTGTAGGTCCCCAGTTCGCCAACCGCATCCCCGACCTGCTGGAGCAGGCCTCCGACGCGCAGGTGTGCGCAACCGAGCAGGTGAGCAGCGGTTGGGGTTGGGATTCAGTACCGGTACAGGGGAGGCGGCGGGGATGAAAGAGAAGGATACCATGTTGTAAAGGACAGTGGGTATCCGTAGTTGGCGTGGAAGGCGGCGTATGAAGATTTTCTTGTCCCATCTGTTCTCAAACTAAAAGCTGGAAGACACAAAGCTTCTCGTCAACGACCCACGGATAAGTAATTATGCAACCAGCCCCGCCAACCATCCTAACCTCCCAACCAAACAGGTGGCCGTGGAGGAGGACATTGCGACACCCCGTCGCGAGTCAAACATAACCGCCTGGGTCAACGTGATCTACGGTTGCAACGAAAAGTGTTCGTACTGCGTGGTGCCGTACACTCGGGGAGCGGAGCAGAGTCGCCGACCGGAGGACATTCGCCGGGAAATGCTGGCAGTGGGGGAGGCGGGGTACAAGGAAGTAACGCTGCTGGGTCAAAACATCGATGCGTACGGCAGGTGAGGAGGAATTGTACGACATGATTGCGTACGACTGCGTACGACAGTTGACGTGAGCTGATCTTGTCACCCCACTCACACGGCATTCATGGTGATGGCATGGCGGGATGTGGGTGGTGTTGGCAGCATGAGCGGAGGGTGTGCGCTGCCTTGCCATGCGCCCCCATGCCGTTCTGTACTCAACACCCATCCCCCCAACCTTCAGCCCTCCTCATCCTGCCGCCTCCCCCATACACGCACCCCCATGCATGCACCATCGCCACGTGCAGGGACCTGCCGGGCCTGGCTTCCGACGCCAGCGGCCGCCGCGCCTGGACCTTCACCGACCTGCTCCGCTACGTGCACGACGTACCCGGGGTGGAGCGAATCCGCTTCGCCACCTCCCACCCGCGCTACTTCACAGGTGAGAGGGACGGCAGACGGGGACGTATCAATACTGGTAAGCAATAAGACCTAAACTCCGTGGCACGCACTCCGTTCCTCCCCACACGCCCGCTTCCCGCACCTACGACCAACGGATGTGTGGTCATTCTCTTTCTACCACCCAAATCCACCTCTTCTGCCCCCTGTCTACCCTTCCAGACCGGCTAGTTCGCGCCTGCTCCGAGCTGCCCAAGCTCTGCGAGTTCTTCCACATCCCCTTCCAGGTGCGTATGTACGACTGTACGCTGCCGTACGTGTATGAATGGGCTGCGGACTGCGCTTCCGGCGCTGCACCCTGCACCGTACGTCTTCTTTCTTCCGGGAATCGTTTCGTTTTCTTCCGGTATGCGGTGTTCAGTGCTAGGCTTTACCCGTATGACGTTCCATTGCATTGAGTACCGGTTACCCCACACACATTACGCCCCTTCCTACCTTCCTTCTCTTCCCTCCTCCATCTCCGTTATCTCTCCTTCACCTCCTCCACCTCTTCCCTCCTCCCAACTACCGCCCGCAGTCGGGTGACAACGCGGTGCTCCGTGCCATGCTGCGCGGCTACACCGCCGAGCGCTACCGGGCCATCATCGACAACATCCGGAGGCACATGCCGGACGCCAGCATCAGCGGGGATGCCATCGTGGGATTTCCAGGTACGAGGAGGGGGTGCAGGGGGCAGGGGGAAGGGGAGGGGCAGAGGAGGGCAGTCGGGGTCCGGTTTTCGTTGTGGTGGGTTGAATGAAGGCAAGGTAACCAGCCACTCTCCCAAGTTACTGTCCTCACTGCTGCCCTCCTCTCGCTTAATACCGGTAGGGCCATTTTAACCGCAGATTGCCACTATCGTTAAAGGCACGGTATTTTACCTCCTCTCCCTAACCTGTGGATTCCTATGGTTTGTCTATATTTGATCCCCTACATCCTCCAGGTGAGACGGAGGAGCAGTACCTCGCCACGGAGAGGCTGGTGCGGGAGGTGGGCTTCGACCGAGTCAACACCGCCGCCTACTCGCCGCGACCCAACACGCCGGCAGCCGAGTGGCCGGACCAGGTGGCGGACCTGGTGAAGCAAGACAGGCTCAACAGGTGGGGGGGGAGGGGCTGGGGCAAGGGAAGGGTGAGGAGGGGGAGAGAGGAGGGAGGGTGACCCATGGGTCACTGCGGTAGGTTAACCCGTCCCAATCTGTACTTCAGTGAATCCGGCTAGTAGGACCCAGTTGAACATTATCCTCCCCCATGAGCTGTTTTCCCCTCTTAACCTTCATCATAATAGAGTCGCGGCCATATTTTCCATTTTCCTCGCGGCTCAGTTTAAGAGAGCTAATCTCCTTAAAACCCCATCCCCCCTTATACCAGGCTCAACAAAGTGGTCATGGAGGTGGCCACGGAGCGAGCCCAGCGCTTTCGAAACCGAACCCTGGAGGTGCTGGTTGAGGGGCCCAACCCCAAGAACCCCGCTCAGGCCTTTGGCCGCATCCGCCACAACAAGCTGGTCTACTTTGACGGGGACGGTACGGCACTGCGCGGGCAGCTGGTGATGGTGCATGTGCAGGAGTGCAATGCGTTCAGTCTGTTCGGGCGCATGACGGAAGTGGTGGGCAGTCGGGCGACGCGGCCGGGAGAGGGGCTGGGTGCGGTGGTGGTGGGAGGAGGGGCTGTGGAGGACGTAGGGGAGGCGGCGCGTATGGCGGCGGCGGTAGTGTAGGGGTTTGCCGAGTGGCCGAAGGACACGCAAGGAGGCTGATGTGGATTGAGGATGAGGAGGTGGTTTGTTCCAAGAGAGCGCTAGGTGGTTGGTCAGTGGAGGTGGTTACTTGACCGCTTACTACCGGTAGGTCGACAAGATTGCACGACGTGGACGTGAATTGGAAGTTTCCATTGGCTCTGCTTCAAAAGTAACCAACCGACTACAATCATAATATGTTCGTGTCGCTGACCCTTGTGAGACTGCGAATTGTTGACTAGGTGCGCTAGGACGCGGATTCAAATTCTCTATGACCGTAGCTGCCGTATACGGCCGTAGCTGTTTCCTTGACTCTTTCTACCGTAACACTCCTTGCTATGTGCCTCTAGAGTGCAGCAAGAACCCTTGTTCGGCAGTTTTATTGTCCTCGCCTTCTACCAGTGACTACGTAGGACGAGGTTGCCTGCAGATTACCGGTATGTGCATGCGTTGGGGCATATTGACCCTTGGGTGTGTGCTTACACGGAGCCGTGAGGACAGACCGACTGTTGTGTTACATAGCTGGTTTGGGGGGGGGTGTTGACCCAGATGTCCGCATTCAAAAGAAGCCAAGCACTCACGAGCCCACATACGCTCAATGGCATGGCGGATGCAATGCTGGTTAACTCAATGTAAGAGCACTTCCGTCCGGATGTGGGGTTAAACGCTTTCCTGTGTCATCTTGGAACAAAGATGAGGAGACTGCTGGGCATGTCTTCACCGTATCTCTGTTCGTCGCCTAACCATTCGTTGTCGAATCAGACATTGCAGGTCACCCTGCACAAACCGCTGACCCACCCTCCTCACTGGCCCTTCCTGAAGTCCGATGCGTGCCCCACACGTACACTGCACAGTCGCAAGAAATGTATGTTATAATGCCGTACCGGGTCGTTATTCAGGTCATTATTACTTTCTAGCTATGTTATGGAGCTCACATGGTTGCAACAAGAGTTCAGGCAGCAAGCTACCGGTAGCAGGATAGGCACCACATCACCGTAGCAGACACATCCACCTAACCCCCAAGCTTCCCCCCTCGCGGCTCAACTTCCTCATGATGCCACAGTGCCGTGAGTAATGAAACGCACACCAGCGCACAACTTCGCCACTGCCTCCTCCTGCCCTCCACCAGGCAACACACAAGCAGTAGCCCATGGCAACCGCATTAGCGATCCCGCAGCAATCCAAGCAGCCATGTAACCGGTCGGTTGATCGGCCTCACATGGCTCTAGGCGCTTTGGAAGGCCGAGCCTCGATTTCCCCTCCGCTCCACCTCTCCCCCTGCGGCCAGGAACCTGCGGCGGGAAAGTCCCAAACCCCCGGGGAGAGAGGGAGGGAGAAGGGATGTAAGGCGGCGATAGTGGGTGCACAATCCATGGACACGTGACGTTGGAGGCGAGGAGAGTTGACACCAGCGGAAGGTCAAAGCGTAAGGCACATGCTGTGTTGTTCGAGCTAGGCCACACGGTGTGGCATAACGGCTTGGGAGCTCTGATCGCACTTAATACGTCTGTTAATGACATGTCAGTGGGGTGGGAGCTTCCCTGGTAAGCGGCAGACCATGACACAACAACCTAAGGAAACACCTGTTAAGCGGCAGCTTTCGACTACAACACCACCACCAAAACAAAACAAGAACAGCAAAACATACCAAAAAAGAAGAAACGTAACCCGTCTTGTCAGCGCTTTGTATCCACATTAAAGCTGTAATCCAGACATAGTAGCAATCAGCAAGCTAGCTGGCGGGTCCGACGTGGGTTATTGAACAAAGCATCCCACAGATGCTGTTCGTAGCGAGTTATGTACCTTACCAACCCTCCACCTCATATTCCGAGGTACACATACCGCCGGCCTGCAATACCCCCGTGTATCGGAAACATTCGTGAGCGGGAAACACACAAACGCCACGTCCATAATGCCACGGAACTGTCCAGTCCAGTGGAACAGGAACAGTCATGCATAACCTTCGTAAGTTCTTCAGTTGGGTTTGGTTCGGTTCAGTGTTAAGTCACGCTTGCCTACCTCAAAACGCTTACTCAATTGGCAAGCAGAAGCTCTCTTCCCAACTCTCGGATTCGCCTGGCATCCAATCTGAACCGCCTCCTGCCACAGCCGGAACACAAGGAGACCCATCAGACCCATGGGTCTATCTGCATGCCCTCCATGATGGCCAATGACCAAATTGCAAGCATTGCTGGATGAGTAATCACATGACCCTCTTAACGCTTCAAAGTCCTCGTAGGAATACACTACTATAGGCCCTGGCCCAAGCCCACCACCAAAACAGCACTATCCTGTTCCGTGTATTGAGCTAGACGCTACCGGCCTCCGGTGCCGGAGTCGCCACTACTAGTGACAACGAGTGACTGCCGCTGCCCTTTGCAGCCACAGACGTCACACCAAACCGTTCGGGTCATGAAGCCTCATGACAGCATTAGACGTCATACTGCCATGGAAAGCGTCGCTTCCCCTCTTCCCTCGTTAAACCTCTCACACAACAGCCGACCGAGCGCTCTTCCTACTCGCCGCACCACCCATCCGACCCATCAGACGATGCACCAGTCCTCCACCACCGCCACCACCGTACACACTCCCACCACTAATACTCACAATGTTACCAACACTACCCCTACCGTACCACAAAGGCAGCAAGCAATAGCACCTGCCGTAGTACGACGACAGCCGAATGCCGTACCTGTATGCAAGCGCTCCGACTCCTGCCAGACTTGCTAGCGCTAGAGCGGCTGCGAAGAGCGCACCGCCCGGGCCGCCGCTTCCGACCCAGATCCCAGACTTGGCGGGTTCCGCCACCACTGCCACCCGGTCCTCGCCATCCGCTGGCTCTGCCTTGTCGCTAGATGCACCTCCGCCGCTGCTGCTGCTGGTTTGTTTTCCACTCTGCGTGCCTTGCATGCGCTGCTGCGTTGCGTCCTGCTGAGCGGCTGTTGAAGTGCTCGTTGCTTGCCCACCCTCGACCCGGCTGCGGCTGCTGCTGCGGCTGCCCGTGGCGCCACCATTGCCAATGATGGGGCCGGTTTTGTTGTCGAGAGTGGGCAGCACGTTTCCCTGATGCTTCAGCTCAGCCGGCTTCTCTATAACCGGTACTACTCCTCCTGCTGCCGCTTTGCTTGCTGCCGCTGCTGCTGCCTGTGCTTCTGTTGACGGCACCGGCGTCTCTCCTGCGCCCCCTGTACCGCTACTGGCGTTGTTCCCTTCCTCGGCTGCTGCGGTTGCTGCTGCCAGTCCGGCCCATGCGGGCTCGTCCTTGAGTGCCGGGTGCGAGGGGGCCAGCTCGATCAGCCGCATAAGCGCCCGCAACCAGCGCTGGAGGACCGCCTGGTGAGGGGACAAGGTCCAGAAGAAGCGGGAGGGCAGGAGGAGGAGGCTTGCAGGGAAGGGAGAGAGAAGGTAGCAAGGAAGAGGGCAAAGGCAGACAGCGCGAAGTGGTACCAGCCTGCCAACGCGGCCCCGCCCACAGCCCACCTGCACCCCCTCCTCATCCAGCGGGTTGAACATGCGGAAGCAGTCGTCAAAGGGCGCGGAGAAGTCGCCGTAGATCTCCCACGTGAAGGGCAGCGGCACGTGCAGCCCCGCCCACATGTAGTCGGTGGCGGTGCCGTGAGCCAAGTAGCTGGGGGGAGGCAGGGGGAGGGATCGGAGGGGGGAGGGAGAGGATTGGGAAGGAGCGGGGAGAGGGAAGAGGGAAAAGGCGGAAGATGGGGAGGGGTTAGGGACGGGGCTCCACACGTCGTCTACTCGTCTTACCCCACCGTCTTGCCTCCCGAGCCCACCACACAGCTCGTGTTGGCCATCACATCCGCCTGGATGCGCTGGAGGATGGCCAGCGCGTCACCCGCGCCCTCGGGGACCTGGGGGAGAGGGGAGAGGAGGAGGGTTGCGGTGTGGGTAGGGGCCGGGGAGGAAGAGGTGTGGACCTGCTGCCCAGAGGCTCAAGGATTCAGCCCAACAGCTCTGGAGCCCGCCAGCCCCCCGGCAGACTCACATCCGCCCGGTGGTCCCAGGGCACGAACATGGCCTCCATGCCGCTGTGGATGTTGACCCAGATCTTGGGCGCGAACTCGGTGGCCAGCTGGGACAGCAGCTTCACCTCGGGCTCGCTGAGGGGGCCAGGAGAAGGGCAGGAGAGGGTGAGAAGCATGTGCGGGGGAATGAAGGAGAGAAGGGAAGAAGGAGGAGTCAAGGCATGAAGGACCAGCACCAGCACCAGCTCTCGCCTTGCCCCCTACCTGAAGGGCCCAGTCCCCGGGTACTCCTCGTGCGGGTCGTAGTCGGGCTCCTTCTTGCCCCAGTCCACCGGCCAGTTGCGGTTGGGGTCCACCCCGCGGCCGTTCTTGCGCTCGCACAGCCGCCCGGACTCAACCAGCGCCCGCCCACCCTCGTTCTCTAGCGGCAGCACCTAAGAGGGGGCGGGTTTGAAGGATAGGAATGGGTGGGGCAACACGTGCCGTGCCTGGCTGTGCCGTATGCCGGCTGCCGTACCTTGATAACGGTTCCCTCCAGCAGCTTCTGCAGCTGCTGACCCCGCTGGGGCTCCTCGGGATAGACGCCCGCCACACCCCTGCTGCCTCCTCCACCTGCTGCTGCTGCTCCCGCCTGCCCCTGAGCCTGCTCCGCGCCTTCGGCTAGGGTTTGCAGCAGCAACAGACCCAGCTCCGAGCTAATGAACTCACGTCCGTGCTCTCCAAAGTCCTGCGAGGATGACATCGTGTGCGAAGGTTGAAGTTAGGAAGCTGGTTACCCGTGCATGGCGGCCCTGGGTGTGCTGAAGTAACGCCGAAGCAGATACAGCTTTTGAAAGGTGGGTGAAGACATAACCCATACGCGCAACCATGGGATTGCTCTCACCAGCAGGACATGCACTTTCTCCTGCTGCCGGTTCGAGAAACCCCCTGGCTCAATAGTGACCACCTGTGGCCAAAGGAATGAAGAAGGGAGAGTTGAAAGGAAGTGCCACGGCTATAACGAATACTCCACACCCTGAAGGCACAATCACTCAGTCCAAAGCTGTCAGCCGTCGGGTTACCTTCAATTCCGCTTTGTAATCGCCATCATTTGCAGATAGGACCTCCAACTACGATGGGTAAAAGATAAAAGAGGATTGTTGTGGGATGCTGTGGTCCTTGGCTACTCGACGAAGCTCGATAGTCACTCATGGAACCATGAGTCTACGATCGTCTTAATTTTATAAGCATTTACCTTCATAAAATTTGGGTTCGCCTTTACAATCGCGTCCACCTTCCGCAAAAGTTCAAATTGCCGATGGTAAATGGTGTAGTTGGGCGAGTGAACATTGTTACTCCGTGAAAAAGCTGCCAAGCGCCGCCTCAAGCAGTGCGCAGGTTCTGCTAGTAAAAGCAACGGCAAAAGCAACGCTGCACATCGCAAAGGACCCATGTTCCTGGTGCTTCCCGCCAGCACAAGGTAAGCAATCACTAGGTTGTATAGTTATCTCTTGTTCCGATCATTTGCTCATCGTGGTAGGATAAGAAGGCAGCCTTCTAGGAGAACACCGTTACACTGTCTTTGAGCAAGGATCCTACAGCTAACCATCTGACGATCGCCATACAGGTTGATATTTAAAAAAGAAGAAACGTAACCCGTCTTGTCAGCGCTTTGTATCCACATTAAAGCTGTAATCCAGACATAGTAGCAATCAGCAAGCTAGCTGGCGGGTCCGACGTGGGTTATTGAACAAAGCATCCCACAGATGCTGTTCGTAGCGAGTTATGTACCTTACCAACCCTCCACCTCATATTCCGAGGTACACATACCGCCGGCCTGCAATACCCCCGTGTATCGGAAACATTCGTGAGCGGGAAACACACAAACGCCACGTCCATAATGCCACGGAACTGTCCAGTCCAGTGGAACAGGAACAGTCATGCATAACCTTCGTAAGTTCTTCAGTTGGGTTTGGTTCGGTTCAGTGTTAAGTCACGCTTGCCTACCTCAAAACGCTTACTCAATTGGCAAGCAGAAGCTCTCTTCCCAACTCTCGGATTCGCCTGGCATCCAATCTGAACCGCCTCCTGCCACAGCCGGAACACAAGGAGACCCATCAGACCCATGGGTCTATCTGCATGCCCTCCATGATGGCCAATGACCAAATTGCAAGCATTGCTGGATGAGTAATCACATGACCCTCTTAACGCTTCAAAGTCCTCGTAGGAATACACTACTATAGGCCCTGGCCCAAGCCCACCACCAAAACAGCACTATCCTGTTCCGTGTATTGAGCTAGACGCTACCGGCCTCCGGTGCCGGAGTCGCCACTACTAGTGACAACGAGTGACTGCCGCTGCCCTTTGCAGCCACAGACGTCACACCAAACCGTTCGGGTCATGAAGCCTCATGACAGCATTAGACGTCATACTGCCATGGAAAGCGTCGCTTCCCCTCTTCCCTCGTTAAACCTCTCACACAACAGCCGACCGAGCGCTCTTCCTACTCGCCGCACCACCCATCCGACCCATCAGACGATGCACCAGTCCTCCACCACCGCCACCACCGTACACACTCCCACCACTAATACTCACAATGTTACCAACACTACCCCTACCGTACCACAAAGGCAGCAAGCAATAGCACCTGCCGTAGTACGACGACAGCCGAATGCCGTACCTGTATGCAAGCGCTCCGACTCCTGCCAGACTTGCTAGCGCTAGAGCGGCTGCGAAGAGCGCACCGCCCGGGCCGCCGCTTCCGACCCAGATCCCAGACTTGGCGGGTTCCGCCACCACTGCCACCCGGTCCTCGCCATCCGCTGGCTCTGCCTTGTCGCTAGATGCACCTCCGCCGCTGCTGCTGCTGGTTTGTTTTCCACTCTGCGTGCCTTGCATGCGCTGCTGCGTTGCGTCCTGCTGAGCGGCTGTTGAAGTGCTCGTTGCTTGCCCACCCTCGACCCGGCTGCGGCTGCTGCTGCGGCTGCCCGTGGCGCCACCATTGCCAATGATGGGGCCGGTTTTGTTGTCGAGAGTGGGCAGCACGTTTCCCTGATGCTTCAGCTCAGCCGGCTTCTCTATAACCGGTACTACTCCTCCTGCTGCCGCTTTGCTTGCTGCCGCTGCTGCTGCCTGTGCTTCTGTTGACGGCACCGGCGTCTCTCCTGCGCCCCCTGTACCGCTACTGGCGTTGTTCCCTTCCTCGGCTGCTGCGGTTGCTGCTGCCAGTCCGGCCCATGCGGGCTCGTCCTTGAGTGCCGGGTGCGAGGGGGCCAGCTCGATCAGCCGCATAAGCGCCCGCAACCAGCGCTGGAGGACCGCCTGGTGAGGGGACAAGGTCCAGAAGAAGCGGGAGGGCAGGAGGAGGAGGCTTGCAGGGAAGGGAGAGAGAAGGTAGCAAGGAAGAGGGCAAAGGCAGACAGCGCGAAGTGGTACCAGCCTGCCAACGCGGCCCCGCCCACAGCCCACCTGCACCCCCTCCTCATCCAGCGGGTTGAACATGCGGAAGCAGTCGTCAAAGGGCGCGGAGAAGTCGCCGTAGATCTCCCACGTGAAGGGCAGCGGCACGTGCAGCCCCGCCCACATGTAGTCGGTGGCGGTGCCGTGAGCCAAGTAGCTGGGGGGAGGCAGGGGGAGGGATCGGAGGGGGGAGGGAGAGGATTGGGAAGGAGCGGGGAGAGGGAAGAGGGAAAAGGCGGAAGATGGGGAGGGGTTAGGGACGGGGCTCCACACGTCGTCTACTCGTCTTACCCCACCGTCTTGCCTCCCGAGCCCACCACACAGCTCGTGTTGGCCATCACATCCGCCTGGATGCGCTGGAGGATGGCCAGCGCGTCACCCGCGCCCTCGGGGACCTGGGGGAGAGGGGAGAGGAGGAGGGTTGCGGTGTGGGTAGGGGCCGGGGAGGAAGAGGTGTGGACCTGCTGCCCAGAGGCTCAAGGATTCAGCCCAACAGCTCTGGAGCCCGCCAGCCCCCCGGCAGACTCACATCCGCCCGGTGGTCCCAGGGCACGAACATGGCCTCCATGCCGCTGTGGATGTTGACCCAGATCTTGGGCGCGAACTCGGTGGCCAGCTGGGACAGCAGCTTCACCTCGGGCTCGCTGAGGGGGCCAGGAGAAGGGCAGGAGAGGGTGAGAAGCATGTGCGGGGGAATGAAGGAGAGAAGGGAAGAAGGAGGAGTCAAGGCATGAAGGACCAGCACCAGCACCAGCTCTCGCCTTGCCCCCTACCTGAAGGGCCCAGTCCCCGGGTACTCCTCGTGCGGGTCGTAGTCGGGCTCCTTCTTGCCCCAGTCCACCGGCCAGTTGCGGTTGGGGTCCACCCCGCGGCCGTTCTTGCGCTCGCACAGCCGCCCGGACTCAACCAGCGCCCGCCCACCCTCGTTCTCTAGCGGCAGCACCTAAGAGGGGGCGGGTTTGAAGGATAGGAATGGGTGGGGCAACACGTGCCGTGCCTGGCTGTGCCGTATGCCGGCTGCCGTACCTTGATAACGGTTCCCTCCAGCAGCTTCTGCAGCTGCTGACCCCGCTGGGGCTCCTCGGGATAGACGCCCGCCACACCCCTGCTGCCTCCTCCACCTGCTGCTGCTGCTCCCGCCTGCCCCTGAGCCTGCTCCGCGCCTTCGGCTAGGGTTTGCAGCAGCAACAGACCCAGCTCCGAGCTAATGAACTCACGTCCGTGCTCTCCAAAGTCCTGCGAGGATGACATCGTGTGCGAAGGTTGAAGTTAGGAAGCTGGTTACCCGTGCATGGCGGCCCTGGGTGTGCTGAAGTAACGCCGAAGCAGATACAGCTTTTGAAAGGTGGGTGAAGACATAACCCATACGCGCAACCATGGGATTGCTCTCACCAGCAGGACATGCACTTTCTCCTGCTGCCGGTTCGAGAAACCCCCTGGCTCAATAGTGACCACCTGTGGCCAAAGGAATGAAGAAGGGAGAGTTGAAAGGAAGTGCCACGGCTATAACGAATACTCCACACCCTGAAGGCACAATCACTCAGTCCAAAGCTGTCAGCCGTCGGGTTACCTTCAATTCCGCTTTGTAATCGCCATCATTTGCAGATAGGACCTCCAACTACGATGGGTAAAAGATAAAAGAGGATTGTTGTGGGATGCTGTGGTCCTTGGCTACTCGACGAAGCTCGATAGTCACTCATGGAACCATGAGTCTACGATCGTCTTAATTTTATAAGCATTTACCTTCATAAAATTTGGGTTCGCCTTTACAATCGCGTCCACCTTCCGCAAAAGTTCAAATTGCCGATGGTAAATGGTGTAGTTGGGCGAGTGAACATTGTTACTCCGTGAAAAAGCTGCCAAGCGCCGCCTCAAGCAGTGCGCAGGTTCTGCTAGTAAAAGCAACGGCAAAAGCAACGCTGCACATCGCAAAGGACCCATGTTCCTGGTGCTTCCCGCCAGCACAAGGTAAGCAATCACTAGGTTGTATAGTTATCTCTTGTTCCGATCATTTGCTCATCGTGGTAGGATAAGAAGGCAGCCTTCTAGGAGAACACCGTTACACTGTCTTTGAGCAAGGATCCTACAGCTAACCATCTGACGATCGCCATACAGGTTGATATTTGGAACATCCTTATGCAAGGCCGCTTGTGCGATGGTTATCATGTTCACTTGGGCACTATTTCGTAGCTGTACGACACTGAAGCATTACGAATCCTATGGTTGGGCAATGTTGCAGCAAAGGTTCTATACATAATATTTGTTTGCTAGATCTGTACAACTTGATACCTATTCAACGGCAAGGATGCTGCAAGCAAACTGTTGAAAGACACACATAATGCTTTCCTGTTTCTCCACACGCCTTCAAAACACATTGTGTAGTAACCATATCCCCAGGGTATGTCGTCCTAACATATCCCTGACTGTATCTTTCGCGTCGTCTTTGGTAATCCTGCCATGCTTTCACCGCTTCAGGCACCTGTAAGGAGAATCCTTGTACAACGACGACTTATGGGGTCGGCTATTGATGCCGCTGCTGCTGGTGACCCGAATAACGCCTACATTGACAGAACCTTGACGGTGCATGGAGCGCAAGAGGGCTCCCTGAAGGGGCTCAAATTTGCGGCCAAAGACCTCTTCGATGTAAGCTTTGCACCTAAAGACCAGGTTTCATTAGCACAACGTGTCGAGGAGACGCTTGGGATGGCGAGGGGAAATGCGCAGCAAACAAGTGTGCCTGCCTTGTGTCAATCTCATGTGCTATGGCAAGCAAGGAAGCAGTTGATGCATAGCCACTGAAGCCCATATTAGGTCTGCCACATTTACCGCATGTTACAAACCCAGCAAGCAAAGTCAAGGAGAGCCTCAGGTAACTGCTTCCCTTGTATCAATCCCATCCCAAATGCTTCCACCTCCTTGTCAGTGCAGGTCGCGGGGCATCGCACCGGTTTCGGCAATCCCGTTTGGTTAGACACTCATCCGCCTGCCACGCGCACAGCCCCTGCAGTACAGGTACCGCTAGCCCTCCGTACCGTGCTCGTGTCTTGTTGTATGACGGATCAATGTCATGGCAGTGTGCTGTAACCTGTAGCTACTATCGTCAGTCGCTCGCATATTGCACATGCTACCATGAAACGCCCAGGATAGCCCGGAGCCTGTTCTGTTCCATCGCCGCAAGCTTAGTTCATATTTCACGCTTTGGTCCTCTGTTCCCGTCACCTTCTTTCTCCTCGTTCCCCATGCAACCCACACCGTAAGACCCTCTTAGATGCGGGCGCCACCTTGTACGGCAAGACCCACATGGACGAGCTGGCGTACAGTCTGAACGGGGAAAACGCGCACTACGGCACGCCGGTCAACCCTGCAGCGCCGGGGCGCATTCCTGGTGGCTCGTCATCTGGGTCGGCTGTAAGTTGTACGACATGCACCATGCCGTATTCAGATATTCTTGTAGGGTAGCATCACAACATGCCACTGAGCATGCATGACCTCTTCACCACATGGTCCCAATCAAACGCTGCGTCTGTATACTGATAACCACCTCGCCATGGAAACCAAACGCCCCGGCAGGTGGCGGTCGCGGCTGGTGACGTGCCGCTAGCTCTGGGCAGCGACACGGGCGGCTCCGTACGGGTGCCTGCGTCGTACTGCGGACTGCTGGGCATACGGCCCACCTGGGGGCGCATCAGCCTGGAGGGGCTGAGGCCGCTGGCGCCCTCCTTTGACACCGTTGGATGGTGAGCAGGAACCGGAGGTGTTGAGGGGAGTGATGGGGTAGTTGGCGAGTAAGGTTGGTTAGCTAGTGCGTGTAAACGCGATGGCTTGTTTGAAGAGGTATGCATGGAAGCCGTTTGCCATGGCTGACCCAGGGTGACCCTGGCTGACCTTTCGATGTTTGGGTCGAATCCAACTATGCTCTGCTGGCCTCCCTTCCGTCGCTCAGGTTTGCCAAAGATCCGGGGGTGCTAAGGGCGGTAGGCGCAGTGCTGCTCGACCCGGCGACCCGTGGCTCACCCCTCACCTCCCTCCGCCGCTGCATGGTGGCTCGGGACGCCTTCGCGCTGGCGGAGCCCGCCACGGCTCAGGCGCTTCGAGAGGTCATTTCGGGCCCCTCGAGTACAGTGCCATCTGGGGCTGCTACAGCTGCTGTTGCACACAAGGTGCGCGGCATTGGAAAATCACCGGTACCTCATGACTGTCGCACTGCTTGAACGCACTAGGACAACCTGCTCCCCACACCCTGCCCTATCTACATACCTCGCCTTTCCAATTCACATGCCTGCCGTCTACCTCGCCCCACCTCGCCACCTGCCCAGCTACGAGAACTGCTAGGTGGGGAACCTGTTGAGGTGGATGTGGCTGCTCCGCTGGCCGCACAAGGCCTCGGAGCACTCACGGACTGGGTGGCGGTGTTCCGAGTATGCCAAGTAGGTATCCTTGCAGCTCATGAATGTAGTCTTACTACACTTTCGAAACGACGGTGATGCCATGAGATACCTTCCTTGTGGAGTCGCTACTTCCTGCCTTGCAACGTGTGATGATTGGGTTGTTCGAGGCTTGATGCATGCTGCTGCTGCTGACTTGTCTTCGGCGTTGTCTTCATGGCGAGCAGGCTTTCGAGGTGTGGAGCGAACACGGGTCATGGGTGAGCGCCAACGACCCGCGGTTCGGTCCTGGCACCCGCGAGCGTTTCACCATGGCGGCAGCCATCACAAAAGAGGAGGTGCGTGTGTGCAGGGCAGCCTTACGGACTGAGGGAAGACTGGGGCATGGATTGTCTCTAGGCTTTCCCACCCCTTCAGAGTGAAGCACATGTTGATGCACGAGCACGAGCTAGGGAGATTGCAACCACCTATCGCGCTTTACCTTCTATTAGCGTAGTATGACCACCAACCCTCTTCCTGGGGCTGCCGCTCGTCCCTTTACAACCATGCGGCGTAACGCACCGCTTTACCCATGTTGCCCTCTCCACCTACCCACCCTATAGTCTGTAGCGCAGCTCGGCTGTTTACCGTGCCACACACTCGCTCAACATATGGTTAGTTAGGCTCTTCCTCTTCCTACCCACTCAACCCACCCTGCAGCTCTCCTCTTTACCCACCCTCCTCCTCTTCCTACCCACTTCCCCCACCACCACCACCCTGCAGCTGGCCTCTGCGGACGCCCAGCGCTCCCTCATCCGCGCCCACCTGCACTCGCTGCTGGGCTCGGACGGGGTGCTGCTGCTGCCCACCGCACCGGGACCCGCACCGTTCATCAACGCACCGCCGGTAAGGGTTACCATACTAGCGAGTTAGTGAGAGTGGGCTGGCTAGGGTGGTCCCAATGAAGCTAGTAGTCCCTCGTTACCGCTTGCGCCTTGTCTCTGCCACTGCTGCTACGGGCACATGCGCAAGTACACATTCGCGGCGCTTGTTTCCTGTCGCATCTCCTCTCCTGCGCTCCACCCTTCACCCGCCTACCGGTACCTCCCCGGCCCCCCCCTCTCAGGCCCTGGTGGACCAGTGGCGCTCCCGCCTCATCAGCCTCACCTCCCTGGCCGGCCTAGCGGGGCTGCCGCAGCTCACCCTGCCCCTGGCCAGGGTGCGCAGCAGCATGCAGGGAGAGGAGGGGCAGGGCCCGGCGGAGGAGGAGGGGCAGCAGGGGCTGCTGCCGGTGGGTCTGAGCCTGATAGGGCCCCCGGGCAGTGACGAGGCCCTGCTTGAGCTGGCGGAGCAGCTCATGGCGGCATGACAGGCCCTTGGATGACGTGCCTGGACATGCATGGCAGCAGCAGCAAGAAGGACGGCACGGTTAACGGAGCGGAGGGCCATGTGCATTGAGCAGTTGGTGCGCAGTTTACGTATGTACGACGGTGTTGGCAACAGCACCGTTATCTGGGTGTGGTCCAGAGGGTGGTGGCACCGGGAAAGAGTGGCAGCATGGAATCAGCAGCAGTTGTGACCCAGCCCAGTCCCTGATATCTATACCTGGGAGGCTACAGGAAGGTTCTGTGTGGTGGAATACCAGGCTGGAGCACCCTCCCGGGTAGCTATCGCCAGCAGCAGCAGCGGCGGCAGTAGCGTGCTGTGCTGCGTGCATTGGTAACAGCAGTGCGCCTGCTGGGCAGCTCACGGCGGCGGATATCAGCAGAAGTGCATGAGAGGTGGCCTACGTGAGCCGCAACAGGCTTTTAACAGCCACAGCAGCGACATCAGTGGTAGCAGCGACCAGGCAGTAGTGATTAAGGGCTTTCGTTATTAGTGCGACACGTCTGCATGTGTGTGTCGTTGGGGTTGAAGTGTTGATACTGTGGGCGCAGTAAGTTCTGTGCAGTACGGCGTGGATGCGCAAGGATGTAGGACAGCGGTTGCTGCCCTTGCATGCGCGCCGGTAGCGTTGCCATTGTTATTATTGTTGCCCGATAGGCGATCTTATGGCGCGACCGGCTTTGGTAGGTACTCCATTGCCCGGATTGCAGGAGCCATGTTGTTGCGGCAGTCACAGGATTGAGGTTGGCTATAAGCCCGGTTGGCAACGGCTCGGATCGGTACAGCAGTCACTCATCATATACTAAACGGTCTCAGCCGGTGGCAACAACCTTAAGAGCTTGGCGCCGTTGTTGGCACTCGGTAGTTTCTTCCCGACGCCCCGCAGCTGCACGAGCACCGCCCGGGCGTGGAGGAGGTCTTCTTCGTCAAGTGCGTGCAGAACAGCAGCAACGGAAAGCTCAACTTCGTGGTGGAGGGATTTTGTGTACCGGTACTGCAAGGGCAAGCTCATTGACGCAGGCATGCAGCTGGCGAAAGAGAGGGTGTCAGGTGGAGCGCCGGTGGGCGGTAAGCCAGAACCCTGGTAGAGGCAGTCATACATGCGTGCTGACGCAAAGCAGGGCTCATGCACGCTGTGGGTGCAATTAATGGTGGCCAGCGCCTTGCTTGTAACACAAAGCCATAACCCAAGCCGCCCAGTCCCCGAACCTCATGGGAAGGTCACTGGAAAAGGCACTGTTGGCTTCCAACTGTCAGCGTCGACCGGTGACCCCCAGGAGCGCTTGCCCGTCAAATGGACCACAAACCAACAAAAGCGCTCTACACGTAGCCGTACAGCCCGCGAATAGTGATCCATAACAAGCATTGCTCATTCATGCGTCATATTGAAACACCCCGAAACGTGTCTCGTAAGCACGCATTACGCCCCATACCCAATCCTACGGGTTGCTACCACATGCGTGCCCTTGCCATGCCCCCGAGACCCCCCTGTGGTCCCTCCAACTCCGCCATCCGCACCCCACTACACGCAGTTGGCGAACAGCCACTCCACCGCAGCCTCCACGTTAAAGTGACACTCTTGCAGCGCCCCGCGGGCCTTGCGTGGCGTGAAACCCATGGCGGTTAGGGCGTTGAGAGCCTCGGTGGGTACGACACCACCACCCGCAGCGGCGGCCCTCCTGCCGTACACAACTGCCGCCTCCGGATCTTCCTCCTCGTACTCTTCGTCGTCGACGTACTTGTCGTACCGCGTAGCGGGGCGCTGCAAGGTTGGGGTTATAAAGCGATTATTGCAGGGAGTTTGTGAGTGCATGAGTACAGGGCGTCGGGAAACCGGGCGTGGCAAGAGCCGCACAATCCGCACAATCACTAACGCAAGGACTACAAAGTACCATACATCTACTCCAACCAACATACGTCAACCCCATGCCTCAAGACAACCATCATACCTTGGTTCTTGTCGCCCGCTTCGACCCGCCCGCAGCTCCTCCCTCCGCTCCAATCTCGCCACTCGCCTTGCGCTTGCCTCCCCTCGCTCCGGAACCCACGGAACCTGCCGCGGCCGCACAGCCCGCTGATGAGGAACCGTGGAGCGCTGCCGCTGTGGCTCCGCTTGCGGGCGCCATGTTCTCCTCACCTTCCGGCGACCAGTCCATGTCTGCTCCTGCTGAGCCGGAGCCTTGAGACCGCGACCTGCCGTTGCCCTTGGCGCCGGAACCACCTCCCCGCTTTCGTGCTGCTGCTGCGGACCTGCGGGAAGATGGTGGCGGTGGTGGTCATGTAACTGCTGGAGCAGTAACAACGTACTGGCAACCCAGGCAGACCCAGGGGTTTATCCACTGCAGAGGACGCCAGTAGGCAGAGGGAGACAGGAAAGGCTGCAATACCACAAGCAGAATTTGCGAGTACAGGAATACCATAGCACACCTGCATGCTCTCAACTCCACCACTCCGTCCACCATCCCGACTTTCCCGACACCCCAGCCCCGCTGCCTCACCCCGCTAAGGCCGCTGCTCCGCCCGGCAGAGGCGGTCGTGGAGGTATCCGGTGGGCGGCAGCCTCCGCTAGCAGTTGCCTGGAGGGAGGGCAGGGAGCAGCAAGGGGGCAACCCAGGGAAAAGACAAAGCAGGACTTAAGAATGAAGTGAGCATGGACGGTGAAAACACCCCCTTTCGTAGCAAGACACCCTTATCACCTGGTGAGCGGGACTTGCGCCAGGAGCGCCTCGCCGCCCTCGACCAGCACAGCCTCAACCCCGCCATCCGGAGAGCCGGCCCGCTGATGACCCGTGGGTCGCGAAGCGGCCGCGAACGCCGCAGCCTGCGCCTCTAGCACAGCCGCTGCGTCCTGCTCCCCCGCCCACCGCGTCCCCATGCGGGGCGGCAACGACTGGCGGTTGCGGTAACGGTCAATAAGGCACGACAGGCGGTTACGTAGCCGTTTAAGCAGTTGGATGAGCTGCTCGGGAGTCAACTGCTCCAAGGGAGATCCCAGAAGCCCGCCTGTGACGGTTGGTAGGCGAGAGGGCGGAAGGAAAGTAATCTCAAAAATTCACGACATAGCTATAGAGTACATATTGCTGCAAGCCGAAACGGGTCTTCTGTAATTTCACACGCGCATGCGGGTCTGCAAAGGCCCAGCGCCCGTGAGTCCAAACCCCGCACCCCAGCAAACCCACTATCCGGAGCCCCCCTCGTCCTGTCTCCCACACCTTTCCAACGAGGCAGCCCCCATCTCCTGCACCGCCTTACCAAGCTCTGAATCCAGCCGCGCTGCAGCCTGCGTGGCAGCCGCCGCAGCAACAGCAGCAGGGCTGGGCCCCGGGGCGGCTGTAGCTGCAGCCCCTGACCCGCCCACTGCGGCGGCGTCAGCGGCTGCTGAGGATCTGAACGCCGAAGCGATCTCCTCGAGCTGCTCGTCCACCTTGAGGAGTTGATCCGGGGTCAGGCCGTACCTACGTTGTACGACAAGAGGAGGGCGATAACGGTTAAGTACGCGATAAGGAGGGCGACAGGGAGGGCAAGCAGCACAGTAGATAGCGCTACTATAGCATGCAGGGGGGACATCGGGCCCCTACCAACACGCCCCAACCGTAGAATAACCCACATGCCCGTTCGGGTTTACGCGGTCAAGGCAGGCGTTCAAATCCACCTAGTCCCATGCAATTAAGCTGCAACATGCCCTGCTAAGCGGCATCCCATATATCCAGCCGGTTGCTGACCCATGCCTCGTTCACCAGCCCAGCCCGACCCACTTGATTTGGGCCTCCTTTCGCAACTTGTCCTTCATCTCCTTCGTCAGCGTTGCTGTTAGCGGAGGGAGGGAAAGAATAAAAGGTTATCATCCATGAAGCAGGAAAGAAGCCGGCGCAAAAAGCATGGCAAGCGGCAGTCAAGGGTTCCTCATTACGTGCACTCCTAAGATCCTCACCCAGCAATAGCTACCCAGATCACTAGCCGACAAACTCACGTCCGTCATAGATGATGAGTCCAGCCTTCCGGGTTGCCTCCGTGCGTGCCTCGTTGTCAGCCCGGATGCGGTCCACATCCACTTGGAGACCCGTGTAGGCTGGGGAGGGGAAGAGGAGGACAGGTAGGCAAAGATGATAACATAACGGGTGAAGAGCGAGGTTGCGGGTGATACTGGTGTGGTGTGGTGTTATTATGTGTGACCCAGATGACCCAGATCGGCCAGCTGAAGCAGGTGGTGATGTGGGGAATAGATAAACTGAGCCGCGGAAAGAGTTGACAAGGCAGGGTGGCGTGTCGACCCAGATGGGGTTTTAAGACATGGATGGTGTTGATGCGTAAGCGATGATGTCTGGGTTGGGTTTGGGAAGGGATGTGAAGGACGTCGGACGGTACCGGTAGCTTGGAGGGTGGTGGAGGAAAGTCTTGCTGTAAGACAGTGAAAGGGAACGCACCTGCCAAACTCTGCTGGCCTAGAAGGCGTTGAGTTTGGCCGTTTAGCTGTTGAATCATTTTGCCGGGAAGCAATCCAGTCTTCAGGATTTGCAGCCACTGTCCGACCCCATGCTTCATGAGGCAAAGCCGTAGAATTTGCACCTCCTCGCGCGTCCAGCCAGGCGCGGGTGTGAAGTTCCATCTGCGCAACGTAGAGGGAGAGTTAGGCGAGGGCAACATGAAGAAGGCCACGACAAGATGTATGCGCCCCACTTAGTTGATGACATTTGCGTGGTGTTAAAGCTGCCCTCTGAGTTGCTGATATCTAATGACTCTTCGACTTTTCATAGAAACCTACAGTGAAGCGGCATCGCCCACTCGAGGGCCGCGCTTCTCGGCCAGAGCAGCAGCAAAAGCCATGGCCTTGACGAGGAATAATTACACGTGGATCACAATTGTTTCTATCGCTTATGTGCTAATCACCTAACCCAAGCCTTAGGTTGCAGGCTTAGGGCACACGAGCACAACACGGGTCTTTATTCAAAGATAAATTAAGGGTGGAACACGATAGGCATAGCAATGGGAAAACACCTAGCGATGTTGATATCCTTTAGCAACCAACAAAGCGGCCTTACGTGACGTTCGCGCGCCTACAAGTCGTGGTTTCGGAGGCCGACAGGTCCCGGAGCTAGGGTGCAAGCAAAAGTGCCGAAGCGCCGAACTGAGCTGCTTGCCAGCGGCAACAAACATATCGGCCTTCCGTGTTACGTAATTATAAAGCTTGCTTGTGTTTGCAGTGAACATTGGCGAATCGGGCTACTGTTCAAGGAGGTGGTGCAGAAACCTTGTACATTTGACAGCATTAGAGCGCCAAAAACTTACAGCGCAATGCATCCAGCACAACTATAAACCTAAAGAAGCGCCTAGATATATCTCGGCGCGCAAGCCAGTCCGAAGGGTCGCGGCTTGTCGCGACGGTTCGGGATCTTTCGTTGGAAGCTGTTTGCCGTGATGGCGCATATAAAGGCCTCAGCACTCCATGTCCTTTCCAGCGTAAACAAGCACATACTGCATACAATACAACCACTTGCGGCGACCTGAATTATCCTGCTTTTACGCTCTACTCATAGCAATACAATATCTCGATAGAAGACCAAGATAATAGACTTCCCAACAAGCAATAAGATCGGAACAAAGGCAAATTTGGGCAACCACACTACGTCTTTCGGTTCGTCCTGACAAGGATGGCGTTCGACCCCAAGAAGGCGACCCAGAAGGTCAATGAAATTATTAGCTCTGCCATCAGCTTAGCTGCAGAGGAGCAACATTCCACCCTTACGCCCATCCACCTAGCGGTTGTCCTTTTCGAGGTGAGTTGGCATCCAATGCGATCGAAGAGCAGGCTTGAGGGACGTGTGCCGGAACAAATCCACTCAACAGCGAAGGAACACGCCTGTTCCGTAATGTTATATCACCATTGGCAGCTGGCCTCTTTTCTTTTGATTAACGGGCCATTATCCATCATATTTTAACCCTAAAACATTTAGCCTGCGACATTATTCTCTACATATACCTCTTAATCATTACGACTTCTTTCCTTTCTCTGCAGGATCCAGCGGGCATCGCGCGTAGCGCCACCACGCGCGTGGGTGGCGATGAGACATGGCGCAGCTGCACCCGCGTCCTGCGGCGCCGGCTGGTGCGGCTGCCCAAGGTGGAGCCCCCGCCCGACAGCCCCACCCCCAGTCGCGAGCTGACAAAGGTGCTCAGCGCTGCGGCCAAGCTGCAGAAGGAGCGCGGAGATGCTTACCTGGGTGCGGACACGCTGCTGTCGGCGGTGGTGAGTCAGGGCGGGGGAGCTGCGGGTTAGGGGAAAGGTGTAAAAGGGGGAGCAGGGAGAATGCAGGGCGGAATGTTTACGCCGACTTCAACCTTAAGTGCTATTACCAGCCTGGGCGGGGCTTAATGATGTTGTCCCATTACGCTTCACATTCTTCAAGCTACAAAAGCATGCTACATTGGCCTCCTCTACCTTTTGCCCTCCAGATCGGAGCCACGGAGGTCTCCGAGGCACTCACAGAGGCCGGCATTTCCCGAAACCAGCTGGATTCAGCGCTTGCGGAAGTACGACAAGCCTCCGGAAGCGGAAACGTCAACTCCCAAACCGCCGACGCCAATTTCGACGCACTCAGCAAGTACGGCACCGACTTGACCGCTAACGCCGCGCGCGCGGATCCCGTCATTGGCCGAGACGACGAGATCCGACGAGTCGTACGAGTGCTGTGTCGCCGTACCAAGAACAATCCCGTACTCATTGGCGAGCCGGGGGTGGGCAAGACGGCAATCGTGGAGGGGCTGGCTCAGCGTATCGTCAAGGTAAGGGGTGCACTTGCACGTGCGCTTCGAAAGAAGAGTTTACTCACCGACTTCATTTCACCATCCCCGACTTCATTTCACCATCCCCGGACGCCTTTCCCGTCCCCGGTGCCTCCACCATACAAACTCATTCATTCATTCAGCTTTCCGACTCATTCAAGTTCCGAGCCCGCTCCCCTCCCCGCTCCTCCACCCCAGGGTGACGTCCCCGAGACGCTGCGTGGCGTGCGGCTGATCTCGCTGGACATGGGCTCGCTGGTGGCGGGCGCCAAGTACCGCGGCGAGTTCGAGGAGCGGCTCAAGGCGGTGCTGGCGGAGGTGCAGCAGCAGCAGGTGGGGGGGGGGGGGGGGGGGGGGGGCGGAGGCAGGGCTGGGCTGTCGTACAAGACATGGGCTGTTTGCCGGTGTGGATGTCGTACACATGCGCCAATTTGCCGGTGTGTTTGCCTGCCTTCCATCCAACCCTCCTCCCTCATCCTCCTTGCCCCGCCCTCCACACGCGCAGGGCAAGGTGGTTCTCTTCATCGACGAGCTGCACCTGGTGCTGGGTGCCGGCAAGGCGGGCGACAGCGCCATGGACGCCGCCAACCTGCTGAAACCCATGCTGGCCCGGGGGGAGCTGCGCTGCATTGGGGCCACCACGCTGGGGGAGTACCGGGAGCACATCGAGAAGGACGCGGCGTTCGAGAGGAGGTTCCAGCAGGTCAGTGGGGGGGAGGGAGGAAGGGAGGGAGGGGGGCAAGTTTGCTGGCCCTCATCCCGTCCCCGCCATTTTGCTCTTTCCCTCATACCGGTACTGCTACTTTAACAACACCTCCACAACCGTTCCAGCCAGTCTGTTGTTAACAACTCCATAAACCGAACGCCACTACCCCCACCTCCCGCTGTCTCCCCCACCTCCCCCTACCCCCTCCCCCCCCTGCAGGTTCTGGTGAAGGAGCCCAGTGTGGCTGACACGATTGCCATCCTGCGCGGCATCAAGGAGCGCTACGAGAGCCACCACGGCGTGCACATCACCGACCGCGCGCTGGTGGTGGCGGCGGAGCTGAGCGACAGGTACATCACCACCCGCTTCCTGCCGGACAAGGTGGGTGCGGAGGGTGGGGGAGGTGCTGAGGGTGCGAGGGCGTTGCCGGGAGTGTTCCCGACATGTGGTCTTCAGGCATGCAGGCCCGTTGTCGTGAGGGATTGAGGAGGATGTGTGCAGCCCGTGCGTGCTGGCATCGTCCAGGTTTCGCCAGCTTGACTAGCACCCCTCATGGTAAAGCCTCTCACGCCCCCACCTTCCTAATAATGTCCCCTCCTCCCGCACCACACCTGCCCTCCCCACCACCCCTGTCCCCCTGGCCCCCCACCGGTCAGGCAATCGACCTGGTGGACGAGGCGTGTGCCAACATGCGTGTGCAGCTGGACTCCAAGCCCGAGCAGCTGGACGCACTGGAGAGGCAGCGAACACGGCTGCAGGTGGGGGGGGGAAAGGGGGGGTGGCGGGGTGGCGGGCGGGAGCTCCCGGAGGGTTTAGTCCATCTTGCTTGTTTGTTTGGTGTCTCGAGCATTTCTGCGGCAGTTGCGTACAGCTGGATGCTATTGTCAACAACTTACCTCACCCGCTAATGTGCACGCTAACGGCACCCTGACGCACCCCCTGCATGCACGCATGCCACAGGTGGAGGCGGCCGCGCTGGCCAAGGAGAAGGACGCGCTCAGCAAGACCCGCGCCGCCGAGGTGGAGCGCGAGCTGGCGGCGCTGGATGAGTCGCTGCGGCCGCTGCTGCTGCGGTACGGGCAGGAGAAGGGGCGGCTGGAGGAGCTGCGGCGGCTGGTGCACAAGCGCGACGAGATCCTGGTCAACATCCAGCTGGCGGAGCAGCACAACAACCTGGCGAGGATTGCGGTAGGTGGGGCGGGCGGGGTGGGCGGGTTGTGGAGGTGGTGGTGCATGGGAGCATGTACATGGGGGCATTGGGTGGATCAGGGCATGGTGTTGGCGGATGGGTGCTGTGCATGGATGTACTCCTCCTCGTGGGCTCACTGGTCGATGGTATTCAAAGCATGGTTCAAGGTCCTTATACCACACGTCCCCACTCCACAACCGCGCGATAACGTATCCTAACCTCACTCGGTACCCCCCCCCCCCCCACTCCCCCCCCACTTTCCCCCCTCCCCACCAGGACCTGCGCTACGGTGCGCTGCCCGAGGTGGAGGAGCGCATCAAGGCCGTGCGGGCGGCGCAGCCGGCGGACGCAATGCTGTCGGAGGAGGTGGGGCCGGAGGAGATCGCGGTGGTGGTGTCGCGCTGGACCGGCATCCCCGTCTCGCGCCTCAAGCAGTCCGAGCGCGAGAAGCTGCTGGAGCTGGGCGCGGAGCTGCAGAAGCGGGTGGTGGGGCAGGATGCGGCGGTGGCGGCGGTGGCGGACGCGGTGCTGCGCAGTCGGGCGGGGCTGGCGGCGCGCAGCCGCGGCAGCAGCTTCCTGTTCCTGGGCCCCACGGGGGTGGGCAAGACGGAGCTGGCCAAGGCGCTGGCGCAGCTGCTGTTTGATGATGAGAGGATGATGGTGGGTAGGGTGCGGAGGGTGCGGGGGGCGGGGCGCGGGGTGCGGGGGGTGAGGGCTTGAGGGCTTCGTGAGGTGGACATGTGATTGCATGACGGAGACGTGTTGCTGGGGCGGGATGAGCGTGGGGGGGGGACCTCGCGGGGCAGTGCTGGTTAGGGGTGTGGCGCTGGTTCCTATACCGGTACCCGTTTGACCTGATGGCTTTGACCCAACCACGAACCCACCCCACTCCCCTCCACCTCTCCCCTCCCCCCTTCCCCCAGATCCGTATTGACATGGGCGAGTACATGGAGCGGCACTCCGTGAGCCGCCTCATCGGAGCCCCCCCGGGCTACGTGGGGCACGAGGAGGGCGGGCAGCTCACGGAGGCGGTACGGCGGCGGCCGTACAGCGTGGTCCTGTTTGATGAGGTGGAGAAGGTGGGTACGGCACCTCTCCTTGGCTCCTTCACAAGGATTACTGGCTCTTGCACCAAGTCGCCTGAAGCTCAAGACCCTTCTATACGAGCGCTTCGCATGCCATCATCCCCTCTCACGCCCCATTCTCCGCCTTTCTCACCCCCAATCCCTCGCTCCGCACCCCCCTCCCTGCACCCCCCCCCTGCAGGCCCACTCCGAGGTCTTCAACGTGCTGCTCTCCATCCTGGACGACGGGCGGGTCACCGACTCCAAGGGCCGAACAGTCAACTTCGCGAACACCGTCATCATCCTCACTTCCAACCTGGGCTCGGAGGCGCTGCTCAACGCGGCAGCTGCCGTACAGCAGCATAAGGCCCCCGGCCGTACGGGCGGTACGGCGGCGGATCCGTACCGCGAGGCCAAGGAGGCGGTGATGGCGGCGGTACGGCGGTTCTTCCGACCGGAGTTCCTCAACCGCCTGGTAAGAGGTGTCAGGTGTGTGGTGGGGTTATTAGGACGTTGTTGTTGCCTGGGGCGTTTCCTTCTCTTGCATTGCCTCTTTCATTGTTTCTGTGTTCACGTCTGTGTTCATTGCGCATGCAGCAATCCAAATTGTCAGCACGCTGCTACGCTTTGCTGGTTTGACCGCCTCCCTTTTGTCCTGTTCAACTCCTTTGTCCTCAACCTGCACGCTCACCCGGTATACACTTATTAAACCCACTGCCCAATACAAACACCCCCGCCCTCTCAGGACGACATCGTGGTGTTCGAGCCGCTTCGCCCCGACCAGCTCACCCGCATCGCCGGACTCATGGGCCGCGAACTCGCCTCCCGCCTCGCGCCCCGCAACATCTCCCTCACCTTCACCGACGCAGCCCTGTCGTACGCCGTACAGCAGGCGTACGACCCGGTGTACGGCGCTCGGCCGCTGCGGCGCTGGATGGAGCACACCATTGTCACGGAGCTCAGCCGCCTGATTGTGGGCGGCAAACTGGCAGACAACAGCGACGTGGTGGTCGACATGGCGGCGGCGGGAGGAGCAGCAGGCACGGCGGAAGGTACGGCGCCTGTCGTACACGTTGCGGGTGGGTTCAAGTATGCGATTACGGCCAAGCCGGCGGTAGAGGGTGCGGCGGGGGTGATGGGGGGGCTGGGCGGGGGTGCGGCGGAGGTGCTGTTGAAGCGCGGGCGGTTGGAGTCGCAGAGTGTGGATATGGATGCGGAGGACGACCTGCACATGCGGGATTAGGACAGCGGGGTGAGGAAGGAGAGGAGAGGAAGGAGAGGAGGGGCTTGGATGCATTGTCGGGAGTAAATGGGAGGAAGAAAGGAAGGAGAGGAGGCTGGTGAGTAGGAGAAGAGACACGTCAATACGTGGCACAGGCACCGGCGCGACACGTTAAGGAGGCGCGAGGTAATGAACGGCTGGGCAGATTGTTTGGAGTGTCTGGAGTCTTTGATTTGGCGCAAGTACTGTACATTGCTTAACAAGTTGAGGATGCCTCTGGAATGGATAGTGCAGTGTAGGACAACAGTAAGGGCTACAAAACGGCGGCTGTACATTATTAGGTGTTTGGCAGTTGGAACCAAGAGATACCCTTGGCAAGTGTCCAATGGTATTGGCCCAATGAATGCTTACAACGGCCAAGCGCAGGAGTTGATTATCAAGAGATGAGTTGTGTCTAATACCCTGATTAGAGGTCCATCCTGTGTAATACAGTTCCTGACCACACGCGCGTGCACGTGAGGACCATGGTCTTTTGGCGGCTTCCGTGTACGGTGCTGTGGGTAGGAGGTGGAGCTGGCGGGCAGTTACGGGCTACCGCCCTGCCGAGTCTGTTCAGGACACGCGCGCATGCTTTTGTCCTGTCTTTGTCTCTTTCAGGACGGCTATGTGGGTTTTGGTGATGTGGTTCATTTATAGAAATTGGATACAGGTTTAACACTTTAACAAAGATGGGACATTGCGAATTCGTCATGAGACGTCGTACATACCGATTGTTGTACAATTCTGTTGGCTCAATAGCCATGTTGGCGGTTTGTTGTGCTGCCAGCACGGGGCTTCCTTGGTTGCTGTTGTTAGTGGCGGACGTTGCGTGCGGACGCTCAAACAGTACGGCTTCTCATGCTTGCTGTAAAGTAGAAACCTGAAGCCACCATCCCGATTTCGCCCAACGCGCACGGCTCCCTGTGCTAGCACTCGAATGGAGCGCATGCGTGTCCGCCAGCAGCGTAGCAAAGTTCCCTTCGCATACAGTTGTTACACGCTGCTAGCCCCAACTGGCTTGTACAACGGCGAACATCGGTCGGGCGCTGACTAAGTGAACGCTGTGCTGTGGGTCATGAAGCAACGTGACTGACCCGTCGGCCACGTAGTCGGGATCACGTGGCATCGGCCATTGGCAACGCAACTATGTATGCTGCCGGGTTGCAACTCCCCCGGAATGTGTAGGCGCACCAAGCCATGGAAGCTCCTTAGTCCCTCCACTTTTGGAATGTGCAGGTTGCGCGGTTATGCCATGTAACAAGCCTTGCCGTGTCACCTCATAAAACAGAGCTCCGGGTTATAGGGGCGTATGTTGCATGGGGTTCTTGTTGTGGCTTGCTATGTGATTCCTCGTGTTACAGAAGAGGGTTATCACATGAGAGCTTTTACCATAAAAGGCAGCGGGAAGTTATGGGGAAACTATTACTACAAGGCCATGTAGTTACATGCCTGTACATGTCCGTTAGGAAAGGTGTGCAGTCGGGCTACCCAGCCTTTATTGCAATGACGCTTGCCTTGAGGCCTTACCCGTGAAAAGAGCGGCTGCTTCTTACAAGCCATGGACGTTAGTGCGGCCCATGTATGAACACGAAAGTTGGCTCTGTGTCTGCTGCCGGGGAAGGAGCTGGCGCACGGTATAGCTATAACCCATTAAAACTAGAAGTATGGAGAAAGCTACTCGCTGCCGAGTATCGGGCCTCTCCGTTAGGTTTCCTAGCTGCCGGGAATGTTTATCTTTTGGGGTTCCAGCAGAATCCTTGCGTTCTGCAGAATAGCCACAAACCCCGTTGCTTAAAAAATTCATTGGTAAGACCTGGGCCTCTTGCTTCATGGTTCGGCTGGGCCTTCTTCAAAGTGTACGGAGTCAGCTTCGTTGACAGCTGCTTGTTGAGCAAAGCACCTACTTCTCAAGGGAATAACGCATACACGTTGACTACGTACTCGCTACTATTGTGTCTTCTTACTTTGGACCGTTGACTTGTTTAGTCCTCCCCCCAATTCAACGCGGTGGGGAGGACGATGTTGGACGGGCAGCTTGACACCACAGCACTGCCCTCGTAGTGCAGGATATAGTAGGAACATCCAACGCACAAATTCTCATAGGGCTGTCATTCTACTACACGTTTGGCGACAGCTGTTCCTTCATCCATGGCTTCTTCAGCAATCGACGTGGAGTTGCCCAGCGCTTTTGCCCAAGCCGCGACGCAAGTTCGCATAGTAAATAATGATGCTGGGGCGTTAGCGTCTCAGCAGGCAGCCGGTGCACCACAGCAAGACTGCGCTGCCGCCGGGGCACAGAACGGGACCGCTGACTTCGCAGCTGCATTCTCGTTATTCCTTAACAATCCAAGCGAAGCACTGGAATCCAATAATATACCGCAATCTATGCTATCAAACATACAACTGGCCGGTGTGCTAGGCCTCTTGCCGCAGCAGCAAGCTGCTGGCCAGCACGCCCAGGGTGCTCAACCGCAGGGGGCCCAGCCAAATTCTCAGGTGTGCACAACCGAGGTGTTATCCTCCGCTTAACCGTTGTCTAACAGAACCGCGACCATTATTATTAGCGCATCTGCACCTTTGACTTCACGCACTGTTACCTTTCCCAAGCAACTTTTGGGCACCCAAGCGACCCCACTACTGCGACCTGTAGGATGCAACGGCACCCCAGGAGGCTGCTCTCAAGACCGAATCAACACCAGACGACTCAGGTCCCGGCAACTCCATGCCTGACGCCGATCAGCAAGACGGTGTCTCGAGGCACCAGCAGCACCAACATCCGCACCCATCGCAGCTCCTTCACGGGCCTGGCATGGCGGCGCAGGCGCGACCTGGCGTCCCACAGGGCCGCTGGCCGCCAGCCGCCGTCGCCGCGGCCCACTGGGACTACGCTGCTGCAGCTTGCGGCATGCTGAGTCAGCAGCAGCCCCCAGGCGGGCCTCCGCCACCGAACCACCAAGCGCCTCAGCAGCCTCCGCAAGCAGGGGTACCGCCATCCCACGGGCAGCCGCCCCAGCAGCAGCCACAGCACATGCCTCACCCATCCGTGCCTTCAGCTCCGCCTTCTGCAGCTACGCAGGGCAACGGAAGCACTGGCGCAGCGCCTGGAGGAGGCCCCGCACCGTCAGCACCCTCAGGTTGCCCCCAGCCATCTGCTCCAGGGCAGATGCACATGCAGCACCCTGCTATGCAGAGCATGCGCGGCTACCCTTACGGACCGTACGGCGAGCCGTGCCCGTACCCGCCTCACGCCCGACCACCGCCCGGGCCCTACCACCATCCCGGCATGCCGGGCCCTCCAGGCCACATGATGGCTTACCATCCGGGCTTTCCGCCAATGCACCACGTACCACACCGGGCGCCGTACTACCCTCCTGATGCGCGCTACCCACCCATGGCGCCATGCCACCCTGGGTACCCGCCGCCACCGCCGGGCTACTACCGTGGCCACCCGGGCATGCCTCCACACCCTCACGCCCACCCGGCGTACTACATGCCCCCGCCCTACGGAGGACCGCACCCTGGCATGCACCCGGCGATGTACCACACGGGGCCGCCACCAGGTATGGCAGGACCCGGCAGTGGCCAGGGACCTATGGAGGGGCCTGGTGGTCGTGAGAGTACCCTTTCTGGCAACTCCGCCGGCACTGCTATCGGCGTTGGCGCCTCAGACGGCGGCAGCGACCCCGTCTCGGCCATGCGGCGCGTCACCAAGGGCAATGCCAGCATGGGTGGATCCGAGAGCGAGGATGTTGGGCTGGAGGCGGTCATTACGTTGCGCCCAGCTGCACAAGAGGACCAAGAAGGAGTGTCGGGTGAAGACGCTGCTGCCGCTGATGCTGCTGACGGCTCCATGGCGCTGGTGCCTACGTCGTGCCAAGACTCCAAGGCGCAGGCAAACAATGCCGTTGGGACCGGGGAGGAGCTGTTGCAGCCTAACGGCAACGGTGGCCCTGCAGTACCACCCCACATGCAGAAGATGCCGCCATCGCCAGCCTGGCCGCCGCACATGATGCCGCCGCCGCCCCACGGCATGGGCGGTCCCATGCCGGGTGTTGGTGTCGGCTTTGAGTGGTCGCCGCCGCATCCGATGGCCATGATGGCCGGCTACCCTCCTCCGGGCTATCCCCCCCCTCCCGGTGGATGGATGTACCCTGGCTACGACCCCATGGCTGCCGCGTTGCACCACCAGCAGCTGATGCTGGGTGGTGAGTTGGAGGAGGATGACGGCGGCGGCGATGGCGGCCTTGACCAGATGCCACGACGGCGACTGTCAATGATGGGCGGGCCTATGGGTCCAATGCCGCCAGGTGCAGTCATGGGTGCGCCCCCAATGCCCCAACACCAGCAGCATATGCAGATGGCTGCACGTAGGATGCCGTATGCGCAGCAGATGCAGCCGCCGGATGGCTCTGCAATGCTGGCGCCGAAGGCACTAACTGATGAGGAGCAGCAGCAGATGCAACACATGCAGCAGCAGCCATCCAGGCCAGGGTCGGCAGACCCGCAGGCGCAGTTGCTTGGCTCGGCCGCGTCGCTGCAGATGCAGCGAAGCGGCTCTGTGGGCCAGCTGCTGTCTGCACTAGGAGGCATGCCAGACAGCCAGTGCTATGTGTCAAGGTGAGCCGCATCTGCACGGGACCAGCCTTCCTTCGCCGTATAAAGCGCCGCTTCTGGGACCTTGTAGCGCGGGCATCCTCCTTGTCAGGACGTTCATTTACCGGTACCTTGCCAACCCACTTGCTACCGCTTGGTATGACTTATCGCGACCTAATCTCCTTACCTTTCCTTTCTTGGTATTCCTTCCAGGCGCACCCAACGTCTTAAGAAGCGTCGGAGCGTCGACCTCGGACCTGGCGCCACGCCCGACCCCTTCGTGCTCGCCGTCGCCGCAGCCGAGCGCGCCGCCATGGGCCGCGACAGCTCCACTGGCAGCGGCGCGCTGGGCCTGCCGCCCATGTTCCCCAACCTCGGAGGCGGCCCGCGTCGCTCGTCCAACGGTTCCGATCGTACGGCACACCTCTGCAGCCGCGGCTCGCAGCCCCCCAGCAGCCGTCAGCGGTCCGATCCGGGCTACCTGATAGAAGGACCGGACCAGGGAGGCGTCTGGGGCCCTGGCGGAGGTCCCATGGGGGGCCCCATGGCGGGTCTGGGCCAGCTTGTGAACTATCCGCCGCAGCTCCCACCAGCGCCGTTGCAGCTGTTCCAGCAGCCGCAGCAGCAACAGTTGCAACAGCAGGTGATGGTGCGGAGGCCTTCGGAGAACGGTTCGGGCGGCGGCGGGCGAGCCATCACACTTCCAAAGCGGTGAGGGGTTGGCAAGCTGGTTGGGTGCTGTGATTGGGTGCATCTTCATGGTGTGATGAGCCCCAAGGCCCGTGTATGGTGCAAGAAGCTAGGCCCTACACACCGAACATGCAAACCGTAACCACGCACGTCTCGCAGGTTCGATGACGCCATCATGACATTGGAGTACCCCAAGGGTCCTCAACCAGGCTGCAACGCTGTACGGAAGCCCAACAAGGGCCCAATGCAAGGCCAACAGGTACAGCCTCGGGACTTATAAAAAGTCCAGCTGCCGTTTTCAGTGCTTTGCCTGTGCCCCTTATAATAATTGCTAGCTGAAACGCTCCTCCGTTATTGCTGTTTTCAGCAGCTCGGCTTCCAAGGCGGGCTCCCTGTACCGTACGGTGTAAGGCTTCCGGGTATGCTATACGACCCGCAAGGCATGATGCTACCCGGCGCGGAGGAGCCGCAGTACGAAGAAGAAGAGGAAGAGGAGGAAGCGCAGGAGGTGGAGCTAGGCAACGGCGGTGACGACAGCGACGAGGACTACGACGCCGGAGGTGAGAGGCGCGGCTTCCGGGGCGGCGGCAGGTCTGTCGGAGGCGCCATGTACGGCATGGGTGATGGCATCAGCCGGAAGCGCAAGGCACCCATGGTTCGGGAGGAACTGCCCCAGCCGGAGAAGAAGCGCAAGGCTCGTGACCCAGCCACGGTAAGCCATGTTGCGTAGAGTCTGATGTATCAGCAGCTGGTTAAACAGCGCTGGTTGGAGATGAAGCAGAGCGTGTGCGGAATTGGAGTACAACCCTAACCGCCATAACTGCACTGCTGCTGCCTGCATGTCTCCATGTCGCAGATCTCCAAGGTGGTGGTGAACTGCGTCATCATCCTGCGCATGGTCAACCAAGACCTCGTGTACGAGAAGGAGATCCGCAACGCGCTGGGTAACAACCCCGACACGTCCAAAGCCCTGCGACTGTGAGTCCCCGCACCTGCTCGCATCTCAGTACTCGCTGTAGTACTTTGTGGGGTGCCCGCACCTCCACCTTTGCACTCTTCCCTGGGCCCGTTCCCTTTTTCCTGGCGTTAGCCTTGATCCGTCTTTGTAAGCCCGCGACTCCCTCCTTTGTTCCACCCCACTACTGCATGTCTTGACACAACCACGTACCCGACCGCAGGCTGATGAACCAGGGCAAGCTCGTCCGCACCGGCCAGGGCGGCCGTGGCAACCCCTACTGCTACCGCTGCACGCCGCTGGGCATCCACACGCTACAGCGCATTGAGGAGGCAGCCACACCAGGCGCGGATCCCAACGCGGGGCCAAATCCGGAACAGCGTGCGGCGGCGGTGGCTGTGTGAGCGCGAGTGAGGCTAGGAGCGAGGAGGTACGGCGTTGCATGGCGACGGGAGCCAGTGCTCTTTGTTGGCTTCGTAGATGCCCGCAATCGGGCCGTGCAGACTCTGCAAGGGTACATGTTGTTGTTGTTGAATGGGTGCATGAGTTTGTCGGGTGGTCTTAGGTTAGTGGGGTTCCGGCATTGAGTTGCGTAAAGTGGGGGTTGGATCCTGTGTTCCGTGAGACTTGCAGTCAGCGTGGTGATCGTGACTTGCAGTGGTACCAGCCGTGCGGTTACTATGGGATGAATCTGGCCCCCATAGGCTACTAGTCGTCCTGGCGCTACGAGGTGGGCGGAGGTTGATGTTGTACTCGCGATATTTTATTGTGCGGGCGCTGGCGGGCGTTCACGTTTTGTACTGGCGCGAAGTAGCTGCTAAAACGTCTTACCTATCCACTGAACCCCTGGCCCCTGTTGCGCCGCTGACTGCGTGTCGTTGAAGACTTGGTGCCAACATGCACTTCACGCATTGACAACCAGTAGTTGCTGTGGTGCATGACCCTCGAAGCCGTGCGAGTTGGTTGCGCACCTTGAATGTCTTGAACACGAACCAGCTGGGGACAGCCGGCCAGTCCTCTTCAGTTTGGTGACATAGTCGTATACGGTAGGATACCCTGGGACATTAAGGCCTCTGCCGAGCTGTGGCCCCCGTGACGAGGTTTGTCATTCATGTGTGTGATGCCGATTCTAAATTATGGGCTCCGTGATCTGCCGTGACTACCGTACTAAGTTTATAAGCCACATGGACTGTCCATGCGTGCGGATAGGTCGTGTTGAGGAGTTGTAGCTATAGGACATGCGTTGGTAGTGGAGTTGGGCTGCTAGAGATAATGGTCGTGCTGGGGATACCGGCTTAGATGCCTGTAAGCTACAAACCATGTTCCGTTTTCCTTGCTGACCCCTACGTACAAGAGCCCATGATGGCATCAGCATGCCAGTTCTACCGCCTGCCTGACAGAAAAGCTTCGCATTCCTAAGCCCTGCTGTTCCCTAGGCCGGGGTTATTACGGACGATCACGCCTGGCCAACGCAATGTCTGCTCCATGTCCTGCTCATAGCGCTGCCCTATGGACCATCCCAGTGCCATTCGCAGCGTTTGCCAGCGGCCGGCCGAAACTTGCAATAGTGAACAGCGACGTCCCTCAAAAGAGGAGGCAAATGGGAGAAATGAACATGGGTTGTTACAACCGCATAGTTAGCTGTAACTGAAGTTCACCAGGGTCCTACCTAAGCGTGCACCATGCTGCACAGCCATTCAAACTCGTCCCCCTTCATCCGTCTATTGTTAGAGGCCACTCCACAGTACACCACGCCATGTAGAGATAGCGCCGCTCTCCACGCCATATCCTCGCGAAACCCCTAGTGCGCACGCCAACACACACTTTCGGCACATGCCCCATGCGCAACTCGACAACCGCTGCGTACCAGAGCTCTGCCAGACAGCATCCGACGGCACCAAAGCTGAAGCTGGCGAACTATGCAAGTGCAAACCCAGCAATGGTCCCTACCGACAGAAGCTGCTCCGCGGCCTCCATGCGCCAATACAAACTAGTCCATTAAGCTGTAATATCAAAGCATTGCCGCTTATTCCACTGCAGCTCGGCCTCTGTCCTCGAACAATAGCTTAATGCGCCTTCGCGTACTCCGGGAAGTAGGCTGGGTCATACTTGACGAGGTCCTCCACCTCCTTACGGCCCAGAGGCTTGCTAGTGAAGATGAACGTCAGCATGGCACCGGTCCAGAGGCCCGCGAAGAATTGGTAGCCGGGAGAGCCCAGGATGGGAAACACCCGCGGCGCCTTCACCTTAGGGTTGATAAGCACACGACGGATGATGGGGTCCTTGTCAAGCGGCGAGAGCACATCGACCTGAGGCTTGTCATAGCTGATGACCGGCACAGGGGGCCGCCACTCCTCAACAGCCGCACGGACGGGCTCTTTGTTACGCCACCTAATATAATCGGCTAGAGTCTTCATCGACATGGTGCTGGGCGGTCCGGGACAAGCAAAGCCGGGATAAGGGTGAAATAGCCTATGCGGCCTACGCTAAGCCCCTACCAGAATGCACGCTACTCCCTAGAACACTTTCCTGGTCCTAAAATTTTGCCAATCGAGCAACTGCACGGCGAGCGTACGGCATTTGCCTGGCCAAAGTCGCAGAACCGGACGGTGTAGCTGATCGGACTTAAGAGTATGTTTTCCGGATAAGTGGTATTACAAATTAGCACTCTGGCATTGCTGCTTCGTTAGCCTGCTTCTTTTTCATTTGGTTGGAGTATTGTTGTTTGCCAGGACAGAAGCTTGCTTCACCATACTCAATCACCCCAAACTTAATGTTAAACTAGAGCAGCAAAAATGGCGATGCGGCACCTTAGGCGTATCCAAGAGCAAGTACAGCAGAGTAAGGAACCAGCCAGGCAAGCGGAAGATGAATCGGAGGAAGAGCAAGAGGAAGTGGACGCTGCGGGTGGCGGGAGGCCTCCCTTTAACCCGTTCGATCTGCTGAGCGATGAGGTGAGAGCACGTGTATTGAAGACGGCTCTTGCCCATGCCACTGTGGTATTTCAGCTTTTTAGCGCAAGTTACATGACGAGTCACTTGTTAACAGCGGAATCGGCGTCGTTTCCTACCCATCCCCCTCCATCCGTAGGACGAGCCGTCACCTGAGGCAGAAGCTTCCGGGCAGGAAGGTGATGGGCAATCCGATGGAGAAGCAACCGCAGAAAAGCAAAGGCCGAAACAGCAGGAGCAGGAACAGCCAACAGCGAAGCCTGCGGCGGCAAGCAAAAAAGCTGCAAAGAAGAAAAAGAAGAAGGCCAAGCCTGGGAAGCAACAGGCGGAGGCCGAAAGCGACGACGAGGAGGGCCCTGCTCCCGCCAGAGGCAAGGCCAAAGCCAGCGCAGCAGTAAGAAGTGTCGAGGAGGACATCGACGCCATTGTACGGGAACTGAACCTAACCACGGTGCGTCAGGCGCCTGCTCCTCACCTGCCGCCAAGTACCGTATGCCAGTCTGTATCAGTTGTTGCTTGTTTTGCAATGCTCCCAACGTGAGGACACGCTCACGCCGATCACACCATACGCCACTACCTCAGGTTGGACCGCGTTCGGCTGCAGCTGCCAGCTCCTCCTCCCCGGGCGGAGCCGCTCGGACCTCCTCCTCCGCCCCCTCAGTGCTGTGTGTGGACGTGAAGGGGCTTCGGGGCGATGAGGAGGTAGGCCTGGAGGGGAGGGTTGGGATGACACGGTTGGTGTTTGGGGTGTGTCGGACGAGTTGTGGGGTGCGATTCGCATGCGCATGTGCATGTCGCGCTTACGAGCCTTACGTGCACCTCTCTAGTCGCCCGCTGTGTCACCCTCCCTGTGCCCTTACCCCTCCTCCCTACACCACCTGTCCTCGCCCCCGTCTCCCGCCCCTCACTCCCCGAAAGCTCCGTCGCATCTTCGGTTCCGACGTGGTGGCCGCAGTGGACCGCGAGGACAGGGCGGCGGCGGCGGAGGCGCGCCGCTTCGGGGCCGCCACGCGGGGGCTGGGGCCGGGGGGTGCTGCCGGCGGCGGGGGGCGGCGGCGGGGGCTGGCTCTGAAGCGCGGGTGGCTGGTGGCGCCCAAGGATAACTGGCCGCCCTGCGAGGGGGGGCTGAGCATGGAGATGGCGGGTGAGGGGAGGGGAGGGAGAAGGAGGCAGGGTTGGAGAGGGGGAGGGAGGGAGGTGGGATGATGTGAAGAGCGGTGGGGAAAGGGTGCGCGGCAGGAGGTGGAGCTGGGCCTGCCTTCCATTTACGGAGGCCCGTTTCATATCCTCTTTATGTGTCGGCGTGCATACTTGCAAGCCGGCCACTCGTCAGCGTCCCTGCCAGCTCCTCCCTCGCGCCCTCCTCCCGCCACCTCCTCCGCCCGGCGCCCCTCCCCCTCCCTCGCACCACACCCCAGGCAACAAGGGCGGTGTGCCGGTGTTCCGCTACGTGCACAGCCCCGCCTACCGGGAGACGCAGGCGCGATTCTACCGCTGCCAGGTAGGGGGCTGCGGGGGAGGCGGTGTGTTAAGAAACTGGCCGCGAGTAGGAACATACTGTGATTGTCGGAAGATGAAGTCCCCACAGAACCGCCGCAGGAGCCGAGGAACATTGTAGCGTATGTAGATATAGAAGTCCAGTACTGGTGCTGAGAATAAGTAGGACGTAAGAAGCACTCTCGTAAAACGACCGGACCTAAGGCCCGTAGTAGTAAGTTGATATGTATGTAGTAGCTGACAGTATCGAGGATAGTAGGTAGGTAGATAGGCTGGAACTGCCGCTGAACAGGTTGCAAAACAGGGGAGCATGCCGAGACGTCGCAGTGCATGCGCGAGCAAAACAAGACAAGCAAAGCAAGTGCAAGACCACTATGTGCGGATGTTACCGTAGACTGACCCAGTGAAGTGACGCGACGCCACGGAAGCGCCGCCGAGCAGCCCAGCGCTGGCGCGTGTGTGTGTGTGTGTGGTAGAGGCCGGGGCGGGAGAGATTGTGTGCCGGGTTTGCCCCTGGGCTCTATCGCGTCCTGCTCACCCTCCTCGCCCTGACCCCCACCTTCCCGCCCCTCCGCCACCTCCCGCCCCCCCCCCAGGCCAGCTACGACCCCGGCACCATCGCTGCGCTGCTGCAGCAGGCGCCCTACCATGTGGACTCGCTGCTGGCCATGCATGACCTGTACCGGCACATGGGTGGGTGGCGGAGAAGAGGCTGGGGCCATACATGGGCCGGGGGGTGAAAAAGAAATTCCAAAGTGTAGTGTGATAATGATACAGGTTGCTGACAATCCCTGGTGGAATCAACCGTGAGTCGGGCCGGGGCGGGGGGGCGAGGTTGGCCGCATGGAGGGCAGGGGCCGTTTGGCGCCCTGCCGGCCCTCCTTGCAGCAGGGGCTGGCGCATGGCTGGCCGGGTTGCAGTGCCGAGGTTGCGGGGAGGTGGGATGAGGAGGTGGTGTGTGTGTGAGGAAGGAAAGGTCAGACGGGCGGCCTTTGCCTTGCCAGAAAGGCATCCCGTCTCATGCATGGCCCGTCGCTTTCCTCCTTACCTCCTTACCTCCTCACGTCCTCCCTGCCTACCGTGGGGTGCTGCCCCAGGCGAGAACAGCTACGCGGAGGAGATGCTGTCGCGGGCGCTGTGGGCGCTGGAGGCCGCCTGGCACCCCGCCTTCCAGCCCGCCACCGCCGCGTGCCGGCTGGACTACGCGGTGGAGGAGAACCGGACGCTGTTCGGGGCGCTGTTTAGGCACGTGCAGGTGGGGATGCGGCGGGAGAGGGTGCGGCGGGGTGTTGTGCGGGTGTGGGCGGTGGGGTTGTCACGTGTGCTCATGTTGCAAGGTGTGCGGCTTGTGACCCTTGTTACCGCTACCCAATAGCCCTCCTCTTACATGAGTTACCGGTACCTACCTCCTTCCCCTTCCTCCCTCCCCCACCAGCTCGTCATCATGGCTGCTCCTCTGTGCCCGAACCCCTTCTCCTGTATTCCTAACCCTCCTTCCTTGCTGCTCCTAACCCTTACCCCTCCTCTCCCCCCCAGGCCCTGAGCCGCCGCGGCTGCCACCGCGCCGCGCTGGAGTGCTGCAAGCTGCTGCTGGCGCTGCAGCCGGAGGACCCGCTGGGGGCGCTGTGCCTGGCAGACTACCTGGCGGTGCGGGCGGGCAGGTGAGGAGGAAGGGGGAGGGGAGAGGAACGAGGGGGGGTCGCGAGGTTGCTAGGTCGCAGCTGCTGCGATCCAACTGGATTGCAGGGTTCGCTGCAGCTGGTCAGACGACACCACCCTACCTTGTACTGGCACAGACCGCACAGTTACAACATCAGCAACCCAGCCCTGTCCCACCTCTCACCTGCCTGCCGTACCGTCTGCTGCAGGTACGACTGGCTGCAGCGGTTCGTGTTGGAGTTCGAGGGCAACCGTTCGCTGGCGCTGCTGCCCAACTACGCATTCGCACTGCCCATGGCAGCACACCGGCAGCAGCAGGAGCAGCAGGGACAACAGGGGCAGGGGCAGCAAGGCACCGGCAGCAGCAAGGCGGGGTCGGCATCCTCCTCGCCGCATGTAAGTGGCGGTCGTGGTGCGGTTCATGTTCCTGTGGGTGTTCCTGCACACCGGTACCGGTATATAAGGTGCTGCTGCATGCGTCACGGCGCAGGGGTCTCTGCCCCTGTGGCAACAAGCACCCCTACCTCCATCCTATTGCATCTAGCGGCCTAGGATAGCAAGCCCTTCCCCCAAGCTCCAGCCCAACCCCGGGCCCCTCTGTACAAACCCCCCCCCACCCCCTGGATTCTGTTTCCAAATTAACCCCCACCCTCACCGGCCCCCCCCCAGGAGCTGCTTGTGGGGGCGCTGCTGCTGCACCCGCTGGTGCTGCCCCGCCTGCTGGCCCGCCTGCAGGACAAGGGGGCCGCAAAGGTGCGGGTGGGTGGGTGGGTGGGGTGCGGCTGTGGTCCGCTCCCTGGATAGCCTTGTTGTCCTTGTTGTCCTGCGTGCTGTCTGCGGCCTGCGCTATCCTAACCCTCTGCTCCTGCCCTTACCACACCTTGGCCGTTCACCTCTCTCCCTGCCTACTTGCTTACGTCTTTTGCTTTGACTCTACCGTGTCTTGCCTTTATTGATCCACTGAACCCAGCCCCTCTCCCACCGCTCACCTCCCCCCCTCCCTATGGTATGGTATGGTCTTTGACCTCCCTCCCAGGAGTCCTACTGGCGTGATCTGCAGTCGCGGCGGCTGTTCCGGGAGTCCGGGGACGGCGGCAACGCATCGCTGTCACACCTGGTGAGGACCCTGAGGACCCCGGGGTGATGGCGGGAGGGGTTGCAGGAGAGGAGGGGAGGAGGGAGGAATGGGAGCACAACCCAGAAAGGGTTTCGCGTGGAACAAGATCTAGAGCGAATGGCGATACCGCAACCCCTTGAACACAGTCACAGACACAGTTTGTGCTCGTGTACAGTGTGCGAACAACACCCCCTCACTCCGCGCCCCCTTTCACTCCGCAACCCCACCCCACTATTATTTGCTATCCCAACTATCCAGCGTAATGCGGATTCTGTTTCCAAATTAACCCCACCCCACACCACCCCAGGTTGGTCTCTACGTGGAGCGCAGCGGGGAGCTGTGGAAGCCGCCGGACCTGCTGGCGCTGCTGCGGGGGGCGGCGCAGGAGGCGGCGGACGTGGCGGAGGGGAAGGTGCGGGCGGTATGGGGGAGGGGGATGTATGGGGGGGAGGGGTTCATTCGGGACGTACTGGGAACCTTATGGGGGCCTTCCTAGGAGCTGAAGGGCGGTTAGCTAGGGCGGTTTGAAGCATGTCTCATTGCAGGGCGCGAAGGCGTGGGCATGCATGGTCGGGTACGGTACCTAGGGTGGCCTTAAGCTGCTGTGTCTGATGCCCCCTTTCCACATCCCTTCTCCCTCACCACCCACCACCCCGCCCCAGGTTGGCCCCTCCAACGGCATCTCCGCTGCCGACTGGCGCACCCTGGCCCGCGAGTCCTTCCCTCCCTCCGCCGCCAACGAGTACCGCCACCTGCGCATCAGCGACTTCAGCGATGCGGTGAACGCACTGCCGCGGTGAGTGGGAACACCCTAGTACGGCACATGGGGTTGTGATTGTGGTCGTTTTCCCTACCTGCACCAAAGCCCCAAAGCAAAAACAGGAGTGTTTGTTGGTGAGGGCTTGGGTAGGTGGGTGGTGTTGACAGCGTGCTCCACCATTGGGCTGTACCTTTAGGTGAGCTGGGCAGATCTTTGTTGGCCGTACTAATGTGGCGTGTATGGACCGGTAGATAAATGCTAGAGCTTCATTTCCCCATGTCCTTCTTCGTCCATGTTGCGAGTTGTGCTAACTGCTGCCCAACAACCCAACCCCTCCTGCCCCGCCCCCCTCAGCGAGGAGGTGGAAGCGGCGGTGCAGGCGGGTGCGGGGGGCGCCATGCAGGACGTGGAGGAGGCGCTAGCGGAGCTGCAGGTGGGGGCGGGGTGGGAGAGGAAGCAGCGGGTTTTGTGTATTTTGCTACCGGTAATTAGCGTGCGTGCATGTCAGCGCGGGAGAGAGGCAGTCGTGCGTGCAATTGCGATGCATCGCACATATATGCGCCATGGTGCTTCTTGTTTATCCCCCTCCTGCTCACGCCGGGCACCTGGCAACAAACAGGAGCAAATGATCCTAGCGGCCCAAGAGCGTCAGGCGGCAGGAGGCGGTGCGGGAGGAGGTGCTGCTCCCATGAGCGATGAGGAGCTGCGGGGCGCTAACCCGCTGCTGATGCTGCTGCGCTCCATGCTGCCCTGGGTCAACGCGGGGCAGCAGCCGGACTATGCGGCTCCTCAGCAGCCGCAGGGGGGTGCGGGGCAGCAGGGGCAAGGGGCAGTGGCAGGGCAGCAGCAGCAGCGGCAGGTGCCTGCACCCGAGTATGATGACGAGGATGGGCACTTGGAGGATGAGGATGGCATGGTACGGCAGATTAGGCGGTGATGCATGGAGCAAGGGGAAGGAGCTGTTATGGGATGCAGCGGGAGGGGTGGTGGGCGAGGATGAGCAGTTGTGGCGTTCATGCAAGCGTATGGGTTTGCATCTAGGGACTGCTGTCGGCATTGCAGCGGGCGACTGAAGGTTAGGAGGAGGTGGCTTGCTCCCTGCAGTTGCAAGGTTTAGCTGGTTCACGCCTTGATCGTGCGAAACGGGCACTTCACGAATTCCTGACAATTGCGCTGATCAAAACTTGGAACGCCAACTTTTGAAATCCAATGATGGTGGCCATGCAATTAGTTACAAAATACGCATGAGGTTTTTTTCATTACGGCCATTCTCGTTAAAGCAGGGGTCGGCTATTAGAAGCATGCCGCAAACGTACTACGACAGGAGCACGAAAAGCGCTGCGCCTAGCTAACATACGGCACACGTACGTATACCCCGCATCTGGAATCACCGCGAGGGAATAAAAACCAATTTACCGCGTTTGCACTTCACCAGCACACAGGTCATATTTTTTAGCGACATAAAGTAACAACGAATCTTTCCCTTGCAAATTGCAACCGGGCTAAAAAGACGTGGTCGTACTACACACAAATAGTTTTCGTTGCAACCTTTACTGGCCCCACGGGACACCGAAGGGTGATTAGATGACAACAGATTACTGGGCAAAGGATGCGCCCCTCACGGACCGCAAGCTATTTTTTCCTCAAGGCAGTGTGGCCCCTTGATAAGACCAGCGGCCTAAAACGTAGCGCCCATTCCCCTAAACCGGGACGAAGGACATGTTGTTTGGCACCAAAGGTATAACATGGTTCACAACACATTATTAGGTGTACGGCAATCACCAACTAATACGGGGCACAGTAGGCAGCCGGCAGCCAGCAGAGACGCAATGAGGGACAGTCGTAACAAGTCGTAACCACTTACAAAAACAGAAAAGTCCAAATAAACCGTAAAGGGGCGCTCTGGCAAGTGGCGCCGCATACCGGTAAACAGCTAGCCAGGATAAAAGGCAGGTTATTGGGCACCACACGCATTACACCGCATGAGGTGCACGGCATCTTACCACCAACAAAAATAAAGCCGCCGGAGACGGTAACCAGCGCGGCACGAGACAGTCGTAACGGTTATCATGAACTCTAAATTGCAGTGAATGGCCCATTCCTCAAGGCTACGCATGCCGGTAAACACCTCCTCCATTTCCTCGCCACGTTAAAACACAATACTTCAACCGGTTACCAGATCACGCAAACAGCAAAGATGGGAACACGTTTAGGCGAGACACGATCAACAGGTTTAACAAGATGTCAGGCGCTCGAGGAAACCTGTAATGACATTCTCCGTAAGTCCTCCGGAGGGATCTTGGCCCCAAGCGGCTAAATTCACATTCACACATAGCCGCCAGCCACGAACACGTACGAAACTTGCTAATGGCCATGAAAATCGTGGCATGGTGTAAACAGCTCCTCTGTCTCCTCGCCGCTAGTACAAGAACATATGTCAACCAGTTACCCAGATCAAACTCCTGGCCAAGACGTGAACATGTTTTTAGTGAGGACACACAATAGGAAACAGATGTAACACTCGTCAGCCTTCCTGTCGCCAAGCAAGTCTCAGCATCACGACGGCTAGGCGTACAACGTACCACATAAATCCACATCCATTGCCGACAGCCCCGAACTTGGATGGAGCGTGTTTAGTACAGGTAATGCGGACAGGCACAAACTTTTTGAGGAGGCCAGAAATCCTGGCACGGCGTAAGTTCATAGGACCACAACCAAACCTAAACAAGCTAAACAAGCCGCTGGTGCGTGCACCTCCATAACGTGCATGCCAGACCCATGGCGCTTAAAAAATAGTGCCGTCAACGTATAAAATGATCTAAAGTTGCAAGCAAGCACCGCAACTGTGGTTATCCGGGGCAGCGAAACCCCATTGTCCGCATAAACGTCAGCGCATTAAATATCGGCTTAATCTGTCACCGCCCAACTAATTTACCATGACAGCAGCCCACCGCGTATTTTTATTTACGTTCCGTTGCGTGCCGTACCGTCAACATCCAAACACTAAAAAAGGAACGCCAAGTCCTGGCCAAATTCCAGGATTCGACGACATTCACACAAGTCCAACAGGAGTTTACATCGTTATCGCAATAACAGAACAAAACGCAGAGATAAGGGACTTCGGCCAACTACTCACATCAGAAACCTATGAATAATCATTAGGGCTCCAACACGACAAGACACCAAGGTAAATACGGCACATGTAGATGCTGTCTCTGAAATCACCCTGAGAGATACACTTTTTACCGCATTTGCACTTCACCAGCACACACTTCGTAATTGAACAGCGACAACAAGTAACAACGTATTCTTCCAACGCAAATCGTAACCAGGCTAAAAAGACGTGGTTGTACTAAACACAAATATCTCGAAGAAACCTTTTTTGGCCCCACGGGACACCGAAGGGTGATCAGCTGATACCGCCGTAACAGATAACTGGACAAAGGACATGCCCGTCGTGGACCCCCTGTGTCCCCTTGATAAGGCCAGCGGCCTAAGAAACAGGGCCCTTTCCCCCAAACCAGGATTAAGGACAGGTTAATTATTGGCACCACAGGTATCACACGTTTGACAACACATCAGGTGTACGGCAATTACCAACTAATACGGGGCACAGTAGGCAGCAGGCAGCCAGCAGAAACAACCAGCACAATGAGGGACAGTCGTAGCGAGTCGTAACCACTAACAAAACCAGAAAGTCCAAGTAAACCGTAAAGGGGCGCTATGGCATGTGGCGCTGCATACCGGTAAACAGCTAGCCAGGATAACCGATAGGTTATTGGGCACCGCACACACTACACCACATGAGGTGTACGGCATTTTACCACCAACAAACATAATGGGTAGCCGCCGCCGGAGACGATAACCAGCACGGCAAGAGACAGTCGTAACGGTCAAAACAGACTCTTAAGTTGCAAGGGGGGCCCTGCGGCGTGCAGTGAATGGCCCATTCCTGCGCATGTCGGTAAAGAGCTCCTCCATTTCCTCGTCACGTCAAAACGCAATGCTTCAACCAATTACCAGATCACGCAAACAGCAAAGATGGGAACACGTTTAGGCGAGACACGGTCAACAGGTTCAACAAGATGTCAGGCGCTCGAGGAAACCTGTAATGACATTCTCCGTAAGTCCTCCGGAGGGATCTTGGCCCCAAGCGGCTAAATTCACATTCACACATTGCCGCCAGCCACGAACACGTACGAAACTTGCTAATGGCCATGAAAATCTTGGCACGGTGTAAACAGCTCCTCCGTCTCCTCGCCGCTAGTACATATCAAACACAACGTTAATCATTTAACACTCACACTTATGGCCAAAACGCGAACACGTTTTCGGTAGGGACGCAGGGTGTTAAACAGATGTAACACTCGTCAGCCTTCCTGTCGCCACAACAAGAGGATCACAACGGTTAGGCGTACGGTGTCGTGTACGGTGGCGTATCTCAAAACCCATTGCCGAGCGCCCCGAATACGTACGAGACATGCTAAATATATTGAACAGGCAAGTGAATCCAAGCACCACAACCAAAACAAAACGGCGGGCTGCTGGTGCGTGCATTTCACAACGTGCGTGCCAAACCCATGGTGCTTATATTATCTTTTTACGTATTGAGCGCCGCAATTGCTATGTTTATCCGTGGCAAAGCAGCCCCATGTTCCGCGCTAAATGCCAAAGAAAACCAGACAAGGCCCAGTGGTCATATCGTACCTGGTCACACGAAGCGAACGTGCCATAAATTCGGCTTAACCTGTTACCGTCCAACTAGTCACCTTACTGGCCCACAACGTCGTTTTTATTTCGCATAACAAAAAAAAAGAAAACCGGATTCCAGAATTCAACGACGGTCAAGTCCAGTACCCTAACCACAATAATGACACATACAGCCTTAAGAACGACTGCAGGGTTAAGACCGTAGCCAGCCAGCCACATCCTCACCTCAAAGACCCTTTCTAATTTACGTTTCGTGAACCCAGCCACATCAGTTCAGTTATTCCCTTTTCGTACCGGGCCATGGACCAGCCGTCCGCAGCAAGCCTCAGCAAAGAAGTCCAACCCATTATTGCCCGGACGACTCGCAAGCAAGTGTCCAACAAAGCACTCCCTAACAAGCCAGACTTTTTGGCAAACGCCCCAAACAGTCATGGCATGAGGCTAGCATGGCGCCAAACAGCCAGAGCAGCCACCAAAGCATTATGACCCGTGCAGGTCAGCCTTCAATTTCCAGGGTACCCTTTTGCTATTTTTGGGGAAAAAACCTGGACCAGTAAGGTCACCCAGAAGGACTGAATGCATTGTAGGACCCCAACAAATAAGCGGTACCATATGCAAACGGCTGGGCGTTTAAACACAACGCTATCACAAAAGTTTCCGCTCTCTGGTTTAAAAAAACCGCAAATTTGCTGCCATAAGCATACCGCTAATCCTCAACACCATGTTAGGCAAAACATACATCGCACGGGTGGTGGCACGTGGTAATTAACGACTTTGCTAATACAGCACCAGCTTAATACCAAAACAATAAACCTTAACAGGGCGCTGTGGCGTGTGGCCCCGCGTATCGATAAAGAGCTCGCCCATCCTCGCCATGTCGTACAACAACATACCAGTTACCCGTCTCACTTATGGCCAAGACGGGACACATCTTCGTGAAAACAAAGTGCTAGAAAAGCACAACAAGGAGTCACGCGCGCGGGGAAACCGAAGGGCACTCTTGGTCAACCTTTCCAGGTTTAGACAAACGCAACGGCTAGACGCATGACGAACCGCGGAAATCGACACATATTGCCGACGGCCGCAAACACGCACGAAGCTTGCTAAGCAAATCGATGAGACCAGATATTCAGACGCAGCGGAACAGGTATTAGGACCAAAGCCAAAGCGGGCGCTGGCTGGTGCAACCCATAAGGTGCACGCCAATCCAGCGTAACAAGGCGGGAACGTTACCTAAAGGCCGATCGCGGTCAGCATGCCTGACAAACACACTACGGCCCCTGTTTGAGTTCGTAATGACAACAAACAGCCCAAGACCGTTAAGTTGGGAGTTGGGGACCGTTATTCCGGGGCAACACAGCTTCATTGTCCTCGCTAATTGCCAAAACAAAACACGGCTGGAATGGCATGCGGGCATGCCTTAAGTTTACACGCTTAAGATGAGCGACTCCGACACAAAAGCGGCGGCCAGTTACGTCCTTGACAGGATCAAATTCATGACAAGCCCACCACACTTGCAACCATAGCATTGTTGGCAAGGTTGCGAAAAGAGGTGGCATGCCTGGGACCCTTTCCTCGCCCGTGGGGAAGAACATTGCAGCCATGAATGCCGTTACCGGTATCGCTGTCGACCATATCATCCTTGATCGGATCCAGATGCACTGGGGGGGGCAAGGAAGCATTGGAAAGGCATCAGGACTTGAATGCCAAATGGCTGGCAACCATGCGACGCAGCCTACTGGTGTCCGTCCAGGCAACGGTGTGTTGCAGTTCCTTTCCGCTCTTCCAGAAACAAGTAGCAAAGTGAAACTGCACGCCTAGCTCCCCAAAACTCAGAGCTAATAGGTTTGCTTACTTGGCCATACTCGCTCAGTGTCAGGTTATAGCTGGGTCACCCATTCCACTGTTGGCAAGGGCAGAGTTAGGGCCCCTTCCTCTGCCGCCATCGAGGTTAGGGCCCCTTCCTCTGCCGCCATCGAGGTTAGGGCCCCTTCCTCTGCCGCCATCGAGGTTAGGGCCCCTTCCTCTGCCGCCATCGAGGTTAGGGCCCCTTCCTCTGCCTCCTTCGGGGTTACGGCCCCTTCCTCTGCCCCCTTCGGGGTTACGGCCCCTTCCTCTGCCCCCTTCGGGGTTACGGCCCCTTCCTCTGCCTCCTTCAAGGTTACGGCCCCTTCCTCTGCCTCCTTCAAGGTTACGGCCCCTTCCTCTGCCTCCTTCAAGGTTACGGCCCCTTCCTCTGCCTCCTTCGAGGTTTAAGCCCCCTCCTCTGCCTCCAACGGGGTTGGGGCCCCTTCCTCTGCCATGTCTGGTGCTGAGCCCCCTTCCTAAGGCGAATGTGCTACCATCCCCGCTCTCCTCGTCAGAGGTGGGGCCAGCCTCATCCACGTTGCCAGAAGTGGCACCATCCCCGCTCTCCTCGTCAGAGGTGGGGCCAGCCTCATCCACGTTGCCAGAAGTGGCACCATCCCCGATCTCCTCGTCAGAGGTGGGGCCAGCCTCATCCACGTTGCCAGAAGTGGCACCATCCCCGCTCTCCTCGTCAGAGGTGGGGCCAGCCTCATCCACGTTGCCAGAAGTGGCACCATCCCCGCTCTCCTCGTCAGAGGCGCGGCCAGCCTCATCCACATTGCCAGTTGTGGAGGCAGCCCCGCTCTCCTCGTCAGAGGCGCGGCCAGCCCGTTCCTCATAGCATGGAGTGGTTGCATTTCCGGTCATGGTGGCATTGGCGACTGCATCGATAGGCGGTGTCAAGAAGTTCATGGCCGCAGACACCAGGCGATGGTCCGTGTAGTTTGCATTGCAATCTAAAGCAGATTTCTTTGTCAGGAAATAACCAAAGAAGGCTTCACTTTTGGGTGGCCGCTCCACCCGCTGCGCAGTTCCTTTGATGCCCTCAATGTTGGGCCGCCCACTCTGTGAGGAAATCCAGTGAAAAGGGGCAGATTACTCAAGAAAACTGCCGGTAGCTGGTAATGTTTCCGATCTTAGTGCAGGGGATGAAGGAAGTACAGGAAAGTGAGGACGGAAATGAGGCCTGGCTTCCAGCTAAAGTCCGCATGGATGGGCATAAAGGCCATGTCAGGGGACATACAGTATACCGGTACTAAGGTCGCCAAACGCCTTTTAAACGAGATGCTGTGAAGTACTTTGGGATCTTTAGGTTGTACCCTTGCTATACTTTCCCTCCTTGTAGCAAGGAGTCAGGGGAATACTGTACAATGCAATAGTACACACGGATAAGCATTAGCCCCACTATGCATGTAAGCAATCATTAGGTACACTGCGTACATGGATAGACACATATGATTTTTATCCGAAACACGCAGACAGCCATCCGTCCAAGTAATTACCTAGGGGGTAAGGCCCAAGCATGCAGGCTAAAATACTTAGGCAGATGGTACTTACCTTGAGTACATAAATGCCGTCGTACTGCTTAGTGTCGCTTGTGTTGGTTTTCATCCAATCAGGCAACTGAGGCTCGAGACTCCCATAACTACCGCAGTTTTTTGCCTTGTCCCAAGTTATAGCCCATCTTTTATTACTGGGCGGGCGGGGGTGGAAATGGAAGCAAGGGGATTAGGTTTATTAGGAGAAACCGTGCAATGCCAGGCAAAATGAGCCCTGCATTTATCGGTATTTGCGGCCATACAATCTACAAAATCTACAATGGCCTATGCTGGCCAACCATCAGATATGTTACTACAGCAGTAATAATGTCTAATTATAACTTAACGCGGATTCCTATTAAACTAAGAAGTTATTTGGGCCTACATTTCTGGCGGCCCTACCTACCCTCCGGGGGTGCGCGGGGGGGAGGAGGTAATAGAAGTCTTTGTTAGTTTGCCAAACCCCGCCCAAGCTGAGAATGTCAGCCAGACTGATGTAATGTCAATGACCCGCTCTATTGTTGGCACACAGTTGCACGATGCAATGCTTGCTTTGGTGCGGCTAGATGCAGAAGACATAGGACGCATAAGGGTGCGGCTGGCGGCTGTTATGTCGGATAATAACTTCTATCTGCTTAGTCAAATAAATGGTGTTCGTCTTCGCACAGAGTACGAATTTCCTAGTCGCTTCCTAGTTCCTAGTGTAGATTTAACTTCATCCAGCTAGCAAAAGCCTCTTGTTTGCAAGCTTCGGGTTGGACAGTTGTAGTTTGGATGTACGGACATGGGTACTAATAGTTCAGGGGGCGTCATCACCTCCTCCATGTCACGTCAAGGCGGGACCTTACTTTATCAAAAAGGGGAAACCAAAAAACTCAAACCGTAGGATTCCTACCGTTGTTCACTGTGGAAAAGTGGGCCATTGTATGTTATGCAAAAAATGCAAAAAGTGAGATGCGTACGTGGTTATTGGCACATGCATGGCTAGATAGAGACAGCGGCAGAAGTGGAGGCGTACTATTGCAACTTCCAAGCAAAGCAACGTTTCGTGTCTTCAGTACATAGCCACATACTGGATGGTGACACCGTACGTAAAATGTCGTACACGCCACGGCAGTCGTATACCCATACACGCTTGGCCCGCAGATATATAGCGACGAGCCCCTTCGAGGGCGCCTCATGGTTGGTATGGGTTACTGCCTCTTATCAATGTTACGGTGTATGCCCTTGGGTCGGTGCGGCTGCCATGAGGTTCATGCGCCAAGGGAAAAACTTTAAATAAAAAATGGTCTGCGGGTGTATGGTGCATAAGTGTGGTGCATGTATCTCCTAGATAGCCTTGTGTTTGCATTTTAGGTTGACTGCTGCCTGTATGTACATGAGGCAGCATCTGGCAATCCCCAGCATACCCTAGATCGACTGGTACCTTGGGGGCTTGCAAGAAGGGTCCGCATTGAAATCGCCCAGGACCACAACTGCCATGTCCTCCCTGTAGCTGGCAGTCGGGACGTCACCGGTAAAAGCGGCCTCCACAAGTGATGACAGGTGTGATAGTTCCCATTTCAGTTGTGCTGCGTTGCCTGCAGCTCCAACCAGCGTTAGGGCTGTCAAGTGGCAGTTGATGAGCAGCAAACGACGGCCGTTGCAGCTGAACAGGCCGTAGAATGGTGAGCGCCCGAAGGAGCGTTTATCCTTCTTTCCTACCACTGCCATTGCCTCTACCATTTCCGGTTTTAGGCGGAAGAAGGAGTCTGTTAAGCGGTCGGGCATCATGGGCCTCACATCTGGCAGGTCCCAAAATATCTCCTCTTTACTGGTAGCTTTGAGGAACCTCAAGCCCTCAACTGGCCTGGCGGGGTTCCTCTCCTTCCACAGGAATGCTGCAAGCTCTGTCCGTTGTCTTGTGCTGTTGGGTTTCTCGAGGTTCTCCGAGGCTTGGCACTTCCATATGTAATCTGTCGGCTCAAAAGGAAGTGAAACCTCAAGTCAGTGGATAGATTATGCAGAGTGCATAGCATTTCACGATGTGCATGCTGTAGGCTCCCCACAGAGCGTTTACAGCATGTGCGGGGCAAATCCAGAAAATCAACTATGCTATCTGTGTTGCTCAGTATTCCTGAGTTATCTACACATACACGCTAGGCTGTGTATGTCGACACACCTGGCCTCTCCCTGACAGTCCATGTGTTCAGCTGCCCGCAGATTTGCTCAGCAACCTCAAGGCGCTTGAATTCCTGGATGTTGCTCGCAATTACATCATTGGGAGGCAGGGAGGTTAGTGTTACACTTGCGGCCAGGTAAGTTTATGGGTTTTAAGGCTGGGTTCCCTTAGTTCCGGCGGTGCATATGATGGAACACCCCTTGGTGACTTGAGTAGACATCTGGTCCTCCTCTAGACCTATGTAGCGGTGTAGTCCTACCTGGTAAGGATCTTGGCATAGGTAGGGACCTTTTAAAGACAATCAACCGCTTTGCTCTGTACCCATCCTACTGTATGTATCTTGACCCATTATTGAGGCATTACCCCAACAAAAAATTGTATCCGCCAAACCGGATTATTGATCTCGAAGGCCTGCCTATGCATGCTATGGGTGCAGTACATGTCCAGGACTGCGATGGCAATCATGCAACCCGTTCTGCTGGCATCAGAAACGCGGAAAGGGGTATAGGCAGGCCAAAAAGGTGCGGCCCCATTTTCCTATAGCCTAAGTAACCTGCAGCCGTATACCCCAACCGCTGCCCACCTGTAGCGCCACGATGTGCGCCTTGCTGTCGTGTATAGTCAGCGCAATGTAGAACAGCTTCTCGCGCCAGAGTTCGGACTTCTGTTCTTGTTGTTGGCTTTGCGCCCCCCCTTCCACAGATGGCGGTGCTGCGTATGTCATGTTCTGCATAGCAAAAGGAAGGAAGAGCGTCCCATTCACAACAGCATGAGTCGTATTTATCATCTAAGGTGGGCTCTTTTTGCAATCCATGGCCCCATAACCCTCCCCAACCCACACTGTACGCAAGCGAGGAAAGATAAGCAGCTGGTCACTCCAATTACCATACATGTGCACAATTGGACGAGAGCCATGGCTGCTGTAGTACAGCGGTTCCCGGGAAGAGAACACAGGGAAATAAACCCACCGGTCAAGCCCACAATGGGAGAGCACCATTGTATCAGTGCCGTACCTTCACATTGAATGTAGCAATCCGAACAGTTTGTCTCGTACCGATGTGTTGAAGTGCCTTCATAAGATCAGTCGTCACAACATGACTGGGGACAGTTTCGGGCTTGAATTTGGAATTACAAAGCGGGCAGTGCTTTTCCGCTGTCGACTGGGCTGGAAGTACTGGTTTGAGCTCTGTCGTTTGTGAGGATGGAGATGACAAGCTTGGGCTTGAATGCTGCTTGTGAGGGGTGGTGATGGGGGTGCTTGATGTAAAGCTACTGGCACCCGTAGTAAATGGGACGCTAGCTCTGCTGCTGCTTGAAGGGTCACCGCTACTAGTGGAGGTTGTGGCCATGGTAGAGGTCGGTGCCTGACGAGCTGCTGGTAGGCTGCTAGCATACTTGACTACATCCACCAGGATGGGCTGATGGCAACTGAGCATGTGGGAAAACATGCAATCATCACAGGAAATTTCGCATGTAACGTTGCTTCGGACCATAGACTGTTTCGAAGCAGATGACGCCGACTGCTTGAAGACAGCACAGCATAGATTGCAGCTTTCGCCAGACATGCGCCAGAGCTCCTTAAGCAATTTGCCAAGCAGCTTTCTCTGTTCATTACTTATCAAGGAACCCCAAAGGTGCTGATGAACGGCATCCTTAATGATATGTTCCACTATATCCGAGTCCTCCAGCCGCTCCAGGACTTTCTCGCATAGCGGACATTTGCGTCGTCGCAGGCCAATATTAACCGACTCTTCGCTGTCCCTATCATCTCTTTGGAAAGCATCGCTAGGCTGTTCTACATGCCCGGGTGTCGTGGCGAAAGTCGATGTACTAGCAGCCCTGCCGTCGGTCTGGCTGTTAGCGCAGTCCTCACTCATCGTCGGTACCGCCAACAGTAGCACTTTAAGCTATGCCTCACTATTAGAACGTCTCATGCATTCCGGGCTAAAGTTAAGGCCTTGATGATGGCCTACAGTAGCTATTGGTGTTCGTGAGCTGAACCTCTTTAGTTTTTGCGTTATGCTTTTAAGAGCCAAATGTAGATGCTAGCTGCACTACCCCATTGGTGCAGTAAGAAACGCCCACCATGCTCCTTGGCGTACGAGCAGCGGGGGCTTGCGATTGGGGCAATGTCATAGTAGTACATTGCGTAATTGTGCGCGGCTGGTTGTCACAGGTAGTGTAACCTCGGAATGTTGATGTACGAGTATCGTTTTCTGTAACAAGGCCAAATTGCATTTTGTAGGGACGAGCGACACTAGTGATGATGCCCATGAACTCGGGAGGCTTTCCGCAGTGCTGAAGGTGGTTGTGTTGATGTCCTTTTGTTGCTGTGGCTTTTCAAGAGTTATGTTGGTAACTTTTTGCGAAAGTTGAGTTGGCCCCTGTCGTACATGTCGTGCTGTTGCCGGATCCTAAGAGTTGTAGAGACGAATTTGACGCACAAAACCTTCATATTCATGTGTGTTGGCATCCTCTGTAACGACTAGCTCACCTAACACATATGAACGGAGCTTCGGTCAAATCTGCTCCCTGCAAAGCACTGGAATTCCAACATCAACGACCTGGCCCGGACACAAACAACCCACACACGCTAGCCAACGGCTACACATGACACACAGCTCACATGAACACAACGCAAAAAACACCAAAAGAATGTGCACACCAACATGAGCGAACCAGGCCGCAAAGGCATCGTACATCTGCGAGCAGGCGAGCCAACTTGGTTCGCTTCGAACTAAAAAATATAAAGCAGGACCTTGAGGGCACGCCTCCGTCACGAACGCGTTCGTGAACTAGTAGTATTCGCGTAAGTCACACAAATTGTGTGAGATAGACCGTACTATGGGTGCCCGTGCTCGGGCACGCCAACCCTGAAGCCTACAACACTTAGCAAATTCACGAAAATCGTCGAACAGGATACAAACACAAACGGGTGGGTACAAGGCCTTCGTGAACGCCATTGCCTAGCATCAAATATGTTTCAACCTAACACGCATTTGCCAAAGGTTAAACTTCTAGGCTATCCTTTGAAATGACGTTTTGCGGTGTCATGCCATTGGAGTGCTGCATGACCCTCGCTGCATGCCTCAGTCCGCCTATTGTTGCGTGTTTCAATTAGTTAGGTGGCATCCCCCGCATCACGAAGCGTAGCCTTGTCTTTGGAACTCGTTGGTGCCCTTCTGTGCCCCCTTACAGTCATTCCACCATCTTTCCAGGCCCGTTCATTCTAATTCAGGAATGTAACCGGTCAAACGTCCAAGATTACAGTGTAAGGACTGCCCTGCTTGCCGGCACCCGCCAAGCGCCCTTCGTTTGTAGGCAAAACCCTGAACGCGATCGCAAGCATTGTGTATATTCAGCAGCTGAGCCCCAAACTTACCTGATTAAAAGCTGTTATGCACGGGGTATGGTGCCCGCACTCTGACCCGTGGGTCGCTTGCGAGTCTTGGTAAGGATCCTCAACACCAGTACCCCGTTTGCTGCCCTGCAGTGATCGCCTATAACACGCTTGCAGGACAGAGTTGCGCAGTGTGCAGTGGAAAAGTGCCCACCTGCAGCAATAAAAGGCTTGCGAGCTTGATCCTTGCAATATGGGGCTGTCCCCATGCCGTGCACCGTTACCGGCTTGCGCAATGCACCGGCAAATGTGTGAGGTGGTTTTGCGCATGTATGGCTTTATTGTTCTGGGTGTAATCCAATCCCGGTCTGGTTGGCACGTACAGCTGTCGGTGCTCTTAGGCCGCGCAGACCACAGATTCAGGGCTTTGCTATATCTGCTCATAACATGTGCAAGAATGCAGGACAGCGGGTGGGCTCTGAGCAGTCCATCAGGTCAGTCCCGAGCCGACGAGGAAGGCCGACCATCCTGGAACACCACCAAACGACCACCAAGTAACAATTGCAACACCACCGGCACGCATGCAAGGGCACCAATTGTCGCGCGGCGCCGATCCCACCTAATGCCACCTAATTGTTCCTGGCCGCAGCGGAGTTCCCGCATGTCCAGTCGCTCACATCCCAATTCCTGGTCTTTCATTTCGCCAGCCGGGTCTGGTTGGTCTGGTTGGCGGAGGGCGGCTGCGGTGCGCGCATGTTTGCAAGGATCACTTCCGCAGCCCGGCCCTTCAAGTTACAGAGCCAGGTGTCGAGTATGAACGGTTGTTAAGAGCGAGGACATCACTAAACTGTCCCAATGGACGAAAGTCCCATGCCACACCTCACCCATGCCATGCCGCTCGCCCATGCAAGGGAGGAGTTGCTTAACCCCATCCTGAGCCGACGGCATCTGCATTGTTGGGCTGTTTGGTGTCCAAGTGATGCGGTTATCGTGCTCCAACCATGCATTTGCAAAATTATGGTTTCAGAGCAGGTCGGTTGGTTGCCTGTACAGAGCAAGCGTTTTTAATTCGTAGACACCTTTAGTTCTCTTCATGGTTATATTGCTAATTCAGGGGTTTACCGGTAGTTGCCAACGTTCACGTATTTGTCTGCTGGTCGTTCCGTGCAGCGAGCAGATCTTGTACAGTCTTTGACCTCGGATTGCGCCTGGTCGGCGCTTTTCATGGCCTCTGTGATGCTTTCCCGCATGGTGGGATCCCATGTACTCGCCGCAGAGTTACACAAAGCATATCAGACACGTACTGAGCAATGAATAATGTTGTGCATAGCGCTGTCACCGCTGTGTAGCATTAGCCGGTCTGATCCACCCTATCGCATGGCACCTTGTTAGTACATCCGGCTTAGCGCCAGCATTCGGGAAAGCAGGGCCGAGGCCGCCGGCCTACGTCGGGCCTCTGCGCCGTCGCGGCGCGTCGTACCGCTTATGGAATCGCCAGCGTTTATAGGGGTTACCGGGCGGCGCAATTGTCTGCCATATCTCAAAGTCCGGAGTGTCGCCGTAAAGACAACATCACAACGGGCCAGCAGAAAACAAGAAACAGAGCCGAAAAGAGACCACAAGGTAAGAAGAAAACGAGGGTAGAAGCCAAGAAATGGCCCCTCAGCCAAAACCTCTGCAATCAAACACTGCCGGTAGGTCAAAACGCCTCCAAACCAGACCACAACAACAACGACCGAAAACACAGAACCCCGACAGAGACAGCAGAGCGTGCAAACGCCAGAGGAGCCCAGCAGGACATCCTACCTCCAAAACTCAAAACGGGGCAGAAACAGAACACTCGACCAAACGCAGAAAGCCGCCCACAAAAAACACGCAAGAACGGTGTTAGCGTGGGACCCCATGTTGCTGCTTTGCTTGCTTCAGCCCTGGGGTTTGACACGGTAGTCATGCGGGGCAGGCTGCACACGACAGCTGGGCGGCAGCACGGGGGGCCCAGAGGAACGGGGCTGGTGGTCCGTTGTGGAGGTGGTTGTGATGGAGGGGTGACGGCGACTGCGGTATGTTTCGGTCCGCAACTGCAGAATAGGTGTGCTGGCGACGCCAGCAATATCCTCGTCGTAACGTACTTGTCATGTTTTGCATATGTCTTTCGCAGCGGCCGGCAGTCTTCGCAAGAATGTCTGATGTGGTTTTCCGGGACATTTCCACCACCTGGCATACTTGCACCGGATGCGGTCACGTTTTGTTACCGAGTACAGCAGGGCCAGCACAGAAGCGTGCAGTAAGTTGTCTGCATTAGGCAAAGCAGCCCCTACGATACCAACAGCCACCGGCTTCCTTGCAACGTACGCTACCCCACAGACATGGGCCAGCACGTACCCAGCGCTCGCTTAGCCAGGTCATCTTCATATCGCTGCTTAATAACAACGCCCGCATTGCTCCGACACACCACTAGCCAAGCCTGTGCCTTAATACAAACATGCATGGCCCTTCCAGCCACTCCCTACCTACTGACGGGTCCCCCACCACAACAAAGGCTCCCAACAACTCCACCATCCTCGGCGGTCTCTTACGTTCTTCAACCCACTTTCATCACTAACCACCACCACCAACAGAACTGCATACGGCCGCCGCTTGAAACACAGCAATTAGACAAACCCCAGACATGGCGTCGCCCCAGCTCTAGCCACCCCGCCTTACTTCGCCGCGCTTCAGTACGGGCTGTGTACACACTGCGGACTCACGCCGTACGCAAAGCCCTCACATGTCTGCCGGGTTGGCGGTGGCGCCCGTCTCGTAGCGGGGGCCAGAGTGCACCGTGCCCTGGGCGTGCGGCAGGGAGGGGTGCGCATAGGCGTGCACATGTGCAATTGTGCATGGATGCTCACGGACGCTTGGAACTACTGGAGCAAGGGCGGCGCAGAAACAGGTTATCTATGGGCGCCTGCTCTGCTGCACGGGCCAGCCCCATGCTCGCCATGCATGCCTCCAGCACACCACCACCATCGCCCAATACACATACACATACCGGTACCGGCAGTTCTGTTACCGCGGGTAACGCGCCCACGCACCTGGGTGGGCAGGTTGTACTCGAAGGGGCGGGTGCGGTTGTCGAACACGCCCATGTTGTAGCCCTTGTCGTCCGACTTGATCTGGGGGAGGTCGGCGGGAGGTGGGTGAGCGAGAGGTATGAAATAGAGTGAGTTAGTGGCGAGGCTCTAAGATTTCGAGCAGGGGAGGTTACTGGTAAGCGGGAATGAGCGTCGCTGCCGTATATGATAACGAAGATGGGCTGGTGCACTCGAATTACTGAAGGCGAGTGCGCCGACGACAGCATCAAGGGGAGCACAAGTAAGAAGGCAACTGGCGTTCCGTTGGTAAGAGCAGGGCAGGACAGGGGCAGGACAGCTCACAGCAGACTAGCAGCGGGTAGCAGACTGCCGCAGTGCTCGTCATCACCTGGGCGATGCGGTAGAAGAAGCTGGGGCGGCGGTACGCCTCCACCATCGCAAACTGCTTGTCGGGGTCACGACGGACCTCCACGCTGGGGCTGCGACGCGGGGAGGAGGAGGAGCAGGACAGGCAGGATCGGTGGGTCAGCCGATGAGAGGAGCGACCCATGCATGGGTCAACCAATGCCAACATGAGGTGAACTTTGCGCTAGAGCTCTGCTGAAATAACAATGAGCGTGCCATCGAGGCCTGTATTGATGTGAGAACCGTGTGTGCGAAGGCAGCCGTGGAGGCAAGGGGCCGGCCGTTCGTGCAGCAGGCCTGCCTGTACAGCAGCTAGCTACCGTAGTAATAGCCCCAGCCACTCACAATGCCTCCCCAGACACGGTGAAGTTCTCCCGGTGGAAGGTGTACAGCCCCATGGCAATGGCGCCGGCAGCCAGACCGGCGAGCACGGCAACCTGGTGCATGCGTAAAGAGGTTGGAGATTGGCAGGCAAGAAGTTGAGATCAAACGTAAATGACGTGTTCCAGAATCATTGCGGAATGGAAATCTTTGATATGGTTCATAGATGGTTTGTGCACAACCGGGGATAGTAAGGACGCCCGACGCGTAAGTTCGCTGCACACAGACCTGCGTCACAAGCGAACATAGACCGAAAACGAGACAGAACGACCCGTGGGTCGTTTCAACTGTCAAGCATCCGGCGGCTGCCGCGAAGAGGCCTAACAGAGCGCGCAAAAGGCTCAGGTCGCAGGGGCAACCAGCCGACAGCTATCTGCCGCTCACAATGCTGCCAAGCCGCTCATTTGCAAAGACAAGCTACAGGCCGTCGAGTGTCTTTCGTCTTTCGGCTGCTACGCGCTCCTAAGCGCCTTGAAGCGCCCTTTTCGCGACTCCTCCTACGCACTCCGCACCTCTGGGATGTCTCTTAGCGCCGTCCACATCTTGGCCATTGTCCACAGCCGCCGACCGGAATAAGGCGAGGTGGGCGGCATCTTTCTGCTATTCAGAGCCGAGTGGCTCTACGACTACGTTAGGGTAGAACACCAAGGAGTAGCGCCGCTAGTGATCAATAGACGCTTATGGTTTGTGGTTAGTCAAATGTTCTAGTAGATGTGCTGAGGAAAGGCAGATATGGGGCTTTGATTGCTAGAGCAGGGGATCTACTCGTCCAAGGCGGCATTTGCGCCTTTGGGGTGACCGTTGGCTGACGTGGCGCCGTAGTTTCCCCAAACCAGCAAACACTCTGCCAAGTAGCTACACGACTCTTTCAATGGCGATCATAAATAAGCACAACTGGAATTTTACAAGGCCACTATTCAGTGCAAGGTGTCAAGGAAGGCGTGATCATCGAGTGTCTTTCCTCGCAGGATCCTTCTTAGTAGTTCAGGACATCCACAAAGCGGTCGCTTCTGGTGCGTCGAAATGGCATATTCGCACCAACCTCCAATCCATTCCCTGGCGCGACGTCGTCACCCTTGGGGCGGCGCGGTCGACCGCTGCGAAGCGACCTTTGTATCCATGCTAGGATGCCTAACCGTTACATGCAGAGCTACACCTGGCAAGCGACAGCTGCCTCCTCAGCTTGGGGAAATGGCGTACTGGGGCCCGCTGCTGCTGCGAGTGCTACAATATGCTCCTGCTTCGGGGTCGCACCAGCACATGCAAGTACCGAGCCCCTTTATGCCGCAAAACGACAACACACCTAGATTCCACGATCCAACCTTCAGTTAAAAAAACCAGTTTCTCGTGTTAAGCAACGTGCGTACGTGTGACTTTGCCTGGCTTGCGCTGCCTGGGCAATGGACCCCTGGGACTTTGCCGTACAGGGTTTACATGCAAATTGATTACGCGTTACAGGAGGCAGGATGGCGGATTGCTTGTTAGGTGTCATCAATCGAAGGGTACATCTCTTAAGGAACATGTCCATCTACGTGCGCACGGGGGCAGTTTCGAGCCACGCATGGGGACCATCCGTGGGGTTCGGACACGATACGGCGGCTGTGTCAATCAATGGCAAAGGACAAAGGCACGTAAGGAATGCTGAAGCACCACCAATCTGTACGGCAGACCTATACGCAAGACGGTGGCATGATATCAACAATGCCTACAAGCATGAGCCATCCATTCTAGGTTCTATCCTAAATTGGGGTCGTTCCGTACAGTGGTACAGTCGAGCCTCCCTCCTATCATTCTCATTGAAAGCCAAGAATAAGCCAACAGTCACAAACCTCGCATTCCTGGAGTTGCGGAATTGCATCAAGCCCCATCCGCAATGGTCTTCGCAGGTCTTCAAACAGATGTCATCAAGGAGGAAATCTTCACACGTGAAGAGTTCGTGCTTCCAAGCAACGGTACCTGCTCACAGCCCTTCTCCACGTTCCGAACGTCAACACCACCCAACAGAAGTACAGAACTGATACACCATATACAAACGCAGGGATCCGCATGGGGAATCCGCAACCCCCCTAACTAACTGCAATCACTAACTGCAAAACCGCCGCAAACATTGCACGAAAATCGCAGTACGTCCTCTTGCACACGACAGACGCGCCTGCCACGGGAAGCATGCGCAGCAGAGTCATGTAACGTCTAACCAATCTCCGCGAAAGCAACACTCATTCTACCCCAGCGCTATTGGATGACTCTTGAACGTAATGCCATGGAGCTGACAGTAGTCCTCATGGCATATGACAGTGCAACAAGGACAGTTGTGGATATTTGAAATGATTGCCGCAAGCATGAAGATTACCCATTCTATGTGTAAGCTACAGCAGCTTACGCCTACGTGCAACATATGCCTAATCCCTGAAATATATACACCTAACACGTTAAACGCAGTCTGCAATCGTAAATGTACCCCTGTTGCAGTACATCCTCAATCACCGCCGCCGAGGCACCGTTGCTGCACCATAGCAATACGCAGCGCTCATCTCTCATCCAAGCAAAAGCTGTTTAACAGTATCCTCCCTCCACCGTTCACACGGCATGGTATTTCTTCTTCTTTCCCTCCACCATTCGTGCCCTCATCTATCACCGCCAGGCCTGATACCCAGCTGGTTTCCACCAGTATTCCCCACATCCACAGTCAGAGCCTCACTGGCAGCAGGAGTAGCAGCAGCAGCTGCAGCAGCCCCAACATCAGCCTTTTGCCTCTCTCCGTTCCCGCTTCCATTTCCAGCCGCTCCCCCGCCCGCACCCCCATCCCGCGACACCGCCGCCCGCGCCCCCGCAACTTCCGCTGCAGCTCGCATGGCCATCGCATACGGGTACCTACACACGCCTTCCTCCCATGCAGGCAGTTCAAACAACAGATCCACCAGCAGCAGCAATGTGCCGCACAAGCAGGCCGCGTTGCATGCCAGGAACACCCACGGGTAGGGTACGGCATCCACGCCCCACCGGTACCCCATGCCGTAGCATGACCCCGCAAACACCGCCAACGGCACGCACATCACCCATGCACCCACGTGGGAGTGAAGCCCGAGGAACAGCCCCGCAGCCAGCCGGATGGATGCCATACGGCGCTCCAAAGAGCTGCTGCTGCTGCTGTTGCCGCCTGCGGTGCTGCTGCCGTTAGGCATGGCGGCGCCACCAAGCCTCCGCCTCTGCCACCATCCGCGCACCGACGCCAAGGCTCGACGCATGGCCGCAATGCAGGTGCAGCTCCAACGATATGCACTGTGTACGGCAATCGCTAGCGCCGTCGGCAGCGCCAGCAGGCCCACCAGTGGCGCCGCCGCAATGCTCCACAACAGTACGGCACCACAGCTCGAGGCTATGTGACGGCAGCGACCCCTCCAGTCCAAACCAGGCTTGCCCAGGCTGTAGTCCCGCAGGTACTTGTTTACCACGAGCAAAGCGGCAGGGCGTAACGCCGGCATGCGGCCCGAGGGCGGTCCCCTGCTGCCGCCGCCGCCGGCACCTCCTGCGCCCATGCTGCCCTCCCCGCTCCCGCCTGTGTTGCTGCGGGTTTGCCTAGAGGCGGTTGGGTTTAATGTACGAGCAGCCTCTCCCAGTACGGTAACGTTACCGATTGTTCGGGAAGGTGTAGAATCCGACGCTGCCACCGCCGCCGCTGCTGCCGCAGACGGCATTTTGGGTCCTGGTGAAGCGGTCTGGGCTAAGGAGGGCTCCGCTGGCAGACCCATGGGTCGCCCTCCCGACGCAGTCATCGCATTGAGTGCGGCCAGAACGTTAAGCTGGTTCTCCACCCATGCGTTGTTGCTGCGCATGCGGCTTGTGACGCTGGTAGTAGCTGCGAAGGAGTCCGCGCTGGCGCCCACAGCCGGCCCTCCTCCTCCAGTGACGCTGCTGCCGCCATTCGCTTTCAGCGCAGCGGACGAGGAGGCTTGCCGAGAAGGCAGTGCGGAGTAGCCGGGCGCGCCCGCGGTCGCTGCATATGCACCGGTTGGTGCAGCAGCGCGCAGCGAGCGATTGCCGCTATTAGATGATGGCGGTCGGGAACCGGAGTGCGGCCGCGAAGCCGGCGGCTGGCCGTCCCACATCGGCAGGGCCCGCGGCGCGCCGGCCGACACGGGCGGGGCACCGCTGCTTTCACCTGCTGCGACCAATGCTGCCGTAAACCTGGCCTGCAATGCTGCGGGAGTCGCAGCAGCGGAACCATGCGGGGGTAGCGCAGCAGGGAGCTGCGGAGCGCCAGCAAGGCCAGCCGGGACAGCAGTTCCGGCATCCCCATCCGCTTCGGCGCCACCGGCAGAGCGCTCCAAAGCGCTGTGGAAGCGGACCCCACGTGACCCATGGGCCGTCGGGGATGCTGCGGAGACCGAGTGCACCAGTGCACGGCCCGGCGGCGGCAACAGCGGTGCTACTGCCGGAGGTGCTGCTGCCGGTGTGGGTCCCACGGAGGCGTCTGGTGCTCCTGCTTCACTCATCACCGGAAGACCCATGGGTCCACCGAATGCCGAAGGTAATGAGGATTGTGCGGGGTGAGATTGCATGGCGGATCCCACGCTTGCGCCCATGATGCTTGGATCCAGGGGACTGGGGCCACGTCCGGGAAGTGTTGGGTGTTCGGACCTGCTATCTGTCGCGAGTGCGATGGAGGAGGGATCAGCGCTGGCAACATCCCCGCTGTACGCAGACTCTCCAACCGGCCCGGGCTCGGGGCCCGCTGCACTCTTCGCTGCTGCTGCCAAAGTGCGTAGGCAGTGTGGGGCCTGATTGGCCCTCTGGCGCGCAGTTGCCGAGGTGGCGGTGACAGAGGCCGCTCTGCAGGTTTGCTGCATGGGATTGAAGTGTCCGAGTCCGCGTGTCCATGGAGCTGTATTCAAACCGTTGGCATGCCGCGGCTTTGAAGAGGTGTTGAAGTGTGCTGGGCCAGGTAGAGCCCCAGGCAAGTCAAACTCGACTTCCGGGGATGCTTCTTGGGATGAAGGATCGGATGGCGGCTCCCAGAGCGATCGGCCTGCCGTTTGGGGAACGCGTAGAGCACGAGGAGTCGGACAAGGTTCAGGTCGAGCAGAAGGCAGAGGGCGCACACAGGCAAACATAACGACCCACTTTTAATCCCTTTCAGCCCTCCGACATGCTTCCTTGTCCCACGAGGCAGTTCGCAAATCCGGCAGCTCATCTTACCCCTCTACATGCACACTACATTCCCGCCATCCCTCCTTACCCTGTCCGTCATGCAAGCCGCCCCTACCACCGCGTGCAGCCAGAAGGCCCCAAGCGGCAGCCACACCCAGGCTATGACCCAAGCGGCCACCACCGCCCCTCGCCTCCGCCTCCTCCATCACCAGCGCCGCTGCAGCCGCCTCCCGCTGCTGCTGCTCCTCCACCGCCTCCGCCACCGGGCCCGCCTTAGAGCCTTGCTGTCCCTCTGCAGCGCCCGCAGCTCCCGAGGTAGTCGGGGTAGCACCGGAGGTACCTCCCGCCGTATCTCTTCCACTGCTGCTCTGAATGGGCGTGCTGGTGCGAGCTGCAACAGCGTTGGCACCGCCACCGCCAGCGGAACTGCCTTCCTCTACCGCACGACCACCACCACCACCGCCACCGCTGCTACGGCTGGGAGACGAGTAGCCGTTACCTCGGCTCGCATTCGCACCCAGTGGCGACGGAGCCCAACTGCCGGTACCCGTCATCGCCGATGCCGCTTTCCGTACAACGCCTCCTCCTCTTCCTGGGGAGCCGGGACTGCTCGCCTGGCTTCGGGGCAACGTCGGCGAGCCCGCTGCTGACGGCGGCATGGCCGCTGACGGCGGCGGCGTCGTACGAGGGCTGCCGTTGTGGCTGTTGCTGACGCTGGCGTTACGGCTGCCTCCGCGACTGCCGCTGCAGCCGCCGCTAGCGGAACTGCCGGGCCCTGCGCGCGCGGCTGGGGATGCTAGCAAGACGCCAATGGTTGATGCCAGATTGGCATGGGGCGAGGCGGCTAGGGCGGCGGTCGGCTGGGAGGGTGAGGAGGGCAGGCGGCTGATCATTAGCGGGACGGGGCTTTCCGCGCCGGTGCGAACCTTTTGAAGTCCGCTGACCCAACGCTCCGGCTCGCCTGCTCGGTTCGGGCTGGGGCTGGAGTTGCTGACGGGCCCTGGTGCTGCTGGTGCTGGTGCGGATGATGGCGGTGGCGGGTTGCCGCCGCCGCTGGTGCTGTTGCTGACGACGGTAGGGCTGCTGTCGCTGCTGGGAAGGTTTGCTTCTCCGCGCCGGACAGTGGTGGCTGTTTGGGCGCCAACACTATCGCAGCAGCCGGAAACCAACGAGTCCTCTTCTGTGGATGCGCTGGGTGAGGGAGTGGCGGTGTTGCACGACGGGGAGGTCGTACAGCCTGTCTGTACGACACTACTGGGGTTGTTACCGCCGTTATTATTAACGCTGCCAGTCGCAGCTGCCGTGGCCGCTGCTTGCGCTTGTTTAGACATGGTCTCCGCCAATTGCCGTACAGCCCGCATGAGGAAGAGTGTCGTACCAAGCGCGATCAACGGCAGTACCAACGGTATGATGTACAAGTACGACAAACAGGAGATGACGTCCTTGCAGTACGACACACGTTGTGGGCGTGACATGGCGTATGTAAGCCCCGCTGCACTGATGTGTACGGCAACCGCAACGGTTGCTCGTACGAGCGGCATCCACGGGATACCGAAGAACAGCCAATGGACAGCTGTTGAGACTGCATTAGTCACATGGGATCCGATAAGGCTTAGACGTCGGGCCGCACGGCGCGAGTAAGCTCGAGCGTGGGCTACAATGATGATTCGGGCCATGCTTCGGGACGAAGCGAGGGCGTGAGCGGCGGGTATGGTGGAGGGCGTTGGTATACCAGTTGTATAGCGGTCCTGTGCAGGGAAGGAAGTAGGGCGGTGGACATGCTGAACATGCGAAATGGAAGCAATGCGCCCTTGTCGCATTTTACGCACATTCCTGGGGACCGCTCCCAACCAAACCCTGCATGCTGCGACCCAACCTCAGCGTCGCAGCCCCCTGCAGCAGCCCGCCACAGACCGCTCACCTCCTCGCTCGCTCCGCCTCCGCTGCCCTCCCTGCCGCCGGCCGCTCCCTCATCCGGAATCCGCACCTCCAGGGCACCCCCTCGCGGGAAGCCGCCGCCACCACCACCACTACTAGCACCACCACCGCCGGCACTCGCAGCAGGTCCCGCATCCTTGCTGCTGCTGCCTCCACCGCCGCCGCTGTTGCTCCTGCTGCTCCCACTGGCTACCACGCCCTCAGACCTGTCTCCCCTTCCTGACCGCCTCTCCCCTGACTCCAGACCACCAGCTCCCTCACCTCCTCCTGCTCCTCCTCCGCTGCTGCTGCCGCCGCCTGCCGCTCTTCCCGCCGGTGCAGCTGCCACAGTGGCACCAGCAGCACCGGCACCGCCACCACTGGCACCCCCACCTCCCACCCCTCCACTCGTTTGCGTGGACATGCGACTGGGAGGCGCCTTCTGAGCTGACGTGGTCGCAGCAGAGCCGCTGGGCACCCTGCTGGCCGCTCTGCTGCTGCTGCTGCGACTGGCCGTGGAGTTGTTCGACGCTTTCTTCGTAACCGTGTTCAACGGAACGACCTTCCGGCTGGTCCAACGCAACATGAGTAAGCCATGCACCGCCGCCGCCACCAGCGCAGACACCGCACATGCGCCGAAGGAACCCCAGAGCCATAGCAGTTCCGGTAGCGGTTGGAATGTCGTACATGCGTTTTCGCGGATGCCGAAATGCAGTTGCGGCCGTACGGCAACAGCGTAACCGGCGGAGGCGCCACCGGGTGTCATGAGATGTGGATTGCCGTACAATAGTACGGTAAAACCGTACGGCGTGCCGTCTGGTCCGCTGGTAACATTGCGGACGCGCTGTGCCTGCTCACGGTTCCATGCGATACCCGTCAACGAACAACCGTCACTGCCGTAAATGTATGATGTAGGGTACGACAGCCAGAAAGCGTAGGCGCCGCTGATTGCGGTGGTTATGACAACCGTCGTCGTAGTTGTGGATCCAGAGGGAGTGCTACTGCTGCTGCTAGAGTTGCTGCTGCTGCTGTCCTGCGTTTTTGCGGTGAGGGAGGGCGGTCCTTCCTTGCTGCCACCGCCTCCTAAAGCCGTTACCGCCCGGAGCGAAGCAGCACCTAGCGCCGCTACTGCACCAGCAAATCCGCCGGTCCCAAGACTGCCGACACCGCTGCCAGTTGCGCCCAAGGACTCGTCAGCATCACCCAACAGACGCCGCCGCCCAGTCGCCGCCGTAATGGCAGACCAGTCGACTGATGCAGGCGTTATGGAACAGGCGCTAGACAGCCAACTGTCAGGAAGATCTCCGCGAATGTCATTGTAGCTCAGGTCAAGGATTCGACCACAACCGCCGTACCGTTCAAAATTGTCCGTTAGCGGGCCGGTAATTCGGTTATGTGAGAGGTTAATGTACGACAGCGGAGGCGAGGGCCCAAAGGAGGCCGGCAGCGAGCCTGACAGCTGATTGGAGGAGAGGTCTAGGTGCTCCAGATTAGGCAACTGCAGCCATGTTGACATGGGCGGCAGCATGCCCGTTAGGTTGCAGCGGTTGATGACCAACCGCTTTAGCTGTGAGGAGTTACCCCAGGGCTGGGAGTACAGGCGGGAGAAGGAGGACATGGCACCGGAGGAGTTTTTGCTGCTGTTGGAAGAGGCATTGCTGGGAGGCGGTGGGAAGTTCCATAGGATCGCCGGGATCTGCGGTGGTGACGGAGGCGCCGGGGATGGAGCAGGCGGTGACGGTTGCGCGGGCTGGTTGGGCGGTGGTGCGTTTGCGGGGTGCGGCGAAGGAGGGTGCGGGGAGGCTGCAGCCGCTGGCGGCGGCTGTCCGTTGTTGGTGGTCGTTGTGGTAATGGTTGTGATGGTTACGTTGGTGCCGGGATCCATGCCGGCGGCTGAGAAGGCCATAACCAGGGGTTCTAGGAGGTAGGGTGCGTAGACCGGGATGGGGTCGGAGCAGGTGATGCTGAGGACCTCCAGTTGGCGGAAGATGCTGGCCGCTGCCACCGTGTGACCCATCTGAGAGGAGGGGAGGGAGCAAGGAGGAGGAGGGCAAGAGAGGGCTAGGAGCATGGGATTAAGGAGGGGCATTTGCGGGGGGCTGCAGGCGTCAGGAAGAAGCAGATATGCGATATATAGTTGCAAGGTTGTGGCAAGTTGCTACGTTGCGGGGCTGGTAGTGAGCGTACGTGGGGCTGGGAGGGAGTGCGGAGTATACGAAAGCTACACGCCTTGTTTGCGTGCTGTTCAGGTGGTAGGCCCCCGTGTAAGGGTACACAGGCAGGGGATGTTCTAGGCTAGAGCATTCCCCACCCATGCGGCCCGGGGGGTCTGGGGACCGAACCTGGAAGGCCTGTGACATGTCTTGCGGTTGCAGCAGCAGTTGAAAGGGGCGGTAGATGTACGTGTCTGGTTCTAAATTCGCCAAGTAGGTCGATATACTGGGCCATCTGCAGCCGAGAGTGCCGTTTCCGATGCAGCGAAGGCCCGTCGCCGACGCTGTTGCAGCATTGGAAAGCGGGAATGGCTCAAGGTCAATGACCCATCCGAGTTGCCCAACGCAGTCGCCGCCCTCGGATACAGCACATATGGAAGCCCGGGCTGTCACATCCAGGAGTGATAGGGGTATGGCTTGGCGCTGCGAGTCAGGCGATGGAGGCTGGGGAGGCGGTCGCGGTGCATGTGCCTGAGGCGGTGGCGCCCCGGAGCCTCCAGCGACGCAGAAGCTCCCTAAATACAAAGTAACTGAGTTAGTCTTCAGCAAAATTAGGCTTCGGCGCGTACAGCGCGTCAACTACTGACCTGCAAGCCATGTTAGAGCGACCAGCAGAAGCACATATTGGGGTGCAACAAACCGGCGACCCATGTCATCGTCTAGTGTACTGGCTTAGGCTTGCTGGCCTCGACCAGCGTCCCTGTTCCGTCCGCTGCCTGTCCCCGCCTTCATATTATGTTCAATTTCCTTTCCACAGAGGTAGAAATGACTTACACCTATGAGTAAGTTGGATTTGTGGTCAAAGCTTGGAGAGTTATGCAGCGCTATAAGTCCATTTTCCCTCATGCAGTACCTATCAGCTCTGGTACTAACCAATTCTTAGTAGCATTTTAACATGCAATATGTTAAAACCTGCTCAACCGCGCCTAACCACAAGTATAACAGGCTAGTGCGCAGCGTCACAGTCTACGACCCCGTATGCTTATGACAGCACCAAGATAAATAACAACACCTACATGTATTACGTGTATCGATCGGTGGCATCTGACCTACCAGTGGGCCATGGGCAGGATTACAGTAACTGTGAGAGGGTACGGCGCCATTCGTAACTCAATCTTAAGCCCTGTTTGCGATCGTTGCGACACGAAGGGCTATTTGGACACGCTTTGTGTTTCACTTTGCTGACATGCCTACCGCCGAGTGTATCCACTTGCATTGCTTAGTACCATGGGTAGCAAAGTAGGCGCAGCCGCAAACCTTAGCCACTCCGTTTGACAGCATAGCCGGTTCACTCTTATTTTACAAAGTAAACGCAAGAAGACTTCCTCGCCTCCGGGGCTGCGCGCAGCTTCTGGAGTTCGTTTCGTCCTTTCGGGCGCCCTGCGCTGCCAAATATTAGTGGGGCCGCTTACGTATGGCATCCAAGCAATTTTTAAGGCGGCTTCCGCTCCTCTCCAGAGGTAATGGCGCATAGATAAGGGGCTCGCTAGGCAGCTTCTCGGAGGAGACCTCTAACCTGGCCTTGCCTGCAGAGGGAGGCTTGCTCAACCAGTTCACCCCTGGTGCTCTTCCTGATGTCGCGAACGATGTTCTCCCTATCGTCGTGGCTTCCTCGGACTCGACGCCCAATGCACGGTGTGAATGACGCTTGACTGGGTTGCGTTATGTGGGCTGCAAGCAAGGCTTAACCTTTAAATTTACCGCGCGCATGTGTTGAACTTGTAGGTCGCCACCAAGCGCGCTGCCTGTGGCAAACAGCTCGGGGCAGATGCAGGTAGGTGACAAATATCCTGCGGCTTCTTTCCAAAGCGCACTGCTTCATGCCTCTCTTATTCGTGCTATATCTGTTTCTTTGTTAAAATATGTTTAGCCTAGTCCTTTTGGGTACCCAACCTTTCAACATTACTTACCATGCCTGCTGCAGAGGCCTGGAACGCTGCCTCATACCCTCGGGCGTTGGAGTCAGCGACTCTCCCACCTGCAGCCCCTTCAAAAGCCGTTAAGCACGCTTGGTTACTCGCCTGCTGCTGAGGCCACGCGCCCGACTTGGCCAGCACGCGTTGAGGCTGCTAAGGGGCCAACCAGCATTGCTGCGGCCACTTTACCTGCCATCGCGGGCATCCTAAAGCAGAAGCGCCCCGCCGCCGTGCGCGCCATTACCTTTGAACCCGATGCCAGCACCAGCGCTGAACCCAAGGAAGCTGCCGCTTCCGCTGCCAGCGGCGCTGCTGCGAAGAGGGCCACCACCGCCGCCGCCACCGCAGCGGCACCCGCCCCGACTCCAGCAGCCATCACCGCACCCGAGAGAACAACCGCCACCGCAGCCGGCGCTTCAACCACCGCCTCTTCCACAGTCCTGGCGCCCAGCTCACCCGTCCTACCGCTCCCTGAGCCGCCATCCCAGCAGCCCCAGCTGCTTCACTCTCAGCAGCCCCAGCAACCCCAGAACCAGCGCCGCGGCAGTCTGCCTCGCGGTGTCAACCCCGCTGGCAACTCCTCCATCCAGCTCAACAAACACATCATGGCCTGCCGTACCACCGAGGAGCTCCTCACCCTGGTGCAGCAGCGCGGCAGCCAGTTTGACTACTTCAACATCTCAACCGCCCTGGCGCGTGTGCCCAAACTAGCGGCAACGAGCGCAGGCGGAGGCGGAGGTGGAGGCGCTTCTCAGCAACCCAGCAGTGGCAGCAACAACCCGCAGCAGCTCATGTCGCAGCAGCACCAGCAGCCGCAACCGCACCAGCAGCTGCATCAGGTGGCTGCGGGCATTGCCTCCTCCGCTGCGGCCGCTGCATCGCTGCCCAGCGACCTGCATGTGGATGCTGCGGGCAGGGCGCTGCTGGAGGGGCTGGCTCAGCTGATGCTGGCACAGATTGACAGCTTTGATGCGCGGGGGCTGGCGAACTCGGTGGGTGCGGGGGAGGGCCGGGGTATGGTGGCATTAAAGGCATGGGGTTAGGGTTCTCGTTAGCATAAAAAACGCAATTGACATCATCACTTATGGAATTTTCGGCTGGATGTAGACGACTAGGGGGTGAAACAGTGTGTAGTCTGGGGACGTTTTGGGTCATCTAGTAACCAAAACAACCCGAGCTTTTGTTACTGACTGGTTACGAACTGAACTGGTCACTGCTGTTCTCTGTTGGCATGAGCGAGTGGCGAGCACGCAGGCGCAACACGAACTGACTCACCCCGCCCCTAGTTGTTTGCATTTCTTATATAATTTTCGCCCCTTCCCCACGCAGGCCTGGGCGTTCGGCAAGCTCAAGTATGTGCCCTCGGGCGGTCTGCCGGCGGTCATCGCCCAGGCGGCTCTCAAGCGCATGCACGAGTTCAGCCCCCAGAACCTGTCCAACCTCATCTGGAGCTTCGTCTACATGCACCACGCGGACGAGGAGCTGCTGGCGGCCGCCTCGCAGTTTGTGCGCGCGCGTGTGGGCGAGTTCAAGCCGCAGGTGGGGCGCTGGTGCTTGTTTGAGGGGTTGATTGGTGTGTGTTAAGAAAACTGGCCGCGAGTAGGAACGTACTGTGTACGCCGTTGTATTGAAAGGCCCTGGTAGCGCATTGGGGGGCTGTGCTGCATCGCTCTATGTACATTCATGTGCTTGGGAAAGGTTGTTTGCAGCTCTTGGTGGTCTGCTTTGTCGCTAACTACGGTACACAGCTGCATGGTAGCTGCATGGTAACGACGGATGCCCGGATGGGTTCAATGGTTGCTGCCCGCAGGAGCTGGCCAACATCGTGTGGGCCTTTGCCAGCCTGGGCCACCGCAACCGGGATGAGGAGATGGTGAGCGGGCCCTATATTGCCGGCAGCATCACAACACGGTTACTGAGCTTACACGCAGTCTGCCATTACCCTCTTTGCCTCATAAGAATGTCGTCGCCTGACTAGTCGTTAGCAGCCTCTTGTTGCGGTCATTCCGTCCCACCTGTCCGCTTCCCTGCTCTGCCCTACCCAACCACCCTCCCAACAGCTCAACGCGGTAGCTGAGCAGGCTAAGCGCATCGCACCCCTCTTCAAGGAGCAGGAGCTCTCCAACGTGCTGTGGGCGCTGGGCAAGATGAACCTGCGCGGCCGCCCCGACGTGTTCGAGGCCCTCATGGCGGAGACGCGAGCCAAGCTGCCGGCGTTCCTGCCGCAGGTACGGGTGCTGCTGCCTAGTTTGCCTTTTACGCGGGTAGTTGCCTAGCTTAATAGTGATGGGTGCATGGGCTTCTTGCTCCTCGTCGGCGTAGAAGCCTCACGCGCATGCAAATAAGACGCGGTGAGCTTCCTGGCTCCGACTAACCCTCCTCCATTTTCTTTCTTTCCCAACTCGCAGGGTATTTCCAACGTGGCCTGGGCGCTTGCCTCCGTGGGTCACGTGGACGTGTCCTTCCTGGACCGAGTGGTGGCGCAGTGCGGGCAGCAGCTGGGCGGCTTTGACGTGCAGGCGCTGGCCAACATGGTGAGGAGCGGGGGACGGCTGGGAGGGAGGGAGGAGGAAGATGAGGAGAGGAGCAGCAGGGGTATGATGAGGAAATGGGCTATGGGGGATTGCGAGGGCTGCTGCATGGCTGGGGTGTTGCCGAGTCGATCTTTGCATGTTTCGGAATGTGTGGTGGTGTTTAGGGGCTCGTTCCTGCCTCCTGACAAGCAACTGGTCCATGCGGTGCTGGTATTTTGTTATGCGGCTGTGCTCACCTCTCCTGGGTCCCGGCTTTCTTTCTTCCTTCCCCGGCTTGCAGGTGTGGGCCATGGCCTCGCTGGGCTACTACCAGCCGGGGTTCGTGACGGCGGTGGTCAACGAGTGCCTCAGCCGCGGGCTGGACCGACTGAGCCCGCAGAACCTGTCCAACATCCTGTGGGGCTGCGCCACCCTCAACCACCGGGACCCCAGGTACGACATGTGCGCTAAGAAACTGGCATGGCGTGTGTGTTAAAATAACTGGCATGTGTGTGTGTGTGCGTGGTTATGCCGGAGGGCCCGCATGTCCGGCTGCTCGCTGCACATGTCACTGTCCGTAGCTTGAGCTGTTTTCCCTCCGCTTCCTTCGTTCCTGCACTCTGCACATGGCCATTACTGTAGCGGCTTATTCTGTCTTCACCTCTTAGTTAATGCCTTGTGGTTGTACCTATTGCCCACTGCAGGATGCTTTCCGCCTGGGCGGCCCAAACCCTGGAGAAGCTGCCCTCCTTCGAGCCGCAGGGCCTCTCCAACACCGCGTGGGCCTTTGCACGGCTGGGCTTCCACAACCCGCAGCTCTTCCAAGCCCTGGGCACCGCAGCCCTACACAAGCTCGACGGCTTCACCGCTCAGGGCCTGTCCAACCTTGCATGGGCCATGGCCTCTGCAGGCCACGCCCAGCCCCAACTCTTCGAGGCCCTCGCATCCCGCTCGACTGCGCTGGCCGCCGGCTTCAACGCGCAGAACTGCAGTGTGACGTTGTGGAGCAGCGCCACGCTGCGGCACTATGATGAGAAGCTGTTCAGTGCCATGTTGGAGCGGTTGGTGGCGGAGGTGGATACGTGCGAGCCGCAGAACGTGGCGAATGCGCTGTGGGCGGTGGCCAGGTGCGCGGCTTTTGGTGCGGGCGGGGGGTGGGGCGGGTGGTGGTTACCGGTAATAAGATCCTGACAGTCATGTTCACGACGGGTGCGTTGCACAGCGCTCCTCTCCTTGTGATAAGTGTCTCGTCCCCTCACGACCTCCTCCTCCTCTGCTCCTCCTTCCGCCCGCAGGATGGGCCACCCGCTGTCCGCCGACAGCGCAGGTGCGCTGGTGCGTCACGCGGTGCGGCTGCTGCCGCGCATGAGCCAGCAGGAGCTGTGCAACACCATGTGGGCGGTGGCCAGCCTGGAGCTGATGAGCGAGGGGCTGTTCGTGGCCTTCTGCGACTGCCTGCAGCGACTTACCGACATCACACCCGAGGGGATTCACCAGGTGGGGGCTGGGGGTTAGGAGCGGTTAGGAGGGGTGTGTGGCGCATGTATGGCGGAAGGAGCAGGGGCGCAGTGAGCTCTTGACGAGCGGTGATGCAGACTGTATGTCGTTAATGCAACTGCAACCTAATCCCACCCGTCTCAACCACTCCTCCTCCTGTCCCACATCTCCTGCAGGCCTACCACGCGCAGCTCATGTTCCATTCCAGTCTTGCCCGGGCCGCCGGCGTCTCCCTAGCCCAGCTCCAAGACGCCGCAGTGGCCAACCCGGAGGCCTCCTTTGCGCTCCTCCCGCGCCTGCCCGAGCCCCTGCACAGCCTGGCCGCCAGCATGTGGGCCGAGTCCGCCCGCGACGTCCACGTCAGCCGCTTCCACCAGGAGGTATCCGGGGCGCTGGCGGTGGCCGGCGTGCCGCATGCGTTGGAGTGGGTCACCGACGATAAGAACTTTTCCGTGGATATCGGGCTACAGGTCAACTCCCAGCCCACCGCGGTTGAGGTTAACGGCAGCCACCACTACTCCTCCAACCCGCCGCACCGCGCGTTGGGAGACGTGGGCGTGCGGCGGCGGCTGCTGGAGGACCGAGGCTGGCACGTAGTTGATGTGGGGTTCAAGGATTGGGAGGGCATGGGCGGATCTCTGGCGGAGCGGGGAAGTAACCTGGTGGGTCGCATCGCGGCGTCGTTGGATGAGTGGGACTGGCGCTATGTGGGCCTCCCGCAACGGGATGCGGACGCCTCGGCACCGCCGCCAAAGGCAGTTGTGGGGCCGGCAGCACAGCCGCCGCCGCCAGTAACTTCGCAGCAGCTGCCAACCGCAGCAAACGAACCGGCTCTGTCCTCTCAGCCTCCAATCTTCGCGCCGCATACCCTTCAACACGCGCTTTCCTCTGCCATGGGCCTTGCCCCGCTATTCCCCACGGCTCCGCTGTCCGCGGCTCGCCTTGGCAACAGCGCTGCTGGCGGCGGTCTGAACAACGCCGGCTGGTCCTCGCTCGATGGTCTGATGAGTCTTGGTTCCTCCGATGCCGACATGCTCGACCACTTGGGTCATGTGGACGAGCAAGCCGTACAAGCGGCCGTAGACGCCGCGGAAGCTCTAGGAGCGCTACCCGGCGGCAATCTGCTGCTAGCTCAGCAGATGTACGACGTGTTGGGTGTGCGGCTGCCACCGGCGGTTGAGTTGGCGGCGGCTAGGGCGGGTGAGGGGCTGGTGGGAGGAGGCGGGTCGCGGAGGGATGAGGCGCAGGCGGCTGCGTTGGAGGCTGCGGTGCAGCATTGCTTCCGGGCGCTGCAGCAGCATGGTTACGGGGGTGGTGGTGGCGGGGCGGGAGGGTTGGAGGCGTTGGGGTTGATGGAGGGAGGGTCGGATGCGGAGGGAGGGAGCATCAAGGATGATGACCTTGAGCGCGTGGTCGCGTACACGTTGGCGTGAGTGGTGTGGTGGCGATCCTGGTGGGTTTGGAATGCTGGGTGGTTGCGCTGAGCTGGTGGTGGTGTTGATGACGCCGGTGTCCTGTATGCGTTGCGGATGGAGGAAGGCAATGAGAAGGTGAAGGAAGAAAGGAGAAAGTGGAAGGGTGACTTCTATTTGATCTGGGTGCTGCTGCTCGCCTGATGTTGTTTTGTGCGATGGCGGCGAAATCATATTAGTTGGTATCGTGGAAAGAAATTGGGTAGACGGTGAGAGAGCTTGCAATAGGTTGTTGGCCTATCTTGGGCTCTGTCATGACTTTGCGGAATCTTGAAACGGAAACGTGCTTTCTTAAAACACTGCTGCAGGTTTGTTGTTGTATATGCGGACCATGAAGATGCATTGGCAAGACAGAAGGCAAAGTTGAATACGAGAGATTACCAGCAGTCCGCGCATGTCATTTGGGAGACGGATAATAGATTGTACTTCAAAGCGAGAGGGAGAGAGAAGACTTAAGACCGCACACATATGTATACATTGTTTTGGGGGAAAACTTGGTTTTTCTTATCGGCTGCTGTTACCGCCGGTGTGTTTTGCTGGTTAGTAGTTGATTGTTGTTGAAAGTTGCAGTGGGATATTGTGATTCGGTGCGCTTAGTGCCTTGGTCGTGGCCCTTGTAAAGGGCCGTATGTAGCATCATCACCAGTACGATAGCAAGTGAACGCTTGATGGTGACAGTTTACGGCTCGTGCGGCCTGGAGCGACGTGCGCTGCTTTGACATGTTACCGTCGATCTTCTAACGCAAGGCCGCCTAATAGACCCGCTCCTTTGATGTGCGGATGACGTCGCGGAATTTGTCACACTAATGGGTTACGATCGTCAAGGTTGGTCGTTCTGATTCGTCGGGTGACTTTGGACGCGTCGGGTACGCCCAGAAAGCCCCCTAGCCTAAGCTACAAAGGAAACATTCTCGTACCGGAATTGGAATTGCGTAGGTGTGTATTTGAAAACACACGCCGTTCGGTAACTAGTTGTGGCTGCTAGTAGTATTCGTAGTGGCGTTTATGCTCAAGGTACGGCACTTCGGGCCACCGCGCATATCGTCGGCGGCAATTTTGGCGCCGTATTCCTTACAGCCTTGCGTGCGCAGTTTTGTGGCTTCGTTAAAAAGGTGGTAAGGGGGTGTTTCCTTGTTGAGATGAGGACGCCGAGGTGATGGTCGAGCTTGGGTGCCTGTATGTACCAGATGCTGGTATGTTGGGCCGGCCTGGTCGGAATTTAGCCGTTTGTGCAGCGGTGCATGGCAGTACGCTCCGCTGTGGCCACCTTGGGAGCGGTGGATACGCGGCAAGGATTTGACGAACTCCTTATGCACATGTTGTTAGCAGCTGGTGCTCCTGGTCCCGCATGGGAAGTACCGGTACTCAAGTTGGGTTCTTAACACTGTAATTGTGACCGCTATGAGAAAGCAAAACGTGCTCCTCTTGGCGCGGAATGGGGTCACTGTCATGGCACGCTTCAGAGTGTTAAGAGCTGGCCGATAGCATGGCAGCAGCATGTCAGCCGACGGGCATGTTCCAGTTACAAAAGCTCCGAAAGGTCCGAAAACTAGGTTGCGAAGGTACCGATGATTTTTCCACTTGGCAATTCGACACCGCAGCAAAACATGGCGCATTGTACTGACATGGAGAAGCATGCAAACGCATGGGGCATGTCGCCAAGTGTGTTTCTCCCCTCTTCTATAACGTACAAACCGAATGTGTACACCCAATCACCATACACCTTCGGCCACACATCTCTTACATCCTGCGTCATCCTGCTGCAGCAGCACTACCGGTAACAGACCTACAATGCAAAGCCACCTGACCGGTTAAATTCAAAACTAACATAGCCGTTCAATAACAACTAAATGCAGAGCAACATGCTACTCAAACGCACTGGGGAAGAGCGCGCCCTGGAGCTAACGTTACTCTGCAAGGCATGCGCCCAACTGTACTGTCTACACCCATCTGCATCGAGATACAATCCGGAAGCCCCTATACCTGCTTGCAAGTGCTAACACTGCACCTGCCCGTCCTTCAAAAAGCCTTAAACCTTCCCTAACACACATGAACAGCGATCCCATCTAACCTAAAACGACCCATGGGTTACCATGAGACCAAGCGCTTGCGACCAATAGCTTTCAGTTGGCACCTCACTGCTGTCCCGCCGTGTTATTCGCTTAACGCCGTTTGAGGATGAAGATGACGATCAGTCAGGACATTGCTTAGGGTGGCGGGAATTGACCGGCACTGGTCAACCAGTTAGTAAGTGCCAGGCAATCAACCCCATCCAACCCCAACCAACTAATTGGACTAACTGCTGCAACTTACGCATCATCATCATTGCTGCTGTATTAGTCATCCTCATCCTCATCATCGCTCCAATCACTGCCGCTGCCGCTACTAGAGGTGCTCCCATCCTCCTCGTCTCCATCGTCCTCATCTCCGCTGCTGCCGCTGCCCGAAGAGTCATCGTCCCCGGAGTCGGCATCGCTCGAGTCCGCACCACCTGCACATGCATGCGGCTTTGTACACGTTACGAGTGTCTTCATGCATATGAACGGCACACAGCAATGTTGTACGAAGTGATGTATTGCAACATGAGGGCTGACTGAGGGATTAACAAGCCATCACACGTTCCCTGCCCTGCCCCCCCGCCTCACTCCCCCAATCCGCTCCACTACGAACCTGCATGCCCGAACGCATGCATGGCCGGCTGCCCGTTATCCTCCTCCTCCGCCTCCTCGTCTTCGCTGCTGTCGCTCTCTTCCCCGCTGCTGCTGCCACTGCTGCTGCCCTCCTGCTCCTGCTCCAGCAGCTGTTGCTGCAGCAGCGGCACATCCTCGCCATCCTCGTCCCCAATCAGCCAGCCGTTTAGTTCTGCGTCCATTTCCATATCATGTTCGTGCATGGCTGCATCCGAGTCACTGTCCACAAGCTCCTCCTCCACCTCGGCACCTCTGTCATCGTCGTCGGAAGAGGAAGGACCGTCACCGTGCCCACCAAAGTCGGCCGGCCACCAGTGCCGGTTGCGTCGTGAGCCCTGCGGCAACAATCGGGAGCAGCCGCAGCAGCAGCGGCATGCACGGCGCTAATGGGCCAAGACGCAGCCAGCCACACGCCAACCGCGGGTCCTGGGGGCAACAAACTGAACTGATGTCCGCTAAATTCTGTTACCGCTGCTGCTCAAAGGGCGGCGGCAAGGCAGGGCAGAAGTGCAACAACAGCAACAACTGCAGCCGCAGCAGTGACTATCCGTAGCATTAGACGCCCTGGCACGGCAGCGCTGTGCGTTAGGGCAGGAACCCGGAAACTGCGGCCGACAAGTGCAGCCTGCTGGTACAGGTAGCAGCCTGCTGGTACAGGTAGCAGCCTGCTTACCGCGCGGCGACGTCGGCAGCGTGCTTGCGGTGGCAGGCAGCTCAGCAGCAGGTCCGAGAGCACCTGGGGGGGGGGGGCGGTGGCAGCAGCGGGGCGGGGAGCAGTGCAGCATATGAGAGGCCACTCATGATGGTTATCTGCACGACTGGATACCGGTACCACGCCGCATCTCAGATTATATCCTTTAGACCCTTTAGACCCTCCCCCTCATTACCCTCACAGAGAAGCATACCGTACACAGTCCAACACCGCCCAGCCCAGCCCAGCTAAGGCCAGCACAGCACACAGCACACACACACACACACCGGTCATTTTCTTAACAACACATCGGCCCGTTTCTTTAACACAAGCACATCCCTCATGTTCTTCCTCGCGCCCAGTTCCTTTATCCCACATCCTACATTTGAGTGCAGCACCGTAGGCGGTCGCTGCCGTCGCAGCGCATCCACCGCCGCCGCCACATCCGAGTGACCCACGCCACCATGGGTCATTATGAGGTCGTACATGTTGACGTACTCCCAATGCAGGTCGAAGCGCTGTAGCAGGGGCCACGTGGTAGTACGGCATGTAAAACAGAAATCTCGCAAAGGTACGGACAGTGCCGGGTTGTTCACGTTACGGTGCACGGACAGGAGCTTGCGTCGAGGAGTTAAGTAGCGATGGGAGTTAGTTCGCGCTCGCCTGCTAGAGCCATGAATCCATTCGAAAGTGCGCGGCCAAGCGAAGCCTAGAAATAAGCCAACCCAGGGGTTAGCATCACAGCCAAACCTCCCTCCTGCCTCCTCTTCTGCCTCCCCACCGCACCGCACAGCCTCCCCCTTCTCACTTCTCACCCCTCTCCCCCTCCCGCCTCCTCACCTGCAACATGTCCAGCCACAGCATCGCCTGCTGGAGCTCCGTCTGCCGCAGGAACATGCCGTACTCCCGCTCCCGGCCACTGCCGTACTCCACTTCATCCCAGCCGCGCCGCCGCCGCGCCCCGCCGCCACCGGCACCGCCAGCCCGGTAGCCGGCCCGGGCTCCAGCTGCTGCGCCTCCTCCGCCGGCGCGACCGCCCCCCCTGGGCTCCCCAGCTGCTGCAGCAGCAGCAACGCCGCTAAGCCCATGAGAGCGTGTGACTAGTTTACGTACCAGGATGCAGTCGGCTCCGAGCTTTTCCGCGCCACGCCAAATGGCCTTCTCCACGCAGCAAAGACCGAAGTCGCAGGTTTGCTGCACGACGCGTTCGATGCCGTACTTGTGTGCGAGCGACAGCAGGCCGCGCAAGGCGGGCAGCTGGTCCACTAGCTGCTGCGGGAATACGATGGCAAGTCGAGGAGGCAGGGCGTGGAAAGAAGGTGAGAAATAGACATGTTACTGGAAACGAGGCTTGCTGAAATTTTTGTTAGACAAAGGAGTTTCAGTTGCTGTTTGTGAGGAGCCGCGAGGTCGGAAAGGACTACAGGAAGGCGAGCAGACAGCGAGGCAAAGAAGCGGGAAGGCAGCTTCATACCATTAAGCACCAGGCGTCTTCGCTAAAAACATCTTTTGCATCTGGAGAAATGGCCTGCCAGAGCAGCCGCCATGCCGCGAGGGAGTCGTCCGGGAGATTGAGTTCCCTGCGCCCATTCTGGACATCCGTGCCCGGCGCCACTACAGCACTGAGAACGACCCTGAGCACCGGGCTTGCCAAGCGGAGGAGGTAAGAGTGAACGGGCAGCTCCTCGCCACCCTGGAGGCGCAGGATAAGGTCCGCTTCAGGGGCATCCGCTGGGTCGCCCAGCGCAATAATTGTCTGCGTGCCTTGATGTGTCCCCATCCTGGGCTGACCGGCATCTATGTTGTGATCTAAAGTGTCATCCTCTCGCGCACGCTTCTGACCAGACATCTACGAGGCAATCTGATGGGTGACACGACCAAGGCAACGTTCTGCCCTTAATACCTAGTTAGCCCAGCCGCGAGCCCTTCAGTAGGCTTATACGTGTCGTCCTTATATGCTTAGGACATGCTTCAAGCTACCCGCGTATTAAGAAGGTGCGCTTTGCTGCTCGCGCGCAGGGGACAGGACTATCACCTACGGCGAAGAGAATGCATTGTATGCGTACATATAGAAAGCAACAATATATGAAGTTGAAATGCTCCCACGTCCGCATGCGCATGTCAACACTTTGGTTGGATCGTCTTGCAGCGAACCCACACCGACACTGGCAGCATTCTGCACTTAACACACAGATCAGCACTTCTACGGGTGCTACCGGTATCCTGGGCCGTTCGTTTAGAGCTTGCCTGTGCATTGCAACACTCGTTTGCAACATTCGGAAACGTAACGGGCAAGATGAGCTCATACCAAACATCCCCCTAGCGCTTTACTTTCAGGGCCTTCGTGTGGTGCTAACCCGCGAGTGGAAAGGTTGGTCTAGCGCCCTTCCGCTCGGGAGCACCCTAGTTCTTTGAGAAACAGCGCTCCTACTGCGACGACTTATTACGCATCACAATGGGCAAGCAGTCCCTGTCGCCAAAGCCCTGTGATGCCCCGTAGATGATAGCGGGTAAATGTGAAGGTGTTGTTGTGTAATCTTTTATAACCAGCATAAGCTATATTAGTATAGACATCGCATGATACATAGCCACTGGTGCTTCAGTGCAGCGCCAAGGAAGGTGTCCGCAACGGACGGATGAATCCAAATTCCATTTTCAAACTGCTGTCGTCGGACATCGGGTTGATGCAACAGCATAAGAAGCCACAGAACGATGCCATCTATGGTGCTAGTGATCTGTGGCATCCATACATCAACACTCTATTCCCTACCGTTTATACCCCTAGCGGCACGCTACCTGTCCATCTGTCACGAAGTAAACCGGTACCAGTACAAAAACATAACCTTTGCCACTACCCCTGACAGTCATTTGAATCACTGTGTGCTTCTTGCTAGCGTCAGCTGCTGAGATGGCATTCCGCCGCGCGCCGATGCTTCTTTGCATTGTCGCGCTCCTCCTTTCTTGCACATGCGGCCTATCGGAGGAAGTAACTTCAAGGTACGCCCTGGCTTTGTCTCCCCGAATGCCTAGATGCAAGGATGGGGCTCTTTTTGAGCCTTTCGGTTCCTCCCATTGGAACACATCGAGCCTGGTCTGTTACCTTGCCGTTCTACTTCAGGGCTATTGAACCATTATTTTTGCTCTTTTGCCAGGAATGTGCGTTCACATACGCGAGTGCTACGCTCAACGACGTCTAATCACAGCATCCAGACAAGCCGCTTTCTAAACAAGCTTGCCAAGAGCCGCCGTGCGCTACAGGAAGCGCCACGCCTGCTTCCTTCTCCTGTTTCAGTCTCCTTTGCAGTCGACTTGAATGGACAGGATTCCCCGGCCTTTGAGTGCGACTCCGTCTTCGCTGATGCTTTCCAAAGCCAGCAGCTTTCCAACGCTATCAGCAGCGCCCTCATCTCAGTACTAAACCTAGGCCCAGATAACCTCAAGCTTGCTATGGTCTCATCTTCTTCTTGCTCCAAGGTTTCAGTCCCTGGCCGGAACCAACAGGCGGTTCTTCGTATTCTAGCAGACGTTTCTCTCGTTCTTTCCAGCGCTTCGCTTGAAGCGCAAATGAACGCCGCCCTGAGCGCGCCCGAATCGATGGAGGCCTTGGGCACTGCCGTGGAGGTGTTTTGGAACAAGTGGGTGCGTGACGCCCCAGCATCTTCTCACAAGGTGGGCTATAGGGGTTATGCAGTCTCCGGTAAACAGCGCGCTAGGTCAAACGCAGTTTACTCTTTCCTGTTCTTCACATACCCGCAACGTGTATGGTTCGCTCAAACTGTCGCTGAGCTTGCTGACCTATCTGCTCATACCCCTTTTTTCCAATTCCCCTTCGTAGGCCTGGATTCCTGCTACCGAGTCCATGGATTCCCAACCCGGCGTTATCGCCAGCATGCCGCTTGCCCCTCCTCCCATGGCGCCGTCATCTCTTCCCGTCATGCCCTTGGCGCCACCTCCCCAGCGACCATCTGCCACCGGCCCCTACCCTCCTTCCCCTTCGGACACCACGCCAGCAAGCTATCCCGCTCGCCCGCCTGCCTACCACGAGCCTCTCAGCTACGGGCCTCCTCCTGTCTATGGACACTACTCTGCTCAGCCACCTGTGTACGGTCAGCCCCCAGTCTATGCTTAGCCGTCCGCTTCCTTCATCACATCATCCATACATGCACGTTGACGTTTGACGTAGCAGTTTGCTGACCGCTGGGCTGGTTTTTGCGCACATGGCAAGGGATTGACACTGTTGCAGGTGCTGGCTTCTGTTTCCATGTGGGTCGGGTTGGGGCCTTGGTTGTTGTTGACTGGGATGGTAGGCTAGGGTTGGGCTGTTGATGCTTGGGAATTGCTGTGGGCATATCTTTTACTCGTATTGGAGAGGGATTTATGAGGATCTTGTCTTGCGTTGACAGACCGCAGGGGTCGGTTGCCATGCATTCTGACGGTGTGTGTTGATCCTTGCAGGTTAGGTAGGCCAGTCAAGAGTGCGCTGCGTGCAGTGTTCTTCCCGCCTATTTTTATAACAAGTGACCGGACATATAAACGTACGATGGAATCATGCGGGATAGCACTATACATTTCAAACGTGTGTGTTAAGAAAACTGGCCGCGAGTAGGAACTGGCCGTGTGTGTGTGGGGGGTTTATCCCACATGAGTATCTTCTTTGTGCACGTGTACTTGCAGCACTGCCGTGCGCCCACTGGCGCTTATAAGAATTTGTACCTTGTCTTGCCGTTACACTGTTGTGTCATTCTTGTTAGCTGGCGTCATTATGCGTCAAAACTTGAGAGGGACAGAGGATATGAAGGGTTGTTGCCCGTGGCTTATATGCGGGGTTTCTTGCCCAAAGGACGTTATTTTCATGGCTCTTGTGCAACGTTTCAGGTTCTTCACTCTGCTAATGCTATTACTAAGCGTGCGAATCTTGCTACAGCTATGCCCTGATTAGCGTGTGTGCTGTTCTCTTTTTATTACTTTTTGGGTTATGAGCGCTGTCATATTCTTTGGATACCTTGGGTGTCGGTCAGATTGGTTCTTGTGTCTTTTAGGGGCTATTACGGGGCACTGCACGGCGTTGCACTTGTGAAGAGGTTGCTTAAGCAGGGTCGTTGCCCAAAGTTGCCGTGCGTTCAAGGTGTCTGTTCATGTCCTAGCTCATCTGTGCCAAAACATCGAGTGGACCACAAAAATATTGGAAAACATTTGTCGCCTCGCAACAACAATGCACGTTGTAACCGATATACATGCTCCTGGTTTTCCGCAACAAAGCTACAAGCAAGCATGCATCCCTCGAGCAAGGAAAGAGCAGCACAACCATCTTACTCCACACCTCCCATTGCGCCACGGGGCTTATCGTACATGATCGTACATTCCCGTGCGCGCTGTCACATGCCCCGCAACCTTGCCTTGCTCGTGCCATGCACTACCTCTTCAGCCTAAGTCAAGCCCGCAAACTTAACCGCAACGACAATATGAACCACATTTACTCTCCTACCTTCCTCATCGGCGCCGCAACTCCTCGCACCCCTTCAACACCTGCCTGCATGCATTCCCAAACGCCTCCCGACACCTACCCCCAGAAGCTCCCACCTCCTCTGCTCCTCCCACCCATCCTCCCTCACTCCGGCGGCAGCGGCAGCCGCGCCAGCAGCACCACCACCGCAGCAGCAGCAGCCGCACCCCACAGCCACGACATGGCAGGCGACTTGAGCGCCGTAAGGAACGCTCCGAAACCCGACGCGCCGCCGCTGCCACTGTACGACAAGGAACCCAGCTGCTCGCCCGCCGCCGCCGTCAGCCACGACGGAAGCAGCCGCGCAAGCGCAGACTGGCCCGCGCCCGCCGCGCCGCCGGCGGCGGCCGGCATGTACGGCACCGGCGCAGCCAGCAGCGCCGGCAGGGTGAATTGTACGGCAAGCGCGGCGCCCAGGAGCCAGCGTACGGAGGGTCTGGCGGTGAGGGCGATGGCTGCTAGGGCCACGCCGATGCAGCCGCCGGAGGCAGCAACGCCTAGGAGGGTGGTGCCTGCCTTGGCCTTGGCGCCTAGAGCATACGACACAGCCAGATTGCTCCCTGTGGGTGTGGGACAGTAGTCGCGAGGCGGGCAACTTCAGGTTAGCCCCATAAGAGAAAGTACGAGGAGTTGCACGCACGCTGAGTGCGCGTTGTGTACCCGCGTTCATTCTCTCCCTCTTGCAGAAAACTCGCTCTGGCAGCCATCTCCAACCCCCCTGCAGCACCAACAAGTTCCCCTCTCTCGTCCCTCCCCCTCCTGCACTCCCTGCCTGCCTCCTCCGTCCTTACCTAGCGCTGACAGCACGTACGCGAACCACACGCCCGGCCCGCCGACCTCCCGCCGCAGCACGCTGCCCCACAGCCACAGCAGGAACATGTTGCGTGAGAGGTGCGCCATGTTGGCATGTACGAACGCAGAGGTGACAAACTGCGGGGTGGGGAAAGGGTGAGGTGGGGTACAGCAATCGATGGGTGGGAGATAGGGTTGCACGGTTACGTAATTCGCAACCTTAATGGGAGTATGGTCAGCGGATGCATCCGTAGGGAACCAGGTCACAGCTACGCAAGGGTAAACATCCAGCCATACACACATGGCGCAACATGCACTACCCCGCCTCCTCCTCTCTTCCTGCCTTGCCACCCCTTGCATTTCCCCACCCCAACCGCTGCGCCCGCACCTGCCACCAGGCTCCCCCCGCATTGTACAGCGCTAGACCCGCCAGCAGTGGAAGCTTCGCGAAAGCGGCCCCCGCAAAGATAACGCCGTTGAGGGCGATGAGGGAGGCCATGCCGGCGCTCATGTCCAGGGAGGGGCCGTCGCCGCTGCCCGAGATGGGGGAGGGCGGGGGTGCGGGTTTGTGGGAGTCGGGGCGGCGGGGGGGCTGCTGCGGTGGGCCTGTGCAGGGGAGGGAATGACGGGTGGGGGAAGGAGGGAAGAAGGGCGAAGGGAAAACGGAGAGAACGTGACTTAGGTGTGGAGGGTGAGGGTGAGAAATGTGGAAGGGTTGTATAATGGAAATGTGGAAGCCGGGGAAGAGGAGTTCTTGCGTCACCGTGACGTACGACGTCTTACGGTGCGTGCAACGCACCTGCCCAGGGAGTTGTCGTAATGTCTTTGCCAGCATTCGTTCTTATGTTTTCCTTTGAGTTGCCGCTTTTCGACTTCAACAAGCCCGCGGGAACACGCAGATGGATGGGCGCAAGATTCCAGGCATTTGGCACTGCTGGCTGGCCAAAGCGGCTAGGCTTGGAAACAGTAGAGGAAGGCCGCAAATGAGAAGTGCTTGTGGCTTGCATGGTCCTGCCAAGGCGTGGTTGCCTGTAGGCGAACAATCCTGATTAAATGGTTGGTGTCTGTCTGTTTTGCAATCAGTGATCTGGAAGTGATATGGAAAGTACAATGTTATGTTGATGACTGTATGCTACATTTGACGACGGTATGCAGCGGCTGGTAAGAAGATGGGGGCAGCTCCGGAGCTCGACGCTCCAACTTCGCAAGTAAGCCGTAATCACCACCACGCTCAGCAGCCCATCTGTGTTTAGCAATTCAAGTCTTTATCGGTACCTTGGTCGATCGCTTTAGGCTAAATTGGGTTCACTCAGCAAGACACTGCGACTTACAGGATTAATACAAGGACGGACGCCGCACAGCACTGCTTATACTGAAAGCGTAATGTCATTGTCCTTTATTTATTAGTGAAAGCTTCTTCGGTGGAAAGCTTTTCGTGGTTAAAGTCTGTCTCGCAAGGTGCTTCGCAACACCAGCAACATGGATACGGACGCTGCTACTCGACAAAGCACATCAGGGCTAGAATGGAAGCTCCATCCAGTGAGTGCGCGAGTTCTGCTTTATCCACGCGAGTCCAGCTCAGATCCCGCCCTGGGATGGGTTCAGCAAGCTGAGGGTCTTTCGCAATAACATGTCAAAGTTCTATAACATGCACCTTGTCTGGCATTGCATGTGCTGCTTCCTAGACCTTCCGCTGATTGCCACCTCTTAACGTGCAACCATTCGCCATCGTCTACCGCAGCTTGTCCTTATCAACATAAGCGATCACCACACGCGTACCCGGGCAAACACGCCAGCAGCGTCCGCGCCTGGAGCGCCAGCACCAGCAGTTATGGGCTGCCTGCTGGGCAGCCAAAGCGGTCGTTCCGTGGACATACGTAACTCGTTCGAAGTCCGCTACACCACAGGCGCAGATGGCTCGATCGAGGTTGACATCGCATTCCTCCTAAAGAAGCAGGAGCAATGTGGGTATAGCCGCTGCCTAACCGGCGACCCGCATCACTTTACGACGGGTTCTATCAGTTGGGGGTTCCGCAGCGCTCCTCCAACCAAACCCTCACCCCTCTCCCTCCCGCTCCTCCTCCCTCTTCCCCCCTACCCCCCTACCCCTATGGTTTGGTATGGTCTTTGACCTCTCCAGACAAGCAGGTGTTCAAGCAGCTGGATGTGGTGGGGTGGTACGCCACCGGGTCAGCGGCCAGTGAGGCGCACATGGCCTGCCACAGGAGGGTGAGGAGAGGCGGGAGGAGGGAGGGGCGGGGGAGGGGAGGAGGGAGGGGCGGGAGGAGAAGGCTATGTTGGTACTATGGGGAGGGGAGGGCAGCAGGGCAGGGAAAGGAAGGGAGCGGTTGAGGTGGGGCGGTTGAAGTGGCCTGGCACATGAGGGTGAGCTGAGGATTTGGACGTGTTAAGAACACTGGCCGCAAGTCGGAACATACTGTAATTGTGGGGTGTATGTGTGTGTGGATACATGGGGAGGGAGGGTCAAAGGGCGTTGACTGATGAGCAGCGGGTGGCAGGGAGAGGTATGTGCGGGGAGAGGTGGGAGGCGCAGGTGGGACGTATCAGTCGCACAGCTGCAGTGCGGGGAAGGCGAGTGGAGGTCCATGCAGGTGGACAACAGCGTCAGCATCGCATCCCTCTCTCCGCTCCTCTCTCCCTCCCCACACCTCTCTTCGCTCCCGTCCCCTCCCTCCTCCCCTCCCCCAGATCTCCGAGGTGGTGGAGGGCCCCGTGTTCCTGCTGCTCGACCCCGCCGTGGATCACTCGCGCAAGGACCTGCCCGTCACGCTGTACGAGACAGGTTGGTTGGTTGGGCGCTCCCGTGCTCCCCATCTCCCTTCGTCTTCTATTATTACGTCTACAACAACTACAGCCCGTTACGATGAACCCCATAACTGCTATCCCCCCTCTTCTCTCCCCCTCCCTCTCCCATTCCCTCCACCCCACCACCCGCCTCCAGAGCTCCACCTGGCTGCCGACTCGGGCGCCCCCGGCCTCATGTTCGTGCGCGCGCCGTACACCATCGAGACCAGCGACGCGGAGCGCATCGGGGTAGACCAGGTGGCGCGCATCCTGCCCTCGGGGCGGGCGACCGGCTCGGAGCAGTGTGGGTAGTGGGGGGGGGGCGGGAGGGGGCGTTGTGAAGGAGCAGTGTGGGTAGTGGGAGGGAGCAGTGAGAAGGTACGTGGTACGTGTGCCCCTCTCTACCTCCTCCCCCTGCCATGCCTGCCGTTCACTTGCCCCCATGCATGTCCTCACATGCACGGCCCCCAACTCCTCTCTGCTCCCTGCCCTGGCCCCCCCTGCCCTGCCCTGCTACCCTCCCTGCAGTCAGCGCGCAGCTGGCCTCGCTGCACTCCGCCATCAAGATGCTGCTGGAGCGGTTGCGGCTGGTGCACGGGGCGCTGGGGCGGCTGACAGCGGCGGGGGCGGAGGGGGGAGCAGCGGCGGCGGGGGCGGTGCCGTACCCGCACTCCTTGTTACGGCAGGTGGGAGGTATCTTTCACGTATGGGGATGCGCATGTGGGGATGTACGGTAGCTGGATGGGACCCGTGGCGGCCATGCATGTTATTGCCGTACGCATTGTTAGAAGACCGCGTGCTTGATGGTAGGCACGCATGTGGCAACACAGCTACAACACACTGCCGTACAAGCGCTGTGCCGCCCTCCCGTCCTCATCGGTGCTTCTCCGTTGTCGTACTATTTACCGGTTACCCTGCCGTACAACGTCTGCAACTCCCTCCTGCTGTGCTGCGCAGGTGTCGAGCCTCATCAACAGCCTGCCCGCATGTGACACGGAGGCGTTCAACCGGGAATACCTCACGGTGGGGGGTGGGGGTGCGGTGGGGGTGCATGGGGGGGTTATTGAGGGCAGGGTGGTGGCGTGGTGGTGGCGTGGGGGAGTTGTTGTGTAAATGTCTGATTACCGGTATGGTGGCACGTTGGCTAGGTCCTAATAGCCGGTGTACTGCTGTACGCACACCGTCTGCTCGTCTCCCCACCTCCCTCGCCTCCACCACCACCTCCCTCCCTTTCCTCCCCCCGCATGCAGGAGTACAATGACACGCTGCTGACGCTCTACCTGGCCGCAATGACCCGTGGGACTCACACCGCCAATGAGATGGTCGACAAGTTCTGTCTCGCGTACGACAAGGGGGGCCGCCGCCGCGGCATTTGAGTACGACAAGGGGGGCCGCCGCCGCGGCATTTGAGTACGACAAGGGGGGCAGCGCCGTTTCGGCATCGAGAGCGCGTTATGAGTACGATGTAAATTGATATCTGTGGGTCATTGGTGATGTGGGGCCGTATGGTGCGGGGCTTTGGGAAGGGGGTTGCAGCTAGGGGAGCGTGGTCGTGGTGTGCGGTGTTAGGGGAACAGGGGATGGTTTGGGTAAATTGGAAATGCGGGGGTGGGGGCTTTGGGAAAGCCTTTTTATGCGATGCATCACTTATAGCTTTGCGGCTAGTCTTTGTTGTGACGCATAGGTGGGAGTGTAGATGGAAGCGACTGAAGGGGCCATCATTGCGTGCTGTCATGCAGTAGCAGCGGAGCAGGGGCACTGAGGGGTTTGTACGTTTCGGCGTACCGTTATGTACGAAACACATGAGCGGTAAAAGAGTTATGCATTTCTTGCACGGTCGTTTGCAGGGGCGTCAGTTAGTACTGCTATTGCTGTCGTTGTATGCGTGTGCAGGATGGGAGGAGCTGGGCTATGGTAAAGAGGAGTGTAAGATTTACAAGGAGCTTTGCCTACGCATGGGTCGGACTTAGGAACGTCTCCAATGGGATGTGTGGCGAGCGGCTGCATCAGCTCATAGGCCTTTGCAGTTCATAGGCCTTTGCACATAGGTGTCGCCACGCCCGCATTTTTGTGTGAATTGCTTGTGAACAACCATTCCTCCGTAGAACATCAATAAAATACCACAAACTACTCTCTCCACCAAGTTGCGGGTACGGCACGTAAAGACAACAACCGTCCTGCTCTGCTCCCCTGCTACTCTTCCACCATAAACCTACTCTCCCACTACCACCTTCTCGCCTCCAGCCATCCCTCATCGCACACCAGTACTGTACCTAGATTTTTATTGCTGCCGGTGCTACTGCTGCTGCTGCTTCAGACGCTCGCGACACGCTCGGCTCCGTGCCGTTATTACTCTTGCTACCGCTCCTCATGCCTCCTCTCCCACCACCTCACTTGGCGGACGGCAGGATGTAGCTGCCGCCCGCCGCACCGCCCATCCCAGCAGCATCGCCGCCGGTGGCGTAGGAAGACGACGGGGCGCGCTTGGCCGGTACAGAGGCGGGCTTGGAAGGTGAGGAGCCGGGCGCAAAGAAGCTCTTGATGAGGTCCAGGAAGTCATCCACCTCGGGGCAGCGCAGCTGGGAGGCCAGGGCTGCGTCGCCGCCGGGGTAGGGAGCGCAGCGGTCACCCCTGGAGATTGTTGGGGGAAAGAGGAAGAGTTTGACTAGCCGTAGAGGCGGGAGGGAGACCAGCGGTTGGGGTCGTTGTGTGGCTTGCATACCGGTATGCGGAAAGTTGGATGGCAAGCAACGGTACGCACACCTGAGAGCGCTGGCAGCCCCACATCACGGCTGACCCCGAGTCCCCAACCAGTTGGTCGAGAGGGACACAGCACCATGCGATGTGAACCAGACGCCGATGCTGCAGCCGCCCAGGCGCTGTTCAGCGCATCAGCTCCCTCACCTCAGTCGTGTGGAGGTGATGTCGGTTCCGATGAGTCGGTCCGTTGTGAAGGAGGGGCAGGGGCTGCCGAACAGTCCGCCGCACAGGCGGTTGAGAGGCGGGCAGCCCTCGGGGATGCAGCCGTGCAGTGCGGCATTGCCATCCAGCTCCATCTCGACTAGCCTGGATGGTGAGGGGCGGGAAGGGGAGGGGAGGGGTGATGAAGGGAGGGGAGGGAAACGGATGGAGGTTGGCGTGTAGGCTGGGAAAGTCTCTATGTGGGCGTGTAAGCCTGTGTAGTCTCTGTGTAGGCGGGGAGGGGAGTGGAGATCCAAGCCAAGGTACAGGAAGGAAGCATGTTCGGGTCGTCTTGCGGGTTTAGGTTTGGTAGCAGCACAACCCACTCTTGCGCACTCACCCCTTCAGCAGCCCCCACTCCTGCGGAATGGTGCCCTGCAGCTGGTTCTTGCTGAGGTCGATCTCAATCAGGTTGTGCAGGCAGCCCCACTCGGCCGGCAGCGGGCCGCTCAGCTTGTTGGCGTCCTGCATGGAAGGAAAGCGATGGTGCATGGGGCAGCGCGCGAGGGAGGGAGGGGTGAGGGAGGGAAGGAGGGGTACGCATGCAAGCGGGTTTGGGTGTCATACGGCAAGCCAAGGTAGTTGATGAGGTGGTTAGGGATCCATGTGATTGCATACGCAAGCTGTCTTCGTACGACACTACCGGTACGACAAAAATACCCACCATGTCAATCTCAGTGATGTTGGCGAAGAGGGCCAGGGTCCTGCAAGCGTGGCCGAAGTTTCACGTCATGCAGCTGTCCGCGGCGCAGAGGGGCTGGGTAACAAAGGTCTACTAAGAACAGAAGCACAGAGTGCTTTACAAGCGTCACGACAGGCAGTCTCCGAATTGAGAAGAGCGATGTACGGTAATATACGTTTGGAGGGCTCGGGTCGTCTTGTGGTCTTCTTCCTCTTCTGAGCGAGGCGCTGTTACCGGCACTCACTTTGGAAGGGTGCCCGTCAAGTTGCGCTTGGGCAGGTGGATGTTGGTTACCACGCGTGGAATGCTCTTGTCCCAGTTCCACTGTACGGCAAACGTACGGCAAACCCGATGAGGGGCGGATTTGGATAGATGGGGCTGCCCGTAACGAAAGGACCGGCATGCATGAGCTAGGTGCCAGGACTGGTAGTAGGTTAAGCTCTAGAAATATACAAAAGCTTATAAAAGCAACTGACAAGGCTGACCACGCAACCAGCCGGAGAGGGTACCTACGTAGAGCCACGATGGGGACCATGACGCCCATTACCTGGTAGCGGCAGGAGATGCCCTCCCAGCCGTCGCCCTCCCATTCAAAACCTGCGGTAGGTTACACTTCAGGTCATCCCAGCCTTCAGCGTCACGCGACGTTTGTCGTACACAGGCGCTGTCTTGAACATCTAAAGACACCGTCTTCCGCATCCTCTTCATACCGGTACACGCCACTGTGATGAGGCAGACAGCTGGGAGGCAGGCTGAAGGGAGGAAGGTTGCAACATGCACGCACTTACCGCATGGATCCACATCACAGGTTCCGTCGACGTTGCAGGTGTGGACCGGCCATTTCTCAAGCACACCATTCCATTCCGGACTGCGGCCCTTGACTTCTTGGTGCAGTGCTAGTAACGCGTACACTGTGGGGTGCAACAGCGGGGATTGACAGCGAACAACGAATTAGGCAGTGTAGGACCTTGTTCGGTTGCGACCCACGGGTCAAAGCATGGCTTGATTAGGCGATGGGCAAGAATATAGCCTTAAACCGTCGAAGCGTTAAGGCTGAGTGGTGTAGCTGGGGTCTGTTGGACGTTTCGGCGGGCACGTGCGTACCGTCACGCTCCAGAGTCTTAGCACTTGCAAGGGAACGGCGGTTGATTGCGATGCTGGTAAAAAAGGCTGCCGCGGCGAAGCAAGCTAACGCCAGAATTTTACGAACAGACTGAGCCATTAGCAAGCACGATATCTGTCGGTTGGGCTTCTAGTATGGTTGCGACTACTCAATGCAAGTATCGTAAAGGTACGTTCCTGGGGGGGTTCACGGTCCTTAATGTCCCAATCACCACGAACTTAATAAGCCCTGAGTAAGACGATACTCTAGATAGACGCATGGCAATCTCGTTCGTATACAGCTCTTTTGGACCTGTCTTTCTAGGCCCCGCCTGTCAGATTCGTGTGGGTCTGCCCGATGTCCATCATGCCAATAGGAGGGAACATTCCGTCCTCCCACACGTGATAACCTTTTGAACTATGTGGGCATGGGCTATTGCTCGGCCCCACTCCTGCCTACTTACAAGTCAGACACAGGCGCCATTCCCTCCTATGCTAAACTCCCTACACAAGCTATAAGCTACTCTACAGCATTGTGTGCGGACCGGCTAGACCGCGCAAATTGCTTGGCTAGGTTGGCAGTTGAGCCGAAGCTTTGCGGCAGAACGTAAGGGCAGATACCGTAAGAACTTTATTGTTCACGTCGTGTAGCCGTTAAAAAAGCTGCAGATTCGGTCAAAAATGACGGAGCCCAGCAAGCTGTACGGTTACTGTCACAGATCAACCCTGCAGGCCGTGATAGGCTCTCCTAAAGCGGCGCAGGGCACATTCTTTACCTACGCAATGCGTTAAAGGTCAAGGAGCATATATAGGAAAGGAGGCAGCGGACCTCTAAGCGGATGACTTGGCAAAGACAACTTGTTGCTGCGCAAAGTATGGCTAAAAGAACAATGTTTAAAACATGTAACCTTTTATTGATGGCCCGTGGTCCATACAGGCGTCAACGAGCACTTGGCTATCGTACGGAATTGGAACCCAACAACGGGCAAGTCAGCAAGGGCGCAAGGGCCCAGGCTGGCAGGTGGCGCGTGTGAATTACTCACTTGTTGATTTACGATCTTGCAAGTTATCGCGCCCGACATATCTTTCGGGCCTGACTTTCCACGTTTCTTGCATGGGGCTTTGTCACCCTTGAGCGCTAGATCACTTCCATATGTCGAGCCTGCACAGCTTAATATATAATACACTACCTACAGTACGCTGATGGAAGTATGGGCTCTCGCCACGAGCCCATACGACTTAAGCAACGCGGACAGGTGGCCATATCACCTGCCGCGTTCTTGAACCGACTTATCTCCCTTGATGGAGCGAAGGGCTAGGAGTGCGGTTTTTGATTCCCCAAGGTTGCTCGTCTTTTCCTTCGTCGTCCTCCTTGGGCTGCATCACTTGCAGCATCCATTTGCACATGGTCTGGCAAAAGCGGCCTCTGATGCCACAACCAGTTCGTCCGGTGCTTGGAGCTTTGAAGATGATTGCTACCAGCATATTTCAGACGCCGTGAAAGGCCGCTGTGATCTGCCCGAGCCGACGGGTACATTTGGCTTGTCCATCGTCGCCGACGGCCAGTTGCTTAACCCACCATGCACAGCAATCCTGGGACTAAGCGAACAGGTAGGCTTTGCCTTTTTGATGTTATTGATGTCAAGGAAGCTGCAATGCTTAAAGGTGATCTTTGTTGGTTGCCATCCATGGGCCTGAGGTGTTCCATCCATTTCCCCTATGAGCACCCATAAGGGAAACTTCGTACTTCTCCGAGCATAACAATTGCATCACGTGTGTGCGCTCTCTTTTCCTTGTCTGCTATGCCTACCGTGGCCCTCGCGGCCGTCGTCACCGGCCCCTCTTCCCTGCCCGTGTGTAACAGGTGCCAAGGACGTTTCTCCTCAACCACACAGGTACGAGCTCCAGGCGCGCATGCATATCGATGCCTCTGTCCTCCGCTTGGACGTACATGAAGCCAGCTGTTGCCTGTTATCAGCCTTACGAGCGCCTCTGCACGTTAACGCTATTGCCAGTCCGGTCATAGCAGGGGCAGCGGCTGCCTTGCTTGGGCCGTTGCGCACGTGACCCAGATGACCCAATTGGAGGAAGGGAAGTTCAATGCACGCGCACGTACGATTGATTGGTCCCCATGCCCTGCCGCAGTGTACGAATACGGCGGGACGTACCAAGTGTCAAGACTTGTGGAATTGTACGGCAAGATAACGCAGGCATGTGGACACGTGGACGGGAATGTAATCCTGACAACTGGGGCTCGTCATGTATCACACAACAACAGACATGGCGCATAGGACAAGCGTGTTTGGCTCCGTTTTGCTCCGACCCAAATTGGATTTCGCCACCCTGCCGCCCCAGATACCGCTCATTGTGACTGTGGAGGACCCGGACTGGTGGAATGACGCCTCGCATTCTCCGGCTGGCCAGACCGCCCTGGGCCCAGCTGCCACACCAGGCTCCTTCGCCGCAGGAGCAGCAGCCACCGCCACCAGCGCTAACAACACAGGCTTGGGTGCGGCTGACTATGCAGGTAAGGCGTGGGTGAGGTCAACGTAACGTCTTGGTAAGGCTGACGAACACGTGGCGTTCCAACCTCCAACAACCACAGGCTGGGCGGTGGCCCCCTCCACCCTCAGTGGGATGTACGACGCCGGACTGCTACAGCCGCTGGACTCGCTGCTCGCCGTCAGCCCCGAATTGGCGGCTGTGTGGCAAGACATTCCAGAGGTGGGGCCCATGCATACTTGCGCATTCGGTGATATGGATAGGAAGGCGTTGCATGGGGGGAGGGATTGCGACTCAGGTGCTGCGCTAGCATAAAAGGGCTGGAGGCGTGAGGCAAGGGGTGCGGGCTGGGGTGCATGATGACAGCCCGTTCGGTCGCTGGCAGTAGAGACACACACTGACCCAGATCAAGTAACCGAAAGGTTGGCCGATGGACAACGGGAGGATGAATCCTTGAGAGTACCCTTGTTGCAGCTTCCTAACAGCACCATCCCTTTCGGTGTGTGCTCAACCTCGGGGCACGGCGGCGCAACAGGTCTTCCGCGACACGGCGTCCGTGTACGACGGCAAAATCGTGAGCATACCGTACACCGCGGAGGTGCCGCTGCTGTTCTGGCGCAGGTGGGAAGGCCCAAGTGAAGGAATGTCCGTTGATGGTGGCGTTATTAGGGCGACAGTTGTCGTGAAGTTGAATAAAAAGGGTGGGAGGGAGAGGTGGAAACAGGAAGGAGGGCATGGCGTTGGCAGGCAGGCGTTTGGACGGCTGGGTAATGCGACCGAACCACTAATCGGCCGGACATTGGCAGCTAAGCCTCTTATTCCCCTGTTCCTTCGCCATTCATCCCGTCTCCAATTACCCTCCCAAAGCTCCTTCCGTTCCCACTTAACCGCATCTCTACACGCTCACCTCATTGTACCGCATGTCACGCTGCCGTACCCACCGCCATTCACAGGGACCTCTTCTCCCAGCTTGGCCTGCTCCCTCCCGCAACCTGGGAGGAGACGCTGGCGCTAGCCCGGAGCATAAACGGAACTCAGGTGGGTGCGGCACCTGAGGACGTTGGGAACTGGAAGCAGGTGGGAGTGTCGTACCTCACCTGCACCATGCATACGGCAACTCCGCCGGGCCCAGTGTCCTATCCTGCCGTTCCTACTTTACGCTGCATGTACGGCATTTCATGCCATGCATGGGCTGCCACGCCCGCGCTGCGTACTATGTCGTATTTGCATGTTAGTGGCTCAGATACACCGACTTCACTGCTGAATCTTCCCTCCAGTGCCTCTTCCCTCGAACGCGATAGGTACTGGTAGCCCGTGCGCCCCTCCCATGGCCCCTCTCATGCTCCCTTCCTCCCTCCCTTCCCGGTACTACACAGTTGCCCTGCATCGACGACCCCGCCCAGCAGTGCCAGCAGGCAGGCTTCTGTTTCGTGTTGCCGCTCGGCTGCTTCTATGACGGACTGGCGCTAACCACCGTGTGGGCCTCAATGGTGGGCGCGTACGGCACCTCATCTGCTGGACTGTACTTCGATCCGGTTACCATGGAGGTACGACGTACGGCATGGCCTGTACGCTGTACGGCGTGTTGTGCCTTCCCTCCCGCATTCCTTTTTTCCTCCATCCGTTAGCCGCTGTCTAATGTGTCCCCTTTTTATCCGGGTTCTCGTTTCGCAGCCGCTTTTCCAGGGCCGAGGGATGACAGAGGCGTTGCGGATCTACCGGGAGTTAGCGCAGCTGGCTCCGCGGACGGAGCGGGCATGCGACCGCCTTGAGGAGAGCTTCTACATGAAGTCGGTGGGTAGCAGTGTGGGGTAGCAAGCCCTTGTCTCACCCCATGTATTTCACGTTTCTTCAGCGGTGTCCACGAAGCATACCTATAATCGCTGGGCCACTGTCGTTGCATGTGATAAACACTCGTGTCGGTGCCCCTGTCCACCCCACTCCACTACCCCTGCAGTGCATGCTGGGCCTGAGTGTGACATCGCTGTTCAAGGTCTTCGGGTTCGCCTTTGACGGCAAGCTGCGAGGCCGCCTGGGTGTGTCCATGCTCCCGGGATCACACCTGATCCAAAACCGCAGCACAGGTACGGAATGCCTACATATACACCGTACAAAAGATGCTTGGCATACCGGCAGACAACCAGCGGAGACATGGCTTGCTTGCATCTTTGGGGTTTCTGACATGTACCGTACGTACCTGCTTTGCCCTCGCGCAACTCACTGCATCTGTTTCCCTCCATCGCTCATCAGGTGAGCTGGAACCCTGTACGACAGCATCATGTCCGTACGCAGCACCAGTCAGCAGTGTCGTACACAACGGCACCGTACTCGTCAACCGAGTGCCGTATATCGGCCATGGCGCCTTCTCGCTCGCCATTAACCGCCAGGCGCCGCCCAACCACGCACTAGCTGCACTCCGTGCCTTCACTTTCGCGTTGACATACGAGGTGGGAGTGCCAAGTGGATAGCAAGCGCCTGAGGCCACCCCACTTCCATACGCAACGTTGGGGACTCTGCGAGAGAACTGACTCTGCAGCGTCGAACAGCAGCAAGAAGACCATTACCAGCTCCACACGCCTGCGTTGTAGCCCTTGTAGACCAATACCACTGCATTCCCGCAACGTCTGGCGTGTCCTCTGGCAGTCCTCCCTTTCCGTCCTGTGTCCTCACACGCCCACATCCCCTACTTTTACACCCACGTGCAGGGCGGTTGGCCTCTGGCTCTGGACCCAACCACCCGCACCGCTCCCGTGCGCACCACGCACCTCTCCTCCGCCAACATCGCCTTCTGGACCAACCAGGGCTACGAAATGGAGGACACGAGAGCCTTTCTGGGGGTCATGGCAGACACCATGAGCCACCCCTGTCTGGCGGGCGGGCTGCGGGTCAGCGGCGCGGTGGAGCTGGGAGCGGCGGTGGCGGAGGCGGCCACGACGGCGGTGTACGGCAATTCGACGGTGTACGGCATTGAGACAACTGCGGAGGGCGTGATTGTAAAGGTGCGAGGTGTGCCTTCGCATGTTAGGCCCCAACCTGCCTTCCTAATCAGTGTCTTCAAGTATGTCCTATAACCTGCTGAACTCCTGACTCCTGACAACCCTACACGCGCCCCTGTCCCTCGCTTGCATGCACAGCTCCTAGCCGCCCGCTACCAGTCCTGGCTGCGGCAGTACTACGGCGGCAACATGGCAGCCTTCCAGAAAGTCTACTGGCGGGACATTGGCTACCACCCGCCGCCGCAGCCACAGCCGCCGCCGGCGCAGCCCGCAGCACAGGCGGGCGCCTCACATCGCATGTCTCCGGGTACTGCCATGGATCTGGCAGCGGCGTTGGCGACGGCGGGTGCGGTGCTGGTGTTGGCGGTGGCGGTGCCGCTGCTGGTCAGGCGGTGGCGGCTGCTGCAGCGGAGGTCCAATGTGTGGCCGGTGGCGGCGCCGGGACTCTCTCCGGATACCTCCTTGTGCGTCACGGATATCCAGGTAAGATTCCGCCGGTTTATGTAGAGCTAGAACCGAATTCAGGCATCAGTTCAGGTCAGGCGCGGGCCTCTTGCCCTGTCGGATCTTGCTGCTGTTATGCCCGCCGCAAGCCTCCTCACGTCATGTCGGCTTATGCCATTACGTAATGCACCCCCGTACGACTGCTCCTTGCAGTCCTCCACGACGCTTTGGGAGGAGCTTGACCCACGGGTCATGGACGAGGCGTTGTCGCTGCACAACAGCTGCATTCGCGGGCTGTTGTCCAAGCACCAAGGCTACGAGTGCCATACTGAGGGGGACTCTTTTGTCGTCGCCTTTCCGACGCCTGCGTGCGCTGTGGCCTTTGCGTTGGAGATGCAGGTACGATCCGAGCGCTAAAGCTGACTCAAGCGTACCGGTATAAGCCGATGCCAAATGCCGATGCCCCTTTAATCCATCGTTCCGTGCACGGTATGCTTACTAAACAGAATGAGGCATTTCCTGAGCCCTTAATATCTTTTGCTCTTCTCCGTGGCTCCGCGGTTTGCGCAGGTTGCCCTTATGCAGCTGCCCTGGCCTGAAGACCTGCTGCACTGCGATCCCTGCGCCGTCGTGTACCAATCAGCAGCAGCCCATGCAGCCATGGGCTCCGGCGTCTCAACTACAGCCCCATCCGACACTGCGGCGTTGGCAGCAGCAGCAGCAGTGGCCGCCACCACAGCAGCGACATCCTTAACGACGGTAGCTGGTTTAGGACCCACAGCATGCAGGACGGCCAGCAGCCTCCCTAACATGGCCTGTTCTGGATCCCATCCTGCATTCGCCTCGCTGCCGCCTTCGCGTCTGGGAGGCCAGCCTAGCCACCACCAGCAACGGTCCACGCCAACGGAGGGCATCATGCTACTGCCAGCGGGCGCACCTGATTTCGTAGAGCAAGGCGACGATGGTGCTGATGCTGAGGCTGCGGCTCAGAACTGCGGTGGCGGTGTCGTGAACGCAGGCTCTGCCATTGGGCCCATCCCGATGGATGGTCACCAGCAGCAGCTAGCGCAATACCGCCACCCTTCCGAAAGCCTGTTACCAACCATGCCTTCCCGGATAGCTTCAGCTGCTGCCGCTTCGTCGTCACAACCATTGGCAGCTGCTGGCGGCAGCAGCAGCCTTACCAGCAGGCACGGCAGCGGAGCCAGGCGCCGAGGAGTCCAACACGCCATGGCTGGCCTGCAAACTGTAGTACCGTACGACAGCGGATCTGTACGGCAGTCACCATCATCTTTAGCGCGCCTTTCCCTGGCATTACCGCATCACCCATTGCATGCAGGCCATGCCGTCCAACAACAACAGCAGCAGCAGCCGGTTATGGATGAGCTTCGTGCGTTGCATGCGCTCATGAAGCGGCAGTGCGGGCTGTCGCTGCTGCCCTCACGTGCCGTGGGGGCAAGCGGGGTGCAGGTATCGAGGGAAAGTGAACACCAACATCACATGGAGGCTTACGTCGGGTACCATCATCACCGTCTGCAGCAAACGCAGCTACTGCAACCGCACTGCTTGCAACAGCTGCGGCAGCATCGGGGCCGAAGCATACACGAGGCACCTGTTCATGCGCAGTCGCTTGCGCCGTCCGAACGGGACAGTTCCCGCTGTCGCGGCCCTTGCTTCGGCAGCAATAGCAGGCTGGGGGCGCCGCCCCTTTCCGCAGTACAGGCGGGCACAACAGTCAGGAATGTAAGGCCTGTTGACTGTTCCGACATGGCGACTGACGGCAGCTGCTTTCCGCCTGAGCGCTGGCGGGTGGTCTCCTCGGCGCAGGACGGTGCCAGGCACACCGCCGGCTCCAGCGATGGCCTTCAGAGGCAGAAAGGTGTCAGGGACCCTGCTTGCGTGGGCGACGGCCTTCAGGGGCCAGATGACTGGGTGCGCAGCAGCTGCATCACCTTGACCGGAGACCTCACGGCGGACGCAAGCACTGTCAACGCCTATGTACAGACAGTTGGCGCTATTGCGAAGGCTGATGGTGCTGCCTTCAATAGCCATAGAGCTCAACAGACACCATGCAGCACGGTTGATACATCACCACCAGAAGCTCGGGAAGAGGTCGGAGGAGGGCATGCCGGAAGGGTCATGAGCACTGCTGCCGTTGCACGTGACAGCCTTACTGGGGAGTCCTTGACGTCTGAAACGCTGATGCCCTCGCTTCAAGTGGGCTCTGAAAGGAGCACGACAACAGGTTCGCGCGCCGTGAAAGACGAGCCGCAGCAGCTGCAGCAGCAGCCGCAGCAGCCCAGGCGCAGCTGTAACCAAAGTGCAGTGCTGGCTGTACTTGGAGACACGGACTTCGGTGTTCGCAGCAGTGCCAATGCTACGGTTGGGGCGATGGTAGCCGGCGCGTATGCTGTGGTCTTGCGAAACCTATCTGACCCGGGAGGTGATGAAGAGCGTGCAAAGGCCGAGGCTTCCGCTTTGAAGGCATCGAGGCCTGTGCATGCCGCCTATGGAACGGTGCCGGCTGCAGCTCCCTGCGCCGTAAGAGCGGCGGCAGGTTTACTGGCGGCATGTACAAGCGACCCCAATAGCCCTCTGCAGGATCCCTCCTGCACCTCGCCCTCCCAGCCGAGTGCAGCATCGCCGGGTCACCTCGGCAGTCATGCTGGTGCCGAGCACTCACCCACGCGACTCACAGCGCCACTCAGGTCATGTGCTTCCTTGCGCTGCCGTGGAAGCGGCTGCGGCAATGACGGCGGTGACGGCAAGGGCTTGCGTGGCGGCAGCCTCCGGCATTCCCCGCTTCTGGCTTCGTCCTTAGCAGGCAGGTCCTGCAAGGTCCCGGCCGTTGCATCGTGCAACGCGGCAGGGGTAGAGGGTACAAGCTACGAAGCTAGCGCGATTCCGCCCACGCCGTTGGCATTACGCGATAGGCCGGCAGTGCTGCTGCCACCGCCAGTGCACCTTCCCGCCTCTCTGGAAGCCAGCAGCAGCCCCACAACCATATCCGCTGCCTCCAACGTTACCCTGATGCCAATGCCAGCGCCTCCTCAACCTGCTGAGCTCCACGCCACCGGCAGCTGCTCCCAGTCTGAAGGACCCATGGGTCACATCGACGGCGGCAAACATACGGCTGATACTGCACCGCCATGCGCAGAATCTCTGGCGTATGACACTTCCGCGCCTTCGTCCGCGACACGTCTAGCATTGCAAGTCAGCTTGGGAGCAGCCTTGCGGCAGCCCTCTGCAGCTAAGCTCCCGGCATCAGGCTCAGGTGCCCCAGCACTGCCGACGTCCTCTCTAGGCCGCGTCACTAGCCGACTCGGGATGGGGTCTGCATTATTGCCGCCGCCGCAGCCGGAACTGACAGTGCAGCCTTTGAATGCCTCGGGCTCCTTTTCCTCCGTCTTGCCAGTGCATGCGGGCGTTGGCCGAATCCTGGTTCCGCCCGACGCTGTGGGAGCCACTACCCCGGCTAATGCTGCTGGGGAGACCGGCCTTGAAGGCTTGCTTGCCTTGAAAGCACCCTCAAACGGCCGCGCAGCTGGCACTAGGCATTACCGCTGCCGCAGTGAAGATACCGCGTCATTGTACGGCAGCCTGGCGGTTGCCCAATCGTCGTACTCCGCCTTCCGGCCTGCATCCTGCTCTTCATCGCAGCTAGCTACCATCGCGGACCTGCACACGCTACAAGAACAAGCCCAGCAGCACGACCAGGATCATCAAATCACCGCCGTCAGGCGGTCATCTATCAGCAACCACGTTAACAAGCGCATCAGCAGCTATTTCACTAGCGCTTTGAGTGCCACGGGCCTGCATGGTTCCATCGTCTGCCGCCACAGTAGCGCCGGCGGAGGGGCCAGTGTGGCCTCCCTGTCCGCCCTGAGACACGCCGGCAGTGGCGCTGGAGCTGCCTTGACGCCTAGCCATACGGGAGCAAGTGTGCTTTGCTTCAGGGGCTTTCGCGTGCGTGTTGGCGTGTGCACTGGCCTGGTGCCCGGGCGGGACGTCGTGTATCGCAAAGACCTGAGCGGGCGCATGGCCTATTCTGGACAGTGCATGCAGGTAAGGTAACGGGTGTGGCGACAAGAGTCAGGGTGTGTCGGCCTAGCAATTGCAGACTCTGGGCTGTTGCTTTTCGCTGTATTGCAATCTTGTAATCTTCCTGGTTCCTTCCCTGCCACTCCCCGCCGCAGCTGACCAAGCTCATCAGCGACGCTGCGCTGGGCGGCATGGTGCTGCTGGGCGCTTCCACGGTGGAGAGGCTGCTGCCACTGCCTAGACGAGACCTGCAGGTAAGCTGAGGCTGAGAACCCGAGCCTCCGAGGTGCAATCTTCCATGGCCCTTGTCGTCGCCATACTTGGATGGGCGCCTTGGATACAGACGCACATGCTTACCAAACCCAACTCGCATACGCAAACGCGCTGTCACCTCACCCCTTTCCACACTCAATTACCCCGTCACGCGCCCCTCCCGGCATGCCCAATTCCGACATTCCCCAGGGCCTCACGCTCTGGCACAAAGGCCGATTCGAGCTGGAGAACAAGGCGGCAGCAGCAGCAGCCTGCAGCGGACTGCTGCCCATCCGCACAATCCATCACCCTCATCCCCATGCCCTCCACCCTCAGCGCCTGACGCCTGCCCGCGGAGTGGGTCCTCAGGACCTCTACCAGGCCCTGTGTGGCCCCTCCCTGGCGGCACGGCAGCTGCTGCTGGAGCGGCAGCCGCTACGGGCGCTGGGGCTGGTGCTGCCGGGGGTGCTGGCGGCGCCGCTGGGGGCCGTGACCCTGGCCATGGTGCAGGTGGGTATTTGTGTGTGCAAAAAATCAGGAATTGTGCTGTGGTACAGCGTGGTTAACGGAGAGTAACGCGTGGTGTTGCATGCAGCAGCGATACGGTACTGCTTTGTGTCCTCCGCCTCGGCATCTCCATGGCCAGGCAATGGAGATGCCGAGGCGGAGGACACATTCATGGCGGCACCGAGCCGCTGTTGTTAGCTGCGCCGTACAACGCCCTGCACATGACGTCCGGCTCCTCCCGTACCCGGGCCCTGCTCTCCACCAGGTGGTTGGTCTGCCGGTGCTGGAGGAGTGGAACGAGGGCGTCACGCGGGAGTCGCTGGGTCTGCTGCGAGGGACCGCCCTGGAGCTGCTGCGGGCGGCGGGGGGCTACCCCGTTGTGCTGGATGGGGGCGTGCTGCTAGCAGCCTTTGCCTCGCCGGTGGGTGTGCTGGCACCGGAACTCCCTGGTAAAGCAGATAGGGCGTGGCTGACAACACCACCTTCCGAGGCTTACTTTCCTCTCATAACTGTGGATGCACGCTGACGGGAGCGTCCATTGCGATGCAGTTGGGGTGTTTGTGGTTCCTCACATCCTGAGTCGTCCTCTTGTCTCGGCTTCCTCCTTTGACACTTGATCCGCAGGCCGACGCCATCCGCTGGCTGCTGTCTCTAGAGGAGGAGCTCAGGCTGCACGTACCCTGGCCCGAGGCGCTGCTGGGTCACGAGCTGGGCGACGAGCTTACCGTTACAACCTTCCCGCCACCGCTGCAGTTACAGCCACAGCCTGCGACGGCGGCAGCTGATATGTCGCTAGCACAGCGTGGCGGAAGCTCCAGCAGCGATGCTACTGCTGCCCATAATGGCGGCGGCGACGATGGTGGTGGCGAATACAGCGGCGGGCTCAGTTATAATACCTCGCCCCTGCGGGCGAAGAGCCGGGGCGAGCTGGAAACGCACTCGATAACGCTGGCGTGCTTGGTACGCAGCAACAGCGGCATGCCGTCTGGCGTGAGCGGCATTGCCGGGCGGCACCTGACCCTGGCCTCGGGCGGCCGTACCAGTAGCAGCAGCGCCGCAAGCAGGAGCATCGGGCGCGCGCGGACGTCCCTGCTGTTGAAGGTCACGCCTCAGAGGAGGCTCCAGGGGCGGTCTCTGACGGCGCAGAACCTGGGGGCTGCAGTGCCGCGGGTCTTCAGTGAAGGCTTGACTACCAATAGGATTGCGACGGACATAACCGGGCGAGAAGCTGGAAGCTCAGGGATTCGACGCACGGTCGACGCTTGTCCTCAGCCATTGACGTTGCCGTTTCAGACGCCTGATCAACAATCCCCTGGTCTTCCTCCGGCCTCAGCGCTGTCGTGCAGCTCCATGCCAGGTCTGATTAAGCGCGATCAATCTGAAGCGCTGCCGCAGCAGCAGCCGCAGTCGCCGCCGCCGCAGCGGCATCCAGAGCTAGAGTCGCAGGATGAAGCGCATGCACGAAACCGCCCAAGTGGTTCCGATGCCCTTTACGGCAGTGGCCGAGGCAGTGGCGGCAGCGGCCTGCCATGCGACAACAGCACTACCGCCATCACGTGCGGTTCCTCCTTGGAATTCCAGTCGAGTACTGCTACCGCTGCCGTCGCTGCTGCGGCTGTCCCAGCTAGGGCGCTGGCTGTTACAGACGCCTGCTCTGCACCGCTCATGGCCCTCCCTGGCCGCAGCAGCCCGCCTCATGTGCCCCCTAAAAGCCAGGCATTATCCCCTGCTGGACAACAACAGCACCACCAGCAGCAGCCCCGCCATGCACGCCATCTCTCCGCAGGCCTTCCAGAGCTCCCAGTGGGCGTTACAGTAACCCGCAGCTCAGCTCATCCGCTGCTGCGGCTGCAAGCCTGTCTCCGTACCGGTAGTAGCACCGACGGCCCTAGCGGCTCACCCCATGCAGAGCCCATCCCAGCCTGCCTTTCCGATGCACCCTGCCAGCAGCAACAACAGCAACAGCAGGTCACAGCACGACTTAACGCGATAGGTGTCGAGCAGTCCCACCGCCTATCGCCCACCCAACCGCCGCCCGCATCCCCGGGACCCGCCGCATGTCCTTCACATTCCGGGGCAGCGGCGGCGCTTCCGCAGCAGCAGCAGCAACAACAACGATGCGTGCTACGTGGCCTTCGCGTGCGCTGTGCCGCCGTAGAAGGATCCTTCGTACAGGACGGCAGCGTGAACGCGGAGCGGTTGTACTGCAACCAACACGGCGGGAAGCCGTACAACCGACTCGCCAAGCTCTGCAGCAGCGCCCTCATGGGGCAGGTGTTGTGTTCCTGGAGTGCTGCTAAGCGCGTGCACAGGGCGACGGCAGCAGGGGACCTCGCCGCCCTGCAGCTGAGGCTCACACCGCAGCTAGCAGGCAGCCGCAAGCGTAATGGAATAGCAGCTGCAGCGGCATCAGCAGCAGCTGCTGCAGATGCGTGCGGCGGGGATGCGGAGACGATGGCGGCAGCTGCGGCTGCGGTAGCGGCTGCAGCGAACGCTACGCTGGTAGCAGGCGGCGTCGGTGCGGGTGAGGAGGACGCGGAGGGCTGCATGACGGATGGTTTGGCGTCGCGTGAAGGGCAGGGCGGCGGCGTGGGGACAGGAGCACCGCCGCCGCAGCAGCAGGAGCTAAGTCGGGCAGAGGTATGGCTCTGCGGATGGACACGGGGTGCTGCAGCAGTGTCGTAGGAGCGGTTCATGGCACGGTAAGAGGAGGTAGAGGCCGTGCCCGTAGTATGGATGCATGCATGGTGTTCCTACCGTTATTGGTTCGCTTTCATTGCTGTGCATGCCTCGGATCCTAATGGCAATGACGTCGAGGAGAGAGCAAGACTACACGCACGCCGCGTGTGAACTGCTTAGCGCTAAGGGAATGTAATAACTTGAGGACAGCAGCGTAATTTAGGCTAACGGACTGGAGTGGGGTATGTGACAGTGAATAATGCAATGCAGCGTTGTGTAGACGCCCTCTGTCAAAGCAAGTGCCATGTCCGCAAGCAAGGCTTTATTTGATGAGAACAGAGACATGCCAGCTGGCAAGGGGCATGCATGTCAACCTGCCCTTTGGCTTACCTGAAAGCCCGAAAAGGCGCAAGGGCCCTATACTACATGAGGCTCTGAGGTCAATCTCTGGAATTATGTTGGTACGGCGGCATGCGTGTGCATGAGCTACACATGGCTGCACAGCTGCATGCTTGCCACCTAGGCGACATCGTCAGATGTCTGCATGTCTGTGGGGTGCAGATTCAGTGGCAAGGTGTTTTGTATCCTTGCAGTTTGCATGCATGGGGGCTTGAACGTAGTTTCGTTGGGGGGTAATATCCGGTACACGGAAACTGTTTGCCGCAAGTCTGGGAATGCGTTGTTTGTGTACGTGGAACGTATAGCATCGGCATTGAAATGAACGCCAAGCGCTGACTGCCTGTTTGTTTCCTTATGGGCTTAGCTTGCGGTGGTTTCAGAAGGTGGGCGCTAACGCAGCGAGGGATAGGTTTTCATTTGCATATGCGTGGGCATAAGTGTGCAACGCAGGGTAAGTATACTTGAACGATTCTCCTCGCATGCATATGTCAATAGGCAGGAAGCCTGCTTACTATTATCATGGTATTTTGTTATTGACTGAAGACACCGTGCTCACTGAGGTTGGAGCTGCAAGTCTTCGGCGGCTACTGGCATGGAGATAAAACTACCTGTATACGGAAAATCTTGTAGGTATGCGGGAGATGGCATGCTGTTACAGGCTTGTACTTGGACAATAGCAGTTGTGGCAATAGCAACATTCAACGAACAACAACAATACCTAGGCCTATTGCTTTCTGCTCAACTGTATCTCATAAGGCTCAAATGGACAATCCGGCGGGCTTTCATGCAGCAATCGCCCATGAAATTTTAGTAGGACGGTAATAAAATAAGGTAATGGGAAAAAAGGTCAACGGCAGTGTCCCATTCATTGGGTCGCCGCAACTAAGGCATGCATATTCCATGCCATGACGGGGATGACACCCACTTGCTGCCCGAAAATGTAAGATTCTTTGCCCTTTGCCAATCCAAGCGCAAGTCAACCAGTGCCAACCATTTGGACATGCCCCATTAGAAAGAAATGTCAACACATCAACAGCAATCGAGGACAGCGACAGGCGTCACTATCTGTCAAGGAAATTTTAGTTTGCCAACAGGACACATCAGGAAGATTAATAGGAAAGGTCATTTCTATGCATGTATAAAGGCATAAACATTGTTGTCTCCTCTTAAGAGGGCACCCCATTGTACCGGTAAACATTGCAGACGTACGACAGCAATTGCCTCGGCTGTCCTAAACGTCCAGGTTTATCCACGTATCTGCAGGGTTCCCATTTTCCTCCCTAGGTTAACCGTCCTCAAAACTTCCTAAATGCCCGCCGCAGAGCAGCTGCAGCCGTTTTGGTAAAATTGCGAACGGAAGGCATATAGTGCATGCTCGTTTACACGGTGACCCATGGGTCCGTCGCTCCGCTCCTCGTCTACTTCTTGGTCGGGGCAGCGCCGCCGTGCTGAATGCGAACGTCGTCGATGCAGAACCAGGTGTTAGCCGAGCCGATGGCCCTGTACGACAAACAAAAAAGCAAGCATGTAAGGATTAGGCGAGCTGACAACATACGGTAACCTAATGAAGCTAAACGGCACTTGTAACGGAAGCGCGGCCTTATTGCATGGACAACCCAACGAACCAAAAAATAGCCAACCAAACCAAGCAGTAAGGTGCGCGGCATGCATCGTACGGGGAAATTGTCGAGCACACAAGAGCTCCTAAGAGGAACAGCCCGAACAGGTAAGCGGTAGATCCTTTGCTAGCACCATGTGGCCTCCTCACAAAACGTGCGTGGGCAGGCCCCACTTACTGCAAGCTCAGCTTGTCACGGGTGTCGGTCTTGGGACCGCAGTTGAAGGTGGAGTCGAAAGGCAGCGTGTACTGGGGAGGGCGGCGGGTGGGGGTGCGGAAGGGTGGCCCGTTACTTTCATTATGGAGGCGGCTATAGACCGCAAAGGCCAAGCAAGCTGTGTACAGAGTGCACGATACATCTACTATCACTTGTGTTCCCGATCATGAAACCACTGTAGCGGTCATTCATTCATCAACTTAAGTTCGCGTAGAAGTGCGCTATACGTGCATTGTACGGAGACTCAAGAACATACAGCAAAGCCGCACCTGCAGCCAACCGTCAGCGCCCTTGTTGCTAGGAGACACGGAGGTGAGGTAGGCCTGAAGTTAAGGGTGAGCAGGAGGGGAAGGTTACGACTCCACTTTTTCTAGGACAAAAGCCTTTACAAGCTTGTACGACGGGTTAAAAAGGTGTAACACTCGGGAAACGAAAACGCAGCACACTACACGCTAGCGCCGCTGCTGCCGCAAAAGCCGTTAAGTTTGCCATACGCCCGTCAACGACTGGCCGCGAAGATTAACATTGCGACGCCCCAACCGCTAACCGCGCTCACCTCTCCTGGACAGTAGGTATCGTCCTCTTGCTGGGCTACCATGACCTGCAGGTACGTGCGGCACAGCATACATGTCATACCAATAGCAGATTCGTACAGTACGGCATGACGGAAGGGGACGAATCTAGGCATCTTTCCTGCTTCACGAAGCTCGATAATTGCGCCTCGATAACTCCTTCCAATCATTACCCCGAGGTTCATTCCTCGGCCGTTCAAGCACGCCCATGTACGGTAATGTACATGAGCTTCATCATACATTCCTACAAATCCGGTGAAACCGTACGGCATGTTGTCGTACAATACCGTACAACGCCCTGCCGTACCTTGAGCGGCGGCGGGCTGCCCGGGTTGTTGCGGTCTCGGATCCAGAAGCTGATGGAGGTGGCGCCGGAGAAGGGCTGGTAGCCGGGCCGGTTGCAGCCTCGGCACCACCAGGTCATGCCACCGCCTGGAGGGAGGGGAAACGGAGGGAGGAAAGGAGGAGGAAGAGAACAACAGGAGAGGGAGCAGGACATGAATGGAAGGGTGACGGATGCACGAGCTGGGTATGCGCCCATGTGGCCGGCAACTGCGATTCGGGCACGATACGGCAGGCGCAACATGGATAGAAGCCAAGAGCCGTACAGTTTCACAGAAAGTTTCCCTCAGTTCCATCCAAACCATGCCTTCTGCTCCCAAGCCCAGCCACCTGGCGACACCTCAGCACACGCCGCCGCGGTGCCCTGGTAGCCCCACCCAGGGGCCGTCACGTTGAAGTTGTGGGTGGGCGTCATGTACGGGAACCAGGACCAGCCGGTGGTGACCATGTTGTCGTACAGCACATCTCGGTTGATGTAGCCCGGCTGCAGCGGCAGCGCGGCGCCGGAGTAGCAGTCCACGGGGCTGCACGGCGCGGGGCGAAAGGAGGGATGTGTATACGGCAGCAGGAGTAGGGGATGAGCAAGAGGGGGAGCAGCGGGAGCAGGAGGGGGATGCGAGTAGCGGGAGCTGGGGCACTGGTGGAACAACTACAAGAGTGGTAGGAGCTGCGGCTTGGAAGCAAAACAGGTGGGCCACGCACTACAGAATACGGTACCGGTATACAACGACCAGCAAGAGCGGACTGTGTTCTGGAATGTAGCAGCAAAGGTAGACAGCGGGGGCAGCATCGGCAGGTGGTGGTGGCGGTGGCGGAGTGCTGGCGAGTAGCAAGCTGTTCCTGACTCACCGGATGTCCAACATCATCTCGGGGTACATGGGGTGCGCCAGCTGCAGGGTTTTGGGGGGGGGCATTGCGAGGGGGCGTTGCATTGCATGCTTGCAAGAGGCGCATGGAATGGGGACGTGGAAATATGTTGGGTACAGTTGTTGGGTAAAAGAAGCTAAAGTGCCATACCTGTTGATACACCCAAAACGACAGATCCATCTCCTGCTGTCCGGCCTTGGGGCTGGTGGAGTTCTTGTAGCAGCACGAGGGCTGAGTACGGTGGGAGTGGGGGGGCAGCAGCCAGGAGCGAAAAGATAATTAAATTGAAAACGATAAGCAGCAACCTGTACGAAAGCCAGTAAAAGCCGGAGGCCGGAAGCCCAGCGGGCGATGAGCCATGAGCAGCAGGCAATGGGTAGAAATATCTTGAGCATTTCTCCCAGCAAGAGACTCTTAGGTTTCAGGCAAGCAGCTTTGAACAAGAGCTCTTCTGTTGCCTTCCGTGCGAAGTTACACTGTGTCAACAAGGGCATTACTAATACCATATGGATGTGGGAGTGACAACAAATGCCGTTCTCGCACGACCCTTACGCACGACTGCTGTCGTACCTGTTCGTACGGCTGCTGTCCTTTGGGCGAGTACCAGCAGGGGCAGATGTCGATGACGTGCACCCGCACCGTCTTGTTGGGGTCCCAGCACTTGACGTACACGTAACCGTCCTTCTCAGCGGGGTTGCCGGGGAAGGTACGGCCCATATCGTCCGGGGCGTTGCCGTACCTGGATTGGTATTGTTTGCTTATCGGTAATAGCCCAAGGAACACTTCTGCTAAGTTGCGTCTGCTAAGATGCAACTCAGTGACAGAGGTAAACCCAAGTAGCTTATCTAGGAACCCCATTCGGACCCAGGATCCCGCCGGGTGTCCTAATCAGGCCACTAGCCCACCACTCACTGCGGGAAGTAGTACCACCGCCAGAAGGGCACCGCCTCATCGTTCAGACCCAGCACCATACCATCCACACACTTGACGTCGTAGCAGCGACCGCAGCTGCCTGTTTAGGAGACAGGAAGGAACACACATCAGTGACAGGGACGTACGGGACAGCAGGAGGCCTTCAAGAGGAGGAACAAGGCAGGCAGCAATGCTACTACCGTTAATCACATGCCATCAGTAGAATAGGAGGCTACCGCCAAACAAAATGGCGATGACAGCAACACGGGCAAGAGCGATGCAACAAAAGCAGTTGACAGTTGCAAATAAGCAGGCGCAGCACACAGCCACAGGATTGTGTTTTGAAGGGTTGCCCCTGCCCACACACACATGCATGGGGACCGACCCATGGTTCATACCTGGGAAGTCGGGATTGGCATCAGCGTACGAGGAGACCGCAGTCTTGGGGAACGGCATGGATCCATCCGCGTTGGTGTAGCCACATCTGCGGGACAGTCATCAGTTGTCAACAAGGCCGTTCATACCACCACAGACATCACCGGTTACATTTATGCAGCAGCAAGGAGGTTATATTCGGAAGCGGACACTGTTCCGACCCCACCGAACGACCGCGTTACCGCATGACAGTAGAAGCACAGCACCATCACGTGGAAAACGTTATGGATGCTTCCGGAACTTCCCGTTTGCGACGGGTTACCCCTCACGTCACGTCACACGCACTCACCCGCCCCACTCCAGGATGCCGAACGCCGACTCGCCACCGCCACGCGAGGGTGAGAAAGTATCCACGAAGGGCTTCGGAGTGCCGTACCTGGCAAGGAAGACGGCCCAAATGACTAAAAGACATATACCAGCGAGCAGACCAACCAACCGACCCATGGGTCACCCACCCAAAACTGATCCTTCTGGCTACTCTCCACCCGCCCAAGCCCATTACCAACTCACCAGGAGGCTCGCGCACGCATCCATCCGGCCGGGGGTCCTGGCGGCTTGCTGAAGGAGGTGTTGTAGGCGGCCTTGGGGCCGGAGGGCGGAGGCAGGGGGGTGGCAGGTGCGCTCACACCAGCGTTAGCGGCGCCGCCCGCAGCAGAGCCGCCGGAGGTGTTGGAGGGGGAGGTGGCCTGGGCGTTGGCGCCGGGCGGTGGAAGCCAGGCGCAGGAGAGGATGAGGGCGAGGAACGCGAAGGCGAAGCCCGCGCGCTTGGCTAGCGGCATCATGGTTGATACCGGGGTCGTATCTAGGTAGGGAAATGGGAGGAGAGAAGGCGAAAGCAGGATTAGGGCGGGCGAGAGGGCTTAGATGGATCTAGCGCGACGCACTAGGGCTTGCACGCGACGCGACGCAAGAGCGAGCGGCTTACCTCTCTGGAAAGGCCCCAAAGCCTAGGATAGTGGCGGGGTTGCTTACCGGTAAGCTGTTTGGCAGGTCCGGTGCCTGAAATGACGGAAGAGGTTTAGGGTTCGGGGTTCTCTCGCAGCCGAAGACGGAACGACGCGACTGAAGCAGCGCTCTCTACAGCATATTCCCTGCGCTGGACGTTACTAAAAGTAAAGAAAGGTTTTTTAGCTTGCAGATGAACTCGTAAGATTTCGGGAGCGCCTAAATACTTCCGCAACAGGCTTAGCAACCTTGTCAGTTGGCCTGCTGTGTAGGATTCGTACACGCTGTAAACATGAGGTCATTCAGACGACACACGCCCGGAACTTGACCTATTACCGAGTGCTGCGTAAGTAGAGGTCCTGTTTGGACAATTTTCATCTTGCTGATTATGAATTGTGGGTGTTGCCCGGCTCCAACGGAAAGAACCGCGCCACGAATCTAACCGGCTGCCGTGACGCGCCAAGGGTGCGATATGTGCTGGGGTCCTGCAAATTGCTGTCACGTGGAGATGTTGATAAACTTCGAAGTATTTTTTGCGGAAAGCTGCGTCTCAGGTTCGCTGGTTGCTGGTCGGCTACCGGTACCCTCATGATCTGAAACCGTGGCGGTTAGGCTGCCAGGTATCAGCCCTACCTGCTAAGCGTTGCGCCAGCCTCCTCCTCCCTCCCTAGTAAAAGTAAGGGGCAGTCATCAACAGCTAAATGCCGCTGACCTCCGTTGCTTACGGCGTCCGTCGGGGAAGACCCAAGGAAAGCGTGCGTGCCGCTGCTTGCCGTACGATGGAAATCTCGATTGACCGCACTTAAAAGACTGGATACAGGCCCTTAGCCCGCACATATGCCATCGCTTATTGCTATTTTATGCTATCTTGGTGCTTTCGCACCTGCCAAGGTGGAGGTTACCGTACTACCTGCCCAGTCATGTTTGGTACGGCAGCTGAAGCGGAAGAACGCTGGATTCCTTGCCAACCGCAACTCCATATTGTATTGTTGCATCTAGACACAGACTGGAATGGTGAACCCTTTCACGCTACGTGCCTAGTTCGCTAGGCAAGCAAACTGGCAGCAGCCCTACTGTAACCTTGCTTGGGTCCTCGCAGTGACCATGACATCTCTCGCTGTTTGCCCCAGCCGCCAGGGGCTCATACTAGGCCGTAAATGCTTAGGTGTCGCAGCACTTCGTCAGCCTTGCATCGGGCAAATGCGACAGCGTAGGGTTCACGCCCCCTTCCCTTGTGTCGCCGACCAAGTTAACGCTTCCACTCAAGCACAAGATGATGTTGACGGTATCGAAGTGGAGATGCACGCGGCGAGGGAATCCGTGGCGGGAAATGGCACAATGCCCAGCGCATTGCTCGCAGAGGCCGAGGACCTCAAGACCAAATTCGAGTTAATTCAAGAGGAAATTGCGACTTATAAGCAGCTTTCGGTGGATAATGAAAAGCTTGAAGAGGAGGTCGCTCGGCTTCGGCAGGTAATTTTCAAATCTCTGCAGCCGCCATTCACACCGTCAGCACGCTATAATGTTGATGGTACTATACCAATATAATATGGCCAATTTGCGACATCGTCGCTGTGGGCGAGAAGCACCAGTGTTGGACCGTCCAAAAAGGGTTCGGGCCTAAGCACCCCCCACCTAGCCTTCTTTTCTGGAAAACCCCCGTGCAGAAGCGTAGTACCATGCTGCCCCTCTTCTCTTCCCCTTCTCCGCTGACCCGTTCCCCATCCCCATTCTCCTCACCCCTTCCTCTCCTTCCGCCCATGTCCACCCCACCTCCCCACCTCCTTCAGGAGCGCGAGGAGCTCCTGTCCCAGCTGGCCGCGCAGGAGGCTGCGGGGCAGCTGGCGGTGGCGGCGGCCCGGCAAGAGGGCGACGCGGCGCTGCAGCTGCAGCAGCAGCAGCTGGAGGAGCTGTCACTGCAGCTGCAGAACTCGCAGGTGGTGGGGGGGGGCATGCCCGGCCCGGGAGCCTGTATGTGGTGTCGAGCGCCTGCATGCGAGCCGCCAGCCCATGCATAAGTCCACAGCCATACTAGTGCCATGCATGCAGTGGAGCCCGTAAGCCGCCGCCTGCAGTCCTCCTGTACGACACAGGCCTGCGTGCGTGTGTCCCCTCCCCACCTGCCCCTGCCCCACCTGGCCCACCGCACTCCCCCACACAGGTGCAGCTGGAGCGGTTGGGTGAGGCGGTGGAAGCGGCGGAGGCGGACAAGGTGGCGACAGTGGAGGCGCTGCAGGTGGGAGTCTAAGACCGACTACGGTAAACCATGGTAGAAGCCACAAGCTAGGGCAAGGGAATGGCGATGAGGGTTGGGGCCAGGCAGTGTAGAGGCACTGCCTGTCGCAGTCTTGACATACCTGCGCCCCTGCCCCGACAGTGAGGAGAGGTAAAGAGACGTGCCACTACCATGTCGTTACCCACTTGGTAACGTATTAGTCCTTCCCTCCTTCACGGCTAACTTGGTCTTATTCGCTCCCCGCCCCTCCTGCCGGGTACGCAGGCTGAGAACCGGCAGCTGCTGCTGGCCCTAGCCAATGCCGCCAAGCGAGTCGCGGACATCCTCTACCCCGCCGGCTCCCTGCCCGGCTCCCTCTCGGTCTCCACACGCCTGGAGGGCAACGCGGTGGAGGTGGTCCGGGAGGTGCTGGCGGCGCAGCAGCAGCAGCAGGAGGAGGCAGCTGCTGCTGCTGCTGGCGGACCCATGGGTCATTCAGCGGCGGCAATTCACTCGCGGGGGCGTGAGCAGTGGTGTGCCTGTTCCTCGCCTTTGGGGCGGTTTGTTGGGTGGCTGGCGGGTGCTGTGGGCTTCTGGTTGTATCACGCGGTGGGGGCGTTGGTGTTGTATTACGCGTCTGCGATTTGGCGTGGGCGGCCGGCGACGTTGAATCTGGAGTTTGGTGTGGGGTGTGTTGCAGTGTGCACGCTGCTGTCTTGGACCAGCCGGCTGCTGCTGCCTCGGCTGGGGGCGTGAGGACTGTGAGGAGGGGGCGGGGAAATGCAGGCGGCTTGGGATGGAAAGGATACGACCAAAAGTTGATAACAATACTGGCAACCCAGTTTGGGAAAAGGGCGAAGGAGGGGCTAGACAGTTTGTTTCTGGTTGAGTGACTGATACCTCTTTCGCAAGGCGGTTCATCATGACCTGGTCATCTGGATAAGACGGCGAGGAGGAGCTGGTAGCGGATGGCCAGTGTGTCGGGGTTGCTAAGGGGAAGGGGAGGAGGCCGCCATCGAGCTTAGGGTAGGAAGCAAAAGGAGGCTATACCGTACTGTTACCGTCATCAAAGGTGCAGTTGCGGGATTGTGGCTTCCAGGTCTTCAGAAAGCGTTGTATCAGATGTGGGACTGTACGGATCTTACGGGATCAAACTGATGTACGTGTACGGGGTATCTGTTGTGACAACCAGTGTTAGTGCTGTGCGCCTTTGGAACTCTTACAATGTACGGCAGTGAAGATCTCGGACATGTGCGAAAGTTGTGATGAACAGAGGTGCGAAAGTTGTGATTGTCAGCGTTCGAGCTGTGCGCCTTTGAGGCTCTTTCCAGGAACGGTGAAAGGTGTGTTGTGAAAGGCGGCAGCGATGGCAGCGTAGGACGGCCAACAGGAGGGTATCCTGGACTTTAAAGCTTTTTGAAGGACAGCATGGGCAGCCGTTTTGCAACGGGCACTTGACATAACCCGGAACTACAGAGCAGTGTTTGCAGATCCTTTGCTTGAGTAAACCCTGCGTGTGTCATGAGTACTTGGTGTAAACCCGGTTATGTTACGTTATTATGTTGGGGATGTTGCCATCAGGCTTTGCCGACCTGATTGGAAATGATTAGGGTACACGTACGATACCAGTTCGGGGACAGATGGTATGCTTAGACCCGTTGATGAACATGGCGACTAACAAGGTGCGGCAACTTGTGGTCTTCTGTTAAACGAAAAAAACGGACACGGTATTGGCTGTTGCCGTTCCGCGGTACATGGTTGCGTCGTTTATCGGGTTGCTGCTAGGTTTCTTAAAATTTTTCTGCTATCATACGCATGCTTGCAGTAAGGCCAAAGGCATAATGGTGGCTGTGGGGTTGGAAGGGACCGAGGGCGGGGGCCTAGTGATAGCAGTCGTGGAGAACCGAAGGGCACTTCATAGTGTGGTGGAAGGGTCGCTGGAAACGGAAAGGAGTGGAATGCTGAGTTCTTCTGTCGCGGCCCGTACGACAGCTTGGATTTAGATTTACATTTATGCTTTTTACCCACAGGCCTTTGTTGAAACGCCACAGCACGTATAGGTAGTTTGCTGCTCTGTACTCAAGCTGTAGGCAATGCGAACCGCATCAATCGCGTCGTTACCCTATAAGCAAGTCCTTAACGCACATGTTGCAGTGCAACGTGTTCGTCGTAACAAGTCTCGGGCTTGCACCCCAGTGTGTCAGGTCAGGTCAACATCCACAGTGCCTTAGCCATCGTATGCTCATTACCAGAGCTCCGCCAAGGACTTCTGTGCATGACATAGGCCCGCAAACGACCTGGAGACGGAACGGCTGGTGATGACCGTCCAGAGAACATGGAAATGGTTCGTGAGGTGAGTTGCGAGGCCGTCGACAGCCGAAGAACCCTAGTAAGCTATGAGGCTAAAGCGTAATGACCTGTCGCGCAGATAATCACGTTCGTTACTTCTGATGGCATTGTACGGGTTCCTGGAAACCGAGTTCTGCGGCCTGCTCATCAGGTGCTGGTCTGTTGGCGGTCAGCATCGAACCCAACGGGAACACATTTACTAGGGCAATCTTCCTTACCTGCGCATTATTTATCTATGTGTATGCAAGGCTCCCGGAAGCCTGTATGTGCTAGGTTCCGCATACCGGTACCCGTCTTATCCATCCAGCTGTCCGCATTCCTGGGGCCAATGCACCTTAACCTGTCACCTTGCGGACTGCCCCTCTTCTCTTCTCCCTCCCTTTCCTCACATACTTTTTTAGCATAAGCGGCTGGTCCAACCCATGCCCACCTGGGATCAGCAGCAACTGTGCATCGGCTCATCCTTTACCGTGGCCGCAACCAATGGCGCTGACGTCACGCGTCGCGTCAACATCGAGGGATTCTGCCAGTCTGCAGACTACTTGTTTGCAGCGGTGCAAGACGCGCTGGAGAGCGAGCTGGGCGGGGAGGTGCTGCATGAGGAGAGACAGCTCAAGAGGTGGGGGTTACGAGCATGGGGATTTTACACGCCTCACTTCCTCCTCCAAGCGTGTTCCCCGCGTATGGCCAGGCCTGCTGGCTGACCTAGCCCCACATATACCCGCATACACCCCTTCCGCCTTTCTCCCTCTCCGGGTCTCCCTCCCCCTCTGTCTCTCACCCTCTCCCCGTACCCTTAACCCCTTACCTTCACCCACCCACCCACCCTCCCTCTCCCCCCCTCAGCGGTCTGCACGAGGTGCTGAAGCTCACGGTGGCGGTGCCGCTGCTGTTCGGAGTGCCGCCGCAGCTGGAGGGACTCAAGTGAGGGGCGAAGGGGAGGGGACGGGGGCGATGAGGAGGTACTAGGAGGGGCAAAGATGGGGAGGGAAGGCAGTGAGGATGAGGATTTGGAACGGAGGTAAAGCCTGTTGATGCCGTGGTCTGGCTGCAGGTGTGGGCGAGGCTTGCTTTGAGCCGTATAGATCCCCGGGCCATGGCATGTCTGGCCTCATCCCATTTCGGCACTACTCACCTTCTCCCCGCCGTTATCCCCTTTTCAACTCAATGCCCTCTCAAAATGCTCAACGCTGTCTTGACGGCATGCCGCAGTGAGGCCATCCGCACTGGAGGCGGCATCGTGGACCGTGTACGGCATGTATGGCTCATCCAGGCTGGCGGGGGCCTGTGACATGTCGCTGCTGCTCGGGATTGCGAGGGGCTTCTTGACATCCTTGGCATGCGCGTGTGTGTGTGTGTGTGTGTGTGTGTGTGTGTGTGTGTGTGTGTGTGTGTGCGTATTGAGTCGCGGATGCGTGAATTAGCTAGAAGCATACCGCTGTATGTTGGATGCTGTGAGGTTAACCTGTGAGTCCTAAGGAGTGGGGTACTTCGTGATAAGTAATTTGTAATTTAATGCCGTCCACGGTCTGTTGTGGGAAGAGGGTGACCTCGAGGGCACTTCTGTGCGTGGATGCCGGTGAATGCGTAGATCTTTACCTCATTTTATTTATTCTGTTACTCGGTTTGGAAGGTATTAAAGGGCATATAGCCGACGAAGCCCGCACTGTGCTTTATGGCGTCCCGCATGGGGTCAAGACTCAAGAGTTGCAATGAAGGTTGTTGTTGGACGCCTCGAAACCACGTCGTTGCTTTTCAGAATGTAGTTTATTTCGGCCTTGTATACTATATGCTGGTTCCGTGTGTTGTAGATTACTTGAGGTGTTCCTGTCGTTGGTCCGTGGTTAGCTAGGAGTTGAGCTTTCTCAACCACCAGGCTCATAAAGAATAGCATAGGATATACGAATGCGAATGCCTGTTGTAAAGTGCTTGTCATTGTAGACATATTTGTAACAGTTCCTGGCCTTAGGGCGCGCACGCAAAGGCTTTTGCTTCCCATGAGCGGCCGCATTTGTTGTCTATGGCGACTTTGACTTCTAGTTTGAACGCAACATGCATTAGTCGGTTGCATCGAGGAGTGTTATATTGCGCACGGCGATTAACATGGCGAGCACCTAAGCTTGTTGTACGCTCGTCAAGGGAGCAGCCCTACGCAGATGGGCCGGGGCTACCTCCTCAACAGCAGCTGCTGGGGGAAAGCAGAGTACAGAGCGTATGGTAAGTTCGTTGCGCAGCTAACCCTGTCTTTACCCTGGTAATATGCCATGCAGGGGCCCCGTAACCAGCTTCATAACCAACCTTCCCCAGTGCTTCCCAGCCCGCGCCATTCATGCTGACGACGCGTTTCCTCCCACAATCCTGCGCCAACACGCTTATACGGCATGTTACCCACGGTAATCCTCCTGTAGTTAACATTCTTCCAATGCCACGCCGTGACGCAGGGGTGCCAAGCTCTCAGCGGCTGCACTCTTCCTGGTGCAGCTGCTGCAGGAGGGCTTCCGCTTCCTGGCCTCATGTCCCGACATCCTGCCGCACTTCACGGTGCTAAGTCCGCGGCAGACGCTGCAGCGCATGGTGCTAATCCTGGCCGCAAGCCTCCTTATGGTGGTACTGCTGACGACGATAGACAGCGGCTTGCTGTACGTTTACGTCCGTACGGCTAAGCGGGTACTGTGAGTTTGGTTCTAGGTTAGATGTGAAGAGGTGGCGGAGGCTGCAGGAACATATTTGGTAAGAAAACTGTGGGTGTGTGGGCGGCTGAGAGCGCTGTAGGTAGAGGGATGCCACACGTCCGCATGGAGGCTGAGGGAATGGATGGTACTATGACAACGGTCCGAACGCGAGAACGATTAGGGCAGTGATGAGAGGGCATGCAGTGGGCGACTGCGGTGACAGAACATTGCAGTTGGTTGCAGGTGTGAAGAGTTCGGAAGTTACGACACGAGATACACCACATCTTCCGACATAGGGTTTGAGCGGGGCATCCGCTGCCACATGCCAGGCAAGCATCTTATTGAGACTGCTAACTGCAATAACCGGGTGGTTGGATAACCACCGTCCTACGAGCGTCTCGCAAATACCGAGTGGCAAGCTCTACACTAAGCGTCATGTAAGACGGGACAGCATGTCCTCAGCTTCAACCGCACGGCAACGGTTGGCTTTGCAGCTATTCCACTGCCCACGCGTCCAAGCTATTCCGCTACCGAAACGTCTTCACTTCCAAACCATAACTCTATCAGACTGCCTGGTGTTTGCGTTTGCGGAGTCATACTCCCATGGAATACAGCCTACTCGGGCTCCACCCATGCATATCCACAATGTATATAACATATCCATCCCTGCGACACAGAGCCCATGCCCGTATTGGACACGGGATACCTCATCACCCTCAAAAGGTGCACCATACAGCCCTCCCCAGGTCGCCAAGACCTGGGCAGCCGCTGCCAGTTTACGAACCTTAACACATGTTAACCAGTAATGCAAAACGCACTTGGGCCACACAGCTCCACGCACGCATATGCTTACAAGGTCATACTAACATTGTTGATACAAAACAGCTGATGAAATGCAACCCACCTGCCAACCCATCGCCACCTCTCACTTAGCGCCCCACGTGCTGCCCCCAGCCGTCACAGTCCAACCCTCATCCCCGCCTTCCAAAACAAACACACCCCGTACGGATACCACCATGCACAATCAAGACCGGTAGTTTACACGCAATCCTATCTGTCGGTAGTTCTTATCGCACTCATCGCGCGCTCCGCCCTTTGGTCGCTGCGTCGGGTGCTGCAGCATGCCGCTGTCTGCAAGCGGCCGCAACGTCTGCGTGCGCCCCGGGTTCTCTGCGGTGTGGATGGCTGGTGGAAGCGTCGTTGCCTACAGCGGGATGGCATGTAAGCGGGGTAACCGTTAACACGGAAGCTCTTCACCGGAGCGGACGACAGCGGACGGGTAGAGGTTGCACGTACGGGATGACGGTCCCATGCAAAGGTGTGTGTCCTAACATTCTTGAACCGCGGGGCAGGATGAAGAGGAGCCTGCCTCCCTAGACTCTGGACCTTACCCGTTGCGTTGTGAGGTAGGGGTCCTGCACGCCCTGTGAGCCCCACTCCTGCTGCTTGCGGGTGGTCAGGCCCATGGATTGCGGCCCCATCGTGCTATGCGGCACGTACAAGTCGTTCTGCTTGTTCCCGTGCCAGAGGTAGGACTGCACTCGCCGGTCGGTGCCGTCTACACGTCCATGTGTCATTTGGTACGTTGTCCCTACACCAGACGAAGTGCCACCGGTAAGTAAGGCTTTGTAGGTTAGGCAGCCCGAAAATTTAGCCTAACCATATGCATCTGGCCTGACAAGCGGGATCCCTTGTCATCGTAAACAAAGGCAACAACCATGCCATGCAAAGCAGTAATCCTTGATGTTGTTCCCACCCAGCTCACTTACCGAGGCATTGCACCGGCGGCTGGTCAAAACGCCCATGCCGTGTGAGTAGCTCCCCCTTGATGCCCAGCTGGTAGAGGTCGTGCCGCTCGCAACCCTCTAACAACTCCACACCAGTTTTGCCCTGGAAGATGGACCGTCGTGGTATGCAAGAACCAAAGGAAGGCGCGTTAGGAAAGGGCGCGTTGACTGTTGATGACTTGATGAGAGGTTGGTGATGCAAGCGGGTCTAGCGCCAACCTCACGAACTGCATGCTAGTGTCTAAAGTAACGTGTCGACCCAACACACCTCACTAGTGTAGTGGTTACGCTGTGTGGTGCTTGGCGGCCCACGGAATGGCGCTGTGTGGGTGAGGATGGTGTCGGCTGGGGCGCCAACATACATGGCATGGTCCTCGACCCAGTTGGCTATGAGCACGCCGGACCTGCAGGTGACAGGGACAACATAGACTCCCTGTTACTGGGCACCGGGGGAGCTCATTAAAGTAGGGCTATCTAGGACATGTTATAACCTAGTGTTAGTAGGGGTGGGTTTCCCACATAAATAAGGCTTTTCAGGCTGTGCTTGGGACAACGGGGTAAGGACACTTGGGTAAGAGCGCTGACACGAGCAAACAGGTAACGGATAAGTAACAAAGCAACTGCAACACGAGTACAGTTGGGTAATATAAGCATAGTAAAAGCTGCTCATTAAGTAGGGCAGAAAAAAAGGTTCGAAGATGCGGCCATGAGCATGCCAGGTGGAGTTTTCGCATGTGTTCAGAAGCATGCGCTGGCGAGGTAGGGATGCCTAGGAGATTGCCGCGGCTGGCATTAACTGCAAGCCACTGCGAGCACGGATGCGCAAGCTCGCACCTGTATGGCCCCCCGGTGTGACCGCTATGTCCCACTCCTCCGCTGCCACAGTTACGTGACCAACGATCTTGTTGTAACTTCATTCTAATGCCTAGGCGTTATTTGCTAGTATATACGTAAAGAAAGCAGGAAGCAAGCTTCGAGGTAAACTCTTTAAAACGGCTTTCAGACCTTAACCTGTTAACACCTTTTGTGCATAAGCAGAATGTGAAAGCAAATACAATGGCAGGCTCGTGCAAGTCTCTTCGAGGGACGGTACGGCTTTCGTACAGAACACAAGGTTTCTAAAAATGGGCTCTCTCGCCGTCGGCAGTCTGGCCTTCAGTTGCACAGAGCAAAAATGCCCGCCCTTCCGGAGACCGTGTACCAGGTGTGGAAGGCTGCTTTCCCTCTCAACCTAAACGCTCTGGAGGTTCCTTTACCCACTCAAATATCTTTGACTTGCAGCTCTTCTTCAAGCGGACAACCGCTTACGTCCCCATGCTGCTGGTTGGGGCTTACTTCTCCAACGAGGTGAGCAGCCATCGGCACCCTAGAATAGCAGTGACCTATTTGCTGACTATATGATGTATTTCTTCACAGGCTATTGACTACGCCATTGACAAGTTCTGGTCCACCCGGAATAAGGGGGTAAGTGCTCACTGTATTCGGGTGCTCCCTTGCTGATGATGTTGGGCGCAAAGTCTTTATCCTTGGCCCTCGCTTTTATCCACAGAAACTCTTTGCTGATGTGATTGCTGAGCGCGCTTAAGCTTGGCTTATGCGGTGGAGAGGTGCGGCGGAGCTTGCAGCGGCGTCTCGGAACGGGAAATGCCGGACGCGAGGACAGCAGCCATGCCGGGTTACATTTGCGTTTGTGCATTCCTCGCCGGATTTCATGGGGTCGCGGTGCGCTTGTGAGGGTTCGTGATAAGTGGTTGACGCTGTTGTTACCACTTCAATCGGGGCCAGCGTGTCCTCTGTAACTATTAAAGGGACAGACCGTCTTTTCCGACTATATCTCTTTGCGCATGCCTAAAGAAACAAATTGAATGCTTGTCACGCGCGTGACGCACGGGTTTTTTGCCCCCCGGGAACACGATGGCAGCAATACAGGCAATCCTGAGCCTCCGTTCAATGAAGCAAGACACCTGCCATCCAAGGGGCAGAATAAATGGTATGTGATCGGGTTGCGTTTCAACTCTGGTGCACACTAGCCGCTCAGTACAGTAAACACTCGGGAACCAGCCTGCTTCCTCAGCATACATACTCAGCCTGCCAGCGAAAGGCGCACTCAAAATTAAATTACATATATATACAGCCGATGAGCGCAAGCCACCATGATTACGCCGCTTTCTTCTTCTTTTTGCCCTTCTTAACAGCCAGCTTGACATTCGCCACGCCGTACGAAGCAAAGGGGTAGGTATCCATGGCCTCGAAGGCTGGCGCCTTTGCAAGCTTCTTGTCAGGCTTCTTCCCCCTCTCTTTCGCTTTCGCCTTGGCCTTCTTCTCCGCCTCCTTGGCCTTCTTCCGGGCGATGATGTCGTCCGCCGTTACCTTGACGCACCAGGCCGGCGTCGTGATCACTGGTTCCGGCGCCTTGATGGTAATGGCCTGCGAATGAGGGGTGAAGCCCAACGATGTGTTAGCAGCCGTACGAGAGGGATAACAGCACGTGACGGTTCCTTGCAAGAGGCAGGAAGAAGGCGGGAACGGCAGCCAGAGCAGGATACCGCGTGCTAGTTCAGATGAAGCACCCCGAAAAACAACAGGCAGCAGCCCGCATGCAGCTTCGCATGGCCAAGAGTCAACAAAGTCAAGACGTGAAGGCGGCGCACTCACCGACTGCAAGAAGGCCAGCAGCTTCTGCTTCTGGGGCAACGTCGACCCAACGTTGCTGTACAGTGGCGGAGCGCTGACGGGCCGTAACCGTGACGTGTTTACTGCAAAGCCCTGCACGGACAGGACACGCCAGCTTTTCTCATCAGTGAAGGCGACCAAGGCATGGCTTCTGTTGCCCCGCACACAAGCCCCGGCTCAGTGGCTCCCCAACCAACCCTCAGTCCGCCACCTGCTCCCTCGACCGCCACCAACCCTCAGCCGCCCCTCCCAACCGCCCACCTGTTTCAGGGCCTTATTGAGGTTACGCTGCGTGACCACCGCCTCCGGCACATCGGGCACCCCGCCTGAGGGCCGCAGCATCTGATGGGCCGCGCGGAAGGCCGTCACGGCCTCGGAGCGGTTGCCCAGCAGCTGTGGGAAGCAGAAACGTCAGGGAGGAAGAAACCAAATCGTAGTCAGTAAAGCAGCGAAAGCAAACCGTAGGGCGGGTGTACGGACGGGGAATGGCATGGGTTAGGAGGAGTGACCAGGTTCTAACGCAATCGGTGTGGGGCGCGGCGCAGGAAGAGCGCAAAGCCGTTCCTAACACGCTGCACAAGCAAGGACGGGGTAACGGGGAATGGTAGTGGTCACCGCAATGTGGGGGGGATGCGGGGCTGACAGCGCTAGGGAGGGGGCGCAGCTCACTCACCGAGTGGCACACGCCCTTGTTGTTGAGGCAGGCGGCTGCATTGCGGCGCGCCGTGAGGTTGAAGGCCCTCCGGCACACTAGCTCCGCAAGCTCCCGAGCGCTGTCAAACTTGGCAATGGCCTCCTCGTACTGTGACAGACAGACCCGTGGGTCAGTGAGGGGAGGTGCAGGACGGGTGCATGAGCGAGAAGGCGGCGGGAAAGGGTTGGGCAGTGACAAGCCCTCATTGCTATCAGCGCTGTAAGCCTTCCAACCTTCAGCATGCGGTGCACCATTGCAGGAGCCGGCGAGTTGCAGGTATCGCATTCCACATGCACCGGTAAACGCACACACCCTCCCCAGCTCAGCCCAACCCGGTCAAGGCCCCCCACCTTCTGCTCGTAGTAACCCAGCAGGCCGAAGAAGAGGTGGATGCAGTAGTGGTAGGGGTGGTCCACACCCAGGGAGCTATCGCCAAAGATCTTCCTGAAATCAGCAGTCGCATGGGTTGAGAGAAGAGCCGCACGGCACAGGGTGGACAAAGACCGTTGTCGCAAGGGAATGCCGACCGGCCGGCCGAGCTCCTCCACAGCCATCTGAATCCGTTCCCAATCCCGTGTAATGCATCCATGCTTTCCGCACACAAACCACCCACCGACCCGCCATGCTTACCGCACACAAACTCCCCACCAACCCGCACCCGCACACCCGCACCCCACAACCCAACTCACTCCGCAGCCACTAGCCGCTTCCGCGCGCTGGCATGCCGCCCCTCCATCATCCGGCAGCACGCATCCATCAGCAGTAGCCACAGCCGCCCCTCAGACGGGATCTCCCCGCGCGCCATCAGCGCCGCCTCGGCTGCCGAGGAGCCGGGTGCCGGGTGACCCGTGGGTCTTCGGATGGCCTGCGACAGCCCGCCCGCCAGGATCGCCGCCTCCCAGTCGCGTTGCACGTCCCGCAGGGACAGCGCGACGCGCGTCATCTCGCCGTCACGGTACAGCACCTTCAAAGGAGACGGAAGGAGGCCAGGAACGCGAGGGGAGGTCAGCCTAATGCGGGTTAAGGCATCGGTAGGCGCCTGGAGGTTGAGGGGAGCTGGGTAACGCGTCCATTGCTATACTGAATGCCAAACTGCGAAAGGACGCAAGGACTTCGCATGCACGCATGCAATGCAGACTGCAGCGCGCTCGAACGGCTCCCCTCACCTGTATGCCGGCGATGCGCGCCGCAATGGCGGGGAAGGAGCAGTGCGGCGGCGACAGATGCTCCCGCAGCAGTACCGGAGGGTCCTTCAGCGTCATCAGGCCGTTCAAGCCGTCCGGCAGCACACTCCGACCCGACGTGGAGGGCCCTGCGTCCGCGCCGGAGGAAGCCGGCACTAGTAGACGGCTGGCGCTGGCTGGGCGGACGTGCAGGGAGGGCCCTGGCGGTCCCGAGGCGCTGGTCCCCGTGTCCCCTTCCCGCTCGGACTGGAGGGTGTGTAAGGGTGGGTAGGGGGACCACGTGTGAGGGGAAGGAAAGGTTGGTGGTTGGTGCTGATACCACCTGCACACGCGCGCGCGTGCGTGTACCGGATTGGAGCCGCCAAGCAGTGTGCACGCGGTTAGAACAGCTGCAGAGCAGGGTGGCCGAGTCCACACCTGCTTAAACGACACCATTCTCCCCGGTAGCTGCTGCTGCTGGTGGTTCGTGGCGTTGTTGTCACTCCCGCCGTTACCGTTAGCCTCCCGGGCAGCTTCAGGATAGTCCGCACCGCTTTCCGCACGCTGTATTGCACGGCGTACGGCACTGCTGGGCCGTAGCGGACCGCCCCCTCCTCGTGCTTGTGAGGTTGATGCCGGAGCGGCCCATGCATTTGACACCCCCGTAGCAGCACGCACGCCGCCCATGCCCCCGGCCCCGTCCTCATACTCCTCTGAGGCTATGGCGGCCTCAACCTTTACTAGTCGAGGGCGAATCAACCTGCAGGAAGACATAGGTAAGCGAGCGGAAGGTAAGGGGACGCGTGCCTCTTGGACATTGGGTTTTAGGGCGGATGGTTGGGGACGGGTTTCAGCAGCACGAGAGCCGAACCCTAGGTCGGGCTGTCGTACCTGCACAGCCGCAACACGCCGTCGTACGTCAGGACTCCCATGCGTTTAGCGATGGAGTTGAATAGGATGTGGAGGTCGCCCAGCCCCATGCCGCCCACTGCGATGCCATAGTTGCACTCGGCGAGCAGCCGGTTCAGCTGCCGAATGTCGACACTGCAGAGGGAGGGGGCGAACAGGCAGAGGAGCAGGTGGAGAGAGGGACGCCAGGGTTAAGGTGTAATGGGCCTGAGGATGGGCGATGGAATTCAGATAAAGCGGTGCTTGATGAATGCGGTCAGGAGAAGGATGTCAGCGGTTTACTGGAGTGTACGCGGGAGCGCAGGGAAATAGACGGGAAGTGAGGGATGAAGAAAGATCCATGGCACCATCGCCGCAGGCCGATGCTGAAGATATGAGTGGTTAAAGTAACGGTGCAATGCTTGGGAGGGGCAAACCAGGCTCACTGCGGCTGCGTCCTAAGGCATTAACGGCTTAATGCAATGCAATGCTGAATGTTTACGCATTCCACATGAAGCCTAGGACCAGCACTATGTGAACTGCCTTACCCGAAATCGGTGAGGTCCGTTCGAAACGTTGCGTGCTTCTTAAACTGCGCGTAGCTTGGCAGTCCTTGGGTATCCTCCTGCTGAGCTGCCGCTCCCGCGAATGCTGACGACGAAAGGGCAACATCCATTACTAGTGTGACACACAATTTGCTACACGGGCACCTGTTTATTTTCACGCCTAACCTAACACGTATTTCCTTTCTGCAGCATGACAACTTTAGGACGAAGTTCCGATTGATAGCTATGCTTATTGCTAGAAGGTATGCATCGGAATTAACCCTGTTATGAGGAGCCATAGGGGGCGTTACAAATGCACAACCGTACATCGGCGTTGTACGCTCCTTCGAAGGCCCCGTCAGGGTTGCAGGAACGTCGACGGTATCCTAGACGTGCTGCTCATTGATGTCCAAGAGAACAAACGCGTATCGATAACCTTATCATAACGACGCGCCTTGAGCTGTTCACTCCGGCGTGCCACTGCACAGTTTCCTTACGCCTGCAAGGTGTTATTGCTTTGTCACTAGCCGCAAATTAACTTGAATGGGTAAGCTGGACCCGTCGCAGCTGGACCGATGGTGGAAGTCGCGGGTAAGGATGGCCAAAGACGCAAGGGCACTGGGCTGAAGTGGGTCGGACTTGAACCTCGCTGTGTTCACATACGGGTGATGTGTGAGTACCTCTCTGCAATTCCAGTTGCCTGCGTACCACTACGTTCGACGGTTAAGTGTCGCCGAAATCAACAATTAGCTTAGATACCAGCTTTCAGTTGTACAGCATTCACATCGTTGCAAAAAAAGTCATTACAGCGAACCTGTTCGGGCGCATAGGGTGCCGGCCTCCATGTGCATGCGCATGGCGAGCGCCGAAGTCATAAGCTTTCCCGCCACACGTGCATTCCCTTCCGCAGATTGAAAAGGAGGAGCTTCAATATGCATTAAAGGCGGGCCTCCAAGAAGAGGCAGCACGAGCGCAACAGAAAGAGGTCGCCTTCTTGAATACCCTTGGTAGCGCTCAGGTGCGGTCCAGGGGCAGGTGATATGGGATGTGTAAGGAGAGCATTTGCGTAGGGTTTTAGCACCTTGTAAACCCCTTCGCGGATTCCATCACTGTTGTACCCTACCTCCCCTCCACCGGCCCGCCGTGGCAGGTCACGTCCAGAGCCTCCGAAACCAACGCAAGTACAGGGCCAAAGATACGCTCCGCCCGAGATGGAGCGGGGCGCCCAAAGTCCGCGTGGGCAGGTGCGTTTGGCGGGGCATGGGCAGGGTGCTCCGGTAACAGCACGCATGCGCGGAGAAAAGTAACGTTTGCCATAGGCTACAAGCGCGCCACCGCGCCATGCTCCCCAATCCCTAACCAGTCACATGTTCCAAAACATCAACCCTATCTTTTCCTTTAACCCTGGCGACTTCCTCACACACCCATAGGCAGCAATGCGGGTGCTTCCGAGGCTGCTGCAGCGACCTCCCCCAAGAGTGTTGTCAAGAGTGTTCGAATGGACGATGCTCGTAGCATTGCCTCGGGCGCCTCCGGCTCGCAGGCGGCTGGCGGCAACGGCGGAGGAACCGTGAAGCTGCCCTCCGTGGCTTGCTCACAACGCACATCAAAGGTCAGCCAGGCCAAAGCAGACTCCCAAGCAGCGGTGAGTAGTACAACTAGTGCTAATAGTAGTAGCAGTAGTTGTAGTAGCGGTAGGCAGCATATATGCGCGGTTGTACGGGTTGTACCCAATTGTACGGAGCTGTAGGTCACCTTGCATGGTAGGTACATAAGAAGCAGAGTCCTGACGCCTTTCGTTAATGCCTTTCGTTAACCGCTCTGGCCTCGGTCCTTACTTCCCGCCCTCGTCCTTTCGTTCGTTCTTCCCTCAGCTGATGCGGCGATTGGAGGGGCTAGAGGAGGCGCTGTCAGCCGAGCGCGTCAAGAGGCAGCAGGCGGAGGAGGAGATGCGGCAGCTCATGCAGATGGCGGCGCAGCAGAGGAGGGCCAACAGGTAGTTGCGCTTTGCCGTACGAAAGGATTGACGTACGGAGGAATGGGTGTACGGAGGTACACGCACGTATGGGAGGGGAGGCACGGAGTATGGAGATAGGGAATAACGGTTGAGATTGTGGAGTACCATCTGTAGGTTTTTGGAGGATGTTGGATTTGGCTAGAATGCCGGATGGCTTTTGCAGTCTGGATGCGGGCATGGCAGGTACGGTAATCTGCGTGCGTAAGCTGTGTATTCATTGCGTGCTTCAGTATCAGAATTGGGATGCTATCCGGGATCTCATGTATCAGGCTGGGTTGGAATTGCTGTTGGCTGTACGGCGTACAGTTATTACATCGTACATGTTATATTGATACGGGCAGGCTGCAAGCTAAATATATCGGCAGCAGGTATGGTGGAGAGGAGGATGCACGTGAAACGGAATTGCAGATGCAGGCGGGATTCTGCCATGCCAGATGCAGACGTGCAGGTTTGCGGTGGGCCCTATGCATGCACACGTGGCCAGCGTGGGGCGTATGGGATGTGAAGTTGTGGTTACTACAAGCTGCTTGTGTCATGCATAACCGCTTAATGTTATTGCGTGCCTGTTTATCTTTATTATTATACATCCGTTGGAGGTCTCATTACGTGCGTCTGCTTGGTTCCGCCTCTACTGGGATGCCTAACGTAATTAGAGGATTGTTTCTTTACCATTGCACCAGCGAACTCCCGAATAGCCGCGTTCATATGGTGACATCCCGGGACATCCTTACGTTTCAGCACGCCATTTAGAACCACTGTGAACATGCTATGCCCGCAATACACGACGAAGACACCCGAATGTCTCCTACCGACATCCCAGCACTGCAAGCCACATCCTGCAGACAGGCATTTCTCAAAATCATGCATACAACACACAGGGCGCACCCTTACGGGCGCTCAGCCCTGCAGACGGCCACTCCTCATGGCGATGCCAGCCGCAAACCTCCTGACCAAACTGCACACTCGAGTTCACAAAGCCTGCTAATCAACAGACCGCTCCTTGCTTCTTCCCATGAAACCTACACAGGTTTTAGACCCCAAAACGAGAGGACCAAAACACCGGCGGGCCTAGGACTTTCGTAACTAGCTGCTATTGCCCAGCAGCTCAAAAGCCAGTGCTGCGCCATCCCTTGGTCTCCAGCTCCTGCCTTATAGCCCGGATGCGCTTGCGGTTGATGTTGGCGTCTGACTCGCCGATGCGGGAGGCAGAGCGGTACTCCACTCGGGAACCGGGGCCGGGTGGGAACCAGAACTCCACATCATCGATGAACTGCGCGCGAGGGGAGATGGGGAGATGCAAGCGTGTGAGCGGTCAAGGAAAGGGCAACACATGTATACACGGCCCCAGCAACTGCCGTACTTACTCCCATGATGGGGCTCTCGTACTCGACGTACAGGTAGTCCTTGGTCTGCTTGACGATCTTGGGTGTGAAGCCGTCGGGCTTGAGCTTCTGGACCTGTACAGCATTTTAAGAATACACACGGATAACAAAGACCAGCACAGGTAGCACAGTAACATGCAGCACAGCAACCGGTGCGGCCCGCGGGTCACATTCCCGTTCCGCGCGTGCACGCTTCCTCAGCAATGTATGTTCCATTTGCGTTTGGTTGCGGCATTGTCTAGGCTGTTCTATCACATCCCTTCACCGTTTCACATAACAGCTACCGTCGCAGGGACCTCAAGAGTCAAGACCCAGACTGCTGCAGCACGTATGTTCACTGCCGATCCGCACCCATGTGTACCTCCCCGCGGCCCTTCAAAAGCCCCCCTCTAGCGAACCCTTGCCCTTCCAGGTTCCCTTCCCCGCCCTCTTACCGCAGCCACGAGTTCCTTCATGGCCTGATCCTGACTGACTGGCCCCTTCAGTCCGCGACCATCCTCAGGGTTGTATGTCCTGCGGGATAGACAGCCGTACGGGAAGCAAGGGCATGGAGTAAGGAAGGGCAATAGATGGGAACAGCAGGGACTTTTCCAAGGACTGCAGCAGAAGTGAGGAGAGGAAGGTGTCGCGAAGCATTGCGTGGTGGACTCTGACACTGGGCTGCCTGCAATAGCCCCGGCCCAGATTGCAATGTAACAAACCCGTGCTGAGGGCAGGCTTTCCCCGGTGCTCGCATGCTCGCTTGTCCAGCTCCCCCCTACACAATGCTTTCACTCCCATCCCATGGGGAAGTAGCTTACAAGGGTGGTACGTAGTGCTCGCGGTCATTGCCCTCCTCTGATGTTGCGATGCAGTTGGGAGTGCGCGGGCACAGCGACAGCGTCTTAATGCCGGCTCCGTAGTCCTGAATGCCCAGATTACCAGGCCGTGGTGCAGCGCCAACGGTGAGCAACGCGCCTAGAACCACAGCATTAACCGAGCGAAGCACAACTTCCCTGCGGAGTGATCAAACCGGCAATTGCATAATGTCATTTATGTGTAAAAGGAATGCATTATGCTCTGCATCGCGATCCTGCTATGCAAGCAAACGTGTGGACATTGCCGAGTGCCCAGCGCGCTAAGCGAAGCAATTAAAACTAAAAAGCCGCAAGCATAGAGACATCAAACACAGCGCAGAGCGCCAATGCTGAAGGCCAGTTTACCCACTTGGGAGCAAGCTTCTCCTCCCGGTCGCCTTGCCAGCCCTTCGCAGCTTGGCAAACTACCTGCCGCCTAACCACAGCTGGTCGACTTCCTGACTGGAAAGCGACGCGGCGCTGCCCAAGCTGGCTGCAAGTAAACGGCTTGTGTAGCTGCATTGTCATGAGGGTGTTGTATTGCTTGCAGAGTGCCGTCGATAACGCGCGTCAGACACCACGATAGTAACAGGTCAGTGTTGCACGATGCGACTTTGCACATAAAGTATCCCTAACGGCAGTAGCTGCAGTAACCGTCCCATGTCCTGACGCAAGCTGCACGACAACTTCAAGCAGAAATACATGTTATTGAGGTGTGAACCGCCATCTGTTACTTCTTCCTACCATTTTCCTAGTACTTTGCTTGTTGCCGTCAAGTCCTAGGCCGCTAGCCCGCGCTAGCTCAGTCCGCGCCACCGTCAATAGCGCTTTACCAACAGTAGGCACTGTCCATAGCAGCTGCTGCTACCTGCATTTGTAACAACGATGCAAGGAGTTCACTGCAATCAGCGACATGCGATGGCCCGGAGCAGTAACGTGCGGGTTCCTGCAGTAACTCCCTGCAAGTAAGCACACCCAACAATTGTACACCCATGCACCGGACTGACTGAGTTGCACGGCCTAAACTCATGTCCTCCCGCACCCGTGTTCACGTGGGATGTACGAACATCGCCCGGATCCCCACGTGCCCCTCATTCGATGTACACCACCACCACCACGCCCGTCTCTTGGTACCCCTCCTATACGCCTCACGTGTACCCTTCCACTCTCGCCTCACCCACCAACCCTGCCACCCCAGGCTCGCCCCTCCTGCACACCCCCACCTCCATCCGCGCGGCGGGAAGGACACCCCCTCCTCCTCCTCCTCCTCTACCCGCCCCACCTTTTTCTCCCCCTCAGTCCCCTCCGCCACCAGCTCCTCCGCCGCCTCTTCCTCCTCCTCCGCATCGTCATCATCAACCTCTACGGCACCTCTTCCTCCCGACTGGCGCCAGCGCGCCCGCCCCATCCAGCCCGGCAGCAGCTACCCCGCCAAGCAGTTCTGCAGCAGCTGCGGCCTGTGCGACAGCTACTTCGTGGCGCATGTGAAGGACGCGTGTGCCTTTCTGGGGGATGGTGGGTCCGATTAACGTAACACGACCGGGGCGGAGACTGCACTACAGGGCTGCCCCACAGGGCTGCGTTTGGGTGCTGCTTTGTGGCGTTGGTCGTAGGGCGACGGGAGCGTGGAAGCGGCAACCAGTTGCTAGGGTGTTGTGCCTTGGGGAAAGGGGATCCGCCTGAAGCGCCTATTATTTGTAAGCTCTTACAACACAGCTCTGCCGTACCCAGCTGTATCGTGTAAGACTATGTGTACTGCGTGTTGTTCCAAGTTGCCGTACCGCGCCGTACAATCGACGCATGACCGCGCTCGTGCGGATTGCCCCCCATGCGCAGGTATGTCGCGTATTGACGCCCTGGAGGAGCGAGTTCACGGTCGGCGGCGGGACGCGAGGGACGATGATGAGCTGCACTTCGGTGTGACAGCGGCCAAGGCGTATGCCATGAACACTCCGGCGGTGGACGGAGCACAGTGGACCGGCATTGTGACGCAGGTTGGCATGGAAGGCTGGAAGGCTGGGCCTGTGCTGACGGATCGACGGGTTAAAAGACTTATATACATATTTAACATATTTGCTCCATTCCTGCCGCTCTACCGCCATTGCTGCTGCTATTGATACGGATGTTGTCACTGTTACCGTTGCTGCTACCGTTGCAGTTACCGTTGCTGTTGCTGCTGCTCCGATCAGATTGCCATCGAGATGCTTCAGAGCGGCAAGGTGGATGCCGTGGTGTGTGTGCAGAGCGACGAGAACGACAGGTGCGCGACAGGAAGCGGCTGAAGCCAGTACGACACCGGGGAGCTGTGTTGACGGGGTGGTGACTTGACGACATGAACTGTATCTTTGTGTGCCGAACGGTTTCACGTTAAACCTGGGCCCGCAGGTTCACTCCTAAGCCGGTGGTAGCCCGCAGCGTGGAAGATATCATCAAGGTCGGTTGTGTGGAGGTGTACGGAAAGGTCTGGAAAGGTCTGGGGACCGCTAGCTACAGCAGTACATCCAAGGCGGAGTATCAATCGTGACCCCAAGCCCTAACGCTTCGATCCTCCAAAACCCCGCAAAATTAGGCTACCCCATTTACTCCCGTTGGTTTATTCCGCCCCCCTGGTTCGTCCCCAACTCCCCAGGCCCGCGGTGTGAAGCCCACACTGTCGCCCAACCTCAACGTGCTGGCCACGGTGGAGGCGCTGCAGGTGGGGCCGGTACCGTGGAGTTGGCGGTTAGGGGGTTATGGGTTTTAGCGGAGAGACAAGACTAGGCGGACGATGGGCCGCTGCCGCTGATCATGCCATAAGCGTGCTGGGCTTGAAGCCAAGTGATAGGGAGCAGGGCATGGCCATGCACGCATGCTTTGCCCCTTGCTTAGCAGTGTCTCGTGCCGCCGCGGTTCCTCCCGCATGTGCCGGTGTACCCTGCATACCTAACCCTGCATACCTAATCATGCATGTACAACCCCTGCATGTATGATGCCACAGGTCAAGAAGCTGCTGTTCATCGGAGTGGGCTGTCAGGTCCAAGCGCTGCGCTCCATCGAGCCCTACCTGGGGCTAGACGCGCTGTACGTGCTGGGAACCAACTGCGTGGACAACGGCCCACGGGTCGGCCTGGACAAGTTCCTGCGTGCCGCCTCCAGCCGCCCGCAGGAGGCGCTGCACTACGAGTTCATGCAGGACTACCGGTGAGGGAAGGAGGGTGGCTCCCCGTGGACTAACCGACCCATGGGTCGCAATGCGGTAGTAGCTGCTTTCAATCCTGCACGGCATGCTGCATGCCACACACCCTCGAGTATAATGGCTTCCGCCTTTACCCTTTTCGCCCTTTTTCACGCGGTGACAGGGTCCATGTGAAGCACACGGATGGCTCCTTCGAGTATGTGCCGTACTTCTGCCTTCCCGCCAAGGACCTGAATGACGTCATCGCGCCCTCCTGCTACTCCTGTTTCGACTACACCAATGCACTGGCGGACATGGTGGTGGGTGACCATTGGAATTAAGTTAGTGTATTTGCTGCAATTATTGTAGTGCGCGGTTATACGGCCTGGGCATGCACAGTTAAGTGATATGTAATCTATGTAAGCCCGGGGCAAAAGACGGCAGAAGGGCGGAAGGCCACGCCATTACGGGTAACAGCAGTCCAAGCAGCCTTGAACTACCTCTTTCACGGATTACCCCGTGATCGTGTTCCGTACCATGTATGCAGGTGGGCTACATGGGGGTGCCGTACATGGGTCAGGACATGACCCGCCACCCGCAGTACCTTGTTGTACGGAACGCCCGCGGACAGGAGCTGCTGGACAGTGTACGGCACCGCCTCAAGGTACTTGCCGTACGGCCCAACCGTACTGCTGCTAGCGGGATGGGAAGGGTAAAGAATTGATGGGAGGGAAGCGGTGGGGCGAAGCAGATCGTATTAGCTGCCCGTTCTGCTTTAGGTTGCAGAGATGTGTGCGCAGTGCAGGACTCACAACCGAATCTGCCGTACGGCCCTGTACCGGTATGTCATCAATTTTCGTGGCTCTTGCGTACCTTCGCGTCCCCATACAGATGACGCCCACCATCTCAACGGGCGACCGCCGCAGCGTGGTGATGCAGGTACGGCAAAGCCGTACGCATATTCAGCATTACTAGGCCTTGTCGTTCACAAATGCACCAGCAACATAACGGCTACCTCCCACCACGTGCTGGCGCTGGATAGCCTGCGTGTTTTCGCGCATAGATGAATTTTTAAATTGCCGGATGGTTACAGGGCATGAACCTCCTTGCCCTACTTCCGGTTGGTATCATGATGTATTCTTGGTCCCCCCTGACGGGTTGTGCCGGTATAAATGCCGGTGCGGTGATGGGATGCCATACCTTGCCGTACCTACCCTCCGCAGACGGTAGCCAGTGACGACGAGGCCAAGATGGGCAAGCTGCAGGGCCCCGCACCCCGCTGGCTGGGCAACATCCTCGCCTGGATACTCACCTTCATCGGGCCCAAGGTGACATGCCGCTGGGGGCAGCGGTGGCATGTATGGGAGCCACTGGAAGGGCAGGGAAGGGGAAGTGCAAGGGCCAACGGATAGGCCTGGACCCAGTATGGGATAGGCAGCGGCGGCCTACTCCCGGACCTCATGTCGTGTTGTGGTCGTACTGCGCAGGGCCTGGAGTTCGGCAAATACTCCATCGACTATCACTACATCAGGTGAGGTGGTCGGAATTAAACCAACCATAGGAAAACACACGTTTGGGCAAAGCCATGAGGTGGTGGGAGCAGGTGAGGAATGGATCGACGAGGACGTGGGGGCTTCGGGAATGCCGTAGGACACTTTCCTACCGGTATGCAGCAGATGGGTTGATAGGGGTTGGCAAGCGAAGCGTGTGTTCCTTGCCCCTAAGGAGGAATTGATGCAGTTCGCATTCACCTTCAGCGTTTCAGATGAGGGTTTGCTACGCCAGGCAGCCATGTTATGTGCCTCGGCCTTGTCATAAGGATCTCAGTGGTTGTTGCCCTACCCTCCGTACTGTCCGCCCCCCTCCTCATTCAACCCAGGAACTACCTGTACGTCAACCGCAACTGGGGCGCCAAGCGGGCGGAGCAGCACATCCCCTCGTACGCCAAGGAGATCGTACGGCAGTACGACAAGGACGGCGCTGTCAGCAAGCGCCTGAGCCTGAAGCCCAAGTTCTAAGGTACGGGTGTGGGAGCATGTCCGCACATCTTGTGGAGCTGAAGCCCCTGCTAAGCATGCGGAACGAGGTATTGTTGCATCGTACAATGCAACAGTACCTTTCTTAAGGTGTTGGCGCGGTATTACCAGTAACGGTATGTTGGGAGGGGATGGGGTGCCTGTGCGGACTGACCTACATCCCCCGTTCAGGCTCGTTGCACTCAGTGTGTGTGCCATGGTACAAAGGTTGTTGCTTGGGACATGCCATCGGGGACAGGACTAACGACGGTAGTGTTAAAAAATGCGAGGCATACATGTATTTATATGGTGAAGATCGTGCAGAGATCTATGTTCGGACATATACAGACGGTAGTAGAAGTAGGTGTTGGTACTGGAACGGTCAGAATCAGGAACAAAACCTGTTTTTACGCCTGGTACTTCCCCACAGGGATAGCTCAGATTAAGTTGGGAACATCTCGTGTGAGCCCTTATGTTGAGGGTTATGATTGTCGTACGGAGGCGAATTTCCTTGTCGCCGCCGTTTGCTATGCGTTGATGTGTTAGCACTCTTTGCATGAAGCGGCCGCCAGAGCCAGGCAGACACCATGCCACATGTCGGGCTACTGTGCGGTACGGTGATGACCAATAACGCTTGAGCTCCGATGCGGAATAGGCATGGGCTGGTGAAGCTGCAGTTGAACTAGAACCAACATTAACATCAAGTTCTCATTATGCACCTCACAGTACCTGTAATGTAAAGGGTACATACCGGTGCCGGGACTTGGCAACAAATGGTCAGACAAGGGCTCCCTAAACATTAGTACATACCATATGTTACATTCCGACGTCCACGTGAAACAGCTACAGCCCAGTCACAAATGCGTGAAGGACGTAGTGTCAACCTCGTTGCCTTCCTAGCCAGCATCTTAGTCCCCGGCCGTTAGCCCACGCCAATGTGGTGTGGGTGTACGTCAATTAACCTGTACAGTCACGTACTACTAGCTACGACTACAAGCCATAAACAACGAAAAGACCGAAAGCAGCACAACCTTAATGTTAGACGCGAGCAGAGGCATCTAACTAGCTAGCGGACTCGGCGCTACAGTTGAAAAAAGGGAGAGACAGGGCAAAGCAAGGTAGGCTACGTTGCTGAAGAGGCCTATCCAGCGCGCTTTGATACCATATGGCCAAATATCAGCCCCATTGTTCCCTTTTAGGGCACCATTGTAACGGTCATTCATTCAGCCCCACATGAAGCATCTAAGCGCTAACAAGACAGTCAAAGGATCACGAGGCGGGCGTCTAATGCATGCATACTGAATATCCATCATGCATCACTACCTGTCACTAGCTCACTACAAAGTCGATGCACACCCATGTACCATGACACAAACCTGCTACCGGTCCCCCTGGGTTAAGCAGGCCCCCTTCCTCAACCCTTACCACTAACCTACGCCCTAACCAGTGAAGAAATCTAGACCACCCCGCCTGCAAGCACGACCATATAATATACAGGGGTTCTGCGCTTACACGGCACGCCTACCCACCTTCCTGCTCAACTTGAAGTGCGTACGAGCCAAAGAAGGTTTAAGTTATGTTGTAGATAAATATATATCCTGTACATCGTGTGCTGCCACCGCATTCATGCCTAGGCAGCAGATCGACGCAGCAAGCACGGTCTTGCCTCGGCAAGCAAGCCCAATAATCACATGCATGTGTGGCGGTCGCAAGGTACTGCCTTGCATGTCAAGTCCGCGTCCAATAACGGAAACGGGATAGTTACCTGCCGAAACGATGACTTATTTACCACGCGGATGCTCACCTAAACAGGAGCCGGTATGATGTGACCCAGATCGATACGTAGGGAGTTCTCGGCTCCTCACCGCATGGTGCCGCGCGCCTCCTGGGCGGCTTGGAAGTGTCTCTTGCAGCGTCTCTTGAAGAAGCGCCGGAATGAAGCCTCCTCCCACATGCTGACATGCATACAGCGGCCTACTGGGCAGGTACAAGCCTTCCGCAGGTCTTTTCGGCAAGCAAGGCGTACCTGCGCAGCGTGTACGGCAGCAGAGGAGCATCAACTTTTCGGCCGATCCAAAGCAGCTGCGACAACAGGCGACGAACAAGAGAGCACGGTCTCTTCGCTCAAGCCTAACTGCAAGCGTCGCGGCTTTTGCTGCGGCTTTGTCCTCCCAAGCCCATGCTCAGAAACTATTCCCTCCTCCCTTGTTAGGGTACCCTTGTCGTCCCACCTGTCCAGCAGATCCGTACTGTTCTCCAGGCCCTCTCGCTGCTTGAAGAAGGAGAAGTGCACCGCTAGCGCTTTCGACACGGCTGCGCTGGTGCGGTTGAGCTGCTGCGGCAGGATGCGTGTGATGAAGTCCTCGTCATCGCCCGGGTAGGTGCCCGTGGTGGAGCTCATGTTGTACACATGCACGTCAATCGCAGCGCCTGAAGGGGGGAGAAGAAGCAAGGGGAGAATGGGAGGGAGCAGGGGCGGTAAGGGGCAGTGTGGCATGTCGATAACGAGCTGCTGACCCATGGGTCGTCCAAGGGGAATATTCATCGTCTATTTCATCGCAAACACGACCCTGGGGATTCCTGAGTTACCGGTAGCTGACGCCCGAGCTAACCCACCTTGGAACATTATCATGTTGATCCTCCACCGCGTGTATCCAAAGTGCTTGTTAAAGTCCCACAGCTCCTCTCCATGCGGGAACTCGTACACGCCCAACCGCCCGGCTGCCTGGTTGGCAAGGAAGGAGTAGTGCACGCTGGCCGCGCGGCGCCAGTCGCCCCATGTGTCCCAACCGTTATCAATAAAGGGAACAGCCTCCATGGGAGCTGCAGAAGCCCCTGCAGCTGCTGTGGCGGCGACGGCGGTGTCCTTTCCAGCAGCGGATGCGGATGTCGTAGCCGTCTGCCGCATGACAGGCTGCCAGCTGGACTTGTCCCCCAGGCGGGTTTGGTGGTAGAGCGTGTGGGCGCCGCTCTGGCTGTGCGGCAGCTCCAGGGGCTGGTGGTTGACTACGTTGGCAGAAATGAGGTGGTAGCGGTGCTGGACGGGGAGCAAGGAGGGAGAAGGAAGGTAAGGAAGCAGGGGAGGAACGCATACCGGTAGATAAAGAGAGTGGATGAAGTGTGGACGTCAGGAACTAGTCTGGAGGACGAAGAATTGATTTGGGTGTAGGCGGTACTCAAACAACGTGGAAACGCGTGGAAACTTGACATGGATTGTGTATTGGGGCCGACCCACATCACGGCCAGCCCTGCACAGAAGAGAATGGCAGTAAAGGTGCCTACTAAGCCAAGCGTTGCGTCAGGTCGACTCAGCTTGCATGGCCAGTAATCCTCTACGAATGTTTTACACCCCGTACGACAGACAACGACGGCCCATGTGGGTGATATCAGCATGTCTGCAGCATGTGTCGTACCAGCATGTGTGCAGCCAGCATGTGGTCTATCGCGTCGTCCGCGATGAAGACCACGTCATCATCGATCTTGACGTAAACCGTACCGGGGTCCATCCACGCGTAATGGCCCGTGTAGCCCTTGTCCAGGCGCGGGGGGATGATCTTCCTGTGGGGTTTGGAATTGTGGGGTTTGGGATGGGATCACGTTAGGCGCGGCAGGGAGCGGCACACGCATGGCCCATGCGAAGGGAGGAAGAAGGCCCTGTGGACAGTTTATCGCCGCAAGCAACAAATGGACCCCGACGTATGGGCCCAAGGTAGTAACTGTAAATGTAGAAAGCGGGTTGCCAACCTTACTACGGCATGTTCTCCAGCCCCCTCTCCTCAACATACCACTCTCGTCCCTGTACCCTTCCCTCGCTCCCTACTTCCCCTGCCCTCCCTCCCTCCCCGCGCACCTGTACTCCGGCTGTCTCTGCTCTACCAGGCGGTCCAGGAAGGTGACGTCCGCCGGCTGCCAAGTGGCGCTCACGAACACAACGGAGGTCAGCAGCCCACCGTTGCGAGCCAGGTTGCGCTGCAGGTAGCAGTCCAGGATGCGGACGCGGTCGCGCCTGCGGGCAGGTAAGCGTGAAAGCTACATGAGCCTCTTGAGGTGAGGATAGCAGGAGGATAGCGGAAAGGACTAGGAGCGGCACTCGTCGGCTGCTGGGATGTACCGGTATCGTTGGGCTGCCGTAGCCCGGACCTACCTGCCGTAGAACACGACTCCCACAATTGGCGGCGGGTTGGGCATGCGGCCAGCGTAGGCCACCACAGGTTGCGCAAAGGACGATACGGCAGCAGACTTAGAGGCCGGAGTCGTGGTTACGGCTGTAGCAGCTTTCGTTATAGCAATTCCTGCTATCGCTGTGGCCGTAGCGTCCTTTTTGGCCGCGATGGTAGACTGGGCGAGAGGGGGAGCAGTCGCCGCGGTTACAGCTGGGGCAAGATGGACAGGCTGCGCTTTCAAGGCCGAACGCTGTGCTGCAGCAGGTTGCTTTCGACCCAGATGGGTAGGTACCACTCCAGACTGTTGCTGCTGCTGCGGATGTCGGTTGGCCATTCCACCTGCTGCTGCAGCTCGCCGACTCTCTGCTGCTAGCTTCATGATGATGTATTCGGTAGAGGCAGGGTCTGCAGGTAACGTCGGCGGTATCGTTGCAGCTGTTGCGTGATGAGACAGGTAGAAGCGCGTGATGTACAGCCCAACAATTGCTAGTTGAAGAGCCAGTAAAAAAAGGCCTACGCGCGCAAACGCAGAGCCAGCACGCCTGCTGCTAGTCGCAGATGCTCCCGAGGAGCCAGGTAGAGCACTACCAGATACAGTGCGGGCCATGGAGGTGCTATTTAATGAGTTCATGCGCCGTAGGACGAGTCCGGCCTGTCCGTGTGTTCCGGGCAACCGGGAGGTCTCGGCTGTCGGTTGACATGCCGAGTTGGAACTTAGAGGCAACTCGGGCGTTGTGGCTAGTACGCAATACGGTGAAGCTCCCATAGTGCCCGATAGAGCGCCACGCGTGACATTACTGTCAGGATTACTGCTGGCAGTTGGGGCCCATGCGCCCCGTGTGGGTCCCGTTGCTTTGCTGCGAGAAGGTGATGATCCAAGCACCGATGCCATTCCCTTTCACTGTTGGGTATGCAAAAAGTCTAACGTAGACGGCGGAACCCTGAAGGACAGGACCAAGCGCTGAGGCCTCAGCGACGCAAGGACTTGCCGTCACTTCATTTCCTTACTCTTCCAGGGAGAGTAAGATAGTCATACTTGTAACTGGATGGCAATTGATGCAGGAAAGCTAAGTGTGTGAGAAGTTGCTTAAGCTTCGTTGTACCTTAAATGCCCAATGATGTCCAGGAAATACCGGTATGAAAGCTAGGTAATATTATGGCAGGCAATAGCCAAGCATTATACGAACATTACCCCTTACAAGGCAAACACGGCCTTATCAATGCCGTACACCATGGCTTCCCGATTGCACACCATTAGAACTAACCGTGACGTCGGTCGCACGCTTAACCTGCAAGCCCCGCGTCAGCCCCGGCCATGCCTAATCTTAAAAACAAAGCCCCTTAAAAACACTCCCTGCATACTACGAGCCCCGTTGCAAACGCCCGCTCATCTAAGTGGCTCACAACCTTGCCGTAAGGCGCTGGGCTTCCGAAACATGAACTTCTGTGCCCTACCCTCTAAACCCATGCGAACAACCCCCCTGCAAGCCAGCCAACTTGCACTATAGCCTCCCGCAGTACTCTCGCACCTACGTGCTCAAAAGCGCACCGACGTCACATAGTTCATCAGCATATCAAGCACCTGCATGAGGATGGCAGAGATAGGGGCGAGGGGCCTGCTGGGTTACGGCGTCTCCTAACTCCACATACGCACATACCCGGAAACCAAACCATACACACGCTACAAACGCGGAACAGTGCCCTATCCCGATGACACCAGGACAAACCCTCCCCTTGTGAGACGTAACTATCTTTAACCACGCACCTCTGTCTTCTTGACCTTAACGTCGGCCTGGATCTTCTGAATGGCAAGGCTGGTCTCGCTCTGCAAACGCTGGAAAGTCGCCTGAGACCCGCTGGAGCCCTGGATATATAAAAGAGTGTAACGTAAGTTCTCCAAAGATAATGGTTATGAATACTACGGGCTAGGCAGGTCCCACCTCAGCAATTTTCTTCTGGTAAGCGCCCTCCCGCTCCGCACGGTACGCAGCAATCTCCTTCTCAGCCTCAGCCTTAGCTTGGCGAAGGCGGTCGGCCTTAGCTGCGGGGAACAACAAGAGACAGCGAGAGAAAACGCGTCAAGGCCGCAATCATAAGGCAGTAGGACCCAGCAAAATATCTTCTCACCCTTCCGAGCCTCGCCAACTATCCGTTGAGCCTCTGACTCCGCCGCAAGCAGCTTCTGAATCCCGTCTGAACCAGCCGCGACCTGCATTGTTTCCTACGCGCCTAAGATAACAGGCTAGAGCAAGGTATTACGCTTCAAGAAAACGCCTTGCAAAGCGGCAACGGAACACAGAAGGTAGTGGTTGACGCGAGAAGCAAAGCGTCCTTGCAAACGGAAGGCCGTACAACCGGGAAACGGGCCAAACAGCATGCAAGGACAAGCTTTGCACATGCTATGCAATGTTCCAGTGCATGCTTCTTTTTCCATCATTGTTAGCGAGCGCCGCGCATACATTGGGTGTTACACGCGCTTACCGGCTAGCGTTAGGCTTCGCACTTCCAATACCATTCGGTTTAGGTGCCATCACTCCTCTCTCAGAATCTCTACTGGACGCCATTGTGCTGCCTAACTTGAAACAATTGCAGCCATGGCGCGCCCAACCGTCGTCTTTATCGTGCCGCTCATCCTGAGGCTTTCCTTGTTGGCAGCGCTTGTACCCTCCTTAGTGCGCTCAGCCCGCATCGGAGCCGCATCCACAATCCTCTCCGCTGCTGTTCTGGACAAGAATCCCCTCCCGGGCGTCCGCACCAGTGCCGGTAACAACGGCCCCGCCGCCGGCAGTTGGCAAGCCAACGCCGATCCCAGGACTGCAAACGTGGCTGTGGACCTTCCCATCTTTACAGCCGCATCTACAGCTTTGTCTGTCGCTGCAGCAGCTAAAGCACGCCGCCACGGCAGCGTCGCAGGCCTGCACCAGCCCCTTGAGCGCCTCCGCGTCCCAGCTGTCAAACAGCGCCTGGATTCACAAATCCGAATTCAGTCTGACCGTCAGGTTCTGGAGCGCGGCGCTGGCGAGTGGTTCACAGTGTCTTGGTCAGGCGTGTCGGATCCTATGTACGACGATTGGATCGCGGTTGTCGTGCCCGCTGACGCGAATCTGACCCAGACGGCCCCTGCCAAATGGAAGTTTGCGGCAGGTGACCCGCATCACGTCCTGACGGGGTCAGGTTCCCTCAGGTGCGTCTTGAAGGTCTGATTCCTCACTGAACAGCCGAGCTGTAGAGTGAAAACAGTCGCTGCAGAACCCAATGAAGCCTGTGTAGGAAGCTCAAACTCGGCTCGGCCACCGGGCGTGTGGCCACCGCCTTATTCCAAACCCCGGACCTCCCCACATCTTCCGTCGCGCATTGCCTTCCCACCTCCGCTGCCTCCGCCTTGCTGCCCGGCCTCCATGCATCCATGCGCCACCACCACCCGGCGTGCAGGTTCCGGCTGATCAGCTATCGGGCTGATGTGGCCTTTGCGCTGATGCGCAACGGCTTCGATGCGGCGGTGGAGGTGGCTCGCAGCCAGCCGGTGAAGGTGAGACGTGAAAGCTGAGAGGAATGGGGCGCGCGGCGGGGGAGTGATGATGCCCTTGCTTAGGGCTGGTATAGATAAGCGTGGTGTTTTGTCGTGAGAACCAAGGAAGCCGTGCAGTGACAGCTAGGCCTGTGCTTGACGGGGGCAAGGGGAATGAAATGAAAGGAAAGATTCCTGTAGGCCTCTACCAGCCCATGTAGCATTCACCTTCCAGTTTTCCTGTGGCTCCGTCTTATCCTTTTGGCTTCCCTGCGCCCCCCCTCAGCTGCTGCACCCCAACGAGCCGCTCCAGCTTCACTTGGCCCTGACTGGAGATCCCAGGTAGGGAGCCGGGTGATGGGGGTGTTGGGTTGCCTTGGACGAAGGAGGAAAGAAGGCAGGCATGCAAATTTGGTCTCTCCAGTTCTGCATCCATCAGGCTGATGTGCCTACGTACTATCTAACTAACGAACCGCCAAACGAACCCCCGCACGCCAACTGTAGTGAAATGCGGGTTCAATGGAACACGCGGGATGCCGGGTCGCAGCCCCAGGTACGGTGGGGTGAGGCATCGGTGAAGTACGACAACAGTGTTGAATCCACATCCGCCGCCTCCGCCGGAAGCGCCGGTCCCGCCTACCCCTTCTCCGCCAACGCCACAAGCAGCCGTTATGAGCGTGGGGAGCTTTGCGGCGGCGCCGCCACCTCGGTAGGTGGGGGCTGCGGCGGTGTGTTTATAGATGTTAAAACAACTGTACGGCACGCGTCATTGCTCACTCGACTCCGCAAGCTGTTTTGAGCGTAATGAACATGTTCGCTGTGGCGGCCTCTTCTTGGAGCACCTGACACATGTGTAGTCGTGTAAGCGCAGTACGCGAGCAGTTGGGCTCCCTACCAGGAAGTCCGCACGTGCTGTGGTTGCTCCTTCCCCAGGGTTATCACACTTTGGAATTTCTTTTTTCCCAGGGTTACCATGTACCACATCCTCCCATGCACCCCATCCCACCCCACCCCTCGCCTCGCCTTCGCCGCCTTCCCTTCCTCCCTCCCTCCAGGTGGGCTGGGTGGACGCGGGCAGCCACCCCTCGGCCCTCATGACGCGCCTCAAGCCCGCCACCCGCTACTACTACAGAGTGGGGGATCCGGTGAGGAGAGGGGAAGAGGAACCTCGCCTTCCTACCGGTATCTGAACCCGTCCATACCTGCATCTGACACTTCGCCTCCTGACGCCGTGCCCGCTTGTCTGCCGTACACGCCCTGGCCCTGGCCCGGCCTTCCTCCCCCCCAGACCAGTGCCGACGGTTGGAGTGAGGAGCAGTGGTTCTGGGCCGCTCCCGAGGCCTCACCGCACGCCACCGTACGAATTCTGGCGGTCGCAGACATGGGGCAGGGAGAGGTGAGAGGGTAGTTGGGTTACCTTGCCTTACCACGTTACCAGACTACCAATGAGGCAGCCCAAGCTAACTTTCAAAAGGGCCACCTTACGACGTTACGAGTCTTGCCTGTTCCTAGCCTAACACGCTAACAATGCCTGCGTTTGCCGCCTCTCCTCCTGTCTCCACCCGTCCTCAACGCACCCATCATCCCTGTAGCCGCTAAAGCCGCGAAGGTTAAGCTAAGTTGTGCCCAAAACCATAACGCTTACACAGCCCGGGGGGCTGGCCTTCCGTGACCGTCACCCTTGGCAACATTTTGGCGATTCTATCCTTATGCTAGGGCCTAGGAATCCTTGGACGCGCCCAGGGAACGGGGTTGTGCAGCTTGGGGCATTGTCCTAAGCTGCACAACCCCGTTCCCCGGGCGCGTCCAAGGATTTCGAGGCCCTAACATAAGGATAGGATCGCCAAAGTGTTGCCGAGTGTTGCCGAGATTGCTGCATGCTCGCGTCTATTTAGACGCGAGCATGTAAGCCTTCTTCAGGTGAAACGCGATTCTGTTTGCGCCCATGGTGCTGATCTCCTCTAAAGTTACAATCGTGGTCCCAATCGTGTCCCAGCCATCAAGGCAACGATGGAGGGCCTAGCCAAGGACTGCAGCTCCAAAAGGCAGCGACCTCGACGTACAAAGAGAAAGCCAGGGTGCTGCTGGAGAAAATGGACGCCGTTGCGGAACCCGTCTACGTCATGGACGAGGCGATCACGGATTTCGTGGGGGGGATTCCACCAACGCCGCACCCTCCTCCCCTCTCTTCTCCCCTACGTCCTTGCCCCCTGCCCCCTGTGGTCCATGCCAGTTGTGAACCCTATATACGTCACCTCTCCCCCTCCCGCCCGCAGCTCGACGGTTCCCTGGAGGGCAGCGAGATGTTTGCCTCCCTCAACACCACCCGTCGCATGGCCGCGGAGGGAGGCGGGGCGGCAGGAGGGGTGGGAGCGCCGTACAGCCTGTTGCTGCACAACGGCGACTTGTCGTACGCCAGGTGTGTGTGGGGGGGGTGAGCCTAGGTGTGAGAAAAAGTGAGTTAGTGTAGGCTGTAGGGTAGGGTATGAGGGCAAGAAGTAGGCCGGGGCAAAGGAGCGGTGGGTGGAAGGGAGCGCCATCCTACAAGACACAGCAGCAGGTGACACATGGAGCCGAATCCTGCAGGCTTCCTCACCAGCCTGACGTCCGACCCGTCCTGTTCTTCAGCTCGTATGACTGCGGCTGCAGCGCACATGTTAACTAGCTTGGTTTTACCCTCGCTTGCCGTACAGGGGCTACGGCACGCAGTGGGACAACTTCATGCACCAGATCCAGCCGCTCGCCGCCCGCATGCCGTACATGGTGGCAGCGGGCAACCACGAGAGGGACTGGCCGGGCTCGGGAGACATCTTCCAGGTGTGTGTGGGGTGAGGGGGGGGGGTGGCAGGGGGTGCCGGTATGCATGTCATGTGGTTCCATTGTTGATCTGCTGTGTTACAGCTGCGGCTCAGCGATGCTGCGAACGCTGCGGCGCGAGTGCGAGCGAACCCGAGTGACGTACAAGCATACCGCCGTCCTTGCGTGTGCCGTGCGGGCTGCTTGACGAAACATCGCGGCACCCGAGATAGCATATGAATCATGCCGATACTTTCCAGCCGTGTCTAGACTGAGGCGCTTTTACATAGGTGCACACATGCCAATCATGCGGCTGAGCTGGTACAAGATACATACCGGCTTTCCTGACACGCACATGTGCGCAGGTGGAGGACAGCGGCGGCGAGTGCGGGGTGCCGATGGAGAGGCGCTTTGCCATGCCGTACCAGGGTGGGTGTGGGAGGCAGGAAGGGGCAGAGGATGGGGGTAGGAAGGGAGCTGCGGGCGCGTGGGTAAGGAAAACCATCTGCGTAGGGAACAAACTGGATAAAAACCAGCTGCGGATTGGTGGTTAGGTAGGTGAGAACGCTGCGCTAAGGACGCAGCGGGCAAGCTGCGGAGCTACAGGGGTTAGAGGGGGCCATAGCGACTGTGGTTGTGTTAGCGGTACGGAGGAGGAGGTGACAAGTCCAGGGCGGCAGGACAAGGGCGGCTGGAAGCTTTCGTATCTTTCGGTGCCTTTACCTTTTTTTTACGATGTCGCTGCTGTTCTCGCCCCGTAGGCACGGGCAAGCAGTGGTACGCGTTCGAGTACGGCCCGGTGTTCTTCCTGCAGTACAGTACGGAACAGCCTTTTGAACCGGGATCAGAGCAGTACGAGTTTATAGTGCAGGTACGGCACTATGTCCCAGACCGAATTCCCTTTGCTTTGCTAGGGCGTGTTGGCGCCATATGCCGCTTTGCATGGGCGTCCGCTCAACACCACCCTTGCAACATGCTATCTCGTCATTCGCCCAACCTCCCTTCCCTCTCCCTCAGCCACACGCGGCCATTCCATCGCGCTACTCACCATCCCCACCAACCCTCCCTTCCGCTGTCCGGCGCTCTTACCGCACCAATTTCTTGCTGCCCCATCCGCTGTCGCCTCCTCCTTCCCTCCTTTCCTCCTCTTCTGCTCCCATTGCCCCTTCCCCCTCGTCCTCTGCTCTCCTCGTTCCTCCCTCTCTCCTTCTCAAGCTGCTTCCCCACCTCCTTCCGCCCCCAGACGCTGCGCCGCGTGGACCGCCGCCGCACCCCCTGGCTGGTGATGGGCGGCCACCGGCCCATCTACATCGCCTCCACCAACACCATGTGGCCCGATGGAGACCAGCACGTGTCGCAGATGCTGAGGGATGCCCTGGAGGAGCTGATGATGGAGTACCGGGTGAGGGGCGCGGCTGAGGCACGTAGGCCTTGTTTCGCACTCGGTTTTGCCTTTTGTTTCCTTCAAGGCTGCTGCTGCTGCTTCTGCGACCGCTGCTGCTGCTGTCTGTGCAGTGTACGGCACTGCAAGGAGCCCCTCCCTTTCATGCTATTATACCGCACCGCTGCCGCTACCCGCAGTCTTGTGTTATCGCATGCACACATGCGCACCCTTGTATCTCATCGCGCTTTCTATGGCCTACTGCCCTGCCGGTGTACTGTGCCGCGGCTCCTGCCTTACGTTGCTGCCCTTGCCTCGCAGGTGGACCTCACGTTGCACGGCCACCACCACAGCTACCAGCGCACCTGCCCGCTGTACCGCGGCGCCTGCCAGCATGCGGACGCGGAGGGGGTGGCGGGCGGCCCGGTGCACCTGGTCATCGGACATGCGGGCGCCGGCCTCAGCATGAACATCATGGACCCGCTACCGGTCTGGCTCAAGGTGCGTGGGTGGCTGGGGTGGTTTGAGGAAGGAGTGGTGCTGTCGTGGGTTGTAGGTGGGAAGGAAGCTGGGAGAGGGTGCAAGGCTGGGAGATCAGGGACAGATAGGGGTTTACAGTGGCTGCTTCACAAATCGTTGATGATACGAATCGGAAATCGCGATAATTATGCATGCACGCCATGACCCGCTATGCATGCTGCGTTGCAGAGCCTGAGCCTCTGGTGGGGCTACGCGCGGATGGAGGTCAGCGGGACGCACCTGTCAGTGGAGGTGGTCTCTGACGAGGACGGCCGCCTGTTGGACAGCTTCCAGCTGCGCAAGCCAGCCAATTGGGGCGCCAAGTTCATGGAGCGCAGGGAGCAGTCGGAGCTTGCGCTTGCACAGCAGCGCCAGGAGCGTGTGAAGATGTGAGGCGATGAGCTGTACGATAGGTGTGTGGAGAGAGAGAGAGAGAGACTAAAGATGGCAGTGACGATTTGAGGGATTACTAGTACCGCCCTAGTGTGCCTTACAAGGCACTGCCGCAACACATTGTGAGGGGATGGCGGGGCTCCGAAAGCCCGGGGATAAGCACGAGCGACGGCATGGTGGCTTGTTGCGGCCTTGTACATGTGTACAATATCAGGCTTCTGTTGTACGTTATGTGTACTACGAAATGTACCATTAAGATCCTAAAGGGGGAGTGTGCTATTGGTTGTGGACGCTTGACAACCTCTAGCGTTGTGGCCTTTACAGCGGGATGGAGTAAAGGTCTTCCGTCCGATATTGAGCTGGCCCGCATTGGGTGGTAGGCACAACTTTCAGAAGTATGTAGGACTCTATCACCATAGGAAGGTGGTGATTGCTGTTTCCACCCCTCACAAAGGAGCAACAGCATTTCGCTATAAGTTGATTAGATGCCGCGTGCTGCAATTGTTACTCATGTCCATTTAATGTCCATCATCGTTACATGTTGTAGGATACGGCGCATGGAAATGTCTGTAATAGCACCGATATCCCCACGGAATCTAGACCAGCATGCATGACATTGCATCCTGGCCGCTCTAGTCCAGCGGTTGGTAGGCAAGAGTCAGCTATGTGCAAGAGTACACTGGTGCTCACCCAAGGCAAGCCCGGATTTATAAACAGGGTAAATGACCCAAGCTATACTGCGTTGCCTTACTAAGGCCAATGCAGCGCTAACCGACGTATGGTCGAGCATGAACGGCACAGGGCCGTACCTAGAAGTCACTCAAGATGTCTGTCACGCTGTACATTCATCTGCGTGCATAGCACGTACAGGCCGCGCGCACTAGCAGCAGATCTGAGCACGCCGCGCGCCCAGCTAAAGTTCAAGTTTGACAATATGGGCCACGACGCTTAGAAGAGGGAGGTCTTCTTCATGATCCTGCGAGCAAAGGGCAGGTCCACTTGGTTATACTACGCATCTCCGCAAACACTCCCACTGCAGCAGTCACTACCCACCGGATGAACTCGTCCTCGTTGATCTCGCCATCGCCATCCCGGTCGGCCTCGTCAATCATCTCTTGGAGCTCCTCGTCTGCGTAGCAGCGGAAGTTGGTGTTGACGACCAAGGTAAGCCTTACTCAAGCCTGTTCCGATAGAGGCGCTTGCTTCAAGGGAGAGCTAGATCCTCACCTGTCAGGTTCTCGCCGAGCTCCTTGGCCACACGGCGGAGGTCCTGTATGGGACATTTCCAGCTCAATTAGTCCGCTAAACATTGGCTGTCACAGCGGAATGATATAGGAACACGTCGGGTGCATATGGAAGAAAGGCAATACGGAGTCGCCGAAGGATTGTTGCAGCTGCATGGCTAGTCCAGGCCACACACCTTGAGGGTGATAGTCCCTGACCCATCGTCGTCAAAGAGGCGGAAGGCCTTAAGGATCTCCTCCCGTGAGTCGCGCTCGCCCATCTTGGCGGTCATCTGCGAAAAGTTGAAAGCGCCGTCAGCACCTAACAAGCATGACAGTCAACGCGCTTCCATCTCAAGCCACAGACCCGGCGGGACCGCCATACTGAAAAACGCGCTACTTGGTCTCACCATCTGGAGGAACCTGCACATCAAGTGAATACACGATTAGTAGCTGCTACCATGCGCTGGTGCAACATAGCGTGGACGTGTTAAACTCACTCCTCGAAGTCGATTGTCCCCGAGCCGTCCTTGTCGATGTCTGAAATCATCTTCTTAATCTGAAGAATGATAAGGGTACGTAATTTACGTGGTATTGTACAATGTATTACTGGTCAAACGAGGGCACTCCACAAATGAGTCAACAACGCCAGAGAAAATAGCGCGACATTGCCTACCTCCTCCTTCTTGGGCTCGAAGCCTAGTGCCCGCATAGCAACCTTCAACTCCTGTAAGACGGATCGGGAGGAGTAGGTGCAAACGGCTTAGCAACTTTAAAAGGGGAGCAGTAGAAGGCCCGCAAATTTAGCGGACAAGCAACTCGTTTCCATTCGTTAATCAAGATGGAGAACGGGCAAGGAAAGCGGGAGTATGGGCACACTTGAAGAGACGCGGCTTCAATTCAAGTCTGTGCGCGCGCACCTTGGCATCGATGGTCCCGCTGCCATCGGTATCGAAGCTGTAAGGGCATTATCATTACAAGCTTGTCAACAAATGCTACCGCTGCGGGGATGCACTCCTGAGCTTAAGATTGGCAACGCATTGCGGGAAAGAATTACACCTACAGGTCAAAGGCCTCGCGGATTTCCTGCTTCTGCTCTTCCGTCAAACCAGCTCCACGCCCCTTCTTCTGGTCACGGCGAGCCGACACCACTGTCTTGGCCTTGTAGCTCATAGTTGCTGTTTTGTTAAACGGAAGTCACAAAAATGATATGTCAGTAAGGAGCAGAGGAGCTGTATTGGATGGGCGTCAAATATATCTGGGAGGAATAGGCCCAGTTTCTTTTTTACAACCAAAGGCGAGTTCCAAATCGTCGCCGTACAAATTCTTGACTACGTCCATGCTGGCTTATCCACCGGCGGAGAATTTTCAAACATATCATATGTCGATGTAACAGTTGGCATGCATTGAGTTTTGAGGCTCATCGTGACCGATGCAACAGTGCCTAAGTACTGGCGCGTTGCACCGAGCATAGACGCACACTGCTGAGTAAAATTTTGCCATAAAGCAACACAGTAAGCAACGCTACCGATGCATCATATTGGCGAAGGGCACTGGCAAGCAAGGCCACACGTAACCGTCAACCCGCGACAGCTCTCCGCCTTTGCTCTCGGTTGGCATCAAAGAGGCTTAGCAACGGTCGTAAGAATGACGATATTAAGGCGGTGTCCGCAAACCCCCATTGCGCCGGTACGTCTGACTGTGACGCAACTTCACGACCCCGCAAAACGTTGACGCGTGTTGAGCACACCCCCACCGCGTCCTGCTTCCGTACGGAAACCACTGACTTCGTGACGCCGTTGGTCCTACTGTTTATCCCTGTTTTGGGTCACCATTTAGCACAACTATCCTGCCGAATAACCACGTCAAGCTTCCGTTTGTTCCTGTGAACACGCGACCCCTCAACAGGACTTAGGCACCTACGGACATGTGGCCACCTCTCCTTGCGCACCTAGCAGGCCACCCCCTCGCCACATGCGGATAAGGTGGGTGCGCATGCTAGCCGCCTTGCCCCTTCCGTTGCACGCTCGGTTCTAGTCGTCCGATCCATTACAAAAGCACTTAAGGCCATCGTCGCCACCACTACCCAACCACTAGCATCGCAACAAACGTGGCCAGCTCGGGCCACAGCCGACCCAAATCGCCTTTCGTTAATTGCTTTCCCCCCAATGCAACCCCGTCAAGAACTTCTAAAAATTACCCGAACCACATTACCCCTCATTCCTCTACAGGCACTGCGCCCTCTCGCCCGGCTTCTCCTGCCCTCGCTTCTCTCCCCTCCGCCGACCGCTCTCCTCCCCCCCAGCCCCAGCCACCCCACACCTCCCGCCTCCTCGTGCCCTGCCTGAGCTGCTGCCTGCCGTACTCCCGATCTACCCGGATCTGGCTGCCGGCATCGAGCTAGAGCGGCTGCCTCTATGGGCGTCACTGCTAGGGCTGCTGGCGGCAAACGCAGTGGGGCTAGCGTTGGTGCTGGCCATGCTGCGCGGGCTTCAGGACGCCAGTGAGCCGTTGACGGTGGTCAAGGTGCAGGTATGAGGAGGCAGGAGGAAACCCAGTAGGATAGGGTGGCAAAGCCCTGGTGTGGCATGGGCGAGCAAAGCGCCAAGGTGTGGCAGGGGGTGTGATAGGTCGAGCTTTGTGTGATGGGTGGGCTTGCCGAATTGATCCTGATGTGTTGCTGTGTTTAGCAGAAGTACAACAGCACTGTGCGATGTGGGTCATGTGGGTCCTGTGCCCAGGCGGCCATGTCACATGGTTAGGGTACCCTCTTTATCCCGTAGGTAGCCATGTTGGAACGGCGGCCGCAGTTGCAGGCCAAGTTGCGAGAGCTAAGCTCCATGATTGAGGTACGGGGTTATACTTGAGGTTAGGATGGATCCTATGAGGCAGAAGTGCATAACTGGCTGTTGACTTGATAACTTGAGGGGCTGGGTTTCATGGCGGGTAGCCGGCCCTGACGGGGTTGCCGACCCAAATGGGGTTGATGTACACAAATAGTTGTTGTACAGCTTATTTTATGAGTCCATGGCATTCGTTTTGTGGCTTGAAGAACCGGCTAGTCCGAATACTCCCTGTCGTCTCTGATCTGACCCAGATGAGCTGACGTGGCCCTGGGTCCCCACGGGTCCCATGTGGCCCCACGGCTGCGCAGGTGGGGCAGCAGGGCGCCTGGCTGATCCTGGAGGAGGCCATCCTGCAGCTGCTGCAGCACCAGGTGGGCGGTACGGTGCTTGCCGCGTGTGTCGTACTGCGCGTTGTGTGTCATACGGACCGTACCTCATGCCGTAAGCCGGTACCGTTGGCCATGCCTCATGCGTGTCCAAACCGCTTTTGCCACATAACGACATAAGCATACCCACATGATTCCATGGCTGGCCCCCGCTCACTCTTTGCGACCTCTCCTGTCCATACTGCCTTTGCCGTATATTTAATGGCCTCTTTGGAACGGTTTGGTTTCCCTCCCGCTTGGCCCCGCCTACTGCCTGACCCCGCTCACTCTTTGTAGAGCCACATCGAGTACGCCTCCGTGTCGCAACAGCAGCTCACCAGCAAGAAGCGCGCATACACGGTATTTGGTCAAATGTCGGCGGAGGAGGCGGCCAAGGCAAACAGAGAGGAGGTGCGCCCGGGGCACTGGAGGACCGCTCGCTCGCTCGTATGCATACCCTCGCCCCGCCACAATGCCCAGCCACATGCATGGCACACATGGAGATTGGCCTGCGCATTCTCTCCAGCATCTGCTGTTTCGAAGCTTGATGTGACCCAATTCCCGTCTGCGCGGGCTGCGCCCAAAACCCCCCCGCTGTCTCCATGCAACGCATACCTAACCCGTCCGATCGCTTTGCACCCCGTTCCATCCACAACAGGCCATGGTACGGCACATGGGCGAGACGACTGACGAGGAGGGTGATGACTTCAGCGTTGGGGCGCTGCTGGGGGGCATCATGGACGGGCTGGGCATGCGGTCGCACCCTGCCAAGGAGGTCATGGTGGTAACACTGCTGCTGGGTGAGTTGGGTTATAGGTGTGTTGATCGTTCTGGATTTGTATGGGTAAAGGTGCACAACAGGAGGTCTGCACAGTAGGTGCATCCCAGAAGCAGTATTGCATGTAGCGTGTCGCATGATGGGTTCGGGATTCTGTGTTGCGAGTGATCTGTTACGCTGCGAATGATGTCCACTGTTTAACATGGAATCCTCCTAATCCTCCCATACTTTCGCACCCGCAGCCACTCGAGGGAGGCTGAACATTGAAGAGAAGGTAAGTCCGCAACCTGCTCGCAAATGTCCCTCCCCAACAGTGCCTACGTGTCGTACCTTGTACGCCTCTCCCTCGCATCGCGGTGACGTGGCCTCCTTCCCCTCCACTGCAGGTGACCGACTGGCCGCAGCTGCGCCATGCGCTGCAGCAGCTCACGGGGCTCAGCAGCGACCGCATCATGGCAATAGAGCTGCTGTGGACGCCGCGCAAGAACACCGACTACCTCACTCGCCAGCAGCTGGAGCGGGATTACCCCGACTTGGTGCTGCTGGGCAAAAGCGGCACGAGCAGTGGCGGGGGTGCAGGTGGTGGTGTGGGAAGCAGTGGGGGCAGCGACGGCAGCGGCAGTGAGAGTGACAGCGGGCAGATGTAAGAGCGGGGATAAGACGGAAGATGGTAGCGGGTTACTTGGCGGGAAAGCATTCATGCGGGGGCGCATGCCGGCGTTCAGGGTGTTCATGTGTTGCGTCGGGGCCAGGCTTGCGGCTGAAAACTAGGTGGCAGGGCTGTGAGACATTGCATGGAAGAGTTTCGCGTGGATTTGTAGGTGAATTCATTAGGACTTGAGGTAGTGCCGCTGACAAACGTTGTTGCTGACAGGCCGCTTACCTTCTTGTAAAGAGGTCGCTGCTTAGTCGGTAGTCCGTAGCGCACATGTAGGTAGACGTTAACCCTCCGGGTGGTGGTTGCCTTTTTATTCGCTGAATGCATGGCCTCGTCTTATTTGCTCAAAGCATGGCTTGATGCACAGTAGTCTATGCATCAAACCATTAAAAGGCATCACCGGCCGCCTTTTCGATATCAGTCGTAGGAACGACCGGGGCTAACAGTTTTGTGTGGTCACGTTTAGCTTTCGTCGACACTATACCGGTATGATGTTCGTGGTGTGTCGGATGCCAATCCTTCGTACCGTGGAATTGTGGGTATGGTGGGGAAGCAACCGCCCGGGATTGAATATGTTGCGCCTGACGCTATCCCTGTTCAGCAAACATTGAGGTTTTCCGGGAACCGACAGCCCTCGTGGATGTACGGCAACGGCCATCCGCGTGAGGGTAGGAGACCAGCGTTCCTAAGTGCTTGTGGTAAAGTGACAGTCCCACGGGTCGTACGGACGTCGGTTCCCTGAAACTGTGGCAGCAACGCAAACGAAGTAAAGGGTGCGCAGCAGTAGTACGTGTGGGAGGATCCCGGGCCAGCCTCGTTCGGGGGTCAAGGACTTGGTTGGGCAATGTTACCGGGCTGTCCGCCGCAAATCGTGGTTTTGCCAGCAACATGAGGGTCAGATGCGCACAACCAGACACCTGCACGCCACCAAGGGGTCAGGAAGGAAGGGCAGAAACGGCTGGCATGCATAGCGGCCGCATTGGGGCGAGGCCGCCGGGTGCCGTCTGGTCTAGGAAGCGACAATTACAGTCGGCCTAGGCGCCGAGCCTTTACGTACGGTGCTTCGGAGCGCGCGTGTCCGAGCTCCTGGTCGGCGAAACAGATCACATGCTAGCCGATTACAATTACATACATTCTGTATAGCCTTTCTTGTGCAAAATTCGGACGGGATTTCCGCGCCCAACCTCCACATTCCTAACTGGACTGCGCACTGGACTCGACATTTGACATTAGCCTAACGTCACACTCGCACATAGCAAAATGAAGCTTACAAAGCAGCATGACGTTGCGGCACATGATGAAGGCGTATGGTCTGTGGCATGGATCCCAGGAACACAAAGCTTGCTAACCGGATCTGTTGACGAGAGTGTTAAGCGCTGGGATGTAACTGATCAAGGACTATCGGAGGTCTATAAGCAGGAGGGTCACGGACTGGGCGTCATTTCGGTGGCTGCACATGGGTCGGGACAATTTGCAGCATCCAGCTCCTTGGATTCGCTCATACGCGTTTGGGACGTAAACGACCAAACAACAAACATTTCAGTAATAGAAATGGCGCCCACGGAGACCTGGACTGTGGCGTTCGGACCACAACCTGATGCCATCGACCTGGCTGTGTCTGGTGGGACACGTAACACGGTCGTCCTATGGCGCATTGGCGATGGCAAGACGGAAAACGTCGGGGAACTAGCAGCACCAACGGTAGGATCACACGGGGTGATTTGGGTCGGCGGGTGGGTTACGATGCTTGAGTAGGCCACCTGAAGGTAACGCAGGGCGTCATGCATACGATCACACGTGTTCTTGTGTACACCAGCAAACAAACAGCATCAGCAAGACAGTACCATATACTCCAACACGTACGACACGTACTGATACAGCATGCCCACCTGCCGTACAGGCCGCCGCGGAGAGTAAGGCCCACAAGCGCGAGCAATTCGTGCTGAGCTCCGCCTACAGCCCAGACGGCTTGCGGCTTGCAGCGGGCTGCATGGACGGAACTGTGGCGATCTGGGACCTGACCACGTCCAAGCTGCTGGGCAAGTGCGAGGGACACCACAAGCCCGTGCGCAGCCTCACATTCACGAGCGGTGGGTGTCGAGCTGCGGAGCGGGGCGGGTCTTTAAGCAACTACAGGACCTGCCATGTGAGTCTTTGTCCTTCCTTCGTCATACCTGCGGGAGTCTTACCACTCACGGTTAATTATTCCTTCCCAGCCCCACCCACCCCTCACACCCGGTCTGACCCGCTGCAGATAGCCGCATGCTGCTGACTGCGTGCGACGACATGCACGTGCACCTGTACGATGTGGAGAGCTGCAACCTCATCGAGTCGTTTTCAGGTGGGCGGGTAGGGGGGGAAGGGTGGGGCTGAGGACTGTTAACTGGGGCGGGCGTGGGGAGGCGGCTGCGTTGGGCTGGGACGCTAGTGCAAGCAGGTGGGGGTGTGGGTTACATGGGTGGACTTCCAGTACTCACATCCCGGTAGACAGGGCGCGAGCGTGCGACGTGCGTGTGGCATCTGGGCTTATCCGGGCTTGGACTGTGTGGTACGGCTTGCGTGACCGAGTGGCAGATGCACCGGAGGCTCTGCAGCCAGACCAGGGCCAGACACTACGGCGCCTTTCTACCTTGTTCCCAAAGGGCACCTTGGGATCACGTTCTCCATCCCCCGCGCTCCTTCCCGCCCCGTAACGCTGTACCGCGTGCTTCTTCCCTCCGCCACACCTCGCCCCCACACCACCCAGGCCACGAGTCCTGGGTGCTCTCTGTAGCCATGCACCCCGGCGGCGCCGCCTTCGCCAGCGGCGGCAGCGACGCGCGGGTCAAGCTGTGGGATATCAACACGCGCACGTGCGTGCAGACCATGGCAGCAGACCACACGGACCAGGTAGGGGCAGGGGGGCGCGGGCGCGCTACGTGGAGGTTAGGGAAGGATACCCATTACCAAATCACCTCAACGTCGCGTACAGCCCCACCCCTGCGGGCTTCCTGCCGTACCTCCTCACGCCTTCTCCTCCTCCTCATGCTCTGCCACTCTCCGCCCTCATGTTCCGCCCTCCACCTAGCCTGATCTCCTGCCCCCCCTCCTCTTTCCCCCGCCTCCCCCGCCCAGGTGTGGGGCGTGTCGTTCAGCAGCTCGGGCAGCCACCTCGCCTCCGTGGCGGATGACAAGCGGCTGGTGGTGTATGCGGTGGCGTGAGGGGGGGGGATGAGGTGGATGAGGAGGAGGTGTTTGGCGAGGAGGGGTAGCGCATAAGGAAGGGAAGCTGTGTTTGTACACTGGGCAGGGCTGGTGTGGGGGAGGATGGGGCGAATGCGGACGAGGAGGAGGAGGTGCTGTGGAAAACAAACGGCGAATTGCATTGGCGGAAGCGAGGTAGTGACGGTTTACAGGCGGTGACGTGGTTGGTTGTCAGGCGCCCACGGAGGCATGGGACCCCACTGCTGAGCGGTCTGAGGAGGTACTTGGCAGCGGGTGATGCTGGTTGGGTTGCCAATGGGTGTTGGTGGTTGCTGAAGGAAGGTGGTTGGGGTGTAAGGAATGGTTGAAGTAAGTTCTGTGTGGAGTGTTGACAAAGTGGAGAGTATGGTATCGGTATTGCCGCGCCCATACACCGGCCTGCACAAGTAGCGTATCACCTGGGTACGCACATCGTCCCCATCGCTTCCTTGCGTTGCCCTGTAAACGTCAGACTGCCAATGTACCGAACTTAGATGGCATATATGAGTCCGCGTCGCTCGCCCCGCGGGGGATGTGTGAAAGGGTATGCCCGCACGGCCTGGCAAGCGAAAGGGATAACGATGAGATGTGCGAAGGGAGGAGCCAACATGAGACTCGGCATGATAAGCAAAAGGGGTAACGATAGGGGCGGTATGGTAATGGTAATAGGGAGCGCATCAGAATCACGGAGAAGTACAAGTTGGGCGTTGTACGGGTGTTGTGCTGCAGGGGTACTGCAAGGCGGTGCCATCCCCTATTCCGTAACCAGAGCTAGTGAGCGGTACTGCACGGGTCGAAAGACCGCTAGCTTCTTCATGCCTCGATGCATCTCCAGCCCTTACATGGCAACTCCTGTGGATACGGCATTCCATTTGGTGGCTACAGCGACTCAGAGCCAGTAGCGGAGTGCTTACTTGTGTGGAGTGGCTGGGTTTGACGCTGAAGGGCACTAACAGGCATGCAACACCGGTACACACCCCATGAGAGCCATGAGAGGCCCCTTTCACAGCCGGCCCCCCGTCGATTGTAGCGGGCTAACAGGGATTAGCCCTTCAGGAGGTGGGCTAACAGTGGACCTGAACCACACACTGTTTCGTCCCAGCTCCCGGTTTTACCAAGACTGGTCCCTGGAGCGGGCACACTGGGTACGCACACCTGGTTGTCGTACGGACGACAGGTGAATTATTGGCAAGTGGCGGAGCAACTGTGGTATCACATAAAAGGTGTGCGTAAGTCCTGCTTATGAGTCCTTCTAATTAATAGGCGAGCGGCGACAGTGCCCGGGTGTGCCTAACGACTATACCAAACCCTTCTTCTAGTATTGCCAAGTTTGCTTAGGCAGGGGCACGACTCAAAAATGAACTGGATGCTACCACCAGGACGGGTAGCGAGGCGCGCTCATCTTAGAGAGCGCCTTCAAGGTGTCTTGGACTTTGTCGATGACGATTCAGAGTTAGTCCGCAGTGCGGAACAAGTATATATGAATTGTGGTAGTAGCTGGCTGGATGAAGCCCAACGGCATCAGGAGTTTGAGCTGGAGGCAATCCTAGCGACAAGCACGGTGAGCTTTTAGATGCCCCCCTGCATACCTTGCCAGCTGGCACTATGTCAATTTGATTCGCCATGCGCTTTCCAATGGTTTGTGCACTGCACTGTCTCGTAACGTTTTGCTCCTGTTCCTGGTGCTTGTAACTGACAACATTCTTGCCCGTGCTCCTACCGGCATGTTAATTGCCTGCCGCACCCCTCAGGACGCCCACGAACAAAGTGTTGGTAAGCAGCACCTCGCGGGAAATGAGTTTGGGATAATCTGGTAGGAGGATAATTAGTTGTGAAGGGGTATCGCCTGTACGGCTCTTGCAGCCCTGGCGCCTAACTCGGCAAGCCTTGCGACGCTCCCTCGAGTTCGGGAACTTATATGGAGCTACGTCCAGCTGTGTAACATCCGTGGACTAATTCTTTCCGCATGGTCCCGTTCCCAGAGAACACGGTGGCTGACAATGGCACATTCTGGTCGAGCACCGGCTCCGACAAATGTACGACGAACGACGCCCTGCTGTACCGCATCCGGCAGCCGCTGGGCCATGTGTCGTACGTTTCCCTCGCGGTGTACAGGGCTCTTTACCAGTTCGGGTGAGCCGCGCTGCTGTATACTCTACCCTACTGCTGAGACTTGAGCTCTAGGCTCTCCTACATGCTATCCGGCACGTACCTTATCCCTCCCATGCCATGCACCGAAACCAACACGCTGCCAACCCACAACGTCTCCATCGCCTGACCTCCGGTGCGCTGTGATGTACCGGTAACGATGTAAACCGCCGGCATTCCGACCTGCTCCGCCGCCTTCCTGCCTTGTTGCCTCTCCCTCCTACCAGCGATCCGCTGTACCCTCCTCGCAAGGTGTCGTTCCTGACGGGCCCCACCCCCAACCAGCTCTACCCGGCCTCACCGGTCTACCCTGTTCGCCTCACGGATGCGCATCAGGTGCGGCGCACGCAGGGATCCCGCTCGTCTGATCTGGGTCACTGATGCGCTCTGCTCAGTGGCATGCACTTGGTGTCCCCATGCACTTGATGTGCCGTATGTTAGACAGGAAGGATGCATGGCGGTTGCGTTGTTTGCTCCAAGCGGGTTTCCTGGTGCGGGCGGTAATTGTGATATCCTGGTCAGCTTTGAACTGCGAGCTGAGTCATGCGCCAACCCCGCCACGTGCCTAACCCTGTTACGCACAGGTGTTTGCGATCACTCCCACGGCGCCCTTCAGCCAGTACCTCATGGTTCGGCTGCATGGACGCATGCAGCGACAGCGGGAAGGTATGTGAAGTTGTGAACCATGGGTCGGTGGGAGGGCGCACTTACAACGTCACATCACTTTTGCAGCTTTGCCTCATTGGCAGGTGTAGTAGGCCCTGGCTGGTCATCAGTTCTTGCCCCTGGCTGCATCTCGCCATCCTGGCGTCCTTTGCTGCTTTCTGCGCTCATACCGGCCGGCCATGCAACACACAGTCAGCTCACATCCATGTGCCCTAACCAAACCTCAAAGCATGATCTCAGCAGTGCACATCCTTCCCATCCATGCCTCTGTACCTTATACCACCCGTCTGCCCTTCCACGACATGCGGTTCCAGACATGCGGTTCTACATCGCCATCCGCCATGTGGGGGCGTACGGCACCGTCCTGCCACCCAACCATTTCACCAAGATCTTACGAAACGTGCCTTCCAAGGGCCTTACGTGGCCCTGCAGCCGCGGCTTGGTGACTACAAGCACCTCGGTGCAATCTACAGCGGCTGCGGCTGCGGCCGCTGCCGCTGCTGGCTCGCAACGGCGACAGCTGTTGCGCAGCGCCGCTAGCGGCGCGGCACGGGACGGCGAGGAGGAGGGGGAGGACATGTTGGCAGCGGAGGTGTATGAGGCGGGGCCGCCGGCGTTCCGAACTGCGCGAGAAATAGCCAGTAAGTATCCTTGCCTGTCTATTACATGTAGGTTGGAACAACAATGCCTCGGTCCCGCAGGTGTTTAGGTATCGCCCTGATTACTCGCACGGAACTGGCATTCGTACTTCGTAACCCGGTCTTATCAGCGCGGCTGCTCTTCCTTCCCAACCCGTCACAGCCTCCTCATCCTGCTCTTCATCTTCACGGTCTCCTCGCTGGGTTGACGGACGGTGGTGCCCGCGACGCAAACCCAAGCGACCCGCGGAGACAGAACCCGGTACAACCGCATTGGGTTGGGGATTGTCGTACTTTCGGAGCAGTACGGCCGCCAGTACGACAGCGGCGGCTACGGCGGTTAGTAAGATCTCAGCGGCTCAGGTCGTCCCGCGACCCACGGGTCCAACAGACTCAGAGTTGAGTAGGGCTGTTGCGCAGGCTCCCGTGGCGAGGTAAGTTGGCAAATGAGGCCACTGGCGAGGGTTGACTACCATGTAGGGCTTCGCGCGACTTTGACCTGGCCTGGGAGGATACCGGTACCGGTATGGTAGCCGCGTTCAGATGGCCCCCACGAGCCCCAAGCACCTGCTGGAACCGCATGCGGCATGTCCTCGTAGCGCCTTGCAGATGACTTAGATGCTGTTCAACAGGGCTGTGTGCTGCGCTCGCACGTCCTCACAGGGCCGCATGGCAGCTTAGCCGCGTACCATGGCCGGAGGTCTTGCTGGTGCACGGTGTGCACGTAGCGGACATGCAGCTCGCCCCTCCTGCAGCACGACCAGCGGCAGCAGAACCCACTGCCCAGGAACGGCGGCAGGCTCCTCACGCAGGCGCCGCTGCCGTACCGAGCGTCGTACCTTCCGTACCAGCCATGCACGGCAGCACCGGCGGCAATAGCAGCAGCTCCGGAGGCAGCAGTAGCGCCGGCGGAGGTGGCAGCGCCCTGGCGGCCGGACCAGGTCCTGACGTCCTGGCGGAGGTACGGCGGGAGCACATGCAGCACGAGCAGGAGTGGCTGCGGGCTGCTGCAGCCGCTGCATCAGCATCGACATCAGCTGTGGCTGTGGCTCCAGGAGCATCTCCGGCTGACGCTGATGAATTCGCTGCCGCTGCAGCAGCGGCACGGTCCTCCCAGCAGCAGCTGCCCTCTGCTGCCGAGTCTGGACGACTAGTAGAGCTGCTAACAGCAGCGGTTAGCCGCGGCGGTGCCGTGCCGCCTGCGTGGGCCTCTATGCTAGCGTCAGCAGCCGCACCTGAAGCGGCAGAGGCGGCGGAAGGAGCGCTGCATGGAGGTCGGCGATGGCCGCCTGTACGGATGTTTGACCGGATGATCTCGGCGATCTTCCACCGGTCGGCCGGCGGCAGCGACGGACCGCATGCAGAGTCCCATGCTGCTGCTGCTGGCGGCGGCAGCAGCAGCAGCGCAGGCGGAGCATCCGTGGGCGGTAGCGCTGGCGAGCAGCGCATGAGCACCGGCGAGTACAGCCGCGCTCGTGCTGCCGTGGCCCGTGATCGTGCAAGGCTGGCCGAGCTGACATACCTCGTTTTCTGCATTCCGTACTTGACGCAGCACCCGCATGCGCAGCATTGGCTGAAGCGGTTGAGGGGCAGCGTGGCGGCGAGGGAGCAGCGGTTGGCGGTTGCAGAGCGGCGGGGAGCGGTAGTTGCGGCGGCGAGGGGAGGAGGAAGTGGAGCTGGTGGAGGAGCAGCAGCAGCAGGGTCCTCACGCACCCAGCAGCTCTGGCCGCCGCCGCAACATGGGGCCGCTGACGTCGCCGTCGGCCACCAAGGGGAAGGGCTGTTGCTGCCGCCGCGGGCGCGCCGGCACCTACAGCAGCAGCAGAGAACCCGCGGTGGGAACAAGAACGAGAGCCGCCGTCCGCGGCGCGCCCTGCAGGCAGCGCAACGCGCCATGCAGGAAGGGACGTACGCGCCGGATGGCCCGCTGTTCTTGTTGTTTGAGGCGGAGGGGACAGCAGCCGAGGAACGGGAACAGCGGACCGCGACAGAGGGCGGTGGACCGATGGATGTGGATGGCTGCGGCAGGGAGGGCCAGGCACAGGATGCAGGTGGGGGGCTTGGGGGGCTTTAGGCCACTTGCCATACGTGCCGCTTTGCGGACTGCTTTGCCAATGCCGGTGACAGCGTGTGGACTTACCCGCGTTTCCCCGCACGAGCCTTCCTTTCGCATGCATGCGGGCAGTGCGGCCTTTAGCCGTATCCGTACAGTAGCCATACGCATTGCTCATGTGTGTTGCATTTTCCGATTGCAACCATTAACCCTGCACTCTCTTTACCAGTCTAATGCATCCTGTCTTCTCCCGCCCTATTGTCTCTCGTGCTTGCCTAAAACAGAAACGTGGCTGGTGTCACACTACGATAACGAGCACCTGTAGCGTCGCGACGTACGGCAGCAATCCCGATGACCAATACGGTACCGGTACAAACCAGTGTTGGCACGAGCCGCGCCTCGCGGATGCATGGGCGCCTGGGCGGCATGTACCGTTGGTTGTGCTAGCGTGCCCAATGACTGTGGATTACCTGGATAGCAAGTACGGCAGGCAATGCTGTGGAGGTAGAGCTTTAGCAGATGTGTCGTGTTGGGGCTGGTAGTGACCTGTGAGGCGTTCAAGTTGTTGTTGGTGTTCATGGTGGTATAAGGTGCTCTAGGTGGGGTATCGCGGACTCAACTTGCAGGATGCGTCGAATCATGCGAGTATTACAGGGGCGTGGAAGGCTGCTGGTGTCCCTTTCTTGTGGGACGATGAACCGATGATGCTATGGTTCTGAGCTCAAAAATTCTTTCCCTTGCTGTTCCTAGTTGTTGTGCTCTCCAGCTGCAGCTTTTACCCCATAAATCTGTGCCAAGATGGCACACGCTTGCGTGTGGCTGCGGCTTTCACACGAACATGAACCTATGTACCGGGATGTGCTTTTCTGCTAGTATAACTGAACCCACCAACCCAAAATCTCCTTGACGTTTTGCTTGTTTGCGAGCTAATATACACAATTCGTGTGACGGTGCCGAATGTGGCCGCTACACGGTCGCCCGTTTCCTCGGCACACGGCATAATGCTAAAGTAGCTGCTAACGTGCAGGAATATATGAGTAGCATTAGTACACTGTACACATAGTATGGTGGTCGGCAACATGTTGGCGGTTGGCTTCGTCTTGCTAGCTTTTAATGAACCATTCACATGCACCTTATTAGATGAAAGTTCTTCCGAACCTCTCTTCGCCATTCTAACCTAGCCTGTGAATGACGTAAGGCGACCCCACGCAACTATCAAGACGAGCTTTGCAAAGGATTGAAAAAAGATTGGCGATAGTGCTTCCTATGGATATATAAGTGCATTTGGATAAAGTGGCAGCGGCGCAGCGTGTAGACGCCGTCCATGCCGTGCACCCTGGAGGGCTCCCAAAGCCTTGCAAACTCATGCGGCTGCCTACTACGCTATCCAACTGTGCCGCGACAGCAACTCAATCTATATGTCACCGAGTATGAAATTCATACCTCCACGTTAGTTTTGCATGGCTTCCTAGGCCGAGGTTTGGGCACCTTGACCTGACCATAATTGTTACAACCTTTGCGGGTTCGCGCCCAAATCCGTAGCCGGAAATGTATTAAAGTAACAACAGGAACTGGTTAGCCCAGACTCCCGAAAGCCTAGGGGAGAACTGTGGCGGATGACCAAAAAGCAGCTTGGCCCAGCTGATGTAAGCGAGGACGCTATTCAGTTTGGGCCAACGCCTTTAGAAGAAGCTCAGCTTCTGCCGGGAGGCGTTCCTGAGTTATTGGAGGCGCATCTGGAAGCCAAGGTCGGAGGGAATCTATCTACGCCTACCGCCTCTGAAGCTATGGTAGCTGGATCTAAGCCTGGATCAGCTGTACGTGCGAGCCCTGCAAGAGAAACGGAAGCAGCAACTTCGCCGCGGGCAAAAGACAGCGAAATGACTTCGGAGAAGAAGAGCAAGACTTCACCCGACGGCTCTTCTCGTCCCTCATCCGAAACACCTAGACCCGGTGGTTCGCGATCAAAGTGTCCTGAGTGTCATCGGGTCAACTCTGGCAAATGGTATCGCCATCGCACAGTCGATGGCGAATACACTTGCGACGGCTGCTACCGCTTCTACAAAAGCAACAACCACTATAGACGGCCGCTTCACGGTCAGAGGGGTGCCGGTAACACCGCTTCGCAAAGCACTGCCAAGAAGGGTGCCAAGCCGGGTTCTGCCGCTGCGGCCGCGTCTCCTCCCTCGCCTGGTGCTCCCTCCCCCAGCGGTCACGGACCCTCTGCATCAAAGGCGCACTCGACTGCGGGTCGTGGTGGCGCTGACCAGACCCCGGTTGGCGGCAAAGCCACCGCCGGTCGGGGCTTCAAGCGCAAACAACCCGCCGAGCTGCCGCCACCACCGCGCCAGAAGCGGGGAAAGCATGAGGCGCAGCAAGAGGGCAAGGGGCAGCCTGCCGTGAAGGAGGAACCGGAGGAGCCCAAAGCCCCTCCGCAGCAGCAGCTACGCAGGGGGGGCAGGCGGGCGGCAGCGGCGGCTGAGCCCTCGCCGCAGCAATCGCCAAAGCGTGAGCGCAGCTGCAGCCCTAAGCCGGCCGCAAACGGCACGACCGGCGGCGATGGTAAGGGCGGCGGCGCGGGGGATGCCGCCGCCGATGCCAAGCCAGACGCCGCCGGTGCGGCTGCGGGAATGGAGGCGTATCCCGCGCGGCGGGCAGCGGCAGTGGCAGCGGCCCGGGGCATCACGGAATGTGCGGCCCGCAGCGGGGTAAGGATGAAACCACCAAGCCGCCGCACCTCCAGGGATGGAAGCGACAACGACGGTGGCGGCAAGTCCGCTCCATTGGGTGGCGCAGCGGCGGCGGCGGCGGCCAAGCGTGCGGCGTGCCTTCAGGCAGCCGCCACTGGGGAAGGGCACGTCAAACAGTGCGCCCACTGTGGCTCACACGAGTCTCGACGCTGGTGCAAACACCGACAAAAGCATGACCCAGATGGCGTCACTTGCGAGCGATGCGAGGACCATTACCGCCGCCATCGTGCATACCCACCTCCAAACGCCGCTGCCGAGCCTGCACCGGAAGCCGCAGGCTCAAAAGAGGCTTCGCCGCCGGCTTTGGATGGCGCAGCCGCAGCTTGTGATGAGGCTGTGGTACCAGCGGATGGAACGGCAGCGGCAGCAGCACCGGTGGTGGCGGTAGCGGCAGAGCAGGAGGGTCGGCAGGACGCTGTCGAGGCAGCAGCGGGTCTAGCTGTTGGCAGTGCCGGAGCTGGGGCGGCACAGGAGGCTGGCGCCGGTGAGGCTGGCCCTGGCGTGGAAGCGGTTGCCATGGATGTAGGCAAGGGTGAGGTCGCCATTGCCAGCGCTGAGGTCGCAACAGCAGCAGCTCAGCAACCTGCAACAGCAGAGGCCGGCGCCGCCGCCTCAGGCATGGCAGCTCCGAAGCCTGGCAGCGGCGGCGCCGAGGCTATGCGTGCGGAGGCCGGTGCGGAGGTGGAGCCGGAAACTGGTCGGCAGGGCACGGAGGAGGCGTCGCAGCAACGGACAGAGACCGATCAACAGGAAGCGGCGGCTGCGGCTGGCCTGGGGGCTGCTGACGGTAAGGGCGAGGGCGAAGCGAAGATGGAGGTCGAGCCGCAGGAGGAGGCGGCAGCAGCATCTCCGCCTCCCCGGTCTCATGGACGCGGCTCCGGTAGCCCTCGTGCGTTGGATGCTGATCCTCCTCCGCCCGGCAAGGCTGCGGTTGGGGGCACGACGCCCGGTAGCGGAGGTGAGGCCGCCGCTGCGGCAGTAGCAACCCTTTCGGATGCAGCTGCTGCTGATGTTGCTGAGGCGCCTGGCAAGGGAGCGGAGGGGGCTGCAACGGACGCCGCAGCGCCTGAAGCTGCAACTGCTACTAGGGAGCTCGTCGCAGCAGCCGGAGGTGAGGGGGCGCAGGCTTCTCCTCGTGCTGTCGCCAAGACCCCTAAGGGAGCCACAGCCGAGACCGGAGCCTGCCTTGCCAGTCCCAAAGAAGAGCAGCACGCGGAGGCTGTCGAGGCCCCCGACGCCGCCACATCAGCAAAGGTGCAGGAGAAGCCCCGACGCGGACCTGGCAGGCCGCCGTCGCAGCGCAAGCAAAAGCCCGCGGCCCCGCCGCAAGATGAGGATGATGAGGAGCAGCCCCAGGAGCAGACTAGGCAGCCCCAGCGGAGAGCTGCGGCTGCAGCAGGCGCGACAGGGCCGCGGATGCGACAGGGCCCCGGCAGCCCTACCTCCAAGGCAGCTGCAGGCGGTGGTGGGGACAGTGAGGTCCGGAGCTGCTCGGCATGCGGCTCCACGCATACTCAGTCCGGCTGGCGGCGGCACCAAGGGGGCCTTGTGGGCAAGGTCGTCTGCAAGCGCTGCTACGATTGGCACTACCGGCACGGAACGTACGATAGGGGTTCCGCGGCGCCCCGGGGCGGTGGCGCCAAGGCTGCTGCTGGCGGCGGCGCTGCTGCCGCGTCGCCCTCGGGTGCAGCCGGAACCCCGCAACCCGCCAACGCAGCGAATTCGATCGCGGTGCGGCGCCCCAGGAGGGCTGCGGCCATTGCGGCAGCGGCGGCCGTTGCTGCTGCCGCGGCGGCGCCGGACCCGGACGCGATGGCGGATGCCCCGGCAACGCTGGTGGTTGCGTCCCCAGTGGCTTTGGCAGAGCCGCCACCGAGTAAACGCCAGCGCGTGTCGTTTTCGCCGATGTCTGAGGCGACGGCGAGCACGCCTAGTGAGGGGCGCGGGATTAAGTCACCGTACCAAATGGGTACTGCAGCTCCGTCTAGCTGCGGCGCGGCGCCAGCGGAAGGCACCGCTGCTACTGCTACCGCGACGGTGGATGAGGTGGCCGGCGAGCAGAGTGATGAGCCCGACCCACGGGTCTTTGCGGCGCATGTCAGGGCCTTTGGCGACACCATTGCTCGTACATGCAGGGTAAGTGCGCATGGCAGGATGTCGCTGCGAACTTAACCAGACTTCCGAGGTGTTGGTTACCGTTGTTGTTGGTTCAGCTCTGATGCGGTAAGTCGAAGGCAAAGCTATTCGCACCTTATGGATTATAACCCATTCCTAACGTGTCACCCATCCCTTCCTACCTGCTTGCCTCCGCCCCTTCCAGGCTCTCGTGGAACTCGAGGACAAGTACGGCGTGCGGTTGTTGGATATCCCCGCTCCTCTTGCAGTGGCGCCGTCGCCACCCCCGGCTGCCGCTGTGTCGGACCCCGCTGCCGCTGCTACTTCTGTTGCGGCGGCCGAGGACGAGAAGTCCGATGGGCTGCCTGCGCGGCCGGCGGTCCGCTCGGCCCTGCGGATCTTCTATGAACGCATTTGCGGCTCTGACCCTGTGCTACGGGTAGGTACCGGTATAACGAGCAGGGGCATTGAAGCCTGTGGTTTTTAAGCTATTGTTCAAAGGTGCAGGGAGCTGGAAGCTTACGGCGGTCGTGGACTCATGGTTGAGCGAGTGTTGTCGAGGTGCTGCGGTATAGTCTTAAGCCCGATTCGGTCACGACGGTCCTGGCATGCTTCTCCTATGCTGATCACTCGTCGTTGTCATTGTCTTTTCCTCGCCGCCATGGTAATTGCATGCTGACGTCATTGTCACCTTGTGTGCGCCCCCTCGCCGCCCTCTGCCCAGTCTCGGCACCTAGCGGACGTCCTCATGCGATGGCTGGAGGTACGCTGCGGGACAGCCAGTCCTCCTGTTGCATGGTTGGAGGAGGAGGACTGGCTCCTCCTCCTCCAGTTGCATGGTTGCATGGTTTGCACTTTGAATCTTATAAGTCCAATGTTGCCTGCCCCTTACTGCGGTTGAAATGATGGCCGTATCTTTGTTCTCTGTTATCCTTTTGCCTTGTCTGCAGGCTAACGCATGGCGCTCGCCGCTGGCGCTGCTGATCGGGCCTGCTGCTGCGGAGATGGGGTTGGACAATATGGGGCATCCCAACGGACTGTACGGGCCGGAACAGGTGGGTGGCATTGGTTCTTATCCGGATCTCTACACGTCTGCGGTTCCTCGTAGTGTCATCATGGGTCCATCGTGTCATGGAGTAGCGTTTAAGTATTGCAGGTGCTAGTGCGCTAGTGCCGTCATCCTGGCCCGCGCAGCCCCCTCTAACGCCACGCTGCCGCTATCGCAGGCTGCATGGGACAACTCCAGACGCAGTGCTCACAGCAGCCTAGCAGCCGTAGCCTGTTCCGCGTCACCGTCTGCGGGTGCCACCGGTGTCAACGGTTCGATCGCAGCCATGGAGCCATTCCCGGGCGCAGCTGAGGCCGACCAGGTCACGCCTGCCGAAATCGAGCGTTTCCGTCTAGTGGTCGACAACCTGGCTGCGAGCATGGCACAAAACCTGCTTGGGCTCGCGCCTTTGCAGCCACAGCTGTTGCTGCAGTCGGCCGATCCCGCCGAGTCTGCTGCTGACGAGGCGGCGACGCAGGCGGGGGCGGCGGTCGAGGCCTTTGCTGCCGCCATGCCTCATCTGCAGGAGGCGACAGCTGCGTCCCTGCGTCTGGCTCTGCGTGTGGGTGCCGCCCCGGGCCGCCTAGCACTGCGGCTGGCGGTGCCCGGGGACCCCATTGACGGCCGCTCCCTGGCAGCGTCTGAACCGGGGTCGTCGTTCACGCATGATGTGGCGTTCGATGGCTCTGGAGCCAGCGGAACCTGCTCATTAACGGTACCGGTGGGGTGGGCTTGGGCCGGCGAGAACGCTTCCGGTACCTCCGCCAGCAACGCGTCAGGCGTTACGGGGGATGCCGTACACGTCGGCGTCACGGTACGACAACTTCACTTGGCGCAGGTACTGCGTAGCGTGTACGACGGAAGTACGGCGCATTGGCAAGAGAACGACGCCTTCTTGGGCCTCTCGGGCCTCAGGACCTCCGGGACCGCAGCCCAAGCTGCTGCTCCTTCGCCTCCCGCCAAGCCAGCCTACAGTAACGTCGGCGTCGAGGCTGCCGCACCAGCGGTGGTTATGGCTACTGCCGCTGCAGCAGAGGAGGGTTCGAATATTCCGCCGCCGCCACCGTCCATGCCGCCTGCTGCCGACGCCCCTGGTGCGCAGGAATGCAACGGCATCAACGGCACCTGTGCTGGTGGTCCCTCGGAGGCAGCTAGCGGTGGAATGGTGATGTGGGTCGCGGCTCCCGGGATCGTGCGTTGTGAGCTCCGTACGACAGCAGCACAGCCAGTAGCGGCGACGATGTCGCCCATGGCGCCTGCTACTGCACCCCTAGCGCTAGCCAACGCTCCGCCAGCTGTTGCCACGACAACGGCGGCGGATTGCGGCGAGCTCACGACCAGTCATGCGGCGGCTCCAGGATTCTGCTTCGAGACCAGTACGGCACTTGCACTGCCTTGCATGGCAAGCCAGGATGCGACTCAGGGCGCGCTCCTGCCGCCGACCATGGGTTCCGGCTCGGCGGTAGTTCCCCTGGCGGCGGCAGCGGCTGCTGCCGGCGACCCTGTCGCCGCCGCTGAAGCAGCGGACGCGGTATGCGCCGCAGTCGCAGCGGCGCTGGCGCGCGGTGACCAAGAGGAGCTCCTTGGTGCGGCAGAAACCGCCGCAGCTGTTGTTCTGCAGCTCGTACAAGCGGTGTCGTGCAAGGATGCGTCGGGAATGGGCGCAGCCGCTTCGCCAGAGGCGACGGAATCGGCGGCAGTGCTTCAGACGGCTCCGTTGGCGTTCCTGGTAGAGGTGCCGTTCGTTCCATCGCTAGCCATTGGGTGCGGAGCTCAGGCATTCCCGGCAATGGGCTAATGCACGGCAAGCATGTATAGGTAGAAACGATAGGCTGGAGGGCGGGTGGTTCTGGTTGTGTTAGTTATGGGAGGGCTTCTTCCTGAAGCTAGTGAGGTTGGATTGGGCATTCTGGCTTTGAGCAGCGGAGCAGTCCATCTCGCGGTGGGGCCATGATTTGGGAGTTGGAAGGATCCGGCGTGTTGGATGCTGGCAGTTGACAGCTGCACAAGTTATCAGCTTTGTGCCAAGGACTGTAATTTTGAGGTTTGCAGGTCTTGATGGAAAGGCCTGACGACGGGTTGCGAGGACGAAGGCATGAGTCGGCATCTTAAGGGTCATGTCACCAGTGCCGGCGACTCCTGCTGGAATGCTGCTGGGATGCGGCTTGGACTGCCGAATGAGTGTGTTTGACGCGCGAATGCTTGTACGAATACTCGCTCATGATGCAAGTGCGGGTGGCATGGCTTGCGTGACGCGGTTGCAGAGCACGCTACGTGGATTACGGGACATAAGATGAGGCCTGGTTTTGAGAATCGCATTGCCATGTGCTCCATTCTAGGTAGGCAGTAAGTAGGTGGACAAACGAATACTCCCTGTATGTAAGTTTGTTTCATGACGAAGTACGGGTCCTGTAGCTTTGCTAATGAAAAGAGTGTTGAGGCTACATGTCTACCGGAGTACCGGTGCTAGGTTACCGGCGAGGCTCCGTTCTGTTTGCCACTACCGTCATCACGGACGAAGCGATGGGTTTTGTTGTTGTTGTACTATTTGTACATGAGTGTTGAGGGCCTTTAGGCCATTGGCCCATTGGTAGTTTGAGCATTAGGCTAATGCTGGTGGCGTCGCGTCTTTAGGAGTTGCTTGCCAGTTAGAATGCGAAAGTTACAAGGGGGACCGGAGCTCCTGAAAGCCTGAAAGCCGTACAAGAGTAGGAGCGCCAGCTAGTACGGACTACTGTGCTGCTGACAATCGGTATGTTGGAGATTGCCTTGATTGAATGTCTGCATGTAATTGGTCGCAAGCGTTTGTGTGCAACGTTGCCGATAGGGGGGGGATGGGGGTATGCCCACCAAGGGGGGATGGTGAAGGAGACGATCGCATGGGTTCAGCTCGCAATGCAATAGGGTATAGCAAACCAATGAGCAAGCGAGTCTCCAACAGCAAACCGAATAATTAATTTATTACGATTCTTTAGCATCCTGATGGAGGAAACGAGGCTCCCATTTAGCGCTACACGGGTGGTTGGTTGGCTCCAGAGCCACAACCATCTTAGCTCAGGATGATGCCGACAAGGTTTGTTTGAAGTTAAGGCCGTAAAAGGTCTGCTAATCAGTGCGAATCAGTGCGACAACAGGATAACGACCATAACCTATAATTCCCGCATGGGTCGTTTAGCTTCTCCGAACACTTCACAAACCTGGGAGCCTGGCATGTAGCCCTGCTTATGAAAAAGGGCTTAGCTTGGAGGCATCATACAAGGTTCACCAACTGCAACATTGCGTAAAGATGTATATTCTTGGCCAGCAATGACGGCAAATACCATGCTTGCCCGCTATAATAGCCGAGTCCCTTAGTATCCCAAATCCATAACAGCGCACGCGTGGTCGGGAGCAGCTGGAGGACATCCGCATCAGAATCGCCCTCTGCCATAGCCCTGCCCAACCTTGATGCGTATCAACATCAAGACGGCGTCGGCGCATGTCACTTCTTGATAAACACCATCTTAGTGACTCGTCCAAGCTTCCCGCCTTGGCGGTACATGTCGAGAGCAGCATTAGGGACGGACCGCTAGTTAATGCATGAGGTGCCTCAGCGCGCCGCGGCAGCTCGGGCAGGCACCGCCATTTCGCAGTGCGCAGCTGCATCCGCGCGCAAACGCGAACTCCTGCCACCAATGGCGCAGTGTACGGCAACTGCCCCTACGGCAGCTCCGCTTGAGCAACCTCCGGGAAAGCGGAAGCGGGGACGGCCGCCTGGCAGCGGCAGCCTAAAGCGGACACGCCTAGCTGTACATCCGGATGCCTCGCTGCATGGGCAGGGTGCTGTGGCTGCTGCAGCTGCTGCGGCTGTGGCTGCTGAAGCTGCGAGACCAGCACCGGAACCAGCAGGTGCTGCCATCGCCGCCCTTCATCCCCAGACCGCTGCCGCCACCGCTGCCACCGCAATCACGGTAGTGGCAGCCGCTTGCATTACATGTGGCAGTGCGGCCATGCATCGAGGCTTCACTTCATCAGACGGCAAGCGCACCTGCCACAGCTGCTGCCTACACAATTGGCGCGAACTTCGCTTCTACGGACCAGTGGGAACCAGGAGCTTGGAGGAAGCTGGCGGCCGCATCTGCGCAGAATGCGGTGCGAAGGACACCTACAAGTGGCACCGACATAAGCTGCAGCCGCTGCTTCACACGTGCAACGCATGCAATAGGAGGTACCGAAAGTACGGCAGATACGGGATAAGCGTGCCGTACGGAGCCGGGGATGATACAAATGAGCCGATGGCGGACGTGGAGCGGGAGCCGGTGATGGAGCATGAGTTGGGCCGTACAGAGCCGGTAGCGCCTGCTGCGGGTGCTGATGAGGCTGCTGAGGCGGCGGATGAGGCTGTGAAGCTGGTTGCGGAGGTGGTGGAGGCTGCGGCTCGCCTTCAGGAGGCTTCTGAGGCCGCTGATGCGCCGCAGCCGGAAGGCCCTGCACGGGAGGGCGTCGTAGCGGCCGCTGCTGGTGCCACGACTGCAGCCCCAGCAGGTGCAGCAGCCGCGCTGCTGCACCCCGCAGCACAAGGGGCAGGGGTGAGGGTGGTGCCGGCACCATGTCAAAACCTGGCCGACAGGTCGCCGAGCAGTTACAACCCCAGTGCGAATGCGGTTGCTGCCCCTCTGCCCGGAGGTGCCTGTACGGCAGCGGGGTCTAGTGGCAGTCCTTGGCACCAGCAGCAACAGGGGCAGGTGCAGGAGCAGCAGGGAGAGGAACGGCGGCAGCAGCAGCAGGAGCACGTGCCGGATGAGCCCACAGGAGGAGCTAACACCAAGCCCCGGAGTTGTGCGAATTGCGGTAGCCACGAATCTCAGAAGTGGTACTGCCACCGAGCACGACCCGGCGTATTCATCTGCCAGGACTGCTGCCCCCGCAACCGCCGTACGACAGCGTCGTTGCGTCTGATATCATCGTTAGGCGCTGCAGTGAGATTTAATGAGGGGGGTGCTGATGCCGCCGCTGCCCCGGCAGCCGCAGCAGCAGTAGCCGCAGGCGGCGGCGTCTCAGGGATCGCGCGCTCACCGTCGCCAGGTGCCGTCGCTACCGTAGGCCGTGCTGCTGCTGCTGCTGCCGATGCCGATGCCGATGCCGCCGCCACAACTGTTGCCGCTGCTGCTGCTGCTGCTGCTCCCACCTGCGTTATTACTACAGCTACCGCAGCTTCCCCAAGTACGGCTCCCGCAGACGCCTCCGCCGTTACCGCCGTCACCCTGGCGTCTCCCCCCGCCACCGCCGCCAGCACCCCCGTCGACTCCACAACCTGCGTTGCCTGCGGTTCTCACGAGCTCCACCGAGGCTACGTAGCGCCCGGAGGCCGCTTTACCTGCCATGCTTGCTGCCTGAAAAACAAAACGGTCAACGGCTTTTACGGCCCTGCGGGTACGACATCCGTACAGGCGGCGGGGGGGCGCGGCTGTGCGCAATGCGGTACGACGCTGGCGGAGCGGTCACGTGTGCCGCACATGCGCCGACGCGGGTTGTACTCCTGTCGGCCCTGCTTCTTGTCGTACAGTCAGAAGGGGACGTACGACAGCACAGCGCCGGCGGCCGGTGTGGCTGCTGCTGCTGTCGGGGAGGTTGGAGTAGCTGCTACTGCTGCTGCTGCTGTTACTGACGCCGAGGACGTTGCGATAGCTTATAACGCTGCGGTTGGGGACGTTGCAGCCTTCGCGCATCCGTTGCTACAACCAACGTTGGGTTCTTCGCTGTCACTGCCGCCGCCTGCGGTTGGAGGACTTGGAGAGCAGCTGCAGCCGCCGTTGCTACCGTCGCCGCCACTAGCGTCACCGCTGGCATTACCACCGCCACCGCCGCTGCCGCCGCCGCAGCAGCAGAGGAAACAAGAGATATTATCTGACTTGCCCATGGAGCAGCAATCTAGCCCGCAGCTTTCTGGCGCAGTTTGCAACAACGCAGGACCTCCACCTGACGCGGCCGCCGTTGACGTGGCGGAGGCGCCGTCCACGGCAGGGGCAGTAGAGGGATGCAGAGGGGCTACTCAGCAACAGCAGCAGCAGCAGCAGCAGCGGACTGGGGACGAGGTTAGTGTCGTACAAGCCGTACAGCAACAGCGCCCGGATGGTGCTGTCGTACAAGCGCTTGCGGAGGCGGTACGGGACTTTGGGGAGCTGCTCACGACTACTTGTGAAGTAGGTTGGGGTTGGTAAGGAGCAGGAGGAGGAGGAGGAGCAAGGACAGTGGGTTGGGCAGTTGGGGGTTGTAGCTGTCGATTGCTACATACCAACACACGATTTTCCGCATGTCTGCAGCCACGGCAAATGCCTCTGTCACAAGCACGCTATAGCTACTCTAGAGCCGGAACACCACATGCAAGGGCTGTTCTCTCTTTCCCACCCATGCATGTATGCGCTCTTCCCGCCATCATCGCCCTCGTCTCAGGCTCTGCTAGCGCTGGAAGATGCATACTCGGACGTACGACTACTGAATGTGAACACTGTACGACAGGACTTTCTAGGGGCAGCAGCCTTCTCGCCGACGTCACCACCACCACCGCCGCCGTCGTTGTCTAGGCCTCTGCGTGCGACTTATGAGGGGCTCTGTGGAGGGGATGCTGAGATGCGGGTAGGTTGCTGCTGCCGTAGCGGCACCGTGCTGCGTTTGTATTGGTCTGACGGAGAAGGTAGTGTGGTGCGCCTTGGCGTCTACTACCTGGTAGGCAAGGATGCTGTTGGTTCCTTTGGCCCTTGGTGATGCCTTCATGGCCCCTTGGTTCAGCTACTTCCCCCCGCACTGCTCCTGATGGCAGTTTACTGCTCCTTTGTATTTGGTGTTGGCACATAACCCTTTCTTCCTTGCTTCTTCCCTTCTTGTCTCCCCGGTACACCAGTTCCGTTTCCTAGCCGACCTGCTCCTGCGGTGGCTACAGGTACGGCGGGCAGGGGGGCGTACTGCAAGATGACGAGCATCAATACCGTGACACGTGTGACACCCACATGATACCCACCGTACTGGTTTTCCTGCCCCTAATCACTGTATCAAGGTGGCCGCCACGTGTACGCCTAGGCTGATCCACAGCCCACAGTCCAGTCCAGAATAGATATGAATTATAGATGCAGCCATTCACTTGCACCCCTACATTCCTTCCACTCCCAGGCGCGTGTGTGGAGCGCTCCGCTGGCGCTGCTGCTGGGCCCTGTCGCGGCAGGTGCTGGACTGGACCGCCTGGGGCCACCGCCGGGGCTGGACGAGCGGCAGCAGGTGGGAGGGACTTGGGAGTTGGTTGGTGGAGGACTAGTTGACGGCAGCCAAGGTTTGGTTTCCAACAAACAAGCTGCAGCAGTGCATCTTGCTTGCAAGTTATTATTGTACGTGACATATTGCTCATGATTGGCGTTGCTCTGGGTCGAGTATAAGAATAAGGGTGCAAATTACGTGCTAAGCATGTAATGAAACGCGCCATCGCAGGCCGAATGGATCGTCAGTCGGAGGGGCCTGTACGGCACCTTTTCCGCCGTCGCGTCCGTTTCCATAGCGGAGTTGATTGTCACTGGCGGCGGCTGGGCGGGCGCCGACGGCGAGACGGCGGCTGTGACGGACCTTTCCGCCGCGTTGTCCGACCTACGGGTCATTCCTGCCGATGTGACCCAGTTTCACGCGGTTGCCGAGTACCTTGCCTCCTCACTGGCCGGAGACCTCTTGGGCCTCCCGCAACTGCCGGCCCTCAGCTCGGCAGTTGCTGCTCGGACCTTATGCGCCTCCTTAAGCGCAACCGCCAGTAACCGTCAACTGCCGCCGGTTCACCTGGCCTACGCCGCTGCGAGTCTGCATCTCCGTACACTTGCGGCTGCGTCCCTGCGTCTGGCTCTGCGTGTGGGTGCCGCCCCGGGCCGCCTGTCGCTGCGGCTAGCGGTGCCCGGGGAACCCATTGACGGCATCTTGCCGCCGCCGCCGCCGCGAGGAGGAGAGGCACCACAGCGAGGGCAGCAGCCGTCAGCGGTGCTGTCACAGCCATGGCCTCTGCCGCGGGAAGGAGGCCACGGAGGCGGCGCTTCCCAAACCGGTACTGTGGGGCGAGTGGAGGGCGACGGCGACGGCGGCAACGGCAACGGTGAGGAGGGTAACGCACGCCGCGTGGAGGCTTGTAAGTGGCTGGAGCTACCCCCGGAGATTTGTCCGACGACTACCACTGCTGGCCCGACCGCTACCGCCACCGTCGCTGGTGCTGGTGCTGGTGCTGCTGCTGCTGCTGCTGCTGCTGGCAGCAACCCCTGGCCTCGCTTCGTACGCTTTCTACGCGACATGTACAGCGTTAACGGTTTGGAAGGAGCTTCTGGCGATGGCGGCGGCACCGGCAGCTGTTTGAATGGTGGCCATCAGGGGCAGCCCGCCTGTTTTCCCAGCAGCAGTGACTGTACGACACAGGCGTCGACGGGTGCCGTACTTTGGGTTGTTGCGCCGGGTGTCGTACATTATGAAATGAGCGTTAGTCAGGATGCGTCGCCAGCGTTGACGGCGGGTGCAGCACCGGTAACGGTTCCTGTGCTGCCGGTGCAGGTTGTTGGTGTGAAGAATGTTGGTGCATGCATCGGTTAAGTTGGATTGGTATTTGGTTGCATACCTCGATAGCTGTCTTGCGGATCAAGTTGTATTGTTGCACATGGCATGGTGATTCATATGATAGTGTCACGGGGCTTCCTGCTTCCAGGGGCTCAAACCTTCTGTCTCTACTTGCGTACAATATCCAGGGCATTTAACGAATACAAGCTGTGTTGGGTAATGCGCCACCGGATGGGCCTGAGGTGGGCGCCTAAAGTCACGCGTTACGGATACTGGTAAGCAACTTGATGGAGTGTGGGGCGTAGTTGGAAGTGGGCTGTGTTACAGGCATTGCAGTATATTATTTCCAGATTTATAGTTCAGGACGCCAATTGAGAAGAATCCGCAGGGGCCGCAGGATGTAGCATGTCCCAGTATGCAGGGTTGTCGCCAAGATCGATTTTCGGAAACACGCCCTGAGACTGTACTTGCCTCAAGCTCGAATCTATTTCCCCTTTCGCAGCTAAGACATCCAACTTGTAACACAAACTGGGTAACTGCAACTGTACGCCGATGCAACTCCCCATCTCATCTTGCGCACTTCCCAATACGGCAGGCAGGAACCGCACGCCCCTGAGGCTGTCCGCACACACACCACATGCCGCACCACAAACACCGCACCGCAAGCCACATGCTTCACATGCCGCTCCACCCAACCACCAACCCGGACATCAAGGTCACCTCCTCCCGCCTGCACCCTGCCGTACGCGCCTCCGCTCCGCTCCCATGCGGCAATCCACCTCCCTCTGTCCCGGATCCACCACCGCCCTCCGCCTCAACGCATCCCACAATGCCGGGCTGCAACACCCACAGCACGGTGCCGCTACCATGCGTTGCTGGGGTGAAAACCCGCGACTGCATGCGACGTGCAAAGCCACTGCCTGGGCCCGCACTGTGGGTATTGCCTTCGTGGCAGTCATCATCGTCCTGGCTGCAAGCGTCGTCGCAGCTACTGTTGACGTCTGCGCCGCGGCCGCCCACGCTGCCGCCGCGCCGCCTCGGCTGCCCCACGGGCTGCCCAACTTGCAGCCACTCAACGGCTAGCACAGCTGGCGGAGGCGCTTTCATCGATGTATTGGATGACGGCTGCTGCCCTCGCTGTGGTGCCTCTCCTCCTCGCGGCGGCGGCGGCAAGATGCCGTCAATGGGGTCGCCGGGCACCGCCAGCCGCAGTGCCAGGCGGCCCGGGGCGGCACCCACACGCAGAGCCAGACGCAGGGACGCGCTCACGATGCTGCGTAGCTGCGAGGTTACGGCATCGAGTGCTTGCTGCTTGCGGGTCCTGCTGCCGTTCGAGCTGCCGTCGATGCCGGCATTGACACTGATACCGTTGCCGTTGCCGTTACCGTTACCAGGCGGGTTCAGCCTTCGGAGCGCAGCTGGCGGTTGAGGTTGGTGCGGCGGTTGCGGCGGAGGCAAACCCAGCATGCCCCCCGCTAGCTCTGCCGTCAGCTGTGCCGTGGCGGAACGGAACAGCTGCATGGCAGCCGATGTGACCCGTGGGTCATCGCAAGCCGGCCTGCCTGCGGCAGTGGCAGCAGTGGCAAACGGCGCCCTCGCGGCACTCTCCGTCTGCTGCGCGGTTCCTGGAGCCGCGGCCAAGCTTCGACCGGTGCCGAATAGCATTTCTGACGCTGCGATGAAGATGTTGTAGGCCTCCAGATGCTTACCGGCACTTGTTATGGCGTCGACATCACCGTCGGGTTCAGGAAGAACAAGATCCGAGCCCACAAGATCCGAGCCCACAAGATCCGAGCCGTTGTCGCTACCCGGTGGCGTCATGGCGCGCTGTATTGCCTCCAAAGGCTGCTTCCAAGTGCGCTCCTGGGGCCAACAGTAAGCAGCAGAGAGATGTTCTGAAATCTCAATAGGGCCTTAACACCAGGTAACACGTCTCTCGCAATTCTTTTGCGTGCATACCGTGCAGGGCAGTCGTTCTGTTGACAGCGAAGGGTAGTTTTGCTAGGGCATGTGTGTTGCTTGCTAGGGCATGGAGGGCGCAGTAACCTGTAAGGACCGCAAGCATCGAACAGCCACGCCCATTGCTGCTAAGAGAAAAGCCATTAGGTGGGTAACATGGACAGCAACACAGCTGTCAGTAGCTACAAGTACCATGTCGAATTTGGAAAGAAGGCACACAAAGGCACAATCCGTAGCCGCACCTGCAGCCAACGCAACATGGCGTCTGCCAGCAACCGAACCTGCGGGCAAGTGCATGCGGGGCACGGGGCACGCGGAAACATGCCAGGGCTTGGACGACTCGTCTCATCATACATGGCGTCCATGTAACATGTTTACACCAGCACAGGGCTGCACGAGGAAACCCTAATGATACACCCCTGCTACAGGTACCCTCTAACCTTAAGCGAGCAATCGCCTCCGCAAATCCTCTCATACGCTGCTCGTACACTGGAAGAAGCACGCGGCTCATGACCGCTCGTGCTGCCAGCAGCGGCGCCATCGCCACCGCCAGCGCTGCCATCGAAAGCGCTTCCGGGGCTTCCAACGAAGTCCGCACCGCCTGCCGTGGCACTGGTCGGTACCGCTGGCTGCAGCTGCAGCTGCTGCAGCTGCGACGGCGGTGCTGCTGCTGGAGTCACTGGTGGCGGCGGCGGCGGTGGTGACGGCGCCAGCGAAGGAGAAAGCGCGGGTTCGTCCAGGCAGTCCAGCAGCCGTACACCGTACGCGTCCTCCAGATCTACCAGGGCCTTATGTACGGCATACGGCAATTGCGGGGTGGTTTCGGCAGGAGGCGAAGAGGAACAAGAATCGCATCAGGTTATTTGGAGGGAGCACGCCTAATGTTTCAGTTCCCACGTCCATGGATAGCGAGAAACTGAGGCACTCCTCCCCGTCATGTCTTACGCTTGCGCCTCACCTCAGCGACTCGAGCCACCTGGGTGCCCAGATCTCCCACAGCCACTCCAAGCGGCCACACAGTGACCCGTGGGTCACCCGGCCTCAACAGCGACACCTCGCCCTGCCGCTCTGCTGAATTCCACACTATCAAAGGTGAGGCAACAGCATCCGCAGCCGCATCATCCGTATCGCGGCCAGCCGCAGCGGGGAGCAAGCCTGCTGCAGGAAAACTAAAGCCACCCGTTACCTTCATCGTTCCTTCCTCCGCTGCAATCGTCAGGCCAGGCAGCCGGCAGGGCGAACGACCAGCCAAACAACCTGTGCCAATCCTCCATGATAAGCGTAGTGTCTTGCAGGCATCTACGCGCTTCAGGCTCAAGGACGGTGGGTGCTGCTGCTGCTGCCTACGCTGTGCTACTGTGGCTGCCATCACAGGTTGTGGGCGTGATGATGGGGACAGCGGTGGTGACAGCGGTTGCGGAGTTACACCGCATGAGCGTGGTGGTGCCGGCGTTGCTGCGCCTGCGCGTACTGCTGAGGGGCCGCGGAGGTCTGCGGCTCCGCTGCTGCGGGGCTGGGCCGTGCTGCAGGCGCGGACGAATGCCGCCGATCCCAGGTTGGGGGTGGTGCAACCCGGGTGCCGCCGAGCCCTGCCGAATGGCGCGGTGGAGGGTGTCAGCAGGGTGGTGAAGGGTGCAGTGGAACGCTGGGGGACGGCAGGTGCGGTAGGGTGCCTGGCATGAGCAACGCCCCGGGCGGAGGCGGCTGCTGCTGCTGCTGCTGCTGGCGCTGCTGCAGGAGGAGAAGGAGGAGGAGATTGACAAGGAAGCGGAGGTGCGGCAGCCGCTACCCGCTGGCGTTTAGCAGGAGGTCCGCGAAGCACGGGCTGGGCATGGCCCTTAGTCATGCACGCGGGGGCTTTGTTGGTGACACCCGATGCAGCAGCCACCTCCACCGCCGCGGGAATTGGAGCAGGGCCGCCGGCGTAGCCGGTGGAGGCGGCGGCGAATGTGGGTGCCCTCTTGCGGGTGGCCACCGGTGCCTTCGTAGCAGGGCGCTCGTAGGTTTGGTGGCTCGCGAAGTAAGCGTAACAACTGCAGGCATCGGATCACGTAAAGCTAAGGTCCTTTTGCAAGTGTACCGGAGCAGTAGCAGCCATAGCTGAAAATGACATGCATGCAAGGTGGCGTGCAGTACGCCGGAAACAACAGTGCGCGGAAAAGCATGCATGAGTAGCATTTGTTTGCAGAGCAGAACATCCTGGCGAGTAGGCCTATCTGGGTTCCAGACAGTGCACACTTGCGCGGCACATCAAGAAATCTGATTAGGATCGCAAGGTAGGGAACGGAAGGGTCCGTTTGCTGTTTTCCCTCTCACTTTCGACACGTTCGCAGTTGAGGGTTCAGTTTGTGTTGCCGCCAGCCGTAGCTCGAGCTGCAAGAACCACACACAGAGCACTGCATAGCCGTCGAGCCGCCGCCACTGCCGCAGCCGGCGGCAACGGCGGCTGAAGCTTGCTTCGGTGTTGCTCCTGGCGGCAACCCGAGCCGTGGTACGGCGCCACCATCGGGCGCCGGCGCCATCGCCGCTGGCGGCGGCTGCAGTATAAGCGACTTGGGAGGTCCCGGCGTCGCCGCTGGCGTCACCGCTGCAGATGTCGGCGGCCGTCGAGCCGGCGCCGCTAACGGAACCCTGGCAGCCCTTGTCGCGTTTCGCTTGCGTTGTGCTGAAGGCCGGCCCGGCGTCCGCTGCAACAGCTGCTGCCGCGCTGGCGACGAGCTTTCCACCGCCGCCGCCACCAACGCCTCTGGCAGCGTCGCTGCCACCGCCGCCGGCATTTGCAGCCTTGCTGTCGGAGGCGGAGGAGGAGCCGTTGGGGCTGCTGTCACATCTTGCGCAGTCCTCCACAACTCCGGTGCCGCCAGCTGAACCCTCCCTGCAGCTACCGGTGCCTTGTGCTGTCGTGGCTGCTTCGCCGCTGCTCCCAGCCCTGCTGCTTCCGGTGCCGCCAGTGCAAGCCGTCTCCTCCTCTGTGCCGCTTTCAGCTCCATTGCAGCCTCTACCGGCGCCGCCTGGTGAAGGGCAGCAGCAGCTTCTGCCTTGGGCTCAGCTGCCGCCGGCTGCTGCTGCCCCTGCCGCAGCTGCTGCTGCTGTTGCCACTTCACCGCTACCTCGATCTTGTCCTGCAGGAACTCCTTTCGGCCTTCGTACGTGCCCCTCGCGAAGTACCACATGTAGCAACCCTGGGGGAAGCGTTGTGAGGGACAAAGCGTGAGACGGACATCGGCTCGTTTAGACCTTACAGTGTTTTGCCTTATGATCCGGTAGGCCTTCACCATGTAACACCACGTCACGTACAGGGGCTCATAGGGTGGTTTGCCCTGCACCACGACGCAGGCAGAAAGGCCAGCAACACCGCAGCCGTGGTTAGCTACACCAAGGAGGACACCGTAGATCCAAACCACCGAGTGTCTGTGTCCGTCCACCACCACCCGGCCTTCCCCTTTCCCTTTCCTTCCCTGGCTTGCCTTGCACGTCTTAAGCGTCCTGTCGTTGTGGTGCCACCTCCATTCCGAGGTGTCAATGGCTCCACACTCCGCGCATCGCAGCGTCGGACCATCTGCTGCCCTAGCCGCCCCCGGCACCGCCGCCGTCGTCGCTGCCGCTGCGGCTGGTGCTGCTGCTGACGGCTCTTCCACCGCGAACACCAGGGGAATCTCACGTCGCAGCCGCCGGCGCTGAAGCGGGCACCGCTGCTGGCGCTGCGGCGGCGGCAACCGCACTGGTGTCGGAACCGGTGGCGGCGGCAACGGAGGCTGCGACTGCGGCGGCAGCGGATGCAGCGGCCGAGGGTGTGGCGGCGGCGGTGGCGTTGGTGACAGCCGCTGCGGCGCCTGGTGCCGCCTCCTCGGCCGCTCCACTGCTGCTCCCGGCCGAATGGATGCCGCCGCCACCGCCGACGGCTGCTGGTGGTGGAGCCGCTGGTGCGGCGGCGGCGGCGGCGGCTGGTGCTGGTGCGCGCTGCCCGCGATGTTCCCATGTTGTGGAACGCCACCGGTGGCCATGCATGGAAGCAGCGGTAAGGGCCCGGCGCGCAGGCTGCTGCTACTAACTTCCACGGCATTGAGGTCCTCGGCGCCCACTTCACCGGTACCTCCGCCGTCCTGGCATTGCACCTCCCGTACGGACGCCTGAGAGCCGCCGCCTGCCTCCGTTACCGTTACCGTAACCGTTACCGTTACCGTCTCTGTTTCCGTCTCCGTCTTTGCCTCCGCGTCCTCCCCATGCCGCGCCCCCTCCTCCTCAGCTTCCATCCCCATCTGCTCCCCACCGCATCCGCCGCCCCCATCACCCGCATCCGCTCCCCCTAACCCCCACTCCGTATCCTCGCCCGCAACCCCACCACCAACACGCATGGCGTCCCCGGCGCTACCCCACCACGCGGCAGACGTCACCTCCTTCTCCAATTCCTCATCGGCGCCACCCTCTCCATCTCCCTCCTCCTCCTCACCATCCTCCTCCCCACCATCCTCCTCCAACTCCCCACCGGTTGAGTGCGCCTCCTCACCACCCCTGAGCCCAGCCAGCCCGTGCACTGCCCCAACTTCATACCCGCCCGCCAGCCGCGCCGCATCCTCCTCTTGTTCCAAGCCTTCCTCTTCCCCATCCGTGCCATCCTCTTCCTCCTCCTCTTCCCCTTCTTCCTCCTCCTTGTCGCCCTCGTCCTCGCCAACCCCTTCCTCCCAATCGTTCTCCACGCCCTCCACACCGCCTCCTTCTTCTGCCTCCTCCTCCTCTTCCTCCTCCTCCCCTTCCTCCCTTTCTTCCTCGCCTCCTTCCTCGCCCTCCTCCTCCTCATCCGCCAGTCCGCTCCCAAATTCCGTGCCCACGTCCGCGCTTCCGTCCCCGCGCGCCCCCCCATGCACGTCGCCATACCCTGCCTCGCCCGCCGCCTCCCAGACCCCTCCAGCACCGGAAGCCTCTTCCTCCAAGTCCTCCTCCTCCTCTTCACCCTCCCTATCCTCCATTTCCTTCATTTCCTCCATTTCCTCTTCCCACCCATCATCGCTTTCATAACCATGGGCCGGATCCTGCACTCCCACTCCCTCCCCTTCCTCCTCACCACCTTCCGCATCCTCGGGAGCTCCTCCTCTTCTCGCCGCACCTCCCGCTACAGCCCCGGCTGGGGCCACCAGCTCCTCACACACCAGCCGTGTCCCTTGGGGCGTCCTCGCCTCTTCATCCGCCTCCTCCAAACCACCCTCCCCGTCCACCTCCGCCTTCCCCGCACCCCCATCAACACCAACCCAGCCCATGCCACCACCCTCCCTCCATTCCTCCTCTCCCATCGGAGTCAGCAAGCGCTCCAGATCCTCAGCAACCGCCGCCACAGCTGTAGCGGACCCGCGGCGCCCCGCCTGCTCCCCTGTGGCGACCATGACAGCCTCAGCTGCATCTTCCAACGCTGACACACGACCGCCGCCATGGAAGCCGCTAACGTAGACGTGGCCTCCGGCAAGCGGTGACAGCAATAGGTGGGCATGTGAGGAGGAGAGGTCATGAATAAGCTGCTGCTGCGGCTGCTGCTGCTGCTGCTGCTGGAGCTGCTGCTGGTGAAAGGAAGTCGGGGCTAACCGCCACGTCGTGAGGTGCGGTTGTTGCTGCAGCGGCGACTGCGTCCAGCGCTGTTCCCACGGCTGGGGTTCTGGCGCCGGATTGTGGGCTGGGAAGCCGTAAAAAGCAGCCTGTTGTTGGGTTTGCATGAAGGATTGTGAGTAAGGAATGATGGCTGCTGTTGTTGTGTTGATAAGGGGACCGCTGTAGTTGCGCTGTTCCGTTGTCGCGGCTGCTGCTGCTGCTCGGTTAATGATGGCCGGGCTCTGCATACCGGTAGCTGTGCCTCGCGGGCTTTACATTGGACAGCCGCCGCGCGCACAAAGACGTCAATCCTGAAGCGTCTGCTATCGTCAAGGGAGTGAAAAACGCAAACCTGCGCGACCTAGGTTAGTTGCGCAGCCGCAAGGCTACCGACACCGGTTGCGCCTAGAGAGAAGCGCAAAGCAAGAGGTACAAGTGGTATAAGAGCAAGTCGTCAATATGTCTTAACGTCTTGTAATAACGAGAAAAAGGTCGAGACGCCTGGATCGACGTTGCATAGTTATGCCTAGGCCGCGCAGTTGAGTCCCCTGGGTCGGGAAACAGCGTTAGCTAATGATTGAGTTCGTGAGATGCATGCCATAGTTCCTTAGTAAACACGTTTTGTTTTGTTTGAGGAACTTCGATTGTAGATTGTAAACTGATTTCGCCGTGTTCAACGACCAACAGCAGCGTTACGGCAGCAAGGCAGGCAAGCACCGTCACCAATGCTTTCACTTGCCGTTAATCACGACCTTTAGAATAGATGCAAAGGTGGCATCCTTGGTAACCAGCGAAGGTGCCCAGAACAGCGGGATAGCAGCCGCGGCGCCTGACAGCTCCCTTTCGCTACAAATTAATACGGAGCAACCCTATAACCACTGAATCACGCCCTTTTGTCACTCCCTTTCTGTTGCGTACATGCCTCCGCCACAAGCAACAACCTTCACAGGAAGCAAAGGCACTTCAACCAAGACCCGACGGGGCCACTGCTGCCGCCCCACACATGCCTGCGAAGCCCCGCCACCACCACCCCCAGCAAGTACGCCTCCTTCAACAGCAGCAGCATCACCTCCGCCTCCGCCATTCCTTCCGCTCCCCGTCCCAGTCTCTCCACCTCTGCCGTACAACTCTCCGAACCGTTCCTCTCGGCTGTACACTCCAGGGATCACCACCCAAAGTACGACACCACTGCCGTGCTGTCCGCTACCTCTACCGCTACCTCCGCTGCCACCGCTACCCGTGCCGCCGACGTCGCCGCCTGCAGTACGACCACTGCCGCCGCCCCCAGCGCCGCCGATGCTGGCGGCAGCAGCGCCGCCAGCGGTTCCATCGCGGCTGCCGTCACCAGTGCTGCTTCCCCCACTGCCTTTGCCCGGCACCTCACAACCAGGGGGCCGAGGAGGCGGATCACGAGGACTTAGATGCAGCCTGCTAACAGCGGAACCCGCCGCCGCCGCCGCCGCCGCCGCTGCTGCTGCTGCCTGCGTCACCGTTGCTGCCGCCGCAGCACCGGCGGCTGACCCAGCGATTCGAGGACTCGCGGCTATATCCCGGCCAACCTCGCTTCTGGGCACGTTGCTGCCCGCAACAACAGGCCCCTTGCATTGTCTCGGCAGGGGTTGTTGGGTCGTTATCAGCCACGTACCAACACCCACCACGGGCTGCTGCATGGTGTCCTGCGGCTGCGGTTGGCTAGCCGCTGCTGCGTTCTCGATGCGCTGACGTGGCCCCCATCGCTGATGACGGGAAGCCTCGTACCGTTCCCACACCTGCGGTTGACCAGCATTACCACCGCCCTCATCGCCATGCCCGCCAGAGTTAAGCGTGTCCCATGCAAGGCGGCGCTTCAACGGCGGCAGCGCCTTCTGGCTGCCGCGGATGTCACTGATAACCTCATTGGCTCTGCCGGCGTTGTGGTATGATGGTCTCAGCCTGGTAACAACAAGCCACTCGATTGCAGCCACCCCTGCGCAGGACGGCTCGACGGCACTTGACGTGCCGCTCGCAGCCGGACACAGCGCTGATGGCGGCGGCGCCAGTCCACCCGCCTTGGCAAGACGGAAGACACTACCGGCCGGCGGCGAAGCTGCAGCCAACGGATTGGCCGCTGCCGCCGCAGGTGCCGCCCATGCTGCCGATGCTGGGGCAAGCACCGTAGAGGGGTACTTTGGCAACCCCGGAGGCGTTATCGCCTTAAGTTCACGCGTGGGGTCTGTAGGGAGCTGCGATGGTGGCAGCGGCCGCTGGCATGTTGGCAGCTGCTGCGACAGGAGTGAGCCCGGGGATGCCAGCCGCAACACTAGACGGCCGTTGCCGGCGGACCCCACCAGGAAAGCAAGCCGCAGCGCCGCAGCAGACGTGTCGTACAGCATCCTCGCGGCGTCAGATCTTGCCGCGCCGGCAGCGGGGACCGACCGGTTGCCTTCATTACAGCCGGCATTGCCTGGACTGGCAACATGAGCTCGTGGCTGTGGCCCTGGGGTGAGTGCCACGCCCCTGGAGGCCGGCACTGGTTCCCGCAGCCCGCAGCTTCCGCTCCTATCCAACGCAGCTGAGAATGCCGCGGCGTTGGGTACCGCTCTTGCTACAGAGCCACTAAAGCACTGGCTCGCAAAATTGTTGGGGCGTGGTAAAGGCGGCGACAGCGGCTGCTGCTGCGGCCGAGGCATCGATGGAGGCAGCGGCGATGGAGGCGGAATCGGCGGAGGCGATTGGCCCAGCAAGTACGCGGCCAGACCTTCAGCCAAATACGCCGATATATCTTGGAAGCGCGAGATAGCAGCTGGAGTGACCCGTGGGTCGGTGGGTCGGGATTCTGCCCCCTTGCATGTAGCGGCCTCAGCGATGGCAAGGAACTTGCCGTAAACCTTGCGCCGGCTGCTGTCCCAGTCCGACTGCTCACGACACGGCATCGGAATTAACACCAATCAGGAGTTGTGGGTTGACCGAGGGGTTCATAACAACCCAAGACCTTGCTGACTTCAACTGAACACAGGGACAACCATGGTATGCGACCCGGCGACCCTAACATGCACCCCCCTGGTATAAATGGAAGCCGCATTCATGGCCGTACACGTTGTGCCGTAAACCTCACCTGTTGGCGCTCATTCAGGCCCTCCAGCGGTCCAACACGGTCCAGACCAAGTTCTCGCGCTGCTCGCCCCAACAGAAGCTCCAAGGGGCCCCGCCAAGCATGTTCCTGAGAATAAGGGTCAACAGCAGAGATAGGAAATGTACGTGGTCGGGTCGGGCCCCTTTGTGACACAAGCTGAATCCATAAGGCGTTGCGAATGGGGAAGCTCTATCTAGCAACTAGGGCGACAGCATCAGGCAATAATACCGGTAAGCGCCGGCTTCAGAGGCCGACGCTGTTCCAAGCATGGGAACTAGTGGAATGATCTTACCTCTATCCAGCGAATTGCTACATCTCCTAGCAACCGTGCCTGTGAGAAATATTTCGTGAAGAACATTTAGCCAGCCAGCACGACGGTCAAATAATATAAATGAGGTACGACCCTTAGCGCAATGGATGTAAAGCCCAATGGCCCTCACCCCCCTAAGCAACCTCGCTCCGCTATGCCCGTATGCCGGCACCAAGGATGTAAATTACCACTTTCATGTCCGTCCGTACGTACCCGCATCTTTGGATCACTGCCACACAGCTGCTCGTACGTACGTCGCAGGGGGCAGCTAACATGCGGCAGCGACGCTGGCCCTGAAGGCCTCGAAACCAGCGGCGACATGAGCGGCTGCTGCTGTGAGGTGGTCCGCGCCAGCACCTCTAGGCGTTGTAAAGGCGCTGGCTGCGATGACGACCGAGGCGGCTGCGGGGGGTCCAGCAGGCGGACGCCGTACCTGTCTTCCAGCTCCATCAGGGCCTTGTGGCGAGGTCCAGGCAACGTTTTCATGTCAGGCAATACATCATGATGGACAAGGGTGCATGGAACGAGGAAGAAAGGACCGGGCTTGTTGGCCAGTAGCCAGCAGTCAGCGCGCAGCTCGTTGCGCACCCTAGTGAGGACGAGCGGAAGCAATGCCCACGGTATTACACTTGTAAGTAGACGTGCTTCAACATGAAACCCATCTCACAGACATTGCATGCATCCCACCTAACGCCACATACATGCGGTGGTGACACGCACCTACCATGCATGCCGCATGAAGCCTGGAACCGAAGTCTTCCGTCTGCTGCGACAGCAGTGTCACCAGTGAGGTCGAAACCCCACAAGGGGCTGCGCTGGTAGGGGCACTGACATGAGCACTGCTGCTGGGGCCTCCTGGGAGGGTCTGCTGCTGCCGGCTTGGAGGGTTAACCTGCTGCAGTAACTGCTGTTGCAGACGTCCCGGGTCCACCTCATCAGCTGCCAGCGCAGCACCTTGGGCAGCCTGCTGCTTGGAACCTGGCAGCGGCTGCTGTGGGTGCCGTGGATGCAGGCTCAAGTTCGCCATCGCAATGCGCGAATCTGGGGCTTTAGCGCCCATGCGGCCCTCACTTTCACCGGCCCTGGCTGCTTGGTTGTCTTGCTCCTCGCGCACAACACCTGTTTCCCCGTCACGTTGTCCGTCATTCCCCACTCCCTGCGTTTGCGGATCCACTTCCATATCCTCCTCTGTTCCCCGACTAGCCAGCTCCGTCATCCTCTGAGAACCTATCACGCTCTCCCTTATCGCCTCCATACTGTTGGCACCCTTCCGCATGCCATGCGGGGCAGCCACTGCCGCTGTCATGGGCTGCTGCTGCTGATCCGGAACCGACGTTGGTGGCCTTTTACATGAGTCCTGTTCTTGCTGCTCTCCACCCTCCCAGGCCTTGCTTTCTTGCTGCTGCTTCTCGGGCAACGGTGCAGCTCGTAACCCCCCTGCTGGAGTGTATGCCTCAGCGCTGCATGCACCATGTGCGGTTGCTGGGGCGGGCACGGGACTTTTGCGGGGACTTTTTTCACGTGCACCATCATAACAGCCGTGCGATCTGTAGCGATCGTAACAGCGGCGGCAGGTGACTTGCCCGGGCACCGTCCTATGCGAGCGCCAGCCGTGAGAGGTCTGCTGAGATCCGCACTCATAACACCGCTGCTGTCTTGCTGCTCCTGCTGCTGCTTCGGATGGTGCGCTGCCCCTTAGGGCTCCCTCAGCGTCGTCAGTGCCAACTTTCCGTTCCAGGTTTACCCCTTGCTGTGCTGGAGCTTCGCTGGTCGCAGCGCCATCTGCCGCAGCTGCGGCAGCAGCGTCCTGCTGTGGAGCAGTCCCCTTGGGTGGCTCGCTTAGTGGGTGCTGACGGCTGGCCTCCGGGTTGTGAGAAGGTCCTGCGTCGCTGTCCTCTTTCCTTTCCAACGGTCTGTCAGGTACTTTCCGTCCTCCCGGCTGCCCGCTGGTTTCGTGGTTTCTGTCAAGGGAACCAGTCGCTAATGCAGAGGCATCTAGCCCTGAAGGCGTTGCCAAGCTACTCGCCGGCTGCTGGCCCGCGGTCCTTGTGGGTGAGCCCGCACGGGGAGGTCGGACGGGAGCGTCAGCAGCCAGGTCCCCCTTTGGTAGCGCTGCTCCTGCTGCGGAGGTCCCAGGTGTGATGCCGCCGGCGGGTTTAGCTGCGGCTGCGTCCTGCTGCACGTTGGGTCTGGGGGAGCCGTCCCTGTTGCGAGCATAGGTGCCTGCCCTCTTGTAGCGCAGATGGCAGGCATTGCAGACCATGAGCCCAGGGCGCTGCAACCAGCCAAAAGGGTGGGGCAGGTCATAATTTCATCATCTGATGTGCGTACAATAGCTGTTAAGAAGGAAGCACGTGGAGGCAGCTGCGTGCTATGAACCACTGCTGCGCGTAACCATCACTGCCCACGACCTTCAATCAGACCGCACTCGATACTACTTGCATACCTGCTTGTGGCCCCGCCAAGCGTAGGTACTGGTGGTGCCGCATTCCGCACATGAGCGCCCCACGCCACCCTCAGCTTCCTGTCGGGACTGCGTGCCAAGAGGCCCGTAGAAACCATGCAAGTGTTTGTTGCTGAAGCAGCACGAATGACAGGTGTAGCGCCCATCAGGTGCTATGAAGCCCCAGTTACGTTTGGTAGAGCCGCAGGAGATGCAGCTGCCGGTGGCGACGGCGGCTGGCTGCTGTTGCGCCTGCTGCTGTTGCGCCTGCTGCTGGTCATCCCCTTCGAGGCACTCCTCCTGCTCCTGCTGCTGTTGCGTTGCTGGTACATGCCGCAAAGCGGATGACGGTGGGGAGCGGCCGTGCGGTCTCAGCTCCAGCTGCTGCGGTTTCGGAGATGGATTCTGCAGGGGTTCTGCGCTTCCTGAAGCATGTTGCGGCTGCTGAGAAGGAGGCGGATCAGGCAAACCGACGCCATAAGGCTCTTGCTGAGGCTTTGAATGCCCAGCGCAACCCAAAAGCGCACCGTCGTCTGAGTTAGAACCAGGATCCCCGGCGGTGCTGGTCATGCCGCTGGCACTGCCTAGTTGGAGGTCGGGACCGTCGGGTGAGCCGAGGTCTCTGCTGTCAACTGCTGGCGCGTCTGCAAGGACTGCAACCGCAGCCTGTGGCGCATGGCCGTGACGCCTTGTTAAGCAAGCCGCTATTGCCACTGCTGCTCGAGCAGCCGCACCTCGTTGGGGCCTCGCTTGCATGTGCCTCGATGTTCACGCGCCTCAAGGCTTGCGCCCGCTCGCGAGGTCCCAGCAGAAGTCAAACCGCCATTCTCATATAATACATAGGCATCTTAAGTAAGTTGCCAATGGGAACTCTCTCTCCCTCTCCTGATGTTAGTGGATCGAACGTTGTCGTGCCGTTCGAGGTCGTATGTTGCGTTCGTTATGTGTCACCGCGTCACCTAACAAGGCAATCAAGCAAAAAGGCAGGTAAAGAAAACGGGTCGGTTGACGAACGAAAAGCGAAATTAATTAGCAAGCGCTGAGCAACATGTCCTCGGTCGTCGGTTCATGTGCTTCAAGGCCTAGAGAAATCGGTCACCCACAATAAGGATAAGATACAATCATACTAAAATTTACAAATGGAATTTAAGTTGATAGGCTGGCCGTTCATCGGACGACGTGACAGCTAGGGCAGAACACGTACTACACTTAGTTACTACGTTCTCACCAATTTAGGACACCTGCACTCCGAACCGAACAGGTGAAGCTACAAAGTCTGGACGTCTTCTAACTGTTAACTTATTGCGCTTCGTAGGACTGTCAGTAAAGCGGGTGGTTGACCTCCAACGAACAACACGACACACTGTATAATCTGCCGTATAATCTTGCACGACAAAACATAGGACATGCACACGGTACAAAAAGGACATAACGCCTCGGCTCGGACAATTTTGAGTGAACGCTAAGACTACGCCCCTAATCGGGGCGAGCCAACCGGTGTCCTGATACATGCAACGTCCCACCCTGTTGCCAGGGGAACATGGTGTGCTTCCAACCAAACGCGTGCTGGATTCATGGTAGCGGTGAATTATCATACACGCATGCTAGGTGAAGAACGAGGGGTATTGGCCGTCTTTTTCGTCCAGCACTATGCACACCTATACCAATGTAACGCCACCTCCATGCTCTGAATAGACCAGTACGGGATCACGTGCTTCACCTTTATCTGGTGTGTAGCCAGCCAGGAGGGAACTTCGAAATGCGTGGCATACAAAAATGCGCCCAGGTCAGACACAATGTGCCCACAATCCATGATAACGACGATTTGGCAAACAAAAACACCACCTGCTGGTACTTGTGGGAGTCGCCGTAAAGGCAACTCTCGTACGTCAAAATGCAACTCTCGTAGGTCCTTGGTAACAGTTCATCAGCAAAACCACTGAGAGCGGTTGCAGTGAAGCCGCCGTTTATTAGTTGAATAAACCTAGGGCAAAGAAACAGCCGCAATGGGGAACATCAAAGTGCCCAGAAGCCGATTCCGCCTTATGTGAACAGCAATTGACATGCATGATGCGGGTGTGCTCGTCAGAAACCTTCTTGTGATGAAAACGTTAAGCGATGTGCGTTAATAACCGCCAAACAACCCTCTGCCTGCCGAGGGAAAACTGTTTTCCAACAATACCAGCATGCGCTATGCAACCAAATTAAGTAACACCTTCGAGTGCCTGTAAATCCGTCCTGGCTTCTAACGCAGGCGTGTGCAGGATTGTGTGCGTCAGTTACATGATCTAAGTTCCCTTAGCATGTGTTTACTCCTCTCAAGGACTTGAGCACATGACACCCGCCATAGGACTACATGCATTTTCCCCTACACTATCGGCTTGCTGGCGCTCAGCATCTCTTCCAAATGCGTGACGATGTCCTGGAAACTGGGGCGGGCCCGGGGATCGCGTGCAAGACATGACACCACAAGCTCCGCATACATTTGATGAGACGACGAGAGCATATCCTGCGGGTGGAGCCATGCAACGGACGAAGGAATAAGGTATCTAGGGAAGCCTTCAATTACAAAGGAAAGCAACCCCCACACGTTGCTAGTTCGGGTCACACGCTAGCTCTACACGCTCCTGTTGAACGTTAACCCCAACACACCGTGATGAGGGCCGGATAGTAAGGTCCGGGCTGTCCAGGGCCACGGCTGCCTGCTGCAGCGCCCTCTCCCGACACCTCTGCTATGTCTGCCAGTGTGCAGCCGTAGTACAGCTCCAGCAGCAGCAGCCCAAACGACCAGGCGTCCGAGCGAGGAGATAGCTCGCCGCCAGATGCAACCTGCAGACATCGGCAACATACTGTTTCATACAGATTAAAGGGTCAAAGACATGCATGCGGCCCACGGGTCATCAATACCCAACATAGTAACAGTACATATCCTGCTCAGCCACTCACCTCCGGTGCCAGATACGCGGGAGTTCCCTGGAAGCGCTGCGACGCATGCGTGGCTCCCTCGGGCAGCGGCAGGCTCAGGCCGAAGTCCGCAACCTTGGCCGTCAACTGCAGCTGTGCAGCTGAGCCCATGTCCAACGGCTCAGCGGCTGTGAAGCCCCCCACACCCGTCACTGCGGCCGCTGCCACAGCTTGACACAGCTGCTTAGATTGCGGCACCAACCATGGCCGAACCATTGGGTCGTGACCATCAGCTCGTGGTCCATTCAATAGCAGTACGTTATCTAGGGCACGGGCGGGCGTAAAAATGTAAGGAACGGTGTAACGGTACTGACCTGTATGGGTGAGCCTTGCACGGCTACAGGTTGCTTACTTAGTAGTGCATTGTCACCATGGCCCGGAGGGTGTCTGCCTACATCAGCGAGTAACAACCCTGCTCACCTGGCTTCAGGTCCCCGTGCACGATGCGGCAGCTGTGCATGTGCCGCATGCCCAGGGCCACGTCGAGGGCCAGACGCAGTGCAAACACCTGGAACAGCCCTCCAGCACGAATGCTGCCAGCCATGCCTTTGCCTGGAGAGAGGAGGTAAAATCGATAATTGGAACTTATAAAAGGTTGAGCGGCGTTCTTGACCGCAACTTTGATGTCGTTCGCGAAAGCGTTTGTAAAGTTCCATCCCGGTGTTTTCTAGCATGACATCTACCAGCGTGGACGCATATACCTACCTAGTGCTTGGCGCAGGTTGCCGGCGTTGCAGAACTCCTGCACGACGTGGAGTCTGTAGACATCAGCTGCTCCTCCCTCAAGGTGGTCCTCAAGCACCAACGGCTTCACGTCATACGTGTAGGTCGCTGCAAGTGAAAATAACACGGTAGTGGCAATGCATAAAGGGACAACACAGCGGCCTAAAAACTCGAGGCTGGGGCAGATTACTTGAGGTTTTCTACATAGACATCATGGACACCTGATTAAATGCAAGAGCCAGGTTTAGCAGCCGCCTTGCCATCATCCTTCACCGCTCCCTCACCAACAATGTTGGGGTGTGCCAGAGACATGGAGATGGCTGCTTCCAGTGCTGCACGACGCCTGCCCTGGCCATTGATGGCATCTGATACTACCATTGCCTTGATTGCTACCGTCAGCCCCCTCCATGATCCGCTGTATACCACGCCACAGCCCCCCCGGTTCAGCAGGGAGTGCACCTGGAGGTCCGGATCCCCCAACTCGGCCTGGGGCAAGCAGGGGCACGTCCGAACGTGTGGGACAGTACCGGTAGCAGTGAAGGTATGGCGGTAACAAGGGCCCGCCACTGTTGAGCAAGGAACCAGAGCTTGCCCGGAGGACACTCAACTTTGCCCTCATGCCGCTTTACACCATTGTGAGGGTTTGCAATGGTAACAGATGCAGGCAGATGCATGCTGTGCGTACTCGTGTCTACGATTTATCGAGCGCATCAGCTGCCCACCTTAACGGCAGCTATTGCATCTTGCATTGTCCGTGGGGTATCCGCCAGCGGCACGTGGTCATGGTCGCCTGCTTTTGCACTGTTCCGTAGTGGATAGCTTTGCGCCAGGCTGGTGAGGCATCCATGAGTATCCTGCTCGAGGCTTTGCTGCTGCGCCTGCTGTTCCTCCTCAGCCATGCGGTCAGGGCTGGCCTGCAGGTCTCTGTAGTAACCCTGCACAGCACACCATGTAAGATGGTAAGGGCCACAAGCTGACATGCCCATATCAGCCAAGCATTTGCAGCGGGCTTACCACCAATGTTTGAAAGTAAGCACCAGCACTCATGCGGCCCGGAGGTGCAACTTTGCCATCACCACAGCCTTCATGTGGCTGGGGCTGCTCGGCTCCTCCTGGTATTCCCAGCGCCGCTTTCAAGACGCGACTCACCACCAGGCGGTTTACCTGGAAGTAGTAGAGATGCAACACACCGTATTAGCATTAGCAGCACGGAGAAGACATCCTGCATTAGCACATGCATATACACTACCGGTATGCAACCCATTTGCACGGCTAGGGTCGCCATCAGCAAGTTTACCCCGAACTGGCCAGGGAAACGTTGGTATACAAAAATACGACATCAAGTTCGCTCTCGCACCTCATGGGGGCTCAGGGTGCATTTTTCAGCATGAGCACTAGCCAGGATGGCAACTCCTCCTGGTGACGATGTCGTGTACTTGGAAAGGCCATTGCAAGCAGTCTCTGTTATGCTACTGGCCTCAAATGGCTCTGCATGAGTGCCCGAGGCTGCCATCGATGTCGCTAACGTCGCCTCACTGACCTCCCTGCCGTGACCTTGCTTACCACCTTTACAGCCGCCACCAGCGTTGGACAAGCTGGTTTCAACTTCCTCACTGTTGCTGTCCCAGCCTACATGAAGACCCTTAGCACGGGGAAGATTGACATTGTACGGCTTGGCGACGAGCTTATCCTTGCTAATAATGCTCACTTTGACACTGGGATGCCATGCACTGGCCTTATCAGGACCTGCTCCAGCCACTGTGACAGCTGTAGCACGTGGGCGCCGCTTACTCCTCTCAGCCCGAAGGAAGATTGCAAGCAGCAGCAGCAGCATGACCGCCAAAAAACCTGACAGGGAACTCGCAACAGGTGCCACCCAAGCAGGGCGACCACCACTGGGAGACCTGGACGCTGCGGGGCTGGCTGTAAGGGGTGTTGCTGGCGCCGGTCGAGACATGGCGTGTAAGGGATCTTCCGGGATAGTAGCTTCAAGCCGCTGAGGAGGTGGTGCCCGTGGGGACAACACCTCGGGGAATGCCATTGGGCTGGAAATACCACCGCCTACGGGAACTCCTCCATCATCAGGATGAATGGCAGGCGGGCTAGATGGTGACGTGAAGTCCACAGTAACTTTGATGTCCAGTTCTTGGGAGATGGACGGGTTGGGAGTACGTGCGAAAAACCGGGCCAAAAGGGTGCCACAAACGTGAATTGCGGAGCTTGAGGAGGAGTGCTGGGCAGGGGAATAGACCCATAGCAATGGTGCTGTGTCAATCAAAGTCCAAAAGCAATCCCGCGGCGTGTCATGAGGTAACTCATGTGCACACGCCAATGTAGACACAGTAAGAAGAATTTGGCCTTTTTGCAGGAACGAGAACAAAACATGTTAGGGGGCCTCACCTGCAAGTTCCTGGTACGGCAGGACAAGCGGTGTGTACGACAGAAGGATTGCACCACTCGGGGCATCGGTTGGCATCCGGTACGTCACTGTTACGTTGACACCAATCCAGCCATAATGGTGTGCGGTTGCCAAGGTCAGCACTCCAGCACCGTAGTCATACGACAGCACCTACCATGCAAGGGATTTCGGGTAATTACTGACTTTCATCCAAGAGGAATGCTAGTTGTGGGTTTAAACGGGTTAAACCTTTATACGGATGGGGAAGTACAGATTCCCACTGCAACAGATTTGTCTGTTTACGACTGGCCCGATCATCGCCTTGGGAAAAGCATTACATCTGCCAATGCAAAGACAGCACCCTGGCAATATTGTGCAAAGCACGACAAGGATGCCTACTATCGTTAGGCTACCCACCTGCGAAGCTGCAGCAAACTCCAGTATTGCCGCACGGGAAACCTCAGCACAAGGAGGCGCAGGGGGCGGCGGAGGCCCAGACGGTGGCAGATCTGGTGACGGTGGCAGATCCGGTGACGGTGGCAGATCCGGTGACGGTGGCAGATCCGGTGACGGTGGCAGATCCGGTGACGGTGGCAGTGTCGGTGGAGCGCTGAATGCTGCAGGGTAAATGGCTTCTTGTGCTGACCGGAGAGGTTGGGACCGTGGCAGGCCGTGTGTGTGGGGGGGTAGGAGGCAATGGCAAAAGCAAAAGTGCCTCAGGAATTCAGTTCATAGGATTGCTGCCATGCTAGGTCCAGAGGCGGATGGACTGCAGTCATTAAGTCCAGGATACCTCTGAGCAAACAAAGACACCACCGCAACTGCTAGTGCCGCAAGAAGGCATGCAGCTCCTAAAAGCAGATTGGAGGGTCTTCCCTAAATAGTATGTCGTACCCTCTTGCGCAGCTCGTCGAGGAGATTTACGGGCCAACCTACGAGGTGCTGAGACCCCGTGTAAATCTGGCCCGCTAACAAGCTTTCCCAAAGCTGACACCTCAGCATGTGCCCTTAGCATATGCCTGTCCTTGCGCTGTTTCATTCCCCTGCTTGTTTGGAACGTCTGCTGCTGTTTCAGCCGCTGCCGACGCATCTGGGGTACCTCCTGCTCTTGTGAGTGCATCGCTCGCCGTCGCAGCCCCTCTGAGGCAGCCGACATGGGCTCATGGCTGTGCTGTAGCAGCACGGCGGCAACCAGTGCTCGCCACTCGAGCTCCGGGATTACGAGGGTAACGTTATCAAGCACCAGTAGGGCTGACTGTGGCTGCTGGTCCCTAGCCATCTGGAATAACCACAAGGGCAGCGAGCTGTTGGTCCATGCTGCTTCGACTCCCGTCAGCTGCTGGCCGCTGCTGCCTCCAGGGGCTAGGTTGTACAACACCAGGTTCCGGAGCGTGATAGGCCGTTGGATTTCCGCATAGCCAATGGCACCCTGGAAGTACGCATAAGACAAAAGGGAAATAGTCATGGCCACACGGTAATGGTCAGGAAAGGCGTTTTTACCGCGGAAAACCGTTAACCGGCGTAGCAGTGTCAGCACCCTTTGCGCTTTGCACTTTACCAGCATGTGAAGCCCTAACACCCGCCGAGGGCCGCACACCTTGAGGTTTACAAACGTGCGGCCGCCTCCCAGTTGTTGCGGATACCCAGCCACGACACACTCGCTGGAGGAGGCCAGCGGTCCACCGCTTTTAATGATAGTGGCGCTGACGTCCGCAGAGGTCGGCGAAGGGATGCTCTGGTCGTTGCGCCTGCGAGCAAAGGTAAGGCAAGGCAGCCAGCCATGCGAGCCTGAATGTCATGAGCGTAAAACCATGAGCGCACAAACACCAGGACGGCATTTTCATTTGCAGCATGTACGGGGGGGGGTAAAAAAGTCTTTGCCAAACCCCATGCTAAAAAAGTCAAGAAAGGGGTGCCGGACCCACCCACCCACCCTGTCGTACCGTTTTTGCTGTACGACAACGCTGTAAACTTCGCAAAATCGCCCCAAAAAAGCACCATTCGACTCCATTTCACATGATCTTCGTCGTTCTCACGTTAGGCGTACCACTTGGCAACATGTCCGAGTCGCTCGCCACACGGGGTGGGGCAGGCAGGCTGCCAGACTCAATGCTCTTTGGTATGCAGCCGATACACATCTCTTTTAAACCTCACATGCATTGCTGTGATGCGTTGGTAGGTGTGCTCCAGCCCACCTGCCACTGCGTCCCTCACATCACCCCGCCATCGGTACGACTGCGCCCCCTCCCCCGGGTAGCAGGTTGGGCTTGCACCCCACCGCCCTCAGCACCAGATGCAGAACCACGCATGTTTCCACCTGCCACGGGTGTGTCGTCAGTACGCCTGTTGCGTGCCCTCCCCCTTTAACCTTGCCCTAACTTTGTGATTTTATTCATTTGGTTCCTCTTTGGGCCCCTTCCACTTAGCCCCTGTCCCTGCTGCTTGTTTTGCCTCTGGAGAAGCCATACCGTGTATGTTGGGCCAGCTAGGGTCTTCCATGGGGACATGCCACCCGCAAACTCCACACAAAGGCTCTAATATTAACATAATATGCATACACTATAACAGGAGTACTAAATCTGCTATCCATTTGGCGAAACGACACCTAGGAAAAATGTTTTGGAGGTCAAAGAAAAAAATCATTGGGGCTCCGGACCCACCTACCCACCCCTGCCGTACGACCAACTTTGGAAGCCTATAACTTTTTCCGTACAACCCCGATTACAATTCTGAAAGCGGATTTGGAATGCTCTCGTTGAGTTCTTTAATATTAAAGCATGGGGTCATTTTGCGGCGAAACTACCCCCCCCTGGCATGTAGTTAAAAAGGACGGCGGGTTTGGAGGTAAGAGAGTACTCGTAACCTTGTGGCATAGTTTTTACATTGTCCAGGGTGTCAGACGATGGAAAGGTGGGAGGTGATGACTAAGGAGGCGCTGTAGGGTAAAAAGCCCTTGGTGCCTAAGCCAATGCAGGGCTTACCGTGTAATGATTGTGATAGGGGACTTGCTCGGCAGCGGTCCGCATATCGTGTTGAGGTTGGACAGGGCGTCCTGCATGCCTGTAGCAAAGGCTATCCCCAGCGGTCCCTGCAGCGGGCAAAGCAGCGCAAGGGATTCTGTTTCCACACTGTGGGGGTGATAAGGGGATCCGTTTTCCAAGCCTTAGCATGAAGCGACTGTAGGACATCAACACTACGCAAGGAGGGCAGTGCAATGCGATGATGCCGTTGATATAGCAAGCGCCAGAAGTGCCCTGACCCGGCTGCTCCAGCTCGCTCACCCATTGAGCTGCCGTCTCCGCATCCCCATGGAACAACTCCGGAGGCCACACCAGGGTCTGTGGGAGCAGCGGTTTGGCTCCCGGCAGCGCAGCATAGCGGCTGGCGGATAGCAGGGTGCACTTGACCAGGGAAACCTGTGATAGTGGGGGGCGTGTTGCTGTTAGGAAACATCTGAAAACCGTTGAGTATGATACCAACAAGCCTTGGATTCCCATTTGCTGCATACACAAAGCCCTACAGACAGCGAAAACATGCCATATGAATTCGGTTTTGTGTGCAAAAAGAAGCTAAGAGGTATGCTGCGCACCTGGGACTTCACCGTAAGCTTGGAGGCTAGCAGCTGACCCTCCAGCAGCGCTTCAGGTGCAGCGTCCAGAACCTGTTATGATGGCAGGCATGGCGACGAGGAACAGGGGACGCTGTGGACAGCCAGTACCGGATTCTTAATAGGCATTAAATGTTATGCCCGTACATCAAGAAGAAACACAGGTAACTGGAAGGACTAGTCACTGTGATAAAGCACCTCGCATTACCCCATGCATAGAAACAATCGTTTCCTTTGCAATGCCCATACTGGTGATGACAGACCTGCACATTAAAGTCCTCGAACAACGATGAAATGTCGCTTCTGGAAGGAGAAGATCCTTCGCTGCTCCGTGCTAACCGCTCCAGGAAGGCAATCTCCTGATCCGGTACGACCAGGGTACTGTGCCTGATGGTGATCTGAGGTTGGCTCCAGTCATATGGTGTCCTGCAGATAGACCACGTACTGGCGCCTTTAATATGCGTTCTTCACTTATGCAGGGGGATGGGCAGAAGCATTGGTCATTTGGCTGTGCCTGCTGTAATATGGTACAGCAGCTATACACAAGCCGCCAAGCCAACGGTGATTTCTCCACCTGTTCACTCCAGCCCCAAGCACTGCACCCCCAATGCGCCATACCGGACGTGCACTAATTGCCCTTCAGTGCCGGCAGCACCCTTAACACATCAATATACACTGCATACGTACACGCACACTCAACTTGCGCACAAGAGCAATAGCAATATAGCATGCCCGTTACATGTAAGCGGGTGTCGGGAAGTGATAACCTTTAGTGGCTCTTATTGTGTGTCCTCTAAACACCAATTTATCCCTCCCACCTCAAGCCCACCTGTCAAGCCCAAAGCTCTGTAAGCTCAAGGCTAGAAGGCTTCCCGCAGCAGTTGGACGCACAGTGTACGGCAAATTAATAAGCAGCAGATCAGAAATGCTCGCTACTCCCGAACTTCCATATGTAAGTATCAGCACAGGGTAGTTGTCAGCGTTGTGTTCGATGCGCGTGTAGCCAGCAGTATACCAAGCACTTTCTAGCCCTGCCAAATCCAGTGTTGTGGTCTGCTCAGGATCTCCCATCACACCAAGAAGCACTCCATCCGCCAGCAAAACCTGAGTAAGGCATCATTGGCGGGTAAGGCCGCTTGTTTACTTGTCAATTCGCATGTCTGCTACCTGGCACGTGCTGAACCAGAAGCAGCCCGGGGCACTAGCTTCTGGGCTCCCCTTAAGCCTTCCTCGTCCCCAGTCCTCAACTCACCGGGTGCCAGCTTCCACTCGCAGGCAACGCCACGTCAGCCGCCAGAGATAGGAACAGAGCTCCGGGAGCCGCTGCAGCCATTGCCGCCTCAACCGTTGTTATGTCCAGCTGCCAATCATCTGTAACTACGGCTGCCCAGACAGGCGATTTCGGCAGGCTTGGGGCCGGACACCTGAGAGTCACGTTAAGCCACTGCACCTCGCCGCCTGCAGTCCACGTATCATCGCTTCCAAACACCGCCGGTGCGTGAGTGGTGAGGTTTCCAATGTGCATGCTACCATTGTACACGGTAATCGTCGTGCTGTACGGCCATGCCCTCGGCGAGTAGGCAAGACTTGCGAAATAGCGACTCAAGTCGTCACATGAAAGCACCAGGGTCACGTCCTTAAGCGTCAAAAGGGCTCCATCGGGGACGTCAACGAGGCCAGAGGGTGACAGCTGGGTGACAGATATGCTGTTGGCTGGGCCCAGGGGTTGACTCATCTCCACAATGAAAAGTGATAGAGACGCAATGGTTAGGTGCTGACCTGCAAAGGCACCACATATAACAGGGGAAGAATACGACAAGTTGGCAACCCAAACCCGTGCAAAGCCAGCAACTGACTTATCACAGTTAGACTGTAGGAACGATGTTGAGCGTAGGAAAAACGTCATATGGGGGTGAGTGAGCGGTTGATGGGCAATTTCAGCACGCTTTGGCATGGTTACTGGGTCCCTCAGGATCACTGTAAAGGTCTCCAGAATGCTGCATCCAACTTGTGTAGAGCACTGCCACGCACCTGGGCTTAGGCCAAACACCGGGACACCTGCTAAGGAGAACTCATAGAACCTGGAGCATTCCAGTAATGTGAAGGGCATGGTAGGTATGCTTAGGCTGGGGCTTCCCGGTGGGCTGGGCTGAGGACTTGGAGGACGGCTGGGAGGGATGGGACTAGGGGGGCTGGGGCTGGGGGGGCTGAGGGGGGTGGTAGGTAGCTGGTAGCTGTCAGGTGCATCGATGGAATTTTGTCTGGGAGGTGGGCTTACTTCAGTCCATGATATCGTTGGCTGCCAGCCCTCAAGACTTGCCGGCATGGTGCTGCCCCGCCCTTGCAGGGCGAGGCTTGATGATGGCAACTCGGTGGCAGTTGGGGCTGCATACGGCTCAGGCAGCAGGTAGAGGATACCTTGTGGAAGGATGTCCGAAGTTGCCAGCAGCTCATGGACTGACAAACCAGCACCGGTAGTGGTTTTCAGGGCGCTAGCCTGCCTCCAGAACACTATCGCCGAAACGGCAACGAATAGAGCAGCGGCGGCTCGAAACCTGCAGGCAAGGGTGACAGCGGTAGACGACAAAGCAATATGAACTACTGGCATAGCCAAAGTGATATAGCTAGGGAGCGCAAAGCAGCGGTAACAATTACGAATTGCAAATTCAGTACAGGTATACATGGAGTACTGGTTGGAAAAGCAAGGGGCCAGACAGTGCAAGTACTAGTTTGCGCGCTTGATAAAATCTCACCTAAGCATAAGAGCACTCTCCAAATAAAAAGGATATCTCCTTGAAACTACATGAATGAGGCTCCTCAAGTAGTCAATGGAAGCGTGATATCTGATTACGCACCAAGCGGACTACCCCCCTAATGCAAGAAAGTTAATGGCATGAAAAACACATTTGTATTTATCCTTTTTACTGCCGTATAGATTTTCAGCGTAGACGCATCAGACGTGCCCGGGGCCCCGGGCACCGGATACCAGTACAACGCTCGCACGCAGTGAGCCTGGTAGCTGGCGGTCTAGATAGGGTTTAAGTATGAAGTTATAGGAGAGCGTAAGTTGTCGGAAAGTATTCACCGGGTGCGATCACGATTACGATTACATGGTACGGTGTAGGGCCCTCCCGCCCTACCGCACAACCTCACGAACCATTCCGGTCAAGAGGTGCAATAACAAACAGAAGTTCGCGGGGAGACAGAACGCTGTAGAAGGTGGTCACCTATTAAGCGCGACTAGACCTACACGCATAAATAGCATGTAGAAGGCTCGCCAATTTAGCAACATCAAAAACTGGAGTTTTGATGTTGCTAAATTGGCGAGCCTTCTACTTCGGTGGGGTTCGGCAAATTCGAACGCCGTACTTATCACGCATCCCTGTTGCCTTCCTACAAATATGCTTTCCTCCATTGCATCTTTCCACTTTACGCAGAAACCCTAGAGAAGCACATTTTCGAAGCAAGGTTGTGCGCAATGCCGTACCTACCCCCAGTATGGAATGCGCTTAGGGCATACTATTCAGTAAACAGGATTATGAAGGCGTTAACCCCGGCGACAATGCCTAACCAATCCAAGGCAGTCGCGTTTCCCAAGTGTTTGTGTCTTGACAAACTGTCGGCATGTTGGGCGGATGCGCCGTGTATATACGTTTTCTCAAGATGCCAACGCCCACGGCGCTGCACCCGCCGTTGCGTACAAATCCAATGAGTATTATGTTGTGTGACTGGACCCGCTATGTGTTGACAGGTCGATTTCCCAAACAGGCACGACTCACGGGTCATGTCAACAATTCAATCCAAGGTCAAACCAAAAGCCGTATCTGCTCGTTACATGTTGAAGTCACCGAGTACTCTATAGCGAGTATTAGAGCGCTACCCACGGGGTAGCAATTCAACTGCGTCAGCCTCCACCGCTGGCCAAGGCTGTCGTGCAATGCCACTTTTGTGTCAGGAATCGCCACACGACGAATGCCGTACACAACTCCAACAAAAACAATCCTTCTAATTGTATCGTGCGTACCTTGGCAGTCTACCTTGCGGGTGCCAGGAAGGCCATCCGAGGGAAGCTTTCCCCAATGCTCCCATCCCTCCTTACATGCTTGCGTCCATGATGTCAGCTTTAATGCAGCACTGGAATGTAACATGCTCATAAAGGATTGGTGCGGTTGCCGACGGTGCCTCTCAAATTGTACATGAACACCGCCATGACCTCGTGATGGTCGTCCGCTTGATGTGTTTGAAATCAAAGCAGCCGATCGGCACAGACGGCAAACCACATGTACTTCATAAAGGAACGTGCAACCTGCCGGCCTTGGGGAGGGGCCACTTATTACCCGACGGCGCAGCCAGCGTCCCCTTGACCATGAACAGCAGCCTGCCCGTGATGGAAGAGTTGTTCAAGGCCGTGGTGCACAGGCGGTACGACATTATCTTGTTCCATTCGCCTTCGGCCTTTGGCAGGTCCTCCATTGAAGACTAACCAGCTGCCGTATAATGTATTATTCGTTCAATTGCCATTAATTTGTCAGACAGCTTGTGCTGTTGTCACCTCCCATTACCGCTTGGCAAAGTCCATTGGTTCAGGGCAGCACAATCACTGAACGACGCTATTTGTTTACGTTGGAGGTTTAACGACAAAGTACGATGTATGCTAATTGTATAGCGACTTACAATACGAATAACACTGAACTCGCGTGGCGCGTGTTGCGGCTTTGCTTTCGTGCAATGCCCTTGGGAATCTGTCTGGAACTGATTTTACCTCTTACTGGGTTCTCTACGTTTTACTTGCATGTTATCATGCCTTGCGTTTTCCTGAGCCGGATTCCCAGGCTGAACAGGAAGTTAGACTACAGCAATCTGGTGGGCGTTGTCAAATGCTTCTTACCCTAAAGCATAGCTGCCGAGATACCCTACTCCACCGCTCGTTGTATAAGGTGGTACTTAGTTATTTGTCAGCCAAGCTCCTCGTCGAGGGCCTTACGTGAACTTGTACACCGACTGCACGAAGTAACACCCCGTCACAAGTTAAGTAGCAAAAGGGAGACACTTTTCCTTGTACTATGACATGACATTTTCGACCAGGGCCTTACTTGCACAGTGGCAGCCGAGGACATGCCTATTCACTGCTCAAAAGATTTCTTTGTAAAGCGTAAGTAGAAGCCCTGATTAAAGAAGTGCGGGGCTCGAGTGGGCGATGTCAGGGCCCCAGCGACGGCTTGCATGCTCCCCTGACATGCCGGATATATTGTTGAGAAGCTTAGCGTCCGCCTATAACCCTTTTCCAGAAAACAACTGTATTGTCGGCACGTTCCTTGGGCCTCAGGTTTCAGCGGCGCTCTGGTGCTGCTTGTCGCGGCATGGGCAGTCAAGTGCGCTGTACCTGCAGAGGCTACACTCGCAACCACAAAAAAAGTTGTTATGAACGTCCAGGACCTCCTAGCTATTCAGGGCATGCTTCCGGAAGGCGTCGTAGCTGTGTCTTGGGATTTTGTGTACGGCAGGGCAGCACCCTCGCCGCTCCCAGCAGGCGTGTCATCCCTTCTTTTGCACGGCTGGGGAGAACTTGCTCCGGATCGAGCAATGTCCAGTAAAGACAACTACTGGAACCCTGGTTATGAACAAGCGTCACCATTGGCAGGCGGTGGACTTCTTCTCGGCAGGCACCTTGGCAGCGCTAGCCGTGAGCAGGGGCGCCAGCCTGCCATGCAGCTGGAGACGGCAGACGTCATAGTGCCCGATAATCCTACATTTCCTCCTCATCGACCCCGGCAGCCACCACTGCCCAGTCCTAGCCCTTGCGCCATGGAGCCCCCGGGAGCACCCCCCTATGGACAGTACCCGGGAGCATCCCCCTATGGACAGTACCCGGGAGCATCCCCCTATGGACAGTACCCGGGAGCATCCCCCTATGGACAGTACCCGGGAACATCCCCCTATGGGCAGCCCCCGGAAGCACCGCCCTATGGGCAGCCACCACCTTACACGTTACTGAACTGCGAGTACCTGTACCCATTCTACGAGGTCGAAATAATTCCAGTCGTGCTTCTGCAAAGCGGTACGTGTGGCGTTGCGGCTATAACGTTTCACCTTGCGATGTACATGCTTGGCGGCTGGTTGCCGCTCTCTTTGTCCATCCACATGCCTTTCTTGTACTTTGCATGCTTACTCATGCGCTTGCCTAATAAATTGAGTCTCACGTTATTATTGTCTACCGGTATTCTTTCTTCCTCCTGCTAATGCCTGTTTACTAGCACACTTGGCTGGCAGTTGGGCGGTTTGAACACTCGAACCACACACGGATTGGCCGCCTGCATGCATCTACAGTGCCGACGCCCCTTGTGGTCTGCTCCGTTCCTTTTCCTTGGCGCTACTCCTTCATTGCAGGCCAACTACTGACGTTGTCTTCTCTAGCAATCGACCTGGCTACCTATAAGGAGCCCTTCGGACCGCCCGATGCCATAGACCTTTCCAGGCTGTCTCCTTCTGCCCTCTTTCGAGTGCCGGAAGGGGCCATCTTGACATTCCAAAACGTTACCATGCTGCTCTCTCCGGACTACCTCAAATTGCTGTTCATCCAAATGGGCCGTACGACAGATGCATGGCCATACAATACGGAAGTAACAGTTGCCAACGGTGTCGTACAACTACATAACTTCACTACGCGGGCGCGAGCAGCGCTCGGAGGCGATGATCCGGAGCTTGGAGGCGGGGAGGTGCGCTGGCTGTACGTGACGCTGACGTGTCCGGGTTCCAGCTTGCCTAGCCCGGCAGTCGCAGCCGCCGTAGTAACAGAGGCCTCGCAGCTCGATTCAGCAGGCCTGGCTGCAGCGGCGGGCAACATGACTACGGGCACACTGTTTCTGTCAGTGGCAGCTGACTTGGCACTGCCTGGGAATGGAAGCTGGCAGCCGGTGAGCGGAAAGAGAGAGAGGGGCAACAAGGGGGTTCAGCTTCCTCAAAGCTGGAAAAGGGCGGAGCCCCTCCTCTTCAGTACGGGAACGTATTATTACCACTGGGATGAATGCGATTATTACAAGGGAGTGGAACGACTCAAGTGCGACGCACAAACCTATGGGCCTTATAGACCTGGAATGCGCTCCTGTGGCTCCACGGCACTTTCGCATTCTAACACACCTTGTTATACGGACGCTGAACCCCCTTGTTTACTGTAGTTTAGTGCTCGTTGCATGGCTAGACGGGCTCAAAGCCCCTTGTCCAGCCGAGGCCGGCCGCCTTGTTCACCCATGGCGTACATAGTGTCCTCACTCATTGCACACATTGTTAGGTTACGCCTGCACACATTGTTAGGTTACGCCTGTTCAATGGAGTACTTAGTAACGTCTTATCATGCTTGATAACACCCACGCATTAGGCTACAGAACCCAAATCGACGGCGTAACTGCCACATGGGAGTGCTTTCAGGGTCCCGCAGGTCGTTAGGGTTTCACCTACATTACTAACATGATGAGGAGGTCAGGCTCGGCAATCTCGGCATCGTGCTCAGGAGGACTTCAGCCATTGCGCCGTCACATGACATGTTAGCTTATAAGCGAGGTACCCCGTACCCGTTTGCGTTACAGTTCATACGCACAAACCCATAGCAAAGGCTGGCAACATCGTCACAAAGGATTGTGTGGGCTCTGAGTAGCACAGTAGATGCGAGCATGCTCCCGCCGGCTTTCACAAGTAGCCCTTTGCCGGCACGCCGCTGTTACCAATTCACTAAATACTGTTTACGGTACCAGGACACACCAAAGAGGAGCGCTAATCGGTGTTGCCGAGGTGGTCCTTTTCGATTGCTGGTCAATAAATTGTTTATTGCGAAATCAAGTTTGTTTGGCTTCCAGTTATTTTTACTGAATACAGATAACGAATATCTATTAGGTGCAATTAATAGTTTTGTCTAGTTTATATGTTTTGACGTTACGGACACACGGACACACGGACACACGGACACACGGACAGGGGCAACCCTGGGGGGCGAGCCCCCCCGAAGCCGCTTCGCGGCGGGGGCTCCGCCCAAAAAGCGGGGAGGCGGGGAGTCTTACAACTGCGGCTGTGGCAACTGAGGAAAGCCCCGTGGTGTCGTACGGGTACATGCGCAATGGGAAACCGTGTCGTGGTGTAGTAAACCTTCCTTGCAGTGGTTTCTGTCATGGCGCCCTACCCTCTTTCAACCGCTCCCTTTCTCGGACCGCCTCCTTCTCCACATGCAGGCGCGCCTGCCCCACGACGGCGTGCTTGTAGTGCTGCTGGGAGATGTACACCGTACGACAACATTAGATTTGGCAGGCATCGAAGGCGCCTGGTATACAGGTACAGCTGGGAGTGGCCTAGGCGGGAGTGGCGGCAGCGACAGCTCGGCCTCTGAGTCTGATGACATCAGCAGTAGGGCCACCATGCAAGTGGTGCATGTGTACGACATGACACTGACGAACCTGCCGTACACATTACGACCAAGCGGCGGTGCGAGCTCCGTGTTGTCCGTGAGCTTGCAGAGTTTTGTCATAGACAGGCAAGTGCATGTGCGGTTGAAATATAAAAACTCGCCTTGTCGACATGTAACGAGGAACTAAAATCATTAGTTCGATGTTTAGATGAATGAAAGTGATTGAAGGGGTATGAATTACTACAATTTACACCCTGCTTACACCTGCTTTTCCTGACTTATACCAGCGAGGCACATGCCGTAGTGTTCAGCTGGGGAATGCCTTCAACTCTGAGCTCTGATAAGATCCTATCTGTTTCTGACCTCTGCCGTATCCTTGCAGGAAAGCAGCAAACTTAGGGTGGCAACGGTCGCAGCTAATCCTTACGCGCAGTGCCCTGGTCGTACCGGATCAGGAGATTGCCTTTCTGGAGCGGTTGGCCCGGAGCAGCAACGGATCTTCTCCAGCAGATGCAGCCGGTCGGGTGACGCCCGCTGCTTTGGGCATGCAGGTAGGGTCATGTGGGGCACCGTGCAGCTTGGGCAGCGGTCACGGTTGTGTCTCGTAGATGTGTGTAGGTATGGGAATATGCACGTGATCGTTTGTCCCAGTGGCCCGGCCCGTTGTTCCCCGTTCGACTCCCGTACGGATCAGCAAAGTTCCCGCCGCGTAACACTCCCCTTTTCGCTGACTCCTCCCCCGACAGCTTGCGGTCGACATGTCACCAGAAGGTACTGCGGTTGAAGGGCAGCTGCAAGTGACTCAGCTGCTCATCGAGTCCCAGGTGCGTTGCAACAGGGGCTATCTACAGGAGGCGCCATAGCGTGCACGCCCTGCTGGACGGATAGGCAGTGTGCAAGGCTTGCACCGGACTGGCCCCGTTCCCTTCACTTCTGTATCTCCCGCGCCCCATCCTTGGACATCATCACTACAGGTTTCCCTGGTCAACTGCACCCTGCTGTCCGCCAGCCGTTACTCGGCACTCCCGGGCGCCCGGCCGCTGCTCCCTCAGTCGTTGGTGTGGCCACCAGAGGTGCTGCATGGGGATGCGGAGACGGCGGCGCAGTGGGTGAGCACTGGGTTGGGGCACAGCTAGCATCTCTGTAATCGATGCCGTACAAGGACGTCTGGGGCTGCAGCAATGAGCGCATGCCCCGTATTGCTACCGGCGCTGGATCTTCAGTGCCCGCGCTCTTGCAGTACCACGAAACCCCGTTCACGCTTCGTCTCGGTTCTTCAATGCTGCTTGCAGGGTCCGCTGGGGCTCGCCTTTGCTGCGGGCATGCAGGACGCTTTGTCCAACCTCAACTCAACATGCGGACCGTTGCCGCGCAAGTCCCCGGTCACGACAGTTACCCAGTAAGTATACCGGTAGTTTGACCGCACGGTTGCAGTTACCGTATGCGGTGGTAGGTATGTTGGGCTACACGCACTGCCTCTCATGGCTAGGCAGCATGGCTTTCGAGCATAAACCCTTGCACACAGTGTTTCAACTCTGCTTTCGACGCCCGCATACAATGCCCTTTTTCTCGCAGGCCCAACGACCAGAGCATCCCTTCGCTGGCCTCCTCCAGCGTCAGCGCCATTACCATTACAAGCGGTGGACCTCTGGCCCCCGCTAGCGAGTGTGTCGTGGCTGGGTATCCGCAGCAACTGGGAGGCGGCCGCACGTTTGTAAACCTCCAGGTGTGCGGCCGGCGGGTGTTTCCTGCTGAAAAATGCAGGATGCTAACACTAACTACGTCGGCGGCTGCATAAGCGACCGTTAGCGGAACCGTGGGTCGTCCACGGCCAAAACGTCTCTCATAACCCCTACGATGGTGGCCATGAACCCATCCCCTTATGTGCTGCATTGATAACATTCCTGCAGGGCGCCACTGGCCGCGTGGACGTCCAACGGCCTATCACGCTCCGGAACCTGGTGTTGTACAACCTAGCCCCTGGAGGCAGCAGCGGCCAGCAGCTGGAGCCCTCCGATGCGGCCTGGACCAACAGCTCGCTGCCCTTGTGGTTCTTCCAGATGGCTAGGGACCAGCAGTCACAGCCAGCCCTACTGGTGCTTGATAACGTGACGCTCGTGGTTCCGGAGCTTGAGTGGCGAGCACTGGTGGGCGCCGTACTGCTGGAAAAGCCGTCGGCGGCTGCCTCCAATGCACCCAGTGGGCTGAGACGGCGCCAAGCACAGGAATTTAACAAAGCGAAGCGGCAGGGTCGCAAGCTGCACATTCTTGGTGGTGCGTCGGGTTTGGGGGTTCGCTTAGGGCTGCAGTAGCCAGTAGGGCATATAAAGGTGACGGGGTTATCCACGTGATGGGGAGAATGTTGGGATTTGCTATGGAAATGACACGGCGCCGCACCTCTTTCGGTCCCCCTTTTACGTCGCAGTTCACCTTATTGTCTTTTTGGGCGGAGCCCCCGCCGCGAAGCGGCTTCGGGGGGGCTCGCCCCCCAGGGTTGCCCCTGTCCGTGTGTCCGTGTGTCCGTGTGTCCGTGTGTCCGTAACGTCAAAACATATAAACTAGACAAAACTATTAATTGCACCTAATAGATATTCGTTATCTGTATTCAGTAAAAATAACTGGAAGCCAAACAAACTTGATTTCGCAATAAACAATTTATTGACCAGCAATCGAAAAGGACCACCTCGGCAACACCGATTAGCGCTCCTCTTTGGTGTGTCCTGGTACCGTAAACAGTATTTAGTGAATTGGTAACAGCGGCGTGCCGGCAAAGGGCTACTTGTGAAAGCCGGCGGGAGCATGCTCGCATCTACTGTGCTACTCAGAGCCCACACAATCCTTTGTGACGATGTTGCCAGCCTTTGCTATGGGTTTGTGCGTATGAACTGTAACGCAAACGGGTACGGGGTACCTCGCTTATAAGCTAACATGTCATGTGACGGCGCAATGGCTGAAGTCCTCCTGAGCACGATGCCGAGATTGCCGAGCCTGACCTCCTCATCATGTTAGTAATGTAGGTGAAACCCTAACGACCTGCGGGACCCTGAAAGCACTCCCATGTGGCAGTTACGCCGTCGATTTGGGTTCTGTAGCCTAATGCGTGGGTGTTATCAAGCATGATAAGACGTTACTAAGTACTCCATTGAACAGGCGTAACCTAACAATGTGTGCAGGCGTAACCTAACAATGTGTGCAATGAGTGAGGACACTATGTACGCCATGGGTGAACAAGGCGGCCGGCCTCGGCTGGACAAGGGGCTTTGAGCCCGTCTAGCCATGCAACGAGCACTAAACTACAGTAAACAAGGGGGTTCAGCGTCCGTATAACAAGGTGTGTTAGAATGCGAAAGTGCCGTGGAGCCACAGGAGCGCATTCCAGGTCTATAAGGCCCATAGGTTTGTGCGTCGCACTTGAGTCGTTCCACTCCCTTGTAATAATCGCATTCATCCCAGTGGTAATAATACGTTCCCGTACTGAAGAGGAGGGGCTCCGCCCTTTTCCAGCTTTGAGGAAGCTGAACCCCCTTGTTCCTGCAGACGGCTACCAATCCCCCACCCACCTACCATTATCCGATCTTGCAGGGGTTACATGGCGCAGCTATCCCCCGCCGCCTTCTCCACCTTCACCGACATTGAACACACATTCGCCTCCCTCCAGGCCGGCCCCAAGGCCTCCGCCTCGCCTGCCGCCCCTTCAGCCGCTGCCAAAGCCTTCACCTCCCCAACAGCCGTCGCCACCGCCGTCGCCCTCTCCACCGGCGGTCCCCTGGCCCCCATCACCACCTTCAGCACCGCTACCACCACCGAAACATTTTCCGCCCCCTTCGCCGAATTATTCGGACACCACACGCTCAGCGCTGCTCATCTTTGGTGCGGAGTCTGAGGTAGGAAAGCTGATCTCTGCAGACCCTGCTAAGCGTGCTGTAACTGTATGCCACAGGGGCGACCTGCCTTTCCTTCTTATGGGTTCGTGTTATGGACGCCGTACGCAGCATGGTCAACGTTTGGCATGGAAAGGGTGATTGCAACAGCTGGTTCTCCATATACTGATACCGCAGGTGTTGTCCTACGACTACAGTGCTGGGGTGCTGGTCCTGGCAACCGCACAGCACTACGGATGGGTTGGGACCAATATTACCATTACTTTCAAGATGCCGCCTGATGCCCCCAGCAATGCAAACCTTCTGTCGTACCCGCTGCTCGTCCTGCCGTACCAGGACCTTGCAGGTAAGGCGGGCGGGGGGTGCAATATCACCTAGCAGGCAGGGGCAGGGGGTTTGCATTATCGCTCTGTTTACAGCAGACGTATCCAAATAAACGAACAAGCACCGCTAGCGGCAAGGTTCATGGTATCGTCAGGTTTTCTGTGCTCTCCTTTTCAGCCCTTACACCGTTCTATCTGCCCCATGCCGGTTGCAAACACCAGCACGACCCAAACCTTCAGTCAATAGCGCGCACAGCTGTGTGCATGCGTGCATGTCTGTAGCACGGCACTCCTCCACCAACCATGTCTTCTTGCCCGACTTGTCCCTTGCGTGACTCTATTCCTTTCCTGTTGCATGCAGACTTTGACGCGACGCTCATGCCGCCCATAGAACCGCCAATGGGACCTCCCATAGAACCACCCCACGTAATCGGCGGAGGCATTACCACTGTGGCTTTCAGATCATCGCCTCCGCCAGCGCTGCCCCGGCAGCCCCTTGCACCCGCTTCTGGACTGTCTGCATCCCCTTCTCCCGTCGCTGCTCGGTCACCTCCCACCGGCACCGACCAGAGTCCCCGACCGTCATGGGTGGTCCCGCTTGCCAGTGCGCTAGCTGCTTTCGCCGCTGCACTGCTGCTACTTCTGGCGGCCGTGGGCATCCTTGTCGGTAAGGCTACGCGGCAACGACGCGCTGCTGCCACCAGCAGCAGCAGCCTCGGAGATACGGCAGCGGTAATCGCTACGGTTAAGGTAGTTACTGCCGGCAACTTCAGCAGCGGCTGGCCTTCTGTTACTTGTGTTCCCAGCGGTGATGACACAACGTCGGTGTCTCTAGCCGCCACCACCATTACGACCTCAGTCGGTTTCCTTAAGAGCGGGAAGCGCTGCAACAGCAGCAGTGACTGCAGCAACAGAACGTCAGGGGTTGAAAGCGGTCATCAAAGAAGCAACCTGGCGAGCACTGAGGGGCAGGATACTGAAACAGTAGACGCTCTGCATGATAATGCGACGCACGGGGGGAGGCCCTGCAGGGACAGTCGTGCAGCGACAGCAGCTGCAGCAGCAGACAGACCCACGGGTCAACTTCATGCCTTGACGCCAGATGGCGGTTTGCACTCTGTGGAGGCCAAGGGCCCTACATGCACCACCACGACTGAATCAACCACCGAGGGTCCTTGTACGGAGGAATTCAACCTTGCTGCTCGTGAGGTACGTACGGCAGTTCTTGTTATTGGTGCTTCCTCGTGCTCATGTGCTTCCTCGTAAAGCAAGCTGCGCTGCTTTGCTGTCGTACTGTCAGCAACTGCAAATGTCCGGACCAAATATATGGTTTAGCACTATTTAGCCCATCGCTCGCAACTGCATCGCAGCTACTGAAGGAAGTACTAAGCGCTGTGAGCCGTCGTCGAGTGTCCCCGCTGCCACGGATGTCCCCTGGGCAGGCAAATCGTCGGGCTCTGGCCCAAGTGCTCAAGGCCACAATTCCAAGCCAGTGCCGCCCAACCGAGCAGGCCGACAAGCAGCAACGGCAGCAGCAGCACGATGCATATGCATGGAGCGCTTCCATTACAGGCGAGGCTTTCGTTTGTAAAATTTTGGTAAGTTGTGATACATAAGGTCGGGTTAGGTGCAAACCCGCTTTCTCACCATTTTCGCACATGTCTATTCCCTCGCCCGTTATTACATGTCATATATGTCGTACATCTCACGTACGGCACACACGCTGCAGGCGTACTACAGTGGCCTCCGCCAGAGTACGGAATCGAACATGCAACAGCTCCAGGAGGACTCTACCGGGCTGTTTGAAAACACCCTAGACCATACTGGCGCCATCCTAGTTCGTAAAGACCGGTCCGTGAGTGGAGCTAGCATGCATAAGGCAATCAATGCGGTGAAGGTGAGCGTTTGTTGGGTTGGCTCTTCTTCATGAATGCTAACTACACCGTCCAACAGCTGCGGGGACCGTTGTCAGGAAAACATACCAATGGTGCCGAAGTGTGAGAAGCACATGGTTGCAGCTGCAATCCACGGCGTGGGAGTCCTTGGCGTGAAGCACATATATAGCCTCAACCACACGCTTCCTTGTCCTGCCTGGCCCGGCCCTTTATTAACGGATCCCTGCTCGACCGCTCGGCCATTTCACGCTTCTACACTTGGATCTGGCACATTCCGTTTACTTCCCAGGCCGAGTTGCGGGATCCGGAGCTTCAGGTGCACTCCCTTCTGGACCAGGGCGCTTACGGCTTAGTGTACGGCGGCGTGTGGCGGGGCTTGCAGGTGGCAATCAAGATGATGGTGGTGTCTGACGGAACCATGGGTCAGGAGGGCCTTACGAGGCACGGGGCTGCATTGGAAGCGGCCATTTCCATGAGCCTGGCGCACCCTAACGTCGTGGGTGAGTTGGGGACAACGGAGAGGTAGAGAGCTGGCGGGGCGGCATCTTCCTGTGCGTTTCCTGCGTTCGCTTCATTCCCACATGCTCGTGCATTTGCACGGCTGCAACGGTGGTTACACCATTACCTTGGCCCTTCGCCATGTCATCACGCGCATGTGCTATTCCTAACAGTCTCCATTACCTTACCCCTCCAATGGCTCATCATGCGTATGTGCCCTTCCAAACATTCCGCTGTTGCGCTCCTTCCCCAACCCACCGCAGCCACCTACACCTATGAGGTCAAGGCCTTAGTGCATGAGCCGGCAGTACTTACTTTAGCGGGTTCCTCGCACGGCATTACTGCTTCCGAGCCGCCGATGCTTCCCAGGGAAGCCGCAACGGACACCTTCAAGCTGTATATCGTGCAAGAACTTTGCAATGCCGGCAACCTCCGTCGAGCACTAGGTGGGGTATTGCTGCGTCCATGGGTGAGGAAATATGTGTATGGACCTGCCTTCAGGAGCGGCCACTAAGCCATTGGTCCATAGCTGTATACTGTTAACGTCCATTTTGCACATGTTAGGCAGGCAAATGCCTAGGCAGGTTGGCGTCCCGGGTCTCAACGCGGACCACGTCCCCTTTCTTGCCTTCCTGTACACGCTACCATCAAAACCTACACGCTACCATCCTCTGTAAGTGCCATCCTTGTTGCCATCCGAAATCCCGCCTCCCCCTCCAGAGCACGGCATGGCGGGCAGTGTGCGTGCCGGAGGGCTGCTTCGGGTACTCTCGCTGCGCATCGCTCTGGACGTGGCCCTGGGCATGCGGCACATCCACAGCTGCCGCATCGTTCATGGAGACCTGAAGCCAGGTAAGCAACAGTGCACCGAACTGTAATGCGCTTGGCGTTCCCCTGCGGTGACCCAGTGGAAGGTACTCTTTGCGTTTTGCTTTCCTCTTCCCAACCACACTTTCTCACTCACACATACCCTGCCGTAAGCGTTCACATACTTTGCTCTTGCACGCATCTCACGCCGCCCCAATGGTGCGTCTGTTTTACGTCCATAGAAAACGTGCTCCTTGTGAACGGGCCACGAGCTGTGCCTGACGAGGAGGAGGCGGCACAGGAGGAAGCCGCAGCAGCCAAGCCCTGGGGGGTACGGCAGCCGCAGCAGCTGTGTCAAGCTGTGGCAGCGGCTGCAGTGGCGGGTGTGGGGGACTTCGCAGCCGCTGATGAGGAGCCGGTCGACATGGTCTCAGCTGTGCAGCTGCAGTTGACGGCCAAGGTTGCGGACTTCGGCCTGAGCCTGCCGCTGCCCGAGGGAGCCACTCACGCATCGCAGCGCTTCCAGGGAACTCCCGCGTATCTGGCACCGGAGGTGAGTGGCTGAGGCTACTAGGGACGTAACGGTGGTCGTGTGACCCATGGGTCTTGAGGTCCCAACCTGAGCCTCGCCTGTCAGGACCTCGTTTTTACCGTTTTCTTCTTGGAGATTATCGACTGTCCACATTGCAACCAGCCTCCGTCTACTCCATAAAGGTTGTGGGGCTGACGGCTGACCATCGGTCATGTAGCATGAGATACGCATGTGTCCGCCCTATCTTTGCCTCAGGTTGCAACTGGCGGCCAGTTGTCTCCTCGTGCGGATGTTTGGTCGTTCGGGTTGATGATGCTGGAGCTCTATTACGGCTGCACGCTGGCGGACATAAGCACACTGAGGCCAGTGGCAGGAGGAACGGAGGTTTCCGAAATCGAGCAGGGCGGGGCGGGACGTAATGGGCTAGAGGCAGCGCCCGGCTTTTACCCAACGCTTCTGAAGGTAGGGTACAGATGGGCAAAGTGGTAAGTGCCAACCACATGCCTCTGTTGGGCATGCAATGTACGAACCTCTCCTAATGCTATGAGAGCTCTTTAGCCGTTATCTTTTCCTCACTGCTCTGCGCTCATCGCTCCACAGGACTTGCTTACCTCGGCAAACCCATCCTATGCGGAACTTGCGGCTTCGTGCCTTGACGAGGATTATCACAGTCGCCCTGGTTTCAAAGAGATTGTCATTAAGCTACAGCGATTATTGGACGACAGCGAGCGTTGCAAAAAAAACCGGTGATGAGATGCTGTTCTGATACAGTGATGCTAAGAGCATGTATAAAAATTAAGAGCGCGTGTGTATACCCATGCTGCTTATGTCTATGCGCCTGTGCGTCAGCCCTGTAGCGACCGCTTGTTCTTACTTATGTTGGTGCGTTACTGCCATGCCAGGCCGTGCTGGTATATTTTTTCAAAAAAGCTTTTCGTAGTCCTGGAGCGATGGAAGATGTCGGCTTTAATTCACTGGACGCAATGTTATATTTCGGAGCTGCTCGCCTGGCATTACATCCAACAAGCGGCCTCGCTTCCATGAGGTTCATGTGCGCCTAGTGCCGCGTGCATGGCAGTGTATGCGTGCTATTAACACCAAGCGTAAGGTGGCGGAGCACATTGTTTACAATATCAGCTTATGGCTTAGAAGTGGAAGAGCGAGCAGTGTGGTGGACTTATAGGCTTTTGGAAACCTGTATGAATCGTAACACTGATATATATAGGTGTGTCCGGTCATGCGCCGGGGATGTCCGCAATGAGTAAAAGTTGTTGCTGTTTACACAGTGGGTCGGTGCTTTCCCTGAGCAGGGGAGTAATATCCAAAGAACACTAATGACAAAAGCAACGCAGCTGGAGCGGCATGTGTGGCACAGATGCACAGGAATGTCGGCTTGGTTACGTTACCTTGTTTTCCATCTTCCTTGGATGACTATTGTGAGGTGGAGGAAGGAATGAATAAGATGAGATGAAGCTGGGTGGTCCTGTCAATTGGGAGGCCCGGTCACCAGCATCTAAGATGTACGGTGTGTGTTGGCATGCGAAGGGGGCTGGTAATGGACTAGCCGACAGTACGGCTGGATGCGCCTGGATGGCCGTTGCGCCTTGCCCAGTATGCGTTTATGCCCCATGCTAAGCCTTGACAAGTGTTTTGGGTGCAAGTACGGTAAGGGAACCGGGTGGTAACATTTTTTGCTATTGTGTGCAGAATTTTCCTTGCAAGGTATTTTGTGGAAATGGCTGACGGGCGACGGTTGGTTTTAACGACACACAACGTATGGTGGCGATGGAACGGACCACTGGGACCGGACGGCTAATTCGTCACCTGGCTCTCTTGCTACTGAGTATGTACGGTTCTGATATGTTTGTCTACTGGTGGGTAGTCAGGTCGGCCTGAGTTTCTGGTAGCCGCCTGCAAAGTGTTTAACGTGCAATATCGTCCTTGATGACCCCTTAGGTTTACTGGACAGAAGCAACTTGCCTAGCAACGCGGAGGTTGCACCTCTATTAGTGCTGGCACCGCTGGCGTCCTCTCGTTTTCCTCATGTTCGCTCTTGTGCTGCTCTAATTGACAATAAGTTGCGGCAGCGGTTGCAAAGTTGCTTGCTGGCGTGGTTGCTTGCTGGCGTGTTTTGCAAGCCCCCATGCTCGTCCCTGAGCATGGGGTGCCTGTTTAGGATGGTGCACCATTCGTCCCCCCAATCCTACCTAGCAGATGTGCGATGCATCGTCGTCACCGTCAGCAACGTTGTATCCTTTTGTCAGGGGAGTGGGGTTGACAGCCGCTGTTCGTTCACTAGCCTTTAGTTAGGAATTCGGCATTTTTGGACGTACGTACGTCCAAGGCGGAGTACCAAATGCATTTCCTTCGTACTGCCTCCAAGTACCGGATGTTTAGTCGTCGGCTTCTCGGGTGAAGATGGCCGATTTTCTTATGTGTACTATTATGAGCTCAGGCAGGTTGTTCGCGAGCATTTGATGCGGTTGCCTGCCCTTTGAATATTCGTTGTATGGCGTCGCTAATCGAGCCCCTGCTTCCGTTGTTTGAGTCTTTCCTCGGTTAATTGCGCTTTAACCAGCCAAATTTTTTTCTGCTTGCGGATTTGTTCTGTCGTGTGACATTGACCTCCGGCTTACGTAAAGAGCGAGAAAGAGCGTGTTGGGAAGCAGGCAGCCAGGCGACAGCATACCAAAGCTCCAAAGATTCTGGTACGACAGTCCTGCCGTACAGGTAGTCTGCCTTTCAGCCGACTAGGGAGGGCCCGGCAGGCGAATAGGCGAATTCGTGTAAGCCCAGATCGCTAAGACAGCTTTACATATACTGCTACGTGATACATGGGGCATACTAGCATGCAGCCCGGGGCTGGGCAGCGGAGCTGACGGGTTGCTGGGGTAATGTTGGGGGCGCGGGGAAGGGTCCCGAGGGTTTTTCCCAGTTTCGCGCACTCCTCTCAGCAATTATATTATTTTGCGCGAAATTGAGCATTTCCCGAAATAATTACTTAACTTTGCGCGATGATATTGTGAAGGTACGGTATCCTATAAACAACGTGCCTTTCTGGACATTCGCCCAGTACCCTGCCAACCTACGCCGTGGTTTAGCGGGGTATTGATTATACAAAATCGTGCTGTGCAGCAATTGCACCTAGCGATTACGTTGAGAGCGTTTTGTGCTGTATACAGATGTGTGGAAGTGCTGCAAGACCGTACGAATCTGGAATAGCTCAAAGGAGGGCACGAGGTAAGGAGTTCGAAGTGCAGGAGAGTTCTGGTATGATCTTGGGTGCGTTTTGCAAATTTCAACAACCCTCCCCTCCAACGCTGTCGACAAGGTACTTATCCCTCCGCCATTACAAACCTGCAAATCGCCATGCATAAGCACGCTCTGCTGTGCAGTAAAACACAAGGTTGACTCATCATCCGCCTAGCGCAAACAGCGGCTGCGATGGCGAACCGCGCCTGCTTACACCAGCAATCTATAAGCACGCCCACGCACAAGACTTTATCATGTGATCTAGGTGTACATGAAGCATTCAAGGGCACACGTCAAGTCTAACCCGTGGGGAGGGGATTTGCATGGCCCCCCACCACATGATACGGCAAGAGTTCAGCCAAAGCAAGTCACCACACCGCCGTAGGGAATTACCAGGTGCCTCCAACGCTTGTTTTAATGCTTGGTTACAGCCCTGCCCTGTCAGTTGCATCCGCTAAACACCGTTGCCAGCAGTCCTCCCAAACCCTGTGTAGCCATTCTCACCAAACTTATACCGCTTCATCCCTTACACCAGGCCGTATGGCGGTCATACACATGGTGGCTGTTGAGCCACTGGACCGCGCGTTAACGCTCACTAAATCATGGTTCCTAACTTTACCCGTAGGTAATCACTCGCTTAATTGTCGCAACCGGTACATCCCCCATCGTGCAGCATTGTCCGTTGTCGCCGTTCAGCACGTAGTTGCAGACCGAATATTGGCCAACCTTGAGGCTGCACACGTCAGTCTGGTTGAAGCGGCCTCCCAGCGTCACCACCCAATTGCCGGTTCCAGGGCGAGCCGGAGGCACAACAGCATTCAGGTAAGTGCCGACCGTGTCCTTCTGAATGCTGTAGGAGAGGGAGGCGCCGTTAAGGGTGACCTGAGACACATTCGTAGCAGCAGCGTCCGAGATGTAGAGCTTCACGCTCTGCAGCTTCATGCTCGAGCAATCAGGCAGGCCCTGTTGCGGGCCAATGGGGCTCGTGACCTTCTGGGAAGTGATGTTGAAGAGGACGTTGGTGGTGCGGAGGCCGGTAGGCGTCGCCGTGCTAACATAGTTAAGGCGGTAAGGCGAGTCTGAGAGCCGTGGATTGCAGGTGCTGTTGATGCGCTCGCTGCAGAACGAAACAACGCCCTGAGGGCAGCAGCCGGCGGTGACCTCGTCGGGGGGCAGGACAGCTGACGGGTTGCCGGTCTGAGTCTGCCAGCCATGGACCCAGAAGTCGCAGGATGGAAGGGAGGGCTCAAAGGAGGACTGGCGGCAAGGCATCTTCGTTGTATCCGCCCAGTCCGACGACGCGAAGCCCAGCTCAAAGGTGTAGAACTGTCCATCTGGAATGCTCGTCGTGTACAGGACCGTCGGGAGCGTGACTGTAAGACCCTTATCCGTCGACTCAGTCGCCTTCACGGACAGCTCCTTGCCATCGTAGGTATAGACCTTCACGTACTTGACCAGAGCAACATACGAGGGATCCAGAGCAAGGGTGACAGCGTCCAGTGCCTGGTTGCAGCAGTCGCCAGGGCGATACGTGATCGGAACACAGGTAGCGTCAGGGTTTACAGACAGCGTGAAGATGAAGATGGTGTTGTCGCCAATAGCATCCGATTCCTGGAACCGGAAGCGCCACTTTGAGTGATTATCAATTAGGGGGCTCAAGCAATCACAGGATGGGCTGACAGGCTTAACAGGGTATGGAGGGGAAGGCGGTGGTGGGGGCGGAGGTGGGGGTGGGGGTGGCGGCGGGGGTGGAGGGGATGGGCTGAGCGGGGGCGGCGGAGGAGGGGGAGGCGGGGGTGGAGGGGGTGGCGGAGGTGGAGGCGAAGGCGCGGGTGGCGGGGGAGGAGGTGGGGGTGGGGGCGGGGGAGGAGGCGGTGGCGGAGGGGGAGGCGACGGAGGGGGAGGCGGAGGAGGCGGAGGAGGGGGGGGAGGCGGGGGAGGAGGAGGCGATGGGGGAGGTGGAGGAGGCGGAGGCGGCGGCGGTGGGGGAGGAGGCGGAGGTGACGGAGGGGGAGAAGGCGACGGAGGAGGATGAGGAGATGGCGGAGGGTTTAGGGGCGGCGGCGCGCGGACGGCAGGCGCAAGCGGCGGAGGCGATGGGTACACGCCCTCAAGGCAGGTGGCACAGCATGAGTGGGAGCTGGACTCAAACATGCTGTACTTGCAGGTGCCGTCGCCGCGCTGGCAGAGGCCTCTGGGGCTTGCGCAGGATGACGTCGAGTTGACGTTGATGCAGAGCGTGCCACCGTTTCCTGAGCCATTGGTGATGTTCAGAGATGGGACTCGCAACACACCCGTGGTGTATTGAGTTATGAAGTAGAAGGTGCGCGACTTTCCATTCAACGTAACCTGCTTAACATCCTGCTGGCAAGACGACTTGACCTCCAGCTCAATCTTTTCAAGCCGCTGAAGGATAGTCTTGCAGCATTGGTTATCGTCGCTGCAACCAGGCTGCAATTTGAGAAGGGAGGATAGATGGTCACACCCAAATGTTGCCAACAATCGACAGCTAGTGAAAGTTCGCGTGCTAAGCAGAATGGCTTCCCGTGTGACAAGTTCTTATCGATGGGACCCCGGCAGGAATAGCAATCTCTACACTGGACTTACCATCTCAATGGAGTAGCAAATTTTCGCAAGAGTGCCACCCGTGTTGGGAGTGACAGCAGCGAACTTCAAGCGGTAAGGAGATGCTTTACAGCGATAATCATTGCACTGGCAGTATGGGAACACGGTAAGCGCCTCGACGGAGTCAGACGTCAATTCATAGTCGCCCTGAGACAGGCCTGCACACACCAAACCGCGCCTGTTAACGCAAGAGCATTTCAACACCCATGGAGGCTAGGGGCCTAATCCTACCGGATGGAAGTAGAGCCAAGCCCGCTACCAAGAGCAGCAGCGCGCCTGCCGCACGGCGGGAGCGGCCCATCCTTATCAAGCTCAACCAGACTACCGAGCTGCTGTCTTCCCTTTTAACCTCCACTTAAGAGACAGGCATGGGGCGCCTTTCAAATGATGTGGCGTCCACGGTCTTTAAAGGAGAAGGTTCAAATGAACCTGGCAGCTGCCCCGAGTTGAGGCTTCAATCAATATAAGTAGTGAGTGAACACTATGCCTTTGACTTAAATGTATATGAATTGTATAGCCCGCTATGCTGTCCGGCTCTGTCCGGCAGTGAGATTTGGCGGGACACCGCGCTACTGGGACGCCCGCCTGCTTTGGCCGTTAATAAGTTTATTACTTCTCAGACATTTATATTGCAACGCGTTATATAATTACCTTTTCTTTGCTTTCTATGCTGCGGGTTGCCGTCAGGTAGACTATAAACATGGAGCGTTGACTCTAGTCCAGGCCAAAATCGCAACCGGCAAACACACCGCAGACTGTTTATATTTTCGGATATATGGTGTACAAGCCACAATATGGACGTCCCCAAACTACAAGGTCATTACGATCCTGTCCAGCGCTCAACTGTTCGGTACCGTCGGTATCCGAGTTACCATCCTACCACTATTTACCACAGCTATAGGATACTTTAATTGGGGGGAAATAGACGTTGTCGTTGTCGGTGACATTGTGCGTTTGTTGTTAAGCGTAGCTGCCCTCTTGGTAAGCAGTCCATCGCCGAAATACAATGGCGGCCGTCTGGTGCTGCCTTGACGCGTATTTTACGTTGCTGCAATTGTTAGCAGCTTCTCTATGGTAACATTCGTCTCGCTTCCTGTTCAATGTCCTTTGACCCGTGGGTCACACATACTCTCCGTTGGGAGCGGTTAGTTGTTATTGCCGTTCTATACTGGAAATCAATTGCAAGTCCCTTTCGTATTCTTCGCCTCAAGTGGTGGGGTCCTTGGGCCAGTAACTACCCAGGTGCAGGATCCTTATGACAGCTGATTGCGACTTCTTAACCTGTATAGCTGTGCTACTCCTAAAACGCTGACGTAGTATAGGCACGGCTCTCATCGGCAAACTAACAAATGCACCACCCAGGGACGTAACAACGGGTGCGTTGAAGGAACACTATCAACTTTTATCCAACATAGTCAGGAGGATTTCGCATTGGCTGTCATGACGGCATGCACGTACAAGAAGAAACCAACGGGGCCAACTACCGAAGCCGAATACAAGGCTCTGCCCTGCTAGTTATTGAACGACGAGGCTAGACGGGAACCCCCAATTGCTTGCAGTCGCACACATTGCAGTAACAACACCTACCCTACCGCCACTTGCCAAGGAGGCAAGCAGGCAACGTTACCACGGAACAGCCAGCTCATTAAAGCTGACGGCCTTATTGCCAACCCGAATACCCTCACACACTGCACTGTACACCCTAAGCCCTCTCCTCTCCAATTGAGCGCAGCAATCAAGGCGCGGCGCCCCGACCACGGGCCCTTCCGCCCCCACGCCTCCCACCTCTTCCACCCATCATTCCTCCCCGGGCACCAACAGCTGGGCCCTGAGGCCCCGACTGTAGCCCCATTCCGCCAGCTGCCGCCGCGGCCACTGCATTCAGCTGCTGCGCCGCGGCAGCCTGCTGCTGCAACATCGCAATCTGCTGTTGCAGCATGAGCTGCTGTACCGGACTGGCTGTCGCTCCGGGCCCCGCTGATGCTGCTGTGGAGCCCACAACCGTGCTCATACCAGCCAGCCCACCAGAGGGTGAGGAACCGGCACTAGCAGGAAGACCCGTCGCAGCAGCAGCAGCACCGCCTCCACGTCCCATCAGTGCCCTCCGGACTACATTGGCTGCCTGTCGACCGCCCATGCCGCCGCGACCGCCACCCCCGCCCGTCGTGGCGGCCATGACCGGCATGCCCGGTGACGTTGAAGGGCTTACACCGGCCACCCCAACCCCAGCGGCACCACCGCTGCCGCTGGCGGCAACTCCCGCATCTGCAGCACTTGGCGCGGCCTTGGGCGCCAGATTGAAGCTAATCTCGGAACGTTGGCGCTTCTGCTGTGGCTGTAGCTGCTGCGGTGGCTGTTGCTGCTGTTCTTGTCCAGCACTTGTGCTTGAGGCAGCAGCGGCGGCAGCAGCAGCGGGAGCAGCAGCCGTACTCGTGCCCGCCGTCCCAGCGGCGCCCTCAGCCGCATCCTCTTTCGGTGATGCAGGCGCAGACAGCGTGCCCGCCGCTCCCGTTAGCGAAGGTCTACGAGCACCGCCGCGCCCACGCCCCGCCGTTGCTCGTCCACCTGCCGTACGAGCACCGCCGGCTCGCCCGCCGCGCACGGGTCCCATTGCCGCTCGAGGCGACCGAGGAGCGGCCTCATCGGCAGCCATCCTCGTAGCGGTGGTAACGGTCAGAGGCGGTGTTCGGGCACGAAGGGATGCGGGCGAGGCAGTGATGCCTTCGGCTGCCGCTTCTCCCGGTGAGGCCTGAGCAGTCGTTGCCGGCGGCGGCGCCTCTTGGGCGGCAGCAACGGGTGTAGCAGCAGCAGCACCTCCCATGGCGTCAAAATCTGCATCACAAGGAAGTTTAAGCGATAAGAGTTTAGGGGATGCATTGGGTTCACAAGCCAGGGGAGGGCAGAGGCTTTACCGGCGTGCATGGGGCCGACATACATAGGGCCAACAAACAGGCTAGATAGGAAAACAGACACGTGCTGTTGTTGCTCACCAGCTGCAACTTCCGGCACCAGCTCGTCTAGCTCCAGGTCATCCAGTGTGCCGGCACCACCTGCGTGCAGTGGATACGACAGGCAACCGCACGCTTGGGACGCAAGGAACATTATGGCAGGCATGGGACAGCGGGTCCCCGGTATGCGCATATGACAGCATTGGCGCCTACCGGAATTGCAAATTCAATTCAAGGTTCGGACATGGACCGCAAAAAGTGGTGTAATCGTGTCTAGTAGCGAAGGGCTTGATTGTATTTGCGCTTCGCCTGCAAGCGCGTTACCTTCGGTTGTTTGTTGCTGCGCGGGCGCTGCGGCGGCCCCAAGAGACACAAGCGATGTGTGGGAGAAGGCACGCGCTCGCTTGGCCGCAGGCGCTGCATCGGCATCTTCCTGGCTGGCGCCTGCTGCTGCGTCTGCGGCGATCAGATAGGCACAAAGGTGGCTGTCAACATGAGCATGTAACAAGCGACGTGGTGGTAAACGTAAACCTTACACTCGCACCTAAGGCTTCCGGACTAAGAGACTCACAACCACCGTTCCCGTGCAACATGCATCGGAAGGAGGCACATGATGAAGGCCATTCGTCCCCAATTCGGCAACAATACGATACCCTCATAAACAGCAACTCCCCCACGGCAAAGTACAATTGTATTGCACTACCGCACCTGCTGACGTGCCAGCTCCTGCCGTACCACCTGCGGCTTCGCCGTCAGCCGTTGCATGGGGTGCGGTGTCGTCCACTGGTGGAGTCATCTGGCGCTTGCGGGTATTGGTGGTGGCGGCGAGCGCCTGCAAGCAAGAACATGACGTAAGAAATACCCCCAGTTAGTGCACATGCAGGAAGCTGGTTTAGGTGACATGAGGCCTCTCAAGGCCATTCCCCTGACCACCTGGTCATACACCGGTACACATGCGCATGTCCATACCCTGGTTGCTAAGATACCATGCTCTGGCTTGCAGCCAGTATAAGAAATCCTAGCGTGCCTTGCGTTACGGCTGATACCATAAGACGCACCGGTGTTTTAAGGACATGTAAGTACAGGCACACGCACCTGCATCCTGAGCGCGGCAAGGTCGGGGTCCTCTTCATCATCCATCTCCGAGCCTCCACCGCTCCCGCCGTCGCTGCCGCCATCATCGCCACCCTCACCCTCGTAATCTTCGTTGCCCTCGCCCTCGCCCTCCTCCTCCTGCATCTGCTCCCGCTGCGCCTCAGCAGGCGGCTGCTCCTCCTCCTCCATTGCTGCCGCATCCGCAGCAGCGCCCTCTGCTGCCGCCGCTGCGTCCGCTGCCGCCGCCGCAGCGTCCCTAGCGGCAGTTGCAGCTTCCAAAGCCATCGTGGCAGCAGCCAGCGCAGCTGCGGCTGCCGCCTCGCCCTCTCCCTCCGTCTTTTCCCCTTGCTGCCCCTCCTGCTCTGGCTGCTTTTGGGGTTGTTCCGCGTCACCCTCGCCACCCCGCGACTCTCCGCCGTCCACACCGGCAGCCTCGCCCTCCGCACCCTCGCCGCCCTCGCCCTCTCCGCGACCCTCCTCGTCCGCAGCACCCTCCCCCTCGCCATCACCGCTGCCCATATCGCCTTCTTCGTGCTCCTCCTCCTCTTCGCCTTGCTGTTGTTGCTCACCACCTGCTGCAGCAGCCTTGTCCGCTGCTCCTGCCGTCTCTTTGCCGCCTCCTTCCTCCGCAGCCTCAGCCTCGCCCTCATCGCCCGCCGCAGCAGCAGCTCCTTCAGCGTTGCGGTCGCCCTGCTCCTCTTCCTCCTCCTCCGCAGCCTCCTCCTCCTCCTCCCCATCAGACGCGCCCTCACCGGCTGCGGTGGCCGCCGCCGTCTCATCTTCCTGTTGCTCTACAAGTTCACCCTGCTCCGGGGCCTCCTGCAGAGGAAAAGACATCGGTGGGTTACAATCAATTGAAAAGATTGTGTCGCCAAGCTGCCGTAGGCCAACGGGCAATGAAGCTGCTGCTAGTTATAACCTGTTTCCCGCTGGCCAGTGAGTGCACCCCGGCAGTAGCGGTGCGACAGCGGCAAAATTTCATGAGCAAAACGCCTCGGAGTTGCAAGGAAAGGACGGGAACATGCGAGCTCTTGCACAATCGCGCAGACCTCACCTGACCAACCACACCCTCCTCGCCGCCCTCCTCCCCTTCTTCCGCCGTCTCCGCCCCCGCCCCGGCCGCCTGCTCCTCCTCATCTTCATGTCCCTCCATCTCCTCCTCCGCACCCTCCTCAGCATGCTCCACAAGCTCCCCTTCCTCATGTGCCTCGTCAGCCGCCGCCGCTGCCGCGGCCGGTGACCTTGCCAACGCCGCGACCCCAGTAGCCGCCTCCGCCGCGTTGGCCATCTCAGTGTCTGCTTCCGGTGCCGGAGCAGCCGCAGGTGTCGTATCCTCCTGGGCTACGATGGCGGCATCCGCTGCTGCTGCCGCCGGCGCCGTGTCTGCAAGCGCTGCCGGATGGGGTGGCGGATGCGCCTCCGCTTCCGCCGCCGCATCACCCATGGTTATGTCCACGTCGGCTGCAACCGTCGTTGCCGGCGCAGCAGCCGGGACAGCAGGAGTTGTCGAGGGTTGCTGCGTTGCTGCCGCTGGTGGCAGGGGGCCCGTGACGCCCGCTGCTACTGCCGCGGCTGCTGAGTTGACACCTTGTTCCGCTCCGGCGGCGGGCGGGGCCTCGCCGCCGGCCGCATCTGGAGAGGTAACGCCGGACAGCGCCTGTTGGGCAATCGACTGCTGCGGCTGCGGTTGCTGTGAAGGGTTTGGAAAGGAAATGGGCGCCCTCCGGGGTGGCCGAGTTGGCACAGCAGGCGCCGCCGCCGCTGCAGGTTGACTTGCAACCGTTGCAGCGGTGGCTGGCACCACGGTGGCAGCAGGAGCAGGCTCGGCTGCCGGTTTCGCGGGAGCTGCCGCAGCGGCGGTTGGAGCGGGAACTGTAGTCGTAGCGGCGGCGGGAGCAGGTACTGTAGTCGCAGCGGTGGCTGGGGCCGCGAGAATGGGAGTGCGGATGTGCGGCGGCAGATTGGCCTGAGCGAGGTTAGTAGCCTGCTGTTGTTGCTGTTGTTGGTTCTGAGCAGCCTTGGAACGGGCTCGTGCACGCTCAAGACGCTCCGCCTGCTCCCGGACCTTGGTTTCGGAAGCGGCCACTGCAGAGCCATAAGCAAAAGGCAACAGGGGGTACATGTGCCTTGTAAGTACCAGGTGAATTAACAAAGCGTGAGAGAAAGCCGACACATGAGGCGGAGCAGCCGAAGTGTGCATGCAAAAGAGCTGCGCAATGCAATAAAACAACAGTATAAGCCGACGGAAGACACCCTTCTCAATAAGGTTGCTTACATTCATCGCGCACAGTCTTCAGCTGCTTCTCCAGCTCGGCAATTCTAGCCGCCGCTGCCTTGCCGGAGGTCGTGTCCGCTGCTCGGCGGCTGCGCTCCTCCTCCAGGGCCTTATTGGCGCCCTCCAGGGCCGTACGGGCGGCCTGGAGCTCTCCGTCCAGTCGGGACTTCTCCGCCAGAAGAGCCCGGTGCCGCTCCTGGAGCCTGTGCGGGCAGCAAAGTGAACACCAGATGGGCAGGAAAACAGGATGCTAGGCGGGTCTTATGCACCGTGCCTTCCGCACCACACGATTACGCCAAGAGAACTGCTTTGCTAAGCCCTTCCGCACCCGCTCAGCTATCCGCATCTCACTCCCAGTGCATGCAAAGCGGTGCATTACACTCCGCGCAACATCATCCCCTTTCCTCTTACTTTTGCAGGTGCGTCTTCAGCTTGTTGTTGACCTCCACCTGTGACGCCGCTGCGTCTTCCCGAGCCTTGGCGGCGGCCGCCTCCGCCGCCGCCGCCTTGTCGTTGGCCGCCGCCGCCTCCTCCCGCGCCGCCGCCAGGTCCTTCGCCGCCGCCTCCGCGCCTGCCATGGCCTCCCGGTGCCGCCGGATGAGCGCGTTGTGGCGAGTGCGCAACTCGGCGTGCTCCTTGCGCTGCGGGAGATGCGGGGTTGCGCCACGGTATACGGAAGCAGATGTGTGTCATGAGGCTATGGGAGTAGAAAGCAGTAATGGAGATCTACCAGAAAGAAGGGATGTTGCAGGAAATGAAACAAGCATTACAAAATGGGATTAGGGATGCTCTAGCAATTCAGCTGATGCAGACAGTCATGTGCGCGGGGCTCCTCCTCCTAGGCGCCCCCTGTCTCACCGCCTTCTCGGCCTCGGCATCCGCTGCCTCCCGCGCCGTCCGTGCCTCCGTTAGCTGCCCCTCCGCCGCCTCCCGCGCCGCCTGCGCCGCCTTCAACTGCTCCTCCGCTGCCGCCAATTCGGCCTTCACCGAGGCATGCTCCTCCAGAGTCACCTTGCCGTACCTGAACGTGCATGGTAAAGGCTCCCGTAGTTAATGGTATCCCTGCCTTCTCCTAGCACCCCAAAATACCTACAGGGTTTCAAAGCTGTACAACTATCAGTCTTGTCCCTTCAGCTTGCATAGCGCTGCATATGTGACCAAGTGGCCATGGACACATGAATGTCACGGCGGCGTCCCCACCCGCCCACAAGGGTGCCCGTCTACTCCACATTGCCCGCCCCGCCCTCCTCCTGCCCTCCAACTCTCTCTCCACACACACACACACCTGCTCATCAGCGCATCGTACTTATCCCGCCACAGCGCCTCCCCGCGCCTGTGTGCATCCAGCTGCGCCTGCAGCCCCGCCAGCCCCGCTGCCGCCTCGCGCTGACCCGCCTCGCCCGCGGCGGCACGCTGCTCCGCGGAGACCAGCAGTGACCGCAGCCGCTCCGACTCTGAGAGTGGGAGTGGTGGGAGTGGGGTTGAGGGCGAGGGGTTGAGGGTGAGGGTAAGCATGCGTGAGGAGGACGAGCGAGGTAGGATAAGTGGATCAGAGCAAAGGAGCAGGACGACACCAGGGCCCGCGGAGGGCCACAGACGCAAGCCCAAACCGCTGTCCGTGCAATTATGCAGCTTTGTACGACCGACAACTCCCCCCAGCCTGCCCACACCTACCCGCTCTTGCCGCCTCCAGCTCTCCCCTCAGCTGTCCCTGCGCCAGCCGCCTCGTGTGCTCCTCCGCCTCCAACGTGTGGATGCGCGCCTGCAGGTCGGCGCGACTGGTCACCAGCGAGTCCTGCAGCGCGCCCATCTGCGCGCGCAGTACGGCAGCCTGCTTGACGGCGTTGTCGCGCTCCTCCCGCAGCTTGTTGCGCTCTGACACCAGCAGGTCGAGCTGCGCGGTGGCCAGCGCCTTGTCGCGGCCCAGGTAGTCCATCAGGGACTGCATGCGAGGAGTAGAGTGGGGTGGAGGTTGGGGTGGAGGTTGGGCCGGGTAAGGGAACAGCTGGCGAAGAATTCGGGAGCGGCACGATGGTAGAGTTATGGACGGATGGCCATGTGCCTTGCGCCGTGAGCCCGTGACCGTGCAGCACTCCCATCTGTCCATCCCCTGACTTATCCCACACATATCACGGTACCGCGTTTCTTCTTCTTCTTCTTTCCCTCATCCTGCTTCCACCCGCACCTTGTACTGCTCCGCCGACATGCCCATCATCTCGTGGTGGCTGCCCGCCAGCACGCCCCGCACCGAAGCAAGCAGCTGCTCCGAGGCAGCCGCCCGCTCCGCCGCACGAGCCTCCGCGGCAGCAAGGTCGGCGGACAGCGACTCGCGCTCCCGTTCGGCAGCCGCAAGCCGCTCGTCCACGCCGCTGAGGGCGGCGGAGAGGTCCGACTGGGGAAAGGAGTGTTGGGGTTTGGGAAGGGGAGAACAGGGTGTGAGATGGCATGGGAGTTGATGGGCTTCTTAACGCACAGTGGTGATTGAGTTGACCGCTAACCGAGGAAGAGGAGGAGGACGACGGGTGTGAAGAGGCCCCCGCCTCCATGCACCTTTCAGCCTAGGAAGCTAGGGCGCTCGCCATACCTCCCATACCGTACCCCAGCCACGTTCGTACCTCCAGGCGGTTCACGGTCGCCTGCGTCTCCTCCAGCTTGGTCTCAGCCGCCTGCAGCGCCGTCACGTCGCGCGCGTGCGAGGCAACCGCCTCCTCGTAGCGGCTGCGGTACTCCCGTACGGCAGCCTGGGAGGAAGAAGAAAGATGGATTTATGGGCATAACGGGAAACTGCTTCAAAAGTACGGGTTCACGTACGGAAGGCAGCGATAGGAGGACAAACCGGAGCATCTGACATGAAGGTCTCGCTACTCCACACACGCACCTATGGCGGCATCCAGGTGGTCATTGCACGAAAGGAGCGCCGCAGCTCAGCTAATACACCTGCTACACTCCGCCCCACCCGACCCACAACGCCCCATCCTACCTGTAGGCGGGCAATGTCCTCGTCCGCGCGGCTCCTCTGGCTGACCCGGTCCGCCAGCTCCCGGCCCAATCGCTCCACCTCAGCACCCAACCGAGCTGCCTCCGCCGCAGCCGCAGCCGCCGCCTCCTCATGCTGTGCTCGCAAAGCAGCCAGCGCGGCAGCGGTCTCCGCAGCTGAGGCCTCTGCGGCGGCTAGGGAGGCCTGCAGCTCCGCCCGGGCTGCCTCCGCCGCCTCCGCTGCTGCCACCGCAGCCGCCTGCTGCGCCGCCGCGCTCTCCCGGAGCTGCTCGTGGGTGGTCTCTAGCGCTGCAAGTGCCGACCGCAGCGAGTCCAGGGCGGCGGTGCGGGCGGAGAGCTGCTCGCGGGCGCTCTCCAGGTCCGCCTGAGGCAGCAGCAAAGTAAGGAAGGAGTAATGATGGTATAGAGAAGCGGCGTCAAAAGTAGCTCTCGCGGACATGTAGAACATAAGCTTGGCCCTGCTAAGACCCCGTAGTCCAGACGTCTCGACATCAAGCGATGCACATGAGGAGGGCGCCCCTCAGGCTCATGTACCCCAGCACCTTCAGCCTGCCTCTCCCACACGCCTCACCTGTGTCTCTCGCAGTTGCGCCTCCACGTCCCGCAGCCGCTGCCCCTCCACCATATCCACCGCCGCAGCAGCACCCCCACGTGCCGCCGCCAGCTGCCCACCCAGCTCCGAAACCTGGGTCTGCAGCTCCGCCACGCGGCCGTTCAGCTCCGAAACCTGGTTCCGGGCCTCCCCGAGGGTGCGCTCCGCCTCATCCCTCGCGCGGCGCATGTCTGCTGCCTCCTCCCGCACCTCCCGGAGCTGCGCGGTTGCAGCCTCCAAGGAGTGGTGGAAGAGGTTCTGCTGCCGCTCGTGGTCCTCACGCAGGCGAGTCAGCTCGGACTCCAGGCCGCTGCAACGGCGCTCCATTTCGCGCTCACGTTGGGCGGCAGAGGCCTCGCTGCAGGGCAATGCAAAGGGGGTGCGTTAGGGCCATGCGGATGAGGATGCGTTAAGGACACCCGCTCTCGGAGCTTGGATGCGGACCCTGGCGCGCAGGAACTCAACCCCGGAACCCTAGTTCAAGCACGGGCCCCTTTCCCCCACTGTAGCCTCACCTGGAGCTCTTGAGCTGCTCCGCAACGCGCGCCTCCGCCACCGCGCGGTTCCGCTCTCCCTCCGCCAGCCCCAGAGTGGATCGCGCCTCCTCCAGGGCGGCGGTGGCGGCGGCCAGGCGCGCCTCCAGCACCACCTGCTGCTCCGAGCGGGTGCGCAGCTGCGCAGGGCGAAAAGGAGGGGGGGAGGAGTGATAGGGCAGGCAAGATGTTTGGAGTGCATCATTGGGTATAAAGCCACAGCGGTGGGATCCAGCCACATGCCTTCCCCTGCCTACCGGTATCATCGGCTCCACACCGACCCCACACCCTCCCCCTTCCTCCCGTTGCCCCCCACCTGCGCCTGCAGCTCCTCCAGTCCCCGCTGCGCCGCCTCCGCCCGGTGCTGCGCCGCCGTGAGCAGCCCCCCCAGCTGCGCCTTCTCCGCCGCCAGCGCCGCACGCACCGCCATCTCGCTCTCCCGCAGCGCCTCCAGATGCGTGCAGCGCTGCCGCCAGTCCTCCGCACGGCCCGACTGAGGAAGGAGATGGGGGAGGGAGGGTTTTGGCAGAGGCGAGTGGCAACATAAGGGACATATTCCAGAAGTAACGGGCAAACAGTGCAGTGAACAGGGAAGAGGAAGCGATGCAGGAAGGTGGGAGAGAGAGGCAGTCGCTAGGTAAACAGCAGTGGTGGATGTCATCTCGCTGCCCCGCTGTCTCTCACCTGACGGGAGGATTCGGCGGTGGCGGAGGCCAGCTTGTCACGTAGCTCATGAACCTTTCGAGGGGAGGTGCCGGGCGTGGGAAGTGCGGCAAGTCAGTGGAGGGAACGGAAGCAGCTTGTAGGTTTAGGTAGGTGACACCACAGGACGACACGGGCACGCAATAAATATAGCCGTAAGCCCAGCGATTCAGGAAAAGCCATGGCGCATGTCACAGCGGAAAGAAGTCCCGGTGTGTTCAGCGGCAGTAGCACACCTGCGCCTGCATCGCATCCGCCATGGCCTTCGCCTCCTGCCGCGTCTGAGACAGCTCCTCCCGGGCCTGAGCTAGCGCCGCCGCCATTGCCTCCGCAGCCGCGCCGCCGTTGTCACCCGCCGATGCATCCCCTGCGGGCGCTGCCGGCGGCGCCGGCGTGCCTCCCGGCGACGCTGCAGCCGCAGCAGAGTTCGCTGCCGCGGCCGTGGCTGCCTCCAGCTCTGTGACACGTGCCTTGAGGTCGTTAATCCGGGCGGTTGAGTGGTTGGCGGCCTCGCTCAGCTCGACGATGATGCGGTTGAGCTCCGCGATCTCGCCCCTGTGCGCCCATAGCCCGCCAGACAGCAGCACTTGAGGTCAGAAAAATACGGTATTGCGGGGCGAGCGGTCAGTTCACGTCAACGCCAAGAACCAAACGGCACGCACTTCGGATTGCCGACGCACCGCACAAATACAGCGTTTTGCACTTACTTGTATCCCTGCTCCCTGCTCGCAAACTGCTGCGCCACGTCCTCCGCGACCTCCGCGCGACTGCGCTCGCTGTCCCGGCCCAGCTGCCGCACCAGCGCTAGCAGCCGCCTGGGGACGGAGGTTGGGTCGGAAGAGGCCAATTGGGCGCGTGTAGGAACTGGGCAAGCAAATGGTGCGGAAGCGAGCGAGACAGCTAGACTACCGTAGCTGCCGACAAACAAGGGAGCGACCATAGTCAGCACGAAACCCCGCCCAAGACAACTGCAACAATGACTCCCAAACCAGGACGACGACCAAGAGCGCGCCAGAATTCACGTCCTAGCGCCTTGTGCCTCCTCATCCTCCCCCAGTTCCCCAATCCCACACTTGCTTCCTCCTCCATCCCTCCTCCCGCACCGCACCGCACCCCACCTGTTCTGCTCCACCAGCTCATCCAGCGAGCGGAAGGTGACGAGGCGGCTGCTGATGACGTCACGTGCGTTCAGCAGCAGCAGCTGGTCCGCACTCAGACCCCCACCTGCGGCCCCCGCCAACACCATGTCGGCGCCGCTGCTGCCGCCGCCAGCACCACCGGCGGCGCCTCCGCTGCTGCTGCGCGCAATGGGGTTGCCGCTCAGCCGCTGAACCTCCTCCACCAGCGCCTTCACCTGGGGTGCGGAGCAGGGCGGAAGCGACCGAATGTAAGGAATTTATCAAAGGGAATCCATGAGCGTGTGGCGTGCTTCTTCATTGCTGTCGGAGCTGCCAGCTTCCTTTCCAGCCGTATACCGTAACTTGGGCAGATATCCCACATCCAGTGCGCTTGCTCAGTGTGTCCCCTCCGCTAACCCAGTCCTCCCCCTACCTGCTGGCTGAGGTCACGGATGGTCTGCTCCTGCGCCTGTCCCTCCGACTCCTTGCGCTCCAGGGAGGCCTGCGCTGCCGCCAGGGAGGCCTGCAGCCGCCGGTTGGACTCCTCCATGCCCGCAACGGTGGCCTGAGGGACGCAGAGGGGGAGAAGGACGGGGATGGAGGCATGAAATAAGTCGGGTCAGCGCTAATAATGGGGTTCACATGAGTCGTCCCTACGATGCTCACATTTATACAAGCTAAGGATCAGGAGGGGCTACGAGGAAGGTGCGCGGTCAGCAGCGCCCCGGCCCGCCCACCCACCATGGCCCTGTCCAGCGCCTCCCGCATCTTGTCCGCCTCCTGCTGCTGGTGCTGCTGCAGCGCCATCTTGGCCTCCAGGTCCGCAGCGATGCTCTCCATGTAGCTGTTCAGCCGCCGCACCTCGGAACGCTCCCGGTGGAAGGCGTCTTGCTGTGGTGATGATGGGAGGATGTGACGGGGCGGGAGGAAGTCGTGAAGGAGCGCTCCGCAACAAACATAAGCATCACCGAAAGCCCGTTTCCTTTCCCCAAGTTCATGCCCCAGCGAAACCGAGCCACCTCTCAGCTCTCACCATGTCTTGATACATGCTCCAAACCTCCATGATGCTCTTCCCCTGCAGCACCTCCCCGCCAATCACCACCGCCGCCGGCGTCATCAGCCCGGCAGCCGCCACCACCCCCGAAGGCGTCCCTGCTGAGTGGAGAGCAGCAGCAGGCGTCATGGGATCGGCCTGCATCCCGCCGGCCCCGCCGCTGCCGCCTACCGCGGCTGCATTTGCCATCGCCGCCGCCGCAGCTGCGGCCACCTCCGGAGAGCCCGGCGGCAGCGCGTTCGTGAGCATGGTGACGTCTCCGGACGTAAGCGCTGCTGCCATGACGTTATTTAGGTGCTGCAGCTGGGCCCTGTGTCGCTGCGCCGCCTGCTCCGAAGCCGACTGCAGCTCCTCCAGCTTTGTGGCAGCCTCCTCGGACAGGACTTGCAGACCCTGGGGGTTTGTTACGAACACCAAGGATTTGATACCGTTACAACATACGGGAACCGGGAAGATAAGTATCGTAGGTCCCCTTCCTCGTGCCACCGCAGGCGAGCACAGGAGGCCCGCTCCCCTGCCCGCCAAGGCCCCACCTGCATCTGCCCCTGCACCTCCAGCAGCTGCGCGCGCAGAGCCGCGGCCTCCGCCTCCGCCGCCTCCCGGGCTGCCTGGTGCTGCGAGGCCAGGTGCTGGTACTCGGAGGCCTGGAGTCAGGGAGGGAAGGTCGCAGGTAACGAGGTAAGCGACAAGGGAAAGGGGACCAGGAGGAGGATGGAGGTCTAGCTGCGCATAAGGCGGGAGGAACGCTTGGGCAGTCAGATGCCGACCCTCGTCCAAGCAAGCCCAACAGCACCCCAAAGGTGCCCAAGTTCACACCGACAGTCCGCTCCTAGCCCACCTGGCGGCGCCAGTGCTCCTCGCTGTCAATCTTGGCCTGCTCCTGGTCGTGAGCTTGCCTGCGGGTGCCGAGCAAGGACATGGGGTGCAAGTTCGATCCTTGGCAAAAGGGGCTCGTCTGGGGCACCATGCAATGCGGGTAGTGCATGCAAGCAACTGGTGGCTACGTGCACAACCACTTGGGCCTTCCATATGCCCGGCGTGGCTGACAGGAAGCGAGCTAGCGAGCCAATAGCCAACAACACACCCTTGAACCCCACACCACCCACTTGCGCGCATCCCGCAGGAATCCCTCCATCTCCCGCAGCTGCGTCTCCAGCTGCTTGCGGGCGCCATCCGCCACCTGGCTGCCGTACTCGAGCTCCGAGACCCGCTGCCGCAGAGCCAGGATGTCATTAGAAGACCGCCTGGGGACATGAAGGTTGAGGGGCATGGCTAGGGTTGGCTAGGAACGCAGGACATACCTTGGTTGCGGAGGCACATTTCGCTGTGACGGGTGCGCAAGAAACGTCGCAGCCCGTAAAGCGATAAACCCACACCATCGTGCCTCAGTCAACCAGCTGCCCTGCATGAGTCCTCAGTCGCATCGAGGCATCACCCGCGCCCCATCACCCCATGTCCCCCCACACGGGAACCAGACGCACCTCTTGTCCTCCAGCAGCGCATTGTTCTTAGCATCCAACTCCTCCTCATACAGCTTCAGCTTGCCCTCCCAGTACTTGCGCTCCTGCGGAAACGGAACACGCACAGCGATGGCAACAGCGGGGATGGCAGCGGCATTAAGCTTATGCGGAGCTAAAAGACTAGCTGGGTGGCAACCCGGCAATGGACTAGCAGCATATGACAGAGGCGCACCGGGACTTGTCATTCTTTGTCCGGCTTACCGGTAGCCAACCTAGAGAGATCCCCAGCCGCTTCACCCAGCCCTTCCGTGCATTACCCGTGTATCCGTACCACCCCAACCCCTCTCCAAGAATCCTCACAGGATCACATAATCCACGGCTCTTTGCACCCCAAAGGCGGGTTACAGGTCGGCCGCAGCCCCACCTGGTCATACTGGGTTTGTAGCAGCTGCAGCTGCAGCCGACTGTCGCTGCTGCTGAGGGACGTTTGGAGCGTCCGAACAAGGTCCGTGAGCTCCCCCTTCTGGCGGGCCAGAGCTGCCACCTCCTCGTCCTTTGCGTTCAGGACGGTCTTGAGGCTCTCCAGCGACTGCAGGGCGTTGCTGCGCTGATCTGTTGCCGCGCTAAGGGCCCCCTGGAGCTCGTCCACTGCGCGCTGCTTAGCCCGGAGCTCCTGGCTTACGTGCGCCAAGTCTTCCTGGACCTAAGCAGCGGAATGGCAACGCAACGGCAGGGACAGGAGCCGCAGTCAGCGGACCCCACGAATTCCGTATTGGAGGCGCACGTCGGGTTCCCATCGCACCTTGGACCGCTGCTGCGATTCCGTTTCCAGCTTGCTGACGCGCTCCTGTAGTTCAGCCCTTTCTGTCGCCCATCTCTCCTCATCACGTTGATAGCGCTACAGGGGTGTGCCAATTCCCAGTAAGTTGCGTGCAATTACCATGAAAGCAATGAACAACTATAGGCGCTTGCTTGGACTCACCTGGATTGCAAGCGAGTAGGACATCTCGTTTGCCTCCATCTGCATTGAACATGTATAAGACAGCCCATTAGAAACTGCAGCGCTGGCTGTCATTGAAGATCGCGTAGCCGGCGCTGCCCCACACCTGCGCGTTCGCAGCCTGGAGGGCTTGCTCCAGGTCTGCTACACGGCGTTCCATAACTGCCATCGTTGCTGGAAACGAAGGCCGTGACGAAGCTCAGAACATTAACTTGCGCGCCAAATGTCCAAGAGCCAAAATTATCCCAGTTAACTCATACTCTCAGCCGGTGCTGCTAATCGATTTATGCGTTTAAATAAGCTAAGACGAGGGCTGTCGGAACAATACGCTTTCGACTTGAACAGCAGGGCTTCAGGCCAAACTTGCAAACCACCCGATCAACTGCGTGTTTGTATTATCGGAATGGAAAACCATTAGCGTATGGTTATGAAGTTGTTTGGCTATTTTCAGGCCCCCACCAGCGTACGGCATTTTATGTCACCGACAGCCCCTCATGGTACCTCCCCATACGCGGACCCGCTTCATTGGGCGCTGCAGGGCTGGAGACAATGTGTCGGGTCAATCTGAGGGGGTTGCACGGGAGATACCCAACACCATCAGGACCCCAGACCCCGCAATGCACGGTTCTTAAGGGCGCTCTTTTAAGTCAGCGTGGTCGGGGAAACACAGCAAGCGCCTGTCATGCCAACTACTAGCCGCTACTGCAGGTGTGGTTACTGTCCTTACCGCTGCATGGGCTGGCTACAAGATGCAGTTGGGACCTACCCCAAAGGATGGATGCAGCGCTGTGTTAGCCCGGACGCACCCCACGCTTATACCGGTAACAGCACGTGTTTACAGTAGTAATCCAGGCCAGGGCCATACTAGCAGCAGTGTAACACCCATACAGAACAGTGAAGTTGGTGAAGCTTGTCCGCAAACAATTCTCAGTTTACGGCATACGGCATGTACAGTTAACGAGTCCCACAGCCGTCTATGTCCGCCAGTCACACATACCGGTAAATGCAAGTACGTTGAATGCACGTTCGGGACGCATTTGTGGGCCACCAAACACGGGGCCCGCCACACTATCAGGACCAGAAATCCGCTTTCAGGCGTTAGCCGGCAGATTCCCAAGGTACCCTATTTGAAACAACAAGTAAAACGTTTTCCCCTGCCCAGACTAGTTTCATTGCAACATAAATACCTTCCTGTCATACAGGCAAAAGTGGAGCCTGCCAATGCCGACACCACACCAGTTTAAGCTAGTAAGAGCCATAGTATCAAGATTGGACAAGGACAGACTCCCTAACAGAGTCACATACCTCCGCATGAATGCACCTCCATGCACAAGACGGCGCACGGGTAAACCGAAAGACCTTCAATACGAGGTTGCGGATCCCAACTCGTGCGCGTGCACCTAACCAGATGAGCAACGAGCGTCTACCTTCGAGCGTCCACATGAAGTAAAACATTGGTGCGGACCAATGTACCGGATGGTCAGTGTGCCGCTAACAACCAGAACAGCAACAGTTGGGTCCCAAATGCCCGTCGCAAGGCCCATGTACGGGGATGGTTCACTAGTGAACCATGGGTCACGCCTGTTGAACCGCTTCCAACCTCTACCGGGCTGGCGCTGGCAGTCGTTAAATGCTGCAAACAATGTTGCAACTGAGCCCATGACATCACGTGCATTATCTAGCAAAACCGACCCATCTAACTCAAGTGACTATGACAGATGAATGAGAAAGCAGCACTTCGGACTGTGAAGGTGCCGCATGCTTTGCCAGTCCTCCTCCACCTCCGCGACCGCCATGTAGGCAACACAAGGACACATCCTCGTTCGCAACCCGTAGCCGGACTCTCCGTGTGTCCCTCTCGCCAGCGAACACCGACCCGCCTACCTACTATCCCAGCCCTACACACCAGCGCCCTTAGCACCACCAAACCCTAATACTACCACCAAACCCTGATACCTCCTCAGCTCCTATGCATGCGGCGCAGCCGGACGGGCTCTTCAACCGCCCACGGTGCCCGTGCCATTAGCGATGGCACCGTTGCCGCAGACGCCACACGCCGGGCCCTTCCCGGCCGCAACCACCGAAATATCCACAGCAGCCAGGGAGTGCTGACGTGTCGCACCCAGCTTGGCGTCTTCAGCCGCGCGCTCCTCGGGCGAGCCAGGCAGGTACTTTCGCAGCTCAGGCTCCACATCTTCCTCCAGCGTCCAGGCCAGCTCGTCAAGCGCACCTCGTACCCGCCACATCTGCTCTGCTAGCGGCTTGACCTCGTCCTGCCAGCCGCGCAGCATGCGGTGGTTCTCCTCCAGCTGCCGTACGGATGCGGGCACGGGTTCAAAGGTAGGGGATAAGGGTGGAGGGGTGGGGTAAAAGGCAGGTTGAGAGACGGGGTGCAGCATGTAGCTGGAGGAGTAGCGTGATAGGAAGGGCGGCCACAGCGCGGCCTCCCATGCGTGTTCCTATCGGACATAATCACCGTTTCTCCACGTTTCCCCACTTGCGGAAGACCTGGAGCCTAGCAGTTCTCCTTTGTACGACGAGAAGTCGAGAACCGCTTACATGCCCCCTTTCATGGCGCCACCACCTCAACGCCACATCCAAGCTCCCCACCTTTTCTAACTTGAGAGGCACCTCATCCGCCCGCAGCAGCTCAGCCAGCTGTGCCAGCGTATCATGCTGCACCCGCAGCTCCCGAGCGCGAGCGCAGCCCGCAGCCGCACGCGTGAGGGCCTCCTGCGCCGCCACCAGCGCGGAACTGTCCGTCGCTACTAAGGCAGTCACGTTCAGCGATCTGAGTGACGTGGAGGCCGCCACCAGACCCACGGCATCCGTGTTCTGCCTGTGTGTTGAAGCAAAAGCGCCCATGAGGAAGCCGTTTCCGCCGCTCCGTAACGTTTCAACGCTTTTGGGCGGGGGCTTGAAGGGCTGCGACGGCACGTAGCCGGATGCGGAGTGTGAGGGCTGCGTTACGGTGGGCGTCGCAAGGCCCGCCATGGGAACGGAGGGTGAAGCCAGCACGCCATCCAAGGTAGGCGACCGAAGTTGGCCTTCGGTGACTGCTTGTGACTGTCGCTGCGCCTGCGGAGACGTAGGCTCGCAGCCGTGTGTCGATGACCCAAGGGTCGGTGGTGTTCCAGTTGGCGCGTGTGAGGGCGGCGTCACCTCCGCAGCCCCAGTTACGTGCATGTCGGACAGCGAGGCCTCGCCGCAGACAAGTCTCCGCCTCGACGCAACCGTGGCCGCTGCTGCCGGCATGGCCTTCTGCTGCACCAGCTCCCAGCCTGCCGGGCTGCCTTGCGGCTTGGGCTCCTCGCTGGCTCGCGGCTTCGCTTCCTCCTCGCCGGTCATCTTTACATCGACGAAGGAAGCCGCGCCGCTGCCGCCACCACCGCCGGCGGCCCCACCGTCCGCCTCGCCACTGATCTGCACCTCCACAGTCGGTCCTCCCGCTGCTGCCTCTGGGCTAGTGCTAGTGCGACCGATGTGCACTGGCGGCAGTGGCTGGTCGAGCCCATGTCCCGAACTGAACACGCGATTGTACATCCTTTGCCAGCTTCGCCCAAAGCTGCCGCGAAAAGCAGCTAGCCCTAGACTACCGGCAGCAGAACCAGCAGCGGGCTCTCCGCCGCTACCGCCGTCAGCACCCCCATTGCCACCGCCGCCACCGCCGCCCGCAGCGTCTGGAGCGCCTGTACCAACCGCACTAGCCAGCGCCGTGTGCATGGCGGTGACGCTGCCAGTTCTGTGGTGGCCCTGGGATTTGAGGTTCCGTACGGCCTGCAGGGCCGCATTAAAGAGGCCGATGGGCCTGGAGGGGCGGCCTATGGCGGGCAGCCCGCCGCCACCGCCGCCGCGATCCAGGGCGGTTCGAGCGGCGGCGAGATCCCTGCGGACATGCGAGAGCTCCCGCTCCGACGCCTCCTCACCCTTCTGCAACTGTGATACGACGTCATCCAGCGCCTCCTCGTACCTGCGAATAGGAGTCCGAATCCAGGAACCAAACCTCAATCCCCAAGGCAGCATTTGGACTGGAAGCAAGACGCCACATGCATGGTGCAGCTGCGAGAAACGCCAACTAGCGCGAGTGCACAGCAAAGCCCCATCCACTTCCGTGCCCACCAGGTCTTGGCCCGCACGCCACACTTACGCCTCCAGCTCTGCCTTAAGTTCTCGAAAGTCGGGACACACGAGGGAGCTGCGGCTGACAGCGGCCTGGAAGCTCTTGTACTGGGCCCAGTCGTTGGAGAAGTTGCCGCCGATTACCGCAATGGGCAGCGAGATGATCACCATACAGAGGAGCATGGAGGCACCCGCGATGAATCTGTGGTTGCCCCGCCCGGACCAGGATCAGCGGGAATTAGGAAGAGGCCATCGAGCGGAGGAGGTATGGAGGGTTTCACGAGACTCAACAAGTTGCATGGGTCGAGCAATGCGCATGCAGCCTGGGTGCACATGAGGCTGGGTACGACGACAGGACTGTGTAGGGGTGCCTCGTAGCCCGTTACTTTATCCTACCTGCCCCAGGGTGTGACCGGGTAAACGTCGCCGTAACCGGTAGTAGTTAGCGTCACCTGCGCATAGTACATTGCCTGCAGGACCGTATCATCAGAAAAAGCAACAAAGGGGTGACGAGAGACAGCCCGGTGCATTTGACATGCGGCTACAGAAACGGGCGAGGCAGCGGTAGATCAGTCGTAATAGCTGCTGCAAAGATGGACAGCAGTAAAGCAACAGCCAGCGTGCAGGGCCAGACATCGCCCACCTGCGGAATGCTGTCAAAGGTTTCCGGCTCCACAAAGTAAAAGATGCTGCCAAACACCACCAGCAGCACCGTCAGCAGGAATGCCAGCATGGACAGCACGGCGGCGCTGGACCGCAGGGTCTCCACCACGATGGTTAGGTGGCGGAGCCTGCGGCAGGAGAGGCGGACCAACCAAGACGAATGGTTACTGTGGTTCCAATTGCTATGCGGCGTGCCGCATGCAGGCATGCTTCTGCGTTTGATGAAAACTGGCCGCATGCCTCTGTGCTTATGTGTGCCTGTGTCTCAACTGCAGTAAGGAGTTTGAGGCGGCGCCTTTGGCGATGCCCAATGCGTATTGAATTGCCCAGGTTTTCGAGGCATAGCGAGGGTGCTTACATTTGGCGGACCTCTGCGGTTCAACAACATCGGAACAACGCGTAGGGTACATACAACAGCATGATACCCTCCTCCCTCAAGGAAACCACACGTTCCACTCACTTGGGTATGCTCTTAACGATGCGGAGCACTCGAAGGATGCGGAGCAGTCGTACAACACGCGTCTGGAAGGCCTCTGCTGGCGGCAGGCGTGAGCGGGGCCACAGCGCAGGCAAGCGGTCAGGTGGCAGATGGTACTGGTGGCATGGAGAGGAACGCCATGACGCAACTAACCCGGCAAACGCGCGTCTCACCCACCCTACGCCGTCTCAAGCAACGTGCAAAGGGACTCACCAGGTACACATGCTCACGTCAGCCCCTAATGCAGCCGCCGTACAGTCAGGACAACGTACAGTCAGGACAAGCTGCCGTACACCCCCTCCCTCCTTCCGAAAGGCTTACCGTTGTCCTTACCATTGGAGGACCCCCGCACGATGCACTCAAAGTAGAAGGGCATGATAGCGACCAAGTCGATGAAGTTCGAGAAAGACGCCAGGAAGCGGGGCAGGCTGGGACAGCACAACAAGCGCAGCACATACTCTACGGTGAAGAACCCCATGCAGATGTAGTCCACAATCCTGTGCGGGGGCAGGTAGGGTACTGCATCAACTAAGCCGTGATGCTATTGGAACCGAGCCGTGATGGTAGGGGGGGCGCGTGCATGCAACGGCATGGATTACACGAGGGAAAAGAGCAGGGAGTAGGGCACAGCATGCACATGCCCTTGGGTGGTATGCATGGAGGAAGGCACGTCGGGGTGGGTCCAGAGATGCTTCAGGCGATTAGCAGCGCGCCCGGGAGGTCCAGTACACACGGGTATTAGCGCTATGTCATGGCTTCCTGGCGTCATACAAGGCAGAAGTAGCCGGACAACAAACCCGGAGTGGCAAGGACTTACACGAGCGAGTCGTAGAGTGGAGTGTCCATGTAATGCGGGACAGACTCAATGCAGAAGGTAACGGTGTTGAGGACGATGAGGAAGAGGATGGTGGCGCCCACCAGGACTGACCAGAAGGAGTAGTCTGGGTACGACAGAGTCATGTAGGTCCATTGCCTGCGTCAGTTAGGGCTGGGTTGTAGATGGGTGTGTGCGAGAGTATGACGCATGACAGATGGCGGCGGTGAGGATGGGCACAGTTGCATGAGGCCCATGACGACTGCTGGGGTAACTCGCGGTCAACGACCAGTCGTCGGCACATTGTAACGATCAATATCGGGGACCCATGGGTCGCGCAGCAAGTTGTACCGCAGCAGGGCCTGCAGCCGTAACCTCGATCCTGACCCATGGGTCATACGGCGACCGCACTGCACAGTCCTTACCGGATCTTGCTGCTTGCCAGCTTTGACCAGAAACCAGTTGCCCGTGCGCGCTTTTCCTCCCACTCCTCGACCTTCTGCGCCGTCCTGGAGACCTGGAAGTCCGCCCACGTTGGGTTTTCCTCTGCGTGCAACGCGGGGGAAGGAGTCCGTCAGGAAGAGGTGGGTTAGGACACTACGAGGACCCCTACGTACGCTACGGCCGGGCACGGGCGCACAATGCATTAGGGGTGTGCGAGGAGGAGAGGAAACAGAAAAGCGACGACCCTAATCGCTCATCTGCTGGGCACTTGCACCCCAGCAGCAATACACACCGGGGGCCATGAAAGCATGCATGCTTAGCGGAGCCGCAATTAAACCCATATCTCCAATTCTCCATACTCCATGAGTACGCTTCCACATGCACCCCATGCATATAACCCTGTACCCAGCCCTGGGTTTCCAGATTGGGCTGGGCCGAGCCTGTCGGCATCAGGGTGGGCCCAACTAGCGTCGCTTGCGGATCGGTAGGGTTGCCGCCTTACCAAATAGGTCGTACGTGAAAACATTCTTGACCTGTTCCTCTATCCCATAACTTGATGGCGACCTAGCGGATGCCGACGATGTAACTACCAAATCCATCTTTATGCCCTGGCGCTGCGATTGGCTGTCATTCTTGCATGGCTTGCGACCAGTGACGCCCCGTGGCGATGCGGGCTGGGCGCTCTCCATCGCAGCCACCGCGACGTCGATAGCTGCCATAACATCTTCAGCGAGTTTGTGCTGCACCCGCACGGAGGCGCCGAACTTGTCCTTCGTGAGCTGCAAGACGTTGTCGACTCGCTCGGCGACAAAGTTCGGTGCAGGTGGTACCGGCCGGTTAAAAAGGGTACCAAAGGGAGCAGCCAGCGCCGGTCCATTCGTCGGGACATCCTCCCCAGGATGAAGTGTAGCCGTCGGAAGAGGCTGGCCGTCGCCAGTAGGAGGAGGAATGCCAGCATCACTTTGAGGGTTCAGACCGGTCTGAGCCCGATGAGCACTGGATGTTTGTAGCTCTGGTTCCTCTTCCTCTGCACGCGAACTGATTTCGCTGACTTTCCGTCGCATTAATAAGGACATGCGCTGCTGCTCCTCATTCTGCTGCTCCTCCCTCAGACGCCTCAACGCTGGTTCATTAGAAGCTACCGATGTAACCGCACTTATCATCTTTCTTGCTAACAGTCCATAAAGCTTCAGAGCTCAGGTCAACGTCGGTCAGCGGCAACCTGGTCACTCTTACGCAACAAGTAAAACGCATATAGATATTCTATGTTCGCCATCCTCAAAAAAACGCCCATCACCTATTGAACGGCAATAAGTACCGTTCATGCTTCTTAGCAGAGGGTGAACTTCTTAGAGTAATACTAAGGGGCATGGTGATGAGCATTCTGCGTTAAGCAGGGAAACAAGGATAGCTGGAGCATTCACGCTTTTGTGTACGGCGCGTACTAAACTAGCTCCAAGAGGACGGTTCGCTGCTTGCCGAAATTTTTGGAGAAACACGACGTCCTAACAGTTGCTTTGGTAACAATTGTTTCGCTTCGCAGCTTTCGGAATAGTAACCTGGCAGTTGCATCACGCCAAACAAAAATGTGCTTATCAACCCTTAAAGAAACACAATGCCGCCGACCTGACTCGCGTACCGAGCGCAACGTACTAAGAACTGGCTTAAAATGCTGTGCACATCGAGCCCGTTTGCTATGCCAAGGGCATGGCGCGGAAGGGGCGGCGCTTCCGGCCCGCATTTCATTTGGCCGGGCACTGGGCCTCGTAGCTAAGCATCCGCACAACATGCCGCGTGGACGCGTCGTTGCGGGAACGTTCGCGGACCCGGTCATGGACGCGCCGGAGGTCGATGACGAAGTTGAGGGGACGCGGTAAGCGTTACAGGGAGGCGGCGCTGGAAGCCAGCATCGTCACAACAGCATACTCACGCTCTGTGGGCACTCACGTCGTCCAACTCGAAAACAACCACTAATTCCCACTAAGGCTCATTAAGTCCCACTTGGGCCTGAAGCCCAGATGCTGTTCCTTCTGTGCCGATGTTCGCCCCTGCACCTCTGCCCCTGCTTCCACCTCTCCGTTCATCCTCCTATCTCACTCCTAGCCCTTCCTGTCCCCGACCCTTTTCTGCCTCATCAGCTCCTCCGCACACCCCTCTCAACACGGTCAGTTCATTGTTTCCTGTTTAAACCCCTTAACACCCACCCTCCCTGCCCCACTCTCCCCTCCCCCATCCACCCCACCCCTACCCCCGACCGCAGTTGGAACCCCGCCAACCTGACCGCGCTGGTGGTCGGCGCCGGCCCCACGGGCGCCCTGGCCGCCCACTACCTAGCCATGCGGGGCTACGGGGTGGTGGTGGTGGACAAGGGGCCGCGGCCCGCGCCCTGGGACGCTGCCAGCGTGCCACTGGTGCTCAGCAGCAGGTGGGGTCAGGCGCTGGAGGGGGGGGGGACGCGCTGCGTGCTGCCCTCCCGACACCCATGCTACACCCCCATGGTGAAGCCTTACCATGCGGTTTATTACTCTCTTGCTCTTTCCCCCTCCTCCTCCCGACGCCTCCTCGCAGGGGCGCCATCGCGTTTGAGGAGCTGGGTCTGGACCAGCAGCGCCGGGTGGGCCCGTCCGCGCCCTCGCCCCTGCGCGGCGTGTGGGATGCGGCGGCGGGGCGGCTGCGGCAGCAGGTGGACGACTCCAGCGCCTTCCGACATGCCTTCGTCACCGACCGCTCGGGTAGGGGTGGGGAGTCGGGATGGTTTGGGTAGGGGTTGGGAGTGGGGACCGCTTGGGTGGGGGTTTGACTCGAGGTAGGAAAAGAACTGCCGGTAGTAGGGTGGGCATGGGCCGATGGGTGCAGTACAGGGTCCTGAGTCCCTAGCCACAAGCTCCTCCTCCTCTTTCGTCTGCTCCTTCCGCTCCTGCTCAGGTCTGGCTAGCGACCTGATAGATGCGGCGGAGCAGCGCTACCCGGACCGGGTGCGGTTCCACTTCAACACGGGTGGGTCGTGGGGGCGGGTGGGGTTGGGGTAAAAAGAAATTCCAAAGTGTGGTGTGCGGGTGGGGTGGGGTGGGGGTCAGGTCGGGTAGGGTAGGGTGGGGTGGGGTGGGGTGGGGTGGGGTGGGGTGGGGTGGGGTGGGGTGGGGTGGGGTGGGGGTCAGGTCGGGTCGGGTAGGGTGGGGTGGGGTCAGGTCGGGTAGGGTGGGGTGGGGTGGACCAGCAAAGGCCAGGAGGCAGCAGCGACGTGAGGATAGGCCGGACGGGCCACACGGGGAGGAGGAGGGCAGGAAGGGGCAAGGGGCCCTCCTTCCCACGTCCCCCCATGCCCATACGCAGCAAGCAACGCAGCAAGTAACACACACACCATCAGTAGTACGGAGCCGCCATCCGTTATGATGAAGTCGTCGTGCCCGACATGCTTCTACGTTCTACCCCTTTGCTACGATGTCCAATCTACCGGTATGTACCTACCCCCATCCCCTCACAGAGTTGGTTCGTGCGGAGCTCAAGAACCGCATTGCTGTCCTTCGTACGACACATGAGGCGGGTGCTGCTGCCGCTGCTGCACCTGCCTCTCCCGCAAGCCAACAAGGAGAGGCGGGGCCAGCCGGGCAGGCATTGGATTCTGCACAGGAGCAGGAGGTGTACTACGACTTGATGGTGGGGGCGGACGGCGTGGAGAGCACCGTGCGGGGGATACTCAAGGTGGGCGGGGTGGTGGGGCGGGCGGGCGTGTGTGTTTGGGGATTCCTTGGATCTCAAGTTCTCAACCAATCCAGCCACTTCCCTCGGTAATGGTGTGAGGGGTCTGCTCGCGGAGTGAGGGGACCAGTGGCTCCACAACCTTACCCCCCCTCCCTCCCGCTCCTCCCTCCGCCTTATCACACAGTCAGTTAGTTGTTTCCTCATTATCCCTCCACCTCACTCCCCCCCAGGCCAAGGTGAAGGACTTTTCGGTGATCCGGCCTGTTGAGGAGGAGATGGGTTGCCTACCCGTCAGCCGCCTGCCGCCCCCAGCGCAGGAGCCCCTGCCGGGCTTTTCCACCAGCCACAAGCCGCAGGAGTACCTCTACGAGTGGAGCGCACCCGGCCGACCCATGGTTCGCATCTTCAAGGACCACGAGGGCGTCATCGGCGGCACCGTAACCGGCCTCAGTACGACAACGAGTACGGAGGCGGTACGGGACGAGCTGTTGGCGGCGTACGGCAACTTCCCGCCTGAGTGGGCCGCGGAGATCGGTCGGCAGGTGTGCTCCCCCGCCTGCCCGGCCGCCCGCCGCGCCTGCATCCTGCAGTGCAACCAGTTCTGGGGGCCGCGGGCGGTGCTGCTGGGAGACGCGGCGCATGCGGTGACGGGCGCCAGCCGACCCGTGGGTCTGCCGGCGGGTGCGGCGGGCGGCGGCGTGGGCGTGGGGCAGGGCCCCAGTGCGGCCATTGAGAGCGTGAGGACGCTGGCGCTGGTGCTGCGGGGGGCGCAGGTGGGTGGGTGAGGGGGCTTGCTGGGTAGGGAAGCTGAACCGCTATGCCTGGCTACCCACCGCTCTTGCCTCAGCCTGCCGTCTCCTTTCGGCCTCGCGCCCGCCTCCACCCCCCTCCCTCGCCATATCGCCGCTCCCCCCGCTCCCCCCGCCTCCCCCTCCCAGGACGACCTGGATAAGGTGCCCGAGGTGTTCTCCCGGGTGCGGGGGGACGCGGTGATGGCCATGCAAATGCTGGAGTTCATGGAGGTGAGGGGGGCCGGGCAGGGAGGGAGGGACAAGGAAGGAGAACCCTGGTCCTATGGCTGCGATACACACTTGCTGCGATGCTGTGATGGTGTGACCCTCGCCGCTCCTCAAATCCCAGACCCGGACCCCGCCTCGCCGCCCTGTAAACCCCTCACTCCACGCCCCGCCCCCTCCCCTGCACAGCTCACCCGCGGCGGCTCCGCTGCGCGCGCCCTCAAGTTCCAGTCGCTGTGGTTCGCATGGAGCGCCCTGCTCACCCGGGTAGGCGGGTGGGGCGGAGTGGGGTTACTAGGGGTACACATTCCGCATAAGGCTGGATTACAGGATTGCGCGTAGTCAAACTTGTTGGGTGGGGTTCGGGGGTAGTGGTTATGGGGTGTGTTGCTACAGGAAAATGTTACCGGTGGTAGCGGGTTGGGTAAAGGGGCACCTGCAAGGCTGCTGCAGTCATGCTGACAGCCCCCCAGCGGCCCCAACAATACAACGCACCGGCAGCGGCAGCTATCCTTGGCTGCTGTCTCTTCTTGCCCTCCTGTTCGCCTCTACCCCTGCCCCCCTTCCTGCCCATCTCCTGCCCCTGCTCCTGCACCTCCCCCTCCCCGCCCTCCTGCCAGTTCTTCCGCTTCCTGTCGGAGGCAACGGGTCGGCTCCTTGCCGCGCTACTGCCCTCGCAATTCATCTCGGCAGAGAAGGTGAGGGAGGGGCCGGGGCGGGGGTGAGGGAGGGGCCGGGGCCGGGGGTGCGGGGCAGGACAGGACATGCTCCCAGCCCCTGTCTTCACCACTACTGGTCCTCCCTCCATCCTCCTCCAACTCCCCTCCCTCCACCCCCCAGGTGGTCTCCCGGCTAGACGACCGCCGCATCGGGTACAGCGAGGTGATCAAGATGATGCAGGTGGGGGCAGCGGGGGGGGGGGGAGCAGGGAGGGGGGAGCAGGATGCGGTGATGGAGGAGATGGTTGCGGTATCGGTATACTACCGGTAATCGGGTGAGGATGCTAACCGGATAAGGCCTTCAAGCTTTCCTGGATTATCGCGATGTTTTCGCGTGCTGAGCGCCCCGTGCTCCCCTTCTTCCCTCTCATTCCCTTCCCCTGCAGGGCTACGCCACGCCAGTTGTTGCGCTGGTGCTGGGAGGCGCATTCGTGGGCCTGCTGATGGCTTACAACCGGATGTTGGGATAGTGAAAAGAGAAAGATGGTGGAAAGGAGCAAGGACGGGACCGCTTTTGGGTGGAAGGGTGTCTGTTTAGACGGTTGGACGACCTTGGGGTTCATGTGTAGGTAGAGAGGGCTCGTCTTCATGTCAGGTCTCGGGTGAGCTCTGGAATGGTATGGTTTCGGGGACAGGCATGTTACAAGAAGAAGATCTCGAGCGTTTATTGCATGGTTGTATGGTGCATTAACGGAGCCTTGCAGCGCTGGGTGCAAGGTGTTGGTTGCCAATTGCGGCCATACGGATGGAGCATCAGGATGGGAGGAGGGGGGCATTGGGGGTGAGCGCAGAGAAAGCAGTCCTATCGGATACATGTTAAGGGATGCTAGCACCTTCAGTTTCGTCAGCAAGGGGGTCGAATTACCTTTCAAGCTGTTACCGGTACAATTGCCCAGCACCGTGCATCGACCGGTACAAGTGAGACCCACAATCGCAAGAGGTACAAATTGCTGGGTACTTATAACTGTTTCCTCATACGTGATTTTCTTCTCATACAACATCGTAGGAGGATAATTACCTGTATAGGAGGACGCCCACAAGCTACTTGGTAATTGTATTCTACTCCAAGGTGCCTGCAATTCATTTGTTTAACTACTCAGAGGGGCATTGGATACTTCTATAGCCACGCCTGGAGCAGCATTTCCTACAGGCTGTGGGACAGAACTTGGTCGTCATCGAACGCAAGCTTGGGCGGGACAATACGCAAAGTTGGGGGAATGTTTGAAGGGCAGTTAAACCATCACATTCCTGCTCTTCTCGTCCTGTGGCGGGCCGCGGCGATGACACTGCACACATCCGCTCGTCGCGCTGCGGACGGCGCCGTGTCACTGTCCTCAGCGGTAAGAGCGGCTTTGCATCCGATGATGAAGTGGCGTGGTATGCCGACAAGCATCTGACAAATTGCCTGTGGCCCCTTTCCAGGTGACCCGACGAGGGCCGAACGGCACCCATGGCCACCAGGCCGAACCCCCACTCCTCAGGTGCGCTTCTTAGCTATACACCTATCAGCACCCAGCTAGGTCAACGTGCGCATGCTTCATAGCAACACCATTTCCCAATCCAGCAATGGCTCGAGCAGCTCGTTACCATGCCAAATGCCACACCTCCGCCGACACTTTCTCCTCCCTCTCCTTAGGCCTCATCGCGGCCGGCTTCTGGCCACACCGACCCTAGCGGAGGTCTCGCCTGCTTCTGGCCCATCTCGACTAGCGGGGCGGCTTAGCGGTGGAGGGTTAGCAGACGGCAGCTGCGGTCAAACCCGCGCATCGTCCTCCTGGGGGGCCCTGCGGAGTCGGCTGGCGCCCACGGCGGCAAGGCTGGCACTGCCCATGGCAGCAGCGGGTGTGGCGGTGGCGGCAGGGTGAGTAGAGTTTGGCGTGAAGGGCGTGGGTATGACGTGCTGTTGTGGGTCTCCTTGTCGCATTGGCGGTACTTTAAAGCCCGAGGAAAGGAGGAGAGCCCCATTGCAAACGCCTACATGCATGCGGTATGTGCACAACAAACAGGTTAGTGTAATTGGAACACGGAATGCCATTCGCACCGCTGTCAGTTATTCATTGTGTTAGCCCTCACATCGCGTCCGCACCGTCCTCGCCTCCTTGCATTCAGTCATCCTCGTGTTACCCAATCCTCACTCCACTTCCCTGCCCTTCCCTACGGCCGCTGCTCCTCTTCCCCAGGGGTTACGACCAGCTACACAGCAGCATCACCGCCGGCGGACCCACGGGTCACCACCAACCGCCCCTCTCCCTCGGCGCCTCCCACGTGATCCATGGCTCGGGCGCCGCGCCGCCACTCGCGCTGGCTGACATGCGCGCTGCTCGGGAGGTGCTCGACGCGCGGGGTTTCGCCCACCCGGGCCTGCAGCCGGGGGCAGCATGGGGCGCGCTGCCCACCACCGTCGGCAGCAGTAAGAATGAGCTGCACGTCATGTTCGAGTACGTGATGCTGTTCCCCGCCTAGGAGAGAGAGATAGAGCGCTTTAGGAGGAAGAGACCTGGGGCGCTTTGCAGGCCTGGGTGCGACTGTGGGGGATCCTGTGGGGGATCCTGGAGCTTGAGCTTGAGGAGGGCGGCATCCTACTGCTTTTGATGCTATGCCTCCTCCTCCTGCCGTCCTGGACAATCGTAATCCCAGGCGATAACAGTTGATGGTGTACATGTATGGAGGTCTGTCGTGCGTAAGCCATCGCTTGCGCACTTGGTGTTGTGAAAGAAGACATATGATCAGGCTGTTATGATCTACTACAAAGTGTTGTACGGCAGGACAGCTAGAGCAATTTGGTATTAATAACGTCGTACAACTTTGGTGGTCGAAAAGCCGAGTAGGTGTCGGTTGAGTCTGCGGGGTGCAATGGTTGCTGCTGTGCGCTTCTTGTAGCTCGATTAATGGCTTTTGCCGACAATGTCGCTTGATAATTCCCCGTTTAGCATTAGCTTTGCTGTGAGTCGTTGAGGATATGCGGTACTTTATTTGGAGCGGATATGCGATATGTAAAGATGCGAGAAGCGGTGATAACGAAAGGGGCCCCCGGGGTGGCAAGGGTTCTTCATGCGCGCATGTGCGTTTGCATGGGCTCTGATGGTGGGCCGGAGGGCACCCGAAGACACCGTGTTGGCATCGTCTGTCTTGACCGGAGATCCGGCTGCTGCTGGTACTGGTACTGCTGTGATGGTGAGCAAAAGTATGCAAATGTTGTCTTGATGCGGCTGGTGTGCGGGATGGATGCTATGCAGGTGAGATGAGAGCAACATTTGCGGTTGCTGCCGTTGATCTTGTAACGGTGCGCTTTGGTGCACTGCACTGATGTTTTGTTTTGCTTTGTTGCTGATCTGGGCATTGGTCCCCTGTAAGGAAGGCATGTGGGCAGACACATGGTACGTTGCCGTAGGGTGCTGTCGTCTGTGGGGCGGATTGCATCCTCATGCGTGCCTTGCTCTGCCTCTCTGTCCCGTCGTTTCAAATTGTAGGGATGTGTGGCGTTTTGGGGTGTTTGGCTTGAAGGGAGGTTCGCGCGTGCGGCGTGCGACTGTATTGTGATGAAGTACGTGTGCGTTATGCTTGTGAGTGTGAGAGGAAATGAGGGGGAGAAAAGGCAGAGATTGCAAGCAGAGTGGAATGATATTGTTGAGACTAGGTGAGCTGATAGATTTAGTAGCGGTAGGCTGGCTTAGGATGAGCCGTCTGGCTCGGCTCGTGACTTCTGTTAAGCTGGATGAGGGCATGGGTGCATGTGGTTTGCAGGGCCTCGTGCTCTGCACAGATGCATGAAACACAGCAGGACTAGCTGCTACTAGTGCGGTCAAGCATGTAACACACTGAAACAGCACTGCCTCCCTAGGCAAGCGGCCCAGATCGCTGTTACTAAGCCCAGCGTTGCTAAGCCAGCGTCAGTAATCCGCGGTGAACCATGACGCTGGCGAGACGGCAATTCTGAACCATAGCTTCCGTGGTTATCGCAATTTCTGACCGCAAAGCGGTGAACGCTTTCTGCGCTTCACGGTCGATGGTGGTAAGCATGCGACTTCTTGTTCCCTAATGGCCCAAGCCGTGGCGCATGGATCGGATTCCATGTACTATTGTAATCTTTACGTAGTGCAGGAGTACCTCTTGAATCCGAAGCAGTCCTATCGCGCCCGTGGTTGTACGACGTAATCTTGGGCTAATATCTCACGGTGAACTGCTTGCCACACAACCTGCGGTAACAAGCATTTCGGTTAATGACATTGCAGCCTACAAGATGGTAGAGTTGAGTGTTAGGCAAACCTTTGCTGGGTACAAGGGCTGTGGGCGACCGCTGAGCTACGCAAGAGCGAACTTAAAAACAGCGCGCAGACCTGCTATCTACGTTAAGTCCGTAGAAGAAGGACGGCGAGCCGATGACGCTCTCTCTACACTGGACTCTCTACTTGGGTCGGCAGGCAAGCAAGCAAACTTGTCTCGCGCGATGAGGGCCACTAGCCTTTCGTTTCATCGCCCGTTTTACGGTGTATGCACTGATCGCTGAAGACGTTAATGTGCAGCATTTCTACCGGCATGCTATGTTGTGTGGCCCTGGGTCGCCTTTACCATTACCGTCCTACCGACATAGCTACCCAATGCCTGTTGGTGTGCAACACCCGCGCTACAAAACGTTCATCTGACAGCAACCATGTTTCGCTTCAGTGTTAAAAGCACCACACTGACTTGCCTCCGCCTGGCCCGAAGGCCTTCTCAGCGCCCGTTCAGATGGCTGTTTTGCCATTTCCCGAAAATTGAAACCGCTTACCCAGCTCCACACCACACCGCTCTCCTTCCGTGCTGTCTGCCACAGATGCCTCGCAGGATCCTGCCCGCGATCCCGGCCTGATCGAGTGGTGGCGAATCCGCCCGCGCCAGGACGCTCCACCCCGCACCACTTCCACCTCGCACTCGCCGGGCGGCCGATTTATCGCAAATGAGGAGATGTTGCGGAATGAGGTTTGGGCTGGCACCAGGTGAAGGAGCGGCCCACGGGATTAGGGGACACCGGAGGTACAGGGGCCTCGCCCTGGGCGTAGACCCTTGGGACTGGGCCCTGGTGGATATGGCGAGTGGCACACGGAGGAGACGGCTCATACCGAAAGGACTCCAGCTATCTATGCAGGCATCACCCCTTGATCTTGGACCGAGCGCTGTGAATCCTATTGTCGCTGCTGACGTCTGGCCATGATGTCCGGCTGGCCCGTTCGCCTCATGACGCCCTGCCCTGCCCTGTCCCTGTCCCGGGACCCCCAGGACGCGACTGGGTCAGGCGATAGAGCTCCCCAAGGTTGGGCAGGCTCGGGGCTGGGGGGCTTTGTAGGGGCAACAACAACCTAGTCCGCATGCATGCAAACACGGAGCACCGATGTCGCCGCTCTTACAGCACCGTAGCTTGGACGGGCAGGCTCGACCTGAGCACAGGAGCTGCCGGTACCCATACATGCATTGTGCACCCCTCTTCACCCACCATCCCCGTCCTGCCGCCCTCCCTCCCCTCGCCGCTCGCTCTGATTCACGCAGGTCACCCCATATCTGTCGTACATGATGGCGCTGGTCAACGCGGCCGTGTACGGCGTTGTCGTACGGGTGTCGGCGACCCAGGGCCCGGATGCGGCGGGGGAGCTGATGGGCACCATTGGGCTGAGTCGCGAGGCGGTGCTGGAGCAGGTGTGTAAGAGGGTTGCGTGTGCTGGCAAAACGCCTGCATGTGGCACATGGTGTGCTTTGGGGTTAAGAGTGCTGTCGAATCGAACCTTGAAAGTACCGTGCGGCTAATGCGCAAAGAAAAGGTCATACCACCTCCTACTTCCACTACGGGTAATGACCTCCCCGCGTGCCTGCCTTTATCCCTTATCCCTCTCTCCTCTTCCTCTGCGGCCCCCCAGGGTGAGGTGTGGCGGCTGCTGAGCGGCTGCCTGGTGCAGCCCGACCTGGCCGCGCTAGCAGTGCTGCTGGCGGGCATGACGCTGGTGGCGCCGCGGGTGGAGGCGTCGCTGGGGTGAGTGTGCGTTTGGGATGGGGTGGGTATGAGAGGGGCTTGGCTTGTCAGAGCACGATTGTCCGACAGTTCCGGCACCCGACTACCGGCCGCTCCCCTTTAATGACCCATTGCACCCTTCTGGGCTCCGACTTACCGCCCTGCTCGTACGCCCCGCCCCACCACCCCATCCCATGCCAGCTACCGTACCTTCGCCACCGCCTACCTGCTCTCAGCGCTGGTAGCCGCAGACGTCGTGGTCGCCCTGGGCGGCAGCAGCAGCGAACAGGAACTGCTACTAGCTGCAGCCCCTGCTGCCTCGCAAACCGCTGCAGAGGCTGCTGCTACAGCAGTGGCAGCAGCCGCGGTTCCGCCCGACAGCGCTGTCGTACTCGAAGCCGTACTGCACCCTGCAGGACAAGCCCTGACGGCTGCCGCTGCTGCTGCGGGGTTGGGCGCGCTAGGCGCGGTGGCGGGCATGGCGGGATGCGCCCTGGCACACGAGCTGATCAACGGAGCGGTGGAGAGGAGTGCCAGCCACAGCAAGGCGAGCAGCAGCGGTAGCAGTAGCGCTGTCCAGCAGGGTGTGAGTGGATCTGCCGTGCGGGCTGGGGCGCTGGCTGCGGGGTGTGTGGCGGTGGCGGTGCAGCACCTGCAGGAGCCGGGGGGTGGCGCACTGGTGGCGGCGGTAGGGGCGGCGCTGGGCACAGGTACGAGCGAGGCGTTGAAGGGTGCCGTACACGGCTGTGGGGGGCTGTACGGTGCTTGCGCGGTGTTTGTGTTATGACATGGATTGCTGGTCGTGCTGTGTTGCTTGCTTAGTAGCTTTGCATTACCCTGAACCCGCTGCCTTGCCCGTTGCCCCCATGCAATAATGCCATGCGACCCCAACCCCTACACGCAGGCTTTGCGCTTGCATCCCTGGCGGGGCCTCGCTACCAGATCACCCGGGAGGTTGAGCTGCCCTCGGGGTCCATGTGGATTCCGGATCCAGACGCGGTGGAGGAGGTCACTGTGGTGCTGGACCAGACGCCCGCGATCCAGAGGATGCTTGCGTCAGGCGTGCTTGCCGTGATGGCAGTGGCGGGTAGTGCAGCCGTGACATTGGGGGCAGGCATGTAGGCAGGCAGGGTCGGGGAATTGGCTTAGGAGGGGCGCAGTGCAGGATGCGAGCTGTGTTCGCTGTACTTTAGCCTTGTAGTTTGTAGCCGTGTAAGCGTGCAACGTAGGCGTAGAGGTTGATGCCGATTGCTTTATGATTGAAGGCTGGGGCTCAAGGATGGGTGAACTAGGTTTAGTCTGCTGCAGCAAGTAGCGCAAGGAGTGTATGCAATGTGCATACTAACAAACGCAAAAGGCATTTCCAGTAGACTACGAAGATTGATACCCATCACAAAACATGTCCTCCTGTTACACATACTCGTATATGTAACATACCAACCGCAGCAACGCAGGGGCTATGTGCGTGCTAATGGCCAAATACCATCAGGGTCCCCCAACCTCTCAACCCTTTTGGTTTCTTCGTCTTTCATGGTCTTAATCTTGAGGCCAAGTCAAGAACCTATACACCTATGTGCACCGAAGGCATATGCCTAATCTAGCTGAAACCAGACGGTCCCCCTAGGGAAACGGGGGCTTCTGTGTTTTTCCCCGCCACTAACCACCTTCCTACCACCACTAACAAACAGGCAACCGTCAGCTTGCACGAAAAAAATCGAGCCAGTATGATGTACATATGTATCCAGCACTGCGACCCGCAACGTATGCGGCCCACTAAACGCGTGGTGCGTTATGACGGTCACGCGTCAGTTCCCGCCTCACTAAATCCCAGGCAGTCGACTTGACAACAGATTCCTCTTACTTGATGTACTGGCTCAGCCACCGGAAACCCTCGCCATAGCCCATGCGCTTGACAACCGAGCACATGAACACCTCGCAGGGCCGAAGCTTCGAATCGCTCAGGTTCACCTTGCCCTTGCCGGTCGTGTACGTCAGACCCAGCCAGTTCCGCAGCTCATCCTCCGAAACAGCGGTCGGGATATCAATCTTGTTGCCCAGGATGAGGAAAGGAACGGTCCCAAGGGAGTCATCGCCAAGCAGCCCGTCCAGCTCCTTCTTTGCCTCCGGAAAGCGCTCGTGGTCCGCAGCGTCTACCAGGTAGACGATAGCGTCCACCTTGGCGTAATAGTCCTTCCAAACTCGTCGCGCAATCTCATGGCCGCCGAGATCGAAGGCTTTGAAGTTAATACCGCCCAATTGAATCTCCTCGGATGTAGGGTATTGCGTTGGCTGGTGCTGAACCACGCGATCGTCCTTCAGCATATGCATCAGGGTCGTCTTGCCGGCATTGTCCAAGCCCAGGAACAGGATCTTTGCGTTCTTGTTGTATAGGCCCAGGTAATTCAGAATCCCGTAGAACCAGTTCACCAAGAACATCTTGTCCTAAGCTTAAAGCAAGGTGCGTGGCTATGGATGGTGCTGAAAGACGCGACCTCTCGGGCTGTTGTGCAGTTTGCAAGGAGGTAAGTGTAAGTGTGTAAGGCGTACAAGAGGCGCGCTGGCTTACGTTTATGCTTTAGCGCTATGCACGCATGTACTTTTGAAAGGCAGCCCAGGATGATTTTCGCTGGCAGGTCGTACAGTGTGTACCAAAATAGTGCCTCGGCCCTCGGCGCAGAACTCACACTATCCATCATGGAAATGAGAAGATAACGGCGCGATTAAATATCACACCACGGTGCAACGTCAACGAACCCCTGTCCGAGGCACGTCCGCGCACGCAAGCGCGGCTACTATGGCAGCGATGCCCTGAGCGTGTCTAGATTAGGCCGATCAAAGTGCATGTTCTTCGTCCCTGTCAAGCCATTATGGGTCACAATAACTGTGTCAGGGGATATTTCGGCTGCTGGCGGGATGTCGGTTGGAACGTCTTCTCTTGGCGCCACCCAAGTGCTGTATGCACAGTTTCATGTGATAAAGCACTATGTGTGGTAGTCAGAGAATGGCTGGAGGCTCGACTTAACGGTTACACAATGCGGCTTCTTCCTCAGTCTGGGTTTGCATCATGACAAGCCTCCTTTGCATCCTACACGCTACACCCATGCAAAATTCCTGTCTTCTTGCATCTCAGCAGCCTTCTACAATGACCCAACGTTCTTTGGTAGGACCACACCTATAGACCCAAGGAAATGACAACGCTCGTACTACCATACAGCAAACACAGTTTCGGAGGGGAAAAGACCATGTGGGGAGGTTGCGATCCAGCCACAGCGCCGTACCGGCCCACCCTACATCTCATTCTCGGTACTCCCTGCGCTTTACCGCACCTCACTCGATGTACTGGCTCAACCACCGGAAACCCTCGCCGTACCCCATCCGCCTGACCACCGAGCACATGAACACCTCGCAGGGCCGAGACCCCCCTGCTGACTCATCCTTATCATTGCTGCCTCTGCTGCTAGCACTACCGACGTAACTTCCCTTGGCCTTGCCGCCCTTTCCAGTCGTCAAGTACGACAGACCCAACCAGGTCCGCAACTCATCCTCCGAAACCGCGTTGGGCAGGTCAATCTTGTTTCCAAGCACCAGGAAGGGGACGCCCGCCAGCGACGGATCCCCCAGCAGCCCCTGCAGCTCATCCTTTGCAACCGAAAGGCGGTTACCGGTGCGGTCGCTGGAATCGACCAGGAACACGACAGCGTCGACTTGAGCGAAGTAGTCCTTCCAGATTCGGCGAGCTATCTTGTGGCCGCCAAGGTCAAACACCTTGAAGGTGATGCCGCCCAGCTGGACCTCCTCGGAGGTGGGGTGCTGTGTGGGCGGGTGCTGGGAGACGCGGTCGTCTCGAAGCATGTGCATCAGCGTGGTCTTGCCGGCGTTCTCCAAGCCTAGGAACAGAATCTTTGCGCTCTTGTTGCGAAGACCTAGGAAACTCAGCACGCTGTAAAACCAGTCTATGAGGAAGCGCATGATAAAGGGTAGAATGAAGGTATTTGGTAAGGAAACGGTGAGCTGTAAGGTGTGAGAGGAGAGGCCGGAGGGGGAGATGTGTCGATGGGTAAAGCAATGTTGGTGAAAGTTATTTCGACTGAACGGTTTGGGCTTCAGGATATGGCAAAAAATACAGAGAGATTTAGATGTATTGCTAATGGGCCATATATGTACGCAGGCTGTGGGAAGACAGCGTGCCTCCTGCGTCGCGGAAGCTGCTGACAGCGCACAGGGCAGCGCGACGGACACATCGGCAATGCGTTGTACAGTAGTTGCAGTGCATAACTTTGGCCTATTATCTGTTGCGTACGATATCGCTTGGGTCCTTACCCGGAGGTAAACTGCGCGACTTCAATAGCATCACTACTGTGGCCGTCCTCGCACCGAAACCAGCTTATGAGAGGCGGGGCGCGGGCGATTCTGCAGCTTCCACCCGGATGCAAAATTGACTTTACAATGCAGTGTTCTCTGCAATACGGTATAGAGTTACTGGCCTTTTTGTATTAAGTATTGACCACATCTGGCAACCTGCGACATGACCCCATGTTCACCAACCAACCACGATCAGCTCGGCTTACAAATATCGTTCTTCGCCTTCCTCAACTGCGACATGACCTTAGTACGTCACCGCAAAAATGTTCACCGTTGGACCTCCCTCCTAAACCTAAACGCCCATCCCTGCCCAGCACCTCAACTTTCAAGCCAACATACCGCCCAACAGACCAACACCGTCCACCTCCTCAAAACCACCTCATGAACGCCAGCTACACATGTCAGCCACCCTCCCAGCCCTTGCTCCTCCTCTTAATCCCCCTATCCTCACCTCACCACCTACCGCACACCCCGGCCCCGGGCCACCCCAGCCCGGCCCGAAAAGCCTACACTTACATTGCCCCGCCGCTTCCACCTCCATCAGGTCAGTCCAGTCTTACTCCCTCCATTCACGACACGCCCATCTCCACCTACCTCTCACCGTTGGATGTTCTTCTTTACCCCTCACCCCTCTCTCTTATCCTGTTCCCTCTACCCTTCCTTCTCCTCCCCCTCACTCCCTCGCCCGCCTCCGCAGCTCCTCCAGCTCCCCCTCCAGCGGGTCGAACACGTCCCGCAGCGGCCGACCCGCCAGCGGCGGGGTGGGGCCGGGCGGCAGCGGCCGGGGAGGACCTGCGGGCGGGGGGCGGGGGGCGGGGGGCGAGGAAGGCATGGGAGGGCAGGCGCGTGAGGCAGCGGGCGGCACCTCAGTCGACTCCTCCGCCCGGTCCTAAAGCTCCTCTGCCCAGTCGCTCTCTTCCACCCATTCCACCAAGCAAGCATCCTACAGCCCCTACGCTATGCGGCCTCCGCCTCCTCCTCCTCCTCAGCCCCTCCCCTCCTCCCCGCCCCTCTCACCCGCCCGCTGCCCGGCCCCCCTCTTGAGCGCCTCCAGCTCCGCCTCCACCCCGCCCTCCCCCTCCAGCGCTGCGAACTGGCGCTCCAGGGAGTCGGGGGCGCCCAGCGCGGCGGCCGACTGCGCCTCCGCCTCCAGAGCCGCCACCCGCTCCTCCATCTGGTCGAATGCGGCCCAGCTGCTGCCTGAGGAGGGGGGGGTGAGGGTGGGGTGAGGAGGGCGGGCAAACATGAAAATGAAAATCCAATGTGTGGTATGATAGTAGTACAAATGAGGAGGGCGGGTAGGAGGGCTGTAAGACAGAGGGGGGTGGGATTTACCCATATAGGCGGGGGGAATGAGGGAATGACGGCGGTCAGCAGAGAGGGAGGTACGGCGGGCAGTGGTGCGCCGGCGACACAGCAGCAACGCTGAACACACGGGCACGAAGGAAGCGCCTCCCCCCCTCGCCCCTTACTATATAATGTTTCCCCCTCGCCCCTTCCTCTCCGCACAGCTCTTTGCCCCCTCCCCACCGCTCCCACCACCCCATCAACCACCACCCCGACAACCACAACCCCGCACGGGTCTCCTTCTTCCCCCCCCCCGCCCCCCCGCCCCCGCACGCACCTGACCGCACCTGCAGCCCGCCAATCATCTCCTGCAGCGCGATGGCGGTGCGCGCGGAGGCGGCTCGCGCCTTGAGGCTCTCCTTCTTGGCCCGCGCCTCGCCCAGCTTGCCCTCCAGCTGCCGCAGGTTGGCCTGAAGGGGAGGGGGGAGGGGAGGGAGGTGCGTGGGGAGGGGGTTGGCAGGAGAGGTGGGAAGGGGGGGTGGGAGAAGTAGACCCATAAAGCCCCCCAAAGCTCCCATTGACACCTTACTACCACATGAGTGGGCAAGGCGCTAGCGGCCGGGGTCCGGGGTTCGGCAGGGTAGCTCGCCCCACCTGCAGCTGCTCCAGAGCCTGCGTCTGCAGCTTGACTTGCTCTCCCATGCGGTCTGAGGAGAGGAGGTGAGGATGTCAGGTGGAGGGTGTCAGGGGGGGGCGGAGGCGGCGAGGAGGGGATTAGGTAAACAGAGCAGCAAGGGGGGGGGATGCAGCAGGGGAAGGTAGGTGCCACCACAGTGTGTGCAGGAGGACACACACGCACGCAGGGCGCATGGCGGGCGTGGTGAGTCATGGTGAATGTCCCACCTCCCCCCCCCCCCCCCCCCCCCCCACACACACACACATCCCAGTATGTTCCTACTCGCGGCCAGTTATTTTAACACACCTCCTCACCCCACCCCCTGCACCTCGCCCCTCACCTGCATCCTCCTGCAGCGCCCGCCTCCGCCGCAGCGCCTCCCGCGCCAGGTCCTCCTGCCCCCGCGCCACCGCCAACTCGGCTCGCGACAGCCACTGGTCGGCCGCGGCCTGCGGGCGGGTGGGCAGGGCGGGAGGGAGGGATGGGGGGTGCGGGGTGCGGGAGGGGGGTGAGGTGAGCTCAGCCGCGGGGATACACTGGGACCTGCTGGGCAGTCAGCCAATACCGCACACGCCTTCAAATCACCCCCCTCCCCCCGCCCAAGCCACCCGTGCTGTGCCCCCATCCCCGCCTCCTCAGCCCCCACCTGCATGTTCTTCTGCTTGGTGCTCAGTTGCCGCTGGCTCGCCATCACCTGGGCTGTGGCCTGGGGTGGGTAGCGGGACGAGTAGCGGGGCGGGTAGGGGGGCAGGTAGGGGGATAGGGACGTGGCAGTCGGGGTTGGGGTGCATCAGAACGCAGGGGAGTCGTGTGTGTGGGGGGGGGCGTGTGCGCGAGTGGCCGTGCAGCTCCAAGGTCGTCTTCTTCCTCCCCCCCACCCCCCCACCCCCCACATACCCCCGCACCTGCCGCATGCGAGTCATGTCCTCCTGCATCTCCACCGCCACCTGGTCTAGCAGCTTCTGAGGGAGGAGGGGGAGGGGGAGGGGGAGGGGGAGGAGAGGAAACAACTAACTGACTGAGGGATAAGGCGCCAACATGGGTTGCAACATGTAAGCTGTCAGCAAATGGCGCGATGCAAGAAAGCGTGCGGCAATGCAAGAGGCAGCAGACAGCGTGCAAGGAACTGCCAAGATCAGCAATACCCGCACCGCACTGCAGCACTCAGGCCCCACTACTTGCAACCCCCAACGGCCCCAACAGCAGCCCCCGCACACCCACTTCGGGGTCTTCGAAGCTGGATACCAGTCCGGTGACGAAGCTGGTGATGATGCGGTACAGCCGGGAGAACAGGTTGGCATGTACGGCAACCGCACCGCCGCGACCCCGGCTGGAGCGGGTGCTGGTGATGGGTCGGTGACCTGTGGGTCGGCTGAGACTGCTTTTCCTGCTGCTGCCGCTTCCCAAGTGCTGTTGCTGCTGCTGCTGCTGGGCTGATTGAAGCTTGGCGGGGAGGTTGGTTGAGGTATTGCCGGTGTGTCGGAGCTTCTTGCCGGTTAGGGACGAGGAGGAGGAGGAGGCCAGGTTGGCAGGAGCATGGCGGCGGCAGGTGGCGGTTGGGGTGGTGGTTGAAGCCATGGCTGCAACGGCCAAGGTAACCGGGCGATTAGAGGCAAACGCTGTGGCGGTGGTGGTGGTGATGCTGCGGCGGCTTGAACGTAAGGAGGAGGAGGAGGAGGCATGGCAGGAAGGCGCTGCACAAGGGCAGTGCAGCAGGGTCGTGTTGGCACGGCTGGTGCTGCTGCTGGTGCCCGCGGTTGCGAAGACGCCTGAGCGACGAGCCGAGGAGGCGCGAGAACCTGGGCGGATAGATTCGGAAGGAATGGACGTAGCAAGGCGGTCATCGAGTATACAATTTTAGTATACAGACGTGTGGTGTAGGGGCTAGGTAAGGAGGTTAGCAACAGAGCAGGAGAGGAGGCCAGCGGGAGGCGACTAGCGAGGGCTTCGAATGGCGGGCAACATCGAAAGCGACGTGCGAGACGTCCCCTTACTGCGACGGTGTTATCAGCTTTAGCGCGGGATGCTGGACCCTAGGCCTTGGCGTGGCGCGGCAAGAAGGGAGCAATCACTAGCTAAGCGTGAGCATAAGCTAATGGAACAGCCCAAGCTCCCACACGCACCTGCGAACTCCGTGATGGCCATCTCTGTTGTCTGCTTGCTCTGTATCTGCACGCTTTAAACGTTCCTAAGTTGCTAAGAAAGTATTTCAATAGTTCAGCGCTTTTGAAATGAGCTATTTGGGTGGGTTGTTGGCTGCCTGCCTGCTACCGGCGTACCATCCAGTACCCGAGTAAAGATGCTGATATAGCGCTGAAATGTCTCCTTCTATCGCAGGCTGAGGCCCCTCTCGAGAGAGAGCTGCAGCAGCAAGCATCAGCACAAATGATATCATCGAAGGTGCTCGTAAGTGGGCCTCCTCGGATGTACGACATGCGTCTGCATGTCGGCCGCCTGCCTGCGTGATCAAAAGGCTTCGCACACCCATCTCCTTTTCCGATACCTTTAATTGATTGATCACTGCAAAGTAAAGGATACAAAGCCCGTGAACATTGCTAAAAAGAGACATGGTGCCGCGCAAACAGGCGCCAGCGTTTGCTGCGGTGGCAGCATTAGCGCTGCTGCTGCTGGTAGCAGGATCGTCGCCAGCCGACGCTGCCTCCCACAATCACCACGGTAAGAGCCTTAAACCGCACGCATTAACCGCTCGCCGCTCGTCTTTTACCGGGGCGCTTCGGCCCCATGCTAATGGGGCTTGGCCCAGTGATCAAGGCAGCTGCGAAACGGCACCTGTTCGATCCTTAGATTGCGGCGCTGTCATTAATAATAGCCTTTTGCTCGACGCTAAATCACTTGCCGCTGTTGATCAATGCCGCCATTGTTCCGTAACCGCTCGCCCCGACACCAACATTGCAACATTTCCGTTAATGCTGCTACACATTATATAACGACGCAGTTCTGGTGTTTGCACATTGCGTTGTTTGCTGCCAGCAATTTG